CCGATGTCGCTACGGCCTATTCGAGTATAATGTCATGCCGTTTGGGCTCACCAATGCCCCTGGAGTATTCCAACACCTCATGAACGACATATTCCGTGACATTCTCGACGTTTTTGTTGTGGTCTACCTTGACGACATTCTGATCTTCTCAAAAAACCCAGAAGACCACCCCAACCACGTCCGAGAGGTGCTCTCACGACTCCGCCAGCACGGGCTGTATGCGAAACCGGAAAAATGCGAATTCAACCGTGACTCTGTTGAGTTCCTGGGGTTTATCATCTCCCAGCAAGGCATTTCCATGGACCCAAAGAAGACGGCTGCCATTACCGAATGGGAACCCCCGACGAATGTCAAAGGCATCCAGCGCTTCCTTGGTTTTGCCAACTTCTACCGGCGATTCATCAAAGGGTACTCTGCGATCGTTGCACCCCTGCCCACGCTCACTCGCAAAGACTTGCCATTCAAATGGACCCACGCTGCACACCTAGCTTTTGAAACCCTCAAGAAAGCCTTCACCTCCGCACCTATCCTGACTCACCCCGACCCTGACAAGCCCTTCATTGTCGAATCCGATGCCTCCGACTTTGCCCTTGGCGCCGTCCTCCTTCAACCCGATGACACAGATCAACTCCACCCTGTGGCCTTTCACTCCCGCAAATTTACTCCTGAGGAAATCAACTATGAGATCTACGACAAGGAACTCCTGGCTATCCAAGACTCATTTGCTCAATGGCGACACCATCCTCATTGGTGCCCGCCACAAGGTCATCGTTTACTGTGACCACAAGAACCTCCAGTACTTCATGACTACCCGTACCCTCAACCGCCGCCAATCCCGCTGGTCAATCTTCTTTGCTGATTTCGACTTTGTCATCACATACCGCCCTGGTACCCAGCAACACCAAGCTGACGCCCTCTCTCGTCGCTCTGAATACGAGCTAAGGGAGGGGGAAGAAGCATTCCGCTCCCAGGAAACCACGATCCTCACCCCTGACCATCTCCGCCTGGCCGCCACTTATCTGACCCCACTGGACTCCTCGCTCCTTGACCAAATCAAAGCTGCCCTGGCATCCGATGTGTTTGCGCAAACCATCCGGCGACAGCTTAGGGCCCCCATTGCCCAGCAATCTCAAGAAGACCAAGAACGGATAAAGCGATTCTCCGAGGAAAATGGGGTTCTGCTGTACGACAACCTTGTCTACGTCCCCACCAACAAGCTCCGTGCTGAGATCTGCCGGGACATGCATGACACGCGTTTGGCAGGACACTACGGCATGTCAAAGACCCTGGAGCTCATCTCACGCAACTACTGGTGGCCTAGCCAGTGGCGTTTTGTCAAGTCCTACATCAGGTCCTGCGACGTATGTGCTCAAGCCAAGACCAGCAGACACAAGCCCTACGGTCTCCTCCAACCCCTGCAGGTCCCTGACCGCCCCTGGGGGTCAATTTCCATTGGACTCAAGACAGATCTACCCGCCAGTGATGGGGTTGATTCTGTGCTCGTTGTCATCTGCCGGTTCACCAAGATGGCGCACTTTGTACCGTGCAGGAAAACTGCCACCGCTGAGTCAACTGCAGATCTGATCTGGCACCATGTCATCCGGCTCCATGGACTCCCCGACGATATTGTATCTGACCGTGGCCCACAGTTCAACTCCCACTTCTGGAAACGTCTCTTCGCTCTCCTGGGAACCAAGGTCAACCTCTCATCGGCGTTCCATCCCCAGAGCGATGGACAAACCGAGCGGACCAATCAGATTCTTGAGCAATACCTTCGCTGCTTTTGCAACTATCAACAAGATAACTGGAAGGAACTCTTGTCTTCTGCTGAGTTCTCTTACAATAACACCATCCACTCCGCCACCCAGACAACCCCCTTCTACGCCAACTATGGGTTCCATCCTCGATTCAGTCTGGCTTCCGCCACCACAACCGAATCCCTTAATCCTGCAGCCGAAGCTCGTGCCAACCATCTCAAGGAAATCCATGAACAGCTTGCCACTGAGCTCAAGGAGGCCCAAGGACGCATGAAGCGCTTTGCCGATGCTAAGAGGGCACCTGGCCCAGACATGAAACCCGGGGACAGTGTCTGGCTCTTACAGCGGAATCTCAAGACTCTCCGACCTTCCCAGAAACTTGATCACCGTAAGATTGGCCCCTTCACAATCACGGAGAAGATCAACTCGGTCACATATCGCCTCAAGCTTCCCCCATCCTACAAAATTCACAACGTCTTCCATGTCTCCCTTCTTGAACCACGTTTCACCATTCCGGAGCGAACTGAGCCAGAACCCACCCCACCAGAAGAAGTCGAAGGACAGGAGGAATGGATTGTGGAAGACATTCTTGACTCCCGTATTCGACGCACGCACCTTCAGTACCTCATCAAGTGGCAGGGTTGGCCAAGCTCGGAGAACACATGGGAGCCAGTGGAACACCTTGCCGATGTCAAGAGCTTGTTGCCCAGTTCCACCAAAAGTACCCCGACAAACCCCGACCAAAGCCTGCCAACATCAAAACAACATCCGGACGCCGTGGCTAAAGGAGGGGGTGATGTTATGGACGACGCGTCCATACCATGCGCTTACCTCATGACAGCATCCCAACAGTCAGTCAATGTCAATTCCCTGTCAAAACCTGACATCTGCCAAACCTCGCAGCCGCACGCAGCCGCGCTACCCCACACCTGCCACTGCCTTCATTTCTCCACGCAGCCGCACGTAGCCACACCTCCCAACACTCGGCGCTTACAAACCCTTCTCCATACTTCCCCACGTACCCGCCCACAGCCTCAGCGTAGCCACCCCATCCCCAGTCTTCTGTTTCCATACTTCCCCACGTACCCGCCCACGGCCTCAGCGTAGCCACCCCATCCCCAGTCTTCTGTTTCTATGCTTCCCCACCCTTGGCGCTTCTCTTGGCTTCCCTCTCATTCCGTACCCTTCTGCTTCCCCACGCTTCCCCAGCCTTCCCAGAAAAACATAAATAGCCGCCTCCCCTGAGCTCCCCACTTCCTGATCCCCCAGCAGATCAACACCAGTTCTTCCTAGTCTTGTTCTAGTTCTTGTTTCGATCTGAATACCATTACCTGTCAACAATCTGCACCACAAGTCGCCTCTATTTCCATCGGCTCCGCCCATTCATAACATCACCCATACCAACGCACTCCTAAAGGACTTCCACAGCGCGTACCCCAACAAGCCTTCCTCTGTCCCCGGTGCCCCTCCTCCGCAACTACACCAAACTCGACGCCGCCGCCGCCGCCGCTAAAGAGAGGGGTGATGTTATGGACAACGCGCCCATACCATAAGCTTACCTACTGACAGCCGCCAATGTCAAACGCCAATGTCAATGTCAATGTCAGTGTCAATGTCAGTGTCAATGTCAATGTCAATGCCACTCCCCCTCTCTCCTCTCATTTCGCCAATCCTCCCGCAATCTCGCCACTCCTCCTCTCTCCTCTCATTTCGCCAATCCCCCCTCGGCTTCTCCACACCCCCACTACTTCTCCATAGCCAGCAGCTGTAGCAATGCTCTCTACGCTCGCCACGCACGCTCTAGGAGCATAGCTGGCGACCCCCCAGTCCCCTCTTGTTGTTGTTGTTCTCTGGCCTGCTGGGTTACCTATCTATAAATAGCCGGCCTCTCTTCGTCCATTCCCTTCCTCCCCAGCAGATCAACACCAGTTCTTCTCATCTCCTGTTCTAGTCCTTGTTTCTTGTTTTGCCAATACAATTTCTTGTCGCCTATCACTCTCGCCTTGTCTTCTCTACTTCGCTTTCGCCTCAGTCGTCGAGATCATAACATCCTGTGCAAATATGAAAAGGTCAAAAGCATGCGTATCAGAACACTGTGGTGAACTCCTGGAGCTGTACGACAACCTTGTCCACCGCAATCAGGTACGCAATGCCGGCAATGCTTTACTGCTTACCTTCATCACTAAAAGCCATGTTTCTCAGCTGCCTGTGATTCAAATTGAGTGTTGTTTACTGGGAACCTCGAGCCTAGGAGGTCCTGAGCCCGAATATCGCCGGCGGAGGTTCTGTACGTGTATGTCTGCCGAAGCGATGGCAATGATGTTGGGATGGTGGGGTACGGAAGAGAGGGCAAAAACAGCGTCCGCGCCCGTCGCGACAAGCTCAAGAATGGGTGGCGCAGCAACGGTGGGCCTGAGAGGGTTGAGGTTAGGGTTAGCTGTGTGTCAACAACCTCGCGCCAGTGTTGTGGTAGTGTAAACGGTGAGGGGTTGCAGTTGTTACCTGGTGGTGGTCGGCGTACTGTGATGGACTCCGTTCGGGGGTTGCTTGTAGTAAGCTTCTCTATTTTTCTTCTCGAGTGAATAAATAACAGACAACCCTAGCTTCCCGTTCCTTTATCTCTTTTAAGCTATCGAGTGCTATGACTGAAAGCTACAGCGGGGGGGAGGGATGTTTCAATGAAGAAGAAGAACTAGCTATCGGGAGTGCAGCGTGCAATTTAGGACCTAATGTCCTCTAGAGTCTATGGACGAGGGAGAGGTTGCTTAGTATCCCACCTCACTACCCGCCGCACTAAGCACCCCCTCTCGAACCCCGCATTCGCCCCTCTACTCGCTATAGTTATGGGTTTACGGGTTTCCCTGGACATTGGGTCCTAAATTGCACGCTGCGCTCCCGATAGCTAGTTCTTCTTCTTCATTGAAACATCCCTCCCTCCCACCGTAGCTTTCAGTCATAGCACTTGATAGCTCAAAAGAGATAAAGGAACGGGAAGCTAGGGTTATCTGTTATTTATTCACTTGAGAAGAAAAATAGAGAAGCTTACTAAGCAACCTCCTCCTCGTCCATAGAGTCTAGAGGACTATGTTCCTCTCCAGAGCACAAAATTGATTATGCTCAACACCGATACAAGCGTTCGGAGGGAGGCGATAATTCACCGTTACTATCGCCAATTCGCCCTCGCCGGTCGCCCAACTTGCGCTTTTTGTCAGTCGTTTGCGTTTGATGAATAACCCAACTTGCGCTTTTGTCAACTACGTGCCCTTCGTGCTTCTTTCCTGTCGCAACATTACCGGTAAAAGCATACGAACCCAGCGAACGACGCAACACCCATACCCTCTCCTTCCTCAGCACATCCCTCAACCGTCCGTGGACGACAGCTGCAGCCTGTCTCAATTCCAACGGCACATAACACGCGCTTTTGTTCCGCAGGACCCCTTTTCGCAAACTCATCGAAGCTTTGAAGGCCACCGATTCTCCCACGCCCCAAAACAACCGATCCATATGGACAGAGAACCCTCTATCCCCCTCCCTCCGTTTCTCCAATCCCACCTCGACAAGGCTCGCAACTCCCGAGAGGCGCTGAAAGTCGAGCCTCGCTCGTCACGGGACTTGACTGCGTGCCCCAGTACCGCGGGCGGACGACAACCTGTGGCAATGCCACACGAACAACCTTCCCACGCGAAACGAAAGCCGGACGGAGCATTGCTTGACGAGTCGGGGACGGAAGGTGATGAACGCCCGGCAGCAGTGCCGAATCGCGCCAATCACCGTTCCCGCCCGCCACTGACACTGGGGAACCAATTACTCTCAGTAAGTGACGGCTCGAGTGTCGAAGATGAAGACGACGAAGAAGACGCTATCTTTATGAGTTCCGAAGACGAAACCAGCACCCGGAATGGGGCTTTCTCGGAAGTCGCTGTCAACCAACTGGTGGCGAATGCGGGTGCAGCTGGCGAAACTGTAGTACCCGAAACACCGCCTTCCTACATCTCACGACGGCGACGAAGCTCGGCTGCGTCTGACTCGTCGCCTTCCGCTCGGCGTAGGTCAACTGACTTTTTGGCTCTGCTTGAATCGCCCCGCGTGAGTGCCAGACAAGCGAAACGGCCGCGTTTGGTTCGTGACGATACCCGACAGGAAGAACCCACGAGCAGTATGGAAGGCGTGACGCACGCGGAAGCATATCAGGCTACACCCTCTACGCAAATGGAGCGGATGGATCTAGGTGATGGAGAGATTACTGAGCTGCCTGTGAATGTCGACTTAGAAGTCAGTGAACCCGTTACACCACATGGACAGTCTTCTGTCATTGTGCTCGAGTCGCCGATACCCGGAGCAGAAGACGACGCCGAGGAGGATGATATACCAGTTATTGATCTGACTACCAACGACTCTCCTTTCCCTGCTGCTGCTACTGGCGGACGGACAAATTTCGGTCGCGCCGGGCGGATAGACCAAATGCGAACACCACTTGCCCCGAGAGGCGCGTCCTCCTCCGGCGTCATAGATCTCAGCGAGACGCCAGTACACGGAGCAGGCACCATTGGCGGATCCAGCAACCCATACGTCCATATCCTGAACACACCCAACACGCCTGAAGCACCAGCGCATCTCACTCGCTCAGTTCGCTTGAGACTGAACAACACGTCTCAACCTCCGCTAGCTGGAGCAGTAGTGGGGTCGGCAGCAGCTGGAGGTAGTGCATCAACAGCAGTAGATTTAACTGAACATGATGACGACGAGGTTCAAGTTTTGCATCATGTATCTGGCCGAGTCCAGCCGCCGCCTGCGATGCGACGTAGACGGACATCGAGTGCGGACGCTATGGATCGGCAGACAATACCTGATAACTGGATGGGTAAGTTGACTTGTAGGGAGGGCATCCCATCCGTTATTTAGATTGATGTTGACCATCGTTTTCTCTAAAGGTCACTTCCAACGCATGATAGGCAGGGACCAACGACCACAAACTCAATTCGGATTTGGATCAGTGGTCGGACTGCCTTCGCCCAACTTTGTCCCGCATAGCATCACCGCTGCAGCCAATAACCGCCGCAACTACAGACAACCACTTGCCCTCGGCGGTGTCATCCCCGTCTCCTCCTCCTCCTCCTCCAGCTCCTCCACAAATACCCCGGAATTCTTTACCAACGCCCTCCCCCAATCACACAACCCCCTCGCCTCCTCCTCCACCTCCACCAAGCCGCCCCCCGGCCAAGACAACGGCCTCAAATGCGCCATCTGCCTCGACAGTCTCACCGACGACCCGAACACGAAACTCAGCGCGACCATCTGCGGGCACGTGTTCTGCGAGGACTGTATCAAGGATGCGGTGCGGGTGCATAAGAAGTGCCCGATTTGTAGGAAGGATTTGAAGGGGGGGAAGAAGGTTTTTAGGCTTTATGTTTCGTGAGTAGAAGGAGGAAAGGAGAGGGAGATGGAGAGGGGGGAAATATGGCGCGCGCAATGTGGAGCTGTGAGATACCTTTGCCTTACCTGCCTGTGCTTATACGTAGTGAGACTGTGTACATATATACCACAACACACACCCAGACCCATCTCGATGTTGGGGAGTTGTTTTTTGGAAGGAGAATATACAGGAGTAAAAATGTGAGCGTTTGTGTTTTCTCTTGGGATTATGTCATGGTGAACAAGGCCCTTGTGGATGCCCATCGCTCGTCGGTGATGCGCTTCATGATGTATGTACAGGGCATCAACCATCAACGCTCGCTGCTGAGTATCTGCCGAAAGAGTGCGTTCCGCTGGGAGACATCAGGCAAAATGCCATCCTAGTGGCTAAGCATGCCTATCCGGGGGCATGCGTCCGTCCTTCCAAGGTTATCCGCTACCCAGTCAATTTTCCTCAGGACGGGAGTGAGCGTGACTGCACGTGATTCTGACTTGGTTCAACTGGCCGCCTTCTTTTTTCCATCCAGACCGCCGATGTTCCCACCCCCAAGATCACCCACCACTCTCTCGAACCTTCCAATCATCATCGCCTTAACAAACCCCCCCCCCCCCCCCCCCCCCCCCCAAGCGTCAACACACATATTCTCGCAAGCTGCCTCCGAATCCCACCAGCTTCGAATATATCCGATTTCCCCACCACATAGTCACAGACCGGCCCAAAAAAGTATGACAACCCGCAGCAAAGCAGCTTCCTCCAAAGCTTCTTCGTCCTCCACAGCACCACCACCACCAACACCACCAGCAGCAGCAGCTTCAGAACCTACCACCACCGTCTCACCCGCAAAGCCAAAAGACACCCAACAAAAGAGTCCAACCACAGAGACTTCTTCAACAACCACATCGACGACGACAGCAGTACCAACGCCAGCACAAGCGAAAGCGACCGCGCCAACGTTTGCTAATAAGGGAGGATTGAGTAATAGTGCGAAGAGGTAGGGAATTGAAAAATGGAAAGACATATGAGGACGAGATTGAGGAGAGGATGGGGAGGATGCCCTGAGGCGAGGGAATCGCGCGGTTGGCGCAAGATCGCTCAAGGAACTTCTCCAGCGAGCAAGAAGGATATCATTTCCTCATCCCCGCATTGATTCACCTCCCTTCATTGTTCAGAATCCAAAAAGAACTCGCCGAAATCTCTCTCGACCCCCCCTGCAACTGCTCCGCGGGCCCCAAAGGCGACAACCTCTACGAATGGGTCTCCACCATCCTCGGGCCCTCCGGTTCCCCCTACGCCGGTGGGGTCTTCTTTCTCGAAATCAGTTTCCCGCAGGATTACCCGTTCAAGCCCCCCAAGATCACGTTTCGGACCAAAATCTATCATTGTAATGTGAATGCCCAGGGGGCGATCTGTTTGGATATCTTGAAGGATAATTGGAGCCCGGCGTTGACTATAAGTAAAGTCCTTTTGAGTGTTTGTTCGTTGCTTACCGATGCCAATCCTCGTAAGTTTCGGGGAAAATCAGATGCTGAAGGACAGGGACTGTGTGGGATGAGGGACCCAAGAACGGCATACTCATGGTCCGCCCTTTTCTCTTTCCTTAGACGACCCACTGGTGGGAAACATTGCCCAACAATTCCTGCACGACCGGGAAGAACACGATAAGACTGCCAGGGAGTGGACGAAGCGGTAAGCTCATATACCTCTGTGTCCGTGCCCTGTATTTTGGGGGGAGGAATCTGATATAGTCTGTTGTTCGTTTAGATATGCTTGTTAGGGAATGATGATGGATACAAGGGCGATCATTGCGTGGGGCTTGGAGAGGGATGAGATTAGAGGATGTGGTTAGGATAGCGTAGGGCGTGGCGAGGGTTGGCTGGGGAATGGGAATGGGAATGGGAATGGGAATGGGGGTGTCGAACGCAACATCCGGCTTTCAGGGCCGCCCATTCTGGAGATATGACGAGAGCAGGTTGGAGGATGGGCCATTGGAAGTGTATATAGATAGCTTGTGTGTGTGTATACAGTATGATAGCAAAAAGTGTGTGAAAGATGCCTGCATCGAATGTCCAAGCCCCATATCGCCCAATGACTATGGGACTCCCATCTTTACGACTGGTCCGCTGAAAGACAGATTTGCAGGGCGCTTCCTCGCACCCAGGCTCCTCGAGGAATAGCGGCAAACTCATCGCGCTGTCCGAGATGTCCGAAAACACGAAATGTTTCTGGCTTACCATAAGCGGTCGGAACGCGTCCAAACACGCGCTTTTATCCTCTTCCGCCTCTCAGTCCCGTTCGCCCGCACATATTTATTGCGACGAAGGGGTCTCGCCCGCTCCTGCCCCCGTCGCTGATCCGCACCCATGCGCGGGTATCCGTTGCTGTCAGCGTCCGCAATGATTTCGCGCCTGCGAGCCAGGCAGAAGCCGCAGAGAGCGATCGCAAACATAGCAACGCGGTTGTACGTAGGAAACACATATGCGGCGTGCTTACGGTAACGCTACCAGAGTTTGAACGCGTCCTCGACCCGTTTCCACTTCTTTTTTTTTCTTCCTTGAACTCCAAAGGCTGGACGTCTCACAGATGAGAGATACGGGGGGGTGGGGGAGGAGACGCGCAGGCCCGATGAAACGAATGAAAGGGTTGGTGCGGAAATGGGAGTTTTACACAGCTCCTGCGGGGTAACAGGGACTTGCCCTCGAAAGCTCCTATTTGTAGGTGGACCTACCTGTTTGGAAGGGGAATATGGACGGCGGGTGCATGTGATGTGGATGGCCGGGTGCCCACGCCACGCCTAGCCTTCCGCGCGGAATTACTGCCTTCCGCACGGAAAAGTTTAGGGTTATCACACTCGGATATACCCTTACGGATATACCGGATGTACCGGATATACCGAATATACGGATATATCCTTGTGAGTGTGTAGTTTGAGGTTAGGGTTGAATAACTCCAACGCCTGAGTCACACTCAGCGTGTTCTTCAGTAGCTATGACACACGCGCGGAGTTTCTAAGAGATGATGGAGCTGGTTTCCTATTCCTGTAAGCAAGTACAGTACAGTACCTTTCTACTAGCACGGAATAGCAGCGAACTACACCATCTGGTCCTTCTATACTTCGATACCACTGCAGTATATACGAATATCACCTTATTGAGCCCTGTAGACGCCAGCCTACGTTACACAAAGCAATTTCGGAAAAGTGTTCTGGATCCTGGCGGTTCACTCCCACACATCCCCACGTCCGTCCAACCTCTCCCACTCCCCTACTCGCCATGCTTCAACACCCTAACCCACTCCCTATAATTGAACTCACTCCCTCCCGTGACAGGGGCGCCCTTATACATGATATCGACCTCCTCATCCGTAAACCTATCCCCCATGCTCATCATATACTCCCTCAACACCTCCGCATCAATCGTCCCCGTCTTCCCCTCATCAAAGCTCTCAAACGCCTGCAATATCTCCAGTTCCGGGTCGGTGCCGCTCATTTTCTCGCCCATGAGGGTGAGGAACATGGTGAAGTTGATGGAGCCGGGGGCTTCGGCGATCATGGCATCGATCATGTTGTCCGTTGAGGAGTCGGTGGGGTACCCGAGGGAGGCGAACATGTCCTTGAGGTCTTCTTTGTCGATGAAGCCGTCGGAGTCGTGGTCGATGAGCGAGAAGGCTTCTTTGAAGGAGGCGATTTGGGATTGGTCGAACATGGCGAAGATGTTGGAGTTTTGGCGGACGGCGCGCTTTTTGCGGGAGGCGCGGGCTGTTGACTGGGTATGAGGAGAAGGAGAGACGGTGAGAACAGTGTAAGGAATCATCCATGCTAGCGCCCCCCAGTTTGACCACGCTCCACTTTGTGCTGTTCCGTCCCGCTCGTTTCCTTCTCTTTTACTTGCCAAATGATGCTCGTAAACCGCCACATACCATCTTGTGCAACTATCCCAACGAAAAACTGGGAAAAACTCGTATGTGAGACGGCACGCACTCTTGGCGTTCGTAGATTCGGGGTATGGGATCTCTCGGCGAACGCTCTGTGTACGAGGATGTGTTCACACAGAAAAGAGGGAGCGTTATGGTGAGGCGAAACTCACGTTTTAGCGTTCGGTGGATGGACGCGTTGACAACCGTGTCGCGCTTCCCTATGTTTTGCGGGCAGCAGTGCATACACACTCCCCTTCTGGAGCTTCTTGGTCTGGAGCTTCTTGGTGTACATACTTCCCCTGCGGGGGATTGAAAGGGGACACAAGGCTGGATCTAATCATATTTACGCCCACTTGAATTGCGCATGCATTTATATTGCCCGCAAAATGGATCAGGATGGCTTGCTGTCAACAATGGGCTATTCATAGCCTCTATGGTCAACCAGGGCCTTAGGACATCTATCTCACAGTACTATTTGTTCGGGATGATGTCGATGTCCCGCATTGGTTCAGGGTAGAGCAGGTCCCTCGACGGTTAGTCCCTCTGCACCAATTTGCCAGACAAGCGATGTCTAACCCCGACTTACAGCCTTGCCGGTATGCACTGCTTTCATTCCTTTGCCTTGCTAGCTCGCTGACCCATCAACCCTTTTCTATTTTTCCCTTTGTCTTGGGCCTAGGTGGCATGTTATTGTAACTGACTGCATTGACGGGAGCTATTTCGCGGCCCTTCACCTCGTACAGGCGACCCTCGCACTCACGATATTCGTGCTCGGCGTCGGCCTGTTGTGCCTCCGCACAAAGCGGGGTCACAAGATCTGGCAAAATGGCTTTACCACGCTAGATTCCTACATCTTCTTAATGACCATCTTCTCATGCGGCCGGGTAGCCCATGGCCTGCTGTTGGGAACGCACACCATGCCGAACGTAACCGCTGCTCAAACACTTCATGACTTCACGCAGTGCCTTGGGCTGGCCGCTATATGGACATACTTACTATCCGTGTGAGATTGCCATACTCGACTCTCCTGCTCCTCCAAAAGAGATTGTGAAGCTGATAAAAGTCTTGCTCTAACGCAGAATACATATGACCCCTGAGCATGCTACAAAGATTTGGCTGCCGAATCAGCGACAATGCAAGATCCTCCGCATCTCTGGCTACGCTTCGCAGATCCTGGTTATGTGCCCTCTATCTCTCGCATGCGGCAAAGCCTACGACGAGGGCCACATAGATAGATATAAGATATTAACGGCCGTCGTCTACTGGGTATTCGGCTTCTGTAGTGTCATTGTGGGCGTTGGCTTTCTGCTGTTCGCACATCAAATGGTAAGTTTTACCTGGTAAGCTGACGCGGAACTGGCGTTCTGATCAGTGCATTTAGGTACGCATTGCATCGGAAACATTGAAGGAATCAAAGGAAACGGGGCTGTTGCGCACAACTCAGCTTCGACGCACACAAGCCGATATGCAAAAAAGCATTACCAAGGTGAGCACAGGGATACCACAGATGCAGATATGTCGCTATGAATCTCAACCTCATTTGAACGCAGATGAAAGCAATCCATTTAACTCTCGGGCCAACTCTCCTATGGTACGCCGTGGTACTTGCCATATTTGGGTTCCTTCAAGACGAGGTACCTACCCCACCTTTCTGGCATTCTCAAAACTGTTTTTCATAAAATTCTGCCCCCCTCGGTAGGTTTTCGCGTTGACCTGGTGGTCCAAGATTCAAGCCATCGGCTCCGAAGTCCTCGGAACTGTCGCGCTTCTCTGTAATTTCGTACGCATCCCGTCCAGCCGTCTATTTCGTTCCAACATTTGCGGACCCATACTAACGCAAACCTTTTCTCGCAGTGCTTCATCGCGTGGGCGGAATCGAAACCTGCCAAGCAGGTCGACGTGACGAGTATGGGAGCGACCTTGGCTTCGGGCACAGGACAGTTGGAGACAGACGACATTCAGATGAATGGAACTGATTCTGAGTGCCCCCACATTGCTAAATGAACCTTGAAAAGAAGAATGATCGACTCTTTTCACGAACCCAAAACAACGGGTGTCGCGGACCCGGTTCATTAGAAGAGCTCTCTTCAGACCTGCGTATTCCAGAGCGCTTCTTTTCGACAGCGCGGTCGTGGCAATCAAACTCTGCAGCGCAGTCGCAAGTGAATGCTGCGCCACGAATGGAAGAAATCCCGCCACAGGTTGAAGGTGTCAGACCGTGTGCCATTCTGTGTGCAAGTCATCCGCCTCCCGAGTGGTCTTCCAATGATGGTGGATACATAAGGGGTTTGCCTGCGGTACATGGTGCTCGGCTCGCTCGAAAGGCTTGGCAGGGCTGGAGTTGAGCTTCGTTCTTCGATAGTCCCATAGTTAGTCCGGGAAAGACCGAAATAGGCTAGAATCGGTTGGCGTCATCGGAATTCGAGTTGGTTGAGGAGAGCATGCATACGAAGATGCCGTACCACACCTCTTGCCTACCATGCCATAATACTCAACTCACAACCCCGCCATTTCCAACCCATCGCCAATTGTTCTGATATGTTTAGAAGAGGTGGGGCAAGATGTATTTGATGTAGAATTGATGAATTTGGAACATGTTTCCAGCACGTCAAGTCAGCAAGCTATGAAAACTATCTACGGAGCGGGATCGGAGTAGCAGAATGGCGATTGCTGACGGGATGAATTGGCGCCGGGCCAGATCATCACCAAGCGACGCATCCGTAAGGAGAGTACGGCGCCTTGCACTTCTCGATGTTCTCGTTGCAGTATTTGTTGGCTTGCTCGATGCCGCGACCCCAGTAGCCTTCGAGACATGGGCCGCTGGTGAGGGTGATGGTCGCTGGTGGGAGATGGGTTAAAATGTTGCTCAGATGTTGAAATCAAGGAGTTCACAGATAGTGGAGGAAGCACTTACCGACTGTCTCGTAAACTTGAGGTCCACCATGGCAGCGGTACGTGCACTTGGCGACAGCAGCCGCAGCGGGAGCGGCGGAGGTGAGGCCGAGGAAAGTGAGGGCGGCAAGGGTGGTCAGTTGGAACTTCATGATGGAGCGAGGATAGCGGTTCTTGGGTTGAAAGTCAAGGGTGCTTTTGCGAAGGAGGAAGTGATCTGTGCGTATTGTTGATGGCGTTGTGTTGTTGATGGGGGGGAAGGGAAGTTGCGCCGCCTTCTTTTATAGCCGGGGACGGACGAGACGATGCATTGCATTGTGCTGGAGTTCTTACCCCAGACCCTTCCGCATGGGCCTCGCTTAGCCGAGGAAGGCATTGGAGGGATCTCCAGGAGAGCCTCCTTCTAGTCGGGGTAATACTTCGCTCTCCGCGCAAACTCCGAATCGCCGAACAACATACCGCATTCGGTCCTTCAAATGTGTCCTGCGGCCCGAAATGGACGCCCATCCGCCTTCAATCTTGAGCTTTGCGCCATCGGCCGGGAAAGATTGTTGTCGCATGGTGGTCGCAACAAAAACGAGATGGCAAGGCTTTACAGCGAAGTGTTGGGCTTTCGGCGTTGGCCTCCTCTGTGTACTTCCAAATCATCCACGCAGTCCGAGTATCCCGGCAGATCTCGTCAAACGCTGTCGGACCGAAAAAGACTACACAACACACAAGTCCTTGAGCCGTCGCCCTAATCCACGCTCGAATCCATGGGTGCGCTGCAAACTCATTCGAAGCTGTTTCACACGCTTGCTGAATACCGATGCCAACGTCGAGCGAGCCTTTGCACCGTAGTCGCGGAGAACTGGCACCTGACGGACGAAAAAACTCCTATCGGCTATCTTGCATAGATTTGTCCCAAATTGTCGCCATCCTGTGTATCCATCAGGAAGTCTCTCTCAATGCCCAGCTACCCCACTGACCCCACTCAGCCGCACAGTCCCCACACCAGTCACCGCAAGCAAAGCACCACGCAAGGCTCAAACGCTCATCGCGCAAGCCACGGAGCGGCGTCAGGTTGTCGCGAAATGTCACCGTTTTCAGGGGGAGCTTCTCCGGAGTCAAAAAGAGTGCAGAGTCCCCTTCACCCTTCACACGCGAAATTGTCCGCCCCTGTGTCCCGGGGTTTTTTTCTTTGTCCTCGGATGGTTTTCCCACAAACGGAGAGTTTTTCGCGGGCTAGAATATTTCCAAATTCCGGGTCGGGCTCCATTCTCCCCCTCGAATTTGTTTTTCTCCACCACATTTGCACTGTCCGGTCGGAGCTTTCTGCTTCCTCCGGGTGGGTTGTTCTTTTGTGATGCGGCGGACTCCGGATGCGCACAAACTTGACAGCCGGACCATGTTCGTGTTTGCGAGGTTCTGAGGTTCCGAAGTTTGGAAGTAACCACGGCACCGAGTCCGCCGCTTTGCCACCGTGGGAGTGGCCGGGACGAAGTTGTCTGTGCCTCGTTGCTTTGGTCCCAAGCTCCGACCCTGTCATTTGTGAAAAGCGCTGTTGAAATCGACTCCTTCTGTCAGCTTTCCGCCGCGTTTTTCGGCCCGTCCGCAGGAATTCATATGTACGCCCCGGCAGGAGGCGTATTTCCGTTTACCGCTCCTACAGGAGATCGGGAGGGGGTCGGTCGGGAGGGAACGCAACGAAGTCATCGCTGTCTGGTGAATACGGAAGCTAAACTCCATAAGTTGTCCCAACCCACGCTCTCTACATTTCGATGGTGTAAATACGCCTCGGGCTGTTTTCACATTCCAAAGGTAATCAGATTATTCGTTGGCAAACATCCATTCAACATGCTGACCGCTGGGAAGTCCGCCATAGAAATGAACCGACATCAAACGTCCAGATTCAGAAAGACGCATCGCAAAAATGCAAACAACCAATAATTTAAATATGTTGGAGAGGGTGCATTACGCCCCCAATCCTTAACACCTAACCCTTCCCCAAAGTTTCCTGAACTCAAAGCTGATCCCGGGGATCCCTCTTAGCCCGTTTCGGCGCCGACTCACTCGACGCGCTGGGCCGGCCACCACCGGTGTTCGGACGAGAGTGCTGTTTCGCGTTGCGTGGGTTATTACCTCCAGGTTGGGTGGTGTTGGTGCGTGGTTGACGAGCTGATGGTTGGTTACGGGGTTTGTTGTTGATGTTGGTGGTGTTGCTGGGTGCAGATGATGGGCCGGTACGAGGTCTGTTGTTGTTGTTGTTGTTGTTGTTGTTGTTGTTGTTGTTGTTGTTGGTATTGGAGGGTGGACCGCTCGGCGCACCGCCACGGGCCCTGTTGTCATTACTCCTCGCAGGCCCCCTTCCCCCACCACTATTACCCATCTCCATTCCTGGCAACTGACTAACAACATTCAACCCCGCGACCCCCTTCATCCCCATCTTGCTCACAGTCGACCTCATCATCGGCGGCGGTGTGTTGCCACAACCCCACGTCCGCGCCCACTCATTGGCAAGCACGACAAGCGCTTCGGGTCGCAACTTGACTTTCCCGAGCATCTGTTTGTAGTATCCCAGAAAGGTCGCATACGCCTGGTGCTTTGTCTGCATGTCGACGATATCCAGTGCCTGTTCGACAGCGGCTATGGCGTGCGGATCAGGGATAATGCGGAGGGGTTCGGTAGGGATGTCTTTGATGAGGTTGAGGAGGGGTGTTTCGAAGGGAGCCAGGATGAGGTATCCCTCGCCTTCGGTGCTGTCACCGCGCCCGGTTCGGCCGAGGCGGTGGATGTATTGTTCGCGGTCGGAGGGCATGCCGACTTGGACGACGGCTTGGACACCCGGGAAGTCCATTCCGCGGGCGGAGACATCGGAGGAGAACAGGATCGCGGTTTTGGCTGTGAAAGAAAAAAACTTGTAGTCAGAGATCTTGCGTATGGGCTTGAAGAATTGAAAAGGCGGTGAGGTGTGCGCTAACTCACCATCTTTGAATTGCGCGGCGGTTTTGGTACGCTGCGCTTGACTTTTCCGACTATGTATCTCAAAGCATTCAGGAAGGCCAGACGTGCGAGTTATAGCCTTGAACAGCTCAAAGAACAGCTGCGTGAGGCGGGCGGTGGGCAAGAACACCACCATTTTCGATGTTTGCTCCCGGTGCAGCGTGAGCAACAGTTGCAGAGTAACGGGAAGTACGGAGCCCATGTCGGGAGCTGAGATGATATGCTGCGATACATGGTCGTGCGTAGCAGTGTCGTCCGGAGAAATCGTGCAGATGTGCTCGTAGTTCGGGTTGAGAGCAAGCCTTGCGATTTCTTTGACTTGCTGGGGGATGGTGGCAGAGAACAACAGCGTCTGGCGAGGGACCTGAGCGCGATTAGGCAAGAACGCTATGATCTTCTCAATCTCGCGACGGAATCCTTGGTCTAGTAACCGATCGGCCTCATCCAGAATCAGAGCCTGCAGTTGGTTACAGTCCGCTTTCATCGTCCCTTCCTCAAAGTGCGCTTTGATCCGTCCCGGTGTGCAGATGACGATCTGAAAAGGTTTGGCCTGCAAGGCGCGGAAATCCTTCTTCATATCGATACCACCAACAAGGGTTTGAATCCCGATCCACTTGTCGTTTTTGGTCAGCATTTCAGCTTCTTTCGCAATCTGCATCGCCAGCTCGCGGGTTGGGGAGATGACGAGGATCCCGACTTTGTTTACCGGGAAGGTTTTCTGTCTGCGCCGCAGGATCTCGATGCTGGGTACCAGGAACGCCAACGTTTTGCCAGTTCCGGTCTTTGCTTGTGCCAGACTACATGTACAACCTAGTTAAGTCACGGGAAGCTACGAACATATGAGAACCTGCGTGCCCTGCAAGCGAGAACATCGCGGAGCAGAATATGACAGCGATAGTATGCGCGCGAATATACGAAGATTATAAGATGTACTGCTCGCTTCGCTCGCGACAAGGACGGTGAGGCTGAGCCTTCTGCGCAACCAGCTCACATTGCGCTTCGCTCGCCGCAGGAGGCCTTGCTAGCGCTCAGCTCTCCTCGAGCAATACGCTCTTCCTGTCTATCCTCACTTCGCTCAGCCTCAGTCCTTCCCGCTCTCGCCGCAATTGCCCAATAACGTCTAGCGCACGTACCAGTCCCTCCCTTCCAAAATGGGCAACATAGTCTGCTCCTGAACCGGCGTCATGTGGGTATGCGGGATAGCGTCCAAGGTCTTCTGGGAAATAAGACCTTGGTGGAGGAGTTTCTCAAACATGGCGGTCGGTGGTCGTTCCTTCTTAGCTGTGGGAGCTTTCGGGGTAGTAGCGTCGGAGTTGGCTAGACGGCGGTTGGGAGATAAGGAGACGACGGCGAATGATAAGGCAGAAGCAGCTTTTCGAGAGAGTAAGAATTGTGTGCAGAGAAGGCTGGGCCTTGCTAACATGCTGGGGGTTCTCACGGTTTTGGGCGCTCTTTTCGGATACAGGAGTACGAGGGCTTGTCGACTATGGGACAGACATCTCAGGGCTCACATACTCACACCTTTGCGCAGTCGCGCCGCCCGTTGCCAGGCAGGTTGCCAGGCTGGGTCTGCCCTTACTGAGCGCTCCGTACTCTGATGGCTTGGCACAATTCCAAAGGACACCCACTGGATCAGCCTCTCTGGACGCTCTCGAGTGGAAAGGTCGCTAACCGTACGTGGTTCTCTGACGCATGGCGGGCTCTCACGGATCATGAAGCGTCGGCGTCTAGCTTCCGCGGACTCGGCTTGCATCTGCATAGGAACCCACACGACCCTTACCTGTTGCAGGGGGAGGGGCTGACGAAGTGGAGACCGATCCAGTCCCTCGTGTGTCTGACGGATCATTTCGACGGGCAGTCCGGTGGTCTCAAGGTCGTCCCGGGCTTTCATAGGCAGATCGACGATTACTTCAAGGGACATGCCGCCGCAGCGGCCGCTGGGGAAGGCGGCGAGTTCTGTAGGCTGAATGGAAACAAGCATGTCGACCTGCAACGACGTTGCCGCCCGGTGGTCGCCCCGGCAGGTTCTGTGGTGTTCTAGGACAACAGGTTGCCTCACGCCACCGCGGCGTATCTTTCTGGAGCCGACACTAGGGAGGTCGTCTACACCGGATTCCTTCCAGCAACGCGAAACAACGCAGCGTATGTCGCTGCGCAACTGGCTGCCATCGATAAGAACATCGCGCCTCCAGCTTACAAGGAGGGTGAAGAGGTAGCTGACCGGGATTGGGATCTGGACATCCTCAGCGCGACGCAGCGAGGACTGCTTGGAATCGGGCGGTGATGGTGGAAGGGTTGGAAGTTCTCTCCGTATGCTTCAAGACAAGGAGCCATTGCTTGTCTTGAGATTCGAATGTTTCTACTCGTGCCAAGGTCTCGTATCATACTCGCCCGCAGTCGCGCCGAGGGCGCTCCGGCGGGATCCTGGAAGAAAGTGCCCGGCTTCACGCACCGCGGGAAGTACCGGGTCGAGTATGATACGAGACCTTTGGCACGGGCAGAATGGTTCTTCAAAATGTAGAAAAACAACGCGTTATCAATAAAAGCTCTAGAAGCGCTCCAGTTTCGTATGTTACAGAGTGTAAGGAGTCAGTTTTATGTCCAATCTGCTTTGTTTCCACCGTTCAACCGCTGTACCAGGGGAACACGGGTCTCTTTCGCTGGGCCGTCGAGACCCTCCTCAACGAGGGCAAGCTGTGGAGGTTCGGACGTGTAAAGATCATGCCTGGATCCTAGATCCAAAGCACCGAAGGATAGATCGGAGACCAAGCTTAGCCGACTGCGACGTGTGGCCAACGACGCAGGTGGATGTACTCCCACCCGTTGCAAGTGACCTTGTCCCCGGCGTGATACTAGGTTTCCGCATAGGTTTCCCCCATCGCTGTTATATATGTTATCATATCTAATATGAGCAGCCTCCGATATCATCATGGATTTTGCTTATTGCGCTTCCAACTTGATATGCCTCTTTGCTCGTTTCTTTGATTCCGTGCCTCCATCGGGCGGAATACTGTACATAGATGAAGCGAAGCCGCAAGGATTAGGAGTGGGCTCGCGGTCCGTCGGAGTATCGTTCCAGAGAGGCGGCGGTTTGTGACGCCCACCCGAAAGCCTCTCGTGTTCCGTCATTGTGATGATGGGGCGCGACTCCCTCGAACTCGCTCTCCCCAAGACGAGATAAAGGCGGACGACCCATTTCACACTCCCTCCCCCATCGAGCCCATCGTAGCTTGCAGCTCATCACCCAGCCAAACACTCTCCCACTACCTACCATCCAACAGCGCCTCTCTCAACCATGTCCAGCGTAACAACACAACCCGCCTGGCAAGCCTTGCAATCCCACTATAACTCAACCGCAAAACAACTCCATCTCCGTGATCTCTTCGCCCAAGACCCCCAGCGCTTCTCCAAATACCATACTACCTTCAACCCAACAACCCTCGCTCCCTCTGTCACCAACACTCCTCTGCTGCTGCTCGATTACTCGAAGAACATTGTCACCGATGAGACGCTGGAGCTGTTGTTCAAGTTGGTGAAAGACAGCAAGGTTGAGGAGTGGAGGGATAAGATGTTTAGGGGGGAGAAGATTAATACGACTGAGGATAGGGCGGTGCTTCATGTTGCGCTCAGGAATAGGTATGACGCGAGCGTAGCGAGCGGTTGCTTGAGGTTCGCGAGCAAAGCAAGCGTGGGTGTTCTACTGCAACGAGCGAAACAAGCTCGCTCCCGCCTACCGCAGCGCAACATCCTCGTCGCGGGCGGAGCGAGCAGGGTATCGTTTCATCCATCATCCACCCACCATCATCCACTCTCATCCATCATCCATCCTCCACCACCAACCGTCAACCATCCTTATTCATCATTCATCATTCATCCGTTTCTTCCCAGGTCCAACAAGCCGATTGAAGTAGACGGCGTGGACGTGATGCCCTCTGTAAACCGGGTCCTCGCCCAAATGGAATCCACCTCCAACCGCATCCGCTCCGGCGAATGGAAAGGCTACACTGGCAAACGCATTACGGACGTGATCAACATCGGGATCGGCGGTTCGGATCTCGGGCCTTACATGGTGACCGAGGCGTTGAAGCCGTACGCGCAAAAGGGGCTCAAGGTGCATTTCGTGTCGAATGTCGATGGAACTCATATTGCGGAGGTGTTGAAGACGTTGGATCCGGAGACGAGTGTGTTTATTGTGGCGAGTAAGACTTTTACGACTATTGAGACGATTACGAACGCCACGACGGCCAAGGAGTGGTTTTTGGAGAGTGCTAAGGAGGTGAGTTCCGATCTAAGGGAGGAAGGGCGAGCAAGGAGAGCCCGGTATTGCGAGTGCAAACGAGCTGCGAGCGAAGCCAAGCGATCTGGTTTCAACCAAGAGCGAGCTCACTGCGCGAGTTCATTCGCTTCTTCTCTCGAAACACCGCGGTCTCACACTCTCTCCCTCCTCCTGTATCCCACTAGAAATCGCACGTGGCAAAGCACTTCATCGCTCTCTCCACCAACGCCTCTGCCGTAACCTCCTTCGGCATCGCCGTTGAAAACATGTTTGAATTCTGGGACTGGGTCGGCGGCCGCTACTCCCTCTGGTCCGCCATCGGCCTCTCCATCGCAATCTACGTCGGCTACGACAACTTTGTGCAGCTGTTGTCAGGCGCCCATGCGATGGACGAGCATTTCAGAACGGCCAAGCTGGAGGAGAATATTCCGGTTATTCTGGCTGCCGTCGGGCTGTGGTATAATAACTTTTGGGGCGCGCAGACGCATGCCGTGTTGCCGTATGAGCAGTATTTGCATCGGTTTCCGGCGTACCTCCAGCAGGTGGGGACCCTATCCCTTTACTCTGTGATCTGAACACCCTTTAACATAACCCCAATCTATCTTAGGGCGACATGGAATCCAACGGCAAATCCACCACCCGCTCCAACACCGCCATCACCGACTACACCACCGGCCCCATCATCTGGGGCGAACCAGGCACCAACGGCCAACACGCCTTTTACCAACTCATCCACCAAGGCACCAAGCTCATCCCCGCCGACTTCCTCGCCGCCATCCACACCCACAACCCTATCTCGAACGGCAAACAGCACCAAATCCTCCTCGCCAACTTCCTCGCGCAGACTGAGGCGCTCGCTCGCGGTAAGAACGAGGCTGAAGTCGTTGCGGAATTGAAGAAGGCGGGTGTGGATGAGAAGAGTCCGCAGTTTGATATATTGAGGATGCATAAGCAGTTTAGGGGAAACCATCCCACGAACAGCATTGTGTATGAGAAGCTGACACCCTTTGTGCTTGGATCGCTGGTGGCGATGTATGAGCATAAGATTTTCGTGCAGGGGATTGTGTGGAATATCAACAGTTTTGATCAGGTGCGTTCGTCATTCTCTTACTCGTTTTACCACCGTCTTGCCGCCGGATCCTGGCTAATATCATTGTGATTATCCAGTGGGGCGTGGAACTCGGCAAACAGCTCGCAAATGTCATCCTCCCCGAACTCACGGGCGCCGCTACATCTTCCTCCTCCGAGGGCAAACACGATGCGAGCACTGCCGGTTTGATTGGGTATATTTTGAAGGCGGGGAAGGGTGGCAAGGCGTGAAGTTCTGTTGACGGATGAGGGGTGGGTGAAGCCACCCTTTCTTGAAGGGTGTTTTGTATGTACAGCATTTGGGAAATGAAGAGATATTCGTTTTTGCGGAGTGACCGCCTTTCGGCTGACCGTCCTGGTTTGATTCACATGGGACTGAGAATATGATGTGTGTCTGGCGGTTGCATGGCCGGATTGTGAAAACCGGGCCCGCAATGACGTTTACGCCCTGATCAGAGACTTTGTGCTCTGGACGAGGAACGTAGTCCTCTCGAGTCTATGGACGAGGAGGAGGTTGGAGAAGCTCCTCTTTGATGATAAAACACTGTTAGGCAGCCGCTTTCTAACGGGGGGAGGGCAGAACAGCGCGTCTCTCAAGTCTCTCCACCACCCACAGTGGATGGGAGCTTCCATTGTGCTGCTGCTGGCCGGACTACTTGCTTCTACGGGCTTGCGACGGCGGAAAGGAGTCAGGGCGGATCTACGGCTTCTTCGAATCAACCAGAACCTGGAAGAAACAGCCTTCGATGGCCCCACCGGCGATGGCCTCTACAAACCACTACGACGACCTCTTCAAACAAGGCACCGCATCCGGCGACCGGCTGATGTTTCTCACTCCGCATCACTTTGCCGTCCTGGTCCTCTACCACACGTACTCCGCGTTCCCTTACGAGAAGGTGACGCGGCGCGCCCGCCATGATATCGTTGCGCTGCTGTTGGACCATGCAGCTGTGTGTGTAGGCTACGCTTGTCTCGAAGTGATCTTCATTGCAAAATCTTCATCGGTATTGATCTTCTATTGTGCCTATATTTGTAGAAGTCGGGAATCGAAGAGAAGAGAACCTTGCAACATCTCCTGGTCCAACTTCCAGATGAATCAACTCCACCAATCCCAATTCCTGGAGAAACCGACGAGGCAGGCGAACCCATATACAGCACCACCACCTCCTGGCGAGACGCGTTCCTTACAAGGCTAGACGACGCACTACAGTCCGTCAACACGATGCTGGAAGTCTTGGATCTGATGAACAGCAGCACCAAGCCGGTGTATCAGGACGAAAAAATCATCCAACACCCAAAGTTCACCGTGTGTTCCCCGTTTGGCACGTACATCAGGAACGCGATGGTGGATAGGTATCGGTTGAAGGACGATTTGTTTTGCGCGTATGCGTTCTTTGATGCGTTGAAGGCGTATCGGGATGAGGGGGTGGCGGATGGTGGTATGATGGACACTGATGGGGTTGGGGGGAGGAAGCCGCCATGTGAGTTGTGCCCGCCATAATGGGGATCTTCTCAATGGTGGGTGGTGGCGAATGAGCAGGATGACTTATTCCTCTCTCCACCCTGCAGTGTTATCCCTCGCAGACGTAGAACAGCAAATCGACGCGCACGTTCGAATGATGGAAGGTAAAAACCCATCCTTTTCCTTGCACCGGTGCCGGCTACCAACCTATCCGGCATTGGTCAATGCCGGTTTCCATGCCGGAACAAAAAAACATATCCTTTTCCATGCCCCGTATCCCTAACCGCCCACCCAACCCCACAGACTCCACCGAGCCCCTAACCCCCGCCGCCCTGCACCAAACCCTCACCTCAATGCAAACGCACATCACAGCCCCAATCGCCAACAAAGCCGACTGGGCTAGTTTTCTCAACTGCATGCGCGCCGGCGAGTTCGAAGGGGCATTGCAGAACTTGTCGCGGTATTTCATGTATTTGATGAAGGAGCAGCCGGGGGAGTACGTTGATGGATTTTGAGGGCAGGAGTGATTGCAGGGGTGGTGGTTGACGTTTTTTGGACAGGGGGACAAAATGGGTGCATCATTTCACGCTGTTCTCGATGGCGTCGGTGTATGCGCGGTTTGGGTATAGGCAGCTTGCATTGGAGGTGAGGTTGCTGTTTGCCGTCCTTCGCCAATGAACTTACTGATCATGCTTCGAAATGACTCTGGTAGACGGTCGATCGCGCGATACCGTTAGCGCAAGACATGCACGATACTGCCTGCCTCAATCTTCTGCAGAAGTATGCTCCCTGCGTCGGAATCGCCATTGAACATGTTCACATGAACCCTAACTGTGCGCCCCGCATTATTCTCCGATCAGCCTGAAACATCGATTACGAAACGGCTCCCTTGCCTCGGGCCCTGCCCAATCGGCGCTCCGCTTCGAGAGCTACTACCCGCTCGACGAGATCCAGGACCCGGAGGAGGCCGCCATGCTGAGTTTCACGCGGCTGAACAACGCGCGGCATTTCTTGGAGACGGTGAGATTCGACCCACATGCTCTCCAAAACCTAGCAACTCCCCCGAAACCCTAATTAACGCTTGCTCATTCCTATCTCCCCCTTTCCCCAGCTCTCCACCCCAACCCTCACCTTCCACCACCTCTCCCTTGCCACCCACCTAGCCACAACCCACTCCCTCCCGCCCTCATCACTCACCATCCTCCACGCCCACATCTGGTCCCACCACGGCTCCCCAACCCTCTCACACCTCTTTGCGTCAATGTACACCCTCCCCTGTTCGCCACCTGATTGTTCCTCCGACGACGGACCCCTGGGGCTGTGTATCCTCGCGACCCATCACGCGCGGCAGGGCGATTACGACGTGGCGTGTGGGCTGCTGAAGCGGGCGAAACAGAGATGGCCGGCGTATGTGAGCGGGCCTGCGGGGGATCGGTGGATCGCTACCACCTTGGATATACTGTTTGCGCGCGCGCTGAGACGGGGGGAGGTGGGGGATGCAAGGCAGTATGCGGGGTTATTTGAGGCGGTTGTGGAACCCACGCGGGAGGCGGAGGCGTTGTTCAGCTGTGAGGTGATGCGGGCGTGGGTGTGTAGGGCCGAAGGGAGGGCGGAGGACGGGGTCGAGGGGTTGTTGGGGTGGTTAGGGCGCGGTGGGGGGGCACGCGGGGGGATGCAGGTTGTCGAGTGTCGGTTGGCGATTGCGGAATTGTTTCTGGTAAGTTTTTTTCTAACCTTGGCCAAACCCACATCTTCTCGCCATCAGGGCATATGAACCCCGCGTTTTTTTTTTGTAGGACGCATCGGCGCCAATGTCGGCACTCCCGCATACCCTCGCGGCCCTCACGCTCTCGACCCAATCCCACCTCCCAGCCCACCGCACCCGCGCGGCCCTGCTGCTCTGCGCCTGTCTCTGCGAGGTGGGGTACTATGCAAAGGCGGAAGGGTTGTTGGAGAAGGTGTTGCCGAGCGTGTGGACCGGCGGGGATGTGGTGGTTGGGGCGGAGGGGTGTGTGCTGTGGGGGGAGTGTAAGCTTGGGAGGGTGCTTGAGGGTGGTGGGGAGGGGGTTAGGGAGGTGGCGAAGGGGTTGGTGGGGAGTATTCAACAGGCATTGGCGGGTACGTTGCACATTTCTCTTTCCACTCCGTCCTTTTTGCATGAGGGTTTTATTTGTGGCGGCTTACGTTTTCCACTCTCTTCATCTTGTTTGTCGGTCCAAAAAATCTTGTTTGTCTATCTCTAGATTATGAGCATCTGCAAGACCTGGACGGCATCGAACGCGCCGCCACCCTGCTCGCATGTCTCTACCGTCTCTCCGGCACGCCGGATCCCGCCCTTACCACCACCACCGCATCACACACCATGAAAACGGCATTCCAACGCGCGCTCGACATCCCCGCCCTCCGCGCCGCCCGAGCACAGAAACACGTTACGCGGGATGTTGTGGAGTGCATTGTTGCGCCTGAGGGGGAGAGGGAAGGGGTCGGGTTGGGTGTTTTGTTTGGGTGTTTGTGAAAGGAGGGAGTCGGGTGGGTGGGGGTTTGATATCCACTTCTTTCTTGGATGCGGGAGGGTTCGGCGTATGGCGGGTTGCATGCAGACGGGGGGATTTGGGGGGCGGTGGTGGTGTAGGATGGCCTGGCCTCGGGTGCAAGAGAAGGGCGTATGATTGCTGTTGCGATGCCGTCCTGCGGCGGCGGGTTTCATCAGAGAACCCGTTGATGATACAGTACATGTTGAGGGTGTTTTTCTTTCGCATCGATTGTGTACATACATATATCTTTTTGTCTGCATTTCTTTCTGGTTCTACTCGTTGAAGGATGTGAGGGATGTGTGTCTCTCTCTCTCTCTTGATGCCATCATCATCCCCTTCCCTGTAACTAACGCCCACCCTCGGCTCGGCCGTGACTATAAGGAATGGGTAACTCGTGCTTGAAGGTGGGTAGCTCACCTCAAGAATAAGACTTTTTCGCAGCCAAAGTGAACCATTTGATTAACAAACCTAAACCTAACCCTAACCCCAACCCCTTTGCCTTCTACGCCAACTGGGATTGATTTCATCGGCGCCGGTTACTTCCAAATGCATGCATATTTACTCTGCTCCCGCTGATGGAAGCCGTCTAATACAATACACATCCCTCCTTCTATTCTGTATCTCTAATCTCAAGCCAACCCAGCCTGCTTCTTAACCTCCTCCGCGAAATCCGTCTCATTCTTCTCGATCCCCTCTCCACACTCCCAGCGGAGGAAATCATGTACCGCCAGCTGATCCTGTGTAGCGAGTCCCAACTCCGTCGCGTTGCGTGCAAGAACCTCCTGCACGGTGCCCCCGCCGAAGAGGAAGGGTTGCGTGAGAAGGGCCGTGGATGTCGTTTCGGTGTCTTCGGGGTCCCTTGCAGAATCGGATGGGCCAGGGGCCGAGACCGGCGCGATAGTGGCGGGGCTGAACCCGACGACGTGCTGAGCTATCTGGGCTGCTAAGCGATGCAGTTTCGTTCTCGTTTCAGTAGACAGTTGTGGATTGTTATTGGCGATTTTGAGCACGGCGACGGCAGCGATACGTCCAAAACCCGGTGGGATCACGCTGTCCCCGCCGGAATGCGCGTACCCGCCCGCGACATACACCTCCTTCGAATCCGTCGCAGATGTGGTGGCAGTGGCATCCTCCTCACCAGGAAACCGCGTAACAACCGCCCTCCGCACCCGGATGTTCTCTCCAAGCTTCCCAATCGCAGCCACAACGGTCTCCCGCACCGTCTCGCCACCAGGTATCGTCTCCGCGCTCCGAGACGAGGGCCACGCCGGCGCAGCATTCACATCCTCCACATCCAACTGCCTCACCACCCCCTTCCCACCCGCAATCTCAGCAAACAAAACCGACGCCCCAACCCCATCCACCAACCCCACAAAATCCCCACTCCTCGCCACAAAATCCGTCTCCGCATTCACCTCCACCATCGCCACCCTCTTCCCGCCATCCACTCCCACAACGTGCACCAACCCCTCTGCAGCGACCCTCCCGTCCAATTTTGCCGCTTTCTTCCGGCCAGAGGCCGCTTGATCCGCTTCGAGCCATGCGAGGGCTGAGGCGTAGTGATCGGAGGAGGTAGAGGGGACGGCGGCGAGGGCTTCGCGGGCTTTGGAGATGCTGCACTGGGTTTCTTTGCGGAGGCGGGCGACGAGTTTTACGGTTGGGGAGGTTGCGAGTGTGGGAGCGGTTGTGGTGAAGAGTTTTGGGTGGGCGGGGCAGTGGCGTGTGGAGCGGGTGAGAGCTCGGTGGAGGGCCGGGCGGAGGAACATGGATGCGGGAGTATACTAGAGAGCGCTAGTTCCTATGCTTGTTAAGTTGAGCGGGATCTCCTTCGGATGGGTCCCCAGGTTGTACAGTACGTCCAACACCGTCAATGCGATATTCCTGCACAGCTGTACTAGATATAGAGCGGGATGCGTTGAGGGGAAGGGAAGGGAAGCGGGGAAGAAGCGAGGCCGCGCTGTTGACCTTTTGAATGCCCGTTCGGGTATCCACGCAACTGAATCTGAGTTTGAATACGTTCGGGTTCCACGCATTCGTTGCTCGCCATGACCACGCCACAGGACGAGGATGGGCAGGACACCGTCCAAACCACATCCTCAACACTCTCAAAATCAACCACACCCGCCGGATTCCCCTCCTTCCCGTCATTCTCCACCTTCAACCCCACCACAATCGCTCTCCCATCCTTCCCATCCTTCAAAACAGCCCAAACAATCCCGCCCCCGCAACCACCCCCTTCAAGATCACCCGCCTTTCCCGTCCCAGACGCACCCCCCCGACGTCCGCGATCACCGTCCCGAAAAGCAGATAGGAAGAGGCGACGGAGCAGTAGTAGGAGTGTAGACTCAGACGATGGTGATCGGTCGGAGACGAACCGTGGTGGGAGAAAGCCGTCGAAGAAGAAGAAGAACCATCGCAAGGAGGGAAAGAAGAGGAGACGCGTAGGTTGCTTTTATCTCCGTCTCCGGATGTGCGTTTTGGGAGAGGAGAGGGGATGAAGGAGAGGGGATAGAATGTTGATCGGTTTTCGTGTGTTTCCAGTCTAGATCAAGGTCGAGATCTAGGGATGCAAAGAAGCGGGAGGAGTTCACGTTCAATAAGTGAGTTTGATTGCGTATTTGTTGGGATTGATGGAACACGACTGAAGGGCTGACATTTGAGACTTTGTAGGAACTCGGCATATCATAATGTCATCGAGACGACCGATTTCGTTCTTGATCGGAAAGGCGATCGCCGAAACTTGGCGTACCAACGTGGAACTAGCTCCACGTTGAGCTACAAGCGTTGGGGAGGTACTTTCAGAGAATGCGACCTGCGGATTGGGCAATCGACTTTTGGGAGTCTAACGAAATGCCCTTTTAGACATGGTTTTGGGTGCTCCGTCGGATTGGAGAATCGACAGATACGCCACGCGCAAGAGCCGTGACGTTGTCGTTTATCGGTACAGACCGATGGATTCAAGCTCTCACGGATTGGGGGTACGAAATGTTGCTGGTCATGACGTAGGTGTGGAGCATACAACGGATTGCCAACTGACCGTCGCATCCATTTGCAGAAAGTGCGATATCAAGATTTCAAACGTGTTCTCAAAGAGCCTGGCATTCCGATGAGGCATGGTCTCAACCGTTTTCGTGCAGTCGGATTAGAAGCTTATGCGCGCATTGGTCTTGCAGGCTGAAATCAAAGGACGATGCGACCCGACAAGAACACGATAGCGGTGACTTCATCTCTATCGCCGCTGACCCAGCTTTAAAGTCCGACATCCCGTCAGATGTGATCTCCGAGGATGCCCACTTTACGGAAGAGACTGCGAAAGCTAATAAACGGCTGCGAGAGAACCCAAAAGACCTTTCCTTATGGCTTGAGCTCATCAAACTGCAAGACACCCTCCTCCTGAACAAAGAGGACAAAGGAAACCTCAGGGTGGCAGTACACGAGAAGAAACAGGCGATCTTCGAGTCCGCGCTCAAGGAACTGCCCAACAACGAGGAACTTTTATGCGGCTACATGGCCAGCTGCCAAGAAACCTACGAGACGACCGCAATCCTCACAAAATGGGACAACGTCCTCCGTGCGAGTTCCAACTCGATCGAATTATGGATGCAGTACATCGATTTCCGACAAACCATCTACGGCGCGTTCAGCGTGTCGTCGTGTATCGAGCTGTACGAGGATTGCATGGACACGATGCGGAAGGATACGAAAGCAGGGGCAGTGAAGCGGGAGGAAATCCTTACGCATTTGTTCACACGGGCTTGTCTGCTGCTGTACCAGTCGGGCTTCCGTGAGCGCGCCGTGGCGTTGTACCAGGCGATCATCGAGTTCAACTGCTTTTGCCCGCCGGCGTTTCGGACCCAGACGTATGAACAGCGTTTGGGCATGTTTGAGTCGTTTTGGGAAAGCGAGGTCCCGCGATTTGGGGAGGATGGCGCGGAGGGATGGGCTGCCAATATCCTCAAAACAGGGAAGCCCGCTGACGCTCCAGCGCCTCCTAGTCCACCGCCTGAAATGGACGACGAGGAAGATGAATATGCGAGGTTCTTGTATGAGGAGACACAGCAGGATTACAGGAATTGGCTACCTCTCCGTGAAGCGGCGGACGATAACGGTATAGATGATCCGTACCGCACCGTCATGTTCGATGATGTGTCCACGCTCATGTTTGATGTCCGACACGAGTCGACGAGGCAGCAACTCATTCATAATTTCTTGCATCTGCTGTCGGTGCCGCTCAACGGTGGCATCTCGTCATCGCATCTGTTCTTTCGCGACCCGTTCCTGCATGGAGAGCTGGCCAGTCATGTGTCCTCGATGGGGTTCTGGCCGCCGTCATTGGATTCGCTCCCGATGATTGCGGATGCAGGACATTCTGCGAATGACAGCGAAGACGAGGCTGATGCAGACCCACGCGCAAAACTCCCCGACATTCCCATCAAAGTCTGGCCGCAGACGCCCAATACCCTCTCCGAAGCCGGGACATGGTTCCGTCTCTGGACGGAGCGAGACGTCCATATCGTCAAATCAGCCGGGCGGGGCAGGCACGGTTTCGTCAATAACATCCTCGCACAGACGCAAAACATGGATCCACCACTGCAACGAGATTTCTTGCCGTTGCAATATACCCTCGAAGCGGCCTTCAATGCCAAACGGGCGGCCAAACTCGCCAAGCAGCAGTTGAAAACTGAGCGGCAGAATCTGGAATTGTGGGACGCTTATGCGCAGATTGATCTTGCGCAGGGGAGGACGAAGGAGGCGAGGAGCGTGTATGAGGTTGCGTTGCAGTCCTATCGCACATTCCCTAAAGACAAGCAGACATCGGCACCCGCGCTGTACCACAACCTCGCGGAACTGGAGTACCACGCTGGAAACATCCCGCGCGCCATCACGGTGCTACTCGCCTTTGCGCTAGACGAGCCTCTTCCGCCAAGCTCACCACAATCTCAAGCCGCGGGAGATTCTTCCAATCACCAACCCACTCCCGTAAAAATCATAAAAGCCCGCAAATCCCTCCTCGAAAAACTCTCCTCCCTCCTCGACCCCACCATGCCCCTCTCCTCCCCCCCTGCCACCCTCTTCCTCCACACCCTCGCCTGCTACGCCCTCACCGAATACCTCTGTCACTCCGTCACCGACGCCCAAGAAGTTCACGAAAGATTCCTGCAATCCCTCACCTCCCCCGACTCCCCGCCGACAGCGCTCGAAGAAGCCGTGTGGGAATCGTACGCGCGGTTGCTGTACATGCACGCGACCTCTGGCCAGCCGTTTAAGCCTGCCGTGTTTAGAGAGGTGCTGGAACGTGCGTTGGAGAGATACCCGGTGAATACCATGATGTGGGCCTTGTATGGGTGGAATGAGGGGAGGATGAAGGTTGAGATGAGGGTTAGGAGGGCGGTTGATCGGGCTTTGAATAGGTTAGTTTTTGCGTGTGTTTTCTGTTGGGGTGGAGGCGCGCCCTATCCATTTTTCGTGCGAAACTAACCCAACTAACGCGCATTATCTGTCCGCTCACAGCAACCCATCTCATATCCTCTGGACATTCGCGATTTGGGCCGAACTGCACCAGCGCCAAACCGCCAACGCCAATATCGTCCGATCGCTTTTCGAGCGCGCGCTTGATAGTCCGAGGTATGCTAGCCCAAGTGGCATACCTCATGTGGAATGTCAATTTAACCAACCCCTCTTCATAACACACAGCGCTCGACATTCCGTCTCGCTGTGGTACCTCTACCTCCACTTTGAAGCGAAGCAGGGCAACACGGCCAAAGCGAAGACGCTGGTTTTTAGAGCTGTAAGGGAGTGTCCGTGGTGTAAAGGTATGTTTTTGTCGTAGTTTTGGGCGTCACAATGGGCACACACAAAATCCCTAATTTGTTATTTTCTGGACAGACATCTACCTCCTCCCGTTTGGACTCCTCCGTGCCGAATTCGACGACGATGAGTTGGCGGAGATGGCGGCGTTGATGGATGAGAAGGAGTTACGGATTCGGGCGAGCGTTGGGTGATTTTACTAGTGCGGATGGGGACGAGCTCATGGGTTCAGCATCTGGAGCTGTGTGTGTAGCGTAGAAGCGTTACAGTTTCCCCCTCACGTAGGTTACACCCAATCCCGTTGGGGTAACGTCTTTTGGTATATCGATTCCCATTCCCTGAATCGACTCGCAAACAAGTCGGACGTCTCCCGGAACAAAACACAAACAGACAACATGTTAGCAGGCAATGTGCGGCAATGGTTATATACGATCGTATTTGAACCCACAAAAGCGGGTTGGTATAAGAGCGACGAAAGTGGGTTCCCACTTCTAATCCCGGGCCTCGGCGGGCGCACAAGCAGCAAAAAGAGATATGCGGGATTCGTCTCGTTGTCATTGGCAGTTGGAATTCAGCGCGAATCCACACCGCCCATTTGTTTTTGCCATCTCTCGTCTGCGCTTCGTCCCATCTCCCAGTGGCACCTCGGACATCATCTAAAATCTGCTACGAGTCCCCCGAAATCCGAATCTAGTGAGTTTTCTAATCATCGTATCCTGCTGGGGATTTCCGCGGGCCGGAGGGTACTGCATACAGGAGAGGAGCGACGGGGTTCAGTCAGTCGGTCCGTCCATGGGTGTGGCAAGAAAGGCCAAAGGAGACGTCTGCGTGAACGAAGAAACCTACTTGGGAAAGTCCGAGGAGCATCCACGGGCGCCTTGTAGCCCATCTCTCGCCTGATAGGGTAGCCGACAAGTAGTAGTACGGGGCCTGGGTGATTCAATGGCGAGGTGATGGGGATGTTAGCGATCGGATTCTATTCTAAGTCTCTTTCTCTCTTTATACACTAGTATTCCAACGCCCTTCTTCCCTCCCGCCAGGTGAATTGATGGTAGCTCCGAGGTATTGCCGCCGAGAGCCAGTTCTTTCGCTTCCCTTCCACCTTCAGGCACGAACAACAATTCGTCACATTGACCTACCTCCGATACCCATGATGTACGAGAAGAAGATGGTAGGGTGGTCGTACAGACGCCGCCTAAGGTTCGAGTACAGGCTGTTGAAGTAAGAGGGTGGGTTAGTGGTTGCGGGTCTTGCAAGACGGGATGACGTTGGGGGGCTCATGCGTCTAGCATCCCACATCCCAAGTGAGGATCGACGGGAAATATCCTCCGGGATGGGGGCGACTTACTTTGTGATGAACATGGTGCCTGTGCTGCCCTGCGTGAGTGAGTGCGTCGGGTGCTGCTAAGGATGCTGGCTGGGAACAAACGGGGATGTCTCTTGCCGGTTGACTTGGAATTGAGACACCAAGCGCGCAATGCAGAATCGCCGCCCTCATGTTGGAGTCGAACCCCTGGGAAGAATCATGGGAAGTTAGCGACTGTTAGCGACACATCAGACCCGCGTGCCAACGTCAACCTCTTCCTCACTTGGAGCTGAAGTCCTTCGACGATGGAAGGTTGACGTAAATCCCGAAGCCTATCCCGAAGCCTATCCCGAAGCTGGCAAGCTCTGCATAATCTTCAAGAAGGGTCGGACATCAGCAGGCGCTGAAGCAAAAAAGTGCAAAGGGAAAACCGCAGCTGCGTGGAACCTTTGAAAGGCAGCTGTTCGAGCTGCAAGCGGGGTAGCCGCACGCTTCCCAGCGGCAGGGTCGTTTGCTCGAGAGACATTCCCCGAGGGAGAAGAATGTGTCGAGGTCATTGCGTGCAGGTGAGAAGCAAGAAATACACGCACCCCTATGAAGGTTGATGGAACGAGAAAGAAAAAGAAGTGGGTGGGCGGGGGTGGTCTTCGAGGTTTGCCAGAGCAGGACGACCAGCCTGCGCAAGATATTGCAACCCACCACTCCAGATTGACAGAAAAGCCATAGAAGCAAACTACATAGACCTCGCCATGATCCCCAAAATTTGCTCTACATGCATATACAGACATGGCACCCACCCTCATATCCCTCCAACAATCACCGCACCTTCCTATGTCTCCCCGCATACGCCTTCCCCCTTTCGCCAGTGATCCCCACAGTCTGTACCGCCCACACCAGCGCCGCACACACCACCGCGCCGGCCAGGAAGGGCACCAGGGACGGCCGCCCGGCGTCTTGGAGGGGTAATGCGCTATTCCTAACCGTCTTTGATGCAGTTGCTGTTGCGATAGCAGTCTCTTTGCGATGATGGACCGCTTTACCTTTGCGGCGGGAGGGAGCGATGTCACTGGAGGCGCGCGGTGTGAGTGTGTAGCCCTTTTTGGTGAGCTCAATGTTTTGGACGCCGCCGAAGAAGTCTGTTACTAGGGCCTGGAAAAAGTGGAGAGCGGACATGAGAAGGGGCTTTCTCCTCCTTGAATATGTTCTGGGACATACCTTCTGGGTGCCACGCGGGTAGAGATCTGTCCTGATGCCGGGCGTGGATGCAATTGCGGATACCGAGTAGGTCTGAAACTGGGACACCAGGGCAAGAGCAAGGGTCAGCCAGCGCGACATAATGATTCTTCCCCAGAGCACATCGCCCCATGCCTACCAGTTCCTGCAAAGTATCCTGCGCCCCATTCTGCAATCTCTCCAATGTCTCCAGATTGTAATATGTAAATCGATCAATAACCGCAACGCCAATCTCCGGGTCCAAATGATGCGAATACGAGTTCTGCCCCGTCAACGCCGATGCCGCTGCGATGATATTGGGCGAGTAGATCTGCTTATACATCGACGCCGCCTGGCAGGTATCGATCATAAAGAAGATCTCATGATACCTGCTCTTCTCATGCATCTGCCCGAACGCGTCAGCGATATCATAGCTGCTGATCTCCTCGGCATCTTGGAATTTCAGGAACTCCTCGCCGCCGTGGCCGGTCATATACACAAGGATGTTGCTGCGGTCGTCGGTGAGCAGCCGTTTGGAGCGCGGGATGGAGGGGTCGTGACGACCCGTTAGGAGGCGGATGAAGTTTTCGACGGTGACTTCGTAGCCACGGTAGTCGACTTCGATGTTTTTGCCGTAGAGGTCGAGGAAGCGTCCGACGTTGTTGTAAACGGTAGCGGGAAAATGGTTGCGTGCATTGCAGGCGACGTCGTCAGAGAGCATCAGGATGATGTTCGAGTCGGGGATGCCGAGGCGTTTGACCGTGTGGTACATCGACAATGTGTTTGCGATATGCCTGGTGGGTGGGATTTCAGCTTTGAGCCCTTGTCCACCAAAACCCAAGGCGATATCACCCATCCCACTCCATTCCCACATACCGATAGTTGAACCAAAACCGCGAGGTGCAGACCAACACTGCCCAATTATTCGTATGCCCACTTGTCGAGAAGAAGCCTTCCACCTCGGCCTCTGCCGGTCCGTTCGACCATAGCGCTGCCGAGACGTTGAATTGCGGGTAGGCTTCTGGTGTTGTTGCGACGGCCGGGGCCGGGAGGTGGAGCAGTGAGAGGGCGGTGAGGAGGAAGCTGCCGTAGGCGAGGAGGGTGGTGCTCTTAGTGCGCTTGATGTTGTTGAGCCGGGGCGGCATGGCGGTCGTTGTCTGGGTCGTTGTGTTGCGCATCAAAAGCGTGGAAATGTTATCCCTTCCAACTCCAACTCTCGACCCTGCTCTCGACCCTCCCTTCCCAACACACCGTGCAATTGCATAGCACGTACGCACCATATAGATATACATATACAGTCAAAAGACGGTCTCCCACTGACTTAGAAGCTTCAAGAGGGTAGGAATAGCATTCAAGAAAACTTTAAGGCTGCTTGTTTTGGTATCGATTGAACTGACCGAATTCATTCACTCCTGGCATGCATTTGCGATAACAGGGCACGATCTATCAACCACAGCAACGTCGCTAGAAAGTGGAATAGAGCCGGCGGGTCATAATGGAGGGCGCATTACAAACTTATATCAGCGTGCCTGTGGGATCTCCAGAAAGCGACAACGCGGCAGAAGTGGTGGTGCAGGGAGTCAATGCGGGCGAAGTTGCACTATTGACTTTAGTGGAGCAGCTGGGGCCTCAGTTGACGAATACGGACCCATTTGTCCGCGCCAAAGGTGGGGAGGCATATGCATCATAGTTCTGCATCAGCGGGATAAGGGCAGGGATCACTGAGAGTTCCATTTTTGATCTGATGTGTAGCTGTTGGACTGTTGTCATCGATTCTGACGACCTGCCCCAGCGAGCGGATTGGATCCACAGCAGGTAGGAGAGATTCTGCCGTGCACGCTCGTGTCCGGATCAGTGACAACTAACATGCAGTTCCGACCATACAGCTAGTGTGCTGTTGACGTTCTATCTGGAGCGCCTGCAAGATCAGCCCAGCGTAGCGCAGGTCTTGAAAGGGATACAAGCCTTACTGAAGGCGGAATTGGTGAAATCCGAAGATGCGGGGAAGATACCGACAGGGTAGGTGGTATCGTTAAGAATCCGGCAACACACGAGGGCGAGAGATCATCTGACGCTCGGCATCCGTTTCCAGCATCTTCACTGAGCTAGCCGTCCAGACCTTTCAACAAACAGTGCGGCACTCTGTCTTTGAAATTTTCGACCTGCTATTACGAAACCATCTGCAAGTGGTCCAGCAAATGGGCTCTGACTTCGTCGCCGGCTACATCCAAGCCATGGACGGGGAAAAGGACCCTCGCAACCTCCTGCTAGCGTTCCGTATTGTTCGAACAATGGTTGAGACGCTGGACTATGCAAAGTTCACAGAAGACCTCTTCAGCGTTGTGTTCTGTTACTTCCCCATCACCTTCCGTCCGCCACCAGACGATGTGTACGGCATCACCGCCGACGATCTGAAACTCGCGCTCCGGAATTGTATATCTGCGACCCCGTTGTTCGCCCAGTATGCGATGCCGTTGTTGCTTGAGAAGCTGGCGAGCGCGTCCGGCAGTGCGAAACGGGATGCTATGGAGACGTTGACCGCGTGTGCGCCGGTGTACGGGCCAGATGCTTTCATCCCGCAGGCGGAGCATCTGTGGAACTACTTGAAAGAAGAGATCTTCAGGACGGCGGATGATCACAACATTGCGGCAGCCCTCGCCCTTGTCAACGCCATTACCGTCGCGCTCTCCAGCGCTACGGTCTCATCGACCAGTGCAAAGTCTCCTCTGGAGGCCTTCTTGGAGCTGGCTGTGAAAGACTCGATACATAATTTTAGGGATCCGGAACTGAAATACGGCAAACTGAGCGGGAAGATGCTCGTTGCTGCTGCCTCTGCTTCAGGTGCGTGTCAAGCAGCGATGCATCAGGATGCCTTGTTTTCACGCACTCTATGTGTTTCTCATCTTCTTCAACAACCCATCTAGATCCCGCATGCCATTACGTCTTGAACGCCCTTGTGAACCCACTCCTAGAGCAGTGCTCTATGCAAAACCTCCCAACCCGTCAGAAAAGCCTTCTCGAAGTCCTAACCGAGTTCATCAAAGCCGGCCAGATCGTCTACGGCGTCACCAACGCAGACACCATGGACATGGACGACGTCACCAGCAACCCCATCCTCACCTTCAAAGACCGCCTATTCCAAGTCTACATCGCAGCAAGCGCCTCCGAGAGCGAGTACATGCTTTTACGCCGGGAAGGTTTCCGCGGGCTCGCGGCGCTGATGATGTCCCGCCAAGTCCTCGCGGATATCGAGATCAACGTCGCGGTGGAACAACTCAACCAGGCCGTCGTGCGCGGCAAGGACCAGGAGATCCGGCAAGAAGCACTTACCGCACTCGTGACGTACGGGACAGTGAAACCGGGGGTGATACTTCAAAAAACTTTCCCGGCCCTATTCCGTGAACTCCCCGTCGGCAACATCCCCACCGAATCCAATCACGTCCCCAACGTCCTCCTCGCCATTCTCGCCCTGTCTTCCATCCCCGACCTGCAAATGGCCAGCACCCAACGTCTCCTCGAGCGGCTCGACAGTGTCGGGAACCTGCAAAATCACCAGGAACCCGCACTGCAGTACGCGGAATCATTGTCGAAAACGATCCGCTCGATTATTGAAGATGCGGCGAAAACTTCGCCTGTGGATCCGACTGTTGACCTGGATATGGCGGAGAGTATCATCAAGCCGTTCTTGGCGAGGGTTGTTACGGCGTCGTATCATAGCGAGGTGTTGTTGAATCATCCGCGGATTTTGGTGAAGTGGGCGAGGATTTTTGGGGCGGTTATGCGGGGGATGGATGTTGGATCGCAACAAGCCGTCCTGAACACCGCCATCGAGCTCTTTGTCAAGGGCGGCACTTCGACCGTCACCGCTATGGCGCAAACTCAGGGACCCTTTGCACCTCTTCAGCCTGATGCGCCAGAGAGACAGACACGGCTCGCTATCCTGTTCAGCGCGTTGCTTTGTAATTGCAGGCCAGCGACCGCGATCCCCGTCCCCGATCTTGGACAATTCCTGGCCGACCTGCTGGAACGCGCCTTGCGCAGTTCGGACACACAGTTTGCGGAAGCGTTGGCTAAAGCTGCTGCTTCGATTTTGAACAAAATCGGCAATGGTATGACGTGAGTCGATATACGGGACTTGGGTGCAGAAGGGACAGGACTCCGGGATCTGGGTGTTGACGTTGAGCTTCTTTCTCGTTACGCAGACGCACAAATAGCGACATTCGCGTCGGGTCCGATCATGGCGCAGCTCGAGTCTGCCCTCTGCGACGAAACCGCGCCCATCGAGCGTAGACGGGTCTACATTTTGGTTTACTCCTGGATTGTCCGCGCATTAATCATCAGGGCACACACCCTCGGCTTCGAAAAGTCACTGCAAGTCCTGCGACTTCTCGAGACGCCCGCAGGGCTGGATGCGGCAAAGGGGTTAGGGATTATTGTGCAGGATGCGGAGGATGGGACGTTGACGAAGAAGGGGTTTGCTGTTGTTAAGGTGAGATTTGGGGATGTTGGGCGTTTGGTATGGATTCTGTGAGTGGTTTTCTCATGCGGATTGAACTACTGCGCGCGGCAATAGCTGTTGTATAAGCAACGGTTCTTTGGACATTGTGTGCCGTTGCTGGTGCAGGGGTTCCAGCAAGGGGATGCGGGTGAGTTTTTCGGTGGTTCCTTTTCGCCGGCCTGTGTGCCGCATCTCTACATCACTCACGCCATATCCTCCCCCGCACCCAGCAACAAAATCAACCTGCCTCGTGGCCCTCTCGCACCTGCTCAAGAACGTCCCCAAACAAATCGTCTCCAACTCCCTCCCACAGCTCTTCCCGCTCCTCCTCTTTTCCCTCTCGCAGCCCAACGCGGATCTGAAGCTCGCTACCCTCGACACGTTGCAGTCGCTGATTGGGGACGATGGAGGCGTCGTGGCGCCGCAGATCTCGTCGATTGTGGCGGCGTTGCTGAAGATTGGTACTGCCGCGGGGGTGGAGGAGGGGGATACTATGGTATGTTGTGTGTGTTTCCCAAGAGCGATCCTTTGATTTTCATGTAAATTCGAACGCAGGCCGTCCGCGTCACCGCCCTCAAGATCCTCGGCGAGCTGCCCAAGAAGTTCGACTATGCGCTGCTGTTCCCGCACAAGCCCGAGGTGCTTCGGCGGCTGAACGTGGCGCTAGACGATCCTAAACGCGTTGTGCGTAGGGAGGCGGCAAGTACGCGTAATCGCTGGTTTCTGTTGTTGGGGAGGTAGTCTCGTCAGTAGGGAGATAATGGTGAGGAGAGTTAGATATAGACGCATGAGCATTCTTCCTTTTCTTTTAATCATCAGTAAAGGAAGTTCGTTCATTTTCGGGCGGCGTAACGGGGTAGCGCTTGATGTACTGTACATAGATTAGTGCGCATGCTGTAAGCCATATCAGCTAAACTCAAGCATGCATTGCAGTATCTCGCCATGGGCCGAATGAAGCATGATCCTGAAGGCATCGGAGTTCAAGAAGTGGGTATGGGGGGGAAACTCTCCGGGGGTTAACCTTTTGGTTGCAAGCGCAAAATGACAGCGAGGGAACGAACTGACAGGACGCGCATGACTTCACGTTCCTTCAGAGTTCCCACCTTGTGCGCCTCGTTCCGCTCGCTGGGAACTCACAAACTGTCGCCGTCTGACTTCATATACACCAAAGACAGCCGGCTGCCTCACGGTCCTTCATCACTCGCTGTTGCACAGCACAGGTATCGACGACCAATACCGGACGCACTTCCCTCCTGGAGTTTTTGGTCAGAGAGAGTTTCGCTCACAGCAAGTATGTCACCACGACCACCTCCCACGCCGAACGCGGGCAGAGGCACACCCAACACGCAACAACAGCAGCATCATATGGCCGCGATGAGCCGAGCTGGGAGCGCAAATGGCCAGCAGCAGCAGTACATTGGTGCGGGTGGAACGTCGCTACCACCGGGAGCATATGCAGTCAACGCCTCGCCAGCTGTTCAGCCCGGTATGACCGCCGGAACACCTCAAATGCAGACCTCGCAAATATTCCCGCAAGCCATTCCTCTGCAGCAGCAAGAGCAGTTCCTTCGGATGGCGATGTCAAACCCGCAGCATATGCAGCAGATTGCCCAGCAGTATCCGCAGTTTCAGCCACTACTTAGAGCTCACTTGGCCCAGCAGGCCGCGCAGAGGGCGCAGGCCGCTGCCAACGCCGCGCAGGGAGCACAACAGCAGCAACAGCAGCCGCCGACGCCACGGCAGCAGACTCAAGGGCAGCAGTTGACCCCCATGCAGCAGCAGCAGATGCAGCAGGCGGCCTTGATACAGCAGCATCAACAACAACAGCAGCAACAGCAGCAGCCTCAGCAGATCACACCTCAGCAGTTGATGGCCCACCTCAACCCACAGCAGCAGCAATTCTTTCAACAATTGGGTCCGGTACAGCAGCAACAATTTCTGCAGCATCAGGCGATGGCGTTATTCAACAAGCAGCAGGGACCGAGACCCGCTGTTCAATACCAGCAGCCTCAGCAACATCTGCTGCAGCAGCAGCAGGCAGCCGCAGCCGGGGCTGGGGGAACCCGGCCGATGCAGATGTCAACACCACAGCAACAACTTCAACAGCAGCACTTGCAACAACAGCAACAGCAGCGTCTGCAGCAGCAACATCAGCAGCAGCAAGCCCAGACGCTCGCACAACAGCAGGCCCAGACAGTCGCTCAGCAGCAACCTCAATCCCTCGCTCAACAACAACAACAGGCTCAAACCCTCGCGCAACAGCAGGCCCAAACGCTCGCTCAATTGCACCAACTACCTGCAGCCAGCAATGGAGCGCAACAGAATACGGCAAACAAAACGACCCAACAACAGATGCCGCGCCAGCTTCCCCCTTCGAGTGCCGGAATGTCAATGACCTCTCCGGCAGCGCACACCCAGCAGCATAATCCGAACATGCAGGCCGCGGTGGGTACCAGCGCACCGGGGGCTCCCGCTGCGGCTGCTGTAGTCCACAACGCGGGAGCTGCGGGTGGAGGAGCTCCTACCATGAATTTGGCGCAGTTTCAGCAGGAGCTGAAAGTCATCCAGTCTCAGATTGCTCAATTGGTAGGGGGATTGAGTGCAGCGGACGCCGCCCAATTCAAGGAACTGACGAGCATGTTTGGGGAACGGTTCAACCTGCAAACCAAAGTGAACGCTCTTCCGCCTGGAGAGGAGCAACTGAAATCGCAACTGGAAAAGGAGGTCAATGCAAAGAATGCTAGTATTCAGGCTTTGAGGGACAGCGCCCCACCGAATGTGGCCCTAGCGTTCAGCAAGTACCTTCGAGGATTCGGTTTGCGGCGTCAAGCTGAGCTTCTTCAACACCGGTTAAGTCAAATTGCTGCGGCACGACAAGCTGGACAGGCAGCGGGGGCGGCTCACCCGCAAGCAGCTCTATTGCAGCAGCAGGCTCTGGCCCGTGGGCTTTCCTTGGCGCAGTTGCAGGCAATGCAGCAGCGCCAACAACAACAGCAGGCTGCAGCCCCGGCTGGAACCGCACAGGCGACGTTGGCTGCGTCACTTGTGCACGCTCAACAGCAGGCTCAGCTGCAACTCCAGCAGCAACAGCAACAAGCTGGACGAGGCGCCCAAACACAACAGACCATGCTACAAAACCAACAGCTGCAGCAACAAGCCGCATCGCATGCCCTTCTCGCTCAACAGACTATCGCAGCTCAAACACGCGAAGCTATGGGAGCCGCCGAGGGGGGCCGGCCGGCCATGATACAGAATCCCGGGGCGCGCCCTCAGCAAATGACAGCCGCAGACATGCACAATCTGCAACTGCGTCAGCGAGCGATTATGGAAGCCAGGGCCCGGGCACAAATGCAAGGACAGGCGGCAGGAGCAGTAGGCGGGGCGGCGTCAGGTCTGACGGCGCAGCAGATACAGCAGATGCGGATGCGCCAAGCTGCACAGGCGGCGATGCAGCAGCAGGGGAACCTATCAGCGGCAATGGGTGTCATTCCGCAGGGCGTGTCGGTTCAGCCCAACACCACACATGCCGCAAGCATGGCGGCTGTTTCTGCAAACCTCATGGGAAACCCGGCGCAGGTGCCCTCTGCCCTTGCGGCACAGCAGGCGGCTATGCAAGCGAGACCAAGAGGCCCCACCGCGTCGCCGGCGGGCACCGTGCGGCCAGACTTCCCCGGAAATGCACGAGCGCGGCCACAATCCGTCCCCGGCGCCGTCCGGCCCATCGCGCAACCACGGCCATCAGCGGTGCAGCCCATGCAACAATCTCAGCAACAGCAACTGGCAGCCGTCAAACAACAACAACAACCAGCCAACGCAGCAGCCATCAAACTACAATCCCAACAACCGCACCAACCCGCTCTCGTAGGCCCCAAACTCGAAAAACTCCCAGACAGCGGTCCGGACCCCAACGACGGCTGGACACCAACCGCAAAAGACGAAGGCCTCTACAACCCCAACAACCCATTCACGCCCGATTTCTTCAAAAACCAGTTCACGCACGGGATCGGGAAGATCCAGCGGTTCGTGCCGCGCAAAGCATCCCCTGCACCCGGAGACACCGCGCCGCATGGGCCTAGCACGGGGGCTGCGGTGGTGGCGGATCCGAATGTGGATTTGGATGCGGAGCCGAGTAAGCCGCCGACGGCTGTGGGGAGCCCGGCGGTGGGGAAGATGGGGTTGGGGAAGAGGAAGCTGAATGAGTTGATGGAGCAGATTGCGCCTAGGCACCGGTTGGAGCCCGAAGCTGAACAGGTGGGTGGTTTTTCTGTGCGAACCTTCCCTTCTCCCGTTGTGTGATCGTGGCCAACAACACATCTTGCTACCCAGTTCTTCCTGCGGCTCGCCGACGATTTCTTGTTGGATGTTGTAGGTCGCGCCTCAAAAGCAGCGAAACATCGCGGCGACTCCTCCGTTGGTGTCAAAGACCTCCAATTCGAACTAGGTACGTTTATTCCGCCCCGCTTTCATTCCAATGCTTTGAAATTCCTCATCTGACACACATCACTTTGCCAAAAGAACGAAACTGGAACCTCCGAATCCCCGGCTACACCGCCGAACCGCGCGCCGCACGCCGCACCACCGTCGCCAACTCGCACCAGTCGAGACTTACGCTCGTGCATAAACAGAGGTTGGCGGATAATGCGCGAGTGAAGGCGGCGAGGGCTGCGAAGGCTGCAGGGGGCGCGGCTGTTGTGTTGTCTTGAGGAGATGTGAGAGGGTTGGAATGGGGATAGGACCTGCGGGGTGGGAAGGGAAGGAGGGAAGAGGGAGAGAGTGCGGCTGGGATATGGTGACTTGACGAGGGAAGGGAGGAAACTAGACGCTGACATTTTTGGACTGAAACACATCAAACTGATACCACGCCGTTTATACCGCGACAGAGGGAGGAGCATGGGGCAGCGAGGGAGGGATCTAAGCGAACGGAACGACTGCATCGTATTTGCAAGTCTGGCGGATCTACTTTTTTTTTTTGGAGCATTTGCCTTATTTCATACTGTGGCCTGGAACGGAATGCAAATGGATTTTTGATTGATTGAAGCATTCTCGGCTGTGAATTGGAAGGCGTGCCGTTGCGGACACGGAGGTCTCATACTGTATATGTCAACCGAACGCATTGAGCAGATACTCGAATCCTTTCGCGAACATCGACATATCCAGCATCCATAGCGGTTGCTAGTGTCGTAGCGTTGGATCGGGAGAGTCTGGAGGCCTCTGGTACTGTGCATATGCCCTGCTAAGCCCGCTCCCCACGCGTGAAACTCACCCTCATAACACGCGCAGGGTCCTCAACCTCAACCTCTCCCCACCTCACCAGCCTTCTCTCGGTCACAACCCACCGGGCAGGTTGCCCATTCCACAGCCATGGCTGCCAATTGGACCTGCAAGACCTGCACCTACATAAACGACAGCATCCCCGCCCTCCCCGCCTGCGAGGTGTGCGGCACACAGCGAGTCAAACCATCTCACACCTCCAAACCATCTCCCACCTCAATCTACACCATCCCCGACGACGACGATCCCGATATCGTAGATCTAACCCCCGCCGCACCCATCTCGCCCCGAGCACGCACGAACGGCAAAGGCAAACAGGTGGTAGAGGTTATTGATCTCGTTGACGCTGACGACGGGGAGGATGCGGATCTGCAGCGGGCTTTGAAGGCGTCTTTGGAGGAGAGTGTTGACGGGTTTGCGGATGCTGTTTGGGAGGGTGAGGGAGGGGGAGGGAGTTCGAGTTCGAGTTCGGTGCCCCAGGGTGGGAAGTCGAGTTGGGCGGGGAACGGGGTTATGGGAGATTTGAAGAGGAAGAGGGATGTGGAGGACGCCGCGGAAGCTGGGCCTGTGAATCGCCCTGTTGTTAATGGCGGCGCGTCGGCCGAAGGGTCGGCGGGCTCTGCACAAGCATCGTTCTCACTGAATGCTATGGTAGATAGGGTAGAGCTAGAGCGTGCGCGGTTGGAGAGGGCTGCGAAGAAAGTCAAGGTCGATAGCTCAGGATCAGTTCGTTCGGCCGTTGGAAATCCGGCTGCGAATGCACCGACTCCCAGCATTGCTAATCAACCGGCATCTACTCAGAGCAGCAGCACGGCGTACTCGATGAGATACCCCCACGGCCACATCGGAATGACGCAGGTGGACGGACCGGCGGATCCTCGATACACCCGCTTCGAGGAACTCGTGGACAGACATCACCTGCAACGCGGGATATTCAGCGCCTTCCAGATCGACGACCAGTGGCTGATGGCGAAAGTCAACCGCACGACCGAGAAATACATTGTCCGGCCCTATGGAATGGAGATCTTGGAACCCCCTCCGATGCAGTACCACCCTGGATACAACATGTATTGGGTATTTCCGCCCCGCAGGAGGAAGTATTGCTGTATGCATGTCAAGCTGCTTGTGTTGTGGTACCCGGGGTTCTTGCGCGTGGCTGTCCCGTCCGCGAATCTGGTGAATCATGATTGGGTGCAACTGGAGAATGTATGTACCGATGTGAGCACTGCTTTCCTCCCGAGCGGTGGCTATCATCAAGGGATAGAAGCTGATCTTGATTTGTCTACACCCTCCGATGCGCAGGTTTTCTGGGCCCAAGACTTCCCCCTATCGCCCACCCCTCGTCCCGAAAACGCAACATCCCAATTCGCCCTCGACCTCACCAATATCCTCACCCTTCTCGAAATCCCATCCACAATCACCGCTCTCCTCGCCCACGCCGACTTCTCCCTCGCAGCCGTCAATCTCGTCTTCTCCAAACCAGGAACCCACGCCGGCGACGACCTGCACAGTTACGGCATGCTCCGACTCGCCCACTGCGTGCGCGAGCTGCATATCCCGCATCTCTCACCGAGTGAAAGCACGCTCACGGCCGCTACATCATCCCTCGGTGACACGACTCTTTCGTGGCTCACGCAGATGCTTCGCGCCGCTTGTGGGAAGGACCCGCATCGGCATACCAGCCATGAGGACGAGGACACGGCACTCACCCACGTCCGCATCCTCTTCCCTACAAAAGAAACCGTACTCAGCTCGACCTACGGTGCACCCGGCGCGGGAACAATCACCTTTCAACGCAGATACTGGGAAAAGCACCATTATCCGCAGCGCTGTTTCCGCGACTCGATCTCGACGCGCCAGGGCGTGCTCTCCCATGCGAAGATGATGGTGTGTTTACCGGCTACGGTTGCAGAGACGGGGTTTAAGTTACCAGGGACGCCACAGTTTGCATCATCAACAACGACACTGCAACCGCCAACGCAAACAGCACCGATCGGCTGGTACTACTGCGGCTCGCACAACACGACCCTCTCGGCGTGGGGCAAGTTGGCCCCGAATCGCAGTGGGACGGCGATTGATATCAATAATTGGGAACTGGGGGTTCTTGTGCCTGTTGATGCTGATGGGGTTGTTGTGGGGGGAGATGGGCATGGTGGTGGGGGCTTGCGTGCGGTGTGGCCGTATGTTATGCCGGCTAGGGAGTATGCAGGGAGGGAGCCGTGGGGGAGTTGAAAGTCATCATTTCGCCGATGCACGGTGCGGTATGCACAGTTTTTTTTTTTTGGGGGGGGGGGGGGGGGGGGTTTCAAGTCTGGCTTTCCGTTTGGGAGGAGACTGCGGAATTGCCATGTAAGGTACGGCGTACGTGGAAGAACAGTCAAACCATAGCCCCCTCCATTTCAACATTTCAGTTCGGGGGCGTACCTACGGGGCATCCTGTTCCACAAGCACGAAAAACATGAAAAACATCCTCGTGCATCTCATCGTTTTTAGGCGTGAGTAGGAAAGCTCAGAATCCCACAACTAGATAGTTCATTCTAGCGATATACTGTAGTTCGGTTAACGATGGAGCACAATCATGCATGCGTACATATCATTCCCCCGTCGCAAACAAGTACGATTCACGACAGAGACTCGCGCTAAACCGCATATTCACAACACAAATTGCGTCTACGCCGATTCTACAGCAATTCTACTGTATGTGTAGTTCCGTTCAAGGGCAGGTCTCATGCTTCCTGGTCCTCGCGTCTCCCCGTTACGCGTTAAGGCCGATTGAATAAGCAGGATAACTCCGCTCATGAGCCCCGCACACCTGCACATAACGCAACTCAGGCCACACTTCGCAAACCCCTGGGCTTGGATAGTAATTGCAATCGTAAGTGTATGTTTCAGCTATGTCTCTGGGTCACTTTACTCACTTTCATTGCCTCTTGGAATATCCAGGCCCCGTGTAAAAAAGATGTCGCTAATTCCGGGCGGCGTCGTCTCCACCGGCTCGGACCAGTTTGGTCCACCACAGAATCAGCGTCCGCCCTTTCCTCGCAACAACGTCCTCCAACTCCCCCAAATCCACAAAGAGCTCGCTTCGCTGCAAAAATCGCTCGACCAAGCACAAGCCAGAATCCAAAAGGAGGACTCAGACCTGCTGAATGCCCAACGCCGGGCTGTGAAGGAGATGGAGGAGACGTTTGTGGAAGAAAGCTTTGCTCTGGAGGGAGTCGAGCTGGAGAAGGCTGAGGAGGAGCAGGAGATCCTTCTGCACGGGGCTAGGTCGGAGTTGAATCGGCATGAGCATCATAATCATCTTGATGGAGGGCCTGCGGGTGGTGCGGGAGATGAGAATTTGGATGCATTGCGGCACAGGCATGAAGCCAGGCTGCCACGGCATGTAGAGGAGAAGGAGAAATGGCAGCAGCACACGTCGGAGATGTATAGAACAACGGGGCATATGCCACATCGGTTTGAGAGGCCAGGTGTGTCCATTGACGCTTCTGGCAATCATTGGTACACGGATCCGTCCCCTGACCACGAAACGTCTTCCCCCATGAAGCATTGTGGCGGTATGAGATTCCAGGACATCATCCACTCTATTCGACAACATCCGGCGACTATGGCAAGTCGCATCCAACGGTTCACGAGATGCCCGTAGGGTTTCACGGCGTATCATCCAAGTTCACCAAGGTAAGAGCCAATGAAAGCCCGCATTCCCACAACCGCAAAAGATTGACTTATGCTTCTCTTGCTTTCTCTTGATATTTTTTAGCACGTCAATCAAGCCGGGCCCTATCGAAATAACTCTCTAAACACAGCATAATGGTACATAGCTATGGCCAAAATTCCAAATCTAGCTGATGGAGGATAAGAGAGATGTAGTTGCAACGAATTGTTTAGTCGCCGGTTGAAGTATACATCGTCGGGCTTGTGTGTTGCCTGAACTTCAGTCACCCGCCGTGCTCAAAATAAGGAAAAGGAAAATGCTAAGGCGCAATATTTGACGGCACACGCGCTGTCAAGTTTGGCTCCTCATCTTTCCGACAGGTTCCTTCATATATATACGAAAACGGTTCTCTGCACTGCCAGGAGCTGACATCGGGCTTAGTATATTCACTTCGCCGCACATGGTGGCGGTTCGAAGTAGTACCCTTCGGATTTAGTTCTCCTCCATCAGCGGCACGTCCAGTTTAGACATGGTAGGTCTATCAAGTAGACGGAGTGTCTAGGAATTTTCATCATCTCGCAGGTAGACATGATATTTTTGCAAGACATCAATACATTAGATGTCCCCTCCTATCATACACTCTAGTATGCACAAATACAGAGAACCATGTGGTATATACAAACGTCCCCAAAAAGAGCTGCCCAAAATGTCATAGTGCCGCTTTGTCTTAGGCATCCGACAGTTGTAGCTGCAAATAGGGGAAAGATTGCACAGACTGATGAGCAATTGAAGAATAGCGAGCTCACATGTCAAACGCAGCAATCAACTACTTACCACCATCGCAACCCCCTTGATAACCCAATCCCTCGCCGGCCGATCAGTCGGCAAAAACATATTAAGCACAAAATTCGTCGAATGCCCCGTCGTACTCAACGTCCCCCTCCGCATACTCGTCTTGTAGATGGGACACTCATACCCCCCTTCTCTCATCGCCTGCAGCTGCGGGTCGTCCTGGTTCATCGGCGTTATGAGGATCACTGGCATTGCGTCGGTGAGTTGTTTCGGATATTGCTCGCCCAAAAGGTTGGTGGACCGGTCCCACCGCGCCCCTTCGATGTAGAGACCGCGGATGTAGACACCGTCTTCGGGGGGCGAGGTGGGGAGCGTGTCGGTGAGGACGGTGAAGCACATGGTGAGAAGGTCGATGGGAATGGAGTATTTGCGGGCGTAGTTTTGGAGTGTGCCTTTGGGTGGGTGTGGGAGTGGGACCGTGAGTGAGGGCGGAATACGGTTGCGAGGCGATGAGCCAGAACACTTACCGGTGAGGAAGGATTGGGTAAAGAAGAAGCCGGATATCCAAAACACTGTGGGTGTGCCTTTGTCAATCCAGTCTTGGAAGAACTTCAGCCGAGCGAGGAAGTCCGTCACATAGCCTCCCTGGAAACGTGATGCCCATCGAACAGTCAGTCCCTGCGAATGCAAACAAAAAAGCGTTGCATAGAGCTTCTTACCAAAGGCTTCAATGAAGGATAACTCTTCCCAGCCCACATCTCCGGAATCTTTCCCAACGTCAAACTCGTTGCCACCTCCTCCAACTCCTTATTCATAACCACCAACCCTTTTACCGCCTTGATCACGCTCTGCAGACTCTCCCTCACAATCTTCAGCAACCGATTGAACCTTACAAGCTCCTGCACCAACACTGTATTCATGCTCTCCTCGTATTTCACCGGATACGCCTTTTGGACGGCAGGAACGTCGAAATCGGGAGGCAGTGTATCCAGTATTCCTCCCGCAATCTCGCTCAACATCTCGTCCTTCGATTTGCCCCCCTTCGACGCCTCACCCCCGCTCCGCGCCTGTGTCAGTAGCACTGACGCGATCAGCAGATTCGTCTCGGCTAAATCCTTCGCAATGTCCGCGTTTTCGTGCATCCCAAACACCTCCGGGTGCGCTGCTATCGGCATGCTCTTGATGTGGTGGAGATACGACTCATGGGATCCTTTTGGAGGCGCGAAGTATATTCCGGAGGTGGAGAGCCGGTGGTCGTCGTTGAGGATCGAGGGCGTGTAGTAGATGGAGAGGATGGACATGAGCGTGCGACGGTCGCGGTCGTCGGTGACTCGCCCGCCGTAGTTACATTCGCCGGCAAGGTATACAAGGGCCTTCCAGGGGGTTTCCTCGTAGTCGTTCAAGAACTGGGGACGATAACCGACAGATTAGTGGAATGTTCTCCGGGGATTAGAGGCGTGGTTCGCCCTGAACGTTGAGGGCCCTTACCTTCTGCAACTGCCTTGTACTAATCCTCAAATCACTCTCATTGAACTCATACGGGATATTCCACCCAAGCGGTCCAAAGTTCCTCCGTTCCTGCACAAGCGCGTGGAAGAAGCACAGCCCAAACAGCAATTTCTCCCACACACCCTCCGCGCTCTTCTTCACACCCTTGAAGAACGCCTCATCACTAATCGGGTCGCTCGTGTAACTTCTCAGCAGGTTCGCGCGCACCCCGGCAGGCGGCTCATTGGTCATCTTGACCCCGTTCTGCAGTAATGTGACGGGGAACCGGTCCGACGGGTAGGATGTCAGCCACAAGCGGAAATCTTGGTGGGTGGTTTCGGGAACGAGTTCTTCGCACATTTTTTCGAGTGTGGGGAGCCAGGAGACTGCGAGGTGGCAGTTTTGGAGTACGACCCACGTGCCGGTGCGCACGCCGGCCCGCAACATGGAAGCGGCGACGGGCCCTTGGCCTTGGCCGAGGGAGATGGCGGTGAGTTTTGAGCCGCTGAAGCCTTTTGCTTCGGCAAATTTGAGGAGACTGGAGGACGCGAAGAAACGAGATGGTTAGCATGCATCACAAACCACGTTGATGTTGAGACTTTTCGGATAACTTGCACATTCAACTTACCCAGCCATCGGATCCGCCCCGGGCGACAAGATAAAGATCAACGGCGCACAATGATTCGAGTCCGCATAACTCGCGGTCAAATCAAACTGCGGCGGTTCAATAAACTTCTGCCCCATCTGTCCCCTTACAAACTCCATGATCCCCAACACCACACGATCCGGCCTCAGGATCCTCAACACCACAAGTTTCTGGAACGCGCTCAACCGCTGGTCCCACCCACCGGGGTACGGTTCCTTATGCGGGTCCGCGGCGTCGTATATGTCCTTCCAGCTCGTCACCTGCTCTCTCACCGAGTTGCTGAACCCCTTGAATGACTCAAACGCCGACAACCGCACCATATCCGCCCAACTCTTATCGCTTAGCCACTCTGCCGCCGGGTTGGCAGGCAGTTCCTTATCGATCCCGACCCCGCCCGTGAGGAAGAACATCCACTCGTCAGTGTCGATCTCCCCCCGCCCGCGCATCAGTCCGACGCAGAGGAGGAAGGAGAAGAGGAGCTTATCGCGCTTGAAAAGCGACCGGCAGACGTTGCAGTAGAGAGCGTAGGTGAAGTGGGAACGGAGGCTGTCGAGGCGGAGGGAGAGGTTGTCGGATTTTTCAGATTCGGAGATGGATTGGAGGAAGATGTTGATGAACCAGGCAAGGGAGTATTGGTACATTGGCTCAATCTATGGAGGTTCTTTGGTTAGCAATGTTCTCGTTCAAAGTATGATAGCAGAAAATATGTTCGCAGAGGTTCTTTGAACTTACATTGGCCAATTCGGCAATGACGAAGAACAGCACCGACGAGTGCGTCGCAATCGGCTTATACCCCTGCCTGGTCAAATCAATCTGTTTCTCCGTCTCCTCCGCAATAGTCTGCTTCTGCGCAATGTCATCCGAAAGCACTTTCGAGCTCGTCAGGGCGTTGATCGCCGACTCGTCCTCCAGCAAGCTGCCCTGTGAGTTACTCAAAATTGCCAAGATGGTATCCTCAATCTCCTTCAGCTGCTTCTTATTGTTCGCGCTGGAGATCACCAGCCGGTTCTTCTCCTCCTCCAGCTCCGGTCGCTCCTTCGCCGCCACAATTCCTAACAGTTGGTCCTCCAGACCTTCGGGAGTAATCATGAAATTGACTATAGTGACTTTTGTCGACAGTTCGGGCAAGTAGTGTGGGTTCCGCAACTTGGTAGTGATGTAAAACCGGAAATCGGGCGAGTACTCGATAACAGCCTCCCCGAGCCGCAAACACATGACTCCGCTCTGCTTGAAGATCTGTTTGGTCAGCAGCGGTTCCAGCACCGAGTCAACTTCTTCCGCGATATTCTCGAGCAACACGGGCGTGCCGAACTGGATCGCATTCTCGAGCGTCCGCACGTAGTCGCTGTCGGAGAGCTTGATGACCGCTAACCGGTTGTTTTTCTCCATGTTCTTGATCCATTTGTTCGCCTGGCCCTGCGGGTCAATGAACAAGGGCCAGCGACGTGTCTTTGCTGCGATAATCCCGTTGTCGCCTGAGAAGGCATCGTTGGGAAGACCCGCTAAACTCCACGCCCGCAGCTGGATTGGGTCACCCAGCGTCGTGGCGAGACTGAAGGTTGTTGAGCACGGAATCCCGCTCGCCACGCAGGTTACATTCCAGTCGCCGAGACACATTTGCCGGTACGCGGACGTGAAGGCGCCCAGGTAGGCAATCACGGCCGACGCGAGGAGGACGTCCCCGGTGAGATTGCTGTACACCGCGGAGAGGCTGTGCGCTGCCTCTGTCCAGCGGTCCTTTTCCCCGCCCAGCCCGCTGATGAGCTGCTCGGCACGCACGAGCTTCTTACCGGTGAGGTCGACCTGGCTTTCCAGGTCCGCTTTTTTGTGCGTCATCTCTTTGAAATTGCTTTCTAGTGCCGCCATCTTGTCCTCGACTTCTTTGAGTTCGGCTTGCTTTTGCCGTAAGGTGGCCATCTCCACCGCTAGTTCCCCTTCGGCTTTGGCCAATGCCTCTTTTTTCGGCCCGACTACTTTTGCCACCACGTCGTACTTGTCCAGCGCTCGTACCCATCGGCACAGACCCTCAGCAGCCCCTGACGAGTTTTTGACGACGTTAGGATCGAAATCGGGGTTGGGGATGTAGATCTTTCGGATTTTTTCCATGATCTTTGGGTCAATGTTGTCCTTATCATATGACCTCAAAGACTGCAAGAAATGCGAGTCACTCAACATCTTCTGCGCCGGGCCCCAGTAGTCCTCCACCATCTTGCCGCTACCCCCCGGGTCCTTGATACGTGCGGGCTTGATCCCCTTCATGATGCAGATAGCTTCCATCACCAGCTTCACGCCTCCCGGCGGGTTCTTCATACTCTTCACCACGGTGATGTCCTGTGGCTTCAGCGTATCCAATGCCTCCAGAGCGCTTTCGAGCGCGGGGATAGCCTCCGCGAGATCAGCCTCGCAATCATCCTTGATGGCTTTGGCCTCCCCGGCCTTGAGGTTTGCCGCCGCCTCGTCGACTTTCACCACCGATCGCTTCTTCTCGACTTCGACGCTCTCACGCTCGATTACGATTAGCAGCGCGTCGGTTTCTTTTTGCGTTTGCACCAGCTGCGGTTGCAGGTCGTTGAGCTCCTTTTGCATCGTGCCTACTTGGCTCGACGCGCTTGCAAGCTGCTCGAGTCCCGTCACGTATCGCCCCTTGAGCTGGTTGATTTCTTTCCGCTTGACTTCCAGCAGCGTTTTGTACGTCTGGATGAGCTCAAGATAGCTGGTCGGGGTGACGTAGTTGTGTCTCCTGAGACCCTCATAGTATTTCTGCGAAAGGTCCCTTGTCCCCGTATGGAAGGCCTTGCACATTTTGACAACGGCCGGGCGCACCTCGGGCGTCAGCTCGACATCCTCCAAGAACTTGAGCGCAACAATTTCCAAGGCATCCTCAGGCCACGCCTGGAACCAATCGATGGTGCAGCAGTTGACCAGCGACGGAAACATGCGCAAACGATTGCGGAACGCATCCCCAATTGGCGACATGCACAGCACGATATGCAGATTCTCCTTGCACCGCGCGATGAATTGGCTGTACAGCGCCGCCGGCGACGCGTCCATCTTGGGGTTATCTTTTACTAACACCGTGCGCACTTGCTCGATCACAGCGGCTTTCTCATCACTCGGAAAGATGTTGGGCACTTCTCCGGCGTTGAGCATGTTGTTGATGTCCTCAAGGAAAGATTCGAGCTGTAGCTGGGTGTCGCTGAAGAGGAAGACGGAAGGTACACCTTTGCCTCCTGCTGTGATGAGGATCTTTTTGAGATCCTCGCGCCACTCGTTCATCCCGTACGATTTGGAGATCTCGACTTGGAAGAGCTGGTATTCGGCCATGTACGCCGCGAGCTTGGTTAAGCTTTGCCGACCGCTTCCACCCACGCCGACAAGCAGCGCGTGCCCCGCCGGCTGCTTCAGGATACGAGCGATGCGCGAGACATGCTCTATGGCGAAGCGGAAGATGACGAGGTTCATAGGCGCTTTGGTGATCTGGTTATACTCATCCAGTCGGCCTTTGATGACGTCTGAGATTTTGGCCACGTCCATCACTTCCTCGTAGAAACGAACGGCAGCGTCGGGCTGTGTGTAATCTCCAAACATGAGCGAGCGCATATCGTCATCCTCCACTTTCCCGTCCTTGTTGGCATCAAGATGCTGGAACAGATCTTCGAATCGTGATCCGAAGTGGCGGGAAGTCAGATCCTTTACCGTCGTAAAGAACCAGGACCGGTCTGCGTCGTCCACTAAACGGTCGTAAAAGACTCGATAGACCTCGTGGCACCACAATCGGATCATCTTCGGGGGCTCCGGGAACCTTTCGGGGGTTGCGAGGAGCAGCCCCTGCACGACTCTTGAAAAGTCTCGCAAATTGAAAACGTAGTGCGATTTTGCAGGCGTCGGTAATAAACTGGCGATAGCGGTGTTGTAGAGCTCCAGCGTCGAGCTGATCAGTTTGTCCTTCAGCGCCGCCACACCAGGCGCAAACCCGTTGCTCGTCAAGTGCCAATCGACGATGGTCGCAAAGATCTGCTTCATAGTGGCTTCCTCGAACGTCGTGATGCCAATCGTGTTGAAGTGTCGCAGGAACCGGCTGGTGACTGCGTTGCGACCGCCGCCCGGTGGACCCATCGCCGCAATGAACTGGATGTCGACCAATTGCATGGCCGAGGTGTCTTTGAGATCGTACCAGGTTCCAATGTCCATCCACTGACGCAGCAACTCAATAGGGGGTTGAGCGCCATACTTTTCGCGGGCAGGCATGTTGAGGTCGTCGACGAAGATGACACACTTCTGACCATGGGGAGGCCCGAAGACACCTCGTCGGCGTTTGTCGAGTTTGCTCAAGATGATATCCTGCACCTGATTCGCGCTCGTTTGCGCCGAAAAGTTGATGAAGACCGGAGTGTACTCCTTTCCTAGGCCTGAAAGCAGCTTGTTGTTCACGTATACTGTCTTTCCCGTCCCTGTGGGCCCGACGAACAGCACCTGCTTGCCATGCGTGACGAAGAGGTCGAGCAGGTAGCTGTATCGCGTTGTGTCGACCGTCGGCACCGTGATGGAGTTGAACTTGCTTTTCGGCGCAATCTCAAATTTGCCGATAGTGTCCGTCCATAGCTTCCATGCCCCACCAAACTTTCGGTCTTTCTCGAAAACATAATCGTAGATGCTTCCACCCAAGGGGATCGGCTTGTCGATCTTGACGTTGCGAGGCGTCGGCCGCGCTTGATCGTTGCCCTCCATGATCTGACGGAAGAACAGGTCGAATTTCTTGCGAGAATCTCCATCGATACTGCCCCCCAACGCCCAGACAGCGGAAAAGAGGAACACACAATGCAACCATAGTCCCGCGATGTTGGGTGGGATGATCTCCGCGATGGGCTTCTGTTCCGTTCCAAACTCGTCGATCTGGCACGAGATAAGATTCATCAACGTGACCGCCAAGTTGATGTAGCTGACGGACACAAACTCCTTGCATTCCTTGCGGACGAATTCCAAGCATGGCGGGACCATCCAATCGAACAAAGATTCCAGCAACAGCTTCTGCTCTGGCCCCATAGACGATGGCAGCGTTGCCAGCCACGATAGCATCAGCGGCCGCCAACCGAGGGCGTCGGGCTCCATGTATATCATACCGCACCGCGACACAGTAGCCGGTGATGCAACCGCGAGATCCGCCACCTCGAACTGCATACTCATTGTCGACGACATGGTCATGATTTCACCGCTTGTCAGACACAGTTTCTTGTTATCGTCAAGCACCGTGTTCATGTTCTCAATCCAAATGGCGTCGACTGGGCCGTCGAAGATGATCCAGCGTCTCTCCGCTGTGCCTTGTTGAGCGAACGCTCTGAATGTGGTGGCAAGAACCCCATCCGTCCATTCGTGGGTTACAGCGTCGAATTGTCCATACAGCTGTCCCATTGTGATGGATTTTGGATTGATGACGCGATATTCCACCTTTTTCTCACCGAGGCCTTTCGCGGCCATATCGTTCAGCGCGGCCGCTAAGACTCGGTAAGCGGTTGTCTTCCCCGACCATGGTTGCCCAACAATCATATATCCATGTCGAATGCACATCATCTCGTACGTCTGGATGATCTTTTCTAACGCACTGTCGACAGACTGGAGGTTCATCTTCGCCATATTGCCTGTTATGGCCGCCATCAGATGGCGGTAATCAGGGGTCGGCAGCTCGACGCGCGGGAATAGATCCGCACTGATAGCCTTGAACAGCGGGATGTCTTGCGTCAAGAATTTGGGCAAGTTCACATCGTTGATGGACCTCAACATAATGATATGCTCGTTTTCGCCCGGGTAACGCAGTTTGAGGTTGCCTGCCGCCGTGAGAACGGCTTTCACGGCTCTCATACCGTAGTCATAATGGTCTTGCGAAGAAAGCTGCTCTGAGCAAAGCTTGTAAGTGGCGACGATTTTGCGCGCCAGCGTCCGGGCTTCAACGAATCCGTACGAGTACAAGGAGATCTCGGCAATGAGAGCGTAATCGGGAACCTATTCATCAAAATGAAATGAGTCCACTGCTTCCACTGAACAATTCACAGTCTCAAAAGTCCCCTAGAATATATACCATCATAGCGACAGGCCGGAACAAAGCTTTCAAATTGTCCGGCAACTCGGAACGACCAGCGTATCCGGGGTTCATAGTGATGAAAACTGAGCAGCCCACGTTCAGCGAGATGGTTGTTCCTTCAAAGACAAACTTCTCCAATTTTGCGACGACCGCTCGCTGGATGGTGAGAATCTGCTGTGCTACTACGGACAACACCTCCAGATCAATACGGTTGAACTCGTCGAAACAAGCCCATGCACCTGACGAAGCCAATCCTTTGAAGAATTTCCCCATCGCAATGTAATCGAGTCCGTCGGAGCAATTGAAAACCACACAGGCTTTTGCTATAGCCTTTGCCAGGTCCTTTACCGATTCTGTCTTGCCCGTTCCGGCAGGTCCCTCCGGCGCACCTCCAAGATTCAGATCCAGCGCACCGATGAGCGTTCGGTAACAACGGTCGGTTAGGGGCGTGATGACTAAACGAGGTGAGTTTCCGAGGTACTCATGTCCGTACTTCAAAGTCGCATTGATCATCCGCACTTGCACATCGTCATGCTCCCAATAGTAACGGAGTTGAGACAGCCACCCGAAGTCGTTCTCCTGACTAACCTCCTGGCCCTCGAGCTCACCAACAACATCGCGGGCATGCACGTCAATGACCACCAACGCTGAAAGAGTCATACGTGCCATAGGACTCAAGTCTCCACGTACAAGTGCGACGGTCTCTTCCAGCTGCTTGGTGCAGAGCTCCTTGTAGGCCTTGAGACCAGCGACACCGCCTTCGCGAATCGCTTCGGTGACTTCCTTTGTCCAGAAGATTTGACTGACGCAGATCACTACCTGACCCGGCCACTCCAAGACCCATTTGGACCGGGGGGTTTCTTGATATGCTTTTAAGGCGTTGCTGACTTGCTGATGCACCGACGCCTGCATGACCTTCTCCACCTGCAGCAGCCATTTCTCAACGGCGCCTTTCGCAAGTGCTGGTTCGATAACGTCCTTCAAACGCACACGCTCTCCCTCGCTGGAGCACATGGCGATGATGCGAGTGTTATCTTGGAACGTTAGGCTTGCAATGCCCTCGAAACACTTTTTCAGGTGAGGCTGCACTCGAAGTGGATCCTTTGTCTCGGCCAGGATCTCCAGAAGCTCGTCGTTCGACAGGAAGAAGAATCGAGGGAAAAATAGCCGCTTCTTCTCCAGATAATCGTTCAATCCTTTCTGAATGTCCTCTAACAGCACATTGCTTTCGTTGAGCCGGGCGAGCATTCCGGGGATATTCGCGACCGACAAGATTTTCGGATTCTCAGCAGTGTTGGCCATGATCTCGCGCCACGTTTTGTCGACTATGCGGAACTTCTTCCCTTCCGTCGGCATGGCGGCCATGATATCTTCGCTCGTGAAGATGGGCTCAAGGTAGAGCCACGTTGCTTGCACTTTCAGCCATGAGTCGATGATTTCCTGAATGGTCACGAGAGTGGTCTCCCACGTCTTGACCTCCTCTTCGATGGGCTTGACAAACGGAGAGCCACGCATCGTCTGTACTTTCACGATCTGGTCATCCAACAACGCCTGCACTTCTTCCAGCGACGAGAGGATCCGCGTTCCAGTGTCTTTGTACTCGATGCAATTGAAAACGAGCGGTTCCCACTCGTCGCGCATCTTCGTAAGTGTCTTTTGCAACGAAAACTCCTTGGAAGCAGCGTCCGATATTGTTTCGAATTGCGGCAAATGAGCTTCCAGGTTCATTTCCAGAACTTTGGTCAAACTCGTCGATTCGTCTGGCCGGATCGACTGCCCCACAATGGCACCCATAGCTTCCCAATGCCTCTCGCGTAAGCCCGGGTTCCGCAAAACGTTGATGAGAGGTAAGTGAGCTTTGAACCTGTCGAGACGGTTCTTGACGCTCTCGGCAACCTTCCGCGGCACGGGCGCCTCCGAGAACGTCTTTGTGAGCTTGAACATAATACGAAACATAGATTGCACGCTCTCCTCCAGCGCTTCCGCGTTGAGCTCCCTGAATGCGCCGTTCATCCATCGGGAGTGCTCGGTCTGGAAAGATGATGCCGTTTCCCATAGCTGCTTGTATGGCGCAAGCAGATCCACCGTTTGCTGCAGTTTCCCAAACGCGGTCTTATCCCACTCGAGCAGCTCTTCTTCCACGTTAATCCGCCGCGCCGTATCATCCAAGTCCTTCAGCTTCGCTTCCAGAGTTTTGATACGCTTTAGGTACTCTGGCAACTCTGCCATGATGCCGTAATCTTGGAACTTCGTTACGGCCTCAAAGCATTCCTCCAACTCATCGTTCGTCGACCCAATCTTAGTCTTAAGGTCTTCCTGCGCTTTTCCCTTCTTCTGCAGCATGCGCTTCTTGCTCAGCTCAAATATCGGGATGATCCGGCCCGGCCACGTGAACGTCACCCCGTTCAGCTTGATGTCCTCCTCGCTCATCAATGCGTAGGTGAGGAGGAAGTCTAACCGCTTCTTGCCCCGCGTGATCTCGTCTCGCAGCGCTACTACGTCTTTTGTGCGCGCATTGTCGACATATTTCATGAGCTCCACCAGCTCTTCTGTATCGGCGGGAGCTTTCATGGCCTTTGCCGATATCTTCTCGTACGATTCGCATATGCTGTTGGGGAAGCGAAGGTGACGTTAGCGGACAGTTGTTTTGGCCTATTTGTGAATTGTGAATGAACGATGGCAGTCTCGAACAGCATACCCAAGATTTAGCTTTCTGTTCATGTCAGCCACTTGGTCTACGAGCTTTTGGACGAGCAGCTGAGCTTTTGCCGTGAGCTCCGTTTTTAGGACGTCACACTCCAGATAGATCATGCTGAAGCGAACGATGGATGGGGACGCCGATATCTCTTCAATGAGCTTATTGAGCTTCTTGATTTCCTATGATCGCCAGAACTCATAAGACATTCGGTGACTGTGGTTACAAACGCAGGATCAGGCAAACCCACCACTTCGTACTCGTCCAAATCGTGTTTCTCTCTCAAGAAATCCTCAATTCGTTTCTCCGCTTTCGTGGTCAACAAGGTCTTATACTTGTCGTAACTCAGCAAGTGCTTCTGCGACGCTATCGTGTTCTTTGCTACGATGCTTCTCACATATCTTCCTTCGGCAATGCGATCGTCTTCCAAACTCATTGCGGGTAGGTACAGCGACTCGCCCGTCAGACTCGTAAACAGCTTCGTCTCCACGCGCGGGAGGTCCCGCGCCGCCGCGACCATGTCTTCCAATATCGAGACGATCAAAGTTTCCAGCTCCGCCAGCGGAGGGTCGAACCGGATCTGCGCGCCGGCGATGACCAGCCTGACGTTGAACACCGAGACCTCGGAGGACGCCGTCGCGAACTGTGTGAAGAAGTTTTCAAAATCGTCCAGGGAGGCGTATAGCAGCGACCACAGCTGGTTCGACATGAGCGCGCAGACGGATTTGAAGAAATTGTCCAAGCGGCGAAACCCGACGTCCGAGTCCGTGCAGGCCGTCGCGATGGTGTACCATTGTTCTTTGGTGGTGAAGAAGGCGTTGGCGACGGTGGGGATCCATTCGTTCAGCATTTTGGTGCGGAAGGCTTGACATTGCGCTTTCAATATGGACTGGAAATCTTCCATGGATATCGGCAGCATCGACGGCGAGAAGACGCTCATGTCGACCAATCTGCTGTGCTTGAATTGGTCAAACACCTCCAGAACGCTCAGCATAACCGGGTTGGTGATGAAAAGGTTGTCGCTGAGCGAACCCTTGGCAGCAATATATTCCTCATGCCACGGAACGGGCGCCCTAGCGACCCGCGGGGTATATCGAGTCAAGAACGGAGGGATGCATAGTCGATCCTGTTCAGTGGGGTCGAGCAAGATATAATCAATGATGCTGCGCTTCAGCGCTAGGGTGTAGTCGTCATTGATCTCTTTAAGCACGCCGGCTTTGGTTTTCGACAACGAGTCGGCTTGGAGGAGCTGTGGCGGTACCACCCGCTGCACCGCTTCCAGCACAGATTTCTCCATCGGCGCCGTTGCTGTCGCTGGGATGCCTTTCGTCACATAGTACCAATAGCGGTGCTCGCCGGTCAGTTGTTTCGACAAGTTTTCTGAGTCACGGTCGTATGGGTCCAAGGAGGGCGGTGGAAGCTGAAGCGGGATCCCGCTGTCCTCGATGGGTGGGTATTCCGCAGAGATCCGCGATTTCGGTGATAATGGACGGCTATGTATTTCTGTTATGCCCGTGTTCCACTCGCAGCTGACGGTCCTAGTTTGCTAGCCATTGTCAGTTATCCACGTTCCCTCCTCGGAGCCGAGAAATACACACATACCTCCTACTAGACTTTGGTCGCTTAACCGATCCGCTATCACCCGCTGCATCAGCCAGCAACTCATCAGACACCCTCCGCGTAAACACTTTTCGAAATCACACCACACCCGCAGCTCACCTCGATCCCCAGCTCTCTTCACAGGCAATGGCGGTATAGAAGGCATCTGTTTTATGCTCAGATTCATAGCTCCCGGGCTGTAGTTGTTCCCGATGGAATCCGACACGCACCGGGCGAATTTCTCTTCTTTGAAAGGCGCCGCGCGGGTCCAAGAATAGTATTTCAGAAGTGGGGGAAGGTTGGCTGTGTCGATATCGATGGATGGTTCGGCTTTCTATGCGAAACGGGCCAGATTAGCATGAACTTTGGTCGGCAGAGGCACGGTGGTTGAAGGATGTACCGCACGCATACCCACCTGTGGTGCGGGATCTATGTAAGAGTCCTGCAGGAGGGAGTCATCACGGCCAAGTAGTTTTCCCTTTGCAGTCGGTGGCTTCCGCGCTTCCACAAGCACGCCGATGAGCTGTGCAAAATTCAGTTTCATTTCCTGCATATGGTGGAATCTGTCGGTTAGTCCCAATGAATAAGGAGATAAGGAAGGGGCCGAATGATTCAACCTTGGGTCCAGCACCTGCTTCCTTCGCAGCGCCACTCCCGCTATTGGTTGCCGCCTCGACAATATCCATCGCATCGTCCTTTGCATTTCGCGGGATTGAGGGATCGTCTTCTGGTGCCGACGAGGACTGGGTGGTCGGCGCCCCGGCCACGAGGCCTCCACCGCGGAGTTGTGGCGCCTCCATAGGGTCTTCTTGTATAAGGCGGCGGACCGCAGACTTTGCAGGGCCTGCGTCGTTGATACGTTTATGACTTCGTAGTCTCCGCTGGATTCAGGGAAAGAGAGTGCTATCAATATTCGAGTCTCCTTTGGATTTTAGGCCTCCCATGCAGAAGGAGAACAAATCGACGCGTTTTGGCCCAAAGTGGCGTAGCTCGTACGATGTCGGACTTACAAATGGCAAAGGAAGAGAGGTATGTTTTCAGATATTCATTCTGAGATGCCTCGTGTTTAGATCGTCAGTTTTGCGCAAGGTTCGGGTGTCCACTTTCTGCTGTTAGCACTGTCAAAAGACTAACTCCGCTATCACGTAATCATCCGACGCTTGGGCGCCTGTCAATTCTGCTTTAAATTCACTTGCACTTCGGAAGCCTGACGGGTTGAGTGGTGAAGCTCATCGGGGATGGGTGGGATAGGAGGAAGGGAATTGAGGAATTGGCTGTGTCCGTGAAACGAGTGGCGGGTGTGTGTGTGTGCCTGTTGTCCTCTGAAAAGCCATTGGACTCCGCACCGCCCAGAATGAGCTTGAGAACCGCAAACGGAAACAGAAAGCAGATGCTGATCAAGGAGCGGCAGACGGAGCTTGATAGGGCAAGCGGACTCTTTGGAGAATGCGCAGCAGCAGCAGCAGCGGTTGGCTTTCAGTAATAGATAATAGAGAAAACGTTTAATATGCCACGGTTTTCAAAGATAATACGAGTCTCTTCTTGATAAACCGTTGTATATGGGGGAACATGGAGGTCTGACGAGTTAGTAGGGTTCACGCATTAATGATGTCCCAGATCATGGGGTATACAAATGAACCACTCGGCACTTTCGGGCCAGCCTACATCGTACCGAGGGGGGATATATATGGAGCAACTATTTAAAGGATGTGGGTGTCTATCACGGTATATGGAACATCTACGCCAGAACGAACGATCCTGATGTTTCTCGTCTATGCGGCATCCTCGCCTTCGTTCACACTGGTCTTCCTCTCAATCGCCCTATCCTTCGTCTCTACCAAACCGAAATGCCTGTGCCCGTCCCTCCACCCGAAACCAAACTGGTACCTAGCCGCGTCCCCCGGGTCGTCGAATCCTGTGGCCCCCGCTTTGGGTTTCTCATGGACTTCTCCGTTTCCGGGCGTGGGATGAGAATCGGATGTCGTCGCGTTGAGGGCTTCCGACAAACACGCCAAGGTATGAGACCCCGCGTTCCCACTCAACGCAAGCTTGCGAAGGAGTTGCGCGGCGAGGAAGAGGATCGCAGCGAGAGCGACGTGCCACACGCGCACGGCGCCGACTTCATCTGTAGCCGAGAAGTCCCGGCAGCTGATGGTGGCGAGATCATGCGCGGCGGTGCTGCTGCCGGAGTTCTGGGCGGCCTGCCGCAGGGCGGTGCGGTACAGAATGAACGGGGTGAAATCGCCCGCGCGGTCGAGAAGCTGCCGAATGCCTTCGGCGCGTTTGCGCAGTTTCGTTCTCCATGTGTCTTCCGAGTCTTGTAGCGCCAGCGAGGACGAGGCTCCGGGGTTGTTGGCCAGATCTTCGACGGCGGACCAGTCCTGTTCGTACTGGATCTGAGTAAACAACGCGTCTTTCTTCTCCACTATGAGCCCATCCTTGAACGGCGCGTCCCAGTGTTCGCCGCTTTGTAACTTGAACCCTCTGACAGCAACCAAGTTCGCCACGACGGCAACTTTATAATCTTTCTCAAACGACCAATCATACGAGTAGATGATGCCCACTAACGTCTCGTTCCCGACCTTGGCGCGCGCAAACACCGAGAAGAACTGCGGTGGCACCAACGCGTCCTTGCCGACGGGTGGCATGTTCTTCGCAATGTGGGTCATGTTGGCCTGCAGGAGGTCGAACGTCCAATCCTGCATCGTCCCGCCGAAACGTGTAACGACGTCCTCGTAAACATCCTGCATTTCCACCGTCGCGTTCACGTCCCGCTGGACGTACCAGAAATCGTCATGGCGAGGGTTAGCGACAAACAAGCTCCCGACGGCCGTAGAGACATTGAAAGGGAAGGCGTACAACGCGTTTGAATGATGCACCCCTCCGCAATAGCGCATCAGCTGGAGGTCACTCCCGCTTGCTTGGATGATTTCTGACTGCCTGAGGGCCCAACTTCTCCGCCGACAGGCTCCTTGCACGAGTTGAAAGTGTCCGCCAACTGGTGTGTCTTGCCCGCGTTGAGTGAGGTTAGCGATGGTCGCGAGTGGGAGTCTGCCTGAAATTCTAGCGTCGGGAGTCGCGTTGGGCCGCAACCAGAAACCAGACAACGAGTCCACAGCCCAATCCGAGACCTCGTTCTTGATAATAGCGTCCGAGAGTAGGCGGCAGGAAGTAAGGCTTCGGTTGACGGGAGTCACGGTGGCTAGCTGTGAGCAGTCATAATAGGGTTCGCCGAAATCGACTTGAACGGATTCGTGCATGACGCGCGGGGTGACGCGGGTTGAGATGCCCCGGAGGCTCAATAGGAGGGAGAGCGGCGTGCTGCGAGTGTTGTTAGATCCGACGCGCATAGCATCCGTGGCGAGCCCGGCGAGCGTTTCCCTCTCGACCGTTTGATACAGCTCATCCAGCGGGACGTTGAGGCTGCACAACGAGTAGCTGATCTCAAACATCTTCGGTAGCACGACTTGCGAGAGCGTGGCGACGATGGTGCCGAAAAGCGCCAGCACGGCGAACTGCGTTCGTGGACCCCATGTACCGTCGGACCGGCAGCTGAGAAGTCGAAGTTTGCACAGATCGCGAATGAGGCCCAACAGGACGCCCGGTGAGTTGGAGGTTTCGAGGAAAAGACCATGACTGCTTCGATAAATTTGGGCAGGCGCTGATGCTACGTGACCATGGACCACCTCCGGTCTTTTGAGAGACGCACCGGATGACTCCGACTGGCTGTCCACCAGCTTGTCCTCTTTCTCGGCAACATGACGCACTTGTACTCCGGCAGGGTCAACCTTGGCAGAGGTCGGAGCAATGGGTGCCGGTGGAAGAGTGGCCAAATTCTGTTGCTGTTGTTGAGCAGAGTTGAAGCGAGCCCAAAGCACGCACGAATGCAGCCATAAGGCGAAAGGCGGAATGATAGCGGCGAGAGAAGCGACCATGATGGTGGTCGAGACTTGGCGGAAGGTCCCCACATTTTCTCTGACGATAGGCTGCAGGAGGAAGCCTTGGACGTACAACATGGCCGGGAGTGTATGTGACTGACCTGCTCTCCCGCGGCGTGGGCAACTTTCCAGGGGCGAGCAGCGACGCAATGTGGTCTACATATATCCTCAGGCTTCCGAATGTCCCGACTGGGAGACATGGACCTTCTCTTTCGATCACTGTCTAACAGTAAAAGTCTAGAAATTAACGTTTGGATCCGTTGTGCTACGACACTGCGATCCATCATCCAAGTCCAAAGCCACAGTCCACAAGAACTTTGAAAGTCAAATTTTGCCAGTGATGCACGGATCTTTCGGTAACGTATGTATGTGGATTTGACAGTCCGAGAGTCTCGCTGCTATAGCTGGCAGCCTGGCACTGCCTGGCAGTGAGTTCTGCGATGTCCAGGCGTCCCTTTGAACGGGTTGATCAGATGGGAACGTGATTACCGAAAAGAAGTCGAATCAGTCAATCCATCATGAAGGACTCAAGTAAAAGCCTGCCTTCAAGGACAGGGAGGCTCCGCTCCTCCGTGGAACTACTTACTACTAGTAGTATGTACATAGTAGCTACAGTAGTAGATATGTACAGTACCTCCGAGTCGGCTTCCAAGTTTCGTCAACTTTCTTTTTACGTTCGAAAGCCGCAACGGACGTCCGCCGAGCGTTGTCCGATGTACAGTTACTAGTACAGTGCCATTACGGTACGCCGTACGACTCGTGCCCTTCTACAAATTTGACATACAATTTTATCGTTAGGTCAATTCGACGTTGAACAAAATATGTTGAAGCCTGGGCTGCCTATTGTGGGCGTGGCTGGAAGGTCAGGGAAAGAACCACGGTTGGGTGCCCAGTCTATCGATTCAAGATTGTGGATATCTTATGGTTGGCTGGCATGTGGGTTGACTCCCGGTTGAGCCGGGAGCCTGACTGATGATGAAGGTCAGGCTTGGATGTAGGAGACAGGCACCATGATGTCCCCACACTCCCATGTTGCATGAGGCCTTTCGTGCCCTCCACATTTTGGCACGGTGTCTGCCGATGTCGAACATCCTCCCTCCCACTTTGCTCCCTCCTCTTGCCCTGCATGGCGGCGTCCACCACGTCCCCCTACCATTTGGGCCCAGCGACGCCAGGAAGGTACATGTAGAGAGAAATGTCCTCCTGATCAATCCCCACCGTGGGTTTGCTAGGGAGAAGCTTCAGGTCGGTGGTATCAGAGTTTGTTGGGTTCGCCTTCCTTTTCCCGTGCTTGGAGATTCATGCAGCAGGAGGCTGTCCCTTCTTATTGGCAAACGCTTTTCCAATTCCTTCTTTCTGTTCCCTCCCCGCGAAAAAGACACGACTGACAGCCAGCAGCCCCACCAAGCTTTTTGGCCTGTTTCTCACTCAACCTCGTCCAGACAATGTCATCAGCCAACTTCCATAGAGACCCTGCCCACATAAACACTCAGGCACGTGCCACCTCCCGTATGGTTGAGAACGGTGTCTTTGATGCTAGAAACTGTACCATGCGAGAGCACAAACATACCGATTACCTTACCTCATTGATACCGTACGAACTTCCGGCCGTTTCGGACGGCAGTGTGCGACAAGAAATCAACTCGGTACTTGCGGATATCCAGCCAGACGAATGTGTCCGTACTTTCCTTCTTACGATGCTCTCTCTGAGTTTGGAGGGAGTCAATCGCCACGCCATTGCTATGATCTGGACCGGGGTTGGAGGAAATGAATGGCAAGTCATTCCTTAAGAACCTCATGGGCAAAGCCTTCGGAGAAAAGCTTCATCGCGAGCCCTTGGCGACATTCTTAACCGCTGAAAGACCATCAGCGGATAGACCAAATCCGGATCTGATGGATGTGCGGTCGGTACGCAGTTTGTTCACAAGTGAACCCCAAGCAGGAAAGAAAATCAATACAGGGTTCGTCAAGTTTCTAACCGGCAGAGATCCGGTTCGTATACGCACTCTGCATAGCTCCACATACATCGAGTATGTCCCGCGGTTCCTTGTCACACTCCTATGCAATGCCATCCCCAAGATGGAAGGCGGAGATGATGACATCCGTGGTATCTGGCGGCGTCTCAAGATCATCCATTTCGGTACGATCTTCACAGAGAATCCATCACCCGACAGACCCCATGAGAAACTTGCAGACGCCACTCTCGGAGAACGGGCAGAGTCCTGGGGCCCAGAGTTTATGCTCATGCTCATGGAGATTTATGCGACGTATGTTCACGGAGGGTGCCATATCCACGTCCCGCGGTCAGTAGAACTGAATGTCCAGGAGCAAAAAGATGAAAACAGTCCCTTCCCAATGTGGCTTGAAGATAATGCAGTGCGGACTACTGGCGCACGCGTACATGTTCACCGTTTCGAAAGAAGCTTCGCAGCCGGAACACATCAGCCGTCGGCCGTCGCATTGCTTCGCACGATGGGGTATAAAGTAGGTGATGCGGATAAAGCCTCAAGGAAGAAGGATCCTGGTTGTTGTAACAACAACTTTCGTGTGGTACATGATGTCAACGTGCGAGGGTGGGACGAAAAGGAGAAAAGGGTGATCACCACCGTTGATAGTGAATTGTAACTTTCATGAACAAAGAGCGCATGCAGCGTTCAGACCCATCCGGTCCTGGCTTGCGCCGAGCGATACTACAGTGCCGTTCATAAAGCAAGACCGCATTTGACAGTGGCGTCAGAGAAGTGCTCGACCGCGTCGGCCGGACGCTCCGGACAACCCGGACAACTTTAGAGCAGCTAGAAGCCATTGCACAGCAGACATTTCAGGATATTGAGCCAGATGTGCTGGAAAACCTTGTGTCGAGCATGCCCCGGCGTATAGCGGCAGTCATAGCAGCTAGAGGAGGATTATGCTCTGGACAAGGAACGTAGTTCATGAGTTCAATGGATGAGGAGAGGTTGTGCTTACTAAAGCTTCTTTTCTTTCACTCGAGCGAAGATATAAATACATACAGCTCCCCATCCCCCCCCCCCCCCCCTTCTCGTCTATCTCTTTGGAGCGAGAGCTAATGACTGCTAATGGCTAATGGCTAATGCCGAGGGGGTAAGGGATGGTGTGAATGGAGTTGATGGGAGCGCCCTTTCTCTACTGGGCGCCATATTCGGTGGGGGTACCACCAGGGGAACCCAAAAAACCCTATAAATAGTGATAAATAGTGATCATCGTCGGGGATTGCCGGTGATCATCGTTTCGGAATGGCAGCGCGGTGGCGAGTATGGAGAAGGTGTGCTTACGGGTGGTGGGTGGGATAGTAAGCACAACCTCACCTCATCCATTGAACTCATGCACTACGTTCCTCGTCCAGAGCATAATGGATTCCGTTCGAGGTTGTGCTAATTCGTCAATGTAGTGAGCGCCGCGGCTGCCGTGTTGAAGTAGGTGGCGACTGCAGTCTCGTGGGCTGACGTCGCTGCTGTCGTCGTCATCGGAGGGCACCTTTCCGTTGTCGTTGCGGATGGTGTAATGCGTTTCGAAGACCGTGGAGCCGGGGAGCCAGCGTCCGGCACGGATGGCCTCGGTGGCTACGCCGCCGTTGCATTGAGCGGTAGTGACGGCGTGAGAGATCAATTTCGGCGTGTATTCGGGACCAATTCCCGCATCGCGCATGGCGGTGGCGACAAGTTTGGATATGGTATTCGGCGCCATGGGGGAATTCTTCAGCATGTTGATGAAGACTGCCTTGATTCCCGCTCGGCGAGTACCTTGCAGCTCAATCATTCGAGGGTAGAGCGCGCCGACGTCGAGGTTGCGAGTGGGAATGCGAGCGACGGTGATAACGCGGTAGTCGTGGCCTTCAAAGACCTCTTCCCCATGTTGATGTTGATATCGCCATTCCTTAGGTCGCCACGATCGTAGTTCTAGGTGAGATGGGCGCACCTTGCACCGGTTGTGATGGAGGTTTGCCAAGTGGCTCGGCCGGCATTTGTTAGTCAGCATGATGATGACGGCTAATCGACGACTCACTGCACGCAGCTCATTCCAGTCCACCTCTGACGAGGCGACATAATTCCCCAGCGTCGCCGGATTCCATATCTTTGTGTAGGCCTTCTTTTGGGGGCCAGTTCTCAGATGCATTGCCTTTACAATCGACTGGGCGAGGTACGAGCGGTGGAAGGGGCGGGGCGGTGAAAGGAGCGTGAGGGTGCTGGTGATTGTGGACCGCGCGCTTTCAATGACTTTGACGCTTTTCCCGTTATGATGGAGGAAGGCAAGGTGATTCACCACGTCCAAATCGGTGGCGCAAATGGGATCGAGACGCTGTTCAGTACACCACATACTGAAGTACTTCCAGGACGACTGGTACTTGTGGTTCGTGTTATGGACGATGCGCCCATACCATAAGCTTACCTACTGACAGCCGCCAATGTCAACCGCCAAATGTCAAACGCCAATGTCAATGTCAATGTCAGTGTCAATGTCAGTGTCAATGCCACTCCCCCTCTCTCCTCTCATTTTGCCAATCCTCTTGCAATATCGCCACTCCTCCTCTCTCCTCTCAGTTCGCCAATCCCCCCTTGGCTTCTCCACACCCCCCACTGCTTCCCCATAGCCAGCAGCTGTAGCAATGCTCTCTACGCTCGCCACGCATGCTCTAGGAGCATAGCTGGCGCCCCCCAGTCCCCTCTTGTTGTTGTTGTTCTCTGATCTGCTGGGTTGCCTATCTATGAATAGCCGGCCTCTCTTCGTCCATTCCCTTCCTCCTCAGCAGATCAACACCAGTTCTTCTCATCTCCTGTTCTAGTCCTTGTTTCTTGTTTCGCCAATACAATCTCTTGTCGCCTATCACACTTGCCCTGTCTTCTCTACTTTGCTTCCGCCCCGTCGTCGAGATCATAACAATAAAATGAACAAGTGCGTCAACACTTTAAAATGAACATGAGCTCTCCCTTTCTTCACATATCCCTCGTAGTTCACCTCTTATTTATTCAGCGCCCTCCTCAGGATCTGAGGGAGGTGTTGGGGATATCTCATCTTCACTTGTATTTCATATTATATCTCTTTACTTCTACTTGATCCGAGACCCGGGCTGGCCACCCGAGCTCTCGGTGATACATTACATAAGGCGCCAAGCCTCACTAAAGCCACGCAAGCCCCGCTGGCAGCCCATATATAAAACTGTCAGTCGAGCGGCTGCTGCGAAGAGCTTCTTACTTTTTTCTTCACTACAATACACTGCTCTCAGCCCTCTCAGAAGGGCCCAATATTGTCTACGTTTCCTCTGACGTTACATTGGGGGCACTATCTTGTAGATAACCCCGTCGTCACTGATGAGGTCGGCGACGGTGCGTTGTTTCATGGGGATGTCCTGACCGGGTTGGAGAATGGCCTTGGTGCGTTTACGGGCCAAGTGATCATAATCCATGTCTTTGCCCGCGACGGGAGAGGCAAGGGGCGTACCGTCGTGGGCGCTGTCGTTCGTCGAGGCAGGCAAGGTTTGAGCTAGCTGCTCACGACGACGGGCAAGTAGGTTGCGGCGGCAAGCATTCTCCTCTGCGAGACGCTCTTTTTCGAGGGCGAGAACGTCCACCTCTTCACGGGCGAGGCGGATGGGCTTTTGTTCCTCAGCAGCGAGTTCCTCGGCCAGCTGCGTCGCAATTTCGTGGACTAGTTGTTCTGGGTTGGATAGCTCCGACGGGTTTTGAATGTCTGACGGGTTTTGAATGTCCGACGAGTTCTGGGTTTCTGACATTGTGTTGAGAATTGGGCTGAGAATGGTATGAGGTTGTTAGGCTCAACGCTTCTCACGAAGTGACTAGTGCACTCTGGGTGAAAACCTTTTCAAACGCCGTTTGCGGCGCTGCCCGTACCATTTGTGTATGTGCAAGGGATTCTGTGCGTGAAGGAGGCAGAATTTGCCGTGAGTACAGGCTAATTGTAAAAGGATTGAGAGCAAATGCTTAGTCTGGGGTGTGTAGGACGTTGTGCTTCCGATGATCCGTAGGTATTTTGCTCGAGCGAAAAAGAGATAGACGGGAAGGGGGGGGATGGGGAGCTGTATGTATTTATATCTTCGCTTGAGTGAAAGAAAAGAAGCTTTAGTAAGCACAACCTCAAACGGAATCCATTCACTAGATACTAGGCGTAGATCATGGAGAGGCGCGTCCAGGGAGCCGGTGAATTAAATTGACAGCGGGCCTTGCTTTATGAACGGCACCGTAGATACTTGATAATCTCCAAATCAGCCTCATCCCGTATTGCGTCCTTCAGGATGTTGTCGAAGTCCAGAGCATCTCCCACTGAAATGAGATACTTAATGATATGGAGGTATTCTGACTGTTCTCTACGAGTGCTGAGGCTTCCGCCTTTTATTGCCCAGCCGATGCATTCAGATTCGACCTGCCAGCCCTGCATCACGAGATACTGTATGACGTCCAGGTGCCCTTCAAAACACGCGTATAGGAAGCTCCACCGTCTTCTGCAATCCTTGATTCCGATGCGAACAAAGAACTCAACAACATGTAGGTGACCGGAAGAGCATGCGTCAGAGAATGCATATGGATCATCGTTCGCGTCAGCACCGATAGATACCAGAAACTTGATCGTCTCCAGATTACCCAAGCGGCTAGCATGTGCGAGGGGAGAGTTCAACAGCTCAAGCTCGCCATCATCACCCACACACTCAAGGGGCCCAACTTTGCTGAGCAGGGTGGCGTAGGTTGCATCGGGACATGACGAGAGAAGGAGCTTTATCGCATCCAGATGCGCGTGTTTTACCGCCCGCTCTATAGCGTTCTGCACGTCTGCCCTGCCTAGGCGGATATACGTTGTCCATAGAGTTCTTGGCAGCTTGGTGATATCTTGACCGGTTGGGTAGGCCCTGACCACGTCCGCTTGGGTAACCGCCCTATAGACGCTGGATATGCAAAGAAGATTAACCACGACTTCTCCTTTGCAATGCGCTAAGAGCAGATGGAATGGGAAAGCCATCGGTGTACAGTAGGTGGCCAGATATCTGGGTACGACGCGACAAGGACACATCATCCCGACCATAGCCACCAGCAAAAGTCGCCGGCCTGCCTGCCCATCTGAAGAAGTACGCAAATTGACGGCACCTTGTCGTTGACTTTTGGGTTGCACACGGAGGCTTGGCGAACCCGTCGTACCCAGATATCTGGCCACCTACTGTACAGTACACAGATCATCCCTCACCCGAAGCGATAGCAGAGCAGATCCATGCCAACCAGCATCCCACACAAATGGCTACCCCGTACAAACCTCTCAACCCTAAAGTGATCAGACCCAACTGGCCTTTCCTCCTCGCTACCCTACGTCTCGCTGTCTCTATCGGCCTCACTGGATACACTTCAACTCATGCTCAAGACATCCGCATAAAGATTGCACAAGAATGCGCCCCGTTCGCCTCTGGAGTCGCCGACTTTACAATATTCATCTCCGCAGTCGCCTCAATGGCGTTGATGAATTCTGCGCCATACGAAAGATGGCCTGCCCTTCAATACGCTGCTGCTTTTGTCATACTCTGGCTTCTCGTGGTGGCGATCTTTACATTCGTCTTTCAACTGGTCTCCGTTCCGATGGCCCTATATGAGAACTTTGAATGCGTCTGGAGCAGCGGTTGGATCAGAGGGTTCGCCATCATATTCGCCCTCATCAACGGACCTCTTGTACTGATGCTGGCTCTCGACGTGGGGGCCAAGTTGTGGAAAGTCTTGAGATGGTTTGCAAGGCAATCTATCATTGTCACTGAAGCGAAGAGGGAAGACAGTTCGGAAACTCATCAGCCGATATGCGTCTGCGTTGAGACTGATATAAAAAGTACGGATCCTCTCATCGATGTATAATACACCCCAAGGCGCCTATAGTAGGAATCAGATATCAGATATCAGATAGCAGATAGCAGACATGACAGAGCATCCTGTACCTGTACTAGAGTACGCCTATGACAGCACAATATACCACACTGATTGTGTCAAGGCTCTCAATTCTGTCCCTGCCGAGTCAGCCGATCTCATCATCTGTGACCCGCCTTACAACTTTGGGAAGGACTTTGGTAACGATAGCGATAAGAGGAAGGAGGACGACTATCTCGCTTGGTGCGAAGAGTGGATCCTGCAATGCCACCGTGTTCTCAAAAAGACTGGGACATGTTACATCTATGGCCTATCCACCACGTTAGCCCTTATCTTTGCCCGTATACACAGTAATAAAGCCATCACTTGGAAAGTGGACTGGCTCGTTTGGCACTACACGAATAAGACCAATCCAAAGGCGAAGACCTTCCAGCGGTCGCACGAAAGCATCCTTTTCTGTCGCTTCCCTGGATCCAAGTTCAATCGTGATCTGGTCCGGGAAGCCTAAACTGAAGAATACAAAAAGTACAGCCCCGGCCGGGTCCGAGCTGCTGATTCTACAGGGCGTATCAACTCAAGGAGTCTTGCAACCACCTACAACATCCATGAGGACGGTGCGTTGCCTCGAGACGTAATGAAAGTCTCAGCGTTGAGCGGGGCTTGCGGCAAATCAGAGGGAGTCGCCCATCCTTCGCAAAAACCGTTGCAGCTAACCGAACGGCTTGTCAAGAGTGCTATGCATACTGAAGAAGCATGCAAACCAATGTTCTCATTCCCTTTGCAGGGGCCGGGACAGAGATAATGGCATGCTGTAGACTTCCCGGCTGTAGATATCTCGCATTCGAATTGAACGCTGAATACGTTGCGCTCGCAAGGAAGCGTATGGATGGACTCCACAAGTAGGATCGTCAAGTCACAATACACATATTGATCAAGGATCGCGAAAGGGGCCTTCCCGGATCAATGTAAGCATCTCAATACAAAGCAGATGATGAGATAGAACTGCCCGACAGCCCTTGACCGTTATCGCCCACGATTCGTTTGCGGTGGGAGTCCCGCTGATACAATACGTAATATAGATACATAAGACCACAAGCAAAGCAAAGAATCCCAAGGTTACTATCCAACGATTTGGGTACGGGTGCGTCGTCCCGTATGGTTCCGTATGGTTGGAATTCGAAAGGCAACAGATACGATGTCGGGATCTAACACATGGTGAAGTGCACCCCCTGGTGTAGTACCAGACGTCGTGGATGTCTACCTCAACAGAACGCAGTCGCCCCCCCCATTCACCGAACCTCCCAGACACTCTTTGAGACATACCTCGGCTGCGTAACCACCTTTATATCCGACTTCCCCCATATATAAATGAAGCGGTAAGTTTTCTGCTCCTGCTGCTGGCCGTCTAAAAACTAGGGTCCCTCTTCTTCTCACAAAGTCGCCGTTGCTCCAGAACGAAACTCCACCAACAACTCGAGGAACTCCTCGCTAAGCTACCAGAGGAAGAAGAGCAGGCCCTCAAAAATCTTCCTTATCTTTCCAGCATTTTGAGAACCCTTGCTCCAAAGGTGAACTCTGTGGCAGTACGAGACTGCACAGACAAGGATATACGCAGGGTTCTGCAGCTGGACACGTCAGCTGTCAAGCGCACCAACCCCAGCTGGGCTTTACCGGAAGATGTCCCTCGCTACTCTCCGACGAAGTGGCTCAGTAAGTATTTCGCCGTTTCTCGCACCGCACAGTACCTCGAGGTCAGAGCTAAATAAAAATACTTTGGCAGAAAGCTCATGGGCAATGATTGACAAGTTTTGGAACCTCAACAGCGAGAACAGCACCCGGACAATCATTGATCTCTTCTTGCTGGACGTCATGGCACAAGCTCAAAACAGAGAACAGGACGAGTCGGCGAAGATAATGTCGACATGGACTGAGGTCTCACTGTCCCACATTCACGAAGGTCAGGAGCTCAGCGGGCGAGGCGATTATTTCCTTGGTTACTGCACAGCCATGGCCAAGACTTTAAGGACGCCCTCCATACGATGTTGTTTGTTGGAGAGGCGAAGGTGGCCGGTGGGGAGCGCTCACTGTGGCAAATCATTGCCTACTGTGGCATGTTACGCAAAGTAAGGAAGTGGGCCTGACTGACCCGGCGCTCATTGTCACTGACGCATCGGTTTTCAGCTGCGGCTTAAACACGTCGCATCCTCCCCGTATTCTCACAATGCAACCATTTACGGTTTTGTGACGGACTCCATCGTTTGGGAGTTCGTCCGCGTGGACAACAACGGAAAAGTGTTCCTTTCCCCGGCAATCACCAGCCATATCGATGTCCAGACCTGGCTCGGATACACGTTAAAATGCGCTCGTCAAAGCACGCGGACGGCCAGCCCCGCCGTTTCCCAGGCGGAACTCCAGGAGTTCTCGATCAGCATCGAGCGGTTCCGGAAGCTTGCGATGCCCAACCCGGACGACGAGGACGACCCCGAAGAAGATGCCAGAGCGGCAAGGGAGCTGCGGGAAGGCGTTGCTGCCAGTATGGCGAAAAATCCCGTACCGCTTGAGCCATAGCCGGCGCTGCAGATATGCTGCAGATTTGCGTTACGTGTCAGGAGTGTGATTATGTATATGTACAATAAGGCGTATGTATGTACAATAAGGAGATGAATATCTGTAGGCCGATTTACATATCACGAGTGCGTGAGTGTACATCGGCCTACAGATATTCATCTCCTTATTCATCACCCCTTTTTTTTTATGGGGTATGTTGAACGTGAAAATGGTCAAAAGTCGTTGGAAGGTTTGTACATCCCTCAGGTCGCTCCTCCAGCCCCGCCGCAAGCCCCGCCACAAGTTCCGCCCCAGGTTTCTCCCCAAGCCGTGCCACAAGCCGTGCCCCAAGCCCTTCAGTCGCCGCAGGACCACGCCATTGAAAACTTTAATGTCTTTGATGTCGATTAACGGGCGGTCTGATGACGATTTCCTGAATGAACTGGGATTGGACCTCTATTCTGAACCTTTCAGTAATATCAATGAGTATAGGAACTACACGCAGCTCTTGGCGGAAGTCCTCCATAAAGAGAACATCGAGAGATCTACATCGGGACAGCCCCTTTATGAGTTGGCTGACCCCGTTAACCATGGAATACCCCGAGAGGCTGCCTTTTCGATTCTCAACGCCATGGAACGCTTGCTTGATAGAGACTCGCCTGCTGTACCGAGTCCCGAGTCGATTCACTACCCTAGTCCTACCTCATGAAATCTTACCACCCCAGGCCTCAATAAGATTCTGTACAGAGATACAGAATCTGGCCTTCGCTTCGCTCAGTTAGATTTGGATACCAGCAGTCTCGGGTCGCCCAGGAGGCAGGGCGTTGCACCCCTCCTGGTCCTAGCGGACCGGCCCCAACCATTTATTAAAGGCGTGACCCCTTTAAGGGGGGGTGACCATAGAAAGCGAGGACGGACCTGATGAGCGAGCGTGTGTCCTCGATGGCGGGGGCCGCTCATACCTTTCGGGGCGGGCGGAGGGGGTCATACCAACCCTGACTGGGGATCGAAAGCCTCCGAATTGCCATCACCCACCCCTCCTCCTCGAAATCTCCCCCTCCAACTCCTCCAACCCAACCCTCAAACTCGCCGCATCCTCAAACTTCCTCCTCCTCAACGCATCCCCCAAAAATCCCTCCACCAACCGTCGCTGTTCCTCCAACACCCGAACCTCTTCATCATTCTGCGATGAGGATGAAGGGACGGCGGGAAGGGCTTTGTTGGGGGTGGTGATTTTGGGCATGAGTTGCAGCGTAAACATGTGGGTTTGAAGGAAGGTGATTATGGAGAGGTGGAGGGCGGTTAGGAGGCGGGTTGTGGTGGGCGTGGGCGTGGGGTGGGATTTTACGCGTTTTCTGAGGAGGGGGGGGGGGGGGGGGGGGGAGATGGGTGAGGATGCGAAATAGATTACGTGCATATATGTGTGTTGACGGGATACGAGACATACCCCAATTTGTCGAGCTCTGAGAACCATTCCATCAAATCTTTGCGGTACTTCGACGCCAGCTTGTACTCCGGGTCATCATACTCCGTCACCACGCGATTCCTAAATCCGAAAAGTAAGAACCAACCGCAACCACCCTCAGTAACCCCCAAAACGATTCATATCACATACGCCATATTCATCAACAGATTATTAAACTTTGGCAACACTTCAGTCACAGAAGCTCTATACCGCGTTATGGCACGGTACAGTGCCGCTATGGCCGTTGCAGATGGCGAGTGTACGTTGTTGTGTACGGAAATGGTGCGGTAGCAGTCAGGGCAGGCGCGGATTGTTGGGGCGTCTGGTGTTGGTGGTCCTAAATTGAAAAAAAAAAAACAGGTCAGGTGACTTAGAATCGGTGAATCTCCATATGATGCGACTGGACACATACCACCAGTGAGCGGCAACTCTTTGGAACACGTCTCCTGCCCACAGATAACCCTCCCGCACAGCCGACAATGATGTCGTCGATTCACAAAGCTTCCAAACTGCGAGTTGCAGCACGGGCATTCGGTTACGCTGCTGTCGTTTTCCCAGGCTACGATTGCTTGTTCGCCTACGCGGAGGTGCATCAGTGGGTTGATGGTGGCATTTGAAAGGGGTGACGGTGGGGGGATGAGCGACTCACGGATGCGTATCCTAGCCAACGTCTTTGTTGACAGCGACGGCCGTTGTCCATTCGTGGTCGGAACCCGTGCGTTCTCCTCGGCGTAGATCGTGCTGAGCTGGTCTCCTACACCCAATGAGTACACTATCCAACTATCAACCCCCGTCTGCCGAAAGCCACAAACATTCCCCAACCAAACCCACCTTCTCCAACCGCTTCTCCAACTTATTCACATCCATCTGCATCGTATCAATTCTCGCCTTCCGTAACCGTAGATACAGCTTTGTTCTGCTACGCGACACCCCGACAGAGTCCTTATAGCCTGCCCGCGATGTAAAGCATCCTTCGCAGACGCGACACCATGTGCCCGAGGTTGGGTCCGGGAGGGCGGATGGGGAGAGCTTCATTTGGTAGGAGGAGTGGGTGTCGCAGTGGAGGCGGCCGCATCTGGTCAGGTGCGAGGGGGGGTGTCAGGGATAACTTTGCAGCGAGCAACCGAGGAGTAGAATCTGACCCCCTCACAAGATGAACGTACTTCCGGCAATGGTGTCTCCCCGTCCTCAAACTCAACACCTTGCCACACCCATCCGCCACACACCGATCATTGGTGCCATCCTTCTGCCAATGTGCCCTGCTCACCCTTGCCTCCAACTCCTTCGCCGTCGCTGTGCCCGCCCCACTCCCACTGGGCGACCCCACACCCCCCTCCTCCCCATTCAACTCAAAAGCCCCGCCGACAGCCCCCGTTGTCGCCCCAACAACCCCCCCAACAATCCCCTCCACGCCCCTAATCGACTGTTGTGTGATACTCAGCGTCCCCGTAGCAGCCCTAGTCAAAGACGGCGCGACTCGCCGCTGAGCGGCTTTGAACCAGGATAACACGGCATCTTTTGTGCCGTCGTCGTCGGAGGAGGTGGGTTGGATGTGCTCGTCGTCGAGGTGCCGGTTGAGTTGGGATAGGTGGAGCATTGTTTCGCCTGTGGATGTGACATAGGTGGTGAGACGTCCCCACCCAACACGCACTTTCAGTTGGTCGGAACAACTTCAATTCACTTCGTACTTTGTACTTTGCCACACCAGCCATACTCACCACAGATAGGACACGCAACACCCTCCACCAGCCCGCCCATCCGGACCCCATCGCCAGCACTCATCCCGTCCACATCGTCGGCTGGGTCCCGCGGCAGCCGGACGAGGCGGGGCGTTGGGCTCATTCCCTTTGTCGTGGTGCCGTTGAAGCAGGCTGCGGGCAGTGCGTGGACAGCTGCGGGCGATGATGTTGTTGTTTGGTTATTGCGCTGGTGGTGTCGAGATCTCTGCGGAGCGAACCTACTGTACAGTATGACGCCCGGTGCACTCCCTTCTGCGCGTGGCGTTTCCCTGAAAAGGTTTAGACTCTAGAGCCAAACAAGAACAAGCTTCTTTTCGCACCCCCCCAGGCCTGTCGCCCTTTCCTGTTGGCCATCATGGGCACTCGGCACAGGAACACCCACGGACGCAGAGAAGTACTTCGCACACACTGCAGCCATACCTTCGCTCGGTTCACCGCCGCCTACAATGGACGGCTAGACGCTAGATGGGAAGCATCTTGACGCACACTTCACACTTCTCGCATAGCTGTCAGCCGGCACCTCGCATTGCACCCTACCCCCCTACGACTGCTCAACCCCTACGCATCTGAAAGCCACAGGCGACGAACGAACTTGGGGCGCCTGACGCAAGCCTTTGTGTCGTATTGCTCGCGTGATATTGAGGATAGCGTGGTGCAGCGACCACGGGTGTGAAATATTTCCTCTTGGAAAGGACAGACGACAAGGACACGTTATTCGGCGATAGATACGTAGATACCTCGATAGAAATACCCATCATTGCCCGCCAAATCAAATCCCACCTGAATCCCACCATGGCAACCGCCCACACCCGCCGCTCGTCCTACGACAGTTTCCGCCGCCTGATGGAGAACCCCCGGGCCAGCCTCATACCCAGCATCCACGAATCCGCCCCCGACACCGGGTTTCTCTCCGACTCTAGCATTCCATCTCAACCCCAACAATCACTCACCCACCGTCGCCCCTCCGACGCCTACAACAGCAGCAGCGACGCACCCGACAGCCGCACCACCAGCCGTGGCTCCCGACGTGTGTCCAACGTGGGTGCGGCGCGCAAGACGTCGGTGAAGCCGTCGTCACCGGGGGAGGTGTTGGAGGAGGAGGCGGCGGCGTGGAATATTAGGAGTAATCCGCCGCCGGGATGGGGACGCAATCCGAGGTCGAGGCAAGCGAGTGCGAAGGGGGGTGGCAGGAGGGTGAGTGGTGCTGGTAATGATGGTGCTGGAGGGATGGATGTGCCGAGGAGGATGTCGAGGAGGGGAAGCGAGTTGAATCCTCTTGCTGGTGATCCAACGACGAAGAGGGGATCCTTCGCCGGCGGCAGCACGACCGTTCAGCCGCGACTGAAACCGGGCGCTCCTACGCCCACCCGTCGGGGCCCGCTCCCAGTCCCTCGCGGCGGCCTCCTCAAACAACAACGGCTTCCCTCGGTAGACGAGAAAAAACCGCGCAACGCACGCCTCACCCCCGCCGCCCGCGAACGCAACGGCACGCTCACCCCGGACTCAATGGACGAAAAGAGTCAACACCCCTCTAAAACCAGATTCAAAGCCTCTACTAAATCAGTCGCCTTCCCACCCACCACGACCCCGCGACGCAAACAAAAACCCAAAACACCCCAACAACCACCCCCGGTCCCCCGCACATGGCAGTCCGTCCGGTCCCGCGAAGCCAGCGAACGACCTTCAAGGGAGGTCAGCATCATGCGCGACGACCTGATCCCGCCACCAGGCAAATCAGCCAACCCCCAACGCACCGTGAAAGCCAAAGTCGACTCATCCCGCTCCACCAAAACATCGCTCAAATCCCGGACCTCCAAAACCAAAAAGGACGACGCTAATCATAGTAATAAAGATGGGAAAGAAACGAAAGCACCAACAGGCGCAGAATATGAACGCACGAAACAACTCATCGCCTTGCTCTCGGGAACCACCTACGAGTTCGTTGGATTATCCGACCTCTCCCGCGGGGGTACAAAGCCCAATTCACCCGAAAAGCAGCGTGAGGGTGAGTCTGCCGGGGCCAATAGACGCGGGAGTGCGGCCGCAAGCACTGCGGCGGCGGCGGCGAGGAGGGATGTGAAGGGGCCGAGTCGGATGGTGGAGAGGAGGACAAGTATCAGGGGGACGACGCTTATGCCGCCGGGTGTTGGTGCGGGGGAGGGGAAGGTTGGGGTGGGCGGGAGGAGGGGGAGTGTTGGGGCGGATGGGCCAAAGGGTGGGGATGTGAAGGGGGCGGCGGCGAGGAAACGGTCTATTTCGGGTGCGGCGGGCAAGGACCGCACGACGACGGGAGGGAGGGCGTTACCGCCTATCCGAAACTACGCGATCTCGGAAGCGCTGGAAGTTGAGGGGGAGATGGAGGATGAAGACGCCACCGCCGCTGATGACTCTGCAGTCCCTCCCACCGCTGCTACATCGACAAAAACCAAACAACCCCGCCGCGGGCCCCAACTTCCCACCAAACCAGGCTCCAAAACGGCAGCAGCGAATAACCGCACAAGCGATATCCTCGCCGCCGCCGCCGCCGTCGCCACAGGTACAGGTGGTGTTGGGACATTTCCGCAACAACACGCCCAAAAACCCTCCCCCTTAGGCTCCCACGCCGCCTCCCTCGCCGCCTCCCTGACCATGCTCGCAGACCTCGGGGTCGATATCAAAGATATCACCATCCCCCTTCCCATCCCCGGGGTTGAAGGCGACACTGGAGGAGGCCAGTTACAGACGCTGGATTTGACGGACATGCAGAGTTTGACTGCGTTGTTTCCGGATGTGTCGCCGGAGGAGTTACGGCAGATATTATTGCTGGATGAGACTTCAGGGGTGGCGTCTGCCGATATGATGCTGCAACTGCAAGTGGACGAAAACGGCGTCAACCTCCCACCACCCGACGGAACTGACCCGACTGGACAACCAGGCGGCGGCGGCGTCCCCACCTTCGGCCTCCCCGCGCAAACATGGGGTCGCCGCGCCGCCGCGCGCACCAGAGCCGCTCATCCACACCTTCCCCACCCTCGCCACCCGCCGCCGTCTGAATACAAAGAACAGCAACACTACACGTACACAACCTACGCAGACAACCTAGCCTACCCCAACATCCTCCTCCCACCGTTCCGCATGCCCCCCGTCAAGCAGATATTGTATGGGCCGTACGAGGCGGCGTTGTGGAGGTACCTTGTAGCGAGGCAGGTTAGAGTTGTGAGGTTGGCTGTTGAGAGGGAACGGGCGAGGAGTGCTGGGATGAGAGTGGAGGTGGAGCTGGAGGGGGTGGGTGTGTAGGAGGGGAGGGGTAGAGTAGGGGGAGTAGGGGGTAGGCGCGAGTAACAGCCAATAACAGCCTTCAGCGCGAGATATTATAACTTAGGGGCTCGCAATTGCGGCCCGCGAGGGTATGTAGATGGCATATGGCAGGGCATACTGTATGGAGGCATCAAGCAGCGTTTAGCCCGAGGCTCAAATGCTGGTGGCCGAATTGTCGGTCAACCACACAACCTTGTTTCTTGTGAACTGCCTGCCCAGAGTGCAGAGGGCCGACCGTCGTGGAGAGGAGGAGCTCGTAGTAGTATAGAATGTTCGGTGACAAAACAGCACGAGGTGAAATTCCCCTGACGTTTTCTCCTCGTCCAGATGAACTAAGTACAGTACACCATGCAGGGAATCTTGCCCATAATGTGTTGTGTGGTGAGGGTGCCGAACTCAGATTTTCAACAACATTAAGAGGGACCAAGGATGGGCGACGACCCCCCTCCCTCTCACTACAAGCGACGGCCATGTACGCAAACAACAACGAACTCGCGGCCCACCATTCCAAAAGCGAGACCAGACCCCTGTTGGAGGCCCAATCTGTCCGCGTGACGCAATAGGGGAACGCATCGGTCCCGGGTATGTAACAATCGAAAGGCGACGGGCGCAGCGAAAGCGTCGGGGAAGCGGCAGGTACTCTAGAATGTGCTCAATGAGCTCGGTGGGGAGCGTTTTGGAGGCCATCGTTTGGGAGTAGACAGCCGGGCGCGTCCCGATCTGGTCTCCGTCGTTTATCGGCCATAACTCGCCCTGACAAATCTGCAAAGCCTCGACGTCGCCGCAAGTGGTTCGCAAAGAGTATCGTAGTTGTGCCTGCTGCGCTTGTGATGCATATTAGCAATGAAATCGATAGGAGCAACCGTTGCCGGAACTTGACAGTACGTAGGATTTTCCTGATGTGACGGACGGGCCTTGGCGACGTGTCTGGCCAACCGCGATTCCCAGATTGAGTTCGGAGCCATACCGAAAGTACAGCTGAGGAAGTTCTACACCACATCAACCCATCTGACGCTGAGATGGAATGTCAAATCCGACAAGGGGCGTTCTCTGGGGGGGCAGAGTGTACATAAGAGAAATCCTCCCAGCGGCAGCGACCCCCGCGGCGATAGACCCGTCCCAGCCCCACCCCCGCTACAACGCGATGCTGGCTACCTACAAGTCTCAGCTGATACTCTACGGCGGGCTGTTTGAGGATAAGAAGTCGGAGCATACCTTGGATGATCTGTGGGTGGTTAATCTGGATAAAGGCGGGCCGTGGGAGGTGGTGCAGAGGGGTGGGTGGGAGAGGGGGAATACTCCGATGGCGGCGCTGCGTGAGGCGGAGACGGGTGAGGAAACGAAGGAGGGTGGGGAGGAGGAGGAGAGTGGGAGTGATAGCGATAGCAGCGATAGCAGCGATAGCAGTAGCGATGAAGAGTGAGGATTTCGTGAACATGTGGTTGTGAGCGGAATGTGGGTTTTTTGTACATAGAAACTGCGCTCCCGATATAGTTCTTCATCGGAACATCCCCCCCTCCCACCGTAGCTTTCAGCCATAGCACTCGATAGCTCAAAAGAGATAAAGGAAAGGAAAGGGAAGGGGCTAGGGTTATCTGTTATTTATATGTCACTCGAGAAGAAAAATATATTGACAAATATATCGACAACGTTGCGGATATATTTACCAAATCCCTAGACGAAAACAAACACTGGAAATTTGTTCACGCTCTAGGATTGCGTCGAACAGCCGATGTTGCCCGATGACAATGAGTACGCCGAACTGCCGATGTTGCCTGATACGACGATGCGCTCTTTTCCTACTCCCAGGATCTATTTTTTCCTCACGGAGGTTTTTTTTTACGACTGGGAGAGGTTTTTACCGAGACATCCACGACTATGACGGCGAGGCGATGGCGGAAGATGAATAACGAACCGCGAGTGCCCATATCCAGGCTACACCTCAAGCGATCCTGACTTGAAGTTGAAAAGCGAACCGCGAGTGCCCATATCCAGGCTACACCTCAAGCGATCCTGACTTGAAGTTGAAAAGCGAATCGCGAGTGCCCATATCCAGGCTACACCTCAAGCGATCCTGACTTGAAGTTGAAAAGCGAATCGCGAGCCCGGCGACTACTCCTCGCTGGACTCAAGCAATCGCGGAAGTTGAGAGCGGAACGTTCAATGAGATCAGGATGCGGAGCAATGGCGACTGCGACTTCGACGGCGACTGAATTCGATCTGCAGTCTGAGAGGGAGTGTTGTAAAACAACCTGTTTCAGCCACAGCTTCCTTTTATAGTACCGTACCCCTTTTCCTCTCTGCAGTTAGAAAGCTGGTGTGTGCAGACTGTCCGATCGAACGTCTATAAAACGAGTGGTGTGTGTGAAGGGGAATAAAAGTAACGAGTTCCACAGCACGATGAGGGCAGAGACCTGGGTTCGCGCAAATGGCGCATGCATCCAGGGGATAAGGGAAAGAGAGAGCTCGAGCCAAAATCAACCCCAGAAGCTACCCTCGCTGCCCAGCTAGCTGCCCTGGAAGCTACCTCACATCCTTTACACGCGTGTAAAAAACGTGGGATCCCCACTCTACTCCTTCCCAACCCCCTTCCTTCCCAACGCAATTATTGTGAGCAGTAAGCATCCCCGTTTTCACCTTCAACCGCCACCAGGTAACAACCGCAATTCCTCACCGTCTTCAGCTTCATGACCACAGCACTGACGCGAGTTCTTTGACACACAGGTATCACGGCAATCAACTGCAACACCTCTCTCGACTGACTTAAGGCACAGCACAGTCATCATGTCATCACACCAAGCGCTCCAGGGGTACCTGTGGTGTGGCATATTTACTGGATCAACCACACCACGGCGGAAGAGGAGGAAGGTTGCTCCGGTTACCCCGCGGTTGCCCATACGTCTGCCAACTGTGCAGACACCTTTGCAACCCCCGCGATTCCAGTTCCCACCGTCTGTCCAGCGCCACTTGCCCGAAGCCATTGCAGACATGGTCAGCGAGAGTTCCGGCGATGACACGGGCAGCACCAACAGCGAGGGCTTTCACCTGTGGAAAGGGGTCTGCAGCGTCCGTTGAACCTCCCCGCTCTTATCCTTTCCCTTTTCCCAGCACACCGGGTGGATCCCTGGTGCTTGAACCCCCGCCTCCACCCCCGCCTCCACCCCCGCCTCCACCCCCTGCTCAACGGCCCCGCCCGCAGACGCATGCCTGCACCAAGGTTTCTCTTCATCGAATCCATAATCAGAATCATCAGAATCAAGTTCAAAGGGAGCGCCTGAGAACATTCATCGGCAATGTTCACATCCTTGCGCGCCACACCACCTTCTTCCTGAAGTACTACCTTGGTGAGTTTTTGGCGCACACTACACTGTATATTTCCCTTGAAACAATGTCCTGACTACTACATCTGCCCACCCCACCACAGCTGATCATCCTCTACACGATTTCCCGGACATCACCGACAAGCACATTAGTGTCATATTTGAGCTACTAAACAATCCAGGCTACAACGGCAATCCGGTCATCGCGCAAGAGTTGCGGCCGGGTTCAAGAGTACTGTAATGTTCACGGATTCGCCCCCATCCGCATGCGAAATTGCCAACAGACCGCAGCGTACACGGCTACGAGCATCCTCACAAACCTCAAAGTTAACGTACAAGAGCATTTCATGCAAATGTTTCTGCGCTACGTCAATGAAAGGCTTGGTTTGAAGCAAGTTGTACTGCATCTCCTGAGAGGGCAGCGGCGACACTATTATCGTCGTGTCCGTCAATTTACAAAGTACGCGACGTTTGAAGAGTACCCAACCGAAGAGGAGCTTGCGCGCCTCACACGACTTGAGCGGACCATCTCGACGAGTTATGGGCTCTGTTTCCTCCCCAGGATGAGCTGCTTGCGTACAGCCTCGCGGTGGACGCAATGCCATATTTAGGTGAGTTGCATCCTGTATATTTATCCACCCCCCCCCCCCCCGGGCAACAGGAAGCGGAACCCCCCCCCCCCCCCCCTGCGGCTTCCTCTTTTGGCTAATCATGGTCCGCACCTGCCTGTTATGGACGACGCGTCCATACCATGCGCTTACCTCATGACAGCATCCCAACAGTCAGTCAATGTCAATTCCCTGTCAAAACCTGACATCTGCCAAACCTCGCAGCCGCACGCAGCCGCGCTACCCCACACCTGCCACTGCCTTCATTTCTCCACGCAGCCGCACGTAGCCACACCTCCCAACACTCGGCGCTTACAAACCCTTCTCCATACTTCCCCACGTACCCGCCCACAGCCTCAGCGTAGCCACCCCATCCCCAGTCTTCTGTTTCTATGCTTCCCCCACCCTTGGCGCTTCTCTTGGCTTCCCTCTCATTCCGTACCCTTCTGCTTCCCCACGCTTCCCCAGCCTTCCCAGAAAAGCATAAATAGCCGCCTCCCCTGAGCTCCCCACTTCCTGATCCCCCAGCAGATCAACACCAGTTCTTCCTAGTCTTGTTCTAGTTCTTGTTTCGGTCTGAATACCATTACCTGTCAACAACCTGCACCACAAGTCGCCTCTATTTCCGTCGGCTCTGCCCATTCTTAACAGTTTGATCTGCTCAACAACCCCCAGCCGCTGTGCCTCCACGCCAAATCACCATGTCCGACGCCCTTCCCCTCACGGCCGAAGCCTGGCAAGCCATGTGCAATGCGATTGACGAACTTCGAGCGCAGAATACCACCCTACAAGCCGAACTAGCGCAAACCCAGACCACTGCCCCTGCCACTCACGCCCCCGAACCCAAAATCAGTCTCCCAGACAAATTTGATGGCACCCGAAGCAAGTTCCGTGGGTTCCTCAACCAGATCCGGCTCATGTTCGCCCTCCAACCCAGGCGCTACCCCAACGATCAGACCAAGATACGAACTATTGGCACCTACCTCACTGGCACCGCCCAGGCCTGGCTGGCGCCCCTTGTCGAACAAGACCATCATTCCCTTACGAACCTGGATGATTTCATCCAGCAAATGCAAGCAGTCTTTGGAGACAGCGACAGGATCCGCACGTCCGAAAACAAGCTCCAGAACCTTCGACAAACCCGTGCAGCAACAGAGTATGTAGCTGAATTCCGACAGCTGCAATGCGATGTGTCGTGGAATGACCAGGCATTGATTGCCACCTTCCGTCGCGGCCTCAAAGAAGACGTCAAGGACTTAATGCTCACGATGCCCCCTACCGCCTCAATCGACACCGTGATGGAACAGGCCATCCAATGTGACAACCGATTGTTTGAGCGCCGTCTAGAGCAAAGCAGGAACCGACAGCCATATGTGCCAGTTACCACTAGCCCCACCCTTATGAGCCCCGACAACCGCCCAGACGACCCTATGGTCATTGACGCTGCTCGTCCGCGAGGACCCCTCACACCGCTAGAGCGCCAACACCGCATCACAAACAAACTTTGCCTCTATTGTGGTAAACCTGGCCACATAGCCAAACTCTGCCCAAACAAGATACGCACGGCGAATGTCGCGGTTAAGGAACCTGCACCCATCCAGGATTTTGCCCAAGTCCAGCTGCAGTAAAGGCCGAGCAGCTGGGCAACACCTGTCCTGGGCCTTCTCACCACGCAAGTACTGCCAAGGGAGAAGCCACAAAACCTTGCTCCGATCCTGGCATCTCCAGCAACACCCTTCTCCTGACCACCAACAATGTCAATCTCCGATCTGAGATACCCGCACCCATGCGGATTTTGGGCCCATCCTCACCATTTGAGTACCCTGTTACCCTGCAGATATCGGCCCAGCGAGCTCCAGTTCAGCTTTCAGCACTACTTGACAACGGTGCGATGTTGTGCTTCATCGACGAAAGTTATGCCCGCAAGCACCGCATCCCACTTGTCAAGAAGGAGGACCCCATTGCGCTTGAACTGGTTGACGGACGTCCCAGCCATGCGGGCTCCATTACCCATCACACCCAACCTTTGGGCATGTGGGTCAACGACCATTTTGAGGAGATGGTATTCCATGTGACATGTTCCCCGCATGCGCCAATCATCCTGGGGCTTCCCTGGTTTGAGCTCCATGATGTGGAGCTACACCGGAAGACTCGCACTCTTTGCGTCCGCTGCCATTGCGGTTTTGGACAATACGCCTCCTGGGATGCCCTGCCAACAGAACCTAGCCCAAAGCCCTCAAGAACCCCTGAACCTCTGATCCGTATCCATCAAGACGAGATTTCAGTCTCCCTAGCCCAGACACCCAACACACTGGACCCAGCACCCACACCGATCCACGTATCGTTTATCAGCGCCCCAGCTTTCCGTGTGGCGGCAAGGCATGACCAGGCATTCATTGCCTACGCCAATCCGACCAAGTCAGATTCCCAAGCCCTGGCGACCACTCCTCCAAAAGATCCGAAGGCCATCATTCCTGAAGAATACCAAGATTTTGCGGACGTCTTCGCCAAGAAGAACGCGGATACCCTCCCAGAGCACCGACCCTACGAGTGTCCCATCGACTTAGAAGAGGGCAAACAGCCACCGTTCGGCCCGATCTATAGTCTCAGCGAGCCTGAAATGCAGGCACTCTGTGACTACCTTGAAGAGAACCTAGCTAAGGGGTTCATCAAGCACTCCAAGTCTCCCGCCGGTGCCCCAGTCCTCTTTGTCAAGAAAAAGGACGGTTCCCTCCGTCTGTGCGTCGACTATCGTGGACTCAACAATATCACCATCAAGAATCGCTATCCCTTGCCCTTGATTAACAGCATCGTGGATCGTCTTCGAGGGGCACGCCGGCTCACCAAGATTGACCTCCGGGGAGCCTACAACCTTCTTCGGATCCGGCCAGGGGATGAATGGAAGACAGCGTTCCGATGTCGCTACGGCCTATTCGAGTATAATGTCATGCCGTTTGGGCTCACCAATGCCCCTGGAGTATTCCAACACCTCATGAACGACATATTCCGTGACATTCTCGACGTTTTTGTTGTGGTCTACCTTGACGACATTCTGATCTTCTCAAAAAACCCAGAAGACCACCCCAACCACGTCCGAGAGGTGCTCTCACGGCTCCGCCAGCACGGGCTGTATGCGAAACCGGAAAAATGCGAATTCAACCGTGACTCTGTTGAGTTCCTGGGGTTTATCATCTCCCAGCAAGGCATTTCCATGGACCCAAAGAAGACGGCTGCCATTACCGAATGGGAACCCCCGACGAATGTCAAAGGCATCCAGCGCTTCCTTGGTTTTGCCAACTTCTACCGGCGATTCATCAAAGGGTACTCTGCGATCGTTGCACCCCTGACCACGCTCACTCGCAAAGACTTGCCATTCAAATGGACCCACGCTGCACACCTAGCTTTTGAAACCCTCAAGAAAGCCTTCACCTCCGCACCTATCCTGACTCACCCCGACCCTGACAAGCCCTTCATTGTCGAATCCGATGCCTCCGACTTTGCCCTTGGCGCCGTCCTCCTTCAACCCAACGACACAGATCAACTCCACCCCGTGGCCTTTCACTCCCGCAAATTTACTCCTGAGGAAATCAACTATGAGATCTATGACAAGGAACTCCTGGCTATCCAAGACTCATTTGCTCAATGGCGACACCACCTCATTGGTGCCCGCCACAAGGTCATCGTTTACTGTGACCACAAGAACCTCCAGTACTTCATGACTACCCGTACCCTCAACCGCCGCCAATCCCGCTGGTCAATCTTCTTTGCTGATTTCGACTTTGTCATCACATACCGCCCTGGTACCCAGCAACACCAAGCTGACGCCCTCTCTCGTCGCTCTGAATACGAGCTAAGGGAGGGGGAAGAAGCATTCCACTCCCAGGAAACCACGATCCTCACCCCTGACCATCTCCGCCTGGCCGCCACTTATCTGACCCCACTGGACTCCTCGCTCCTTGACCAAATCAAAGCTGCCCTGGCATCCGATGTGTTTGCGCAAACCATCCGGCGACAGCTTAGGGCTCCCAGCAATCTCAAGAAGACCAAGAACGGATAAAGCGATTCTCCGAGGAAAATGGGGTTCTGCTGTACGACAACCTTGTCTACGTCCCCACCAACAAGCTCCGTGCTGAGATCTGCCGGGACATGCATGACACGCGTTTGGCAGGACACTACGGCATGTCAAACACCCTGGAGCTCATCTCACGCAACTACTGGTGGCCTAGCCAATGGCGTTTTGTCAAGTCCTACATCAGGTCCTGCGACGTATGTGCTCAAGCCAAGACCAGCAGACACAAGCCCTACGGTCTCCTCCAACCCCTGCAGGTCCCTGACCGCCCCTGGGGGTCAATTTCCATGGACTTCATCACGGATCTACCCGCCAGTGATGGGGTTGATTCTGTGCTCGTTGTCATCTGCCGGTTCACCAAGATGGCGCACTTTGTACCGTGCAGGAAAACTGCCACCGCTGAGTCAACTGCAGATCTGATCTGGCACCATGTCATCCGGCTCCATGGACTCCCCAACGATATTGTATCTGACCGTGGCCCACAGTTCAACCCCCACTTCTGGAAACGTCTCTTCGCTCTCCTGGGAACCAAGGTCAACCTCTCATCGGCGTTCCATCCCCAGAGCGATGGACAAACCGAGCGGACCAATCAGATTCTTGAGCAATACCTTCGCTGCTTTTGCAACTATCAACAAGATAACTGGAAGGAACTCTTGTCTTCTGCTGAGTTCTCTTACAATAACACCATCCACTCCGCCACCCAGACAACCCCCTTCTACGCCAACTATGGGTTCCATCCTCGATTCAGTCTGGCTTCCGCCACCACAACCGAATCCCTTAATCCTGCAGCCGAAGCTCGTGCCAACCATCTCAAGGAAATCCATGAACAGCTTGCCACTGAGCTCAAGGAGGCCCAAGGACGCATGAAGCGCTTTGCCGATGCTAAGAGGGCACCTGGCCCAGACATGAAACCCGGGGACAGTGTCTGGCTCTTACAACGGAATCTCAAGACTCTCCGACCTTCCCAGAAACTTGATCACCGTAAGATTGGCCCCTTCACAATCACGGAGAAGATCAACTCGATCACATATCGCCTCAAGCTTCCCCCATCCTACAAAATTCACAACGTCTTCCATGTCTCCCTTCTTGAACCACGTTTCACCATTCCGGAGCGAACTGAGCCAGAACCCACCCCACCAGAAGAAGTCGAAGGACAGGAGGAATAGATTGTGGAAGACATTCTTGACTCCCGTATTCGACGCACGCACCTTCAGTACCTCATCAAGTGGCAGGGTTGGCCAAGCTCGGAGAACACATGGGAGCCAGTGGAACACCTTGCCCGCTGTCAAGAGCTTGTTGCCCAGTTCCACCAAAAGTACCACGACAAACCCCGACCAAAGCCTGCCAACATCAAAACAACATCCGGACGCCGTGGCTAAAGGAGGGGGTGATGTTATGGACGACGCGTCCATACCATGCGCTTACCTCATGACAGCATCCCAACAGTCAGTCAATGTCAATTCCCTGTCAAAACCTGACATCTGCCAAACCTCGCAGCCGCACGCAGCCGCGCTACCCCACACCTGCCACTGCCTTCATTTTTCCACGCAGCCGCACGTAGCCACATTTCCCAACACTCGGCGCTTACAAACCCTTCTCCATACTTCCCCACGTACCCGCCCACAGCCTCAGCGTAGCCACCCCATCCCCAGTCTTCTGTTTCGATGCTTCCCCCACCCTTGGCGCTTCTCTTGGCTTCCCTCTTATTCCGTACCCTTCTGCTTCCCCACGCTTCCCCAGCCTTCCCAGAAAAGCATAAATAGCCGCCTCCCCTGAGCTCCCCACTTCCTGATCCCCCAGCAGATCAACACCAGTTCTTCCTAGTCTTGTTCTAGTTCTTGTTTCGGTCTGAATACCATTACCTGTCAACAACCTGCACCACAAGTCGCCTCTATTTCCGTTGGCTCCGCCCATTCTTAACACTGCCTCATCACAGGTGCCTACTGTGAGCTCTCACGCCTCTATGAGCGCCATGGAATGTGGCTGTTTTCCGCTATCCCGCTGCGCAAATCTCAAATCCAGTCATCTGTTCGGATCGACACGCTGATCCTAGGCACTCATATCCTGGATGTTGGCCGACGTCGCATGGGGAAACTCACTGATGAACGCAAGCAGGGGCTGTGGGGGCAGTTTCTCAATGTGAATGTAAGTCTGTATCCTTCCGCTCTTATTTCAGTCAGATTACATCGCTGAATGACGGATTGTAGGACAAGGTCTTCAAACATTGAAAGAAGCTTGGTCTCAAGTTCGATGGGTCAATTAGCACCAACGGGTATTCTGTTGCCATCCACTTCAAGAAGCCTGGGCTCAAGTATGGGCATCAGGCGCGGAAGCGCAGCAAGGCCCAAATGCGGGAAGGGGTCAAGCAGCTGTATGTTGAGCACCACATTGATGAATTAAGGGAGGCTCCAAACATCGTCTGCATTGATCCAGGCAAGCGTGATCTCCTGGTCTGTCGAGGAATCGAAAAGGAGCGCCCATTTCGGTAAGTTTCAGTGGATTACTACTGCCCACCTGTCCCCCCTGTCCCCGCTGTCCCTGCTATCTCTGGCACCCCCCTCGCCCCCGCCCCCCCCCCCCCCCCCCCCTCCCAATCCCCGACTTCGCGGAGGATGGTGCGCAGGTGTTTGCGGCGGTTTACTTGGATGGGGTGGTTCCCTCGTCCCCGTCCCCGCCATCCCCCCCCCACTCACCGTCTCCGCCATCTGTTGCCGCGTTCTCACAATGCACCATACCATACCAGATACACATCCAATCAGCGGGCGGTCGAGACAAAGTCGCGGTACTTTCAAAGAGACTTGAGAGAGCGAAAGATCAATGCCGGCATTGCCGAGATGGAATCACATATTCCATCGCACAAGAGTAGGAACATCGAGGCGTTCTCAGCGTTCATTGTGGATCGCGTACATGCGGGTATGATGTTCTACTTCAATTTTGATCTTTAAATTGGGTAATACATGGGCTGACATCCATCCATATCCCAGATCCCGCCCTGGATGAGTTTTACGGGGATGAGATTCACGTCGCTCGCAGATTCAAGGCGTTCTCACTGCGGCAAAAGTCTGAGAGCAAGCTCATTACGAACATGCGACGCCGGTATGGAAAGCATTTTTCGGTCATCTTGGGTGATTGGAGCGACGCTGGGAAAACGATGCGCTTTCAGGAGTCATCGAAGACCAAGGGGTGAGTGACCATCATTGTTTTTTATGTACTATAATATGCTAACTCATCATGGAAATTAGATTCCGCACACTCTTTGCAAGAAACAGCATTCCATGCTACTTGCTAGATGAGTATCGAACGTCGTCCGTGTGCCCCCACTGCCACGGTCGTGTGAGGAAAAACATCCGACGATGGCTATCACCTCGGCCGTGGCAAGCTAGAAAGGGAAGAATGGAGTTCGTCCATGGATTGGTGGGTTGCCCCAACCCCGAATGTATCAACCAAGACTGGACGCCATTTGAGATTCCTGGAAGACAATCATTACGGATGAAAGTGCACAATCGGGACGTCCTAAGCACCAAGAATTTCCTCTCGATTGTGCGCTCGGTGGTGCTTGGCAATGGCCACAGACCAGACGCATTCTCCCGTAACCGGTAGTCTAGAGTTTTCACCCCATCCCATTTTCCGTGGTGGTTATCTGCCATCCACATCATTGTACCTCTGCCGGAGGCATCGCCGATGATGGCAACTTGTAAGAGAAATACAAAAGGGTGAGCTGGGGTACGTATGCGGCGAAGGTCTTGGGGGTGGAAGCGGATCAGGCGGACCCACACGTCGGAGTGTTGGCATTGTTCATGGCGCATTGCGCTGGTTGTTTTACGCCCGTTTACGAAACCATGTAGAGTATTCAGATCCTTTGGAAGCAAAAGATATGAGAGTGAACGATTTGTCCCATATTCGTGTGTCTGTCATTTGGAAAAAGTCGCTCAAAAAGCTTCTCCCACAATTTGTATGTGCGGAAGATCCGAGGCACATTGGACACTTAATCGTCTGTGTGCATTGAAACCCGAACGGAGGGGAGGGACTGGGCCCGAGACGACATGAAGCAACGTTTTTGGGTGCCCTCGACGCCCCCGCATAGACCGAAATTGGCCCACTATGATGAATAGGAGCGATGCGTTCGGGACCGTCCCGCACTCACACCTGACCTGAACTTCGGCGGATGAGACCATAAGACCCACTTGGAGATACAGGATCGGAGGAAACCTGCGAAAAGTGTATATCATTTTGAGATGCCGTAGATGAGGTAAGAAGGGGTATTATGACTTTATGGTATGGTAAGGAAAGAGGAATAACAACAAATGAAGAGTATCGAGTATCCGAAAAAGAAACGACTACGAGTAAAAAAAAAAAAAAAGCTATGGTTAACAGTCCGTTGCTCATGAAAGCCAGCAGCGGGGGGCGGGCCCGACCATCCACCACAATCCCCTCAGAACGGGTTCTTATCATCCGGCTTGAGGCTAGCCAACGTATGATTAACATCTCGATGCTCTGCCTCGTCCGCCCTCACTGCCAGCACCATATCCCTCAACGTCGCGCCGTCGCCCAGCTGCCAATACTCCCTCGCGATCTCGGGTGCCGGGGTGGTGGCCCAATGCCTGAGCTGTCCACTCTCGATATCCTTCAGACAGTGGGTGTATGTGTGTACGGCGGATTCCTCGAGATACCCGACGAAGCGGTGGCACATGCGCGGGGAGAGGATGTAGGAGAGGAAGAAGAGGTTGAAGAAGGTGCCTTGGGCGAGGAGGACCATCATGCGGAAGGGGAGGTTGGGTTGTTTGACTTTGAGGAAGGAGAGCAGGTGCATGCGTTCGTTCTGCGCTTCGTCTAGCAAGGTATGGATCCACCCGTTGTCGCGTTTCAGTAACCGAAGGGATCGTAGATGGCGCAGGATCCCGCCGACGAACCCCGGCACCCCCGCGACGGTCTCCAGGAAGACGAGGCGGTTGAGCCATTGGTGCTCGGTCATGGCGCCGACTTGATCGGAATAGCGCGTGGCTGTGTCGAACCCGAAGCGCATGACGCGGACGAGGGCGTAGGAGACGCGGTCGGAGAGGGATTGGATGTCGCGGTGGGTTACGGCGACGTTGAGTTCGGAGGGCGAGTAGATAGGGCGGGCGAGGACGTAGGATTTTTTGGTTTCTGTTGCTGGTTCTTCTTTTCGCCACTGAGTTGAAGAAAAGATCAGTATACTATGATATCAACCATCATGAAGCAACATCAAGCACACGGCGTCTACGATGCTCGCGCCCGATATCGCTCCGGCTCCCATCGCAACGAAACAACACACCCATCCACATTTCCAAATTCGTGCAACTCACCGCGGTAGTATTAGGATCCACATTAACCTTCGGATGCGGCCCGCTCCTCGTCGTCAGCGGCAGCGTCGTCGTGGACGCATCGCTCGACGGGATCGGGTCTGTTACGCGCGGGTGGTCGGCGAAATTGCCGGTGCGGACGCGGGGGGATGAGGTGAGGTATCGGCGCGGCAGGGCGACGGAGAGGGAGAGGAGCGCGGGTGAGGGGGTGTGATGGGTGCAGAAGAGGCCGAGGCGTGAGGAAAGAAGGTGGTGTGACATTGCTGTTCTGTGGTGTCTGCGATGACTGTATAGCTGTATATGACTTTTATCGAGTTCTGGATGAGGGGGGAAAAACATTAACCTCCACCGCCTTTATATGCTTGTGGTTGGTTGATAAACCTACGATGCGTCCGGTTGTCGTTTGCGGTATGGGTCGGGGGTCGGGATCTCCCGCCGGTGGTTACTATGGGCCGGTTTCCAGACGAGAAACAGCCTCCATTGACGGACGACGCGCCCGCCGAAAACAGCCGCTAATAATAGAGTGGCTCACCCAGCCCGTCAAATTCCGACGCCAAACAACTCAAACTCCGCCTCAACAGCAAAACGCCCAATCCAATGTCATTATGAGATACAAGGCGTCTGTAGGTGTACGGGTTTTTTTTTCCGATTTCAAAAGAATGTACAAGAGGGGGATATATACAAGCATTTACAGAAGGGGGGCCTCGGAAGAAGGCGCAGGATGTCGGAGGAAAACGGAAGGAAAAATCTATGATACAACGCATACGCCAGTGAAAAACTCTACAGTAAAAGAAGTGGATGATCAAGAGAGAGAGAGAGAGAGAGAGAGAGAGAGAGAGAGAGAGGGATGGAGAGAACGCCCGTGGTTAAGATATCGCTCACTGAGCGGAAACCTTAACAAGCGTCTTCTCCAACGTCTGGAACGTCGTGGGTCCCGCCACAACATGCTTGTCATTCTCAATCGTCACATCCTGATCCTGATTCACGATAAACACCATCAGTTCCTCAAACCCAGCGGCTTCAGGCGGGATCACGCAGTCGGCCAGGTTGTTCCCCTTGGCGTCTTTCGAGATGGTCACCGGCGTGCGTTTCTGCGCGAGGCCAAAGAGGATGTCGCATTGGAGTGCCCCGGGCGTGGTCAGTTGGGCTTGGGTGAGGGTCGCGGTGAAGAGGAGGGAGACCTTATCGCCGATTGCGCCGTTGGGGTTGGCGAGGGATAACGCTGGGAAGGGGGCTACGGGGAGTGCGAAGGGGCAGGATTTGATGAAGGGGGCTGCGATGGACAGGATGGGTGCGAATCCTAGCGGGGTGTCGAAGGAGGCGGGGATGGGGTTGATGTTCTTTGCGGATCCGTCGCCCTGTTTTTGGGCGTTGACGGCGTTCAACAGAGCGGCGTGGCGGCCTTCGACGGTCGCGATTGCGGCGCCGGCGGTCTTGACGGCGTTGGATTGGATGAATGCGATGGCTCCCGTGTATGCGCTCACACCCGTACGTTCGAGGGCGGCGGCGGTGGCGACGAACCCGGCGACCGTGTCAAAGTTGAAGTTGTATTCACATGCTCCCACCGCGGTTCCTTTGCCGAAAGCGGTTTCGATCACCCCCGTCAAGGCCGTGACGTGGGTGTCCTCGTGGCCCTTGATGACGAGCATCTGGTCGCGGATGGCTGGGTCGAAGCCGGCGGCTTTGAAGGCGTTTGCGTCGAATTTGTCCAGGGCCTGCTTGTAGAACGAGGCTTCGAGGAATTCGAGGGTGAGGGCGTAGTTGAGCACGAAGAGGTCGCCTTGCGCGGGGGCGCCGGCTGTGGAGAGCGTTGGTGCTGTGCCGGGGAATACGGTCGCGGAGCCTGACGCGGCGGAGACGGTGGCGGATGCGGATGCGGATGCGGATGCGGTGTCGGTCGAGGTTGCAGCTGCGGCGGTCGCCGTCGCAGATTCAGTCGCACTCGCGGCCCCGACACTGACAGCCACGACAGCACCCCCTTCAGCCGGCGCAGCATTGCTCGCATCAACCACACTCACATCGGCCAACGACGCAAATGCGGCAGTCGCAGGTGCAAATGCCGCGGGGGTGTTGTCGTCGCCGTCCTCCGCATCATCACCGTCGTCGTCGTTACCGTTTTCATCATCAAACGCCGCCTCAGCGTACCGCGCCCTGAGACTCACATGCCTGTGCTCGAGATCGTGGATGCCGCCCAGCGCCGCGATGGACGAGTCGGAGAGCACGGGGTGCGAGAGGACTTGGGTTGCTGAGGAGGCTAGCAGGAGGAGCAGGGGTACTGCGGAGAAGATATTTTTGATTGGCATGGTTGCTGCTGTGCTTGAGTGGTGAAGAGTGTGTGTGTGTGTGTGTGTGTGGTGAGGGAAGGAGGGAGAAACAAGCTCCGGGGGTGCTCCTTCTAAAGAACTAAGAAAGCGAGACAGAAAAGCGCTGCTTGTGTTGTTGGAACGGAAAGAGAAACAGAGATTCGCAAAGAAAAAGAGAGAAATGGGAAAACGAGAGGGGCGGCGTGCGAGCGAGCCACTCCTTTTATCAGAACAGACACCGAACGACGAGAAACCGCTGTGCCTCCACTCGCTCGCCCCCTCCCTCCCTCCCTCCCGGCGTCGCAACTCCCCCAGATTCAAAACACGCGCCAGCTGCCGCCCCCCCCCCCGCCCCCCCCTCGCCCCTTCCCTCCGACATGGACGGAATCTTCGCTATAGTATTTACTACGGACTTTAATTGCCTGCTGTGCCCAATAACGAATTTCGCACATATGAACTGCCAGCCACGCGCTCCCCATCCCCAATCCCCCCCTTTCTCGCTCAGTTCAAACCCAATCAACCGCCGCATTGTTAATTATCCTTGCTCCCCCCCTAACGAGGAGTTATGTCTAAGTATGGACCAGTGAATCGTCACCCCCCAGAAGTTTCCTGAAACGGGAGCTTGCTGCGGTGCTTGTTGGTGCGCCTGTTGAATTCGTTGATTGCCCCCGTTTCGTAATCTGACTGACGCGTTCGCTTTCCCACACGCATCAGTGAGGCACGTGACGGCCTTCTGAAACACCGGAACGCGACCGCCACGGAGCTCCTGTTTCAGGATGCGCTCGCCTTCCCACTTCCACAAGCGAAACCCACCAAACTGACGGTCCGTCGGCAACACACTTGGATATGGATGGATCAGAGGATTCTATATATAAAGAGGTTGGAGTCGGGACCTCGGGGGATGCAGCTGGGTATCGAGAGGTGGGTCAATTCGCCACCGTCGATTGTTCTGCACCTCTCGTCTCTTGTGCGCGGTGGTCTTTTATCGACTCAGGATGGATGTACTGTACGGAAGGACAGGTGTATGGAGTGTTCTTTTGCCTGCGCTGTCGAATTGGAATTGGAGAGCTGTTTGTGAGCCTTCCGGATCGGAGGGCGGCTGAGCAAAAGGTATATTCAAAGGAGACAGTCAGAGAGAGGGGCGAGGGCGGGACGGGACGGGAGGGCGACCGAGCTTGCAGTTGACAGCGACAACGCACTTTCCATCTGCCTTCTGCCCCTCTTCCTTCCATCGCGTCCCCGCCCTGGCCTCTCAGATGGTGCCGAAAGTGAAAAAGGTAAAAATGAAATTAAGTCAGAGAGGTAAAGCGATTGTAAGAACCTATCCGCACCGACGGGGTGTGAGGCCCGTCTCAGACAGGGATAACTGTTTTATTTCTGGAATCTCATCATCCTTAACATTCATTCTCCCAACCTCTCTCATACAGAGATGGGAGCGTGAAGTGAGAATCGAACTCGCGCGCACAGGGACGCGCAGGGGCGTGTTGGGCGGGCGAGCCAAAACGACACTTGGAGTTTGGAGTGCTTTTGCGCATCTATATTCGTTTGAGAGAGAGAGGAGAAGCTGCGCCTCGGAGGCTCTCAGGGGAGTGAGTCACGGGTGATGGATTGACCGCAAGCGACCGCACCGCAGCCTCTCTGGAAATCGCACCCACAGGAACTGAACGGACTGCAGGCATGCAACGACGACGAATATTAGAGGCCGCCAGGCATTGAGAGAGCCCTCTGCACAGTCAAGTGGTGGGAAAGAAGCCATTTTACGTACCCCTTTCCTCGCAAGATCCTGAGTCTAACTGCTGGTCGTCAAATTCACCGCTCCCAAGTCCGATCGGGCATTGCCGGGACCGCATTACCACTAAACCCACCGCTCCAGCATGATACCACCAACACCCTCCTCAGGGTGGAACTTCCTCCTCTTGCTGGTGCTTCCCTTCGTCCAACTTGTATCCGGTTCAGCCACACGAGTGGATAGACGAGCCATCCTAGAACCCGACGCAAAAGTCCCGCCACCCCGGTAAGTTTCCCACAATCTCAAATTCACCCCGTCCTCGCAAAGTCCCCCAACCCGCTCTCCTCCACATAGACCGGATTTCCAATCCCTAAGCCGCGGTCCCTCCTCCCTCAGCTTCCCTCCCTCCTTACCATCCAACTCCCACTCATCCCCAACCCACCCGCGACCAAAACCAAAACCTTTCAAACCCGCAACATCCTTCGAATTCTCTACCGACGACACACCCGCCGCGGACGAATGGACCGACCGCCGCGTTCCCTCCGCCTACCTCGCCCCCCACATCGAGCCCGCATCAGTGAATGTTGAGAACTCGATCGGGAATGGTGCCGGTGTTGAGAGCTCCATCGGGAACGGTGCCGGTACGACTATCCCCTTCACGCGTTGGGGGGCGTTTTTGCCGAAAGGAACTGCGATGTTGGGTGCTATTGGGGAGGGAAGGGAACGGTGGGGTGGAGGTGGGATTATGAAGGGGTTTACGGGGGGAGAGGGTGGGAAGGGGAGCAGGTTGGTGCCTGCGAGGCCGGTTGTGGGATATTTCGGAGGGGTGGTGGGTTGAAAGGCGGGCGTCAGGGGAATGTATGTATGAGTTTGCGTTTGGATGGGTCTTGGTTTTTCTTCTGCTCTTCTGGTGATGCATATACATTTTTGTTCAATGAATACGATCTGCCTTTTTCGTAGTACAAGATACGGATGTAACGTATGTACAAGTTCCAACGCATATTCACATCCTACACATCTTGGCGGTGAGACGCTACATACACGTATCATAAAGGAGACACAGCCAGACGCATTGTTCAAGTATCCCATCGTCGCCTCCTCTGCTGTTCCGGTTGTTGCGGTGGCTGCTGTTGCGGGGGCCGCTGAGGAGGTGGTTGTTGTTGTTGTGCCGTACCACCAAGAAACGAAGTAGAAGACCCCTGCGCACTCTGCGCCCGCTGGAACGCCATAAACCCCGTCCCAGCACCATACGACGTCGGCGGCGGCGGCTGCCTCGAATAACCCCCTCCCGGCGCCCCCAACGATGGCGGCGGCGGATGCCTCGCAAACCCACCCCCACCCAACGGCACACTATTCGCCCCACCCCCCGATCCACCTCCCTGCCCGAACCCCACCCCCCGTCCCCTCCCCCTGCCTCGCCCCCCACCTCTCCCCCTCCCCCTCCCACCGCGCGCAAACCCCTCCCTCCCCTTCCTGAACCGCCCGTTCCGCATCGCCACCCCCATCACATCGCTCTGAACAGCGACGCCCGATTCTTCAAGGTTGCGCACAAGCTCGGCCGCGAATCTGTCTTCAGACTGCGTGATGAGCGTGTGCGCGTCGCCCTTTGTGCCCGCGCGGCCCGTGCGCCCGATGCGGTGGATGTGGGTTTCTATATCCTTCGGTGCTAAAAAAAAAAAACCAATCCCCAAACAAAAAGAAACCCCCCGTGTCAATCGTACAAGCCCACAAAGACCAATGGGTTGTGAAGCAGGGGGGGGGGACATACCATCGTAGTTGATAACGGTGCGCACACTCTTGATGTCGAGTCCTCTAGCCGCGACATCGGTGCATACGAGGAGTTTGAATTTCCCCGCCTTGAACTCCCGCACGACCCGGTCCCGATCCGCCTGCATCATGTCCCCGTGCAGCTTGGCACACTCCACGCGGGCGCCCTGCAACGAGTCCGTGAGCGCGTCCACGCCCGCCTTCCGGCCAATGAAGACCAGCACGCTTCCCTCGGCCGTGAATGCAGGGAGGTGGGACGTGAGCCAGGCCCATTTGTAGGTGTCGTCGGGGAGGACGTGGATGTGTTGGGTGATATCTGCGTTCGCGGCGTTCTGGGCGCCGATGGAGATCCGCACCGGGTCGGTGAGCACATCCCTCGCGAGGCGTTCGACGCGTTTCCGCATCGTCGCGGAGAAGAGCAGGGTTTGGCGATCGGGGCGAACGGCCGTGCAGAGGGAGCGGACCTGCGGCTCGAAGCCGAGGTCGAACATCCGGTCGGCTTCGTCGAGGACGAGGTAGGACACGCGACGCAGGTTGGTCGCCTTCATTTTGATCAGGTCGAGTAACCTCCCCGGCGTCGCGACGAGGATCTCGACGGGGGAACGCAGGTCTTTGAATTGGTCGGATTTGGAGGCGCCGCCGTAGACGCATGCGCAGTTCAGTCCATACGCTTTTGCGTATTTTTTCGTCTCTATGTATATCTGATGCGCCAGTTCCCGTGTGGGGGCAAGGATCAACCCGATCGGGCCCTCGCCCTTTTCCAGTTCGCGTTGGTCCATGATATGCACCAGCATCGGCCAGACGAAGGCGGCGGTCTTCCCGCTCCCAGTTTTCGCGATCCCGATCATGTCGCGACCCGAGAGGGCGACGGGGACGGCCTGGCGTTGGATCCCCGTTGGTTCCGTGTATCCCAACTTCCGTACCACGTTGACCAGCGCATCATCGAACCCGAAATGCGCAAAGGAGATGCATGGTTTGGCCACCCCGACCCCGCGGACATGCATATCCAACTCCCTCCGAACCCGCTCTACATCCGCGTCGCTCAAACGCTTGATATCCTCATGCTCCTCGTAGAAATCCTTATTGATCTCCTCATAAGTGATCACGCTGTGATCCGTGGGTGCTAACGGCTCTATTTCCCCCCTTCTCGGACCCATCCCGTCGTCGTCGGGGTCCCCACCCAACGCGGCATCGACGGCGCGCGCGGTCGCGTACACCTCCTCGTCGGAATCGACCTCATCGGCATTGTCGAGCCGCGCCTGCCCGCCGGTCCCTTTGCCGATCTCGATGCCGCGGCGGGCCATGTGTGCTATGTAGGATTCTATGTGGTCTTCTTCTTCGAGGGATTCGAACTCCTGCCTCTGTGGGGCGGATGGCTTGGTGGTGTTTGGAGCGGTGTCTTGTTGTTTGATCTCGGCGTTGATGTTGGCCATGAATGCGTCCAATTCGTCTTCCTCCTCCTCATTATCCTTCTGTGCAACGGGCGTGGGCGTCGCTGCCTTCCCTATTGAGCTATGTGCATGTGTATCGACCCCATCCCCATCCTCGTCCAGGTCATTGTCCAAGTCGAGCATCCGCCGCTTGGCAGGGCGGGCGAGGGCGTCGAGGGCATCATCGTCGTCGTCGTCGTCGTCGTCGTCCCATATGGATTTGGAGGGTTTTGGTTTTGAGAGGGGTTGGGCGGGGCGTTTCAGGGGTGGGCGGTTGTACATGTTTGTCTGCAGCTGGTGGTTGGTCGAAAGCTGAGCGTTCAAAGTCTCGGGGGAGGAGAAGCTTTGGCGAGACGCGTTGCGTGGCCGCCGGTTCCCTCAACTCCGCCCTTTCTCCACGGGGGTTCTCTACGCTGTGCGGCGTTCATTCTCCCTCCCGTCGTCTCTCGGCCTTCCACTGCCGTCGGCAACACACACCCTCGCTTCATCATGAGCGCCGGCATAACCTCCCTCCCCTCCCGTCCAGCCCCCCTCCCCCGCCTGCCCTCCGCAAAACACCCGGACCTCGTCCACAGCACCTCTTCCCTCCCCTCTCCCCCACCAACAACAATCAACCCGCCAACAACCACCCTAACCCCCTCCTACTTCCTCGAACCCGCCCTCGACAGCTTCGCCATCGATGCAGATGAGGATGATCATATTAGTTATGAGGAGGTCCCTGTGGAGGAGTTTGAGGATGAGGAGGATGATGATGAGGAGACGCTTGAGAGGGCTGTTCGGAGGTTGAATGAGGGGCGGTTGTTTGGAGGTGGGTAAGGGGGGGGGGGGGGGTAATAAACTGGGGGGGCGTTTCGGTTCTGGGGCGGGATGTGATTTGTTGACGGGCGATGGGCCTGCTTTGTACTTTCTGAAATGGTAGTGGCGACGGAAACATCACCGAAATCCGAAGAACCGCCCGTGCCCAAACTCACCAAACGCCCCGAAGTCGTCGACGACTATGTGCGGAACTGGCTATCCAGTAAAGGCCTCCTCAAATCCCTCGACGCCTTCCAGGTACCCCGTTCCCTCCCCACCCACCCCTCCTCCATCCCATCCACGGTCAACCTTACACTCTGAACTCCCCCCCGCAGAATGAATGGTACGAATTCCAACAACGCGGCAAACTCAGCCAAGAGGATATCACACCCGTTCCCGACGTCTACCTCCGCAACCAGGAGCTCGCGGACGCGTTGCAGAAGTTGAGGGTGGATGTGGAGACGTATAAGGATATCGCTAGGTATGCTATCACCTCATCTGTCCGATCACCCCCCTCGCATGACCTACTTACGATCCCGCTGTACTCGCTTACTGGTTTTGGCCCGCTGCTTCGCTCGCAACAGTAAAGCACGCTCAACGTACGATAAACTCCGCAAAGAGCGCGACTTCCACCGCATGCATCACAAACGCGTCGTCCAAGAAAAAAACCGGCTGCTGAACGACATCAAACGCCTCAAAACCCATTACGAAGGGTACGAGGCCATGGCGAAGAGTCTGAGGGGGAAATATGAGAGCGCGATGAAGGAGAAGATGCTTGTGCGGTTGGAGAGGGAACGGTTGGCTGGGAAGGTAAATGGTTCGGGGATCTGTGTGGGGAAGCAAGTTGGGAGGGAGAGCTGATGGTGGGGTGTCGGGTGATAGGTTACGGCCCTGGAAACGCAGATACGGCAAGAACGTAAGACCGGCGAGTCGCCCGGAGGTAGGCGACATCCCCCCCCCTCCCCTCCCCCCACTTCTCCCTCCTCCCTCCCACGCCCCAATCTCACACACTTCCCGACCATAGGCTCAGCCCGCAAATCCCGTCCCGACGGCACCAAATCCCCTCAACCAACATCAACGCAGAAAAAACAAACCACCCTACCCACTGAAGACCGGCCGAACCCGTACGCAACTACCGAGTTACCGAGTTTGAAAGCGGGCGGGTTGAAACAGGTGCATGTTGTCAAGGCGCACGAGATGGCTATCAGTTCGTACGTACTCACATCTCAGGTCAAATACAACACGAGGTGGGATAGTGGGATTGATGTTGTTGCTCAGGTTGAAGTTCCACCCAAAGAAGATGATACTAGTAACGGTATCGGATGACAAGACCTGGAAGATGTGGGCCTTCCCCTCCGGCGAGCTGGTGATGAGCGGGACAGGGCATCGGGATTGGGTTTCTGAGTGTGATTTTCACCCCAAGTAAGCGTCGTTTCCTTTTCCCCCACCGCATTCCCTCACACACAACCCACCCCACTAAAACTACACTACTTCATTTTTTTTTGTTAGAAGTGGAACACAACTAGCGACATCATCAGGCGATGGGACAGTGAAGATATGGGACTTTGCGAAGGGCTCGGTGGTAGCCACCCTGAACGACCACACGCAGGCGGTGTGGGGGTGCGCATTCCATGATACCGGGGATTGGCTCGCAAGTGCCTCAGGGGATCAGACTGCGAAATTGTGGGATTTGACCACGTACGTCGACTCGTTTTTCTCATCGTCTGTGATATGTGGACAGTGAACTCACACCCCGCGTGGATGATTTCAGGGCGAGATGCCGCCAAACCTTCCGCGGGCACGCCGACGCCGTCAACCACGTCGGCTGGCTGCCGTACACCAACACGCTGTACACGTGTTCGGGGGATAAGACCATTTCGTTGTGGGACGCAAGGAGCGGGTTGTGTGTGCAGACGCTGTATGGGCATTCGAATGCGGTTAATTGTGCGGCGAATGCGCTTAATGTGAGTCGGGGGGGAGATGGGGTGGGGAGGTGTCGAAGGGTCGGATGGTTGAGTGTTGGATGTGTGGATGTGTGGAGGGTTGGATGCTTGAAGGACACCCTGCTCGCTCCGCTCGCGACCATGAGGCGGGCCGAATGGGTGAGGGAAGTATTACGCCTTTGGCGGAATGTGGTACTCGCTTCGCTCCCAGAAGATCTGACGCTCGCTGAGGCTCGCTAACCTGATTAGGGGTGGCGCTCGCTACGCTCGGGCTCAAGCATCCTCAGCACCTCTCTTCGCTCGCCCCGGACTAACCCTTGAATTGATTTTGCAGAACACCCACACGCTAACCTCCTGCGATGCCGACGGCACCATCAAACTCTGGGACCTCCGCAGCGCCTCGGAGCTCGCATCCGCCGATTTCGGGCCCCATGCAGCCAACAAAGTCGCGTTTGACGGGAGCGGGTCGACGGTGGTTGTTGCGAGCAATGATGGGATGTGCAGGGCTGTGGGGGTCAAGGCGTTGGTGGGCGGCGGGCTGAGTGGGAGTGGGGCGGTGAGGGAGTGGATGGCGTGTGAGGAGGGGTGTTCGGGGGTTGTGGTTGATCGGAGGGGGGAAGGGGTTGTTGTTGGGGGGAGTGGTGAGTTGCATTTATCTTCCGGTTTTCAACATTTCTTGACATGCAGACTGACCGCAATGCACCTCAATTCTAGATGGGACGTTCCGGATATTCCAATGAACTAGGACGAAACCGTTGCTCGATGGCAGAGAGTCAAGGTTATCTCCTCGTATTCTTTTGTATAGTAGTAATGGATGCATTGAGTCCGGAAGGAAGGCAGCCGAAACGTATAAACTTGACAGCATGCGGAAGCGACGCACATTTGACAGCGGCCATGCAGTCATCATGCGGGAAAGGAAGATCGAGCGTCATGGGAATCCCGCAAAAGGCTCCTTGGCGCATTACAGTACACTCCATTGCCAGATCGCTTCAAGTTACTAGTGCAAAACACAGCCAGCAGCCCCAGTGCAAGGATAGAATTCAAATCCCCTGATACCCTGAACTTCCAAGTTTGCGCCGTTCCCGCTTCCACACCGATACTAGTCTCAGCCTCATTCAGTCGCCATCCCGAGGACATTCCGTCCACTCACGCAACGCACCACAATAGCGGCACCCGCCAAATGGACTCCCTACCCAACGCCACCGAGGCGGAAATGTCGCTGTCTCCGCAGGAAGTTGATGTGAGTTTCGTTCTAGTTGCGTCCCTATGAACATAGGCTGTTTTCCTGACAATTGCACGCTTATTTCCCCACCAGCTCCTCCGTGAAGCATACTTGAAGGAGGAAAAGTCCCGCCCGCAGACAAAGTTCAACTATGCTTGGGCGCTAGGTATGGTATCCTTCTTTTGCCTTGTTGTTCAGATGGATGCAATTGCTGAACGAATTTGTGGGGTGTAGTGCGAAGCCGCGCTAGGACTGACCAGGAGAAGGGGATCGAGCTTTTGCACGGTAGGCACACCATTTACCTCTATACCTATTGCTGTTGGCGAACCAGAGGAATTTGAGTGAACCGCATCATCACGCTGCTGATAATCCATCACCCAACCCCTACAGAAATTTACAAAGAAGTCCCCAGCCGTCGTCGTGAATGTCTCTATTACCTAGCATTGGGAGAGTACAAGATGGGCAATTATCGCGTATGTATATTGCGGGTTTAGTCAGTAGAATGGAATGGGGATCATCTCTTCTCACCCCTTTTCTGAACACGCATCAGTATGCCCGCAAGTACAACGAAACCCTCCTCCAACTGGAGACGAGCAATCGGCAGGGGCTGCCTCTTAGACAGTTGATTGATGCAAAAGTCAAGTCTGGTATGTCCTCCCTTGGTTTTGCAATGGGCTCAATGTTGATACTCACACTGTGGTTGATTTACAGAGGGACTCGTGGGAATGGCAATTGTAGGGGCAGCGGTCGCGGCGCTTGGGATACTCACCGCGACGGTCTTCAGGAGAGCACCGGGGGACCACAGATAGCCATGTGGAAGTGATGGACGTCGCCATAATGTCCCGCGGAGCCATCCAGTCCGAGGCTCAAATCGGCAAGATTTCAACTGGCGAACTTGAAATAGGTCACATGAACCTCATTGAAGGCGTACGAAAAGTTTTTGTTTAGGGTTGTAGGATAGGATGTAGAAAGGAAATTTTTGGTGTTCGGCTTCTGTTCCTACTGATTTCTAGTGAATTATACCTCGCTTGATATCGATAAATCCCTTCCTCCTATCCCCTATGGTGTGATCATCCCACTGTTGTGCGGTGGCGGTGGGAGAGGGGAAGATCGCCGTTGGGGGTGACTGACGGGGCCCCTATATAACAACCAAGTGCCGTCAATTTCACGCGCCCGTCGGACCTACTGTATTGTACTGTACGTTTTGGACTGCTACGTATATAAAAAGCCCAAGGAGGCAGGCCGGCCCCGGATAGCAAACCTCATTCCAGATTGGACCAAACCAAAAAGGAAGAAGCAGTCAAGACTTCACTCTCACCCCAAAAGGCCACCACCCAAAAGCACAAAAGAACAAACCACCCCGCATCTCGCACGCCCACATCTCAACAAAATGTCCACCCATCCCACCACCACCCAACAACCCACCAACCCCCTCGCAACCCCACCCATTACCTCCACCCCACCCACCATCGCCTTCGACACCACAACCATCGCCGCAGCCTCCACCACGCGGGACGCCACCCTCGCCGCGTACGCGGAACACGACCCTGCCAAGCGGGACGCCGAGAAGAATCAGCAGGCGGGGATCAGAAAGGGTGCGGACGGCACGTTGACGCCGAATCTGGTCACGGAGAATGGGCTGTGAGGGAGGATATACGTTTTTGTAATTTCTTTTTTTTTGTGCCTGATCTGGGGGGAGGGCCGGCGCAAACGAGAGCAGTTTTCTTTTTGGGGAGGCCATTCCCGTTGTACATAATCGAACCCCCCCGCTCAATAGCAGTTCTTTTGTCAGTACCCGAGATTTGGTTATGCAAACGTGTTGGTCCGTCGGCATTGCGGACTTGCGAAGCGGCGAGGGTGCCCAATCGTCTCAACGGCTGTTGCATGATCTGGGGGACTCGTCACTTGTGGCCGTTTATTTGAGTGTGATGTTCCTTCAGCAAACGTCCGTCTAGACCCTCAATCCCCGCATCTGGAGTTTGTCCGCTAGGTTGAAACATCCATTGGATGGGTATCAAAGTCGTCGTTGCAGGCAGTATCGAGGCACTACGTGTGAACTCCCTCCGCTAGCTACGGGTTGTGTGGACCCGGATTCTATACTACATAGTTCTCTACAAACTGAAGAAAGCTAGATACGCCCTACCTTCTCATTCAGAGCACACCGTTTGCTCCTCGCTGTACGATGAGAAGACCCCACCTAGCAAACTACGCAACGATACGCCCCCCCGGCTCAGTATACCTGCCAAAGCGTAACAGTCCCGTCCTTCGCGCCCGCCGCAAACATATTAGCCGGCGCGGGTGGTAGTCCTCCTATGCCCAATCCCACACTGACACCCTCATCCTTGATGGTGTTTGCCGCCGCATCCGCACCTGCATCCGCATCCGCATCTTCACCTCCACCGCTACTCCTTGGAAACGCCACACACTGCACCCCCCCCCGATGCGCCCTCAACACCGCCAACTGCTTCATACTTTTCACCCCATACACCCGTATCCTGAAAACGAAAAAGAAGCGCATCAAGATCCATGGGCCCTTCCCAAAAAAAGCGCCCTGTAACAACGGGGGCATACTCACATATTATCCCACCCGCCCACAACCGCCACCCTCCCATCCCGTCTGATCGCCACACACGCGTTCCCTTTGCTCGGCGTCTGCACCAAACGCGTTGAGGTTATGGTGTGGGTGGTGGGGTCGAGGTTGAGTTTGGTGAGGAGGGTGGAGGCGGTGGTTGTGAGGAGGGTCTGGGGGTCGGCGGGTGCGGTGTCTAGTGACAGAACTGGATCGGAATGGGAGGGGGGAAAGGGGAGTCAGTTGTGCTGATGTGGAACTGTGAAACGTCAAAGGGGACAATCAAGCATACTGTGCAATGGGGGAAACTGGGGCGATTGTTGACTTACCAGGCTCATCATCAACCCTCCTCCTCTCCACCACCCTCCCAGCCGCCAAGTCCCACACAACAACCTCCCCACTCTCGTAACCCGCTACCAACCCCACCTCGCCATCGTCCCATCTCACCAACTTTAGACACATGCACATCCCCGTTTTGGGTGACGCTAGCCCCGAGACAGCGTACCGGCGCTCCCCGAGGCTGTAGACATCGATGGCGTCGTTGGAGGTGAGGGAGGGGAGGGCCAGGAGGGTGGACGTGGCGAGAGAGGGGGAGGTGATGAGGGACCGGGAGGGCCGGGGAGCTAGGAAGGAGACGGAGCAGAAGTTGAGGGAGTTGACTGTTAGGGTCAAGGTTGGGGTTGGGGCCGGTGGCGGGGTCGATTGGGAGTCGGGTTGAGATAGGAGGGAGGAGATGGTCCAGAAGTGGAGCTGGTCGTCTCTGCCATGGCTGTACTTCCCATAATCAGTCTGAGCATATGTGGCCCTGGGCTGGGGATGGTTGATCTCTCGCACCTGAGAACCATCCCCCCACCGATCCCCTCGACAGCCAATATCCCCTTCTCATGCAGCTTCCACTTCCCGACTGGTCGGCGGGTTGCTACCGCCCAGAATATCACGTTGCCTTCCACATCCCTGCAATGTTTCCAAGCTTTAGTGCATGCGCGACGGCATGATGATCTTCACACGCGTGTGTGATTGCGGGTGGGGGGTTTCTTTCTGGTGGCTTACCCGGATGCAAGGAGTGTGTCGCACGAAAGGAAGGAGAGGGCGGAGATGTCTGCGGTGTGGCCGCGGAGGGTGTAGATTGGGTCGGTTGAAGGGGATGTTGGGGGAGCGGTGGGGGACGGGAGGATGCTTTGGGTCATTGAGTGGATTGGGTTGGCGAGTAAATGCAGAATACGTGCTGAGACTGGAGACTCAGGACAGCCGTGCTGAGAGAGAGAGAGAGAGAGAGCGAGAGAGAGAGAGGTGGGCTGCTGTGTATGTTACTGTGGGCTGCATGTACCGCTGAGGTGTATTCCCTCCGGCAAGTGCGACTTCCGTTCGCGAATCCATGAGCTAGATCGTTCCTCTCTCCCTACGCCCGTCTATTCGAAAGCTCTATCCACCCAAAAAAAATAAGTATGCACAATACACTCTACATAAGCCTACACCACCCAATACCACACATGAACCCATCCCCACCCTCTCGACCCACATTTCATTCCTACTGCCTGCAAAAAACCCGATACCGCTGCGATCCGCGGTTGTTTGTGGCCCTAGGTGGCCCAGCTGCCCCCGATTTCCCCGCATATCACCTCCCACTCGGCGCAACCGTCTTCCGTTCATAAAAGTGCGGCGCCAGTTCAGTGAGCCAGTCCGGTTCGATAACGGTAAGGTCGCGCATGAAGGGTTTAGTTGTTTCTACGACTGTAGGGGGAAGAGTGACCGCACGTGTGAGTGGGGCAGCGTTGGGGAGATGGGAACTGCCCTGAGTGGTTTTACCTTCGTGGAAGACCACCCATGCGGGGGATCGTCGGAAGAGGACGGAGTTGGGGTGGATGTGGAGGATCTGTGGCATCAACCAAAAAAACAGATTGTCAGCTCGCAAACCCTTAACCAGACTCTTCGCTTCAGGCGTCATTTTTGTTTACCTCATTATGCAAAACCGTCCCATAACTTCCATCCGGCCTCAATTTAGCCGCATGCGAAAAGTAGCCGCTGACAATACACTTCCTAATCACGTCAATGTCACCATTAGCAGACTCGATCGGCATGCCAAAGCGGGCGAGGTATTTGCGCAGCTGGGCGCGGACGGCGACGGCGCGTTGTAGGGATTTGTGGTTGAGAAGGTGGTGGTAGCACCATTTGGGGGATCTGTTGTGGCGGAGGAAGGCGTTGTATACTGTTTTACGGAGAAGGCACACTTGATTAGATCACATTAAGCTGGCGAATGTTGGCGACGGGGAAAACGTGTCGGTACGAACCATTTAGGTAGGTGATATGATCCCCCTCCTCAACCGCAAACTTCCTCCGTTCCTCCTCCGCCTCCCTGCGCTGCCCATCCCCACCCACAAACACGCTCTGCACCGACAACATCGCCGCGATCGTCAGCATATCCTCCGCGCACTTCATCTTCAACGAGTTAAGCAGCATCGTCGCCAGCAGCGGGTCGACAGGGAACTCAGCGAGATGCATGCCAAACGGCATTGTCAGGCGGCCGTAGTCGTCCAACGCGCCAAGGGAGTATAGAAGTTCCAGCGCTTTGGTGAGGTTGGATACGGGCGGCGGGGACACAAAGTCAAAGTAGAGCACGTTCTCGATGCCGAGGGCTTTGAGCTGCAGGACGAGCGGAGCCAGGTTGCTTCGCTGCATCTCGGGGATCCCGTTGGTCGGGAGGTTGTTGAACGCGGCTTCGGTGTAGAGACGGAACGCCTTGCCGGGTCGCGTTCGCCCCGCTCTTCCGGCGCGTTGCTGCGCGGAGGCTTGGGAGATCGTCGAGACCATCAGGCTCTCCATGTCCGTTTTCGGGTTGTACGCCCGCAGTTTGACGAAGCCGGCGTCGACGACGTATACGATACCGTCGATCGTCACGGACGCTTCGGCGATGTTGGTAGAGACGACCACTTTTCGTGTGCCCCGTTCTGGCGGCTCGAACGCTGCGAGCTGCTCCTCGAACGTGAGCCCGCCATACAGCGGAAGCGCGGATATCTGATGAGTGGGCCCGTACGTGTGCGCACGCTCGTTGATGAGCGATATCGCTGTATCGATCTCGTCCCGCCCGGTCAGAAAGACCAGGACGTCCCCCGCCGGTTCTTTCTCGTGGATCTTGAACACCGTCTCCACTACTGTCGTCAGGTAATTGCTCGACGGCTCTTGAAGATAGCATATGTCAACTGGAACCATCAGGGGCGTTAGAAAATGGGTCCAACAAGGTCTCAGTGGGCGGTTGCCAGCCCTCCGTCGAACTCTGCTTACCAGGAAACATTCGTCCTTCCATAGACATAATGACAGCATTATCCTGCATCACATCCTCCGTGGTATTGGTGTTAAAGAAATCATAGAAGGCTTCCGCATCCAGGGTAGCCGACGAGATAATGACGCGCAACTCCGGTCGCTTTTTCAAAATCCTAACACATAAAGACGTCAGCCACAATCTAGGAAACTGTCCCAAATAGGTTCTTAGGACGTACTTTTTCAGCGTCCCAACCAATATATCCGTGTACAACGTGCGTTCATGCGCCTCATCAATCATGATCACGCTATACTTCGTCAGCAGCGGATCCAGCAGCGTCTCGCGGAACAGCATCCCGTCCGTCATGTATTTTATTCGCGTGGTGGTGCTGTCGGAGCAATCGTCGAAGCGAATCGTGTACCCAACCTAAAAAGTGCGAGTTTGAGCTGGCGTGAACGTTGTGTGAACGGAACGCAATGTTGTACTCACTTGCTGCCCAAGAACCACCCCCATCTCATCTGCTACCCTCGTCGCCACCGTCGTTGCTGCAACCCGCCTTGGCTGAGAAGAATATCAGCATATCGCATCATCGCGCCGAAGGCCTGCTTCCACGGGCCTTTCTCACCTGCGTACACGCAACAACATGCCCTTGCGCTGTCCATCCCGCCTCGTGCAGATACTGCGGGACCTCTACGAAGTCACCAGATCAGCAACCCATGTCCCACCAACATCGCTCGCCTGAAACTTTGACCGAGACCTACGTGTCGTCTTCCCCGACCCCGTCTGTCCAACCACCACGACCACCTGGTACTTCTCCACCAAGTACAGGATCTGTTTTCCTATAGCCAAACCGAGGTCAGCGTCACGTCGAGCCCCGGAAGGGTCGACCCCCCAACCGACCGAGAGACCCACGCACTGTTTTTATATATCGGTAATCGCAGGCGTTGTTCGCTTAGGGATGCGTTGGCATTCGCATTGTATTGAGCTGTCACTGCTTGGCCTTCCTCTTTCTCGGACTCGCGGTCTATGCTGCTACCTGTTCGAGCGATGGCATCCTTGTGAGTATTTGCCGCAGGAAGGTAAGGCTGGCAGTCACCTGTTTCTTACCTGGCGCAACTGTTCCAGGCTACAAAATAGATATTTGTGTGCAGGAAAACGTTAGGGGGGAAGCTAGCATTTCAGGGCGAACAGCGGGAGGTTACCTTCCAGAACGCCATTTCGGGGTTCAGAAGTTTAGATTGTGGGGATGAGTGGGCTTCGTGACAACCTCAGAACACCCGCTTCAACAATACAATCTTGAGATGGGTTGGACAGTGGGGTCGTTAGATCGTTGACCGAGCGCTGACACCCGGGTAGGAAATTGCGAGTTTCTGGAGTCCACGGAATGACAGTCTGGAATGACAGCAACACGTCTTGCACGTTCCGTTTCTTGAGCGCCTGGGGACCGGGACCCTGTATCAGCTATTGCATCGGCTTTGAGGGAGGCCTGGGACAGCACCATCAAAGACTAGTGTACCGGCCAAAAGCCCAATTGCTTCGCACATGCAACTTCTGTCAATCTATGAAATCATATTCCGAAATGGGTTGATTGTAAAGCAAGCAGAGCTTAACGCTTGCCCTTATCGGCACCCACCCCCTGATAGGAGTAGAAGCCTTCCCCAGACTTCCGCCCAAGTTTCTTCTCCTCTACAAGCTTGTCCAGCAGCGACGACGGTCCGACCAATTTGTCCCCCTTCAAACCCTTCCCAAACTGATACCACCCATCTGTGATGTACTTTGTGGTGTCCAGACCAACGTAGTCGAGCAACTCGAAGGGCCCCATGGGGTATCCTGCTCCCAGTTTCATTGCGGTGTCGACGTCCTCCTTTGATGCGTCGCCGCGTTCTACTAGGCGAAGGGCTTCCATCATGTAGGGAACGAGTAGACGGTTGACGATGAAGCCGGGAGTATCTTTGCCTGGAGAATGTGAGGCGTATTTCAGTAAGATAATTAGGAGAATGGACTGGTTGGGAAACACCTACATGCAACTGGGACCTTTCCGATCTTCTTTGTAACGGCAACCAAGGCATCAAACACAGCATCGGATGTTTGAGGCGTCCGGATGATTTCGACAAGCTTCATTTGTGGCACCGGGTTGAAGAAGTGCATGCCTGCGAACTGAGCTTGGCGGGCCGCTCCCGTCGCAGAAGCAATGTCGCCGATGGGCAGAGAGGACGTGTTGCTGACAAAAATCGTTTCCGCGGGTGCAGCCTTGTCCAGGCCTCGGAACAGCGCCTGCTTGGTCTGCAAGTTCTCGACGATGGCCTCCACGACCAGCTGGGAGTCGCTCGCAGCGGCGGCCGAGTCCTTGGACAGCTTCACGCGGGACATGACATCGTCGATGTACGCTCGTGCGTCTGCTCCCTCCGCATCGCCCCCGAACTTCTTCTTCGCGACACGTTTCAGGGACGAGGTGATGATCTTCTCGCCCTTGCGCAAGGACTCGTCGTTCAAGTCGACCATGTAGACGTGCAAGCCTGCTTGGGCGGCGACTTGGACGACTCCAGCGCCCATCAGACCGGAACCGACGACCGCGATGCGCTCGATGGGCTTGACCTGGGAAGCGTATCCGGCGACATGGAGACTGATCGCGGCCTGCGCTGCGCGCGTTGCGACCCGGGGGACCGCTCGGGACCGCGTTGCGGCGAGAGGTGCTGTTCTGCCGGCTAATATGGTTGTGAACATTGTGGGCTTTGCGGTGTGGGAAATGGGCTTTGGATTGGAAGCGAACTGCGAATTCGGTCGAAGGGCTTGCCGGTTGGGAACTTGGGACAAGCTGCACTGGCATGTGATGGATGGAGCATTTGACGGGGGTGATCAACGCGCTCGCACCCTGTCAATGCGCGTTCCGCCTCACACTCGGGAACAACCCATTCCCCTCAGGTCCACCCTGGCTAAGCCACTGACAGTTTTTTGACGACTTTTGGACTTAACGAGGTTTTCGCAGACCCAAAGTTGCTGCACATGTTGAGCAGTATCTTGACAGCCAGACATGCTAGCAGAAAGATTGATTAGGCAGTTTGGTGAAGAAGGCACTGGTTCGGGGTTTGACACCTCTAACTGGTAAGTTTTACCCAAAAACGGCCAAGGAAAGACAGTTTTACTACTCAGACTTTTGGGCCTCTGTGTTAAGTTTGTTGCAACAGCTACCCCCACAGACACTTAGAGGGGATTGGCCAAAGTAGGCAACTGGAGCCGTATGCAAAGGGAATAGGTCGTCCTGCATGTCTGTGGGATGGTATGGCTGCTCAAAAAAGAGGGTTTTGTGAGGAAACTGCTTTAATTTCCCTAATTGTGCCTTAAGGTAACGCGTAGAGCGTTTGGGTGGCGCAGCCAGGGTGGACCTGAGCCATTCCCTGCTCCGATGTCGGTGCAGCAGCAGCATGTGAGCCTTATCCCAATTTCTATAGTAGATCTACATGTAGACCCGAGGCCTATAGTACCGGCGCAAACGCAACGTATGTACAGTACTGCTACTACTGTATCAGTTGCGGTCTCCCTTCATCATTGCTTTGGCTACGCGTCAGACGGTCCTATTCCATCGCCAATCATGCCAGTTTCGATGCCGTGCTGATCCTGTCTTGGAATGAGGGTCCATAAATTGATTGGGATTGCGATGCATGCATGCATTGAATTCCTCAATGGTGTCCGAGAGGACTTCTGAGGTCAACAGCGATAGCTAGCTGGGCAAACGTGCTCCGCCCGACGCAATGTACAAGCTTGCTGGTCTATTCAACATCAGGCCGCCGTTCCCTCCGACAATGACAGACATGCATGCAGCAGCAGATGGGGTGGCACCCACTGCCTATACTTGACAGGACGCTGGCGCGCGCCCGGACTCTAGCACCACCTCGCATGCAGCGGAGCGGTCGTGGCTCTTTCATCAGTCAGGCTGCAAAGGGTACGCGTCGGGCAGATACTGTACCATGTGCGGTATATCCCCTTGCAATCATCGGGAGTTCGGAGTTCAATGCATGAATGCGAAGCATCCACCCCCAATGGTCTTGGAGAATGCGAAGCAGAGGCAGACCTGGGCGAATTGCCAAAGTTGTGCAGGCCTGGCGTGTTCAAAGTTCATCGAGCGATGCTTCGGCGGACTCTAGGAGGCGAATGAGAATGAGGATATGGAGGATGGCAACCCGGACGTATATATATTGTCCGTACATGCCAAGCACATTCAAGTAGCGGCCTGAGGAGAGGGCTGGGGGCATGCATGCGGGATAGAGCGGCCATCGCTAAATGGCCCCAGATTTCTGCTTTAAAGGAAGCAGGCGGACGGTAAACAACTGATTGGGCAAAAACCCCAACTTCTTATTACTGTAAGATCCCCAAATGATATAGAAATGATGATGATGAGCTTGAAGCAAGCCGCAAGTCCATTCCCAACCACCAGCCAGCCAGCCAGCCAACCAGGCACAAACAACAGGTGGTCGGTCCCCCCCAGCCGCTGCTGGTAAGTTGTAACAACTCAGAGAACTCCCACCGCAGGCGCACGCACAAACCCACGCACGCAACAGGCTCCCAACCCGCATACCCAACCCCAAAGGCAAAGCGAGTCTTTTCGGCGTAGCGCACGGTCGAATCCTCTCGCAGTTCTCACCGCTAGCTTGTCTGTTCACGATCCTGTCGGCGGCTCGTTCACGGCGTTTTCGCGGGTAAGGTTCACACGCTTGCCGTGATCACCGACTTCGGGAAGGACTCATCGCTAATACAAACACGCAACTCTCGCAAACCATAGCAACTAGGGAGACGAAAAGCTCTGCTCGCCATTGCTTCAGTCTTCGCTTTCCACCTTCTAGACTGATAGATACCGACTTTCGCGTTGGGTAAGGATTTTGAAGCGCTGGCAACCAGATCAGCTGCTCTTGACAACTAGTCACACGCTGACAGGCATATCGCACTTGCTTTCAATCCTTCTTCTTTCGACTCGGTCCGCTAGCCCAGTATGAACATGAGTTCCGGGTCTTCTTTCCTCGATCAGCTGCAGAACCAGCTGCACCCTGATTCGACACCGCAATCCTCGGACCCGTACCATGACGACCCCGTGCCGGACGTTATAGAGGAGGCCCCAGAGCCTGTCGTTGAGGCTCCGCCTACACCGGAGCCGGAACGAAACAGCCTAGACATGTCGAGCCAGGACCTGTTTCCTGCGTTGCCGGTTGCCACCCCAGGCAAAACTCCTTTAGGCAGCTGGGCTGCCAAAGGACCCTCGGGGCAGCCGAAAGCTGCAGCGGGTGCCCCATCACGTCCGGGTGCTCCGACGGCGGGTGGCCTTGCCAGGCCGAAGAAAGCCACTGAGCGACTTGAGATTCCTTCCGAGTTGCAGGTATGGTGCCAGCTGAAGTCCACAGTCCCACCGGCAGAAAGACTGATATCTCACCCATACTCAGGCTCCGTTGCAAAACGAGAAGGGAAAGTCTGTTTCAGCTGCCTACGTGTGCAAGCAGATCACCTCCCGACATGGCACGTCAGTTGATCTGTCTACCAACTCGAAAACCGGTACTTTGACCATTATCATCAGCGGCAAACCGGAAGCTGTTAAGCAGACGAAGCGGGAGATCATCAACTCTTTGACGCTGCAGGTACGCGTAATCATTCACGCGTAAGCTGTATATGGGGCGGTGCGTTGACCTTCCTTGGCGATAGGTTAAGGAGACCGTGATGATACCCATCTCTGTGAGGCGTCATTTGGTTGGAAAGGCCGGTGCCAACATCAAGAGCCTGATGGCACGCACGATGACCAAGATCGACATGCCGAGAACATCGGAGGAAGAGCCCGCTGCCGCTGACACAGACGATTTGCTCGAAGATGAACCCGAGCAAGAAGTCATCATTATCGGTGATTACGAAGGAGTTGAAGAAGCTAAGAAGGCTGTGGACGAGCTCGTAGCACAGAGGGTACGTGATGCATAAAGTTCCCTGCCTATCACATTAGTGAGTGTCCAACCGCTTTTCCTCTAGACCAGCAAGAGGACCCTCCGGATGAACGTAGAGCGATCCTACTACCCCTTCATTGCCGGGCCAAATGGATCGCAAGTTCAGCTTCTTGAGCTCGAGACCAACACCCGCATTCACATTCCACCAACGGTTTCAAACGCGGGAGAATCCACTTCGGCCGATATCAAGATCATCGGCGAACGCTCAGCTGTGCTAGCAGCAGAAGAACGCTTGAAGGCCATCTATGAGCAAGTTGTAAGTACTTCACTAGTAGTAGTCTTTGCGACATGATACAATCTAATCCTGGGCTCTAGAAACGTACGACACGAACTCTGCAAATCCCTGTCAAGAAACGCCAACATCGCTTCATCATCGGGCCCAAGGGCGTGACGCTGCAGGAGATTTTCGAAAAGACTGGATGCCATGTGGATCTTCCTCTCACGGCCGATCCCTCCGACATTGTGACTATCCGTGGTCCCGATGAGATGTTGAGCACCGCTTTACAACTGGTCATCGAGAAGGTAAATAGATGTTTCATACGGTATGGAGCCATTTGCCCCGAACTGTCACTTACTCTACGATATATTCCAGTCCAACTCGATCATTATTGATGAGGTCGATGTAGGCGCCACTATCGCCTCCTCGGTTCAGCCTGAACTATTTATGCGATTTTTATACACAAAGGAACGCGCCCACCTCAAAAGCATCGAGAGCGAGCATAACGTTACAATTCAGAGCCAAAAATCATCCGACGCTCACCCCGTCCTGGAGATTCAAGGCAAGACGAAAAGCGAAACCGACGCAGCTCGTGCCGCCCTATACAGCAGCATCAAAGAATGGGGAGAGACTCTCTGCTTTGGTGCTGTTGAGATTCCCAGCGGATTGCACAAGTTTGTCATTGGGAAGAAAGGGCAAAACATCGCCAACATGAAGGCAAAGCCGGAGTGGAATGGTCGATTCGTCGATGTGGTTGTTGCCCACGAAGCCGATGCTTCCGATGAGGTCATCATTGTCGTCAAGAGAGCTCCTACCGGAAAGGCGAAAGGAAACCTCGCTGCCAGTGACGAAGAAGCCCTCAAGCTGGTCGACCTGCTGAAGAAGGAGTTGGAATCTCAAGCTCAGGCTTTGGCGGACTTGGTCACTCTGAACGTCAACATCGACTCCAAGTACCACGGAAGACTTATTGGCACCGGAGGCGCGGCCCTAAAGGAACTATTGTCCGAGTATAACAACGCCGTCACCGTGAAGTTCCCAAAGTCCGCTGACAGCAGCAAAGACGCCAAAGAAGCCGTCCCCGGGAAGGACTCTGAGGGCGCCATCGTCATCCGTGGACCCAAGAAGGAGGCACACGAAGTCCAGGACAAGATCCAGAAGCAAGTAGCCGAATGGCGCCACGTCGAGCTCATGAGCAGCTTCACCGAAGTCCTGAAGGTGCCCAAGGGTCTCGGCAAGAGGTTGGTCGGAAACGGAAAGGACCTCAAATGGGCCGTCAGTGCGATCAGGGAGAAGATTGCGTCTGGCGACGTGCACAAGAGCAAAGTCAACGAGAAGGAGCTTGCGCCGCCGAACCTGAACCTCCGCGCTGAGGTTGAGGCCGGGGCCACGGAGGATACCGTCACGCTGTACGGCCCAAAGACCATCGTTGAACTCGCGAAGGGTATCGTTGCAGAGCGGGCAAAGAAGCTCGCCGACACGATTTCGGAGGACATCGACCTCTTCGCCGCTGTTTCTGCCGCCGCCCGCAAAGTCGTGGAGGAAGCTGGCGGTGACATCCGTCGCAAGGTCTTGCGGCGAATCATCGGCAAGGAGGGCAAGGGCATCAAGAAGCTAACCGACAAGCACGGTGTCCAGGTCCGCTTCGTCGACCGTCAGCGCAAGCAACAAGCCAAGGTAGAAGATGACGATGAGGATGTGGATGTCAGTGAGGTGGAAGCCACCGACTCTGCACCTGGCAACGTCGTTATCAAGGGCAGCAAGAGTGATGTTGGCCCCGCCCGCGATGAGCTTGTCGCCCTAGTGGAACACGAACTCTTGAACTCGTCGAGTGTGACGTTCCAGTTCCCGCGCGCTGCGCTGCCGCATATTGTTGGACGTCATGGCGCGAAGATCCAGAAGATCAAGGACCAGTATAACGTCCGCATTGACTTCAACGACATTGCCGATGACGAGGCTTCAACCGAGTGTGTGATTGAGGGTAGCCGTCAGAACTGTCAGGGGGCTGCGGAGAGCATAAAGTCGGCTGTTGATGACAACGTAAGCATGTCTTATCACTGCCCCACATGCATACAACTTACTGATGCACATCACATTCCAGATCAATGTCGAGTCCGTCGAGGTCCAAATCCCATCCTACTTACATAAGCTGATCATCGGCCCTGGAGGTGCGCGCATCCGCGCTGCCATGGAGCGATTCGGCGGCCAGGACCGGGTCAAGGTCCAGTTCCCGCAAGCGAACATGAACCTCAAAACCGCCGAAGACGCCATCGTGCTCAAAGGAAACCCCAAACTGCTGCCCGACGTGCGCAAGGAACTTGGCAAGCTCGTCAACGAAGGCTTGAAAGAGCAGGCCACGGAGGATTTCTCAGACTACGAGCTCGTCGAGCTGGACGAGGTTGATGCCATCACGGAGGTCGTGAGCGTGCCCTCTGTGGACGTGCCCCGGGTCGCGGGACGGTTTGGTGACGCTCTGGTTGACATGATAAGAAAGTTGGGCGTCACGATTTGGTTCCGCGATGGGGACGCTGCCGACACTGCTTCCGTTCACATTGTGGCTCGCCATGGCAAGGAGAAGGAGGTGCAGACGGCCAAGAACGAGATCAGCTCCAAGATCCGTACTGTGCAGAGCGTGCCGATCCCGGAAGCTCTGCTCGAAAAGCTGAGGTCGACGACTGGCGAGGACCACGCGGTTGAAGTTGCTTCGCTCAAAGATATTGCCAAGCGTGTCAAGCAGGACACGGGTCTCTTCCCCGAGCTCGACCCAGCTGCTTTGAAGGGAGAAGCCAACGGATCGTTCGTTCTCCGCGGAGACACCGGCGTCGTTGCCAAGGTTGTCAAGAAGGTTGAGAATCTCCTGAAGGACCTGGCCAATTTCACCCACTCTGCCCGCATTCAACTTGACGCCGACCTCCGTCCCCACATCATTGGCCGACAAGGACAGACGATCAATCGTCTCCGCGAGGAGAGCGGGGCAGACATTGACCTCATCCGCGGCGAAAGCAAGAACGTGAAAGACGTTGTCGTCATTCGTGGTACATCCAGTGAAAGCGTCCAGCATGCGCGCGAGCTGATCAACAACATCGTGCAAGACCAAGCCGAACGCATCGCGCGGGACAGGGAACGCGAGGAAGCGGAGCGGGAGAGGGCTGAAAAGAGACATGAAGCCCGCATTGATGATGAGGAGGATGTGTCCAGTGAACGTGGCGCTGAGAGTTCCTCTGCGCCGAATGTTCCCGGGTGGAGCGGACGCGCGCAGGTGCACCGCGGTGGCAAGGGGCGTAAGTTGCCGGCTGATGGCCGATCGGCGCCGAGCCCACCATCTCTGAGCCGCGACAGCTCCACGGGCAACTACTGGAGTTATGTGGACGGAACGACAAAGAAGAAGGATGAGGGCTGGCAGGCGGTCCCGACCAAGAAGGCGGCAAAGGCGGCATCTTCCAAGAAGGAGGATGAGTCCTCTGAGCCGCAGGCCAAGAAGGGTTTGGAGAACCTGCCGTCGGAAGACGGCGCATCGAGCGCGGCGGCCAAGAAGAAGAAGAACAAGAAGAAGAAGGCTGCCGGTGCTGCTGATACTGCTTCGGTGGAGGCTTTGGACGAGAAGCCCGCGATCGAAGTGAGCAAGGCTCCACCAGCCACGACCCCTGCTCCCGCTAAGCCGGCTCCCACTGCTACCGCCGCTCCCGCAAAGCCCGCCCCTGTCACGGCTAGCACACAAAACGGAGCCCCTCAGGCCAAATCCGTAGCCGCCGCCGCCCCCGCACCCGCGCCCGCTGCGAAAGTCGAGAAAAAGGCCGAATCGGCGCCGGCCGTAGCCGCCCCCGCCACCGCCTTACGGCCATCATCGCCTGCGAAACCAATAGCGCCCAAGGACTCTCTCCCACCCAAAGCGCCCGAACCGGCCCCGGCCCCCGCCGCGGCCTACGAGCAGTTCGAAGAGCTTCCCAAACAAGAGGACGAATGGCAGACGGTCAAGAAATTCAAGCAGGCCAAACTGGCTGCCGGTGGCGCCGCTAACCCTGCTGCTGCCACTGCCACTGCCCCGACTACCACTGGTGCGAGCAAATTCGGGGCCGTGCCCACGATGCCCTCCGCCGATGATGACGAGGAAGCGGCCAAAAAGAAGAAAAAGAACAAGAACAAGAAGAAGAAGAAGGCTGGTTCTGGAACGGCGGAGGCAGCGGTCGTCATGCCTGGTGACGAGGAGTAGAGAATTCGGGCAAAATGCTTCACATAGACTATCCCGGATATGGGAGGCGAGAGTCCGGGACAGGACAGGACACTTGTGCAAAATCGCCCCGCCCCGTCCCTCTCTTACATAGCTGCTTCCCCCCAAAGCTTTTGTATTCCACCGTTTTTTTTTTCGATAGCGCCTGTCGACCCGTCCCCACCTATACTTCTTTTGACGCCCCTTCTTTTACTTTTTTTTCCCCACCTTTCCCTCATCCCTTTCACCACCCCCACCTTTGTGTTGAACTCCTCGATGGCGACGTTGTCCATCACACAGGGCTTTCGCGGTTCTTTTTCCTTTTCTTTTTTTATATCTATAATACAACCACATTGATGACCCAAACCCACTATCTAACGAATAGATGCCCTCAACCGGTTAAGTTTTCCGATGAGAAAAGGATGTGTACTGTATATCGTAGCGCCCGGTTCCGTTGCGAGGACCAGAGAAGGCGGAAGGCGGAGGGAGGGGGGAACACGAACACGTCACGGGCCTCCAATGACAGGCGGAAATGACAACGAGGAGCGCCAAGGAACTCGCAGGGATCTCTCTCGATAAGCACCGCCCGCCCTTGTTCGCCGTGGGGTTTCCTATCAACACACACACTCCCTCCCGTTTCTTCGTGGATATCCCTTCGCCAAGACCCTTCCCGCCCTTCCCCACCCTCGTCTGAGAAGTAGCCACGTTCGTACAGTATCTCGCACCTAGCCGCGTATCGCTCCAAAAAGCGGGTGAGCAACCCCCAGCGGAACGCCGTGGAACACACGGCTCCCGAACAGAACACACTGCCCCGCCTTCCCCCCCATAGTGGAACAGAAGCGTGGGACGTGGGTAAGTGCACTCGGGAAGGCGGAAGGAAGGGTCGCTCCGCTGCCTATAAAACAGGCTTGGGTTTTGGGCAAGCCCTTCCGCAACTCAACCAGAAGGCACACCAGCTTACTTAGCGGTCCTTCTTTTGTACAGAGTCAAAAATAATACCCTTGCTGCCATCTACATAACCCGAATTCACTCAAAGCAGTCCATCCGAGCCTCGAATTGTCCTGAGTAGATTTCCGGCTGCCGCACTTACAAACAAGCCTCAACAAGCCTCAAGCCTCACTTTTCCGGCCGCAATGTCACTTCCCTACGAGGTTGCCGTCAAAGCGACCTATAGCGGCACGACCCGCACCTTCTCCTTCCCCGCCTCCTCTGCAAATTATTTTGGACTTTTCGCCCAACTCGCCCAGCATGTCAGAACAACCCACAAGATCGCAAACGACGTTCCCCTCCAGATCACCTACCAGGACCGTGATGGGGATTGGGTTGCTTTGGATAGTGATGCGGAGGTGGAGACTTGTCTGAAGTACATGGAGGTTGCTGCTGATCGCTGGTGCATGAGGTTGGATGTTAAGAAGGTCGAGCCTGCCGGACAGTTTGAGATTCCTGCTCTTGCTGCCGCGACCTCGGACGTCGAGCAACCGGTTTCGACTCTCAAGGAGCGGACCGGCTCCTGGGAGTTCCTCGATGGTGACGACGTTCAGATGGACGTAGTCCCGCAGACCCCTGTCGAGGCGCAACCCGTCGAGACCCCCGCTGCCGAACCAGCTCCTTATTCGACTCAAATGGAACAAGTCCCTGAACAAGTCGTTTACGACACTCATTCATTCAAGCTTCCGATCATCCTCGGCTCGTCCTCCAAGTTCCGTGCGACAATCCTGAGGCAGCACAATGTCGATTTCACCGTCCTAAAACCCGATCTCGATGAAAAAGCCGTGCCGGGCCGTGATGAACACGACCCGTCCGCCACCGCACTCGCCATCGCCCATGCCAAGGCCGCCGCCCTTGCCTCGCAGATCCCAGCCGGTACCCCTCCTTCTCTCGTCATCACAACCGATCAAGTCGTCGGCTTCGCCGGCACAGTCCGCGAGAAGCCCGAATCGGCCGACGAATGCCGCCACTATATCAAGAGTTACGAAGAAGCCCCCGCCGAAACGCACTCCGCCGTAGTCGTCACAAACACCAAGACGGGTAAACGAGTCGCGGGCGTTGACGTTGCGCGCCAGTACTTTGCCTCCGTGCCCAACGAGGTTGTCGACGAGTTGATCCGGAAGGGGGATGTGATGCATAGTTGTGGTGGGTTCGTGGTCGATGACCCCCTTCTTCACCCATACCTCCTGGCGCGTGAGGGCGATGAAGACTCGATTATTGGGATGCCGATGAAACTCCTCATGCAGCTTCTGAAAGAAGCTGAAGAGGAGATGATTCCCGAAGTCACTCAGCAGGCCTCGGCTTCGTCCGCTGCAACTCCGACCCCGATCCCGGCGTCCACTTCGGAGATTGACGCTTTTTTATCTCGGTACCCGGCAGTGAACGAGCCTAACGCCTCCACCGCCTCGCCTCTGCCGTCGGGTTCCGCTGACCCTGTTACATACCCGGACACATCCGCCGAAGACACCAGCGTCCCTCCCATCGACAGCAAGGGTAAAGGAAAGGCATACGACTACGATGCCAGCTCGACCCACAGCGAGCCCCGCGCGGAGCCCGCCCCTAGCGCAACCGAATCAGCAAACCCAATGGAATCCCTCCCAAACTACTTCGAAACAATGTCTCTCGAACTCAACCGCCTCGCGCCCCACCTCACCACCATCGTTCGTAACGTCGTCGCCGAAGCCCTCGACGTCTCCGCCGAAACAGTCCACCGCGTCGTCGCGGAAGCCACGCAGGTGGTCGGTGAGGCGAGGAACGAAGGCGGCGGGTTGAGGGATGTCGAGCGCGCGTGGACGGAGTTGGTGCAGGGGATTGGGAGGCATGTTGTTGGGCAGAGCGAGGCTTTCATGGGAACCGCTCGATCTGCTGGAAATGCGGACGCCACTACCGACCCTGCTGCTGCGGCGGCGTTTGCGTTTGATACGACTGCTGAGGAAGGACGTGCCGATGAGGAAGTATACAACGATGCTGAACAGACCCGGGGCGCGGATCGTGAAGGGGGCCACCACCACCACCATCAGCGTGATGGCCGCCACGCTCAACGGGATTGTCCGTTCAGATTCATGTTTGGAAACACTGACCCCGCTGCACCGAAAGAGGAGGAAGGTCTAGACCCCTCCTTCCCAGGTGGGTTCCCCGCCTCCCGCGGCGGTGGGTTCTTTGGCCACCGGGGAGGGTGTGGGTTTGGACACCGTGGAGGGTTGTTTGGCCAGAGGGGTGGGTTTGAGTTTGGACACCGCGGAGGGTTTGGGTTTGGCGGTCGGGGCAGAGGCGGACACCACCACGGCCCTCACCATCATCAGGGACATGAGCACCACCACCGCCATGAGAAACGTGCCGATGACGTACACGCCTATCGTCCCGAGAAACACGCGGAAGGCCACCACCACCACCACCACCGCACGATGTGGGACGACCTCGAGCGTGAGCACATCATTCACCCGCGCCCGCACTCTGGCGCACACGAAGACCACCACCACCACGATCATGAGGAAAATAAAGAAAAGCACCGCGAACATAAAGAGCACCACCGAGACCATAAACACCGCCACCGCCGCGAAATGAAAGCCCTCCACCGTCTCCAGCGCAAGCAACAGAAGGCGGAACGGGAGGTTAGACGGTGGGAACGTGAGTTTTCGCGTCAGGGCGGTGTTCCGGTCCCGCCGACACCGCCGGTGCCGCCCACAGGACCCGCTTTTGGGATGGGTATGCCGCCTATGCCGCCGATGCCCCCGATGCACGAACATCCTGTCCCGCCGCCGCCACCACCACCTCCGCATCCCCACGGTCCGTTTGCGGATGCGTTTGGTGATGTACCGCTGCCACCGGACCCCTTGACGTTCCTGTCGAAGATGTTCTCGGGTGCCCCGTCGGGCGGTCGACACGGACATGTGAGGGGCAGACCGTACCCCGAGAAACGACACCGCCGTCATCGTCGACACACGTCTTCTTCTTCTTCTTCGAGCTCGTCTTCGTCGTCGAGTTCGAGTTCGTCGAGTTCGAGTTCGGAGAGTGAGGGGGAGAGGCGGAAAGGGAAGGGGAAGGGGAAGGGGAAGGGGAAGAAGGGGAAGGGACATGGCAAGGGAAAGGCGCGTGCTGAGCGTGTTGAGATGGAAGAGAAGGGGAAGGATGTTGGTGTGAGTATCGCGACGGACACACCGGCCTGGATCAGCCTCGACACACCGGCCCCTGAGGCCTCGGCTTCGGGTAGCAAGACCACAACCGGTACGCTTCGTGTGGAAGATGGCATTCAAACTGGCAGCTCTGCAGCGGTGAGCCCCACTCGCAAGCCGACCACCATTCCCATCGTTCCTATCAACGCTACCACTTCAAGGCCCGCCCGCCCACTGCCCACTCCCATATTCTCCCACTCCGCCTTCCGTCCTAGGCCCCCCGCCTCTAATCCCACGCAAAACGCAACCATCCCCGCCGCGACCCCGACCGACCCACCGACCGTCGCGCGCGCCCTCCGCAACCTGGCTTCCATGGGCTTCACCGACGATGCCCTCAACCGCGCGCTGCTGAGAGTGCATGAGGGCGATGTGGAGAGGGTTATTGGGGTTTTGACTGGGGAGTGAAGAGAGAAAAAGTGGCCCGTGCCTGTTCGAGTGAAGCTTTCTGATGTGTCTTTTGTGGCGTCCCCGTTTCGTAGGGTTAGCTCTTTTCTAGCACCACCAACCCCCCCCTCGCTCTGGTTTTGATTCCCATATCCCCTCGTGTTTGGGGATTTTTTTGTGTGCGAGAATTGAATGAAATATATCGCTTGCTTGCAGTCTATTGCCCCCTTGTTCTGTTTACGAGTTTGCCCTGAATGTAATACTCCTCCCAAAAACATGTATCATAAGAAAGAAAAAGGTTGAGGAAGGTTGAGGAACACAACTGTTGCCAAATGTTGGTAGGGTTTCGTCATGGATTGGAAGTCTGATTTTTCTATTGCATTGGGCACTGGTCTTGGCTCAAAGAGTATTTGAAGCGGTAATCTGAGTCTATCTCCCGTTGTTCGTACAGACTGTACCTGCTGTCCGCGCAAAAAAAGACATAGGAAAGTCTGGATGCAACTCGGGGACAACGCACAGAACCCCATCCTCCCCCAAACCCCTTCACCAGCGCAAGATGTCCTCGCAACCAGGCACCCCCGCACTCGAACACAGCCCAACCGCAGCCTCGGGAAGCACCTTGCTAAACCAGACAGTCGCGCTCGACCACCTGGGTCCCATCGTCGTCAATTCCGTAGGTTCTACAGTACATCATACACAATCTTCCTGTCCGCCCTCCGTCCCACTAAAACACCGTTCTCTCCACCCCCCCAGGATGGCACCCTATCGAGGATAAAGAACTGGGAGACCTTGACGGAGTCGGAGCGGGCGAACATGGTGCGGGTGCTGGGGAAACGGAACGCGGCGAGGTTGGCGAAGGTTAAGGCGCAGGAGGATAGTGTTCATGCGCACACAACAACAGCCACCGATATCCCATCACCATCGGTCTCCGCAACCCTCCACCCCACCCACGGCTTCCACCCTACCGTCCACTTCACCGTCTCGCATCCTTCAGAGTCCGACGCCGCCCTCGTGTTCATCACCCTCCACCTCCCGGCGTCATCCTTCGCGGACCGGTTCGAGCTCGCGCGTACGCAGTGGCATCCCGCCGTCACCGTCACATGCCTCGGCGACGCGGACCTGGAGGTACCTGTGGACGACCCCGCCGCACGGCCGAATGAGGTGTTTGTGCGGGTGGATCTTGCACGGGTGGAATCGGACCGGGAGCCGTTTGAGATTGCGGTTCCGGTGCATATGCGGTACCAGGTTCCTGAGGATGCGGGAGTGTATACACGTGCGCAGGTTGGGGAATGGGCCGCGTACCTTTTTGATGGGGTGCGGGAGGGGAATACGGGGGTGGGGGAATTGTATGCACGGCGCGACCAGGCTGTGACGCTGGCGATGGGGAGGAGGTACGCGGTGGATATACCCGTTGGACGGGAACGGGATCATGTGCCGGTTGCTGTGGCGACGTATATGGTCATTCTTCTGGGCGTCGTTATGGTTTTGCGGTCACTGTTTGCTGTTGGTGCGAGGTCGGCATCGACGAAGATGAAACGCAAGTGACGAGAATCGAGCGATGATGTAGTGTATTTACAATTGGGGTATGGACGCGTTTTTTACGTATGTGCAGAAAGATGGGATCTGGGCAGCGAACTCCCTAGGGCGTCATGGGACCACCGGCATCCCCCGCGCTTTCCACCGCATGAGCAGCTGGGTTGCTAGTGGGGACCGTTGTGGGACTTGGGTTGGAACTGTCTTAGGAGTCGTTTGGACGACGACTGTCGAAGGCGGAGGAAGCTGCTTCGGAATGATGATCGATGGACCTGTCGGCAGCGACTCCCGGGGTTGATGAGGGGCTTCAGAACACGGCGTCGACGTTGGGGCCGGGTTTGATTTCGACGGAATCTGCAACCCTCTGTTCTCGACAGCCGAGCGAACACGCCCCAGAAAGCAAATCAGCAAAATGACCCTCACAGCAACAAAACCCCCGGATGATGTCCAGCACACCTCACCTCGAAACCGCCTCCCCAACAACCCCACATACCATCGGATCGCTCTTCATCAGCTGCTGCAGATTGTGCGTCACTGCTGAGAGGCACCGTTGGGATGACGGTGGGGCGTGTGATTGTGCCTCCACCATCGCCTGCAATATCACCTGCAGCACCGGCTGCGGCGGTCGACGGATCTGCGAGGGCGTGGAGGAGGTGGAGGTGGTCGACCCTGAGCCCGACGAGGAGGAGACAGTCATGCGGGTCGTGGTGGCAGTTGTGGTGGCTGTGGATGCGAATTCTGACGCGGGATCTGAATTTGAGGATGTTGGGGGCTTGAGCGATGTTTTGGATTCGCCAGAGGGTGAGGGTGAGGGTGGTGCGACGCCGCGGGACCAGGCATGCGGGGATACCGGCTTTGCGGCAGCTTCTTCGGCCGACGTCTGGATATCGAATTCGTCCTCCCATGCGATACTGCACACACCAAAACGGTCAGCAAAAAAACCAAATCTCCTCCGCTGTTGTGTGTCAATTCACACTGAGAACTATATGCGTTACCTCCGCCCAAGTGTCCGCACACTAGCCCGCTGCACCTTCGACTCCTTCCGCAACGTGCTCGCGACAACCACCGGCCTGATATCGTCCGCTAACTGCGTCGTGGTGTCACGCTCCCGCCGTTTGCCGCCCAGCGTACGCGAAACCGTGCCGAAATCCCACGCGATACTCGACGGTGCCTCGGGGTCTTCACTATAGATAACAACGACGTCAATATCCACGTCGATTGGGAACTGGAATCGGAATGGAGATGGGCAACGTACGTCACACCGCCCTCCACATCTTTTGGCGGGGCGGCGGGAGTAGTCACGCCGGCGTCCGTCCCTCGCTTCCACTCCCGAAACCGTGCAATTTTCTCCCTCAACACACTCAACGGCCTCGCACCCGTGATAAACGGATGTTTCAACAAACTCTGTGCTGTTGGACGCTAAAATCATCATCATCCGATTAGCACATATGTGCATGTGACGTTCTCGTATGACATGTTTTGATTACCTGACTCGGCCGCTTAGCAAGACACTGTGCGACGAAATCACGGAAGGGGGCTGAGAATGTCGCGGGGAGAGTGGGCGGGGGTTGTTGTGGGATCATGAAGAGGACGCGCATGGGGTGGATGTTGGCGTGCGGGGGTAGGCCTCTATTCAAATCAGAGGGATTGAGGGGGCTGTCAAATTCAAAAGTGATGTTCTGGTCCTGGATGGAGAAGGGGAGAACGTACTTTGCGAGTTCCCACGCTGAGATCCCGAGAGACCATATGTCTGCCTACACACATATGCGAAATGAGAAAAAGTAACCGAGGTCACACTCACAAGTGCCCATGTGGGAGGGGGACAACCTACCTTGGCGTTGTAAGCCGACCGCAGTATGACCTCCGGCGCCATCCAATACGGGGTGCCCACAAATGTATTCTTCTTCGTTATCGTCGCCGTCACCTTTGCGTTACAACCATCAGTCATGCATCTCATCAGTTAGTTCCCCATGTCCCCGATGTTCCCCAACCCCCGCCCCGTTCAGAAGAAAAAACAACGCTACCTGAGCAGAAACCCCGAAATCCGCCAACTTGACCTCCCCACCCCCGGTCAACAGAACGTTCGCGGCCTTGATGTCCCGATGGATCTTGCCGTGCGCGTGCAGGTACGCTAACCCGTTCAGTAACTCCTTCATGACCACCGCCACCACCGTCTCATCCAACGGGTCCTGTTTAATCTACACGCAAAGGAAATTCGTTAAAAAACGAACCGGACTGATAAGATGGCATTTCCCCTCCCACTCCCCCCCCACTCACGAGATCAAACAAACTGCCCCCATCACAATACTCCATCACGATCCACAGCTTCGTCCCCTTGACATAGCTCCCGTAGTACTTGGTGACGTAGGGCGAGTCGAGCGCGGAGAGGATGGAGATCTCGTGGCGGATCTCGTCGATGTCGTCGGAGGATTCTTCGAAATCTATCACTTTGATCGCGACGGGGAGGGAGGTGCGGCGGTGGATGCCGCGATACACCTGCCGTGGTTGGGGGGAGGTTTGGATTTCAGGGGGAGGAGTGGGTTTGTTTTTTTCTGGTTTTTTCTTGATCTTTTACCTCCCCGAAGGACCCTTTCCCGATCTGGTTCTGGATCTCGTAGACGTCGTCCGGGGTCGTGCCGTCATACTGGCGATTCTGGCCCGGATTTGAGGAAAAAAAGGATTGAAGTTCCCAGTCAGCCCGCCTCCGGAATGGGACTTTTCCATCCCCCCCCCCGTTTTGCCATGAAGCTATTTCATTCGAAAAAATGGGGGAAGCTGAGGGGACTGAGGGGACCTTGGCCTACCTTCCGAGTATGCACCATCGCGCGAACTTTCCTCACAACGAAAGAACCCCACCCACGCGAAAAGAAAGTGATGCGTTTTGCTTGCGAGTTGGGGACGCGACAAGTAGATTAACCGTAATTCAACGGCGTTTGGGGCGGTCCGAAGAGGAAAACGATTTGCGGCGCTCACGGAGGACGAGGAGAGACGGCAGCGGAGGGATGGGGAGCGGAGTTTCTGAATCGACAGCATGCGTTCGACGCGTGTGCCGTCAATAACGACGATGAGCGCTCTCCCAGCGAAGTGTGTCCCGTCGTTCGTGAGCAGTGTATCCTGCCACCCGAGCAAAACGAGCGACGAACATAGCACCGCTAGTCCCACACCGATCGGATTTCCCCGCGCTGGCCGTGCATCACGGCGTCACTGTGTCGCTCATCAGGTTGTCGTATCTCATGAACTTCACACGCATCCCCGCTGTCACCTCTTCTTGTTCTCTGGCCTGTCATATTTGTAGCATGCCTCTTTTGCGAGCTTCCCATTCATACGCTCCCAGTAAACTCACACGTCTTGCATTGGAGCATCGCGTCACATAAAGTCCGCCTTCCGCGCGTTCAGTGACCTGCTGAGGGAAGCTCCGATCGCTGGAGTTTGCTCCCGTCCCATCTTCTCCCTAAGCGGCGTGGGGTGCTATATATGTATATACAATGCCAGCTGGCACGGGGAAGACTTTCTAGAACCCATCAGGCTTCCTCCTCTGCTGCGTCTCATCCTCCTCCTCATCATCATCCCCCGGCGCCTCGCCCAAACACTCCTCCTCCTCCCTAACCTTCTCATCCGCCCTCACCCAATCCACATCCGCCACCCTCCACGTTACCCCCTCCAACCCCCCCTCAAAATGCCCCGTTTCCATCCTCATATTCACATCCCGATCAATCGCCTCCGACGCGAGGACGGTGTTAGTGCGGATATGGTGCAGCGTGATGTCGAGCGAGATGGGGATCGAGAGGTCGATGCCGACGGTTTGGCCAAGATCCATGGCCGTGCGACGGTCGGTGAAGGCGGGAGAGACGGGGACGGGGACGGAGGTGGTGGAGAGGGTGGTGAGGGGCATGGAGGATTTCGGGATTACGTATTCTGCGCGATATGAGGGGTCACTACTAGAGCGCTAGTCCATGCAGACTGTGCTACATAAGGGGGTTTTCAAAGACGCACCAAAAGTGACCTCGCGGTAGAGGTAATGACTGGGATTCAGATCCCTGACAAGCGTCAACGGATTCATCCGCCTCACAACCCTCCCTCTCAACAACGTCGAGGTCGCCAAACCCTTCTTCCCAAACGTAAACCACACATCACCCATCCTCGGGCTTTCCGCATCAATCTCCTCATCAAAGAACGTCCTCGGCGGTTCAGGTCGCCTCGCCTTCCTCGCCTCCGCCGCCTCCGGGTCACCTGCCGGGTCAAAAAACGTGATTTCAATCCGGATACCCGCGGCAGTGAGGTCCGCGTGTGATTTCTGGAACCGGTCGTACAGCTCGGGGCCGAGGAGGGAGGACAGACCGTTGTCGGTTTCGGGCCGCCCGTCCCAGTTGGAGAGGCGCGGGATAAGCGAGGCGAAGGCGAGGACGCTGCCCCGGAGGAAGATGTCGGGGAAGTATTTTACGCCTTCTGGTTCGGATGAGTCAATCTACAGAAAAGAAGTTGGTTGGCAACCCATCAACCATCAACCCATCAACAACCATCAACCATCATCCATCAACCACCCATCAACAAACGATACCCTGCTCGCTCCCGCTCGCGACGAGGATGTTGGGATGCGGTGGGGCAGGAGCGTAGCTCGCTAAGAGCGATGGTTAGAGGTATTGCGCCTTTGGCGCAAGGAATTCGCTCCGCTCGTGCTCGCATCGCTCGATGCAGTTACACACCCACGCTCACTCGGCTCGCAGCAGATAACCACCATCGCACGCGCAACACCCGCTTCCCATACCTTCGGACTCCTTGTCTCCAACCAAGACACACTCGTCAGCTTCGCAACCTTTCTCCTCGCCGGCCCCAAAAACTTCCGTTCCAACCAAGGCCACCATTTTGGCACCGGTTCGAATGGCCCTCGTCGTGGGTCACCGGTCAACTCCAAGGGGTATGCTTCCATCAGATCGTCTATGTTGAGGGAGTCTATGCTGTCAGCGTCCGCACTATCGGTTGGAGGTGTGTCTTCTCCTTTGGGAGACGGGGTGCTGCTGCTGCTGCTGTAGAGACGTATGCCTCGTGCGTTTGGGAGACAGGACGTTGATGGCGATGTGGGGGACGGGGCTCGAGATAAGGATGCGACATGGCTATTGTGAATTGCGAGACACGCCGAGGATGACCGCAGTAAGTGAGAGCGGCGGATGCTGCGGGCTAGCAGAGAGCTGCGGATCATAGCTGCAGTGTGTTTCGGCTGTTTGAGGGTGTCTCTCCACGTAACTCCTCGAAAATGTCGAGGGAGGATGCCGTGGAGAGCGGTGTGATGTGGATGGCCGGGTGCCTTAGCCTTCGCGAAGTTATAGCCTTCCACGCGGAATAACTTAGTTACACAAGTTTCGTTTGCGGAGCTCTTAAGAGGTGATGGAGCAGAGCAGAGTATCCTGTATCCGCAAGATCGCTAACTTCGTCACCGATGGGATGGAGAGTTGGCCAACATTCAGTTCTACGATCGTATGATGTGTCCGGGCTGACGTTAGGTAAGGTACACTCACTCCCCCAAAACACTCCCCAACCTCTCCACCACCCCCCACTCCCTCCCATTACACTCCTCCGCCAACCCACTCGCAACTCTCCAAACTCTCAGCTTTCCCTCCGCATCCGCCGTCGCCAAATACTGCCCTTCCCCGCCCACACCTACCGCACCACTAAAAGCCAACGCGGTCCCTGCAACCCCTGCGTTCGCCGTGCACTGCACCGTCGTATGCGGTAAAGATGTCGAGGAAGCGAGGTCATAGATGTGCAGCAAGCCGGTGGAAGTTGTGAGCGCAAAGACGGTGGCGCGGGTGGGGGAGAAGAGGAGGGCTAGGGGCGAGTGCGGGTAGGGTGTTGGGAAGAGTGTTAGGAGGGGCTTTGGCTGTGTGTGTATGGAAGATGTTCAGTTCGCCAGTGGGTCTCAACAACAACATTAAACAAAGAAGAACGCACCTGCAACCCGTTCCAAACCCGCACCCCCCCATCCGACCCCGCACTCACAAACACATTCCGATGGAACGGCGAGCAGGCCACCGCGTTCACCGCTCCCGTATGGGGTTCATACGCAAATGTTATCGGGTTTCGCAACAATTGATGCTGGGGTTTATTGGTGCTGATGGGTGTGCAGAGGTCCCGTGAGCATTTGATGATGTGTCCGGATTCGGTGGCTGCGATGTAGGTTTGGGAGTGGAGGGTGGGAGTTGAGAGGGAGAATGCTGTGCCTGTTATGGGGAGGACGGGGTGAGTTCAGGGAAAGGGGGGAAGGAGGCAATGGAGTAGTACGAACCGCCGAGGACAATGTCGGATTTTACCGTGGGGCCGCCGCGGAATTTGCGAGGGATTTTTTCCATCGTCAGGCGGGATCTGCAGGATACAGGACAATGGTCGCATAACATTGATATCGATGGAAATTCGAAAGGGAATGAGCAAACAAATGTATGGCCATACAAATGGAAACCGAGACTCACCCCGCAATCGGCATACTTAGCCCATTACTCGGATCCCAGGTCAAGATCTTGCCATCGTTTGCGATGCTTACAATCTAATCGCAAGGCAGATCAGCTCCCTATTCCTCAATGGGGGTTGACATAGGTAGCCCCAACTCACATTCCAGACCCCCTCCTTATCGCTGCGCACCCATTCCACTTTCGCAACAGGCTCCTGGTGCGCTTCGTCACTCATGCGCGAGATGGCGACGATGGAGGTGGCGATGTCAGTCGTTTGTAGGATTAGAATCTGGCCTGTGCATATGAATGTGAGTTGTGAAGATAGGACGATGGTGAGCCTATCCGGTGGAGCTTACCGTTGTAGACACCTACGGCGATCCGTGATGGGAGCTCAGGATGGAAGGCTACGCACATCACACAGCTCTATTCCATGCAAGACATCTCATCAACCACTACTCCAAACAACCATCCCCACACGACCCCCTCACACACCTCAGTCTCAACCTCCCACCCCGGCCTTTCTCCCACTCCTCTCCCCCCCAAACTCCACGTCACAACACCCCCCTTATGCCCACACCAGCTCTCATGGTCCAGTCGGCCATACCCACATGCAACCGTGGTGCCGTTCTTGTTCCACGAGAGGTCGGTGATGAGCATGTCGGAGGGTAGATTGGGGTCTACGAGCTCGTGCAGGAGGGTGGTGGATGTGTGGGGGGTTTGCCATTGGGGTAGCCAGCCTGTTCATGCGTGTCAATAGGTACCTAACGGCGTGGGGCAGGTGAAGCTTCAAATGTGAATGTATAAACTTACCATCGAATGCAGAACTACGGATGTTCTGCAGCAACTGCGCCGAGATCATCGGTTCTGCGCCAGCAAGGAAATCCCGCATCGCGCCTTGATCGTACGTGCTAAGTAGTCTGAATCGAGGCGGCGGTTCCGGATCTGTTTGTAGCTGGATAGGAGAAGCGGCATCTGTATTCAACATCAGATTCATCGCTCCTCAGATCATGCTCCTGGAAATCACACGGAGCGGTGGTACTCACGTTGGCATCCCTCCTCGCGAGCACCTGCACCTCTACGTCCCTCACATGGATGGTGTCCGTCTGCACTTCATTCTCGCGCTTGGGTTTCGCTGTGCGCCAGGTGGAAGGGATTTGGATGGCTGCGCTGTGCGGGGCGGTGTCAGTGAAGCGGTGGGGTTGTTGTTTGGGGAGTGGGAGGGATGGTGGAGTGGAGGGAGGGAAGGAGAGCGTTGTTGCTGCCATTTTGGTTCAAGCGTTTGTAGTTATGGATTGTTCAAGGACGAGCTGTTGGCCGGATGAAGGCAGAGAGCGCAAAAGCAGAGAGCGGAAGAGCGAGCGCAGGAAGCAGCGTTGAGTGAGAGACCGCTGTCGCGTGCATCCTTCGCCATCTTAAGCGAGCCAGCGCCTAGGACGTGCGCCACCTTCGTTTCCCACGATCGAGCCCTCATGAGCGACGTTGCGGATCAACAGGATGGCTCGTGGGAAGACGAAGTACTGTATCTACCATCGTGATACCGCAGCGGTGTTTGATATAGCGCTCATTGACGAGTATTCCATCGCCTGTAGTGGGAAACAGCCGAGCCTATAGCGCTGCCGCCACCTTTGACGGGCCAGTCAGCTTCTTCGACGTGAGTACTTGTCAGAGCTGCTCCATACCTACACAGCTGTTTGTAAACAACGGGAATTAAGAGTTCTCTTCGGAAAATTCCCTAAAGTCTGCCAGCCAACTTCCGAGGAATCGAAACCGACAAAGTCAGCTATGTACCTCAAGTGAAACTCCTGAAACGTGATACAAATACACCTACATCGGGACAGAAGATGGAGCGTACCCCTTCCGGATCCAGTCAGAAGTCTCAGGCAGACCGTGAGGCCGAGTATGCCGCGGCAAGAGCGAGGATTTTTGCCGAAGGCGCTGGTGGGAAAGCGAAGGATGTCGTGAATAAGAGCTCGTCTGGACGACAGGCGACTTCCAATGGTAAAGGTGGCAGTGGAGGGGCACCCGCGGCTGCTGGGAGAGCGAGCGGAAGGCTTCCTGCGACAGGCCCACGGAGAGAACAGGGCAAGGCGGAGGGGAGACCAGGATCTGGAAAGTCGTCTGGTTCACAGCAGCAGGGGAATAACGGACAACCGAGCTCAAGAGAGACAGCAAAAGACGGCAAACCTGAGCAAGTACCAACGCCGTCAGAAAGGGCATCGTAAGTGCGTCATGATTGTAAGCGAGGTAATACTAGCCTATTTTCATACAAGAACATTTCCAGAAAGGGTGCGTTTTGACAATCGGCCGTAGATGAAGGGCGACCAACAACTCGCGAATCAGATAGATCGTAGATTTCGACCGATTTGTGCTGGCCACCTGAGTTTGTACATATATCTAAGTATTCTACCTTTGCCCCGCCTATTGTGCCCTGGCGTAACCGGAGCCGTAGCGGGAGTGAGGCGGAACAACTGGTTTTGGACACTACCTCGTCTGGTGTTCCAAACTGGACATGGGAGTCATTCAGTGCTCAAATAACCCGCCGAGTGTGGACCATTCGATTTGCTGGCAAGTCGATGTCCGCCCTGCAGTAGCCTCTTCCGAATGGCGTTTGCATCGGCCGACTCATCATAGCCTGCCAACCTGTGCGCGGTCATGTGAGTTCTTGGCACAAAGCTCGTTGGGGTCTTGGAAGGCCTGGCGAGAGGCCTGTCTACAGGCCCCTATCTTCCCGCGAATGTGAGGCGACAAGGCTTGCAAAGCCTCACCACCTCACCATATCCACTGCCGCATCAGAGCAGACCCTTGGAAAATCCCTTCTTGAAAAACTGCACGTGCGCATCCGTGATTTGATAGTGCAGTACTTCAGGATGGAACGGGACATCTCTACTGAGGAGGGGACCGCGGCAGAATGACACCTGAAATCGGAGACGTAAAGCGGAACAAGCGCCGTTCAGCTGTTTGGTGTGAAAGATCAAGGACCATTCAGCTTTAATCCTCACCTGCCCATCCACTCCTTGCGTCGCTCCACTTTCCAGCATCCGCACATGCAAGACATAGTCGGCCTTATGCAGAATCGCTTTACTCAGCCGAGAGAGATCCGGAAGGTCCTTCTCCAGCGCGTTAGCATCGTGTAGTAAGCCTACAAAGCAACCATTGGTCTATGTGCAATGGCTATCGATTAGTGGGTCGCTGAGGAAAGCGTACTATCAGCACGCATGCTCACCTGTGATACAAGCTTCAGACAGTTCGTGATGAACGCCGCGGTCTGGTTCGCTTGTATCCCGCAGTAGGAGAACGCACTGATGTCATCGATAACTAGGCATAGTTTGTGTGGGTGGACCCCGGACGAGGTGTGCGACGCCGCTTCGATGTTTGTGAACAGGTCCCGGAGAACATGGGTTTCATCCCTCGCTAGCGGACTCCTTTTTCCGGAAAGGCCTGACAGCGCATCGATGAAGGTCAACTTTCCAGTTTGTTGATATGCCGCAATATTCAGACCCTGGTGATCATTCGGTCAGGAATCCAAAGTCTGTATGAACAAGGAAAAAACCGCCCCAACATACCAGCTTCTTCCCAACAGCCCCATAGTGCCCCAGTGTCTGCGCAACTCCAACCAATACGACCTTCCATTCTTGGTCATCCGCTCGCAAATGTCGGGATAGGAAGTGATTCAGCAGAAAACCTCCCTCCGCGCGGACTTCATCGGTTATGATCACCGTACGGCCGTCTGACGTGGCGGTGGCGGTTGCGGTCGCTTTGAGGGCCGACGGTTTGTCCAGCGAGGACGTATTAGTAGTTGAGGCGGCGCTTAGCCAGTGCAGAACGGCGTCGACCTGAGGGAATGTCATTTTTGTTGAGACTTGTGGATTTGAAGTTTGGCCAGAAAGTTCGAAAGGTTCGAAGCCACTTTTTGCAAAGTCCAGCTGTCAGAGTCGGCGCGATCTCTGTGACCAACTCTGTGCTCGCTATGTACCAGTAATTTTGGATAGTATGTAAAGATGCTTTATCATGATTATCCATCTAAACTATCATTACGCCTGCTATCAACGCTACCTAACCCTCTAAGCAAACATCTTAGCATACGCCTTCTTCTCCCTCTCCTTCCTCTCCTTCACCGCGCGCTGCACCACCGCCACCTCCCGCTGGATCAGCTTATCCTCCGGCGTGATCGCCAGCGCGGCCTGCAAGTCCACCAGCGCCGCGTCGGTGTCCTTGAGGGCCGCGAGGGCCTGCCCGCGACGGAAGTGGGCTTTGCATTTGTCGGAGGGGGTGATGGAGAATGTTGGGGCGTATGGGGCGAGTTTTTGGGAGAGGTCGAGGACTTGGGTGGTTGTGTCGACGGCAGGGCGGTAGGAGGTAACTTTTAGGTGGCACTAAGGAAGGAAGGTGGGCAGGTGAGTACGGACAACACCAACAGAAGGGATTTAGTAGAGCGGTCGCCGCGCAGAAGAAAGCCCAACATACCATAGCACTATTCAACAAACACGAAACCTTAATCGCAAAAAACGTCTGTTTCTGCTCCACACTCAACTCCTCCAAATCCTCTGGGCTCGGGTGTATCGCATTCAAATACCGCACTGCCTTCTCATACTTCTCTACCGCCTTCCTGTACTCCGCCTTCTTGAACGCCTCGTTCCCAAACACCTTCACCTTGCCCGCAATGTCGAGCATCTCCTCGGCGGGCTTGTCGGCGTCGCCGGGCATGTCTTCGGGGTACTCTTCGTAGACGTCGCCGTCGGTGGGCGTGGGGACGCCGTCGTCTTGTCCTGGGGTGAGTTCGCCGCAGGAAGCGATGACGACAGGTTCGGTAGGTTTGTCGGAGATGGTTTCGAGGTTTTCGATGCGGCGGACGATGTTCATGCCCTGCGAGGTAAGGAAGGTTGAGTACAATGGCGCGATCGCTCGTACCTGAGCATATGCATTTTAACACCGTACCTTGATCACACGACCAAACACGACATGTTTGCCGTTGAGATGCGGCGTTGGGACGGTCGTCACGAAGAACTGGCTGCAAATAATGAAACATCGAGGTTACTCTCACATGTCAAGCCTGTTGACCGACGCTGCAACATCAGCAGACTATCCTAACGTACCTTCCATTTGTGTTTGGCCCAGCATTCGCCATGCTGAGAAGTCCAGGCTTGTCGTGCACATATTCGAACTTCTCATCCTCGAACTTTTCGCCGTAGATACTCTCGCCGCCCGTTCCGTTGCCCTATTCAAGCCCGTCCTTCATATTAGCCCTTGAGAACAGTTCGGTTTCAGTTCTACAGACTCTGGTAGTTACCGCTGTGAAGTCGCCCCTATAGGACATGAGCAATCGTTCATGAGCATTCCCCCCGACAGACCACTCCCACCTCCCAAACTCCGGCCAACATACCCCTGAATCATGAACCCTTTAATGACCCTATGAAAAGCGCTTCCCTTGAACGTCAGCGGCACCCCGCGAGTCTTGGAGTTGACCTCGCCCGTACACAGCGCGCGGAAGTTCTCGGCGGTCTTGGGCACGACATCCTTGTAGAGCTCAAAGACGATGCGGCCGGCGGGGGTGCCCCCGATTGTTATGTCGAAGTAGGTTCGTGGGCTGTTTGTGAATTGGAAAGAAGTTAGAAGGGGGGTCTTGATAGGTGAGAGGAAAGGGAACGACTGACTCACTTGGGGCTTGTGTGGGAGATCATCTTTGGTGGTTGAAGCGGTTGTGTTGTGAGAAACGGGGCGGAGGAGAAGGGCGGATTTATGTTCTCACGGGCTGAGTCCCCCCTCACGCGTAAGGTTCGCGCGTCTTCCATCGCTTTCCATCTTGTCCAATGTTCCTGGGATGAGACGCGTAAATGAGGGTCGCGGGTGAGGTAGGTGCTGCGAAGTGTACGTGTAGAGACATCCGTCTTTCGAGCTCCGATTGGCTGTACATACATGGATCCATTTGTCTTCTTGGTTTCCAAAGCTGTTGGCATATAGGCGTTATCGAATCCATTACATCCCAAGATACATAAATACCCCACCACCTCAAAACACACGCCCAATCTCCCCTACGTAGGCCTCCACGAGACATTCCCGACCCCACTAAAAGCCGACTTGAGCGCCTTAGTATTCGCCCACGCCGAATTCACATAGTCATCCTCATCATTCTCCGCCAGTTTCTTGTGCTCCTCCTGCTTGCGGTAGTAGTAGGCCATCATGTCCTTTTGCTGTTGTTCGCTGAGGGGCGCTTCGCGGAGGGGTGGGCCTTGGCCTTTCTGTGATGGGTGTGAGTATACGGGAGAGGGGTGGGGGGCGGAAGAGGGAGGGGGCATGTTACCTTTTGGATCTTGACGATGATTTTGGTCTTGTCGTTTTTGCCGACGTAGTCGACGAGTTTCTTTTCGCGCTGGAGCTCTTTGCCGGCCCACCAGAGGGAGGCGGTGTCGATGTCGATTACTTCCTTTGATGCCTGATTATGATGTGTCAGAATTGCCCCCTCAGCTGTACGACCTCCCCCTCCGTCGCGTCTACTCACAGCAGTCCCCGTTAAATCCTCCTTATCCTCCAATATCTCCCGTACCGGTTCCCATTCAGGCAGCCCCATCGGCCAGACGATCGCTACTGCGCCGCGGATGTTGGAGAATGCTTCGTCGAGGTCTGGGAATGTGAGGCATTTGTTGGATTTCACTAGATCCTGGGGAGCGAGTCTCGGGGTTAGGCGGGAGTTTGATGGCAATATGATCTTGGGATGAAGATACGTACTTGTGATAGACACGCCTTGGCATTCGTCAATGTCTTTTGGATGATCTCTGCCATATCCTCCGTCGGCGCTGCGTAACGAAGATTCACACCGGGCTCCCATCAGCGCTCCGGGTCCCGCAAAAAAACTGCACCCCCGGGTAAGCTCCCAACTCCCCGTACCTTCACCAGTCCGCCTCCCAGTCGGATCCGGGTTCAGCAACACCTTCCTCCCATCCCTCTCCACCTCCTGCTTCAAAGGCGGTGTGGCCGGCTTCTCCTTCGACAGCGCCTCCAGCTGATCTTCATCGTAGCCATGCTGGTCGTCGGGTTTCAGCGGGCCGTACTCGATCAGATCTTCTGCGGCTGTTTGATATGAACAATTAGTATCCAAAAGAAGGAGGCCAAAAGGGTGTGTTGCCAAAAGAAGGAGTAGTTTACCGTCGATAAGCCGCCTGAGCCTGAGTCGGTAGTTCTGGAGCTTGGCGAGTTGCGGGACAAGCTCGCTGAGCGGAGATGTCGCTGGGGCTTCAAAGAGGAAGAGCGATTCTTCGGCTTTTTTGAGGGTTATCAGGACCATCTTGTTTGAGTAGGGGTGAGCGGTATGGGTATCCTGCCGTGGGGTGGGGTGTATATGGGGGAGGGGTGAACGTCAAACGATGAGGGGAGAGGGATATCTTATACGACGGGGAGGACGCCGATGACGAGGGGGCGAGTCCAAACGCGTCCAGACGTTCTTTTCGCTCTTGCTTAGAACGCGTCGGCTTCTCGCAGACGCCCAGCCATCGCCCGTCGCTCTCCCCTCTACGCAAACGTACTATCCCCAACAGCGTCTCATCTTGGCGCACGAGCTCATCTTGGCAAATTGGAGTCGCCCATCCTCAGAGAGTTGAATTCGTCTCAACTTTCAGCGCGCAAAAACCGGCCCGGATTCGGTGTGGTATTGCAACCGATTCTTTGTCCAGAGAACCCGCCGACACAAGATCTCCGCCGCTCTCACCAGCACAACTGCTCCACCACCACCATGCCCCAACCAACGCCCAGACTGCTCATCCCACTCCTCCTCCTCCTCCTCCTCCTTCCCCACCCGCCAACGCAGGGGTCAACGTACCCCCTCCCCCTCCTCCCCGACTCCCTAACAACAAACTACATCTCCGCCCGCGACCTCTACCGCAACCGCCTACTTTACCTTTCCGGTGAAGGCTCCGACCTCAACCCCGCCATCAACCACGTCGTGCGTCTCGCCGAGGGGTGGATCGCTGATCCCACCACCTACACCGTCATGAACAAAATGACCCATTCCACAACCGATAACAACACCACCGCACGGATCGCGCCCTCAGGCGACCCCCACGACTACTTCTCCCTCGCAAAATACTACTGGCCTGACCCCGCCACTCCCTTCGGCCTCCCCTACATCCCCCGCCCCGGCCAAATCAACCCTTCCTCAACGTCCCTCCCCAACGACCGGGCCTCGCTGGATGCCGTGATCGAGAGCGTGTGGACGGGCGCGCTGGCGTGGTTTTGGACAAGGGATGAGCGGTTTAGTGGGATGGCGGGGGAGCGGTTGCGCGTTTGGTTTGTTGAGGAGGGGACGAGGATGAATGCTGCGGTAGGGTTGGAGTGGGATAATTGGGTGGTCGGGAGGAGTAGTGTGGGTGGGGGGAATGGGACGGTGGGTGGGAGGAATGGGACGGTGGGGGTAGGGGGTAATAATTTGACGGATTTGGCTACGGGGATGGACTTGAGTGTTGTTGATGCGGGGTTGGTGGATGAGTTCAATGGAGCGAAGGGGAGGAGGGAGGTGCGAAAGCGGCAGGATGTGACATCGACGCCGAGTGCGGTTGCAACTCCTCCCGCGGCTGCTGCGACACCCGCTGCTGCTGGATGGACACCGCCGGCGCCGATTATGACTGGCCTGGAAGGTATGAATGTCATAATCCCCGAGTCATGACATCCCTATATCTAACACCCCCTCCTCCCAACTCCCTTACAGCCTTCACATCCCTCCACCTCCTCCTCGACGCCATCCTCCTCCTCTCCCCGACGTCCTCAATCACCCCCCTCCTCCCCGCCCTCACAACCTGGTTCACAACCTACCACTCCTGGCTGCTCACGTCACCCCGAGCCGTCGCCGAACAATCCCAACCCTCCATCCGCGGCCTCAACACCGACATCCAACACCTCGCCCTCCTCCTCTTCCTCAACCGCACCGCCGAAGCCGACACATACGTGCGGAACACCACGATCCCGAGAGTCACGGGGGCGATCGGGCCCGACGGCCGTGTCGCGTCTGCACTGACATCCGGCGGCGCGGACACATGGCAGAACTCCGTGTCCTATCTCTCCTCCCTCTTCACCCTCGGCCTCCTCACCCTCAACAACCCGCCGCTCCCCTCTCTCTTCTCGGTGACAACCACCGACAACCGATCCATTCGTGGCGCGTTGGATTTTCTGCTCCCGTATGCGTTGGCGAACGGGACCGGGTGGCCGACGGGGCCGAATGAGACGTTTAGTGTTGGGGCCCAGTTTTGGGGAATGGTGGGGGTCGCGTGGGTTGTGTGGGGAGAGGGGAGGTATAGGGATGCGGTGGTGCGGGGGCAGGGTGGGGGGAGGTGGGAGACGGCGAGGTTGTGGATGCCGTATGGGGCTTTTGAACTTAGGGCGGAGAGTAGTGGGGTGGTGGGGAGAGGGGAGGGGGTTTATGGACGGTGGGTGTTGATGATTTTTGGGATTGGGTGCGGTGTGTGGTGGATGTGATTGGGTTTCTGGGATGAGGACACCGGGGTTTTCTGTACAAAACTGTGTACTGTATGTATTTGTGTGCGTTGTCCACGGTTGCTATGTAACTTATCCTAGAGTAAAAGCATATATGGGAAGCCAGCCTTAGTGTTTGACGTGTAAAAATGTACATCACAGTACTACATATATCATATTTGGTTTTGAAGCTTATCGAAATAACATTATGCGTCGAATTTGTTGACGGATGTAGTTAACCCCATTCAGTGGTATGAGATGCTGGGGGAGATGCTGGGGGAGATGGCGAGGATGAGATCGAGAGTGACGTTGGAAGATTGGATGGACGAAAAGGGCGGAACAACAATCCTCCCTCGAGCCTTTTGCACAACCTGTGCTGCTTGTGCTGGGCGGAGTTCGGCAGCTGTCGCTTCCGTCCGACGCGTGAGAGGGACAACAGACCCCCTTCCTCTCGTAAGCGCAGATGTGGCGCACGCTGCTCCGTCGCATGGGCTTCGCACTTGGCTTGCATTGCAAAACTTTACAGACTGCAAACCCCCCCAACGGCACAACCCACTCCTCCACGAAAGACTCCCGCCAAACATGAGACCCTTAACAGAAGAAGAAACGAAGATATTCTTCGAGAAGCTCGCCAAATAGTAAGTTTTCACCAGCCACACCGGTCTTGCGGCAGGTCTTTCGCCTATGACTAAATTGGAATGACTTTTCCTCTTGTCCCCTCCTCGCAGCATTGGGCGTAACATTGTGCACCTGATAGACAGGGCAGACGACCCACACTGCTTTAGGTTACAGCGGGACAGGGTCTTCTATGTCAGGTGCGCTTTTTGAGCGTTGGTGGGTTCGGGCACTGCAGAGGGCATACTAATGAAGGCCCGCAACCCTGTCTTTAGTGAGGCAATTATGAAACGAGCGACGTCCGTCGGACGGGACAACCTGCTCACCCTAGGAGTGTGTTTCGGCAAATTTACAAAAACTTTGAAATTCAAGCTGCATATCACAGCGCTGGACTACCTGGCGCAATACGCAAAGGTATACTCCCTTATGAAGCTATACCCACTCAAAACCCAATACCCTATTTTCTCCCACTAACATCACCCCTTCCCCTCTACCAGTACAAAGTCTGGGTAAAACCCAACGGCGAGATGCCCTTCCTCTACGGCAACCACATCCTGAAAGCGCACCTGGGCCGTATCACCGAAGACACGCCGGAGCACCAGGGCGTGGTGATTTACTCGATGGGGGATGTTCCACTTGGGTTTGGCGTTACGGCGCGGTCAACGCAGGATTGTAGGAAACTGGATCCGACGACGATCACCGTGTTTCATCAGGCGGATGTTGGGGAGTATTTGAGGGATGAGGAGCATCTTGTTTAGAGAAGTGGGATGGTTTGGCAGGCGTGGAGAGGTTGGGGTAGAGTAATTTATTGGTAGGGGGTCTTTTTTGCATGTAGATTGCGTTTTGTAGCTTCACAGGCTGAGGCAGTCTCTGTTTTCAATGTATATAGAAACGCACTGTTAGGCATCAGTGAGAATGAACGTTGGAACTTTTTTGTAATGCAGGTTCATATCACTGCAGAGCGGATCCAAGTCTAACGAAGGGGAGAGTAGGAAGAGCTCTATGATAGCCTACAACCTACTACCTCATCTATCGATTCCCATCTATGTATGCGTATGTAACGTGTCGGCCTCTCCAATGAACGGATCTGCTGTCGAAAGGCGTCCGCTCCGTCGTGTTCTCCTGTTAGCGTGCGCATGTCCGGACGGACGCCCCACTCCATTGTCGGACACCCTTCCGGGGAATCCTCACGTCCTGCGCTTCCAGTCCACGTTCGACCTTCGTGAGCACTCTCAACCCTCCCGCCCCACTCAGCAATACTGCACAGAAAGGGAAACCAACAGCGCATCTCCCTCCACCAGCTTCGGCGAAACCCCTCGTCGCAGAAGTTCGCAGTTCTCCGGCGTTCGTAGTGTGTCTGTTCAGTCTTGAGTGTAGCCTTTGACGCCATGGCAAGCGATAGTGTGGCTTCGCCTCGTGGGCGTTCGTCGGCAAGAGCTGCTGCGGCGGCGGCGACGACTGCCGCAGAAGACCCCGCTGCTGAGGAACAGCAGGAAGTCAAAGTAACAAAGTTCTATCCCGAAGGTTCGCAGTTTACTCCCCGCGTCAGTCATTTTCCCACGGACTGAGCACTGAACTCAACCTTCTTGCCTACTTCGAAGCTGTGCCTGCCCGGACCCGAGGAAGGCGCCAGGACGCAAAGGGGCGGGCGGCTATTGATGAAAAGGACTCTCCCCCGACAGTCTTGGTTAGTTGTACTCTCATCATCCGCGCTCAACCGACGCCGCCATTGAAACTTTGACCTTTCTTTAGGAAGCCCTGCGCAACCAATGGCGCGAAAAGATGGAACGGCGCGAAAGAGGGGAGGATACTTTGGGTTTGAGAGACACCATCCAGGAGCTTTCCAACGAAAAGTTAGTACGCGCACCTCGACGCAGCCCTCCGCTGACGAATGCACTGATACTCTCCCATCAGCGACTCCATCCAAACAGTGAGAAAGGAGCGCGTTTTTGACGACGAGGTTACTGAGGAAGAGATGAGCATCATTCAACAACGGGTGGCATTGCAACAGCGACGCGTAAGATTGCAGTCAAGTGTGGGTGCGTCATTCGGGAAGCTCACGTCAGATCATAGTTTCAAGAATATCAACGCCGAGAAGTCGCACGGAAGGTGGACAAGGTCCGAAGCATGTTTGAGTTTTTGAAGCCGGAGGAGATTGCTGAGGCCTTGGCGGATGCCAAGGATGACGAGGTTAGGACCGCCTTTGCAGAAAAACTCGTGTGGATATGCGGAAGCTCAAGGCTCGCGTTATGTAGGATACCACCATACTCAATTTCACCAAGCCGCAATACTTGACGACTTTGCGGAAGCAAATGGCGCTCAAGTATCAGACAGCACAGCAAGAAGGTTGGTGACAGATATTAGGGTTCATTCAGCAAAGGTGGCGAGTACTAAGATTTATCTCCTCTTTTCAAGTTGGGCTCACGGAGGAACAGCAACAGGCATATGACCGACTGATGGAAAAGCGAAAGAAGGCAGTGAAGAAAACGACTGCCGAGGATGCCAAAAAGTGAGACCGAGAGAGAGAGAGATAGCGCCCTTGAGTGCATCAGGAAGAGTCAGTCACTCACGGTCACAATCATTGATCTAGGCGATGCATCAAATACTCTCGACTGCGGCTAGACGAAGCTCTCAGTCAATTGGAAGCAGGCCATGACCCTTCCAAAGTCTTTGAGGGATGGAGCGACGCGCGTGTGAGAGCCTACCAACAGATTAAGACGAAGCCGAATTCGTACTATTATCGATTTAATGCCCCGGGGGAGAAGCAGAGGAACGGTGTTTGGACGAAAGTGGGTGTACAGGCATTATGTAACCCGCTCAAAAAACGATCCGGAGTTGACATCTCTTGGGCTTCTATAGGAGGAGAGGACGTTGTTCTTCAAACGGCTGGACGAGATGGGAGCGGATGGACAATGGGGTATTTTCTCGCAGACGATTCCCGGGCGTGTGGGATACCAGGTACTGGTGTTCAGCTGGAATGTACGTGGGCAACATCTGCTTACATTTCCGCCATCAGTGTTCCAACTTCTACCGCGGCCTGCTCAAATCCGGCGAGATAGTTGACCCCAACTACCTTATCGATGCCAAAGGCGAGCTCCGGTACCTCTTTGGCAAAAAGGACGGCGGCGAAGGCGTCATCCGCCACCACTCCAAACACGGCTCGGGCGGCGTCAAAACCCAACGCACCACATCATCCTCCTCCACTGTCAAAAAACGTAAACGCCGCAACCGAAACAACGATGATTCAGACGACGACGACGCCGATGACGGGAACGTCGACGATCTATTTGACCAGGACGATTCGGGCAACTTCACGTGTAAAGTCTCCTGGGCCACCACGCGCCGTACCCGTGCACGATTGGAAGCGGCGGAAGCGGACCCGAATGAGGGGACCGAGAACCCGTTGCCGGGGTTTACGGACCCGATTAGTTTGGAGGAGGTTGTGAAGCCGGCTATTTCGCCTTTTGGGCATGTTATGAGGTGCGTGTTTTTGGGGTTGTGGGTGTTTTTCTGGGTGGAGAGTTGGGGTGATTTTTTATTGACGATCCCTCTTTTTTTGGTGGATACCGCGACACAGCTATGACAGCTGGATCCGCTGCCTAGGCTCCGAAGACCGCAAGAACATATGCCCGCTGACGAAGAAACCGCTCACGAAGCGCGAATTGGTTGTATTGACGCATGAGAATATTGAGGAGTATCGGTAAGTCTCGGTCCTTTCCTTACAATCCGCGCCTGGGCGGTATATACTCACATCCATCCCTTCCTGTCCTCGCTGTAGTGATAAAATCGTAAATGGGTGAACCTCGACACCTCCCTGCCGGCGTAACTGAATTTCGCGCCTTTCTCGGGGTCGGCGCTCAGGACATATCGACAGGCACACGGGGATCGACGTCTTTATATTATAGCAACTCTTGTATACCCACTCCTCTTGGCGGACTGACGAATTTCCATCGGCTTTTTTTTTTTCCCTTGATGTATATATATTTCCGAATACAAATTTTCCGTTTCTCTTGCTCTGAAATCGGCGCTCTATTTACGTTCTCCAGATTCAATGGGAATAATGTCCGGAAGATCCAATGCTGCGAACATCCCTGTTACCAGATTTTCATTCTCCAACAACCAAAAAGTATCAATCAGTCTACCGCTCTACAGACATAAGCCGTATGTACGATACATGGACTACACTCGCGGCCTGGGGGCACACGTTATACTGCATGTGCGACAGCGAAGAAAGCAGCCCCTGCACCTGTTCCAAAACCCTCGGCGTCGAGATCTCTTCCGCGACCAGGACCCCGGCCTCGGATCTTACATTGATCTACAATACAGCCAAGAAAAAGAATAGTAATCGGGTATCAGTCTTCCCGATCACTTTACATAGCTCGTGATAAAACCAGCGCTTCACTTCGCTTTACCTCAACCCGATTCTCCCCCAGTTCCTGCGACACAACCCGACACAAATCCCGCCATTCCGTCCAACAGAACACGACGCCGTCATCATTATCCGCGGGACTGGGACCGTGTCCACCATACAACGAGTCCGCAACGAACGTTTCCATATCAGCCTCACTCAACGTGTCCTTCGTCTTCCCATTCCGCATCGTCCAGGCGTCTAGAAATTCGTTGATGGCCGGGTCGGCCATGATGCGCGCTGAAGATAGGGTCTTGATGAGTGTGGCCGGATTGAGCTGTCCGTCGTGGGAGTGGGAGAGACGGTTAGCCCTTTGTCGCGTAAGGGCGCCCTGCAAAGACGGCACGGTGCCGTCCTCTTCGAGCGGATGTGGGGCGGTCATGGCTTCGAAGATGGTAAGGCACGAGGAGTCGTGGAACATATTGCGCAAGATAGACGGTGGGATGCGGACGTGGTGGATCTGGACGCCGTCGTCGAGTGCGATCTCTGTGAAGACATCTGGTCCTACATCGGGGGAATACATACTCGATTTGTCGACGTCGGTTGGTATGTTCTGCGTCAGTGACAAGAGAATGGATGCGGGCGTCCCGGTCTGCCCATGCAACACAGTCCTCTCGATCCATTCGAACGGGTACACGTATCCATTGATGCGATGCGGTATGACCGGCGGCCGCTCAAATTTGATATCCGCCCGGATGGCATCCTTCACTGATCGCTGCGGTGGGGAAGTATGGTACGTCACGTTGACTCCCGATTTGGGTTGGATTAGAAACCTGCGTGCTGCGGCTTCTTGTCTGATGTTGCCTTCGTTTCTGCGATGATGGTGTGAGTGGTGCAGCACCGTTATATATCTCATGCATGCAGCGAATCATACGTTTCGATGTAATCTGTCAAGGACTGCTTCAGCTTTTGTCCCATCGTAGAGCGGTCAGATAGGAGCAGCTCTGCGTTGCCTGCGGCTTTCAACTTGTACGCGTCGCAGCCGGGATCGTAGCCCATGTACTCCAGGTTTCTGCAGAATAGAATCGACCATGGCTATGGTGATGTGAGGACGAGGGTCTCAACGTCGCTCGTCCACACCACACCGTGCCATACCTTGAATCTCACCACTGTCGGGGTTTTGGAGATGATTTCCACCACGACAAATTCTCCATGCTCATTTGTGCATATCAAGTTCGTCTCGTATCGGGCCGTCCCGGTGCCAAACACATGTTGAGAGGGATCACCGATGTCTGGAGCCAATGATGAGAGCAGTGGCAATAGCTACAAGGATCTGGGGTGCACGTACCAATCACAACAAGAACGAGATCGATCTCCTCCGTACTCGGGAGCGGACTCGACTTGGCGCATGTAGTATACACTCTGGGAGAATACAAGGTTTGTTCCACCCTTTGCGGTCGACTTGGCAGCTCCACATATTGCGTATTGCGTTGCGCTCTCAGGTAGACCGGGCAGAGCTTGTCACGACTGTTCTCTTTCGGTATGAGGTTGAAAATCTTGAATCGCTTGCCTTCAACGAGGCGTGCCAGCAATCCTTCGTCGGGACCCCATATCGTCAGCATCGATTGACCCGTTTTCTCCCGTGGAATCCCATCCGGTGGGTAATCGCAGACGCGAAACGTCAAGAACGTAATCACATTTCGCGGCGGTGCAACCGTCTCCAGTTGTTCTCGAAGGTCCTCAGAAAGCTGTGCACGCTGCTTTTCGTGAGATTCTCGCATCGCGTCTTCCAGCGCATGGCGTTGATCGGTTTCGAGCTTGGAGATGAATTCGGCGTGGTTCCCAAAAGCTTTGGCGTGTTCGTGCAACTCCTCGCCATCTTGGATTTCGGACAGCGCTACTGCACAAGTTCACAAAATTAAAGGGCGTTAAGTGGTCAGATTAATTCTGCCGTGCCTACCTCGGCCTGTAAGGTTCTGTGCACTTCTGGTTTCCGATTTCCCGGCTTCTTTTTCGAGTTGACCCGCAATCTCCTGCATCGCTGAACTGTAATGTTTCTGTAGCGAACCTTTCGAGTGAGGACGTAACACATATGTTGACGACGATTGGAGCAGACTCTTCGTACCTGCCAACGCGCGGCCGCCTCTTCCTCCTCTTTCTGCGTTCGCACGACGCCAACTCCATCCGCGCTCTTCTCGTAATACCGCATAGGATACCTCCGACAAATAATTACGTCGATCGCCGGCACAAGCCCGCCGTCGGCAGACAGGTGTCGCAAGGATATCACAAAACTTCTTGGTCGCTGATAACCCAGGAGTGCATCCCACGGTGCTCGTCTCGTCCCGTTTGCACTGAGTACGAGGTGTGTCTTATCCGTGACTTCCAGCACCGGACATGGTTTGGCCGGCCCTCCCAGCTGGGAACCGCAAACCCTGATTTTCATACCCAAAAAAAGCTTCCTCTGCCGGATAGCTTCGAGCAACACCTCATCTGCCTTCGCTTTGATGGTGTACCAGCCGTCGGTCAGCTCCAAGTGCCAGACACTGGTGGCCTTCCTCGGCTCCGGCGCGATTTGCGAGATGCATAGGACCATGAATCGATCAGGAACATTATCGCGTTCGACAATCAGCTTGACGGCGGAGCGCTCAGCTCGGTTGATCTCTCTCTCATATCGGTAGCAAAGTCGATGGATGACGGCAGCTGGCTGCCATAACTGTTCCATCAAATCCGGAAACGAGCGGACAAGTCCGGCAAGATTCCAGAGAATTAGCTGATAATGATTCCGCATCCACTCGTCCGTCAGCAACGTTGGAGAGGCACCTGCTTCCACGAGAGAAAGCTTCGCATCATCCAATCCCCATGTGTCTCCGTCATGTTTCTCGAATCGCTGCAGATGAGCAGTGTGTAATGTAATCGAGGCAATGACCGCCGGTATACTATGTGCAAGGGCGGATTTCGAAGATGCATCCACACGTTTGCGCAAGCTCTGCCGCTCTCCTGAAGCCGTAAAGTCGAAAAGCACCCGTCGAGTGGGTGGTTGCGTCGTTGGCTTTGCCGCGAGCGCAGAGTCCCCAGGTGTTACCGCTGCAACTTGCTTCACTTTCTGGCGCAACGGTCTGAACGGCTTGCGATTTCGGTCGACAGGGCCGGATTTCGCCATGCGCGGGGTCATGAGCGAAGTGGGAGAAACCGGAGCCGTAGCGGCAAGTGGAAAGTTGCTGGTATCCCCATTCAGTCTCCGTTTCGAAGGACAAGACATCGAGGTGATGCGACCGAGTCCGGATCTATCAACGGCGTCATGGTTTTGCGGATCGGCTCCGTTTCGAAGGGCGCCTAAACCACTGTTTGCAGGAGATCCCAAGGTCACACGGGAACCGTTGCTTTCTGCAAACCCCATTGCTTTCGCCTTTTCTTGAGCTTCCAAAGACAATTTGGGCAAATCCTTTCCAGTTCCCGACGCGAAACCCATCATGGATGGCCTCGAAGGTCTACACGGCGTCTCTTGTGGAGTTGTGTCCGCAATCAAAGTTTCGTCTTCCGGGTACAGACCTAATGCACGAGCTTTCCTCGTCGCTGCTTCCGAAATCTTGGGAAGAGCCTTGCCGCTCCCGCTCGAGAATCCATAGCTAGCGTCCATTTTTGGCCGGGGTGTTTCGACGATTGCAAGGGCGTCCCTTTCATCCGTCCTCGTCTCCGCTGGACCGTCGACAAAACCCATGAGGCGGGCACGCTCCCGAGCAGCACCTGACGGCTCAGTCATTTGCCTTCCCGTTCCCGTCGAGAAACCAGGAAACGCAGCGACTTCACGATGGACGGGCGTTTCGGCCGGGGCTTGAAACGATTTCGCCGATGTTTCGTCTAATGCCGCACTGTTGTGCATCCCATCGTAGAGTCCCATAAGGCGTGCCCGCTCACGTGCGGCACCTGAAGGCTCCGCCATCTTTCTGCCGGTGCCTGTGGAGAAACCAGTAAAGGCGGGCTTGGTCTGAACGGGTGTTTCGACCGGAGCTGGAAATGACGCCGGTGTCGGTTCGTCCTGCGTCCCGTCGTAAAGCCCCATGAGCCGTGCACGTTCTCGAGCAGCACCTGAAGGTTCCCGTAGCTTTTTGCCTGTGCCGGTCGAAAAGCCGGAAAACCCAGCGGGCTTAGGCGGAATGGGCGTTTCGACAGGGTATGACGGTGCGCTTCTCGCCTTTACTGGGGAAGATACCGGTGTCGGTTCGTCAACTATCATGCTTTCGTTCGCGCCATCGTACAGACCCATGAGCCGTGCCCGCTCTCGAGCAGCGTTCGAAGGCCCCGGTAGCTTCTTGCCCGTTCCGGTCGAGAACCCCGCAAAGCCACCGACCGATGGCCGCACTGGCGTCTCAAGAGTGCCCCACCGCGCGCTTCTCTCGTTTACCGGAAAGGTTGCTGGCGTAGGATCGTCCACGATGGCGTTATCCCGTGGCCCATCGTAGAGCCCTATGACGCGTGAACACTCTTGAACGGCCCGCGACGGCTCCCCTAACTTCTCGCCCGTCCCACCGGTGAACCGTGCGCCAAGCCCAGCTCTCGGGCGCACAGGTGTATGCACGTCACTAACAACATCCTCCTCAAGCAACCCCAAGGCACGCGCGTGAATTTGAGCATTCCGCGAAATCGGAGGTAACCCTTTGCCGCTTGCCGACATGAAGCCCGCAGGTCGCTCAAGATTATCAACTTTCCGTCCACTCAATTGCTGTTCTTCGGAAGTAGATTGCTCGACCAGGTTCGCTTGTCTCTTCTTCGGAACGGGCGTTTCGGGGATCTCAAAAGGCGTTTCCGCATTGAATCCAAGTGTCACCGCGCGTTGCTGTGCTTGTTTGCTCACAGGCCCCAACGCCTTGCCCCGACCTGTGCTGAATCCAGCAAAAGCAGCTTTTGGTGGCGCGAACGGCGTCTGCGCTCCTACAACGTCGCTATGTCGAATGGGTGTGGGAGAGGCCAGCGCGCTTGGTGGTTCCAATTCCATCGCTGCCGTCTCGTATGCTGGTATACCCAGCGGTGTGTTAGGCACAATTCCGACAGCGTTGTCCAACAGGTTGGCTCTCACTTCAGATTGAACCGTGTCGGAAATCTGACCGCCGTAGTATTCACTTGCACCTGTATTGTGCGCCACCGTTGCTTCTGGGACAGCAGATTGGTTCCCATTTATCCGGTGTACAGGCACCTCGAATGACACGTCGTGTGCAGCCTCTATTCTAGCTGCACCAAAAGGTTCCGCAAGTATCGAATAGTCGTCCCCCGAGATTGTTGTAGGCGAGTCACGGTCCTTCGAGATCGCAAAATCTTGGATCAGGGGAGGGAACTCGTGATGACAATTCTCGTCCCCTTCTCCGTGGCGATCTCGTTGACCTCCCGAACGACCCGGCGCTGTCTCATTCAGCGGCGGTTCCCGGTAGTCCATCGGCGTATTCGTGCCTTCATCCGCCGCGTGCGGGACCTCCTTCACCACAGTCATCCCATCCCCCTCCCCAAGCGGTGTTCGCCACCCACGCACCTCCCTCCTCAAATCCCCCAACGATTTCGGCGCAAACGACACACTCGCACGGCCCGATCCCAGCCCACCCCCGGACGCACACATCGGATTGGCATCTGCGCTCAACTCCTGGTCCACAAACTGCGCAAAGCGCCGAATGGTAGACATATTCGGCTTCAGCTGCTTTCCCGAAGCGAACGCGAAATTGATCAGGCCCTGTTCGGCGGGTTCAGGATCTTGATCTTTGAACGCAGGCGCGTGAAATGGCGGTGGTATCGGGGCGCTCAACGGGACGGATTGGGCCGGTTGCGTATTTGTTTGGTTCAACGCACGTTCAAAGCTCGCAGAAATATCGTCGTCTTCGATAGTGTACGCGTCGTAGAATCCGGGTTGGGTGCGTGGGAAGTCCGCTTCCACTTTGAGCTTCTGTGTTATGCCATGCACTGCGGAGAGCATCGAGTGGCCGTAATCATCTCCATACTCATCGTCATCGTCTACATCGGATTGCACTCCGAGTGGCGGGTGTTCGACTTCATCTGTGTCCCACCGTACGGCTTTTGCTCGCTGCGTGCGTTCCGCTTCATCATACTGATTGGGGAGTTTGAAACTGTCGTTCACCGCACCAGTCAGCGAAGCTTGCGATGCGGCAATGATCGGAGACGATCCGGCGGACATCACGGATGCATCATCGACATCTGCGTGAGCCACACATTTAGGTGATGCGGCGCAGGTCACTGGAGACCGTGACGCCAAAATGGTGGCAGCTTGATCTTTGAGGTCATCAACAGGCGGAGAGCGAGCTGCGTGACCGCCGGGGACTGGAGCCTTCGATGAGATTTTGCCAGCTGCTGTGCGGTTATCCTGGGTACGGCCGTTCACTGCTTCCTCGCGTACATCGGTGGTTTCAAGCGCACGTGGTCCACTCAGATGATATTCATCATGCGCCTCTCGAGTCTCGTCTTGCGTATCGTTAAAATCTTGAACGTGCTGCGACCGTACAGGACTTGAATGAGCAAGCGGTCCCATTGCCTGCTTCTCGGCCACGCCGGGGGTAGCCGATCTAGTTGATGCGTCCTCAGCGGTCTCGACAGCGACTTCCAGCGTAAGCGGGACACCGTAACGATGGTCATCACCTCCGTCTTGAGTATCTTCTTGCGTGTCATCAAAATCCTGAACATGCCGCGACGGTGGAGGACTCGAATGAACAGGCAGTCCCATCTCGCGCTTATCCTCGATGTCGAGCGTTGCTGATCTAGCTCGTATATCGTCATCCGCGTCAAGTACGTGAATAAGCTCGTCGTCCTCCCTCTGCGGCAACGACTCAGTGCGATCGCTATCATGGTCAGTTCCCACCTCTTTCCCCAAACGCGTCGGCATCACCAGGTTTAGGCTACCAACACTTCCTGTCGCCATCATCGGAAACCGCCGAAAGATAGAAGGCGAGTCACACTCCGACCCCTGCGTCTGCGACTCCGGCGAGCTAGGCACATCAATGACCGCCTGTTTCATCTTCACTTCCGCGCGATTGAGTCGAGGTGTCAACGAAAGGGTGGCGGGGATCACGTCCTGGCCCGTGTCGATGATGGTGGTTTTCTGGGTTGCGGTGGATTGGGTATCTGCGTTGTCGATGATGGTGGTCTTCTGCGTCACGCTGGATTGGGTTTCTATGTTGTCGATGATGGTGGTTTTCTGCGTTACGACAGACTGCGTATCTACATCGTCGGTGATGCTAGTCATCTGGGTTACGCTCGATTGGGTATCTATATGCTCGTGTTTGATAGTTTCCGCGATGCTTGCAATCAGGTTGAGTTCCACATGGTTGGATCCGACTGGACTTGAGATCAGAAGCAGTTGCTGACTGCACGTAGCATCTAACGAGCCTTCCATTTCAATACCCTGTGAGCGAGCAGTAGGCTCTAAGAGCGCGGGAGATCCAATATGTGGGAAGTCGTCTTCTTCCTGCGTTTCAACGATCATCGAGTTTGCCGGCGCTTCGGCCGCGGTCGCTGTTGATGGGACACCATCCCCGACAGCAACCGTATGAGCAGCATCGCCATCAGACTCCACATCCGACGGGATCGAATCCAGTTCCGAGGTTTGCAGCAACAGTCCATTCCGATATGGCGCCTTCGAACCCAAGTCGCGCTTCCGTTTGTTCGGCGGGGTGATGCTTGGAATCTCGAGAATGTTCATAAGGTCCGCAATGTCGACTCTATCATTATCATCCGGCGACTTCGACTGAGGGGATGACAGCCGTGCTGGGATCTCCCGCGCGACAGGGGACTGGGCTTTCGCGGGTGACGACGATATCAGTATTGGTGCGGCGCCTGGGCCGTTGTTCGTCGCTTTTGCATCGTAAACGGGAGATGGACGTGGAGGCGAATGAGGTTCGGAGCCACCTGCCGCATTGAAAAGATCACTCGACATGGCACAAAGCTCACGGTGTGCCGATTGACTCGAAGATGGCAGGCATGGTGAGGCCGCTTTGATCATCATTCCTCGTTTTCGGCCCGCATCAGATTTCTTCGAATACACAGACTCCGGAGAGCTCAGCACGGATACATCCGATAAGGGCGAAGAAGAAAAGATGCTTTCAAACGTGTCTAACGCTTCCTTTTTGAGACGCCTCGTATGCTCATTGCTGTACGGTGCAGATCTTCGTGCAACAGGGCTCGCCGGCGCCGGCGCCGGGGTCCGTGCCGTGCCGGGTTTCGCTTTCATATGTTTGATCTCTTTTGTACTGCTACAACCGCTCTCCCCGCGTCGTATTCGCTCGCTTCTTCTAACGTTGCCCTGCGGATCCGAGTGCCGTAGCTTGCGACCTCGTTTCCTTTCCTCCTGAGGTCGTTCCTGGAAGGGGTTCTGTTCTGCGCGACCTATGGCAATGCTGGCGGTGGTGGAGCGCCCCGATGCCGTGATTGTTGACGTCCCAACAACGTCAAAATTGGGTTTGGGCACCCTAGTCGGGATGGTAGTTGCCCAGAAGCTCAAGTCATCGCCTGTTGGAGCGGCTTGGGTCGTGAGATCTTCAGATGGCGTCACACAATGAGACTGTACAGTAAGCTTGGGGAAGTCGCCCTTCGACTTTCGCCTTTTGTTGGGTTTCCTGCTCTGATTTGAGGAGACGTATGTCGTTGGGACAGTCCCAATGATATCAGACAGTTCCAGCGGCTGTATTTGCTCGGGCCCAACGATGTCCTGGATCTTCGTGACGGTACCTCCCCGACGTTTCCTCTTGGCATTCAGCGGTGTTTCGTCGCGCATCGCCTGATCTGCATTCCTTTTAGCAGCCTCGCCCTGCAGAGCATTGTGCAAGCTCGGTACAGCGGTGAGAGACGGCTCACGAACGAATTGATTAGCGAACATGTCATCAAAGTCGTTCTTCGACGGAGACGGATCAGCAGTCCTCGGAGTCAGCAACATCCTTTTCGGTCGCCCTTCAGCAGAACGGATCTGCCTCGTGTTGGATTTCGCGAGGGGCTTCGGTTTCTGCTGACCCAGGAAAGGCGTCAACCACTTTACTCCTGTTCCTGAAACTGAAATGTACTGTTATCGGCTGAACCGCCCGTCTACACACAAGAGCACAATGGACAAGCCCATACCTTTGACTCCCGGTGTCAGAGAACTGAAATCGTTTTCTTTTACCGACGTTTCTCTCCGTGCATTGCCAAGTCGATTCGCCAGTAAGCGCCCCAGCGCACGATCAGCCGACAGCGCCTTCGGCTTCTCAACATTAGACATCCTCGATTCTTCATGCAGGACGCGTATCTGCTCCGCAGGTGCTATGGCCGGCATGACAGGTGGCGTTCCCTCCGGGCTTCTACTCCGAGGCCCAACCGTAGCCCAAGCCGTAGGAGACTCCTGAGCCGCCAAAGACTGAAACTGCCTCCGCCGAAGAAGACTCGCAATGTGACCGGGCGTCACGGCCCGCTGCTTCCCATTTGGCAACGGAGTTTCTAATGAGGGTGACCAGCCAACCGGGAGGTTCAGAGCCCGCGCGTGGAGTGGCGTTATGAACCGGTTTCGCTGGTCGGGTTGCCGCCATGGCGTGTCTAGTTGGCCCGTGACCCGTGAGGCGGAACCCTCGTCCAATCGCAGAGGAGAAAAGTCGTCCGGCGAGTCCGCGAGTAGACTCCTCATATGTGATTGTGCTGCTCGCTTTTTCGGTGCAGGGGTTTTGTATGTGTCCTCTTTCCCATGGCCATTCGCGTGCTGATCTCCGCCCACTCCTATGGCGGAAGGCATCAAAGTCCTGACTCCAGTGTTCTTGTTCTGTGACTGCTCTGCCTCCGTATTATTGGAACTGCCTGCTGCCTGTGGGTTGTTCGCTAGTGATGTCTGCATCGTAGGGTACAGTTCGTCAGTTTCACCCTTTACGGCCCCGCCGCCCTAGCAAAGGCGGGATCATCATACCACATCCTCTCTATCAACCCCAATCGCCATCAAGACTCCGTGCGGTAGCTGAGGCACCCAGAGGTCTTCCATATCGAAACTGTTGGAGTTGCTGTCATTGTCCGTGTCCATGTCTCTTCGGTGGGCGTTTGTGAAGTGACCAATGTTCAGCGTGGGAAACTGTGGGGAACAATGTCGATTTGGGGAGTCCAGTCGATGACTGCCTCGCATTAGGGGCGGACAAGAATGTCGTCCGAATTCGCGCCGCGTAAGCAGAAGCCTCAAGCCACGTCTCAAATGTCCGCTTCTCAAAAAACCTACTCGGAAACTGTTATATACGTAGGAAGAGGAACGTATTCCCCCTAATTATACAGCAAAGATGTCAAACCAAACGTATAACCAACTCTGGATAGACGGCAACAAAGAGCTTGCGGAGCAGCTAGAGTACGAGACCCCCAAAGATGCCACGCTGCAGGTCAAAGACCGCGAAGCAGCCGTGCAGCATTTGGCCGTGCTTTACGTGAGGTACATCCAGATATTTCGGAAACTGGAGGTGCGGCCTGATTCCCTTTTCCTTTCCATCTTATTTTCCACGGACTTATGCAATCGTTTTGCGTAGAACTCGTATGATCAGATCGTTCATCCCCAAAAACGACGACTGCTGCGGGATGTGGTGATTGCGACGATGGGACGGATGGTCGAGATCAAGCATGTAAGGCGTCTTCTCCTCGCACATCAAATAAACACATGTGGCTCATCGAGCCTTTCCAACAGAAACTCGTCGAGCTGGAGCTGACAGATTTCCTCAACATCGGCGACATCCTAATGGACATGAAACTGACGCCGGACGACCTTCGGATCCCCATACCCAAATTCTATGTTGAGGAGAGAGTGGATAGGATAACGCAGCATTCAGCTCTTCTGGTATGCTGACAATCAGGAGCATTCATGAATTAATGGAGGATTGACGGTGCGATCGGTGCATGAACAACAGGAGAGCCTTAGCGCAAAAACAATGGGCTTCGGCGAAGCCGTCCCGCCCTTCCCACCCCTCAAGATCGCAGACGCTATTCGCATCATTCAGGTGAACGAGCGCGGGCGGCAGGGCAGGCTGAGGGCGAAGTACATGGCGGATATCAAGTATGGCATCTTCTCAGCTTTTCGATGAGGACTACGATCATGAAAGCTGACGGTGATTGAACTCGTCAGGCTGCAAGCACATAGAGAAAAAGACCTTGACCAGAATGAGGAAGATATGGAAGTCAATATTGCTGCGATACGGATTCAGAAAGTGTGAGTGCGGGTTCTATACCAAGTGCCAAATTACAGACATAGCCTTACATCCCGACTCCAGGTACAAAGGTTTCAAAGCCCGCCAAATCTACAAAAAGATGATGCACGACGAGCTCGCATTTCTAGGTACATCCCCACAACATCCCTCAAACCTCTCAGAACTGTTTCTCATGTGACGACTCTCCTCGTCAGGGCAGGGATGACATCCGTACTAAAAGATCCGAAAACAAACCCGATCGTCAAAGCGGAGAATAACCGCAACAGGAGGAAATTCATTCAGCAGCAGTTTGAGGATGAGTACCAGCAGGCGTTGGTGAATACCCGTGAAAAGTACGCATTGCCTCCATGGTCCAAAAACAGTCCCGACTTGGAACGAGAACATTTCTAAAACCATCTCTAGGATAATGAAAGTCGAAGGCCCCGACATGCGCGAATCCCTCCAAGACACCTTCCGCCACTGGTACATGGAATACAAGCGCATCAACGGCAAATTTCCCGATTTCCCTACCGACAAAGTCTGGCAGAACCCAAATTTCAAATTTGAACTTACCGCTGACGGCCAGATTCCTGCGCCGCCGCCGGATGTGGAGGCGAGCGAGGGGGGGAGTAAACCGAGTACCGCGGGGAGCAAGAAGGGGAAGGGCAAGGATAAGGAGAAGGGGAAGAAGGAGAAAGGGAAAGAGAAGAAGAAGGGGAAGGGGGAGGTCTGTTGCCTTTTTCGAGGGGCTAGGAGATGTGCATTGTGTCTGACTGACTGGTGGGTTGGGTAGGAGGAAGAAGACCCCGACCGCTTCAAATTCGACGACTCCACGTACTTGGAGGACATCAAAACAGAGTAAGTCGTACCCTTCGAGTACCATCTCCGAGTGGTCCATCAGCATCGATCCTGACTCCTTTGTACTGGTGAACCGCAGACGCTCAACCTTCGCCGACAAATGGGCCAGAAAAGACGAAGCTGAGAATTTCGCCCAGAAGCATGACCAGGAAATCGTCAAGGGCGAAAAACGGCGCGAAGTCGAGGCCGAGGTGCGTAACTATCATTTGCCCTCGACCACCATCGTATTTTCCGAGGCGTCATAGTTTAAAACTCATGGTTTTGTCGTTGCTAGATCAAAAACCAAGTAATGGAAATCCTAAAAGAAGAGCTCAAGAACCTGAAAATGGCAGTGGAGAGAGAAAAGGCTGGAAAGAGCAGGAAAGGGAAGAAGGGCAAGAAGGGGAAGAAAGGTCTGTTCATCGCCAATTCCTTTCACCTGTATCCACAGCCGTGTCTCATGTGAAGGATGGTGCAGGAAAGAAAGGTGGGAAGAAGGGTGGGAAGAAGGGGGGCAAGGTGGGTTTTGCGAAATCTTGTTCTTGGATGGGCAGAGATGTGATGCTAATGCCGAGATGTAGAAAGGGAAAAAGGAGAAAGACATCACTGCCAACAGAACGATGGAGTCGTTGGTGGAGGAGTTGGTCCAGACGGGGATTTTGCAGAAGGTACGTATTCACCCGGAATTTCTGAGTTTCAACAAAATTCGGAGTAACACCCCGATTAGTACCCACCAGCGTCGCTACGAGATTTGCGCGGCGAGTTTGATGTCTCTGGGACATCGACGAGTAAGGTGACGGCTTTGAAGCCTACGCTGGGGGAGGTGCAGAGGGTATGGGTGTGGGTGGGATGTCGGGTTTGCTTTGAGCGGGTGTTGGTGGCTTATGCACGAGTTCATGCAGGCTGTCAGTGAATACTGCGTGTTACCTCTTGGACTTCCGGAGTCTGTGTCGATCCCGGCGGTGACTAGCGTTTTGCTGTTTGGGCCAAAAGGTTGGATAGTTTCGGGAACAACCATCTTGTACGAGGCAGGAGATACTTACCCCGCGATGTAAACCAACAGGAACCGGCAAATCCCTCCTCGTCAACGCCGTCGCCTCCGAACTAGGCGCCTATCTCTTCAACCTCACCCCTCGCAACACCGCCGGCCAATTTTCCGGGAAAGCCGCGACTTCCAAAATGATCCACATGGTCTTCAAAGTGGCCAAAGCGAACGCCCCCGCCATCATCTATATCGACAACGTCGAGATGATCTTCGCTAAAAAAGTGCCCAAGGATGATACATCCGAGCCCAAACGCATCAAAAAGGACTTACTCAAAGCCATGAAGGCGCTTAAACCGGAGATGCGCGTCCTGGTGATGGGGGTGAGCAACAAGCCGTGGGATGGGGAGATGAAGGCGCTGCTGCCGCCGTTTGGGAAGCATTTGATGGTCCCGAAACCGGATTATGCGTCGCGGAATGCGCTGTGGAACTTCTTTGTGGGGAAGAAGGTGCCGAGTGCGGTGGGGGGATTGAATGTTAGTTTGCTGACGAGGATGAGTGAGGGGTTGTCTGCGGGGCAGATTTCGCTGGCTTGTGAGAGGGCACTGACGAATCGGAGGTTGAAGCTTGTAAGTGATGTTTTGGGAGCGGGATGCGCCACACAGTACTGTACTTTTGACACCCGCACTTCGTAGCTGCGATCAAGACCGCTGGTGACCAACGAGCTAGTAGAGCAGATCCTGAACATGTATCCAATCGACAAGGACGAGGATAAACCGTTTTGGGTACGATAACCGACCCTCTGTGTCTTCTCTGCCGAAAGCGGACATCAATTCTTATCCCGCACATCATTTTCCACAGGACTTCTATGAAAAGACCCCACTAGTCAAGAAGCGGACGGCATTGCTCACGGCGCCGGATGATGAGGGGGATAAGAAGAAGGATGCCAAGGGGGCGAAGGGGAAGCCTAAGTCGGCGAAGAAGAAGTAGTGTTGGAGATGTGGTACTAGAAGCTTACGTGATTGTGTAGGCTTACGGCACAATATACGGAGTCGCTGGTGACAGACAACCTGTGATATGGAGGTGCTTGGACGTGGTTCCTTCCTGGATGTCCCTCCTTGGATGCTTGCAGTCTCGTAGGCCATCTCCCGTCCAGATGCGTCCCCTCTCAATTTCAACTCCGCTCCGGTGAGGCAACGCGTTCTCAAGTTCTCCAGTTTCTCACATGTCTGCTGGATGACGCGACTTGCACCGGCAAATCCACAGCCAATCGCCCGCCACATAAAGCCGCTCAGACCAACTCCCACCAGCTCCCCGTCTCCGAAATGGCCCATCAACCCACACCAACACCAGAGATCACGACCCCCTTCGACTTCCTCGGCGACTCGCCCCTCCTCAAAGTATCCGCTCTCCTCTTACTCCTTTGGGGGTTCTCCATTGTCATTAGAGGGAGGAACCAGCACGTTCCGGCCCCTGAAAAGCCAAGTACTGCGAAGAGGTATGGAAAATTGCTGGGAAGATGGCGACGTGGCGGGGTTCTACATGTAGGACATAAACCCCTCAGACAAGCCCGTGCGTACTCACCCTCACACCCCCACCAGCTCAACCGCACCGCGCACATCACCCAGCACCAAAATGACATTCACACCACCCGGCCAAAATTCCACCCGCGGGAACCTCGGCCCAGAAGGCACCGAGTCATTCACACCCGCCCAGCTCGCGCAATTCGACGGGAAGGACGAGTCCAAGCCTGTTTATATCGCTATCAGGGGCGTTGGTACGTGTGGCCCTCTCCCTCTCATCCTCCGATCCCCCCTCCCGACACATACTCACCGATATTTCATTTCCAGTGTTCGACTGCACAACCGGCCGCTCCATGTACGGCCCCGGCGGCAGCTACGGCATCTTCGCGGGCAAAGACGCCTCGCGCGCCCTCGCCAAATCGAGCCTGAAGGCCGAGGACGTCGTCGCGGATATCCAGGGGTTGACGGAGAAGGAGGTTGAGACGCTGGAGCAGTGGGAGACATTTTATAGGAAGAAGTATCCGGTTGTGGGGAGGTTGGTGCAGTAGGAGAGGATGCTAATGGAACGAGTGAGGGGATGGAGGGAATGGCAGGTGTAAATAGGGGTTCTTGTAGGGCATGTAGCACATATGCAGGTTTGATCTTCGTAATTGGGGAATTTCTCACAACAACCGTCACTGCTTCTTAATGCGATGTGCGCTGCATCAGTGAAATGGATTTTGCTTGGCTGTATATATAGTATGGCGGAGTAACCGCACACTTAATGTGCTAATGTTGAGGGGTGAGAACGCTAGTCAAAACGCCAATGTGTGCTAGCTACAGTACTGCAAGTGAGAGAGTGAGCTACCCATCTGCGGCCAATCCACGTCGCTTCACGCACAACGCGCGATAGACCAACACACTTTGAAGCCGTGGTGGTCCAGTCTCACCCCAGTCTCACCCACACTTGGCTCGCCAACGTTCAAGACCTAGCACCAACAATGTCTTCCGAAGACACAGGTACGCTTTTCAGCTCTGCACAACGGGAAACTGTTGTTATCTCCTGTGTCAAGAAACTCGTGGGAACAAGGTGATCTTGGAAGTTTTCGATCCACTCTTACGCTCTTCCTTTCCACCAGAATGGAACGATGCGCTGCGGGCGCAGGGCATCATAGAGCCGAAGGAGGCAGAGATTACAGAAGAGCAAATTGAAGAGATGATGGACAAAGTCATTCGGAATAAGTTTGGGGAGAAGGCCATAGAAGACCGGACGCTGGATGAGCTGGACGAGCTGGAGGACGAGGAGGACGACCGAATTTTGGAGTGCGTAACCAACGTGCGCTGGATCGTTAAAAGCTTCGGGTGAAAAGTCTTATTGTACTTCCCACAGATCATATCGGCGGCAGCGTATGGCGGAGATGAACGAGGCAGCACGAAAAGAGAAATACGGCAGTGTCATCCAAATTTCGAAGACAGACTACCAAGTCGAAGTCACCGAAGCGAGCAAAAACACCTGGGTCGTTCTCCACCTCTTCCAAAACCACGTGTCGGCCTGTAAGCTCGTCAACGGCATTCTCGACCGGTTAGCCCAAAAGTACCGCGCAACAAAGTTCCTCAAAATCGTAGCCGATCAATGTATACCGAACTACCCGGACCGCAACACACCAACCCTGTTGATCTACGGAGAAGGTGACCTGAAGCGGAACATTGTGGGGATATCGCAAATGGGTGGGGCAGCGACCACCGTGAACTTCATGGAGAACATGTTGAAGCAGATAGGAGCCATCGAGGACTCGGCGCTGACAGCTCAGAGGAGTGAAGGAGACAGCGACGATGAGGGCATGGGCGGATCAGGATTCAATATACGTCGGGCAACCAAACAGGATGAGGAAAGTGACGACGACTGGGATTGAAATTCTTATGTATATATTTCACATAGACCACGTATTTGCACAAATCGATACACGTAACACTTTGCCGTTCAAGCATTCCACCTACCAACCCGATGCTTTTGATACCGCTAGCCCCTCCAAAATAGTTGAGAAGCGAGCCTCGAACTCCCCCCAAAATGCCCATTCACGATGAGACCCGACCGAGATAATCTGCCTTCCCCGACACATGTCTGGCCATAAACTGTCGCACGTCTTCAGTCGCAGCGCTGTTCCTGGTCGTGAATCTTGCCCCACTGCTTGAAAGCGAGAACTAAACCCCCACAGTTATGAGTCCTCAATCGCAATCGCACTACCGAGTCTTGTATCAACTTACTGAAGATAGTGAGGATCAACGGGAAGCTCACGAGACCCGTGAACGTCCGAGCCATGGCGGCGCTAGTCATGTCGCTCACGGCGAGCTCAAGGATCGTCGCCAAGAGGGTCATCGCGACGAAGACCCAGGAGAGGATCGAGCTGGCGAGAGTCGAGCCGTTGGAGAGGCAGGTACCGCAGATGGGTTCGGGGCGGATGGGGAGACCTTAAAGGGACAATGTGGGGTGGTCAGTATAGCTTTGCTCATTGTCATGGACGATGTTTGAACTTCATTACCTGGACGAAGAGGCTGCTGCATTTTGCACATGTATGGGTAGGGAATAGACGACAGGATTGTGGCGGCAACAAGCATCTATCGTCGGTATCACGTCAGACCACAGGGTCAGGGAACCGACCTCACAAGCGCACATCAAGGAAAAAATGCACGTCCATACCATGAGACAATTGCGCAAAGCGTCCGCGGCGCGGTCGAATCGAGGGGCCTGGAACCTAAGCTGTTAGCACGGCCTCGTCCGAGATCCATTCAAACTCCTGTCCAACATACCCAACCAGAAGCACGAGCCCTAGTCTCCGGGGTCAACAAGGCCTGCCTCTCGGTCTCGGTGGCCTCAGCCTGCGAGCGCTCCGTAAGGTACGTGGCGACTTGTCGGGCGATAAGCGCCTAGACAAATGATCAAGACATCTCAGCGGTGCGAAACTTGGGGCATGTGGAGACGATTCACGTACCAACGCCCACAGGAAGAGCAGGGACGTCACTAGTTGGGACATTTGGATGGGTTGAAGAATGACTATCTGTCAACGATACGGGATAGGTACAGCTAGTGACAACTTACCAGCGATCCACTGGGACTTGACATATTCGTAATTCTCATAATACCGGTTCGGGACAAAGAAACTGTCTTGGGTGGTGTAGTCGCCGGTGTCAGACATGGTGATTTGCTTTCAGATCGATTGCAGCTTGAGAGTTTGGTGGTAGGTTGGGTGTCTTTGAAGTGAAACTAAATTCAAGCTGGCGGTTGCTTCGGGCGGCTCTACGCTCTTATAAACGGTTGAGAAACGGAAGGACGTTGCTTCGTCTGCCGAGAAACATCAATTCACTGCTCGCCCGTGGAGGCATATTGAACCATAACCTTTCGTCATCTCTCGTCATGAAATGTGTGGGGGAGCTGTGGGAAGGGGATATCATGCGACAGCCGGTCGGGGGCTCGGTTAATGTGCGACAGGTGTGGAGAGCCAAAGGGTTGACAGGTTGACAGCTTGGGTTTGCAGGTTGACAGCTGCCGGTCAAAGCAGGTTGACAGTACAGTATCACGTGGCTGCGATTAAATCCACTCGGACACGTAGTAATATAGACACGTCCCTTCTCGCAGTTTTCGAAGATCAGCAACATCTCGTCCAGCTGCCGTCCCAGTGAAACCCAGAGCGGCCGTTTACAGTCTTTGCACAGCTTGTTGATCAACCAGGACCGCAGCATATCCCCAAGATGTTTTTGACAAGGCGAGTGGCCAGCTCCTCTTCTAAATGGGTACAGTCTCGAAAATTGACCGAGGCGGCTCTGCTTTCACAGGAGTGAATACGATCGCGGTGTGAACACATTCAGTCCCGAGGGACGATTATTCCAAGTAGAATATGCCGTCGAAGCCATCAAAGTAAGCCACTAGCGTCCTCATCTCCAAAACTGGAACAAAAGGACTGATGGGCCCTTCCGTCCAGATGGGCTCCACAGCCGTCGGAATACAAACCGCAGAAGGCGTAGTGCTGGCCGTCGAGAAGCGGGCAACATCCAGTCTCCTCGAGCCCAGCTCCATCGAAAAGATTGTGGAAATCGACCAGCACCTTGGATGCGCAATATCGGGGTTGACAGCCGACTCGAGGACGATGATTGATCATGCGCGTGTGGAGGCGCAGGTTGGTGTGGGAACTTGATTGGGATGAACGTGGAAGGGGGGGCGCGGAGGACTGATGAGGATTTCATTTTGCGAGTAGAATCATTGGTTTACGTATAACGAGAGGATCAAGGTGGAGAGTGTAACGCAAGCCGTGTGCGATTTGGCCTTGCGATTCGGAGAGAGTGCGGGGTCTGAGGAAGCCTTGATGGTAAGATCTCAGTTTAGTTGAAGATTCGGATTTGGAACGGGAAATTGACGACTGGGCTCTCTCCTCACGTAGTCACGGCCATTCGGCGTTGCGCTGCTGATCGCGGGATGGGACGAGAATGGTCCTCAACTGTAAGCAGGGCAATCGTTTCAAGTCCCATACCATCACCTAGAGATTTAACGAGCGATTTCCTCGTCATCAGTTTCCACACAGACCCATCAGGCACCTTCGTGCGCTACGAAGCCAAAGCAATCGGTTCCGGATCCGAAGGCGCCCAAACGGAGCTCCAAGAGCAATACCACAAGTCCCTCACGCTGAAGGAGGCGGAGGTCCTGTCCCTGAAGGTTCTGAAGCAGGTCATGGAGGAGAAGCTGAACGCGACCAACGTGCAGATTGCGATCGTCACGCCGATCGCGAAGGATGGGTCGGGGGGTTATCGTGTTTTGCCGGAGGACGAGTGTCAGGCTGTTATTGACCAACTAGCTTAAAGAGCAGAGGGCCTTTTTTGTTAGCTTGTGGATACCCGCCGGTGACTTCATGAAGACATATACGGTGATGTGGACGCCACGTTTCTTGTACAACATTCATACAAACGGGATCATTCCAGAAAGGTTTACTGCCGACATCGTTCAAGATGGCAGGAAATCAAAACGTACTTTTGAGAGCACAAATTTTGCCCGAAGGCGATATATATACAAGCGATATTTCCGTATATACAAAAGGGACCCTCTATCCATGAAACAAACAGAAGAGGCCGAAGGTCCAATGGGAGAACCAAAAAGAGAAAGAAATACGGCAGACAAGCAAGCCAACTCGATGCGCTTACAAACGCGTCGAAGGAGGCGAGAAGGGGTGAAAAGGAACATGTGAGTTCCGGAGGGGTCAACTACCATCAGCCTGCACAGACACCCGCGGCGGCCCCGGCGTCGGCGCCAAGCCCACACTCGCCTCATGTTCATTCAAGAATCCATTGAGCGCGGGCGCCCAACCAGGCACAGCCACATCGATGCCAAACCCACACTGCATGAGCGTCGATGGGGGCGCGTGAGACAATATAGCCTGCACTTTCGCGTCGACGCATTCCTGGGCTAGTTTGACGACGCGTTGGGCCGCGACTGCTGAGGCGGCTTGGTGTGGTGCTTCGCGGTTGGCGTGGGTGAGGAGCGAGGCGTGATCGACGAGGCGTTGGGTGGGACGCTGCTGGGCGGCGTTGGGGTCGAGGATGTAGGATTGGATGTCACGGCACCATTGTGTGAGGGCGAGTGATGGGGGTGCGGGTTGCGGGTGGGGCTTTGGGGGGATGTTGAGTACGGTTGCCAGTTTGGAGGATCGGATTTTTGGGGGTCCGTTCGTCTCTACTGGCTCGACGGCGGGGTTGGCGGTCAGTCCGTGGATAACCTCGGCCTGTACGAGGGACTTGCGTCTTTGCAGGGTTCTAGCAGTCTCGGGTATCTTGGTTGGCGAGGTTGTTTCGCTGATCAATGGAGAATCCACAAGGTCCAGCTCGCTGTTCGGCGTGTCGGCTCCACCAGTCCGCAGTACATCCATTTCGAATTGATTGCGCTTGTAGAAGTTCTGGGCTTGCTTTGCGGATTTGCTGCCAACTTTCTGAGAGACGAGCTCCCAATCCTTGCCAAAGGTCGCATACGCGTCCCGAAATGCCACAGTCTCTTCGGTGTTCCAGTACGAGATGGTGCGTTTTGGAAGGTCTTGGTCGTTCCCTGCACCGCCACCTTCAACACCGTCCATGTCGGGGATACCAGTGAGACCAGAGACATCGTCGATTTCTCGCCGTCGGCCGCGTCGTCGGTTCCTCGCATCCACCGCACCTTCCATGCCTTCGCCTTCAACGTCCGGCGACGCGCCTTGCACTGGAGAATCAACGGAGAGGGAAACGGACACCTCATCCAAGATCTGTGTGGTTTCGATGGTTTCTGACTCGACTGTCGTTTCGATCGCGAGTTTCTGCGAGTCGGTGCGCTCTTTCTGCGGAGAGTCCGTCTTACTTCGAAGCACGTCCTGGGAGGCTCCACGCTTATGTGTGCGCGTCACAGTCGTAGTGACCTCGGTGGTTGTTTCAACGATTTTGTTACGCGTTTTCTCCGTCGATGTAACAACCTGGGTATCAATTTCCATATTTGTAGAGTCCATGGTCTGCGCCTGATTTGCTTCTTCCTCCCATCTCCGAGCACGACGTGTCGTAGTATCCTCTTTTGGGTCGGCAGCACCGCTTCTACCAGTTTTGGCCGTCCCCTCTTTCCCCCGCCCTGTACGGCGGCCGCCGCGTCCAGTGTTCTGAGCATCCCTCGGCGTTGAGGCCGGCGGCGGCTCGTCATCCTGCGTGAACAATAGGTACGGCCGCTCTCTTCCGTCCGAGACTTCGCGGCCAGCCCTCTTTGCAGCGGCAGCTTGAACCTTTGCCCGCCGTTGAGCGCGCTTGATCAGCGTTTTGAGGTTGAGCAGATTCTTCTCCCGATAATAGTAATGCACGCAATCTTGGGTATCTTTGAAAGGCAGGTGCCTCGCAATGGAGTGGAAGTTCTTTCCGTAATAGAGCACTTTCTCCCGGAAGATGGCCTGTTCCTCTTCCGACCAAATCAACGCAAGCCGCGCATTGTATTCTTCCAGGTCAGCCGCGGGGTCGTAGACGAGGTTGTTGTAATCCTCGTATTGCAGCAGGCTCTTCTGAGTAGGATCAAGAACCATGTCCGGTTCCTTACATGATCGGTGAGGGTCGTGGTTGGTTGGATCATCATCTGCAATTCCAAGCATCGCCAAAGCCTCTTGGAACTCTGCCTCTGTTCGCACAGTATCCGATGTGAAGGTGCTCCGCCGCGACGTCCGAGCAAAGGGGTTCACGCCCCCAGGTGAGCCATACGCTCCAGCACCTGGGGTTGTCGAACCAGCTGGGTTAGCGCTGGAGAGCATCCCGCTCTTGGCCAATCTCCGGCGTTTCTTTGCCTTGTCATCTTCGAGGGCGTTGATCGATCGTCGCCAGTCGCCTGTCCGTTCATCGAACTCTTCCTGCAACTGGGTACGACGTGCGGCATTGTCGATGAACCTGGCTGCCACTTTTGCCACAATCGCTCCCCTGATTTTCCGGTGCTTTTCGATGTTGCTTTGATAGAAGGGCAGATCGACCGGAGATGAATAGAGTGCACGAATCCGATCCTCGTCTGACATGAGCATCCGCGTTCCGCGAGTCATGAAGGCTCTTTGCGCCCTCCGCCGATTGTTCTGGAGAACCTTGGCCACCAGAATTTGATCTGGTGTTCCAAGTTCCGGGTCCGAGACGACCACATCCTCCTCAGCAGTTAGCTCAGCTTGCAGATCCTCCTCCTCTTCCGTCTGCAGTGCCACAATGTCATCTGACTGGATTTGACATACGTTCGTCTCATCTCCTGCCTTCCCCGCCGTCTCCTCCTCAACCCGTTCGGAAGCCGAGGGCGGCCTGACCTTCTCGGCGGGCCGATTGACAATCTTAATGAGCTCCCTGTACTGAGCCATCTCGCCTTCAATCTCCGCCAGCCGTTTGAGACTTAAACCAGTGTCTTGCAGACTATGCTTCTCCGGTTCCTTCTTTGGTGTATCACCTTCGTCATCCAACACGTCGTTAACGTTATCGTCAATTTCATGATTGGCCTTGGAACCCGCTATCATCGACGGTCGTTCAACACGCGCAATCTCGACAACAGAACCCTTCTTAATGGGCGTGGCAAGATTCGGTCGTTCTGCCAGTCCTCGAGGGCGGAGAAATCCATCCGCGCGATCATACGCGCGATTTAGAGGCGCCATAATCGAGCTTCCGCGAGAGGGACCGACTTCGCCACGGTCAAACGTTACTGAAGGTCGCCGATAATCATTGCGCCAATAGGGCCCGCTTTCCCTTGGATCGCGTGTACCAGGAGTCCAGGCACCCATATCGTAAGGTCGTGGCCCGTTTGCGAAGTGACGTGCTTCGTCAGCTGCTTGAGGACCATGGAAGTCGAAAGATGGCCGCCGAGAAGAGCGTGCCGGTATGAATGGCCCAGCGCCCAGTTCGGGATGCAATCGGCTGGCATCTGCTACACTTGCAATTTGGACGTCAACGGTATCATGCGGAAAGCCATCCATCGGCCGATCAAACCTGGGTCTTCACGGAAGAAGTTAGGTTGTGGCAAGTAAGCGCCATAGATGCGACTAAGACTCCTACCGTGGACCATGCAGTCTCTCGGCATTGATCGCTCGTCGTTCCCTAGCATGCAAGTCCGCCGTCAGCGAAGGCCGTTGTGGCGGGGGTCTGCCCATTGGCGGTCTTCCCCATCGGTCCCCTCCTTCCAATTCTGGTGGGAAAGGGCCTCTGTAGTGACTGCCCATCTCGACTTCTGGAGCTTCACGATGGAGTGCGGGATCCCCAAACGGCCTACGTTGAACACCGTACGGTGTATGATGTTCATAAAAAGGCGGCTATAGATAAAAAAAAACAGTTGGTATGAAGGAGGGGGAAACGGTCGAGCTGAGGTTGCAGCTCACCTCTCGATGATCCCCCGCTTCCCCTCCAAAAGGTATTTGTTCTTCGTCAAGGATGCTCGGTCTTCTTCGACGCTCCATGTGCCAGGCACCATCCCTCTGTGGTGGCGGAGCGTCCCTAAACCGCTGGAAAGGTGGTTGTGCCGGGAGCGGTGGTGGCATTTCGCGCATCTGTGGATTTGGAGACCTTTTAAAGGAACTCGGTGTTGGCCCTTCGTCCCCGAACTGGTCCCCTATCGCATGAGGCATTCGGTCAAATTCGTTCGGCGGCTGGTTTCGCAAGACGCCGTCGCTATAATGTGGGAACTCGGGATCCGCGCCATAGAAATCAGGCTTCCGAGGCGGTGGGGGTTCCCTTCCCCAGTCACCGTGCGGTCCCGGGGGCCCATTCCGCCTCCCATAAAAGTCGGCGGACCTGTCGATAGACTGTCTCCTGGGAAAGCGACTGATTTGAAGAAGATGGAGACGACGTCAGTTTTCCAAGGCATACACGGACACGAATTGGAAACTCAGTGAGTCCGGCAGTGAAACTCACTTTTCCGGACGAAAGCGAGGATCGCCAGTGGGAGGTCGCTCGCGAGCTGCTTCCCTGTATGGGTCGAGTCTCCGGCTCATAGATTGGAGTTCAGGACCACGTACAAAGTCCCGTACGGTCCAAAGGGAGGGCTACAAATATCGACGTTGTCGAGAGGCCTCTCTCACTCGGTCCTTTCAGCGATGCGAGAGTCCGCCGCGCAGACCAAGCAGGTACTGTATGTACATACAGTACAGTACGCCAGGGGTCAGTGAGCCGCCTGCTGCTGTTGTTGGTAAAAAAAAGGGGCGATTTGAATGATTAACGTCCGTCACGTGCGCTTTCGGGGGACTACGAGCGGCTTTCGACTTCACCGATGCCTCACCGGCGCCGTCAACCCCCTTCGTGGTCATGGATGTGAAGGCATGGTCAGCAATGACAGGCACACAACAACTGGCTGCTCTTCAGCTTATAGTCGAACGGGATATCGCGCAGATAACGGCGAAGTCGGCGGAACAGATGCGAGAGCGCGAACGGAACTTGGCCTGAATCAAGGCAAAGTCGGCCGAACAGCTGGAGAATTTCATTCACACCTACGCCCCGCCGGAGTCGTCGTGGCTCACAAAATTGGTCGCGAACTCCTTGGCCAACAAACTCGGATAACCACGAGAATGATTATCGTGCATAAGGAGAGGGGCTACATCATCATATGAATCCGACGACTGAGACGTATGATGATGTGGCCCCCCCTTCTTATGCACGATAATCATTTTCGTGGTTATCCTACCAACTGACTTCCTTGTGACTGCTGGGACACTGTCCAGCTCCGAGCCCTCGTCGCTGCCCTAAAGTTAGGCTATGTCTTGGCGAAAGTGACGTATCTTTTGGCAATAGTCACCATGGGCCTCGGGACTGTGTCCGCGGCTGCGGATCTGTTGGACTGGATGGTGGAATGGAGCTGTGAAGTTGGAACTTCTGAGCTGGGATCGGAGCTTGGGATTGATAGTGGTAGTCCGATTTGAGGAGAGAGACCGACCCCCTGCTGCCCCGATCGTTCCCTGATGGATGCCTCCAGCACATACCTTTATTCATTCGCAGCCTGTCAGTAACTGCACCCCGATACCCAACTATCTGTTCTTTACTGGCAATCGGGTGTTCAGTATATGAATATGATGTGGATTGTGAGCGACTGGGCCCGTATCATTCTTCTCTGTGTGGCGCTTTTGAACTGGGGGCGGAGACCCTTGAAAGTCCTTTTACAATTGAGTTCTGGGTCACTCAAGGATATTCCAAGTAAGTGCCGGAGCTGGTCTACGAAAGCGAGCTTTGAAATCATCGTTCCTTCCTTTGCAAGGTGCAGACGTCAGGAGTACGCCAAGTCTTTTTCGGGACCGTCGCACTCTCCGGGGTGCAGAGAAGTATGCCTGAGGTTCGTATCTAGCCCGTATGATGCGCTGTTCCGAAAAGCTGCAACGCAGCGAGCGAGTGTCGCACGGCAAGCGGAGAATTGACGTTGGCTGTCACAAGATTAGCCTCCACAATTGTGTGCGAAACCTCCGAAGCCACAAACGTGGCCTTCATGATCTTTGTTTTCAAGTCATTCACAATACTTGGCACTTGCCAACAGCATCGACTGTAAGAATTCGACTTACCCTGAGTTCAGTTGTTGTGCCGAGGTTTGCCTAAGTATGAGAGTATGGTCAGTAATGATCTCGCAAAGACGAAGTCCGGGGATGATCCTCTCATTGATGGAAACATCAGGGTTCAAAGGATGTAATCTTTTGGTAATCATGTGAAACACGGATGAACTGAATACATCTTCTGTTTCGGGGGGGAGGGGTGTGGGGTACACTCGAGTGAGGATACTTACATTCTGGTTGATATCCGGGGTCGCATGAAGGTCGCATGAAGGTCCGACCTATGAAGGATAAGAAAGAATTGGTTACCATATGTTCAAAAGAACAGCGACATGGAACTAATCTCGGGTATGGGATCAGAAATCGAATAAACAAAGCAATCTCTTCACTATATTCAGAAGCAGAACTGGCTATACTTTGGGATATCATCCTTTCCCGTCGACATTGACCAAGCCGGGCGCGATAGCTTACCAATGATGTCGAATATCCATCAGCTTCCTGTCCATGTTGATCGACGCAAGGAGAACCACACCTGAAGGCTTTGCGAAAAGAGAAAATGGAGAATCGAGGTCAGCCCTTGACGGCGAAATCAGGTAGCGTCGTTGACGAGAACTTTTTGAAGCATCAGTTGGTGGTGCAATGGCGTTTGTTTTGTATCCTCTTGTGTATCGGAGATTCACACTCTCATCACTTGCGACAAGTGTACTACGATTACCAGGAGATGACTCCTCAGCTTACCTTGTGTGGTGTGGTTCTCAGCGCATCGGCGGAGAGCTGGTATGTGAACGAGGACAAGAAAACGAACACCTTTTTATGCGCCGGCTGAACCCTGCGCCACAAGCGAAATGCATCAAGCCACTCAAGCCCCACGCGCGTCTCCTCACCACTTCCACGTTTCGCTGCGACTTCGGTCCTTGAATTCGCAGCAACGGACAAAGAACTTGCGAAAGAACGCAACATACCGCCAAGAATGATGGGAGATTTAGCTGCGGGGTCGATCAGCACAGAGGCAGAACTGAGCGCTGAAGCTCAGCAGGTGTTCGAAGGCGTTGCGCAGGCATGTTCCAGAGCTATCTTGTCGCACTCTTCACTATGATCTTCCAACTGAACAAGCTCCCTACAGGCACTGCAAAGGGATGTCAATATCCTAGCGGATTCAGCTTCGAGCAGGGCGTCGAAAAAACGATCGCTTGATCATATCAAGAACGAGACTCTGGGAAAGTTACACGTCGCGCAGAACCCTGTCCTCGTGAGGAGGGTCCTGGAGATCGTTTGCAAGCCTCTGATACGATGCTTGAACGACAGCGTCGAAAGCTGTCGGGAAGCCAGCGTTGGACTGCTGATAAGGTGCCTGTCTGATTGATTGCTTTCTATCATTATCCGTGCAATTGTAAAGTCTCACGAGTTTCTAAAACCTAGCTTCGCGGAACAGGTCGACACAGTGATACCTCTCCTCCAGTACATTGTCCCATCCATCGCGTCGCGGCTAGATCAACCGGAATTTGCAGAGCCTGCGGAGGAAATCCGCCTGCTGCTCGTCACGGCGTTGACGCGATTGGTGGATATCACGAAAGGAGGATTCAATCCGTTTGTGGAGGACGTGGTCAAAGTCCTGCAACGGACGTTTCAGGATCCTTTCCCAGATGTCAAGAAGGTGCGTCTCATCTTTGCGCACATTTGCAAGCACTAGACTATCCAATGGAAATGTCAATACTGGGTCGATATCAATGGCTTAGCACCGATCTTCATCCAGGAATCATGCAAACTGGTCATGGGACTGTGTAGTCACTGTCCTCGCGCACTGGCGTACCACGGAGCAACCGTTGCGAAAAGCATTCTGCCATCACTGCATCATCGGCATTCAACCGTTCGAACACTGGGTATTCAGGTAGGCTTTTCCGCTCACAGACAGCGCGCCGATATCCGGCATTGTTTGACTAACCCAAAGATCAGGCGATGCGAGACGTTCTGCTAGTGGACGCTTCCGCATTAGACGACATTCTAGACCCATTGAAACAGCTCACGCTGGACAAGTCCCAGTCTGTGCGGGAGTGCTTGTACAAAACCGCGGGGGAATGGTTGCTGAGGTTGCCCGATCGGTGGTCGATCGGATACAAGATCCTGCCACTCTTGCTTGCGGGTATGACCGACGACGTGGGAAACTCGGCGACGCTTTGTCGCACGTATATGGACGAGATTGGCGCGCTGTACGAGCGCGAGTGGGAGGATCGGTTGAAGGATGAGCTGGATTATGTTCAGCAAGGGATACCGACAGGTAAGATACGTGATTTTCGCTGCCTCCGGGGTTTGGAAGGAAATTCTGATTTTCAATTCTCTCAGATAGACCACGGGTCGGTGCTCGTCATGTAGCCCGCGATTTCACCCAGAAGACGATCAATTCGTGTTTGGAAGGACTGTCAGATTGGAATGCTGAAGTGCGGGTGAAATCCGCGCAAATATTACGAACATTTGCTTATTACGCAGAGGAGAACGTAACCGGCTACCTTGGCACGATATTACCGGTCTTCAATAAAGTACTTGCTGCCGACGAGCCGGATGTCATCAGAGAGGTATTCTCACACCTACTCACAACGAGCGCAGATGAGTTGAGCCACAACTGACGCGCTGTCCAGGTTCTAGCCGCCGCCGAAGTCCTCGGCTCCTACGTCAATCCAACCGTATACCTCGACGTGGTAGGCCCTGCATTGCGCTCCGGTGCAGGCGGAGCGACCCAATACCGCATCGGCTGCCTAAAAGCGCTGGGTGCATTACTGCGCGGCACCCCGCCCTCACGATTCGACACAGTCCGACTCCAAACGCTGATTGGCCTCGTCAGCGATCGCGAATTGATTCATAACGAGAACACGAAACTTTTGGCGGAAGTGGCGTCGGCTGTCGCTGAGATTGTGAAGTTGATCCCCGCGGCGAAAGCGGCGGGAGGTAATCATGATGCGGCTGCTCAAGAGAAGGCAGCCTTTGAGCTTTTTATTATGACCGCTCAGCTCATCAGCGTCGAGGGCAACGAGCAAGTTCCCGGTGTCTCCGAAGTTCGCCAGAAGGTAGGCGTGAAGTTTATCAATGTAACTATTTGTCCACGGAAGTACCCACCGATGTCTAATATCTCTCCTTAAAGGGCGCACAAGCACTGACAACGCTATCAACAGCCTCCGGCCTCTTCAGCATTCAAGATCTCTACGCCCACTACCTCGAGCAATCGCTGCGCCTCCTCGTCCTCTCCGAACCATCATGGACGCGACATTCCCCGGAAATGCGGTTGCTGCGAACCATCACGGTGGCAGCGGGACCCGCCGTGGGGAAGCAGCTGCACTTGATCGTACCCCTGTTTGCGAGACTTACTGCGTTGGAGAGGGATTCGGAGCTTCGCGATGCGTAAGTCCGGAGACTGGAATCCGTGTATCGCAGAAAAATACTGGCATAAACTAAAGCATCTGACGCATATCTCATAAACAGAACATTCGACCTCCTCCTCACTCTCCTCGAAACCCGCCCTACCCCCTTGAACTCCACCCTCGACCTCCCCCACCACTCCACCCCGCTCCTCTCCGACACCATCCTCAAATCCAGCGTCTGGAAACCCGGTCGTCGCGCAACCGCCCTCCGCAGCAAAGCCATCAAAACTCTCGTCGCCCTCCTGCAACAACCCCCCACGGACGGGTGTCTAGGCGCGTTGACGATCGACAGCGTGAAAGCGGCGTGGGAACTGTTGTTGAATGTGCTGTGTAGTTGTTTGGAGGACGATGAGGTTGAGACTAGGGGGGGCACGTTGGGGGTGTGCAGGATCTTGTTGGATGGGGATTTGTTTGACGGTATGTATCCCTGTTTTCCCGCTCTCGTTTCCTCGTAATGCGCCCAACATAATCCACAACCTGACCTACACACTTCACACAGCCCCATCCCTCAAAAAACTTTACCCAGAGCTCCTCAAACGCATGGACGACGCCCGCGACGACATCCGTATCCAAACTGCCAAAACGTTCGCGCACTTCTTTACAGCAGCCACCCTCTTTTCCGCCCGGATGCAGCCATACACTTCCACCTCCCCCCCGGGTGTCACATCCGTCCTCGTTGACGCACACGGGAAGGTAGTTGACCGTGATGCTGGGGAGGGGGCGAGGCTGGTGGAGGTTAGATTGGATGATGTGCACTGGGTTGCGGTTGTGAAGGGGTTGGTGGTGCATATGGATGATGTGAACCCCGTGTTGCAGGTAACTGCTTTCCATTCCATTCAATCTCCCCCTACTGTGCCGGTCTTCATAGAACGTGGATGCTAAACTTCATTCTCTCTTCGACCAGGAATCGATCTTCAAAGCCCTCCAAACAGGCACATCCACCATCCCCGCCACCATCCTCCGCGAGCACCTCACCGCCGTGCGCGGGCGGCATAGGAGCCCGCAGTACATTGACGCGTTGTTGGCTCTGCTTCCCTGATGTATGCATGGCGCTAGTACATGACAAGCCTGGGGGGTATATATACTGTAGATTGGGCGTTAACTCTCTCAACCCCGCTTGTAATATGTCCCTATTTTGTACAATGTATATGCATCAGGATTTCAAGAGGTGAAAAATGGGAGTTGGGCATCTTGCAAATGCAAGGGTAGATTGAAGGGCAGGGCTTTATCCTCGCCCGTCGGGGGGATATGTGAATTGGGATGACGGGACGGGATGGGTTGAGAGGGCAGACGCCCGGGGGCAAGGTGGTCGGAGTCCTCGTCACCGGAACCGCCCCATCCCGCTCTCGCGTTTGTTCATTTGTATCAGGAAGGTGATCTTGGTGCATATCTCGGCTGCAAACGGAAGATAGCAGACACACGAGTCGTTAACCACCCAGAGGCAATTAAACTCCCATCTCCAACCGCCTCAATGCCCCCCACAGAAACCACAGCTCACCAGCCTCACTCTCCGTCGCAGCCTCCAACTCATAACTCCTCGAATCATTCTTATTCGTATGCACGGTCAACTTGAAACTCGTCCCCTTTTTGCTCGTCGGTTTGCAGGATATCACAGAGCTTATATGGTGTGATGCCTGGAGAAAAAAAAGAATCTCGGGTATCAGAATGCTATGAAGATGTGGATGATACCCCCCGGGGGGTGATTTTTGAAAACATACGGTCTTCATAGCATTGAACAGATTCTTCTGTTCACCCGCCATGATATGGATATGGTCGCCGTCGATGGTGAGGATGCGGTCGAGGGTGCGGCCCATGAAGGCTTTGTGGATTACGTTGTATTGCTGTTTAAAAAAAATAGAAACACGATGTCAGTACGTGGTGGATGAGAAGGGGGGGGGGGGGGGGGGGGGGGAGGGAGGAGGGGGGGGGGAGGGGGCGGTTACCTTGTACATGGAGGAGTACTCGTCCGGCTCGATGAAGTGCGGGTGCTCGATGACGGCTTGTTTTTCGTCGGGAGGGCGGAGGAAGACGTCTCCCGCTAGAAAAAAAAAGGCATCCACTCCTTAGTAATCAAGCCCCATCCCAGAAACACACCACGCCCAGAGGAAAAGCCAGTACATACCCCCACCCCCCGCCCTCTTTAAAATACACAACTCGCTAACCCTCAACATCTCCAACGTCTTATCCAGTGGCACATCCGTCTGCGTATCCGCCATCTTGAACACATACTTGCTCGGATCATATTTCCGCTTTCTACATATACTCTCGAATATCTCCGCGAGGGGAATGTTGGAGGCCACGGGCATCGTGGTGGTCTGCTTGACGTCGATGGTGGAGTAGAGGTGCACTTTGAGGAAGACGGTGGTTGTGCGGGAGGGGGAGAGGGGGGAGAGGGGGGAGAGGAGGTCGGTGCTGGAGGTGGGGGTTTTGCGGGCGTTGGTTTCGTAAAGTTTTACTGAGGGAGGGTGGGGGTTAGTGGAGGAGGCGTGTGTGTGCAGAAAGTATTTGTTTCTCTTTGTACCTTGATCAGCAGACGCCTCGCATAACGCAAACTGATCAAACGCGAACTTTGATATCTTCCTCGTCCTCTCCAACGCTACCGAACCACAGAAAATGTTCATTAGAACCCACATCACTCAAACTCATTCCCCCGCTATCGAACATTCCTCACCAGGAAAATCCTCATCAATAAGCCCATCATCCTCCACAATGCGCATATTCCACATAATCACGTCGCGCATATTCGCCGGGATGATCGGCTGCCGTCCTTCTGTCCAGTACTCGTACAGCGCGTAGCCGATAACTTCCTCGACGCTTGCGTCGCGGAGGACCGAGATGCTTAGGGGGGATTCGGGGTCGTCGCTCATTGGGATGAAGATTTTGAGCTGGATGGGGTCTGCGTTGCCTTTTCCGGACTGCGTGGGGAGGGCGGGTTAGCCTGTGATTATACCACGTTGTGAAGAGTTGCTACATTGGGGATGGAGATACGTACGAAATAGCTGTAATCCTTTGCGAAAGGATTATCTGACCGGTTCTGCTCCTGGAACAAAGCAGTGAGGGCCGAGACGGGTTTGGGCACAATCGGGACAGACGGCGTCCCTAATCTCGAATACTGCCGTCTCAGCCCATGCTCTTCGGGTACTTTATACACGGGCAGTTTCTTCTTTTCAAACAGATCCGGTGGAGGTGCGGGCGCCGGCGCTGGCGGCTCTGGCTCCACGTCTTCTTCTTCCGATTGGGAGTCCTCGACGGCTTCGGTGGAAGCTTCTGTTAGTTGTGCTGGGTCGTCATCCTGATCTGGTGTTGCGTCTGGTGGGTACTCGTCGGGTATTGGTTCGAGGTCCTCCACGGACTCTGCGTGGATTTCGATCTCCTCTTCCTCTCTTCTACTGGACGTCGATGGCTCTTCCTCGGAAACCTGGTCCCGTTCCGATGTTCCGCGCGCTGACTCGTCCGGTTGGCTGGGATCTGAGATGAATTCGGAGATTGGAGATCCTTTGCTGTAGAAAAGGGGCAGACGCGTTGGTGTTAGCGGGATTTGACGTCAGAATGTGACTTCAGACGCTCTGATCTCACGATATACCTAGTAGCCTCCTGATCATCGACAAGCGTGGACGGTACAGGAGAGTGTGATCCTTTTTGTATCGATTCCTCCTCTGCATCGGGATCCGTCTCGTTCCCACCTCCCGCATCCGTTTCCATTCGAGAATCCTGCGCAGGTTCCGCTCCGACCTGCGAACTTTCCCCAGTTGGCCTCAACGTATGTTCCCCAGTCTGCATCTGCTGTAGTCTATGCTTCAACATCTCTATCGTGGCTAATCGCTGCTCGTGGACGACTTCATTCGCTGATGTCTCGTTTGGTTCGCCGTCATTCGCAAAGTCGGGCGGCGGTCGGGAGTGTCTTAGCGGGTCTCTGGGCTTATGTTCGACTGGGGGGTTCTCATGTGTCGCCTCGCCGACCCCCTCCCCATGGGCATTTCTCGCTTCTGATGCCCGTCCCGCCTCTGGAAGAAGCACCCTCAAGTCCGCCTGCTCACCATCCGGTGCCGCACGAGTCCTCCGTGACGCACTCCGCGGCCGGACCTGTTCGAATGCCTGACGAGGTGTATTGCCTGAAACTGATGCTGTTGCGGTGGTCGTAGTAGCGAAGCTCGAATCGCTTCGCAGCGGCGCAGGTCGCCTTGTTCGCTCCCTTATTGTTCCGCGCGCCCCTAGACTGCTTCCTCCTCCTGCTCGTGCGAGCGAGCATTTGATGTATTCGTTATCCGGGAACGGTGGGAGGGTTATGATTCGTTCCGACAATGTGTCTCCGTTGGCCAGCATTGCTTTCCGCATCTGATATATCTGTGGTCGAGGAGGGAGGCTGAAATGAGTCCGTGATGCAACCCCATAGCCGTCGCGCGACCACCCTTCTTGAAGCGGCCAAGGTGACCCATTCTTCGACAAACAAACTAGACAGCAAGCAGACGTCTCTCAAGCGGGACGCACCAGGTACTCCGGGTCTGTTATGAGCGACATGACGGCGGCGTAACGTAAAGGATCGGCTTTGCAACGCTCTGCAGGGTGCAGGAGCATGACCTGGCGCGACTTTGCCCCAGCGACGAGAAGTAGCAGAGCCCAGTTGCGACGACGCGCTGTATATTCAGAAGCACCTGTTCGGACGGTTTTCCCAGCGGGTCTGAGGGCTCCTCTGTGTGTATCAGTGCACACGAGGCGTGGGCTATGTGAAGCTGTAGTCGACGGGGAAGGCAGGGAGGGGGAAGGCCATTGCGAACGCGTGCGGATTGAAGGGGCGAGTCATCACTCTTCTTTCCTTTCAATTTGGACCTGCAGCAGAACGGCCCTCCCTCAGCTCGCACGTATCCAGGCTGTCTAGACCAACACTCTCGGCGGCGGAGAACGTACTGTATCCTCCAGCCTCCAGAGCAAACACCAGCCACTCCCGACCCTTGGAATTCAATAAACGAAAATGCTGATAGAAGAAGCGATGCACCCCGTGTTCGATACGGTCGCGGCCGAAAATGTGTCCACGACACCGACCGCGACACCGGAGACAGAGGACGAGGTTAATTCAGCGCTGCTGGCGGGTCGACTCGGTGAGGTCAGAGGCTGTGGGGAAGTCTTGGATTCACTAGCCTTAGTTGACAAGGTGGTCCGGACGAAGACTGTGGGTGAAGACGTCAAGGGACGAGCGAAAGTTACTGTTCAGGAAGTAGTAGGGAAGGGCTCTGAAAAGAGAACAGAAGGTGCTCCGTCAGCTGCAAGCTTTGACGAAATGCAGAATGATGCGCTTAGCCCCATGCCCAATCCACCAATAACGATACAGGGCCACGACCCTCGATACATGCGCACCTACGACATCGACGTTCTCTACTACAACCCCGAAACGTATCTCATCACTAACAAACCCTGGGATCTGCGGATAGATGGGGACACCGAGTCCTGTCCGACTGAGGAGTCTCTTCTGTACAAGCAGTTCCCACAACATCCGAAACTACATCTACTGCACCAATTGGATTACGTGACGAGTGGGGTGCACTGCTGGGGCCTGAACAGGAAAGCCGCCGGACTAGCCGGCAAACTGTTTGTGGCTCGCACTCTCACAAAGACCTACGCCGCCATCGTCCGCGGGCACATGACAAAACAGGGCAAGTTCGCCATCTACACGCCCCTAATCGACAAAAGCGTGCCTTCGAATCGAAACGGGGTCTGCGTCGCTGAAGGATCCGAAGGCAAACCCTGCGAAACACATGTGGAGGTCCTCAAAACGGGCTACTTCCACACTTTACCCGTCACCCTTGTTATGCTGACCCCACATACAGGTCGCCGCCATCAGCTTCGCGTGCACATGCTGTCCATCGGCCATCCGATCATTGGCGATCCTGCTTACGATCCGCGGACGTTGGACGATCCGACTGCGTTCAGGACGATGTTGCACGCTTGGAAGATCGAGATGCCGTTTAAGGAGGAGACGTTGAGGGTGGAGGCGGCGCATCCGTTTGAGGAGTATGTGGCGGAGCAGCCGGGCGTAAGAGCGGATCTGCCGTTGAGGATGCCGCTGCTTGTGCCGCTGGAGCCTGTGCTGCTTGCAAAGCAGGAGGGTGATGCGGCTGTGATAGTCAAGGCGTAGCGTCTACTCGTCGCCATCGATTCACAATTCTTCCGACGCCCTCTGCACCGCCCATACCTTTCTGCCGACATAGGGCCCAGGGAGCAAACTGCTCCCCGAGCGAAGACAGCGACCTTCATTACAAATATCCCCACTGACTTGGATGCTATCTCCCCCCCCCGCATCCGCAACGCCATTGAAGCGACCGAGAACCGATATCCCCGAAGATGTCCCATCGAAAGCCCATCGGCACATCTAGCACGTATTTGTCTCAACAACGGCAGCTACGGGGTCCAGGATTTTCAATGGTTTCCTAGCGGATCGAGACATCATTTGCATAGAGTAGAGCCATATTTGGCCGATAGAATAACCGTGCAGCGATATGTATACTGGCATATAATTATGTAAATATTCGGATGGTTCGGCCCCATCGTGCAAGATATCATATATTCAGCCGGGGCGACTCGACTCCGTAGTCTTCGCCGGAGTCCGCCGAATTTGTGTATACCCTCCTCCAATGATGTTCCACCCCACCTGTTTTAGCTTACAAAGGTAACTCGCCCAGTCCACTTTCACCCTTCCATGCACCCCTATCGTGTCCCACATCTCCTCCCGCAAAAGAAATGTCGTACCGAGGTGATGACGAAAGGATCGCTCCTAAGCACTGTTGCATCACCAAACGTACTATTGCATCACCAAGCCTGCTCACGACAGAGAGGCAATCGCATCTTCGGTCGGGATCGTACACTGTACGGATCGCAACGCAGACGCATGGAGGATATTTCACCGACGAGAAAACTCCCAAACACTACACCATCAATTCATGGGTTTTCTGCCTTTTATTAAATTTTCAGGAGAAGGCCGAAACCTCTCCCACCACCAAAAATTATACCCCCACGCTGACCCCGAAGGGCCAGGTGAACCAAGGCCATCGAACGGTTGTGCAATGCCGACGAGCCTCAATCCGGCCGTGCCTTCTTGATCACACGAAGCCGTGAGTCAGGTAAGTATGCAGGAACTCAAAGGGATGCTGGGCAGGCCTCCCTTTTATAGACGTTGCGGGGAAGCTCTCGAGATTCCTCGGATCCCTGCGCCACACCCAAAAAAGAGGCACAGTCATGCTAACTGCCCGCAATCCGTGTCACCTTGTGTTCCTCCTTCGATCAGCTTCCATTGCTTCTACAGTCATAGCCAGTCACGTGTCTCTGCAGTGATTTCGTATTCTGCTTTTGCTGCCCGCGTTCCGCTTATGTCAACCGAACGCGGTGGGCGACTCCAGCTTCGACGGGACCTCAAACGACTGAGTAAGGTCAACAGGGTCGGTGCGGAGTCTCCACCACTGCTCACGATATCAATGAGTTCTTTACCACTTCGTCGATACTCGCCTCCCACTATGGCCGCCGCTTTCAGAGCGTGGAGGAACTTGAAGCCAAACTTTGCAGCAGGCACGCATTTTGTCGCATAAATACCTAAATCCCCTATCCGGACAGTGTGCGGGGTGCCATCTTTGAAGCAGAACATCGTGATTCACCCAGCAGTGGCCAGCATTCGGGGGAGCCATAGGGTGGGTAGGCGGCAAGATTCCTGAGCTCGTCGAGAACATAAAGCTGTCACGTGACGGAAGACCACCGAATGGAATGACAAATCACTTCACGTCTTGAACGTCTTGGACGTCTTGACGTCCAACTTCCCAGCTTGCGACTTTGCACACTTACCCGACAAGAGGCATTCTCCTTCACCACCAGCGACAGCCGCCATGGGTATCCCGCTCCCCACCGACTCCTCAGTGAAGCTCAACCTGTCGCATCAGGAGGTGTCCCGGATCATTGAGGAATTGGAAAAGGCGTATACTCTCGCCAACGTAGAATGGCTCCCTTCAGATCCCATCGCTGAACTCCTTTGCCGGGAATTGGGATATGAGGTGGGTGGGGAGAGCGGAGGTGGTGTGGAGCAGGACCAGGCTACAAAGACGTCAAAGCCTCGATATCGTTTGAAGGGGTGCACGTCATTGCATCTGTCTTTTGGAGCACACCCGCTCTTTCCGCGGCTTTATCTGACCCGTCCCTTCGTAGGACATGGAAGAGTTCAAAGACGCTCTAGGAGGAACATTCACGGAGCTTCTGAACACTCTCCCGGACGTAGAGACATTGCGTGACGATGCAGGGCTCGTGCGCTTTAAAGTCTTGCCGGAGCCGGATCAGAAAGACTGGAAACCACGGACGCTGAAGCTGCGAATCACTGATCGGTCGCAATTGTGGAATGTTTTGCTGAAGAGTCCTTGTGCGTATCCATTTCATATGGCTGCATGGGGAGATCCTCTTTGCGAGGGACGCGTTCCCTCCGACTCGACCAAAGGCTAATGTTGTATGGATTTTGTCAGATGCGGCATTGCAGGTGCCGGAGATGGAGTTTGCGATCCAGAGGAACGGCGTCAAGCGGATAGATTCCATCTAGTACGTCCATTTTCCCCACCTTCCATCCACTCACCAAGTCATAACATAATCTTCGATTTCCAGCAACCACATCGGAAACAGCGTTTTCGAACTAGCCGGGCATCTCCGGACAGTCCCTGTCTCGAACGACCACGGCGAAAAAATCGCCGACTGCATCGGCTCTCTGAACGACCTGTTGGACGTGCCCGTCCCGTGGTCCTGCGTGGTGGTGGACCCGTCGGGAATCTCGCAGTTCTCTGATATGGCGGATGTGGAAGTTATTGATGGCATTGTAGAGTCGGACGATGAGGATAAAGACGATGAGGATGAGAATGAGAGCGAGGAAAAGGCAGAGGAGGTGCCGGCTTCTAGCGAACCAGCAGTAGATTCTCAGATCTGAGTAGGCGTATATATTAGGCATAATCTAGATGGACGTTTAGACCTTGGTTTGAGCAGCTTTTCGTAATTTATCTTGATGGCGAGCACAACGCGAAGATGCTGTGTTGATGGATCTATCTGTCTACAATTGCTCTCCGAGGTCCTTCGTACTACGCTACCCTCTCTTCAGCTTCTTGACTGTGTGTGGAGAGTCGAACATCTGCCTATAGTTGAAATACACCAGCAGTACGCCGAAAACCGCTGTACACAAGCCGACATTGGCCATGACATAGACATCTGGGAGCGACTTTCGTGGCGGGACGGTCAATTCGAGAATATGGATGGCGATGATTGCCAAGTACACCACCTGTGATGTGGGGTATCCCGGCGTAAGTAAATGGCCAAGGTGTAATCAAGGTCCAGCAGTCCTTACCGCAGAGGAGACCTTCCAAGTCAAATTTGCGCTTCTCCACATGAACAAAGTGACGCCGATCCAGAAGAGGGAGAGAACCACGTACGGCAGAGCTAGTCCGTCTCGGTAGAGCAACGGGAACATGCTATGAACTGAATGATCAGTCACCCCGTCATTCAACACCGCTGTTCCCCGCCTCCTCGACGGCTCACCTAAAAACAGCCACGGAGTTGAAAAGAGCAGCCGCCGGGGGGTCGTCCAGTATCAGAAGCGTAGCGGGTAACAACGGCAGAAGGATGGACTTCTCGTGGACTTGGAAAGCGAAGAGGAAGAAGCCCAGGGATGTATTGAGCATCGCGTATGGGAGCAGCTTCGGGGATGGGTTGAGGAAGAGGTGGATGCTGGAGGGCAGAACCGCTGCGAGGGTTGATGCCAAGCTGCAAGAGATAATTCATCGTCTTTGTCTGTACCGCATGTCCACGGAGGTAGACATCAAGCAACGCACCTGAGATACACCAACTGGTGGGGTTGAAAGATCTGTCGTAGCTTGATCACAACGCTTATGGCGCACCAAACATTAGCCACTTTGTCCTCGTACAGTCCGCGCTCGACGGGGAAGACGCGACGAACGACTTGCAGAACATCGTCGATGGAATCGAAATAAATGGAGAAGACGATGGCGAAGGTGGCGATGACCGTGAGCCCAACTTTGATTAACATAAAGAATCTATGGGGTAAAGTTATCTGGATAAGTATCCTGGAGAGTACGCATACCCTGATATCTTTCTCACCCTCGCGGGCCCTTGACGCATTTTCCAAGAATGAAAAAGAACACCGGTATGGCATAGAACAGGGCCATTTGCTTGAAGTTCAACGCGAGCACAAAGAAGATGCTTCCCAGGACCAAGCGATCTGTCATGAGCATTACGATCGCCCATAATGCGAACCCCAACATGATCGAGTTGTATTGGAAGTGTCCATGGTCGATCAGAATGAGGGCAGGTTGAAGCAGGATCAGAAATGTGAGCACGTTCTGGCCCACGGCAAGCAACGGGAGATAAGCAAACATGTAGTTTAAAGCAGAGAGTTAGCTGGGAAAGCTCACCCTCTGCAACCACTGCCACTGCGACCGCGGGACCCAAATGGCCACGAAGTACACGACAGCTGGGAAGTAAATCAAGATCTCCGAAATAAGCACGGTGGCCCGCATGAAGATTTTGAGGGGTTCACTCTCGTGTCCTCGGGATGTGTAAAGTTCCACCCATGCAGGATTCATCTTCTTTGCGCTGATGCAAGACGTTCAGTAAGGTCTCGAAGCGGAAACAACACCCGCGGGCACACACCGGATGTCAAGCAGCCCTCTTTCTTGGCCTGAAAACATCAACTCACATGTATCCCAAGATCCAGCTGTGATACGCCGTCAACAGAGGGTAGTCCAGCCCCCAATATTTCAGATCATGCCTATACCACTCGCGTGGCGGCAGATTCACCGTGACCTCCAGCCAGTGTCGTTGGGCCTCAAAATCGCCGTGCAGCGGAGGGACACCCTGGCCCGAGTATCCGTTCAGGGAAACCGCCCATCGAACAAACAGAGCGAACAGGCACGTCGAGAATAGGGCAAGATGTGCGCTGCTCGTGCTATGTAAGAGATTGAACCACTGCCCTACTACGCCGTTAGGGGCGGAGACGGACGGTCCGTGGTCTGCTGCTTTGTGCGATTCTATTCGCTGGTGTCTGGAGTCGAGGAAACCATTAGACGTTATCTACAGCTGCAACGCTAACGATCCCGAAAGGCAAAGCCTGCTCCGCACAGGTTCCTATGAAAGCCATACGACTTACATCGTACGCTTCACTACTTCTTCGGTAAACTTACGCGGCCACGCTTTCCGCTGCCATTTGGGGGGATGGGCTAGGGCTTTCCCGCGAAGAGCCGGGCACTTTCCGCTTCTTTGCCATTTTCAAGGCCCACTTCGTATGCCGTGTGGGATCCTGCGCAGACCGACTTTCTATCTACGGTACGCAAGCCACTTATCTGCGGCTTCGCAGTGGGATTTCCCAGCCGTAATTCTCGTAAATTGAGCAACCTCCTCCTTTTAACGCGTCTCAACTGCGTCTCAACACAACATTCGTCTGGGAACTCTGGGCATGTTCCTCGTTCAAAGTCCAATTCTGCCGAATTGCTTCAGTTCGTTCGTTATTCAACTTCCAGACTGTCGCAACACAATGTCTTCCCAAGACCCACCTCACCACCCGCCAGCACATCACGACCCGCCAGTCATGTCCACCGTCGAGGCTTTTGCTGACCGGAAGCGAGTCGTAGAAGCCAAGTTCGGCCCAGGGTAAGTGAACGCTCTCCTCTCTATAATTACCTTCAGCGCTGCTCGCTCACAAACCATGTAGCTAAAGAATATAACTCTTCTGTAGGGCGTGGCAAAAGATAGAAAAAGTGCGACCGCACCGCTGCAACGGCCACATCGAAGACTTCATGGTCGCGTCCACCACGATACCATTCACCGACGCAGGGCGGACTTTCAAATTGATATTTAGTTGTTTCTGGTCGCAGCCTGGGTATGTGGGGCCTAAAACATCATGCCGTGGGAAAGTGAAAGAGCGCCCAGTCTAATCAGAGATCTATCAACGTAGGCATGAACCAACGCGAATCTACAAACAGCCGACTCCGTATGGAGGCCAGTCGGGTTTGAAGCGGGGGATGTGGTGGAATGATGATCGGACGACGGATGAGGAGAAGGATATTGCTGCCAAAGCTGCTTCTTGAGGAAGGGATATGCAGAGATTGCGGATAGGCTACGACAGGACAGAGGGATCGGGCGGTTTTGGGGAGGGTTGGGGATACCCGGTGATAACGGATTTTGGAGAGAGGGCTCGCATTGACATCATACCACGGCTGAGCGGACGTTTCCTATCAATTCACCGTGGCCTTTGATTGATCAAACGGCCGGCCCGCTCACTTGCCGAACAAGCTCCAGCACCAAGTGAACGACAACACTTGTCCCGTCGCAGGACTCTCGCTAGGTCTTCGACGGGCTACATATCGGAGAACTTTTCGACGTAGAAGCATGGAAACAGGGACAGATGAGCCCTGTGACAACGTTGGCGCCTGCTTATGATGTTCTCGCGTTCGATGTGGAAAGGTCTTAGCGCTGTCCGGGGATCAGTACGGAGGCTGCCCTTACATCTGGCGCACGCCAACAGCTCGATGCGACAACGCCTCAAGCCGGGCATAGAGAGGAGTCATTGGGGATCGGGCTCCTCCCGCATACGGATAAGAACAGGCAAAGTTCCTGGATGTCCGGCTGGCGGGATGTATGCAAAAACCACGGAGTCGTGTTCACCGATAACTTCCCACATCGCGGGAAACATCTCCGCTGTGTTTGGTGTTCATGTCCCCACTACGTAGCTCCCGGACAGACGTTTAAAACATTCAAAGATCACCGTATCGCTAGTTCCATATATACAACGTAACATGCGTCTAGATCTAGATCTAAAACATACCTCTGCTCCGCCTCAATATACGCATCTCACCCGCCCTCATTTACTGTCGATCGCCCCCTATACCACGAAGGCATCACCCGCTCCCAGAGCCTGCGCCAATAAACACCCTTCTTCCATCCGCTTCATCAGCACCATCCAATCGTTCTCGCCATACCCGTGCTCAGCGTTTCTGAACGATACCGGTGCATCGCGGAACCCCCATGCTGCCACAAGTGCCCATGGAATCGTTGGAGTCGATGTGGAGGCAGATAAGGCGGTTCTGATAGTTTTCAGGACACTCGTAATCTGCTCTGTCGAGATGAACCCCTTCGAGGTGATGCGGATGACGGAGGATGTCCGCGTGGGCTCGGGGATGGTGTAGACGGAATAGAATGGGTCGGCGGGTATATCCTCCGCTGTGTCTTTGTCATCCTCCCCATCGTCGTCACAGAGCAGCAGGCCAAACCACTCTATGAGTTCCAGCGCATGTGATTTCCATTCTTCGTGTTCTGCGGGTTCCAGTGCCGAGTAACTCGCTTTTGCGGATGGGTTATTTGATGACTTTTGAAATGAGCGAAGTTGTATGGAAGCGCTGTCTGGCATTGTCGTGTCGTTGTATATGCGTTGACGGGTTCCAGTCGAATATTTCGTGAGATTGCTTCCCGCTGGAAAGTGAGCGGGGTTGATGTCTATTGATTGGTTGGTTGCTGGAGCAGACACGGATCAGCACGGCGCATCGGGAGTGAAGGCGACATTGTGAAGAAAGATCCCTCACTGATGTTCACAAAAGAAAAGTAAAAGTCGTATTTCATGCTGGGATTGATGGTATGCGAAAAACACCACTTCACTCGATCGTAGTGCTTATCCCCAGGCTTGAATGACGGGTCCGACAGGTCTATCTTGACGACTATATGGGAGAAGAAATGCATTCAATGCCCGCGACTTTCCCTCTTCCCCTGTCTCCACCCACAAAGGCCCCAGATATTTACCATGCCTTCCTCCGCTTTTAGAAGCCTTGCCCACAAGCCCAAGCGATTCATACGTGTCTTTCGTCAAACTCAGAAGTAGGTGGCCTGTGGGAAGGATGGCAAACACATCGTCCGTATCTAGGCGAGCATTTACTCGTAATGCTGTGAATCCGCCTGAATGGAAGAGGTATCGATGTAGATAACGTCCCTCATACAGAGAAAGGGGTTTCTGGTGCACGTTACCTTGCCGGACATAATTTTTCAAGAACGTTTCATCAAGGAAGTGAGAAAGGGGCAACGATGCTTTGTAGTACGAGAACGCCGAGCATGTCCTCGAGATCTCCGCGGCTATCTGTTTCGCTGCGGTACCGTCACAGTCCAGGGGTATTATCACCTCCAACTACAATGCTGTTGAGCCAGGGAATTCACAGCATACTGAGGACATGGTCTCTTCCACTCACGGCATGGTTGAACGAGTGCGTGGCAGCTACAGCGGCGGGAATATCGGTGGTCGTATGAGACAGAAACAGCGAAGAGGGCGGTTGGTCGAACGTGGGGTAGACGGACATTTGTGGCCGGCTTGTCAGAAAACGACGGGGTAAGGAAACTCTGCAAGGTCTGTTACTCCAATTGGGCGCAGGACCTAACAGAGGCCGGTGACTGCAAACTGAACGCCGGCCTGGAGACTTGCGACCCTGGCAACACTGTGCATGTAAATTCGAGGAGGTCAAGGAAGTCTACAAGGAAGGGTGGTTGAGTGGGGCGCGACTACTTGCCCAAATGCCGTCAATTTCAACGCTCTTCAACGCGCCCGTCGTAACCAGCGTTTTGGCACAACCTACTGTATTTTCCTGGAAGAGGTGCCATGCATGCCATGCGTCTCGAGCGTTTCGCATCGTCCGTACCTGCTGTTCGCGCACCAACCATTGGATGGAATACCAAAACCCGTTCCTGGGGGAGAGTGATGTGATTTCTATGTTGCATTACTCTGGTTGGATTCACTCCTCATCTATGATTACAAAACAAAAGGGCTACGCTGCACTTCTACGGTGTCTATCTAAACGCCTGCCCACTCTAATGCTTCACTTTACTGTTCAGTCTTCGCCCCATTAAAGAACGGACACTTCGCCATCGCCTCCGTCGCCTCCTTCAACGCCTTCTCATCCACCGGCCCGTCATCCACAACAACATCATCCGTCGTCCCCACCCCATCCTTCTCCACCCGTCCATAAACCCTATACTCCCTCGTCAACTGCGCAATCAGTTCACTAGGGTCATAGAACGTCTCCAACCGCTTGATTCTGAAATCCTCCGTCACCTCCGCCACAGTGACCCCAAAGACCGCAACCACCTTATTCACCGGGTCCGCCTCGATCTTCCGGCCATCGCGGGTGATGGATTTGAATTTCCCGACACTCGTCCCCCAGTGGCGCCACTTGAACGCAACGACGGGGGGCCCGGAGTAGACCTCCAACACCTCCCAACTGAACGTGCGGAGCGCGCGCTTGAATGTCTTGTGGGACTCGATGAAGTCGGAGTGGGTCGACGAGTAGAGTTCGGATTCGCCGATGAGGGCGTTGTAGGACCCCGTTTGGGAGAACGCGGCCAGGTCCATCACGGGCCCGCCGTTGGTCTGGAACGTGAACGAGGTGAGGTCGACCGTGCGCCATTGCGCGGGGTTGGACTTGTACGAGACTTCTTTTTCCCAGTTTTTGACGAGGTTCTGCACGAGCCAGGGGAGAGAACCCTCTGATGAATTGGAGATGGAGGTTTGGATGGTGTGTGAGCGTGAAAACCTCATATCAGTCATAAAGACAAACAAAGCATTCGATCTGATTTACTACCCACCTTCGTGAACAACACTCCGCTCATCAACCCACGCCTGATTCACCTTCTTGTAATCCGGCGCGCGCTTGTTACGCCACTCGACGTCGACATCCTTCAGGACGGCGTCCGGATCGACCATGAAATCGGGGAGAGTCATCTTAGGGTTGTCGTACTACTGTAACCGTAGTTGTGTTATGCTTGCTGAGGGTATGTGGACGGTGAGAGTGGACGGTGAGAGAGGGCGGGCAAGGAGGGAGAGCTCTGCTTTTATACTGATGTGGAGGCGGTGAAGGCGGACTCTTCTCGTTGCGGCTGCTTTTCATGATGTTCAAGTTCGGAGATGAATTTCAAAAAAACGTTGGGGGAGAACGGGGGGATGGTAAATGAACTCAATGTCCATGATGATCAAACGCTTCAGCTGGAAGTTCCAGTGTGATGCAGGCCGCCTTCAACTTGGCCATTATATCGAGAAGCGGGATACCGTGAACGGCGTAAAAGCGGCGTTGTACTCAGTACTGTACAGTACTGTATGCATATGCAAGCGCAGCGGAGTTGATAGCGCAAGGTGGGAAGCCACGCACAGGGTTGTCCGATCCAACGCGTCGCATACAACTTCCGCAATATAACGCGTGGAATAGCAAAAGGTACTGTACATACAGTAAAACCCCTGCAAGTGTGCGGCTTGAGCCTCAACATGCTCCTCGAGACAACGGCCTATCGACTTGCCACGGACTCCGGAGAGAGAATTCTCTGCTAAGCTTTGTAGTCATCTCTACGTGAATCCAGATTCCTTTTGAGAGCGATTGAGGGCTTTCCTTCTCCAAGATGTACACAGTACGCACTTCCCCAGATGACCTACGCTCATGAGTCAATTGGTAGTTGCACCCACCACTCACCTGTCCTGCAGTAACATACCGCTTAATCCTTGCGATGTCAGCCAATGGGCCAACTTGAAGTTACGCCAATGGATTCTTCACCCTTCCGCTTTGCAATCACTCCCAAAAAGCATTCCGGCGCGCTTTACTTATATAACTCCCCGACCAGAAGGCTCCGGGAGAGAAAAGAAACGTGAACAGCCACAGCTGCTCGCGGTGCCTTTTATAGAGCAGCGGGGCGGTAAGCGACTTGCACAGTCGGTAACAGATACCATAAGTCGGGCGTCGGGCCAGGGGTTATGAGGTGTTGAACGAAAAACGGAAACGAAGGTTGCGATTGTGTGAGGTTGCTTACGACGCGTTTGACCAGAGTCAGCGTCGCGTCCCTCAAGTTTCCCAACCTCAAGCCGCAACGGAGACGTTATGCCCGACTCGGGCCTGCTTTGATATTCAAACCGCAGGCGGGCTTTAAAGTCTCTTATGGCTTTCAGCCCTCCTCCACTTTGTCGGAGATCAGCGAAAGTATTTCCATGTTGGGCGTTGAGCAGATACACAACGGTTAGTCCGCGTCTCAGGCATGGTAAAACTCCCAAATGGATCTTCGACAATGAACACAAGGTTGAGTACCCCGTGAGTACCGTCAGAACCACAGAAAGATACTCCAACGCTCTTCGTGGAGGGCTGACTTGCGTAAGGTAGGCAATCGAGGCAGTACTCCGAGATTAATTCCTGTTTCGCTAACCGCCCAGTAGAGCATGGCGGGGTCATTTGAATTATTATGATTCCCAATTGGAAAAGATGCACGTCGAAGGATGAGGATGAGGATGATGAGGATGAGGTTCCGCTTCCACTCCAACGGCGTTTCGATGCGCATCATTGCCGCTACAAGTAGGCGAACCTGCGCTGGACGTGACATACTACCCATGTCTCAGATGGAATGACGAACGGCGGCATTCCAGTAGGTAGGCTCATGGATCCTGCAAAAAACGTTAAGTCGGTCATGGTACTTGCAACACAGGTAGCTTACCTTTGTGCGAGAACTTTCTGACCGAAATTTATCCGGGTTTTCCGGTGTCGTTCATGCCCAATCAATCCAGAAGGCGCTGGCCTGAACGAATCTCTCATAGGTCTCATGATACTTGGCGGTCGTGCGCCTATCTTCAATAAACCCTACAGGAGGAAATAGATCGACGCAGCAGTGTATGGGCAAACCCGTACCCTCCTTATAAAGAACAGTTGCGGAAGCGAAGTTGTGGTGTCCAGGAAACTGCAACTCGGGCGGGGGCGTCTTACATTACCTGACATTGTCCGATTACATAGATACGCCGTTGTCCTGGTTGAGGTTTCTAAAGCAGCCCTTGCACCGTTCCGAAGATGCAATTTTGTTTTACGGCGAGCGTGGGAAAATCGATCGAGCCGGGTCAACGATGCGCTCAGAAAGTTCAAGTTGCGTTTGCGTATGAACAGAAACGAAGGACAGGGCAGACAGGGCCGCAGACCGCTTGATTAGAGCCAGCTAATATGCGACGTCTTTCGACTTGTATATACTGTACCTGTGCTGTTTACGGGGCAATTGGAGTAGCCTGCGATCTGCCCGAGAGCTGCGAGACGAACTGGGGGGGCGCGTCTGATTATTTAGTGCTGACGGCTTGTCTGCCTGTCCTGTCATCACTTTGCAGGGGCAGTCTCTCTCGAGAGGCCAAAAGGGCCCAAAGCGCACGCTCGCTGGGAGGACTCCAAAGCAACTCCTCTCGCTCACAATTTCCCCCCCAAAAAAGAGCTTTTCTTCAACCCTCAGCCGTCCAGAAACCTCAACCACCGCCTCCCTTCGTTCTCGCTGCTTCGTTCAGCTTGCTTCGTAACTGGCACCAGCAATCACTCCCACACTGCAAAAATCCCAGGGCATTGCCTCTCGAACACTGCGGTCATTCCGGTTTTCTTACTTCCGAGAATCTGTTCAAGGCGGAATCCACGGCACACTGGCACACCGGCCGCCATACCGTCCCCATTACCCACTGCGTCGCTGCTAGCTGGTCTGCAACTCTTGCCTACCCGTTCCCGCTTCCGTTCCCGTCCTCTCCATTCCGCCACCTCCTCACCCTCGCTCGTGTCAGAGCCACTGCATGCGCGGTAGTCTCTAAAGTAAGGGTCGGGATATGGAGGCCGAGGCAGCGACTGTCGGTGGACCACAAGAAGGAGAAGCAATACAAAGTCCTGAGCTTCCTGGGGCAACGACGGAAAAAGAAAAACCTCAACCGCCTCAAGACCTATTTCTGCCAGACGCCCCCGCTGCCACGCCTGACGACATGCTGGCACAACTGAAGGCAGAGCCTGACCTGTTCGAGGCTTCTCGGTCGATACATGGCGTCGAAGAGGCGTCGTCTCAAACTGCCGTGGAAACGCTTTCAGTAACTGTAGAGGACGTCAAGTTTGCCGTGCCGCCAGAACCGGAACGGACGCTGTCTCTGGTGTCTCTAGAGAGCCTTGACGTTTCGCCTAGCAAGCTCCTTTCCCCTTCGAAGCACTCTGCCGATGCGGAACCTTCTGCAAGACCGCATAAACGCTCAAAGTCAGAGCGGTCTCGGCATGGTCATCAACCACCAAGAACCGCTGAACAAATGGCTGAAGGTATGATCTCAGCATTGCGTGAAGACCTCTTCGTGAAGACGGCCAACTGACTCGCTCCCCACTCCTTAGACGATGAACACGAGGCCGCACGGAAGGAAGCATTGAAGGCTTTAACGGAAATCGAGAATGCGTTTGCGAAATTCCGAGAAGCGTGAGTCATTCTTAGCTGCAGCCAGTGGCTTGAAGGGCGTTTTCCGACCATGTTCGCCTCAATGCATTGGAACTTACTTGCGATCCCCCCAACGTCCTACAGAATGTACCAAGAAAAGCTTGCGGAGATCGAAGCGGAGGAGAGCGCTATTGAGCTTGGTTAGCTGTTTGCCACTTATAAGACTGCGCCATACAGTGACAGTTATTGACTTTTGTCCACAAAACGATAGGTCAACATGCCACTTTGCTCGTGCAAGTTGCAGAACTGGAAGAAAAGAAAGCAGAGCGCTTGGCAGCTGCGGCAGCACGGCTCAAGGAGGAGAAGCTCTTCTACCAGCGACAATTCGAGGCAACCATTACGCAGTCTCAGTCAGACTTCATCGTAAGTTCTGCATTGGCTTCTTGTACGTCTCATGAACCCATATTCAACGCTTGTTCACATTCCAGTGTCGCCGTGCTGACGAGAGACGAAAAATGCTTCGTGAAATAAATACCAAGCGGTGGAAAATGGTGGAAGAGCGTCGCGCTTTGCAAATAGCCGAACTAGGTACGTCACACTCAACCGACACAGAAATCGGAGAATCCTCAACAGCAGCAAGCCTGACATCATTCATGACCTAGGCTACCCGACAACCTTCCTACCAGATCGGAGTTCCTGCTTGAAACGGCGGAAATTCATGAAGAATGAGATCAGTGACTGGAAGGTCGTGATGGAGAAAGGCGGGTTCCCATCTGCCACCGTGAGTGGGCTCACGAAGAGTGAGATCAATGAGGATCTCGAAGTTCTTGGGGTGCGTATCGCTTTGAGTTAGTTCGCTTACTTCCTAAGCCGCAGTGACTAATCTGGGAGACCCGCCCTCTTCAGCTCATAACCAAACCGCCAGCTGCAGCACCCACAGCACCACCATCACGCAAGAAACATCAATCCACCCACAAACCATCAAATACCACCAACGACTCAATACCCAAATCATCCCCCGCGCGGACCCGCGATGCCTCCATACCGCAGGGCAACGACGAGAAGTCCAGCGGGATCGTCACGATACCGCGAAGCGTCGAAACGATTCCCGCAAACTTGCAGCAATACCAACAGCCACATCACCACCCCCACCACTACGGACAACATCAACACGGATACCAGCACCATCACCACTCCTCTTCGCCACCCCAACCCCACCCACACTCCCCACCCTATTCCCAACACCACCACTACCCAATACACCTCCCTCCACCACCAATACATCACCCCCCCACCTCCTCTTCCGCAGCAGCCGCCGCCGCCGCCGCCGGCATACCACCACCCTACCTATCCACCGACATCCGCGTCGACGGCGAGACCCTTCGCTGCAACGGCCACGCCTTCCGAAAATCGAACAAAGTCTACCTGCACGACAACGGGTCCAAACTCTCGGTCAAGATTGTCGGTATCACAAGTTCGGAGTTGAGCGTCCAACGCACCGATGGGAGTAAGACGAAGATTCCGTTGGAGGTGTTGGGCGAGGGGCGGATGTGGTTGCAGCCGAAGGGGAATGGGTAGTCGTATTGCCAAACCACCATCACATACACCACATACTGAACGTTGTGGTGTACGGTTGTAACACGCTTCTATGTACACTATGCAAAACGCGTTGATCGCCCCAGCCCATCCCTCACTGTCCATTGCATGTACACCCTAGTGAACTGTAGCTTTGCCCGCCCTGGGTTTTTGTAGAGCCGCTTTTTCTGTTTCCCTTTAGCTTTTGCGGGGGCATGTATACACCAATATAGGCCGGGATAAGAAAATACCTGAATGCTAGACATCTCTGAAATGATACTGTTGAATGACAATTTGTTGTTGAGAGCGCATCCCATGAGAGGGAAAACTCGGCGCGTGGTGAGAAAAGACCTTTGGTGCGGTGAATTGGCGTTTCGCGCAAGACTGCGAGATTGTAGAAAAATGCTTCCACATATCCGCCGCAAGCAGGGGTCCTTTCTTCAGAACATCTGTCACCTGCTCCTGTCCCTCGACTCAGAAGAAGCTTTTCCAGCCCTTCCAAGACGATCGAGAACGTACTGGGAGGTCTCGGTAAGAGGGTCAGGGTCCTCAATCAACGAGGCACGCTGAAAATGTTGGTTTGGGAGGTAATTGCACCGTCACTCACCTCTCACATGTTTTTCTATCTTATTATCTTCGTGATTTGCGCCTTTCGATGGATGGCTTCCTGGTCGATCCGTCGAGGTGCGGACGGCGGTTTACCCCTTCTTTTTTTGGAGAGAAGGAGGCCGCCCGAGAGACAACAACCGGCCATGTGTTCTTGGCTATACTATATATATATACGGTGTTCGCGTCCGTGCGGGTCGCTTGGGTGATGGATTCTCTACGAGGGTTGGGCTTGGGTTAGGGGCTGTTGGGGGCAGACGCGGAGTTGACGCGTCTCGTAAGCACATTCGATAAGCATAACATGGAGTTTGCGACTGGATGGCACCGGCTGGTTCCCCGTATAAAAGACGCACTGACCTTCCGTCCCTCTTCCAATTTCTTTTACTTTCCAGGAGTCTGGTTGCAGCTGGTCTTTAGTTAGCGGAGGTAAGTTGCCCGCGGGCATCGGGAAAAGATGTAAGTTGGGGAAAGGGTAAGATCGCCCGTTTTTGCATACGATTGTGAGAAGCTGGGTGTTCTTGCCAAAGTCTCGCGTTAACACATAGCTCACCGAGAGGGAATTGCGGACGAGGTGAGCGCGGGAATGGGCAGGTTTTCCAGTGGTGATTTTGCGGATGGCAGGGCAATACACTCATGGGAGGACGGAGTTTGTGAAAACGGCGCAGAGGAGTGCGTAAAAAGGTAAGTGCGTGGATATGGGTGCAGACTCGTTTGTGAACCGTGCTGCATTCGTCTTGGCGGTTACGCTTTGCCTTGATCTTGAGGTGGGAGCTTCGCGTGCCACACATGTCAAACTTCTGGGCGGAAATGAGAACCGTCTTTCTGTATATGTGCGTAGGAAAGAACGGTTGCTCCCTCTCTTCTCGAATGCCCTTCCTCCCCCCTCCGACCGCTATCCAATGTGCGAAGAACAGATCTGATGTTCACATTCATTGATAATACCCAAAAATCTTCCATCAACGGTGGTATTGTCTATGTACAAAAAATCCCTTTCCCACACTGGCCCGCCCTCTCCGCAATAATAACCCTATCATCCCACCTCACGGACACCTCAGCATAGCCCTCGCCCTCCCCAACACCTCCCCCCTCATCTTCGGATACTCCGGGTACATTCCTAACACCCTATGACACACATCAACCGCCTCCACAAACTTCTTCACCTTCATCAGATTAAACGCCAGCTTATACCCCAACGCCGGGTTAATCTTCCCATCCAGCGTCCACGCATCATTGTAGACCCTTGCAGCGTCTGTGAACTGCGATTGCCGCTCGTGGATGAGACCGAGGTACTCCAGCGCGCGGGCGGAGGATTTGTTGTGGGTGAGGAGGAGGGTGAGGTAGGTTGTTGCGGGCTCATATTTCTGGGCTTGGATGTTGATGTCGGCGAGGAGGAGCCAGGTTTGCTCGAATTCGGAGGCGAACTGCGGGGACCAGTCCATTTTGGAGATGCGTTTGAGGTGGTTGCGCGCTCGTGGGGATTGTTTGAGGAGCATGTGGGCTGTTGCTAGGCCCTGGTTTTTTTTTGTGAGTGATTCGCCGTGAGGGGTTAGTTTATTGCCGATTTGAACGTGCGAATATGATGCATATGCGGTGCGATTGGGACGTACGAGTAACGCAGGGACGTAATCCTTCTCAACCGTGAGGATCTCGGTAAAATGAGTGACGGCTCTTTCAATGTCTGCTTTCTGCTTTGTGGCGAGCATAGCGTTGCCTTCGAGGATCTGCGTGCGGAGGGATTTGGGGTTCTGCGGCAGTTCCTGTGATTCAAGACAAAGAAAGACGTAGCAATTAGTGCGCTGTCGTTCAACCTGGATCGCCCTGCGGACCATCCAAAAACCAACCTTCAAAAGCTTATCAGCCGTTAACACCGCCAACACCTCCTCGCTCCCCTTCGCGCTACTCCCCGCGGCTGCCGCGTCCGTCGCAGCATCCAACGCCTCCCCGCCTATTGTCTCGTTGTCCGGGTTGAGGAAGATCTCGATCATGTGGTAGAGGGCACGTTCGCCCCATTCGGCGTCCTTGCGGCAGAAGTTGAACTCTTTGAGGGCTTCATTGGTTGCGTTGGTGTATCTACGGGTACGAAAGAGGGCATGTGAGAGCACTGCCTCGTCGGCTCAATCGCCACTGCAACAAAGGCGGTCTCAACAAACAACAGATGTGAAATGAGTACCCACCTAAAATGCAACCCCTTACAAAAATGATACCCCGGATGCAAATGCACCTTAACCGAGCTTCCCTCCGCACTTTTCAAAAATCCATCCACCTCACTCAGTGTCCCATTCCTTCTCATCGTCTCAATCAGGCGCGCGAGGGCCGCGTAATTCGCGGGTGATTTTTCCAGCAGTTGCCGGAAATACGCGATGCTCTCGTTGTAGGAGTTCTTGAGGGCCATGATATCGGCCATGAGGATGGTGGCGGGCTCGGAGGAGGGGTTGAGGCGGAGGAGGTTGGCGCAGTGCTGTTGTGCGGGGAGGAGGGTGGCTGTGGTTAGGTGGAGGCGGCAGAGGGAGATTGTTGCCTGGGGTGGACATTTAGGTTAGTTTGTTTTCGGGAGGGGTTGGGGAAGATATGCGACCCCGATTATTTCGCTTTCTACCTTTTCATCCCCCGGATTCTGCTCCACAGCCTCATTGTAATGCACAATCGCCCGCTCCGTATCTTTCAACACGTTAGCGAGCAGATCCGCAATCTCCACATTGATTTGCGACAGTATCGCTTGTTGATTCCTGTTTTCTGCGACCACAGATTCCTTCGACGCTAGACTGGCAAAAGAATTTCACGTCGTTATTTACTTGAATGACATGTCAATGATGGTTTGGATGCCAAACGCACTGTATCTGCAAATCCCGAGCTTTTTCTAATGTGGCCAAGGCGCTCTCGAACTGCTGCTTGGCGGTGCGGACTTTTGCTAGGAGCAGGAGGGTTCGAACGATGTATTCGTTGTCGCGGCTTTCTTCAGCTAAAAGAATGATCAAATGCAGCGAAGATGGCATCAGTTTGTTGCCTCCGGACATGCCCCGGGTTTGATCGCGCATAGCTTACATTCGGCGATTGCGATGGCCTCTTCCAAGAGCGTGTCGGCATTCTCGTGTCTCTGCAGCTTGAAATACAGCTCGGCAAGATCGTACCGAAAGGTTGTGTTGTGGGGTGAATCGGTCGCTAGACCGGATTGATAGTAACTGATAGCCTAATGCACGAGTAGGAATCAAAGATCAATCCCGCATATTGAATCCTGCCCGAAATCTCCAAAACACCACGCAACGTACCCTCTGATAATTATGGGTCCTAACAAGCGCCTTCCCCACCTTCGCCGCCAAAATCCCCGCCTCCGGACTCGCATCCATCGCACTCTCATATATTGCAATCGCCTTCTCCGGCTCCTGCAAATTCATATACGCATCCCCCAACAGCAAACAACTCTCCACAGTCGGGTTCCGCTCCACCAGCTCCGAATAACACCTCGCATACCCCTTCTTATCCCGCTTATGCGTCAAATAAATCTCCGCCATCAGTTTCTTGGCCGCTATGTAGGAGGGTGTGTCCGGGTGGATGGTAGCGAGGACGGCGAGGGCGGCGTCGGGGTCGGAGCGCGCGAGGGCGAATTCGGCGTTGGCGAGGGTGAGGCGATCGCGGTGGTCTGGGTGGCTGAAGAGGCGGGTGGCGGTTTGCATGACGCGGGTGGCGAGGAGGGGTTGGTGGAGTTTTGTGTGGGCGTCGGCGAGTTCGAGGTAAATGGTCATGCGCTCGTGGGTGGTGGTGGGGTGGGTGCGGGTGCGGATTGATGAGATTTTTCTCGATTCTGAATTCGATTCACAATTCTTTAGACGGTCTGCGTGCGCAATGCATGTATCCATGCAACAAGAATAATGTGACACCTACCTTCAACCCCCTCCCTCATCTCCCCCAACTCCATCGCCGCCTTCAACGTCTCCAACGCCTCCTCATACCTCCCCTGCATCTTCAAAGCCCGTGCCTTCAACCCATGAAACAGGGGCACCTCGCGCACTTTAAAGTCGTAGCTGAGTCCGGTCTCCAGGGCTTGCATCGCCTGCTGGTCGTGGTTCAGGGCGAGGTGGATTTGGGCGAGGAGGAGGTAGGCCTAGGGGGGAGAGATATCGTTAAGAATGAGATGTCAGCCGACCCTTCATCCGAGTTATGATCGCCGTACCTCGGTGTGCATGGGATTAATCTTCAAGCATCTAGTCGTGGTCGACAACGCCTGCGCCTGGTCGGCCGACAAATATTGCGCTTTCGCCTTATAGTACAACGCATCTGTGTTCCCCGGAACAATGCGGCACAGGATTTCGAGCATCTCGAGCATTCGTTTCACGACCTCGGGGGCTTCTTCGCCTGATATTGCGGGTTGGCATTATATTAGATGGATTACAGGTGTCGATCATGTTCGAGAGGTGAGGCAAGGTGGATCTTACCTTCCCGTTTGGGCGTGGAGGGACAGTGCACGGCCAGTTGCGACGCCGTCACCAGGACCAGTTCTGGGGCCACCCGAGTATAATACTCCAACCTGCATCAACAAGTCAGCATCTGTCTCTCAAATAACCCCGTAGAGATACAAGCAGCGAAGCCTTACGTAGAAGCCCCCTCCAAATCCAACGTCAAATGCGCCTCAGCCGCTTTAGTCAGCCACTTGATGCGCTCGGCGGCATTTTTGTATTTGTGCCAGGCGACCATGGAGTGGACTAGGGCTACACGGCCGGGGTCGGCTATGCGAAGGAACGAGGTTTGTGAAATGCTCTGGAACTCCGCAGTATGCCAAGGTGGGTGATGTTGTTACCTTCACCGAGTTGGAACTCTTCAACCATTTGGAGCTGTTCTTCGGCGGTGTCGAGGTCGCCTGTGGCTGCTTGGGTAAAGGTTTGCCCTGGAACAAACATGTGAGGTATCAGTTTGCTTTTGCTCGTGATATGTTGCTCTGAGCGCTTAGAGGACGGTGAAGGTCATCGGCGGCGCACCCACCTAAGAAGGCGGACCAGTTCTGCGGGTCGAGCGCGAGTGCTGCTTGGAGTGCTTCCTTCGCTCTTGGAAAGTCATCTGATAGTGAATGAATATGTCTAGCTCCAATCGGTCATGTACAGTTCCCACAAAACAGCGCACCCACCTGTTTGGAAGTACACAAATCCCGTCTCGGCAACATATTCGGCGTTTCCCGGGTCGAGGCTTATGGCGTGTTGCAGTAGGTCCATGGATACTTGTAGGATGCTGACGGGCATATTGATTAGCGTGGAGACGGGATGAAGATGGGGCAAGCTATGTCTAGTTGCTTACCTCGGAGTTCTGTTCGAGAGTCGTCGGAGGAAAAGTGCGATTTGGTGGTATAGGGGTGCGTTCGTGGGTTCCACTTTTCCCAGAACCTTTTTTTGTCAAAAAAGCAGGTTATTTCAGTCTCCCTTTATCTCCGTACGCTCGCGCCCGGCAAGTACAGCGCTTGACCACGACGCACCTCAGCCAAGTCCCTCAAATGCGCCGCCCCGGCCTCCAGATCCCCCTCCCTCGCCAAATAATGCACCAGCAGCACAATCCGTGCATCAAAGCTATCCGGCGCCAAGCTAATAACACGATTCGACGCGTCCAGAACCTGGTCCCACTCCTCGCTTTCCACGAGGAGGTACATGCGCTCGATGAAGGCGGGGACGAAGTGGGCATGTTGGACGACGAGGGTGGAGATCAGGTCGACGGCGGTGGGGAGGTCGCGTTGGCGTTTGCGGAGGAAGTGGATTCGGCCGAGGGTTGCCTGTCCCCGATGAAAGTCAGTTTACAACCATCTCATTTCCGTAAACCGGCGACACCAAAACTCACATCAGAGTTGTTGGGCTGCTTCTCCAGCACACGGTCAAACCAAGACCGCGCCTTTCCCGAGACAGGCGCTAGTCCTGACGGGTCCGCCTCAATCCATCCCATCAGCGACAGAGCCTCCGACGGCGCCTGATTGTCTGCGATCGCCTTTTTGATGTTGCGGCGCGCTTCCGCGAGGTTGCCGATGTGAAGATGGAACATTCCCGTCAGAATAAGGCTTTGGGCTGACGGGGTGGCGGACTCGCTGGAGATGGCGAGTTTGGCTTCTAGTTCTTGTATCGCTTCTTGATCTGTAGGATGAAAGGTTAGTGTTAAGGGCCGGACAGCGGTAGATTGGGCATAGATTCACCCACCTACCAATATATTTGCATCGCTCATGGGCAGCGATGAGCGCAATCGTCGTCGGCAACGTTAGATCCTTCTTGTCCTGGAGGGGTTCCAGACCACGTATTGCTTCCGATGCCCGTCCCGCTTCGAAAACATCACACATGTGTATCAGCCTCCCATCAAACAATCATAACAACGCCTTCCAATGCGCAGCTACCTTGCCATATCAGCGACGCAGCCTTCCAGAATATCAGCAATGGGTCTCCAACTCTCCTCTTGAGACGCTGCGTGCAAAAATCGTGGACATGATGGTATAGCTTTCGTCTGCAATAATAGTTGATCTAGGGGTTGGGATTGAAAGCGTGAGATATGGATGCATTGGATGGCCCATAAAATTGACAGCGACTTACCGCAGCGAAATCCTCTTCTGCGTTCATTCTGATACGGTAGAGCTGTAGCGGTGTGTATATGTATATGTATACCTCGCGTGTTGGGTGTAGCGGCCTTCACTGGAGTTCTGAGAATTGGACTTTGAAAACAGGGCCGGCCGGACGCGTTTGGGAAAAAGGGGCACTGGACGCGTCTGCTTGAGAACGGAAACTGGACGCTCTCCACCTTGCCTCCCGTTTTTTCGCACCCTTGCTTGCAATTCAGAGGCTCCACCCGCCTCCCCCCCAAGCGCCGTCATGGGAACCATGAATTTCCAAAGCCGACAGTGTCGAAAAGCTGGAAATGCTCACGTTATTCTGTAAATGATCCAACGTGCGCAACACGATGGACACGGTCAAGCACGGGTGGAGGTTGGGTGCGGAACCTTTCCGAGATGGCAATGTACGTTGGTCCTTCGGGCTAGCCCTGGTTGTAATACCGGAAGAACCTGGTTATCGTCCCAATACCTGCGTGCGCCTTTTGGAGTTCTATCTGGGGGGAAAGCTGTGGATCAACGCTGACGTAGATCCCGAGCTGCGTACAGAGCGGGCGTATCTGAGGACGTCCTTGTGAGAGGTTTCATTACCCCCAACCATGTACATAGTTTGTCTCTGTCAATAGTGCAAGATGTAGGATTCACATTGCCAAAAAACCTCTCATATACATGCCCGTCGGTCAATAGCCCTTTCCTATGCGTACCCCAGATCGTCCCACTTGATTCATTATACAAGATGTAGCTTCTCTTTTTAGCCGGGACCCTCACCAACCAATCACCAGAGTCCACAAAGTCTGTCAAGGTCTCTTGCTCATCGCGACGATCAGAATACGGCCTGGGGGCCGAATATGGAGTACTCCTCTCACAACGAACATGGTTTCGCATAGAGAGACTCAAGGAGGCCTTCCTAGTCAGATGCACCCCGAGAGTAACCACCGTTATGCACTGCCTATGTTTTGCATCAGAAAACCATGCAACCCATCATAAATGTGCATTGGACGGGTTGAAGAAGCGTAGATGTGTAGGTCTCTGCGAGTCTCCGCGAGACCTCAGGGGGCTCAATTTCAAGCTTACGCGTCGGGTTGGAGAGGCGAGAGAACACGGGCGTGACGGTCCTCCTCTCGCTCGCACTACGTCAACCCGCTCACGCATACTCTACGAACCCTGGGTCGTCCTGCCATTGAAGCAACCAGGAAGACGCCGGGACCTGAGCCAGCTTACCATATAGGGGGAGATTACTCTGGCAGGACCGTGCACACCTCTCGCACTTACAGCTCCAGATCCAGCAGTGACACCTTTCTCGCGCGTCCATTGAACTCGGTTTCGGACACCGACTCCATCCACGAAACCCATCGTCTAAGGTCGAGTGATCGTACCCATACACTGAAAAATATGCTGTCAGCAGAGACGTTCCCTGGCGACGGCGTCCGAGATACATTTCATGGTGGTCATCAAGATTTGCAAGGTGATGAGATTTTGACCATAGCTGAGATTACTCCCTCAAATAAAGCACGGCCGTCTGACACGTCTTTCCACCTAACAAACCAGATGACTTGATCAAGGAAAAAAACGAGCTTCTAACGCAAGCCAACGCCGACTGGTCCACGCTGCTCGAGACCGTCAAAACACAGCAAAAGTTCCTGCAAACCCTCGTCGAGCAGCTGTCCAAAGCGGAAGAGGAGCGCGTCAAGCGGACCAAGATCCTGTCCCGACAGCAGCAAAAGGACGCGCAGAAGCAGACTGAGCGGGTCAGGAAACTGGAGGAGACTTTGCATGTCCAGCTGAAAGAGAAGGATGAGCTCATATCGGCGCTTACGGACGAGCTGCGGTCTGAACGGAGCGTGATTGATGAGCTGCGGAAGAAGAGTGAAGGGCGTGGACACAATCACCATCACCACCAGCACAGCGACGAAGAAGTCACGAATGGCGGTGGCCTCACGAAAGCCGAAGCGTCGGTGTTAGCCTACCAAGTCACATCGCTGAAATCGCAGCTGTCGAACGCGGAGGAGATGTGCGTGGAGTACCAACAGGAGGTGCAGGAAGTGCGCACCGCGATGGAGAAGGCGCAGGACCAGCTGAGAACGACCCGGAAGGAGAACTCGGCGCTCGTGCAGACGTGTGAAGCGTTGAGGATGGAGGTGGAGCGGTTGAGCCGTTTGGGTTCCGCGTCATCATCCAACAAGGAAAATACTGCTGCTAAGGAATACGTTGCAACTAGTGGACAGAGCTCCACCATCAACGGCACAACGCCCTCAAAAAAGAACAACCGACGGGCGCACAACAACAGCAGTAGCACCGAGTCGCCGTCTCAGTCTCCGCGCGGAACCATCTCCCACCGCACCGCGTCGTCAAACCCGCAATCCTTCCGAAACGGAAGCGGCACGATCAACGCCAACAACAAATCCTTCTCGCAGATCTCTCCACAGGGAACCGTTAACGCGGCCACGATGCACACCCTAAGAGACAGCGGTGGCGGTGCTGCTGCTCATGCAACGAAAGGCTACGGCAACCCCACATCGCCTTCGCACACGGCCACGCAAGAGAAAGCCGGCACCGACCGCAAAATAGACGCCAAAACCCAACGCAAACTCTACGCCACCATCCGCGTCTCGGGCACCAAGGGCGGCCGAGGCGGCAAGGTCCGTCCCGCCGTGCCGTGGGCCACCGATGCCGTCGTAGAACCGTCTCCGCCACCAACAACAACGACACGAGCAACGATGATGGGGATACCCCCGGAACAGCCGACCTTCATCCGCCACGAGACGGAGCGGTACACGCGCGAGCTGGATGCGGTTGGACGGCAGATTGATCGGTTGGCGGATGAGTTTGAGCGCGGGCTCTGACGCAACTTTGTGGACTGGAAGCTTTCGTGAGTAAAAGTATCGTTCCCGGCAGCTGCTCGTCGGAAGGAAACAAAACGAGACGGGACGTGCGAAACTGTCACCATCCCCCCTTATAACGAACGATCAGAGGACCGTTCACCCTTCCCGTCCCCCACACTCCGCCCCGCGCCAACTGACCTCTGATTCACCGAACCGCAGTTTCCCGCCCCCCTCGGGTCAAATCCCCGGGAACCCCGACCGGGGACGACCGCAACACAAATCCAAAAGCGAAGACGTATGTTATTTTGGCCCCTCTACTGGGACTCGGCGTACGTGTATGTATGTACGTTGAAAGATGGTGTGAACGAACCTTTTTTTTTTTTTTTCATAAACGCCCTTTTCGTTTTTATGCGGCTTACGTGCTTCCCGTTGTGCCCCCGCTTTGAATTTGTACATGTCTTTATATTTCTCTCTCTCCCTGTTTCGACTTTTTCCCTGTAAATATTTTGTACATTAATGAAGCAGATGATAACGAAAACATGTGCGATATTCCTAACGGGATGTAGGGACGGAACACGGGTCGCACTCTTTGCTGAGTTTGCTCCTTCGATTCTCTTCACATCAAGTATGTATATTCGAAACAGCTTTTGTGAATACGCAGAGCCCCACCATCTCGTTCCAAGGCCACAGGAACGAAAGAAATATACCGAGATCAATCCCCCCCCCCCCCCCTCCCCTATTCAATGCACGCACGCAACCCCACGCCGCATACCCGCCTTCACAGAAAAGCGCCTGACGCTGAATCCCCACATAAACACCGCCGCCGTTTTCCCTCTGAACGTTTCGAAGAGCGAGATAGGGAACCTCGTCGTCGGCCCCACACATACATCTTTCGTTTCAGGCTCCCGAGTTTCTGTTTGCGGGCGGCTGCGGGGCGCTGGTGATGCGATGCGATGCGATGGGATGGGAGAGGACTTTTTTGAGTGTTTCGATATTGTACCGCTGGTGGAATGGGACGAGCGTTGGGTAGGAGGTTGGGTGATGGGTTGTGTGTAGGAATCGTGCGATCGGGAGGGGTGTATGTCGCCTTTTTGGCGGAGTAGTGGGTAGGATCATTGGGATGGCGGTCTGCGAGAAGAGAGGGGAGGTGAGTACGGTATAGGGCTCAGAGTTTGAATGCACCGGATGGTTGCATTGTTTCCGCCGGCTTGGGAAACAATTGGTTGTTGCTTAAATAGCACATGCACAGAATACGTACTCTCCACCAGGGATGAACTAGCGTCCGCGAAACAAAATCGTAAGTTTACACGGACACACATCTCCAAACAAAAACAAACCCCCTCCATGACGAGAAAGAACGTACCATGCAGATATTATTCCCATTAAGCAGCATCTGGTCCAGATGCGTCGTTTTCCGGCCTTCTGGGGTGTTCTCGCTTACAGAAAACAACGGGTTTCAAAATCGTTGTGGGGATGTTTTCGAATCTCATACAACCACGGGGGGACTTACTATTCCGTGACGTCTTTCAGAACCATGTCTAGCGAGAGTGGCGTGACAACGTTAGCATTGGATGCAGCGCGATACAACCCCCAGAGAGCTAGGCGTGTCCAGCATGTCCCGCTGGGAGTTCCCGCATCGCATGGCATCACAACATATATCCCCGGCCCCATCCCTGCGTTTTGCAGATCCCGTCGCCCGTCATTTCGTCCTTGACCATTTCGGATACAGACTGTGCACCGGCCGCACTTCCCACCCACGCATCCATCCTCTCATCCTTCCCTTCCCCAACCCTCGTCTCCCGTCCAACACCGCAATGAATGAGTGATCCCCCACAGCACTCACTAACGAAATCATCAAACCCCAACAACGTTCCCGCGAACTCCTTCTCGGACTTCATCAGCACCCAGATCCGCGAGCCGATGCATCTGTCGACCAGTTCTGTATCGTTTTTCGTAAGACCATTTGGAGACACGTGATTCGATGGGGAGATCATTTTCGTTATTTCGTTTTCGGGTTGTTGGGGAGGGTCAATGGTGCAGATGGGGGAACGCGGATAGTGGAGGCGGCGACGGGGAGTGGTGACGTATCGGAGTGAGAAGGAAGGTTTGGAGCAATTGGTTAGCTTTCGTCTATATCATACGTTTCATATGGGGAGGAAATGACTGCAACGCGCGGACGTGGGAACCACCAATGTAGGAGGGCGTGCAGGAGGTGCGTGGGGGACTTACCGAGAGGCAGGAGGGCTGGGGTTGCTGGGCCTTGGGACGCCATTTCTGTTTTAGGGTCGTGTGTTTGTGGTGGGAAGTGGGATGGTGATATGGTAGAGAATTGTGGTGGAGATGAATTTCGACGTCCTTTTGGCGACATGGAAAAAGACGCGACTCGTTGTGCAAGATGCCCCCCCAATTTACAGTACTTATTCCGGATGTCGTCTCATCAGTATGTGAATTCAGATGGGATATAAACATATAGTCGGTAGATGCGGTTCCAGCTGCAATGATTCTCCGGTATCTACGGGCGCTGATTGGGAAGGGATGGGGGTGCGCAAGATATGATATCCGTGGTGGATCTATCCTGACAAGGGCAGTAACATAGGTGCTCAGAGGGGGCGACTGAGCATATCGCCCTAATCGCCCTTCTCGCACGCACGCAAAAGGCACACACAGCACATCACATAACCACCTTCCCTCACTTCCTCCCCTCCTCCGCCCTTCCCTCCCCACCTGTTCCCCCAAGCCCCGAAATCCTCCTCGCCACCCCTGGCAACACACCCTCCCTCTCCCTCTCCTTCTCACCCCTATTCACAACACTACCCCTCGTACTCCCCCCCGAAGCCGCATGCAACGAAGTCAACGACCCCTGTGCAGACCCGGTGGTGGATAGACTGGTCGCGGTGGTCGTCTTTTTGGCGAGGAGGGACTGGAAGAAGTTTGCTAGGACTTCGTTTTGGGAGGATAGGGGTGGGCCTCCACCTCCTGCGGTTGTGGTTGTAGATTGTGTTGTTGGGGCGCTGCTGGATGTGTTGGGGGCGACAGATGTGGAACTTGAGGCGGTGGAGAGGGCGGAGGTGGATGAGTGGGTGGCGGGCGGGCTAAGTGGGGAGGAGGTTGTTCCGCTGCGGCTGCGAGCGGCGATTTTGGCGGTGGCGGGGATAGAGAGGGAGAAGTTGTGGTCGACGGATGTCGGGGAGGGTTGGGGAGAGGTGCTTTTTGTCGTGCTCGAGTCCTGGAATGTATCCATCGAGTGTGAGTCAAAATGCAGGATGATGGCGCTGGTCCCCCAAAAGAAGAAATGTAGATTTTCAAAAAGCCGAAACCACGAAATCCTACTTACCCTCCTCGTAACCTTCGACAACCGAGCAGCCGCGTCATCTGGTGACGACGCCGCCGCAGATTTTACCTTCACCGATGCCTGCGAGTTCCCGGCGCTCGCAGTCGACGGACGAGAGGTTTTCTTCCCGTCCAGTAACGAGGTAGTGGAGCTTGACGGCGAGCGATTCGGTCCGCGAGGGGAGGATGCAGCGGTGGTTTGCAGGATCTCGAGATGCCGTTCGAGGAAGGTTTGCTCGGATTCGATCGTCATCGTGGGGTCTGCCAGTAATGACTGCGGGAATCATCGAATACACGATAAGAATAAGACAGCCAGATGAACCACGACCGAACGGAAACACAGTCTTACCTCTTGTACGGAGGGCGAAGGAATCACCGTCTCATAAATCTCTGCCGACTTGCTCGATGGAACGATATGTCCGTCGCCACTGCCCCTCGGACTAACCGCCGGACTTTCTCCCTCCGCGATCGCCGCGCAGTCAAAGCCTTCTCTCAATACCCTTATCTTCCCCCAACTATCCCAACCGCATGGTACAGCCACCGTGTCGCGATCGACCACTTGTGGCCGATGTGTGTACTGGAACACGGACGTATCAGCGACCGATGTGGGCGGTGGTCGCAACTGGTTGTTCGGTCCGGAGCTTGGCCCTGGATGGTAGAACAGACGATGGAGGATGTAGCTGCGGAGGTTGTCGAGTGTATCTGAGCGCTTTGTGGAAGTGTAAAATAAAGACGCGCCGTCTGCGAGAATCAAGATGTTACAATCGGATTGGAAATGAGATGGGCATCCACAGGCGATGATTCTGGGCGGACTCACATTTCAGAGACAGTGTCCGCAGTGTCTGCTGGATAAAGTCAAAGTGCTCCTCTTTCAATCCGCGATCGCGTTCCAGCGCGGTCGTAGCATCGGACTATGTGATTTGAAAGAAGCAAATGGTCAACTCCTGAGCCTTTTGGAACCAGTCGCATCGGCGGCTTCGCTTGCCGAGATCGTGCGCATACCTTGGCTGCCACAAATACTATTGGTATTCCGAGATTCTTCGTCAGAACCCCTTGATCCAAAGGTGTCTCGACCGGGTGTTGGGCACTGATTCTGGCAGTGGTTGATTCTCTCCCGGACAGGTCTCCGGTCGACCCTTGGACGTCCGGGGCAGGCTCTCGATATCCGCGGTAGTAAGCCTCCACTATTCACGCAAATGCATCTATTGAGAATCATGTTTCCAGTTGTCCGGCTCCAACGGCACACTTCTCACCTCGCTCTTGGAGGTGTCGCAGCCTATCTGGCTCCTTTTCTAACAATTTGTTGATGTGCCGCTCTATTACGCTGAGCCAGTTCCCCAATACGCGCACGAACGTCCAGGGCCGTGTCCAGTCCATCACAATCACCACCAAGGCATCGGCGAGATCCTCCGAACTCAATGCAAATCGCATCAGGTTCTCAAAGGCCGCATCACTGGCCAGCTGGTATATCCCCACGCGTGCAATGACGTCTAATATTGGAAAGATTAGGAAACTTGGAATAAAGCAACAAGCCGCGCCTTCGGCAAACGGACTCACCATGACACACCTTCGTTCTCCTCGTCCGTTACATCCATATAGTTGTACGAAAGGGCCAGCTCCACTGGTGCAGTGAATGTAGCCTTTTTCCGAGATGTGACCTCTTCCTCCTTGAACTGTTTGATCGCGTTGATCACGGTGGTTTTGCCAGCTTGGGCGTCGCCTTGTACATTTGTAAAAATGTGAGTTGAACATGTGAAATCTGCCTCTACTTGCGAAAAACTCATAAGCTCACCGACGACCAGCAGCTTCTTTGTTTGAGTGACTTTTGTCGTTGCGACGCTTTTGAGAATGGTGTCCCAGATGCCTTCTGTTTCTGCGGCTGCGGTTCCTTGCGCGTCAGGGTTCGTAGCGGTGTCGACGGTTTTGCCGTTTGGAAGTGGGCGACGAGGGGAGATACGGCCGCTGCTGCTGCTGGTAGGAGGGTTGATATCGGACGCCATGCTTATGCTGTGCTATTGCTGTACTATTGCGACAGTTGGGTTATTGAACAAATCTGGGGCGGACTTGTGTTGCCGTGGGAAAATGAATAGTCTCAGAGTCGAGTGATTTCGGACAAGGGGCGTCCTGCGTGAGAGTGGTGCTGCTGAGTCACGTCCTCTGTCTCGTCCTTCTTTTCCTTATCTGCGATTATGAGGGTTGGGCTGGATGATGATGATGATGATGGATTCCCTGCATTCCACGTCGACGCGTTGCAACCGCAGACTCCACACCGCAAGAGCCCCTAGAGCCCCCCCCCCCCCCATCCATCCATCCATCCATCCATCCATCCATCCATCGCTCGTCGGCATCCTACAGTCAAACTCCATCATAGGACCCACTTTTTCGTTCGGTTCGTAACAGGCACTTTGATCAACGATGGTGAGTGGGCGGATGGTTGGGCTTGGGTGTCTTTCAAACCTTACGCGTTTCGGACATGGCGGCGATGGGCGCGTCACATCGGCGATGTCTGGAATCGCCACCCGAGATAGCCAGGGCAACATTCGTGTGGGAATACCACGCTGGAGATGACTGACACCTCGGTGATGTCCAACGCCCTCCTGTCAGACGGGGCTCCAACTCGGTCGATCGCTGACTTCATACCTTCTCATGTCATTTCCTTGTAGGCTGGTAAAGCGGGCAAAGTCTCCTCCGCGCAGGCACAGGAGGATAAGGAAGGCAACAAGGGTGCCCCTTACTCTCGTGCCGCTAGGGTATGTGTCGGGAAGCGAGTCCCATCTCGACGGCATTCGTGCACTTTCCGACGGGTCTGCATTTTCCCACGAGCTTCCACCCATAACTCACGACGCGTTTCAACACTCCACAGGCCGGGCTCCAATTCCCAGTCGGACGTATCCACCGGTACCTCAAACAACGAACCCAGAACAACGTGCGCGTCGGTGCAAAGGCTGCCGTCTACTCTGCCGCCATCCTCGAATACCTCACCGCTGAAGTCCTCGAGCTCGCTGGAAACGCCTCCAAGGACCTGAAAGTGAAGCGTATCACGCCGAGGCACTTGCAGTTGGCTATCAGGGGTGACGAGGAGCTGGATGGCTTGATCAAGGCGACTATCGCGGGTGGAGGTGTCATTCCCCATATTCACGTGAGTTTACGATTGCTGCGATTTGATGGTAGCGGAGCAGCGAATGGAGGGACAAGCGAAGCGAGCAGTAAACGCGAGCGCAAGCGGACGTTCGTGGTTCTTACGCGGGCATGGCGAGCGCCTGTCTTCAACTGTGAGCGACAGCGAACGGTCGTTCTTATCACACATGGCCCAACCTCCTTGTCGCGAGCGAAGCGAGCAGGGGTATCGTTCAACCGATCACTCTACCATCCTCACCCCCATCTCTTCGCGTCATTGATTCAAAAACCCTCAGTCACTCACAACCTCAATTTTGTCCACTACCAGAAATCCCTCATCAACAAAAACACGAAAGGAGGAAAAAAGGGGGCAGAAAAAGGCACCGCTTGAAGCACACACGCGACAAAGCCTCCACCCTCCGGTGCCCCGCGGCACGTATATATGTTTTTTCCTCCCTTTCTATAGAAACGTTTCTGTCGAAACGAGTCGCGGGGAACAGATCCCTCTACCGGAAAATGGTGTGGAGAACCTTATTGAGGGGACATTGGGTGAGGGAGTACGGGGAAGGGAGTGTGTGCCCGTCCCCGTAGTGAGATATGAGTGTAAATTTTTGTCAAAATGTTGGCTTGTGGTTTTGGAAACGAGTGAAAATGAGACTCGGAAAAAGCGTCGAAAATCCAGAAACGACCCAAGCTCTTTTGGCTTTGATTCTTTTGCGCTTTGTGGAGGGCCAAACGGGTCTATATGCAATCCTATTACTTGTCTACGTGTAAAGAGCGACATATATGTACGCTCAGAGCGATCAGCTACTCTCCCTCTCCTTCCTCAATGAAAGTGACCATAGGCACACCCTCTCGCGCCTTCTTACGGCCTTTCCCGGACGACGGCGGAGGCAGCGCCGGCGCCTGCGTCTGCGGTTGCGGTTGCGGCTGCGGTTGCGGTTGTTGCACCGCCGCCGGCCCCGCGTCTGCCGTTGCTTTCCCAGTCGCCGGAGGGCTCCCACCCCTTGCTTTGTCGCCACCACCCACCGACGTCCCCGCGCCCCGAGCTGTTTTCACGCGGTACGTCTCGTACATTAGCAGCGGGTCCGTGTGGTCTAGCCTGTGCCGCGGGGATCGGTCTTGGTCTGACGTTATCGTCGCTGTTGTCGTCGTCGTTATTGCGATGCCGACATCTGTACCGCCGCTCGGCCCGAAGCCCTTACCGGACACATCCGACCGCGCACTCGCAGGCCTCGCCCCCTTCCCAGACGTATCCGACCGTCCACTAGCCGGCCTCACATTCTCCTTCCCCCTCTCCCTCTCCGCCCCCGACCTGGTTCGCACGTTCACAGGAGCAGTGGCAGCAGACGGTGTGGGAGGTCCTCTCGGCCCCATATTCAACGCCACATCATACCACACCGTCACCGCTGCCGGTAACACCACCGCGGCGGGCGCTCCCACGGCCTCGCCCCCACCGCCGGGGTTGTTGACATCCCCCATAACGCTCATCCGCCGTGGGCCGAGGAGCATCATACTCTGTCGTCGGGGGGCGTTGCTGTTCCCGGCGGTAAGCGTCATCCGCCGCCCTGTGGCCCGGGTGTCCTGCGGGACGAGGTTGGCGGAGGATTTGGCGAAGGCGCGGCGCGCGGCGTCGGTGAGGAGGGCGTGGAGGGTGTGGGTTGAGAGAGAGAGGCCGGGGGGGAGGTGGGAGAGTGCCAGGCGGGTCTGTGAGTCCGGGTCGGGGTCCGAGGGCATGACGAACGACGCGATGGAGGGGAAACAGGCGTCGAGGCGGGCGGTTGGGGTTGCGGAGGGGCGGGGGTGTGTTATGGGGTGGTCGTGCGGGGGTGATGAACCCGATCCCGTCGTGTCCTGAGTCGTCGCTGGAGTGGTTGGACTGCCAACAGTCACCTCGCTGCCCGTCCGCATCACATTCCCCGTCGACCCGCCCATCCCGTCGGTCACCGCCGTCGACACCCCCCCACCACCTCCGTCCCCCTCGGCACCCTCCCCCACTCCCCCGCTCTCCCTCTCTCTTGCATCTTTTCCCCCTTCCCCCAAATAAACAACCACATCCCCCGCCTCCACCGCCCCCCCATGCACCTGCTCACTCACAACCCTCTGCACCCTAAACACGCTCCACCCCTTCTCAACCACCACATACGCATCATGGAAGTCTTCCCAGTCGACCTGCCGGAGGCGGATCAGCGCCTGGTGGTGTGTGAGGGTGGAGTGTTGGAGGCGGCGGTGGTCGGCTGCGAGGGTGGTGAAGTGCGCGGGTGCCGGGGGTGTCCATTGGGGTGGGGTGTAGGTTGTATAGTCGAAGAAGGGGGGGAGCGGGGGGAGGGTTTTTTTCTTTTTGGACGAGGATTTGGATTTGGGCATTTTCTCTTTCGGCTTTGGGGGTTGGGGAAAGGTTCGAGAGTTGTTGGGGCCTGGCTGTTACTGAATCCACGGTGATGAGATGCGAGAGGGTTCTGAAGGGCTTGTCGCGCACGAATAGGATGGGTCTGGGACCGGCGTCCGAAAGGCTGCTCCGGCACTCCGATTAGAGATTCTCTTCATGAGCACGAGGCGCAATCCCCTCTCTCTTCTTCTCTCTTCCGAATAAATATCAAGTGCCCCGAAAAAGAATAAAGTGTGCTCAGTACAAACTCGCTGTCAAAAGCCACACACCGCGCTGTCGATTTTCGTCGCTCCCATTCCGCTAACCAAAGATAGGGTCTTTGGGCATGTTCGTTAGACTTCCGGGGCGTAGCATCGCACTTTTTCTGCTTTCTATACCGTTTTGAAAAGCTTGCTTTTCTGGGCGACACGTCTTCAAAGACACCCGTTCGACAACTTATCCTCCTGGCGCGGGGCGTGCGAGCGGATTGAGGCTCTATCTCCAGCCCGGTTCGTTGCGCACAAAAGGCCGCTTTTCTCACTGCCACACATCACGACGTTTCCTACCCACCACACATCACATCACATCCCCCACCTCCGCACCCTAAGAAAAATGACCATCATCCTCAGCACGATCACCGCCATCAGCGTGTCGCACACGATGATCCACCTCAACTCCCTCCTCTTCGCCTCCGCGCTCGCGCCGCACCTCCGCATCCCGCTGATCACCATGTGCATCTCGCACCTGATCCAGCGCACGACGATGGTGTTCTACCTGGACGCGTCGCTCTCGCGCAACTGTACGGCGCTCATCGTCCTCGGCAACCTGTTCGGGATCCTCACGTTCCGGTACATGCTGATCCACCTGCTGGGTGGGCTGTACCGGGCGATGCGGAAGGGGGACGCGGTGGGGAAGTGGGTGACGGGGGTCAGCACGGGGCTGTGGGGGGCGAGCAGCACGGCGTTCATGGAGCATATGATCACGGCGCCGGTGGTGGATCCGGGGACGTGTGGGCAGCAGCTGAATGCGTGGAAGACGGCGGTGTACAACGTGTTGTTTTTGTTGAGCTTTTTGAGCGTCGCAGGCCCGACCATCGCGTGCTTGGGATGGCATCTGAGGCTCGCGAGGAGTACGAGGAGTAAGGGGTTGGCGACCACGAGGGAGCGCGCCGCAGAGTACGTGCCTGCCCCCGGCGGCGCGGGGGCGGCGTCCACCACCCCCACGACCCCAAGGCTCCCTGCCAACACGAGCATCGACGCAATCGACGCGGTGTACTACCGGCAGCTTGTCTTCATGCTGGTGTTCTCGACCAGCTACGTGATCCTGTGCGCGCTGCAGTGGGTGATTACCGAGTGGGGGTGGCTGATGTTTACGTTTATTTTGGAGGATTATTGCTGGTTGCAGGGGATTCAGCTGTGGACGATTCCGTTGCAGACCCAGATGCAGCAGGCGCTGGGGTCCGGGGCGAGGACGACGAGGGAGGGAGGCATGGAAGGGGGATATTCGGGGGGGAATGTGCATAGGCATGGATCGTTGAGATCAGGGGCCGAGACGAATAGGTCAACCTCGTTCGTGGCGTGAGAGAAACGGGGTTGTTTGGGGGATGATCACCCTTACGACAACGGGAGAAGAACCTCACTCATCGCCTTTCGTGCCGGGGCCAAGCGAAACGAAAACGAAAAACGCCGGCCACCATACTACCAATGCATACCGCCATCGACGATGTGCCTCCTGCGTGCGGAGTTTCATATCCACCACCCTACGACCGGGACCGGTAATCCCTCCATCGCTCACACCTCGCGCGCCGGTGTCACTTCTGGAGCGCCGGAACACAGTAATAGAATCGACTAGCACGAATACTCCTCTGCCTTAATATACCCATTCGTAGTCGTAATAACCACCACCTTCGTGGATCTAGAAGCAAGAACAAAAATTGTCCACAGGATCGCTAGAAGGAGTTATCCGACACTCTAAATAAAACCGGTCCATGTGGGGTGTATGGAACCAGAACCACCTGTTCGTATTCGTTAGAGACAGAAAACCAGATATTCATTCATTTCATTCTTACAAAATGGGGGTCCCCCGATGCCCTTGACTCTACGGGGTGTGCGAGGGGGGAGTGGTATCCACCCCGCTCCCCTTTCCGTCACCTGTCCGAGAGACTAGACTAGATCTAGTAGTGTCTGGCTGCTCGGGCGTCCATTCACCCAGACCAGCCGAGTGGGTGATTTTTCTCAGAATCAGGCAGAAGGTCTGTGGGAAAAAGTTTTGCCACCCGCAAAGTTCTCTTCTGCTTCCCGGGAATGCAACAGCCAACCGAGGGCGGGTGGTTGGGGGGGTGGAGGCTTCTCAGTAATTCTCCTTCGCCTCCTTCGCCAACACCTCCCCCTCCCTCTTGATAACGCCCATATGCAGCACACGGTCGCCCGCCATCGCGACCGGGTTCGAGCTTCTTCCAATCGTCTACGAAAAAAATTTCCACAAATCCCATGTTAATCACGGGCTAGCCAAAAACACCAAAAAAAAAAACAAGATCAAATCAGAGGGCGGATACAAGACACTTACGACACCGGTCCCGGGAGCAAACACCTCATCCACAATGTTCCCGAAAATATTCTTGATCCTTGCCACCAGGTCCCCCTTCTTCACCACACTGTTCACGCCCGGATACACTTCCAGCACCCCGCCCGTGCGCGTATAGATCCAATACCCCTTTGAACACAAAATGGTACTGGATGGCGGTAGGGCGTCGGGGATATGGGTTATTGGGACAGTGGGGGTGAACATGGAGAGCCAGGAGAGGATACGCATGACGCCTTGGTAGGACCATTGGACGAATTGGTTTTGGAAGAGTTGGGGGTTGCCGATTTCGACGGTTATGGAGGCGATGGAGAGGGACATTGCTGCGGAGCGGAGGGCGCCTGTGTGGTCGAGAGGGAGATGAGGGTTTGGTTTTGTACTTTGAGTCCAATGCGGTACTGATGGGACAGACACGGTCTCCCCTCTCACAGAGACCCAACACTCACCGTCCTGCCCACTATTATGCAAAATAATCTGCGGCTGCTGCAACTTTGCCATACTCGCACTCCTGGCATCGTTCATATCACACCGGACATAATAACTATTCACCCGCCCAAAAGATGCCGTATGCAGGTCAATCAGGTAATCAAACTTCCTCACCACCTTCTGCATCAAGTTATACGCGTATATCTGGGATGAGGTTCCCGTGGGTGAGCCGGGGAAGAGGCGGTTGAGGTCTTTGCCGTCGGAGAATTCGCGCGTGTAGCGGAGGTAGCCGGGGACGTTGACGCAGGGGACGGCGACGACGGTGCCGCGGAGGAAGGAGACATCAATGTCGGAGATGACGCGGTGGATGCATGGGACGCCGTTGAGTTCGTTGCCGTGGACTACGGCTGTTATCCCGACCTAATAAGAAATATGGCGCGGTTGACGTGAATAAATGCTTATTGTTGTGTTTTAAAAGGAAATTCTCGTGGTAGAGTCCATACCACGGGTCCTTCCTCTTTGCCCCTTGCGACGATAACCGGTATCCGCAACCACTCGCTCAACCCCTGCTTAACCATGTTAATCCACACGGTACTGATCGCGCCCACAGGAAACTCCTCAATATCCAGCTTATCCCTCACAACCGCAGGCGGGACCTCGCTCTCATTCTGGAAGCGCGACGAAAACACGGGCGGTTTGTAATGCCTCGCCGAGTCCCAGTTGCGTATCGGCATCTCGGAGGGGGAGGTGGGGTTCGTGGGTAATTGCGGGGTGGCGGAGGGGTCGGAGTAGACGGGGATCGGTTGGTCGTCGTATACGATGATAGACCCTGTACGGCCGCGCGGACGGACGGGTCCGAGGTCCGCGAGGGAGGACTCGCGGCGTTGGCGTTGAATGTGGTTGATTTGGATGATGAGGACGCTGGCGTCTTGGTGGTCTGTTTCTTTGGGGAAGTCGGTGCCGTCGAGTTGGACGGGTTTCATGGTGAGGTCGGTTGGGCTGGCGTCGTCTTCGCGGTGGCATATGAGGGTTTGGCCGGTTTTGACGACGTAGGGCTTGTCGCTGCCTTCGACGTTTACTTTGACGGTTCCGGTTACGACGTAAAGGATTGATGTGTTGCCCAGGAGCATTTTACTGCTGGACTGTGGCCCGGATGACCCGTTGGGCTTCGAAGGTTGCCGACCCACAGCGGACGTATCATCATCTATCGGCTCCGGGGAAGCTGAGCGTGGAGCCCCACTCCCATTGATTTCATGTTCCGCACCACATTCGCCATCCGAGTGTAAACCATGCAAGCAAATGTTTTCCAGCGTTGCCGAGACGCGTGTGCGATCGCGATTAGCGATGAAAGTAAGATGGCGGACGGGCGATGTCCTCAAACGGCAGGTTGTAGGCCATTCCCCGCTATAAGTGTATGGCTGAAGCGGGCGCAACGGCACCGCCGTCGCCTGGTCGTTGTGATGGAGGGCTACCGGGGATGTGACGGAGTTCCTACGCGCGCTGGGAGCAGGCTTATCGGTGGGCAGCAGCAACAACGCGATATCGTAGCCCGGGTAGACTGAGAGCGAGCAGGAATCCCTGACCTCGGACAGCTGGAGCCGCCATAGGAAATCATCGGCTTCAAAGTCTGCGGTCGGTGGGCTTATGGCTATCTGATGCGTTTCTCCCAGCCCGTTCTTCCACGGGCTACGAACGTAGTTCGCGTCGTCTAACAAGTTTACCGTGGGGTTTGCCGCAGCAGGCTCGCCGACCACGGACTCGTCTTTGAGGTCGGGAAAGTAAGACATGGACGCTTTCTTTCGACTGGGAAGGGAATTGAGTTATGACAGGTTCGATCCCTGCCTTCGTACGATGACCAAGTTCTCCCAGATGCCGCGTGGGAATCGCGCGATCTTGGGACTGGATGGGTGAAATCAAACAAGGACGACGGACGCTACGGTGGCGGTAGGAAAGAGCCAGCCGCTCACTGCGTGGGGTTTCTGAGATGAGACTTAAAGGTCGTATGCAATGCAGAATGGCTGCACCCGATGGCGGAAGCTTTCGAAGGAAGCTCTGTGGGAAATGGCCTGTCAACCAGCCAGAGACTTTACCAAGGAGTAGCGATTGCAGTGATTCTATAGTAATAATTAGCGGACCGATTAGATCCAGCCAGCCAGTCAGCGATGTGCGCCGTTCGTTCCCCTTTCTCATCAAGCGTCACGCGACGAAGGAGTCGGTGCCTCAAGCAAGCCACAGTGGCGCTGGCGAGGCGTTAAATCCAACGCAGTGCGTGACCGCGCACGTGAGGCCATGCATGCCCGGTTGCCGCGCCCCTCATCCCATTCCCGGGGGGCCTGTGTGGGTGGGTGGGTGATGAACAAGGCGGGCTATACGCTGGCTGGCGGTTGGTTGGTCGACTTGTCACTACTGCTGCATGCACCGCTCACAATACAGGACAGTACGGCCACCCACTGACTGAGTTATCGCTGGAACCTGCCCGCTAGCGCCCCCCCCCGGAGCCATTGGCTGCTGATCACCCCCTACGTGTGGGCCGCCGCATACCTATCGTCTCCAACGGAACGCCCCCACCCCCCCCCCCCCCCCCCCTCCGCCGCTTGTCGCAAATCTCCAGCCGCTGCACGCTTTTCGAGTCCGGGTCCGGAAACACCATCTTGAACACTACGGACATTACCCTAGAGCGACATCCGATACACGGACTCACATACACACACCCCGACCCTCCCAATCAGGTCTTGGCGCTCGTCTGAACCTCAGCAAGCGTCTCTATCTAGTCCGCATATACCGCTCTGCATATCGCCGCTCCCTCCTCACTATACCGCAGAGTCGGCATTTTAGATAGCTACAACCAACCACCACAAAGTATAATCCACCGAATATGTGCCCACCACCAGAAGCAGCGACGGCACCGCCACCACCGGCACCAACAGCACCTGCAGTCGCTCAACACGGCGGCGTAGAGTCCAGTAGGGAACAACTGCCTTCCTCGCAGAGTAAATGTAGTCACTGTGGTCTGCAGATTGACGGGCAGTTTGTGAGGGCTCTCAATGGACACTATCACTTGGATTGTTTTAGGTGTCAGGTGAGGCCAGGATTGGGAAGAGGGGTGGGAGTGGGAGCGTTAGCGAGCTCGGCCGGAGCAAACGATTTCGCGAGCGAGAGGGAGCACGAGCGGAGCGAATCCCAGTTGCGCCAAAGGCGCAATCCTCCCCTCACCGCGGTTCTTGGCGAGCACCGGCGAGCAGCTCCGCCCACTGCATAACTCGATGCCGCTCGTAGACACATGAAGGGAGGATAGAGGATAGAGGGATGGAGGATAGAGGATGGAGGATGGAGGATGTCGACGGAGGTTGGATGTATTTTGGTGGATGTCGATGGAGGTTGGATGAACGATGGATGATGGCAACACATTGAACCCAAAGTTATGACACCCACTTACTCAAACACATCGCTTGATGTAGGACTGCGACCAAGTAGTAGCAGAAAAGTTCTTCCCACTTACAGGCGCAGACGGACAACGGCAATTCTTCTGCGAAAAGGACTACTTCCGGCGACTAGACCTCCTCTGCGCGAAATGCGGAGGCGCACTCCGCGGCGCACACATCGACGCACTAGGGAAGAAATACCACCTGGAGCATTTCACGTGTTCCGTGTGCCCCACCGTGTTTCGACAGCACGACTCGTATTATGAGCAGGAAGGGAACGTGTATTGCCAGACGCACTACTCGTATCTGTTTGCGGTCAAGTGCGGGGGGTGTAAGACGGCGGTTTTGAAGAGTTTTGTGGAGACGAATAAGGGGACGTGGACGGAAAAGTGGCATCCGGAATGCTACATGATCTATAAGGTTCGTTAGGGGTTGGGTATGAACTAGTGTAAAGGGGATAACGCTGACTTCCGCTCAATCATACAACAGTTATGGAACGTTACGGTCAACCCATCAACAGAACCCACGCCGAAACTCCCTGGACCGAACGACAAAGGTAAATGAATAGAGCTTCCATAACACCTCTCTGGGAACAATTCCTCACATCCCTCCTCTCTCCACAGCCGACCTCGAAGCCAACCAAGCAATAGCCGACAAAGCTGGCCGCATCCTCCACGTTCTCTCCGCCTTCGAAGAGCTCTCCGCCGAATGCATCTCCGACATGCTCATCCACCTCTCCCACGAAAAGCGCGAAGAAGGCCTGATCCAAGGCACCCACTTTGTCTCTCACATTGCGGCCCTCTTCTCCGTCCTCGACGACATTGAAGCCAAACTCACCTCCCTGGGCGATACCACCGGCCTGCAACACTCGAAGGAGCCGAAGCAGCTGACAAAGAAGATTGTGCATTTCTTTTCGTTGTTGAGTTATGTGCAGGAGAATGCGGAGACGAGGCAGGAGGCGACCAAGGAGATGATTTCGCTTGTGACGAGTTTGGCGCATACGTTGAAGATACTTATTAGGTCGGCGTTGACGGGGGCGTTGAAGCTGGTACGTTCAGTCAGCCGGAGGGGATACCTACGTTCGCCTCGAATGGTTTAGGCATTGTCAACTAATCACTATGAATTAGGAACGAGACCACGCCGTCAAAACTGCCGTTTCAGACTTCCTCGACCGCCTCGCCTCCTCCTCCCAAACCCCCTTCACTACGGCACCCCAACACGTCCTCGACGATTGCGGGCCCGACCCAAACCCGGACCTCTGCGCCTCCTGCAACCAGCCCATCGAAGAAGAATGCTTCCGCCTTAAATTCGATCGGTGGCATGTACCGTGTTTCCGATGCGCAGTCTGTGATGTGGATTTGAGAGGGGCGTTTAGAGGAGCGGCGGTGGATGGGAGCAGTAGGAAGGTGGTTTGTGAACTGCATGCGAAGGGGAGGGAGCGCCCGGAGGTGGGGTTCGAGAGGGTGACACAGTTGGATCAGTATATTTTTCTGTTGAGGTGTGCGTTGAAGAGGTTGTGTGCGCTGATGGATATCCAATGTAAGTGTACGGTTGGACTGACTTTGGCACGTGACTCGAGAGCTGACGATCCGATTGTTCATCCCACAGTGGAGTCCCTCGGCAAAAACCCCAACCGCACCTCCCGTCTCTCCAGCGACGAAGACACGCCCGCCGACGAAGCAAACACTCGGGACTCAGTCCCCTCCTCCGACATCCGCCGCACAACATCCTCCCGCGGCTCCTCCCGCGACCGTATCTCCAAATCCGACGACGAAAGCCTGGCTGGTCCAGGCGTACCAATCCCTTCAAAGTCACAATCATCAGCAGCAGCAGCCTTCTCCCACTCCCCCCTCTCAGCCTCCACCCCTTTGGACACAACCTCGACCCTCACCCAAACGCCCATAACCCACGCCCCCTCCCTCGCCCCAAAACAAAAGAAAAAACACCCCATAGCCCCTCGCGATCCCGCCACCGACTTACCCTCGCTACTGGACCTCTCAGGCCTAGACCACTGGGCCGTCCGCCAACTTGCGGCGCAGGCGCTGCATCCACTTGTCGCGGACCAGTTTACGTTGGGGGAGTTGATGGATGTGGCGTGTAGTAGGAAACAGAGTGTGTGGGGGAGGATGGTGGATGCTATTCGGAAGCCGGGGAGGTCGAAAGGTGCGTTTTATGCGTTCGGCGAGGTTGCGAGCCGGGGGTTTGGTATGAATGGGAAAGGGTGGTGGGATGAGATATTGACGGTTTCGTTTTTTTTTTGTTTTTGCAGAGGGGACGTTTGGAGTGCCGTTGGAAGCGCTTGTGGAGAAGTATGGAGTGGATACGGAGCTCGGGCCGAGGCCAGGTCAGCTGCATATCCCGATTTTGGTGGATTCGTGTATAAGGGCATTACATACCATGGGTAAGTACAATGTCCGGGATCGAACCCGGTGTCTCATCAGACCCCTCGTCACAAAACAATCACTAAATCCACGTATCACGGCCCCCCTCAGACCTCAGCGTAGAAGGCATCTTCCGCAAAAACGGCAACATCCGCAACCTCAAGACCATCTCCGACGAGATCGACCGCGACCCCCGGACGATCGATCTCACGGGCAACCACGCCGTGCAGGTCGCGGCGCTGCTCAAGAAGTTTTTGCGGGATATGCCCGAACCGCTGCTGACGTGGAAATTGCATAAGCTGTTCATTGCTACGCAGAGTACGTCTGGCCAGGGTTGTGAAAGATTGTTTGAGGGAGGGATTGGGATTGATTATGAATGGTTTTTTTTTGTAGAGATGGCGATTCCGGCCCGCAGGAAGGAAGCCCTCCACTACGTCTGCTGCATGCTCCCCAAACCCAACCTCGACGTTCTCTCCGTCCTCGCCTACTTCCTCCGCGAAGTCGCCGAGCTCTGCGAGGTCGAGGCGCCCCTCTCCCAAGGGGTCTCCCAATCTTCCCAACAGACGCCGTCCTCCCAACACCATCCGGAATCCAACACCGACACGGACGTCCCACCACATACAGACACGACAACGACCACGACGATAACCCCGACATCGACGGTGGTTGTGGGAGGCAACAAGATGGGCCTGGATAACCTAGCGACGGTGATTACGCCGAATCTGCTGTATTCGAAGAGCAAGAACGCGGTGGACGATGAGAATATACTCGCTGTGGAGGCGTTTAGGATGATCCTGGTGTTTCAGGATGAGTTGTGGTTGGTGAGTTTGTAAACCCCTCGCACTTTTTTTACACACTGCCCATATTTGTTTTCTATTTGGGGTTGATGATTGACGTTTTCTTTTGTGTTGTGTCCGCCCGGTTTTTCTTTTTTGGTTTAGCTCCCACCAAGCATGGTAGAACGCCTCAAATCCGACACGACCATCTCCGACCGCTTGGGACGGTCTGATAACCACCACCACCCTAACCACCACCAGGGGTTCAATAGCTCAGGGCAGAGTATAAATGGGGGGAGGGAGGGGAGGGAGGTGCGCGACGGGTTGGGTGAGGGGAAGGCGCAGATGGTGGGCGTGGGGCATCAGAGGGGGGGTGGTTCGGTAAGTCCAAACAAAAAAATTCTCCCATTGGGTATGTGCGGTGTGATTTACGGGGCGCGTTTTTTTTTTGGGCGGGGTTTTTATAGCAACTAGGCCGAACCCGCAATGTCGTCGTCACACCCACCGAAGTGCAGCAGGGCGGGGTGGCCAGGATCGAGACCGCTGGTGGTGGGGCCAGTCGGTAGCCCCCGGTTCGAGATCTCCAGAAACAACACAGGAACGGGACAAGTTGACCTCATTTTGCCACACACATAACACACACACACGCACACACACACACACACAGCACGCCGCGCGCAACCCAAACACATACACCCAAACGATGCGCCCCCAATAGTGTGTCTTTTTGACCTCTTCAGCGGGAGACCCCACACACACGCACGACACACCTCACTGCTACGGCCTCCCCAGCATCCCCATCCCGCAAAGGAAATACAGTACTTCTTACACCCCCCCTTCTTTTTTTTTTGCTTCGCCCCCCCCGTTTTTGTTTTGATTGATTGGCCTTTTTTGTTTGTTATACACACTGCATTTGCGTGGCTTATTAGGGCGGTTGGGGCGTTCGTTTCAATATTGATTATTGATGGGTTGTGATGCTCCTTTTTTTTGTGTGGCCTTGCGCTTGATAGTTCCCCGATTTCTTGGATAGTTCCCGATTCCCACGCGCGTACACCCGTCTTCTCGTTCTTTCCAATCGCTACGCGTCGCGGTTCCCGAGCTTACGTTGACATTTGCAAGATCGGCCCTTCCCGACCCCCCTTGAAAGCTCCTGCCTGGAAAAACCCTCAGCGGCAACTGCATGACGGCGCATTTCTCCCCTGTTGAAAACCGAGGGATATTCGAGGGGTTGCATAACCCACATTTGGGGGGAAAAAAGATGCAAGTATGAAATATATACGAGAACGGGGGGGCTATCTATCCCTTAAGCACCTCACAAATACTCCCTAATCCGATCCATAACCGACGCACTCTCCTCCCTCTCCATATGCCTCAACAGCTCCAGAAACGCGGCGCGGTCCACGATCGCCAGCCACCCCTGTACAATCATCTTGCCGTTCACTCCCTGCTGGGATGCGGCTGTGCGGATCTGTTGCGCGGTGGGGAAGGTGGTGAGGAGGAGGGTTGCCAGGGCGTCGGTTGTGGAGGGGGAGGCTAGGGGGGGAGGGGAGGTGATGGGAAAACAGTGAGTTGGGGGATGCGGACCGAGGTAAAAGGGTGGAACGAGGAGGCTTACCGGCGATGTCGATCGTAGCGAGAACCCTGCAAATCTCATCAATCTCCTGCTGCCGACCCCGCTTCTCGGCGATGATCAGTTTCCACAGGAACGTGTTTGTGATCTCGTCCCATTCTGACACAGAGTGGCCTAACGCAGAGAATAGTTCGATGAGACAACGCGCGCAATCAGATATTTCGGTTCAGGTTCTGCCTCCATGAGGGCGATACATACGAAACAACTCGGTAAGATCGGCCGTCCCAAACAGTAGAAACTCTCGCTTGAACAAGGCATCACAGAGGTCCCGTGCCTACATGAACCAAAAAAGGTCAGTCAATTTCCACCATCCAAACCACCCAAACACTACCCCCACGACCCCCACTACCCACAATCGCAAAATCCATCAACCCCAGCACCAACCCCATCAACGCCTTATTCCCGTGACACTCCTTCGCAAACACTCTACAAGCATTTCTCAGCAGCGTCGCGTAGAACTCGTCTGTCTTCTCCTCGTGGAGGACCTGAAGGTCCTGCAGGAGCTGCTCGGCGAAGGGTGTTTGGAGGTGGGTGGCGAGGGCGCGGTAGAAGGTCTGATACGGGGGTGTGAAGGACCTAAACGAACCATCAGAAAGACAATCGCAAAACCTTTTGCGTTGGGGAGTTGAGGGGGACTTACGATAACACTTGAGCACACAAAACCGCACTACTCTCCGTATGCTTCCACGGCATCTGCATCAGATTCAACAACTGATCTTTCGCCGTCGCCGACGTGGAGTGCGTGTACACGTGCACGATATGCTCCAGCAGCGCTGATGTCCTGATCGGCAAGAGCGCATCCGTGCATGCGCGGGTGGCTAGACCTGGCTGTTTTTCCGGTGTGAGTATATTGTGTTGTTTGATGGAATGACGGGAAGAGGGGGACGTTACACTCTCGGCAAACATCTCGACAATGGCGCGATAAACCGGGGATGCGATGTGGGACGGGGCGGAATTGGCTTTTGTGATGAGTTGGAGGAAATGGTCTTGTGGTGTTATGTCTTATTTGGGAGAGTTAGTTTCCGTGAGCGGTTTGAGGACCTGCACCGACCCACGCGCTTACCTGATTTGGGAGCACTCGGTGGCGCGGGTACTGGTGGCTTCGTCGGCGGCTTGTTGTGTGGAGAGAGAGAGAAGGTGAGCAACCCAGACGGGTAAAATCGATTCTCGCAGTGCCTTTACCTGCGGGGGTTCTTGGACAGCAACCGTAACAGCTCTCGACGGCCCAATTGTCGTTCGCTCCTCCACCCCCGCAAGCCTCGGAAACAAACTCTTCCACTGCCGGACCGTCACCTCGTCCCATCCGTTAATCTCATGTAGTCGTTTCAGTGATCTACCCTTTCACACGTCAGTCTCGCCCTCGCAACACAATCAAAATCAAAGAGCAGAGATGTATAACTTACGGGGTAACCTTATGTAGCAACAACAACCCCATCGCAGCATTCATATTCTCCCTCATCTCCACCGCATAGGGGGGTAGCCAGCGGTCGACCATGATTGATAAAAACTCGATCAGGTCGGCAGCGATGGTGCGGTCGCCGGAGGCTTGGGCGCCCTTTTCTATTAGTAGCATGCCGGGTTCTAATGAGGTGGGAATGTGGGTGAGATGCGGAGTTTGTGAGGGAGGAGGGGGGTTGAGGACGGTACCTATGTACATGATGTTGTCGCCTGCGGTCCAGCAGAGCCAATCGAAGAAGAGGGTGAGTTTTGCGTCTTGGAGTGCGACGGGGTCCTAACAAACGCCAGCCGACATCAGAATTTCTCAGGTGACATACTCATTGTACATCTGCATGAACACATACCCTGATTTGTCCCAACAAAAACAGCACAACCTCCCATCTCTGCACGATATTCGAGTCCAGGATATGGTTCGGTGGCTGTATGCTCGCGCATATGAACCGGATGACGTCTGCGAATATCAGTTCGCCTGATTCCGTTTGCGGTGCTGCCCCGGAGAGGAGGGTGGTGCGGAAGTTGCTGAGTGCTGTTTTTCGGACGGATGATTTTACCTGTGGGGATGACTTACAGGTGAGCAGATGAAACACTTGGTATATACGAAACCGAAGTGCTAATACATACTCGGTCTAATATGAACCGCATCTTGATATCCATCTCAGGCGTCACTCGTTGCGCAATCACAAACGGCGGGGTTTGGGTCGCTAATATCTGCCTCACTGATAAAGACCGTCAGAGACACCGTTTTACACCAAGGGACCCACCGCTGCGAAGTAACTTACCATCCAGAACCGGGTCAAGCTGCCTCGGTGCGTTGAACATATCGTTCACGATACCATCAATCTGCGGAATCTGCGATACCGCGACAATAACCCGTAACAGGTCTCTTCCTATCCGTGCACAATCTCTGAACTGCAAAACAGTAAGCCCATCGCTAGATGATTTCTTCTACGTGTTGAGAGATGCAAACCTACGCGATTCCGAAGCATCAGGCATACATAATCCACTTCCAGTTGGCGGAGGGTGGTTTCCTTGCTGTGGTCGGCGATCAGGCGGAGGAAGGAGAAGACTGAGACGGGGATCAGGTCGGAGTTGGGGGGGATGCGTTGCCTGTGGGTTTTACATTTAGTGAGGCTTTGGGATATAATAGGTGGGTATGTATATCCGTACCAGTGCTTTCCGAGGATTGTGATGATGGATTTTGCTAGGGCGATGTTTTCTGGACTATAATCGCTGCCTGTTCAAACGACTTAGCTGCTGCATGCTTGACGGATGCCCGTGCGAGGTCATCCATTACCTTTGATCTGCCGTATCAGTGCAATTAAAAGGGATTGCAGGCTTTCGACATGCACCTCGGCGATGTGGGATACAATATCCATGATCTACGGAAGATCTTGGGTCAGTGTCAGACCTCGCTCATTCGAGTGAGAAGGGAAAGACGGGCAACCCCACCTTTGCCCTTGCATATGGCCGCAATCTCCGGAACGGGCGACACCGCACCAAATCCGCATCATCGACAAGACTGTGCAGCTTGCTAATGACGTGCCGGAAATGGTCCGTGACCACCAACCCCAGCAGTTTCAGGTACTAAAAGAACAATAACAATATTCAGGAGGGAAGCTCGTCCGCACAACATCGTGAATCAAATGGACATACTCTCTGCGATTGCGCATCGGTAAGAATACTGTACAGAAGCCCATTATACACTTTTTCTGCGTTATCTCCTATCTGCAAACGTGTATATGTGTGAACCCTACGTCCTTCATCGGTCTCTATAGAATAAAGCACATCTACGCTTACTCGTTCATGGAGTAATCCCATGAAGTCCCCATCACTTCGATTACTCCGCAGGTGCTTTGTGAAGTCGTAGCCTATCAACAACTCCTTCAAGTTCGTAGCCCAGCTCTGTTTAGTTGATAGTCTGATGCTTGATGCCTGGTTTTTGGTTTGAAGGGAGTACCTTTTCCCGGGGATCTTGCCTGTCTATAGTCTCGTCAAGATCGAAGAGGCCGTACGAGGCGGTCATCCCTCTGGTACTCGAGCCGAGCGACGTGTTGTCTACACCCTTCCAGGAGACGGGACTGTTCCAACGAGAACTGCTCTGCTGTTGCCTTTCTGTATTCGTGAGAACCGCTTCCCCCCCCTTCGTCCTGTTCAGCTTCCCTCCGCTTTCCAATTCGCAGCCTTCTCCGAGTGAGTGAGTGTCCGCGACCCGCTGTGATGCGGCAAGACTATGACCCTGTACAAGTGAAAATCGCAAGCCCTTCTTCGTAGGAGCAGGACTGTTGCGGGATCTTGTACAGTATTTGGGTGTGTTGTTAGGGGCCGAGGGAATAGTTGTGCCCGAGCGAGCGAACAAGTGCAAGGACGGATGCGAAGGGTTGAAGACTTGCAAGTTGCACCGCGCGCGAGTTCTCCAGTTCCGCCTTGTCTCTCTCTCTCTAAAGTCTCTCTCGAGTCTCTCTCCCTTGCGGCTTTCGGCTTTCGGACAAGACAGACAAGACACGCCGCGCCAAGCGAAGGCAGAAGCGAAGGGCCTCCGACCGACCGCACGCCGCAATCCACAACTTTTTACCCCACTGCCTTTCGACCCTGCTTTCGAACCAAGCACTTTCCAGTGCTTCGACCTCCCCTTGTCCTATACAGAAACAACAACAACAACAATGAAAAGGTTCTTCGACAAAATCCTCCACCCCCGCCAGCAAGGTGACCCCTCCTCCCGCGTCGTCGTACCCCCCACCGGCGGCAGCCGCTACAGTTCCACCTACGAGGCGCAATTCTTCACCGGGAAGCAGTTGGGGGTGGGCACGTTTGGTGGGTACCTGCGAACTTATGGAAAAGACAGTTTACACACCGCTAAGCGGCATCGTTGGTTTGTTTTAGCTATTGTGAAAGAATGCACGCGGAAAGCGGACTCGAAGAAGTTTGCTGCAAAGATAATTGACAAAGCTCAACTCAAAGGTGCGTCCGCGATATATACAGTCTATACACAATAAGCAACATGTAGAACGCAGGTATTGAACTTCCACGGTATGCATATCCGCAGACCAACTCCACCTCCTTCGCGGCGAAATCGACGTCCTCCGCAAAGTGCACCACACCCACATCATCAGTCTCGAAGAATGTTTCGAGACCCGCACACATGTCTACCTCATAACGGAGCTGGCTTCCGGTGGGGAGCTGTTTGATCGGATATTGCAGAGAGGGTCGTATACGGAGAAAGATGCCGCCGTGCTGGTTAGGCAGCTGTTGACTGCTATTGAGTATTTGCATGATATGGGTGAGTGCCGAGAGCGATAGCGAGCGAAGCGATTGGCGCCGCAGGCGCAACCACCTGTGAGCGACAGCGAACGGTCGGTTTTTCTGGCTTTTTCCTGATCATCGGTGTTCGATGGTTGCTGGTTGATGGGCTAGGGTTACGTGCTTGATGGTTGATTGCTGCTGATAGATGGCTGATGGCTGACGGTCGCTCTTATTGGTTTAAGACATCGTGCACAGAGACCTCAAACCCGAAAACCTTCTCTTCCGTGACTCCTCCGAAAACGCCGACCTCATGGTAACCGATTTCGGCCTATCTCGAATGGTGCAGGAAGGCGCGTTCCTCCAAACCGCCTGCGGGACACCACACTACGTCGCGCCGGAGATATTGAAGCAGAAGGGGCATGGCAAGGGGGTTGATATGTGGGCCATTGGTGTTAGTAGGTGTTAAATGTTCTTTCTTGTGTTCTGGATGATTTGATGAGAGGTGTTGATTATGGGGTGTTTTTTTAGTTGCGTATGTGATCATGTGTGGGTATACACCCTTCTGGGCGGGCCAAAACGAATCCCACGCGCAGCTCTTTCACGCGATTTTGACCTGCGATTATCAGTTTGACGAGGAATATTGGTGCGAGGTTTCTCAGCCAGGTGAGGGAGGGCATCTCATCCTTTCTTATCATCGCATACCGCGCTCACCCCTCTAACCGAAAAAATCGATGTTTCCAGCAAAAGACTTCATATCCTCCCTCCTAGTAGTCGACCCCACCCGCCGCGCCACCGTAAAGCAGGCCCTCGCGCACCCGTGGCTCTCCACCGACTCACAGGTGGACCTGATGCCGAACGTGAAGAAGAATTTCAATGCGCGGCGCACATTCAAGCGTGGTATGGGTTATCATAACCTCCCCTGTTATCTACCCCGGGAGGTCTCGTACTGACCCATTCCATCGTGTCGGCTTTTTTTTTCTCTCAGCCGTGATTGCGATAAACTCGATCAATCGAGCCGCTAAAGCTGCGAAGGACATGTCAAGTTCGTTGAACCGGACGGATTCGACGACGGAGGCGTTGGAGAAGTTGGCGGCGATGCCGAGGGTCGAGGTGCCGGTCCCCACGGATCCGACTGTGGAAGGCGGGGAGGGGGAGGAGGCTGTACCGTTGGGGGGTGCGAATCCTCCGCAGTGATTGGGGTGTATCGGTTACCGGGCAAATGAAAAGTAAGGCGGGGGAGCTGGATTCTCCCCACCTTGCGACCCGCACCGAACGATCGCATGATAGAATCGGCGTATATTAGAGGTTAGTTCTGTAGCAGTGTCCCACAGACACATCTCCGGATATCATCTACATAATGTATATAGCACAAACAGGTACTTAGGAAAAAAGCACTCCTATTTCAAATCCCAAAAAACCTCTCAGCATTCTCCGTAGTCCTCCTAGCAACCTCCGCCCCCTCGCACCCATAACACTCCGCGACCTTCTTGACAACCCACCCCAACAACCCCGGCTCATTCTGCTTCACCTTCCGCCCCACCACATTCCGCGGCAGAAGGTACGGCGCGTCCGTCTCGACCATCAACTGCCCCATCGGGATCTTGTGGATGATCTCGGCCAGTTTCAGTCCGCGTCGCTCGTCGCATACCCAGCCCGTGATACCGATGTAGTACCCTGCGTCGATGTATGCTTGGAGATGGGAGGCGTCGTCGTCGGTGTAGCAGTGCACGCAGGCGCGGACGGAGGGGTATTTCCTCAGTAACCTCAAAAAATCGTCGTGCGCGTCACGGTTGTGTAGGAACACGGGCAGGGCGAGTTTCTGCGCGAGGTGCAGCTGGGCTTCAAAGACGGTGAGTTGGTCGGCGGGGGTGGAGAAGTTGCGGTCGTAGTCGAGGCCGCATTCGCCTACTGCTTTGATGTGGGGTTTGTTTTCCGTGATCAGTGTCTCGAGTTGGGTTATCCACCCGGGCCCGGATTTGATGGTGTGCGATGCGTCGTGGGGGTGTACGCCCGCCGTTGCGTACAGTTTCACTCCATGGATGTTATCTCCCTGCGCTATACACATCTGCAGAGCCTCTTTGGAAGCTTTCAGGGAGGTTCCCGTGATCAAGATCGTTTTGACGTTGGCGGCGGCGGATTGGGCGAGGATGGCGTCAATGTGCGGGGCTAGGGTGCGGTTGGTGAGGTTGGCGCCAATGTCCACGAGGGGGTGGGGGACGGGGTGGATGGGGAAGGGTTTGGGGTCTTTTGAGGGTTTGGTGGGGGTCTTTTGAGGTTTTGGTGATGGTTTTGGGGATGGGGACCCGCCGGTTGCTTTGGGCGACTCTATCCGCACGGTCAATTCACGGCCGTCCAGGATTGTGCCGTGTAGCCCTTTGGCGGCTGACTCTGCTTCTGCGGATGTGGCGTATGAGACGAACCCGAAGCCTCGTGAGCGTGCTGTAGTGAAGAGAGTCGATATAAGCAAACCTGCCTGCGAGTCCCACTGTGAAAGCAATTCAGAACTTACCATTCTCCCTTTCCCTAACAACAAATGCCTTGAGACTCTTCGGAAAGTGACTAGATAGACCCTCGTCGGTTGTGTCGAAGTTGAGGTTTCCGACGAACAAGCGGGTGGAAGTTGACATTTTGAGTTTGTGTGGTGTGCGATTGCGGGGGGGTGTAAGTGTGGTTCTTCTCAATCTATTGTATATGGTTGTAAGCATCTATTTGTATATGTTGCTCTACTGAAGGGTGTTGAGGGAGTCTGTATTGCTTCTATGTATATGCAGCGGCACTTGGGGTGATGATACTGTACTTGGATATCTTGGTTGACACAGAGAGAGAGAGAGAGAGAGAGCTCTCGAATGACGGGCGGGTGACTCATCGCCGAGCGAGAATGACAGCATAAGCATCCCGTCATTTGGCATAAGCAACTCCGCGTGCAAACCAACACACAACACACCTGGGAGAGGAGCCCTGGCTCACTTCATTGCAAAGGCACATCTCAGAGATTCCCGCCCGTTTCGCTCCCTCCCAGCGGCAGACATTCAGTCAGTTTGGAAAAGCTCTTGCTATAGTACGCTCTACATCTAAGCCCCACATTGGGCTCCGCCAGTAAGTCCGTTCGGCCGCGCTGCATACCCCTTTCAGAGCGCCTTCTCGCTGTCAGTTAGCGAACGATATCAACTAGGTAAGATATAGACCGTTCGACTCCCAGACAACAGGGCGCTCACGGAAGGAAGGGGGCCATTGGGAATGGGCGCGAAAAGCCTCAGGCAACCGGGCCGCGTTCGCCGAGAGCAGCAATAGACATTAGACTTAAAGTTATCGCCGACGCACTGCGTGGATTGACCCTAAGAACAACCACCACATAGCCGGGCTTCGCTGAAGGCCACTATATGTCAGCTATGACGAATGCGGCGGAAGAAGCACTAAAGCTTGACTCGCATTAACTCATGATTCATGATAACTCATGATTAACTCTTGTTTTTTCGTTATTTATACGGTTTTCGCCTGCAGATCCTTCACCCGGAATTACGTAGCTGGTTAGCGCTCTCGCTGTTCACACCAACGACAATCTAGAAGGAATACGAGGAGTCGGCTTTTTCTTTCGGCTTTGTCTCCTACGATTTGACACGAATATCCGCGAGAGGACAAGCTCGAAGTTGTCGCACCTTATTGGTTGAAAAGTCGGATTCGTTCGCTTCGATAGGTACCACGAACAACAGAGCTTCTAAACTCCGAGCCTGATAGCCCCGAACACCCCATCAAGCCGACCAGTGCCTTCCAACCCACCACCAAAACCCCAACTTCCAGCCCTCGACCCAGCCCGTCATGCCCTTCTTCCGCCCCCCCACGGTCAACCCCACAACCCAAACCCCTGGCAGCACACCCCGCCGCCGCTCCATCAAGGACTCGACCCTCACGCACGCCGTGACCGCCAACAGCAGCGACAACGACCACCGGATCGTGGAAGCCGGGTTGAAGAAAGACGGTGGACATGCACTGAGCCATGGAGGTGGAATGCATGGGGGGTATCAGAACGGCGTGGCGAGGGCCGCGGATGGGATCCCCGATAAGGATGTCGTCGATGGGTGGTTCGATGAGATTATGGTAAGAGTTTTTCGTCAAAATATCCACAGAGTGCTCTCGACGACGGGGCTCAGCCACTAACTACTCTGCGATTGTGAATAGTCCTCCCTAGTCCCTACGACCCCCACCCGCGCCCCCACTCTCCCCACGCACCTAACCACCGAATCCAAATGGGACCTCGTCCGCGCCTACCGCGCCAAATCCTCCCCAGACCTCTTCTCCAAATCCAAATGCTCCCTTTCCCCAATCCATCACGCTTCCTCCCTCTCCCCCCACACCCCCCTCCCTGTCAGCCGCAGCCAATCCCACTCTTCAATCACCTCAACAGCGGGCAGTGACTGCAGTGGCTGGATGGAATGTAAGCCGGAGACGCCGCAAGCGTGGGTAGCGTTTCTGGCACGGGTGGTGAGCGAGTGTTTGGAGGAGGTTGTGGTTGGGAGGAGGGTGGTGGAGGCTGTGAGGGAGTTGCGGGTTTGTGTTTGGTGTGAGTTGCCAAGGTATGGTTATATGTTTGAGAGTGTGAGATTCAGCGGGATGGGAGATTGATGTTTTGTTTGGCGTGTTTCTTTTTAAAGGTGGTGTGAGACGTTTTTGGAGGCGGATGGGTTGCAATGTATGAGTAACCTTATGGCGCATCTTGCGGGCAAGCCGAGGAAGTAAGTGGAAGAACCGTATCTAATGCATCGTGTTGCATGAGATCAGCGCACAAAAACTCACACCACCCCTTTACTCCCACCAGACATCCCCTAGACTGGGCCCTCCACCTCGAACTCCTCCGCATCCTCCAAGGCCTTCTCAAACTCCCTTTAACCTTCACCTACCTCACCCGCACCCCGACCATCATCTGCCACCTCAACAAAACCCTCTTCGGCTGGTGGCGCGCCCACCACCACCATGCGGACCACTACACTCGGTGCGTCGCGGGCGGGGAGAGCGGGATACTGCTCCAGGTGGGGAGCTTAGCCGCGCCCACTGCAAGCTCCAACACCTCAGCATCCCCCTCCAGCGCGTCACAACCGGCACCCGTCGCAGACGCACAAACCCCCGGCCGAAGATTTTCAGTGACCCGCCGCAAACAACCCTTCCAACCCACCTCCGACACCCCCGAACCCACGCCCTACAGCCCCTCCGCGCACGCGCCACCGCTCGCCGACCGCACCCTCGGCCTGCAGCTGCTCACCACCGCGATTGAAGGCGGCGCCTGGGACGCCTGCATGCGCGCCCTGGATACCGTCGCGGGGTTGAGCGAGGGGGATATCGAGTTCCGCTCCCCGAGCAGGTTCATGGTGGTGCCCAACACCCTCCGCCCGTGGACGGTGACGCTCCAGCGGGTGGTCCTCGAGCGTGCCGCGCGGTGGACGGGCGCATATACGCGTCGTAAAGAGATTTACGAGAAACTCAAACGGAGCAGTGGGGCCGCGGCGAAAGGGTTCTCCTCCCCCGCGCGCACCGTGTCGGCGAAGACGGGGGAGGAGGTACATGGGAGCGATGTAGGCGTGGTGGTGTTCCTGGAAGCGAATGTGAGGTTCATGGTGGGGATGATACGGTATGCGCCGCCGAGCGAGCGGAGCTGGATCCGGGGGATGCTGTTTGAGAAGGCCGGGATGAACGATATTGTTGCGGTAAGCGTCTCCTTCCTCACTTCCTACTTCCACTTCACACTATATGAGATATTGACATCTCCTTTGCCTTTTTCTGGTTTCTTTTTTTTTTCTCAGAAAATGAAATTATGCCCCGACCCATCCTTCCTCACCCTCCTCGACACCAACCTCGCCCAAATCTCCCGTCTCTGCACGCCCTTCTCCACCCACATCCCCGCCACGGTGCCGCGCGCCGCCCCGGAAGACATCATCGAGCCCGCGCCCACCCACGGCGCCGTGGACCCCCGTCTCTTCGGGTTTCTGCAACACCATCGCCAACACCGCGTGGCCTCCGATTCGACTCACAATCAGGATCAGACCCAGCCTCGACAGATCCACGCCCCGCCCAGCGATCCCACCCCGCCCGCGGCAGCGACAGAGCCCGTGATGCCCCGGCACGACTCGGGCCACGTCGGCCACATCGCGCGCACACTCCACCGATCACCCGGCCACAGGGACATCGCCAGCATCCTCACCGGCCACCCCACCAACACCGCAAGTGCGTATAACCCGCCCAACCCCATCCGCCACGTGAACGAAGTCGCCGTGAACCCGTCGACGGCGAGGAGGTGGGGGAGCGCGATTTTGAGAGGTGACTGGACGGGGTTGGGACGGGCTTCGTCGAGTGGGGCGGGTGTTGGGACCGCCACTGCAGGCGAGGCATCTCCCGCGCAGGTCGTGGAGGACGCATCGTTGGATGTGAGCGCGGTGGATAGCGATGGGGATGATTTGAGTGAGGGGGAGTGGAATTTTGGGATGGGGGCGCCGAGGGAGGGGGATGGGGGGAGTGAAGGGGGGTCGGAGGATGGGGGGCGGAGGATGGGGGTGTGAGCGGGCAAGATCTCGGATATTGGGGTCCTTCGAAAGTCAGGAGACAAGTGGTGGCGCATACCGAAAAGTACCCTTCTGTGTTTGCGTTTTTATATATGTGTGAATGTGTGTGTGTGCGTTTGTGCCAACTTGTGTATCGTGGAACGTGAACGTATGTCATATGAAAATACAAGGCCGTGGTCCTAACGACAAGAACGCCCTGTATATACAGTACATATGGTCGTCCCATACGTATGTATTCCATTGGTGATTCTGGGCGGCGCTGAGCTTTCCCAGGCTCGCTCACGGAAGATGAGGTGATGTGGCCTCTGTGACCACCGGAATCGCCGTTGGAACCTAGTCATCCACCTTCCATCGACGTGATTCCTGGCCAGCCCTCTGCTGCAGAAACACCAGCGGCTACGCGCATCTACCACGCGTCCATGCTTGGAAGTTTCCCTCTAGCAAAGCCGTTCCAACCTCCCACCCTGGCTATATACACAGATTCTAAGCAACCGTCCTCCTCGCCTCTCATCGCACCTCAAACGCCTTCTCCCTTTGCAAAACTACCAAACAAGCCATCAGTACCTCACCACACTCAACAATAGCAGCGTATGCGCAATTCCCCCAACTCACCACTCTTATCAAACTTCATCAAAATCGTCGTCCGCAACGGAAACTGGTCCGACGCTGTCGCGTGCGCGCTTACTTTCGCCGGCTAAAAAACACCAATCACACATCAAAATCACACCCTTTCAATTGCAAAAGGAACCCATTAAGAAGAAACGAAAGGACTTACAAAGCCAGATCCGTCTAGTACGGCCTCAACGATCCCCCCGATGAACGCCCCACAACTCAGCTGCGACATTTCCTTGGGGACCGCGATGAATTTCGTGACGTTGGGTTCGTTGTCGGATATCATATCTGTCACATCATGTCATAAACCCACAACATCAGCCGGCCTTCCTCATCGTCACCCCACATCCCAACCCCACACATCGACCCACAGACATACACTCGTCCTCGTTCTCAGTCCCCTTCTCCAACGAATCCGCGGCCTTCCCAAACAGCGTTTTCCACACCGTTGAATGGATGAACGAGAGCACGCTGAGGAGGCGCGTGTCTCGGCGGCCGGTGCGGTCGCGGAAGATGATGAGTTCGAGGGTGCGGATGCCGACGCGGTAGCCAAAGTCGGAGAGTCTGATGCGAGGGGGTGGGGGAGATCAGTTTGGATGCAGTGCGGTCGTTTTGATCATCGTGTTCGCATCATGGCGTTCCCATCGTGTCGCGTTCCCAGCTTTTCCTCCTCGCCTCGACTTGAAGTTCATTGACTGATCACCCCCCGCGCATACGTACTTTTTCTCCATATCCTGTATCCCGCTACTCTTCTTTGTCGCGTAACTCAACATCTCGCTGAACAGGAACGCGAACGCCGACAAGCTGACCTTCCAAAGTCAAACACCACCGAGAAAACAACAAGGTGAGCCGACATTCCCACGCGGAGGTTCATACTCCAAATTAAAAGGGTATCCCACCTCATTAGCCCTGCCTTTCGTAAGGTTCCGCTCGAGTATTGGTGGCCGTTTGTTGTGGGATGGAGAGCGGGCGCTGCTTGGCGCGGGTTTGTATTGGGTCGGGGTTTGGTAGGCGGGGAAGCTCATGGTGCGTGTGCGAGGGATAAGGGTCAGCTAGCGTGCCGGGGTATCTGAACGGCCCTGTCTGACGTCTATAGCTGTGTGCATGGGCTGCGTTCGCAGCGACATTGGGCAGGGGGAGATGACAGCAGCAGCGTCGTTGCTTCGGAAAGACGACAAATAAACTCCCTTTAGACATGCCTCGCGCTCACGTGGACAGCGCCGGCCTGTTTTTCCCCGTTACCTCTTTGGAAGGGAAATCTCCGGTGGATGTCAAGCGGGATGCGATCAGGTTAAACCCCTCGCCCATCTAAGCACCGGAGGTCAACAACGTGCGGCTCCTCGATGCGACGACCGGAAACGAACTAAAGAACCCGGATGAGTTCACGGACGGGACGGTGGTTCTGATTCAGAACGGTACGAGAAGATGATATTATGCAGAGTCATTGTACGGGGGGTCTCTCCTCAACTGCTTTCTGAAAATAGTGGACGTTGCGATCGCCTCCTCTTGGGAAAACCTTCTTGGCGCCGATCGCACCTCTGACCCAAACTTCTTAACGCTGCCGGCGGGTACTACGTTTTTCGGACTCCTGGACTTCGGGCGGCACTTGCTAGTTCGGGAATGCTACGGGGAAATTTACACCATAATCCAAAACACATTCAAGAAGCCGTTGTTCCATAAGGCCGTTGTCATGGGCACTTCCGGAATTGGAAAAGACGCATCTCGCTGCGTATGTCGCCTATCGCATTCTCTTGGGCGATCCAAAGGCCATCATTGTTTTCCAGTATGGCAGAAAACGCTATCTTGTCTCGGAAGGGTCCGTCGTTCTCGGTGACGCCCAGATGTCATTCACAGACTACCTCATCAGGAATGATGTTTGGTACATCTGTGACGGGGAGGAACCGGATAACAGCACCAACGCTCGGCTGATATTAACGACGGCCCCGGACCGCGGTGTGTACAAGAAAACCGAGAAACGACCGCGCACCATCACCCTCTGCATGCCGGTTTTCACCATTGATGAACTCGAGGCTCTACGGGTCAAGCCTTTTTGAGTGACGTTTCACAGAATGAACTGGCCGATCGATTTAGGATACTCGGAGGAGCAGCTCGGGCCGTCTTTCATCACAGTACAGTCAGTGGACCAAAAGCTGTGGCCCCTCTCCTTGAAATCAATGTCGGTCACTCACGTGAATGTGGCGTTGCGGCAGTCGCTGATTTAGGTCAGGCGGGGGCCCACAGCTTTTTGTCCACCGACTGTACGGTTGCGCTTGAGACAGAAATGCTGGAAAACGCCGTTGCGCGGACCGACCTGCTGGCCCTTCGAAGCTGTCTCGGGGCTGGAGAAACATCAGCACACGTCAGCGACCTCGTTGTGCAGATCATCCCCGAGCTAGATTATCAGCGAGGCCGTTACACGTTTGCCAGCCGCCATGTCTCAGATGCGGTCACCCTCCAGATCCATTCCACCGCGGCGCAAGATTTGCAGTCCTTCGTACGCAACTCGGTCGAAACACCTAACCCGCTAAGTGACATTTTGTAGTAGGCTACATTTGAAGTTTTCCTTCTAAGGAGCTTATAATGGGTATATGGGTACTGTTTACGCTCATCGGGCTGTGTCAGGGTATCGGGTTACAGATCGAAGGAACATCTAATAGAAACCTCCAACGTCACGATAGTTCAGTAGGTATGGGCACTCCCGTTAACGGAGCGACGTTCGTAGCCCTGATCCCCAGCGCCCTAACGTCCATCACACTGTCGTAGTCATCGTCATAGTAGTGAACATTGTGCGTCGGGATGTAGGGGTACTTGGAACATATGCTCGAAACCATTTCACTCTTTGTGGCACGGGCAGTTTGTACGACCGAGTCAAACAGGGAGCGTATGCCCATGTTCAGGAGGAGGACCTCTGCGTCTGTGTTGAAGGTAGCTACGGCGAGGAGGTGACCGTGAGCGGCGAGGTTGTTGAGGAAGGGCAGGAGACGGCGTTCGTATTGCAGACGGCGGTGTCGTTCTGCTCTCCCGAGGTAGAGGGTGTTGTCTAGATCGAAGATGTATAGGCGCTTGTCGGCGGACATTTCTCGCGGGTGGTCTGAGAGCGAGATGAGAGCGAGAGTCCCCCATGCCAAGTCTCTTCCGTGAGAAACCACGTTGGCTGGGTGGAGTGGGTGGTTGAGTGATTGAGTGAGAGTGGGTGAGTCATCTGAGGCCTGAACGCGTTACGTCCGCATGATTAATTACGCCCCCCCTCTGTCATGTCTGGTGAGGCGCGCCCCCCTTGGGAACACCCCCCCCCCCCCCCTCCTCCCTCCAACTGCATCCTATCCTGTGCTTATCCATATTGCCCATATTGCGCTGCTCCACTAAGTACTGTACATGTAGCTCCCCTCACTCCCCACCTATAGCTATCCGGGTTCGCGTCTGCAACGAATACTGGCCTCGACCTGTGGGAAACCGTCAGGGTCCCGTGTGCACAGTCCTCGCCCGCAGTCGTCTCACCCACACTCATACACCCAACAGCCAGATTCAGGTGTCCCCCAAACGAGCCCTTTTTTCAGAGGAGAAGGAACAGAAATAACAGCCTCAACCAGCCGCCAGCATCTTCCCAGCGACGAACCTACTCCCACCGCGCCAGCATTCCGAGCAACCCCCTCACACCCACACCCACACCCACATCCACACCCACACCCACACCCGCGCAGCCTTTGGAGGAGCCCCGCGTATGGCCACGATGGAAAGCCTCCCAGCACCCGCAGCTATTAGCCAGCCGCCACCAATTGGAGGAGGAGGGGCCGGTCCGTCCCCTTCCTCTTCGAATGCCATGTCGGATGGGAAGTTTGCGGATAAGAATAAGAAGTAGGTTTGAATATATGGGGAGGGCAAGGGGGGTGGGGATGATGTGCGGAAGGGAGTTCGGGCCGGAGTGAGTGAGGCTGCTTGCAGAGCGTGGCCTGGAGCGGCGAGCGAAGCGAGCATCAACACGTCTTGTCGAAACTTGAAACCTGAAAACAATGTCATCAACAAGCGTTTAATTCAAAAATCGTGCCGCGTTTCAAAACGAATCTGACCATAGTCAACGCTCTCTCTTCGAATGTAGGGCACTATCCGAATCAGAGCTTCTGGAGATCGAGACGCAGAAAATGGAGCAGCAATTGAAGGCATTAAGGGAGACGATGGCGCGGGGAAAGGAACATAGAAGGTACCGCAGCTTTCGCGTTTGCTCCATGCCGCTCTAGCTCAAAGTTCTGGGTGTTGTTGATAGTGCAAGCGGAAGAACCACAACATGGCAGGCCGGAGGGTATGGAGCCAAAGGATCGCTCACGTCATATGCTGCCGACGTGCTGGCCAAGAAGAATGCCGCGTTGCAGAAATCCCGGTATACAGGTGTGGTGCAGGAAGGTACGTACCACATGCAGTATATTCACATTCCCACCCTTTTCCCGCCTCTAAAGTGCTTGAACCCCGCATCAACAGCCGACAACCGCCGCAAAAAACTCGAGTCGGACCTCAAAGGAAAAGCCCTATCCTCCAGCGAACTAGTCCACCAATATCCACAATACAGCACTGCTCAATCAACAAAGCCCGAGGACAATCGCAGAGGGTCCGATAATCCGAACCTCTCGGAATCGTCGTTGGCGCGGAGAGCTTCATTGCAGCCTCCAGCCGGCCAACAAGCGGGGATTGGGTCGCGGCGGGGGTCGGAGATGAGTGCGTCGGCTAATGCGATTAGCTCGCGGCAACCGGCGCCACCGCAGAATAGGGCGCCGCAGAATTTGACTTTTCGGCCGCCCGCTCGCATGGTGAGTGGACTGTGGGAAGTATTGGGAGGATGCGCTAGTGGTACTGCATTGCTAACCCCTGTTCGCATCTCACAGTGGCGAGTCCCATCAGCCCTCGCCCCCAGCCAACCCCCACCCTCAACCGGCGCCTCGAGCCCCCCCTCCGCCTGCAAATCGAACCCCTTCGGCAACATCCCCCCCTCCCGCCGCTCCTCCGAAATGTACGCTTCGACCAACCGCCGCGCCTCCCACATCTTTGGCTCCGAAACCCTCACCGGCCGTCGCCCGTCCGAAGCCATAGCCGTCGTCGCCATCCCCCCCACACCACCCCGAGACCCCGACTCCGCCCGCGACTACATGATCAGCGCCGCCGAGGAAGGCCGCACGGACTGGGTCCCTGGTTTCAGCACCAGCGGGTCAGCCCTAACCGACCCTTCCGACCCCTCCACCACAGGCAATAACGGCACCGCCCTCCCCTCCAACACAACCCCAACCCTCCTAGACGGCCACTTTGACGAAGAAGCCTCGCACAAGTCCTTCACCTCCGCCCTCGAAGAATGGCGCAACGAACGCGCGGCCCAGAAACGAATCGAATCCCCGCGCGATTTCAAATCCGCCAACCGCCGCGCCACCGTCGCTGTCATATCCGGTCCCAAAGATCCGCATCTACCTCCCAGTCAGAGCGCCGCACGCACCCGCCGCGCAACAAACGACCAGGACATGTACCTCCCCACCCACCACGAGACTTCGGCGGCCCTCCACCGTCCGCGCTCCGGCTCGCTCGCCTCCTTCGGACAGTCGTTGACGAATCTGACCGCGTCGTTGGGGATGCGGTTCGGGATGTCTTCCTCCACCCACGCCTCTGACTCCCCGACCGCCCATTCGACGCCGGATATGTATCAGTTGACGCTGCCTACCCATCAGCAGAACACGAGTGGGGAGAGTTTACGGAGTAGTAATACTTCGAGTGCGCCGGATTTGAGGGGGGGAAGGGGGGACGGGGTCGAGGACCCGGAAGCGGGGAGGAGGGGGTATGCGGGGCGGCATAAGGGGGAGGGCGAGTTCGCGCGGGGGGTTCAGACAAGTAAGTCGGATTGCTGATGATTCGGTTTGACTGAAAAAGAGTGGGGGGGTTGAGATGTAAGCGTTGGTGTGACCGGCGTCGCGTAGGGGGGGATTGACATTATACATAATACGTGTAGCCGTGACAACACACACACGCCCCTCGCTAAAACAGGCCCGCGTTTGTCTTTTTTTCCCCTTCCTCCACAGACTCGACATCCACCGACCCGCCCCCCGCGCACCACCCCCACCCGACCCAAACAGCCCTCCAAACAACCCAACACGCCTTCTCAACCTCCTCCAACCGCCTCACATACATGGAACGGCTCCTGCTGGATAAATACCGCGCGCAAGAGACCCCGCCCCTCCCACCACCCCCACCACCCGCATCCCGGTCGCGCAGCGGGTCGGCGCCCGAACGCCCGTCTGCGGTCGCGAGGGGGGGCGAGTGGACGGGGGATCTGGAGGTGGGCGATGGGGATGGAGTGGAGATCCCTGCCACGAGCACCACGACGGGCCCGAGACATCGCACGACGTCAGCAGCCTCCCTCATGCCCCCGCCCCCGGCGACAGCCTACCGCGACCCCCCACCCCCGCCCCCGAACTTCTCGCAGCCGAACCTGGCGCCCACCGGCGGGTGGGGGTCCCGGTCGCGGCAAGCCTCGCGCCATTTCGATCTCGGGAACGGGAATTTCACGGCGTCGGCTGGGCCGCCACCGTTATCGGCGTTGGGGCCGCCGCCCACGGGTGGGATCACGGCAGGGGGGGGAGGGGGAGTGAAGGCGGCGGTGATTGTGGAGGACGTGACGAACAGGGAGGAGCAGGCGATCATGGAGGGGGCCGGCGTGGTCGAGTGTGTGCGCGGGGACCGGGTGGTTGTTAGGGAGCCGGGGGAGTAAAGGGGAGGAGGGAGGGTATTTATTTCCCGGGGCTTTTTTGGGAGGGTTAGGGCGCGGGGGTAGGGATTGATGGGGAATGGGGGCGGATTTGGGACACACCGAACCTTTGTTTTTCTTTTTTTGACATGCAGGTGCAACACCCCCCCGGCAACATTTTCTGTACATATGTTTCGTTTTGCTTTGCGTTTCGTACGTTTTTTGATATTGTTTTTTGGACCCAACACCCGACAGAAAAAGAAAAAAACGATGGGAAATATATACAGTACATTATGCGACTGTCTGGGCTTGGTTCCTCTCTCTGGTTTTCATCTCCCCTTTGTTGATCCCCCACGAACGCAAACCCCGGGTGTCGCGATTCCCGCTCCCAGCTTCGACGCGCGCGATCAGGTGAGGATCTCGGCACCCGAGGACGTGATCAGGATCGTGTGTTCTGCATCACAGTGGATGGGAAGTGCTGCGGGTTAGCCGGTGTGGGATGCACGCCAACAGTGCATTCAGTACATCAGACGAAAAAACATGCAGGCACAAACCCACCGAATTGCGCCGACCGCCCACCTGCGGGGGGGTCACAAACACACATACGGGGTTCAACCGTCAGTCAAACGTTCCAAACCCCCCCCCCCCCCGCCCCCCCCGCTCTCTCTTACCATCCCTCGTAACGGCGGTCCAGCAGTCCGGCCACAGCACATACGCGCACGCGCCCTGACACAGCATCGGCTCGACGGTGAAGGTCATGCCCTGGGCCATGACGCCGGGGCAGGTGTTTTCAAAGTGGTAGATCATGGGCGGCTCGTGGAACTGGGTGCCGATGCCGTGGCCGCAGAAGTCCGGGGAGGTGGTGTAATTGGACGCGTGGGCGTGGGTGCTGTTGGGAGAGGGGTGAGATGGGGGGGGCGGGAAGGGGGGATGGGATCTTCTTTTACCTGATGGAGTGGCCGATTTGGTTGAGGGGCACGCCGGGCCCGCAGAGGGCGATGGCGTTGTTCATTGCGTCTTTTGTGGCGGCGACGAGGTGCAGGCCGCGGGCGTCGACGGTGCCGACTGGGAAGGTTGCGCTGGTGTCGCCGTGGTAGCTTTGAGGGTTGGGGAGCAGTGGGGGTTAGCGGGCGGGGCGGGCGAGGGTTGGAGCGATATGGTTTGGGGGCTTTTACCCTTGAAGATAGACCTGTGGTGGGCCGGGTGTGGAAGTGAGTTTGATGCGTGGATGCATTGGAGGAGGGGACGGAATGGCAGACTTACGGTGATGTCTATGTTGATGATGTCTCCATCCTGCAGAGGACGACTGAGAGGGTTCAGCTTCATCATCTTCTCACCGGCGTTAGAAGGAGGACTTACGAGTCTGGTATTCTGGATGGGGATAAACCTTCGCATCAATCTTTCATACTAGGATGGGGCAATATGGAGGACGATGGTACTAACCCGTGACAGATGACATTGTTGATGGATGTACCTACGATGCACATAGGGCAGACATGAGGGAAAGCCGGAAGTGTAAAAGGCCGTGGCCGGAATGCGATTGACACAAAGACAGAAAGACAGAGAAACGTACAAATGGATTTGGGAAACCCAATGTGGCCCAGCGGACTTGGATATGCGCCGTTTTGTATTATGAATTCGTGAACTACATACAAAGCAGAAAATAGTTTCGTTTGAGAAAAGCTTGAAAGATTCCCACCCTCCGCCACATCTTCACCAAGATCAAAACATGCCGCTGATCTACGCCACCAACCTCTCCGATCAATCTCATCCGTCGTCACGCCCACCTCAACCATCCTTCCCGCCTCCTCCAACGCCCTCTTCGCCAGCGCACACGCCTTCCTCAGCCCGACCAGCTCCTTCTCCGTCTTCAGATGCGGCTCGTTGAGCGTCACGACCGGACACTCGTTCTCGTCCCGGTCGGGGATGGGGATTGTGTTGGGAACGGGTCGCCGTTGTTGGCGGAGGACATTTCCGTTGAGGTTGTCGACGCGGGGTAAGATCAGGTCGTAGGAGCCGAAGATGGAGAGGCGCTGTGAGGCGCTGAGGGGCCCGGAGGATGGGCTTGTCCGATTGCGCCGGCGGAGTGGAGGGGTACCTGCTGTGGAGAAAGGTCTGCTGCACCCTACCTGCTGTTGCGGCGGTTGCCGTGGAGGGTGAGGACGTGGAAGACATGGACTAGTTTGCCCGTTTCTGGGTATTGCCGCACCACGAGGCAAGCAGCTTGTGCCTTGCCTCAGAGCCGCCCGACACCCTACGGTCATCCCTTTCTATGAAGTGTTAGCCTGTCTGAACAGAGAAGGTGTCAATCCAGGCGTCAAGTGCAGCAGTGCTCCCGAGCAGTTCACGAACGGGGATGAAATATGAAAACGGCCAAGTCCCGCGCGCGCGAGTGTTCTCCAGTTGTGTCGCGTGGATGCGCTCCCGCCGACGTCACTCCTCGCAGACTCTCCCTCGCCCGACACTGGACGACGCTCCACAAGCGGTTGGGAAAGATAGGCAACTTGCAAGTCCTCCTTCCCCCATACTACGTATACTAGACAGCTACAGCATCTTTCCCGTCGCTGAAGAAACCATATTCCACTTTACAGAGCACCCACGAACACGACGCAGTTGCTCTCAGCGTGTGCCACCACATCACACCTTTTGCGCCATGCCCTCTCCTCCTCGCAACAAGGAAACGAAACCCTCTCCCTCTCCCTCACCCCTATCCGACGTCTTCAGCTTCTTCCAACCCATATCCGCCGCTGCCTCAAACGCAATAACCTTTGCAACCGAAAAACTCTCCTCCCCAACCTCGTCCTCAGACAAGGTCAACACAAGTTCCCAAAGTCCGCTGCCCGACTTCCCACTCTTCAAAAGGTCAGGACGCTCACCTACCCACCCACCAGGGCCGCCAAGACGAAGCTCCTCTTTACCCTCCCTCTACCAGAAGAATGATACCCCACCACCGCCGGCAGCTGACCCGCTAGATAGCGCTGCGCAAGGGGATGTCGAAGGGACGTTTGATTTCATGGCGAAGGTGCCGAGTTTGGGAATGTTTGGATTAGGGAGCTTTGCCGATTACTCGCGGGGAATCAGCGATCAGGGGGATAGCGATGAGGATTATGAGTCGATTGAGAGTTTGGAGCTGCAGCAGTTGGATGCCGATGGCAAGGTGGGTTTTCCCGAGCGGAAGAGGGTCCGAGCGGGTAGCGAGCGGGTCCTGGAGGGAATGCGGACGCAGTCAAGGCGGGCGGCCCAGCGGCGAGCGAAGCGAGCAGGGTATTGTCAATCATCGCCCAATCCAAGACCTCGACAGTTGATCGCTGCGCTTTATGATTTCGAGACTCTTTGCCTGATTTTTGTTGTGTCTTTCGTCCCCGGCATCATTTCTAACACAACTTATGGTGACCGCCTAGTTAGCCAGATCTCTGGACACAGACCAGGTTGCTAGTTCGCAAACAGCAAGTACCAGTGGTGGTGGCTGGGGAAGCTTTGGTCTCCCCTTCGATATCCCACAACTACCAGCACTGCTCGGCGGCAGCCTAGTGTCCCAACCAGTACCAATCCCATCAGCCACCGCAAGCTCTCTTCCAGAATCCGCCCTCGGCCCACCATCCCCAGAACTCGACGCAGCATCCACCGCCGCATCCGCCTGGTCAAAAGCTTTCATGTCCATCACGGGCTCGAACACGAAACATCTGCGCCCATGTGGGCATAAGCACCGGTTTTATTTCGTAGAAGGCGATCTGGTGCTGCTTGGTGGGATGTATGGAAGCTTTTTGAGCGAGAAGGATACAGGGAAGAAGGTGTGGTTGAGGATGGATCATGTGCTGGGGTGGGGTGGGGAGATTGATGTGGGGTTGAGTCTTGATGGGGTGGATGAGAGGCTTGTGCCTAGCGGGTAGGTCATTGGATTCTCATCGTGCACGGCCACGAAATGCAGTTCAATTTATTATCCTTTTACGCCATCAGCATCCTAGACCGCATAGGCCCCATCAACGTCTGCGCCGACCTCGTCCGCGAATTCAAAGCCCAAGAAGCCTGCAGCAACGGCCAATTCCGCTTCCACCCCTTCGCCTACGACTGGCGCAAAGAGCCTGAATCCTCCTCCACCGCTCTCGAAGCCTTCCTAACCGACATCTACGCCAAAAACGGCGGCCAGAAAATAACCGTCATCGCCCACTCCATGGGCGGGCTGATCGCCTTATCCGTCGTCAACCGTGTCCCGCACCTGTTTAAGAGCGTTACGTTTGTGGGGACACCGTTTGGAGGCGTGCCCTTGATTCTGTGGCAATTGAAACGCGGGACGCCGTTTTTGGCGCAGAGGAATCTGATGACCCCCGATTTGCATTTTGGGGCGCGGACAAGTTTTGTGTTTCTGCCGACTGATGGGAAGGGACTTGTGGTTGATGGGAAGAATGGGGAGGATGATTATCTTGTGGATTTTTATAACGCTGATGAGTACGTACAATATCGATTTTACCGCAAAGCCACCTCAATTACCAACTACCGACTCCTTCATTTCACAGATGGATCCGCAACACCCTCTCCGAAACCCTCTCCGAAACAACCGCGCCCGAAACGCTCACAAAGCACAAAAATTACCTCACAACAACCCTCGCCGCCGCCAAACGCTTCCGCCAATCCCTCGCCTACAATCCCGCCCTCCAATCGCACTACCCGCCGTTCACACACCTCATCTCGAGTAAATGGCCCACCGCGACACGGATAAAATGCTCCATCGCCCCGCCGCCCCCCACCGAGCCTGCGAGCACCGCTAGCACGACGACGCCGACGATGAAACCCCCCGACCGAAAAATCGACCTGAAGTACCTCTGGCCAACAACCTTCCTCCCCGGCGACGGCGTCGTCACGCGTACGAGCATGCACATGCCCGCCGGGTTCACATGTCACGAGGTCGAGAGCTCGGTGGGGCATTGGGCGATGATGAATGATTTGCGAGGTGTGAGGGCGTGCTTGAAGAGAGTTACTGGGAGAGTGGGTGGCGTGGGGGATGCGGTGACGGAGGCGGTGAAGAGGGTGGTGGATGGCGGGGCGATGCCGGTGGCCCCGGAGGAGGTGCCGAGGTCGAGGCCTTTGGAGGCTGCACGGGAGCAGGAGGAGGCGGGTCAACATGGATCGGATGCAGTTAGCGCGCAACTCGCGGCGGAGGAGGAGATGATCCCGCCGCCACATGCAAACGAGTCGGGGGACGTGTCGGCGGAGTGGCAGGAGATTGAGGCTGGGACTGTTCCGCCGGCTGGTACGAAGCTGGAACGGGAGAGCGTGCAGCGGGTCGGGCAAAGGTTGAGGGAGGCTGTTTCGGAGGAACATTTGAAGGGGAAGGTTTCTGTCGTGTGAGATAGGGAACACAAACAAGTTCCACGCTCGCGGGCTTCTTTACGTGTTAGCTTAAATAGAAGATGGGAGAGTGCCGGTAGCTGTAGGTAGATATGAACGATGTGAGATCATCCGTAGCACGAATAATGACCACTTGGCATGCGGAGGAAGCCCCTGCTATGGCACGGAAACAAATCGACTACAGTTGTTTCAGTCGTACTGATAGAGGGCGGACAATACAGTTGGGTGCGTTTGCATGCCCTTCGAATCGCCACCTGATCACTACTTAGCCGCGTCTATATGGGACCTTTCACACACATCGTATTCTCCAGAGCGTCAGCTGAATTTTCCTCTCCAGCAGCAAAGGCAGTTCCTGATCAGCGAACCCTTCATGTTCAGGATCTCCTCTGAATGCGGGCACGTGAGTTAGGGTCGAGCTGGGTGTAGCGGGGGGGTGAAGATCGTCGTCACTGGGTCTGTTGGTTCAGGCAAGGCCCCAAAATCCGACGGTTCCGTTCTCGTCGCTCGCGTCCCTCATGCACTCCGGCGGAGCGAGCGTTCACGTATGTCCGAGGGGCAGATGGGGTTGGCGGGGGGGGAACTGTTACCGCGTGCGTTCGTTTCCTTCTGATCGTTATCGTTGACCCCTTTGCCCGCCGAGGGACGGGACCATCTACTTCGTCGCTTGCGGCTTCCACATCCCCAAGCACTCGCTCCGTTCATCGTCTCCATCATCGTCATCGTCATTTCCATGCGTCAAACCCTCACGCGTCCCCGTTTCCGTTCCCCTCATCCCACTTCGATTTCCTCCATCGGCGGAAATGTTGACCCCCGCCGGTCGTCCCCCACCGCCGCTGTTGACTTCACCGTCGTCATCTGCGACACCTCCCACCCTTGCCGTCACATACTCCCATGCCCCGCTTTAATTTCCACTTCCTCTCCTACCCCATCGACTACCACTCCGCTGTGGGCGTCGATATGGACTCCAATCACCTGCCTAACGTCAACTTCCACGACAACTTCACACTTCATGGTGGACCGCAAACGTTACCACCCACTGGCTTCTACTCCGCCATCCTCTACGCCGCCGCGGTTGACTTCACCATCCTCATCGTGGGTTGAGATTGGGCGGTGGGTGCAACTTCGGAGCGTAAGTGCAAACGCCACCCATCGGCTGCCATGGGCGGGGCAGTCGTGAGGATATTTGCGTCGGCGCATATCTAGAGGACCGCATGAACAGTGACGACACCAATTCTGTATATATCCTTGGATGGCTGTAAGTCCGGTGAGTTGGGTGCAAGTCGCCGCATGTGCAGGTTGAGGTTTCCGGGTGACCAAACCGGAACAAAATCGACCTTGGATTCCTGTTCAACGCCGCGCGGATCTTCCAAGCCAAACTGCCTCGACGGAAATACTGTACATCATGTAAGCGGAGCAAGCGGCCCGGGATCAGATGCTCAGGCTCAGAAAGACGATGAAATCGCGGTTGCGTCTGCGTCTCCGTCCGGATTCACCCAACTCCCACTCCCAATCTCCCGCGTGAACCGGAGCCTTTCGGAGGTACGAGCGGCCGCGTTGGTAGCCGTAAGTTTTCCGTACACGAATGACCGTCGACGAACTCTGGAGGCTAGGCCGCTGGCCGCTGGGTCGGTTTGAGAAGGTGGATGTACTGTATAAGGGCGCCCTACGACTCGCGCTGACTTCAGATTGAGCAAGCTTCTCCTTTCCCAAGTTGGCTTACTTGCTGAGTATGTCCGCCAGTTTCTTGTTTCCGCGCCTGGCTTACCAGCGTCGCCCTGTTCACCTGGTCAGGCGAGGGCTGCGTGCAAGCTTGTCAGCAACTCATACGCCGCACCCCTTCGACCTTCGCCAAACGGCCTCATATTCTTCTGCGGGCTACAAAAACCAGCAACAACATCACGCCGTGTCCAAATCATGGAAGGTCGGACTCGCTGCCGTCATCCTTGCGGCTGGCGGTGCGTTGACATACCAGATAGTTGACCCGACCACCTTGGAGAAGTTTCAACGGAGCTATATCTTCTGGTCAAACATGTTTCCGGTTTACGTCGTAAGCACAGATAGAACGCGAAAGATTGGTATTAGATGCTCAAGACGATGTAGAATGTGGCTGATAACTGGTGCTTGACGTTTCAGAGGTATCGATGGGTGGAATGGAAGACCAAATCTCTGTCTGAGGAGGCAAAATCCCGAGAATTCGAGGCTCTACATGCCAAAGATGCGCCAAAAGTCTTGGAGACCATCTTGCGTCTAAGAGGCATCTTCATCAAGATGGGCCAATTCGCTTGCACACGGGCCGATATCCTGCCCGAAACATATCGAAACACCCTCTCCTTTCTTTTCGACCAGGTCCCACCTCTGCCTGGACCTGAAGTGAGGCGGATTTTGGAGCAGTCTCTGGGGATGCCATTGGATGAGGTTTTCGATCTCTTTGATGAGAAGGCACTGGGCTCGGCTTCGGTTGGGCAAGTGCATCGAGCCACGCTGAAAGCTGACGGGAGAAAAGTGGTCGTGAAGATGCAGTACCCAGACGTGGAGAGTCTCTTCCGAACGGATTTCCAGACTCTCCATGCGTTCTGCAAACTTGCTCAACCGGAATTCCTTCCCGTTTTCGACGAGGTAAGCGGTCCTCGTGGTTTCATTTCATCGCCATCGTAGCCATCGATGGTCTAATCCGATATATTTTACCTGCGACCGAAGATCGAAAAGCAATTCATGTCGGAACTGGACTTCGAACGCGAAGCTGCAAACTTGGCGATAGTATCTGCGAATATGAAAAGGCACTATCATGACCAAGTCGAGGTTCCCGAACCTATATCGTCCTTGACCCGCCCAAACGTCATTGTAATGACGTACTTGGACGGTATCAAGCTCCTTGACGGCATCAAAGCTCACGTTGAGAAGATGGCTTCCAGAATGGGCGTGCCGATGTCTGTATTGCTCGAAGAACTACGAAGTGGATCTTCTCAACAAGCTCAAAAAGACTCAGATCAGAGCGCTAAGGCGGGGCCCGTCATCAACTCTAAAGATAGAGTTCGAGAGCTACGACGTATCGCCCGCTTAGCGAGGTTTGCAGTTTTGACCGCCTGGGAAGATTATACTTTACCCTTGGCAAGAACTCTCTGGAACTGGACCGTGGGTGTCATTCCTGCACTTCACTGGAGGGTAGTCCCGTCGTTGGACTTCAAAGGCATCATGTCCACCCTCGTCAAAGTCCACGGCCACCAAGTTCTTGTCGACGGCGTCTTCAACGCCGACGCGCACCCGGGCAACATTTTCCTCCTTCGCGACGGCCGGATCGGCCTCATCGACTACGGGCAAGTCTCCAACCTCACCCCCGAGCAGCGCGTGCAATACGCGAAATTGTACCGCGCGCTAGCTGACAACGACAAAGAGGCGGTGGAGAAGACATTCACGGACATGGGCTTTAAAAGCGAAAAGATGCTTCCCGAGGTCGTGTACAAACAAGCCGTGATCAATCTCGATCGCGACGGGCCGGATGTCATTCCCGACCCGTCGATGAACCTACAGCAGTATAACGAGTACCTGGCGAAGGTGGACAAGACAATCACGTTCCCTGAAGGGTCGTTGATGATAGCTAGATGTTCGATGTTGTTGAGAGGGATGGGGACGCTGTTAGGTCTGCCTCCTGTTAGTATCGCCCAAGGGTGGCGACAGTTCACCGAGGAACAGGTGTAGGTTGCTTGACACCCTTTCTATTTGAACTCCCGGCGTATGCATTCTAGTCTCGTATTAGATTGAAACGCCCCTTCGACATCTGAAATTCAATCTCATCGGGTTGGACTTCGCGAAACAGTAACATGTGTCAGCGCATCAGCGTATGTTGACCTGCAGTGCAAACACCGTTTCTGCTTCTCAGCGCCAGCGATGGTAATGGCCGGGCGCCTACTGATATTTCTATTTCAAGGCTTCTTTAAGCCTGCTTGCTGTACCCGTCCCCAAACAAAACCGCATGTTCGATCCTGGCGCTCGCAGACATGGAGTCATCGTCATCCAAGCTCACACGTTCTAGATTTCCTCTCGGGCCGCAACTGAATATCAATGCCTCACTCACAAACAAAACAAGTTACGTGTTGCTGAAGGTTGGTATATCGCCTCTGTTGAAGATATCGATATATGTCTGCGCCCTCGCCAGGAATGCTGTACCAAAGGGGAATCTTTCAGGCAAAAGGCTGCCATGGTCCTTGTCATTACGCGACTGGGCGTGCGTCACCTCAGACATGTGAGGTCCATTTGAAATGGATGATGCCTTCTTCGGCGCTGGTTCGGGGTTGTCGACACCATCCTGCCGTATTCTGGGCTCCTGTTTAGAGGCTCCGCAACCCATATTTCAATCACTAATGTGGAGGGTATATGGTACGAAGGTTGAAGCCGCGGGGTGATGAAGACGGTCCTCATACGTCCCTATGATCAGCAAGTTTCTTTAGCGACGTATCAAAGGTGGCGCACGTCATTGTTATCCTGGAGAACGCATCCCCCAGTCGAAATTACATACACTGGTGCCTGTCGCCTCTGTAGATTCCTGGTAAGGGTGTATAACAGTCGTCTTCTTGACGGCACCATTGGGAAGGACGAAATTCCTCGCATCAGGACCATGCTGACTGAACCAAGGCCTCGGCGTGGACCCGGCGCCTCCGAGGCCCCTTGTTTCCTAAGCGAACTCGTCCTTATTTCTTACACCTCATGACAACTCAGACCGTTTGACCTCTTCAGAACATTGCTCTTCATTAGGCTTTGGATGTATCCTTTACGTTGATGGGTGTCTCCGTCGGAGCCTCACATACTGCACATATGCAGAGGATTGTCAATCAGAGCGGGGTTTAGAGGCGACGGTTTCGACAGCGCGTGGGCCGGGATTTGACCGAATATTTTTCATTCATTCGTTGTGAACAACCCAAAGGGTTTGATATTGAATCTCGACGAAATAGTTTCCGTATGCTTCATGGAGCCCCGCTTCAAGGGATCATTTCTCTAGGAGCATTAACTATCATTGAGGACGGTCCCACACATTCCAGTAAGGTCAACATCTGCGATTATCTATCAAATGTGCACTGCAGCAGAGAAGAGAAGCGAAGCATCGCCTGGTGGCCGTATGCGGACTGTTGGTCAACCCGCTATTGATCCCGTCGTCTCGGAATCACTCTGGTCACCTGGTTACTTGTAGTACAGTCTACGACGCTCCTTTCTCGCTTGTACGCGAACGATCTGCTGCTGTTAGCGGTGCTGGCGGGATGTTGCATCCGAGCGTCGGATACGGGGATTTACTCGTCGTCCGAGTCTCTCAACAACGGATATAGACCGAGAAGCGACTCGGTCTCTTCCAAGTCGGCCTAATCAGTGCACCAATCTGCGACGCGGCAAACTCTCTTTTCAATCGCTTCTGCATTCCGAGCCGCCGGCATATAAGCGGGCGCCATTCCCGACAATCATGACAATGGTTCCACCCCCGCACACCCCCTCCCCACCATCCCTTCTTCCAACCCAGCCCCGACCGCCCCGATCCTGTTCCCCCCCTTGTACAGATCCAATAGAGCTGTCGTCGTTGTGCGTTCCGTAGTCCATCCTACGGGATGAGAATAACTGCAGTGAAGGGATGGCGAGGGCATCTAACAGATCCAGGAGGTGGATTGCAAGTACAGCTGCAGTGCACCATACGCAGCTCAGGTGCTTGTGCGGTGATTTATTTTCATGATTATCTGTCGCGCGAAGATACAGTAGAGCCCCCCCCGCCCCCCCCCCCCCCCCCCCCAAGCAACCGCGATCAAATCCGGCGTTTCATACGTCTCTCAATATTAAGTGAGGTGCATTTCAAAGCCCAGTAGCTATGCCAGGCCTGCCAGGCCTTCTCGCCCCTCGAGATGGCTCAGGACCACCAACAACCTCCTATTCCGTCCTGACCCTCCCATCCCTACAAGGGAATGCCGGCCTGCGTGGTGTCGTGCCGTGATGTCGTTCCGTTCATCGCTCATAGCTTGCGGTTGACGTAGTACACCTCGCACTTCGAAGGATGAGGACATCCGGAGATGGACCGGGGCAAAGACGCTTGTTCAGCCATGATTCGACAGGATCGCCAGAGGCATATCTGATCGGCACCTCCAATTTGATTTCACGGAGCGTGAGACAACGGGGAAGCGTGGAGCGGAACTCGTTTTTTTGGCTCTTTGCATTTCCAGATCTGTTCAACGGGTCCCAAAAATGACGCTAGTATTTTCTTGAGCTAAGCGGCGTGGGCAGGAGTCCGGCCATTGGCAACCATTCGGAACATACACCCTTGTCCACCGGACATCGAACTAGTTGAAAACCCTATTGCAATCGTTTCGGAACGAACACGGTGATGCCTTCTTGCGAATAGCTTAGTCCTCAGCCCCTGCCCCACAGTTCGCCCAGCGTATCCCTCTCCCATTCGTTCCTGATCGCTGCAGGCGGGAACTCCCCCACATCTCCAGCTCGCGCATGCATCTCCATCCACTCATCCCCTCCATCGGCGTCGGCATATCCACGTCCTCCCGCAGCCGAATACCCACGATGGGATGCCGACGCCGGAACAGTGAAAAATTCGCGTAGTGCTAAAGGGATTCGGGATATGACGTTGCGGATTTCTGTGAAAGAGATGCGGGAGCGCCGAAGGGGGTGGCGAGAGTTGTCGGAGGTGAGTGATAGTGCTGCTATCGGGATGAGAATGAGGAGGAGAGCGACAAGGATGACCAGCGAGATGAGCAGGAAGACCTGTATGCTCGACATGGTTGGCTATCGGTGGGCGAATAGTGGCGGTGAGGACGTCGGAATTGTACAGTACTTGGCGGAGAGGGGTGCTTTCTGTGTGGGGGATGTTTTCTGCTACGTAACGGAAAGCGACGGAACGACAACGAGAGCTTCAACACGTCGTTCCTCCGTTCTGTTGGACCCTTTGGGCTAAAAGTTTCCAAGTTTGGCAGACTTCGTTGCAGACGAACAGGATCAGCGACAGAAAGGTCGTCTTCCTAGTCTAGTCGTTCCACCGCAAGCCCTCAGCGTACTACTCTCAAACGCATACAGTACTCCATCTCCTTTCAAGAATGACCCGTACGTTTCTCATCGGTCTTCCGTCCGGCTTACGCAACGGTGACTCTATAAACGTATGTCACCAAAATGTCGCTCACACTTTGTTACCGATTGGTTCCATACGAAACAGGCGGAAACCAAAGAGAGATCGCACGGGCGAAAGCTGCAAAAAAGGCCGACGGAAAAGGCGGGCAGCGCAAGGATGATATGACACATGCGCAACGGATGGAGTAGTGAGTTTCCCCTACGTCAACAAAACAGTTTAGACTCTTTTCCTAACCTGCCTACCATTCAGTGACAAAAAGATGATCCAGGAGAAGCAAGCGGCGAAAGCAGCGGCGGCAGCGGCAGCGGCAGCAGGCGGGGGAGCAGGGACAGACGCTAAGAAGAAATGAGAGGACGAAGGGCCATCACAGGGACGATAGATACCACTCGGGAAGATCCACTATTTTTATGTTACCACTATCATTATCCGTTCCGAATAGATTTGCGCCTTTTGAAAGTAATCTGAAGTCAAGGTTCAAATGATTTCGCTCCCGGTGAGAGCGACCGGCAATTTGGAATGGAAGAGCGCCAGGAAGACGACGGGTTTTCGCATTTGGTCTCATTTTCCATGGCGGGTACGTTTCCCCGGCCACTTACCGCCCTGCTCCACTGATAACGAATTACACTCTGATATGCGATGTTGGGGAAATGTCTTTCATTGTGCGGCGGCACATTTAGGCACAAATGTACATTACAGTGTGTGGAGGGGCAGGGGTATCAAGAGTGAGGTGGACGAACGTGGCCCGAGGTCAAGCCCATGGTCCATGCTGCTAGGTGGCAGCCGTCAGGGTTGCGCTGTATAGCCTGAAGTGGCACCGGTTGGTTTTTCGTGCTTTGTACTGGACGCTATGGCCCCCAGTTCTCCATATGCCGCACCAAAACGACTCCGTCTCTCCAGCGATTCGACATCCAACCATACACCCCCACTCGGTGCGCTTGGCGTAAACGTCATACTTTCCGACACGCTTAGCTACTCCGAACGATGACCGGCGGCTTCTCAAAATATTCCAAAAATGCATATGTATCGGGTTTGGCGGACAGTGGTCCGCCGCAGAATGCTGGGTATGCGAGCAATGCTCAAACAAGGCCGTCGTAAAGATTGAGCGCGTTGACTATCGTCGGGTCTTTCTGCGAGCCTTCCCGGAATTCTTCCATATCGAGTTTCCCATCTCCATTCTAGATCCGTGGTGGCAAGAGCGGTAAGTATGCATGTTCAAAGACCCAGAGGTCTAATTGCGCATAGATCCCCTCCTGCCCATGCATTGAACTTACACTGTCCATCAACGTGAAGATCTTCTCCACCCGCTTGTCCGCGGTATCCTCATCTTCGGGTAGCTTGACCATATTCCCCACCATTTTGTATATTGCCTCTACGATTTGATACATCTCGTCCCGTGTTATGTATCCATCGTTGTTGATGTCGTATAGTTGAAATGACCCTACGGAAAGCAAGAACAGTATGCAGCGATCAGAAACCAAGACCCAATCTCATTCCCAGCTTCGTTCTGAATCCAAACCGCACGTATCCGTGAACGGTCCACCGCCATGCTCCAGCCCTTTCTCCTCGTTCACAGCGTGACTTTCCAATACTCACAAACAAGCTTCTCGTCGATCCTCCCCCTCGACGTAACCGACAACGCCGAGATGAACTCCTTGAAATCTACCGTCCCGTTCTTATTCTCGTCAAACACGTCAAATACGTGATTCGCGAAAGCGGCCGAGTCTCCGAATGGGAAGAACTGTTTATATATCCGTGCGAAATTCTCGCGGTCGAGGGAGCCGGTTGGACAGTCTTTCATAAAGCCTTTGTACCATTGCTGTAGTTCTCTCTTGTCGACTATAAAGCATACGGTAAGCGTTGGGTGAGTTAGAGGGAGATAAGGCTGATCAGCTATCGCTGGTACAAGTGACGTGAGTGACAGCGGAGAAGGCCTCGGCCGACGTACAGTAAGTGCATCGCTGCAGTTCTTGCAGCTCTTCTGAGCTCAGCTTGCTGTTCGCTTTCCCCATGGAGTTGACGAGTTTGACGGTCGAGGGTGGTCAACGGGAGTGTCCACGACGACGCTTCGAAATACAGCAAGTCGGCGTTTGGCGGTGTGTTCCAAAGGAGACGAGGCTTTCCGACGACAAGCGCGTTTCCGCCCTTTCCCGTCGTTGAATAAAATGACAGCGTACTACGGATAAGCCAGCACACTTCGAAGACTCACTTCTCAAGTTACGTTCACGGGTAGATTATGAGCACATTAAAAAGGAATATTACATGAAGAGATTGAGGAAACGCGGATGACGGCGGGTTTCCGGTAAGTGGGTGCTAAAATGGTGTATCTATCGGCCGGCGAGGGCAAGGGGAGGGACTTCCCTGCAAAAGTCCTGGCCGAACGTTTCTAGTAGTAGTGATGTTTTCACAAACCAGCCTTACTGCCGGCCAATGACAGTAAGATCATAGCAGTGGTGCACGCCAAGGCCGTGCCCGCACAATGGCCCGTCGCTTCAAATGGAATGCTGACCGTCTCGTCGATATGGTTCCAGGACCCGCTGTTGCAAGCTAGCTTAACTTTCTTCGCGGCCTTGAGGCCGTACAGCGATAGCGACAGGAACGCGCATGACAGTGGCCATGGCAGGAAGATGAGAGCAAGGAAGGGCGTGAGGACTTGCACGGCGTAGTAGATGTTGGCGGCGTTGCGGACACCGATGCGCGCGGCGAAGGTGATCTTGCTTACGCGGAGGTCGCCTTCGACGTCCGGGATGTTCATGACGACCATGCGAGCCCATTGCTGGATGGCGAGGATGGCGAGGAGATAGGGCAAGGAGGAAGGCATGCTGTGATGGGGATGGGATGCAATGTGAGGATGGATTTGGGACAGATCCTGCATCATACTGATGACTTACGTGAAAGTTTCCCAAGTCTTTCCAGTACCAGGCTGCGTCGCGAATCCGAACAATGGCGTCAAGACAGTCAACACCGTTGCGACGGTCAGCTCTCCTAATGAATGGTAGTGCAACCTCACAGGCGGGGAGGTGTAGCTCCACGCTAGGGTCATAATGGCGATGGCAATGTACACGACGGGTTGGGAGTCCCATTTGGCTCCCCACACTGACAAGATGCCGAAGACGGTCAACGTGACGGACGCGGCAAGGGCCGACCAGGTAGGAAGTAATCCATCGACGAGGACCCTGGATCCTCCTGTCCACTTAGTTGGCGTGTCGTTGGCGAGATCGGCTTGCAGATCAAAATACTCGTTGTTGTAATGTGTTTGCAGGTGCGTCACCCAGATGAAGCTCAACGCGACCATGTAGGCTGGCCAGTCGATGGGCGTGCCTGACGATTGACTCGAGTAGAGGGCGCCGAGAAGGGTGAGAATGGCGCTGTATGGGAGGAACTTGGGTCGGCCGAGTTTGATGAACGCCTGGAGCGTCGACTTCCAGGTGTCGTGGGTTACGGCGGGGGCGGGCTTCGTGCGCCATGTTGGTGCCGGTGCGGGAGATACCTTCTCGACGGCTGCCGGCCGAGAGCGGAGAATGGAAGCTTCGTTGAGGGCCATTGTTGCGGATGGAAATTTGGTGTATCTTATGATGGTAAGCGAAGAAGGTCGCAGATGCTAGGAATCGTCGCGGCCGTAGGTGGAGCCATGCCGAGACTATATACTGCCCGTCCTCCAACGCGGAGGATGCAGCGCAAGACGGAGTCTGATGGACAGATGCCGCCATGCGGGTTCGCCATGCACTTTGAATACAGTGGAACATCACAGATGGATTTCGCCGCCCCTAGCGTCATCAATCATCGTTGATTGTCCTGCCAAGCAGCGGAGGAATCGAATTACGACGATGCCGCTTTCGCAGCGCTTGCATCAAGTTGCATGCGTCGAAGATGTCTGGTCATGTTGAAAGACAAACTTTTCGAAGGGTGTACACAGGAAAAGGGGGGAATGGAAAGAGTACATGAATGGGAGACGGATTCACCACCGCGCAGCGAACGTCGTCGGGCGGGTCACTACGAAAGTCCACTGTCACAGACTGCACCCGCATAGGAGCGGATGCGTAAAGATAGCCATGGCTCAGGGCAATGCCACCTCCTGTACAGTATGTACGCATGCGCGCGCGGTGCCATAGCGTTCACCTAGTTCATTTCCAGGACCAAATGACACTATTCGACGGTAATCTGCTCAGAATAAGGACCCAGAACGTCGGTAACCTATGCTCCGTGCTCCAGGGGTTCGGTATTGCGGAGATGGCGGACGTTCGAAAATCGAGGGTGCTGTCAATTGCCGGTCACAGATCTCGTCATGTTCCCCTTTTTTTGCGCTCTATACGCGGGAAACGAAAACACAGATACCCCGCACCGCCAAAGGCCAAAGACGATGGGAGGCATTGGGAGCAGCCGGAAATCGCAATCATTCAGATTCCTTCTTTGGCACCGTCATAGCACGAGGGCTCGTGCTGAATTTGCAGTCCGCGGTGCTTTGCAGTTTGATTCTTGAACAGTTGAACTTGAAGGACAGGGTCCGCCGCTGTGGCGGCATGCGAAGCTGATGAAATTTTCTCATTTCTCCGGACGAAGGACAGTCTGTTGCCATAAAGCAGGTCGCACCTGGCCGTGCGCAGTCGGCCCCAGCGGTTGTTGCCTAGGACAGTGACAGATCTAGTTTAGATTAGGGGTCCTCATACCGTGAAATTTGAATGAGGATGATGGGTGCAATGATCAGCCGCGAGGACACTGACTTACTTTCGGTGGCGACCTGCTTTATGGCAACAGACTGTACTGTACTGTAGATCTGAATAACACGTCCAAAGATCCGAGTACTGTTCCTCGTTCAATGACGCGGCGGCAGCGTCATAAAGCAACAGCTACTGTGATGGATTTCTCTCTTGATGTGATTCTAGCCTCTTCGACTTGCTGCATATAGCTGCCGAAGATGCTGGGATGGTCTTACGGCTCACGGCTCGCAGACCGCAGTGCGTACTGGAAGTCACGGTGTTCCTTCCGTTGCAATCCGTTGTCGTCGAGCATGTGAGTCGAGCTGCGCTACATCCTATATTAACCCCCCCCCCCCCCCCCCTCCCCCCTCCCGCAAGTTTTCGTGCCAACGTCGACGGATTTTAAGTTGGAGCTGCATGGTACTATGCGCGGACATTGCGCTGCGCAGCGCCGTACTAAATTTTTGCTGTGGCCATAAAGTCCGGCCCTGATGAGAGTCCGACCCCACCAGTCTCCGCAAAAGAGTACTGTAGGCCGCTGAGTCGGGCCCCTGAGACAGGTACAGTACGTCTCAACGTTCGTCGTTCGATTGCTGGGTCGACAGGCGTGAAGACTGGGCGGTCAGCACCTGCGTCCAGCTGCTGAGCATATGCAGTGGGTTCCAATCAAACCGTCTGAGCGAACATCGCCCACCTTCGGGATGTCAGAGGGACATGGCCACGTCCATGTTACATACGTTCGGCCTCGTGTGTTATAGAGGCCCAGCGAATGAACCAGCTTTTCGAAAGCCTTTGCAACTGGTGCGCAAACGAGGTCCATACCGGATACTTTGAGAAGGTGTTTCGGAAAGGGCGGCCTGCCTACATACACAATGCATGCACGCTTTTGGAAAGGTTTCCGAATGAAGGCTCCAGTGTCCAGATGTTGAAGCAGATGTTTGTGTCGTGGGGCTTCACAAATGGCCACTTCTTCACACGGCAAGATGTAACAATTGAGCACATGTCTCCTCCAGAAGTTGACTGCAGAACACGAAGGGTACAACATGTGCAAGATCATCAATAACCCCACCAGTTTTGCGGGAATAGTGAATATCTTCAGTTCTTGTACGGCCTGTTTTTGACTCCATGCTAACCTGGTCACTAGCGCTGTCCGGGGTGCTTCTTTGTGAACACTCGCGTCGAGACTTATGAGACCTGGGGAAGCCCATTGCAGGTAGTACCACATCACAGAAAGCCCATCTTCCAGACTCTACTCCGTCGGCAGCCTTGCCCAGAAAGGACGTGGAACAGCAAGGGATGACGGATTCTGAACGCGTTCAAAAGTCGGCGCACGCGCGATCGGACGTTTCATCAACTTTCGGACACTTCGTTTGCGCTGTGCACCGTGGGTCGAGGATTCAGCAGCTGTTCGCCGTCCCAATAATGAAGTCCCAACAAGACCACGGAATCCCCTCCCCCTCCCGTTACGTTTTGCCAAGCAACCTGTGGAGAGCAGGAAACGACCAGGGGGCGAGGCCGACACGGGTTTACGAACGTTCAACCTGACTGCGTCCGTTATGCCTCCAAAACGAACTCCTGTCGGACAGCGCTCGTCACTCAACGACTTTCTTCGGCGACCTGCCCCGTCCCCACATACGCCGCATCAAGCATGGACAAAACCGGAACCGGAGATGCCACAACAACAGCAGCCGTCATCCTCTCTGTCTCCCTCCCATGCCCCACTTCCAAGCACAGAACCCGCAGAATGCCCCATGGACATCACAGGTATGAGTCGCTGAGTTCGCCAGCCCGCTCATTTTCCCACGCGCAACCCAACAAGGAATATGTATCTGTAGAATCCGCTACGACGGCCCAGTCGGCTTCACCAAACTCCGATTCACAAGAAAGAGGGGCAGGGAAGCGGAAAGCGGAAGAGTTGATCGATGGGGGCCCCGTGGATGTAAAAACGGACCTTCAAGCTCCAGCCGAAGTGGAAAGTTCAGGAACAACTCCTGTTATTGCTGAGACACGGAAGTCGACTAGGAAGAAGCAAAAGTTGGACAAGGCTGCCCCATCACAAGCGTCTTCATCAGCTTCTGCCGAGGTCAAACCGCCTTTCCATGTAGATATCAAGAAGGGCAAGGTTGTCTTCAGCGAGAAGAAGGTCAACTTTGAACGACATCCCAGCACCATCACAGATCTCGCCTCCTTCTTCCAATGGAAAGAGGATCTGCCCCAAGGGGAGGCTCTGAGTGTATTCCCTCCTCTTTTCCACTCACTCGTCGCCAGATACGTGGAAGAAAGCCACCTCGAATTGGACGCGTTGGCATCGCACATTAAGGACGCGCTGTGTCCCCCGGGGTTTGGAGAAGACTCGCCTGATGACGGAGAAGTGCTTTCAGCCGATGTAATCGCCACTGCCGTTCAGTCACTCGCAGCGAGGCGGAACTATGGTGTATGCTGCAACAATATCTCACCGCCAAATCTTGCAGTTTGGAGGTGGGAAGTGCAAAATATGTCTCTGTTCCCACCAGAACTGGCCACTACCGTCGATCAGCGGCGACAGAAGCGGATATTAGCTGCGTCCGCGTTGAATTCTATCTTCAAGTCCCTCCCGAAAAGCGAGAAGGATAAAATCGCACCACCACCAGCAACCACGGCTAAAGCTGCACCGGCACTAGCGATAGCTTCGACGCCAAGAGCAAAGCAGGATGCGAAGCAAGAAGCCAAAGAACGTGAGAAGCAGAAGAAGGCAGCAGAGAAAGCCGCTGAGAAGCTTGAGAAAGAGCGCAGAGCTGCGGAGAAATTGGCAGAAAAGGCGGCGGAGAAGGCCGAGAAGGATAGAAAAGGAGCGGAGCGTAAAGCCGAAAGAGAGCTGAAAGAGGCAGAGCGCAAAGCGGAGCGAGAAAAGAAGGACGCCATAAAGCGGGCCCAGAAGGATGCGGAGGATGCGGAGAAGAGCAAACAGAAGAGCATCGCCGGCTTCTTCACGAAGGTTCAGCGGGAAGAAGTGAAGCCAGCACCTCCGGTGAAGGTCGTGTCGGAAACGAAGGCCTTTTGGGAGTACTTTCCACCATTCCACGCAAAAGACAACATCACGGTCGCCCCATACAACCGCTTTCCTAAACCTTCGGCTGCCTTGCTTGCGAAACTGTTCCCTCGCCCTCCGCCAAATGTCAGTTTACCGAAATTTTCCAGGGCCCCGTCAACCAGTGCGAAATCGACACTTCCGGCGGATGTCATGGATATCGTTCATGCGAACGGCGATGGCAGCGTGAAGACCATCCCAGCGGAGATTTACCGGTACAAGCTCCTGCAATTTGCCGGTGACCTTCGACCACCATACTGGGGCACTTGGACCAAGACCAGCAAGGTCATCAACGGTCGACGTCCTTTTGCGAGAGACACTGTCACCCTGGACTACGACTACGACTCTGAAGCGGAGTGGGAGGAGGACGGACCTGGTGAAGAGCTTGTCAGTGAGGCTGACGATGATTCGGAGGCGGAATCTACGGCGGATGCCGCTGAGGAGGAGGTGCGTGCCCATTTCATCAAATGAACATCGTATTCTCCGCCTTTCACTGACAACGATATATTGACATTCCGACTACGAAGGACAATTGGCTCGTCCCTCATGGTTACCTTTCGGATGATGAGGGGCTTGAGAAGGATGAGGAAGACCAGTCAGCAAAACCTAGAAGTAATGCGGTTGAGTGACGCTATTGCCCTGGCAACCTGAACCTGATTCTTTGCTTCGTTTACAGATGCACCTGCACCGGCGTCGCCTACATCCGTGCTAGCAAGGAAAGGAAAGGAGCGCGGGAAGTGGGGAGTACTTGCCGCCCTCGTGCCGGACATACGTGGCCCGTTTTTCTCCACTGACTTGGAAAGCGGAGAGAGTAGTCATCCTTTGAGCCAATATACCGCACAATCACTTCTGCCAGGTAAACGAAAGTGCCTTCTCCCCTTAAACTTCCTGCGCGCAGCGAACGAGAACTCATCATTGTTTTCGATAACGGTGTCTTAGATGTTTCTATGAACATCAGCCCATTCCACGTTCAAAAGGACCCACCCGATGGTTCGGGGACCCCGGTGTCAGATGCTACTGAGGCGCAAGGCAAAAAATCGCTTCAACCATCCGCGAAGAAGCCTGCTTTTCCCCAGGATAGGCTGGTGGAACTCAAAGACGCTATATCCGGCAAATCAACGGGGATTTCGAAACTCGTAGAGGAATTGAAGGTGCTGTTTGCTGATGTACCCAAAACTCAACTAGACGCCAAGATCAGGGAAATTGCAGTCAAGGAAAAGCGAACCGGCGATAGAGTCGCTTGCTGGTATCTGAAGGATGCGCCCGCGCAGCAGGGCAATTCGACGTCGGCGTTGGCTCCTGTGCTCACGGCGACGCCTAGGAAACTCAAAGCGAGCCCTTCGATTAAGGATATGTTAAGCCCACATAAAGCTCATAAACCGGCCGCCCCAACTTCAACATATCCGCGGTCGACACCAAACAGCCCAGCTTCTACTGTCACTCAGAATATCCTCCAATCTCCATGCCCTCCCAACTCCGCCACCTCCAAACTGGCTGCTTCCATCGTCGCATCGTCCTATACAAGCACTGAAACTTCCGTACCATCAACGACCTCAATTGCAAATCCTCCCGCAGCCAACGCACCATCTAAAGTTGACGACCGCATGTCCCTCGCCACGCAGACATTGCAGTCTTCCGCAAGCACAGATCCACAGCGCTGCTTATCCGTCCTACCCGTGCAGGAGCTCGTCACTGCCTCTCATGGGATCCTACCAGACGAGCTGATGACTGCTATACTCGACGTGGCAGCAAAGATGAGCGTTCAGGCGGAGTTGAGGAGTCGATGCCTGCGGGTGCTCGGCAATCAGGTTACGGAGTTGGAGAAGGGGTTTCACAATGCGCAATTGAGGTACGTGAAGGTTACCTTTGCCGAGGATTGTGTTGGCGGCCCCTGAACTAACGTCCCCTTGTCTTGACGCTCTTCATATGTGGCCCTAACAGGACGGCCGCAGAAGCGACGTATACGTCCCTCGCGACGAACTCCAAACTTTTTGTTTGCATAGACAGCAACCTTGTGCCTGATCCTGAAAATGGTATGTTCGGCCCTGGCTATTGCTCTCTTGCCTCTAGAAGTCTCATCATCCGTTCTTACACGGAAGGTTCACCGCCCATTGTTGTCAAAAATATGGTGAGTTCGCTGTTGGGCTGTAAATGTTGCTTCCACATTGCGTTTCTGACACACTTCCTATGGATTCAGCTACGGTTACTGCTGGCTCTGGTGCAGGTCCGGGCCGACTTCGCGAAACGCACCGTCGAATGTATGTATAATTGTCCTGTCCATTTTCATTGGACATGGCAGATTGGGCCTGATGATGTGCATCCATGTTTTGATTTTTTCCAAAGCTCTGAATGAGACCATCGCAACGAGATGGCTTCCTAAATTGCTGACCAACTTGGAGTCGGCGCCGGTCGAGATGGCCGGATTCGCTGTTGGCCTGGTACGTTTCGGTCGAGCATCACAGAGGACAAGCTCTTCTTGTCTATCGAATTGCTTACACATTTGATTCTCGCCCGGACAGGTGGATTCTTGCATTCTCACAGCGGCACCATTTGATCCGCAGCAGTTATGGAGCGTATTGGATGCTCTGAGACCGCAGCTTGGGAAGAAAGAGGTCCGTGTAACCCGGCCACGCTCTCATCTTCAGCCCGGGTTCGAGTTGTCGGTCCACAGCCTTCTCCCTCCTGATCCCACTTTCTTGTCAATCAGATGTACCAAAAAGGACCCGGCGTACGAAAGGACAAATACTTCGGTGTCAAGAAATATGCCGTCAAAGCCTTCGAGAAGATCTTGCAGCGAGGGGAATGTCGTGCGGTGAGTGTTATCGCCCCCGCAGGGCGTCACTGATCTACGACGGGTGCTTGATTGAAATATGTTCTCAATGTCTTTAGACCCTATCCGATAACCCCTCGCAGGTACTTTCATTAAAGACAGTCCTGGAGAATTTCAAGTTGGATAAGGACACTCCGGCACAATCTATTGCCCAAGTGAACGAAATTCTCACCGCGCTAGGGAACTTGGAGCGTGCGTGATTGTTGCCGCCTGGTTATAGAGTGGACCCGCAGCATACTTGGAGGGGCGGGTCCTTGACGTTTTGTATATACACATGGTACATGGAATGGCTGTTGCTCACTTACAGGATGTCATCCTTAAACCGGTCCATGCCAATGAGCACCACAAATGTGGAAGATTGACAGCGGGTCGGAGTTTTCAACGTAATCCTGTCAATTGCTGTCGTTCTTTCACCAACGAAAATTTGACTGACACCGTCTAGGCTCATATGCAGTGCCTGCACATCGTGAAGGCCGTATACAAGCCTTACATCGCCATAACTTGCCCCTCGGCCCTTCACTTCCCAAATCTGCCTCGGATCATCGAGCTCGATATCATGGCGGCCTCAATATTCAAAACCCACTTATCCGTCCCAGTTCCTTTTGACGAAACGGACCGCGTCGGCGCGGATCCCGCAATCCCAACATCCTACCTCAATTTCAATGATCCGGCAGCCCGCACGCCACATCAGACAGCCGCCAAGCTTGCGTTCCCGGGTTACCCAGCATCCAACATCAATCTTGCCAAGTATGCCGGGGCCGTATTGCCGCGCATCATGGGGTATGCAGTGGGACCGACGAAGGAGGTGCGGAGGGAAGAGGATCAGGGTGAGGAGGGGGAAGCACATGAAGAGGAGAGGGTTAGGGTATTGCCGATTTGGCATCATGGGTATGATGCGGTAAGTGCTTTGCACTATTTAAATCTTGACGGATATTCCTGATAACTCATACTGACATCCAGCTTGCTCCCCAACTTTATCTTCATGTTCTTTTCTGAAACCATGCATACCGTGTCGATCAGCCAACAGGGGTTTCAGTCTTTACGGCGTCTTTTAAGAAGCCAGCGGCACATAGTATCACCGCCGAACGGGAGGAGAATCGGAAGGCTGCTTTGAAGGAGAGGTGACGGGCAAATCCATCTATTTACGACTTCAATGTGAGAGACTCACGCTTCATGCATTCTGTGTTCAGGGCTGGAACCTTCCGCATTCGCGGCATCGAGGAGGTTACTTCCCAGGACATCAGGTAAGAAGCGAAGCGGTTTATGCTAACAAATAAAGAATGAGGGGCTGCGTTGTCTTCTTTCCTCATCGGCAAGCCTCCCATCCTAACTGAACACTTTCCCGCCTCCTTCGTCTCTCAAACTCATTCCGAACGCCCAATTGAACCAGTCGCCGATCAACGACAACACACACGATCGCATTCGGCGGGACCGAAGCAACACGAGCCGGGTTCCCGCACTTCAATCCAACGCTGGCCGCAGCAACGCAAGCATCGTACGTGATAGATCCTGCGATCGCACCCCCGGCGGGCGTGGCTGCAAGAACCGCCTTACCGGCCGAGGGCAACGGCGACGAGCATGAGAAGGACTCAGGGCATGGTCATGACGAACGGACCCACCGAGTCCCCAAGGCCTTTATCGACGGATTCAGTGAGGACGCACCACAGCACAACCTTCATCAGCGGCGGTCGCACCAGCCGACAGCGCACGAGCGGCAGCGCCGTCAGCAGCGACGCGTTGGAGCGGGGAAGGGGCCGGGAGCCGGGTCATTCCAATACTCATCCGACAAGCACTACAAGCTGACACAGACTTCCGAGACGCATGGTGCATACGAGGGCAACGATGCGATTTCGTTTGCCCGGGTCAGTCGATTTGTGCCACGGGGTGAGGAGCATGTGGTGGGCGGCGACGGGATGCGTTGGGCAGGTTCGCGCGGCGAGGGGTCTGGGGTGTGTACATGGGCAGATGAAGTCGGGGCAGGTCGGCGTCGTTGGCGAGGAAAGAATGAGCAGCAAGATGTGGATGATCTGGGTCACAGACGAATGACGAGGAAGGAGGCTATGGACGCCCGCCAAGCAATAATCAGGGATGGTGTGCGTGGCGGGTTGGGAATAGGCATTGCGGGGAAGTAAGGCTTGGGGCTGCCGAGAAGTAGGAAATAGGTGAATTCATCTGTGTTGGGACGAAGAATGCCACAACGGTTTTTGAAACGCTGCTGATGGAGGCGTCAGGCCCTAGTTGCGTAGTCACGAGACTGTGTTTTGCAAGGATCGTATTATTCCACTGAGAAGCAAACGGGGCCGAACCTGCGTTGGCGGCCCCTAAGGATGTTATAGCGCTCGTTGCCTAGACGCAACTCCTTACGAGACCCAACACACCAACGCGATACAGGTTCAACGGAGTCTGGAGGCTCTGATGCAGGCTCTGATGATACCTAGTAGCCTAGGGACCTGAAGAAAGGCAAATTCCAAAGAATGATCGCCAATCTTCACTGAAGACCATGATGATTCAGCCTGCATGCCTGTGTCAACGTGGAGCAGCTGAAGGTGATTGAGCAGTCTGCGTGCCTTGGGTACCTTCATGCTGTACATGAACGGCCAAAGCTCCGAAAGTCGAACCAACAGCAAAGCTCGCAAACGTGTGACTCATGGCGAGCTGGTACAAAGGTGCATTATTTGTGTGTTACTGCAAACACTCTGCATTCATCAAGGCGAGATGGCCGAGTTGGTCTAAGGCGTCAGGTTAAGGCCCTGATCTCTCCGGAGGCGTGGGTTCAAATCCCACTCTCGTCACGATTTTTTGCTTTTTGCCACCAGATTCTAGTTCTTGGGCGTGGAGATCACTGCAACGGAAGAACAAAATACAAGAAGGGTATGACTTCCTTGTGGGTGCACTTTGGGGTTGCAGTGTTTTTCGCCGACCCGCGACCGTAGTTGCCTTTGCCCTCCGGGGGTCTCGACGTGGCAGATCCCATACCCAGACCAAACCCATTCATCTGCATAAGAGATCAAATTGCGTAAACTCGTGCTGCATCGCCCTCCATTGTGTTCTTTGCTCCCCACCGACGACGCCCATGACGTCGTTGAGAGCGAGCGAGAGCAAGCCCATGCTGGGGCGCCGGGCTCTTGGGCTCGCCCCCCCCCCCCCCCCCCCCCCCCCCCCCCTCTCTCTCTCTCTCCACCCCCCCAAATCACTACTCCCTAACCCCTTCCCTTTTTTCCCCGCCCTCGACATCCTCCCTATCTTCTCTCTCCCCTCGATCCCAATTCATATCTCCCATCCGCTTGTAGGATTCCTTATCCGCCCGATCCTCCTCCCATTTCGCCTCTGAATCATCCGATTCTGCTTCTTGTTGATGCACGGAACACTGTCCAGGGGTCTGAACGATCATGCAACATCTTCGGCACATGTGCGCTACGCATTTGACATTGGCCACAGCGTGCAGCGAGAGATCAAGGTGCGGGCATTAGCGGCGGCGAAGGCTTGCATGGCTCTCACGTCGCCAGCGGCCCCACTAATGCTCCACAGTAAATTGTCGCATGGGTTTCTCCCCATCTGTTACTGAATTGCCGCCGAATCAAGGCGTTTCACCTTGCGCCCATGAAGGCGACTCTTCGTTGGGATGTGGGAGCCCCCGCCCCCCAACACCCCACGGCCCCGCCCATTGCCGCTGCGGTTTGGGCGGCGCGACCCCCAACGTAAGCATTCCTTTCGCGAGGCAAAATTTTGGAAACCGCAGCCGGTTCTCTCGCACCTCCAGTCGCCCCGTTGCATGATGGGTCCACCGCGAGGTCCGTGGGGCACGCCGCCGTACCCAACGTAGCGCTCGCTGCGCCTCGAGACATCAGCACGGCTGGATCCCCTATATCCGCCGCCTGCGGGACGGCCGTACGGGTGGAAGCGAGAGTCCATCATGCCCCGGGCACCACGCAGGGCGCCGTATTCCACAATCCTCTCATCCCTCCTCTCATCCCTCCACTCAAGAAGAACTAGAATCTGATGGCAAAAAGCAAAAAAAATTGTGACGAGAGTGGGATTTGAACCCACGCCTCCGGAGAGATCAGGGCCTTAACCTGACGCCTTAGACCAACTCGGCCATCTCGCCTTGATGAATGCAGGGTGTTCAAAGTGATACAGAAATGATACGTATTCCGCCAAGATGACCGTATCCTGTGGTATGCTCTAATCGTACCCGCATCGCCAGACACGTTTATGTGAAGAGCGCATTTGTCAAGACTCAAGAAGCCAACACACTTTCAATTCGATATGCACAACACTTTTCATGTTCTTATCTTAAAAGTGTATCGTGTCGGGCGCACCGACAGAGCAAACGGGAAGCGCGACGAAGAAGGGGAGAGGGGAGGGGAGAACATGGGAGAGGAGGTCCACAGGAGAGGAGAAGACAAGCACATGAGGAGTTCTTTGGGATTGTGGGGTTATTTTTGTATATGTTCCTTTCTCAGTGATGCATGGCTCGCTTAGGGAAATGTTAAAGGAGTAGCGTACGCCGCACACGGAAAAATGAATCGTTTTCCATCAAGAATGTTTTGTTTTCTGCGATGGGTCCGGGCTCGGCGAGTTCGAAGGTGAGGATCATACCCAGCAACAAGGGAGAGGAAGGAAAATTCTTCGTCTGTCTTGAATCGATGTGGGAATAGAGTTATCGCCTCACCGGTACTCAAACGTCAACAACGTACACGCCCCCACGCCTGGTCTCTTGCACGACCTTGTCGCCGACACCAGACAGGAAACATTGCAGGCTGGTGATGGTGCTCCGAATGAGCTCGGTCGCGGGCATGGCCGGTGAGTTCGGGTTGGGCTTGACATTTGCGGGAACGACGGGGCGGCGCTTGTTGTTGTGACGACGACCACGGCGGTTGGACACGGGAGTGGGCGGCGGAGGCGTGGGTGTGGATGCACGTTCAACTTGGGCGGCCTCCTCTTCTTCCTCCTCGTGTTGTTCAAAGGCGAACGGAGACTCATCGTCAGAAACTGTGGACCGGACGGACGAAGAGTTGCTTTGCTTGTCGCTGAGAGCCAGTTTCCCCTTTTGACTTTCCATTCCCGCGTCGGAATCGATTTTCGTGGGCGATGTCCCAAAGACGGGGAGAACGCTGTAGTCCATCTCATCATCGTCCGCAGCCCAGTCGAACCCAGTGATAGAGAACGGGCTAGAGCTGACACCGACGGGCGTGAACGTAGTCGGCTTCGCAGGTGTATCAATTGGGCTGCTGACCACAACATCCGGCACGCGGTACTGACGCTCATCGACGTCTTCATCAACAATCGGGTTGACAAAAGTCTTGGTCTGAGCCACGAGTTCGCACATGCGCTCAACTCCGACGCGAAGGCGGAAGATCTGATCCAAAACTTGAGTGAACTCGTCAGTGAAACCGAACCGTCTCTTCAGGCACTCGACGCCTTCCTTGTCAAACTGAGCGTAGTTGATATCGGAGCGCACAGACGGCTCGATCCAGGGGTTCGTACCGGTCACGAGATTGATAAGGATGATTCCAAGCGCCCACGCATCGTTCGAAGCACAGTCGTAGTCATAACCATCGAAACATTCAGGGGACATGTAACGAACCGATCCGACGCCAATTTCCCTGGACTTCTTCTCTGTCGTGGCAAGACCAAAGTCGGAGAGCTTGAGCATGTCCGATGAGACAAGAATGTTCTCGGGCTTGAGATCGCGATGATAGATGCCGTGGTCGTGAGCGTGCAAGACGGCAGCGCATATCTGATTGAAGTAGAAGGATACGTCATCCTCTCGCAGGCCGCCGGTCTCGAGCATCTCAAACAAGTCTCCCTCGCAGTTTTCCATGACGAGGAAGAGGCAATCCTTGGTGTCGATGACATCATAGATTCTAACGACGTTGTCGTGCTGAGGAAGGATGGTAGACATGATTTCAGCCTCGAGCTTTTGAGCGGCGAGTTGTTCAGGTTCCAGGTTCTGCTTGAACAACGCCTTGACCGCGTATTGGGTAGAGGGCGACCTAGTGGAGGAGGCCTCGTACACGACGGCGAATGAGCCAACGCCGAGCACGTGGTGCAAGGTCAGATGGTCGCCGGGGCCGATTTTCATGCCGAGTAGACATTGAGGATCGTTGGGATCGATACGGGCCATTGCTGTGAGATGAGTCTCAATCTCGTGATAGGTGCGTGGGAATATGGTTGATGACTGAAGGGCCTGAAAAACAAAATTGGGAATGCGCGTGCGATATGTGCGACCGGATAATTTCCGAAGAGTAGGTGTTGCGGGACAAGATAGTGAATGGGTGAAACCCGCTGCGAATGGCAGAAGAAGGCAATGAGTTTCTGATGGACCTCTCGAATCCGGCAGAGAATCATAAAACGGAACACTTACAGACACAGAGGATGATAGTGGTAAACAGTAATCACATTGCTTGTTGGGCGTACGTGGTGCTTCTCCTCAGGAGCAAAGCGAAGATGGCATTCGGATGGGAATTTACAAAGTGGTCATCATGTTGGTCAAAATCGTTGCAAAGTTGTGGTAATGAAGCTCTATGCACGAATGGCACGGAATACGAGATATATAACGAGGTCCTGCGAATCCAAATAAGAATGAGCTTAAGAGTCATATACTCCTGAAACTGTCGCGCCCGTGAAACGGCCGAATGACGGCACAACGTGCCCACAAAACAAACAAACTCACGTCAAGAAGGCAACCAGCTTGTTACAGCGCGGTTGGCTCGAGAAGACTTAAATGGCAAAGGGGTGTATAGGTCGTATGTGAAGCGACTTCCTGAAGTCACCCTCTAAAGTCTAGGGCTGGTCTCCGTAAAAACCTTGGTATCACCAGTGATCGAACGGTTTCCGGAGCTGAGGGTCACCTCAGTAAGAGTTGGTCAAATGTGCCAAGGAGACGTCGGACAACCAGACCAACACCAAGTTCGTTGCAATCAGAATGGTGATGATGCGATTGGGGAACGTTCGGTGGTGCTTTGCTGGGTGCCAATGGATCGTGCGTAGCGGGCCGTATTACCACAACTGAGCCTAGGCTATTGACGTTGTCCGCAATGCCCGGGAGGAGCGGGTCAGGAACGTTGGTGTTCTGTTGTGTTGTGAGCGCAGGCGACTTCAGTCGCTAGTCGCAGGGCTGGGGCGAATATGCGTGGGGCAATGGTCTTGCTCGAGGCTGGTCTTGTTTGCCTGTATGTAAGGAATACGGTGAGTGAGAACGTAACGAAGGTTCACACCGTCGTGATGCTTCTCCACCGGGAAGCCCTTGCTTCGGAATGGGACGGAGGGGTATGTGTGAGGAGAGAACTTACACAACAGTGTATACGAGAGAATGGCGACTACGCTGACGAGCGGAGTATGTAGGAATTCACTTGAAGGCTTGGGCACTGCTGTCACAAAGCCGTTGTCACAAGTGAGTGTGCGGGGCGAAGGGATTGGGTTGAGTGTGGAGAGCGAAGCTGGGGCTGCTTGTGTGTTTCAAGGTGGCCTCAGATTCTTGTGTGCGAGACGAGGACGATGCGGAGAGCGGATTGTGGGTGGAATGTTCGCGAAAGTTCCTCTCATGCGCTGGCTACCGGAGGAAAGGGGAAGACAAGGTGAGTTTTGGTCTTGCGGGATGGGCCGCCGTGAGGAGAGAGGGGCAGTGGACATGGATACCAGCATAGTCGTTGAGGGGGGGGGGGGAACAACTTTTAGTACTTACCGCGGGGGGGATAGGACTTGTGGAGCAGGAGGAGCGGAAGCGCGAGGCTGCCCGTCACCGCTGGCTTGGCTTTATTTGACGCCAGCGGCCAAAAATTATTTCGATATCCCGTCCGATCAGACTCGCAATACCCCTTCTTGGACTTGGGAACACGATAAGGGCCATGGAAGGTCATGGCACAATCATGACTCCTTGCGACGTGTCCACCCATCTAATCCCGGTTGGCTGGGGGCTGGGGGCGATTCGGAGGAATCATCATCACAGTGATTCAGGGCGGAGTAGCCAAAAGGGGAGGCAGTTGTGGTCCTGTGCCACATGTGATTCCTCGCAAAGCCCATTTGCCCGAACGAACGTTATTCCCCGTCACTGATCAGTGGACGCAATCGGAACTCGGCACTCCAATGGGCCAGATTTGGGTGCCCGAGCGTAAACCCTGATCGCGCAAAACGCATACGGAATGGCATATATCATGTCGCATCATAATGGCGAGTCTGACTGATGGATGATATTTACTACCGCCGTCGCAGCCTCCAAAATTGGGATGGGATGGGAGGCCGTCATGGGACTTGAAATGTCGATGGATTGCTATTCTCAAACAGGGGGCCCGTAAACGTCCAATGGCAAACAGCACGCTTCCAGATGGCCGAACGCGCAGCACTAGACTCGCAAATATCATAAGGCCAGGAATAAGTCGAAGCCGCAAGCCCGGCCAACGGGTGTTTATCGTTGGTATGTTGTGACCCGAAAGTGAGCGGCCTCCACGAGATGAAGGTGCCAAGCCCCAGATCACGCCCGAAGCCGCCACCAACGAGCAACACCTTCTCTACATATAATTAAACGTAGCACGTGACCTCATTTCGAACGAATGGACGAGGGTATTGGGAATTCCCAGCAAGTGTCGCAACAATCACTGGCATCTGTTTGATACATACATCTACTGTAGATCCACGCAACCCATTCTACTCAGGCCCCCACGAAGAGCTGTCAACATTGCAATGCGTGGAAACCGCGTTCAAGCCAAAATTCCTTGTGACATGGTGACCCGCGAAAAAGGCTGAAGCAGACCTGAACAGATGCGCGCCCATAGAAGGAAATTGGCTAAACTGGCAATGCCCTCGACTGTCTTGGTCGATAGTGGGCAGTTACGGCCTGGTCCCCTTGCGAACTATCATCATCAAGACGATCTCTTTTGGACGCGGGTTTTTGGTTGGAGAGACGGCATATCTTCGGCGCTTGGACGTCCAGGGGATGTGCTGACGACCAGGAACTTGTAGGTTCGTCGCATGTGCACTGACCAAGGAATCAGAAGGATTGTATTGCGATCTTCCCACACCTCGCTGAATCCTGAACCGTCGATCACCTTATCGCGCGGAGCAAGCCGGAGGGATCCATTTCCATTCAGATGAAGCCAAATCTTCCCAGTGTATTTACGACAGATGAAAATAGAAACTCACAGCCATGTCAACGGCGATTCGCTCCGTTCTACCGGACAAGCACCCTGGGTCATAGCGCACGAAGCCATTGTTCGGATGTTGGTTTCTGTGTTTTACTGTAATATACGCCCGAATGTGTCGCCATATTCAGGGAGGATGGAGTTGTACAGTATGGACATTTGCCTCCGCGCCTTAGCATGCGATGGACGATGCATCAAACAATCGCATTCTGGAAGCCATGCAGCAGGTTGGCTATCTCCGTGCTGGACATGGGTGTGCGGGCCACCCTGATGCGTGCGTCTGCAGTAGATGAGAGATCTCTTAGTTTTCCTTCTCGCGTGCTTCTCATCGCATCTCCCAGGGAAGTGTGTGTGCTGCAGCTGCACATGGCGAGAGCCCTCCCAATCCCGCCATTCATATCTCGTCGCAAAATGAAATGCACCATGTCGTACGAGATACTTAGATCTGCTTCATAAAAGAACGAATCGGAGGATCCTGTCCATGGGTTCCCACCCGAAGGTTATGCAGTAGATTACATGGGCAAATTAAATTGATCCTATTAAAGGGAAGAACACGGAAAAGGATGTGTGTCTACTGATTATCGGGGAATACGGCACAAAATCGGGGAGTACGGCTGCTAGCAGAAAAGAAAACCAGTGAAGGACTTCTTTTCAAGGATATCATCGCCATCGCGGGGAAAAAACTATACAGAAACTACTGAACTTTAGTGGTCTTGTCCGCCGGCGGCAGCTTTCCATATCGCCTCTTGTAAGCGACGTCGGTGCCATGCAGCCAGTCCAAGAACCCCAGCACGCCAAAATTCACGTTGAACTTTTCATGGTGCATATCATGGTTCCGCGACATCCCATTATGAATGGGCGTGTCGTACCCCGAATGCGTGTTGACGGTCGTGGACAGCGTGAACGCCATCCAGAACCACAGGAACGAGAGGTGCGCGCCCATTAGCAGTGGGCCGGTGACAATCGGCGTGATATTGGCGAAGATATGCTCTAGCGGGTGTGCGTACTCTGCCGCCATCCCGACGGGCGCGGTGAACTGGTGATGCAACTTGTGGAACCGTTTGTAAAAGAACTTGGTATGGAACAGGCGGTGCGAGTAGTAAAACCCGACCTCCTCCACCAGCAACGAGACCACAAAGCACGTCGCGAATTCCAGGATCGACGGCAAAAACGGCGACGCGGACATGCCCTGGTGCTTCATCAGCGGGTACGTAAGCACCAACAGGCCGCCGGCGACGACGGTCTGGTTAAAAAGCACGACAGCCGCACATTTGCGCAACATCGCGGGCGTCGGCTTCACGTCCTCTTGGATCTTGTACTTGTAGATGAAGGAAGGCTGGAAGATGTCGATGGAGAGGTAGAAGAGCGCCCAGGCCCAGAAGACGCCGAACTGAACGATCCATGTGCCTGCCATGAAGAGCGTGCGCTCGGAGTAGGTTGATGTGAGATGGGTCCAGAGCGGGCCGATAATGGGCGGGTTGAGCGGGGCGTGGAGAGCAGAGAAGATCGTGGCGTTGGCCGCTGCGGCGCTGCTGAAGTCCAACATGGCTTGCAAGCGCTCCGCTTTTTCCTTTTGGTACTAGTTGTGTTTGCCGTTGAAAGTTTGCTAAATTGATGACTGCCGAGTAAAATGCCTTTACACCAAGAGGTCTTTGCGAAACAAAACTGAGGAGCTTCAGAAGCCGGGGGTGTGTCGGCAGACGCTAGCTCTTTATATCCTGGTCCGTCACCTACCTCAGTTCGCCCGCAACCAAATCCTTACTCGGATCCCTCCAGCAATGTAACCCCGCGGGCTCCTCCTACTACCAAGCCTGGCGGCCGACCATACCTGCCTTATATCCGCATACTGTTCCACGCCTATTTGACGCCATTGTGCTAATGTTTATGTCGTTTGTAAGTGTGAGCCCAAATAGCCCTCCCGCGGGGAGGCCGCGGAGAAGATGGTAAGAAAGTCCCCTCGATTTGCAAACAGATGCCGCGGAGAACGCGTGACCTAACGTGAGACTGTGAGACGTTTCCTCCCATGCCCCACCGAGCCCAACGCATGTATCCTGCGCCTTCAGCACACACGTACTTTTCCACCCTTTCTGGAACTTCTTGATAGTTTTTAGTCAAGGCGCGTGCTTGTACTTCTACGGAGAAACCGCTGTGATATTATTGGAGACATGTGGTATGCAAAGTTGAAATGAATGAAGGTAAACAATTGGGTTAAATTACGCAGAAGTCAAATTGCTGGATCCGCGGGGGTGGCCAGGGTTCCTGTTAGGCAGCTGCACCGTCGCACTGTCCGAAAACATATGGGCAGTGGACATTTGAAGGCGCTAAACGTCATCGACATAGACACCGATGGACACAAGGCTTCGCCACCATCCTACAAGTACTGTATGAAGAGTAGCGCAGAGTCTGGAGATGTTTGTTCCATAGACTGCAGATGTCCGTCAGAACGCTTGGAACACGAAGAAGCTCATAAGCATTCCATCGTCGCCAGCGCATACCCGCCAGCTGAAGTTCGTCTCCCCCCAAACTCCAACCTCAGGAAGCATCGCCTAGTCTCCGCATCCCGGTTCCCATCGTATCGTCCATCCTCCCAGTGCTTCGACGACACATGCAACGTTGTCTTTGGCGAAAAGTGATGATGTTATTATTGATGGGAACCAGGAGGCCCAGTCACCACAGAAACCGCCCTCCGGCCCCATCCAAATGTACAAGGAAGGCTCCACAGCATCGGATGCAATCGGGTGATATCCATCGAAACCACTTTGTTCGGCAGGGACGGCGGCTTCATACCCCACGCAAAGAGCGCCCACTAAGATTTATGAACATGGCGACGGGGACATGCGTAATCTAACGAAGACGACGGGCTTCACGCTCAGACTCGAGGAGGGTGAGGATGTCTGAAAATCGTAGAATATCAGCTATCACGCTTATGATGCTCCGTCTGAGTGAAATGATCCCATACCGTTCTCGCGGACGGGTCCCTTCACATTGCGGATGATGGATCGGTTGGAGTCGTCCATGAACTCGACACGGACTTGGGTGACACCACCACTTTGATAGAGACATTTGTTAGCCTAACTGCTGTTTTTAATGTGGTGCACAAGCGGGGTGAACTCACCGAGATCCGGTGCGTCCGAGCACCTTCACAACGCGGGCAAGCTTAGGGGCAGCACTTTTAGCGTCCTGGGAAAACGGAATTCGAAGAATCATAAGTTCGCCATTCAATTGCGGTTTTTGCGAAAAGGCTATTTCCTTCGACACCTCCACCCCTGCAAAGCTCTGCACCTCCAACACCCTATCTCTCCACTACCAGTCGATTCCTCCCAACCCAGCCCTGTCTTAATCCTAGCGATAGCATGCAAACCGAGAGAGAGAGAGTGGCGCTCCGAAGCATGGTGAAGCGGGTGAAAGTTATTTTCATAGTGTCGATAACCGTCTGGCGTGGGTCGTCGTCGACTCGTCGTGAATTACTCCCGGTCGTATCTGTGCCCAATTCTTCATCGGGAATGTCCTCGGTGCCTACATTCCTCATCCGCCGCACACAATCCATCCATCAATCTTCCATCCATCCCTCCCCTCCGTTTCCACACTTGAAACCTCCAGCATCCATCCCCTCCCTATCTCCCCTGCCCTCGCCTTCGTTCGTTCGATCGTGGGGTCGATGCCTACCATTGCTGTTTGGTTATCCTGTATGGGCGAAGAAAGGGAAGAGCAGTATTGGCTGCCTCATTGGACTCGCTGAACACGGCGTTCGGATTGCGCAGTCACGTGCGAGATTTAATCCGCGCTGTCAAAATCGCCTATTCTGAAATTCCGCTCACAACCCTTCCTCCGAATACGCCAGATGTAGTTCCCCCCACAACCCTTCCTCCGAATACGCCAGACCTCAGAACTTCCAAAGTTACGCCTAAATCCTAAATGGCGCAGAACTTGGCTTCTCAACCAGCAGCAATTGTTGGACGTGAGGCAAACACATCAGAGGGGAAAATCGTAGAACTGAGCTCTTCAGATCTAGCCCATATGTTAGTTTTCCCGTTAAATTGATACAAATCGAGAGGAATAAAAGCCAATTCTGCGAATTTACACACTGCTTCCCAGTAGATTGTCATACTCTCGTTTTTTCGTTGTAGACGAAAGTTCGACGGTGCCTTTGCAATCAGTCGCGTCATTCGAGGGCTAAGCGAGAATTATAGCGGCGGCTCTCGAGGACCCTCTAAGGCCGTTCGACGCAGTACCGACCATCCACCCGATGGTCGAAATGGCAGCACGTCCACATCCCGCACAAGCAGATCGGCGGCTACCAGCTCTACAGAAGAAACCTCTTCCAACCCTACCAGCATCTCAATCCTCCAGCATTACCCATACATCATCTAAGGTGGTAGGAATTCCAACATCAACATCAACGTCGACACCTCTCTCCCCATCCCGGATATCGCAAACTGCCACCGTTATAGCCAGCCCCACCACGCCGGTTTCGCATACCAGCCACCCATGTCTTTCCATAGTCTCATTTGTCACATGCGTATCAGCCGTCGACGCGCATCTGCCTGCAGAGCTACTCGTGCGCATCTTTGCCTATCTGGACGTGAAATCACGGTGTCGCGCCCTGCGAACCCACCGGAGATGGAAGGATGTGATGTATTGCACACCGAGACTATGGACGAGATTAGATTGGTCAAATCGCTTTTCGGTGAGTTTGCTGTCGATTTGTTTCACCAGGTGGTGTCAAGTACCTAGCTCACATTGCGTGATACAGCTTGGCGGAGACAAAAGCGTAGCCGAAGGTGCCCGACGCACCGACACCCTTCTGCAGTTTGTTTTCGCAGATAGCGCATCCGCTGGACGGTTCACCAAGCTTGCGAGGTTGGATCTAAGCTGCACAGGTGTGTAGTCTTCAGGTTCATGCTCCGCCAATGCGGCATTGAACTCTGACTCAAAACCGCGGCACACTCATGACAGACGTAGACCCGTCTGTCTTCATGGACACCCCATGCATCCGGCTTACGCTCAAGGATACGCTGTCGCATCTGGTATGGAGAGCCGAAGTGGGCGAACCTGATCTAGCATTAATCCCAGAATCACCAATTTGTAGGTTTTGAATGGATGTCCCAACGTTGATTCCGGGTCGCTCTACAATCTGCGGGGTCTCACCGCATTGCGGGCACTCGATCTATCGCACTGCGAGTCTGTGGATGATGTGAGTCCGGGAGACAAAGTGCAGCCGGATTGGTATGACCCAGGAGATGCGAGAATTCAGCCATGCAATGTGGGGATGAGGAAGGTCGGAAGGACGGAGCAGCGGGTCTCAATATCAACGGCAGCGCTGGGCCAAATTGGCCCACGGCCTGAACGTCTGTAAAACGGATGACAGGCACAGGGAGGGAAATAACATGCCTGGCAACCCATGAATCTCTGTGTTCTGAAGTCTGTGCGCTCTAAATTCACTCATGGTACCATTTTGTTTGCGATCTACAGGCTGGTCTCGAAGTCCTCTCATACTATCTTCCGCATCTGACACACTTAAATCTCTCCTATCTGTTTCGCATCACCGAACGCGGCATTGGTCGCATTTTCCGAATGCCGGCCATTGTAGCAGTGAACCTCATGGGATGCTGTAAGCGTGTTTCCACGTTTTCATCTCCGTGTGCCGGTCAGTTACTTGACCAACATGCATTTATGACCCAGATCGAATCAAGCAGTACCCGTGGGCAATCGTAGACGGCGCTAAACGCACCGCCCTGCCCTTACGTGAACTGCAGCTCGGCGAAGACTCGCGGATTCAGACACGGGGGTTCTGGCTCCTCTGGTGCACGTTTTCCTTCTCTACTGCACGTCTCATCAGCGTGTGCCCCTTCCTGGAAACGCTGCGGTTGAACATGGTGCTCTTCGATCTGCCAGCGAATGGTTTGGAGATTCTTTTGAACGGATGCGATCATCTCAAGCATCTAAGTTTGGTGATCGATCGAGCTGCGGTGCCTGCTCTTTGTTCGGTTGCGCCAAAGCTGAGGTCGCTGGAGTCGCTAGAAGCGACCGTGCATATTGGCGTGACCGGAGAACTGCTGGGAACCTTGGTCACGGCCAATGCTCTGCCAAAGTTGAAGGCATTGAAATTCCATAGTAAACACACGACGGTTTTCTCCGACGCCTCCCTTGCGGCTCTAATTACCGCGGCTCCTCTGCTCGAGTATCTGGAGCTGAATGGAGACGACATTACTGCCGCAGGCCTTCAGCCAGTAGCCAAGAAGATTGGCCCGCAATTGCAGTCACTGCTACTACACCACGTGCGCATCGCCAATGCATCTCTGCGGACCATCGGACGTGGTTCGCCGGCCTTGAAAGAGCTGACAATGACGGATTTGCAACAACTCTCGCGATCGAACCGACTACGCCACCTAGTTTGCGACTCGACGCTCAGAATTCGGTTACGGAAAATCGAACTGGCATCACATGCGGGGTTCAACGATAAAGATCTTGCAACGGTGCCGGCCAACTGCCCGAACTTGCAGTGGATAGATTTCAGTTTCTCCTTCACCTATCCGCGAACTGGGCGGGCCATTGCTGATCATTGTCCGGGACTCTTATACTTGCGATTGTGCAAAGCGACTCCACCGCCACTGCATCAGGTCATGGGGTGGGCTAACAACAGCAATGCAGCCACCACGAACCAGACCGCGAATGCTCAACCCACAACTCCGGCTGCCAATAACGCTAATGCGGCTGCGACGAACGTCGTTGGCGCTTCCAATTCTGCAGGTACGGCCGCCGGTATCGCGCCCGCCAACACCTCCAGGGCATCCCGTCGGCAGTCCCGGTTAGCCCGCGCCGCTTCTAATGCTTCTTCGTCAACAGCTTCGCATTCCCCGCCCGTTCTCATTCCTCGACCACCGCGCCCACGTCGAAGTGCCCACTCATCGGAATCCGTAACAATACTTGCTCTGAAGCTGGCAAAGCAGAAAAGGAGGCGAAAATCACCACCAACTTTCCACGCGTCTTCTCCCGAGTGCCGATCCCTGATGTACATGACTTCGTCCGTCGTGGATACAAAATCCACATTTTACGCTCCACGCGACTCGGCCTCTTCATCCAGACCGCCACCCCCGCGCCGAATCGCACGCCTTCGCAAACTCCGTGTCCTAGATCTCACCGGCAACATCGGCCTCACGGACTGGACGCTCGAGGCAGCGCTGTCCCGCCTTCCCGCGCTTCACACGCTTTTCATTGACTCATGCGACTCGATTACGCGCCCCGCGCTGCTCCATTTTGCTGACATGATGCTTCCGCAGCTCAAGCGAGTGCATGTGCGGAATTGCTCCTCATGCCGCCCGGCTGTGGGGACGGCCTCGACAACGACAACGGTGCCGCGGATTGGGATCGCTGCCGTGGCGGGAGGCGCCGCTGCCGCATTTGCTGCGGAGGGCCAGGCTCGCGACGCCCCGACGCCCGGAGTGATCGGTAATAGCTCGGCGGCGTTGGCTGTGGAGGTTGTTATTGACGGCGCGAGGGTATGGGGTCGTCGATTTAGCGAGGAGGGTTGATAGAAACTGCTCGGCTAGATGCGTAGGTTGATTGCGGAGCGTGCAGCGCCATCTCATGAATATTCTGTGCATTAGAGTTTTGAGATAGCTCGTACGCCTTCGACCATGTACTTGAACCTTCATTTATATGTTTCCTCCGTTGTTTGTGCTCATTCCTTGGGGTTGCGTTTTGCACCAAGTATTGACGATTGAATGTCCGACGAGACTGTGAATATGACCGGAGGAAAAAGATGGCAGACATCATTGGTAGATAGGCAGGAAGCCGTGGCGAACAATGTGGTTAGGAAGGTTTTACCCGGATAACGCAATGGAATAACGGGATAAAGAGAAAACGTTGAAAGAGAAATCAACAGCGCGTCCGAGCTGTCAAAACCCTGGGCCTTCATTCTTTAGCCTCCTCCCCGCTTCTCTACGAACGAGCTTGCAATGCAATACAGAACATAGCTTGCCATGCGATCATTTCACCAGTCTTTGCAAGTATGGCTCATAGGGTTCCCGGCATATCTTGCGGCTACAGTGCTGGCGGCAAGGGCGCCTTTGGAGCCATTCCAAGGAATGTTATTTGGCGGTTGGTTAGGTGCGTTGATGGGATCTTCTGAGTTCTGGGCGCAAGTGAAAGTCCCTAACTGTATAGGCCGCTGCAGATACCACGCCAAATCAAGATACTCCACTCGCTTTCAACCAACGTCTGAACTACACTAGTACTCTCTTCCAGATGGCCCTCGAGATCCCGCTGGCATCCGCCGAGCTGCCGCCCGTGACACTCCTCGACGCAACCGGCTCGAACCCCGTTCTCCTACTCACAGTGTCCCCGAGGTTCAACAGCAGTTTCTCTCGAACCGGCAATGAAGCATTTGATCAGCTGGCGGATCCGAAGTACATCGCGGAGTTTGCAGATCTGATCGCCGGATATGTCCAGGATGGACGACGGGTGTTGCTGAGGATTGCGTCTGAAATGAATGGTGAATGAGACATCTGTCGACCGTAAAATGTCAGAGTCCTGACCAATATACTGTGCAGGAAGCTGGTACGCCTGGGGTCAACGACCGCTGCGGTACGTTGCGCTCTGGCGCCGGATCGTGACATCGGTCCGGTCTCGCTTGAGCGCCTTAGGCGGGACCGCAGGAAGCTCCGTGGCATTTCTGTGGTCGCCCAATGCAGCAGCCAACTACCCGTACTACGGCGGAGCGTATACACCATTCACAGATTCCGACGGGCCGTTAAGGAGGAATGCTAGCAACGATGTGGCGGAGTTTGATCAGTTGGACACCAACGCGGACGGGGAACTGGACGAAAATGTACGTGTGCATCTTTTCGAGGGGATATCTGCATGCCTGATAAGCCGTCTCCCATCAGGACGATCCATTCTCTCCGTACTGGCCTGGCACAGAGTGAGTCTTACGGTTCCAGCTCCATACTTTCACGAAAAGCGCCTGAGACTTGCATTCAATGGCGGACAGGTACGTCGACTGGGTGGGAATGAGTGTTTACTACTTCGGAAGGTATGACATGGACGCTTCTCTGGCAACGTAATACGCAACTGCCTCAATGACTACATTCTCACCTGGCATTCTGATCCCCTGTGCGTAGAGACTGGCCATGGGTCCACAATGACCTTCCGCCGACGGACTTCGTAACCCGCATCGTTGATGGTGTTGGCGATGGCGATGGAAAAACAACAGCTACGCAAAGGGCGAACTTCTACCTCACATATTCCAGTGACTTGGGTATAAATAGGAAGCCGATGATTTTCTCCGAGGTAACTACCCAATCTATGGAATTGATCGAACATTTTTTGCATATGTCCGAGATTGATTTCTCTTCTCTCATCTCCTGAAAGACTGCATCGGCCTTCCATGTGCGACTTTTGAGTGGTGCAAACACCACTGTGGATCCAGGGCCGGGCGAGCTAGGCCTCAAAGGAGCCTTATGGAGACAGTACATCACCAATAGCACCTTTCTAACTCTGCATCCCAAGATCCGAGGCGTGTGCCTGTTCGAATATGCCAAACCAGAGGAAGACACATTCCGAGACTACCGAGTTACTTGGAAAAGCGATGTGCTGGCTGCGTTCAAGGAGGATTTGGATGCTGTTAGGGCAGCGCATTATGATCTGGCCGCGGAAGTTATTGCTTCTCCCGCGATTACCTCTACTACGACAACCACCAAAACTTTCATAGCAAGCACGTCGACGGGCCCCGCGGGCAGCAAAAACACAAGCGCTCCTGGCGGTCCAACTTCCTCGGGAATCAAGCCGTTTGGTCACTTGTTGTTACCGCTTCCAACCTTGATGATCGTTCTGCTGTGTACATTGATCCTCTTCCGCTAGTACAATGAGGTTCACGCTCAATTCCCTGCTGTGCATGCATTTCCGCAGCGGTTCCAATGCCGCACAGTGCCGCACAGTGCCGCGGGAGGGAACTTTCAAATTCATGAAGCAGTCGAAGGAATGAAGGAAATTCCAAGTTCATGGAGACGCGGAGAGGCACCTCGCTGACAGGATCGGAAGACGCCGTCAAACGATTGCTTGCTTGTGTCACTCGTTTCCACCCTCTTGCAGTTTGCACGTCCACGGAAGACATCTGTTTGCTGCAGGCATCACAGTTGTTTGCACTCGGAATATTGCGGAAAAGCCCCATATCAGGTCCCGTTCACCCCTGGTTCGAACCGGAAGGCTCCTTCGGAGTCCTGCCATTCGGAAATGCGAGAGGAAATCCGGGTGTTACTGGTTGGAGATGGTATGCTATCGCTAGTTTTGAAACAACTAAGCCCTGCCTAATATTTTCATACTCTTCCGTTTCGCTTCTTCTCCGCTTACCAGAGGGAGTCGGAAAGAGTACCCTGATCACATCTCTTATAAAGGAGACTTTTGTGTACCATGTAAGGCCCGTTCACATGCGGTAGCCGACGACGTACCACGTATGGCTTCAGAGGCCGACTGTGAAAGCGATACTCCTATCTGACATGTGCTTGTGTGCGGCAGATTCAACATGTGGTGCCAGAGGTGACCATCCCGCCAGAGTGGACGCGGGAGCGAGTGACGACCCGAATCGTGGACTCATCTTGTAAGCCTCGATGCGCAGAGGAAGTCCAAAAAAAGTGCCTGACGATGTTATCGAATTCATCACTACAGCGCGGCCAGAGAACCGGGAACAGCTGGATATCGAAGTTCGGAAGGCGGACGTGATCTGCATTGTGTATGCAGCGGACAGGCACGATACTTTTGCACGAGTAGCAGACTTTTGGCTACCACACCTGCGGAAATTGGGAAGAAATGTAGGGGACTGGGCAGCTTCCCTTCATAGGTGAATACAGAGCAGCTTGGGTTGCTAAACAGGGTTTGCGTTTGGGCAACAATCCAGGTTCCAGTTGTTCTTGTCGGGAATAAGATCGACTTGAGGGGCTCAGGCGATTTCAGCAACGACGGGTTGGAAGATCAAGTCACACCGATCATGAACGAATTCAAGGTCAGCCAGATGCTTCAAGAATTAGCAGATAGTCGTCGGTCAATGTTGACATCATTGGGTTTACAGGAGGTGGAGACATGCGTGGAGTGTTCGGCGAAACAACCGCTGAATGTACCAGAAGTGTTTTACTTTGCGCAAAAAGCAGTCTTGCATCCGACCGCTCCGCTGTACGATTCTCGCGAGCATGTAAGTCTACAACGCCTTCGTGACCGGGATCAGGCATGAGGGACTCATACTCTACAATCTTCTGAAGGTCATGAAGCCGAGCTGCATTGAAGCTCTGCGGCGTATCTTCCGATTATGCGACCGAGATAAGGACGGCATTCTGAACGACGAAGAGATCAACGAATTTCAAACGAAATGTTTCGGTGCACCATTACAAAGACAGGAGCTGGAAAGTGTCAAAGAAGTGGTCAAAGAGAATGAAGAGGAAGGGGTCGAGGATAACGGATTGACAGAGACCGGTAAGTATTTACGAACCTTTGCTGGGGCATCATCGGTGTCGCGCTGACACGAGGCAGGTTTCCTGTTCCTACATACCCTGTTTGTCCAGCGCGGCCGCCTCGAGACCACGTGGACCGTTTTGCGAAGGTTCGGGTACGGTGATGATCTATCGTTACGCGAAGAGTTCTTGTGCCCGCAGTGAGTGTTCCTCACGATTTGTCTCTGAAAAGGAGTTCGTCTTCTGAGAATTCCTCTCCTCGTTGCTGCATAGCTTTGAAGTGCCGCCAGGATGTTCTGTCGAGCTCAGTAGTAACGGATATAAATTCTTCATCGACCTGTTCCAAGCATTTGATCAGGTATAACAGCAGTTCTCAGGGACAATTTTGAGCAGATGGCTAAGTTATCCTGCTGTGCGGTATATAGGATAAGGATGGAGCCTTGAGGGAGGCAGAGCTAGCTGAGCTATTCAGTACGGCGTCCGGGAACCCCTGGGAGGCCACCGGCTTCCCGGAAACGACCCTCACGGACGAATCAGGCGCGGTAACTTTGCAAGGCTTCCTGGCGCAATGGAGGTGCGAATTGGGGAGCTTCTTTCTGGCAAAAAGGTTCCACCCAGACGATATGCCTAACGTACATCGCGCCTAGCATGACAACGTTGTTGGACTACAAAACAACGCTGGCATATCTCGCCTACCTCGGCTACAACGGCGACACGACTACTGCTCTCAAAGTAACCAAGCCTCGCAAAGCAGATCGGAGACGCGGCCGAGTACAACGCAATGTGTTCCTATGCTACGTGTTTGGAGCGACGGGGGCAGGGAAGACCTCGCTACTGCGGAGTCATGTAAATAAACCGTTTACGGAGCGGTACACGCCCACGACGCGGTCGTATTCGGTGGTTAATTCGGTGGAAATCAATGGCGTAGAGAAGTACCTTGTGGTAATGTTACGGGATGACTTGCTAGTTGGCGAAAGAGGACTTTCGGATTGCTGATGGACTGACCCGGCGGTCGTTCGAAATTGGCTTCCACAGATGCAGGAGTTTGGACCAAAATTCGATTCGGAGGTGCTGCAGAATAAGAAACGGCTTGAGGCCTGCGATGTTCTGTGCTTTCTTTACGATTCTGGCGACGTCAACTCCTTCGCTTACGTGGCTAGTCTTAGGGTACGTAAACTGGAACGGGCGATGCGGCCGGGGTCGATGGGAAGGAGTCAAACTCCGGGAGATTCTTGTCGGGCGACGGTCAAGAGAATCTAAGAGATAACTTACAGTCTCTCTTTTCCTACGCTCCTCGCTCACTCATCAGAATCGCTTTGAGATCGATAATCTCCCATGTGTATTCGTTGCGACGAAAAGTGACACGGATCTTGTCACACAGGTTCGTTGGCCATTGATGTCCCGATTGCTGATTTCCGAAACTCACCTTCCATCCGATCATTAAACTAGCGATTTGAGGTCCAACCTGATGCCTACTGCCGAGCCCTCCACCTGGCGGTTCCGATAAGCGTCTCCATAAAGGACAACGTGACGGCCGAGTTACTGAGTTTGCTCGTCGGCGTCGCGATGGATCCGTACGTATCAGATTTCACCATCGTCTCTTTTGACGATCTGCATTTCGCCCCAGATTTTCCATTTTGAGAACAACGACTGATGTTCTTTCCTCATCCCCTCCTACCCACCTATACAGTGGAGTCGCGATACCCGGCACATCGAGAGGCGGACGGGTTACCCTCATGCGCGGCTTGACATTCACGGCGGCAGCGGCGTTCGTTGGGATAGCGGGGATACTAGCGTATCGCGTCATGCATGGGTCAGGGTTGACCAGGCATCTTTAGCGAGCCGTATGCCGTATGCACACCTTCTAGCTTACTCCTGTACCGTAGTGCGAGTAGTAGAATGACCAGCAGGCAGCAGGATTTTAGTTTGACGGCTTGCAACAGAGCTTGGGACGAATAAATTGTTCATCACTTTGGCCAGCAGCTTGGTAGTAAGATATGACGGCGACGCTATGGTAAATCGAACACATATATCAGGGTTCAAGGGACCTGAGGCCTAACCCTGCAAAGGACGAACTTTACACCGTCGGGGTAGCGTGCATGGCATCAAACGAACATCTAACCCTAACCCTAACAGGTTACACCCTAACCCTATACCCTATAACCCTAACCTACCCTATAACCCTAACCCTAACCCTAACCTATTTACGGTGGGTTCAGAGATGGCCCTCTCAGATGGCCCTGGGCAAACGAATGAGACATGCCCGTTCTCAAACAAGGCGGCTGATATAACGCGTCACGTGCGCGGTGACATTAAACAGACGCCTGCGCCACACCCGCAGAAGCGAAAATTTCTTGCAGCAGTTTGGCAAAGGCGCAGAGACGAGAGAGGCGAGAGAGCATTCCGTTCACCCCGCAACAGTCAGACTTCCACTGTACATAGCCGTCACTTCGCAATGGCTCCTACGGACAAGAAGCAGACAAAGAAGAGCACCCTCAACGAGGTATCATATCCCACCGGTGCAGGGGAAACCTATGCCCGTTTTTTGAACGTCAGAATTGAGAGACTAACGACCCCGATGGCGAATTCTAGGTCGTGACTCGCGAATACACTATCCACTTGCACAAGCATGTGTTTGGCAGGTTAGTAGCTTGTCTTTCTCGTTTGGGGGCACACAGGAGGCGAGAGACGGGCGAAGAGGCTTGGGGTAGGGGGAGGATCGCGCACGAGTCGGAGGTCACTCTGGAACTGATCGAACGGGGGAACCTATGCCAATTCTGTGGAGAGAGGGAAGGGGCGAAGGGGCGCACGAGGGAGATGACTAGATGTCGAAATGGTTGGGATAGGACCTGTTGGTTGGAGGGGGATTGCGAGCCCGAATTCTCAAGGGAATGGAGTGGCCTAACCTTGAGACGACCTTTGGAGACAGTTTCCTGACCCCACCTTGTCGCCGCGAATATTTCAACAGGACCTTCAAGAAGCGTGCTCCCACCGCTGTGAAGGCTATCCGTGAGTTTGCCCTCAAGACCATGGGAACCTCGGACGTGCGCCTCGACCCTTCCCTGAACAAGGCCGTCTGGGCCCGCGGAATCAAGTCCGTCCCACACCGCATTCGCGTGCGTTTGTCCAGGCGTCGTAACGATGCTGAGGATGCCAAGGAGAAGCTCTACACGTTCGTCACCTTTGTGCCCACCACTAACTTCAAGGGTGAGTTGAAGGAGATGCGGACTGATATCAAATGCAAATGGGGATCTTTTGGTCCTCTTCAGGGATCGCCTTCAGGTGACTAATCATCTCCTTCGCCGCCTTTCGTTCCACCTCTCCCTCTCACAGGCCTCCAGACCCAGACTGTCGACGAATAGAGCGGATTCTTTGTTGTAAATAGATTTGAAATCATTCATTCTATTCGTTCGCGGGACCCCATTGGTTCGATTATCGCGTTGTTACTGTCGCCGCCTGCTGTGGAGAGGGGTGCTCACGGGGGAATGGAATGTGGACTGTGGAGACATTTGCTTGCTCTGGAGGTTAGGTGTGAGGCTGCTGAGGATGAATACGGGAGCCGGAGACCAAAGCCGTGAGGGACGGGATTTGAACGTCGGCGTGTGCGAGATTCGCTTGAAAACGAAGACGCTGCTGGACATTGTGGGTGGATGGTGGTGAATACTCAAGCGGGGACGCAGAGTTGAACTGTGAAGCGAACCGGACCCCACATGCCGGTCGCTTCGTGGAGTGCTGAAAGCCTAATTCTTGGTGTGTGTCGGGGACTGTATTTCTCGTTCGGGGGGTTGGGCAAAGAGGGCAACCCTTGGCAGAGTGCGTACTGTACGTTGATAGAAGTCATGGCTCAAGAGAAGTCAAAACGCGTGCGCAGTGGGAAAAAACGTCCGTCCCTCCCGTCCCGCGAGAAAAAGTTTCGAGGTGGCCACAATTTCTTCCCCATTTCACCTTCAAACAGAGTGGGAATCACGCCTACAACCGCCATATACAGCTCCTCCCCGTCCACCTCCCTCCCGTTTACAGGCCGCTACAATGAGCAACTCAACCTCCCCATACGCCTCGCAGCGCTACTCTGCGCGGGCCGCCAATTTCGCAAACGCGACGGCCGTGCAATTGCTGAACCTCATGGACGAGAAGAAGACCAACCTTTCTGTCGCTGTCGACGTCACGGAGAAGAAGGACTTGTTGAGGTTGGCGGATGAGCTTGGGCCTTATATTTGTGTTTTGAAGGTATGCTGGTAGGCGAGGGAATGCCGGGGGATGCGCGGGATCCGCGGGAGGTCTCGTGAGGGTGGTGGTCAAGAGGCGTATGAGGAGCACGGAAACGACCGAGGTCAGGAGACGAATGGGGGGGAACAGGAGGCAGCAGAGTGATGGCGAACGGTACCGGAAGCCGGACTCATCGAACCCCTCCCCACCCCAGACACACATCGATATCCTAACCGATTTCGACCCCTCCGTAATCACCACCCTAACCGCCCTCGCTCAAAAACACAACTACCTCATCTTCGAAGACCGCAAATTTGCCGACATCGGCTCCACCGTCGCCGCGCAGTACGCCCACGGCGTCTACAAAATCGCCTCTTGGGCGCACATCACCAACGCCCACCCGGTGCCAGGGGACGGTATCGTCCACGGGCTCGCGCAGGTCGGCCTCCCCCTCGGCCGCGCTCTACTTCTTCTCGCGGAGATGTCGTCCAAGGGCACGCTGGCGAGGGGTGAGTACAGCCAGGAGACGCTGCGGATGGCGCAGGACAATGCGGAGTTTGTGGTTGGATTTATTGGGCAGAGGAGGTTGAAAGGGACCGAGTCAGGGAAGGAGGAGAGGGACTTTCTATATATGACGCCGGGGGTATCGATGGCGCAGCCGGGGGATGCGTTGGGGCAGCAGTATAGGAGTCCGGAGCAGGTGGTGGAGGAGAGCGAGTGTGATGTGGTTATTGTGGGGAGGGGAATTTACGGCGCGCAGGACCCGGTGGCGAAGGCGAGGGAGTATAGGGAGGCGGGGTGGAATGCGTATTTGAGGCGGACGGGGCAGACGGGGCGAAGTGAGTGAGTGGGCCTGTATGCAGGTTAGTGTGTAGATAAGCCTGTAGATTATGTAGTGGTTATTGATGATTTCGGCGGTAGAATGCTCATATGCTACGCTTACGGAGCAATGGAACTTGCGCTCGGCAAAGGAATGATGGCAACTGCTGGAGCTGTTAGCTCGAAATGCAAAAAAAAAGCCGACGCAAAGCAACAGCAAATGAAAGGAACTCATAGCACAAGAAAACAGACAAAAGGACACAAAGGTTCTGGACATGTGATTTTTTCAGTGTGTTTTTATTGTATTCTCTTCCCACCCCCGCCCCCGCTAGCGTTACCCGCATTCGCAAACGCCGCAGCAACAGCCGCCTGATTCACCGAACTCGAACTGTTCCCGTTATTTGCACCCACCGCCGGTTTCGCGCGCAACGAGACGACCAACGGCAGATGGTCGGAGGGATGATGCGCGTTTGGTAGACCCACGACGCGGGAAATGTACTCCTTGTCAACGCAACTCAACAGGCCCGTGACTTCCAACGAGTTGGTGGAGTAGAACACGTAGTCGATAGTCCCCTTGAACCCGGGGGCGAAGTTGGTAAACTCCAGCTCGCCACCGGGGCAGGCCGCGGTGTTGAGGTGCGAGTAGGCGGACTTGAGGGAGAAGTGGTGGGAGAGTCCCTCGGACGTGTACGGGCCGTAGACGTAATGGGAGAAGTCCGAGTGATCTTTGTCGACGCGGCCGCCGGAGAGATACTCATAGACACCGGAGTCGGGGAGGGAGTTGAAGTCGCCGCAGATCAGGACGGGGAACCGGGTTGAGTCTGCCGTGGGGCTGGTGGCAGAGGTCGGTGATGACGACATGAGGGACTTGCCGCCTTTTGTTGCCGTTGATGAGGCACCGCCGTGCGTTCGTCCCCAGCTTTTGCACAACGTCTCAATCTCCTCCATCAGCATTCCAGTCTGCACCAGCTTGACGTCCTTGTAAACGGGATCCCAGTGCAAATGGGCATTGGAGACGAGAAGCTTCGCCTTGGATTCCTTGTTCTCGAGAAGTGCGACAGTTGCCACATTGTCTTTGATCATGACTCGGTTGAAAACATCGTCCGTCTTGCGGAGCTCGGGTTTGCGCATCGCTGTTTGCTGGAACTCGATGCAATGCTTTTCCAACAACGAAAACCTGGCAGAGACGGACAAAATCATGAGTATTGCTTGGGAATTGAAATATTGAGACGCTTGGAGAGACAGACTTATTCGCCTTCCAGAATGTTGCGCATCCATCCACCTGTCGCCTGTCGTACTCGGCCATGGTGCGCGCTCGGGATTTTGGGTAGAACACGCCTTCATAACCACCGATTTGCGACAACTGATCCCGGAAGAAGTCCTCGTATTGATCCATTTGCATCTCCTTAGGAACCGACATTTAAATTAATTAATATCGTCATCAAATGAGAGTACGAAGAGTGAAAAGATCTTACCTGCAGCAAGACAATGTCTGCATTGTAGTTAAGAATATCTTGTAGCAGTAGATCCCTCCGATATTCCCAATTCAATGCCCATGATGGTGTGTAGGCGTACATTGCTGGCGTTGCGTATTTCTCACAGAGGATGTTGTAACACATCACCGTGAAAGTGTCTGATCAAGTGAAAGGGAAGATAAAAGAGCTGCTCGGACCGAGCGATCGAATTTCCTTGCCTTGGTTTCAAGCATACCCTTGGTATCCCCAGCATAGTCTTCTTCCAGTGAGATCCATTCTCGATCCGGTGGTGGTGGGCCAACTGCAAGATAGGATCGGAGTTACAAATCTGAGCACAAATCGACATACGACAGAATTACACTCATGTTCCTTACCTGGACACATCTCGCGTAAATACGTCACTACCGCTGACGTCCCCTCCTTTTGTATCATCGACGAGATGGGCTCATTTAGAGGATTCCCTTCGAGACCCAGGTTATCCAGCTGATACAGTTGCCCAAGTTCCGGTGGCAGAAATGTAAGCTCGTTGTCATGGAGTAACAGCTCCTTGAGGGAGAGCAACATTCCCAGCTCGGAAGGCAGGGACGTGAGCCTATTCCCCGACAAATCCAAGACAACCAGGCTTGTCAACTTTGCCACCTCCTGGGACAATAACCCAAGAGCATTGTGGTTGAGGTACAACGTCGTGAGAAAGGTGTAGTTAAACAGACTAGCGCTGAGATTCTTCAACTGCATTCCGCCCAAATCCAGAATTGTCCATGCCGATGGCTTCGCATTAGGGTCCACACCAGCCCCGCCCGACGAGTTGCCGTTAGCGCCGTTGGTAGCAGCGTCGGGATTGGAAAGCGCGGATCGCGCGGCCGCCGCCGCAACCCGAGCGTGGTGATGTGGGGAGGCGGATTGTCGGGAACTGAGAACCGAATCCATCTGTTTCTGATGGTGTGGCCCAGAGATTGGCACCGATGTCGGTGGGATGGCGGACATGCCGCCCGAGCTCGTCCCAGCCATCGACGAGGAGACGGGGTGAGAACCTCCTCCACCACTCGTCGCACCGCCATGGGAGGGATGATGTTGATGTGAGTGCTGATAGTTCGCAATCCCGCCGTGGTTCATTTGAGGAGAGTGTTGCATCGCATGGCCAGGTCCGCTGGTCCCTCCAACTCCGCCTCCACCGCCAGCCTGGATTTTCCCACCGATAAACATGTGATTGTTATGTGGATACCGATATAGCGGCGCATGCGATGCGCCGGCCGAGCTTCCAAATGCGGGGGAGGATGGAGTTGATAGCGTACTTGTGTGTGCGGGCGAGCCCGGTGCATTGTACGGATGATAGCCCTGAGCCCCCATCGGATAGGTGGAATATGGATTTCGATCGTCTTTATCCGCCATTGAAGGGTGTGGGAGTCCACTATGGAAGAATGCTTGCTCTCAATATGCTCTGAGCGTCACTCTTCAAATTGCGGGCTCACGAAATACGCGTGGGAAAAAAGCTTCTCTTGAGCGTCCAAGAGTCAAGGGCGAAGGTATCTTCGGTGCGAAGAGTACCCGAATGAATAAATGGACCAGTACAAGTAAGCGCAAGAGCACCTCTTCTCAGGCGAATTTAACTTTTCGAAAAAGTGCAGAATCCTTTCGACGAGACTTTCGCAACTGACACGGAATGTATAGTGACGATGGGAAGCCGAATCAAAGAATTTTCCATTCCGCTTAAGACCACTTCAACCTTGAGCCTTTCCTCCGCCAAGTCGCTTTGTGTCGAAACTTATACCGCCCCGACCAAGGATCCCAGGTTCCGGATGGGACGAGATCTTCAGATGGACTATCGAAATCCGAGGCCAGTGAGGATGACCAGGTTGACCTGAGCGGTTCATCAGTCAGCGTCAACACAGCGTAGGTTACCAGCTGGGAGGACTGGTGGAGAAAAGGAATTTCCCACCAGCGCCGGTTTTGTGAACAGCACTCACCTCTCGGAATATATCGTCAGTTTGTGAGAGTCTATCCAGGAAGAATAAACGGTTCCGGACCACCGGGAGTATACAAAGGCCTGGTGAAGTAAGAGCTCTGCTATTCGACAGAAGAACAAGTGCGGAGATGTTCGTTCAGGTTCTGGCGGTCTCAGAACAGCATCATCGGTTGGGAGCCGTGGCTGTGAATCTCAAGTGCGACTTACCAGCAAGGCCCAGAGACCGACTTTCGCTGTTGCAGTAAAATGGGTCCGCTACTGTTACGAAGAGTTGCTAGAGGTGCTGGACGGGCTAAGCTGTGAGTGTCGATATGGCGAGCCGAGGGGGTGGGGAAGGATTGCCAGTGCCTTGAAATGGGCCTCTCTCGAGTTGCAATATTCGATGGCTCCCCCTGTTTGTGACGACCACATGCAGGGCCGTTCGCAGCTGTGTTTTCACTGTGATCAACACCGCCGGAAACGATAAGCCTCCCAAATGCAGGTGAACTGGATCTCTCACGTGAGTCTTAAAACTCGGAGTGCTTAGCTGACGGTGACCTTGAATGAGGTCGGAAGGGAACCCATGCCCAGCACGCGCCAGGCCGGGGTTTGAACTTTAGGGGGAGGAGGACTGAGGAGGGAGCGTATTTCACCAGTTCCCAAATCCAAAGGAATTGCACCAAGGAGCGACATTGAACTACATCATATCGTCATTTCATCATTTCATATGTTGATTTTGCACACACTTACGCAGCCGTGCAGCGTCGAACTTGACAACTTGCTGATCACTCTTGGATCACCAAATCGGTGATGTCGTCGTTTTCGCCGGCGACTCTGGACCCTGTGAAACGCGCGAGAGCGTCAAGGCAGCCGGCAAAGCAAGCTGCTGGAACAGCAGGCGACCTCCTCTCCCGTGAGAGCGGGCAGATGGTCGAAATATACTTATAAAGCGCGCAATGGTGGCAGCCGGTGTATGCAACATCCAACGTTCCCATGCTGTGGCGTGCGTCCGTCGCATCTCCCGTCCTCTGGTGGATCCGAACAAGCATATCAGTCAATGCAGCCATTTGTTAAGATGTTCATTCCAGAAAGAAAACTATTACAAAAGAATCGATGCGCAGGTCCCGATCTCCAGTCCCTCCCCATCAAAATCATATTCACATCCTTTCTTCTCTCAATCTGTGCATCAACCCCACCTCACTCTCTGAAGGCAGTCGGCACTCTCTCCTCACTGAAATGAGCGCGGTCATGAGGCGTCAGAGCCAGGTACTTTCCTCCGTTCTCGAAATCATCCAGGTTGCGCACTTCATGGAGACTTTGGTCAACGAGCAGCTTGGGCAAGCCTGGAGGGATCAGCGTTGCTGTGTGTTCCTTGAGCTGTGGTGGACAACATAGTGGTTTAGTAATGGTGGCTACCGTGCTTAATTTCAAAAGCAAGGAATGTTCACTTACCTTATCCATGCTCGAGTACGTCTTGTTCAGCACCAGATCCTCGCCCGTCGAGTGCTTCTCAGCATACTCGTAGATTTTGATCTTGCGCGCCGTGACGCCAATGTCGGACTCGCGAGACCGTGAGCGCACGATAGGCTTCTCGTTCTGGAAGAAAATGAAGAGCAGAAGAGTGTTTATGATCAGGATGCGTGCAATTTAGTAGTATGATTGCATGCGGGCCATAACATACATCGATACGCTCCCTCAAATCGTTATCGCTTCCATACGGACTGTGCTTACGGTGCGTCGAGGTCGTGTTGCCGTCAAAATCGACCAGGTCTTTCCGGCCTACGATGCGAATCAGTCGTTAGTACAACGTGGATGCGTGGCAAGTATTCAGCCTGTGCTAAACGCGAGGTACATACCTGCCATACCACGACCATGCCCCTCCTCATCGAAGCGCTGCTTGTGGGTACCCTGTTGACAGCATGCATCCGTCAGTAATCAAGACTTGGAAGATGTCCACCCGAACTCATGCATTCATCTCGCGCCAAGAAATCTTTGCGCGAACATTACATCCTACCACCTACCGTGTATCCTTTCGGGTCCGTTAAGCGGGCAGTGATTTCGGCGGCTTTAGGGGAAAGCAAGTTATCGGAACTCATGCTTGATCAGGATGAGGATGTACTGATGAAATCGTTGAATGACTGTGTGGATTTTTCGACGGTGTTTTGATGGTGAATATGGTATGCAACTTTCTTGTTGTTTGTGAAAACGACGCTTGGGCGCTGGAACGGTTTGCTCCTTTATATCCCTGCGCTTTCAATGCGTGCAAGACCAGCAAACAAGGTCGAGGACAGCTTCGGTGATGACGTCTTCAATTTGGCGAAGGTACGTATTTCATCGAGGAGGGAAAGCCAAAGCCTAGGCCCCAGTCCTCCGAAAGGGGTCATGATTTTACCGCGTGGTCTTTCGCTAAAGCTTAACGCCAAAATGCTTCACAGCGTGAGTTGGCGGGGCTTGTGACTGTCGTCCTCACGAGACCCGAAGCGGGAACGCTCCAATTGACGGCTGGAGCTGCAACTGAATGACGCAGCTTCCGTCCAACCCCTTTCCCCCATGTTGAGAAAAAGCCGTTTCCTCTTCTCCACAAGCACGGAACAGCCTCACGGAGGGATCAAGGAGAGTGGAATAACTGGATATTTTTTTGCTTGGCATTCTGAATTTGGAGGAATGAAGAGAGAGCAGCAAACCTCCGCCAGAGAATGTGTAATTCGGAAGTCTGGTGCTGTCGATTTGAAAAACCCCGACTTACGTCAGCACGCGTTCCCGGCGAAAAGACCGCCCGCTGCTTTGGGAAGGCACCTCGAACTTCATCAAAGCTCAGCACTACTCTTCGCAGGATACTTTTATCTGGGACGCTGCGAGGACTGCATATACCAAGTAACGCCAGCAAGCACACTAGGGACTGCTGAACGAGGCTCGCTATCGGGTTCAGCTTCAAACTCCTCTCGAAAAGCAAGGGCTGCTTGGACCCTTGAGGGTCAAGGCAGCAACTATGGCGCAAATATCACAAGGAATGCTGCATACCGCTTTGGTAAAGTTGGCCCTTATGACTCGGAAGAGCCTTTGAATGTCTTCTTACTGTACTTGTTCTCAGCTTCTTGCGGTAGCAAAGCTGAAACCGGATGATGTAGGCGTACTGGGTATGAGAGTTTGAGATGAGCACAGACGTTGGGTTAGGTTGGACTGTGCCTTATAAGCTTCTCACCATCACCACCAGATTATGTGGACATGCTCGCCCAACCAAACTGCTTGGACGCGCAAATGGGCCAGATCGCACAAACCGCCCGCTCCCTCGCGACCGCACCTCTAACGAAAGAAGTGTGTCGCACGCTGCAAACCGGCGGCGCGCCCGACCGGCTCCTACGCGACATGAACGCAACGCGAGATCGGCGGACGCTCCGAAAGGAGGCGGAGATGGAGGTGCAGATTGCTGATTTGAGAGAGAAACTGGAAGAAGCGAAGGAGAAGCTTTGTCAGAGTCAGATGGGTAAGCGGGCATTTATGCCGACATTTTGGCAGAGCTGGAGTGCGGAAATGTGCTGAGTTATCGCTTATATATGGGTGGATTGAAGAGGTGAAAGCATTACATGCGAAGCTGAAGGAGCACCCCGGCGTCAAGCCATCGTGCAACGCCCCTCTGACATACCTCAAGAGTAAAGCCGGAAAGGTCGCGAAAGAGTGTAAGTTTTGTGTACGGACATGATGTGGAAGCCTAATCCCCAAGCAATTTCCAAATGACAATACCGTCGTTGTCAGTGTTGACGCCCTTCCCCGACGGATCAAAACACATGCAGAGGCAAGTGCGATTCCTAGAACTCGTGAGGAGATTCCTCGTCTCGTGCGACAGTCAGGAACCCTCATCCTCAGTGACCGATGGCGGCGACGAACGACGAGAAGGAGCTATCATCAGCTTAACGGCTGCAAAAGTGTTGAAACACTTATCGGCCGAGGTACATCTGCACATTGATCGTTTGCAAGCGCTGTCCTCAAAGGACGACGTCCCAAAGGAAGTGGAGCAGGCTTCTTCAATATCAGGAGAGTTGCGCAAATGTCTTGAGGGATTGAGCCCGCTTGCCTTGAACATCTTGGGTATTGCCTCATCGTTTAAAGCGCAACTGTGTGTTACTTCGCCAGCTTATCATGTTTTCTTTTCCAGGCTTGACAACATGCGATCATCTGCTGCCAGGCGTGCGCGACGAGCTCATCATCATATTTTCGCTGTTCCTACGAGACATTCTTGACTCGCTGTGTATCGCGGGATCAGTAATGAACGATATCTTGGCGCGGTCTCAGGAGGGTCCTTCAACAGGTACTAAGCGACGCTCACCGACAGGGGCTGCAGAACCCAAGGAGCCGCCCTCTCAGCGCCGCCGGCTGAGCACAGGCAGCAGCAATACCACCATCGCCGATGAAGTTGATGCCGTGACTGTTAGCCCCGAAAACGGCACACTAGAGGACCACCGCACGACTCTCTGTCAAGAATTGAACAGCATCGTGCTCGACTTCTGCGCCGCCCAACCGGCGTTAGTCCCGATCATGATCCTAGCATACACACGGCACTGCGTTGCGCTGGCGGAGATCATGCGCGGCATACTGCCGGGGCTTCCTGCGGTATTCAGAACGGACGAGGATAAATCTGACGATGGACGCAGCACACAACCTGCAGCTGGGAGTGAGAGAGAATGCAAGCTGTGGAGAAGGGTGTTACGGGCGGATGACGGGAGCGCGGATTGTGCGGCGGGGAATGCGTTGCATATGTCGTATTACTTCTTGCATGGACTGGACAAGCTGGTGGATGTGGATAGTGCGCGAGATGTCGAAGGATACGTCTCAGGTAAGTGCATTGGCTGACTACGCTTACCGAATAGGTCTCATCCGTATTCAACATCTCACACGGGAATTATCTCTCGTCCTAACAGAGAACCTCATAACCCTCTGTAACGCCCTTCTGGAAGATTCTCTCATACGCACGCCCCCGGAATACTCCTCTTACGCATTCACAATATGCGTGAAACTCGAAGACTACGTTGGCCAGGCGAGGTTCTCGGTTAGTCGGGTTGCTGCGCAGCTGGTCTCGAGGTGTTTGGATGCTGGTAAGGAGTGAAAGTTCGACGGCTTTGAGGGTTGTTTACAATGCGCGTTTGATGATTCTGAATATGGTAGCGTCGAGATTCGAGGGTGCTTGGGGCGGCGTAACAAGGTGAGTGCTGTTGCTGATCGTGTGGACTTACTCACAGCCTGACGTAGGATGTTCCTTTCGGAAATCATAAGCAGCGCCGATGACACCAGGACAAACGATATGAACGTCCCCGAAATCACAAACGCCATCGCACCCGCAAGTACGAATGAACAGCGCATTGGCGACGAATCGACCGCATCACCGGAACCTGTCGAGTTGTTTTGTTTATGTCGGCGCGTACGTGTTGACGCGTCCAGGCTCACGTCTCCACTGCGAGGGATGATGTACTGAGCCCATCCTTCATCCGTCTCGCAGGAATCCTTCGGAACGATGATCCAATGCGATAGCACGGTAAGTCACATGCAATCGACGCGATGTGGAATGTTTGAAAGCCAATGGCGGCGTGGAATCTGACTTTGTGGTTCACGCGCCTTCATAAAATCGCAGCAGTGTCAAACGAAATGGTATCACATGGACTGTGTCGGAATGACAAAGAAGCCTGCTGCGAAGAAACGATGGTATTGCTCGGCTTGCCTATTAGAGTGAAACGGCGATGGTGCGATGTGATGTTATGCCGTGGGAGCTTCTTGTAGGGTGGTGATATGGAATTTGGACACGGTATAGCTTTAACTCGAAGCGCTTTGCCTACCTTTGTCAGACAAGCCAGGAAAATAAATGAACTGAGTGAGGTCGACGGTTTTCGCTCGCTCTCTTCCAGACGTGGCAGATTTCCTGACGGGCTGCACACTAACAGGGAGTCTGAGTGGGGCGATAAGATAGAGGTTGGCAGGCCAGCGCAAGGGGAGATTTCCGCACTCGGTTGCCGTCCTTGCAGACATGCCAGATTCCCCGCCGGTCCCATCCAGTCGGAATGCGAAGTTTGTCCCTGCTAACCACTTCGCCACGCAGATGCAAAAGCACACAACTTGCATGCGGTGGACTGTATCCTGACCGCTGCACATTGCACATTCAACAACATGCCTTCGGTACCCCCTCGTCTTCGTCACCAGCACCCACCAGGCCCTTGTCCACATGGATCGCGACACATCAGGAAGGGATGGGTTGTACAGAGGAGGAAGCCGACTGTCGGGGCGAGTGGTATTTTGTGTATCCCGAGTATGGCATACAAATGGTGCTACGGCTTGAGAGATGAGAGAAGACCACCGTAACCTCCGTTGAGAGATGAGAAGGCAGACACAGGATGTCTCTTGTCAGCGCATATCTCTCAATCTTGGACATGCTCGGTTGCCCTCCTGCCGGGATCTCGTTGCTCCTCGCTCACTACTCCAGACTCCGCATCAGATTCTGCACCAGATTCCGCATGTTGCCGCCATCTGCCAGCAACCAGGGAGTATCAAGGAAGTAGTCCTTTGCGTGCATTTGTCTCCCACCTGCAATATGCCTCTCTTATTCCGTCGGCATACCGTCCTTCATCCTTGCCCAATAGCAGGGTGTCAATATCTGTGTGCCGCAAGGTGACCAGCTTTATGGAAAGCTACAGAGCATCTGCGAGAGTGAAGCAAATGACACCATTGGTTTCACTAAGGTATATCACCTGCCCCAAATTTCGCCAATAAACTGGGAAATGGTGTTGACTGCTTGCCATACCATAGCTGGGGAGTTGCTAGAGGAATCAACCCTGGACCTTGCAAGCACAAGTGTCTATGGTGGATTCGTGCGGTTGGTGACTGACTTCATGTGGTGGAGAAGACACTGGAAACCTAGCCCCCAATCCTGACTCGGCTGAATGTACCCCTGATTAACAAGATAACCCCCCGACTCCAAGGTATCCACGGTTGAGATCTCATGGCGCTTTGTTTGTCACCACGGAAGAAGGGGAGCAAGGAGCGACTGGAATTTGCTTGACACGGAGCGCAATGCTTGCTGAGATGTACTGTATTTCAAGTATGTCGTCACTCAAATTTGGGGGGATGGCGTACAATCTCCAAAAGCAGAAGCAGAGCAGCTAGTCTGCGAATGAAGTTGCACTGTGGAACCCTTCCAAGTATCAACAGAAAAGTGCCCGGTGGTTCACTGTTGCATCAACATACTTGCGGTGCACCATCCGCTTGTGAGTGCCTGCGTTTGGGTTGCTGCCCATTTTCAGGGGACTGGATGCCGGAGGTACAATGTTTTGTTCCGGAGCGAGAAAGTCATCGTTGGTCACTCGGGGTGGCTTGGCAGTGGCACCTCTCACTCTCCTCCGAGCGGAATGGCGTCTCTTGCACGTCCAAGTGCTACGGTCTCCAGGCAAGGCCATCTGAAGTAAAGAGTGGCAGGTAGTGGGTGAGAGGCACGAAACGCAAAGGTCCCGAGTAACGCGTGATTTACGCGTCGAGACCTGCTTGCGTAAGCAATCTCGTCATCACACATCGGCGGGCACCTCCCCTGAGTCCCCTCCAAGCGGCCAACAAAGCGGCGGCAAACGTCACACCTCTTTCTCTGGCATCCTCTTCGCCATCAACACTCATTCCCCACCGACAACAACCCACGACCACCTCAGCAGACGATGTCCACCCAACCCTCCGCCAGCGCCCCAGGCGTAACCCGCGCCACCCTCACCCGCTCCCCCCACACCTTCGAAACATTCACCCTCACAACCCGCACCCTCACCGCCCGTTTCCTCAACTACGGCGCAACCCTCAGCCATCTCCTCGTCCACAACCCCACAACAAACAAAACCCACGACATTGTCCTCGGCTTTGAGGACCCCGCCGATTACCTCCTCAACGGCAAACGTGACGACTCGTACCCGTATTTTGGGGCCACCATCGGCCGCGTGTGTAATCGTGTCACACGGGGGCAATGTACGCTGAACGGGAGGCAGGTCACATTGCCTGTTAACAATGGGCCTAACTCGCTGCATGGCGGGATCGAAGGGTTCGACAAGAAGTTCTGGACGGGAGACATTGTCTCGCAGACCCCTCCATCGGTGCGATTCACATACACGTCCCCACATGGCGAGGAGGGGTACCCCGGCGAGCTAGCCGTGTCAGTCACGTACACCATCACGGAATCCCACGGCCTAAGCATGGCCTACACCGCGCAACTGACGGAGTCCAGCCCAGCGGACGTGACCGAAACCGCGGTGAATCTGACCAACCACAGCTATTTCAACCTCTCCGGGTTCCGTACCCCCGATGGGGCGACGGTTAAAGACCATGTGCTGCTATTGGATCGCGGGTCTGTAGAGGGCGTGCTGGAGTTGGATGATACCCAGGTGCCGACGGGGAAGGTCCTAAACATCGCTGACGCCGGTGATGCGTTCAATTTCAACCAGCCCAAGAAATTGGGGGAGGGGTTGAGGGAGGGTCTGGACCATGTGGAGCGGTTCAAAGGTTATGATCATTTCTTCCTCCTCAGTCAGCACCAGCACCCACGTCAGACTGTTTTTACTGCCACCGCCTCGGACACACCCATTCCTCGCCCCCTACCCACAATCCACCTCTACCACCCCACCTCCGAACTCCACATGCACATCAGCACCACCGCACCGGGGTTCCAGCTGTACACGGCCAACTGGCTCGATGGGAAATACACGGGTACGAAGCCGGGTACGCAGGAAGGCGCGGTGTATGGGAAGCATTCCGGGATATGTTTTGAGACTTCCGCGTTGGTTGACGCGGTGAATTTTGAGGAATGGAGAAAAGGGGTGGTTGTGGGGAGGGGGGAGGTGTGGAGGATGGTGACGTCGTTTGGGTTTGAGTGGGGTGTATGAGTGCATAGTACGTGAGGAGACGGCGTAGGTAGCGAGCAACACGTTCACATCAGCGCGTTGTCAAAAAGTTTACGGTAAATACAGTAGTTTGCAGCAGACACACAACCAACAGTATCTCTTCATCGAATCTCTCTACGAGGAGAATAAATCTACATGCTCAGAGGCAAACGTCAAAAAAAGAAATTACAAGAAAGAGGCAAAAGTATACGGGCTAGTCAAGAATAAGACCGTCAACAGTACACCGTCCTCAAAACCTCACAAAAAATCCCAAAACAAAATACTACGCCACAAAATCCACCTCAGTACCCCCCAACCCGCCACTCACAAGCAAAACCGCCACAAGCTCCTTCACAAACTCCTCCAAAACAACCACATTCCTCACAAACACATCGTCCCAAAATGCCTTCTCAGTGTCATCACCCCCCATGTCCCCATTAACCCACACCACGCCCTCCCTCGACTCCGTCCGCTGCCGTCGGCGCCGGTGGTGGTGGTCGAGGGGCGGGAGGTGGTGTAAGGGTGAAGGGTTTTCGCGCGCTTCGGAGAGTTTGGTTTCGAATTGGTGTGGGCCCATGGCGGTTTTAGCGATGGCAACTTCTTTATGCAGGCGACGGAGGATAGTTTGGAGGGAGAGGCGGAGGTGGGGCGCCGCGGAGGATGTTGTTGTTGATGCTGACAGTGGGGGTTGGCTTTCATCGGTGACGGCACTGGGGGGAGTATGTGCGATCTGGTCAGCGGCGAACAGGTAGGGCGCTAGATCCCCCCGGACCGCGAGGCGGGAGAGAATCTCGGTTAAGGCGAGGTTGGTGGGTGTAGATTGGGAGAAGAAGGTGGACAGTTTCGTGAGGAGTTTTTGGAGGGTTGCGTCCCTGTCGAGGGTTGTGGGGGAGGGGTAGCGTTGAGGGGTGTGGTGGGTGTGTCGTTTGGATTTGGATGGGTTTTGCGGGGGGGTGGTGACGTGAGATTTGGATGGTGGTGAGTCGTGTGAAGAAGGTGAAGACGCCCCGCTTGATGGTTTCGATGCCGTGGCGGTAGCAGCGGCGACCGCAGCTTGGGCATCCTCCATATACGCATCCAGAGAATTCTCCTCCTGGAACCCTTCACCCACACCTAAGAGCGCCATCCACTGTCTCACGACCTCAAATAGTTGCTCGGGTGTAAGCGCGCGTTGTGCGTCCGCGGGCATGTTGGAAGGACGAAGTCCGTCGATGAGTAACGGTGTGGCTTTCTCGGGGTATGCAGAGACGAGCAGAGCCACCAGGCGCAGGGATTCTGTCACGACGCTTTCGGAGAGGGAGTTCAGCTTGGAAAGAAGAACGTCTCGAACGTGCAGCTTGACGTCATTTCGACTACTCTGATCAGCGTCTGCATCGCGGGAATCCGTTCTTGAGGTTTGGGCGTCGTCGTCGTCGTTCAACAAGAAATCCACCAACACCTCCGCGATTGGCTCGGTGGGTTCAAGTGCGCTGAGCATCCGCCGTACATAGTAAAGCACGGCTTCCGCAGTGCCATCAAAATCCGAAGCGGTCATGAACTGCGGTCCCACGGCTTGGCCTAAGAACGTGTCTGCGAACCCACGCAATATGGACTGAGTGATCTCCGATTCGAGTCCCCACAGCAGCACCACGGACTGTGTAAAACGCATCAAGTTCAAGAACGATTCGACGTCCCGTGAGAAGGTGATTGAGGCATAGCCTTGCCGACCACTATGGCTCGTGGTATGTGCAGAAAAAGGCAGTTGCGGAGGCAGTTGCGAGAAGAGACCGCCGAGTCCCGCGACGAGTATGATCACAAAGTCCGTTTGACGGACATATCCCTCCAGATCCGGGTTCTCCGCACCGGCTTTCAAAAGCAGAGAGCAAGACGTGCGAGCTACGTCTCCGTGCCTGCCCTCGCTGTTCACGTATCGCATCAGGTGATCAAAGAGAGGGAAGTCGAAATTCTTCTGGTCATTATTGAGCACCCCAACCATGCCGCCAATAGTTGCCCGTGGCTCGCTGTCTGCGGCAAGGTTTTTTGTGGCAGGCCGGTGCTGATTTAGGAACAGGTTGAGTAGGGCAGGGAGCTCCTGCACCTTGATCGCGATGTTAGATTCGAGCTAAAGAGAGAACAAGGCGTTAGTTGCATATTCCTGACATTGACCATTCACGACCTCTTCATATACAAACCTCCAGCATTTCTCCCTCATATTTCGGATTTCTCTGCCCCAAAGACTCGTTGATCAACACCGTGATGGCTCCATTAACAGATTTGTGGTACAGGCTCTGTCCCTCGAGTAAGCCTATGAGAGAAGAGATGGTTTGAATCACATGCTTGCGAAACCCTATCGGCGAGTCTGCTGCCGACATGTCGACGAGCTGGCCAAGGACGTTTGTGTTCAGGAACAATTCGGCGCAGGAGTTTGATGAGATCTGTTGAATGATTTGGGGAAGCTGATTAGTCGACCACCAACCCATTAAACCATCATCCCATCACTCCATCAACCATCATCACCTTGAACGATGAAATGAAGTGATGGTTGATGGTTAATGGAAGGCATAGTTAAACGACATCTTGCTCGCTCCGCTCGCGACAAGGAGGTTGGCCCGCGTGGCTATGCTCGCTTCGCTCGCAAAAGATCTGACGCTCGCTGAGGCTCGCGAAGAAATGCGGTGAGGGAATATTGCGCTTTTGGCGCAATGTGGCTCGCTCCGCTCGCGCTTCTCTGTCGCTCGCAAACCTCAAGCATTCCTGTGCCTACGGCACGCTTCTCAAGCATTCTCCTCGCTATCGCTCGGAACCTTAAGCATTCTCTCACTTCGCTCGCGGCACTCACCAATCCCTTCTCCACCAAACGCTGCTCCTTTAGTAAGATATCCAACATTTGTTGCAGTGCATTGGGTATATGAGTGTCCTCCACAGTCCTCGTCACGGGACTCTCAAACGTTAGCTCCATTTGTATCCTATCCCAGCACGTTTGGAACTAATATATGACGGAGGACAATTAGAGTTGGAGTTTAGAGTTAACGCTTCGTGGAAAGTATTGAGCAAATTGCGGCCATGTTGGACAGCAAGCACCTCCAAAGCTACTCCCAACTTGCCGTCCGCGGTCCGCAGCCCTATCCTATGCCCACTTGCAGTAGCTCACCTTAGTCATTAGGTTCGAGGCGACGGCTCCAGAAGACCGGTTAGGGGCAATGGCCAGCTTGTCCAGCCGGGCCTTCACTTTTGCCATGAGGTCCATTGCTGGGTTTTGTCGAGAGGTGCGAAGGGTGAGGGCGTATGGGGGGCCGGCCGGCCTAATATATAATATCTTACGAGGAGACTACTGTATTGTTGCTGCGACGCTGGTCATCAAGTCCATGTTGGCCGTGAGAACAAGGGAGTCTGGCCGGATCGACAGAGGGGCCAGCAGACAGCCAGCAGACTGGCCAGCAGAGGGCAGAGGCTGGGGCAGAGGGGGCACGAGTCTGACGGCGCGCGCGAACCGCCTGTCACTCCAATGCGGACAGACCCCTCACACTCAACACGACTCTCGGAACTTGAGCTTGAGAAGCACCCCCGTCCACTCCCAGTTCTCACCGCTCGACAAAGTCGGCGGCTGCAGTTTGCATACACCTACTTGGAGGTACCTGAACAATACAGGCATGGCCGCGCGGTCGAAATTGCGGATGGCGGTCTCGTCTCGCGTCCCGTCTCCCAACACTAACATCCTCACGTCACACTGCTATCGGAGTTTACCAACGCACAACCTCGTTGGGTCGTCGCTCAGTGGGCGATGGCACGGCTCGGTCTCCTCGATATCCGAAGGCAACCGTACGGGTACGGGCGCCGATGCAAGCACACTTTTTGGTCTTCGGAACTCAACGTCAGCTGTCTCACCTGTCGGAAGCACTCCACGAGACTTCCCATCCAATAACCACCCCGCAGTCCTACGAGATATACCCATTTCAGACAAACCCCGTTGGGGTGCGGCTTACCGACGGAAGCATCAAGAACCCCCGACCCCGAACACCCGACCCGCAAGTTCCTTTCAAAGTCAGCAAACCCACCGCAAGAAGAGCACCCGGAGTGGGAGGCGAGGACCATCCCCAGACCCCACAGATCGGTACATCAACATCGGCAGAGCCACTCGAGTCATCCGAGACGAGATCCCACGCTTTCCAGACCATGGGCTCTCGGACTTTGACATCTACGCCGAAACAGTCACGTTCGTCGAACCGTATAGGGCACATTTCAGGTGTAAAGGCAAGACGTGGTATAAGACATTTGCGGGTACAATGCACGCCGCGTTGAAGGTTGCTTTCGTGGACGCGGATATGACGATCTTGGCCATTCATCAACGAGGAGGCGGGGGGATGGGTGGGAAGGGGGTGATTTCGGGCGAGGGAGCAGACGGCCTGCCGAGCCCGTCCGAAGGAAATGGTTCACATCAACGCCCTGGCGACATACGGGAAGGGTCCTCGCTGGAAGACCACGGCGCCGAAGCGGATGCCTACGACGTACAGCTTGTAGTCCGCTGGATATTCGAGGGTACACCTCGCCATCTGCTCATCGCGGACGACTCGCCGCCCCGCTCGGTTTACGAAGGGGTGTTTGTGTATTCGTTTGACCAACATGGATTGGTGAAGGAGCACCGGCTGGAAGCGATCAACCCTGCACCCCCATTCGTTGCGTCATGGAAGGCGATGTTCGGTGGGGGGATGCCTGCGGCACCCGGCGCCACATCTTTGCCTGGCGCGTCGGCGCCTGCTGCGACGTTGAAGGCGATGGGCAATGCGAGGGAGGTTCACGGTTGATTTTCATTCACGTCGAGCCCTCTGTAGAATAGTTCAACACATCAAACCATTCAGGCTCGTATCATTTTGCATAGCGAAGTAATCATTAATGTTTAGCAACTCGTAGCGCTTCATCAACCACATTCTGTCTCCAATTCCCACAATACCATATGATCTTTATATCGCATCTAGGACACCAAAAACATGCGTAGCAGTGAGACGTTGGAATTGCAGTGGCCTCAAATCCCGTCTGTCCTCGTTGGGTGTTGCGCCAAATCCAAAAACGCGCGCTTACGTAAGTCATCAGGAATACGCGGGTTCGTGTTTGGGAAAAGGTCGCCCCCGAATTGCCGCTGTCAGAAGCTGCTGCCATTTTTTTGGTGATGCGCTCTCATTCAGGAAGTGTACAATTCACAGCACAACAGATACCCGCTGGATCGCCCTCAAACCATCCAGGAAGACGGGCGCCTTCTGTACCCACTCGCCCGCTCTTTCCATATTCTGCATACTCCGCATCCCCGTTATCATCCCGCCATATCCCCCAGCATGTCCGTCGCCACCGCCTCCCCGCGCCCAGCGCCCGCCGCCACCGCTGCCGCCGACGACTTCACATCCCACATCCGCCCCCGCCTCGACCAAATCTCATCTATAATCAACAGCGACGCATTCTCGCCATCCTCGCTCTCATTCGAAACACTTCTGGATACGTTTCTGGCGCTGTATACGGACTGTAAGGCGTCGTCGACGGCGTCGAATGGGCCTATTAGCAAGTTCTTACGGAAATGTAGGTTGGAGGAGAGGGGTCTGGGCGGGGTTGTGAGTGGCGAGAGATTGAGGCTAAGATATGCGGTTATGTAGATGAGAAGTTTATATCGAAGCTCCAGGCGTTGCGGGTCAACACTGCGGATTTCGAGATTATCAAGACGCTTGCGACGGGTGCGGTGGGGAAGGTATGTGTGTATGCAGCTCCGCCATACATTTCATGGTCATCGCTTGATGTGTAACCCCCCACCCCTCACTCCAGGTCTGCCTCGTTCGCCACAAACTCACCAAACAAGTTTACGCCATGAAGATCCTCAAAAAAGTCGACCTCCTAACCCGCCAAGAAGCCGCCTTCTTCATGGAGGAGCGCGACGCCCTCGTCTTTGCCCAGCGCTCCGACTGGATCACCACCCTCTTTGCCGCGTTCCAGGACGAGGAGAACCTGTACCTCGTGATGGAGTATGCGTCGGGAGGCAGTTTGCGCGCGTTGTTGAATAATAGGGAGACGCCGATGGATGAGGGGAGTGCGAGGTTTTATGTGGCGGAGATTTTGATGGCGTTAGATGAGTTGCATCGGCACGAGTTTATTCATCGGTATGGAGGCGGGGTGTCGGGCGGTGGGTGGGGCTGCGGCTGGGCCTGTTGGGGACGTGTCGACTAACGTCTTACAATCCCGTAGTGACGTAAAACCCGAAAACTGCCTCATCGATGCCTCAGGGCACCTAAAGCTCGCCGACTTTGGATCCTGCATCCGGATGGAAGACGCCAAGAACGCAACGTCACAGGAGACCGTGGGCACCCCTGATTACATCTCCCCCGAAATACTGCGATCACACGAGGGCAACGCCAGCTACGGACGCGAATGCGACTGGTGGTCGCTCGGGATCGTGCTGTACGAGGTCTTATTTGATGAGGTGCCGTTTTACTCGGAGTCGCTGATGGAGACGTATGGAAAGATTATGGATCATGAGAGGAGTTTTGCGTTCCCGGACGATATTGAGGTGTCCGAGGAGGCTATGGACTTGATAAGGAAGCTGATATGTAAGAGGGAAACTCGGCTGGGGAGAAATGGGACGAGCGAGATTCAGAATCACCCCTGGTTCAAGGGCATGGATTGGTCGGCTACTAGACAATCGACTCCGCCATTCATTCCGGAGTTGACGGGGCCAGACGATACGCGATATTTTGAAGACGAGGATAATGAAGCCAAGAAAGTTATCGCAAAGTCGATCGGGAAATCCAAAGAATTCACCGGCCAGCATCTGCCGTTTGTGGGGTATACGTACATACAAAACGCCAAACCGGCAGTAATGTGGGGCGGGTCTACCACCCATGCGTCTCAAGACGTCGGAAACGGTCCGACGGCGACTTCAGCGGGGAAGTCCGGCGAGCCATCAACACCAACAACCCAAACCGCCTCAGAAATCCGAGACCTCATCCGCGCACGTCAAACCGCCGAAGCCGAAGCCAAAACCGCCGCCGCCCAACTCAGCCTCGCGCTAAACCAAACCGCCGAGCTACAATCCCTCCTCTCCGCAGCCGAAAAGAAGCGTGATCTAACCGAACGGTCGTGTTCCGATTTACGCACGACGAGAGATGTGGAGGCTCGCGAGCGCGATGAGCTCCAACGCACGATCACGCAGCTCAAACGGTCGTTGGAGGAGGCCGGGAGGGAGAAGGAGGAGGTGGAGTCGTTAAGGCATGCGAATGGGAGGGTTGAGAGGGAGTTGGATTCTGTAAGGTTGCAGATGAAGCAGATGGCGGAGGAGTTGAGGCATCAGATGGAGCTGGCGACGGAGGTGCAGATGCAGAAGGAGGGGTTGAAGGATCGGCTGGATACGTTGGAGAGAGAGACTGCGCAGGAGATTAGTAGTCGGTCTTCGATTGCGACGCAGTTAGCGGACGCTACGGCTGCGTTGGAAAGAGAGCGTAAAGAGGTGGCAAAGCTGAAATCCGAAGGAGCCAAAACCGACAATCTGGTGAAGAATCTGCACAAACAGGTCGATTCCCTCAATGCGACCTGCAAAGTCCAGACGGAAGAGCTGAATCAAATGGGCAAGCTCAATCTGCTGCTGGAACAGCAGAGGACTACGGCCAACATCGAGCTAGAACGTCTCAACTCCCACACGGCGATGCTGCAAAGCAACATTGCCGAGTTGCGAAGTACCCAATCCAAAGTTGCGGGAACGCAAAACGAGGAAGCGGCCACATTGCGCGACAAGCTAACGGATGCCTCTAATCGCGTGGCCCAGCTCGAAAAGGGTCTGGCCACGTCCAATCTGGAGTTGGAAGAAGTGAAGAAGCGCTTTCAAGTCGAGACGGAGACGCACGAGGGTACAAAGCGCAACTTGAAAGAAACGCAGACGGTGCTAGACGACCAGCGGCACATAGCAGTTGTGCAGAAACAGAACTTCGATGCTGAGATGGAACAGCTGCGGTCTGCCATGGCGCAAGTGGAGGCTGCTACAGCAGAGTCGCAGCGTCAACTCCAAGCGCAAACCCAGCAGGCTGCCGCGATCAAACGGGAACTGGACACGACCAAGGAAGAGCTGCACAAACAGGTCCGATCCGCGCAGATGTCCTCCAACTACGAGGAACTGTTCAAGGAAGCCCAGCATTCCATCCAACAGCTTCAGAAACAGATCACGGATGAGAAACAAACCGCGCGCAACACTTCCGAACGAAACAAGGAAGCTGATGAGGAGATGGAACGGCTCCGGTCTGCACTGGAATCAACCTGCCGTGAGCTCGAAAGCACACTGCTACGCGTCAAAAGCGTTCAAATCGATCTCGACAGCGCACGGTCGATGCTCGCCAGTGAAAAGCAGCAACGATCGACGTTCGAGACGCAGATATCCGATCTGCGACTGGCACTCAAAGCCGTCGAGGACAAAGCGCAGGCCGATCGCGACCGCGCCTCCCGATCTGAACGCGCGCGGAACGAAGCATCGCAACGTATCCACGAGCTCGAGGTCCAGCAAAGTCTATCCGAAACGCAAACGCGGAACTTGAAGGACCGGATACATGAGCTGGAGCAGTCGTATGTGTCGCTACAGGGGCAGGTGGAGTCCCATGGGACCATCGAGGATACCGTAAGCCAAAGATCCGAGCACTCCTTCCCGATACCGACGTACAAATCGCCCGAGAAAGCGACATCGATACGATCGAAGGGTGGTTGGAAGGCGCTGTTTAGAGCGAATAGCCAGCCGTTGAAGATGGAGACGAAGGATCTGGCGCGGCAGAGCCCGCAGTTGCCGGGTATTTCAGATTTTGGGGATGATATTTCCAAAATGTTGGAGTCGGCGCTGGTCCGTCGACCGAGTTCCGGGTCTTCCTTTTCGATGCGGTCGAAGCATACTCGATCCTCGGATGCTTTGTGTAAGTCAGGCAACATACTTCCTTGGCTGCACGCCCGCCCTTCTTACCAAACTCTTCTACGTAGTTGACGCCTCGACTCGCGACCAACTAAAAGGGTGGTTGAAGGTCCCGAAAGGGGGACGGGTAAAGAAAGGATGGAAAAACAAATACGCGGTGGTCAGAGATCACAAGCTCTTCATGTACGAGCGAGACAAGGACGTCGGCCTGATGGAAGGCACGTTAATGGTCGACATGAGGTATGTGTCAAAACAGGCGACGATGTCTCTATTGAATTTCTTCTCACCCTCCCTGGATCTCCTCGAAGATGCGACATCTTCATAGTGAAAGGTGTCGCACAGAACGAACTCATCCATGCCAACGGTAAAGAAATCGACTGTATCTTCAAGATTCATTTCGCTAATATGCGAGGGACTTCTGGACCCGACACCACATCACTATTGAGCACTCTGGTTAGTTCATCTTGCACTGCGAACGACTGTACTGATCTTCTGTACTGAAATCGTTCAATCAACCAGGGTGAGACGGACATGGGCTCCGTAACCGAAGCCTCCGCCAACTCAACACGGCGTAGGATTGAAAAGCTGGAGACCGAGATAGCGCTGGAAGACAAAATGCTCAAAGCAGCTGAGAAAATGTGGGAGGCCTCCAGCGAGGCCAACCGTGCAACGCTAGATACCCAGATTGAGGCGTCACGAAATCGCCTGACATCAATGCACGTCCAGCTCGATCGCTTGAAAAACACGCTGGATGGAGACTCGGACCTTGTGGTATGGTTCACGTCTTCATTGGCTGACGGAGGTTTCGTTCAGCTACTCATTTACTTCGCAGCCACCACCCCAATCCGATCTAGTGGAGGACGATGTGGACCAGTTCCGACGCAAAATCGAAGCGCAGCTCGTTGAAGAAGAGAAGAAGCGGGATGCCGTCTTGAAAGTGGCCACTTCCGCATCGTTGGACAGTCCGGTGGGCAAAGTAAATCGCGGGAGGATGGCCCAGTCCGCGGAACAGGAGTTGCTGTATAGTGAGAGGACCATCACGAAATTGAGAGGTTAGTGAAACTCCGATTTTTCGGTGGATTGCACGAGCAGTCCGCTGATCCACTTGATTCTGTGATATTGAACATCAGAGGACTTGGACGGTCTCAATACGGTAAGCATGAGACGCAATGTAGATACAGTTGTCACTGGGCTTTCCACCAGCTGACAGCTTGTTGCACATCTACAGAACGATTCCGAAAAGCGTGCGGCTGTCCTGCAGAAGCTCCGAGACTCTAGCGAACGCGCTAGCAGTCAAGGCCACAGTTACAAGTTACGGCAGTACTACAAGCCAACGGATTGCGCTGTATGCCATGAGCCCTTATGGGGCAAGACGAATCAAGGCTACGAATGCTCAGGTATGCTCAATAGAACCCTCTACGTCTGCGGTTTCATGCTGAGCTTTGCTCCTTTGTGTAGTTTGTAAAATGATTTGCCATAAGGCTTGCAAGACGTTGAATGAGCTGACGTGTGAGGAGAGCCGAGTGCTGAAGACCGTGGCCCCACTGGTAAATTGCCCAACCTCACCGAAGAGTTGAAAGTTGAACACCATTGCTGATATGCTTCGCCTCCCCTCAGTACTTCATGGCCCAAGACGTGCAAGATCGTGCCCGATGGCTGCAAGGAGTAGAGCGTTGCCGACGCGAAGCTCACAATGATGATCCAAAGACACCTCTATCACCGAGGCAAGCGATATCGAATGGATCAATATTTTTGCCGGAAAAGAGACCATTGCTCCCGCCAGAATGAGGTACTAACAGGAAGCATGATCAACGAGCCGCAAGCGGCATTTTGGACTACCCTGTAATTTGTGACTCCTTTTGCACATTATCATTTTTTCAAGAGATCCCAGCGTGTATATCATCCCATCTGTAACAAACATTGTCGCATATCATTCAATCTGAGTGTGAATCTATACGACTCTTCGTTCTTTGTCACTCATCGTGATGCTGAGGCATATCACTCTTTCCACCTTGCTGTTATGAGCATGGAGACAGACGCATCTGAAGTGTAGATAAACGGCTTCTGAACACCTTCATTCAGAACAACACGGGTCTAGATGAAGAAATAAGAATTGAAGGTATATAGGATAGGCAGACGGTCTCTCTAGGATAGGCACCTACTACTCTCTACGCCTGTCCGTATCCTTTTTGCTTGCCCGTACTGAAGGATTCCCTGAAGCGGACCAGGCGGGAAGATCCCCTGTCGAGCCACGAAACTGTTTCAGATCCATCATCCGGACGTCCTTCCCCGCTGGACCAGCCGCGAGTGATAGGTGCCGAACTTTCAAGACCGTTACAGACTGGGCAGCGGTGCCATAGGGGTTGCCATCGGTGGCTGCGGCCGGAGAAGTGTACGTAACGGTCTGAACTCCGCAGCTTTGAGGTCGAGGCGGCAGCATTTGCGATTGTGCGACCCTCATAGATCGCACTGACATGTAGCCGCCACTGCTGCTACAGATCCGTCCAGAGGACGCCATTCGCATGCTCGCCGCAAGCTCATTGTTCAGTGGCCTGGAAGATAGCATAATGTTGCTTATTGCCCGCCGCTGCAGAGACGAATATGAGGAGGCGCGCGGGCCACTGTTTTTTGCAGCGAGAGATGCTGAGCTCCTGCCGCCTGCGGAAGAAGAAGAAGATGCTCGGCCCGCTCTGTCGAATGCTAACGACGTGGAAGATCCTGACGTCGACGATCGTGTTGAAGCCGGCGACGCCGACCTCGAAGGCAGGAAACCGCTCAACGAAGAGCTTGCAGACCTTGATAGGTTCGGTAAGGAGCATGCCGAGTCCTGTGTCGGAACGAGACAGCGCAGTTTTGCAACTCGCGCATCGGGATCTTCTGATAGATCCGGTTGATTCAGCCAGTGATGTACAAGTCGGTCAAAGTATGGGACAACATCGAAGTAGCGATCGTATTGCGACGAGGTTGGGGACGGAAACAGGCGCTCGAAATCGCCTCGACGTGTGTACTTCAGGGCGTAAGGAAGAAAAGGGCTTCAGATTTGATGCTTCAAACCGGCACAGTGGCACTGGCCCTCGCCCTACCTCATCCTCTACCTCCTTCAGAATCTTCAGATCCTCAGCAGTCATGTCCGTCAGATAATCAGAAGGCTTGGCATTCACGAAAGACTTGTGACGGGCTTTCTCGGCTGTGAAAGAACCGAAAGGCCCTTCATCTCGTCGTTTCCTGAAATTCGCGCGGACAGCAGTAAGTGAGCGAACAAGCCATAACGGAGTGTCATTTGCAAAAACTCACTCGTCTTTTGCAGAATCTCTGCAGGCGCGGATATCGCGAAGCCGGACGCCGACGAGGTTGAGGAGATCTGTCACCATGCCGAGCTTGATGCCGAAATCCATCTCGTTGGACGCTTTCAGTGATGGCGAAATGTTGACTTCCATGAGCCATGGCTTCAGCCGCGAGTCTAGAAGAACATCAAACCCAAACACCTCAAAGCAGCTCGCTCTTTTGCATTGAGAAGAATGTAAGCACGGGCGCCTACGGCCTGATGATCCAGGTATCCCAACTCCACTGACCTACTTCTCGTGCAGAGTCTCATCCCTGATACGTTCGCGGCATGACCAGTGATGATTGTTTTGACTATTAGATCATTGATTTGCTCGTACACGAGAGCAAAGTCAACTCCAATCCGCCGGAAGTATTCTTGAAGATCTTTGAATGACCTGGTGGGAATTGAGTGATGAGAAAGAGCTTACCGCACGTCTGTGGGCAGATCACTCTACCATTTACACGCTTTGGCAGGAAACCGCGTGTCGCCGAGAAGATAGTCGTTGACACAGGTCCCATGACGATGATCTTCAAGGCTGGCCCCGCTCTTTCTTCGTCGCTTTGCGACGCTGTAATTTGTCAGATGTATGAAACGGTTGCGAATGCAGCTCTTTTGCGTCGTGTACCTTCGGAGATAGCAAAGCTCATCAATAACTAGTCACGAACGTTCGCTTCAACAATGCATGTGCGAGGAAGCGCATACTCACTTTTCCGAAGCAAATCGCACCACACCATCTTGGTACAGATATATGCGCAAAGGCTCAAAGCTTGTGACCGCGACATACAAGCGAATATCGAACTTGCGGCCCCCGATGAGGTACGGCCGCATGATGTATCTCGACACAACTAAGGGTTTCTTTCGGGGCACCTTAGCAAAGTCTTTTACCACGCGGATTCCTTGCCCCCGGGCAGACGCTGGCGGCTTCATAATCCACAGAGGATGCGAGGCGAAGGCGTTCTCCAGAGAGCCTCGCTGCCGGGGCAGAATATACGTCTCAGGCAAGTAGTCGAAGCTCTACACAAAAGCACATATCAAGATAACAGATATCGTGCAGTCTCATCCTCATTGTGGATAACCTGCATTTACCTGCGCTTCGCATGCTCTTCTCAGACGTTGATAGTTCATGAGCAGCTTATCCTTCCGCCCAATCTCAAAGCTCCGAGGGAAATGATTGACCTTCTGCCACGGGTGGACCAGTCTGAACTTCTTGGAGCTGAAGTGCTTGCCCCAACTGCCTATCCACCGCTTTCCTTTCCTGAGGAGTGTAAAATTCGCTCTGGAAACCGCATCTATGTAGAGCAGAGGTTGGAGTGTCAGTAGCTGTCAAAGAGGCCACCCATCTTGCATGTTCTAACCCGCGGAATTTGGATCTTACAACGCACGACATTGGGTGTAAAAGATCCTATCTTCCACTTGAGGACTTTGCGAAGGCTTTTATGTAGTGGCCCCACTGCGGATGGTGATTGGGAAGTTCAGGCTAGCTTTCGATCTCTCAACTAGGAAAAGAATGGAACAAGCTATACCTCGTTCGTTCGGCTTCGGAAAGTAAAGTACATCCTCACCATCCTCAAACAGGCTCCGAGAAATCGGATCAACCACAATTTCTTCGCCCAATGTCCCCATCTGAATGCTCTTTGGTGTTAATCCTATGCCAAGGGACATCCTCCTGACGGCCTCAACAACGATATCCCGAGTCCCGGAATCTGATCCATCCTCGGCAATAACAGTGGGACTTGTGCATAGCGATGCACAGAAGCTCATGTCTTCCTCCTCCGCATATGCATCCTTATTGTCATCCATATCATCGTCCTCGCCGTTTACTGACGAATCGCTAGAAAAGCAATCTTCGTCACTCAGAGGGTACTGATCGTTCTGGTCGCTGTCGTCGCTAAGGAATTCGGGTTCTTCGTCGTCATCACCATCATCCCCTGAATCCTCACGGATCGAGAGTTCGTCGTCATCTTCTTCACTGCATGCTTCGGAGGGGTGCGCTTGTTTGGGTTGCCCTAGTGGATCATCGTCCGAACCTGTACTGCTTTCATGATATCGGGACATGTCGTATGTCTCCCGAAACCAGCTATTTCGTCCTACTTCTCCTCTCGAAACCCCTCGACAAGCTCAATTTTGTTGACTAATACACGGTGGGCAAGTAGGTAGTGGGTCACTTGAGCAGCTCTCCATCCGTTTCACTCTAAATCTAGTTCAAGAAAGCTGGATTGACAGCTTTTCCGTGTTCGCGCTGTCGAAATTTTCTGATTTGATCACATTATTACGGAAGCAACCTGGCATCGTAAACGAGCGGTACGGTTGATATCGATGAGCTTACAGTGGTATTTGCAAAATGGTACAAAATTAGGGAATCCGCTACATACAGCCGCTACTGCAGTGAACCTGCAGGACCTATTACATGAGACACAGGGTGGGTATAGCCCGCAAAAATGGGAAGGAGAATGATAACATTGCCCTCGATGACGTTGTTTCTAATCTAAGGAATTTTCGCTACGCAGTTTTCATTCATCCTTCGATTTGTTTGCGGACGGAACTTCGCCCTTGAGAACTCCGTATCGGAAGCCGGAGAGCAGGTTACGGGCCGCGTTGTGGTGGTTGTAGACACCTCCGTTGAAGGCATTGGTAACATCCCGTCCGATGGCGGACTTGATGAAGATACGGCCACCTGGGTGGTTCTCTGCGAACCCGTCAACGTTGTAGATAACTCCATCGATGATTGTAAGCTGCTTTCCGTTGTCCCTAATTTGTGATTGGACTGCAAGCAAGGCGATGGCGGTTAGCTTAGAGCAGGTAGAAAGGAGAATCTCTCAGGACAAAAACGCACCATCTTCGAAAGTAAGTTCTGGAAGCTTCTCAAGCGGGGTTCCCCAGTTCAATTTCTTCTTCAAATCTTCGATCTTCTTGGCCTGCATCTGCAGCCTTCCCTTCTGAACCTCGTTGTCGGGGAACTTGTTCAGGTTATATGTCAAGCCAACGCAAGAGCAGAGCCATATGAGCCACTTGGTGGGGTCATACTGCCAGAATTTGATGGCGTTTCGGAAGTCAGATGGGAACTCGTGGTGGAAGTTGTGGTAGCCTTCTCCGAGCGTCAGGATGGCGGTGATGAAGTGGTCTTTCGGGGTATGACGGTCGTCGAAGCTCTCCTCTCCGAGCCAGTGTGCCAAGGAGTTCACGCAGAAAGTGGCGTGGTGGGTAAAGACGAGACGGGTGATTGTGGACCAAAAGTATCCGCCCTTCCAGTCGCCCCAGCCGAGTCCGGGAACGAGCATTGGGAACACAAAGCCAAAGAACAACATGAGCGGGACGAAGTTGCGGTGTTGCCACATCACAACGGGGTCGTTGTTCAAATCCATCATGTCGACCTTTCCACGTTTCTTAGTGTCCTCCTTGATGAACATCCACACTGCGTAATCACAGGATGGTAAGGATGACGCCCAATATCATTCGCAATTTGACAGGTGATACATACAGATATGTGAGTGCCAGAATCCCTTCTGGGGCCCGTATGGGTCAAAGTCGGTGTCGGTATAACGGTGGTGAGATCGGTGGTGTCGACTCCACCACTTGATAGATCCTTGACAGGCGCTAGCGCCAGCCAGTGCCATGAAAAGCTCGTATGGTCGGCGCGCTTCATACGACCGATGCGACCAGAGGCGATGGTAACCTGAAAATGTCAAGACGAGAGTTGAGTTCAGCAGGATATTTCGCGGCGATGCTAAAAGTCCATGTCAAGTACTACCAGCAGTGATGCCCAGTCCGGAGAAGAAGTAGTATATGATACTCCAGATCGCCGTCTTGGTGTTCAGAGGAACGAAGAAGGCGGCGTAGAGTGCCATTATTGGTGTAATTGTGAGCAGGGTGGCGCCCATCCAGTCGATCTGCTTGAGGGACACCATAGCTGCGAAGTCCTCGTAGGGAATAAATCAAGTAGCTGTGGTTTCGTTTGAGGACAAGATGCAAGAAGTTGGGTTGTGAGGCTCCTGAGACAAGCGGGGGAAGCGTTCAGACCCCCTCAACTTAAATACGCCGGCAACCTCTGGGGGGAAGGTCTTTCGGGGGCCTCTTCCTGTGTTGCACACCCCCACATGTCAAACATTCGGAAATCTGGTGAAAACAGCGTCACATCCCGCTCTAGAAAAGCACGTTTCCAATCTCCTTCAGGCTAAAAGGTGGTACTGTACGAACAGGTATCCTCACGATTCGGGCGGACTGTCAAGTATGTGAAGCCGCGTCTGGCTGCGTCGTCGGCATTCCTCAGCAACGGATGCCCCAGGAAGAAGGGTTGAACTTGACGTTCCAAGGCCTCATGACCACATCACAGCTCGCAGCTGTTAAATTGACGGTACCCCGCTTAAATGCTGAAATTCCAAATCTCTACGCCCCACACCACCGGATCGGGCCTACGGTTGGGGTTGGAAAACGTTTGCGGGTACTACTCCACAAGAAAGACCGAACGGAACGGACGTCTGGGACTCCTGCCGAACGGTTGTCCAAGCGCCGAAAGTCCTTTTGCAAGCGACTGACTTTTTCTTGCGAGCGTAGGAAGAACGGTAGAATCGCTGGTGGGTCATTGCCGCTGCGTAACTCCGCCAGCGAAATTGCAACGGTTGTACTGTACAAGGCCAGGTGGCGCAGCAAGCCACGTCACAGCCAAGATTGACAGAATGACAGCGCTTTGCCCTCCCAGAGTCCAAGCACAAGATGCTTGACTGAAAACCAAATCGAATACAAGTTGCACAGGGGCCTTGAGATCGGTTGGCCTCAAAAGACGAAAAGTTACACACAGGTTTTTAATTTGCGATCGTTGCGCGGAGTTGGACTCAGCCGCCGCGTCGACGTCCTGGGATGCATTCGGGAGCTATGCGCATGTCCTCGCTATAGAGTTCCTAGAGCAGGGCACCCATTCTAGCACATACAGTACTGTACAGGGTGCCAAAAGACCCAAAGACTGCAGCCATCGTGCTGCATGGTACCGCCATTGCGGTGTCCACCGATGCTTCTCTTGTCCACCGATGGACACCCTGGATGCCAGACGTTGAAAGACCCCGGACGGCTGTCTTCTCCGGCGGTTACGCGGGCCGACGCTGGGGCCGACGGGGAAGTTCGCAATCCATAGCGCAATTCATAGCAATCAATGAACGAAGCATTTGATGGATCCTGCCAAGTATCGGCTCAGAACTCCGTTTATCAACATGCATCAAATAAAGCCCGCGCCAAGCATCTGTCATGAGGTCGCAGCAAAGATTCCTTCCAACGTCCGTTTGCCCATTCTTCCTTCCCAAGTATGCTCGTCTTATTGCTCGAGGCGTCGGCTCACTTAAAGCGCAGATCGAGCTGCCCATCAATCAGTGCAAGGCGGCAACCCAGCCGTTGGGCGGCCTGAGCGATGGCTGAATGAAGAAACAGGGCATGTGATCCTGAGATGCCGTCCAACACAAGCATGTGGAGTATAGGCTCTCCTCTGAGATTAGTGGCGGAACCGTGACATTGAAAGTTTGAAAGGGACTTCGGAGGAGGAAGAACACGGGAAACAATCCGAATGTCCGTTTACGAGTCCAACTTTGAACACCAGTTCACAGTTAAGTGTGGATTATCGAAAAGTTTCTTGGAATATTCTCGCCATCGTCGCACGACCTCACATGCCGCATTTCGGATGTTCGGCAACTTCGCTATCAACTCTAGATCTATCAAGTTGCAACCGACCGTTCGACTTCAGCGCGGTTGCGAACGTGATGACATCCGACTCCCGACTCCAGCGCAGAGACGGCAGAGTGAACCGAGCAACTCGATACCGCTGGACCTCCTCAGAATCGGCTCACTGAGGAGAAGAAACGGCATTCCAATCCTCCAAAATGAACAAGAACCAATGCTTTCTTCCTCCATCTGTGCACTTCGGTCGGACGTCTCAAGGCAGTGCTTGCTATACGCCCCATGACAGTAAACGGTAGCCAAAGCGCATCGGAGTACGTCCCAAAGGCGGACCACCGAAACAATAGACTCTGACGTGAAACAGGAGTGCCAAACTCATGCCTATTTGTCAACGGCTTTCAAAGGGACGCATCCGGGATATGGTTTTGTAGGAACGTAGCGCCGAGCCGACCCATAGCTCCAACGGCCTGGCGACAGCCTCAGCGCACCCGTATGCGTACGCAAGATTGCACCGTGCTGGCTCCGGCGTCGTTTAAGGGTTCATAGCAATGCGTCTCACTTTCCGCAACACTGTGGCTTTGGCTTCTGTGCTCCACATCTCGAGTCTCACGCCACCATAATCGAATGGATCAGACGACGGGCCGCGCTGAACGTGTCTTGTTGGGTGCCCGGCTGGCGCTTACAACAAGCGGCTGATATTGCTAAGCTGCGGTCACAGGAAGAGTAGGGTTTCCTTGAACTTCTTTGGATTCATGAAATGCCTTCATAACTAATTTAGCTATCTCCCGGAAATGATCTCGAGTTTAGGAGACGTGTCAAAACGCATCTTTGCGTTGGACATCTGAGAAAGTGCGGGTTCGGAATGAGACTAAAGCGCTTCTCAGAAAGCGGGGATCGAACTCGCAACTTTCAATGGCTACAAATCAGGAGAAGGCTGTCACCAAGAAAAAGAGAAAAGCAAAGAAAAGGTTCTCAACAAAACAGGGATCCAACTTCTGTCTTTGAACATTTCCTAGTCTTTCTACCAGTGCTCTGACTTGGTCATCGCGCCAAATAATCTCCTTCGCCTACGCATAATTGAGACCTTTGGCTGTCGCTAGGCACTTGTCCGCTACTGGTATATCTCACTAGAGCAATACATATGTCTCGATCAGAAGGTAAAAACTAACGTGCCGACTTTCCACCATACTATGTTACCGAGCATTCGACAAAGCCGCTGCGCCCACTTTGTTCCGCATAGTGTCGGGCGCTGGAGGTCTATACTTGCCCGGACCATCACCAGGGACGGAATGGAACGCGCCTCCACCCAGTGCAACGAGCATGCAGCAGGTGTGTTGCCGATGCAATAGAAAGGGTTATGCGTGATGCGATAGGATATACATGGATATGCACCAGAAAGAGAGGATCCTGGGATCTGACTACTTCTCGGTACAGCCCCACATACAGTATATCTCTAACCCTCCCCAAAGGACATAAGCCTCTATACCGTATGATATGACGCGAAAGACGCGTTGAAGCTGTTCATACCGTAGTTCTTGGGGCAGCTTTCACCGTGAAGTTCGTCAGCACAAACGCCCCTTTCACACCTCGTCCTCCAAAACTATCAGCTCGATTGATCCCCTGGATTCTACACATGCATCAGGAAAAGGGGCATCCGGGTGGCTTCCCCTGCATTCCGAAGTCACCGGGGCGTAAAAGTCAGTCAGCTGGGTTGGCTTCCCCTGGGGATCTGATAGCGAAAGGCATGCTGAGTTGTTTCTCCTTGAACCTCGTAGAATCCAACGAAGCCAACCCTGCTTACATAACGCGTGTGCAACCCAACGGTTCTCGAGAACAACACCTGAGGAACACATCGCAGAAAAAAGGTTGGCGAATGGACAAAGACGTTTTCCCTCGGTCTCGCTACTACGAGGAAATCCAGAGAAAAGGGTGTCTGCACATATGTGGGATTTCGTCATGTCTCGCCGATAGATATGGCAAAAAGGTAGCAGTCGAACCAGATCCTTTTTCCTGTCGATCCCACGCGTCCAAACACAGAACTTTGTCCGTTTTCGATACAAAACACGCGTGCAAGTCGCCCACCGGATATGCCTGCCGTGTCGGGTGGATGCGGACAATGTTGCATATACCGAATACTGTCTGTATTTTGCTGGACGCTACACAGGAAGATCTGATCAATGATGCAGTGGCAGCTCTGTGTCCGCAGCGCATTCTTTTGTGGTTGTGATCTTTTGGATCTTTGCGGGCATTGGACAGCGAAAATGACGTACAGTTCCTTCTGGACAGGACGATCTGTCGGAAGAGAACGTGCATCGTCGAGAAGGAAAGGTGTACGTTGCGATGAGCATGCGTTAGAAAGATATAAAAGAGCAATGTGGTCTGGCTAGGACCCTCTTCCTCACATCCTTCTCAACCGTCCCTCTCCCGCCATGTTCACCTACAAGTCCGTCGTCGCCATCGTTATTGCCGTCTCTAATCTCGCCCAGGCGGCGAGCGTCCCTCAATGGCACCCGGCCGGCCCTAGCGACATCCGCGGCCCCTGCCCGGTCCTGAACTCCTTTGCGAACCACGGTCTTCTCGATCGCGATGGCATGAGAATCAAGCTCACCAAGTTCGTTTCGGCCCAGGTGTCGATGAACGTTGCCGTGGATTTGGCATCAACGTTGGCATTCGGTGGACCTGCTGTGCGTGTGCCGACCCATCTGGACGGTTTGGCGATTACGATGGGTTTGGACGACCTTCGCAAGCACAACGGTACGGGGTCAAGTGGTTGATGTGTTCATCCTTCCCGTTTACCTCAGATGACATCGTTTGCTGACCTGCGGCTTAACATTCAAACAGGTATCGAGCACGACGCCAGTTTGTCTAGAAAAGACTACGTGGACGGCCAGGACAACTATACATTCAACCGCACGATGTACAACGAGTTCATCTCCTTCGCAAACCCCTCAACAGGCCACATCGACGCCAAATCCCTCGCCGGCATCCGTCTCCTTCGCCAAAAGCAATCGAAGGCCAACAACCCTTACTACACATTCGACCCCATCCACGCCACCATTGCTCACGGTGAAGCGGGACTGATCTTGGCTTACTTTGGCCACCAGTTCGGTGACACGATTCCCACTGCCTACCTTGACGCCCTGTTTATCGAGGAGCGTTTGCCATTTAACGAAGGATGGGTGCCTCCTACAATACCCGTCGGTCTTGCCAAGACCACCCAGCAAATTGCCTTTATCGTTGCTGAGGAGGCCAAGCTCAGTCTCTGAAGGATTTAGGTTACATACAATTTGCCTGATTTTAGATGTAGGGGTTACGTTCGCAAGCGAATGACATCCCACCGATAGATAGATAGCTGCTCGTAAATGAATGTACGGCATAAGGAATCATATGTATCCAGTACGCTTGCAACTTACCTTTGTCGAGGTGCAGTCGCCTCCGACCCTGACAGAAACTCGAGGTGACCCTGGTCCAAAACTTCCCCGGCCAGCTTTTGATACATCTGAGATTTGCTGGCGACAACCAGAGCGGGCCGGCGAATCCTCAACGCTGCGGAAGCCAAGGTGGTCCTGAGCATAGCGGTGCGGAACCGAAGTCTGATATCGGGAAGGAACAGGAAGGAACAGCCTTTTCCATATGGGACCCTGAGGCATTAGACGCTAGCCCTCGAGCAAGATGATTCAGTTTAGCGCGCCTAAGCAAATGTCGCAATTCGCGGCTCAAATGCCGCTAATCTCCGGGGGTTACTCCGCACCCGGGAGGAACGAGAGGAACGCGACACGCAAAGCATGACAACCTCGGAACGCATTCCGGCTTCGAAAGCCTCAACCTGCTCCCGCTCCAACTGCAACTTGCACGTAGTATAGACTGGGAGACGTCCTGTACACTGAGCACATACAGACAAGCCGCCAATCCTGGGACCTGCCTCATCGACTTGCCAGTGCGAAGTTATATTCTTGGCTTTTTTGGAGGCTTCACCGTAATCCCATTCCCTTGTAGAGTTTAAGGCATTTTCCCACCATGCACCACGAAGTCCTCCTACCGTTTTCGAGATCACTGCCTCGCAGCCTGATACAGCGAATAACACAGAGCACAAGCCCGTTGCGCATATCCGTACCGGGCGCCTCCAGGCTGTATTCAACTTCGAATAGATTATCTTTAGAGACTACCAACCTCCTCACCTCCCCCACCCCGCCATTGCGTGCCGATGGAATACTCCCCCGCTACGGCCTCATCAACTCTTTGAACGCGCGGACTTTTTCCACTGGGAGGACTCTGTTGGACGACTCAAAGAAGAATACGCGCGGAAAGATAGAAGAGAAAGAGGACGCGGAAAACCGGTCACCACCAAAACCGACGGAGAAGAAGGATGAGGAGGAAGGTGTAGGCAAAGAGGATGGGCACAAAGACCCAACGAGCATAGCGGAGGACGGGAAGGATGGCAAAGTACGCGACGATGCGTCTGCGGAAGGCAAAGGTTCCGGGGAAGCCGCTGGAGGAGCGCCACCAGCAGATGGCGGCGATGGCGACGATTTAGCGCATAAAATTATAAGCGAGAACCCCGGCGGTTCGACAACGGAGATTAACGCCAACGCATTACAAACGGTGACTGTCCCCAAAGAGTACCCGCAGCTAGTGGCGATTCCGCTGAACCGGCGGCCGCTGTTTCCCGGTTTCTACAAATCCCTGTACATCAAGGATCCGCAGGCGATTGCAGCGATTCAGGAGCTGATGCATCGGAATCAGCCGTACGTCGGCATCTTCCTGTCTAAAAACGACGAATTGGAGGACGATGTGATTGGCGACATGGACCAGGTGCATCCTGTCGGAGTATTTGCGCAGATCACCAACATATATCAGGCAGGACCGGGCAACGAGGCGCTGACGGTAGTTGTGTACCCACATCGCCGTATCAGAATGACGGGCGTAGTAGGTCCACCTGATCTCGCAAATATCAAGATGCGGCAACAGGCTGCCATGGACGCGAAGAAGGAGAAGGAGAAGGAGACAGCATCCGATACAGAGAAGGCTGCGGACGCGCCTTCGTCTGACGCAGATGCCGCCAAGGAGGCAACAGCAGAAGGTAGCGTGGGCTCGATTCCGAATTCGATCAAGGGCGATGTCAGTGAGGAAGGCGCAGAAGGTGAGAACGAGGATGTCAACCTATTGATCCTTACTGTAAACCCGTGCATTCTAACACCTTTCTCTTACCAGAGTACCTACCTATGAACAAGCACCTGCACAACTACCGCGTCTCCCTCGCCAATGTTGAGAACATGACCGACGCGCCCTTCAATGCCAGCAACAACGTCGTGAAAGCCATCACTTCCGAAATGCTCAACGTGCTGAAGGAGATCTCCAATATCAACCCTCTTCTCCGCGATCAAATCATCACCTTCTCCATCCAAACGGGCGGCAGTGCGTTCGCGGACCCAGCTAAACTGGCCGATTTCGCCGCAGCCGTCTCGACAGGCGAACCAAGCGAACTGCAAAGTGTGCTGGACAGTTTGGAAATCGAGGAGAGATTGATGAAGGCTCTGTCGGTCGTGAAGAACGAATTGGCAAATGCAAAGCTGCAACAGGATATCGCCAAGGAGGTCGACAAGAAGATTACCAGGCGGCAGCAGGAGTACTTCTTGATGGAGCAGCTGAAGGGCATCAAGAAGGAACTGGGCATCGATAGTGATGGAAAGGACAAGTTGACGGAGAAGTTCAAGCAAAGAGCTGCCAAGTTGGACATGCCGGAGGCTGTCAAGAAGGTTTTCGATGAGGTATGTTTTCATTATGACGTGACTTTCCCCTTCCAGTGGACATGGAATGAAGACGTTATTCGGACCACAGGAAATCAACAAGCTGCAGTCACTTGAACCCGCCGCCTCCGAGTTCAATGTCACCCGCAACTACCTTGACTGGATAACACAAATACCGTGGGGCCAACACAGCAAGGAGAACTTTGACATCAGACACGCCGCAACTGTTCTGGATGAGGATCACTACGGCCTGAAAGACGTGAAGGACCGTATTTTGGAGTTCATTGCTGTCGGCAAATTGCGCGGAACTGTGGAGGGCAAAATCATTTGCTTACAAGGGCCTCCTGGTATGTCTGAACTACAATCGACATCTGATCTCATTTCAGGGTGCTAATCAGGTGTTTCCCCGTATTATTGCTAGGTGTTGGAAAGACATCGATCGGAAAGTCCATCGCACGAGCACTGGGGCGAGAGTTCTTCAGGTTCAGTGTAGGAGGACTTACAGACGTTGCTGAAATCAAGGGACACCGCCGGACGTATGTCGGCGCAATGCCCGGAAAGGTGGTGCAGGCATTGAAGAAGGTGCAGACAGAGAACCCTCTCATCATGATCGACGAAAGTACGTATACGTGTAGCTTTCTTGGAAGTGCCTTTCCAGTCGTCTCATCGTTTATATCTACCCTCCCCATCCAGTCGACAAACTCGGCCGCGGCCACCAAGGCGACCCCGCCTCCGCCCTCCTCGAACTCCTCGACCCCGAACAAAACAACTCCTTCCTCGACCACTACATGGACATCCCCCTCGACCTTTCCAAAGTCCTCTTCGTCTGCACTGCCAACATGCTGGAAACCATCCCCGCGCCATTACTCGACCGCATGGAGATCATCCGTCTGTCCGGTTACGTTGCGGAAGAAAAGGTTGCCATCGCTGCAAAATACCTCGCCCCCGCCGCCCGCGAATCCGCAGGCGTCAAAGAAACCGATGTCGTATTGCAACCGGAAGCCATCGAATCGCTCATCCGCCATTATTGCCGGGAAAGCGGCGTCAGGAACCTGAAGAAGCACATTGACAAGATCTACAGAAAGACGGCGTTCAAGATTGTGCAGGAGGATAAGGAGCCGGGAAGTGAGGCGACGAAGTATGAGATTACGCCGGAGAATTTGAAGGAGTATGTGGGCAGCCCGGTGTTTACGTCTGATCGGATGTATGATCAGACGCCGCCGGGGGTTGTTATGGGGTTGGCTTGGACGTCTATGGGTAAGGTGGCCCTCTGAACTCATCGTTGTGCTTTCTTTCGGTGGTCCTCCGTCCCCATTCTCATCACTTCTGCCGATCTGCATCCGCTCCATCCTCTTGTACAGGCGGCTCAGCACTTTACATCGAATCCGTCCTCGAGTCCACCATTTCCGAAACGGGCAAACCGTCTTTCCACCGCACGGGCCAGATGGGCGACGTCATGAAGGAGTCTTCCACCATCGCCTACACGTACGCGAAATCGTTCATGGCCAAACGGTTCCCGGATAACAAGTTCTTTGACAAGGCTCAGGTGCATCTGCACGTTCCTGAGGGCGCGACTCCGAAAGATGGTAAGGGCCTGAAGCTCCATCCGAATGTCTTCGTCCACAATCTCGGTGTCCAATCCGGATATTCCTTTTCTTCTCCCCAGGCCCCTCCGCCGGCTCCACAATGGTCTCCTCCCTTCTCTCCCTCTCCCTCTCCAAACCGCTGATACCCGACGTCGCCATGACGGGCGAAATCACACTAACAGGCAAGATCCTCAAAATCGGCGGGGTGAAAGAGAAAACGATTGCCGCGAAACGATCAGGCGTGAAAACCATCATCTTCCCGGAATCCAACCGCGCGGATTGGGAGGAGCTGCCGGATTATGTCAAGCAGGGGCTGGACGTAAAATTTGTGGCGTGGTATGAGCAGATCTTCGAGGTGGTGTTTCCCGAGTTGCATGCGGAGAGTGCGAAGAACGCTTAGAGAGGACAAGGCGGTTTGGGGGAAGACAGCGGAGGGTCGGAATGGGCGGCGGCCTGCTGCCTGAGAAAACTCTTGCTGTATCCTCCATGCCGTCGCGAAGCGCTTTGCACCAAATGCCGTTCACGTCCACCTCTTTGTGGCAATGGCTGTTGTATATTCCTGTGGTCTCACTTCGCCTCGGCGTCCGCCGTCGTGCTCACACCGGGGGGCCACCCCGGGGCAACCACTTTAGACACACATACATAGTACCTATCTGTTCATGTATTTATGTATATGCCAGGACCGAGTCCCTAGTTTCTCGTTTTCTGGCGCCTAGTCCAGATTTCTGTCGGATTGAAACAAAAGGAACAGCCCGCATCAAAACCAGAGACCAGTTTCACAAAAAGCTATTGTGTGTATATCTCTTCAAAACTCCGAACGAATATCAAAACAAAGCCGCGGTACACGTGTTATGAGGGGTTACAAGATAGGGGTACCCGTATGTGCCCCGTAGCAAAGAGGAGTCTATATGGGGCCGCTTGCGGAAAAGATGGCGGCCATATGTGAAGGGTGAAAGGAAAACCCGGAATCACGCTAGGTATTAGTCGAGTATCCGCCCCGACCGAAAGGACCGTTCCCAAAATATCTCATATAGCGTCGGCCCCGCCCTGCACGACTCCTTCCATCGGTGCCGATGCACCACTGCTCTCAGGCACAGGCTGCACGGCCGGTACGGCCGGCAGACCCGTCGTTGGTGATGGCGTCGCGGGCGATATCTCCACTGCCGTCGACGCGGGCCCCACTGCCGCCGCAAAAGAGGAAATTCCAGCGGCCGCATTCCCGCTCCTCCACTCATTCGCACCGTCCCGCCGGGCGCGCTTCACAAGCCGTCCCTCGCCTTGTCCACTCAACCACGTCTCAAATCCCTTCAGGTTCCTGTCAGCCTCCTCAGCAGTCAGCCCCCGTTTCCACCCCGAAGGCCCTTCAATCCAACCATCAATGCGGGCTTTCCTCTTCCGCCCGTGTTCCTCGGCAGCAGCGGGGGTCAGGACGCCTTTCCTGGCCGTCGGGCCGACCCGTGCAAAGAAGTCCTCGGTTCCGGCCACAAAGAAAACTTTGTAGGTGTTGACGCAGACTTTCATCTCGATGCCGCTGCGGGCTTCCACGTCCAGGGGTGGTTCCTCGGGCGCTGAGCTTGGCAACGTCCGTTTCAAGAAGGGTTCTCTGCGGGTCGTCGCCCGTGTGGGGGCAGCGATACTCACTGGGAGGGCGTCAGTGTTGGTGTTGGTGAGCTGCACGAAGCGGTCGATGTAGAGTGACCAACGGTCTTCTTGCGAGACGGAGTGGTCGGTAATATGCTCGTCTTTCGAGAGGAATTGCATTGTCAATACGCATTCATCCACAAACTGCGGAGAATGAGGAAGTATGAGCATCATCGTTTCGCTGTATTCTTCGTGGTAAGAATCCCTCCAACTCACGTATTCCAATCGATAGAGGTTCTCCTCCTGAATAACCGCCTCCGAGTTGACTCGGTACATGGCCTCCTGCCGGGGACTCGTGCTATGCTTTGCGCGATCGGCGTAGTACATTTTGACGATCTCCAGGCTCTTCTGGTCCGTTGCTACAGCGTGTGCCTGGACAATAAAAGGTTTAAGGAAAACATCCAAACTCCAGCAGTAACATCAATGTACGTACCTGCTTGATGATGGCTTGACAGAGTTTGTCCACCGTAAACACCAGATATGCAAAGGTACCAAACAAAGATCTGGCCTTGTCCTCGAATTCAGACCCTTCCAAATCCCCGGTCACGAAAGCGAAACACGCCTGCAGGAGCTCATTGTAGCGGTCCACGTCAGCGTAGGTTGACACTGGAAATAAAAGGAGTTGATTAGCTATCGGCTGGAGCTATAGTATCGAAAGTCCGCGCCAATGCTCACTCGAGTCCTTCTGCAATCCGAGCTCCTTGGCAATCGAGCTTTTTCTGTCGGTCGTTGGTGGCTCGTCAGAAAGCTTCTTCGCCATTTCTTTCATCTTCACCAAGCGAGAGTACAGCAGCTACCGGCAAAAAAAGTCAGCTCGCAAGTCTCGCATGATCATGTTTAGAATGATGGTTGCCATACCTGATATTGCCTAATCAAAACATAGAACGCGCTATTGGCATAAAAGACATATGTGGGTCTCCGCTCTTCCCCATTATCCGTAGTAGCCGCGCTCGTCTCGCCAACGTCCAAATCCATCGGATCCAGTTCCAAGGCATTGGGATGAAGATCAGCAGCAGTCGATGCATTCCCTGTAGGCTTCATAGAATCACCATCATCTTCCGTGTCCATAAGATCATCCCCAGAGTCGCCAATGCCGCGTCCATTGGGCAGCGTGCCTTCCGTCTGCCGCGTGAGGACATTACGACAAAGGTTGCTAGAATTCGCCCCGCGCGATCCGTGATGGCGATCCCCGTTTCGCTCATCCGATTCCGAGTCCTCACTAGAAGGTGAAGACTCATCGTCGCTCTCCTCTTCATCGGGGTACTGGTCGAGCTGGAAGAACCGTTTCGTGAACTGATTCAGGAGATTGATGACGCGACGGTCAGTGTCGACGCTGCTCTGTGCTTGCATCCGGAGCAACGCGCGAACGTCTTTGAAGACCTCTGGGTCCTTGAACGCGAAATCGAATTGGTAGCGGTTGAGCGTGGTGGCCCGTTTGCCGCGCTGTTCTGCGTGAACGGTTTCGATTTCGCCGACGAGGGACTTGGCGGACATGGTCTTTTTGTCGGTGGCTTTGAAGTGGATGCCCTGGTGGTCCAGTGCTTTGTAGTAGTTCTTGGCATCAATTTCGCGCCATACTTTGTTCCAGTCACGCTGAGAGACGATGGGGAAAAGGGTTACAGAGGCGGTTCCAAAGATCATGGTCAACGACTATAGCCAAGTAGCTACCTGAGCACGTTTCCACTCCTCATCCTTTTGCTTCAATCGTTTGAGCACGACCGGGACAGCCACGGCCGGATTGTAGTGCAAAGCCTCCAGAATCTCAGCACCCCGTTCTTTGTCGTATATTTTCTTGATGACCCTCTGATAAATGGTTTTCGATGACCCTACCGTGTACCCAACCGCTAATTAGCCTTAATTCACCACTAGCCACATAAAGCAACATCTCAGATACCTGGTAACCCATTGGAATACTTCAGCCGATTCCTCTCATCGATACCCATCGCCTGGATCTTCTTCGCTATCGGCTCCAAAAGCCCAATGACATGCAAGTTGGACTGGATGTTCATGTCAAACTCGTAACGCTCTTCTTCACATTTGTGGAGAGCCTCTTCAAATTGCGTCTTCTTGTGGCTGACAAAACCCGTTTCGGAGACGTAAACTGGGTGACTGATCCATTCGTCGTTTAGGACTTCATTGCAGAGGTCGTCCCGGCCGGAGCATTTTGGTCGTGGCACCTGCGTTTTGAGGGTTTGAGACGATACATTGATCAGCTAGGTGTCGCGGCATAGAACAGAGCAATGGATGCTTACGTCTGCTGGCAATTGGCGGTAACTGTGCCCGAGCCGCCGGAGGCTGTTCACGTTCATGTCCGGGCGCTCCGCAGGAATATTGTCTGTGGACAGTATATCGGAGGTCAGAAATCAGCCAAAAAGGTTGCATTGCTGCAGAGGAATACAACGACATACAGATAACTTCGTCATCTTCATACTTGACGAACTTCTTGAACCAGTCAAGAAGGTCAGGCGCACGGTTCAGGAACGGCTCGATGCGCTCAACCAACACTTTAGCCTCGATAATTTCCTGACTGAACAAATTCAGAATCTTCAAAAACTCGTTGTAAGTGGTTTTGTTGTTGATGACTTTCTTGCACTTGTCAAAGAAATCAAGCTCCTCGATCGTGCTGGGTTTTTCGGATGGTCTGCCGATTTTAGCTTTCTTCTTCGGCGGCGGTAGAGGGATCGGGCCGGGCGTGGTTCCTGGAGCGATTCCACCGGCAACGGAGGATGCTCCGCTACCCGTCATTGGCGCGGGCCTTCTCTGTTGTTTCTTGCCGGACCCGGTGACCTGAGACGTGGATTTCGCTCCGCTGGACGTCTGGACTTGAGGCACCGCCATGCCGTTGATTGTGCTTAAAACGGGCAAACCGCAGGGGCGGCCGAATCCACCCAATGGGTTGGCGTTGCCATGTTCTGGCAAGAATTGCTTGAACTCATCCAGCAAATCATTTGCGCCATTGAAGAGGATCTGAACCTGTGCATAAACCTAGGGTCGGAGAAGCGATGAGAAAATGAGTTGTTTCCAAGTTTTCAGGCGGCCATACGACAAAGCACCTCTTGAATAGGCTTTTGCTCTTTCTGATACGTCTGCAAAATCTCCAGGAAATGCTTGTACGTCTCAGGCTCAGAAGAGAAGCGGTTCTATTGGCGGTGGAAGCGCATTCAGTGTGGGATACTTGAAACGAGGATACCATCAAGAAACATACCTTAATCTTGTTGACATAGTTGATTGCGTGGTTAAACTCGACCGGTGGACGGCGGTCATCACCAGGTGGTTTGGACCCAGGCGGCGCCGGACCTTGTCCAAGCATGCTTCCATGCGATTGCATAGAGTTGATGATATTGGACGCACTGGTAATCGCGGCGCTGTACGATGGTGGCGGTGGTATCGGTCCCTGCGGGATTGAAGGGGGTATCTGTAGGGCGGACAGTGGTCCAGGCGGATAGCTGTTGAGGCCACTCGAGCCAAAGTATCCCGGAATCGGAATCGAAGGGTTCCCAAGTAAGGCGGTCCCGTTGGAGACAGACGTAGCACCCTCGCCCAGCGATTGCAGTCCGCTCACACTCTCCGTGTATGGCGGCGCGTCACGAGGAGTGGTCACTTTAACTTCGCCGTTCGGACCAGGCTCGATTCTATAGCCATGCGGAAGGAAGGTATTGAAACCGCTGATCAACTCCGGATGCTCACGGAAGAGGCCGGACACTCTCCTGATAACTCCAGGAGTATCAAGGCTGTCAAAAGAGTACGACGTAAGTTTCTACCGTTTTGCCAGGGAAAACCCACGATGGCACATACGCTTGAGACTTGAAATCCTTCATGATGTCCAAGAACCGATTGTACACTTCAGGCTGATCGTTGAACTGGATCTTCACTTGATCAAGGTACGACAAAGCATCCTTGACATTCAACGGTCTGTATTCCTGCGATCCACCGTGGGGACCTCCCAATACGTGCGACTCTGCAGAGCTCAACTCCATAGGCGACGCCCCGCCTCCTGATGGGAGACCAGGGACAGTTGCACCTGCCGGTGGGGACATCATTGGCTCCTGAAGCGATGGCATTGGGTGATGGTTCAGGCTCATGCGACGTCCATCCTGAACGTCCGGGGGAGGAATTGGCGAGGAGTACATAGAACTTGCGGATGGCGGAGGTGGCAGAGCCGAGCTGAAAAGGTCAAACAGACAGAACGAAAGGGTCAGAACGCGTTGCATGTAACCCCTGCGGGACGTAAATGCCGTTCCCCCAGCCCCCCCAGGCACGGCCATAGCCCCCTGCTAAGCCTCTCACCTGGAACCATATGAAAACGGGGTGCTCGAAAGCGTCTTGCCATTAGTATCTGGCGCAGCCGGAAATGGTGAGATGCCAAGCAGCTGCCCAGACGCAGAGCCTTGTGGCTGTTGCTGCTGTACAGTTGAGGATGTGGGCAAAGAAGGTGGCAAAGGCGCAGATGCTGAGGTTACTCCCAAGTTCGGAATGTTGGACGTAGGAACCGTCGGCGCTGCGGGTGCCCCTGGGGGTTGGTTCCAGAAGTGAGGTTCACTAGGGCTGCTCATCTTTCCGTTTCTATGTTCAGGGAAACTATCAAATTGACGACGAGTACAATCTTCGTTTGCTGTGGGTTTATGGGCCCTCTGCTGTTCTGTGGGATGTGGCCTCGCAAAGGTAGAAGTGGAAAACGCCGTTCTCTGCCCAACAAAACACTTCGAGTCCCCCAAAACTTTCGCGGGCGGCAACTCCTGCTGGAAGACGACCCTCTATATCTTCCCGCCTCGACCGGGAGGTAGTGCCGACACTGACCGGCTTGCTTCCTGGCAGGCGTGGGAAGCCGAGACAATGGCGGGATTGGGTGCAATACTGGCGCGTCCAACCTATCCGTTTCAAGGCAGCCTTTCAGACGAGTGAGATCAGGCCGACCAGTCCGATTACAACGAGCGGAAGCTAAGCGACCCGACAGCAGTTGAAGAGTGGTGGAGCGTAGGAGATGGAGTGGGATGCCGCACAGGTTGGTTCTCTGTGTGTTCCCAACGGGGATGGGCGGTTCGTTGTTCAGGAAGGAGGAGGGTGAGAAAAGACCAGCAGCGCTTGCCTCCCTCCTATTGCCCGTCATCACTTTCCTTGACTCACAGTAGCTGTTTGTTCACTGTGGTTTAAGCATCCATCTTGTCAGCCTTTCTTATCACGTGGAATCACACGGAAAAGAGGCGGGAGCACGTGACCCGTTTCATTTTCTTTCAACCTCACTACCTGAGAAGCGGCCCGCACCATGAGTGCAGTCTCTCTATCGCAAGATATCGCTCATTACAGCTACCGTTCTTGAAATTCTCTAAAGAGCCCCTTGCACACACAAAGATGTCAAAGGGAGACGGTACGTGGGCAGGAGAAACTAGAGAGTGTGGGGAGTACGGGGAGGAGACTCTGGGTTGGATCTATTTGAAGAGGCGACGGAGAATGTGTCGGGAGCAGCCGAGCGGCGGTGTAGAGGGGGTTCAAGATGGTCGGACAACAAGGAGAGAACCGCCGCTTGGCTGGGCTTCGTAAGCCTTCTGAGCAAGCGACGAGGGTGCGATCGGTCAAAACAGCGATTACTTGTGGCCAGCCGCTAACCTTGAAACTCCCGTGGAATACCTTAGGTCGCGCCAAGAAGGAAGCTTACTTCCAGAAGTTGGAGTCTCTTCTCGAAGAGTACCCCTCCATCTTCGTTGTCAATGTCGACAATGTCGGTTCCAACCAGATGCACGGTGTTCGTGTCGCTCTCCGTGGCGAGGCTGTCGTCCTCATGGGAAAGAACACCATGGTCCGCAGGGCCCTGCGTAACCTGATCCCCGACAACCCCAACTACGAGAAGCTTCTCTCCGTCATCAAGGGCAACGTCGGTTTCGTCTTCACCAAGGGTGACCTCAAGGACATTCGTGAGAAGATTGTCTCCAACCGTGTCGCCGCCCCCGCGAAGGCTGGTGCCCTCGCTCCCGTCGATGTCACCATCCCCGCCGGTAACACCGGTATGGAACCCGGAAAGACCTCTTTCTTCCAGGCCCTCGGTATCCCCACCAAGATCGCTAAGGGTTTGATTGAGATCGTCAACGACGTTCCTTTGATCAAGGCCGGAAACAAGGTTGGAGCTTCTGAGGCCACCTTGTTGAACATGATGAACATCTCCCCTTTCACCTACGGTCTCTCTGTTCAAGCCGTCTACGACAACGGTAACATCTTCTCCTCGGAGATTCTTGACATCGACGATGCCCACCTCTTGGGAGCCCTCACTCAGGGTATCACCACCATTGCCGCCATCTCTTTGGCCATCGGTTTCCCCACCGTTGCCGCTGTTCCTCACTTGTTGATCAACGGTTACAAGAACGTCATTGGTGTTGCCTTGAGCATCGACTACTCTTTCGAGGCTGTTGACCGCGTATGTACCATTTTCGGGCAATAAAATTTCGTCGTAAAACATGTCACTCACTCGGACTTTGTATCCTTAATATCAGATCAAGGAGATCCTTGCCGACCCCTCCAAGTTTGCTGCTGCCGCCGCTCCCGCTGCCGGTGCCGCTGCTGGTGGTGCCACCCCTGCCGCTGCCAAGGTTGAGGAGGAAGAGGAGGAAGAGGAGGAGATGGGCTTCGACTCTCTCTTCGATTAGAGGGATTCACCGATCATGTTGGAAATCCGTACATGCATTGACTAGGGGATTCTGGATACGCTCGCAGATGCGTTGCTCCTGCAAGGCATCTGTTGGCCGTAAGCTACCTTCTCTAAAGATGTGTAAATAAGCATTACCCTTACAAATGAAAATGAGTTTGGCTGTGCGAAAAGAGAAGTTCCACCTGGGCAGGAATCAGGATTGGTGTGTCGAAGAGATGTTGGGGCCCATATGGTGCCAAGACGCGTAAGAAAGGAGCTTGCGCTGCTGGACATCCGAGAGGTGACGGGAACAGCGGGAACTGTCGAGCACCATTTCATTCACATTTGAACGCTCTGTTGCACTGTCGCCAGAGCGCATTCCGTTCTCTGCTTCAACGCCTCCGTGGCCGTTCTTATCCCGGGACTACGATGCCGTCAGCGACGCAGTCGACCATCCTCACACGTCGGCCCACTTCTTGGGGTCTCACGCGATCCCAAACACTGATGTCGACGCTGACGGACCAATCTTGAGAGCGAGGGAAATCAGGTCAAGATGGGAGTGTCTTAGAACGGTCTACCGCCGGAATCTGACGCCGCTGCGGAGACTGCGGCGGACACCGGACTAAGGTTAACCTAAAACGGCTTAACACCGCTCCTTGTGCAGGCGACATGAATACGGAAGGGTATTGTGAGTAAAATAGCCTTCTTTGTCCAGGACTTTGTCGAAGCCTTTGTCGGAGCCTTTGTCGAAGCCGCTTCCGTTCCTCTGTTCTGAGCCACGTCTGACGCGGGGTACCCTCTGCCGATTGGTACTGGAGAAGGTGATCCTCTACCAAACAGGGAGTCGAAGTTCCCTGCCGGAGCGAAACCGCCCCAAATATATCGCATTGCTTGCGGTCGCCTTGGCGTAAAAAGCCCAATGCCAGGCCAGCAGCGAAGAGGAAGCATACCGCGGAGCATAGGTCCCGACGTCCTCCCCGAAGAAGCCGAAGACGAGCGCACGACGCCGGACTTGGAAGCCGGCACCGCCGAAGCCCCTCTTCCCCGCGCTTTCTCTGCCGCCTCAGCCTCAGAACGGGATGGCGAAGCCGGATTACCAGCGCCGCTGCATCCAAAGGGAGATATCGATCATCTTACTGTAGAGTCCTTTGACGAGCCTGTTGATGACATTGGCTTTTTCGCGGACGTATCGGATACCATCACCGGCGGCTTGCTAGATCTATGGGACAGGCTCGTCATTCCGCTCGAAGCTCGGTGGCTACTATGGTGGGACCGGCTAGTGCACGTCGTGCATGCCCTCAATTTCGTTCTAGGCCCGCTTGCGCTGGGCTGGATACATGTTTTCGAGACCTCCGACTTCTTCGCATTTTTCGCGGTCCTCGACGCAACTCTCCTCGTTGATTGGTTCATACATGCCCGTCGCGCCTATGTTGACAAGTACGGAGCGCGCATCACGGACTCGAGACTCATCTGGAGCCATTTTCGTTATGAGCAGGGCGGGCTTGTGCGGCTTCTTTGTTGTTTGCCGATAGAGCTGGTGGCTTCGTCTGCACAACACGGCGCGCCTCAGGGTTCTCATACTATTGACCGATATAGATTCCCAGAGTAAGTGACGACCATCGCTACGTGCTTACTGCGTACGCGCTGATATCATGGCTTTCCTCTCAGCGACATTTCAAAAGTGGTGTCCGCCTTGCTGCGTCTTCTCCGTTTTGCTTTGTTCCCATACAAGGAGCTGATTAACCTTCAAATCAGCGGGATACCGACCCAGATCACGCGGCTCTTGAAGATGATTACATTGCTCCTACTCTGCGCGCACCTCGACGCATGTGTGCTGTTCTTCATCAACATGGTCGAAACATCCCCCGCGCGATACGTTGACGTGAACCACCTAGTCATCGACGAAGGCGGATCTCCCGCAACCTGGGCAACGCAGTACCTATGTTTCCTCATAACGGGGATCCAAACAATGGCCTTCTCCTTCCGGACGTACCATACCAATCCCGAACGAGCTTTCTTCGTGTTCGAGTTTCTGATTGCAGCGTTGTTGTTCGGATCGCTGATTGGCAGTCTTGGGAGCATCAATAGGATGTTGGATTCGGAGGCGGCGCTCACGGAAGCGGCCGAGAAGCATGCGCATCAGGTTAACTTTATTAAGCAGTACATGCGGAAGAAGGGGTTTCCGCCGGAGTTGCAGCAGAAAGTGCTTGAGCACAAGGTCAGTTTGATATTGTGCACTGATTTCTTGGAGGGAGATTCCTGGAAGCTAATACATTAGCGTATTGTTAGCGTTTCGAATGGGCCCGCACGCAAGGGATGCGTGAGGAAGATCTCTTCATGGCCTTACCAAAAGTCATGCGGGAGGAGGTTTTCAACTTCTTGTACTTGGAGCTCGTGAGAAATGTGCCGGTGCGTAGTGTGTCGCACTATGTGGAACGAGGAATAAGATGGTGTATACTAACTCAGTGGGTTAGCTCTTCAAAGACATGGACGACGCTTTTTACAGTGCCGCAACGGCTATGCTCAAGGTAGGGCAATGGATACTGTCATATCTGATGCATCCATGCTAACTTTGACGTGTAGCCTTTGGCGGTATCCAGAGATGCGTACATCTTCAAGGAGGGCAACGACGGGAGTGAAATGTAAGTGGATTACTCGTCGTATTCCATCGACTGGGACTCGACCTAGACGCGCAGAGCGGGCTAACGCTGTCCTTAGGTATTTCATTAAATCGGGGATGGTGGAGGTGTTGAGTCTGAAAATCAACAAAGTTTTTTGCACGTTGACCGTGGGACAATTCTTTGGTATGTTGGTTTTGCTGATATGGCCATGGTTCACGGGAACGAAATTCATCGTTAATCCCTTTCCACATAGGTGAAATCGCTCTCTACGAGTTCGGAAAACGAACAGCAACCGTGCGCGCCGTAACCGACGTCGAACTCGGCGTCTTGACTCAAGCCGATTTCAACGTACTCCAGAAACAATACCCCGTGATCAACGAGCGCGTGCAGAACATCATCAGGGACCGGAAAGAGCAAGAGGCTGCAAAGAAACGCGAAGAGGATCAGAAGCGGTTACGCGAGGAAGCGCAACACCGTCGGTCTCGCGCGTTTTTAGGCAGTAGGGGGAGTGGGATGCTGTGGGGAAAGAAGAAATCTATGCAAAAGTAGGTTCTGCTCCCTCTGATTGAGTTCTCAGCTGGACTTCTCAACAAAGCAACCGCCTTGTGATTTCCGTTTCGCAGGAGCTCAAGTTTCGCCCGCAGCACCGTAGAAGAGTCCCGCCCTCCATCGAATGTAGGCTCGTCAATCTTCACCTCCCAGATGCTTTCCGGAAAGGAGAAACCACACAAAGAAACACCACCCAACCGGGCCGATTCCGAGATTGTAACCTCGGCACATTCATCCCCCATGTCCAAGGTAGCGACCTCACAAAGACCGATGACTCAAACCCATCCGAAAATCATTGGGACTGCGGTGCATGGGCCTTACAACGGGCGAATGGGGGAATTACGGGGCGATTCCGATGGGGAGAGCAGTTATGATCTTAAGGAAGAGAGGTGACCTTGTATCCAGCCCTGACGCACGCGATCGCTCCTTCTGCCACTATCAGCCCCCAGAACCCATCAACTGCGCTGTCCCGTCACATCTCCTGGGACATTGTGCCGTAGAACACATGCTGTCCACACTCCGGGCGCAGACAAGACAGGATAAATCCGCATTCTGCCAAGGCAGATGGGAGAATTTTACCTGGACGTGGGCTCAGGCTTGCTCGATGAAAACTGATTGATGATACCGTTGGCGAAATAGCTGCAAATAGAAATGCCTTCTGACCGAAAGAGCCACGAATAATGTTGGCATGGAATTCCGTATGTTTTCCCGCTTCACGTTCTGCATTATTGTCCTGCTTCTTTGACGGTGAGCTGCAGATGGATTTGCCGACATCGCGCTATGTCACCGGGAATAAAAGGGGTGCACGTGATCCTCCGGAAGACGTTAGGGTTAGGGTCATCGTCAGACACTTGGAACGCGATTGGGAAAAGGCGAAAGCGGAAAGCATCATGCCACATGGACCCACCCCACTCACCACTTGCCTCCCCATACATACCCGCTCCATATCTACAAGGGATCTACTGTACCATCTCTTCGCCTTTACTGACGGCCGCTGCTCGTTCACGAATCACGATCCATCCTTGTTTCGTATGCGTCTCTCCCATCGATTGGGCAAGTTGCTTATCCTATTCGGCCTTTCTTATCAGGGTCTCTAATGGGATGGTCGCACTAGGAGCCGGCCATCGGACAACCTCCGAACGGGCCAGGCAACCCTCGTTATTCCCCGCACATGAATGCAGATCTTCCTGCATGCCAAACCCCAAGGGAGTGGCCGTATGTGTGTGTTGGGTTGAGCGGATGTCATGACGCTGCGTGATGGAAAAGCTGCTGCTGCTGAATGGGAAACGCACGCGGCGCGCAGTTCTGGGTTGAGAAAGGACGCGCGCGGGGTTGCGGACTGTGGCAAGAATCCACCCTCATCGGCTCACCAAAAACCGTTCGACCTCCAGATCCAACCCGCCCTAAGCAGTGCGCGCTATCGATAACCTCACTATACTGTACATATTGCAACCTCCGTCTCCCAACAAGTCACAGCAGTAGGCGCAGCGTCGGTGCTGCCACTGCTCACTCCGCCCGCCTTTGCCGTCCTCCGCATATGTGTATATATAGCCGGTGCGAGCTTTCTCTCCGCCAGTTTCCAAAAACCCAACTTCCAGTGTGAACTGCCAGACCCTGGTAGAATACATATATTCGCTGTCGTAGTTTGGAATAGCATACCCTCACCAGCAACACTAGCTTGAGATATCACCGAAGGCAACGCAGTCTTCCCAATTCATAGCAGGACTATTTCACAATAGCAGCCATGCTCAGCGCAACACCAACACGGGCGGAGAATGTCGGCATCCACGCCATGGAGATCTACTTCCCAAAGAAGGTACGTCAGGGAGGCAGTGAAGGGGTTGTTGTCGGCGATGCCTTTTAATGCGTACACTGCGGGTGCCAAGACTGGCTGCGGTGGTTATATGCGAGGAAAGGCAAAAGACGCATGAAAACTGATTGTTCGGCACCTTTCGCGTTGAAACCCATAACAGTACGTAGACCAAGCGGCTTTGGAAACGTTCGACGGAGTGTCCGCTGGAAAGTACACCATTGGTCTCGGGCAACTGAAAATGGGCATCTGCGACGACCGTGAGGATATCCACTCCATCTGCCTGACGGCCGTCTCGTCCCTATTGGAAAAGTACTCCATCGACGTAAAATCCATCGGCCGCCTCGAAGTCGGCACAGAGACGATCATCGACAAATCGAAATCCGTGAAGTCCGTTCTGATGCAGCTCTTCCAGGATGCCGGAAACACTGAGATTGAGGGTGTGGACACCACCAATGCTTGCTACGGAGGCACCAACGCTCTTTTCAACTCCGTCAACTGGATTGAATCTAACAACTGGGACGGCCGGTATGCACTTGTCGTCGCGGCCGATATCGCCGTCTACAAGTCCGGCGCGGCTCGCCCCACTGGTGGTGCGGCAGCCGTCGCCATGCTCATCGGAGCCGACGCGCCGTTGGCATTCGACGCCGGCTTGCGCGCCACCCACATGGAGCACGTCTACGACTTCTACAAGCCCGACTTGCACTCTGAATACCCCGAAGTCGACGGCCCGTTGTCCAACAAGTGCTACACCAAAGCCGTCGACGTGACTTATAACCGATACATGGCGAAACTCGCCCGCGCGACCGGAATCGAGAACCCCTCCCTCGACAACCTCGACCACGTCGTGTTCCACTGCCCGTATACCAAGCTCGTGACCAAATCCGTCGGTCGCCTCGCTTTTAACGATTTCCGCCGCTCCCTCGCCTTCACCACCTCCTCCGCCGCACCATCACCATACCCCGCGAACTTCGCCGAGCAATTCAGCACCCTCAGCGAAGCCGACACGTACACCTCCCGCGAGCTCGAGAAGCAGTTCGTCGACTACACAAAACCAATTTTTAAATCAAAAGTCCTTCCTTCCCTCTACGTCGCACAGAACCTCGGCAACTCCTACTGCGCGTCCCTCTATGCCGGCCTTGCATCGCTCCTCTCCCTCACACCCTCTTCAGCACTGCAAGGCAAACGCATCGGACTGTTCTCATACGGCTCCGGTCTCGCCGCCTCCTTCTTCTCCCTCACCGTCCGCGGCCCTACCGATGCCATCGCCGCCCGTCTCGACGTGCAGGCCCGCCTCGCCCAGCGCACGGAAGTGGCACCCGAACGATATGATGAGATCATGGCCATGAGGGAAAAGACGCACAACTGCAGGGATCTCCACCCAGAGGCACCTGTTGATGACGTCAACCTGTGGGAAGGCGCGTACTACCTCACCGCTGTGGACGACAAGTTCAGGAGATCGTATGCGAGGGTGGGCGAGGAGGTCCAGGTGAATGGGGTGAATAAGGTGAACGCAACGGCGCAGGTCGAGATTAAGAAGGCGCTGGTTGCCAACGGGCTGGCGACGAAAGCGAATGGTGTTGCGCCGAGCGTTGCTACTGCTCTGTAGAGAGGGGATTGATTTGACGGCTCTTGCACATTACGCCGATGTGACCGTCCCTATCACCCACATTCACTTTTCGGTATTTCCTTTTCGATAGATACATATTTACTCTCTTCTTTACCACTATTTGTAATAAACAACATTTGAACTTCCAAAAACTGGCTCCTCATTGCTGCATCATCTGCTACGGGTCCTTTCGGTAGTCATACTCGAACCGGACTAATCATGGAGTACTATGTGCTACGCCTCCCAAAGTGCTTTCCTTCGTCGCTACCCGTGGCCGCTCAGCCGACTCCCCGCGGCAACCCGTTCCTAGAGCTTGATCGTGCCTGATGATGGCATTACGGCGCTGATGGCCTCCCACGGGGAGGCCGTGGCTTCAAACCCCTTGCTGGCCCTCAAACCATCACTCATCAACAGCCTTCTTGGCGCCAAGCACAACTGGATCCATACTCAGTACCTCGCCCTTGATCAGCCTCCTCATATCCTCCATCAACCCCTCCACCTCTGGCCCATAAATGAAATACTTATCCCGGTCATTCTGCGTAATTGCAAACGCGCGTTTGAGATAGTTTTCAGCGACCCCATAGTCCGGGTACACCTTGCCCTTGAGGTTGCCGTAGAGGTAGAGCCTGGCCAGGTTGATGAGCGATGGCATCAGGTTTTGATCTGCTGCCATGGAGAGGTACTGAACGCCGAGAAAGGGGTCGTAAGGGATTTCGAGGGCTGGGGGAACCATGTAGCATATGCCCAGGTTGTGTTGAGCGCGGGGGATGCCTGGATGGCGAGACATAAGCGACTCGGAAATCCGATAGTTTGGAAGTATTCACACAATGATCAAAGTAGCCATCCGCCAAGCGATTTTCTCACCTGCATTGGCGGCGATGGTCAGAAACGCAAAGGACTTCCAATGGTCCGGTTGACCAGAAGGGTCATGCTGACCGAATGAGTACATCACGCTGATGTGGTATGACGCCTCCGGGTTTCCTGTGGAACGACATCGAGGCGCTGCAGTTAGAGACAACAAGATACCCCTTAGCGAAACCGACAAGACTCTCTAAACCTTTCCACTGACCTGCGTCGTGCGCTTGTCTGAGATATTTCATTGCCTTCACGCGGTCCACAGAGACCCAATTCTTGAAACCGTCCTTATAGAAGACTCCTGTTGAACAACGATATGCCACAACCCGGTCTATCAGTATAAAATGCCAGATATTCCGCATCGCACATAGGCTCGCACGCGAAATACGAAGACGTCGAGCATTGAGACCCACCTAGGTACACGGCAGCCTCCGCGTGTCCATTCGCAGCAGATTTCTCTAGCATCTTCATCCCGCCCGGGATATCGTGGGCTTTCACCATCCTTTCGCCAACCTTAAACTGCGCCCCAGCGTGGTTCTTGTCCGCCAGTTCCCTGAAGATCTTCATCGCAGCCTGTAGGTTCCGATTGGAGTGCGGGTGGTCTGCGTTGGAACAGGGCGTTGCGCGAAAGCTGTCAGTCCAGCGCATAGCCGGCGGGTTCTTCGCCCGTAGCGCACACTTCACCTGTCGACATGATCCGTGCCAGGTTGTACGCAGCGAACTCGTCCCCACTTCGTGCTGGTTTATCCATCAGAGCCCGCGCGACGGCCGGGCCCGCGTCAAACCATGCATGACGGCCAACCAAAAAGCCAATGTCTCCCACAGTGGTCAGGTCAGTCGTCACTTTCGGGAGAAGAGCAGCGAAGAGAGTTGCATCAGCATCTTCGTCTCGTCAATGCATCCCGAAGTCGAACGTTGAACAAAAGCCGCACCAACCCTCAACTTACGTGCTGCTATGTCCTCCTCCATCTGCGACAATGGGTAGGCCCGTGGATCGTTGCAATGCCTCAGCGCCGCACCTACAATCTGGTACTGGACTTGTGAAGGTACGCGTATGTCTCTATTTTTGTAAAACTGATCAAGAATCGGATTGGGCGGCAGGAGATCTGTAGAGGAACGGGAACTTTGAGACATAATAACCCCAAGGATGAAGAGCAGCGGCCAGCTCCCAATCTAGGTCTTCGTCCTCTCCCCAAAGACATCCAGATCGCAAACCCACCTTCCACCTTCACATCACCCAGCTTTTTTTCCTCCCTTCCTTCCTCCGAGGCTTTCCGTGCGCCCGATGAAACCTTCTTATCTGGCAAGTCGTCAAAGGTCCTTTTTATGCCCGACGATCTGCTCGCTTTTCCACGCGTTTGCTGGCTCACGGTCAAGCACCGGGGTGCTGGCCGGCGTCGCTTTTCCGGGAGATCATGTACGGCTGACGGACGTGAATAGGCGGAAGCGGCGGTTGAGCAAACGTTGCGGCATGAAGCTGCTAAACAGTGGGGTTTTGTGCGAGTCATGGGAATCGTGGTGGCGGGGGATGTGGTGGAAGTCGTCCTGAAGGCCTCACGGAAGAAGAGGTAGGTTCGGCGTGACATTGTTGAACAAGGCCTTCCCTGCGAGGATGACGGCTCAGGGGTTGTTTGCTTGACGTATTATCAGCGCACCGATGGGTCGTAGGCAAGGAGCAAGTATCAAGATCGTTGACTGCGTCCGATGCGAAATTTTGAGAAAATGGAAAAATAAATTGCCAGGTCCCGCTGAGATTCGAACTCTGTTTTTAACGAGTTGGCTTGGTTATAAATATACGTTTGGCGCGGTTACAGTCTTTTAGCGAGTGTCACATCGCACGGATGGTTGGATGGTCGAACGATAGCCAGCTCGCTCCGCTCGCGGCAAAGAGGTTGGGCTGCGTAGGTGAGGGGTGTATTGCGACATCATGCCCATTCCCGCAATCCCAAAACACATTGCACCTGCCTCACCTGCACATGCACCTGCCACATTGCCTCACGACACGAGATTTCCACTCTTCTATTGGCCCGCTGCGGTCCTTTGAGTCAATTGCAATTACCATTGAAGCTCAAGTTCAAGAAGTTGCGGTGCGCTCCTTCGATGAATCACTTCGTTCTCCTGAACTCCCCAGAGAACCGCCCTCTCACATTGAATTTACGCTCGAATGATCGGTAATATCCCCTGCTCTTACTTTCTATGTACTCTCCTCTGCTTGAACAATCCCTCATTTACGTATCATATCCCGTCTTCCCCATGCGACATATACAAGGCAGCTCCAAAGTCTGGGAAACGTCAGAGGATGTCCGGAAAATGACTGCACATGGACGATACGGAGTTCACCAGTTAATTTGCTCATGTGTTGTGGAGAACGGAAGTCAGGGAGTTTTTGGGCGCTTTCGTAGTGTAGTGGTTTAGCACATTAGACTTTGAATCTAATAACCCGAGTTCGAATCTCGGCGAGAGCTGGTAGTTTTTTTCCCGCCATCTTTTTTAGTTCCTCCCCATCAGTCCTCATTTTTTCGCCTCATAAGGTCGCTTGCACTATTCAGTACGGGAATATAGTGGTAGGATCTATACCACTATGTAAATGTACTAGACAATCAATCCTGGGCCTACATCATCGTTTGCAAATCGACGCCCAGTAACAAAGGACCTTTTCAAAGAACCGCTCTGCAATAGTACTACCCTGCCTTGCCATACCGGTTCGTTCCCTCCATTCCGATTGGAGCCCAAATCTCACCGAGAGTACCTATGGCCCATGGCATGATGTTCCGCTGTATGTGGCTGAAAGCGCTGCCACCTCTCGGTACACGATAGTATTGTCGAACCACTGAACCAATGGAGCATATTTAGAGTTTAGACTACCCAATGACAATTCGCAATATACGGATGGATCTTAGGCCGGCCGAGGGTCCTCCGGGACACGTCAACCGTCTCATCCGCTCAAATATAGGCGACGCGACCGATGAAGCGTACTGCGTCGCAGCACGGTACCACATACTTCCTGCTGCGACCTAACACTGCCGAGACTGGAGCGAGGGCACTGTCGAATGCCGTTATGTGTACCGTATGCTCGGAGAGAAAACCGAGAACCGGCAACACACAGAACTGGCACCATGTCGGCCAGGCGTGTCCGAAATAACGAGTTGCCCGTCCCCGGTGTCCAGCTAACGAACGACGTTGGAACTTGGAAGAAGCGGGCCCAGCCACTTTCCTCCAACGTCATGCTCTTTATTTTCTCCAAGATGGCCTATATAGTACTGTACTTATTTCCATCGCCACACCGGAGCGCAAGGGAGGAGGGTTTAAATTGCATGATTATGTCCCCGATGTTGAGGCGCCGTGACTTACGGAGACTTACGATCGTAGACTTACGGGGCTTCTGCTGTTCTGATGATAAATGGCGTTCGGAACGCTGCCTGGCCAAGGTGACTGACACCCGTGTGGGCCAGCGTTTTCCCCGACACAACGCACAGAGAGAGCGCTGCTGGCGTAACTTAATGACGCTGCGTGTGAAGCCTATTGTCGGCGCATCGCACTTATCCGGAAGCCCAGCGGAGAAGCTGCACGCAAGAGATCACGCATAGACATGTCGTCTGTACAGGCAGCACCAGCACCAGCATCATCCCATCCGGGACCACGACCACAGCCAGCAAGCACACCTCCACCCGCGGACGACTCGGCAGCTGGTAAAGAGAACACTCATGACTCGTCAAACCTTCCCAGCGGCACCAGCAGTAGCACCAAGAGGGCGTCGTGGAACCTCGACGCTCCAGTCTATGTCCCACTAGAAGGGTCAGGACCCAAACCGCAATCGGTCGGCGGAGCCCAATCACGAGGTGGTCCTCCGTTCAGACCTCGTTCACTTGGTCGTAGGCCAGGCAGAGGAGCCAACCGAGGCTCGCCATTCGCACCTTCGCAGTACGGTGGCCCAGCGCAAGTGCCGGCGTATTATGCGGTCCCGCCAGTTCAACCGGTCTACGCGACAGTGCCTGGTGAAGGAGCATATGGGCAGCCAGCATCTTCAGTAGCACTGGTATACCCGGCCACACAATATGCGGCATACGATCCCAATGCCATGTACATGGCTGGCTTTAGCTCGGCGTCGAATTTCGAACAAGGTGAGAAATGCGCTGTCAATTTCGCAGCCAAGGACATCATATAGCTAACTCTCTGACGAACTTGCAGGTACGGTCCCATATGTTTTCACCGACGATTACGATACCCCTGTCATGTACAATCAAAGTCAAGATATTGACTATCGGACGGGCACGGAATCCGACAATCAGTCGATCGCGGGTTCCATCGGCGCGTCTTCCGACTATACGCACGCAGACTCGTCCATTTCATATATGGGATCCATAGTCACGCAAGCGTCAATGGGAAGCGGTGGTCGCCAATCTGGACCTGGTGGAGGTCGAAGGATAGATCGGAATCACAGAGGCTACGCCGCCAAGTCAAACTCAAGCGCTTCAACTCCGCCGGGTTCTCAGAACTCGTCGAATACGGAAGAGAGGAGGATGGAACAAAGACAGAAACAGATCGACTATGGGAAGGTTAGTCTCAACCTCCGCGGCTATACAAGGTGCCTGGCCGGGTGCTTACAGGGAGCTCGTTCATTTATCATACAGAACACCGCTGGATACCAGAGATATATAGCAATGATCCCAAAGTGAGTTGGAAGATGCAGTTCCTGACACCTAAGGAATGTGCAATCATAACTCAACCGCTTCGTTTACAGACAAAGGAGAAAGAGATCGGATCCAGAAACACCGAAGAAGGAAACAAAATGCAGTAAAAGATGCTGGGACGGTCTTATTCGCCAATGGCGCCGGGAGCTTCACGCTTGGGATCCACCGGAGGGTACTAGCGAGGAACAGACTGGCTGGGACTTACCAGGCATGACACAGCAAAAGCCACGGCAGTCAAGTTCGCCGTTTGATCCATCTGCCAGACCAATGAATATGTCAGAACCGCCACAACCCATCGATACTCGTTGGAGTAAGCCATTGGCTGCAAGGTACCTGAGTTCTAGTTTGGTATTCGATTTTAAGTTTCGGCCCGTCACTTACCCAATGTTCTCTCACTTCTCCAGGAACCTTTTCGATGACACGCCGAACCTAACCAACCCAGGCTTCCCGTCTTGGGCCGACTTCTCACTTGACGAGCTGGACCAAAAGTTTGCCAGAAAGCTGCGACCGAACGAGACGTTTGAAGGGTTTGGACTGAGCCCGCCCAAACGCGACACTCAGTACTCGTGGGCGCAGTTCGACATTGAGAAGCTGGACGAGAAGTTTGGGCACAAGCTCCGGATTTCGGAGGCGGTGGAAATGGCTTGGGGGTAGGTGTCTGTGTACTTCTCCAGGTCTATTGTCCACACTAAGTGATGTCGTCATTAGCGCTGTGGCCTCTCAGAATCTTTCAGATTCGCCATTTACCCCGTCGCCTCGGTCTAAAGTCCTTGCGTCTCCATTCAAGTATGTTCAAACCGGTTCGAAGTATAGCGCTGGCTCTCTTGGCTCACTGGTATCTTCCTTTGCCTTTTAGAGAACCTACTCCGGTTGGTGCACACCTCTTGTCGCCGATTTCCAAAATTAACGAGGTTCAGTCACACTCGGTTCTCGCTAATAGCACCCCGGTGAAGCAGTAGGTGTCATCAGAGGGAAAACAGGCCCATCGCAGAACAGCTGTTCATTGATCGCATGGTTACCTTATAGTTCCCCGTTCGCTCCCGGCGAATCTCGCTTGACTCCCAAAGACCGGACACCAGGCAGTAACAGGTATTAGCACCCGTCAAACAGTAACGGATAATGCAGACATGGGCTGACACCTTCTCTCTCGTAGGCCATCTTCCACAGCGGCTCGTCGTCTCGCTCCAACGGCAATTGTCGACAGCCCAGGTAGTCCAATGTCCCTTTACGATGACGACGATTCGATCATCATGATCTACGATCCCACGTTGGCTTCCTCCCTGCCTTCCCTCACCTCCTCAGGCTTGCCCTCCCGCGCACTCTCGCGATCAGCAACCCCGCCAGGTGCGAATACACCGGGCATGAATACGAATTTGCATGGCATTAGACAGGGGCATCAGTCTGCCGGCTCGGGGAACAGCGGTACGAACGTAATCGGCAGCGGAGTACTGGACGTTGCTGGCCTTGTGAGCCCACAAAACGCTCTATGGGCCGGTCATACACACGTACAGCATTCGAATGGGAATGGTGGACGCCCGCCAAGCACGCCGACGGGTACAGGGTCTAATCGGATGCCGTCGATGTTACAGCAGCAGCATGGCCTACAGCAACGAGGATCGCCTGTCGCTTCGGGTAGCGTTGGAGAAGGCCTGTTGGGTGGGTTTGGAGGGTTGGGATTGGGCGATGAGAGGGATAGGACGGCGGCGATGGTGACACCTATCAAGAACGGAATTGGGTTTTTGGATGGCGTGTGGTGAAAACAACAAAAAAGTGTCTATTGCTACACTATGTGGGGATTGGAGGAAATAATCGGCGGCTCGGGCAATACATTTGGGTGGCAGGAGCATAGTCGTGAGAGTTGGCTAGCCGGTCGCTAGTAACCGGTGTGGTTGTGGAATAAGCGAGAATGGGTTGATTGATTTGGATGGAGTGTTTCACGCTGTATCTTGTAGTCTCGTTTGTGAATATGAGCAGTGGTGGTACTGTCTGTGGTGTTGTATTTGCGGGGTATATGGTATCAGTCGCACCCATTCGCGCTGTTCTTCCGTCGACGCCCATGTCCAATGCGCTCCGCCAACCCCTACAAGCCGGCAGCATGTCGGGGAAGCAGCACACCAACGTCAGCCATGTTCTGGGCAGATTAGCGAGGGTGTAAACTATGATTTTGTATCTACTTAATAGTTACTACCTCATGAGAGATTAGACTCCGAATCCAGATTAGACACTGTGGATTACATTTACATCCCTTGAACGTATTTCCATCTACCCGATAGCCCCACCAAATTTCGGAGTCGAACTTGTTGCATTCTTTGCGCTACTAGTACTACTTTGACTCCCCATCATCTGCAACGCCACCTCCGTCGAATTCGTTGACCTTCCAAACCCGCCCTTCTTGGCCCACATCACATCCAATGCCAAAATATTCACCGCACATAGGCACATCACAATCACAAACGTGCACACCCACGCCCGAAAATTCCGCCGAAGGCGCTCGTATTCCTCCCCGTTTGTTCGTGAGGGCAGGCTGTCGGCACCGTAGCGGCCCGGCGCATCTGCAGCGGGGTTTGGGTTACCAGTGAGAGGGTTTAGCGTGCTGTAGTTGTGGTGGTGGTGGACGGTAGTGGACGAGGGGGCTGGTTGCCGGGTTGTTTCGGAATGTGAGCGGGAGAAGAAGGAGTCAGTGCCTGTGGATCGCCGCTTAGGGCCTAGCATTTTAACCATGAGTCGTGGGACCCATAGTAGATTTGACATGTTGATGTCGTAGGTATTTGAGTGGCAAATCACGGATGTCCGAGGCGTCGATGGGCGGATTACGGATTGGAGGATGCAATATTGTGCTTTGTTCGATGTTGATGTTGGTTGGGGTGTTGCTTCTACGAAGCGCCGTAGTGGTGGAGAATGATGCTGCTTATATGTCCCCAAGAAAAAGGTTCTGATGACTACTCGAGGAGGGTATTGGTAGTTTTCTGAGCAAAACCGCCCGACGCCGAACTCATCGCTTATGCACTCTTCGCAACATGATATCCCCGTGAGAGGAAGAACCAGCGGTAGAAAGATCTCCGAGAACGGTTTTCCGACAGGGTGTACATCGAAAAGACCTTTGAATGCGTCGTTCGGGACATTGCTCGACAGAAGCGAAAAGGTAGGAACAACGAGCAGCGTGAGGAATGCTCCAAGCAAACTCCGCAATCAAATGAGATTGTGAGAGTAGTCTAAGCCTTCCTGCCTGCCGGTACTATGGCTTGGACACTGGCATGAAAGAGCGCCGGAAGTTTATAAGCCTTCATCGCATGTGTGTTGGTTTGGGCGACAAGGAAGGGTGACCGCTGCTCTTGCGTCGTTTACCAAAATTGCCTTTCCGTTGAGAAATCTGTCTGCACGAACGCCCAGGGAAGCACTGATTACTATTTTGCATGGCAAAATGGGGCACATGGGGAAAAGGTGGAGGCAACAATGTCAGTTTTGGCCGTTTGGTCAGTGATTGACAGCTTCCTTGTTGTGAATGTAACGCGCTGTTGAAATGTTCAGCAACCACGCTCCGACTTCATAGTCGCAGCCCTACCACATATCAGACGGCGGCTTCCGACTCGAACGGCAATCCCGTCCATTTCTGGAACCCGTCCGGCACATCCATCAACCGATTCCCGTTGTAGAAGGAATGTGTGCTATGTTCGCGATAGTCGCATTGAAATCGGACGCAGCATCCTTTCCTTTCCCATCAGCAGCAGCATCTCATGCAGCTCTATCGAACCCAACAACTTTCCCCTGCGCATCCCTCTCCAGCAGCGCGAGTCCGAAATCGATGAAAGAGAACTCGGGCATGGTGCTCTGCGCGGCTAAAAAAGAAAAGATAAAGCCAAAAAAGAAAACATATATGACTGGATATGCCGCATACATCTACGCCTGCGCACCATACGTAACCTATCTGACCCCCCACAGGCAAGTCCATCTGGCCTGTGGCCATACACCCATCTCACCCTTACGCGGTTTGGTCCGTGGACAAACCAGGTGTGGGTTCCGTATTCACCCGACGTCTTCTTTGGGACGTTTCTTTGGTTCGTAAAGTCTTCTCCCCGTTAGACAGCTCAGGAAGCTTTCACGCTTCAACTGCACACGCACATTCCACCCGTCTTGGTGCTCATCCCAAAGTGACTGAACCGCAGTTTCTTTGTCCTTGAAAACATTTTTATCAAGGGGCGGTTTATGGCGGTCCTTAAAATCCCGGTCCGCCTCCCAGTATCCGATGGATCTCGGGGGAGTCGTCAGCGTACCATCGTCACCTTGCGCAGGTTCAGCTTCGGCTTTATTAGCGTACAAAGCGGTGATATCCTTATCGTGCTTGCCTTCTTCGAAGAATTTGCCGGTTATGTTGTCGATATGGACCCATACAATGGTGTCTAGCATACGGTGCTTCTCGCGGTTCGACAGTTTCCTGTTGGGAGGGACAAATATGCTCTTGCGGGAACGGCGCCGCTCCCGTCGGGCCATGTCATCTAGGTCCTCGTCGTCGTCATCGTCATCATCCTCGCTACACAGGGAAGCCGTGTCAGACTTCACCTCGATCATTTCGATCTCTTTGAAAGATGGTTCCGCTTCCGTCGATTCGGCTGGTTGTTCCGCATCTGTCGCGGAGGGCTCATGCTCTTGCATTTTTGGCGGCGTCGAAGGTGCGGTGGGTGGATGCTCGTCAATGTCGGTAGGATTTTGGAGGGAATCCTGCAAAGCCGATAGTTCTCCACCCGCCGAGGACGAACCGTAATTTTCTGGCAAACATTGCATCGTGGGCGCGGGCATGGTAGGGAACGCCACCATCCTTGAGGCGTGCCGAAGCGTCGGTGGCGCGGGTCTTTCTCCACCCTCAGAGGGCTCTGGCGGGCGCTGTGTTGCGGTCGTGGGCATGTAAGTGTATGGCGCTGAACCCGGATCCACCAAGTTCATTTGCTGGCTTGTCGAGTGCATTCCTGAGATCACACCTCTACTGTGGCTCCGCGCCACCACATCATTCCAACTCATATTCGGATTTGCTCCGGTGGGTGGTATGGAAGACCCGTTCGAAGAGTGATGCGGGACTGAGAACGGAGGGGGATGGGCGCCTAGTGTGGCCAATGAGCCTTGTGAAGGGTGGAACGGTACTGAGGAAGTAGGATGAGCGCCCTCACCGGGCCGGAAGGCCTCGTTCCCGTCGTTAGGTGGCGCAAATCTCCTATCGGGATTAAAGCCATTGGTCATCCATTCGGTGGGTACTGTGGTCACAGCCCCGTTTGAATTTTGAGGCGGAACTGCGAACGGAGGATGAGCGCCTCCGCTTGGCCGAAAGACCTCGATCGGGTCGGTGGGTTGCGCAAGTGTCATATCCGGATTGGAGCCACTGCTGATACGTTCGGTAGGCAGTGTGTTCAAAGAGCCATACGAAGGTTGTTGCGGAACTGCGAACGGAGGGTGGGCCCATTCCCTCGGCCGAGAAGCTTCGTTGCAGTCGTTGGGTGGCTGATATCTTACGGTTGATGTTGAGGGCGTGGCTGCCATTTGAACCAGCTCGGTTATATTTGCCTCGAAGCGGCCGAAGTTTTTTGCCAATACTGCCGCCATTGGTGCCGAGCTGCTGTTGGGTGAAGTGCTAATGATTCCTCGTCGTCCGACGAATTGCGCCGGCCCCCAATCAGGCACAGCTTGAGTTGTCCTCGGCAGTTGAGCATCAGCCATTGACTCCCCTCCCGGCCTCTCCGCTGAATCAGGCACATTTTGAGTTATCCTCGGTAGCTGAACATCGGCCATCGACTCCCCTCCCAACCTCTTTGCCGAATCACCGCCATGCCCTTCATCTCTCGCTTCCACCTCATGCGGTGCATCCTCAACCTCATCCACATCCTCGGCCCCTATGCCCAACTCCACGCGCTTGAACTCATCAAACCATCTCCAAAACGCCGGCTCACAGCACCCGGGCACAGCCATAACCTTCCTCCCCGATCCTCGTCTCCGACCACTCTTAGCCATGCAAGCCTCAACGGTCAGGTTCATTTGGCGCAACTCTACCTCCAAAAAGCGTTTGATCCCCTCGCGCATTCTTTTTTGGACTTTCCCGCCACCTCCCTGCTTCATGAAGACACCGTTGGCCCAGCGCGGGTAGCGCGCTCGGACTAAGTCGGTCCAGGCAGTCAAAGAAGTTGAGTGAGAAGTACGTGTGTTGGGGTCGATGTAGACTATAGTATGTCCTGATTGCATACTCATTGCGTTGTTGCTGAAGGTAATGAGGTCGGCGGTGACGGTGGATGACTTGGAGGTGGGCAAGTCGCCGTGAGCGCGCAAGCCGGGCCGTTGCTGTGGATGTGCCTCATATGGGACCTCGGGGCTACCGATCGCATCGACCATCGTCCCTTCCTCCTCGATGTTGCGTTGGCCCGGCTCTCCCACTCTCCTAAGGCCTTGACATACGTCCGCAAATGTCCCTTCGAAAATGTCGGTATACGCTTCGAACAGCCGCTGCGGTATCGCGAAACCCACTTTCCCGTGCTGACCACTTAATCGCATAGTGCTTTCTGCCACACCATTGGCGGTCAGGAACTGTTTGGTGAAGATCGCCATCGCCTGAGTGAATCCATGGAAAGTCGGGTATCTCATCAGGATGACTTCTTGCCATGGCAGGCCCAGTGTGTTGTTGCGGAACTGCCTCATGTCAGGTTGGCGGGCTGAAGCTACGGCGTGGACCGGATAGGCGGTGTTTGCAGTGGTGGCGCTTCCAATAGTAGTGGACGGGTATTCGAAGGTGGCACCTTTGATCGCAGTGGTAGAAGGCCGGGAACCAACAGTATCCATGTCAGGTTGGCGGGTTGGAGCCACGGGGTGAGCCGGATAGGCGTGTTTCTCAGCGATGGTGGCAGCGGTAGTAGAGGGGTATTGGAGGGCGGCAGCGTCTTTATTCGCAGTGCTCGAGGGCAGGCGTCCAACATCGTCCACGTAAGGATGGCGGGTTGAAGCGGCGGCGTGAACCGGATTTGCAGTAATGGTGTCAGCGGTAGTAGAGGGGCGTTCCATGGCCGCAGCGCCTTTATTCGCAGTAGTAGAGGGCCAGGAACCAACATCGTCCGGTTTCAAAAATGGCTTTTTGAAACTAGGTTCTCCATTGGGGCCTGCAGGGTCAGCTGGGCCTGCTTCAAGTCCATCGTTTTGTACAGGTGCATCCTCCTCGTCCAAGCCAGCTGCAGACCGCTTCCGCTTCTGTCCGGTGACAGGATCCAACAAACCTCCATCCAACCGGGCAATTATCCAGTCGGTAAAGTGGGAGACAAGTCGCTTTGGAACCGCCATCACCTTTTTCTTCCGGACCGTTATTTTGCTCTTTAGCGCCTCTTCTGGCTCGAGCTTCAGAAGCAGGTACTCGCGTACGACGCCCTGCAGTAGCTGGCGTGCTTGAGGTCTTAGGTTGGAGAGAGTTGCGACACCAGAGATATCCTTGATTATCTTTGTCCATGGAACCCCTGCTGCCGTGGATAAATCGCCGTTTGGTCCTGCAGTCGAGCTGAGAGGTGAAGGATGACTTTCGTCGTCGGAATCATCGGTGGACGAGACTTCGTCCGCCATGATATCATAAGAGCGCCCGCGATTTTCAGCTGCAGGTGCAGCAATCGGCGGTATGCTGCGATCGTCGACAGACTCCGGCGTCACCCTTGCCAAGGAGATGGGGGACGAAGCAGTAAACTCAAGTTCAGCTTGGCGAGGTTGCACACGGGCGGCTTCCAGGTCTGACACGCGAGACATTAAATCCCGCCTCTCAGCTTCGATTTCGTCAAACCTACGTTGCATTTCCGCAAAAGCAGCGTCCTTAATCGCAATCGCTTCTTCCTTCTTCTTCATTTCTCGTTCGAACTCAAGTTTCTCTTCCAACATGCGGATGTATTTCTGCTCCATACTTTGGCTCTCGGAAGGCACAGGGGTTGGGCCCGGTGCGGGAAAAAGCGGCCCTGCTGCGCCTGGTATGTGAGGATGGGTATTTTGCAGTTGCGGGTATTGTCCGTAATGTTCATATTGTGGGGCTGCAAGCGATGGCTGTTGTTGTGGATGCGCGGGCGGTGGTTGATATTGTGGGTTCGCGAGCGGTGGTTGTTGCTGTGACTGCACGGGCGGTGATTGATACTGTAGTGCCCCAAGCGGTGGCTGTTGCTGTGGATGCGCGGGTGGTGGTTGAAATGGTGGGTCTGGGGGCGGTTGGTGCTGCTGTGACTGCGCGGGTGGTGGGTGCTGCTGTGACTGCGCAGGCGGTGGTTGATATGGTGGGGCTGCAGGCGGTGGGTGCTGCTGTGACTGCGCGGGCGGTGGTGGTGCGTACAAGTGGGGCCCGTTGGAAGGAGCGGATGGAGGCCCATTACAGGACTCTGTGGAAGTAGATGACGGCAGTTGTGGAGACCCCGAGGTTTGCATTACTAGTGCTTGATCCTGTGCCTCATATCTCGATGGAGGCAAGTCTTCACCATCGTCCGAATCGGAGGGGTCGTCATAGGGTGCTTGGTATGACTGCTGATTATAAGGAATGTAGCGTGTCGGCCCAGGAGCGGGGTACGCCGGGTTCATTCTATATGCTGGGTACTGCACTATGCCATTAGAATGATGTATTGGTTGCTGCATGTCTCCAGCCGCCCCGTTTGAGGGAACGGGAGCAGCAGCTGGATATTGTTGCGGAGCTCCATTATAGTGACCGGGCCTCGTCGCGGCTCCGGTTGCAAGCGTAAGTCCTTGTTGATGACCTGAGTATACGGCTGACGTAGAAGAATGAGTACTTCGATACGGCGGACCGCTATAGCCTCCGGCTGAAGGGATTGGTTGCGAATAGTGCGGCGGAAACTGCGTTTGTGTGGGTACATGACCAGTATTGGCGGGAGCCGGTGGCTGAAGGGAGGGTGGTTGCTGCTGCGGCTGCTGTGCATATTGGACGATGTTATGAAATGTCCTGTTGGGAGCTGTAGACGCCGATTGTTGAGGAAAGTGCGCTTGCTGCTGCGGGTGCTGTTTATTGTGCCCGATGTTATGAGATGTCCTGTTGGGAGCTGTAGATGACACGGTGGGCGCCCAGCGATTGCGTGCAGCTGCAGCCACCTCCTCCTCTGCCATTTGTAACCTTTCCGCTCTCGTAAGATTGGGAAACGAAGTCATCCTTCTCGAACTCGCAGTGGGCGGCTGATCGTGGCGAGCATCCTTTGAATTCATGGTGACACCAGATTGTTGCCGGCGAAGTGATGTGGTGATCGTTGCGTTGTCGGACATCGCTCACTGGTTGCGGTCGTGCGCGAACTAAACCGCGACGACGAACCTTTGCGAAGAGGCCGTTCAGTCAGTTAGCTTTCACCTTATGGTGCGTACGATGATTCCGTCCGATGGATGTTTGTGGAGGCTGGGAAAATGCGAAAATGCCCTTTCGCGTCGAGTCGTGGGAAGAGGCTCTCACAGGCCGCTTGGGACTGCTTGGGATGCAACTTCCGTTCTCAGCTTCGTTTCAGCCAATTTTGGAGAACAACCCCCTCCCCCTCACACTGCGAAAAACTCCGCCAAGCACAGCTAGCGACTCAACTCTACATACTCAGTATATACCCTCACACTGCTACCCACAACCGCCTGCCCATCCCAAAGTATAGATAGAATCACCTGCCCAGCATGTTGAACATTATGTCATTGAAGAAGAAGAAGGTGGACGGGGAAGCGACAAGTTCCAAACGGCCCAAGACAACCGCTGCACAGATCAGATTACAGAAAGGTGCGTTGCACAGTCGAAAGCATCTCTTCGGACTTTACTCCGAATGTACGTACATAAATTAAATTTCAACTTTTCTTGGCAGACTTGGGCGATATGGACAACATCCCCGGCACGATGACGCTCACGTTCCCGGACCCAAATGATACCTTCAACTTTGTATTAACGATCAAGCCAGATGAAGGTGGGAACACAAGACCCGAAAACTACGGAGATAGGTCTCTGACAATTGCGCAGAGGAACGTCACTTACACCTCCTTGTTCCTCCCTGTCTAGGATTTTACCATGGCGGTACTTTCACCTTCACTTTCAAAGTGAATTCCAACTACCCGCATGAACCACCAAAAGTGCTGTGCACACAGAAAGTGCGCATCAGGCTGTCATCTCTCTCTATCACTCGGTCTGACAAATCATTGACCTCTATTTTCCAGATATACCACCCCAACATCGACCTCGAAGGAAACGTCTGCCTAAACATCCTGCGAGAAGACTGGAAGCCAGTACTAAATATCAACTCGATAATGGTCGGGCTACAATACCTGTTTCTGGAGCCGAATGCCGACGATCCGCTCAACAAGGGTACGTAACACGCATCGATCATCTGGGCATGCCGACCGACAATCTAAACCCTGTGCTTGATCTCCCTTCCATCTTAGATGCAGCAGAGGTTTTGCGATCTAACCGACGACAGTTCGAACAGAATGTGACTAGGTCGATGCGGGGAGGGTCGGTGAATGGTGTCAGTTTTGCTGATGTCACTCGATGAGAACCTGCAGCTCGCAGTTTCCTCAGGCATGACTGCGCTGCGATTTTATCTATGTACATTATGGAAATGAGGAGCCAATCAAATCTGAAGCATCATATTCACGCAGTCAGTTACGTTGATTTTGGGACGCGAACGAGGGAACCACACCTCCGATGGACTTGGAATGCTCGGACGTTGTTACCCCGCCTGCGAACTTGCCCCACACATAGGTCGAACATGGGTTAGGCCAGCAGCCAATACCGCAGCTTATGCGTTCCAACTCCGCACAGACCCACCGGCAGCCCGCAAGATTATGCTCCCTTCAGGCAGTAACCGTGCCAAGACGATGCCACTCGTCGGCGTCGAATCCACGCTCAGCTAATGAAGCCACCCCTGCTTAACATTCTTTCAAGAGACCTGGGTTTGAAGCGGAAAAGGCGTGCACAGCCGTCGTTCTTGTTCTCGTTCTTGTCCTCGTCCTTTTTGTCCTCGTCTCCGTCCTTCTTGTCCTTGTCCCCGTCCTTGTGCTCGTTTTCGTTCTCGTCTGACTGACCTCCAACATTATGGTTGCGCTTCCCGGCCATTCTCTTCTCGACTTTGTTTGTATCCTGACGAACTCTTACCTCCCATGTCACGCTTCCGGTACTTTCTTGCAGAACGACTGGCATTCACTCTCCGTTATTCAATGCACTCACCTCCTGATATGCATTCGCCGTGTGGGAAAAAGGTTCGCGTTACGCGTATCGTGATCGGGCAGAGCAGTCATACCTTGCGGTGCACCGCGCAGGTAGTCCCAAAGCAGGGCCATAGCGGCCCGCTGAAGCCATTTGCAGAAGCCCTGAAGCAGGGCGCGCGATGCCCCGTGGAATTGTCGGACGCGTGGGCTGGAGGATGTCGCGATGAAGGGGACCATTTACGCGTTGAATGCCGGAATGAGAGGAAAACGGAAAGACGAGTGGAACCAAGGGACAGAATGGAGAGGTAATCCGTATTCCTAGAGTTATAAATACCTTTAAACAGCTTCGCGATTGATTGATTCTTGAGTTGCTTTTCGGGCCGACGATGGACGACGTTTAATGAAACGTAGCCTGAGGAGAGAGAGAGAGATAGATAAGATAGAGAGGGTAGAGGATTAGGTTAAGATGAACGAGGGAGCGGAGAGGACGAGCGGTAGGCGCGGTTCTTTTACAGCGGGGGGCCCGGGCGGCGAGGGGCAGAAGAGCGGATGGAACGGGGGCCGAGAGCGAGGGTTCGCGTGTGTTGGCAGGCGCGTAAGCAGAGAGGAGAGAGGAAAACCCCTCAACTGGGAGTCGACTCGCGCCACCTCCGCAGTTTGAAAGACGCCATCACCTACATACATGGAGCAGTAGCAGTGTTGACTTTCTCAGAACCTCTCCGAATCAGCCCGAGTTATCGTGAAAGCGCTAAGCGCGGCGTGGTAACTACTGTTGCGCTCGGCGCGGCGTGGGCGTTAACTGAGCAAAGGACTCAATTCCACAAACCGCGCTCTCCCATCGAGATCGACACAGCCATTTTGCTACTGCCTCGAGCTTGAGGGCCATCTACAGGAATCTACGTATACGATGTGGGCGGTGTCAGCGCAAGTGATCCATGGCACACCTATGGCGAATAACAACGATTGTTCGCTGTCGCTCACGGTTGAAGACAGGGGCTCGCTTCGCTCGCCTAGAAAGAACGATGGTTCGCTGACGCTCACAACTGAAAACGGCGCGTCGGGTGAAGACAACGCGCCGAACGGCGGCGAGGCGGAAGTGATAGTCATCAGCTCTGCTGGGGAGGACGATGAAAAGGATGGAGAGCACGCCACTGTGAAGGCAGGGGCTAGCGTCGCGGCGGACCCGCCGCTAACTATTGCGAAGAGGGCGAGGGAGGGGGTTGGGGAGGGGGAGAAGAATATTGCACGGAAGAAGCCGAGGAGGATTAACGGGCAGCCTTCTGTTAACGGCGGCAGCGATATCCACCCCGCACGCGGGTCGGGACCGGCAACTACGGCAAATCCAACGGAGCCGAGCTCAACAATACCTCCACCAGATGATCATCTAAACGAAACCCAGGCATCCGGGACGTCGGTCAAGAAGAGGCGATTAATCCCCCGTTCCGATATCCATCTTCGGAAATCATGTCTGGACGAGAGTCTACTCAGTAACCGGAGCGGGCTCCTCCCGGGCGCCAAATTACTGACGATCGGTCTACCGAACTACATGGGAGAATCTCGGTCGCGACTGTCGGCGCCTTTCCCACCCCGGCCTACAGCGTCGACGCAGGAAGCGCGACGATCGAGTGACATACCTTCGTCCTTTCCGCCGTTGGAGGACATTTCATTGGATTCTGATTCGGAAGACGAGGACGTGCTTCCTAATCTGAAGGCAATCATAGCTTCCTCGATCAACAAGGCGCGGAGGGCGGAGACAGCTTCGTCGAGTCCGACGCTTCCGCCCGCAAAACCACCATCTCTACCGCGAAGGCCACGGACGGGTCCCCATGCGTTGTCACAAGCACGACAAACATCACAGGTACCACGGCCATCAAAAGTGTCGCAACAGCCAGTAGCATCAGCTTCCACTGCACCACCGCCTTCTCGCGCGAATCCCACAACACCCACCAAACGATCGTCATTAGGGAAGATCACGCCGACGACCACACGGACCAGCCAGAAACTGATCGATGAATACTTCAGCCCACCTGGTAATGCGATCGGAGGTGTATCATCACAGATCAACTCTTCGCAGCGTAGATCCTCATCATTCCCGGGCTCCGGACGCCGACTCAAGGGATATAAGCATTCCATTGAGTACCTCGATATGTGCGAGGACAACGGCAACAATGATGCAGACAACGCTCGTACTAGTGCGACGATACCCATGCCGCCTGTGCCGAAATTCCATCTCGCGGAGAGCTTCCCGATTCGCCGACGGTTCGTGGGTATTACCGAACACAATAAAAGAACCAGAGCGCTTCGCAGTGACAAGCTCTACGACGTCTGCGCCAGTCAATTTGTCAGCCCCGTTACGACAGTGGGCGGCACGCACACCCCGACGGTGATAGCTGTAGCGGGATGTGGGAAGCTCAGCGTTTGGTCCTCGTCCGCCAAAATGGGTGACGGGAAGCTCCTCCGCCTCATCGGCTGGGACCTGTCCGAGAACACACCCCTGTCCGATATACCACTCAAGGAGCTCTGGGAAGGCAGGGACCCGCCCGATGTTCTCTGCTGCGAGTTTCTGTTTGACCGCACGACCAACACAACTTACCTCGCAGCCGGTGGCTGGAGCGGGTTCCTGATAGTCGCCTGCGTCTCCGATGGAACGTATAGACATGTCGCGGGCCCAGGGGCAGATGTACATCATATTCACGTGCATCCGACCAACCCCATCTTTTTCGCTGTTGCATCAGATGATTATACAACGAGGATATATAACGGGAAAACGGGCCATTTGGTCGCGATTTTTTTGTGTGCGACGGAGTATCAGCGTAGCGGCGTGCTCAGCGTGGCGTGGAGCCCGGATGGGAAACGGTTAGTGACGGGCGAATCAGACGGGACGGTGCGTTTATGGGACGCGGACACGGAGGCGATCAGGAATGCGATGGAGTACTCCTTCACGGGGCAACCGGCCTCAATCGAATTGGAAACAGAGGAGCGGATCCCTCCCGTGGCTAGGGAGTACGTCCCGCTCGTCAGTACCCCTTGGGTATTTCATGACCATATCGACTGGCTGAAGTTCTGGGTTGATGGGCGGACAGTGTTTGCGAAATCGGTGCAAGGATGCGTCAAGGCCTTTCAGTTCGAGTTGGATCATTTACCGCCGAGGGAACCGACTGTCATACCCGCGCCACCACCATCCGCCGCCGACGCAGAATTATCACCGATACCCCCGCCACAACCGAAACACTCAATCCCCCCTTACATCTACGCCCACTTCAGCGCCGAGCTCCTGTACCTCTTCCTCCTCCCCTACGAAACACCAGGCGACCACATGCTCTGGTTCGTTCGCGCCGACATCTCCCCATCGGGCCGGTACCTCGCCGTCGGCAACCACAAAGGCGAAGTTTTCATCTGGGACGTGGTCAAAGTCATGGACCACTACGCGAACGCGTACAACGGCGGGCTGGCGAGTCTTTCCAAAAGCAAGAAGAAGAAGCGGAAGAGTGTCACGAGCATGATCCATACCACCAATGGTGATGGTGGTGGGGGAAGCAATGAACAGCCGACGTTCGAGGACTTGTGGCTGGACGAGAATGTGCAGGAATGGGCGGCGCCGTCGTTGAAGTTCCGCGTTCAGACGGCTGCGGCGGCCTCGTGCAAGGCGCAGATTCGGTCGTTGTGTTTTGTGGGGGATGAGGAGCTGGTGGGCGTTAGTGATGATGCGAGGGTTTGGAGGTGGTGTGTGAGGAATACCTGAGGGTAACGCGTAGTAGAGTTCCCGAGGGGACGATACCGTAGCGGCGTAGGGATGTACATAGGGGCAGAAAACGCGTCGGAATACAACCAGCAAGACGTATCTATTGATACGGTATTGCACTTCAGTCCGTCAGCGCCAAGTCGTATAGGCAAAATGGAACCAACCGTGTTGTGTAATCGAGGATTGCCCTACGGTCCGCTCGGAATCTGGATGGATAGTGATGATGCGAGGGTTTGTAGGTGGTGTGTGAGGGATACGTAGAGGGTAACGCGTAGTACTGTACAATTCCCGCGCACAACCTTTTATTGCAGACTTATTGCAGACTTAATACAACAATCAGCAGCGAGATGGACAGCGGTTGTGGGATGCACAGACCACCGCATTGTGTTACGCTCCCAGGTGCGTCAGAACCTTGCCGCTTCATACGTAGCTGTCCCTACTGTATGCCCATCATCAACTGGTCTACACGTATGCGATTTGAAGGAAGTTTCCAATGACTACGTATCCCTGGTGAGTGTCTACGAAGGGGAAAACAAAAAAGAAACGGACAGAAGTGCTAGAAGTTTTGAAACTCACATCTGCGGCAAGAAATGATATTACAGTTACAAGGGATGCTAAGTCCAACAAGCACGTTTGGCCGAGCGGTCTCAGGTGGCAGCTTCAGGTGCTGTTCCCTTCGGAGGCGTGAGTTTGGAACCTCACAGTGTGTACTTTCTTGCATGCCGTCAAGTTTCCCCAGCACACATGCGGTTTGAGGCCAATGCCCATTCTCTATGTTAGCTGTCTAAAAATTTACAGCAAACCAGAATACAACAAGCACGTTTGGCCGAGCGGTCTAAGGCGGCAGCTTCAGGTGCTGTTCTCTTCGGAGGCGTGAGTTCGAACCTCACAGCGTGTACAACTCTTTTTTCTCGGTTTCACCCAGCGTGTACCCAATTTTGGGACACATCACCGATAGCTGACGAATTCCGGGTGAACTTCACGCCAAGGCAGGCGTCCCCTTTTATTGCTGCCCTGCACTTCCTTGTGCCCGCCAACGAAGGAGTACCACAGTAAGTTATCCACGACCACCGTTGTCTTTCTCGAAGGATGGCGCACGAGGAATGCACCCGTTCCTGCCCGCGCTGCTGTCAAACTTCCGTCGATGAGGTGTCTCCCACTCATCCCACTACGACAAAGGGCAACTACAGAACTCGCAAACACAGCATCGCCAACGACAATGGCTCGACGGACTCGGCAAAGGTCCACGCACTCACCCTCGAAGTCGACCGGCTGAAAGCCGAGTTGGATGCGCTGAAACAGCAACATGAGATTATCCACGTCGAGCACGAGCTGTTGGGGATACTGGTTCATAGCTCCAAACAGTGTATGGGAATATGCTCGTTTGGGGATGCGGAATGGACGGAGGAGGCGAACGAGGAGACGAGGAGGGAGGGGATTGACGATGCCGCTAGAGGGCATGTGGAGACTCCCACTGAGATCGAGTTGAGGTCAGCTTGCCGGGATAGTGGAATGCCCTGAGAAGGTGACTTCAAGACCGACCGACTTACCCGGTCCTCTTAACAGGACACCTTATCCCACCCCTACAGACCTCTGCTTCCACTACGTCAACAAAGCCTTCGTCCTTGGCAAGTTCAAAACGCCCGACTGGCCCGCCTACTGTCAAAAGTGGGCCCGAAAGGATTTCAGCTACACCCCTGGAGCCGTTCAGTTCTGGCGAAACACATACCTTACCGCATTGAACGAGAACACACCGCAGATCTTTGAGACGCCGTATTCTAGCGATGGGGTCAACCAGCGGTTCTTGCAGACACACCTGGATGTCATTAAGGAAGGAAGATTCAAGGGCTGCTATTTCTTCATTTGCGAGGATACTACGGATTTGAAGAAGGCTTTGGATACCGTCAAAGTGCAGAATGTGAAGTTGGACGATGCTTTAACGATGGCTACCGCGGCGACCGTCGCGAAGGGGAGGTTCCTTGCGAACATGAGGTGTGTTCAAGCGAGCTTCCAAGAGTCGCTCAATAACATGCGAAGGCTAACTGGAAATTCGTTGTGAATGCAGCCATGAAATTCGAACCCCACTTCACGGGATCAGCTCCGCCATCGCACTTCTTGAAGACACGACGCTGACCGCGGATCAACACGACCTCATCACATCCATCCGAATCTGCTCCGACGCCCTCCTCGACCTTGTCTCCGGCGTCCTGGACCTCGCCAAAATCGAGGCGGGAAAACTCACCCTGGACATTGACTCGAAGCGACCGTGCGATATCCGCGCCAGCGTCTCGGAGTGCATCACGGTCGTGAGCAACAAAGCGAAAAGCAAAGGGTTGGAGCTGAGGTGGCATTGTGAGGAGGACGTTCCGAGATTTTTGTTTGGGATCGATGCGGCGCGGTGGCGGCAGTGTATCTTGAACCTACTAGGGAATGGCGTGAAGTTCACCGATGTTGGTGGGGTGGCTGCCGAGATCCGGATACAACGGAATATTGCGGGCGATGTCCCGTCGCAAGGAATGGCGCAAGGTCCTGCGATGTGCACTGACTCCACAAAGCCATTGACACGATCCAACACCTCCACATCTTCAGCGCCTTCAGTGGCAACACCCTCCGCATCATCACACTCCGCTCCCTCCACGCCAACAGCAGTCCCGGACCACCCGCCAACACAGATCCCAGCAATGCTCATAGCCCGCATCATCGACACGGGTGTGGGCATGGCCCCACACGTTCCGCCAACCCTCTTCACGCCCTTCACGCAAGGCAGCGCCGAAACAAACACGAAGTTTGGCGGAACAGGTCTGGGTCTAGCGATCGCGAAGAACCTCGCGGTCATGATGGGCGGCGACATTAAAGTCGAAAGCACCGAGGGGGTCGGGTCGGTGTTTGAGTTGAGCGTGCTGGGGTACATTGACCTGGTTGTCGAAGAGAGGGAGAATGCGTTGCGGCGAGCGGATCAGCATGCAGGCGGGACACGACCACGGACACCTAGCCCCAGTAAATGGATCATGCGCTGCCGGGAAAGCGCTGTGGATCTCGGGGACGACGCTATGGATATTCTCTCAGCGGACCAACCACTGGTGCAGCAGAAACAGCAGCTGAGAGTCCTGTTAGTAGAAGACAACCCGCTGAACCAGAAACTCGCCACACGGATGCTAATCAAGGCTGGGGCGCACGTCACGACTGCGTCGGATGGTATTGAAGCTGTTAAGTGCTTCCAACAGGGGTGGACGCCTAGCGACTCGACAAAGTCAAAGGATGGTGGTTGGCATCCTTTCGACGTTATTCTGATGGATTTGTCGATGCCAAAGATGGGTGGGGTGGAGGCTACGAGGTTGATTCGCGAATTGGAGGCTGGTCTTCAGCAGAAGGCGTTAGAGGACACAAAGCACAGTACTATGGCGACGCATTCGCCTCGACGCGCATCGACTCTCGCGTCGACCATGCGGCCCATCTCGCGAACCAACACCGACGACAAGAGGTTTGCAGACGAGGTCAATTATTCTCACTCAAAAGGAAACGTGACAATCGTCCCCTCACCACCACCCTCTCGCGACTCTCACCGCCGCCCTCACGCCACCCGAACGCGTATCATGGCACTGACAGCCCACGCCCTTAGCGACGTCAAGCAGGAGTGTCTGGACAATGGCCTGTTTGACGATTTCCTGAGCAAGCCTGTGAAGATAGATGAGCTACTGGACTGTGTTTTCCTGGCGTGAGAGGGGTTTGAACTATTGAGGCGTGATCCTGTTTTTCCGTTTATTCTTTTTGGGGTTTCGCTATCAATATCAATAATAGTCTTTTAGGAGCGAGGGAAGGTGAAGCCATTCAGACTTGTCCACGCCTCGCTTTTTTGAGTTGGACGCGTAATAGAACATTGGTGGTGGGAGATTCCTAGATTAGTACTTGGTCGAACGTTAATGTGCAGTATGTGCCTTAAAACCATTGATGGCGATGTTGCGGGCTCCAGTCATGTGTTGAGCGGGCCGCCGGAAACACTTTCGCTTCCGGCTTGCACCGAAATCATAGATGGGAATTTTAGCTCAAAAGCATCACTCCACTTCCCTACTTTGTGCCAGTTTATGCATCATTTTTGCACTTGCCACTCCGACACGCTTACTAATCCGCTGTCGCTGTCAAATCAAACTGGAAGGCATTGGTCATCTTCGACCATTCCCGAGTGCACCTTGCCGCAAATCTCCCTCACCCAGTCCCGCATATAAAGACCCCCCAAAACGTCTCTAACCTGTAAGTCCCCCAACATCCTCCTCAGGCTATCACTGCGCTGTACCTTTTCTCTCATCACTTACTCGTCCGTTTCTTTCCGCAGCAGCCCGCGCCTACTCTCCTTCACTCTCAAAAGAAAAACGAATTCAAGATGGGCGAACCGCAAACTTACACGTTCAAGGTCGGCATGACATGCTCTGGATGCAGCGGCGCTGTGAACCGCATTTTGACCAAGGTAAAGAGGGAGCCCGACGGGGTCGGAGCTTGTACTTCGGCGTTGGAGCTAGTGACGTGATTGCATTCTGACAACCACTCATGTCCAAATCTTCCCAGACCGCAGGTGTCAACTCGTTCGATATCTCACTCGAAAACCAGACCGTCATCGTCAAATCCGACTCCCTGACGCAGCAGGAGGTGTTCGACGCGATCAAAAAGTCTGGGAAGCCCGTTGAGCCTGTTTCTGCATAGTCGAATATACGCAAGCTGTGATTTTGTTTTGGTTCTTGTGCCTCGCCTTTTGAGATTATCCCTCCCTTTTTGATGTGGACATTTGTGCGTAGTGATTGTGCTCAATGACCATGCTCAATAATCAATGGTCATTCCGTATGGATCGGTCCAGCATTGGCGTTTGATCACACCAATCGCTAGGACCTGGATGTCTCGCAAGATGTAACTCGACCCGAGGCCTTATTCAGCTTCTGCTTAGTCTGCTGATCGACTGAAAAGGGGAAATCGAAGTAACCTCAGGGCTTTCGTCTGCCGTATCATGTGGCCCAAAGCAAACGTCAAGTCGCAGGGCTAATCTATATAAAAAAATTGGTAAATGTGCTTCTGGTATCTGCCTCAACGATCGCGGGTCTTGTATTGGAAGCCATAAAGAGAGTTCCCGAGTACATGACGAGTTCCAGCCTTGGCTAGTGCAGATGGGGCAACGTGAGCGCCAGAATGAGAGAGAGCGGTAAGCAGATAAGATAGGCTTACGGTTAGAGTGGATCAATGGCGGACCCCTCAAGAGCACCGTAGCGAGCGTGTCGGCGGCCCCCTCAACAGGCCCTGGTCTGAGCCGTATTATCCCTGCCTGATTTTCGAAGCTATCAATGGCCAGTGAGCCGCGCTTAATTCAGATGGCGCGTGGTCCCGTCGCACACCAAGGATAGCATGTGCACGGGCAGGGTTCCGAAGAAGCGTGTTCGTGGCAGGCCCCCATAGATGTGTTTGAGACGACTCGGACTACGTCCTCGCTGAGCGACCAGAACCCAGGTATAGCGACATCAAACTGCGGTTGGTGGCCTAGCACTCGCGTACGGTATCTTGAGGAGTGCCGCAAGTGGAACCTGGCCCGGGAGTGACCAATGAGACTGATATTTGAATAAACGGGGAATGAGAAGCAGAGTAGAGCAGGAGACGAAACGCGACCAGTATGGAGGATAAAGCATGAGAAAGTAGTACCTGAGCTATTTGGAGAATGTCGCTTGCCCGAGTCTAGGTTCAAACAAGTCAGAAGTGACGCACCACATTTTCTCCATTTGAATAATCCCAAACAGAGCCACCCGAGCATAGAGTATTACGGCACTATCTGGCAAAGAAAGAGCGGTATCGTTTTGGTTTGGTCGTCCACCGTTTCTAGGCAGTCTCCCGTACCGACAGCGTTTGGAACTCCGATCCTCGGAAGAGTAGCCCTTGGTCGGCGACGCGATGGCGATGAGTTTATGGGAGCGGATGTCGAGCTTTTTGGTTATTATTGCTGAGTTTCGGCGAATGTACAGATGGGCGTTGAGTTGGCGAGGGCAGATAAGTAATGACGAGCGGCGGTGAGTCGAACAAGAAACCAAACCTCCACATAGGTCCCCCAGGTTGGACGTCATAATCGCCTGGAATGGCCGCCTGAAATGACCGCGACTTAAGCTATGTTTTACACCTTGGAGAATCGGATGGCGCCGTCAGGTCCCCCGGGTTGGACATCATATTCGCCCGTGATGACTGCCTGAGCGCCTGCGTTCCTTTCAACATCCCGGATTGGACGTCATATTCGTCCAGGATCACCGCCTGTATTGCCCACTGTGTTTTACAACCCGCAGATTGGATGGACGAAGCACAGGTCTCCCGTGTTGGACATCATATTCGCCCGGGATGACCGCCTGTATCGCCCGCGATTGCTTTGTGTCCGGCAGAAAGGACATGGACATATGCCCCAAATCATGTTGGTAGCGCACGAGCTTGTTTGAACACCTGTAGCTACAGTAACTTGTGGGGGGCGGAACGAGAGACCGTGATTCTTTGGCGCACCGTGAGACTGAGAACTGGGCAGTGGCACTTCGGAGAGGGGTCCTATTCGACATTCTGTTTCCGTCGCTCGAACTTACTAATGGACCGAGCGAAGTTTTCCGGTGTGTCTTCCTCGATTCGGTAAAGGTATTCTCTTCGGACAACTTGCAGAGATAACAGCAATTCGACGCCGCGCAAACTCCGAAATGCTGACGTAAACCTCGCCCCTGTTGAAGTCGTATTATGAGCTGTTCCTCCCATTTGCGAATGCCAAGATGCTTTTTCAGGTCTTGACGGCCCAAGGATAGCCGGAAGGAACAGTCATGACCTCCTGGTGTAGAGTGCTTTGGGAAAGACGTCCCTCAGGCGAGCTCGGGTGTGGCCTCTACACAAACGTGCCGGCAAGCCTGGACTATGTCAGAAGCACCGTTGGCAGGGGGGCAGAGCGAGGCGTTTCTTCTCTCGATGAAAGCAGCGGACAGAGAAGGAGAAACAGCCCGGGCACCGCAATGAGGAAGGCGGTAGGAGGCGGTAGTATGCATGGTGCCACGACTTGGGCTGGATTCACTCTACAACTACGACGGGGAGTGCGTTCGTCCGTGCTCATACATATATCATTACTATTACCCAGCTAGTAAGTACAAGTGTAAACAAGAGAGGTTATTAATATGATATGATTGCATTTACGCCTCCGCGTCTCGCCTGACGGACTCCGGCACCACTGCGTCAAGCTCAGCAGTGCGCTCATCTGTAATCGGAGAAGGAGGAGAGTAAGTCAACGAAGACGTGTCTGCGGAATTTACCAAGGCATACCGTCTTTCGCTTGCAAATCGATGTCCTTCATGAGGAAAACGGCGATCATAGCAGGTCCAAAAGCGACCAGCGCTGTGATGGAGAGAATCCGTTGGACGTACACGTACGAGGCCTGGACGAAAGGCAACAGCTCTGCAGGCATAGCTTGATCCGGGTAGGTTCCGACGACGTAGTCTGGGCTTCCCATGATGAAAGGGATAGCCTGGTAAGCTTGAGGCGGGAGATTGTCCATCAGGGATTGCTTGAGAGTAGACCGCCAGATGCTCCCGACAATCGCATTGCCAACAGCTCCACCAGCGGCGGCGGTCGTGAGGAAAATTGCCGTGACCTTGGCGAGATCGGTATGCTTCACAGCAGCTTGGACTCCGACTTGTACGGCGGTCATAATGAACCCACCACCGAGCCCGACGATGGCTTGCGCGATGATGATGAAGATCAGCTTGCTTTCATGTCCTCGCCATGCGATCATCAGCCCGGTCCCAACCATCGCTACAGCAATGCCAATGAGCGCCCATAATCGGTAGTGCTTCGTACGCTTGATCAGGAAACCAACAACGATGGCGGAGAAAACGCCCGCCCAACCCCACGTGCTGGCCACGTATCCCGCGTCCCTGTAGTTCAGGCCTTGTGTGACGAGAAGGTATGCGGTGAACATTTCCGTATACGAGTAATACGAGACCCAGGTCCAAAAAGCAACACCGCACCCGCCCAAAACAGTTCGGTTCCGCAGAAAGTGCAGAGGCACAATCGGCGACTTTGCGATCCTGCTTTCGTAGAAGACGAAGATGGGCAGAATCACGCAACCAATGCAGAGCATCGCGATGATCCGGGCTAGGGAAGATGGGATGCGTTTGTGAGTCCAATGTTTCATGGGGAGCTTTTAATTACAGGCTGGTGGACTTACGTTCCGCGTACCGGTCCGTGTACGTTTCCGCCAGGGGCAAGGGAACGAGGATCAAGAAGAGAGTGGCGGTCAGCAGAATTGACCCTCCCAAGTCGAACGAAGATGCGAAATGGACGGCCGATTGGAAAAGTGTTCTGTTCCCGGTAACCTGGCGCTTGTACAGTCCAAGTCGGTTTGCCGTGCGTTGCAGGTAGAAGAAGGTTGCGGCGAGAGGCGCGACAGCAAGAATGATCAGGATTGCGAACATTCCGTACGCCCATTGCCAATTTTGGCGATCGACAAAGCTTTGAACAATAGCTGGGGCGATGCCGGCGACGATGTACCCGGAGAGGTCCGGCAAGCCTTGTACGAGGGCACGGTTAACATTGGTCGAGGAATCGGCGATGAAGAACTCCTTGAATGCTAGCAGACCGGAGTTGCCGACCGTTTGGAGCAGAGATGATGCGAGCCACAGTTCGAATGAGGGGGAGACCGCCATGAATACGTTTCCTAGGCAGAAGGCGAATGTGGATATCACGAGCAATTCTAGGCGTCCCCATGTGTCGGACAATTTTGACATCAGAGGAATGAAGGCGATCGAGAGGATCAAGTTGCAGATCATGAAGATGGGAAGCGAGGAATGGCTCATGAACGTTCCAGTCACGTAGGTCTGGAGCCCGAATCCGACGCTCGACGTCAGGTTGGTGACGAAGGTGTAGAGGTAGATACCAGCGTAAAGCAGATACGTCTGCTTCTTCGTTGCGAGGCCTACTACGGCCTCGACCTTCCTGATGCCGAGATGCTTCCGTTCTTGGTCGAGCACTTGCACGTCTTGACCGAGGGTCGCTTGCGACGACTTTGGTTCGATGGCCATATTGGAACTGGACAACTTGGGAAGCGGTGGTGCAATGGAGTACGACGGCGTGTGAAAGATTTGACACACCAATCTGTTTATTGAACACGAGGCGGTTCTGAAGCAGCGTTAGCTTTTAAACATGGCGATGCGATGGATTGGGCTGACAGACAAATGACAAGGCGGTCGGGCATTGCCTCGATTACGGGAACCGGAGCAGGAAACCGGGTGCCATGGCTTTTTCCTTTCAAACCTCAACTTGCCAGAGGAGCGGGATGGAGATATCCCTACATTCATTTTTCATGCATGCCAGTGTGTGCATTACTGTACATTCCAAGTTCGCGATGCGTTCCGGCGTTAGCGTGAATCGGGATGCAAGACGCGTTCGATGGCCAACCAAAACGGCAAACTGCGCATGCTGCACTTATTTGAATAGACTTATCCGGAACGCGTCAAATCCGGCGGTACCGCGCGAACAAGGTTTTTAGCTCACATGGAATTCTCGGCAATGCAGAACCATTCGGACTTGTTCCGCTGCGTGGCCCGCCATGATATCCTCTATACGGGGACAGATGGCCAATCAATGTCAAGCGCCTCGCAATAGCTTGGGCGCTACTGAAATCATGACGCCACTGTTTCCCATGTCGGCGCGGAAATGCGTGCGGTATGCTTGCAAGTCACTGGCGGTCCGATACCATGTCGGAGTGAGGCTACCGTCTCCCTATTGCTTGTACTGTACAGTATATGTAGTCGCCATGCTGTATATAGTAGGTACATGATAGGTCAGGCTCTCAGAGTGTATCGATTCCCGAGCATCGTTCAAGAACTCCTCTCGATAGAGGATAGCAAACGGCGTTGTCACAGATTTTCTAGTCGACCTCAAGCAAAGAGGCGCTTCCCAACGTTGCTATGACTGGATCACCATCAGCGGACCCTGCCCCTGTGAAGAATGTCGTTTTCATAGGAGGATCCTTCGTCGGTAAGACCCATGTGTTCAACACCAAGATTGACATGCCGAGCCATGCTAACAGTTTACGCAATGGACAGCTATTTCGGCGGTGATGAAAATGCGGACTGCGCCATTGCCGCCCGGGTACCGCATAGTCGTCGTAGAACCGCACAACCACGCGCACTACATGTTTGGTTTTCCACGGGCGGCGGTCATCTCAGGGTTTGAACGAGAGCTCTTCGTGCCTTACGACAACCTATTCGCCACTCCAGAGACAGGTGTCGTTGTGCACGCGAAAGCGATCTCCATAACCCGCACCGAAGTGAAGCTGGACCGCGCAGTAGAAGGGTTTGGGGACTCTATCACCTTCGACTACATGGTGTACTGCACGGGTGCGCGACATCCATCGCCCGGAAATCTGAACGATTCCCACACGAAGGCCGAAGGCATCGCTGTGCTGAAATCCTATCAAATGCGCATCGCTAATGCGAAGAAGATAGTAATCGCTGGCGCGGGAGCGGTCGGACTGGAACTCGCGGCGGAGATCAAGGAGCACTATCCGGAGAAGACCGTAACGATAGTGCATTCCAGAGATCGTTATATGATGGGATACAAGATGGGCATTCATAGCAAGTCGTATGGGATCTTGAAGGAACTGGGAGTTCATCAGATCTTGGGAGATCGGTTGATCATCCCGGACTCAGGCGTAGAAGACGGCGTATTGTGTACCTTGAGAACGAAACTTGGCAAGGAGATTGAATGCGACCTGTTGGTAAGCGTTGCAGTTCAGCTACACTCTCTGGGCGTCGAGCTAAACGAGCCACGGGTGCATATAGATTCCATGTACAGGCATGACGCCCAACAGCGATGTCCTTGCGACGCTTTCCCCGGCCGTCATCAATCCCGCGAACAATCTGGTCAGAATCAAACAAACTCTCCAAATAGATGATGATGCGTATCCGAATATCTTTGCTGGAGGAGATGTTGTCGACTCGGCGGATATCAAGACAGGGCTGTCAGCATTCTGGCATGCGGATACGATCGTGCAGGTGAATAAGCCCTTTATGAAACCCTCTATGTGGTTAGTTTTTGACCTAACCCGAATCGGGCTCTCCAGAACCTCATCAAGATGACCAAAGGGGAGGAGGACCTGGTCGTGCGGAAATTGGTTGTACCGCAGATCTTTTTATATTTCGGAACGGTGGGTGATTGCGTCGCATCTTGTAGTCGGGCACCGATTGACATGTAACGTGTCCACTAGAAACGAGGCATCGGCCAGCTCTATATGTTCGGTTGGCTGTTCACCGTCGGGACGTGGTTATGCAAGCGATTCTTCACTTACAATGTCGGCGCGGCAAGAGCTTGGGAGTGGGTGCAAACCCCATTGAGCGATGAAACGGCAGATCTTTAGAGAAGGATCTACGACCAGGGCGATTTCTTCGAAGAAGCATGAAGGTGTGAACAGACAGCAGTAGAAATAGCACGGCTTTCTCTTTCGGATCTTATTCCCATGATGGGAATCATAAGTAGGCAGAGACAACAGTCGTAGAGCCCCGGTATAACACACTATGTACACGCAGTGAGGCTGTCGACACGTCACATGTAGATGTAGATATCATGGCATGTGCTCCAAGTACGCCCTTGCGAGATTTCTCGCCAACGCCTCTCTCACTAGTTGCAATTGTGCCTCCGCCTTGGCCACGCCTGAGGTGACATCCCCACCTTCCTTGGCAGCCACCCAGGCGCCCAAGTACTCTTGCCGCCGATGACTAGTTGCAATATCTTCCAGACATCTCATCAGTTCCATCGTATCCCGCACCCCAAAAACAAGCTCTGTTGTTGCCTCGCCGTTCAGCAAACGCAGGCAGTCGAGGAGTGTGGTGAAGACGAACCGTTTTGGAAGCAGCCTGGCATTGGTCTCGTTGAACGAAGCTTGCAGTATTTCGACCAGGAGCCGACCGGCTTTGACAAGGTCGTTCGCGTCATGAAGATCGTGGAATTCCCGGTAGCGAACGAGGAAAGCTAAACGAACGTTGCTTTTGACTGCCTCGCTTCGCAGCCGACCGGCGATTTCCCTCCACATCATATCCGACGTCGCAAGGTAGGAGTCAATGAGCTGTTCGACCAAACGTGAGACTTTCGCGTGCTCACGCGCCTCGATGTAGTGCTCGATGGCTTCCCCAAGGCGACCTTCTGCATAGCAATCCCTGGCGACAACGCGGTGTATCTGCTGTGCGGCGTGATCCAGCTTGTAACGTTCGCAAAAGGCAAGCAGCTTCTTTCGCTTTAATGCTGCGCCGTCGAGAGGGATACGGACCAGGATAGCTTCCAGCACTGCTCTGCCGGTCGATGTGCTGGTTGCCGTGTATTCAAGACCTAGCCTCCAAAGCGTGGGATTTGCCAGTAATATCTCGCCGTAACTCAAGACGAACCAATCGCGAGGTGATAGTTTCTCCCGGGCGTCACCGATTCCTGGAATCGATGACATGAGGGTGGCATCATCGAGTAATCCGATATGATGCAGCAGATCGACGAAATGCGCCACAAACCACCAGTCAAATTTCGTGGCATACCGGATCGCTCGCGCAAAGTTACCCTCGATGATCGATATCTCCATCAGTTCTTGTGAGGAAGACTCGTCGACAGAAGCATTGACTTTGCCGAGAAGCTCTACAATTTCGTAGCGTTTGATATTGGGGTGCACGAAGTGAATCAGCCCGGATAACCCTTCTCTCCAATCTTCCGCTGTCTGCAGAATGACCGTCGTCTCTCCGCTGACCATCTGCAACACCCTCGTAAGCTCCGACAAGTCTGGTGTGCTGGAAGGTAGCTTTTTCAGTAACCCTTGCGCCCGCGTCACTTCGTCCCTCCACTGTCGAAGGGCTTCTTCAAATTGCAACTGCTGTGCGTAGGCTTTGGGATGGGGCATTGAGTTGATCATCCGCAGCACCATGGCAACTGTAGGCTCCCTTGTTGCTCCAATGCCCATGGTGCTGGAAAGTCCGCGTAAGGGTGTGTTCATCGCTGTAGGTGATACGTAGTCCGGGTGTCGCTTCAGAAGTGCCGTAGCGATGAGGAGGTGGCCACGAAGTAGGCTTTGGAAAACGATCTTCCAGTATTTTGGATGCTCCCTCGGACTCATCACGTTTTGCAGTGGTTCATAGTCTTCTGCGTATTGTGCAGCATAGTGGTTATCGACCCAGGTTGCAAAGTCCTTTTGCACATAATCCCATTGGCCAGGACCATCGAGAACGTCGCTCTTCAGGTGGACCAACTCGAGCAACTCAAACGCACTATGCGCTGCGCTGAATGTATTCGAGACGCTTTGGTCCCTGGCGGAGGATTCATGCACAGTTTGCACATACTCCTCCATGATCTTTCGATATTGACCACATGTCTGCAATGCAATTTTCCGCACCTTGGCGGAAAGGATTCCCGGCACTCCTCGTTGTTCGGTTGCTCCATGTCCGGCTCGCTGACTGGCGCCGAGCCCTAAAGACTTCCGCCCTGCAAATCCTGGTCTCCCACCAACTCCTTGTCCACCAGCAAGGGCTGTCCTCACGCCACTCTGAAAGAAAGCGAATATGCCGTACGCTTCATGCACGAAGGCCGTCTGAGACGACGGGATGTCGTTCGCAAATTTTGCTGTAACTATGGTTTGTTCGTTCGGAGAGCTACGTCGTGGCCTTTCAGAGCCTGAAGACTGCGGAGTTGAGTGGAACGTGGACAGATGTACCAAGGCTTCATTCTGTATGGGTGCGAGATGCCCGCATATCGTCCGTTGCCGACTTGTCAACTGGGAGGTTTCACCAGCTGGGCACAAGCCCGCGTGAAGAACGGAAGGAGCCTGAGCTGTCGAGATTCCTTTCGCCATGCTTTTGCGATCCTTTGCAAGTCTGAATAAGTTACGGTCGAAATCTAAAACTCCTGTGCTTCGTGGGAGATGGCCAAACCCAACATTCCGGTGAGACGCGTTAAACAGCATTCGACGGCCAGTTACCGAACCTACCCTTCGGAAACACAAACACAGACAGACGTCGAACGCACTTCACTTTCAGATGGGGTGCATTAGCGCTGAAACTCCGGCCCCGTTCAGTATGTATCGTCTTAGTTGCTGCAGAGAATCTTGGTTGAGCCTGGGATGGTTCAAAGCGAGTCCGAAGGGCAACTCCGACTGCGCCACGCGGATCTCACAAGCCACGCATGCGCCACACGGTCGCTGTTCCTTTCGCTCGCCCACTGACGCAACTGCATGCATCCACAGACACACCCGCTAGCTGTAGGACTGAGATTCGCTGCACGGACGGTGCTCGCTGCCCAGCATGTCAGACAAACTCACTCGTATTGGTAAGTCGTTACGTCGCAAATGTGCCGTTTTATCTTGCGGAGCGTTGCTGATCTCTCGTGTTATGTGTGGTTTCCAGCCATTGTCAGTACCGACAAATGCAAACCGAAGAAATGCAGGCAAGAATGCAAAAAGTCTTGTCCTGTTGTGAGGATGGGTGAGTGCGCTATTCTCTGAGCCCTTGAAAGTGGCTGGAAGCGTAACAACTTCTGAGCGAAAGTGCTGACTCTTGCGCCCCGCAATCGCCAATAGGCAAGCTTTGCATTGAAGTCGCCCCGAACTCCAAGATCGCTTTCATTTCCGAAGAGCTTTGCATTGGTTGCGGTATCTGCGTGAAGAAGTGCCCTTTCGGCGCCATCCACATCATCAACCTGCCGACGAACTTGGAGAAGGACACCACCCACCGATACTCAGCAAACTCCTTCAAGCTGCACAGGTTGCCAGTACCTCGCCCGGGCCAGGTTCTTGGACTTGTAGGAACAAACGGTATCGGAAAATCGACGGCTCTCAAAATCCTCGCCGGACGCCTGAAGCCCAACTTGGGCCGTTTCGATGAGCCCCCAGACTGGTGAGAGTTGCTTTTGGTTGATTGGACACTGCAAAATGGGGAGCATTGTTAGCTCACCGCCGACGTATTTAGGGAGGACATCCTCAAATACTTCCGAGGCTCCGAACTACAGAACTACTTCACTAAGATTTTGGAGGACAATTTGAAAGCCATCATCAAACCACAATATGTTGATAACATTCCTAAGGCTATCAAAGGAAAGGTCGATGAGATTTTGGCGGCAAAGTTGGAGCGGGATAACAAGCCGTTTTTGATCGATCACCTCGATCTGGCCGATGTGCTGGAGCGCAACATCGAGAACCTTTCCGGAGGAGAGTTGCAGAGATTCGCTATTGCCGTGGCGGCCGTACAGCAGGCCGATATCTATATGTTTGACGAGCCGTCTTCGTATCTAGATGTCAAACAACGTTTGAACGCCGCTAGAGTCATTCGGTCGCTACTCAACCCTACAACATACGTCATTGTTGTTGAGCACGATTTGTCAGTTCTCGATTACCTGTCCGACTTCATCTGCGTTCTGTACGGAATGCCCTCAGCGTACGGTGTTGTGACCCTTCCCTTCAGTGTGAGGGAAGGCATTAACATCTTCCTGGACGGAAAAGTGCCGACGGAAAACTTGCGGTTCCGTGATGAGTCGCTGGTTTTCAAACTTGCAGAGACGGCGGATGACACCATCAACGAGAAGATGCGTCGATTCGCGTACCCATCGATGTCCAAGAAGCTCGGAGATTTCTCTCTGCAGATCGAAGGTGGACAATTCACGGACTCCGAGATCTTGGTTATGCTTGGTCAAAACGGTATGTGGCAAAGTCACAAAACTTGCATCTCTTCGTGGTCATACTTAAACCTCTTTCATCAATAGGTACTGGAAAGACTACTTTCATTCGAATGCTTGCTGGTCAGCTTGCGGCTGATGGTGGATGAGCAAGTTCCGGAGCTCAAGGTGTCCTACAAGCCCCAGAAAATCAGCCCGAAGTTCCAAGGAACCGTGCGCATGCTTTTCATCGCCAAGATCAAGCAGGCTTTCATGCACCCCCAGTTTCAGACTGACGTCGTTAAGCCCTTGCAAATCGAAAACATCATCGACCAAGCTGTAACGACGCTTTCCGGGGGTGAATTGCAGCGTGTTGCCATCGTCCTCGCTCTCGGCATGCCTGCCGACATTTACCTCATCGATGAGCCATCCGCGTACCTCGACTCCGAGCAACGTATCATCGCCGCGAAAGTCATCAAGCGATACATCCTCCACAACAAGAGGACTGCGTTTATCGTGGAGCACGATTTCATCATGGCCACTTACTTGGCGGATCGTGTGATTGTCTACGACGGTCAACCGTCCGTTAAGGCCCGCGCTAACAAGTGAGTCTCTCGGAAGTTTCGGCCATAGATCTATAATCTGGTGCTGACCATTGATCTCTCACGAACAGGCCCGAGTCTCTATTGACGGGAATGAACAAGTTCTTGAAGGAGCTACAAATCACTTTCCGAAGAGATCCCACAAATTTCCGGCCGCGTATCAACAAGGCCGAATCCGTGAAAGACAAGGAGCAGAAGGTCAGTTTGATTTCATGTACAACGATCGCGCAGATGATGTTGAAATCGTAGCTGACTCTCTTTCGAATCCTCACAGCTGGCCGGCAACTACTTCTTCCTGGAATCTGAGGCTTGAGCACTGTCCCTCCGGAAGGTTCAATACAGCATCCACATAAAATGAGCTCATTCGCATTTTTGATTTATATTCTGTCCCCCACCATGCACATATTGTAGAAAGGATTCAATAAATTAGTAGAGTCTTTTGTCCTACGCCTATTGTTCTAAGTGTCTGAAGTCTCTAGGACTGTGCTACTGAGCGGCCAATAAGCCATACTCCACCATCTCGCAAAGTTCTCGGATAACGCGATTCCCATCCTCCTCCGTCAAGTAGCTCGAATCGGCGAATACGCCAACAGCAATAGTCCCATCACCCCGAACAACGATCTCCACATCTACGTCAATCTTGACCAAAGATGCTGTGGGAAGGTCGTCGAGGCAAGAAGAGTAGATTGGCATGGTTCTCTGCAGATTTGACGTGGGTTTCGCCTGAAGGTTGAGAGAAAGATAGGGTGAGGGCAAGATCTAAGTCGGACGGTGACTGGACACCACTCCACATACCTCAACCGGCTCAAACAAAGCTTCCGCGGTGTTCTCACTCCTCCTGGGAAGCTTCAAGAAGTTCACGTTGGTATTGAACAACCGTTCCCTTCCATAACCAGCCCACTCCTGGATCTTATGCAACGGCAGTTGGATATGTGGCGTCATGGCGTTCAGATCTTGATGCATTTGCTTCGCGAGGTCAATCAGCCTGGTTGTGTCGCATGCCTTTGGCGCTACGGGAACCACGTTGAACGTGGGGTCTGCGAAGTGCTGGATGCCGGGGATAGGAGCCGATCGGCCCGAGTTGAAAATCCCAAAGATGGGATTGGCCGTATTGGTTGCGCGGAAAGAGGTTTTGGCCCACGCCGCTAGGAAAACGGAGTGCAGCGATATGCCAAGCTTGCGACAGGCATCTTCGCACATCGAGGCGTTCTTTACGGCGTTCTCGATGAGGATGGCGGTCCGTCTGACACCGTCTGTGCTTTCTGCTGGCAACATCGGATTCGATCTCGGGAATATCGTTGTTTGCGAACCTTTCAAAGATTCTCGCCAGAACTCCTCGTGACTGACCCCCCTCGTATCCAGCTCCGTCACACCTGAGAACAGTTGCTCTGCGCAGTAATGAACGAAGTCCAAGGAGGCATTGTTCAGCTCAGGGGTAGGTGCGCTCGAGTCGATCGTATGATAAAGAGCTGCTAACTCCTCTCTGAGGACGCGCAACGACCAAGCATCATACAGAGCGTGATGCATCGTCAAGAAGAAACAACCGCCGTTTTCATACTCCACAAGCCGGCCGACCACGGGAGGGGACGTGAGATCTAAAGGTTGACGCGTCTCGACTTCCAACAGGGTGGCCACCGATTCGGCACTTAGGGAGACTTCGGCGAGTTTGTCATTCCTCCACGCAGCTGGTAGCGTCTTGTCCAGGATGACTTGCAAAAGAGGGAAATCCGCGCTAAACCCTCGATCGCTGGGACAGGATACGAACGTAGTCCGCAGGATTGAATGACGGAAGGTCAAGGCTCTCCAAGCGCGCTGAAAGCGATCAGGGCAAAACCGGGTGGGCTCCTCCTTCTTGTTCAAGATGATAAACGGGAAGCAAGCCACATAGGACCGCTTTGAAGATGACAGCCAAGCCGACATCACAAAGATTTGGCCGGGAGTAGCTGGCAGCACTTCCGCAATGTCTTTTGGGGCAATAGACAGCAGTTCCGCCACCTGATTCCTGATGCTCGGATCGTTCAAGGACCGTGCAACTGAGGAATCTCGCCACGATCTCCGCGCAAGACTTCCACTCTTGGTTTCCTGCTTCTTGCCTTGAATGATCGCCATCAGTTCGATGGTCGGATTCTGCAGTATATCGGCCACAGTGAGATCCAGATTTGCTTCCTTCAATTTACAGGAAAGCATAATCGCTGCGATAGAGTCCAAACCCATCGAGAATATGGTTACGGTCCTGAAAACTTCGTCGGCGTTCAAGTTTGTCAAAGATATGATCGCGTCCTGGATGATCCGTTCCGTGGGTGTCCAGACGTCGTCTCCGTCTACCGTGCTTCCGTCTGAATTCACAGCGATGTCTGCCAAATCGAGAGAGCAGTACAGTCGAGAGAGTTCTTTCGTGTCAGCCTTCTCTGTTCGGCCTCGTGGAACGCGCTTCAAGAGCAAAACAGTTGAAGGCACTAAATACGCAGGTAATTTTTCCCTCGCCGTCCGCAGAATGTCTTTCACGATTGTCTTCACGATTGCCGAATCAGACCTTATCAATAGGTCAGCGTCGGCAGCATCCCCAATCTTTCCGACATCGCAGGCGGCGAAGAAAACAATCTGATCACGCATCTGTCGAGGATGGCGAAGTAAAAGCGTGATTCCGTCTTGTATTGCATCGTGCGACTTCTTTGCCCAAGCGGTAACCTCCCCCAGCTCAACACGAATGCCGTTGAGCTTGTGCTGATCATCCCGCCTCCCCAAGAAAAGGATAGAACCGTCGTGCAGCATTTTCACGTAATCTCCGGTCTTGTAGATCCCCTCTTTCGTGATCGGTGCCAAGGTAAACCTTTCCTCGGTCAGTTCAGGCCGATTGTGGTATCCATTCGGTGCAACTTGCGGTCCACCAACGCACAGTTCTCCAATGCCCCCTCGCACGGCTATGGCGCCATCTTCAGATAGGACATATCCAGAACATGTCGGGAACAGTTGACCGATGTTGTTTGGCCTAATGCTCTTCGTTACTGGCCGGAGTAATGTGCATCCAATGGTCAGCTCCGTGGGCCCGTAAGCGTTGACGAGCATCAATCCATCTTGTCCGCTAAACTCGTCCAGGACATGCTGCGTCAAAGCCTCCCCCCCGCACACGAGCAGCGATAGAGAAGGAACATCCTTCCTACTAATCATCGCAGCCACGGTTGGAGTCAAATCCGCGGCCGTTGCGCGTAGCCTCCGAATGGCGCCTGGAAGGTCCGCTAGCAGACATTCCTTCGAACTTGTCACAACAGTGGCGCCGGCGCTCCACGACAAGAAACATTCGAAGACAAAAACATCGAATGCAATCGTCGCAAATTGCAGGAATCGCGTTTCACGTGATACTGGAAGAAGCTCTCGGAAGCTGCCCAAGGCGTGAGCAACATTTTCGTGAGATATCTCAACCCCCTTTGGGGTGCCCGAAGTCCCGGAAGTGTAGATCATGTAGGCAGACTGCGAAACTGGGATTCGCACGTCGGGATTTGATGTCGATTGGGTCAACCGGGACAGCGAGCTCGCATCGACCACCAAGACCTTCACCGCACACTCCGATGCCCATAGCTGTGCCTGTGCACGCGAAACCACAACGTGTGAAGCCTCAACATCATTGATGATGAACTTTTTCCGATCAACCGGCGCGTCGGGGTCCAGGCTTACAAAGCTGCAGGATGCTTTCAGAACACCGAGAACGGCAACGTACATCCACACAGATTTTTCAACGCATATTGGCACCAACGACCCTGGCGCGACCCCGGAGCGAATGAGGCTGTATGCGACCCAGTTTGCGTGGCTGTTTAGCTCAGCATAAGACAGGCGTTCGTTGATAATGACGTCCCCGAAGGTCGCAAACTCTAGAGCGGGGTGATCAGGCGTCTCGCGGGCAAAGAACTCCACACCCCTATGCATGTACTCAAGTCCGGGGTACTCGGAAACTCCTATCCCAGCATTGTGAACGGAGAGCAGCTTCTCGTTGAAGACTTGTGTAAGCAGAGTGCATGGCGAGTCGGGATGGCGCAAAATATAGACGATAGCTTCATCGAGTTGTTGAAGTAAAATGCGCAGAGGGTCACTCGACATGATAGAGGCCGGGCAGGCTGCGTAAAAGCTGTACACATCCTGCTGCTGCTCTACTTCCAGGCTCAAAGCGTACTAATGATTGTACTGATGATTAGCGCAGATGCCCGCCCATTTTACCGCCGAGACGGAAAGGAAAGAAACGCACCTCCACATCCGCCTTCCCGCCGTCCATCAATTCCCATCCGCTTCCCTCAGAGTGCCCACCTTGATGTTTTTGAAACACGAACAATGTATCAAAAAGCTGTCTCCCTCCGGCCGCTCGATTCTCAATCCACTTTTGAATCGAACGGAGCGGTGTGTGTTGATGAGGCAAAACGGCGATATTATTCGCGTGCACCCGGCGAACCACATCTCCATTGGTCTGACTGCTGTCAAAGGTCACGCGACAGGGAATGGTGTTCAGAAACGGGCCGATGATGTTTGTCGCATTCTTCATGGGAACTGTTCTGCCGGAGACGACGTGTCCGAACTAAGATCAATGACAAAATAGGTTTGATCAGATCATAATCATGACGCCCAATAATGTGACACATTGTGCTCACCACCACGTCGTCATTTCCGATGTATGCACGGAGGATCTTCCCCCAAGCGGCTTGTGCAACTGCTTGGAAAGCTACACCTAGTTGCTGGCACACATCGTCTACTTCCTGCCTGCTTATGCTGCATTCGATGGTTTGTTCCACCTTCTCCCGCCGAGTAACAAACTCTCCGGACAGATCTTCAGGAAAAATTGAAGGTAGGCAGTCCTGTAGGGCGAGATTCCAGTATTTTTCACTGATCTGTCCATCAAGTCCATCGATGTATCGCACCAGGTGCTCGAATTGGGGACGGATAGCAGGATCACGACCTTCATAAGCATCGATAACGTCTCGGAAGATCAGAGGCAAGCTGAATCCATCGTAAAGTGCGTGATGCATGGAGACCACAACTCGCCGTTCTTCTGGACTCTCGACCAATGCGAAGGCGATTGGAATCCCGACGAGCTTCTTATGTTTCTCAGTAACGCGTTCCATCTGCACCCGGATGGCCGTATCCAGTTCTTCATTGGCGGCCACTTCGATATGTGTCCATTTGCAATCGAATCGATCATGAACAACTTGAGCAAAAGCCACGAAGGAATCGGTCTGGGAAAAGCTTGTGCGAAGGATGTCGTTCTTGGCAATAACCATCGACCATGCGTGTTTGAATCGCTCCATGTCAATCCAACTCTCTATACGCAAGATCATGTGATTGATGTACCGCCCGCTGCTTTTCAATGTTTCCAAAAGCATGCCCTCCTGCAGAGGAGTGCATGGGTAAACTTTCGGAATGCCCGCCCGCGGTGTCACCTCCATAGATTTAACCTTCTCCGCCAACTCCCGCGCGCGAACGTTGAAGGCCTCACTTTTGTTCTCGCTAATGTCTTCGCCAATTTGTTGGTTCTCGATAAGTCTGGCGATGCGATCCACAGACGGATGGCGCATTATCTCCGAAACCGGAATATCCCATCCATTCTCCAAAGCTTTGGATGCGATTTGTATTGCGGTAAGTGAGTCGATTCCCACGCGGAAGAAGGATGTCGATTTGCCCAACGTATCGGGGGCAATTTTCGCCACTGACGCAACCAATTGATGTATCGACTTCTCCAACGGGGTCCATTCCCCCGCTTCCTCCACCGTGTCTCCAGAGTCTAGATCCACCGATTGGTAAAGCCTGATGAGCTCCCGTTTGTCCACTTTATGGTTAGGAGTGGTTGGAAGTGACGCGATGTGGAAGACGTGACTCGGAATCATGTAATGAGGTAGTCCTAGAGACGCAGCTGTCATCGCTTGATGTACTGCAGGAGCTGATGACGCTAAAGGTACCAGTGCACTCGAAGCTTGGTGAGAAGATTCGTCCAAAGTGACAAAGCTAACAATTTGATCCTTGTTGTGTTCTTGGCGCCGCGTGGCAATAGTGACGACGTCGCAGATAGCCGGATGGGCGGCCAGCAAAACCGTGTTGATTCCCGCCAGCTCGATACGAATTCCGTTCAGCTTTATTTGCTCGTCGGCGCGTCCCAAAAACTCAATGCAACCATCGGGAAGCAACCGTCCAAGATCCCCAGTTAAGTACGCCCTAACCCGGTCGCCCTGTGGGAGCCTGAGCGTGATGAACTTTTCTGCCGTAAGCTCAGGTCGATTCGCATAACCTTTCCCAACTTGTGGACCGCCAACCACCAACTCGCCCACAACACCCTTCGGCACGAATCGTAACTGCTCATCCACAACGAAAATGGAGCATGTCGGTAGTGGAAAACCGATGTTGCTGGGCTTGGTGGATTTCTGAACACGCGTGTGCATTACGCACCCGATGGTACTCTCACTGTCAAATTCTCATTAGGATTGTGCGAACCAAGTGCGTGATTGCTTCACATGCATACCTAGGCCCGTATGCATTGAAAAGCAGGACATCATCGCGGCCAGCCCACTCGTCAAGTACTGCCTGAGTCAGCATCTCTCCTCCCAGTATCAGGACGCGGAGGGTAGGGAACCATTCGCGCTTGAACATGCTTGCGATGGAGGGGGTCATCGACAAGTGCGTAATCCGAAGAGCCGACGCGGTTCCAGGAAGGTTCCGTAGAAGCACGTCCTTGGGACCGGAAACGAGCGTGAATCCTCTGAACCACGCACAAAACAACTCACACCACGCCACGTCAAACGATACACCGGCGAGTTGAAGGTTCCGAGAGTTCTCAGGAAATGGAATACACTCGCAGAAAGACCGGATGCTTTGAACGACACTAGCGTGCTGGATTTGAACGCCTTTTGGCAAGCTTGTAGTACCGGAAGTGTACAAGACATAGGCCCGATCAGAGCTGGTCACCGGCACCCCTGAAGGGTTTGTGTCCGGAAAACCATCGAAGATCTTCGTATCGTCCATGTTGAGAGCAACTCCGGAAATCGAATCTGAGGGATATGATCAACGTGTGAGGAAGCTTCTGGCATACATCCTCCCCAATTGAGCCTACCTAGCTCTTCCAAGTATTTCGCGTTGGTGCACACAATCGGACCATCGGAATCTTGCAACATATGCATCCGAATCGCTTGCGGGAGGGTCGGATCAATTGGAGTGAAAGCCCCGCCGGCCTTCAATATCCCGAGAACCGTGGAATACATTCGCAAGGATTTATCCATTAAAACCGGTATGACTCTCCGTGTAGCTCCCATTCCCAACAAGGCGTGCGCTACTCGGTTAGCTTCGCGGTTCATGTCCCCGAAGCTGAGATTCACGGTTTCAGCTCCATTCTCGCGGAGAACCCACTCCACGGCAGCGACGTTTGGCGTATACGCGGCGTACGATTCGAATTGAGAATGAAGCAAGTCTGTCGTAGGGTAGACGGTCGGGGGACTATTCGCAAGGGACAGCAGCTCAGGGGGAAAGTGGCATTTCTGCACATCAGCTTGAGGAGCACGGACAACGTCCAGTAAAATAGCGTCCAATTGCTGTAAAAGCGTGTCCGCGTAGCCTTCTTCCATTGAATCTCCACGGGCTCCTACTCGCAGGCATAGGCTATCTCCGTCGATCTCCATCTCTATGGAAACTGAGTACTGAAAAGTCGTCGCCGTCAACAACGTTGGCGTTGATAAAGGGAGCTACACGGTTAACTTACGTCCATGGCCGCAAGAGACTGGATCTCGTCCCAAAGGTGATCCTCGGCAGCCAACTTTTCCGTCTGCCCGTTCTGGAACACAAAGAGGGTGTTAAATAAAGCCATTCCGTCAGTTTGGCCAGCCAGCGCCTTCTGAATGTCTCTAATGGGACAAAACTGATGAGGAGTGGCCATAGCGTTGTTCTTTTGCAGCTGTTGCATTACGGTATTGTTGCTCTGGCCGAAGGGAAGTCGCACACGGCAAGGAATGGTATTGAAAGTCGGCCCGATCACGTCTTCTATCCCATCAAGGGGGATGTTGCGGCCCGAAACCACATTTCCGAACACCACATCGTGACTACGAGTGTAATACCCGAGCAGCTTTCCCCAGACCAACTGCCCGAGAGCGGCGGGCGTGACTCTATGTCTCTTGCAAAAGTCATTCAACATCCAGACGGGTAGTAGTGAACGGCGCTGGGTTCCATGATCCGGTCCGACCAGCCTTTTCCCGCCGATCGATGGGAAGAACGCAGGCGAAATATCTTGGAGCTCTGCCGTCCAATACGCGAGAGCGGAACTGAGGTCTATGCCGCAGAAGAATTCACAGAATTTCGCAAACGGTGGTCTCTGTCGTATGCTCTCGCGGCGGCATAGTCGCTGGACGTCAGCCAACAGGAACCTTAGGCTCCAACCGTCATACAATGCGTGATGAATGACTAAGATCATTTTCGAGACGTTGCTCTCCTTTATCAGCGCCACTTTGATGGGAGGAACACCGCCCTTGAGGCAGTCCCTTAATTCGGCCTTCCAATGTTGGATCGCTTCGCCCAACGATACGTCAGGGTGCAGCTCTTCCACCGAGCAGAAGTCGAAATGTGTAGTTTTATACACAACGGCAGAATCGTTCACGAAGCCGGTTCGGAGAATTGGAGTGCGATAGCCTGCCTCGACCCAGGCGGCTCTTAAGGCGCCAAAATCTGTGTCAGGCGGGAGCTCGAAAACAAAGTGGTTCAGATATACCGCGGCGTCGCTCTGAGAAGTCTGGGCAATCAGAGCTGCTTGCATCGGAAGCAAAGGTAGCAACTCCCCTATATCGGCTGGATCGTTGACTGATTTCGCCACTGCAAGATAATGTCGGTCTTGGTATGCGGCAAGCTTTGCCTTGCCAACGGATATAAGGCCGGCCAGCTCGAACTTGGCCTCCGATTCTTCATGAAAGATTGCCAGATCAGCAATGCTCAAATCTTGGAGGAGGACGGATACTGAAAGCTCAATTCCGTCGCGGCGGAGACGCGAGGAGACGAGCATGGCTTTCAAGCTATCGATTCCGACTTCCAGTAATGTTGTGGACGCCGTAATCGTTTTCGGTTCGATTTTCATGACGGCTGCGACGATGGCCGCAATTTTCTTCTCCAAGCTAGACATTTGCCGGTCAATGCCGATCTCCCGATGCTGCTTAGATCCGCAAAAGTTTTCAAGAAGCTTCACATCGAGCTTGCCATTGCTCGTTACAGGAAGCTTGTTCACGAAAATGAAGCGTCTCGGAACCATATAAGCGGGAAGTCTTTGTCGAACGAATATGCGAAGGTCAGTAGAAAGCGTTTGAAACTTCTCCGATAGGGGTAAGGCAACCGTCTCGCCGTTGTCGGTATTGCCGCTAACTATAAATGTCACCAACTCTTTCAAATTACGGATTTTATCATCGAAAAGAATGCTGCATGAGGCAGACAGATCGAAATGCGCTTGCAAAATGACCGCGTCAATCTCGGCGAGTTCTACTCGTTGTCCATTGATTTTGACTTGCTGATCTGTGCGACCCAAATACTCGAGGGAGTCGTCGGGTAAGAGGCGTGCGAGGTCGCCCGTGCGGTATAGCCTTTCCGCCTTTCCGCTCCTCTCAACAGGATTCAACCATGAGATATATTTGTCGGCCGTCTGCAATTCCTTGTTCAGATAGCCGCGTGTAACAAATGGACCGCCGATGCAGAGTTCACCTATACCGCCTCGGGGCACGAGGGTAGGATTCTCGTTTATCGACAAAACGAAAACATCCACGCCGGGGAGAGGGGGTCCGATATTGATTGGTTTACTTGAAGTCGTGACCGGAAACAACATGGAAACGCCGATAGTGGTTTCTGTTGGACCATATGCGTTTGCGAGCTTCCCAGTCGGGCCCCAATCCGCCAGGACCTCGGGAGAAAGCTTCTCACCGCCCGTCACCAGGGTTTGCAATTGAGGCACGTCCTTGCTTTTCACGTACGATGCCACCGTCGAAGTGAGATCGGCGTGGGTCACTCGCAGAATGCAGATTGCTTGAGTGACATCCGCAAGAATGGCTTCCCTTGGCGCGGTTACGACGGTGGCTCCGACACTCCAAGGTAGGAAGGTTTCAAAGATTGAGACATCGAAGGTAACGGACGCCAGTTGCATGAAACGTGACGTGGGTGTCAGAGAGGTAATCTTTTCCCGGAAAGCCGTGAGAGCATGAAAGACGTTGCTGTGGGTAACTAGAACCCCCGATGGCTTCCCCGTTGTGCCCGAAGTGTACGCACAATAAGCGAGGTGAGATGACCGGAGTTCCTGTAAGCCGACATTCGAGCCTGGCAAGGACTTCAGTGCCGCTGTTACCAAGGGAGTGTCCAGTGCTATAATTTGAGCGTCGGTGATCTGATCAAATTGGCCACTCAGGTCGAGAGTGGTCAGAATCAGTGGAGCTTCGGTGTCCCGAGCGATATATGCTTTCCTCTCCGAGGGCATATCTGGGTCAATCGGAACATAAACGCCGCCAACCTTGAGAACACCCAGCATGGTCGCATAGAAGAGGGGCGAACGCGGCAAACAAACAACAATTCGATCCTCTAGCTCAAGTCCTTTGCTGCGAATCAGATGTGCTATCTGATTGGCCCGGTTGTTGAGGTCTGCGTACGAAATTTTCTCGTTGAAGTGGTTTCCTTCAATCAGTTGTGCAGCGAACTCGAGCGCAATTGCAGTTGGTCGATGCTCCGCGTGTTCAGAAACGTAATCATGCATCAATCGCTCTTCAAGCAAAGATACGGTGGAAGTTTGCGTTCGACGAGCAATGGAAAGTAAAGGTGATGACATATGCCATTCATTCGTCAACGCATTCGGCTTGACCAGGTTCAAAAGTGTTTCCTCAAATTGGCCAGCCAGTATGACGGCTTGCGATTCGGAGCATAGAGCTGTCCCGTAATCAATCTCGATAGAGAGACCATCCTTGCCACAAAGAAATTCTACAGCAATAGAGGCCTTGAAACAGGGTATTCAGTAAACGGCGGCCATACCCATGTTCAAGTGCACTCCTCACCTCTGTTGGTGCGACAACCGTCTCGACTCGGATCACGTCATCTTCCTTTGTTGGTTCAACTTTGTCGAATACGAACAGCGTGTCACACAAAGGTCGTGAGGCGCTGGCCAACGTATTGACCTTGGGTAAGGGCGTGAACTGATGTTCTAGAAGGTTCGTGTAGGCCTGCAACAAGGATTGCAGGAAGACCTCATTGCTCGTCCCAGAAGCTCCCTTGCCCATCCTGAACGGCAATGTGTTGATGCATGGGCCCGTGCATGTATCCAAGCCATCGGACCGCCCCGACAGCACGACGCCAAAAGCAACTTCGGATTGTCCCGTGTATGCTTGCAATAAGAGACCCCAGGCGGCCATTCCAAGGACAGGAAGCGTGATCCCGATATCTGTTTTGAAGTGTTTCTGATGAATTAAGTTCACTTGGCATGTTTTCGTCTCAGATCAAAAATGCTCACCGCGACACTTTTGTATTATATGCGCCGAATCACTCGCGGTGAGTTCACGTATCACCGCATGTCGGCCCGGAGATTTTACAGAAGTTCCTGACAGATCAGGGAACGTGGTTGGTTCGAACCCGTCGAAAAGGCGTTCCCAGAACACTCGAGATGCTTCTTCATTTTGCGCGCTTCTCTGCAGGATCTTGGGCACAGCCCACGAAAACTGCTTATAGATAGGCAAGTCATTTCCCGCGATCGACCGCTGCACATGGGTCACGATCAGCTGCCACGAGCGAGCATCGTACAGAGCGTGGTGTATGGTGACCATGAGGTATTGTCCGACTTCCGAGGTGATGTGCTTGAAGTACAATGGCGGGACTGACGAGTTCAGTTCCGCTTTGGCGTCCGCTGCCATGGACACAGCCTAAGACGACATTTTGTATAAGGAGTTGACTCTTTTTTGTTGTCGCATAGCTCGAACTCGAACTTACGTCAAGCTTTCCGGTCAGGGACAGACTCTCCCATCTAAACTCAGGCTCGCTCCAAACGACTTGAGCAACGGAATGATCGGTGACTTCGCCGTCCAAGATCTCGCCAAGTTGAACAAAGCTTGTTCGCAGAGCGTCAGTAGCAGTCACGACTTCCTTCCAAGCCTTATGCAATCTCTCCACGTCGACAATTGGATCGATCTTGAAAAACCAGTGATTCAAGTAGGTTTGTTCTCCCCTAGCAGTCGCTGCCAACATGGTTTCCTGCATCGGCGTGCACGGATATATCATCGATACGGAGGCCGAAGGTACTCCGAGATGGTCTAAGATTGCCTTTCGGTAGGTTCGGTCGAAAGTGAGGATGAGATCGCATCCTAGGGTGATGGGGACGCTCGCATCCACGCGCTTCATCAGACGTTCTGACATTTTCTCCACAGAACCGCAAGCCAATATATCAGACATGCTTAACTGAATCCCCATCTCCTTCTTGAGCCTGGCTGAAAACTGCACTGCAAGCAACGAATCAAATCCCAGTTGAAAGATAGAGGTTGACCTGCTGATGTCGGCAATCGACACACGCGAGAATTCCGCCAGCAGTGACATCAGCTCCGATTCAACGCTCTGCTCGATCGCTGGACCGCTGGGTTTACTGGCAAACGGTGATTCCGATACGCTAGGATCCCTGTTGCGGACACCCAGATGCAGCAGCTCTCCATCTGGAAGCATTCGCACCACGTTTCCGGTACGGAAAAGTGCATCGGAGATATTGTCTCCAACTAAGCTGGTCTTCACGCACAGCTCCCCAGCGCACCCAAGTGGAAGGGGGAGAGTTGTCGCGTCATCCAGAGGCAGCACGACACATTGGGCAGGGAAGGTCGAAAGAGTGGTCGGCGCAGGCGTATGTTGCTGACCATTGATCAGTTTCATCAACAAGTCTTCGTACTCCTCGAGCAGACTTGCGGCATGGGCAGGCCGGAGCACGCCGGTGTTGTAGCGACACCGCAAAGCAACGAAACCATCTTTAGTTTCGATCTCGATCGTGACTTTGTGCTGAGGAAGCGTTTGTGCGTCAGTAATCCCGTCCAACATGAAGGACAAGGACAATGCATGCATACCGCAACGAAGTCCTTCGTCTCCGCAACTTCGAACCGTTCACAACCGGCATCGACGTGTTCTTCGTATTTTTGCAACACACAAAAGGTATCAAAAAGCTTCTTCGTATCCTCCCTGCGTTCAAGCGACCTCCCGATTTCGCCAAGAGAGATGAAGCTGTTCTCCAGGACGTCCGCGGACGCTCGTTGTATAGTCCGCAGGAGCGTTTGATCATCGGCAGAAGCGTCGGCCCTGATGACGGCCATCTGAACGCAAGGCCCAAGGAGGTTCTCGATGTTGTCCAAGTTAGATGCTCGTCCCGCGAGAGTGGTTCCGAAGGTAACGTCTAATTGCCCTTTATAAAGGCTCAAGAGCTTTGCCCATATCGCGAAGAACACGGTTTGTTGGGTGATGCTTGTTGTGTGGCAGAACCTCTCGACTGTGGAACTCTTCACGGACGTAGTTCGGGATGTCATCGCTACCGTGACGGTCGGATGCTCGCCGACTCCGCTCACAAGACAGGGGAATTCTTGCAAGATTGGCAATTCTTGCAGATAGGAGCGCCAAAACTGCGATGCTTTCTCTTTGTGCATATGATGGTCACGCATAGTATGCTCGACGTATTCCCGAAACGACGGGCTAGGTAAAATCTGAAAGGTGCCATCGATGTGCTCTATGTCGAAGATCAGTTGAACGGTCCTGAACAGATGAACAGTGGTACGACAAACCTTTCAGCTCGCGTAAGAGCAACGGTACACTCCACCCATCGTAAACGGCGTGATGAATTTTCAACAGGAGCCAAGATGCGCCGTTGGAAGTGACCCGAACGTGCCTCATATGGACCGGCGGAATGTGCAAATTGTCCAGAGTCAGCGTCAAACTCTCTTGGAGTTCTTGGGTAATGATATCAAGCGCATCCTCAGAGTCGATGGCTACTTCGCTGAAAGAAGCTGCGCATTGTTCTGACGTCCAGACAAGCTGCAGGAGCTTCCACGGAGCCTCGAGTGATCGCGGTACCTCTACGAAACCAGTGCGTAGGATGGGATGCGCGGAGACAATATCGTGCCATGCCTCCTTTAGTTGATTCGTAGCTTCAGGCTGTGTGGCGCGAATGACGATGAGATCGTAAAATGCCCTTCCAGTTGGGTCAGCCAACGCTTCTGTCAAAAGCCCTTCTTGGACTGGGGTGACTGGATAGGTGTCTTCAATCGATGAAGCATCGGTCTTCAACGCCTCCGCAATCCCAATACGATTGATGCCAGCCAATTGCTCGGTAAACAGCTGCCTGAAGCTGTCGGCCGCCGGGTCCGTCGTGTGAGCGGCAGCGACCTTTTGAACGCCGGCCGCGATGCCGCCAATCGTGGGATTCTTCAATATTTGGGACATAGAGATGCTCAGTCCTTGAGCCCTCAGGCGACGGCAGAGCGCGAAAGAGGCAAGAGAGTCGATGCCAAGGAAGAAGATCGAGGTTTCCGGGCTTACTGATGTCGGGGCAGTATGGCTGATTTCGCAGACAAGATCCCTGACGATGACAGCGATAGGATCGTCGAATGTGAGGGCATTAGTCAATGCCTCGGTCTCGGATGCGAGGGTTTTCCGCATCTGTCGTTTTTGGTATTCGGAGAAGACGGCCTTCAAACGTCGGACATCTGCCTTGCCAGAACTGGATTTAGGGATACTTTCGACCAGAAGCGTGGCGTTCGGTCTCATATATGGAGGAAGGCGCGCGGCGACGGTTTCCTGAACCAGCTGCTCGACTACCGGCGATTGCAAGACTTTGAGTCCTTCATACTCAAAGAGAGTGTGCATGCCATGCTTTGCCCCGCAAACGAGGTACGACACCAAAAGCTTTCCTCCAGCTCCTTCCTCATCGGCTACGACAACAGTTAGCACGTCTTCAATCCTTTCGTGCGCGCTTTGAACTTGATGGCTGATATCAAGCAATTCAATCCGCTGGCCGCGAAGCTTGACTTGCGAGTCGTTACTGACACGCCCAATGATCTCGAGCGTGCCCTTTGGTAGCATCCGGACCAAGTCGCCAGTTCTATAGATCCGTCCGCCACCGCTGTACGGGTCGTTGAAATATGATTTCGCGTTTGCCTCTGGGCGGTTAAGATAACCTCGCGCGATTTGGTGTCCCCCCACGTAGAGCTCGCCCACATGACCAATGGGCAAGGCGTCGAGGCAAATTGGTTTTGCCTCGTCGAGTTGCTGCGGCATGACATACATTGAACAGGTGTCCATAGGCACGCCAATATCGGTGGGCTTCGTGTCGGGCAAGAAGTTGGGTGCGTAGGTGCAATGGATTGTGCACTCCGTCGGTCCGTAGAGAGGCAGGAGACATCCTCCTGGTGCCCATTCATCCACAACCTTGCGAGTGAGCATTTCCCCAATGGTCAGAAGCAGCTTGATGCCGGGAACCGCTTGGCGGCTGAGCATCCCAGCCACCGTAGGGGTCATTTCCATCAGCGTAATACCGTTACTGTTGATGACCTCCTCGAGATTGCTTAGAAGTAACTCTTTCGAGGAGGATACCAAGCGAATCCCCGTGGACAGGGGGAAGAACATATCGAAGACGCTGACGTCGAAAGTGTAGGAGCTGACGGCTAGCATCACTGATGTTTCGTCGTGAGAAACGATGGCATGGTGCGACAGGATGGATTCCACAGCAGCTTTGTGCTCGATTTGCACTAATTTCGGAACGCCAGTCGATCCGCTTGTCAATAGAATGTAGGCCAGATTGTTGGCGGCCACGGACACTTTTAGATTGCCGGAAGGTAGCGCCGAACGCATGTCGTCAACGAAGTTCGATTCAATATCCAAGATTGGGACGCTTCCGATGACATTCTTTTGGAGCGCTGCGCGAGGAGCACTCCCGTCGATGATGATCAACTTGGGGCCTACCTCGCGAACCACGTAGCCGAAGCGATCGATAGGCAAGTCACTGGCGAGCGGAACAAAGGCGCAGCCTGCTTTCAAGATCGCCAACACAACGATGTACATGTTGGGAGAGCGGTCCATGCAGAGGGGAATCTTGTCATCCGAAGAGACGCCATATGACACAAGGTGCCGGGCTAGCTGGTTGGAGCGATCATTAAGCTCTGCATAGGTGAGCAACGTGCGGCTGTTGTCCTCCAGAGAGTGCAGGAACTCGAGAGCGACCCGCTTTGGATGAAGCTCGGCTTGACGCTCAACCAATTGGTGCAGCAGTGTGGGCCAAACTTGGACGGCATTCTTGGAAGTGTGCTCAACAGGCGTCGGATTGAGAATGGATAACCCCCGAGTCGGAATGCGGGAGTAATCGACATGCGCCAGGCAGGATGTTTGGGGATGTGCGATCAACCAGCAGAGAATCTGCTCGTACTGAGCAAGAATATCACGAGCAAATGCTTCCGGGAACAAGGTCGCTCGATACGCGAGCCGAAAGGTAATAAGGTCGTTCGATTCGCTGGCGCAGATGTGGAGATGAAACTACATGGGACGAAGCCATTTCAGCACTCATATTTAGGCAAACGTCCGGCTGTGTAAATCGCTGGACATACCTGACATCCATCCCGCATCTCTGTATCCAAGGCTGACTCCGCTTGCCGGCCGTCCAGGTCAATGGAAAGCATGCAATCTGTGACGACCGCCGGATCAGGAACGCAGCCTCCATGCTGCAACCGCCCACTCATCTGAGCGTTCGACGACCTTGCGTCAAACTGGACACGAATAGCTGCATGGCCTTCAGGTCCTCCATCGCTCTCGGTGATATAAAACCCAACTTCCTGTTCACCAACAAAGCTGCTAATCAACCGCGCATACGCAAGTCTGAGCATGCCAGTGAACGACTCCTTCCCGTAAGCAGCCTCGCAAGCGGCTTCCGTTTGAGGTCGAGACAAATCGAACACCTGTTCGGTGGTGAGAACAGCTGTCGTGCTGTTGCCGGCAGCGCAGGCATTGAGAGACAGATTCTTTCCGGTCAAGTTCGGGAAAGTAGTGGTAAGGCCATGACGAACATCGCTATTGCCCAGCATCTTGAACACACTATGATATGATGTGTGATAGCACTGTCGTCGTTTAACGTCTCTATATCTATTGTGTATGTTGTTCAAAAAACAAGAGAACGTGCTGAAGATGGTAAAGTATGGCAAAATACAGAGGCTTTCTAGGTCGCTATCAGAAGCTCTTGTAAGATATGCATCGTATGCCCCGCTCGACCTTCTCGTACGGCGAAGGGGCGCCGCCTGGGAGTGGGCGAGACGCTCAGCAGCAGCTGTCCCGGTTCTCGTAAGATGGCCATTCTTGGGTTCTCGGAACCGTTGCGGGGCTGTCCCACGCTCGTGACTTTACGAGTTCCGACAAAGAAACGGGATCTGTGAGGAGTCTGTGGCCGCTGGCGGTTTGCAGAACGAACAAAAGTGCGGAAGACTGGGGCCGTCCAGATCCAACTCCCATCCGACTTGGAGGCTTGTCCGAGTTCCATGCGGGATGCCCACTGCGCAGCACCAACGGGGAAATTATTTATTTCCAAAAGCCCGCGCGCAGCACCCGGGGGGGACACCGCCGGATCTCAACGACGCAAAAAAAACCTTAAATTCCGGAAGCACTGGGACTTGACTTTCTGTACATACTGTTATTTTCTCGACGGGATGATCCTGGTCATCAGCTGCCCAAACCTCCCGTATTTGATACGGACGCGTCGCGCTTCGTTCTTTTCGGTTGACGCGGGTGAGCCTCCGACACCAGACCGTACCACTACGCATGCAGGGGCCGCAGCCGGAACGAGTCTTCCCACCCCATGCATTCTTTCTGGTCAGAGGAGGTCGGAAGTCAATCCCCCATTGAAACTGTCGTTGATGTCAGAGAAGCTTGAAAAGTCATGTCGCATCAGTCGTCGCTCGTCGGTCGACCAACCTTCATCCCAAGCCCTGCGACAGAGCCCATATCACCGCCAAATCACCTTCACCTTTGCATATCGCGTCATTCACCGCCAAATCCTATTGTAGAGCCCATTTCACAACATGCAGCAACATCAGGCTCACAACATCGGTGAGAAGCGACTCCCCACGTCGGTGTCCACCGATGCAGAGCCAGCCTCTGCTTCATCCCAGACGTGTCTTCATCCCATCCCACCAAAGCCCGCGCCAGGAACGCTCATATTCACCAAGTTCATGCCGGGACTCAATGAGACCTTTACGATCAGAGTCGCTGATCCGTCGACCGACATCCCCATGTTGACTAGGTGGCACTCCGATCCTCGCGTGAGGTATGCTTTAGAGTAGCGTGTGTATCGAGATATCCCTTCCGCCGGTGGAGCGCTGATTCGACCCATCTGAAAACAGCGAATTTTGGAAAGAAGGAGGGGATGAAAACCATCATCGCCAGTACCTGAACAAGGTCCTATCCTCCAAGCACAGCATTCCCTGCATCGCCGCGTTCGATGGCGTACCATTCATGTACCTCGAAGTGTACTGGGCGGCCTATGATCTGTTTGGTAGATACTATCCCGCCGAGCCGTACGATCGAGGGGTCCATCTTCTCGTGGGCGAAACAAAGTATCGAGGTGTGGACCGCGTGCAGGCTTGGATCGAGGCCATACCTGAGTTTATCTTCTCCGACTGTTGCGAAACGCAGCGCCTAGTTATGGAGCCCTCCTTGACGCATGGCAAGCTCATCGGTCTGCTCTGCACCGCAGGCGTTTCCTTTGTTCGCGCTGTGAGACTTCCACACAAAACTGCGGCCTTTTTGATGCTTAGAAGGACAGATCCTCTTTTTATAAGAGGTAAAGTTCGAGCAAAGGGAAAGGGCGGGATAGCCGTATCAAGCAAATTGTAGATTTACATAGCTTGCGACACACATACCCAAAGAATGTAATGTATACCCGTAGAATATAAGGTCCCATTGCACACGCGGACTTTCAAGAATAGATTACCGGCTGCATTCCTTGTGTCTTGCACACAAAGTCTACTTTAGCAGCGCACATATATACAAGGGTGGCATATGTTGCGTCCGTCCATCTTCCCGCTGCCCTGTCGTTGGATGGCGAGACTATCGAGTCAGCTCGAACTGGAAAAATCCGTCAGATGGGCGGGCAGGGTCGGATTTTAACATTCTTCAAAGTCATGCACAAACCTCATATAGCACATCATTTGACATTGCCGAGCACTCCGCCCCAGAGTAGTCTCGCACGCATATCCCCAACTAACCCATCTAGATGTTCACATTCGCCCCATGATAACTGGGTCGTGGAAGCTAATCTAATCTAGTCCGTGCGAGCGGAAACCGGTTCCGGAACATGTGACTGGTTCAGGTCAATCCGAACGGGTCCTACAGGAAGTGCACGGGTCAGCCATATAGCCGCGATTCTAGATCACATCAGCAGTACAGCAACGTACACATACCAAGAATCCCCTCCGTCTTCCCTTCCGTTCACTTTCAAAAAGCCGTCGCACTCTCGACTTGTTGTCCTGCCGTCCCTCATCTGCGCTTATCGACCCATTACTTGCACCGATCCCTATCTCACTCGATCTGCTGTAAGCCATATCAGTAGAGCGCCGCCGATGATTGGGCGAGATCGCAGGCAGTGGCGCCGGCGCCGAGAAACCATATGATGGAGCGGCTGGATGTGCGGCAGGTAAGGAGTGCGGTCGGAGCTCCAGTGGAGATGAAGTTGAAGGTGGAAGAGGACGGAGGAGAGGTGGGAGGCGGGCTGGTGGTAGGGAGGAGTGAAGGAAGTGGGCGGGGGTCATGCTAGTGATGTCGGGTGCGTTTGGAGCGGTATCAAAGTATTGAACGGTGGGAGGGAAAGCGGATGTGGACGGATGGGAGTGCGATGGGCTTACTAATGAACTCGTTGCTGCGGTGCCCTGGACTGTTGCCTTAGATGTTGTTGTTGTTCTTGTTGTGGAAGAAAAGGTCGGGGCAGGTACCGACGGGTTCGTTGCATTAGTGGTGGGACTATATCGGTTCTGTTGATGACAGGGGACGCTCTTGAGTCCCGAAAACGACAATCCACACAGACATCGCATGTGAACATGCATAGGAACAACGAAACTCACATTCGACCCGGTCGGTACATGTGCGATGAGCGATGCCGCGGCCACCAAGGCCGGAAACCGCGGTCTCGACGAACCACCTCCGCTCGTATCTTTCCTGGGCGGTCCAACATCGCTGTTATGCGACGATAGAGCGCTCGCCGCCTGCTTCGTTGTCCCGCTTTCTAACCGAGAGCCTTTGCGCTGCTGGTACGCAGACTCGTACACGTAGCGTTGGTCGTCTGGGCGATAGGCTTTCATAGGAAAGCCCAGGGGCGGTTCCCTTTCTTACTACGCCCTATCCTATACCCTCCCCCCGTTTTCCTTTGCAAGCTGTATTTCGTAATGACTGTATCGAGGGTATCCTTGCTGTAGGCTTTATGAGCGGTTTGCTCGGCCAACCGACGAGCCGTTTTCACCACTTTTCCCCCGGACTCCCGGAGGAGAGATGTTCTACCAGTTGCTCGATGACTCAACTCGGCCCTAGCCTTTTGAAGCTTTTGACCGATAGACCCTCCTTGGATGTGTCAACTGATGATTCCTGGAAGATAGCAGTACGCCTGAAGACTCTCAAGAATCGTTGTTTGCAGCTCGACATTGCTGACATCTCCAAGTGTCTTCGACCTCTTCAACGCGACGGATGTTCGCCCAATGCTCGCCGGCCAGATTTTATTCGAACTCGCTGCCAATAGCAACAAACCAAAGCACTCCAAACCGGCTTCAGTAGGAACAACAGAAGCGGGACCATGAACGCGGCAAGGAGGAGTGCCGCCGCCGTCTGCCACCGGCGGCCAAGAGATATTAAGTGCCTGAGAAAGCCAGTAGCACCTTCTACCTTCAACAACTGTGGGCCAAGTGCACGGCGGAGCTTCCACGCTGGCGTTTGCCAGCGTACGAACTACTGGTGCGTTTGAGAGGGTTACTTTGTCATTTGACTTGTATTGTATCGCATCCTGCGTATTTGTGGGTTCGCTAAACTGGAAGTACTCGCCAACAGGGATGCAATGGACAAACGACGAGCTCCGAAACACGAACCTGTTCCAGTTGAATCATATCGGCGCTTGACTGCCATCGACGCCGCTGCCTCTACGAACCCGCCCTCTTGCGCACGCATGCTTGTGCGGGACTTCATCGACGATTCGCTGTACAACCCATCCTATGGCTACTTTTCCAAAAAGGCCTTCATTTTCAGTCCCGCCGAGAATATCCGATTTAAGGATATCCGCGACAGCTATGAGTTTATGAACCACTTGTCGGCGCTGTATAGGGAAGTGGAGGGTGATTTCAACGAAGCGAATGATATTGCCAGGCAGGTTTGGCATACGCCAACTGAATTATTCAAGGTATGTGACTGCAGCTCGTCAAACTCCTGTAGACGGTTTATGCTAATCTTCACCTCAGCCATGGTATGGATACGCTGTAGCGAAGCACATAGTCTCAGAGTTCAAGCGAGATGATGGAGGGATAAAAGATTTGATTATCTATGAGGTCGGGGCCGGAAATGGAACGCTGATGGTCAACATCTTGGATTATATCCAAATGTATGAACCAGAACTGTATGAGCGGACGAGGTACCGGATCATCGAAATCAGCTCGAAACTGGCAGAAAGACAATCAGAAAGGCAGGACGTAAGGGACGTGACACGGAGGCACAACTGCGTGGAAATCATCAACAAGTCGATCTTTACGTGGGACGAACAAGTTCCGGACTCATGCTTCATTATCGCAATGGAGGTCATTGTGAGTAGAGGTGGTATGGCTCCTCGTTCCCCCGGGCGTATTCTGACAGAAGCTTCCCACACAGGATAATTTTGCCCACGACATGGTGCGGTACGACTATGCGACAGGGGCACCTCTACAGGGTGTCGTTCTGATCGACGAGGACGGGGATTACCAGGAAGCCTATGAACCTCTCAATGACCCTACCATTCAACGGTACTTAGAGTTGCGGGCAAGCCTCGGGTACCGATCGCCCCTCATATCCCATCCATGGCGCCGCAACCTCCGCTCCATTCTTCCGTTTGCACCAAATCTCACAGAGCCGGAATTCCTTCCTACAATGTGTCTGAGACTATTTGACCAGCTTCACGCCCGATTTCCGAAACATCGTCTTATCCTCTCAGACTTCGATTCTCTCCCGGACGCTGTTCCGGGCATCGATGCACCGGTCGTGCAAACTAGGTATCAAGGCATGATGATTCCGTGCTCTACGTACCTTGTGCAACCGGGATGGTTCGACATCTTCTTTCCCACGAATTTTGAATTGATGAGGGATATGTACAACAAGGTCGTTGGGGGAGAGGGTCGACGTAGTACCCCTGCGACAGTTATGACACAGCAAGAGTTCCTGGAACGGAATGCGAACCTCAGCGAAACGAGGACAAAGTCTGGAGAAAATCCAATGTTGACCTTCTACCAGAATTTCAAGTTTCTTGTCTCCTAGATATCCTAGCACTTTCAAGGGCGTAACTACTGGTCGATTTAACTTATTATTGGAACGTGTAGATGCCACCTAATATATCGAAAATGAAATGCGAAACGCTTTACAGAAGAGAAAAAAGAATGAATCTACTAGAACATCTGTCAGGATTCCCAGGCGCCAGCGCATGGGATACTCGGTGCCGCTTTCACCGGCGCGTATTATAGAGGATAATATCAGAGGGGAGCCACACCATGCCTTCTAACGTCTAATGTCTACTATGTTGAACCATCTACGCCGCCTCTCGGATGGCGAGTAGGAGACATCGCCCGCCTCCCGCCGCCCCCAACTACTCGATCGTACGCCAGTGGCAACATCCTCCTCAACTCCTCGATATGCACATCCGGCACTTCCATCAAATCAACGTATAGCGCGAGTAATTCCATCTCGGGATCCGCTGTCGCAGGCCTCGTCAGGAAGGCGGATGCGTTGCGGAGGAGCGCTCGCATGGACGGCGTCGGGGTAGCCATGGCATCGGCGAGAGATGGTGACGAAGTGGGTAAGAAGTAGTCGTTTTCTTCTTCCTCAAAGCGCGACCACCACAACAGAACCGCGAGCTTATCGGTATTGCCCCAATCGCAACGAGCGAAAAAAGTTCGGAGTAATTGGAACGGCACGTTCCTTTTGCAGAACTCGTGGGTTACTGTCAGATGCGGGTTCTGTACGGAGGAGTTCATGAGCTGAATGTTCAAAGTCGAGGCTCGACGAGTACATCAAGCTTGCAGTGCCATCCCCCCCGTGGAGATTTTTGGGCGCAACATACCTTGATAAGATACTCCCCAATCGCCTCGTATACCTCATCCACGATCCCAAGCTGTTCAATGCATTTCAGAAAGTCAAAGAAAGCGCTCTCAGCCCCACCGGCCGTCAAAGCATCAATCAAGTCCCTCTGACTGCCGGTATACAACCAATGCAGCAGCGGGCCAAACACAGCAGCACAAGGAATATCGATGTAAAGGATCGGCCGCGGCACCGCTTTCCTGAGCCTACTGGGCGAGAGCGAGTTGCGACGACCACTGTGGGTAGACTTGTGCAGTTTTACATGAGCCCAGAATGCGGATTTAGTCGTATACGTGTCAAAGGAATTAGCGGTTGCAGGACCGCCAATGATCTGCTCGATGCGAGCAGTTTCGTCGGCCGCGGGTATGGAAGCCGTAGACGACCGGCGAGACAGAAGGGATTGAGACCAACGGGAGGCAGAGGTGAACAAGTCGGAGAAGGATCTGTGTCGCTTCAAAGCCGTCCCGGGCTCGGTCGAAAATCCAGCTGCCGTCCTGGGCGAGTTCGCCGACATACGGGGAGGCGATAACGCGGTGTATTCGCCTTCGCGAACCCAGTAGACGACTTCAGGCCCTGCACGAATGCGGAGGGTGCGCTGCGTCGGGCGATATAGGGGGTCTAGAAGATCGCGCAATGTGGTGCTGTAGGGAGACACATAGTCGCGGTGGATGAAGAAGTCCCCAGCGCCAGGGATACGTACAAGGCATGTGGCGTCCGGAGGAGAATTGAAGGCTCTTTGTCCTGCCGAAGTCGACGGCCGTGAGGTGCGAGGGTACGCCGGCGGCGGAACATCAGGGCTCTGAGGCAACGTTGAAGGCACCGGCAGGTCGGGCATCGGAGCAGCTCGAACAGAGACCTCAGAGCTACTCCGCATTGACGAGCCGTCGCTGTCGGACATGGCGACGTCCTGTCAGTAAAAAGGGCGAAGGTTATCAATTTAGATTGACGTCCAAGATGTCTGGGATGAAGCAGAGCGCTGGCAAACTTACGTAGGTGGGCGGGACGTCCAGCGAATGATTATTCGACAGCGGCGGTGAAGGCAGCGGAGTGGCGCTTACCGACCAGACAATGGGTTGGGAGGACTGTGCACGCCTTGGGCGAGCGTGCGGACGCCTTCCAAGGTCGGTGCTGGATCTTGGCTGCACGTAAACGGGACCCGAGTCTACCGACCGGCGTGGTTCGAAGTCGCTGCCGAAACTGCGACGGGAGAGGTCCGCACTACAAGTCCGACGGACGAAGCGCGGCGCCGGTGGGAAACACTGTCCTAACGACATGGTGCTGCGTCCTAACAAGTTGCTGGGAGTACTATGCAGGGGTTCTGTTGTGCTGGCGTCACCTCTGTGGTCTTTATGCAAAGTGAGGACCGAAGGAACGCAGGTGTGAGCCGGCGGTGTTTGAGGGCGCGAATGACGTGTTTTTCGACAGCTGTCGCGCCCGTCATTTTCGGACCGCAGAAGCAGAGGCAGACAGCGGTCCGAGGACAGCTGCATGAGGAAGAGTTCGGCCAATCCACCAATCCACCATGGTTTGGACTCATATATGTGGCTAATTTTAATGAGCGAAAACTCCACCCATCCTTATCTTGACTTGTGGTGGGTAAGAGACTGACTACCGTCGATTCGCTTCTGTGCAATGGGGACGGTCTTAGAAGAAAAGGGCCTATCCGCCTTTCGCGTGCCTCGCCAAGAACGTTGGCCAGGTTCCGGAACAAAATGAGGCTGCATCCCTTTTGAACCAAGGACTCAGGCTGGCCACAACGGTGATGTAGGTATTGAGCTATCTTATGACAGGAAAAGACGTGCTCATTTCATGGCAGTGGGTGGGTCATACCATATGTCGGCTCATTCTCCTCTACTTACGCGCCATGTGTTCGTCGAATCGCTCTCCAGTTGGTGGTGAGAGGCGCCTTGTCGATACAAGGCCCTTGCACAGAACACTGATTCCACTGCTCCTCAGGTTTCATTAGTTCCAATGACTTCTTTGCTTCTTCGTACTCCTGTTTCATCAGCTGCAAGTGCTTACGTCCTTGATAACAGTTGGACAGAGAGCTACCACAAATGATACGATGCTTGGGAGTGGGTGTGCTTTGCATCTAAATGCACTAATATGGCGGCGCCGCCTTGGTCATTGCTACGCAGGAGACGCGGGCACTTGTTGGATCTCATTCGACAATACATTACTACCATACGTTGAGTTTCATGCGGCCATCTAACAGTGCCATAAGTCGGGGTGGGCTGCATAATAGTTTTATTCCGAATCATAGTCGACCATTTCTTCTCATCCATGCTAGATCGAGATAGAACATGGCTCTACATTCCAGACATGCTTTTTTCAAACACCGAGGCAAGGTATTTCTCCCCGTACGACGGATTTGCCAAAGGACAAGCGCTGCTGGAAAATGGACGTGGAGGATAGTTGCTGCAGACACGTTTTGCCTTACCGCATGGGCAAATTTGGGAGCCCAAAACGGATGCTCAAAACGATGCCATTCAGGAGGGCTGCGACCAGTGCGAGCGGGAACCCGGCGACGTCCAGCCGAGTCGGCCCTCAGCTGAGACATCAAAGTCATACCCGACTCCCGAGTGGTAAATAAGGTTTTTGGCAAGCCGATTGAGGCTCGGCACGAACATGCGCGGGTCATTAAGTCCTTAAGTCTACGCGTAGCGCTCCATCCCGAACTGACGCGCGTCGAATTTGTCTGGCTTCCGAGTCTCGGAAGCGTCGACTCCAGCCGACCCTCAAATTCAACTCACCATGCATTCACATCATGACCAAAATGACGTACTGCCAGTGGTGCCGCTGTTCAAACCTGCCGCCAGATGCATCGACTCTGGCTATTCGCAGACGCATTCCGAGATTTTCATGGATATGGATAATGGCAGCGTCTCATCGTGAAAGATGATCCATCCCCGGCATCAAAGGCCCGCGGGGCACATGCCTGCGCTGTGTTCCGTTTGGTTGCAAATTGAGCAAGACGGAATGGGTGCGACGGGGGCCATGTGGGCTTAAGGTTGTTCCCTCGCCAACATCGTCCGTTAACGATGGCATACCTGCGGAAAGCATATCCCTGGGATACCAGGGAAGACACGGACGGGACGGGATGACCGCAAGCGTCTTGTGAACATTTGGCGGCGGCGGGATCGAGGAGTGAGTGCGGAACAGCGCAGCGCATGTCGGAGATGCAGGCATTCGTCTGAAAGTAGTACACATCCTTCAATCTGCGCAATCCATTCCCCAAACGGTTCCTCCAGAGAGCATAATGGTAGACCTCTTCCATATGTATATGACACGGGGATAAGCATCGCCGTCCCTATTCATCGATTCGAGGGCATTTTAGCTGTACAGAGGACTCTCACTGCCCCCACTTCAACCGAAAGCTCAGCGGCCGTCTCATCACCTCAGAACACCCACAAATCACCGACAGATATACCCATGTCGTCCATAGCCTCGACCCAAGAAACCGACTGCAGTGATGTCCTCTGCGTCGGGTTCGGCCCGGCGGGACTATCCATCGCCACAGCCATGGCAGATGAGGGGCTCATCAGCACGGCAGACCTCAACACCACTTCTTCAGCTGACCGCATGAAGGTCGAGTTCCTTGAAAAGCAAGCATCGTTCTGCTGGCACGGAGGCATGCTCCTCGACGGCTCCAAGATGCAGATATCATTCCTCAAAGATCTCGTTACGCTGCGCAACCCTTCCAGCCGCTTCTCGTTCGTCAAATACCTCCACGAGAACGACCGCCTCGTCCCGTTCATGAATCTTGGATCGTGGACCCCGTATCGCGAAGAGTTCAACGACTACCTGTCATGGGTCGCCGCCAAGTTCGATAACAGCTGCACCTACGGCGAACGGGTTCTTTCAATCGAACCGGTCGTGTGCGACAAGTCCGGGGTCGTCTCGCGTGTTCGCGTCGAGTCGGAAAACACCAGCACCGGTTTGCGATCGGTTCGTGAGACAAAGTCGCTGGTTATGGCCGTCGGCGGGCAACCGAAGTATCCCGAATTCGCACGCATGTACTTTGCAGCAGCCAGTAACAACACCTCGTCGCGTGACTGTCCGGCGGTAGCGCACTCGTCGCAATATATCCACCGTGTGCAGAGTATGCTTCCTGACCGAGATGCGCCGTACACCATTGCTGTCATCGGTCAAGGGCAGTCTGGGGCAGAGCTTTTTATGGTGAGAACTGTTTCAATGTTTGTCACGCACTCGGGCGCAACCATCAACCTTCCGACCTAGGATCTGAGCGACCGTTACCCTAACGCAACAATCAAGCTGATCTTCCGCGACACGGCACTGCGTCCCTCTGATGCATCGCCTTTTGTCAACGAGGTCTTCAATCCTGAATACCGAGACGAGTTCTACCAAATGAGCGCTCAGGATCGCCAGACGCATCGCACTCGCAACGGTGCCACGAATTACTCGGTAGTGAACTCCAACCTCATCGATTCAATTTACGGAATGCTATACCAGCAAGGCTTGCCGACCCACGCGGGCAAGCGCAAGTGCACGCTTCTTCCTGGTCGCAATGTGGTCGCCATGGAACAAGCACCAAATGGAGGCGTGATACTCCATTTGATTCGCGGACGTGGTGCTGCGTCCATCTACGAGAGCCTTACGCTGAATGCCGTGTTCTTGGCCACAGGTTACGAGCGGTCGGCTCATGAGACTATGCTGGCGCCTCTCATGGCGTACTTGCGGAGAGATCCGGCCACGTCCCACTTATTGGTGGGACGCGATTACAAGGCGCAAGTGATTGACCCATCTCGGTTCCAGCCCGCGATCTACCTTCAAGGATGCTGCGAGCACACACACGGCCTGTCGGACACACTGCTTTCGGTCCTAGGCGTTCGTGGCGGTGAAGTAGTGGAATCGATCAAAGCACACCTTAAAGGGATGAAACTTCAATCAACGCCCAACGCAATGCCGACCTCGCACCTCACACCCAACCTGACTCCGCCGGCGTCCCCAGTGTCCGGCAAGCCTTCTCGAGATGGCGAGAAAGAGCATGTCGAGTACCCTACAAAACCCGCACCAGCAACGATCCTGTTCTCTCGGTTCATACCCGAGCTCAACGAGACATTCTCCTTTCGCGTGGCAGACCCCATTGGCGATGCCACCATGCTGGCAAGATGGCACAGCAACCCCCGAGTTCACAAGTACTGGCAAGAGGAAGGCACCGAAGCCCATCAAACGGCATACGTATCGAAGATCCTCGCTTCTCCTCACTCCATACCGTGCATCGGCATGTTCGATGATACCCCTTTCGCGTACTTTGAGATCTACTGGGCCGCAAAAGATCTTCTTGCTGGATACTACACCGCCCACGCTTACGACCGCGGCATGCACGTGTTGGTGGGTGAAGAAGACTTTCGGGGTCCTCACAGAGTAGCCGTGTGGTTGACGGGCCTGATGGATTTTATATGGAGCGATTGCGCGTCGACGCAGCGAATCGTGTTGGAGCCGAGGGCGGACAATGCCAAGATGGTTGGGTATCTGGGGAACCACGGCTTTTCCTTCCGAGGGAACATACAATTACCGCACAAAGAAGCGGCGCTCATGATGCTCGATAGGCCTTGAGAGAGACGTTGCTCCAGATTCTGCTTGTAATATAAGTAATATGAAGTCAGTGAATGCATCTCAGGGTTGGCACACGTAGCAGATAAAGCGAGAGAGTGTATAGTGGACATACAGACATACAGTACAGTACCTGAGGATATGCAAAAGGAGGTGCCAATGCAATAGTATCATGAGTTCCCCAAAGCGCCAAAGGGCCACATATTTTGGGCCCCGTCCTTTGCACGTACTGTAAAATACTGTACTTAGGAGTGAAAGTTGTAGCTTCTTGCCTCTGTCGTTGGCTGGGATGCCAGTCAGTGAGCCGCGGTATCGTTCTCGGGTAAGACGAGTCTGGGTTATGGTTACCTCTGTGCCTGGTGCCTGGGTTCCCAGGGACTCCGCGCGCGTCCGTCCGTCCGCTGTCCTTCTGGGAAGGGCATTCGAAGCTTTCGCAGCCCCAAGCAGCCATCACTCGGGCTTTCCCAACACAAGTCCGCACATCCCACAGACAGAGCTGTTTCAAATGAGCGCTCCCGCTGCACCTGCTGCTGCTGCTGCTGCTCCTGGCGGCGCTCCCAACGCTCAGCAAGCCGGTGGCGGCGGCTTCTACTCTATCGCTACGAGTATCGGCCGTATCCTGCTGATTTCATATGCGGTCAACGCCGTCGGAAGGGCCTTCAAAGGAAACCAGGAGACAGCAGATGTCGTACAGGGCAGTGCACCAACCGGGCAAGACGGTCCGGTGCCGGCCGCCCACCAGGTTCATGTCCAGACCCGGACCCTTCAACCCTCTTGGTTGCCTGGCGACAGAGCTGTGAGTACCTGTTCAGATCTCTATGCTACCCCTGGTGAACCGCATGGCTCAACTACTGCGTCGTTGGTAGACTCTTTCTGCATTTCTCACCGAGACGGAAAATTTCAACCCGGATGCCACACCCGTTTGGGAAGAGAAGGACATTTTCTTCGGAGAGTGGAAGGGAAGAACGAAGGAAGTTACCATCGACGTGCCCGAGGTCGGTCACACGCACTTCGAACAACCTGCTTTCCTTCCGGGCTTACGCTTCTGCTGATGACAGAGCGTTCAACGAAACGGGAGTCTGTACGCCCATTTCATCCTGAACCCCACTGGGAATGTTGAGCGTCAACCTGAGGAGCCAGCGCCAAGCCCTTTGTACTCTCGCAAATGTACTTATGCTGCCTGACGCCATTGAGTAAAGTGAATCACCTCTGAACTTCCCTTTACCGCAGTGCTCACCCGTTTCATGCCCAAGCGCAAAGTCAAGAAGACCAAGAAATTGGTGGCCTCAGAAGGAAGCTTAGCTGATCCCGAGGTAGGCCTGTTGCGGGAGCCTATGCTAGAGGAGAGGTCACTGACATCGCGTGTAGCCCGAGGAAGAGCAAGAGGATGGACAGGTTCCAATCATATCTTACTGGTGGCCCAATGTCACCCTGAACGTGCTGAATCATGTGGCACCCCTACCCCCTACCACGCCACCTTTGATGCTGAAAAGTGAGAGCAACCCTCCTATGCATGTTGACGGAGAATCCTTCCACTAAACGTTCTGTCCAAGACTTCGGCCTCGAGTCCGATGGCGTGCACTACAAGCCGCCGTTCTACGTCAATGACTTCTGGCTGACAGCTGATCAGTTGTCTCCCATCAATGAAACCGTCAAGTAGGGTGTTGCTAGAATGCACTCGCGGCTATCTCAGATCTCTCTCACATACGTCTTCGCAGGACCCTCAACCTTTCGCTCTCGTACAACCCCGTTTCGTACTTCAAGTACCAGGTGTTCACTGGCTTGGAGGAAAACCTTCGCGTGCAGCAGACGACACTTGGCGTTGCGGCTGCTGAGACGGACGACATGAAGCGGATGTTCATGGACACCAACCCCTATCTTCTCGGAGTCACGATGTTCGTGTCTATGTTGCACAGCATTTTTGACATCCTTGCTTTCAAGAATGGTAAGTGAAGACCAGTAAATCAGGTTCATATGTCCGTCTTTTCAATCGGTGTCGTTCTGCAGACATCCAGTTCTGGCGTAAGCGTAAGGACATGGAAGGACTTTCGTTCCGGGCTATAACCATGAACGTGGCTTTTCAGGCTGTGATCTTCTTGTAAGTACCTCTCGCTCCCATGATCCTAGGCTCTAAAGCTAAAGCTCCTTGGCAGATATCTTCTGGATAACGACACAAGCTGGATGATCATTATCAGCACCGGCGTCGGCCTTCTCATTGAAATCTGGAAGATTCAGAAGACCGTTATCGTACAGGTTGGTTGCTTTCCGTTTACTGACGCGTCGTCGCAAGCGGTAATTAATTACTCATGCATCCAGCGTAAACCGGAGTTTCCTTACGTTGAGTTCGTCGATCGGGTCAAACCCTCCAAATTGGCTTCCAAAACCAAGAAATACGATGAGGTAAATTGTCGCGTTTTCCGTGCGTCTACGGGTTACCGTTTTAACGCGTCGATCCAGATGGCATTCAAATACGTCTCCCGAGCTCTCTACCCATGTCTGGCGGCATACGCCATCTACTCGCTGGTTTACGAAGAACACAAGGGATGGTATTCGTACATCATTGGAACGCTCGTTGGTTTCGTTTACGCCTTTGGTAGGTTCAGTGCGTTGCATCAAGGTCATAGTCGAATACATGTCTGATCTTCGGTCCATAGGCTTCATCACCATGACACCGCAATTGTTCGTCAACTACAAGTTGAAGTCTGTTGCGCATATGCCCTGGAAGACGTTCATGTACAAGGGTAAGTTGCAATATCCGTTCTCAAATCCTCTCGAGCCCGCAACTAACCAGCCTTCTCCTTACCAGCTCTGAACACTTTCGTTGGTGCGTCAGACATCACCACATCGAGCTTTTTAACCCCCGTCGTTCGATTTCCATACTGATTGAATCCTTCCTCCTACAGACGATCTGTTCGCATTCGTCATCAAGATGCCGTGGCTGCATCGTCTCGCCTGTCTCCGTGACGACGTGGTGTTCTTTGTCTACCTGTACCAGCGATGGGTTTACCGTGAGGACAAGCGACGCAGGAATGAATTCGTAAGTGATTCTCAGATTCAGGCATTCGTACTGAAGTTCGAACTGAGCACTGGCATGTCTTGTAGGGGCAAGTTGGTGAAGATGACGTGGATTCGTCTGACGAGGAGGACGAGGAGGACGAAAAAGAGAAGCCAGTTGCTGAGAATGCCACGACAGAGAACTCGGCGAAGCCCGCGCCAGCAAGCGTCATCAACCCCAACATCAGCGGCGCCAAGCAGCGGAACAAGAAGCAGAAAGATGCGATTTGATTATGCCGTCATCAACCAGAACTGGCCCATGCTCTAACGCTATGAAGGCGATGTGTGGATTCCTGCACATGGTGGGGAATGACCCTGGATTATAGGGGACAAAGAGGCTGTTAGTGCTAGATTCCCCTAGTGATTCCCAGCGTACGTGCAATAGGAGATGGAGCGAGCGTAGTATACACACACACATATACAGTCAGTGTCCATAAAGCTACCCGCCCGAATTAAACCAGCGACTGCCGCGACGCCATACTCACCGACTTTGATTTCAATTATGGGGGGGTGCACAGCTTTATGGACACTTACGTAGTTAGTAACTGACTGGTCTAGGTCCATAAAGCTGCGCCCACCCCGTGCCTCACCAGCAAGGATGGTTGACCACCGCAATTGCGAGATCCCCTTTCTCCCATCTTGGCCAACATCTTGCCACAGATACCTTACCACAGACAGCAACAACACTGGAGCGACGGCATGGGGAAGCCTCTCACCCCACAGAAGAGGGCAGCCATAGTTGCACTGCATAAAGCAGGCAAGAATAAGTGTGAAATAGCGAGACTGGAAAACGTGAGCCTCACCGCTGTTAAGAGGACTATCAAAGTTTACAGCAATCAGGATTCGAACAACGCAACCTCATACCAGTCAAAGAAACCATCTGGCAGACCAAAAAAGTCTCAACCTTCTGAGAATGAGTTGGAGGTCGTTCAGGGCCTTCTTTACCCTGTCTTTACCCACTGATTATGTTCCTACTGAAGGTCAGCCATTGGAGCAACCAAGGGGATCCACTTTCCCTACCTGCGATCGTTCTCAACCCCGACGACTACCACCCCCTCACAAATGCCTCCGGAGCTCTCTCGTGCCTTGTAGTAGAGTTGGTCATATGCACGCTCAACCCCTTCAACAAACGTGATACCATATCCACCATACCGAAGATTTTTTCTCGAATGCGGAGGGGGGAAGGAGGGCGACAGATGGCGCATGTACATACACGGACAAGGCCGTGCGCATGGCTGACCCGCGAAAACAAGGCAAACAGTAACAGCAGAGTAGGTCGAAAGCTGGAGCTGACCTTGATTGCGAACCTGAAAGTGATCCTGACGGGGAAAACAACATGTAATAATGTCTCTGTCGGTTGTACGCCTCCGTATATGACCTCGATGTAGAAATTTGAATAGCTATTTGGAAACCACATTCATTCTTCACATGGTCCTTTACCCACCGTTTGCTCTCACGATTCATTCCACATGCGACTAGTCGCCATGCCTTTCATATTTTCAAATGTAGGCAGGTGTATGCCATAAAAAGAGTTTTCGGTGTATTTACACAGAATCATTGTTGCATAGCCAAGTCATGTAGAATCACCACAAAACTATCTATCTCGTTACGCTAGGGGTTGCACCTCACGCAAGATCTTTATCCTATGCTGTACTGCCATCTTATGGCAAACTGGGCTCTGCGGGCTCTGGTTTCCTCCAGAAGATTGGTGGGGCGGATTGGTGTTGGCCTCACATGGTTAAACCACTGGGGCAGGGTTGACCTTGAGCCCATACGTTTCAGCCGCCTCAAATGGTTCAGCCGCTGGCGCTGATCCACCCGCCGACACCAAAGTCCTGCCTGTGACGCATAGCCGCAAGCCATGGGGCTGCACCGAGTGCTCGTAATGTGTCTGTACTGCTGTATTATGCTGTGACATAAGAGCGTCAATCACGCAATGGTTTCAAATAGATTACTGAGCCGATGGCTACAAACCATAATCACTAGATCCCCATGTCTTGTCAATAGTTTGAGGACCATGGGATTGTGGGGCCGCACCTTGATGTCACGGCCAGGATCAAGGGCTGAGGCAGTGGTGTTGAGCGCAGATCCTTTCTCCCCCCCAATCCCGTCCTCAGAACGCATTGATGCTTCGCCCGAAACGTCCGTGTCCTGTCCATCCCTGAGTGAAAACGAAGGTACGAACGCGAACGGGAAAGGTTCGTCGTCCGGCATACATGAAGGAGTCCGAGGCGAGGATGGGCGTCCATTGACGATCGACGCGATGCGCATGGGGTCAGGCGGACCGGTGGCGCGACCAAAGGGTTCATTTGGGTGACGGCTTCGAGAATGAGGCGGCGCCCCATTGTGCCTTTTGAATGATGAAGCTGAGGGCGACCCATGTGAGCCTGGTTCGGGCGTTGAAACGGCGTGATATGTGCCACATGTGGTTCCTCCTTCGAAGACGACCATAGAATCCATGTCGGATATCGAAGATACGGTTGGGAGCCAATCCACCTCCAGTGCGCCGCTCCTCGGACGCTTTTGACCGACCTGTCCCAGTTGGTCCCCACAGTGCTCCATCTTTGTGAGCAACTTAACCAAGATGGCATCCGCTTTGTGACGCCGTACATCCTCTTCCAAGAAATGAATAGGCCCTAACGGACGCTGCTCACACATTGGCGAGTCGGATTCTGCTGCCGCGGCTGCTATTGGTAAATGCTCAGCCTCTTTCCCAGCAGTCTGTACAAATGCTGAAGTTGATGCCAGGTTAGGCTTCATCAAGCCCTGCATCTGCTCCGGCCTCCGTTTCGGCATCTTCTTCCGAAATTTCATGGCTGAATCCGATCCTATACTCCATCCAATGATTGGTCCGCACACTTCCTTCTCCCCATCATCATGATAGGCCATTTTCTGCCCTAAAAGTACAATGTGGTTTGTCATTTAGTTCGGTGTTATCGATCGAGGCCCCGCGAGCGTACCCTCCAGGTAGAAAATCGACAAAAGCTCATTGATCGGGCTCTCCGGTGAGACCTGCTGAAGGATGTCTCGAGCAAACTCAACCTCTTCCGGTGCCGTTTCGAAAGGACACGATGGCATCGCGATCGAAAAATTATATACCTCTCCAGCGTTGTGAAGGAAGTTCTGAGTCAGAAAGCCTTTGACTAAAGCACAACATGAGGCGTCAGGGGACATCAGGAATGGGAGTCAACTGACTGCTCTCACCCCTATGAGTGACAAACTTGCATCTCTTCATTGACACCTTCCTCTGGTAGTCCCCCCAGAGTTTCCAACCGTTGATCGACAGCGGGTGCTCTTCAGTTGCCAGTATATGGACGATTCGACCACCAGTCGGTAGATGGTACGTAACGCGGTCCAGACCATGCGCGTATGTGCCGTCTTCCACCCGGTCTCGCGCAACCTCTATCCCACTATTCGGCAATAAATATAAGCAGCCAGGCACCTCATTTTTGAAGTTTACCGAACCGGGGAGCGATCTTCGTAGCAAAGAGACTGGGTATTGCTCTTTAAAATATGATTTGGGCGCCTAATGAAAGTTTAATCAGCTGCATTCGTCAGTCTGAGGATAGCCGCTGCCACACTGACATAATTACACACGGCGCATGTCCAGCTTGTGAGCTCTACGCGTTGCGAAATGCGACCGCATAGCTCACAGTGAACGGCACGAGGGGCGTACTGTTCCGAGATCTCGATCGGAAATATGGGTTTGACGTCCAGCTTCGGACTTGGAGGGCGTGAGTCAAAACGAAGCCACAAAAGAGACAATGCGGCACGAACCTAAACCGTCCCGGGAGTTGAAATGGTCGGAGAAAGTCGCCGTTGTAAGACAGCTTCTGCGGATCCGCCCACCGTCCGTCGCGTTCCGAGAAGACCTTCCAGAAAAAGTCGCAAGTCCGCACCAAGCACATCGGTACGTGATAGACTATCGGAGATACAGCTTTACACTTTTTACAAGTGTGCAGCTTTGGTCTTGCTAAGCATGACCTGTTCGCGTTCGGCTTCAAGAACCACGGCTCATGCAAATTCTGGTCCAGCCATTGGAAACGGCACTTGACGCGAACGTTATAGGGTCGTTCACCATCCGCAACATCCGCTTCAACGTTGACGAACTCCTTTTCAGTCCATATATGGGTGATCATCCACCTTTGCGAATAATGATCAATCTCGCAATCAAGGACGAGAAAGCGATGTGCGTTGTTTACCAGCCTAGGACCGCATATCTCGCCGGCATCACAAAATCTGCTAACGGATAATGCGACCCCATGATTACAATCAAAGGCAGAGCTTTTGCCCAAGTGTTGCGGAGAATGCGGATCGATAAATCCGTTTCTTCTTGTGATCCTCTCAGGGGGGCGGCCGATGAATGTGCCCCAATGGTGCTCATCTGTTGCATCGCGTTGTGTTGCTCCTCCTGGCCTCCTGAGCGCTGCTTTCCTCCACCGTGACTGACGAAAACTTTTCCAGCCCATACGTCCCGTTCCGCAGCAAATCCGTCTATTAGATAACCCTTAGCTATGCCGTCCAGGTGGTATAACCCACCTGGAGAGAGAGATATGTCAGGCTGACCAACGGGACTCAGGAACTCGTGGGAACTCGAGGATCATACTTTGATAGGACCTGAAGTAGGGCGTGCCTTCGCAAAGCTCTTGCCGAGTTTCGCACCAGACGGCTGGTGATGCCGTCACCTCCCTTTTCACGTGGTGCCCCTCCCCATAAGCCGGGTCGACTTCCTTTGCATCAGATCTTCGCAAAGGGGCATCATCTTGCAACTTCGCTGCCAAGGTGCCCGACATGAAAAGAACTTCAGAGAACGTCGTATACGCGCAGGTTCGCACGTTGAGAGCACCTCCAGCCCTCTCTTTCAGGGTGGTCTCCTTCGACCCTGCCTTCGAACTGCTGGGATTTGACTCTTGAGTAAAAGCATTAGAAGTATTGGCATTGCAAGAGCCACATGGACGCGTCGCCTCTCGATCGAGAGTCTGGACTCTGGTGCTGGACTTTGAACACAGACTTGAACGACTCCAAAAAGGCATTCAACCAAGCACCCAATTTACTTACCCAGCGCCGCAGTTCCGTCCACTCTCTGAGGAGCTCTGAGGTGCTATTGCGACAGCGGGGTAGTCCTGTAGATACCCGCCGTAGAGACCAACTTGTCCTAGATCCAGAAGGACCACCAAGCAGGACTACTTCTAGTAAACGCCATGGTTTTCACTTCGCAGGGTGACGGGCAGCCACATTCGCGGAGTAGACACTCCCACGACTATACGGCTCTCCCGCACCATAGTAAACACAGGGATGGATCGTCGAAGTTCCTGAAGCGGCCGCCACGCGTATGCGGCTTGTCCGTACCAAGAGCCTTCTTGTGCGGAGTGTTGTTCTCCATAGGAGGCTATCTCATATTGCAGGCTTTTGTGAAAGGCGGAGGGCTACATAACATATCCTCCTCGTTTTCGAAAGCGAGCTCTGCCTTGAATGGATGCCCGAATCCCGAACCCGACCGGCCACCAATTCAGTACGCCCTTGTTATGGACGCGGGATCTACGGGCTCGCGCCTTCACGTTTACCGGTTCAACCACTGCCACGGGCCATCGCCAGCATTGGAAGACGAAGTTTTCGAGCAGTTAAAGCCAGGATTAAGTTCTGACAAATTCAAAACGCCCGAGGAAGCGGCAAACTCGCTTGATCCATTGTTGGAGGTGGCATTGAAGAGCGTTCCCGAACGTCTCCGTGCTTGCACCCCGGTTACGTTAAAGGCTACTGCTGGTTTGCGGATGCTGAAGGACGGCAAAGGTGATATGATCCTCGACGCTGTGCGTCGAAAGCTGGAGAAAGAGTCGCCCTTTGCCCTCGTTGAAAATGGGGTTACCATCATGGCGGGCAAGGACGAAGGTGTTTACGCGTGGATTACCGTAAACTATCTCCTGAAAAGGCTTGGCCAGAAGGAAAAACTGCCGACCGCCGCAATCATGGACCTCGGCGGTGGATCCACACAAATCGTGTTTGAGCCTGACGCGAAAACCCCGATGGAACCTGGAGATCACAAGTACGAGCTGAAGATGGGCCCACACAAGTACATCCTGTATCAACACTCGTATGACGGGTATGGGTTGATGCAGGGGCGCCATCGTGTCAAGCAGGCAGGAGTGGCTAGCAAGAAATGGCCATGCTACGCGATTGGGCATAAAGACGAATATCTTGACGATGCGGGAACTATCCATACCATTGAAGGGTCGGGGACCGATCATGATGCATGTGCCGCATTCATTCGCACGAAACTATTCGATAAGGCAACTTGCCCTGCGCCGAAAACTTCTACATCACCGCCCTCGTGTTCGTTCAACGGTGTCTACCAGCCGTCCCTGGCGGCCAGCTTCGCCGACAACGATATTTACGCCTTCTCGTACTTTTTCGACAAATTCGCTGAACCGTTTGGTCTCGAAACGTCGGAAAAAGGATTCTCGGTCGGTGAGCTGCGCGCAGCGGCCGAGAAAGTATGCTCGGGCAAGCTGACACCACAAGATCTCGCGAAACTCACAGCCGATGGCACACTTCCCAAGCAAATTGTCGAACTCTTCAGCGACCCTGAATGGTGCACCGATCTCGGCTTTATGTACGGCCTGTTGAGCGTGGGATACGATATTCCAGATCAGCGCATCCTCAAAACAGCAAAGAAGATCAATGGAGTGGAAACGGGATGGGCGCTAGGTGCCGCTTTGGATGTGGTCGATGGATGGGGAACAAAGAATGGGAAGGGAAAATGTGCTGCACCCGCAGTTAAGGAGATCACCCGTTGAGGATTGGGAAACTTTAATGATATTCCTCGCTATCAGAAGTCGGACAGATAGACAGTATGACTTGCGCATGGCTGACCTCCTCATATGTCAATAGTATGGCTTTTTGATTGGGGCTTGCGATCTCGCCACGAATGTTCTCTCGTCTACGCGGCTCTCAACCACATTGAGTGTACTGTATGAGATGCGTGTCGGTCGACTCGACAAGACTCCTTACATATCTATTGTATATGTAGCTCAGTGGTGGTGGGGAACACGCTGTTGCACGCGAATAATATCGTTATGCAGAAAATTCCTTCTTTACACCGGATGTTCCCACGCAAGGAAAATGATCAAGTCACGTTGACCGTCTTTCAACCCGCTTATTGAGAAGTTGTTCATCGAGCTTCGCGGCACACGTACGCCCAGTGAATTCGCTCCATCAGCCCCCCGCCAGAGCCACCGGCAGTCCATCATCTCAACCTGGTGCATAATAAGGCAGCGACTGGGGAGCGAAGATGAACCCAGATGCTGCTCTGTTGACACCTAACCGAGCCGAGCATTATGTAGCAGCGGACCGAGAACCCGCTTCCCGGTCCGTTTGGACAACGGGCAGATCGTTTCGCGCTGTCGATTTAGTTTGAACAAACCCCGATCCCGCCTCCTCTCGGAAATGAAAGGATCACGATCTATCGAGAAGCCATGAAGCATAAGCAGGTTCCAATACAATAGCAACACTAGCAGATATAGCTATGAATGGATTTAGGGCCGACCTCAGGGACAGGCAAACAGCATTTTGAGTTTACAAGGTTGTCGGAGGTACGTAGAAAAGGTCCGCCTGCATTATAATCGGCGATTCCGCCGTTCATAAGGTGGACCAGACAAAGGAACCTTCTTCTAGAAGTCAGAGCGAGTCTGAAATGTGCTCGCCATTACATAAGGAGACCGTTAGGTTTAGAAGGGGCCACATGCGTGGCTTATTCGATGGACATTTTCGACGTGGGCATAGACTGCTAAACAGCGAAGGCCCATCTTCGTGTCTCTCATCGGCACCAGATAAGAAGGCCTGCAAGGCAGTATCAGACGTCATCCAGCGTCTCCCTCATTTTGCTTTTCGTTGCCGACAAAATTCCATTCCCGACCATGGCTGAAAACCGGATGAAAGGTGCTGTTATCGAAACGAGCTGGATGGTAAGATCATGGCCATCGCACCTGTATCAGAAGCTATCGCTGAAATATATGGTTGATGTTTCAGGCAAAGGCCGAGGCGGTGGCCTATTCCTTGCTGTTTAGCATGGTAACCGACAACGAAGTTCATAATGGACTCGCGACGGCAATCACATTTTTCGAAGATATGCAGCTTATCTCGTTCGCCTTCGAGCACCACTTTTTCTCGCATATGCCTGATTGGGCTAAATATGTCACAAATCCTCTGAGCTATCGCCCGGGAGCTCATGAAGCATTCGAGATCCTGCTTGCGATTGTGATAGGAATTGTTGCTGTCACTATCCTCTCGGCGGCCCAGGTCGCTCGGTCATTTGGCAATGGAGAGGTACGTAGGCTATGCTCAAATGCAGGAGGGCATCTACGAAACAAGTTCATCAACTGATAATGGACTATCTTGCAGTTCACCGGAGTGTCTCTTTACGCGTTGAAGACCATACGGATCGTCACGGTTCTCTCTGGGACGGTTTTGTTCATCCCGTTCTTGGAGATCCTGCTTGTAGCCGTCTCCTGCTCAAAAGGAACTTTGAAGGCATACCCAGAAGTACAATGTTTTTCGGGGAGCACAGGAGCGCAAACCGTCTTGGCCATCTTCTGTCTGCTGTTTTTCGTCCCGTACAATTTGGTCATGTCATTGATATATGTTAGAATCACACCCAAGCCGGGTTCCGAAGATGCGCGAGTTCCGATAGGAAGGTATGGAGTTGCCAATCGAGCTGTTCGCCTCGATTGCCCCTCACCGATATGAACGTTTTACAGAGTCGATTTTACGTATGCCCTCGCTCGAGTGCTACTCTGTCACATTTTCATCGTTCCCGAAGGAAAGGATGACGTGAAGGCCATCGTTCTCGTACCCGTCACGTTATTCATGACGTTCCAAGTCGTGAGGTTTCAGCCTTTCTACAGCTCCATGCACAACGAGCTCCGAGCCGGCCTATTCTGCGCTGCTTTCTTTGCCTCCATCATCAGCTTCATCTCGACTGTTGGCAATGTCGACAGTTTAGCGATGCCGGTTCTCAGTATCATCGCGGTCGTTGCTGGAGCGGTTGCCGGAGTGTTCACCTGCCGGAAGGTGTTCGAAAACACCGTCAACCGAGTGTACGATCGGATTAAGTTGAAACGTCAACAAACCGAGAAGGGGTTGAATGGGAAGTTGGAAAAAATGGAATCAGGAGTAAATCCTGAGATCCGGAAGACGGGCGCTTTGAGCGGCGGATCAGAGGACTTGAAGGATCGGGAGGAAACATTTGAGGAAGGCATATTCGACAACATTGGCAAGATCGCTAAGACGCAAACGGTGCCTGAGGTGCGTTTCCGCTTCGAATTACAATGCTGGTGAAAGTCGCCGACTACTGATGATCTCCTTTCGCAGCCCATCGCAGTGTTTCGCCATGTAGGCGAAGTAGAGCTTGCTTGTCGTTTTGTCCGAAAGAATCGCTCAAAGGAAGCCCTCTACGTGATGGAAGAGATATTCAACGAAGGATTCGATCAGTTTCCGGAAAACTCTATGCTTCGCCTGGTGTAAGTCATAGCCAATGCGCACTGAAAGTCTCCGCGGTCTACTCAACATCCTACTGTGACAGATATGCCGAGTACCTTGAGGCCTTTACCGACTCGAGCGTGGGAGAAGATGCGGTACACATCATCGCTGAAGCCAAAATCCTCCATCCCTCCTTCGATGCCCGGTTCTTCATTTTCATGCAGGACAGATTGCTCGAGCAGAGTAAGAAGGCCGAGGGTTTGAATTCATCAACCATGAATATGTGAGTTTGACATCTATTTCGGGCTGGGCGTCGACGGACGAGTTCATGACATCGTCTCTTCAGTTCCTCATTTGTAGAGTTCCAAACGATGTCCAATGGCGCTCGCCGTGATCACTTGGCCACACTGATTGAGATCAAAAATTTTCTATCACATGTCCGAAGTGGACAGCGAGGGAGAGATCCGAAGACGTATCCAATTTTCCTACAGCGGATCAGTGAAGCCGAGCAACGGGCTACAGCCTACTATAAGAAGCTGATCGGACGTTGGCCAAAGAGTAAGGAGCTTCTCCGAATGTATGCCTCCTTTTTGTTACAAGTCAAGGTATGCTGGTTTACTTGTAAAGTCGCGGCGCATGATCACAATCTCATTCGTATATGTAGAATGACAAGGACAGCGCTGCCAGGTTGATGGCCATAGCTGATGATATCGAGGAAATTGAGTCTCGCCAGGGCACCTCGTACTTGATGGCTACGAGGAACTCGGCACGTTCTGGCCGAAGAGGCAGCAACGTGCCCAGCAACATGCCCTCGCAAATGGCCTCACAAATGACGTCTGTAAGCAATGTCGCCGGACGCCTAGGGCAAGGAAATACGGAACTTCCCACATCGAAGGAGGTTACGCGGAAACTCTCCACAGTATTCGGCGAGAGCGTCGCTGCAGATGCATCGGATGATGAGGTTGCCGTGATAGGGCTCCCTTCGAAATTGAGATCTATGTTTCCTGAGTCAGTCCATGAAGGATCGGAATCGCAGCAAATAAGGAAACGATCTACTGCTTTCACTACCGAGGAAGGAATAGCGCCAGATAGGGAAGTGATCGGGGCAAGATTCGGATCCCCCGGCTATGATAATGACGCAGCGCCAAGAGTCGCTCAATCGGACGGCGGCAGTTCCAAAGCTTCGGAGCGCGAAATGAAGAAAAGGGTTAGATGAGCGCTTCGCGCCGCCTGGAGGACGACGGTGTACTAACGCGTCACACCGTAGATCACAAACCGCGGCCAACTTCAATCGCGACTGAAAGCGCCCGTAAACTCTATGGATCGCCATCAGCGGATCGCGGCAGTCCTATATGTTATGATAGTGGTTGTTGCTTACGCCATAGGTCACTGGAGCTTCAGCGATGCAGGTAGAGTGAACCGGCCTCTTAATCCTGTACGCCCGTGCTTCCCACAATGGTGAACACTTCTGTCGTGCTAGAATCGTCCATTGGCGGGTTCGTCCGCGGCTCTCGTCTACCACACATCAGCACGGTTCTGGCCCGGCACACGCGAGAATTGGCCCGCATCCCGGATTTGGCGGCCAACAATGTAACAGAGGCGCATGCCGTATATGATCAGACCACCTTCGTTTTCAAGGATTACATCAAGAATATATCCCTCTTCTACATCCCGTATCTGGAAGCCTATGTAGATGATGAGGATAACATTCCAATCCGAGTAAGTCTCCCTGTGATACGCGTTTCCGGGACGATCCTTTGACCCACCGATGCTTGACGCAGGAAGCCACCTTTCCCGAAGTGTGGCGCCACGTAGTGATGACGAACTCCTTGGGAATGACGAAGCTCATTTTCATATATGGGCAGGAGCTCATGAAGAACGGTAAGTTACGACTGAATGTCCTTTCAGGGTATCAAAATCTAACTGTCGTAAATTCTCATCAACCGCAGACTACAACTGGTTTGCATCGGGTCAAGCAGCCACGGATAATTACGCTCGATTTTTTCTTGATAATGCTGGCGACTTCGGGCCTGCCTACATGACGATTATCGAGGCGATGGAGAACAAGTGGACGAGTGCGACGATGCAAAATACTGTAAGAGGACCCTGGCCCTAAGTATCCATCATGGCACTATGCTCATCACCGTGCAGTACATTCTTTACGTCCTTCTCGCCCTTTGCGTTGTCTGCATGCTGGGCTGGGGGATACTGGTCTTATGGCCGATGGTCCGGCGGACAGAAGCAGAGCAGATCAGAACGCTGAAAATGTATTTGCTGATACCAAAGAAGACATTGATCAACATCCTCACGGACTTTGAGGAACAGGTAATGAAGCTTAGTTTCTTTGATCAGAGATGAGCCCTTCACTCATGTCGCAAACCTTCTTCGCAGATCGAAACCATTTCAGATGAAATCTCCGACGAGGGCATGCAAGCATCCGGCTCCGAACCGGGGCTAGAAAAACGAAAAGGATCGCAGCAATACTCGTCGCGAGCGATGGCTACGACCGACACAGATAAGCTTACCAAGAAAAGCGCCACTCGGAAGTATTACTTGATGTATGGATTAGGGCTGGGCATCATGACGCTACCGGCTCTAGCGCTGCTGATTGTGCCGATCGTAAGTAGTCTCTTCAAGCGATGAGGTCAAGCCGGTGATTCATTCGTGACTCTTGCAGATTCGGGCAAGTCTTTCCATCAAATATGCGCATACGATGAACTATAATGGTGGAAGGCGCTATTTTGCGCAGGCGACTTTGTTTTACGCAAATGAAGCACTCAAGGTCGACAACGCAACTTGGCTGCCGTATGGTACGTACGCTAAGAGCTTCGGCAGCGCTGTACGCAATGTCATCCTGATCGGGTTCCCTTCCTAGAACCACTCATGTGGTACCGAAACCGGGTCGAGCTCTTGGAAAATCTGCACTGGAGGTCGATCCGCGGCATCGGTTGCATCGCTCTGCCGACCATCCCAGAACTGCACACCTTCCTGAGCATAGATGCCCCATGCCAGCCGGCCTGCGGAAATAAGACGGCCGGCCTCGATACCCAAGTAGAGCTATTCCTCAATGCCGCGCAGAATTTAGAGGGGCATTTAAGGTCGGGACAGATTGAGGAGGGCATGGATCATTTGGATTACATGCGTGAATTGATGCCGAGTCTGGTGTGTACTCCGGACTTCTGCACATGTATCCCACTGACCATGTATCCACTGACGTCTTCCTTCTTGTAAAAAAAACATTTGGCAGGTTGATAATTTCAATAACTTGGACAAGAAGGTGAGGCGTGATGAGGTTCTGGCGCTGGCTCAATAATGCATTTCAATAATGGAATTTCAATACCCTTGGGAAAAAAGTTTCAGACTATTATCTTGGACGGGTGAGAATGCAATTCCGTACGCCTTGTACATGTCCATTCCACTGACAAACCTGTGATCCCTCACAATGCTAGGAACGCGGAAGGAAAGCTGGGAATGAACATCATATTCGCCTTTTCTTTAATAGGCCTCGTCGCCGTCTACTTCACCATCTTCCAGAAAACGGTCAAAGTGCGGTTAGTGGAGATGGACTCGGCCGTCACGCTGGTGTTTGCAATGCCGGACTCAGTTGTGCAAGCGGTGCCGGAAATCAAGCGGTTCATCGATTCTGGCGGGATGTTCGCGGACGACGGTGCCGCGTCACGATTGAAATGAGCTAAGGACAATTTAATCGTCTGTGTACTGGACCCCAGCATAGGCCCCAACATGGGCTGCGTATGTTTAGGTAGCAGGTTTGCTCTGGCCCTCCCATTTTCCTCAATAGCACCCCAAATTGAAGTGGATCATTCACTCCAAAAATGCGTGACTGTGTAAATGACATGATCTTTATCACTAGATTAGAGTGCCATCGTTGGGAGTTAGAGTGCTCTGGCTTGATCATTGACCAGGGAGGATGGGTATGCCAGGCACAATGGTATTTCAGCTGTGAAGACGTCGTTTGCAGCCCTTCCATGCTATTTTTGCACGGCATATGGACCCAGCGGGCCTCATCCTCAAAGTAAAATTGGTGGGGCACAGAATGTGTTCCCGATTCCCAGTGTCAGCGGAACCAGCGCGAGGATGACCGAGTTGGTGCATGTTGCTATCAGGGAAAGCGCCGAGTCTCATGGCAGCATTGAGAGCTAACCAGCTCGCTCATGATGCCCGTACGGAGCTTTCCTGATTTGCACAATGCTGTTCATGTTCTATGCCAAAACATTTGTCCCAGAAAACATGGCGAGCGGATTTCGTTTCCACGAAAATCGACAGCTGTCGAGGTTCGATCATGTCGTCTGTAGTCATTTCACCACCGGCGGTAGAACGTCGGGGCAAGCATGTGTTATGGATGTCCCCAAAATAGTTCGCGGGCATCAGCCCGGTCTAATCATTCATCTCATAAACTGTCTATATATCGCAAAATGCTGTCTAAATGTCTCTGATCCCGCACATTGATTCGCAACGTCTTCGGTAACGGATTTGTCGTTGCCCCAAGAATGCTAGACGGGCCTACAAGCTCAATCTGGGCCAGATTGCTGCTGGTACTACCTGATCCCTGTGGTGACGGGATGATCTCGATCGTCTCGTGACTGGCGGGTCGGTTGGCAGGGGATCGAAAGGATCCGGAGCTACCGCCTATGCCGAAGGACCGGTGCATGGGGTAGCGAAAGGTGTCTCCTATGGATTCGTTCGTGAGGTTGGGCACGGACGCGCTGTGGACAAGGGTAGAGCGCGAGCGGTTGAGGGTTCCGAAGGATATTCCAGGATCGAAGGGCGTGCGGTTCGGTTCGCCGTCGACTCTCGAACCGGCTTCCGACCGGCTTACATCACGCGTTTTGCGATTCAGTGTACTGCTTTCCTTTGGCCGTTCGTCTCTGTTGAACGAATTGTCGCGGAACGAATTGTCGCGGCCGTTCGTGACAGGTGCGGTCCTTATCCGGCGCAGATTGAGGTCCCCATCACTCCTCGCGCTGTTTTTGCTAACGACGTCTTTCCAGTCACGAAACTTGCTCCGAACCGTGCCGACGATAGACGCTTGTCCTGTGGATACGTTTGATAGTATAGATAATGTTGAATTGACCTTCCTTAGCCTGTTTCGATCCCGCCGTGCTTCTCTGGCTTTTTCTCGACTCTCCGCGTATCTATTGGCGACCTGCAGCGATTCGTGGACGAGTCAGTTGGGTGTCCCTCCCATTAGAGTATAAAGGGCTTACCAGGGTATATTGCGAAGTGATCATAGTCAAAGCTAAGAAGTGTGGAGTATGGTGAGCGGCCTCATCGCATTGAATGGCACACATGCATCCACTTACGAAATGCCACCAAAAAGAGGGACCTATGAGGGAACCATATGTCAACGTTTGAACATGCGCGGTTTGCCATCATCAGCAGACAGCTCCTCTTACATGATCATCAAAGCTCCAGCAATTAATCGTCCAGGGAACGTTGCCGGAACCACATCGCCATATCCCTATGAAGAAAAATTCAGACCGTGAATTCCAGCTCAAACGGTGATCAAAGCGTTCTACGACTCTGAGCTCAGACTGACTTACAATGGTCGTCAGCGTCACTATTACGAACCAGAAGCATTCGGGGATTGATTGGAACGGCGAAACTTTCAAAGGCTCAGAATGTTCATAAAACCATAATCGGGCATTTTCATCCCAGAATTCCGCAGTTTGCTCCGCTATATGAAAGATCGGTGTAGACAATCGAAGCCGTGAGAAAGCCAAGTGATGACGATTTTTGAGTCGCGGAATTTCTCACCATAGAATATCATCGTGGAAAACGTGATGATGAGAAGCGGGAGGGAGAGGAACAGGACCCAAAGACCTTTATTCCGCGAGTGAATTCTCTACTGTCTGATATGACTCATGTGGCCAAATGATTGATGACCCTACCTTCCAATGATTGTGCTGATGGAACAAGGGTGATAGAGAAGTCAGACCAAAGCTCGAGTTGACGCTTTAAATGAACACTTACAGAATGCGCGCCACATCAACATCAACTGTGAAATACGCGGAAGTCGTCGGTAGGAGTTTCCCAAGAATAATCAACGGATGAACATAGTTTCAAACCTTGCTGCTCTTGGGAAAGAATCGGAATAATCTTAAGAGCTTTACGAGATCCAAAATTCGCACCCAGGCCCCGGTTTCGATTGCGTACGCAGTTTCCTGAAGGGGGAATTCGAAGATGTGCGTCAAATTCCAGTGTGGTCAACACGGCATATAAAGTGTGCATACCGGCAGAGCACGGTGAGTGTGAATCGCGCGGACAACATCGATGTAAAAAGGCAGTACTGGTTTGGTGAAATCGTGGGTGAACCTATACGGCTTTCGTGGAGGTGCACCGGAACCAACTCACCTGTCAATACATCGATAAGGCGTTGGATGCTGAATATTTGTCGAATATTCGTCGCTGCGGCCCATCGAAGTAGTAATTCGACCGTAAACTACGTGGACGGTTCGTCTGGTGAGCCATCACTACAGTAGTCAGAGAATCACTAACATGACACTACAAACGTACAGACGACAGACATGTGGCTTCGATTCCATATACCAGCGTGACTAGAGCCGGATCTCTCAGAATCGCATCCACAGTTCCGAGGCACATCGTGATCACCGATATAAGGAGGGCGGCCAAGAACAAGCGCTTGACCCATTTGTTTTCCAGTATCACGGTGATGTTGTATTTCCACACCGGATGTTGGGTCCAATCTGTATCTGACCGAACTGGAGACCGAGCGGTAGTTGGCAGGTTCCCAGCCGAGTGCCTATAGCTCGCTACTGACTGCTGCTGAGAGCGGTCCTCGTCCAGGTCCTCGTCCGAGTCCCCAAACACATCGCCCTCTATAGCCTCGAGTTCGTCCTCATTTCCGTTATCTGCGTCCGAGTCGCTTTCCCTACGCTTCGGCGACTCCGTAGGCCTACTACTCGTAGAGGTCAGTAAGAAGCCTCTGTCACGCGACTCCCGTTACCAAACGTGCATACCGGTCCTTCAAGTTCCATTTCACGTTTCCGTAACTGGGAAGGTTCGCGGAATTGGAGGTGTTGGCGCGCGGCCTCCCTCTTCTTCTTGCCTCGTCAGTATCTTGCGTCCGCCAGTCTGATGAAGGAGTAGCGCTCGTGGGCAAACTCATTCCTCAGCGCGTAGCAGGCCCACACCCACATATGTATGTACGTCGTTGGACGCACTACTTCCTAAATGCAAATGACAACAGTGACCACGTTGCCGTTTAGAAGGGAACGAAGACTCTCTATCCAAGCAGAGGGGCTTTCCAAGACTTTGTTATCGCCCACCAGCGTGCAGGCTCAAGCAAGCAGCCTGTGGGAAAGTGGCCATGCGAAGTGTCGATAGTCAGTAGTGGAGAATAGTTGGGCGCTCGCGGTGACAATGCGCAGTGACATCACGATGTGGTGTAACGCTGGGCGTAATGGCCGATTCTTAACACTGTGGTAAACGAGTCACGTGATGCAGACGAGGGAGGACCTTACCGGTTATATACCTACACCATAGTATAGCCTTGACCTGACCAGTTGGACGGGTTGGAACTTGGCGCTCTGTCTCACCCAAACCCAGAACCAGCCGGGACCTGTGGTCCCAAACGTCCCCTCCTTCAAGTTGGCGGCGGACGGGATCATGGGGTTTCTGCCATACAAGTTTGCCGCTGGACATGGATACCGCCCAGTCGGGTGCCAGCCAGGCCTTAAGCGGCCTCTTCAGTTAAATTGGATGGAAATGTGGTACCGTACAGACCGTACCAAAGGGCAGGCGGTCGATCTTTCGCCCAAAGTCTCCCATTATTACTGGCCAGCCACGAACCGGCTAGTTTCGCCGTGCAGCCGTCCTATAGAAACGGACAGACATGGGAAAAAAGAGAACGAAGTTAGTTAGTTGAAGCATAACCTTCAGGTCGACCTGAACTCGCTGGAACGTTTTGGGGGAATTGTCAAATCTGTAGTAGATAGACTAGTCGCGGAGGGCAACCCAGTTTCCGCACGAAGTGCAGAATTGTCATTTCCGCTCGCAAACGGCCCTCTCCACCAGGCAGCTGCGAGGTTCCCCAACAGCAGCACTGTATACTTTATAATTACGCGGAACAGCGAGTGGAGGGAGCGGGTGTTCCAAGAGAGAACACGGAGTAACTGTCCCCACACCCTTTAAGAGGACGGTAGCAGAGCGACGCACCCCTTCAACAATGGAGATACGCAGGGGTCAAGCAACGAGCGTCTCCACAGAAACCCTCGTCCCGAACAATCCTCGCAATGCTCAAAGTCTCTCTGTTCAAACGGGCCAGGCTGGCCGTTTTCCTCGAGCTTCAGCGCTTGGCCTTCCGCCGCTTCACCCCGTCAGCCAGTCTCCGCCGGTTTTCACACGGTCACCCTTAACACCAACAGCCGGCAACAGGCCGACGAGGAAAAAGTCTCTGATACGCAGCGATCGAGCCATCACCCACGGGCGAAAGAGCATGGATCGCCGGAGAGGGTCGACGATCTCTATGGCCGGACGACGGGCGTCCGTGACATCAACACGTGGGGGCCAACATGTGGTTTTGAATAAGCAGACCGGAGGATGGTGGCGTCGCATCGTCAAGACACTGACTTGCTGCTTGCCCGCACCCATGCTTCGTTGTTGTGGAATGCGGGATAGGGGAATTCAATTGGCGTTCCGAGAGAAACTCGCTCTTTGTATCATCATCTTCCTGATCATGGTGCTCATCGGATTCGTGACTCTGTTTTTCACTCAAGTCGCTTGCCTGGCCAATGGGGGCTTGCCTGCGGTCGGCTACAAAGAATTGACAGGCGGGAGCGTGCAGTACATGTTTGCCATTCGCGGGAAGGCTTTTGATACTCGCCAGGCACTCTCTATCTGGAACGGGAACCCCCATCCAAACGCACGCGCTGTCATCGATTACCCACAGGTCAGTGAAGTGATGCTGTTGTTTGATTTTTTTTTCCCTCTTCAGATTAACTCATCTATCCAACTTCTGTAATCCTATCTTGATCACACACAGATTGCTGGAAAAGATCTGAGCCACTTGTTCCCAGTAGTCTCGTCCGGCTGCCAAGAGCGGGCCAAACAGATGAAGCGGACCGAGGACGCCACGTTTGCACTCCCCTGCACAATACCAGGCGTCTGGCCACCAGGCACCAACACTCCGGCACAAGGCGGTCCGGCGCCGTTCGCATGCCACTCCCAGCCCCAGGGCGTGCAGGGCATCGCTGAAAGGGTCCGTAGCGCTCAGAAAGCCGATCTCTTCCTCCAATATCAAGACGTACAAGGGGATAAAAGACGCCTCATCTTCAACGGAAAGGTGTGGGATATCTCCCGCATCAACGAAATCGAGAATGTCCTTGATCCGAAGATCATGTCAATCATTCGCAATCACGCCGGGATGGACGCCACGAAGGCCTTGTCTCAGTCGGCTGATATCCAAGACACGGCTGTGTGCTTAGACGAAGTGTTTCGGATCGCACAAGTCGATGCCACTAATTTTGGATGCGTCCTCAGCACCGTGATCTTCTACATCTGTCTGGGGTTCACCCTCGGTACTGTCCTGGCCAAGTTTCTGCTAGCGGTGCTCTTCCAATGGCTGATTGGATGGAGGATGGGACAGAACGGGAAAGACTCACGCGTCGCTGCCGATCTAAAGCGTCGGCGGAAGGAGGGTAATGCATCGATAACGGCCGTGCAGCCTCAACCTATCGTCACCAACTCTGGAGCTGCGAAATCGAATGTGGAGTCCATTCAGATCGTACCTCTGGGCGACAATGCGAAAGGAAAGGGCAAAGAACGTCATTTGAGCAGTCTCCACATCACCAATCCGTCCGATCCAAGCAGCCCTACGGAAGACTCTGCACCAATTCCATTGGAACCGAGGAGGCGTTCGATGAAGACTGTGACACCGATTCGTGCTCCCGACGGCAAAATCATGCAGCCGACGCTTCCATCGGTAGAGAATGAAATCCCAGAGATGGGCACTCTGACACGGTTCCGCGACCTGCAACTAGCTGCCACCCAAACGCAAACTGATCCGATCCTGAGCGACCCGACTCTGATGCATACTCTCATCATGGTACCTTGTTACTCCGAAAATCAAGCCTCGCTACGAGCTACGCTCGACTCGTTGGCCCGCACCTACTACCCCGCAACGCACAAGACTCTGTTCGTCGTGGCGGATGGCAACGTCAAGGGATCCGGTAACGACAGAAGTACGCCTGAGTACCTCATTGATATGATGGAGATTGATCGGAGATTCAAGGATGAGGATCCGAAGAACGGACATGGTCCACACGCATATACCTACGTTGCTGTCGCCAATGGCTCCAAGCGAAAGAACTACGCGAAAGTGTATGCGGGTTGGTACGCATATGCCCTGACAGACGCGACCGGCCGAGACGCGACCCATTCGACAACAGACGAATCCTCGACAAACTCCATGTCAAGAACGCTCACCAATCGCAAAAAAGGCCGAGTACCCATGATCCTAGTCGTCAAATGCGGAAACGAGGAAGAGCGCGACCCATCCAACAAATCGACAAAGCCGGGCAACAGAGGCAAACGGGACTCGCAGATCTTGCTTATGCAGTTCTTGTCCAAGGTCATGTTCGACGACCGCATGACCGAGCTGGAGTTTGATATCTTCCACAAGCTCTGGACGATCACCGGTGTGCACCCGGATGTTTACGAGGCGGTGATGATGGTCGATGCTGACACGAGAGTGTACCCGGACTCTTTGACCCATTTGGTCTGCTGCTTCAAACGCGATGCGAAGATCATGGGAGTGTGTGGGGAAACGAGGATTTGGAACAAGTGGGAGAGCTGGGTGACGATGATCCAGGTGTACGAGTACTACATCTCGCATCACCTGTCCAAGGCCTTCGAGTCGGTCTTTGGAGGTGTCACGTGTCTTCCAGGTTGTTTCTCGGCGTACAGGATCAAAGCGCCCAAGAACGATCTCTGGGTCCCGATTCTGGCGAATCCGGACGTTGTGGAGGAATACTCTGAGAACGTCGTTGAGTCTTTGCACGACAAGAATCTGCTGCTTCTTGGAGAAGATCGGTTCTTAACCACGTTGATGTTGAAAGCCTTCCCCAAGCGCCGCAACGTCTTTGTACCGCAGGCACTCTGCAAGACGGTGGTACCCTCGTCCTTCAGCGTCCTTCTCAGTCAACGCCGTCGATGGATCAACAGTACCTTGCATAACCTCCTCGAGTTGGTGCTGGTCCGTGACCTTTGCGGAACATTCTGCTTCAGTATGCAGTTCGTCATCTTCATGGAACTCATCGGTTCAGTGTTGCTCCCTGCCGCGCTCGCTTATATGATCTACATTGTCACCATTACCATCTTCCGCCTCGTTCACGAAAACTTGACCCTGACTTTTGATGTCTTGTTGCCGATCATTCAGCTTGGAGCGATTATCTGTTTACCAGCCATGATGATTCTCTTGACGATTAGGAGCTGGAAGTATATCTGGTGGTTCTTCGTTTACATTCTGGCTTTGCCGGTGTGGCAATTTATCTTACCGCTTTACTCTTTCTGGCATTGTAAGTGTGGTGTCATATTCAGTCGATTATTGGGGTTTGAACTAATCGTGTCTCTGAAACTCCTACAGTCGATGATTTCTCATGGGGTGAAACACGCGTCGTCACTGGAGAAGAAGGCAGGAAAGCCGCGGACCACTCACGCCGGGACGGAGAATTCGACCACAACGGGATCTTCATGAAGACATGGAAGGAATGGATGCGCGAACGCACGATACAAGAAGACCGCAAGCGTGGCGCGTTCGGCCAAGGACAGTCGATGTCTGCTTCTGGCCCTACTCCTGGACCAACGCCATCGCGAAACCCAAGCGTGCCTCATTCCGCTGGATTTGCACCCCGGCCCTCCATCGCAATACCGCCACCTCTGTTTGGCCCACCGCCTCCAGGCTCGCGGCCGGTTAGGGCATCTTCATCCGGCCATCCAGCAGATTTTGGACGTGCGCCTTTCTCTGCGCCCGCCAGTTCACTACCCTTCTCACCCCCCAATGGCACTGCGACCATGAGGACTCCGACCGGTACGCCTCCCCTCATGAGGGCTCCAACCGGTACACCTCCACTCATGAGGACACCGACAGGCACACCTCCGCCCCTCTATCCACCTGACGCTCGTGCGTCACAGATGTGGTACCCGCCGTACCCGTTCACGCCAGCGTCGGCCGCGTTGGCGTCATCACCGGGGATGGGCAGGCAGAAGTCTGCGCAACCGCAGCATAATCTGGGTTACTTCCCGGTCCAGATGCAGATGCCACCGACGCCGCACCAACGTCCACGTGCGTCGACTCAGCCACCGCTATCCGCGGTGCTTCAGCAGAGTAGCCCGTCGACGACTTTACAGTCTCCGAAGACCCCTGGAACAGTGGGCACCGAAGACTCTCAGCAGAAGTGAGATGCCTTCACACCAACCTCGATAATTTCACTCGACCATATTTTCCTTCTTCAACACTCTCATCACGACCATCTTTACCACGACGGCGTATGCATTTCTAGGACAGCTTATCAGACCACATAGACAATCTAGGTCAAACATAGATGGGATGCAGGCTGGGAGTACTGTACATGTAATGTAGCTAGCTTCTCACTTGACCTTTGTTCTCCCTTTACCGGCGTAAGTCGCTTCTGTAAGATTAGCGCTGGGCGCATTTTTTTGTTGTACAGTAGTCAATGGTTAGGATGTCATGTGTAAGTATGTACGTACTGTACTGGTCATCTCGTGAACAGTTGTAAAGTTCACCGTCAGGACTGTGAAATTGGCTGCCAAGTCTTCACAGATGGGCTACAAAGTTTGGACGGTGGGTTCCGGAACAGCGTCCTTTTCATTCCCTCCTATCATATGTAGATATGTGAATGTGCATATGGCATAACGCACCGTAAATTAACGCCCCGTCGCATGAAGACCGTGCGTATGGCCCCCTTATTAAGGTACAGTAGTGTTCACAGTAGGTTCCACAATGGTCACATTTTGGCACCTGGGGAACTTGGCAAGTTGGCAGCTTGACCCCCGCCCACTCCATAATCCATTACGTCGAGACCACAGAACGCGTCCACGCCACGCTTTCAGGAAGTTTGACTTGCAAACCATATTTCAAAATTCTATATATATGAAAACGGATCCCTTGCCTTCCTCCACGCCATCCACCATAATAATCACACAGAAAAAGAAATGCTACACATCCTATCCCTTCGCCTCCGTACCCCCAGCTTCTCCAGGGGAACCTTCAAGCAGAAGACTGGAGCCGGGCTGGGTGATTTAAATTCACCGTTTGCGCGCGGACAGCTGGCAGAAAGTGGACTGATTTGCCCTACGACGGAGTGGATTGAGGGGAGAAGGAGGGAACTTAATGTTTCAGCCCAGAGGGTGCAGCCGGGGATCCTGTACGGCATACCCGCCATCATCGTGCTGATCGTCCTCCTGGCCATAATCGTGCCAGTAATGACGGGCTCCCGACCCGAGCTAATGAATCCTGCCGGTCCTCCCTCGTATGTCGCATACCCTTCCCCTCCCCTCTCCCTACTCCCGTCTACGAGCTAACAATCAACCCCTCTGTTTCAACTATCCAGCGGAATCATACAAGTCGGCGCCTGCATGTTAGGAATGTTCCTCGCTTTGGTCATCGGGGGCACTTTGCGTCGGCGCGCGATCCTTTCCGCCATGAGCACGACCGAAAAGTTGTCGGATGATTTCAATAAGGTGGATAATGCTCGGGGGATGATGTGGCGGTATATTGACAAAGGGACCAGTCATCCAGAGTCGGTGAGTCGTGCGTTGGGTTGGGTTGGGGTGACGTATGGCCTCATTTACCTCTTCTGTTTAGACGGTTGAACTCTACGCCTTTAGCGCCCAATCCGCATCTCTCCTCGCTCAATCACTCGCACCAGAGCCGCTGCCCGCTTACCTGCCAAAACTAACCCCTGGAGATTCCTCGCCGATCTACCCTCCAGCACCACCATCATCCGGCGGTGCATCGGGAGCACTCCCAGCGTATGCGCCAGTAGCTGAAAATGGCGCAAAACGGTTTGCGGAGGAGATGCGTGTCTAGAATAGGCCCCAGTGAAGGGAGTATGTGGTTGTTTGACCGTCAGATATGGGCTCGGCGGTGGCATAGTGTAATTAAAGGAGACAGCGAAGCCGGCGTAGGAGGTGAACGAGAAACGTCTCGCAGCAGGCGTAGATGTGAGTAGGCCTTCATCTACTTCATGTACTAATTTCGCTACCCCGTCTGTCGATTGTTGCAATGCCCCTAACCTGCGTCGTCTTCCCCGGCGACCGCGGCGTCACGTCCGACTGCTAGCTAATAATTCTCCAACCGCGCTGTGCTTCTAAATGTGCTCCTAAATTACAATGGCGGGACGACTGACAGGGCGCCATATCTAGAGATACATGGATCGAGGTGGATGGAACTTGTAGCCTGAGGGTGCTGCAGAGTGAAGGTGCCTGCCCTTGTAAGTCAATTCTCGCTGTCCCCCAGCCGAAGCCGTTCCTCCCGGCCAGTCTACGATTCTGTGCATCTCGGGCTAGTCAATGAGTTCTCGACAAGGACCAAGGAAGTTCTTCTCAGTTGGGCATTGTCTTCACGATGAAGGACAGGACAAAGAGACACAAACCCGTAAGACCCTATGAAGGACAGGCAAAAAGAACTGAGCCATGTCTCAATTGGCCAGGATCGAACATTCCACGCAATTGTAAATATCTGGAGCGGGGGATGAGTCCTGGATCCATGGATATGAAGACACGGCTGCCGGCGGGTGCTGTTCACCCAGTATCCCTCTGTCTTTTGTTGAAGTGACTGGGGTCAGTAGTTGTGGGGACAGGCATCGGAAAATCGACAGCGCGTCTCCTTGTTTGTAGAAGCAGCCTACGTTGAGATATCTAATCAACCATGCCGCCTATCCTGCTTTTCACAAAAATGTTATTACGCCAAAAAGTGCTCCATCTATGCTATATACTTTACATTCTTTCATACACTACATGACTCGTGCTTCGTGCTCCAGTACATATACTACGCCGACTTGGATTGCCGGTAGACATCTGCCAATCCTTCATCTGCTTCTTCTTCCAAAACATAACCTAAGGGTCTTAACTTGTGCGGTTCAGACGGATACAGGCTGGGACGGCCGCCGGTATAGAAAGAACAAGCACGGGCCGTGCTGAGAACGTCACAACATCATTCCCTTTTTCTGTCGTGAGCAGCTTCATCTAAAGCGATGCAGATGGCGACGAGCAGCGCGATATCCACTCCTGGTGCGGCTGTAAGCCAGTATTCTCTGATGATAGGTCAAAGTTTTTTATGTAAGTACGCGGTGTATACGCAAGATCCTCAAGAAGGAAAGTACGTACTGCTTGCCAAAGATCAGGTTGTTTGTCCTCAGAACAGGCATTTTGATGGTAGCGATAGGTTTTCTGTTCGCTTCTCCCTTGCATCCATAATCCGCCCAGATCATGCAGTCCCTTGCCAACCAGTTCCCTTTCAACCCCAGCTCGACATTGGTGCCATCCACCAAGTTCTTGAACACTACCGTCAACTTTGCTTTGAGAACAACAAAAGACGATCGAATCTCGCAGAGCTTTGTCTCCGAATGCTCCCCAAGAAAGAGGAAGTGGCTAGGTTTGAGAAAGGCGAACCGTTCCCTTTTCATATTGAACACCGGCTTCCCGTAGGCGTCTAGAAACGTTTTCTTTTGTGACAAAGACATTGCCCGCCCCGAGCATTTGAAGTAAGGTGTCCCGTTATTTGCATCCCTGATAGAAAAATCATCTCCAGAGAAGGAAAATGGTTTCTACAAGGAGTTAGAACGATCGTAAACAACGAAATAAGGTGGAGACAAGACGTACTTCGACCAGGAGGAGGGTTACTGGGTTCGGGAGAATGAAGCGGGTATCTACCGCGGCGATTGGAGGGTTGGAGGCATGCAGCGGAATGTTCTGATAAGATTGGCTGGCGCCCATGACGATGAGTTACGGTCGAGTGGTATTCGAATATTCGGAGTGACTTTGTACAGTAACGAAGTGACGGCAATTGCGAGGGAGAAGAGACTTCGAGTTTAGCGGCAAGCCCCGGGTGGTAGGTTGCTCTCTTGTACAGTAGGCTGCCAGATATCAGGTTACGACGGGTTGTTGAGCCTCCCTGTGCAACCCCAGAAGTCACCGGCCAGCTGTCAGTCCTGCCCTGGGCTAGCGGTCGTGCTCAAGGATTTGCATGGGGGTAGGCAACTTGAGCCGGTGGCTATGTTCGGAATGATGTGTCGTTGGGGCGTCGTAACCTGATATCTGGCAGCCTACTGTATATCTGTGTATGCGAAGGGTGGGCGGTGCCATCCTTGGCGGCGAGAGTTGGAGAATTTGGGGAGTGCCCTGCTTTGCAGCGGGAATTGACGGGCTGTGACGGGGCTTGGCTTGCGGCGAGGCGTGAACTCGCGAGGACACCGTGATCCGGGGATCCGGGATTCCCTCAACACGCCGGTTTACCGCCGGTTACACTTTCGAAGATCCTCCAAAGAATTTCTCGAAGGAACTTGGCACGCTTTGCAAGATTGGACTCCCAGCAGCTGTTTCTCCCAGTATCGAAGCGACAGGCGACGACCGTTTTGGCGAATGTCGTCTTCACCATTGCTGAGGTTCCAATTGTTACAACGTCCTCCGGAGACGGTGAGTTAGATGAAACAGGTCGATGAGGAAAGCCGTGGGAACAATGAGAGTCCTAGCGCTGATATGATGGCAATGTGCAGTTACCACTATCCCTTCGACGCGAAGTGCATGGGGGCTGGGAGAAATGACGAGGTCCGAACTGGTCTCCAAGTATGTAAGACCGACTGCGCGTTGGAGTGAGACTTCAGAGAGTAGGCATCCCACCACCCATGACGGTTTCATGCATGCGCATCAATCAAAGCGATCAGTCTGTGCAAAAGGTATTCTTGTTTCGCATTCAAAACCATAAGTCCTCATCGGACTCTCCCAAAATGTAAGACGCACAAAAAAGTATATACACGACATAAAAGAGAAACTACATCTTCAAATATCAAATGCCACATTGATCCTCTGCATTGACGAACCATCCCACTTCTTCCACAACAACGAAGCTGTATCGGCCACCTTCGTCTTCTTTACCGCCACAGGTTCACGCACCACCTCCGCCCAGCTGCGCAAGGTAGCAGCGTAGCAGCTCGCACGTGGCCAGACCATCGCAATGTCGTCGAGTGCGGGTAAGATCCCCCGCTCGAGACAGGGAAGATCGCTCGGCGCGGTGCCGATATGGCCGACGGACGCGTTGACGAGGACTTGGCCATGCTTGGATGACAGGACGGGGATGGCGGTGAGGGCGAGCAAGACGGGTGTGAAGGGCAGCGCGACGAGTTCGTGGGGTGGGTATGGCGGCGCGGGTGCAGAGAGGGCCGAGAGGGTGCCGTTGTCGGTTGGGCCGTCGTTCAGGGATGTGGCAAAGCGGGCGGCGTAGATGGAGTCGAGGAGAGCGACCGCGCGGGTGTACACTGCACAGCAGACGCCGAGGCTCGTCATTGACGTGTTGACGGACGTGCCTGTGGCGGTCGCGCCGAGCACGGTGGTGTCGTGCATGATGGACGTATCCTCGAGACGCATTTGGTGAAGGACGGAAAGCGACGCGAGGAAGAGGAGGATGGTGTGCACGGAAGTAGGCGAGAGATGCTTGACGTAATCGGTTGCCGTCAAAGGTTGACCGATCGCCACATACCGCCTGACGTCCAGCGGCAACGAAGTCGATAAGCGCATCAATTTGCCGTGCAGAGCCGCCACCTGCGCTGGCGTATTCTGGTTCGCCTGCGTGGTACCCCGAATGATCTTGCGAAGGAAGATGGACAACCTGATGTGCGGCTGTACGTCGGAAAGCGAAGTCACGAGCTGGTCAGCGCTGCTCTCGGCAGGTGTCGACAGTTGCTGGGCGGCACTGTACCCCGATGTACATTCCGACGAGAATTGGAAGATAGTGCAACGAGGCGACCCAAGACCTGCCGCGTCCCAAACCAGTTCGGGTGTCGTGTCGACCACCGAGCTTTCCTGCTCAGGCGACGCCCACATCTGAATACCGGACGGAGCAAAGGTCAACCCGTATCGCGAGTCTTGGACCGCTTTCTCTGCAGCGAGGGTATGCGTCGCAACTCGGCACAACGATTCAGTGTCAAGGAGTGCGCCCATGTATCGCGCTTCATCGACGAGGAAGTCGTACCCGGTGCACAGCGCCGTGAACGTATCGAGGGAGAAGATACCCCACCACGCACGTTTCTTCGCCTGCTTGCCTGCCGGCTGAGTATCCGTAGGCGCCTGACGACCGTTCGCAACGTGATACAACGACGAGTAAGGGCTGTCGAATGCCAGCTGCTGCTTCTGTGCAATCCGCCATGTGCCGGGTAGGAGCTCCATCTCGCTCGGGGTGTTGACTGTACATCCGAATGTACATGTGTCGATGAGGCATCGGGCGATGGCGTCGGAGCCGATTCGCAGGGATCGTCGAGCGACTTGGATGAAGCGCTCGCTGAGAGGGATGCGGCCGCCGACCGAGGCGACGTGGGGGTGAGCGGAGTAGAGGGTGCCGATACCGTAGATGGCGTTCAGGAGAGCCTCGGATGCGCCGTCGAAGACACCTAATTTGCCGCTTGCGTCATCTTGCTTGGAGCCCTCGATACTGGGATGCATTGACCTTGGCGAGCTGTCATCGGGAGTACCGGTCGCGAGCCTGGAGCGAGCGCGCAGCGACAGCAACGACTTGAAGAAGGTGGGCTCGTCGATGATTGGGTATGATGGGTGGAAGTAGGTGAAGTACAATGTGATGACGTGCAAGTGGAAGTCGTCTGGGAGACCGGTGGCCAGGGAGGCAGGCAGTTGCAAATCGTCGGACTTGAGATCAGACAGCTTCCACGTCGCTGCGCGGGGTGCGAAATCGGGCTTCATTGGGAACGTGGGTATACTGGGGAACATTGCGCGATCTCCCATGATGTCGGTCGAGTGGCTTGCCGCCGCTGGATAGAGTGGCGGTTGAGGTACCGTAGGGATCGAGTTCGTCGGCGCCATAGATTCGCAAATCCATTCCGCAGGGGCAATGGCGTTGAGAGCAGCCGCGTTCATCAGATTGCTGGGTGTTCCCAGAATCTGACTCAAGTAGTCGGCCGTAGACCCCGACATTGGCGTGTTGGACGATGGGAACGCGGGCGAGCCTACGGTATCGAACAGCTGCAAGTTGTTTGGCAGCATGTCGTAATTGAACTCGTCGCTGAAGAGGGAATCACGGCGCGATCCGTCGTCACCGCTAGGTAAAGTGGTATCCATCACGATTGGGCCAAAGGCCTCGAGCTCGCGGAAGAAGCTACTGTTATCGGCGTCATCACCCTCGCCGAAGAAGGAGTCTCGATTAGGATTTGATGGTGGTGAGGATTCGTCCACGACTTCGGGAGTGTTGATGTATACGATGTCCATGTCGCTGGTATCTTGAGGTGTGGTTTGGAGCTCGTAGTCTTCCTCTTCAACGTCTTCGGCTTCCTCAGTGCCTTGGTCGTCCTCGTACTCTTCCTCTTCTTCGTCCTCAGACATTGCGTCCTCAGACTCGACGGAGGGGGATGTCGGCTCCTGGGCGTGCATCGATGATGAACTGCTCGCCTCGCCGATCTTTGCTGTGGACTTGTTCCTTGGTGTCACTGAAGATACTGTTGTGGTGGTTATGGAATTACGTTTGGGGCCGCGCTTCTTTTGTTCGATGAGCATGGTGCATGTTGCCTGAGCCTTCTTGCAGTTGCCGCATGGATGGCCGCCGTCGCACCGACGCTTTTTTGCCTTGCAGCGGTCGCAAGATTGTGTGAGTCGCTTGCGGGGCTAAATGCGGATGAACGACAGAAACGGTTACACATCCGCCCGCATAGATGAGGGAGTCAGATCACGACTAAATGTACACCCTGAATACCATACCTTGCCCGTCAAGGTCTTGGAATCGTCGTGATTGTAGTTGTGCATCGCAAAGGATGATGGCTCGCTTTGAGCGTTGCAAGTGTTACAGTAAATCAATCAAGGTGTCGGGATGAATTTGAAGAAACGTCCACGAAAGTGAAAGGTACACTCAGTGCAGAAGATGTTGCAGGATATTGCAGGTGTCCGAAGCGATTTTGAGAAGGGGTAGAGCCGGACAGCGAGGTATTTGTACGTATTAGAAAGCTATGGAAGAGAGCGGGGCTCCGAGCAAGTAGTGGATTGCCGTAACTGGGGGTTTGGGTCAATCGGAGCGTAGCGCTGTACGATCGGGTCCGCTAGCATGTATATGTGAATAGAGAGATATCTGGTTGAATATTACCAGCAGTCATTCTCTTGATGGGGGACGGCTTCCGTCCGAACCTCCCTTCATATTGTGCCATTCCAGTTCACGGGCAGGAGGCTGCTTTTTGAGAGCGCCTGAAGCGAAATGAAATCGTCGATCGGGCCTCGTACGTATCGTCCAGTATATGTATACACATGGCGCTCGCCTCATTCCTCAGCAAGAAACGAAGCGGTGTGGGGGGGCCATCATCACCATTACACGCATGTCATACGGTTACCCGTTGCACGAAATGGGCCCCCTCCGCCCACCCATCGGCTCTTTTGCATCGCCGCCGGAGAGTCCTCGTAACAAAAGATTCAGAATGCGCATTCATCGAATTCCGGCCCGCCCTGCGCAAAGAGTGATGTCAAAGCCGCATGCAATTGGGCCGGTTCTTGTGGATGGGCATTCGTCGGAAAAGTCAGGAGGCAGGGATCTGCAGCGCTGCGCAGGAAACAAACGGCCGCCCGGATCGGATCGAGATTGCATTGGGACGCTGGATCGGTGGGACGGCGCGCCCATACCGCCGGTACCCCTCCTGTCCACAGTCCCACCCCCGGCGTTGATATTATAAACCGAGGTCACAGCCACATCCCTCGGATCTGCCCAAGATGACAAATGCCTCTTGTCGCTTTCCTTGGCGGGTTTACCCATATGGACATGCAAGCCACTTCGCAGCTTTCCCGTGTTCTCATGTCCCACTTCATTTCGAGCCTCCGGCTGCTCCTGGACAACCTCTTTACGTACTGTACGTACAGTATTGATGTTGACTCCTCAGAGGGGATCCTGATTCGGAAGCATTTTACGGAACGCAACATGGACGCAGTAGTTACAGAGGAGAGCGTTTCTGGAGCGTCCGTGAGGTTGGGAAGCAAGCGTCCCGCCGAAGAAGCGCTAGCCAGTGACATCGATGCCACCGGCACAGTTAACCAATTACCACCGACTAAAAAGCAGCGAGCAGAAATTCCCACGCCTTGGACTCTTTCAAAACCCGCATCACCTCAACCTACATCCACAGCCCTCCCACCCATCACCCTCTCGGGAAAAGTCAATGACCGCGATTCGACCTTTTTCGCTCAAGCAGCTGAGGTCACCTCCGAACAAGACGTTCAACGCGTGTCCCGCCATATCACAACTCATCCGCCTGCTGCCGGCGCCTCCCACAACGTCCGCGCCTGGAGATATTTAGCGCTCAAATCGGGACGCAGCGGTCTTGGTGGACCGGACGACTTTCGTGCTGTCACTGGATGGGATGACGACGGGGAAAAGTGGGCGGGGTCGCGGGTGGTGAAGTTGTTGGAAAAGTGGCAGGCGGTCGATGTCTTGGTTGTAGTTTCGAGGTGGTATGGAGGAACGTTGTTGGGGCCGATACGGTTTACGCATATTGAGAATGTTGCGATGGAGTGCTTGAGGAAAGGCGCCTGGGTTGGCCCTCCGGCTCCAGCTGTGCCCCCGCCGTTATTCGGAGGGATGTCAGGCCGAGTTCCACCACCAGCATCACCACAGACAATGGTGTCGGCCCCACAACAGCCGCAAAACCCTGGGCGCTCCGTTGCCGAAATTGAGGACGAACTCCGTGCGAAGGATAAAGTCATAGCGTCCATGCGCGACGAGATCCGCCGTCTCGAGAATATCGCACCTTCTCCAAGCGGCGCACCCCCACAGTATACGGACATGACACAAATCAAAGGAGAGCGGCTGCTCAAAGCAAGGGAAAACACCGTAGCAACATTACAGGCAAAATTGAATGTTTTGAACTTCAAACAACCTCAATCAGCAAAGGACCCACCGTGAATATACACTGTAGGCCCCACCTATGATAACTACATCAGCTAAATAATTACTAGAACGCCCATGACTGCCTTCTATAAGAATCTATTATACAAATACCCCGTCAATGAGAGTGCTTTCACGCCCCCACACGACTCTCTAATTTCTGCAGAAACTCGCTCGCCATGATCGCCGACGGCCCATCAACGTATTTGATGCCCTTCGACTGCATCTTCTTCAACACCGTCGCAATGGCGCCTGGTATCTCTGTGGCCGGTGCCAAGCGGAATGCTTCCGGCCTGTCAGTAGCCGCAAACGGATTGGGGTCATATCGCGTCAGGAACTCCCGAGGTGGGCACGCGAGGTCACCCGGTAATGGTTTATGCACGTTCTGCACTTGAGTTGCGCCTTTCTGTGTTATCGACACGGTTCCGGCGACGTGTTTGGCGAGTGTTCGGACGGTGGGATGGTAGTGATGCAGCAGGAGTGTAAGCTCCCACATGTTTGTGGCGAAGGGATTCGAAAGTTCGGGATCTTCGAGGAGCGGTCTGTATACTCCTGTGCCTATCCGTCCTTCAGCGTCCATTAGACTCTCCAGACGCGGGAAGCGCTGTAAGGGATGAGGTAAGTCAGTAACCGGGTGAAGGTGTCAATTTACAAACGCGATTTGCAACTCACAATGATGAGGGAACGAATGATGGCGAGGCATGCCAGCGTAGCATGTGCGGGAAGATGCAGGCCGATCGTTGCTAATCTCTTAACAAAGGCGGCCACTCGTTCAACTGGTACCTGCACAGAGGAATCAGAGCCAGTCCCAATTGTCTGAAAGGTCACTCAAAAGGAAAGCTTACCGCTCGCTTCTTGTAAAACAGCAATTCAAATCCTTGCAACGCCAGCTCGATCTCGCTCCCCGACCGAGTTTCCATGTGCACAACTTCCGTGGTATTCGCAGCATGCCTCTCCCGTCGGTCTTTATCCCTCTTCGTCCCTGCAATCGCCAATGCGGCCCCAGGGCTCATCGCTAACCGCATCATCTGACTGTACATGGAGCTGTAAAAGTCCTTTAGGTCCAGATTCAACGCTTCTCCCTGTCCGCTCAGCAGCTGGAAGGCAGCAATCACACAGTGGAACGCAGATCGGGTATCCGCAGTCGAGGCGGCCGATCCCTGAATGTAGCTCTGATATTGCTCATACGAGATCTTTTTCAGAACCTCCAACAAGTCTGCGAAGAACTCGACGTTGATGAGATGCGCAAAGCGGGCGAGACCTTCCAGTACCGCCGGCAGGAGCGGCGAGTTGGAAGCATTCTTCAGAATGCGGAAGTAGATCAGGAAGACGAATTTCAGAGTCTCAGTGTGGCGTTTCTGCACTTCGTCCTGATCATAGACCGCCTCGGCTTCTTTCAGCTCCTTCTCAATCTCTTTGTTGTGCTTCTCCACTTTCCGGATCTTACGGGACACGTGCTTGTCGTTCTTCTTCCGTTTGCGGTCGTTATGGCGATCTTTGTCATCGTAGTGCTTTAGTTTCCGCTCCTTCTTGTCTGCTTTGGCATCCTTATTCAATCGCAGGCGTAGTAATGTGTTCAACACCTCCTCCTGAACCTGATAGTGCTTTGCTTTGATGGCTTTCGAGATCAATTTCACCGCTTCCAAACTCGCTTCACCAGATTCGTCCGCTACGAACACCGTGCACAGGGCGTTACAGCATATCGCCGACACTGCAGGCGGGTTCTTCAATGTCATCCGCGCAACCACCGCCGTCATCAGATTTAACCGGAAGTTGAAATGCGTAACAGAGGTGAGAAGGTCAGCCATGCATCGAATGGCAACAACCAGTAACGACTGTTCAGCCTCTTCTGTCGATTTCACCGTTGCTTGCACAGTGTTCTCCAAAATCTGCAAATACGCCTGGTAGTTCGAGAGAAGAGTCTCCTCGTATTGTCGGAGCTTCTTGACCTCTTTCGTAACAGCCACACCCTGCTCCGCATCAGTCAACTGTCGTATTCTGTATCCTGGGATAATGTCCTTGTAAACAGCTAGTTGGGTCAGGAGACCAATCTTCCGGATCTGCACGTCCTTGTCCGAGGCAATCTGGCGCAGGTTCTTCAACTGCGCTATTTGCGTTTCGGGATCCTCGATGATGGACGATGCCAGATCCGCCAACTTTTCCTGTGCATGTACGATGCGCTCTTGGCGAGATTGAGCCGTTTCTAGTACTTTGGGAGTGTCGGATTTCTGGGCGTCCTTCGTTCTTGGTTTCGCCGCTTTCTTCGCCTTCAATTGCTGTGCTGTTTTTTCTGTATCGGATTCGCTATCAACTTCTGCGGCATCTTCTTGTGATACTAAGATATCACGGCATTATGAGAACCAGTACCAGAGTATTTGTCGAAGATTGTAGGTGAGGGTCACATACCGTTGCCTTGCACCACTATATGCTGCATTTTAAGCGCACCATCCTGACCCCGAATAGGCAGCATCGTCTTCTCCTCCGTCTTCCACTCTGCCCGTATAGACCTAGGTCGCTGCTCATAGCTAGCTTCTGCGTCCGAGTCCTCCTTTTCGTCTTTGTCAGAGTCCTCTCCCTGAGCGGTGCGGAAACTTCCTTTCGCTCGCATGACCGCGTTAGGTCCGTCAAGCACCTCATTCTTCGTGAGGTCTTCGGGGTTCAGTGTCGTCAAGAAGCGAGTGTATCCTCCAAACTCTTCGAACAGCTGCATGTCCTCATCGTCGAGGTCGACCTCCTCCTGTGTCTCATGAGGGGCGAGCTTTGACGGGTTTGGCGTCTTGCGCCAATTACTTTTCTTCCGCATTCTGTTCGGAGGCTCCTCGTAGGTTAGCGTAAGCTGTGTTCGCTATGGAGGGGGTACTTGTTGCCTGGCAGCTTGTTGGAGGACTTGGAATGCTTGCTCTTGCGGTCTTCACATTCCGCCTTCCATTGCCGTCCTCGACACATGCGAAAGTTTCAAAGCCTTGGTCGCGATTACGTAAGATTAGGTAAGCGGCGGAGTTACGTCTAACTTTGGGAGGATCTGACATTTACACTCTCGTGCTAGTGCATCTACTTGGAATTAAGAACGAGGCTTTCTGACGAGTTTAGAGCAGCAGCGTAGATCAGCTCTGGAGAGCTAACCCCTCCGGTAGTCGCATATAGTTGCTTTGAAGGGGACATGGCGTCAGAAAACATCTCCGCAAGTCCACTGACGGCCAGTAATCGGGACGTCGCTCGGCACGAAAGCTCAGATTCAATAGGCATTAAGAATGTCGACTGGAAGGCTAGTGATCGGGATGTCGCTCGGCTCGGAAGCTCGGATTCAATAGGCAGTAAGAATGCCGACTGGAAGCTGGGGAGGCCTCAATTGGCACCTTTGTCGGAATCCACTGCTACATCCCTACATTCTGTTTCCGCCGTTGACAAGCCAAATATACCATTGCCAGAAGATGAAGGGCAGTCGGAGACCATAACGAAAGGCCAGCAATCACTGGACGATGTCCGTGGACGTGTGGCGATACGTGAGCTTCGTGAGCAGCTCGGCTCCATGCCGCTTGTAAACCACACGGCAGCGGAACAAGGCGGTGACAGAATTGGGTTCGGTAATGGTGCTGGCAAGCGCAATAGCCGTCTATCGGTGCCAGATGTAAGCAAAGTCGACTTCGTGATCGGAGGCCCCGGCATTGGCGCATCTCGCGCGACATCTACAGAAACCAATTCTCGCCGAGCCAGTGGTCAAATGGGTTCCGGCACTACGCAGCCCGCACAGTCGCGAAGTAACACCTCCTCGCGACGACCGACGTTTCAAGGGAAAGCGGCTCTCATGTCCGCCGTGCAGCGTAGAATGTCGGCAGTAGATGTTAGCCAATTAGGCATGCAGGTTCCAGGAGCCAACGCCGATGGTGAAGACGCATCGGGCACTGGACACGAGAAGCCAATCATTCTAATGTACCCGCGGAAGGAAGTGCTGGTTGGCGGTTCACTCAGCGATATGTCTTCGCGTTCCCGACATGGAAGTATGGTAACTGATCGGAAAGATGGAAGCAACGGGAGCAGAAGTGGCAGTCTCTCGCTACATCAAGCAAGTCATTCTTCGATGCCCCGCAGTGGAAGCCTGGGAGGGTTGTCAAAGGGGACAGGATCCCGAAAGCGTAATTCAGGCTCACAGAGTGGGAAACTGGCTGCGAGCGTGAGCATGGGTGCTTTGGCAGCAGCTGGAAGTGCTAGAGCCACTTTAGCTAGACAAGCTCGAGAGTCGGCGGCTGAACAGGCCTCTGGGTCGCGATACGCTTCGTCAAGTCTGCCCCGCAATAATGGGAGAAATAATTCCCGTAGCAATACCCGCCTCGCCCAACGAGCTAACAGTGACGAGCAAGTAGCAGAGAAAATTCACCCGAATGATGCTGTCCGACCCAGCCCGTTAAGAGAAAGCGTAGTGTCACAACCGGAGACGGGGACACCATCGCAGGCGTTTCACAGCCGCGCCATGTCGGTCGTGGGAGACATGGATGAGAGTCATCGAGCAAATCCCGATTACTACGAGTATCTCATGTTGTGTCAGCGGCATGCTAGCAACAATTTCATCCATAAGATTGATTCGTCGGAAGTAGTTTGGAGACAGGAGGCCACGAAGGCGAAACTGATCGACCGCTATCTGTTGGGAGAGCAGATTGGAAAGGGCGCTTTTGGGAAAGTGAAGGAGGGATTATGCTCTGAGACTCTGCAAAGAGTCGCCATCAAAGTCATCAACAAAAAACGTTTACGAAAAATGCCGAACGGGGTGGAAAACGTCATTCGGGAGATCAAACTTTTGCGCCGACTCAAACATCGAAATACCATTCGCCTCATCGACGTGTATTGCAAAGTTGAAGATGAAGAGGGCAACTTTGGGGTATTTAATTGGTTTTCGAGCATCGAAGAAGAACCGATTGCATGGCGGTTTGAGGACGGCACAGAAGCTGAGCGAGATGTAGAGATACTGAAATGGTATCTAGTGTTTGAGTACTGCCCGTGTGCACTACAAACCCTTCTCGAACAAGCGGACGAGAAACGCCTACCAATACCTAGAGCACATCGGTGGGTAGGAAGATCGATGCAGAAGCACGAGGGGAACCTTTGCTGACGATCCCGGGCACTAGTTTTTTTGTGCAACTGATAGAAGGACTGGCATATGTACATTCGCAAGGAGTCGTACGTGAGTTACCAATCTAGATATCCATGGCGATGTTGCCAAGATGAGCCATTGTATTGATCAGTTGACATTTACAGATAGAGACATCAAGGCTGGAAATATGCTAATTACGCCTGACAATGTGCTGAAGATATCCGATTTCGGTATCGCTGAGGTATTCAGGGTTGCCAGCACTCCCTGACCAAGCTTCTCGGTTTACTGACCTGGAAAATTCGATTTCCCAGCAATTCTCCACATACAGTGACGCTCCGATGGACGTCACTTCCTTTGCCGGAACTCATCAATTCTTATCGCCTGAAGTTGCTGAGGGAGTCGCTCAAGCACGCGGCGAGGCTGGTAATGTTCGAGGGTGTACTTCTGTCCAGCCTTTCGCTGTACTTACGTTCTGGTCCTTTGGGGTAGTTGATGTATGGGCGTGTGGAGTGACACTGTAAGCAAAGCTTTCCTTCAATGCAACCTGTCGTTTGGCACATCTAACACTCTCCTCGCATCTGTTTAGATTTAACATGCTCACCGGACGATACCCCTTCGAGTTCGACGAAGATGGCAATCTGCTCACATTATATGAGAAAATCGTGGAAGGGAATTTCGAAATGCCAGCGGAATTTCAGCCAGATTTGAAGAACCTTCTATCAGGTAGATGGTATCCTGCCGCTCGGAACTGGGAGACGTTGTGATAACATTGTACCCCTAAGGAATGCTGGACAAGAACCCGAAAACACGACTGACTACAGATCAGATATTGGCACATCCATGGGCACGCACGTTTTTCCACGAGTCTCTTCGGCCCCCAGAACCGATTCTGGCATATCCAAGTGCCGCTGAGAAGGCCGAGACGCCTACGCCGACGGACCGGAAGTCAGTGGCTAAGACCGGCTCCGGCCAAGTGCTCAACGTCATGGTTTCTTCAAAATCCTCTGGTCTGTCGAATGGAAAGGCGACCGAAGTCCCAGCCCCTCCATTACATATCACTCCTTGCGAAACAACCTTAGTGCCGTATCTGGAGCAGCTTTTCGCAGACGAGATTGAAGAGGAGCTAAAGACTGTGGGCAAGCTTGAGGATTTGATAACGCCGGCAGGGAGCAAGTCTTCGGGTATGTGATTCAAACATCCCTTAAGGTCCTATGATCTTTGCTGATCATACTTTTTGCGACCATATGCAAACCCACTCAACAACGCAGAGGATGTCAAGGTAAGCAAGAATCTGGCACTCTCTGGCTCCTCACATCTCACATCTCGTTTCCAGTCCCCCCAGAAGCATCATACGTCCAGGTTACCACACTGGCTGTCTCACATCTTCAGCCACAAGAAGCCGGCTGACAAAAAATTGCCATCGGATCAGAAGCACGCGAGCAAACCTTCGAGCAAATCTCCCTCTGCCCCAGCGATTGCCGGAACGCGACATATGGTGTCATAAACGCATATCGAATTGTAACATCTGTATATCTGCCTCCTTTACCGCACTTGATTTCATATTGATTCCGAAAATATGTATATATGAATGGGCACAACTTCTCAAACTGCATGGTTTGTAGCCTGCTTTTTTGGGCTATCTGAAATGTGACGCTACGCTGATGCAGTCAGTGACTGCCCACTATACGCCGAATGCTGTAGGCCTTTCCAAAGGCCTCAACCCTTCCGACCCCGCTCGATCATCGAAATCGTTTGTTTGATGATCGCTCTGCGGCCCGGACCCCACGCTATACATAATTCGAATAGACTGCTGATAGAGGTGAACCTCGAAATGAAAACCTTTAAAAGCTTCCCTCAAAAGCCGCCAGATTCTGAAGACTCTAGAGCGATGAGGCGACTCTGCAATTCGAGAATCCTCGACTTCAGTTCCATATCCGTCTCCATGCATTTGTCTCTGAACTCGGCGCCGGGGCTGGTGGCATCGGAAACACCTTGCATTGCGCTTCTATTGCGAGAAATCAAATCTTGCAAGCGTTGGATTCTTTCTCGAATCTGCTGTTTTTCGATTTTGAGGGGAAATTGTTGAATATCGACTTTGACGGTTGAGCCCGGTTTGTTCAATATAGCTGGGGTCGTCCTGATCCTCTGCGGTGGAGTTGCAGGTGTTCGGAAATCTGCGCTCATCCTGGGTTTCGGTTGGCCGTACTTGTTCGCTTCGGAGCTTGACATCGGGCGCACTGCTGAAGCACAGGATCATCATCAGTCCACCGAAGAGCGAAACAGCAGCGGGACGACCAGACCCTCCAACGTTGCATCAACCGCTAAGACGGCGAGGAGGAGACATCCTGCCGCAATGCAGGTCCAGAAGGCTAGCCGTATCATGACGCGCCCGATTCGTTTAATCCCTCGCCAAGCTAGCAATGAGAATATATATGGGCGGACTGTGGCCACCGGAAAGGCACTCGTAACATCGAACTCACCAGTGGTCTTGAAGGGAGGCTGCGGCGAAGATGGCGCAACGACCATTGCTGGCTTCGGAGTGTCAGGGACGAGTTGAGGATCGAAGGCGGGTGGGCTGGTAACCTCCTCATCCTGAACCATGACTACATCGACGTTGTCGGATGGCTTGATCGAAGTGGCGTTGTACTGCTGCCTCATCCATCTCGACAGACTGATGAAGCCAGAATCGACATCGGTAAACACGAACATGCGATTACTGTTTCGCCAGAAGTCTTGCAGAGGCATGTGGGGATCGATAGGCCTTAACCCTTTGACTTCTCGTCCGCGCTCTGTGCAGTTTTCCATTTGATAGATGTCGGGAATAGCAGGGAATTTCGGATACTTTGCATGTTTCTCCGGTCGGAATGCATGTGTCTCGTCAGGAACGTGATGCTCATCCGGATCAAGAAAGCGATGGCGTTGTTGCATGGCTCGTTCGAAAACCCCGCCCTCATCGTTGGACTTGGCAACACTACGAATATCGCGATCGCGGTACGAGATTTGCTGCCTTTGTGATACCTTGTGGTAGGTTTGCTGCATTTGTGAAGTAGGCTCGAACCATCCAGCGTCGTCATCCGTCCCCGAAGCATTTTGCTTTGTCCATCCAATGGGCGCAATCACGGCAGTCAGCCGCCAATGTTCAGTGTCGAACGCTCGAGACAAAGACATCTGCGGCATTGGCTTTCGGCGATCCAGGTAGACAGCTACGAGCATTTTGTCGAAAGCGCTTTTATTCCTTCCCTGAGCCGTAAATCGACCAACGCTGGCGGGCGGATCGGTGAAGGCAATGCTCGGGACCACGCAGAACACTTGGTCTCCAGCCAGGCAGAGGAGACCAACCTAGACCGCGGGAAAGCTTTGTGATGAGCTATCATCCATGGCCTCACAGCAAAAGCCTCAATGCAACCTACTTTGATAAGTCCCTCGGCATCCACGAAGTTCGCCCCGAGGACGTTTCCACAAACCGACTGCATCAAGAAAACTCGCGCCCGGGGATCATCCAAAAGTTTGGTCTGGACGGTCATGATTTCCTCGTCCGAAACTTCCAGCGTAAGCCTAGAGAAGAGGCATTTAAATGCTTGGACACTGATTATTTGTAAGACTTCGAGTGCTGTTTACCTCTGCCCCATGTCCACCGTCGTAGATCGTGGGTGCTGTGCCAGCATCTTAACTTTTCCCAATGACTTGCCATGTCCCAAAGAGAGGACGAGCTCCCCTTCCCACACTGGCGTGGTCCAAGCATCCGCGTCATCGCTCCAGCTCAACTTCTTTCGACGCTTATGCTCGGTTCCTTCCGACATAGTGCGGTTGGGTTCCGTCGCGGGGGTCTCAACGGCGGTAGTTTGCGGTGCGGGAGGCTCGGGCGCCAAGATTTCCTCGGAGCTCGCAGATGGAGAGCGTTTACGTTCGCCAAGCCCACGGCCGTCAGCAAGGGTGAGGACGCGGCCTTTGTTGAGACTCACGCTTGCTTCGTTGGTATCGCAGGCAGCAGAAGATGTGCCTGAATGTTTTGAGTCGGCTCTCAGCCAATGCCGGATCATGCGATGGGAAGCAATGAGCAATCGCCGGGGAAAGCAGTCCTTACCTGTGTCATTGGGCTGTGTCGGAACATCTTGTTGGGACGCTTCGTTTGCCCGTGCATGTGGAGCCTCGGGAAATCCGACTGCCATTGACGATGCTGGCACCGTGTTGGACACCGAGGCGGGTGCGCGATTCCCGCTGAACAGCGTCGAAGCTGCATGTCGAGGAACAGATACTCTTACCGATACAGCTGCAGACTGTCGAACATTGCCCCCTTGATTAGCCGATGATGCCGTGGTCTGCAAGGGCTTTCCTTCCTCGACAGCATTGTTGATTCGACAGCTATCCTTTTCAACATGATTGCGCGACTCTGAATGCGCCAAAGGGGCTGTCATCGTTGCGAATCTAGTCGAAATCCTCTTGGAAGCCGAGGCCGGCGCGAGCTCCACATGATGTTGGGCCGGTCTTGACACAGTCTGTTCGTGAAACGACGACATCCTGGTATTATCACGCTTTTCAGAGCTGTTGTCATGCTCTTCGGGGCGCATGTTGATCTCCGAGGTGCGAGTCGAGTTGTTATCTCCCATCACAGTTTCCAAACAGGGCTCTTCTCCTGACAGAGAAGGACGACAGTCCACTGAAGTCCACCGTTTGGTAGCAATAACCGGGCGTGCGGTTTGCATCATAGGACGGTCGCGGCCGCTTTCCTGGGCAGCCTCCGGAGGTGCGGATGGGTTGCTGGGACGTGAATCGTCGTCAAAGCTTCGCTTTTTGGAGATAGACGCTTGACTTTCATGAGTGCTTGTCGTCGGTTTGGCGGATTCCGGACGTTCGTCTTGCTTGGCTTTCTTGCTGACAGGCCGCGTCGTTTGTCGATTCTCATTTCCTTCTTCTGAAGGCGGGGAATCCTGTCTTGCCCGCTTCTCCGGATTGCCATCGGCTTTGGTATTGTTTATGGTTGCCACAGCTGTCGCGGGGTGCACGGCCGTCAAGTGGGTGTGAGTTTGATCTTCAGTAACCGACGCCGGATAAACTTGACTAGCAGGCGGCTCGTTTGCTGTACGGGATTCCTCAGCTTGATTTTCCCTCGATAAGTTCACATCCTCCTTTTCCTCTTGCATTGCCGCGGGATGGACAGTGCGTGGATCCGGTTGGTCTTTTTCCGCGTGAAGTTCTTCCGCTTGTAAGTCCGTCTGCTTGGGTATTTCAGTTGCCTGCTGGTAAAGTAATGTCAGCCATGGCAGCAGTATGCAAGAATCTTTCACACTTCCGAGACTCACATCAGCAGCTTTATGCGCCGTTATATAGGCTGCCAACTCAGGTTTTGGTGATCTGGAAGACCGGGGCAATGGTCTTTCGACCATGCTGTTTGCGAGCAAAACCCTGATGAGTTGCCCATTGAAGATGTTGTTATCGAGAGCTTTGGCCGCTTTGGCATTCTTCTCAGTGTCGAATTCGACTTCCGTACTAGAGAAGAAAGGGAGTTCTAGGTGATGAGCTTTCTGCTCGCCACCGAACATCCCATAAATATTGATCGCACCAATTACTGTCGACCTTGATTACACGGCACTGCCCGAATTCTGCGAAGAACTCTTCCAATAGCATGTTCCTTGTGTTAGGCCGCACATTGCGGATAAGGAGAGTGCGCGCTCGTTTCTCCGGACTGGGGCTCCCGTTGGCAGGCGAATCCGTATGTGACACATCGTTCACGGGTGCCGGCAGTGCACGGTTGCCAGCAGCGCTTGCACTCGTGTTAGCTACTTGGAATCCACTCTGGGGCGTCGGGGCACGGTTGTATCCTGCAGAATTGTTTGCATTGGGCATAAATGGAGTTTCGGATCTACCCCGGCTAGGTGTCAGCGAACGCATCCTGGAGCTCCCTCGTATTTGTGCGGGACGTTCAGGATGGAAATACTCCAGTACCCGGCCGCTAAGTCGCCCATTGCCATTGCGAGACATAGCATCTATAGCGTGCTGAATGTGTACGAAAGTGATGATAGCCGACCTGACGTTACCGAAACAGTGAGTCTATCGTGTTCCATTGAACGTGTCGGAAGTGGGTTGATTCTTCTTCAGCACTTACCCGCCATGTTCTTTTGTCGGTTTCTTCTCGAGCTCGATTTTATCAATTTGACCAAACTTCGAAAGATTGTTACATATGACTGTCAGAGAGTCGGTCTCCTGTATGTTTGACAGGCGTAGCGTCGAAGACGGCATAGGCGCGATGTCATTCTCGCCACTGCGACTGGCAGCTCCTAGAATGTTGAAGGTTTTGTTCTGTGTAGAGGGGCGTGCAGGACTCGAAGCCGGCGTAGGAATGTACGTTTGCACATATTTTCCGTCGGGAGTGAACTTGGGCTCGGCTCCCCATCCGGCAGCTGGAGAACCAGGAAAGGAAAGAGGTCGGATGTTCAGGAAGTGTTTCGCAATGCTACCTGTCAATGGCTTCAAAGATTATTGAAACAAAATCTCACCGATAGCATCGTCTCGCATTTCCGCAGCTTGACAGTGTTCACAAAGTGTTCCAAAACAAGTAAAAGCTTGTGCTGGTATATTTGAAGGAGGACAGGTAGGGTCAGGTAGGGTCAGAAATAGGAGGAAGGAGGAAGGAGGAGGTAAGACAAGGTTTCGCTCGGTCAAAGAAGTGTCCCGCTTCCTGGGAGTTTTATAGCGAAACCTACGTCGCTGTGGAACTCTTGCGCTGAACCGAACGGTTCGGGGACAGGGACGGTGCCGCGTTGTGGAGAGACGTAGCCAGGCTACGTATGACATCTCATTTCGACAGCGCGTATTAGTGTCAATTCGAATATGCAAACAGGCACTGCAACATGTTTGTTGTTTCGCACGCAAAGCGGGGTATTTTATTGTCTAAGTTACGTCGCATGGAAGAGCACAATTACGGATTGTGTGTCAAAAGAAGCAAGAAAAAGTAGGTGGGGAACTTCACAAGCTAATGTCTGATTCTACTTCCAGCCGGCAATGATAACCTCACCCCTCTGGGCGGGGGCGGCGCAGATCATCTTGCGTTGGGGCATGGCGATAGCCTTTTGCGAGGAGGCCGATTGTGGACGGCGACTGGCGAAGGCGGTGGGGGAGGTGGGAGATTGCGCTTGACGAGGCATGATTTGTATGTGCTGTGGTGTTTTTACGCAAAGGTGGAGCGAGACGGTCGGTCTGGCTCACGAAAGGTATTTGTTGCGAAAGATTGATAGGTACTCCGTCGAGGTATTCGAGGGAGGAGGTCGGTTACTGGAAGTTTTGTCGGTGTGTTTTATGACACCGGGCGAAGAGATGAACTCGGAGACGGAGGCTTTTTGTTGTGTTGTGTTGGATGATGGATTGGAAGACGGACACCGGGCGTGTCGCAGCTTTTATACATGGGCTGTAAATATTGTGGCGGAACGACTCATACTGCAGCAGGCTCTCTCGGGAGGGTCTCGCACCTAGGTTATTTTTAGATGTTAGGTGCCTAGTGGACTCGTGCATCCCGTCGGACTGAACAATGCTGTGTTTTTGTTTGGCAACTTCGACGGACTGAACAATGCTGTGGTTTTGTTTGGCAACTTCGATTCTGCTCTGGATTTTCGGTGAACAGTATTAACTGGTTTTGTTTAGCACCCGGATACGACCCAAGTTTGGCACTTCGATCCTTCAAAGAAACCTTCTCCTTGAGCCGTCACTGTATATATTATACCTACCTTCCAAAAATGGCAGTTCGGCCTTCGCGTACTCGAAGTAAATCAAACTTAATCGAAATTTATCTGCCCCCCAACATCGACAGTAACTGAAAGGCAGGGCTGCGCTTATTGTAGTTTCCCCGGGTTGATCTACGATCGAGTTTACATCAACGTGCTCATCACTTGTATCAGGTCGGACTACTTCAATGATTACGACATGAAGTATACGTATTTGGATGGGTTTGGCGGAGTTCGCAAACATGTTACAATGGGACAGCGTCGAGAACAAGGGATCCGACCAGCTCTGGTTTTCACCAAACAATTTCCTTCCGTGCGTAATCAAAGAACCTCCCATTCTCAGCCTCGCCCAATCCCGCCATGACGTCAAATAACTTCTCCGCCGCCTGGTCAGGATCGAACAATTGGTGGCCTTCCGCCAAGTGCGTGATGTACTTCCGCGACAGCTCTGTTCGAACCGTGCCTGGGTGCAGCGATACTACCACGGCTCCTTTGCGACCGAGCTCGACAGCCAGCGTCCTCGTCAATTGGTTGATGGCCGCTTTGCTCATGCGGTATGAATACCATCCACCCAGCCGATTATCTCCTATAGAGCCCGTACGCGCAGAGATGTGCGCCCAGATGGGCAGGTTGAACGGTTCATCGTCCTTTCCACTTGCAGGAGCTGATTTCCCCAGCGATGCAGAATTCCCTCCCAAAGTCCCACCACGTTTTGGAAACTGGATCAAGGGTGAAAAGTGCTTCCCAACGAGCATAGGCGCGATCGCGTTGATCTTGAAATGTTTCTCCGCTTCCTCCACGTCGATCGCCGTAATAGTCTTCTCTGGCTTCAAGTACCCGGCCGTGCACACCAATGCACGGATGCATACTTTGCCATATTTATCCGCCACGGATTTGGCGGCACGCGCGACTGATTGATCGTTTGCGAGGTCTGTTTCGATATGCATATGGCGCCCGTTGGAGTCCGGCAGCGGTGGTAGTGAGCTCCGCCCTGTGGTTACGACGTCGAAGTTGGTTCGGCGGAGGAACTGGGAAGCGAGGGCGAGGCCAATGCCTCGGCTGGCACCATGGATGACCGCGACGGACATTCTGGTTTTCGAGATGCTGCCGGTTTGCGGTGGTCTCTGCTAGGTCTGCTACCGTTGCCCTAATGGTTTACTCTCCGATATCGAGGGCTGGGGCCATCAAAAGATGAAGACATCGGTTGAACTTACCATAACATAAAGGGTCAGCTTCCTGGGTCATGCTTTGGAAAGATAATCCGCAAAAGATCGAGAGTCGAACGGATCGAGAAATCGCGCAACTTCGCGGCATAAACATTGTCCTTCAAGACGGCCAGAAACGTTGAGGAGATATCAATCTATGAAGTCGATAATTACAGCAACGGCTGAAGGCTATGATAATAAGAGTGGTATGCCAACTAAAGGGTCTCTAGATTTGCGATATACTACGCCAATCACATCGTCGGAAGCGCAACCAGCGCGCAACTACAAAGAGGCGAAAATGGCGAGCTTCTAGATCTATCACAGTGCGAACTCTACGCCGATATGAAGTCTATCTGTCTACAAGAAAGCAGCGGCCAGCGCGGCAGCGCCCGCCAACGCACCGCCGACAACACGGAAGGAAGGTGCTGATGCGCTGGTATCCACAACGGTAGGCTTTTGAGCAACAGGGGTGGCGATGGCAGCCGGCGCAACCGTGGAGGTGGCGGCGGCCAATGAGACGACACCGGTGGCGGCAAGGGGAACCACGGCAGCGGCGTTCACGTAGGGAGAGGTACCGAGACATTCGCCGATGGCCTGCACCTTCAAGGGGAATGTGCCCAGTGTCTTCGCCTGTCCGATGGCGTTGAGCACGTCAATGGCGTACTTGTTGTTGAACCCGCTCACTGTGAGGTGGGGAATATAGTCAGTTCAACGTCAGGTTTGCACCAGAAGTCTGAGAATGGACTTACGGGAGTGTTGGAGCGCAATGAAACCAGGTTGCTGAACAAACCAAGTTTGCACGTTGGTGACCAAGGTGGGGAATTGAGCGGGGGAGGTGTCCATGGTGTCCTTGACGTCGGTCCACAAAATGCTCTCGTAGCCGAGCGCTCCAATGATGGCACGCACACGGTTGTCAACGTCTCCGTATGGCTGCGATCGCGAAAGATGATTAGGACAGTCTACTATGACATAGTCCAAATGGGAAGCGTAATAATGACAATGTACTTACGGGACGGAAGTAACGGGGACGAACTCCGAGGATCTTGTAGATGAGAGCCTCCGTGTAAAGGATTTCAGCGACAATTTGCTCGTTGGTGAGCGTAGTCAACGGGCTGTGAGTCCAAGAGTGCACGGCGATCTCGTGTCCCTCTGCATACATGCGAACCAGCGCTTCGGGGGCAAAGACAATAGGACCTCCAACAACAAAGAAGGTGGCCTTCTGCTGCTGTTGAGCGAGGGCAGTGAGGAGATCTAACGAGCTCGGGCTTGCGTTGGCGGCATTACTAGGTCCATCGTCGTATGTCAATCCATAGGTGTTGGGTGCGGGGCAAGACGTGATATCGGGCAGCACACCAACGGAGGCATCAGGAGTGTGGCATTTTGTGCTGGGCCAGTGACAATTCTGGGCGGTGTTCCCTGTGTACCACACGCGGCCATATTGGTCGGTGTGAAGGGAGGGTGGGATCTCCAAGAGCGCAGGCGAAACGGCGGCGGTGACCTTGGCCATTCCAGCGACGACCAGGGGCGCCTTCAACAGTTCTGGAATGTTGATAGCACCCCTGCTTTCGTTCGGGTCCGGCCACACCGTTGGCATGTTGGGATATGCGGGGACACCCTGCACGGTCGCTAGATTGTCCAAATTGATCGCTGCCTGAGCTCCCTCGGCCGCAATGCGGGCGGCGGCAGCAGCCGCCGCCGCTCGGGCCTGTTCAACTGTCGTGATGACCTCCTCTCCGGGGACAGGCGTTGCAGTGGCCGTAGCAGCTGGAAGGGTAACCACAACAGGGCCAGGGCCAGCGGGAGTAGTGGGGGCGGGTGGGGGAACAACAACGGTGACCGGCGGCCTTGATGGAACTGTCGGCTTCGGCGGAAGAGGCATAGGAACCGTGGCGGTCACTATCACCGTGGGTCGCGGAGGAGCAGGCACAGTGGATTGCTGGGGTGTGGGCTGCGGGACTACGGTCGGTGGTGGTACTGCCGGGCTTCTCGTTTGTTGCGCGAAGGCTGGGACGGCGGCCACGGCCAACGCCGAAGCGAGCAAGGCTACTTTAACGTGCATAGTTGCAGTGTTGAAAGAAGAGGATGTGCACGGGAAGATAGAGGCTGACAAGGAAAGGGAGGCGTTGATACAGGGCTTGGTACATATATATGCCGGACAGCGGCTGTCCCTGCCATTCGATGCGGCGGCAGCGTTCAACAACACAGAAGAGCATTGTACTGAATCTACTGATAGGCTCTGTCCAACCGTACACCAGCTGGTAGTTTGCGGGCCAACGATACCGGCCGCACGTTCATCAATGCTCCATCCATTAGACAGATCCGTTCATTTGAGTTTTGGTTCAGAACTCCAGATTACATGCAGCCAAGCTTCAAAAGACGGCTGATGGTGATCAACTCGGATTCGGCATCGTCAATTTTGCGTGCTGAAGCGTTAAGTTCATGACGGTAAATTGTGTCCAGTTGTGTCGATACGTAATAGATATGCACAACCAATGTGACCCACCACCGCAAAAATTGCCAGAGGGCCAAATCCCATAGCGATCATGTTGCGGGCAAAAAGCGAAACAAGCAGCGAAGGAGGCAAAAGAAATGGTTTCTACCAGGTTCGAACTGGTGACCTTCTGTGTGTTAGACAGATGTGATAACCAACTACACCAAGAAACCGCTGATGACCGCTGATGAAAATTGTTCCTTGTGTACACAAGATATAACTCTTACCGCAATTATGGTATTACTCGGCGAAGGGCGTTGAATGCCGTTTGAGCGGAAAGCGAAACAAACGACATCCACAAGAATGGGATCTGATGCAAGGTGTGGGTGTCTGTATGATAGTGCATGTACTGTGTGTGTATATTGCCAAAAATATGAACGCCCGTGTGTTTTCCAAAAACGAGCATACAAGGGGGGGTATCATCGGGATGCAGAGGAGGGGTATGGTCCACTAAGCTAATGCCCCATCAACATGGGGGAAGGGACGTACACTCCGGCGTACATGCTTGCAGGTATCGCCGCCGAGGGAGCAAAGGGCTGCTGCGACCAGAACTCCTCCGAAATCTTCCGTGGGTAGGACGAGAACGTTGTGTACGCGGCATGTTCCGATCGAGCGTAGATGTACGGTCTTGGCTCGGAGGAGGGTGCGAGGAATGGGAGTCTTGGCACCGTCACTTGACTCGTAGGGATCTGCATTCGTAGCGAAGCCTGCTCGAGCCTCTTTTGTTCCTCGACGGCTTCCCAGGTCTGAACGGCGAGATGCGCATGGCTTGTAACGGTCTCGACCCATTTAGTGTAATCGCGTTCGTCGACCGTGAGTTTCCACCGAATGGCCTCGAGGGCATCCATCTCGGCTCTGTTGACGATTGCGAGGTCGACGTCGGCCACGGATGCCCAGGCAGAGTTGGTGAACCGTTCGTCGTCTGCGAACTTGTTTGCCAGCATAAGGGATACAAGAAGTACGAGCTGCTCGGAGTCCGGTCTGCGCAGCGGAGAATCTGCTGGGAGCAGGTTTCGGCTATCTTTTATTCGGTCCAGGTACTTCAATGCGAGGACAATGACTGCAGACGAGACTCTTGTAGTTGACAGGACGTGTTCGACGAAGGACCTGAATGTCGTGATGGCGGCTCGCGTAATGTTGAAACCATTCTCAGTAGGTCGTGTGGGCATGGGTGTTGGGACCGAGAAGGATGACCAGCACAGCATCAATTTGTCGATGGGTATCTGGTTCCAGAGGAACAGGACCATGATAGTAGTAATTTCGGCATGCTGATGTGCTGGAGTATCAATGGACGGCAGGCCAAAGCCGAATGAGACGGGATCGGACATTGACGGCGCGAGGGTGTCAAACGGCGAAGATATTTGGCACTGAGTGTCGCCTAGCGTAGGCCACGACGACGTGGACGCCGTGGAGGGGGTTGGGTATGTGTTGTAAAAGGACATGACTAAGGCCGTGGGGGGTCTGGGGGAATTGGCCCATGCGGAGGTTTTATGAAGGGGGGAGGTGTGGGAAAATATTGGTATTTTTTGAACTGAGCCGTAGTAGGTTGCATGCAAGCGCGTGGCAAGTAGATGGGGGGTTTCCGCCCATCGGGCTAATCATGGCGCGCCGGGGGCAGTGATGGAAAATCCGGTAACATGAATTGAACAGGGGCCGGTTCCGTTATTGGGTCACTTCCAGATGGATGGTGTCTGTCATGCATGATACGCTGTCAAATTTTAAGTGCCGCTTTGCCTTCCTCCATGATGGGCACCAGCTGGCGTAAGCGTAATTAGGCGCCAAACGCCGCAGCCAGTGCCCACGGCGCCACGCTGGCCTTGGCTTATGGTCAAGTTGAATCTGACGAAGACGGGGGAAGCTTTCCGCTTTCCAATGATAGGCGGGCCAGGGTCAAATGAAAACTGAAGGCGTTTCGCAAGGGATGGCTGAAAAATCTCGGAGCGGTGCAATGTTTCCCGCCTATAGGGATTTTGTGTCACCCCCCCAACGTCCGATTCATCGCTCCTCGGCGCGCGCCCAGAAATGCAGAAAAAGAAGCTTGTTGTAGATGTATGATGAATATGTAGCCCTTATGTCACCGCTGCGATACGAGAAATGACTGCAACAACCTGATTGGGCGGCATCCATCACATCAACCGCATGGATCTATCATCTGGGAGTGGCCAAAAAAAAGGTGGAAGCATTTGTATCAAGCGTCGTGCAAACATGTAAACAAACATAGATACTTTCTCCATGTCGATCCACGCCCAGAATCCAAATTCTTGGTCGTCCCGAAACGACTCGGATGCGGCACCTCAGCTTGATTGGGAGAGTTTGTATGCTCTTGGATGGGTTCTGTGGCGTGCGAAACCGGTCGTCCGAGAAAGTGCCGGCTTGGGCTGCAGGGCCAAGGTGTCCGGTTCGGATATAGTGTCTCCCGCGGATGGATTTAGCTTACACTTTGCCGGTGTCTTGGTGTCTACCCACAAGACGGGACAAGAATGGTAGCAAGAAAATACCCGACAACGAGTGCGGACTTCGAATAGGAGCCGGTCTCACACAGTTTCCAGATCCATAATGGTCATACGGCGGGAGACTGGGTGGACAGTTTCAGGCTCTGATGAAGGCCAGCACACTAGAAGCTTCGAGACGGCCGTTAGCAGCCCATGGCAACACATACAGTACGGTCAACGGAGCACATGCTCAGCTTACCGAAGGATCGAGCGATTGTGGATACTTCAACTCTCTCATCAGTGTCCGGGCCCTCCCTTGAAATCTTAGCACAATTACCTCCTGCTTTTCCCGATGAGGAGAGGGAGGAAAGGAGTTTTTTTCGAACGGTCTGCTGACCGGAGCGAATCGTGATCAGAGTGTTCATCAGATTAGATCCATGTTTGATTGAAACTTGATGTGGCCATCTATATATACCGCGGGAACCTCTGCAACGCGTGACGAGGCGTAGGACGGAAATTATGAAGCTTGAAAGTGTCGATAACCACCGTGCAGCTGCCTTGGATGGGTTCTGTGACAAGGAACCCTCGGAAAAGGTCCCTCGGATCTCCTATACTTTAGATTCACATCTGATTCATGGCGAGTTGACTCGGAAGGGAAAAAATTACGTACCCGTCGGAATTGATAGGTGCACCAGTACCTTCTGGTACAGTTGTACAGTACTGTATGTACTGTAAGCAAGCGGCACAGCTATCGCCTATTCAACAGGTCGCTGTCTCCGGCGTCTCGAGGAATCGGTCGTTGTAGGTACTGCATGAGAACTGCACCTGCAATCCGAGAGGTGGCGAGATGTGGGAAGCTCTGCTGGAAATTGCAGCTAATATCCGAGTAAATACCATCGACCTCGCAAACTCATCGGAGAATGAATACCTCCCGACCCACGCAGAGCGGCATGGTTCAACATTCGAAAGGTTGTGAAAATCAGGGTGAATATGGTGACTTCCAAACTGAATTCCCATCCGTCTCGCTGCTTGCAATTAGCGAACATCCCATGGCGAGGAAACAGCGTCCCGTAGCGGCGAAAGGGCAGATGCGAGGAAGTCGAACGACGATTTCTCCGGTAGGACTCGGCAGCAAACGTACCTCTTTTCTATGGACACATTACCTTGGACGACAGGGCAATGGATGTATTTCGGCTCGCTCCGTTGGCATTTGCCGGCAACAAACTCGAGGCATGGCACTACCCTTCTCCAGAACAGCCGGCGGAAGTGCGACGCAATTGACAGGCGCGGCGATGAAAGTACTATCTATTCTTCCCATAGAAGAGCAGCTCGGGAGATGAAGGATGTTGTGAGCACAGTTCTCGTCACTGCCTGGAGCCGTCATTGGACGTCGGGAACGATGGGGACTCCATATGGACTTAGCAGCCGCGCGGGGCCAAAGATAGATTCTCCACGGCCCCGCCAAAAGCCGGTAATAGTTTCGGCGTCTCGCAGACGAAAACGGATTTTCTCATCTCCCATAGGAAAAACAAACCTGACTTTGCCGTCTGCATAGCTTCGCGTATGTTCGACGGAGCAATTGGAGTATACGAGCATTTCCCTGCTGGAGCGTCGGCTCACATCAGTATCTGGGCAACGATTGGCATCTGTATTTCTTGGCCGTCGGGATGCAAATGGAGGCCAAAATGGATTAAACGGATACGACGAGGCTCTTGATACTAGACTATTGCGGACCATCTTTTGACACTCGGAGGCGAAGTCGCTAAAGCAAAGACGGTGACATGAAGCTGCGTTTCGACGGAGCTAGGAGCAGTTTGTCCGGTTCCAGACAGCTGTTGCGCGTTACAACTGGATGCCCCTGGCCACTATTTACACCGAGGCCAACGAAGGAAACGCTTCTCAGAGGTCATCACGAACCACCCTGCATTTGTGCGGGGAGGGTTCAGCTCGTGCTTATAAAGAAAGGGATGTTGCATATCTATTGGAAAATGATGTATGCGATGCTTGCTATCCAAATATATCTACGCTATTCTATCTGCCTCGTCCTCGTCCCCCAACCCCGCCCCCTCGACCGCCGCCGCCGTAACCTCCTCTACCACCTCCATTTGAGTAGCCTCCGCGACCACCGCTGGACCCGCCCCTACCACCTCCGCTTCCGTACCCTCCTCGGGAAGAACCTCCTCCATAGCCGCCCCTACCGTAACCACCCCCATAACCACCTCCATAACCTCCTTGGGCGGCGCCGGGCGCTGCATGGCGGCTTTCCTCCAACTCCGGCAGCTCCGTTGCAATCTCGAGGGTGACACCACGGGCATTCATCCATTTTACACCGGCAATCTTCAAATGTCCGCTTTCCAGAATCTCCACTTTGTCCGATTTAAAATCGACGACAACACCCTGCGCATCCGCGCACATCCGCCAGTTGTAGGTGTCGTCGAAGGTCATCCCTGGGAACGTCTTGGAAACGATGGAGCGGACGTACCCGACGTTCCTGATCGGTTGTTCCAGACGCCAGAGCATGGTGTAGAAGCCCTCATTCGCTGACAGGAGCGATCGCGGGGGCAGTGGTTTCGTGGTGTTGCAGATGACCGCAAGAGCGGAACTCAGGGCTTTCACGGCATCTCCTTCAAAGGCGGCCAAGATTTCTTCAGCGATAGGCTGGAAATACGAGAGAACGCCCGGATGGACATCGTTCTGGAATTGCTCCAGTGTGTCCTTTGCGCGCGCAGCCACAATATCGCTCGCCTGGGGAGCCCCGATCTTCTGGAACTCGACACCGGCGCGCTTGGCGATGTTGTTCAGGAGGTACTCTTGCTGAGGTTTGTAGAAGGTGATGCATTTGCCGTCTCGTCCAGCTCGTCCTGTGCGTCCGGATCGGTGGATGTAATCCTCCACGTTACTTGGCGGCTCGACGTTGATGACTAGCTCGACGTTTTCGATGTCGACACCGCGTCCACACACGTTTGTTGTGATGAGACACTTGAACTTGCCGTCTCGGAATCCTTGCATGGAAACCTCGCGTGATTTCTGCTGAACGTCACCATGAAGAGCTTGGGCGCCGAATGCGACGATCTTCTCGTTCAAACTCAGTTCATTGCATTCCTCCTTTGTCTCCACAAAAACCATCGTGCGGGCATGGCCTCCCCGCCCATAGACGGCTATAATGTCTCCCAACACATCTGTCCGATTTTGCCACCTCGAAGGAATAGCATAATGCGTAACCGTGTTCGACGTTTTGTGCTTGTCGCGCCCAATGAGATCCATGGTAACTTTATCGGGTCTCATGTATTTAGCAATTGCCTGAGCTACCCAGTCCGGAATGGTGGCACTGAACAGTAGCGTCTGATGTGTCGGTGCCGACTCGACCGCGGCTTTATGCTCCTTTAACGTCTGCAAGACTTTTTCCATGGCCTCCGCGAAGCCAATGTCCAACATCTGGTCTGCCTCGTCGAGACAGATGAACCGCAGGTTCGCAAGCTTCAGGTTTCCTCGGTCGATATGATCGATAAGGCGCCCAGGCGTGCCCACAACCACGTCGACACCTTCTTTCATGGCATAGTCTACGGACGAAGGTATCAGACATGCTCTGCTCAGAAAACCCATATTCAATCTGGTACTCACACTGCGGATCATATGGCGTTCCGCCGTAAACGCAAACCGATTTCAACTCTCCGCTCGAGATCGAGTCAAACTCCTTATGGACTTGCATGGCCAGCTCTCGAGTCGGGGCCATGATCAAAACCTTAGGGGCTCTTCCCCGGGCGTTGAAGGACGCTGGGTTGGAAGCCCGCTCCTTCTTCAAAATCTCCACCATGGGCAAGGAAAAGGCAAGCGTTTTCCCGGTTCCAGTTCGAGCCCTACCAAGAACATCCTTTCCTTCCATGATGTGATTGAAACAGGCAGCCTGTATGGGAAAGAGCTGTGTGACGCCGCGCTCAGCGAGAGATAGCAATGTCGACTTTGAGAGGCTATACGTAGAGAGGCGGAATTCTACTGGCACATCATCGTCGCCGATGTCACTCGCAGTGTCTTTCTCGTTTGCCTCTGGTGTTGCTGATTCTTCGACTTTGCGAGCTCGTTTCTTCGACTTTTCGCTCTTTCCCTCGTGGACGGCGGTTTCGCTGGTCTCCTCTTTCGAACGCTTCCGCTTCTTCGTTTTCTCCTCAGCACCCTCCGCCTGCGTACTTGTCGTGGCAGCTGTCTCTTCTTTGGTGGCCTTTTTCTCCTTCTTTTCCTTCTTCTCTTTCTTCTCCTTCTTTTCCTTTTTCAGTTTGACCACGTCCATGTCTACGGTCTCGACTTCCTCCGCTTCCGGCTCGCCCTCCTTCACTTGCTTCTTCTCCTTCTTCTCCTTCTTATCCTTCTTCTCTTTGGACATGGCGTGAAGTCTATCTAATAGTTGGAAGGTCTATCTAAATGTTCTGTTTGGCAGCGTGGGAAAGGCAAGACTGAGCTGAGCAAGACTGCAGGTTTGCACAGCCACCTGCTCCACCTGGATCTGGCGCGTTGTCTTTTCTGTAAGTTTCCGGGTGCCTTTGCTGTTCGCACACTTTCGAAAGCATCGACTGACAGTACAAACCACTACTGTATATGTACAGTACTATACAGTACAGTACGTTCTCACCATCAAAGCTGCCGCCCCTGGGGTAAGAAGACTACATACTATCATGCTGAGCAACACAAAGGAGAGGGACGCGCTGCCCAAGTTTGCAAACTGCCACAACATCTTTCGGTTGTCCACTAGCCACCAGCAGAGCTGCTGAAGAAGATAAAGTGCCAAACAGGGGTGGTCCGCAGCTATGTGCGACAAGCTCTACGTCACCATACGTAGCCCGAAGGCATTAAGACTGCCTTCTATGACTGCACGATAAGCAAGCACCTCAGCTACTATGATGAAGAGGCGGCAACCAACGAAAGCGGATCGACAAACGGATTGCGGATGTCGCCGATGAGCATGATATTTGGGAAATAGAAGGAGATGCTTGAGGAGACGCATGTGATGATGCCCGATGGGGAGAAGAGGCTGGAGAGAGCGCATGAGAGGTTGCAAGAGGGTTTGGACAAATGCCTTGTAAGAAAGCAGGGCTGCATTCGAGGTTCCTGATTGATTGGTCACGGCCTACGGTGCGGTGGACTCTGATGCAGCCACTTCGGAGGAGGTCTCAGTCGCAAACAGACAATTGCTGTTTGATGGCCGCATGCGAGATCCATCGAAGCGACTGTTGTAAATGTGTCTCCGACGGTAGCTGAACCGCCATTCCGGGGTTATGGTTAACTCCTGGATGAAGGTGCTGGTCATCAGGCAGTCCTAGCGATGATCATTGAAATGATGCTTCCAGAGAAACTTTACGAGATGCGAGAGAAGATGATCGTTTCCTATCGTTCGTCTCAAACCGTATGGATTGCGAGGTCACGTCGGTCCTATTTATAGTCTCAGTTACGACAGAATACGACATAATACGACACAACAAACGAAGCTTAAACCCAGAGAGAATCTGACGGGAACTGAAAGGTTCCTGGAGGAACAACCCTCTCAGATCAGCGCTTGAACTCTCGTTGCGTAAATTATCTACGTTTTCTCCTGGTCATGCACTTTCAAGGCTCTCCCCGCTTGCAGCAATATCCTCCAACGCTTCCATCCTGATCCTCAGTGGCCAGCACTTGAATCTCCCGCCCACTTCTTGCCTAGAACCCGCTTGCGCCGGTTCTTTCACATCGCAATCCAACGCTCCACGAGCTTGATAGCACTGGATTCCCACAATCGCCCACTCGCATTCTTGTCATTCATTCAATCACCTTCAGCCTTCGTATCTCACTCCCAACATGCAGAACGAAACTATCATCAACGACCCTTCCTATTCACCAACGGCGGAAGCATTGGGAGGGATCGAATTGCCGCGTCACGACGTTCTCGTAACCGCTATAGGCAACGTCAATGAACTGCTTCAAATCCACAATGCGGACATGACGACCGAAACCGACGCTGTTCAGGAACTGCTTGACGACGGCGACATCATGATCAACATCGGCCCGTTTCTCCAGCGCACGGAATTCGATACGAGGGAGCGCGAAAGCAACATGAAGTCAATCGAAAAAACTCTCAGCACTATCAGGGGCCACTACGATAGGTTTTGCGATGTATATGCGGCTGGGGACACCACCGAAACAATGCTCGAAGAGGTTGAGAAAGTCTTCCCCCAAACCAAACGCCGGTCTCATCTGCATTATCGCCTCTCCACGTTCGCACACAACTGCAACGAAAGTATACTGAAGGAGCTCGAGCTCCAACCAGAGCTGACACCGGCGGAGATACTGGAATGGACCAAGCGTGTCAATGAAGCTCAGCGTTGCCTTTGGAACTTGATCAAGAAACCAGACGGAACAGAGCACCCGGAAAACTGCCTCCTTACAAGTTGCCCGTACCACCATGAGGACGACAATGAGTTGGTCCCGCGAGTGGCGGCTTACTTCGAAATCAAGCTCGATGAGGCGTTGAGTAGACTTCTCACGGCCGGGATGGTGTCGAACAACAACAATACTTCGTCCCTCAAAAGTGCGTCTACATCGTTGATCCCCATCCCGACGAAACGATCCACCACAAAATTCGATGACCGACACTCGCCGCGCTCGTCAATCTCGTCCACGAAGTCCGTCATTCCACTTGCCGTGAGGAACTCGAAAACCCAACACGAGAGGAACCCGTTCGCGCTTCACTCGCAACGGTCATCCATTTCGTTCATAAACTCGCAGATTCCGGTGCCCGTACGGAAATCAAAAGCAACGCAAGAAGCGGATCCGTCGGCCCCACGGTCCCAGCGGTCTTCCATCTCCTCCGCGACGTCAAGCATACCCATTCCCGTGAGGATGAGGAGAGCCACTATCGAACGGGAAACGGACATCAGTACCTCGACATCCCTCCGATCATCCTTTTCCTCGACCACAAACACATCATCCTCATATCGCAAGCATCAAGGACGAAAATCGTCACTCGACAATCGGCCGCCATTCCAATGGGTGTCGTCACGATCAAGCCTCTGCGGAGCATCGAGCTTAGATCGTGGTTCGATGCAACATTCTACGTGGTGCCGCATGCCCAGCACCACCCCGAAACGGACATCTTTTTCCTCCACAAGCATCCCCTCGCCAACCCGCAATGACCAACCAAGGGAGTCGTCTGTCGACTCCCGCCCACCCTTCCTTTGGGTTTCTTCACGTTCAAACTTGTGCGGACCATCAAGCTTTGACCGCGGCAGTATGCAACACTTCACTTGGGGTAACGAGCCGAGCATCACGCGCAAGCGAGCCTACAGTTTCTCGTCCTCCGCGTCAATCCCCAGCGATGCGTCACTTCCTGCTCTCCCCATCGCAACAGTCCAGTTCAACGGCAACGCCTACGTCGCTGACCCACGGGACGCTCTAGATGTCGCCGTCGGCATCCTCGTGAACCAACACGATAGCCCCGTTGTCATGTACCGGCACGCGGACGAAGATGGTTGCTACGTAATCGGAGACGCGGCCAAGCGGGTGATTCTGTGCCGGTTGACAAATAAGACGGTGATGGTACGGGTTGGAGGTGGTTGGGAGGTACAAGTTGCGCTTTGCTTACATCTCTGCTTTTGATGCATTCGCCTAACGCAAACCTCTTTCCTTCGCAAACAGCCCCTCAAGAGATTCCTCATGAACAACTGAAATAGAAGATACGTGTACGGGATGCATATACGAGTGCAAGAGAAAACAACCCGGGACACATCATGACGGTTCGAGGCTGTGGTTTACCATCACAGTCCACAAAACGGCCGAGACCAACATGGTCATTCACCCGTTGCCGCACCATCGAAGGTAAGCCCTCTGTGCACCCTATCTGTCGTTATGGTAGAATGTTTTCGCGAACCGGATGTTGTGATCTTTCGTTTTACAGGTGCGCCGACACCTTTCTTTCGAGGGGTGTGGGGAGGTTCCCGAACCACATCGGACTTCCAAAGAGATAATATCATTAGACAATGTTTAGGTGGCGGGCACGGCGATAGGCGGTTCCATATGTAGGAAAACATCATAAAAGTTTCAGAAGGTGGTTGCTAAGAAGTCCGGACACACAGTATCGTTCTAGCAATTCCCTTTTTCGATGCTCAGCGAATAGATTCGTATATTACATGTTAACAAAAATTCGAACAGAAAATGTTAATGTGGTTGTGTACAAGAGAGAGGGAGATATGTTGCAAAACGAAGGATTAGTGTCCATAAGGCCGATCAACAATAACCGAAGCCATCGGGGTCATCTTGTCAACCCCATGCGCAAACTTCCTCTCCTTCACCTTCCACCTCAGCTTCGCGATATTCTTCGCCACAATGAAGTACACGCTCCCCATCAGCTTAACGACCGACAGCCCCGCCGTCGCGGCAAGCAGGACGTTAAGGTACCCCTCCCCGGTGACCTGCGTAGTGCCGACAGCAAACAACACGGCGTTGGTGCCGAGGTAGAGCAGCATCATTGTGGTTCGGAAGGACTTGTACGAGTCTTCTTGGTCGAGGGCTGTTTTGGGGCCCTTTTGGGAGGGGTCTTGGTGTTGGAAGGTTCGGAGCTCAGCGAGGGTTTCGCCGTAGTGGTCGGAGAGCTCTTGTTGGGATGTGGAGATTTGGACGGTGGCCATTGTCACGCCTTCGGCGGATTTGCTGGTTGTTACTGCGGGGAGAGCGGTTGGGCGTGTGTCCCCTTTTGTTCCCCAGGAGATATCGTGCAGGTTGCTCAGTGCGAATACAGTGAGCACGTTGATGTACGACGGCAATAAGAGCAAATCTGTAACGATGAAAAATGTTTTGGTCAGAAGCTGCTCGGAAAGGGCTGCTATGCAACTCGTTGATACTCACATTGAACGAAGCTCGTGAACATATGCGCAAAGTCCAAATGCATAAACGAAGCCAGGAAGTATACGCCGATAGTAGATCCCAACGTCACGCAATACACAAGGTTCTCCCATCGCGCGCGCGCAAGTTCCTTATCCAGCTCCTTCGTCACGACCCGGCTCATTTGCGCCAACAGCGTGTTGACCAACATCTGACTGCCATCATTAGTCGTCAGCGTCGACGGGTTAACCACCGGTTTCATCATCTCGGTGTAGTTGATGGTCGGCATCCGCTGGAAGAAGTGGAGGGTCATGACAAAGCGACGGACAAGTAGTGAGATCATGGTGGCGCCGATGACACCGAAACCTAGCATGACGGCTTTATAGGTCAGGCGGAAGGCTTGCGGGCGGTTACCGAAGGAGATGATGAAGAGGCAGACGAGGACGACGGGGTAGGAGAAGCGAGCGATGTTGATGACCACGCTGACGATTTTGTTACGGACTTCGGCCGAGCTGTCGGTGGTTGGGTCGGGAGAGGCGAGGATTTGTTCAAGTTCCGAGAAGAGGAAGAAGAATGTGATGGCGAAGTTCCCTAGGAGGAACAAAAATGATTCAGCAAAGGCACCGCCGTAGTTATCCTACTTGTGCTAAAAACCTACCGAGAATGAACCAAGAAAAGAGCTGATTGACCACATTATACATCCACTGCATAGTGAAACCCAGCTTTCGGAACAAGCTATGCTTGCTTCCCCACACCCGCGGAAGATTCATGAGCGCATAGAACCCTGCAAACAGACTGCCGTTCAGCCATCGTCTCCTCTGGGACAGGAACTCCGGAATCGTGTTCGGCACATCAGTGTCAGCCTTTGCGCGCGAGTCATAGTGCAGGACCCAATTCGATCCTTTCTTTGCGACGAGTTCGAAGCACAGGATACGATCTTCGGCCTGTGTTTGAAGTAGTCAGCAGTTGGCCCTCCATATGAGTACCATAGCCAGGTTTCCCGCTTACCAAGTAAAGATTGGCGGAGAAGATAGAACTATCTGCAACAACACCATTCCTTGCTTCACCCTCGAAGTACTTCGACAGCGGACCAGATCCGGGACCGATGTCTTGCAGGGCTGTCCATCGGTAAGCCGAGAAAGCTCCAGGGACTAGTGCCACATTAGCATTGACGTCCCGATTCTGAGTAAAATCTCATGCCCAACGGTTACTTACGAACTGTGATGTACCCAAACGCGGACTCGAGAGCTAGAAGGAGAGAAGGGTCGGCGTTAGAGAAGACCAATGAAAACAATGAGAACGGCCAACAGCATTCGAGACTCACATTTGTCCAGGATGTTACTGATCTTGTACTCGAAGTTCTGGCTGTTGGCGAAATGCGAGGTTGTCAAGGCATGCTTTTTACATTCCAGCGGCAAAAACGGGCTCATACCTGGCCACTAGAGGATTGACGAGGTTCTTGAAGTAGGGGAGGCCCTCTCCCATATCACTGCGAATCTCTCCACAGGCTCCAGCAATCTGTATGCATAACGTCGGAATTAGCAATGACACAAATACTAAGGTTTCCGTCGAGAGTTCAACGTACCTGTGGGTTGCGCGAGAACGTCTTCCACAGGGAGTACAGGGAATTTGGCGTAGGCCTTGTCCCGACATCAATCATCTGAAGCGCGATGTGAGATAGGAAGTAGGCAATGACTGCCAAGCGCTGCGAAGAACGTACCACACAGACGCGAGGATTGAGAATGTTACAAAACGCACGGAAGAACCAGCGATGGGAGTTTATCTTCTTTGCGTTCTTCTCCTTTAGACAGAAGATCGTCTGCATAGGAGGCATCCCTTCCCGGGCGCCCCATAGTTGCATTTTCGGGTCCAGGAAAGTTTGTGGAGAATACTCGAAGATGTCTACATTGATGTTCATATGTTAGACTTGCATCACGTCGTGTCTGCCTGGAAGTGCTGGCAGATGTGCTTACGTGCTGTTGTTTCATGGCCACTGACAGCGGCTTGCGTCAAGCCTTCCTGGTATACTCCCATGACTTCGAGAACTTTGAGGACATTCGGGTGGATCTTTGACCGGCCATCCGAGACTGATCGAATGGAAGTCAAGAGCGTCCAACAGTCACGCCAGGGTGTGGGAGGCCGGGAAGCGGAAAGCGGCAATGCACTTACCGATGACGATGGCAACCTTCTGCCATCCATCTGCATCCCAACCATTCTTCTCCTTTCTACACAGGTAGCGAATGTTCTCCGCCAGAGCAAACATCGTGCGGTTGAAGCCCTCTTCGTCTTCGTTATACATTGTAACAACGACCGCAATTTCGATTTGTCTCGCGTAGTTGCTGGCTCTTAAATTGTATCCTCGATCGACAAATTCATCTGGATCCACAGTGGCTGCAGTGTAGCGAAGGCTTTCAAACTCTTCGCCCTTCTCGTAGGCTCCCTTAGATCTGATCTCTTGCGGAACCTTTTGCTTCACGACAAAGTTGCCCTGCGACGACAGCTTGATGGTCTTCGTTCGTCGATTCACAACGGTTCCGACTCGTCTTCTGATGGAGCTGGAGCCCTGCCCGTCTGCATGCAGTCTCCCATAATCCGGCAGGGCCCCGTATGGACGCGGAGGTGTGGTCTCCGCTGGGGTTATCGTGTGGTCTATCGACGCATTGTCTATAAATGCATCGGACGGGGTGTACTGCAGCCCGGGAGCCGTAGAATGTACATAAGGGCGCTGCAGGTGGTACGGCTCGTTGTTTAAAGTGTTGGCAACCGAGTCGTGGTCGTCCTCTAAAGTTGCTGAAGCATAGCTTGCCCGTGGGTTGCTATATTCGCTATCGGAGGCTTGCAGGTGGCTGCTGTATCGGTCCATGGTTCAACACCACTGTAGATCACGATGAGCGGACGGGCGGTGGGATCGACTACCGGGTTCTCTACGCTCTAGTGTCCCTCTTGTCCGAACCTCCTCGCATATATACTGTACAGAAAGCCCTCCCACTTTACTGCTAATGTGTTGGTCACTTGGAAGAATTCTACCCACCTGTGACCTCTCCCATAGCAGTTTGACACAGCGAGGCTTTGGCGGCCTCCTTCGCCCCGGCTTTTCTCGGAGGGCTCATTTCCGCCCAGATTTCCGCCCCTGTTGAATGTTCCCTGAATCCTGAGAATTTGAGCATAACGCCCCAACTTCGTGCGTGTTGGCCGCATATACGATCTTCCAACTGCGGCCGGTCGCAAGATTTTGTGCTTGAGGGCTGTGTGGGTGGCCGCTCCACGTGACCTGCGGTATATGTAGCGGAACGTTCAGACTGACAGCAGCAGCAGCAGCAGTAGAAGCCAGGAAGCCTCCCGGACCAGCATCTCTAGAAGACCCTCGGAATCGACTTGGGGAGAGAACAGGCGGGAAGAGGCAATATCAAGCAGGTTCAGCATTTGGCGGAACAGCATCTTCAGAACCAATTGCCACTCGCCAACTTCCGACAAAAGCAATAATGATCAGGACACTGTTATTCGCGACCTTGGCAGCCTGGACCGTCAACCTTGTCCACGGGCAAGCACGGCCTCCGCCAACGATAACATCGAAGCCAGTACAACCGCCCTCCAACGACGCGGATTGGTTGGATATCGACGCCCTCTTCTACTCGGTGGTCCCACCAGTGGACGGGGACGACGATGGAACGATGGAGTATCCTCCGACCGACTGCTACGCGAACTGGTATGTCTTACCTTGACACTGGTAGTTCCTCTGAAGGCCCTGGAACTCAAAATCAACCTCATTCTTTAGGTGCTTTCCTGCGGGCATGTTCGTTGATATGGTTGTAAACCACTGCAACTCGACTTTGACAAATATACAACCGAACAAGCTTCCGCAAACCGCGCAAGAGTTGGAAGCGATTGTAGGGGAATGCATATGTGGGATTGGAGGTCCGACCGCCGGGAAATCTGCCCCTTCGAAGGACGTGTTTCTGGGCATTGCGCAAATGTGGAAGACTTGCGCGTCGTGTCTGAACGGAAGCACGGGCGTGAACGATCCAAACCATGCGTCGATTCTCTCGCCGTCAAAGTTCGCGCGGGCATGCGCATGCGTTGAGCCAGGACCGGTGCAAGCCTTGATCAATATGCAGGACCCGACCTGGGAATGCCCAAAGATCGATCAAGATCGGTTGAGGAGTGCGAGGCGGGCGGGTTCTGGTTTGCCTGTGCGGAGACCGACGGTCTCGACAAGCTCTGCGGCTCCGGGCCCCACGACGCCCTCTGCAGCGCCATCTGTAGCGCCGGCACAAGCAAGCGTAGGGCGTGCTCCCGCCAACGCAACTCCAGCTCCAGCTCAACCTGCCGCGAACCCCGCTCCCGGCAACGCAGTTCCAGTCGCACCAGCACCTAACCCAGCACAAGCTCCTGCGCCAACTCCAGCGCAAGGTGTAGCAGCGCCAGGGCAGACCGAGCGAGCCGCAGCCGCCAGTTTTGAGGGCTTTTCTGGCGCGGCGTTCTCACCGTTCGGAGCTGGCCGTAATCCATAGATTCTTTCTACGAAGTATCACTTGTATATAGATCATACCATAAGCTTGAATTTAATGCGATGCAACGCTCCCCTCACGACGCCATTTCGCACAACGACAAGAATGATGACCGACGAACATGACCCGAGCTTCTCTAGCAACGTGTATATATTTATATCTGGAGTTCGAGATATCTAAGGTTTCTTGGTGTAGTTGGTTATCACATCTGTCTAACACACAGAAGGTCACCAGTTCGAACCTGGTAGAAACCACAAAATCTTTTTTTTTCTTGACCTCACAAGACCCTGTGAACGCGTTATGTAAACGCGCCCGCTTTTCACAATTACACGACGGAGGGCTTTTCACGTCGGAAAAGTGCGGAAATACTGTATATGCTGGCATCCTCCACCGGCCACCAATGATTACGATGAAGATGGTCTGTGGTGGACTTCACATGTGGCAGGAGAGCCGGAAGAGCACTGGATTAGACTGGAATGAACTGTGCACGGGTGCACATCGTGTTAGGTTGGGTGTCATTTGAAAACGCAGTGATGCACTTTTTGACGACGGTTCCGAATATGAACTCCGCCTCAACCAGCCTGCGGCGCCGTCCATGAAATGAGCCTTGTGGAATGCAACGGCTTCAACCGGTAGACCAGAAACGATGGATGTCAACTACAGATGATTAACCTTTTCCTTATTGTTCTTACCAGCCAAAGACCGCATTTTCATGGTCTGGCCCGCTCCGTTCGGTTCCGTCGTGATTCTGAAACCATACAGCTTGCATCGGGAACCTATTGCATAATACCAAATCACCAGTGCACATACACTGCTCTCTATACACATACGGCTGCTGTCACCAAGCCGGTGTCACATGGTTCAAGAGGGTATAAGGCGCGCGTGCGTTGACAGTTGCCCGTTTATGACCCCGACCCCCAAACCGACTATTCCTTTTGACCGGCCGTGCTTCCGCTGGGCGTCTACTGATCCTTTACTGTTACCTGCGCGAATATTGTGGGCTACCGTCTATTGGCGGGATTGCCCGGACTGTGTTGCGCATCCTCTGATATCAGGAAGCTTGGAGGTGAAGGTGAGATTTTTATGAACGCGCTTCGCACAGTACGATGCCGATGGCTCGCGCGCATATCATGCAGATGTACGGTGGAATATCCAATGCTCACTAACTCTTGTTCGTCCAGACAATCCGACTCCACGCATCAGCACGAAAAGGATCGGTAAAGCCACATTTCGCCAAAAAACGCGAACAAAGGGTGTGCGACGCAACGTCCCACTTGGCAAATGTCGCGGTCCGGTAACGGATTTACCGGTGGAAACAGGGCGTCCGCCGGCGGGGGGAGCATCATCGCACCAACGCCAGTTCCCGTTCACATCAATCCGTTCGCAGGGTTCGACGTACCGCCACGTAGCAGCACGCCTTCATCAGACGCATCCACGACCGCCGCGTCCGCGAGCGATGCCGGCATCGAGCTGTCGGGCCTCAACACAGGAATGACGGCGCCGATGTTACCAGAACGACGGGATAATGACAGTAGCGTGGGTGGTGGGAGTGGTGCAGCGTCGCCGAGTCGCAGCCGGTCAATTCATTTGGCGCGGAGTTTCCAGCGTCGGAGTGGAAGCTCGATGACCGCGACACTCTTGGCGGCAGGGCGAGCCGGCAGTCAGGGGCGGATGTCGCTAGGACAACTCGCGTCCAACTCCACATCGAGCACGTCGTCGTCGACGCCCATGTCCCAGTCCACTTCAGCACATCGGGCCGCGATGATCCACGCCATGATGCAGCAGGCCGCTCGACAGGTCGCGATGAACCCGCCTCAAACCCGAACCGGCGAGCAACAACAGCAGCAGCGTCGCAGCTCCCCATCAAGCCATACAAGCACGACTACGACGACCAACCCCGCGCAAACCCAAGGACAACCTCACACACCAATACGTCGGCGGCTATTCCATCCCCCACCATCCGCGACGACGCCGCCGTCCGAAAACCGGTTTCGCCCCGTCGTCGGAAGCGGCACGGTCAATCCCTCCGTCCACCCCCAATTCAGATCAAAAGCCGTATGCAAACTCTTCTGTCGCCACTGCACCAGCGTCATGTGCCGCCGCGGGATGAAAGCGATCTTGCTCGGAAACACCAAAGTTGAGCTGTATTCCACCGACACGCCGCCGACGGGGGTGCAGCTGGTCTACGGCGACTATTTGACGCAGAATTGCTCATGTCGGATACGAGATGCGGCTTGCCTTGGCTGCGGAAATGTCGTGGGCTACCATGTAACACAACCATGTGAAAAGTGCCTTGAGGCTTGTAACAACGGTATGACTCATGGCGCTGATGCGGAGCATCTCTGTTGCTCTTGGAATTGGCATATAATAACCGGCGGTTTCTGGATGCAGGTCATTTTTGGATGTTCCTTTCTGACGGAGTGCAACCCGTCGACAGAGTGGACGCGTCAGGTGGGAACAGTTATGTCGTTCCGTCCTTGCCAGCAATCGCTTTCTCACGTTGCGTTTTTCACATTTGATATGCATGTCAGGCTCGAAACTCCTGAGGTGGGCAGCTCTTCCATGCGCAGAACACGATCGCGACGAAGCAGAAGTCCGGGATCAATACGAGATGATGTGTCGTTAAAGAAGCACGTCCAATAATCCGCACCTCCGCCCTCGCTCTCTTATCGTATCGTAAATGTCTCGGAAATCAGAATCGGTCATCAACTCTGTTTCAAAACCCATTCCCATTCACCTGAGGACGAAGATCCCTTTGCAAAAGCGGACATTATGAAAATCACGGAACCCATGCTGCATGTCAAAGATCTATGTTCGCTTCGCATCGGAAGGTCGCCCTCCTTCATACGTATCAACTAGACTGTCAACACATTTTTGGATTCATTTGCGACAAAAAATATAGACGCTCAATTATGATACATTCCACAACACGTATTGTTCATTATGAACCTTTAGAAAACCCGGAATCCTTTTCTCCCAAAAAAAAATGTGATGATGCTGATGCTTTTGTGGTATGAGTCAATGTCACTTTGAATCAGTGGTGGTAATGCGTGCTGTAATGGTGCGAGACTAGGATCACTTCAGGTCCCTTGCCCTTGTTCGGGCAGCTCCGCCACCTCCGGAAGCTTATCGGCGCCTTCGCCCACGGCTTCGGCAGCAGCTATCGCCTCGGGAGCGGCAGGCACCTCCTCGCTCTTTGATGCTCTGCGACTCCCACTCTGCTCTTCCGAAGCCTGTCGCTTTAATGAAGACTCGTCAGCCCTCGCCTCGCCCTTCGTGGGCGAGGCGGCCAGAATGCTGCGTTCCAAAACTTCATCCATAAACGCCCCCGTGTCCTTATCGATCGCAAAGTCTTGCATGTGGGTTAGCAACGTTGTGCCCTTGTCCATATCCTCGTTCGTCGTAAACGTGGACGTGCCTAATCGGAAGACTTCGAGCTCTGAAGCGATGGAATAAAGATCGTAGTATTGCTGGAAGAATATGTTCATTCCTACGGAGGAAGGAGACGATTGCTGTGGGCTTGATTTGCCGTCGTGCGCATTCTCTCCGATTGGGGTTTGGTTTCGCCCCGGTTTGCGTCGAGCTTTCGACATATAAGTTGATCGATCGGGTGAGATATCACTGGTATCTGAGGAAGCCGACAAATCGCGTTGGGATTCCAGTACATCTCGCATATATGCACCTGCAGGACAAGCAGCGTGAGTTACATTCGTCAGGGCCTAGCCGCTAATTCGATGTGAAAAGAGACGCACCGAAGAACGGTATCGCGGGTGGCCGCGCTTTCTCGAACTCTGCCCAGTAGTTCGCGTAAGCGTCAGTGGGATCCAATAAGGCCTGGAAGCCCATGAATATGTCGACGTATTTGAACGGGAGAAGCTGTAGCAAGTAGAAATTTCACTTCAGTAAAGTCGCGCCTTCCTATGGTATCATATAACAAAGAAGATGTACCTCCCAGGCTGCTTGATCCCTAACAATAGATGGCCGTCGCATTGCCCACATGATTGCCAGAGCGCAGTTGTAGTTGCCAACATCCCGACACACCTAAACCCAGCATCACAAACACGTCAGAGAACAAATGGACAATGATGAAGATGATGATCTGTTGCTTACCTTTGCGATCTTGACCACTCGCTTTATTGCTCGTGCCTTCTTCCTTGTGGAATCTTCCTGAAGAACGATTGTGGCCATATAGCTACCGACCTGAAAAAGCCCGGATCAGAGTTTACCTCGCAGTTCGCATCGACGAGGTAGTTGGTTCTCTTACCAAGCGAAACCAGTTGGAATACTCCAACAGGGCTCTAAGCCGGATATTCCGTCCCGCCCCCGTTTTCGGTGGGGGCGACGCCAGGACATGCAGATATGCGTCCGGACGTATTTGACGGAGGAAGAACTGATCGAGCTGCGTGAGGTCCTTCACCAAAGCTTCCGGTTCCCATAGAAAAGCCCATGACTTTGTGTTATCTTCATTGATGTTGCGTTTCGGAGGAAAGGCGGGTATATATTGCAGAGTATACCACGAAAGTCTCTGAATGACGTTTGGATGTTAGTTCGACGGCCATTGAGAGCGAGATGCGTCAGACTTTTACCTGCTCTCGTATCGCTTGGAACAGCTTTTGCCCGTCCCCAAAACCAATGCCGGAGATATGATCCACAAATACTTGTAGAGTCATGAAGAGCCGAACGTCGTCTTGAAAATCCTGCCAGTGGTTCTTAATCCACGTCATGATCGTCTTCACCACCCGGGCTTGAATCCCCTTCCGGTTCTTTTTCAGGAAGAGCTCCTGGTGCGCTCTTTGGTCCGCCGGTGGAATGTCGATGGAGTCTTCCGGATGTTCAAGAACCCCATCGGCTTTCGGAGTGATTGGCGTTCTGGATTCTGGTTCGATATCAACGTTATACCATTCGATCAGGCTGTTCAGGACCGTATGTGTCGTCATGAAGAATCGGAACGTCGCAAGGAACACCTCCGCATACGACATATCTTGATCCATAGGAAAAATCAAAGCATCAAGCAAGTCTTCAGGGGCACCAGACTGCACCACGTTCAGCGACGCATATTCCGAAACACCATAGGCAACGGTTTGCAGCCGACCTTCACTGAAGATGTCAAGCGGCCTGTATCTGCAGGCTACATCCTCGGCAAGCTCCAGATATTCAGGGTTTTTCTCCCTAGTGATGCCATGGGCCTCACCATCCCTTCTTTCCGACCAACTGGGATCCTTCCGTATCGCTCGGTAGCAAGCGGCGCTGCGTGCGATCGATAATGCGGTGTCTGCGACCGGCAGAGCTTTGTTGGCGAAAAGGAACTGCAGGGTGATAGGCTCCTCAAAGACAACGTTCTGCCCCAACTCCTCTATTCGTTGCTTCAGAGCATCGTTTGCAAATCTGCCGTACCAGTCCTTTAGTGTTTTACTCGGTGACCGCTTATGTTCTTTGCCGGTAACGGCCGACAGAGGACTGCCTTCACTATCACTTTGCAAACTCAAGGGACTCGCTCGACTTGCGGATACCGGCTTTTTCGATTTTCTAACCGCCACCCCTCCGCTCATTGCCTGCAATGGGGTCTGGGGTGGTGGGCTGGCTGTCGCACTGCGACTGGGACTATCCAGTGACAAATTGTTCGCAAGCGACATGCTTGATGGCATAGCTGCAGCTTCTAGGCCTAAAGCCTTCTTTTTGCCTTTACCGAAATGGAAGAATTCTGACACGATGCCCTTTCTTTCCGACGGTAGGTTCTCAACGCTCTTACTCTTGTTGTCGAATCCCTCCTCGAAGATTGGTTTGGTAGTTTTGGCGATTGCGCGGTCGTTTAAAAGATCGACGGAATCGTACTGAGACACGAGGCGCTTCGTGTTGGTTTCCACTACTAGTTCCGAGACAATGTCATGGATCCGCGGCGAGGCTGTATTGCGTACCCACACGGACGAGGGAGCAACCACGCCAATTCCACCACCTCCCCCATCATCGGAGCTGGCCAGCGGTACCACCATGGGCAGCTTTTCCTGTGATAGTCCCACAGCAGATCCGGCTTTCCGCATACGCAAAAGGAAGGGCTTGCCCGATGATGGCTCTGCCGTTTTCGACCTTTGCCTCGTCTCGGCTTTCTCCTTGGACTGCTCTCCACTCGCCAACGGTTCTCCATGGAGAGATTGCGGTAATTGGGATTCCGACTTTTTCTTCCACCCGAACATGAACCCCATCTTGCGCTTTTCTGTTCTTGGTGAACCGTCGATGGACGTCTTCCCGAGCGAGGCCTGCGACCCGCTTACAAGGTCTTGCAAAGATCGACCACGTCTAGGATAGTCCTCAGAGTTAAGAGTTTCAAGCATAGCGTCCACTTCTTTCAGAGATCTTGTGTTTTTCGCCTGAGGGACCTGAGGGCTCGTTTCGAGTGCACCCGACGCCGGAGAATCTGTCACCATTTGAGACGCTTCTGCGTCAGACGGAGGGGCCTCCGGGACAGGACACAATTTCTCCTCTCCTGCCGCCTGGACCGAAACTGAAATGGGCGCATGCACTTGCGCCTCCACAGGGGACGCCAGGACCGGCGATAATGGTGGTGCCGAAGTCTGTTGTAACGACGGACTGGAATTCACTAGAAGCGGCGCTGGCGGGAGACTCGCGGGGTCGATGTCTTGCCTAGCAGTAGGCGTTGCCGGTATATGCAGAACGGGGGCCGGTGGCAGATTGCCGCCATCAGCCCCAAAGATCCGTGTCCGCAGATCCACCTTATCGCCATTGGAATTGAAAGACGTTTGCCGACTGTGGGATGATCCTACTTTCGTGTGCGCGCGCGACAAGCCCGGCACGGACACCACTTTTCCATCGATGCAATTCCGGCATCGCGAACAGCCGGGGCATTCAGCATTTTCTGTGCACGGGACAGCGAGGTCCTTGTGCAGCCTCGCAGTCCCGTTGCACTGGGTGCACCTGGCCGTGAGATACGACATCTACGCCCACCCTCTGATGCCCTTTCTCAAGCTAGGTCCCTCTAGGTATGACGCAGTCCAGCCGGTTCCGCACAGACTCCGCTTATCGATGTTCGATTTAATGACCCTAAAACAATCGAATATTTTCTCAGACTCCGCTAAATAACTAGCCGACCGCACCAAAATGGTCGAAGTTCAGCTTATTGACCTTGCTTCACAATAAATGAGACCAAGAGCACCTGCTGTCGCTTACCTCCCGGCCGAAAAGAGTTCTACCTGGTTAATATTCAACTACTGGAAGTGGAAGGAAGCGTCAGGACGGCCCACAGCCTGAACATGGCGAACAAAGGTGGGTTGTCTGGCATCCGCGAACCCTATCCAGAGCATACCCTCGCGGCCCAGCTCATTGACCCTGCCTCCAACGGTCCAACTGAATGTTGCAAGACGGCCGCATATCGTCACCGTCACCCTCATAGAACTTGGCCTCAATGTACCAGCAGTATCGACATGCCTTACCTGTGAGCAATCCCGGCCGAGACGCGTAATACGTTGCCAAAAAGGGACGAGACGTGCCTCGCTTATCTCAACAGCAAGGAAGGCAAAGAATGGGTGGACGGCTCTCGGCGCTGCTGCTGAACTTGAACTGTGAGCGACTTCTGTAGTCTGCAACATTTGTCCCCGTCCGGTGCTCGGCAATCCCTGTCGGAAACCGCCTGCGTCCTTGTGAACGGTCGACCGCTGCCACAATCCGTGTTCCAGGCCTATCACGCATAGAGCTTCGCCAATTTTAGGTAAAGTTTACTTGTTAACGATATTTCATGTAAGCCAGTACGGATAATGGACTTGGATCCCTATCGCAGAGTCTTACGAAAAGGGCTGGACACATTTCGCGTTTCCCTGGTATCCAGGAGATCCAGGGTGGGATGAGAGAGCTGCCTCGCAGGATATCGTCATAGGCTACGCGCGGATTCTACACCATGGGAAAGGACGATACGGAAAGGCGACGGAGGGCGCCTCAGAGCACAGCTTCCGAACAAAGGGACTCTGGAGGCGTCGTGCCGGCAAGTACGAAGCCTGCCCTCGAAGTATGTGCCACGTGCAAACCCAAGACAACCGGAGGTTGTGGGAATAAATCTCTGTCGTAGGCCTCTAACAGTCTACAAGGAAGCAAGCCAACCGTCCGGGGCCGAGAGGTTAGTCTATGATCTTTCCCTTGCCATATGCGATGTTGTGCCAATCCCTCCTTTCTGGCTGGGTTTAGCTGGTTTTCAACGTAAGTACCCGCTGTCCGTACGGTGGCATTGATCTGCCTTTCTCACGTAAATTCATAGGCAAAAACGATGAACCGTTTTTTGACATGCCCGCTCTGCAAAGGATACCTAATTGATGCAACGTCAATCGATCCATGCTTACATACATGTGAGTGGTTTGGCTGCCATCTGGCGCGCCGTAGTCGGCAATGGAAACATGATCAAAGTTGTCTCCAGTCTGTAAATCATGCATCTACAAGGATTGGGAGCGCATGGGCCTCCAGAAAGCCTGTCCCGTGTGTGGGGAGGTCCTAGGGCCAAATCCAGCCCATTCTTTAAAGTGAGCCACATGACATGATCAGCTCGACCTTTTAGCTATGTCGTTCCAGCTTGGGATTATTAACGTCGCTACTTATCAGAGCCGATCACACAATGCAAAATCTCGCATACATTCTGGTGCCCAACCTGGAGAAGTTAGAACAAGCCGCCGCCGCACAGCAGTCTATAAATGGAGTTTCGAACGAGACGGTTGATCTGCCTGCGAACGGTGACGCGAATATGGAGGAACTTATGTCAGATGGTTTATGAGCGGCTTATGGAGGTCGCTTGTTTTTGATCGATGATCATGCGAGGCGTGCGTGACTGCCTGAAACGCTTTTGAAGGCAGCTGCCATTTGTCGCCCTTTCATCGAGCAATTTGTACATATTCTGGTATTGTAGCGATGGTGTTGTTATAGCAGGCGTGTTTTTTTCCATATCAAACGATAAGTGTTTTTGATTCACCGGAGACAGGAAAATCAACATGGTCTAGAAGGTGGTCTACAGAATGATTCCAGGAGTAGAGCTGTACACGATTATGGTACAATCTAGAACTGAATCGCTGGAAAGCCTACGCCTGCCCGTCATAGCCTGCAAAATCGTGTTCCTTGTGGGCTGAAGCTTACGGTAACTGCCGATTAGGCGACACAGAAGTAGCAGCCCATCCCTCCGCTTCAGGCGCACCCGGGCCTACATGCTCTCGCGATGCCGAAAGCGGGCTGCTCGCCCAATCCTGTCCGATCGCCTCCAAAACCGAGTTCAAATACTCGCCAAAGTACCACTTGTCGCCAAATGCCTTGATCCAGGATAAGTACATCTCGAATTCGCGTTGCAACGCCATACGCTCTCTCCATTCGTTCTCTTCCCGCATGGCGATGGCAATCGTGACGGCCGGGTAGAATGCGAAAAGACAGCTGTGTAGTGGATTGAAGGACGCGTGTGGGTCGATGGCGAAGGCCTGTTGCAGAAGATGCGTTACTTCTCGCGAGTGCTTCAAGGCCTTTGCGTACGCTGTCGTGCGGTCCAAAGGAGAGTGGAAGATGGTGGGGAGATGAAGCGCCACGTAACAAGAATGGTACATGACGTGGAGGAAGAAGAGTTGCCATGGCGGGGGATCTCGTGACGTGGAGTCCGCTGCAAAATTTGTGCAGTGGCTGACGGATTGGGCCCACTTTGGTAGTCCTTGCATCCATGCCCTACATTTACATGGTGAGTTGATGCGCGTTTACGCGTTTACCTCAGAAGCAAACTCATTCAGCTCACCTTAAATCAGCCTCTAGCATCTCCACCTCCGTGTCCTTTTCCGCGTACGAAACCGCCGATGTATGCAACTGCGCGACGCTGATAGACACATTCTCAAGTGCGCGTCGAGCGTCCGTAGCAAACCCGACGATAGTGGTCACGGTTCCTCCAACGGCTTGGATGCGGGAGTAAATCTGCGACAGCTGCGCATAGTGCTCAACGCAGTTGAGATCTTCTCCTGGTACGAACGCCCCCATCGCAGGAAGTCCGTCCGGAGTTTCGACCGAGTTGAACACGGCATCCGGTGCCGCCGCACGAACTCTTACTGAATGTTTCCTTATAAATGGCGTCCTATCTATGAGAGGTTGATTTTGATCTGCGATCCTCTTTTCCCGATTGCGGATGTAAGAGTCCGTCGAGTCGACAACGCAGACACACCACCACAGCCGTCGTCGAATCTCCTTTTCGAGCCAGGTCATGGAGCCGTGAATCTCTTCTACATCGGGGTCAACATCCAATTTGAGCTGATTCGCCATATGTAATGCTTGGGAAGCGGTGTCCGTTCCAGCTGGGTCCCCCATTCCTATGTTTTGCATTTGATTAGTGTGGAACCAGATGATTGCAAAGGGCGGAACACGTCACATACGAATTCCCGTGATAGCGAGGATGGTCATAGCAATGAGATTATCCACGCTTGGGCTGTTCACCACCTGAGGTATCATTGCAAGGGCTTTATGGTAGTAAGGCATTCCGGCTTTGTATCCGGGCAACCGATGACTTTTTGTGAACGCAATCGCTGTAGGGTGCTTCGCATAGGGAGCGCCTGCAAACGCCATGGCATACACCAGGAAGATCGGGTGCTCTTCGAGCGGTCGACTCCAAAACGTCCTTTCATGAGATGGAACGTTGTACCAGCGCACGCACACGGCTTTGAAGTAGGCGTCTACCGCATCCATGAGCACATCACGCGAGAACATCTCTTCTGGAGCAACCGGTGGACCAGCCGTCTTTGGCGTTGAGAGCATTGTGTGTGCAGCGGATTGAGGTATCGTGTGGCTAGTCATCATTGTGATGTCCATTGGCGAGTTCGTTGAGAGTTGTAATGGGGCTGCATGGTTTGAAAGGGGGCGCTCGCCGTAATATGCCCTAGTGTCCCATGTATTCACAGAAGACTGCCTTCGAGGTTCTTGCGATAACCCAGATGCTATAGTGGCGGCTTCCGGTTCTGCCGACTGGGGGGAGGGTTGCCAATCATGTGGCGGGCGTCCTGACTTCATGATAGTCTCAACCTCCCGAAGTCTCTCCTCCAACATGAGTACATCTGTTGCGCGTTTCAAAGCAATGAGAAGCAAGTCGCAGGCGAAGGAGGTCCAGGAGTCCCTTACATTGGTCTATTGCTTTAGTGCGTTTCCCACGACGAGCACTGGCAGGCCCTCGCTGCCGGGCGTCGTATGAGCAGTTTGCTCGTGACTTGATACACGAACTGCAGCTCGGTCTTCCGGAGTCGCATTTCGATTTCAGTCGATAGCCTGTGACCATAGGGAGACGAAAGCCTTATGAGACATCGCTTTGGGTGTTCAAAACACTTCAAGGGCAGCTTACATCGGTCGCACGCCCAAATGGTCTTGGTTTTCTTCGTCGGATCGTCCTTCGCAGGCGATTCGCTACCTTCCGTTCGCCGCATGGTTGAGGTCGTGTACGTTTCACGACGCCTTGTGAACGTTTATCGATATCGCAGGAGTCTTGAAGTGGACTCCCACCACATATACGCCAAGGACCGATGTTATGTGCAGTCACCTTCTCGAAGCCCGGAGCCTTCAACTAGGCCTTCCACCAAAGCGTTTGCGACGTTTTGCGTGGTGTCCGGAGACGGCGAAGAACGCCCGGTTGTCGCGCGCATAAAAACCAGGCAAAATGCCATGGGTGCCCACTGCAAATCCTCACATGGGGGGCGCCGGGCCGTTTGATTTTCGATCACTGGCATCGCCGAAGCTCCGCCGTCCCCCTTGTGCATGCAATTCCATCGTCATTGTCCAGGTCATTGTCCAGTGTCCAGAAGGCATCCTACCCGGCGCCGACTGGGGTTCCGGTGGCATGCCCGTGCCCCACTTGCGAAGTGGGTTAACATCTTTGTACCAATCGGAGAGTCCGCGGTATCGTGGCACAGGAGACACATCATGGATTCGCGCCTGAAATCATGGATTAGGGTTCGCTTCGGACGCCGGTCTTCTCAGCGAAATGAACAAGTGATTATGAGTGACTACTCCCACGCCCCATTCTCGACAAGCTAAAACCAAGCAGGAGTGCAGGCATCAGGTAGCTGCCGTCTCCTTGCTCATCACAATCAACGATGCAGGCTTCATTGCTGCTTCATGTCAACGGACCAACGGACATTCGCTTGTTCTCTATAGTACCCCAGTTTTTGGTGTGAGTGTTCATGCGTTTCTGCTCAGGTCTTCATTGGCTGGCAAGTCCAATGGTGCATTCGTAGTGGAGGCTGGTCCTCGTCCTCGTTTCTTAACCGACGCCCAGATGGTTGCGGCTGCATAGTGGTCGAAAACATCGCCATCGGGCTGGATGCAACTGCTACTTACTATGGATTTTGTCAAAGCGAAAATTCTGGTAAGAGTGGATCAGAGTGTTTACGCGCTGCGTACCTTGGCTTCCAGCGAAAGTCATTTAGCAAATAACAACCCAACCGAAATATCCACCACCAGCTAAACCTCCCTCTTCCACTGCTCATCCTGCTGAAGCTGCCGCATCTTCCTCCTGCCCGGAGTTCTTTTCCCACGAGCCAATTAAGACCGAGGAGACTCTTCAACCCGCGCGGATCAGAACCCGAGTGGGGTGGAACTGGAGAATATGTGAAATGGACACCTGGAGATCGCGGTGAATAGAAAGGGGAATATCTCGACTGCCAATTTGGATATCAGTATTTTGTGGTTTGCACGACGAAGTATTAAGATTTGACAGCACATTGTCGCATACTTCATCAGCCTAATGCGGAAGACCACGGGGGATTGCCAACTCACAGAGATTGCGTGCACCAGTTGAGAGCATCAGTTGTGGGACTTACAATGGTGGACGAGACATCGTTTAGCGACACGCCGCAGGACCCGATAACGGTTGCAATCCCGATCTCATATGGCGCAATGCAAAGGCGGCGCCGGCGCTTTTCCAGCCCCGACGAGCCAAGCTTTTGACAGTGCAGTGCAGTGCCCGGAACCCCTCGGCCTCTGCCTGTGATTGCTACCTTCTGTACGACCTTCTCCGGAAGCGACCAGCTGGTGATCAGGTCGGGGGAAGCGTCACATGTGGGGATCACCTCCGCGACCTCACTCGGCGTCAACGGGGCTCCAAACCCTAGCGGCGCGACTATACAGCCGACGATAACGACATCCAGCTCAACATGGAAAACCACCCTCTGAAGGCCTAACCTCATGAAAAAGGTGTCATTGCTGAATCCGTCTTGGGTGCCGCCGCCGGTGTGGGGCTGGTGGCAGCGGGGATTTGGAGGTCCATTGCTCGCCGCAGTGGTCAGTGTCATACGGTGTCGTCGCCGGTAGCAGCGTGGAAGGGCAGAGACAAGATCGCTTGTCAACCTTCCGCAGACGATCTCGTCTCTGTCCTTTGCTTTCATGATCTGATCCTTGATTGCATGCGGATACACCCTCACTTTCTCACGCATTTGGTTGAACAGTTTCCCTTCTATTCTGCAATAACGCCAGGAATTCATGTCTCGTATACCCTCAGAAATGTTCTGATTCTCTTCCCGTTTGTCTTATGAGAGGTGCAATGCCAAGCATGATAAAGTTTGAAACGCTCTCTGCTGCCACTGTCAATAGAAATCGGAGTTTGCCAATCTCATCGCGCTTCAAAATTAAAATTTTGTTAGGGGTAGAATTTTGATTCCTACAGGGTTACACCAATGGAAAAGATCAAATCATTTTATTATGGGGGTGGTGGGATATTTATTGAAAAAATGCAAATGAGCCACGGATGGGAAGGCGCCCCAAAACCCGGGCGTCCCGGGAAATCGGAATCAGGAAGCAAACTTTCTTATACTTTCAACATTCGACGAGCACCGGCGAACGCATCGTTCCGCGTCGTACGCGTGCGCGGTGGAAAGGAAAGCAAATCTGTCCCAAAAAGTTCACCTCATGCGGAAACTCAGAAGGAAAAACTGGATGCGGCTTGCAGGCATTCGGCTATAAAAGCCGGGCCATACTGCATCCCTTCTGACCTTTCATCCACCACACCTAAATTCAAGCACTTCACCATGTTCGGTCTCAAATCAGCTGTCCTTGCCTGCCTTTGCGCAGCTCTCGGTGCCGATGCCCTCACAACGCCTCCCGCCGGAGCCTTGATTGTGTCCAAGACTTCCCAGGGCAATGCGAAGGTTTACAGTACTGTGAGCGCCGCAGTCGCCGCTGCCCCCGCCAAGGCTGCCGCCACCATTTTCGTCTACCCCGGTACATACAACGAGCAAGTCCATATCAAGCGTTCCGCCCCAATGACAATTATCGGTTATTCCAAAAACGACGTGGATTACAAGTCGAACGAAGTCTTGATTACGTACAAGAAGTCTGCTGCCTCGGCCGGTAACAACGATGCCTCGGGCACTGTCCGCGCGCAAAGTGCTGATTTCTCGATGTACAACATCAACATCCAGAACGAGTTCGTCGGCTCTCAGGCCATTGCTCTCTCTGCCCAGGCCGATCGCCAGGGATACTACGGCTGCCAATTGCTGGGATGGCAAGACACCCTGCTCACGAACCAAGGTCACCACTACTTCGGCAAAACCAAGATTGTTGGTCGCGTCGACTACATTTTCGGCTCTCGTTCCCGCGCATACTTCCAGAAGTGTGACATGCGCTCGCTGGACAAGGGTTGGGTTACCGCCTCCGGAGTGGACTCTGCTACCAACAAGGGCGTTTACGTGTTTAACCAGTGCACAGTCGCCGCGGCCGATAATGCTCTCCCTACCGTCAACGGAGGTGTTGCTTTGGGACGCCCGTGGAGGCAATTCGCTCATGTCGTCTTCATGAACAGCGACATCTCGAACATCATCAAACCCACAGGCTGGGACCAATGGAACCCGACCGACCCCACCCAAAACCTCCAGTTCTTTGAATATAACAACATGGGCACCGGTTCTGCTACAAGCAAGCGTATCTTGTCCCGTGTTCTGGCCGCTAACGAGGTTGGAAAATACTCGATGGCGAATGTCCTCGAGTCGACCAACTGGGTGGACAAGAAGTATATTTAAACTCGAACTATTGGTATACCCCCTAGATACTAGATTGGAAATAGATTGATCGTAGCTGATCGTGCACCTCTGGCTATATGAGGGCGGCCTTGGCTACATAGAATCGGAATACGCCCGAATATACATACCAACGAGTGGATTCAATTACTGTCAAAAAGAGTGTAATACCGTGCCCTTGGGCTCGCAAACCGTATTGTCGGTCACCGGTCTACCGTCAATACCCTTTGACAGTTGTTCAATTATTCTCCGTTCGCGTTGCTCAGGACTGCAATGGATTCAATGGCCAGAAGAGTCAGTCCGCAGGATAGTCTCAAGACTGGCGGCCGAGCTCCCTCTGGAACGCGTTGAGCGGACGGACAAGCCAGTTTCCATGTAGTAGTCACTCGTTCCCCCCGTGCCTGTGGCCATATTTCGGGCCTACTAGTCATTTGCACCTAGAATACCTTAGGACAAAGCTGTAGCCAAACCCACATTGCCTTGTGGGGAATGGGCCAGTTTTCGGTGATGACGAATCTATCATACATGTATAGATTGAGGGTGGCCGCAGGTTGTACACACACTTCTCATCCCACCGCTTACATTGCCCTTCCATACATATCAGCCGTCAAAACGTCCCACACTTGAAAGCAAAAAGCGCCAGCGCGGCGTCCAAGAATGTCGATGGCGGTGAGAAAAAACAGGCTAGCCATTTTGAGCTTGTTGGACCGCCGCCTGTGGTAGATAAGTCGAGAGAATTCGAGAGAAGGCGGGCGGTCATCTGACGTGGTTGGGTGTTCTGGCATTTTGGAGAAACGGTGAAGTGGTTGGCGGTGGGGATTTAGATTGGAGAAAGAGTGGATTTGGACACAATGAAAAGGACGCGCTGCAATTGTGCTGGTATTTGGAACGTCGGGAGCGAACCTAGAAGACCCTCTGGATTAACAATGGAAAGTGCAAATAAACCCCTTATACGGTTAGCAGGGACAAACGGAGCATGCCCAACTGGAAAGACCCGGCATTTGTTTGTTATAGTCCGCGCGGCAGACCTCCAGATCTGCATGCTTCTGAGGCAATCCAGTGGGGGCTAAGCCGGAAATGTAACGCGCTCAGATCAGCTCCGTTGGCAGACACACTTTCTGTGAGCGCCAGAGGGAGCCAAAATTTGTATGTAAGCGAATAGGGTTTGCAGGGATCTCAAGCCACACTGCACCAAGCCTGACGCATTCATGAATTGAAAGTCATGAAAATCTCATCGATTGACCAAAGACGTTTGAGAGGCTCGAGCTGATTGGCCCATGTCCATCGCACACATATGCGTATACTTAGGAACAAGTGAAAGGCCCGATCCATGAAGTCCAGAGAATTGTCACAAAACTTCCCACCGCGCTCTACGGAATGAATGGATTTGAATGCAAACTGATATCACTCGGTCTCAAGATATATCGGAAACCAAAAATTAGACTGAGCCGCTCATAGATCATGTCTCTGCAGCCCTTTGGGACTCTATATACCAGACGACAGCGGCAGAGTTCTGCCTGAGTCTGGATCCCACGACAAGTAATGGATGGCTCGATGGCCATGTCACATTCACTCGACCACCGCGCCACCAAGAGGATCGGTTCTCAAAGCTGTGGAAGTCGAATCCCCATCACTCTGCTGAGGAAGGGCTTCAGGCGGGGTTGCGTATCCTTGCGAAGCCCCTACGTCGAAGTCAGACTCTTGCCTAGGAAGAAAGGCAGACGATACTTTCGGAGCTTCTGGTTTGGCAGTTTGGAAGTTGCTGAATTTCTGGTGAGGTTAGTGTACGATCAGGCGCTTGCACGAAACATTGAACCCTACCCGAAATCCGATTCCGAATCCAGAGATACGCTTGGAGGGGATTGGCCGCTATTCGAGAGCGCAGCGGCGGCGAACGCTGCACCCGAGGCAAATGTACTTCGCTTCTTTGGGCGGAAGGTTGGATGGGTATTATGCGCTGGTTTTGGCACTGATGATGGTTCTGGCGAGTTGGAGAGCGGTGTTGCTTTGGGTATGTTGATCTTTGATGGCAGAGGCTCGCTCTCAATCACGCCTTTGGAGAAATGTGAGAGTGGGTCACTGGATCCTATGCTGTCGGGGGTTTTTGATGCTGTCTCAACCAATGGCGGTGGCGTAGGAGACGGATTAGTGGCCCGTGGCTGAGATTTCTGAGGGTTAGAATGCACGAGCGGCGATTATAGTACCACAAGCTATGTCACAGTCAACTCACCTGCTCCCGAACGAAACTCGTTATCCTCCGAATCTGCTCATTATTCATGAGCTGAGCGTCTTCCTCATGCCTCAAGAACTCCTCATCATCCAGTTCCCGCACAAACGGCCCTCTGTTTCCCTCACGCCCGTCGGTTGGGACAGACTGGTACCCGCCGGCCCTGAAACCTCCACGATGCGGTCGCCCCGGCGCGCCATCTCTCGGGGGCCGAAATAGAGCAGCGACTTTGTCCCAGAAAGGCGACCTGTTGTGGGCATGGTTATAAGCACCATGCGCGTTGGGGTTGTTCAGGAGGTTCTCAAACTCCAAGTCATCGATCTCGTCATAATCGAACGTCAACTGTGATGCGAGGCCATTGCGATATGAGGCCAGCCACGCCGAGTTGGGACAACACGCTTCAGTAGCGTCCAGGCATCCCGAAGCGCAGTTTCCCATCGCCTGTGTGAGTCTGGTGTGTCGGGATGTTCGGGAAAGTCGTATATGAGGCAAGGGACGGTGGACTAGGTACGGTAGTTTTACTTGCTTTGCGAAGTTCAAAGGCTAGGCACGAGATTTGTTTGTGCCCCAACTTTCTTGTTCCTGAGAACTTTTTTCAGACCTCTGGGAAATTACGCTGGGCCAAGTGGGCCATGACAGACAGCTGCGAGCAACTCAGTCTATCGCAGGAAACCATAACATAGGTCCAGCCTCGTAGAGCTCAGACGGCAGGCAAATCCTGAAATGAAGTTTACCATTCCTACTGTACCCGTCGCACAAAGCACCACATCACCACCCCACGATGACTCGCGATTCGTTGACCAGCCTGGTACCCACGTTACCTCTGCGCGTTCTCCGCCTGGAGAACCGTTCCCGCAGGATGCCGCACCTCTAAGCTGGAAAAAGTATCAGGGGGTTTCAGCTGGTGGCGGGCACAAGCAAGGTGGTGGGCCAGAAGGCGGCGAGACGAAGGCCAGGACGAGAAAATTTGTTCCGTAAGTCGCTCGCCTCAATCCTTTGCACTTCAAGGTTGAACAGCAACTTTGCCTAATATAAGCATCTTGGATAGGGGTGGCCTTGCTGAGCGCTTGACAAATTTAGCTGCGGTAGATAGGTCGGATAGTATCATGTGGATGCACACGACGAGTGAAGGTGAGACAACCGACGGTGTGCACACATCATACGAGCTTCGGCTCAGATACGAACTGTTTTCAGCTCGCAAACGGCAGTATGGTGCACAGCCTAGTATCGTTGTCAGCGTCATGACAGCAACGCATGATCTGTTCATGAATGTCACTTGGGCGGATTGCCGGCCGTGGATCCCACGCACGCCGTTGGGGATTTTGGCCGATGGACCAACACCCAGCGAATTCCCTCTTGATGACGTGAACCAGGAGTCCGACATCACGAATGTAGTGTTCCGGCATTGCACAAAACTACACAACATGGCATCCGCGGATGAGCGCAATTGGACGACTATCGAGTCGGGGCATGTGGTGGAACTATATGATCCAGTCGTAGTCGAAAGGGGGATCGGAGCGGATTCGGCGGCGAACAAGCGTGGAACAGGGGCTTCCACCGAAACAGTTCTCTTGTGCACCAAGTTTATTATTGTGGAAACCAGGGAGGGTTAGCTACCAGAAAGTCCCCAAGGCGTTAAGCCGACGAACTCGTGCTGCTCTCATATCGTGGCGCGGGGCCGAAGAACATGATGGACCTCAACCTCAATACTCTTCAGGACACTGTATATATACTGTACCGCCCGCGATTTGGACAGCCGAATTCTCGACAAGCGACCTGCAGGAGATTGATCCACCTTCGCCTGCCTAGCTTCAAGTTTCGGACCTGCGTTCAGGTCCGGTCCGGTCCAGGGTCCGGTCCTGCGATCGAATGTCCAGTCCTTCGGGCAACTGTTGAGATGAAGCACCACCGGGAATGTTGCTAGTCACACTCACGGAAACAACCGAGAGACCATGTTCAGATCTTCGCGGCAACTGAGGGCAGAAAAAGTGCACCGGGCGTATTACTTTGGGTTTTGCTTTGTGAAGGCGTACCGGGCGAGGTCTGTTTCTTCTCTCCCCTGCATAGATGGGTCTACGTATTCACCAAAAGTAGCTAGAGATCGCAGCGAGGATATCACTGCCCATCACCAGGGTATATTCCGTCTTTGTAATGCAATACAAAAATCGCGTTTGACAAACACATCCGGCCTGATGAAAATCAGAATCCGTATGTCACGGCAGACATTAAAATCTACAATCCGAGAACAGACCCATGAGTTTTCATGGATTTGCCCGGTCTCGATCCTTATCCCACGCAGAAGAGGAAGACGCAGAGCGAGTATCCGGCTCTTTGCTGTCATTCCAGTCCCGTTCCCGTTCCCTGTCCCGCTCTCGGTCTCGGGCGCGATTCCGATCCGGGTCGCGGTCTCTATCCCTCGCCCGGTCTTTTTCTCGGTCCCGGTCGCGGTCCCAGTATCTATCTCTTGAGCTCACAGAGTCGCGGTTCGAGACTGATGGGCTGTAACTCCGTGCACTATCTCTGTCCCGGTCTCGTTCTCGGTCGAGCTTTCGCACGGAAATGGGGCTCACCGGATTCCTTGAGGAGCGGTCACGGTCACGGTCCCGTTCTCTTTCTCGATCTGCGAACGAGAAATACCCTGACCGCCGATTCCGATCGAAACGCGAGGACGTAGGCGTTTCCCCCGACCATGAGTCGGCCACTTCCCCTTCCTCAATATCGTCTTTCAGTGTAGGGCTGTTGCGGATGGAAGCGGGTGCAGAGCGGTGATATCGGTCGCGATCTCTTTCGCGACTGTCGATGGATGATGAGCGGGAGGAGCGCGGGGGAGGGCTTTTGGCTGCGTCCTGGAGGTAGACGACTCGGATGGGAGTATGTTCGCCGCGAGAGTCTCGCCGCTTTGCTATTGGCCGATCAGCGCTCTGGCTGCGGCTATGCGGGTGTGGGCTGCTTTTCCGTAAGACAGACTCCCGTGATCGGTCATCATCAGTTTGCCCGAAGGGACGGTCTATCGTCACGATCCTCAATTCGCTTTTGTAGACCGCCGGCTTGATCTCCTCTCTTGGCGCCCGTGCCTCGGTGGCCACCGGACTGGTAAGTGCGACGGATATCGCTTTGGTCTCGGCCACAGCTGGTTCATTGGCAGGCTGTTTCTCTTTCGGAGGCCCCGTCCCCGCCGTGACATCCGCTCTTTCAGAGGACTCCTGTTGCTTGGCATTTTCCGCACTTCCCGACGGTCGGAGTTCCTTTGCCGGTTCGGTTTCGCGCTCTTCGTTCGATGGCGCTGATGAAGTCGTATCTACCCGCGGTTTCGGCTCTTCGAACTTTTGTGTCGAATTGCTAGCAGCAAGCTTCCCCTTCATTCGCATATATTCCTCGAGGCCAATCTTGCGAGGCGTTGGTGCTTCTACTTTCACAATGACTTCCGGTGCTGGTGTTGTCGCTCTGTTCTCTGGCTCAGCCTCGGCCTCATCACGCGTCTCCTCCGCCCGATGAGAAACTGTGCTGGAACTCGGAGGTTCTCCAGTGGCGTTCCGCCTTTCGAGAAATCGCTGTGGTTCTGGTGAAGACGCTGTTCCGTTGGTAGCCCTTTCGGGTGATTTTGGCACATCCACGACCGATTCACCACTCGGCACTGCTGGCACATCTGTTTCTGTGTGTGATCGTCGTTCTGTTGCGAGATTTTGTGCCGGTGAGGCCGGAGCCCCTGTCGACCCCTCAGCTTCCCTTGGCATTTGCTCCCAGATTTTCTCTAGTTTAGCTTGCAGGGTGACATTATGCGTGGGTTCCGGTACTTCAGCATGCTCAGCTTCGTTACTGCTCTCTGCGATTGTCGGCAATGACACACTTTGAGACACATCCGCGATTTCATCGATGCAGGCGGGGCTGAGTCTGTGCTCCTCCTCCTCGTCTTCTCCATCATCGCGTTCCAGCATTGGCTTATCCACCTCTTTATTCTGCGGCCCATCGTCCTCGTTTGCTTGTCCTGGTTGTTCAGCCAGCGGCGGAGGTGCAGCTGCTTCTTCCGGAACGGGCCGCACCAAAGCGGCGCTTCTCAGGTTCCGCGCCATGGTCTCGAGGGTATCTAAATACTTTGCCAGCAAGTTATATCGCTGTCCCGCTTCTTCGAAGCGCTTCAGTTTCTCATCCAGGGTCGACGTCATGTGTAGACTTATAGCTTGATGCTTTGACCGAAGGTTTGAACTTATTTGCGGCAATTCGCCCAGCTGGTCAACAGCCGTTTGAAAAGACATCGATGAGAAGGCCAGCTCGTCAAACGGAGAGCAAAATGTGAAGCTAGAGGGAAATTGCGTGAGGTCGAATCGATCGAAGACCGGTTTCAAGGCCAAGAAGAACAAACCTCTCAGGACCCGTGATCTGTCGTAAATAATCGGAACGTTGCCCGGGGAGAACATGTATGTTCTCATCAGGTATTGACCTTATTTCCTTGGCCAGCTGAGACTCCTGGTCTGAATTCACTTTCATCTGCGAAGGTTGTAAATATCGCATAGGACTTTAGTGCTACGGACTTGACCACTAGCTACCTTCTTCCGAAAGCTCTCCTGTGCCAAATCGGATGTGCTTTTTCGCTTTCGACTTGCCAAAGGGGTGGCTTCCTCGTCTAACTGAGGAATCAGTGCGTCCGCTGTACTGGAGTTCGCGAGCCGAGCTTGGAGTAAACTATTGGCTCGCGATTCCGAAGGTGAAGGTTTTGCCCTTTGCTCGAACGCAGCGTGCAGCGCCTTCACGTTCTGTGAAGACGAAGTCCCCATGGTGGGAGTCGTTACAAGGTACGTTAAGTTATCGGCTTCTGGCGTTAGCTTCTCTATGTTGATGGTGACGCATTGATAGCCGGCAATTGTTGTGAATCCAGCTAACGGACTGCCTGGGGCCCAAAGAGGTATCAATAACGCGGATATCCCGAGGAATCAACCTTCCTCCGAGCGCAACGCACCCCTTAAACACACCAGACCAATAAGGTCAGTGAGCAGTCCGGACAATCCACTCAAGAAATCCACAGATTTCGTTTCGCTTTCCGTCGGCATGTCGGAATCTGAAAACGCTAAATATGCCCGGAGTGCCGCATGCTGAAATACTTCAAAGTATGCCGAAGCGATGTCGTGACCGGTTTGTCGCAGAATTTCGTTGCTTTTGCCGAGGTGTGGATGGAAAGGAAATCCCTACGGATAACATATATGAGCAAATGCTTGGTGTATCTAAACCGCATTGTTTGGTATTTACCGCAAACCATCCTAACACAGTTTGACCGTGAACGCTGAGAAGTTGAGATAAAACGGCGAACAGGTCGCTCCCGTCCGACTTGAAAGGCACAAAGCCTTTGACATGCAAAGCAAGCCCCTCTCCGTCGGTCAGGTCACGAATACCAAACAGCACCGCTTGGAAGATATCGCTTTGACCTTGGGAATGCAGGGCGAGGAACGTATCTACGAGAAAGTGAATGTAAAAGCCTTGGTGATAATGACTACAATCAACAGTTCAAACGCTTTGCCGCCCCCACCTTTCGACATATGCACAGTGGGATACACTGTACTCGCCATTGTGAATATAAGTTATTTCGTCGAGGTCGTGGGAGATCCCCGTGCGCCCAATGGTAGGCCTGGTCCCTGCGCGTCTCCACTCTGAGTCGTCGTTTTGGAAGATGGGGACCGTTTACTGGTTCGTTCTCGCTTTGTTTGTGGCATTCGGAAGAGAGTCTTTGCCTGCCTCTCCGAGCCTCTCTGCCTACGACTTTCTATGATATATGCTTGAGCCGACGGAGTCGGTGCCGATGAGCGTTTGACCTTCGTCCAGGGCAATAATCGCCTCGCCGTTTCGCCGTTTCGACTGTTCACTTGCCCGTCGGTCACGTGCTTCGCCGCGCGGTTGTGGGGATTTGGCCTCTGGGAACGAGCGCCAAAGGGGGTGATTGCGAACGGTAAAGCAGTACTCAACAACCCCCATCTCTGTTCGACAGTAGTATCGCTCTCAGCTGCCAGCCGCTCCGGTGCTTTGATAGGTCTAATCGGTTCAACAATCCCCCGTCGTCATCCCTTCTCCAAACCCGTCTCCGAGTCGATAGCCTACCATGGTTCAATTCTTCTCCAACCTGCCCGACGACGACCACGTCCCTTACAAATTCTTAGAAGCCAACCCACACATCAAGGATGTGGTCCGTTACATGCGACAGGAGGACTACGCTGTTGGTGCTGCTGTTGGGCTGGGTTTCCCTGCTGCTCACTACATTTGGGGTGCGTACTGTGGAATGGGACATGAAGGGAGGGGATGAGGGGTTGAAGGCCCGCGAAGGGACGTAGGAGGCAAATGGAGCCATCAGGCATAGGTCTGGAATGCGGGACAGAACGACATCTGGTGGTCATAGACGAATCAGCTGTGAGAGGCAGACTGCGGGGTTGTCGAAAGAGATTGCATCCTCGCCAAGGGTCCAAGCAACCCCCATACTCACGTTCCACCTCCTGCCTACAGAACGACTGTCCCCATCATTCCACCCTCGTGTGATGCCTCGTGTCATGGCAGTCCAGATCCCCTTCTACGCATCCGTCGGTTTCATTTTCGCATGCAAACGGTCGCTATGTAAGTGCCTCTCCCTGTCTTGTGCTCACTATGTCAAGTGTACCATCGCGCTAATCATCGGATCCTCAACACATTAACAGTCAGGTTTTGGGGATGGACAGAAAACAACGCGGAGGCAACGCGATGGGCAAAAGAGATCGCTGCCCGGCCTCCAGCAGTTAAGAAGGGATGGCAAGATCTTGATTGGTAGAGACGACGCTTCCCATCAAACTCCCCTGTATACCATCCTGTTTGTGAATTTTCCTCTCTCGCTCCTTTCTGGGGATGCTCTTCTTTACAGTACATATAGCACCATACCCCTTGAATGGCCCCGACCAGTCGTGTGTTTGCGTCTGGCGTGTGAACGATATGGGTTGGGTGTGGAGTTCCATGGAGTGAGAAGTGGGTGGACATAGGAAATTCGTCATTCCGACACAAAGAACGTTCGGTGCCTATTTGCTGGATCGCATATTCTATACGACGCCAATGAGAAGCTGGTGATGATGTCGAAGCTACATTACATGACTGCCTCCTGCGACGTCTACGGGACTACGCTAGAATCTGTCCTGCGAGGTGGGATGTGAATCATGTGATGCGCTACGGCGATTTTCAGTGGACGAGGCTGCGGCGGCTCCGTTGCTTCCTATATGGGTGGTACCCAGCGGCGCAGCCATCACAAACTTCAAGCGCAAATGTGTTGTCCTCCGACACAGGCATTTCTTTCGGGTTAACTTGAGGCCTGTCCCGCGAAGCCTTGCGAGTTTCAAAATTGTTCGAGTCCAACTGTTGGGGTGTGATGACACCTCAAAGGAGCATCTTGGACATGTATGGCCCGTCAAGCTCATACCCCAGCTTTCGATAGTAGTGGCGTGTTCCGACTCCTGTGGGAGCCAACGGTATGTTAAATTGGTTGGAAACGAGGACTTCCGCTCATATTGATCGGAACCCAAAACGTACCGGAAATGACAGCCAGCTTAACACTCCCATGCTCCTCCCTCGCAATCCGCTCCGCCTCCTCCATCAACAGAGTCCCAAATCCTTGATGCTGGAACTTGGTCGGATCCCGATTATGTATCGGCACCACACTCCCATACACGTGCAACTCCCTCACAATCGAGCACTGTCCCGGATCCTTCAACTCAGGCCTAAACACCGCCTCACTGCACTTCCGCAGCCGCAACAGACCGATAAGGATATCCTGCCGCGGGTCCTCGTAGGAGAGGAAGGTCTCCCAGCCGCCGTTGGCGACGTAGTCGCGGCGGATGAGTTCGACTTGGTCGGGTTGTACTTTGTTGTGGATGTCTTGGATGCCGACTTCGCGGGTGCGGACGTCGCGGCATTCGGTTCCGAGGTCTTTCATGCGGTTCAGCGCGAGTTCGCGGAGGTTACCGTGTTCGACGCCGGATGTTACGAGGGGCATGGGGATATCACTGATGGGAGGGAGAAAGTATCAGTGATCGTGTTCCATCCAAAGACACCCAACTCACTTGACTCACCGTTGAACACGGTACACACGAGTCCATGGCGGTACGAGCGCCAGAATGCGAGCGATCAAATCCACCAGCGCTTCCGGCGTATAGTTCTTATACCGGCCAGTCCGCCACAGCTCGTACAACCCCGTCCCTCGAATGACAAGCGTAGGATAAAGTTTCAACCCGTCAGATCGGAATGCTGGGTTCTCGAAGTACTCTTTGAACTGGTCCATATCCCGCTCCATGCCGACATTCGGCAGATCTGGCATCATGTGCGCTACGATTTTGTACCCGGCGTCTTTACCGAGCTGAAATGATTCACACACGGCCTTGACGGTATGTCCACGATTAGTATCCCTCGCAACGTCCTCGTATACGCTTTGCACGCCGATTTCCAACCGTGTGCAGCCGTATCGGAGCATTTGGCTCAGATGAGGCTTCAAGCAGTAGTCCGGTCGAGTCTCGATGGTGATTCCGATGCATTTGGTTTCGCTCTGCTCCGAGAACCGAACGGCTTCGTCAACGTCGTTGCTGGTGTACCCCGTGAGAGCGTCGTGCAGGTTTGCTATGAACCAGTTCCGGTATTCTTCCGCTAGGGACATGAAAGTCCCACCCATAATGATGTACTCCACTTTATCTACGCTGTGTCCTAGCTGCTTAAGCTGATCCACCCGTCCCCTCGCCTGCTCATATGGGTTATACCGAGCCCTGATAGCCCGCATACTGGTTGGTTCGTATCCCGTGTACGACTGCGTCGAGTATTCGAAATCCGAGTCGGGTCCACCGGGACAATAAACACAGATATTCCCTGTCATGGCAATGTGCGGACACCTATGCGGCTTGCACATGACGGCTACAACCGCAATTCCTGAAGCTGTTCGCACGGGCTTGGCTCGCAGGCGAGGAAGGAGCATGGCTTTGTGCTGCTCGGGAATGGCGGCTATAATATCGACCAACTTTGGCTGTGTGTGCAGCCGGTACTTTCTGGCAACCTTTGTTTTGACTCCTGTGAGGCTGACATCCTTCCCGGCTTTGATGGCGGCTACTAATTCGTTGACAATCTAAGTGGGGTAGGTCAGCGTTTGTGTCGGCGGTTCGTCCTTGCCGCTCTTTTCCGCCGGTAACTGAACTCATACCTCGGAGCAAGTCTGGACCAGAGCAGCACTCAGGTCCTGCCCAGAGTGCACGTTCGACATTGGATGAATGGGCTTCGAGCGTTATGTGCAAGAGGCAGCTGGTCGAGGTTCTCCTATAGGACCGTGCTCAGATAGCACGTAACTTTTTGAGTCTTAAGCGTTGACTTCACGCATAAAATGCAATGGGGTTCCGCGTCAAAAACAAGCTGCGTCAAAAGAGGTCATAGATATGTAAAGTGGGTAAAAGCTGCAAAAGTGTGCCTGGAATCTTCTCCAACATCATGTAGCGAAGGACCCTGTAGAACTTGCATCGCAGAACCGCATTTGGACTATTCGTTACAGCCGAAATGGCAACCGCCCCCGATTCTCCCATACCCAGCTGCAGCTCACGGGCGCAGCCCAGACCTCTCGCCATCTCGCCCGCATTCGCGGCCTTTCGGCGCGGCGAATACGTAGCTTGCATTCGTTTGCTGGACGAGGCGAAAGAATAAGTAACAAACTCTCATAACGTCACGCTCCAATCCCTTGATTTCGGAACAGAATGGTTTTACAGGTAGTGCAACCGACCCGCAGAACGACAAACTCTTGGAGATAGAATCGTTGCCGCAACTTGATGTGGGCGCCTGGGAGGAGGCCTTGGATGACGCCGCAGGCGGTGCTTAGCCTTGATCCAACAAATATCCAAATATGTGTGCGGGGCCGAACGAGCGACTGCATAAATCTGGTAGCGGATCTATCTTTAACGTTCATTCATGCCCTCTTACACTGTTACTCAGGGTTACTTGCACGCGGGCGAGGCCTTTTCTTGCTTGGGGAAAGATGAGGATGTTGCGAGAATGTAAGAGATCGCGAAGGGAAAGACTCGGACAGGAAGCATGAAATACGGGGTATGCGAGTAGGATGTGTTTCCGCGATCTAGAGGAACGTTCTATGATTCCGTTCTGTAGTCTTCTGACAGTGTTTGAAGTCAATATTGAAAGTCTACAGCAGACCGAAAGTGAACACAATCACCACACTGGCAGAAAGACATATCAAATCAAACCGATGCCTCATCACTAGCATCCAAACCTCAGCAGAATCCCGCTCTCACTCCCGCTGAAGCTTTTCCTCTCATCCTCAGCTATCTCCCACTCACCACCCTTATCCGTGGCACCACGGTCTCTCGCACTTGGCCCGCCCTCCTACGCAGGAGTGAGAGCCGTGTCTGGGCCGCACTCGATTTCAGCGCCTACCCCGACTCTGTCTCTGACGCTGTGTTACGACGTATGTCGCAAAAGTGAGGTCGAGCCTGAAGCATTTGTCGCTCAGCAATTGCACGAATGTTACAAACTCCGCCTATACGTGCCAGGAGACGAATGCTTGCCACACTGGACGTCACCAGATGTACTTGGATCACGCCGTCTCTGGATATGGACATCTTGGAGGCTACTGGACAATCTTCGACTGCTGTTGATTTGACCGACCACGCGCGTCAACGACCTAACCGTGCGTGAGTTGCTCAGTGATTGTCGCGGGTTGAGAAATCTCAGGCTGGCCGGAAGCTCAGGCGTCACCGACGAAGAGGATCTGCGAGAACTTTGGAGAGAACTTCGTGCCCTTGGCTTTGAAGACTCTGGACCTGAGGAGCTGTGAGGTGACGGACACGGCGGTGGGATTGGTGGCGGGGCGATGGTGGTGGCATCATTCACAAATATTGCCCGGAGGCCTCCTACAAAGGTGGGGAATGAGGTGGGGTGGGGTATGGCGGGACATGGTGGCGTATGTAGTTAGGAAGCACTGTGTTCGGTTTGGTTTGATGCAGGATAGTATTTTGCCGCATTTTACTATGTTGGGCATTTCGCGGTGTTGAGCGTGTGTATTTACATGAAAAGATACATACTTCAGAAATACTACCTCTACTATGTCTTCGTACTCTGTTCTCCCAATTCGCACTCCGGTGGGTCCCGCCGACGGTGAGGCCGAGCGTGACGGGAACATCAACCTCGGAAAATTGAGAATCTCCGCCCAGGGCCTTAAGCTCTCCAAGTTGAGTCTGCAAGCTACGTATGTTTCGCCAGATGAAAGCGTTCAAATCTCCTGAGGGGCGGTCTGAGCACTTTTACACGCAGCCACCACAATGTTTTCCTGAGATCTCTGCAAGAGCCCTCTCCCGTAACCTCGGGTGCAGACCATCTGCTATCGATCTGTGGAGGGCTTTGGTATACAATGCGATTGATGTACATCTGCGAAGTCGGATTTGTCGGACGCGCGCGGGCGGACGCGCGCAACGCGGGTTACTTGTTCCCGTTTGTCATGTTTGGAATACTTCGATCGTCGGCGCCATTCACCTGCGGAGAAACGGGTTCCAAGACACAGATGGAAATCTCCTTGTGAGGGTCCTGTGAGTTTTCCTCCTACGTGCTGTCTTTCGTGACGGGCTGGAAATCCATGAGCTTCGGCCGTCGGTTCCGGAACAGGTTTCGTAGCGAGCGCCGATCTCACCTTCTGTTGAGCGGAGTGAATATACATGCCGAATCATAGGTGATACGGTAACAAGTGGCGGACGTATGCGTAAAGCCAGCGCGAAGTAACTGGCAATGGATACGAGTGACAACACTCAGAACTGAATCCATCCGTGGTGTATAGATACATTCCTCAAACCGAGCGGTCCTACATTCGACGCTGCTCTCCGGTGATGAGGTTCTCCTTCCATCAAGATTTTTCAGATAACTCGGTTTGTAGAATTGAGCTGTTAAAGCTGCACCGGCGTAGAACATTCGTGTTTTTTTGGTGTCGGTTCGATAGAACCGTGTTTCGTATTCTGAGTCCCAAGCTTCAGACAGATACCTACTGTGAAATGGCACTTCCATGATTCAACAAATATCTCAACTGTGAAAGCGTTCAGCGTCACGGTAGCGCGTCCGAAAGTCTGATGGTGAATGCGATCGACGCCAAATGTCACCGAACGGTCTCGCGTACGCTTCCATATGATGCCGTGCATGTCATTCCCCGTCCGCAACCAACAGCCTGTGCGGCGCCTATCATCTTTGCCGAGCCCTTCCATCCCCGAGCAAGTCCGTATCCAGAACAATCGGCGTCGGCGCTGAACCATCCTTCGGCTGCGGCGGTGGCGGATGATGGGAGTCCCGGTGGTGAACGTGATTACCTGGACGCGAAATCTACTCTGTCCGATCGTTTCCTGATCACAAAGTGGTGGAGGAGCTCCGATGGTCGGGATTTCTCGCGCCCAAAATTGACGGCTCGCCAACGTCGAATCGCTGTCCACGAAAGGGCCAATATATATATATATATATACGCGACGTTAGGGGTTGCGGTATGGGCAGAAAACTCGGGATGCGTTGAGGGGTGTGCGTGCCCGTCTGCGTATCATCCATCCGCTAGCCACAAGTCCTCGCGCCCTTTGTTCTCAAATATTATCGCACTCCACTTCGGTTGACACCAATTTTTGGTGTTATATGGCGGGTGAGGCTGGCTTATCCAGAACGGTGGCGAGCTGAGGTTAGATTTGGAAAGTCGGGGTTGTGGAAGCGGACTGGACATGCAGCGTGATTTGGGGAAGCTGCTCGTCTTGACGGAGCCGTTGAGAAGCCGGGTGGGTCGTCCTGAGTTCTTCCAGCCCTTCCGCGCTGGCGAGGACAAAACAGAAACTGAATTTCGAAGGAGACACAACCACTCAACTACGAGGTGAAGCCTGAACATCAAGATTCAAGGCACCTCCGACTCGACCTTCTTGATAACACGGCGCGCCAAAAGAGACCAGAGGCAAGTTGACGAGAATCATGAACCCAGCCGCACACAGAACTGGCGGCTCGCAAATCGACCAACGCCACAAACAGAACGCAGCACACGCAATGACACGAATGTTCGTTTTGAAATCCTCTTACGAAAAAGTTTAGATACAAAAAAAAGAACTAACTTAGTATATTTAACAAAATACGCTTGGACAAAATGGGGTTCAGAAACGCGGTGGGTGTTGTTATGATTCTTGACATGGCGGCTTTCACAAGACCGATGGTTTAGTCCTAGAAACGGGAAGACGGAGTCAGCATCGTGCACAACACAACAACAACAACAGAGGGACGAAAGGGTGGAACGTACCCGGAACTCAACACTGACAACCTTGCCCAACATGACGGCGGAGTTACCGTCAAGGAAGGCAATACGGGAAAGACCCTCGCAGTTCTTGAAGGAGTCAACGACGAGAGGCTGGATGGGCTCCATGACGACCTCGGCGGCCTCGTTGGCCTTCAAGGAGTGAGCGCCCTCGAGCTTCTTCATACCGGTCTCCTTGCCCATCTTCCAGTTGATGGCCTTCAATCGGCATGCAGAGCGACCGCACCGAACGAATCCAATGGGGGAGTATCCGGGCTTGACCTCGCCGGGAATGTCGAGGGTCTGGATCTGGGCAACGAACGACTTCACGGGCTTGAGGGACTTGTCGTCCTTGTAGATCATGATGTCTCCAGCGCGGGGCATGTTGTTCTTGTCGAGACCCTTAATGTTCATGCCGATGTTGTCACCAGCCTGACCCTTCTCAACCTTCTTGTGGTGCATTTCGACGGTGAAGACCTTGCCAGCGCATGCGTTGGCGGCGGTGTGGGTGGGGACGAAGATGACATCCTTGTTGGGGAGAACGGCACCCTGCTCGACACGACCAGCGAGCACATCACCGACACCCTTGATCTTGTAGATTCCAGAGATGGGGACACGCATGGGGGCGTCGTTCTTACGCTCGGGCATCTCGGCGAAGTCGTTGAGAGCGTCGAGGAGAGTGTGGACCTTGACCTTCTTGCCGGATTGCGTAGTGACCTCCTGCCCAGAGTACCAGCTCATGTTGGCGGACTTCTTGAGCAAGTTGTCTCCTTGCCAGCCGGAGATGGGGATAACGGGAACGTTGCCCATGACGAAGTCCTTCTTCCAGCCGGTACGGATCAACATGTTGCGCATCTCGTTGGCGATCTCATCGTAGCGCTCCTTCTTGTAGGGGCCCGCAGGGTCAGAGTCCATCTTGTTCACGCCGACAACGAGCTGCTTCACACCGAGAAGGTTGAGAAGACGGGCGTGCTGACGAGTTTGACCCTGGATTTCTCCGGCCTTGTGGTCACCCTTCTGGATAGCGGTGGTGAAGTTTCCGTCAGCGGGAACCATGAGGAGACCGACGTCAGCTTGAGCCTATGATCAGGGAAAGGGAAGAATGGATTTAGTTTCTGCGAATTCTCAGATATCATGTATACCGCATCGAGAGAAAGGAGATACTTACGGCACCAGAGATCATGTTCTTGATGAAATCCCTGTGGCCGGGAGCGTCGATGATGGTGTAGTGGTAGTTGGTAGTGAAGAATTCCTTGGTGGTGCAAGCGATGGTGACACCACGGGCACGCTCTTCCTTTTGGCGATCCATGTAGAAGGCAAAGGCGAAGGAGGATTTGCCGAGGTGCTCAGCTTCTTGGCGAAGCTTCTCCATTTCACGCTCGGGGATACCGCCGAGCTCGAAAAGAAGACGACCAGTGGTGGTCGACTTTCCGGAGTCGACGTGACCGCAGATAACTACGAGATAGAAGGGTGGGAGAAGTATAAGTTAGCGTCTGCAGAATGAAGGTCGACGAGATCACTTCGGAACATGTTCCCATGGAAGATCGCCGACGATGGCGGCAATGGCGGAGCACAGCAGCCCAAGCCTGAGCAGTAACGACGACGGCGACGAGTGGAGCGAGGGAAGGAGAGGGAGAGGAGAGTACGTACCGATGGACAAGTGGGGGAGTTCCTTGGTAGCCATTGTGAGTGATTTCTGTTTGTTCAACTAGAGGGAGAACTGCAAGAATGCTAGAGAAAAAAAGGACGGCGGGCGTCGAGGGGGCGCCTATTTATGCAAGAGCGGGTGGGGGTGGGGAAGCGTGTCCTTTCTGCCCGTCCTCTTGTCTGAGCAAGGAAAGGGACAGAGAGGGAGGGGAAGAAAAAAATTTCTTTCTCCGCGCATTTGAAAAGGTTCCCGCTGGGTATTTGTCTTGCTGTCGGCTCAGTCTGGCTCAGTCGAAGCACCCTCGGATTCGGTCGTAAAAAACTCATTATTAAGCCACACGTCACGTGCGCGGTGTACTACGTAACTGCTCCACAGTTCAAACTCATCAAACAGGCTCATCAACGCCCGTCTCATACCACTACGTACTAATTTTTTGCCCTACGTTCTGTACGTATTTGTTTGCAGCGACCTTACTCTGAGTATAAGGCATGGCCGAAAATGGCATAAATATGTGATTTTGGAACAATGATCTACAAGCATATCCGGACCCCATCGCCCCCATTTATTTACTGCTATCCTCGCCGTTGGTCTCGTTGTCCATAAGCTTGCGTGATGTCGCATCCATGACAAATGGTGCCTTCAAGCAGTTGTCGGAGGACCCTAGAATACACTACGTCCCGCCAGCCATGACGGTATGAGAATGTGAGAAGGTGGGGTAGTCGACAGAAACTTCACACACCGATTGCGAAAGTGCTCTGTCGCTATCAATGTTCGGCCGTGCATCCAATTCGGACGAAAGCAGACCCTGTCCAATTGATTCTTTGAAATCGGACGAGAGCAGCAGCTATGGTTTCCTCGATCTGGTCTCCGTGCAAGTGTTCTCTTCATTTATCGATGTGTCCCAATAATCTATCCAACTCACAGGTAGTTGTGGAGTTCCAGTGAGGTTTTCCTCAGTGTTTATCCCCAGGCATCCTCATTCGCCGACCTTGACGCACTATCCAATTATCTCTGAGAGCATCAGATGTAGGGTAACAAAGAACTTCTTCGAGTCCGTTTCCGAAAACACACTCCGGCGTCGAATTGTTGCAATCACGCTCCACGAACGGATTGTCCAAATGAATCCAAAGAATCCGACCACATCATCGGTCCAGCGATCGTGATTCCTTTTTATGCGGTGGTCGGGCCTATATGCAAGCAGGAGAGTGATGCGGAGATTGAAGGTGCCGCCCTCCTTCCTCGATCAAATGCGATATGTCGATTGATTGGCGTGGTGGACTCGGACTTCGCAGCCGCGTTCGGTCGTTGAGGCGGTCAACTCTCCGACGTCATCTTGGCTCCACGCTCACGTCGGTCCAGCGACGATAGCCCGAAAAGGACCTACGGTGACCACGATTAGTTTTTCCGAGTGACCTCCTCGATGTTCTCCCGTTGCCGCCGTTGACAGTCAGGACTCGGTGGTGGGATCAAAATCACTTGCGTGATGCAAGTTGGCGACAGGTAATATCGGGCCCAGTCCGACCACCGCCCTCCCTGGAGGAGGCACGTACAGTACGCTGCGAAGCGCCAGCATGAGTAAACGGACGGCTCCTCGGCGTGTTCCATGCGAATGGTAAGTGAACCAAGTTTTTGAGGGATTTCATCTTCGAGTTTCGGACATCGCGTCGTCACACTTGAACCTGCGTTCAGCCGTCAGCAGCCTTCGCGAAAGTCTCCGCTGGGCAGCGATTTGAAGCCACCGACACCCCAAGCACTCCCACTGTACCGGTACTTTTATTGAGTCCTCAGCGTCGTAAGAGATAAACATGGGAGAGGCAAGGAAAACGCACCTCCGCCAGATGGCCGGAACAGCCGTCTCGATGCTCCTGCAGCCATCACGGGGAATACGGTGGGCACGCCGTCCAAATTCCGCAGGGCCCTCCGAAATCGCTTCCTTTACTGTTATGTTTTCTAAACCCCTCTCCGACCTCAGGGACGACATCGAACGCCTAGGCGGTACACCGAAAGACCACCGAAAAGTCAACCGCCAACGCCTGAAAGACTTGGAAAAAGCCAATAAAGCGAAACTGGTAGAAGCAGCGATACCGCCGCCTGAACCGTTTAAACTGAAACGATTCGAGTCGGTGCCTGCGAAGCTGAATACGCGTCGGACGAGTGTGAGGATTGTGGATCGCTTCGCACGGATGGGATGGAAGGATGGCGAACTGACGGAGTGTAAGATGTTCTTGATTCTTGTTAGGCGCCGGGAACCCCTGCTGAGCCATCGCCGGAAGGTTCGCGGCCTTCGACAGCAAATTCGGGAAAGGTGGACATTCGAAATTCACGCGTAGTCTGGATGGACTTGGGGAAGGGGCGTTTGGGGCTAATTGCCAGCCATCTCTCCAGTCAACATCGTCAAAAAACTATATCAGCATCAATTCCACGAAAGCGAAGAAAGCCGAACCGGTACGTTTGTCGCAACGGAAGATAGGCATCCGAAAGTAAAATGAAAATTAACGTCGCTTTCTCACTCACAGCGAGCACCACCAGCAGCGGAACCACACGTGGTAGAACGCAAAACTCGAAATGGGGAGATTCCGAAATAGTGCGTATTCCCTAACGTCGCTTATCGTTCACACACCCGCGTTGCTGATTTCGCCCTACCAGTCTGGTGAACCGGAAGATGGAATGGGCGCAACAAGAGTTGGATAGGTTAAATAAGCTGGAAGAGGACAAGTACGTTCGTGCGGTGTGCGATTCTGGGCTCTGGGGCGAGTTTATGGGTTGTCCTCACTTACACGCAATCGTTTCGTAGGATACCACCGGGGATGATGGGTAGGCTCAACTTAGCGGACTGAAGAGTGTGCTCAAGGGAAATCTGACTTTCTTTATGTTGGTTAGTCGTTCCGGACGAAGACAAACAGCGCACGCTGCGTTCACTTCGACAAAGTACGTGACCATCAAATCCATCAGCCCAGTCGCTCTGAGCTAAAATCTATACCCTTCCCTTCTTCCTAGAACAAGACCAACTTATGGACCAACTAGCGCGATTTCCGGTAGTAACCGAAACGCTCGGAATGCAGCGCCGGAAAGCAATAATCGAAGCTCAACTGAAGGAAATCGAAGAAGCCATCGAGACATTCTCACGGAAAGTAGTATTTGTAGCGAAAGATGTCCCAGAATATCAGGGGGAGCCTGAACTACGGAATGCACCTACGGGCGTGGGGGTATGGGATCGGGCGCAGGACGCTGCCGCACAGAGGTCACGGAAAACCTCCATTGCGGGTTTTAGATGACACAACGTGGGTGGGAATCGATGGTATTATGATAGATATGTACAGTGAAGGGAAGTGATGTACGCAAGGCGCATGATTGGCGCATCCCTTCCGGGCCTGCCTGCAGAGATTTCATAAAACCTCAATGCATAACGACATACTCGTCGTCCTCGACCTCTCTCTCCATCCGCGACTGGGCCTCCTTTCTGCTCACGAGTCGCGCTAGTTCCTTGTTTTGTTTCAGGTCTCTTGATGCAATGTAATGCTTGCAGCCTGCGACGGGACATTCGGCGCGCTGGTTGCCCCGCGATTGTATCCGGATGTGTTGTTGGATAGCTTCGCGGGAGTAGGAGTGTTTGCAGACTTGGGATGTCACGGGCTCGCGAAGGAGTGATTGCTGTTGGATGCAGAAAGGTTTGAGTGATCCTCTTAATGGGGTGGAACATCAACCACATGTCACAGATCTCGGATAACTCACCGTGAGCGGACACAACAAATTCTGATTGCCCCCAACAATGGCAATCTCCAGATCATCATCGTCTCCGCCGTCATCCCCCTCCTCCGGCGCATCCCGATCAATCCTAAACGGCTTATTCGGGAACCGTTTCTCCCACAACTTCCTCTTGAACTCCACATACTCCTCCTCCTTATGATACTTCTCCGCATCGCTCAGTGCCTCCCACGCCGTCAGCTTCTCCTCATACATCCGCTTGAAAGTCTTAACCACATCCCTATCCACGCCCTCATCGCCATTCACGAGCATCGTGTTTAGCTCAGCGAGGACGTCGCGTTGCAGTTTTGTTGTCGCTGAGAGGCGGATGTAGTTTTTGACGGAATTTTCGAGGGCTTTGAGTTGGAATTCGGGGGTTGCGGCTTTTGGGATGTCGATGGAACCGTGGGCGAGGGAGTCGGCGAGGTCGAAGGCTATTGTTGAGGTTACGTCGAGGCCGTTTTTGAAATTCGCTTCGGCGCCATCGTACTTTGAGAAGAGTTGGTGGAAGCCCGAGTCTGATAATGACAAGACAAGGAGAGTAAGTACATTGTACCAAGAGAACCCGAGCGAATGCGTGAGGACTTACTATATGCTTGTGCTGCCATCGTTATTGTTCCTTTGGCATTGATAGCTTTCCACAACTTCGAAGGTCGATTCCACCTCGATGTTCTTCCCATCCTTCGGACATGGGCGAATTGGCGTCGCGCGCGTCCTGACGCGAATTGCCGTGGTGGGTGCGTGGCGCAGGCGGCGGAAATGGCAAGTTCCCCACTTCCATGCCTGTGCAGCATTCCCACGCCAGCTTCACAAACCGCCCACAAACAGCCTCAGCACATGGTCCGAGCAAAGTGGAAGGGTCCCTTCTTCGTGCCCATGCCTAAAGTCGCCGGCAACGAGCCCATAAAAACACAAGCACGCTCCAGCACCATCCTCGCCTCGCACATCAACAAAAAGTTCCTGGTGCACCATGGGAACTCCTACCTGCCAGTATTCGTGACGGAGCAGATGGTGGGGCGGAAGCTGGGGGAGTTTGCGTTTACGAGGAAGCCATTTTCGTTCAGGAAGAAGGATGATAAGAAGCGATAGGAGGGGAAGTATGGGACATTCGAAAGGAGGAATTCAGGTAATTGGTGCGTTTACTTTTCCGAATGGCATATCCGTTGTGTATCTGATCCCTAATATACTACTTCAGGCGACAATCACTTGCACACCTCTGTAACTCTCGAAGCGAAGCTCTGCGGTACCGAGCACGCGTTCTCTCCTTGACTCGGTAGTACCACTTGTAGATTCACGCCGGGCGGGCCGCGACTTCGACATACCGAGATAGGAACTCTATATATACAGGGCGAAGCTACGGCCCGCGAATTCCCAGCATAGATCATTGGAAATTGTCAGCAAGCAGCTTCATCGAGGCTTTCGAGAACATTATTTTGGCAACTGCTCCATTTTGCTGTGGGTGTTCTTTTGAGTGATGGAAATCGATGGCAATCCTATTCGAAACATCAGACAGTTATCAATAGTAGCGCATCAATCACATCTCATTCAAGCGCCAAGATTTCCTTTCACGAATCGCTATCAGGCCTACACGAACTATGCTGCCAACGCTTCATCCTCATTCTCGATTCCCATTTTATCCTCAGAACCCGTCTCATCCTCGGTATCATCACTCTCCGAAAACCAGAGGTGTCCCTGGCTCTGGGCCGCGTCGTTGTGGGGGTGGATGCGACCATCTTCCTGCAGCCGTAACTAGTCTTTATCCATCCTGCTCATGCCCTTGAGATTGTCGATTCGATTGCTACTGGGGTTACCGTCCCGGTAGTGCACCACCTAACTGGGGGTAATGGTGTACATTCAAACATCCAGGCGCCCAACCCCGTGGTGAATCCATTGAAGTCCTCGGTCTTCACAAAACCGACGCACCCTTTCTCCAGCGTAGCGCAAAGCGGCAGGTCCTTCATTGTTCGCATTATAGGTCTTCGAGAAAGAGTTCACGCCTGGAACGAGTTCACAGGTTACGGAACTGGTTGTGAGTGTCCATGTGCTTGTACATGAGGTACTTCGGGAGGCGTTTGCCGCAGCCGGCTTCGGGGCATGTCATCCAGCACGCTTCTGCGTGCTTATGCCAAGGATTCGAGGTACGCTTGTCGAGTGCGTTTCACTTTGATTGTACAGACCGGGCGAGAACAATCAACAAGTTCGTCTTCGTGAGGTGTCCCCTCATCCAGGTCTTGTTAAACTTCTGACGACGTATGGGGCAAGCGTTCGCGACTGGTAAGTCTCGATGTGGTTTTCGAGCGGGGACTGGACATGGGACGGTGGTGTCGCCGTGAGACTGGCTGATCGGACGTAGCTAGCTCGGGGTGTTGAAGGTCATCGCGCAAGAATGGCATCGGTGCCGGACCTGCCGGTATATCACAGCTGTCGTGCGCTTGGGACCCGTCTCAAAACTTTATTCCTGGCACCAAGAGTTGAGCACTGGAAAGCATGCTGAGCGACATTTTTTTTTTCCTTATTTGAGGTCGCTGGAGCTCGGTTTATTTGAGGTCGCTGGAGCTCGGTGAGGTGCGCGGAGTATGGCGATGGTGCACCGAAAACTTTCCGAGTAAGCGGGAGGAGAGTGAAGAGCGAAAATCGTTGACCGCCAGGCGGCCGACGGACATGGTTCCGTTGGCGAAGGGTGCTCCGTCCTTGCATTACTGTCGTTGGACTGCTGCAGAAGGCTATATAGGACATGGCGTGGGGTTTGAGGAGGTTTATTCCGGGTGTCCGATCTGCTTTTCGGGAGAAATCTAATCGCGCCGCCAATGATGGCGCTTGCCGGAGTACGAGCGGAGGGGGCTTCTCACGTTCCGATCTCTCATCGTTCGAGAACAATTCGCGGGTCACGATAACCGACGAGTCTGCACATCGCAAAGAACCGAGACTGCGCTGCGAAGGTCAGCCTAAACCTCCACCATCCTCTTACATCCATGCCGTTCGATGAGAGGATTGAAACAGGTGGCCAAACTCCAATCTCAACGCCGATCTGTGCTTCATTGTGAGCCCTGAACTTGGAACTTGTCCATCTATTACGACATCACAGTAAAATGCGTCCTTTCCGCACAAGTAATGCAAGAGACCTTTTGCTAGCTCCGAGGTCGCGTCATGTCAGCCTTTCCGGATGTCCGTTGAGCGGGTCTTATCGCACCAGCGGTGGGCGAATGCGAAGGGCATTCGCATTGGCTTCCACCACAACACTGGCAGCCACAAACGCGTTTTTCATCAGATAAGCACTGATAGGGATACCCGCATGTTCTGCATGCTCCCGTGGCGCCACACCCAAAGTCCCCGCGCTCCGGATACGACTGGTTGCCACGTTCACAGTCGCAGGGGTTGCGCTCGTTATGCTCTGGCACTAAGCCGTAAGCCTTTCAGCTTTGGGCTGATGTACGTTTTCTGTCCCCACATCTTCTCCAAAGAGGTAATTGCCCCGCTAGCTGCATACTTTCGTGTGATCCCCGCAAGCAATGTGCGCGGAAGGGCTGGCAGGAACTGGTAGCGCCTCCACATGACCTCTTCTGTGCGATTTTGTTGATCCTTCTTGGGAGATAAGCGTAAAGCGCCCGACGCAGAACCTTTTCCATGGTTTTATCGCTATGCGTGCACGCGTGAGGGCCCGTCTGCATACGATCGTGGAGGTTGAGATTACCCATCCACCTTGGTGTCAAATCTCTATGCCCATGCCGTGAGAGCTTCCCTAGTTGCTTCTTCTGAACGTCTCCATCATCCATGCTTTCCCGGTTGAGGGTAGCATTCACCTCTGTGGCACCAAATACGATGCTGGGAATTTTGGCTCTAATGACTTGAGTGTCGAATCACATGCCGCACGGTAACTGAAATCCCAGAAGACGAGAAAGAAATTGGGATCTGGAGAGGAGAGTGTTGTTATGCAACCACAGCATCTTGAACAACACAGACGTCAGTTATGTATGGAGCTGGCGTGAGACACTTCCTATTATGAGTCCCAAGATGGGCAAGATGTCGTTCGGCAACGTCTTGGGCGCAACGACGTCGGCTCTGATATGCTGCCTGCCTGGCTGGGTTTCACTTGTCTTCCCCACCGTGACGGCATCACTAGCATTCCACTCGACTCCACTCCAGATCCACTACAAGAAACCGGCGAGGTTGAGAGCGGTTGGGGTTGCCTCGCCTTGTCTCAGGAATTCAATGCGAAGGAACGCGGTGCAAGCCGTATTCGTGTCCATCACCCAAGGAGATGTCCGAGAGAGGACCGCAACCGCATCTTGGGAACTGCATAACCCATCCGCTCACGACAAACCTACAAAACAAGTATGTCCAGTCAACAAGGGAGGAAACTCGGGTGGCTTCTAGGACTACTGTACAAGGGCTCCGGAACCAACAGCCGGCGACCGAAGACTAACCATATCTCTCACAACAGGGCAACCACTACTCCAGGGCAACCACAGGGCAACGACTCCCCTTCCAGAACTCCTACCACTACTGTAAACCTGACAACAGCTACTCTAATTCGAACGGAAGTACCCACCACGAGTTCAGCACGGGAAACGCCACTTACACCAGCCCCAACGGCAACTCTTACTCCGACAAGTCCGGCTTTCGTAACCAGTGAGATCACCATACTTCCTTCGGGGTGTCTGATCGTTAGGGACGTAAATTAGAACTGTTAGCTTTTCCATTGCGGCGTGAGGATTTTTTGTGTCTTTGTTTTCGTTCGTGGTGTACCTCAGAATATGTTTTACGAGTTTCCGTTGCACTTTGGCAAATGTTTATGAATAAAATTCCATTACCGTCGATATATGCATGAAACTCCACAGAATTGAAAATCCCCACACTTCCTCATGAGAAGAACCCGCCTCTAGCCGCCTGAATCCCGGCCTTGCGGCACTCCACGAAGGTATTTTGCCGTTGAAGGTGGGCAGGCGAGTCCATCGCTGAATCCGGCGCGTGGAGACTGCGGTCTATGAAAGGCAGCAGTCGAAGGGCCATTTTCGGAAAGCAAAACATCGGTCATCGGCCACATCACATCTGTTAATAAAACATTTTCAGCAGCAGACCAACATTCGTACGCCGAACATATCGGACAAGGATTGCAAAATCATGGGCAGAGGCACCAATGAGCGTTATGAGATAGCCCCTTGAGCATTGGACCGCATCTCCAGAGCTTCTCTTTGTCTTTCATCATCACCAGGGGAACAGATGGGATCATCGCGATTACGGCCCCAGCGCTCCCAATCCGAACTCTTACATCCACTCAACATACACCCACACGGAAGGCGAAAGATAATCCTGCCAGGGTCGGTGTCCCTCAAGGAAGTGCCCTTACTTCACAGTATACCCTGCAGCGAGTACCCTGCAGCGGACCTGCCCATTTGAAGGGTTATAACGATCCGCCGCTCGAGGAGTGAATGGAGCCTCAGACACGTACTGCACAGTACAACCGCCTTCGGCATAAGCCTTCGATAGTTCAATAGGAGATCGCCGTTGAAAGGAACGAAATCCCAGACCGCGTCACTCCATGACGCCGAGTCCAGGATCTTGGCAATATTTGGCAAATTGGCACATTCCAAGAACAACGGAAAAATGCTTAGGTCAGGCTCTGCTGATATTAGGGGAGAGTCCGGGCGGGAGACATGGGAGAAATTAAGGTTACGGGCTAGAAATGTTCTAGATTGGCTTCCTCCGCTGAGCTGCGCGTAAGGAACTTCATTCATACAGTATACATACCATTATGTCGATCCCAGCCCAACACCGTGGAGCCGGAGCGTGTCTTATGAGCAATACCGGCGGCGCCTCCAATGTGACGCTTTGTCTGGAATTGTCGATCGCAGGTCCTCCGCCGTTCGGCGCCCGATGTCTTTCTCCCCCCGCGATGGCCCCCATGCCCCGTAACGCGCAATGATGCGGCCGGTGGAGATATCCCACGGAACAGATACCAGGACACATATGTCGAAACAGCAACGATCTGCATGGAAGCCCATATCAGGGAGGAGGCTGCAAAAAAGACCGCCCCACCCTTTTTCTGTCGTCCTGCCTGCCTCCCTTCCCCGCTTATATATGTGTACATATATGGGACGGCCTACCTCACAATACTCGTATTGCTCTTCAACGAGACCTCGAATAACGGCAAACCCTCTTCCCTCGTGGAGATACCCTTCTGGTCGACTACCTGCTTTTGCTACACACATACCAACACGACATTTCGCCCGCCATTCCTCAACGACGGACGGACCACCCTTGCTGAACCTACTGCCTGTCATACTACGCCGAACCGGGCCTAGCACAAACCAGTGTTCAACATAAGCTGCCCCGCCTGAACCTTCCTCACCGTCCTCGGCTGTTCTACGCCGGTTCGCACAGTTTCTGGATTCAACCACAAGCCACCTCCCACGGCCTGGAACGCAAAGGCGTTTACGCCTGTTTCCCTGCCAAATTCAGGTCCTCGTTCGGACACCCCTTACCGAAACAGACCCTACTTTCGGTTATCCGTACGAAAAACAGCTAGATCAACACTATTCATAAACCCAGAACCCAACCCCGCCCCCGAGGAACAATCGACTCGGACTCTGAAAGCGGCTTGCGATATAACCCGAAGCGGTCGTGTGCTGTCCGCGGTCGAAAGTGTAAAATTGGACGCGCTAAAAAGGCGGACGTAGTTTCCGCTCTACTGGGTTGCAACCCAGCGATCTACTCCACTGCGTTCGCCGCCCGAAGGCTGCACCTATCCACCTCGAGCATGACGGGATTCCACAGCATCGTTGAGAACTGCATTATACCTGCCGAGAAGGCAGCACCCGATCACACCGTCGACTACTTTGCTAGGTCACGACAGCTCACTTTGGTGTCCGAGGAGGACTTCGAGAGTCTGGCTCCCCAGACGCCTGTGGGCAATCATCGTGGGCCGTTTGGGATCTGCACGCCTTCTCCGAGCGACGGGGGCGATAGTTCGCCAGAGCTGTCTGTGCTCGATGGGCAGGACGCAGAAGATCTCGATTGGAGCTCCTTCCGAGTGGCTGTTGTTGATGACAATTTCATCGTGGGTACATTGTTTGTTGATCTGGAAGGGTGAACGCGCGGGCAGATTTGGAGATCTTGTAGCTCATACTGTGCATTCTTCCTTTCATCAGAACTCCAAGATAATATGCAAGCACCTAAAACGATTGTTGGGGATCGTAGTCCAAGAAGAAGATATATTCGAGAATGGTAAAACGCTCATCGATGCCTTGGCACACACTCAATATGACACAGTATGTATTCGGAAAACAATGGCATTGGATGATCGCTCAGAACACTACCCCTGACCTATCACCTTCCCCTTGTAGATCCTTCTCGACATTGAGATGCCCATTATGGACGGCATGGAGGCAACGGTCCGGATACGGAAAGGCCTACCATCACCCGTAACACCTCCATCCACCGAACCACAACGCGTCGAATACCCAATCTACCACTGCGACGACAGCGAAACCGAGCCCGATCTCGTACGGGAGTCCTCAGCCGTCACCCTCCACCACATCCCATCCAATGCCGACCTCACCCACGAAGCCGTCCTGCCTTCAAACGTGGGTATACCCATCATCGCATGCACAACCAACGCGCAGGCGCATCACCGCAAACACTACCTCTCGATAGGCATGGACTCGGTGGTCGGGAAACCGCTCAACCCAGACCTGCTGATACGAGTCGTCAAGTACCACCTACGACGGGTGTACTTCGCACAGCAGCATAAGGCACCACTGTTCAGACCATCTTCCCCACCTCTTCACCCACCATCACCGCGCTCGCTGACATCCTCGTCGTCGAGCGGTACTGGGACGTTTTTGACAGCAGGACCATCGCCCGTTAGTCGGTCTCCATCGCAAACCCGCCTGTCGCGGATATTAGACTCCGTCTTGGAAGCGGAAGGGATAAGCGAAATCAAAATATGAGTGTACCGCGCGTTGTTTGCGGCCTTTTCAGCCGCTTTGACGGGCGTTCAAGCTCATTACCAAAAGCGATCTTCGCTTATATACCTGGTTCGTAGAAGTGTGGATGTATGTACATAGTGGCTGGCCCGCTGTCTGTGCTTTCGAGAATTGCCCAAATAGATGGGGTGATAGGTCGCATTTTCTTTCTGGCAACTGTGTTGGATGTCCTGGACTGGTCGGGGCATTGCTCGCTTGACTCAGGATGGGCACTTTGGGCCGCTACTCTCCATGTTCTATCATTGACGCATCCATGCCAAGCTTCCGCACCGCATTTTACAGCCGCCCCATAGACCTTAGGGAAGTGGAAGCAAAGGGTAAATTAACTGAGCTTTGGGCAGCTGCTACCTTTACATGGGTGTGCCTGAGATGCTCAAGTATAACACAGCGCTTCGGCAGGTCCCTTCACCTGTCGAAATGGGGCTGGCGTATCGCGTCGGAAAACCTCTGAAATTGAACTTTAGCTGCCTAAAAACGGAAGCGCAGGTTGGCACTTGCTTCCTTGTTTCCCACGGACATACGTTGAGCTTCTCACCCTGAGCACTTCACTCACTAGTACTAACCCACCCGACAAAGTCAGAATGGCTCAACAACAGAAATTACCTCGGGCCGTGCCGCAAACGGCGTTGACAGGATGCCTCCGCGACCGCATCCAAGCCCAGCAAGACCAGCTTGACGGGAAACGGTTCTTGAGTCTGGATATAGAATGTGGGTACCCAACTCACTCCAACTTCCCTCACTCCCTCGTTACCTCACTCACCCTGCCTTCTCTCTGGTACAGCATACGAGCGAGATCACGGTATGTTCCTTCGACCTGTCAAACCCTGTCAATTGAGTCTCGAAAAGCCTAACCATGGCCTTCGTTCCGCATCCAGCCTTCCTCACCGAATTCGGCTGGTCTATCTCGCACCCCAGTGCCACCGGCCCTCCCACAATCACCGCCAAACACTTCATAGTCCAAGAGTACCTCTGCTTCCAAAACGGCGCATATGTCCCCGACTTCCGCTACTCTTTCATGCACGGCGACAGTGAGACGATCCCGCTCGGCGATGTTTTGCAGCATCTGGAAGAGGATTTGTCGGTGGAGGGGACGGTGCTGATCGGACATGGGATTACATCGGATTTCGATATGTTGGAGTCGGTTGGGTTTGATCCGAGGGACTTTGTGAGCAAGATTTATGATACAAAGCAGATCTTTCAGGCGAAGTTTGCTGTGCCGGCTCCTAACCTTGTAGGTGCTCTACTCCGGCGATATGTTTCGATGTTCTTCGGATTGACACATTATTTTCCTTACCTAGGCGAAGATGTGCGAAAAGCTCGGCTTTGAAACAAAATATCTTCACAACGCAGGTATACAGTCCTTTGTCATTCCCCTATTTTGCGAGCATAGCTGACCACCAACTTCTCGATTCATCCAGGAAACGATGCTTACTGGACCTTGATAGCCTTCTTGTCAATGCTCAAGGATTGATGTTCTTCTCGGCGTATCTTGCTAGCCATCCGCCGCGGCGTATATATTCCCGTACTTCAAGTGACCATGTGGTCACCAGATGCTCTTTCATCTGCAGGATATATAGCATTCCTCCTCTGCCTGACACATAATGCTGAATACAACCTCGTATATATATACTGTACAACATATCGCCCGCCGTTGTGCACGTAGGAAATCTTGCTCGCCTGCTCAACAAAACCACAACCCGCCTCGGTCATCTGTCATGACACACGCGTTTGGAACGGAAACCTTCGGGTTGCCACTTTTAGATTTTTCCTCGTGTACAAACATAAAAGCTGAAGTCCTCCATAGGGCGCCGACGGAGTAGAAGCGAGAGCTCCTCCGATTCTCCCATATATCTCATCCCAAGATTGCCTTTGATTTGCTCGATATGGCCACCGCAACGAGTCAAGGTGTTCAAATCTTGGGGCCGATGAAGCCCGAGTTTGCCGAGATCTTGTCGGTCCCAGCGCAGGAGTTTGTAGCGACGCTCCATAGGTAGGCGGTGGATAACATTGCCGCCTGTGTTACTGCATCTACCAAAAATCTCAAATCTCTGCGATATAGAGCATTCAACGCCCGCCGAAAGGAGCTGTTGCAGAAACGTCTGGAGAGACAAGAGGAGTTGGACGCTGGTGAGTAGAAGAGGGTCCTTCCTTTCAACTTGGGTCAATGAGCTCACAATGACGTTTCTGATGTAAGGGCGATTCCCGGATTTCCTGCCGGAAACCAAATGGATTCGTGATGATGCGTTGTGGAAGGTTGGTCTGCCTTATTGCCGCAGAGATGCGATTCACGAATCTCACCCTGTTCTTCCAACTAGGCCGCCCCACCAGCTCCTGGGCTGGTAGACCGCCGCATAGAAATCACCGGTCCCGTCGACCGGAAGATGGTCATCAACGCCCTGAACTCGGGCGCGATGACCTACATGGCTGATTTTGAAGGTTCGTCCTACGCGATGGATGTGATGCCGGCATCGGTAGCAAAAGCATTAAGCATGTGGGTTTGATGGACTACGCAGATTCCAACGCACCGACGTGGGAGAACAATCTTTCTGGTCAAGTGAACCTGCGCGATGCCGTGCGGAGGACTATCATCTATACGGCTCCCAATGGGAAGTTGTATCAGCTGCGAGAGGAGGGGACTGCTACGCTTCTCGTCAGGTGAAATATGCAGGGCGGCGTGCTTTCGATTCATCTGGACAAGGCAATTGATCATCTGTTATCCCCACAGACCTCGCGGATGGCATATGGAGGAGAAGCATCTCTTGATTGATGGAGAGCCGGCTTCGGGCTCGATCTTTGACTTTGGGCTTCATTTCTTCCATAACGCAGCGGAGCTGGTCAAGCGTGGCGCTGGGCCTTACTTCTACCTTCCCAAACTGGAGTCGCATCTCGAGGCGAGGTGAGTTTTATGCGGTCTTTGCCCATAAGCGGCGATATGGTGCCCTGAACCTAATGAACCCTCAGATTATGGAACGACATCTTCAACCACGCCCAGGACCTCCTCAGCATCCCCCGCGGCACGATCCGCGGCACAGTCCTCATCGAAACCATCACCGCCGCCTTCGAAATGGACGAAATCATCTACGAGCTCCGCACCCATTCCTCCGGTCTCAACTGCGGCCGGTGGGACTACATCTTTTCCTTCATCAAGCGTTTCCGCAACCACCCGCAGTTTGTTCTCCCCAACCGGAGCGATATCACCATGACCACGCCGTTCATGGACGCTTATGTCCGGCTGCTTATCAAGACGTGTCATAGACGGGGTGTGCATGCTATGGGCGGGATGGCGGCATTCATTCCAATCAAGGACGACGAAGTGAAGAATGAGGCGGCGATGGCGAAGGTTTCGGCGGATAAGTTGAGGGAGGTGCTGGCGGGGCATGATGGGACGTGGGTGGCACATCCGGGGCTGGTGAAGCTCGCGAGGGATATTTTCGACAAGCATATGCCGCAGGCTAATCAGCTTCATGTCACGAGGGATGATGTGAATGTTGCCGCTCCCGACCTTATCTCGACGCAGGGCGTTACCGGGACCATCACGGACGCAGGTGTGCGCATGAACGTCGATGTGGCTTTGCGGTACATGGAGGCCTGGCTTCGAGGGTACGGATGTGTTCCCATCCATCACCTAATGGAGGATGCGGCCACGGCTGAGATATCCCGCTCGCAGTTGTGGCAATGGGTACGACACCGGGCACGGACGGCGGAAGGTCGGGAGATTAATCCTGAGTACATAAACAAAGTGCTGGACGAGGAGTTTGAGAGGATCAGGGGAGAGTTGGGCCCGGAGAGATCTCCAAAGTCGAAGTTCGAGCTGGCGAGGAAGCATCTGGCTGGAACGATTCAGGGGCAGGACTATGCAGAATTTCTTACGGTATGTCAGATTGCTGCATTATATAAGGAGATGCGGGCTACTGATCGTATGCGGTTCCTAGGCTCTCTGCTATGACTCTATCTTGACATTGGTTCCCGTCTAAGACATTGTACCCGCAAAGCCCACTGCCCAAAGGACCGGTGCTGATTGCATTTCCTTTCATTCATTTATCTCAGCGCGCTCTTAGGTAGACAGCTAAAGATATTTATCTCAGCGCGCTCTTAGGTAGACAGCTAAAAATATAGACGGACCCTAGCATAGTACTGCTACACATTTTGGACTGTCTGTTTCTTGTTTCATCCATTCCACCATTGCGTCCTGCGAAGACGGACACATGTCAGTACAGATATGCCAATTTTTATTGCATGTGCGCCCTGCTGTTGTGAAGGATCAGCATCTGTCTGCTTCCGATGTCTTGGCGGATTCTTGGCAGATTTGTACTCATCTCCGATCTACAGGGCTTGCCGAATCGCACGAATGCTCGGCAACGACAAAGCTTAAGATGAATGAACAGGATGGAGATGGACGAAAAGCACGCATGATGAATGAATTGGCGGGTACATACTTAAGATGCAATACCCAACTGAGCACAAAAAGGGAAACTCTGACGACGAGCAGTGACAGCTTATGACAGTATGCGCCTGAAAGGGAATGATCACACCCAACATCGGTACGCTCTCGTCTCTCGTTGTAGAAAGCTATCAGTACTAAGCAATTGGCGGTGTTCAAGCTTCTAGAAGAGGAGTAGAATATCTAGGTTTGGGGTTTGTTCCAGAAGTTGGGTAAATTTCCAACTCCATGGCAAAACAAAAAGAAGCCCTTTTGCGAAAGGGTGTGGTGAGTCTTCCAGACGTTTTCGAGGTTAAGCTTTCCTGATGGAAGCCACGAGCGATGGAAGGGACGACAGAAAGGCCTTTTAGGGGCGGCTGACGGAAGACCGTCAGCGAGACGATGTTTGTGTGTCTGTCTGTCTGTTGGAGAGTTGCCAAGAATAGCGGGGTTTGAGTTTCCCTCTCCAGCTATCTGCGCCACATCTGGAGACGCGCTTTGCGAGGCGACGCGGGGGAGTGTGTAACCAAAAATGCCCTAATCATCCATCAGAGGCTTCATCAACTTAGAAGTTAGCAGCAAGGTGTAATGTGTAAACTGAATGAACGGATGATGGATGGATTGATGCCCCGAAACGGTAATGCCCGTCGTCCAATCAGCCCCAGGAACAACCGCCCCCCCCCGCGCGCGAGAGAAACGCCCCCCCCCCTCCCAAAGAGACAAGCCAGACAAGCACCGCCCGGGCTCGCACATAAAAGCGGCCGCTGCTTTTCCTTCTGCCACCTTCCTTCGCTCCCTTCTTCCCCACACCCACCGCAACTTACCTCACCACAGCTCCCCCCATCTTCTCCCAATCTTCATCGCATATCTATCGCTAATATGTCGGACGACGTTGCTGCCGTAAGTGTCTCCTCGCCTCGGTGGCCTTCACCTCACTGCTCGCGCGGTCCTGGCGGCTCCTCATCTGGATGGCGAGATTGCGGATTCGGGGTTTTCCCACTTTTTCCCACTCCCGCAGTTTCACATCTCTACGTGATGAACACACTCATCTTACGCTCCTTCTCTTCTCTTTTTCATACAGCTCGTTATTGACAATGGTTCCGGTATGTGCAAGGCCGGTTTCGCCGGTGATGACGCACCTCGTGCCGTGTTCCCTTCCATCGTCGGAAGGCCACGACACCAAGGTGTCATGGTCGGCATGGGACAGAAGGACTCCTACGTCGGTGATGAAGCCCAGTCCAAGCGTGGTATCCTGACCCTCAAGTACCCCATCGAGCACGGTATCGTCACCAACTGGGACGACATGGAGAAGATCTGGCACCACACTTTCTACAACGAACTTCGTGTCGCCCCTGAGGAGCACCCCGTTCTTCTTACGGAGGCTCCCCTCAACCCCAAGGCCAACAGGGAGAAGATGACCCAGATCATGTTCGAGACCTTCAACACTCCCGCGTTCTACGTTGCTATCCAGGTATGTCGCGTAGTCGTTCGCTTATTTTATTCTCGGCGCATGCTCGGGTTCATTATACTAATTTCGTGATTATTCTATCCTTAGGCCGTCCTGTCCTTGTACGCATCTGGACGTACCACCGGTATCGTGCTCGACTCTGGAGATGGTGTTTCCCACACCGTCCCCATCTACGAAGGTTACGCTCTTCCCCACGCCATCCTTCGTCTCGACCTCGCTGGTCGTGACTTGACCGACTACCTCATGAAGATTCTCACCGAGCGTGGTTACTCGTTCACTACCACGGCCGAGCGTGAAATCGTTCGTGACATCAAGGAGAAGCTGTGTTACGTTGCCCTCGACTTTGAGCAAGAGATGCAAACGGCCGCGCAGTCTTCTGCCCTCGAGAAGTCCTACGAGCTTCCTGACGGTCAAGTGATCACCATCGGCAACGAGCGTTTCCGTGCCCCGGAAGCCCTCTTCCAGCCCTCGTTCTTGGGTCTTGAAGCCGCCGGTATCCACGAGACCACCTACAACTCCATCATGAAGTGTGATGTCGACATCCGTAAGGACCTGTACGGAAACATCGTCCTCTCTGGCGGTACCACCATGTACCCCGGAATCGCCGACCGCATGCAGCGCGAGATCACTGCTCTTGCTCCATCCTCCATGAAGATCAAGATTGTCGCTCCCCCGGAAAGGAAATATTCTGTGTGGATCGGTGGATCCATCTTGGCCTCCTTGTCCACTTTCCAACAAATGTGGATCTCGAAGCAGGAGTACGACGAGAGCGGTCCTTCAATCGGTAAGTAATTCCAGCCGGTCAACTAGTCCGTTGTAACTTGAAAACTTACCCTCTTCCCCTCCTTTCTTTTCTACAGTGCATCGCAAGTGCTTCTAAACCTGCTAGTATCACATAAATGGTTGCGAAATGTGCTCTCCACGGCTTTTTATACGTTAGGAGCCTTCCCATACCGCCTTCATACCGTCTTTATACCTTTCCTTGCCTGTCGTGAAACCTAATAAAACGCGCTTATCACATTATCCTGCACTCTCGTCGAGCCGCTTGCTGCTGAGCCCTCTAAAAGATGTGGAGAGTAATAACACTTCCAGCGCACTGCTGGTAGCGGTCTTTCGATTTCCCTGCGTGGGTTGTCCTTTTGCAGCTGTATATATACAGTACGTACACATATAATGCTTGGCCGTCACGGCAATTTCCTTTCAAATCTCCGCACGCGCAACCAAAGACATGTCTCGGGGTTTGAGCTATCAGGAATCGGTCGCGGCCACCTTCTTCCTCCCAGGACACAGTTGGAAAAGAAAAGGTCTCTCGTCATGCCGTCATAAGCGCGGTTCGGAAACTCCGACTCAACTGGAGTGAGGTACAGTAGCTGCATACCAAACCCGTTGCGGGTTCATTGGAATAATAGAAATGCGTCTCAGGAGAGGGATCTCGGGAACGTTAGGTCATGAGCATCACATAGGAGATCAGTGTAAAATCAGAATATCTGTCTTTGGATGAATATGACTGTACAGAGCTCTCAACGGAAGTCATCAGGGTTAAAACGGACAAATCTCTCGGATTACAAGCGCATCAAAAAGGACAAACATATGGCGCAGAATAGATCTAAATTACAAACTCTACAGTCACGACAGAGGAAGGTTGTTCGCCTTTCCAAGAGACCCCATATCTCTCCGCAGCTTCAGCACCCAACTCCCAACATCCACCCTATTCCCATTATCAAATCCTCATTCTCGCAGCTGGCGACGGCGACCAGTCCTTGAACCAGGGCAGGGTCAAGACCTCATTCACTCGCAACCTCGCCCCCCAATCTTTATGCAGCATGCCCTTGAGCACCTCCACAACATCCTCGCTCACATCAAACTCATCCCCCTCGTGTACCGTCGCACCCTCCTTCTCGTCCTCCTCGCGACACTTCTCAATCGAGCTCGCGATTTTATCCTCCATATCCACATCCACGATCTCCTCGTCGTCTTTGAAGGGATCCATTTTGAAGAGCATGACGAAGAGGAGCGTGCCGAGTGTCCATACTTCTTGCGATTCGGGATAGTAGGAGTGGCCCTGGGCGGCTTCGGGGGAGGCGAATTTGCGGGTGCCGTAGAAGATGTCGGTGGTTTTGCCGGGGATGAGTTGGGTGGTGGAGCCGAAGTCGATGAGTTTGGTTTGTCGTGTGCGGGTGTTTATCATGATGTTCTCGTCTAAGGGGGGAAGATTGGGTTCAGCGAAAGGCCTACATGTAATGATGCGAAACGTGTCAATACTACGAATGTATCGCCTCACCTTTGAGATCATTATGCACATAACCGTTCCAATGCATAAACTCCACTGTCTCTAAAATCTGACCGAAAATATCCTTACAATGCTCCTCATTGATAGGCCCATACGCCTCGATATAATCATACAGATCGATCCAGTCCTCGCCCAAGTACTCCATCACAATCACAAATTGCGGATCCATGTTGTAGTACTCGATAAACTTGATGATGCCACTGTGGGACGGGCATTCGTCCTTGAATTTGCGCATGACGTGGATTTCAAGTGGGTACCGCCGCTTGGACACTGGGTCGGTGACCCAGTGCCAGACGGAGGCCTCTTTGATGAATTTACAGACGACGAGAGTGTTGTCCGATATGCGTTGGGCTAGTCGGACGGTGGAATGGCCGCCCGCTCCGACTTTGCGGAGGACCTGCGATGATAGATTGAGATTTAGGGTATGTCGTCTGATGTCTCCAATAATGCATCATCTACCGAATACTTACTCTATACCGACTCTCAAACGTCGCAGACACCCTCTGACTCTCTTCGCTTATCGCATCCTCACTACCGCCTCGTGACAGCGCCTGCGGTTTATCTCTCGAATGGCTCGGCTCATGTGTTGGATGACCTGCACTCGTTCTTGGTTTCACGGGTGCTACGGCGTTATTCGCGAAGCCCTCCTTCCTCTTCATCAGCCGCCTGAAAAGCGGAATATCCTTCTTGCTGCGATGACCTGTGGTGAGCGATCTTTTCGGCTTATTCTTCCTGGTGTCCAGGGCTTGAAGGGTCGGCGTGTCGATGTGCGTGACATAGTTGACTTGCGTTGGTGAGCTGGTAGGAAGGTGCTGGAGACGCTGGTCCTGGTGATGAGCGGGAGCTTGGTGGTGCTTCTCCTTTTCGTCTTTATATAATTTAGGGAAGAGTGGTCGGAGCCATTTATGCTTGACATGGGTTGGCGATTGGTCGCCTTCTGCCGGCTTGGGCAATGCCAGGTTTGTTTGTGATCCGGTGAGTGAGGCTGAGGAGCCGCCTAGAGTTGTCTGACTGCCCACTTGTTTGGATGCCGACGGCGACTTCTTGAAATCACCATCGTACTGTTCTGGCTCCTCGGCGAGGGAGGCGAGACTGGCGCTCGAGTCCGCCAACGTTCGTTTCGACGAACCCTTTTGGAACATGTTGACTTTCGCCCACCAACCCGCATCCGCCTCCTTCTTACCAGGCGGCAGTACATGATGTAGCAGCGCGCTGCGTTGCTGCTCCAACTGTACTTTCTCAGCCACTGCTGCCTTATCCTCCTCTATGCTGGAATCGGGCTCTGGCTCCGCGTCTTCCAATGGGGCATCCAGCTCCACTGGCTTCCATCGCCTAAGGTTCGAATTCGCGGTTCGAACAGGTTGTGGGCCAATCGCTCTTCCAAAGTTGTTTTTCAGGCTTTTGGTGAAGGCTGGCAAGGGTGTTGATTCTCGCGCATGCATGTTGGTTGCCAACGCATGCCCATGTGCAGCAGCCGTGGCGTCGAGGTCTTCATCCTCAGATGCCGAGTCGATATCTACCAACCTATCCTTCCTTGGTTTGTCATTGAGCCGCTCAATAGGGCCTTCGTCTTCAACGTCCTCATCAATGGACGCCGCTCTGTCGGCTTGCCCTGCGTGTACCGTTGTGTGTGGACCCGTCCCCACCCTGAATTCGGCAGGAATGTAGACGCCTCTCCTGCGTCCCGCAACCTCGTCCGACGACGAGTCCAAATCCGCTTCTTCCTGTTCAGCAGCTACATCTCGCGGGCTGGGTCTTGCATCAATTCGCACCGGTGTATCAGACCATCCAATAGCCTTTCTCAACCCGTCATCGTCATCAACTCGTCGCATCGGGATCTTCACCTTGGACGCTCCCCATATCCGACTCTGCCCTCCACCGCCCGATGTTACATCCACACTAGAAGCCCGTCTCTTCCCCTTCGGCGGTGCCGCCTGTATCCTCTTCAGCGGCCTGAATCCTCGCTCACTCCCACTATCCGAGTCCGTGACGGACACCGACTCGATGCCATCGTCATCCACATCCTCATGCTCGTCGCCGAGCCCGCTATGACTGGTCTTGAAGCTCGTCGTGGTGCCCGTACTACGTGCTGGTGTCTCGCCATTTTCCGCGAAATCCGGCCCCGCTCGCACAAAATCCCGTAGGTCGTCCTCGCTCGTCTCTGATCTGCCGAGGCTGCGTTCGCTGTCCGAGTCGTGGACGCTGCTGGACACCGCTTCAGTGTGGTGGGAACTTTTGGAGCTGATTGTCGCCGCTGTCGACGGGAAATCTCCCAGTGAGACGTTTTCGGAGTGGGAAGTGGTGCCGGAGTTTCTCCGGGGGAGGGAGTCGGAATTCGTCCCTCCCGTGGAGAGTTTTCCAGACATCTGTGGTCCTGGTTCAAGGAGAGAATTTCCCTGTTCACGGGGTTCTGATAATCGCTTCGAGAAGTTGTTTATCCAATTCCTTCTGCAACCCCCAGTTTTGACGAAAAACAGAGAGATTGGATGTATCTGCGACGCTGCGCTTTTTGCAAACGGGCGATGATTGTGTGCAAGAGTTCGAGCAGCGCTGAATGGAGTATTGGATGACAAGAACCGTTACGATGCTCTGGAAGGTACGCAAACGGAAGATTTCATGGAACAGGTAAGAAGCCTGATCATTTGGCTTTTAGTACTAGTATTGAGTCCATGCACAACATCAGCCAAGGGATAACAGAATCAAGAGAGCGAACATTCGTACTCCGCTCAGCATAGCTTATGGTCAGAACAATACCCAGACAAACATAGAAGAAAAGCTCACAGTTGTGGGGTGTGTGTGGATCCATGTTCCAGATGTTTGCTGTGGGGTGCTTTATTGGATATTGGGAGCCATCCGTTAGCTCCGACGCTTACGCTATTGTTCGATGGAGCACGTGACCTTGCATCATTCGAGAGTGCCCACGACTTGATTCGAAGCAAAACCATGCAAATACACTACTGTACACACCATATCCGTGAAGAAGAATCACACTTCAAGCGTTCGGGAGCAAAGAGGCCGGGGCTTAGTGGCGCAAAACCAATAGCGAGCGACACAGTGGCAGGGTTGCTGTGAGGATGACCTGCGGCGGAAATGCCAACGGAGTGCCAATGGAGTGCTGGTTGAATTGAACGCGTCTGATGAAAGTCCCAGGCGTGACAAATGCGTTTCCAGACTTGTGAGAAGCTGCGAGACCCGACGGGATTCCTACCGGACTGAGCAACCAACAGTGGTCGGCCACGTGGACAGCAAACTAATACTGTCTCTCAGCGGCTATAAAAGCCAGGCGGTATGTTGGTCTCGGGCCGTCTCTCCGCTGCAACAAGCTGCCTTGTTGACTCCGGCACATTTAAAGCGGTGGTCTTCTTGGCGCCTGGTCTTTCTCTTGCCGCTGCCCAATCAAGACCCCATATTGAACCTAGCTGATCCTGTCTACGCTGTCGCCATGAGTCTTGCACAGGAGAACGCAAAGTACTTTGAGTAAGTCAATGATCACGTCTGAACGCACATTCAGACTTTTCTCCCAGATTTTCGCGCTACGGCCCGAACCGCCCTCAAGCAACCTGACAAAGTACGTCTTTAGTGCGCAGGCATCGACCTACAATGAGAAGGACTGGCATAAGATCCTCTCCGAGCAACTTCATACCGCCATTCGCAAAAACGTGGGATGGATCGGCCTCGATTGGGCTACCGACGACGACCGCTCCTCAAGCCGGAAAGAAGTCCGCTTGATGGATTACGCCTGCGGGACTGGAATGGTAACCAAGGTGAGCATCACATCCGCTTTATTCGAGGGTTTTCTATTGCGTTGCCATCGTAACAATGCAGCTAACACATCTGTCTCTCGTTCAGGCGCTGAAACCTCACATCACTGCCGCGACTGGCGTTGACGTTTCCTCTGGAATGTTGGACGTCTACAAGCAAATTTTCCAGACGGTTCCCAACGATACTTCCACTGCGAAGACCGACATCAAAGTGACCGCCCAGCAAGGCGACCTCTTGGCACAGCCAGCCGACCCTGCACTTGCATCAGCGGAGTTTTATGGCTTTGATATCGTAGCTTGCAGCCTTGCATTTCACCATTTTGCGGACGTGGACTTGGCCGCGCAGAGGATGGCGGAACGTCTGAAGCCTGGCGGTGTGTTGCTCATCATTGATCTCTTGCATCATGACGGGGGCTACGGCCACGGACATGGGCACGATCACGGCCACGGGGACGGCCATGGGCACGGACACGGAGATGGTCATGGGCACGGCCACGGGCACGGACATGCGCACGGTCATGAACATGGGCAAGGACACGGTCACAACCACGAGCATGGCCAGCACATACATGGCGAGCATCATACCCCTGCTTCCAAGCAAACTCCTCACAGCCATCTTGACGTTGATCACATCGATCAGGTCCCGGAGGAGGTGCGCAAGGCCATCAAGGTCTTGAGTTTTGGCGAGGAGACGGTCAAAGCGGCTTTCGACGGCGCGGGGCTGGTAGATTTTCAATTCATGCCGTTGCCGGAAAAAGCCAAATTTGAACAAGGGGCCATGAAAGCGGAAAGGACGATTTTTTTCGCCAGGGCGAAGAAGCCATTGAATCTTACTCACTAGGGACAACGTCGCAAGATTCCGATCCTCCCCGCCTTTTTTCTGAGTGGAGCCGGATTGGCAATGGACTTGCTTATGTCGTGTACGTAGGAAATCCTCATTCGTATGTAGTTCTCCCTACATGTCCTGTAGCATTGTCCGGTCTAGACTTTCGGGCATGTCTGCCAATGTTTGTCATATAGCGAATACATTCTTGTTTCATCAACTCGATCCTTTCATGTCCGCACGCTTTGTTCCCTCCCAACTCTTGATGCCACAACTTTCAACCAGCGCAGGCTAACGGCACATTTGTGGACGCACGGTGCTCATCAGCCGCTCCAGATCCGCGCCAATGGAGCATCCCATTTACGTACATACAGTATGTCAAAGGCACGGTTCAACGGCGCGATTAAGTTCCAGAAAATCGGGATGGCCGCATATGGCATTCTTCATTCTCATATATATAAACTAGGAGATAGCAAGCAACACTGCGACGATAAAAAACTAGCTACAAACATACCAGACTTCAAGATATCGTCCCGTTTGCAAGATGCAACTCCTCACGTTTGGCATCCGTCTCAGTCATATTCGTCGCAGCAGATGGGGTAACTGGGCCAGCCTTAGCAGTGGACGTGGGCGGGGAGGGGCGTGGCGAAGGCAGAGACTTCCTTCGGGGTAAGACCGTACTATTTGCTCTTCTCGGTGGGAGCGTCAGCAACCGCTTGGAGGGCGGCGATGAGGGCGACGACGATGGTGGCGGTGAACTTCATGTTGGTGATGGACGATGGGGATGTGGCAGAGAGGATGAGATGAAATGCTTTGCGACGGTGCTGAGTGCGATGAGGAGATTCGGAAACCTCCGTACCACCCCGCCCCTTATAAACTCCACCGCCTCTGTCTTCGCGTTGCCCCCATTCCCCAGCAACGCTAGCCTGTTCGCTCTTGATTCTCCTCCGCTGTGGCCCACGGCCGTTGCCCGTCTTCATCACCGCCGACAACCCTCGCAGTCGTTGACGCCCTTGATCGGAATTCATGAAGGCCCTCAGCCGTCGGTGCTCAATTACCGCCCATCGAAATCACAGACCTCGCATCGTCTCGCATATTGCCAAATTTCGGATGCTACAGAATCGTTGCGCCTCTGTCCTGGAAGTGCGGTAGCCATCTGAGCCTCCCTATTTCAACCCCACGGGCCTGTCGTTGGCGCCCCACATTACCCAATTGCACGCCATGTCGGACCGTAGTGACGACAAAAGTAAGGATGCCCGTTCGAGCCAAAGACACAGCCGAGGCTCACGGGGGCATTTGTGGTGATGATTTGAAAGCGAGAGCAATATCACCACCACAGGCATATCATTGCCAAGGGTAGCCTCACAGTTCAGAGGCCCTAAAAGCCCCAAACAGAATGAAATCATTGAGATGTGCGCCGCAATTAGTGTTCTCTGTCTACGTCCGGACATGGTTGATGAGCGACAGAGGGCAACCCCTGTATCTTTTCTACATTGGCTCTTTCTACGTTGGTATCGAAGGCCAGGTTGGGCGACCCGATCGCTCTCGAGCGTTGCTGCGACTGGGGTGCGTTTGTGAGTTCCAGGTCCCACGCGTTGAGGTCCACGCCTTGAACTCGACGCGTGTGATTACGTAGCAAAGCGGCCTGTGCGACTTGTTCTGGCAAGTCACGTGCGTCTAAGTGATAGCACTAGCAGCGCGAATTAAACCTCCCAATCGACGTGGCGGTCGCGACTCGATGCCGCAAGTCCAAAGTTGCCCTTGCCCGCTCGCTCGCTCTGCCCAAACGGATCACACCGCAAGAAGTACCGGCTAGAGGCATACACTCCAGCTGCTGCATTCCTCCCAGGTACGCTACAAGACATGTTTTTGGGAGCTGGCCCGTTGTAAGGAGAGCGATCAACTGCGTCTGGACGGGGCTGTGATTGATGTTTTCTCATATTTCCGCCATCCTGACTCTCACTGACCTGAACCTGAACCTTACCCTCTAGTGGTTTGACTGCCAACGGCTGCTTTCGTCAATATGTCTTGTGAGTGTTTCAGTTAGAGGAGGGATACTGGATCCCGGGTGGCCGTGGTGCATGTGTGGCTTAGGGAAACGCCTTCGACCGTGATGATCTTTAACGGGTTTCCCTTCGTTTCTCCCGCCCGCCGCAGTTCGACTTCTCCATGTCCTCAGGCCATTTATCGCCTTGATGCCTGAGGTCGTCTCCCCCGATCGCAAAGTAAGAGACTCTCGCTTGCCAGATTTGAGTATTGGTCACGATGCTTACGCATGGTTCCCATAGGTGCAATTCAGGGAGAAGGTCATGTGGACAGCCATCACTCTGTTCATTTTCCTGGTCTGCTCGCAAATCCCGCTCTTTGGAATCATGTCGTCCGAGTCGTCGGACCCCATGTACTGGCTGCGTGTGATTATGGCTTCCAACCGAGGAACGCTGATGGAGCTGGGTATCACGCCGATTGTTACGTCGAGCATGATCATGCAGTTGTTGGCTGGTGCCAATATTATTGAGGTCGACCATTCGTTGAAGGAGGACCGGGCGCTGTTCTCCGGCGCGCAGAAACGTGAGTTGGCGGACCTGAGCTTGCTTTGGAACCTTGAACGGGTTTATCTGGACTCATACTCTTCATACCATAGTCTTCGCCATGGTTATCGCCATTGGACAGGCCACCGTTGCCGTCTGGTCCGGTGTATACGGAAACCCGAAAGACATTGGCCCCGCCATTTCGCTCCTCTTGATCCTGCAATTGTGCATCGCCGCCTTGATTATCCTTCTGCTCGATGAGCTCTTGCAGAAGGGATACGGTCTCGGCTCTGGAATCTCGTTGTTCATTGCGACCAACATTTGCGAGACGATCATCTGGAAGGCTTTCAGCCCGACTACGTACAACACTGGCCGAGGTGGGGGGAGTTCCAAGGGACGCGACTGCGATGAGAAGGCAGCGTGAACTGATGCAGTAAACCTCTGATCACAGGAACCGAATTCGAGGGAGCTGTCGTTGCCCTCTTCCACCTCCTCTTCACGCGCAGCGACAAGTTCCGCGCCCTCAAAGAAGCCATGTACCGCCAAAACCTCCCCAACCTGTCCAACCTGATCGCCACTGTCGTCGTCTTCGCCGTCGTTATCTACCTCCAGTCTTTCCGCATCGAGATCCCTGTCAAGTCGAACCGGTACCGTGGTCAGCAAGGAAACTACCCCATCAAGCTGTTCTACACCTCCAACATGCCCATCATGCTCCAGTCGGCTCTGGTTTCGAATGTGTTCTTTATCTCGCAGTTGTTGTACAAGCGGTGGCCTGACAACCTTCTCGTTCGCTTGCTTGGAGTGTGGAAGGTACGTCGGGGGAAGCTGACATCAGCCGGGAGCGTATCTTGATCTTATCCTCTCATTCGAATCAGAGTCCCGAGGGTATCCCCCAGGAACAAGCAGCCAGCGGCTTCGCCTACTACATCTCCCCACCCCACAGCCTGAAAGAAGCCTTCGTCGACCCGATCCACTTTGTCATCTACGTCACCTTCATGCTTTCTGCCTGCGCCTTCCTCTCCAAGACCTGGATCGAGGTCTCCGGTTCCTCCCCGCGCGACGTCGCCCGCCAACTCAAGGAACAGCAGCTCGTTATGCGCGGGCACCGTGACCAGTCTATGTACAAGGAGTTGAAGCGCATCATCCCTACCGCCGCGGCGTTTGGCGGGCTTTGCATTGGGGCTTTGTCCGTCTCGGCGGATTTGTTGGGCGCTATTGGGTCCGGCACGGGGATTCTGTTGGCTGTTACTATCATCTACCAGGTGCGTTTCGGGGTTCGGCTCCCTTCGTCGTAGTTTTGCGTGGGTTCCGATGAAGGTACCAACTCTGACCCGCCCTCTACTTTGTCGACAAATTAGTACTTCGAGATTTTCCTCAAGGAACAGTACGAGGAAGGCCAAGCAATGTTCTAAACAGAAGTTTTGGAACTGCCCGTGCACATGCCTACGGTCGCGAAGCGCGTGGTCTGAAATGCGTTCATCGCTGTCTTCCAAAGACAAGGTCGAAGAGAAGTTTGGGTCGTAGAAACCGGAAGCAAGGATCGAAGGGTCCGACCGCCCACACCTTATTTAGAGAATGTTTTGCAGAAGAGTTTTTATTGTTGACGGCGCCCCTTCTCCATGTGCTTTTCATCGTAAATATTACACTTTTGCCGCTGAAGTCGAGGGAAGAGTACGCCATTATTTGGTCTACTATTACGTACGTTAGGGGTGAAATCACAGATTTCGTCGCCCTGGATAATTACAACTGAATCGGGGATTTGATACAGAGAAAACGGAGCTGTAGCTCTAGATTTCTATAAGAGATGGACAAAAAGTCGAGATACACCGGTGTAGCACGAGCGAAAATACGTTAAAGCCGACTGCGGATCGAAGGTGAGGATAGTCCCCGTCCCTATTGCTTTTAGGTGGAGAAAAATACAGCGGCGACGGCAGCGGCGAAAGCCGACACGCCACCTACCGCGACCTCCGCCGCACCGTTCTTCGCAGAGGTACCGGTCGGGGTCGCCGTGCTCGAAGCAGCGGAAGCAGACGAGGTCGCAACAGCCGTCTGGGAGGCGGTAGAAGTAGGGCTGGCAACGACGGCGGAGGAAGTGGTGAGAGGCAGTTTGACCCAGGGGGCGGGTTGTGGGAGGGCGGCGGGGTTGAGGTTTGCGGCGGTGCAGCGGGCGGTTTGGGAGGGGAGAGCTACGCTGTTGAGTTCGTCGGTGACGGTTTGGTTGCCTTGGCATTGGGCGTAGCAGTTACTGTAGAGAAAGAGAGAGAGACGTTTGAGGACATGGTGTGGACGATACTGAAATTGGGCAGAGGCCCATTCATTTCCACTCTCATTCCACCTCCAAAACACACGCAAAAACCACCCCTCATACTCACACTCTGTTAACAGCCGCATAGCAAAGACAAGCAGTGTTCAGGGTCGCATTGGCAGCGGGGCCAGTTGCCAACGGGCCACAGGTTGATTTCTCAAAGTCGACGGCGTTGGATTTGCACAGCTCGTAGTTTGCGGGAGCGCATGTTTGAGCGGAGACGGCGGCGACGAGGGCGAGGAGGAGGGTGAAGGACTTCATTTTGGCGGTGCTGGCGTGGTTGTTGGTGAGAGTGGGCGGTGGCTGTTGGCGTTGGTGATGGTAGGAGGAATTTGGCGAGCTGGGTGTTGCCGGGAGTGGGTGGTATTTCAAGCTCCTCGTTGTGCCCGTTGCAATAAGGCGCCTAAGAAGAAAGGAAGGAAAGGAAGGCGCAAGAAACGGCGCGTGACTCCTCCGCATTGCGGCCATGTTGACTGAGCAACGACACGCCGCCTTCGACACTGTTCAACAACGCCTGTTCAACCCTGGCTTCCGTCGAATCATGATGCATCTGCTGACTGCCTTTTCCCTGTTCAGGGACTGTCACATCATCGAATATCCAGACTGATCGCCGTTTCAGTCGACAGCCGACAGCCGGCTGACTGATGATCGACGAGGATGAAGTGCATTCATGCAAAGTACCCTGATGGAAGTCCAGCCGTTTGCAGCAAAGATAAGGACGAAACGAAGGCGCATAATCGCGATGATATTAACTCAAGAGGACCTGATGAGCTGTCAGAACCTTATCGTCCATCTTCAACTCCAGCTTTAGAGCGACACGAAAAGTGGAGCAAGATTGCAAGTTTGTTTTAGGAATTTTCATTAACGGAGAGAGCATAGCGTATAGAAATGGGATTACAAAGGGGTGTTCAAAAAGGGTCGACTATCTACATGGATGGTCTCAAAATTGCGGCATGATGTTTGCCTTGACAGTGGACGAGAGTAATGTCCGTTGAACGATGTTCGGGGAGACTTTTCGGATGTATCCGTATCGCGCTTCGCTGATGTGTGCGAGCGGCATTTCGGGTGGTATAGATGGAGCTGGTACCGGGAGAGTCGGGGAGAGCCGAGGCGATCAGCGCCATAAGCTTCTCCCGGGAGCCCTGGCTTGGCTTACCGCAAGTGGTTGGTGGTGCCGGGCATTAGGCGATGTGCCGAACGGATTGAGTGATCTCACTTCCACGTAACACTGGAGAAGAGCGCCTTGAGCTTGCGCATCTTCGACACGCTCTCCGTCGACGCATTCGAGCCCTGTGTTAGCGTCTTGGACAATCGCAATGGGCTGCCCGATGATGGCGAAGAGCGCATTTGCGAGTCGAGGTCCTTGGCGGCGTGCTTCCCGCGGAGGAGGTGGCCCTTGTTAGCGAAGGAGGCCAGGTGGGATGGGGTAACGTTCACCATTTTGATGTGTGGGTAGGTTGGTGTAGAAGGCAGGGGGAGAGTCTCTGTTTTATGTTGGGTAGTCGAAGACTAGAAGATGTTGCTTTGTATTTGCTGATGCTGAAGAAAGTAAGGAGATGCCCGACCACGCCCGCTCTTTTATAGACGAGCGGCCGTCCTCCGAAAGGATGTCCATGCTCACCCACATCGCTTCGACCTTCGTTTAGGGTCGGTGTGTTAGTCAGGAGTATCCAGGGACACAGCCCATGTCCACCGCCTGACACGTCCAGCGCTATCTCTTCCGTCGGCGGTACTCACGTTCAAAGTGGACAAAGCAATCTACAATATGAAATTTGCATGTGGGCGAGTTCGCACGTTTGATGATTCATGCCCCTTCCCCATGACTTCCGATCGCCTCCACTTACAAAAACTTTGTGGTTGTGGCTTCGAATGTTTTCGAGAACCTTCCCATGCGTCGGAAAGCGGGTGGAGGGCTACGTGGACGGTTTTTTGAGTTTCCTTCCGCCGATCCCATGATGGGAGAAAAAGGTGAAGGGAACCTCTCAGCCTCCGATCCTCCCAAGTCCCACGTGTGCGCCAAGATTATTGCCAATCGAGACCCACGAATTATCGAGGTCAGGCTTGTCCACCTCACGGAAATTTCAATGCATAATTCCGGGTGGCGCATGCATTAGTCATGAGCTTTCGTACTTACCGCGTTGAGGCTTAGACCGGTCTGACCGGGGGGCGGGAAACTCTAAAATCTAAAAAAGTACCCGTCACTGCCGTCAGTGGGCCATCACCTCCAGCAGTCAGTGCACACTGCACAAGCATAACAATTTTGACCGAACAAAAACCAATCCATATGTGTTCCCTATGATGTACTCGGTCCAAAAAAGCGCACCCTATCTAACCCTAGTCCTACCTAGTACTTATCGTGCTTATCAAACAGCCCCATGTATCAAACCTAATTCATTACGGCCGAGGGTTGCGACGCCAGCGAACGAAATCTGTCTATACGGCAAATGAAGGATAGTCCGCCGATTCTGAAAGTCTCCTCCCTGGCATATACGTCCAAGGCTTAACCCTCGTTCTCCGAATTTACGAATTCATTCGATCTTTCGACTTCCAACAACGTCCGGTGAGTATGCGCGTTTCTGCGGTAGCGGCGCATGTCCACCTTCCACGAGCAAGAGACGCAGCATAGCCGCCTGTTCGCGCCTACGCATCATCAACATGCCCCAGTGGGGAAAGTTCTTGCGCGACTTGGTGATTACGACGTGTGCATTGGGCGTCACACCGCTCGCACTCATCCGGAGCGTTTAGTCTGTAAGGACGCCGGTGGCATCCTTGATGAGCAGCTGAAGCCATAGATGGATTTCGAAGACAGCGGGCTGCGCAGGAACGCTTCAAATTCTTTGTGTTTGGGGAAACTTGCGTCGGGGATCGCGTAAGGCTGTCCGGCAGCGCCCATCTGCTCGAGTTGCATGGTGCAGCGTCTGAACGATGTTGCGGAGAAGCATGTGACAGGGATGCGAGGGCAGCCACCACAGCGCCGGTAGCTCCTCCACGAGCGGAGACAAGGTATAGGGCGGTGCGCACGAGCACAATTCGAGAAACCAAGTAAGAAGGAAGACGTCGTTCCTCAGGGAGGTAGAGATGAATCTTCCCTTGACAGGGGGATGTGTGCCGAAATAATCGCGCAACCCGGGAGTCAGAAAGGAGCGAATTTCTTGGCGAAAAAGTGAGAAAGACGGCTCAGGTGGTATAACCTCGAGGAGTCTGAGGCAATCCAGGGGCGGCCAAAGTGCCTCCTCAGGGCTTGAACGAGCAGCTTTTCATTTGCTAGGCCGGCCCACGGGAAATGCGCGCGGACACACGCAATGAGCGTCTCGACCTCCCACGTATTGACATCGATATGGTGGATGTCCATGGCGAAGAGAATCCAATCAACGTCTATAAGCTCGATCGCTTTTTCGTAGAGGACCTGGCAAATTGGGAGACCCGATCGTTGTCCCAGTTCAGCGCCTGCATGACGTAAAACGCGCCGGATGGCGTCGACTGCCTCGTCGCCTGATATACCCGCAAGCAATGACGATCCCCGCAGTGTTCATAAAGTAAATACGATAAAGGATGTCGTGAAAGCGCGGCCATGCGACAAGGACATACTTTACAAATGTCGTTGACTTGGAATGATCTTCCCACGCGTCGTCGTCATCGCGGTCGTCTTCGTCGTCGTCACGATCATCTTCAACGGGGCAGAAATCATCTTCCCTCACAATATCATCCGGATTGACGCGGTGCGCGAGAAGCTCGTCGCAGTCACTTTTGGCAGGGCGCCGGTCCGTTGTATGGATGTGGTCTCCGTCGGACGTGATCAACTCCAGGCGGAACTCTGTAACGAGATCGGTCGGTCATTTGAAAAAGGCAGCATTCAGAGGTTCTGCCGTTATAGGAACATTCCCCCTGGTGGTAGACCGGATAGGTTACACACTTTTCCTCGCGTGTCAGGACACAGACGTGGAACATGAACTGATCGGGAGCGACGTCGTCAAGCTCCAAATACGCCTCATATAGTTGCCCTCGAGTCCACCTACACCGAAATTCGGGAAGCTTTCCTTGCCGTAATCTTCTCGACACAATAGGTGAAGTATCTAGGCGGCGACGGATGACCCAACATGCCGTGCAGACACGTTGAGAGTTGCGGGCCGATGGCCTCCCGCTTGCCGTTCAACCACGGCGCTCGAACGTCGAATCGGGCCTATTCTCTCGCTTCGCACTGTCCGAGTCGCCATCTGGTGTGATAACCCTGGTTAGTGGTTTGGGAGTATGTACTCCGCGGCGGCCAAGGTTGGATGCTTTCGTCGCGGAATGGAAGGGAAACGCTCCAAGCAGCTACAAGAGAAAGCCCACGTTTCGGACTCTTTCGGACACGCTTCCGTGCGTGTTCCCGTCCTAACTACAAATCGAACCTAATAGGGGGGCTCAACTGACTCTCACAGCAGCCACGGACCTTAACGTACGCTGGACGCACCTCTTCTGCAGGAGGGGTGCAAGATTCCGTGCGGATGGACATCTAGATGGACATGTATGTTCAATCACGTGAGCACGTCAAAAATCTCAGGAAGATGAGAAGTTGGAAGTCCACTTTCGCTTGCAATGTTTTTGGTATGGTATCACGCTTCCAGTCATCAACACCATGATGATGTAGGAACTTTGAACTCGTGCTTCATCTCACAACCTGCATCGAATGGAATCACCCACCGCCGATAATATTGCCTCCGTCCCGGGCTCGCCTTCACAAATGGATCGATGGCCGCAACGAACCTGGCCTTCCCAGTTTTTGCGTTGGAGGCAAGCTTGGGCTCAACAGAAGAATGCGTCGCGCAAACTTGTGTGAAGGAGCCCACATTTTGGATCTAGCTGTCGCGTTTAACCCGTGTTGCGGTGCCACTGCGGCGGTGGATGTCAAACTTGGCGTTGGCGATGAAGGAACTTCGGCGGAAAGGAGCTCGGTTGGATCCTAGAGGTCGATTTGACGCTTCTTTGCGGTATGGGAGCGGTGATGCGTCGTGCTTTCGGCGGAGATCACCAGTCGAGAAGGGAGACAACCCTGTCAGTATGTCGGTAGTACATGCTGGTTGCAAAAGGGGCCGGCCGTGGTGTTTGTTGCAGTCCAATCCAAGCGTTTTTGCTATGGGCTCACTTGAAGTGGCTGGCCGGAAAGAGTATTCTTGGTGAAGTTCGCCGGAGTCGGTCTCTGAGCATTGAACATGTAAACTGCTTGACAACATACAGTACGTTTGGCTTCCCACAAGATGTCTGTGGAATCCACCCCAACGATGCCATATGACCCACCGGCATGTTTGGAAGGGAGAACACTCACCCATATCCCGCGGCCAGAAGGCGACCGACCCAATTGACAGGAAGCGACAGCAGAAGTTGGGGGCGACGCGAAAAACAGTCTTCCAGGCGTTCGACGGCCAACTTTTGGCCGGTGGTGGCGGCCGGTACTCGGAGGGCCCCAATGCGTTGGGACTCGGGTTTGAATGCGTTGCTGCGGTTTCTCTCCCAGGCGCATGTCGCAAATTTAGACTTGATTGCAATCCTTCAATCATTTTTGCAAAGGGAATCTTCAAGAACGTCATCGATGCAAAGTAAAACCGAAAACCAGCTGTCCCAGGGGTTAGTTTGAAGCCCGCCTTGTGCGAGGCGTGTGGGAGGGAGAGCGAGCGAGTAATATTATTATGGTGTTGCCCTCCCGCCACCAAGCGAGCGAGCGAGCGAGCGACAGAGCGTGCTTGTTGCAGATCCATCCGGAAGAGAGGAAACAGGCGGGACGTTTCTGCCCTGAACTGGCGTTGAAGAACGTTGCTTCCCAGAGAAGTTGCGCCGCCAAAAGCCCCGCTGACAGCTTTATACATATTACGCTCGTTTTGTATCGTACAGTAAGAAGGCAATCCTCTCGGAACCCATACCCAATCACGTACAGTAGTAGACCAGTAGAGCAGTTCAGCTAGGTCTTGTATCATAACTGGTACTCGCTCGCTTACACTTAGATCGCGGCATCCCCGACGTCCGAATAACATCAGAACGCAAAGTTCCCACACCATACCAACAGCCTTGTGACGTTCGCCGTTACTGAACAACGGCACTGAGGAACTCAATTCGTCTGACGGTAGAAACCGGATTTGGGGTACAATTACCACTCCCCGCAAGCTCTCGGCACCTACTTTCCCACCGTAATTGACTTCCCCGAAACCCTCCATCGCGAGCAGAGAAGGCGAAGCTGCCAAGTCCAGTTTATCCCCGGCAGCCATACCTTACCGACGCGCACATAATAACGTATGGTCCGGGGAATGACAGATGGAGATGTGCAGCCCACCAAACTTCCGAGCGGCAAGCTCGGCACCAGTCTAGCCCGGCCTTCGTTGCAGCGGATGGCAGGAGTGGCACGTTTGAGACAGCAACAAAGACAGCAATTGGAGCAGCAATCGCTGTATGATGCATACGAAAAGCTGCGGCAGGAGGACCGTCACAGGCCGAAGCAGCACTCACCACCACCTCAGTCATTCTCAGCACATGCATACCTCCGCCAGCGGACAAGGTCCGGGCCGGCCTCACCAATGAATAATGAGGATCATCGACTGACACTCGGCGAAATATCGCCAGATCTTGGCTTCGATGACGTTCTCACGAATCTGGACCTCGTGCGGTTCGAGTCGCTACGTGGTGGGGTTGACCCAGCTGCGGCTGGGAAGGAGTTTGCGGAACGGGTGTTTGAAGGGCTAGAATGGGACTCTTCGGTGCGATATCAGGACAACGAGTCCTTGCCGCGGTCAACTAGATCTCCTAGCTCAAAGTTTTCTGGAGATACTCTGGTGCATGCGTCGAAACACAGCACGCTAGAGAAAGTTTTAGAACCTCGAAAGAGGACGACTTCATCTGGCACCCTGCAATCATCAGCCACTCTGCAATCGAACGATTCAAAAAAGAGCGGCCTGCTGACAAAGATGTCCTCTTTTTGGAAAGGCAACTTGGCGAGAGTGGAAACAAAAGTCGACAGCATGCAGCATAAGCTGAAGAAGCAGCGGTCCTTTAGCGGAGTCACGTTGGGATCACCCACGCCACCAACATCGCCAAAGTTCTACGCAGTATCGTCGGAGGCGGATCCAGACATCAAGTACGGAGTTGCCAAATCTGCATTGACGGTAAATACCGGCAATCTGGTGATGTCGACGGACAGTTTCCACAGCGTCCATGCGGAGAAGTGTTCGACATTGAACTCGGTCTCGACGAGCTCCCACCAACTGTATCCATCCGATCACTTTCTCCCACACAACGTCTCCGCCACGGAGAGCCAACGCACGCTGTGCACGCTCGAGTCCAGTTCCGATTCGGCGCCGCCATCCCCGGCGTTATCAAAGCGTACGAAGGTCAAAGAATGGTTGGCATCCTCATCCCATAGCCACCTCACACCACCGACATCCCCACCGCCCCCACGGCCGGATCGGCGGAAATCATCCGACGCATCCCGGTATATACCCCCCTCCCTCTCCCAACGCTCCATCCGCTCCGTCAAATCCAACATTTCCCTCAAATCCGCCCGTTTCCGCTCTCAACCGCGGGAGCCAATACCACAGCGCAAATCGCTCGATGCCGCATCCCGAAAGTCGTCGGATAGATTCTTTGAGTTCGTGGAAGAGCTGTACTGCCGCGCGGATACGTTTGGGTTCGTCATCTTCAAAGGGCGGAAGAGTCGGAATGATAAGATACAGGAGGCGGCGATGATCGCCAAGGATTTTGAGAGGTGCAAAAAGTGGCGATTGATGGCACAGGAGATTCCTGTGCATCCGGCGGTCATGGAGGCTGAACGGGCGCTCGGCGGAGGGCTGCAGAAGATTGTGTCGGTGAATGGAAGCAACGTGCCGTCCAAAATGGGGTTGTCGCCGATTTTTAATTTCGCAAAGGGACAACAGGTGTGTGTTGGCTGGTCATGACTGCTCTGATGGCTCTTTCCATGTCCAACCATTTGCCCTCGACGTAGTTCTTGACCCGGTTATTCAAAGGCGTGCCACAAGTATGGCGCGGACATGTGTGGTACAATCTGATCACATCATATAGCGGGCTTTACAGCCGCATGACGCCAGGCCAGGTTGGACTGGCGGAGGCAGATTTCATTGAGAAGTACCATGTATGTGTGGAAAGGGCCACATGCGTTTCAAGAGCGACCATCCCTACTAACTTAGTTACCGTCTCGTCAACCAGGAGTACTCCGATCAGCCATCAGGCCACGACGAAAGCATCATGTTGGCGATTCCAAAAACCTTTGCAAATCATATCTGGTTCATGCAAAGACAAGGGCCAGGGTAAGCAGTCTACCGTTTTTCTCCATGAGAACTTCCTTATGTTTGCTCACACTCGCACCGACCAGTCAACAAGCACTCGCCCACCTCCTCAACGCCTACGCCATCTACGACCCCGACCTCGGCTACGTCCCCGGCATGAACTCCATCGCCGCCATGCTCCTCACCGTTATGGAATCCGAACGCGCATTCATCGCCCTCATCCACCTCTTCCACGCCCCGATGCTCTCCCGCCCCTACTACAACATCCGCACCCTCTTCACACCCACCGGCATCCGCGACCACGCTATACCCGCCCACGATGCCATGATGGCGCTGCATGTGCCCCGACTCGTCACCCATTTCGAACGGATGGGGATAAGCTCGAAGATGTATGCGGACTTGTGGTACCGCACCCTGTTCTTGGGGCTGTGTAGTATGGTTGCCCCTGAGAGAAGACAGAGACGGTTATCTGAGCAGCTGCGGAGAGGCTATGTCTCTTCATCGGATGAGGATGAGGAGGACGAGGACGAGGATGACGAGGATGTCGGGCGCGCGAGGAGCAGCGGCGCGTCTGATCGTTTCCCACCTGATGCCCGAGGAGATGATGGCAAACGGTGGGAAGGCGTGTTGGATTTCGCGACGGTGGTGAAATGCTGGGATTTCATTGCCGCGATGGGGTGGGAGAGCCTGCCTGTTGTGGCTGTTAGCGTGCTGAAGTGGTATGAAGGTATGTGTAGATCGTAAAACTCCGTCATCCGTTTCCGTTCAATCACTTATCTACTTGATTCTCATCAGCATCACTTTTGACCCTCGACTCGTCAACACTTCTCACCTTCCTCCTGAACGGAGACAACCCAGACGACCTTCTTGACGGGCCGGACGGCGACGCTCGCCGCCGGGTCGTGGAGGAGATTACGGTGCACGACCCTGACCGGTTCTTGAGGCTTGTCAGAAGGGTTTGGGGGCACTGAGCGATTTCAACACCCCCAACGTGGAAATGGAGATTGCTCCGTCACGTCTCGCCATATACAACGCCCGACTTGCTATCGGCGCTCACCCCATCCTACCGCGTCTCTTGGATGCCCTCGAATACCTCACAGCGATGCGCCGAGCGGTTGCGTTGCCGAACCACACACCTTTCCGAACCATCTTCCCTCATCCGTCATCACCAACTGCGTACCGCCCCGCCTGGCTCCCAGCTCGGGCTTATCATATTTTGTCCCCTCTGTACTCCCACATTTTCCGTGCCAGTCACCATCTCTCGGCCTCATATCCCCCTTTCTTAATCACCACCCCATCCCCTTTCTTACGGCGTATGGGGGTTTCGACCCCCTCCCTTAATTTGGTTTTTCATGTTCATCCCTCATCGTTGGATTACAGTTTTAGTCTTTTTGTCCCGTAATATCCCTCCCCTCTGACGTTTTCTTTTGCGTTGGGGGCTCATATGTTTTTGTGTTGTTTTGTTTGAGGGTAATTTTTGGCGCATTTTGCGTGGGGTAATGTAAAGTAGAGTACTGCTGTGATGTTGAGATCGGATTGTTGTACGTTCTAGGTTACATTCTACCCTTACTGGGCGTACGCCATGTGGGTCACACAGACTAGACACTACCCACCCTTCCAGCACACACTGGCCGTTCAAGATCGGGGGTATAGTCGGCAAACTCTAGTAGCAGTACGGCAAAATCCTAAACCTCACCCTCCTCACATACTCCCCCCAAACCACTTTTCCATACTTCCCCTCACAAACCCGTCCATCCTCCCTCTCCCTCGGCACAAAGAGCGCCACATAGTACGCCGGATAACTAACCGCCGCAGCCCACACCCACCATCCCGCCGCAGGTGTCGCGGATATGACGATTAATGCGATCGCGATGGCTTGGATGATCTCGCCGGCGTAGTTGATGTGTCTGCTGAGCCCCCAGAAGCCGGATACGAGGAGGGTTGACCCGGGTAAGGTGCGTTGCGGGATGCGGATGGTGTCGAACAAGACGGAGTAGTAGGGTTGTTTCGGGTTGATTTTGAACGCGTGTTTTTGGAGGTTGGCGCCGCGGGTCAAAGTCCAACCTGTGATGAACAGGGCGGTGAGGAAGAGGGATAGCGGGGGTGAGAGCGGGGTCGGGGTGGGGTGGAGGGAGAGGGCGTAGATGGGGAGAGGGTAGAAGAAGGGGTAGAATGTGAGGCAGCCGAAGAGGAGCTTGAAGCCGACTTTTTCGGCGAAAATGTCGTAGGTGTAGAGGTGGACGTCCTAAACGAGAGATAGAGAGACAGGATATGAGAACAAAGTTACAAAGTTCCAGTAGTCCATGGTTTAGACAGAACTTCCGGACATTTACCTCATGATACATATACTCCCCACAAAACCACGTATACATCCCTGCACACAACAGCATTGGCCCACTCACACCGCCATCCCTCCTCTTCTCCGCAACCACGCTGGCCAGCACGACCAATTCCAACATCACCGCTCCAAACAGGTACAAAAACATCTTCACATCGATCCCTTGAACGCGGGGGTTGAATTCCACGCCTGTGTAGAAGCGCAGCCATAGCGGATGAGTTGATGCGTTGGCGTCACGGAGTTTGGAGAGAGTGGTTTTGCGCGGGGATGTGAGGAGGTCGGTGGTTAGAGTACGGCGGTAAGGGTTGTCGGGGACGAGGGGGTTGGTGGGGAAAATGTAGAAGAGGGTAGAGGCGGTGAGCCCGATGAGGGTAGCGGAGAGGGCGATGGCGGGGAAGTTGTGGGAGAAGGTTGTGAGGGGGCGAATATTGAGGATGTCCTGTTACGTTCATGGGAGGGATTCTATTTAGTCGAGTTTTTTTCGCATGAAAATTACAATGTTTCGCTCGCCTCTTACTTACCAGTGAAATGTAAAATGCAACCGCAGACACCAGGACCTTCAACCCATTGAGCCTATAAAGCAGCGGTTTGCCGTCCCAGTCGCAAACATAGCCTTTGACCGGTTTGACGGGTATGATCTATCAAAGGGGACTTTCCGTCAGCACAAGCGGGGTTTTGTAGGCAAAACTTGGAAGAACGGACGTGCCTTATGTAGGATGATTGTCAGTGCCAGCACTTCCAGATACTGATATAGGGATCCCAAATCCCGTGCCGAGACTGTGGTTGAGTCTGTCATCGCTGTTTGCGGAAGCAATCCCGGACGTGGGAACTTTGACCTGCCCACGAGGAATGTGCTCCTTATGCCGTTGGCTTAGTTGGGAAGAGTTTCAGGCCCCGCCCGAGCAGCCCTCTAAGTACCTTCCCTTCTTGCCCGTTCTGCCGGCCCCATACTGCTGTTGTCGTCCTTGTAATGCGTTGAGGGCCCCTCACGCCACTCCAGTCTTTTGCTGTTCACCAGCGTAGGACTGCGTAGGACGCAGTTGCCAACGCGATCGACACTGTGACGTGAGCACTCTCAAACTTTCTTCCTTTCCAAAGACAGGCAACACAGGGCAAGCATGAACCGACCTAGCAAGTATAGACTTGCCGACAGCATACATACAGGGAGAGAGGGCATGTATATACGGCAGAGGTGATAAATGCATGTATACAAAGATTGGGGGTTCAGAAAGGATTGCGCTTCAAAACGCATTCTACTACCGAGAGCCCGCCCAGTAGCCACGAACCGGGAGAGCTTGTCTGCCGACCCAGAAGTGAGAAGACGCATATGTACATTCCGAACCGAATCGAAGAGGCGCTTCCCACCTCCGAAATCCAGCAAGCCTGCAACACCGTCGAATCCAGTCCGAACGGTAAAGTACGCCTGTAAAGACCAAGTTCCCGTTCAAAGCCATCTAACAGCAGCCTCCCAAACACCAGCAAGGGTCGCCAGTCCCACAAGGGCAACCTTGGTTGCCTTCCGCTTCGCCAATCCTGTGCTTTGTGCCGGTCGCCGCAAAGCCTGAGCGACTATAGTTGGCTTGACGAGAGGCATGTAGAGAGTGGAGGCCGAGGAGCCGAAAGCTGCGAATGGCCGGAGGATGGTGGACATTGTATGGGGCTCTGGAGTGGCACTTGGGATTGGTAGGAGCAAGACCGGACAGTTGAGGGAGGGATCTGTATGTATATGGCAAGGGTTTGGGCTTTTCGAGAGTGGGGGGAAAAGTCCGCCAAATGGGCAATGCATTTTGTGGGGTTTCGCCGCACGTGTCCGAAAGGGAAGGCCGCCAGTTGTTAGGGAGTTGCGAGGAGCTACGGGTCGCTGTCTAAACATGGCGCATTAAGAAAATGGGCGGAACAGGACGATTCGAGGTCCAATGTTCCTGGGGAATAACCACACACCGGCGGATGGAGGGGGGTCTGTCACTTGCTGCTGCCCGCCATGTGGTTCGGTTGTGCATGCGACCGACTGAGCGGCCGCCTCCCTTCCGCGACCTTCCTCCGTTCTTCAATTGCAATAAGGCCCCTACCGAAAAAGTTTTTTTTCCTTCCGGTGAAAGAGCTTCGTTCACGTCATTACCAGGCTCGTCCAGCTTCAATTTCAGACAGAGAGAGACGACGACGACCGACCGACCCAACTGTACCCCGCTATTCCAAACCCAGTCCTCTCTTCACTCCTGGTATCGGGTCTCGCCTTGACATCTCTCGCAGCAACAAGGGGAGTCGTAACTTTCCCACCCACCCCACATCGCTCGCAACGCCACGCTACTGAGCGACGGAACCCGCACCTGCAGGACTTTCCGCAAACGTTCCCATATTATACATAAACCAGTGGAAGAATATCTTTTTCCCGCATTCGCTTCCGGTCTCTGTGCAAATAATCACTAGCATCCGGGGTTTGAATCAGAAACGTCTCGAAGAACGGGTCCACACGAACTCGTCAGAACAGATACCATCGGAACGACCGAAAGTTTCTCGCTCCTCCTTCCCAGAAGAGCCGCTCTCATATTGCTCGCCGAGAAGCTTTACCAGCGCCGGACAATCCCGGCTGCATACCAGAAACCCGAGCGCAGGCCAGCACCATTCTCCCAACACCTTCTCAGGCGCAATTTTCAACCTCGGGGGACAACTTTGACGGCGGTAGTAACTTTTCACGCCGCAACGAGGACACGCCGATTGACTTGGAAGAACTAGTCCACCAAGTACTTCCAAGCTCATCTTTTGACACCACTCCGCACATTTTCCCACGGAAACGGGTTGCTGGTCGCAGGACGCCGCAATAGCAATACAGTCCATCGCTGTGCTGCACACACTACAGATCGATACCGGAGGACAGACTCTTCGATTGAGGTTTGCCCAGTAACCGACCAAACAATCCGGTTGCCACCGTCCCTGCCGCGGGAGCTACAAAACTCGATAACTACTAGCGGACGAAGACCAGCTCAAGACTACTTGCTATCTCTACGCTCACCTTCGCTCGTTCAATCACTCAGTTCAGTTAACCACGGCAGAAGCTTTCTTGGGATCTGCTTATATACGAGACCCGCGATCTTGGCCGACAGAACCATATCTCCATTTCCAGGTGACCTCAAATCCGGCAGGACTTCTCGGTGTTTGGAAATCGAACCCACTACGGTGCTACCGGTGCATATATTTCGACCATCCTTGGCAAGCATCTCTACACATTCGGTCTGTTTCATTTCCCACCTCCTCGGCTTTCGTAGCAGGCTTTCAGGTGGTGGGCTGGCTTTGCCTTGACCCGTCCTCCTTTGGGGCGGAAATCCTTTCCTACGGCTCATGGATCAAGGTATGCCTCGGTGGCCTGCCAAAGACTACCGGGCGTCCATACATGGTGATGGGGGTGCTACTCCAGGTCGGGGGCAGAACAGTGGTGCCACAACGAATGCAAATGGCAAGCAAATCCTCTCCCGTGGCCCCAGTAATGGAGCAACGTTCTCTACCCTCGGAACGAAAGACATAGTTCTCGGACCTGGCGGCGGAATGGGACAGCCGAGGCCACAATCCACTGGGAGCTTGGCCTCATCGGGAGCTAATGGCTTGGGCCCGGCTCCCGCGGCTGGCTCCTTGCTTTCCGGCAACTCTCCTCACATAGGAAGACGTAGCGATAAACGGGATCGGGAAAGAAGCGTCTCGCAAAATAAACCGAACGCTCCTGCATCCGCCTGGCGCAGCAATCCCTCTATGTCGATGTCTACGCCGAACTTGGCTGCTCTATCGCCCGCGAGCAGACAGCAACCGTGGCCTCAGTTGAATTCCGCGACATTGGGAGCATTCTCGAAACCGCCGGTAGCGGCCGCTCCGATCGAAAGCCAATCGCGCCCAACACCGCCCCCTCCTGAACCTACTCAGCAGCAGCAGAGGCGACAAGCAGCTCCGCGTGGGTTTGAGAACGCATTTCCTTCTCTCGGAAACGGTGCGAACGCAGGGAGACCTACTGGACCGGCACCGGTCGAAGCAAAAGGGCCTACAGGAAAAGTCTGGGGAAAACCCGACCTTGTGTCTTCCATCGTTGCTGCTCAGCCACCACAAAATAACGGAAACAGACCCGAGATGGAGGCAGATACCGCTGCAGACGATGAGGAGGCGGCAGAAATTGCTCGTCTGAAGGCACTGATCCCGAGGTTGGACAAGCCAAAGTCCTACGGAAAGAACAGCTCGTCGATGCGTGAACGAAGCAAATCGTTATCGGCCTCCAAGAGCCTTTTACCCCCTGCGCCGAGTCGCTCTGCCACATTCACCAAAGCCGCAGGAGCGAACCCCCGGCCCTCTGTTCTGTCGTCCAAAGCCTTCACGAATCAGAGTGGCAAAGCGACCAAACCTGTGATGATCGCCAACCGACCAAAGCTCCGTAGCACTCTGAAAGCATCGCCAAGAATGCCGAATGGCTTCGACGAGGGGAAAACTGAAGTGGTGATACCTGACGCGAAAGGCGATGGAAATACCGAAAACTCGCCACAATCTGCAGCCTCTGATGCAAATGATTTGGTAGAGACCATTGATATCTCGTGCGAAGACCCTGAGAGTCACTCGACCGACGCGGAAGGCTCGGAAGGCGACAGCGAAGCGTCGGGGTCCCATCCAAGCACTACAAATGCGGTTGTCACCCCGTCGCCGACCATTGAAGTGCATGAGGACGACGAAAACTTGTTCCAGCTGGACGGCACCGACACGCTGCCTGCCGCTGTTACGGAGCCTGTGCTTCGTTCATCCGCTTCGTCTCACAGTATCGCCAGCAGCATTCGATCGTCCACACTCGATGCTGTGCCTCCAGAAGACTCCGGCCGTGACTTCACCAGCTCGCCAATGGTTTTCCCTTCCGCTTCGGTCCCCAAGGTCGAAACGAAAGATTTACTGAACCTGAACGAAGACGACATCCTCGGCGAGATTCTTCGCGACACGACCGCGACCCTGTCTCCTTCAGGCATCATCCCCAGCACAAGCCCGATCTCCACCTCAGGAGCCAGACGTCCCAGCCCGGACCCGTATAAGCAAGCCTTCCAGTACTCGGCATCTCTCGAACGCGAAGAAGCCTTCCTGCGCTCCCTTGGATGGAACAAGGCCGCCTACTACGACTCAGACGTGGATGAGAAGGAGTTTGAAATCACACAAGAAGAGAAAGAGGAGTTCTTCAGAGGCTATCATGCTCGCCTTGCCGATTCAACCAGCCCGGGGGTCGGCGAGCAGCAGTTGCTCCCTTCTTTAAACGGCCACCAGAACAACAACCAGCAGCAGCAGCAGCGGGCGGGTGGTGATTCGCTATACCGGATGGACGACCTGTTTGCGGGCAGCTCGTACCACTACCCACCATCATTTACACACAGCACCACCCACCCGTTCACGACCGCCCAGCACGCGCACCATCACACCCACGCCGCTGGGATTCCCAACGGAATCGACACCCACGGCGCGTATTTCCCCAACGGTGACGCTACTAACAGTTACCCCGCTCCGCCCGCATCAACATCAGAAACCTTTGATTTCGCACGCCAGTTCCAGTCCGCCGTCGGCTACCACCATCACAGCCATGCGCCGAATGGTACTCCTGCTACCACCCAGCACCAGCGGTTCACGGCATTTTGAGTTCTTTGATTCCTCTCAGTATACGATACTTTTTCCTCATCACACATATATTTAGCGGCGATTTTCCCTTCGCTCTCTTTGTACGCGTGATATGGGTTATATGCGTGAAATCCCACACTTGATATGCGGAACCCCGCCATGCGTACCGGCCTTCGCCGTGTGAAAGGCCTATACTTCCCCACTCTATATTTTCTTTTTTTTTACTTTTTTTTTGCGGGGGTTTCTTGAGAGCCCGAAATCATATTTCCGTGAGGTGCAGGCGCTGAAAACTGAGTTATCATGTCGACTTTTTTTCGCTTTTGCCGAGGCGGATCTCGGATACCACCAGCGCACGTCGGTGCCAAGACGCGCTGTCGATTGTCTGTCATTTTACCAAAAACGTAATTCAGACAATGCAGACAGTTCCCATATGTCGCACATTCTTATTACACTGGTTTGATAAAAGCCCTACCTCACCGTACCGGGTGGCATTGCATGACATAGCGCAGTCTGTACCAGCTTTTTCCGGGGCGCTGGGTGAAGTTTGAAAATCACCTGTCTTGGCTCGTTTGGACGTCACCGCTTTGGGTTATATGGTGCACACTCGCAAACACACATCAACAGCATACCACTTTGGCCCTCTTTTATTCCAGCCTGAACGGAACTCGATTCAGTGTCAAAGAGCACGACCGTGAACCAGCCCAATGAGCGCAGACGTCGAGCACGCCCAACGGGCCGAGGAAGGGGAAGCACAGCACCATGAACAGCAACAACACCAACAAACCCACCAGTCCGCGTCTATCCCACGCAGCGGATCGGGGCTACCGGACGATGTCTCCAAGCGGTCGGAGGAACGGGAAGGTGGTGGGGATGGTGTTACGAGGGCGTTGAGGCCGTTGGTGACTTTCTGGTGCGTTAGCGGGAAGAAATGTGGGATGCGGTGTGCAATATAGTGCTCTAACGGCTCTCTTGATCGATCCATCAGGCTCCGAAGCGTCCTACAAACCTCCGCCATACCCCTCTCCGACGGCAGCGACACCGACGACGGTCTATGGAATGAGCTGCGGTATGGGATACTGCTGTGCAATGTCGTCAACGCGCTCTCGCCGGCCCCGGCGACGAAGCTGGTGCGGCATATTGTGACTGAGAAGAGTATTGTGGCGGCTGTGGAGAATTTGAATGCTTTTACGAAAGGTGTGTGCTCGTTTCTAGCATTTACCATCTCGCCAGCGGCTACTGATTTTCCTGCGAAAGCACTCACAACCTATGGCCTCGAGAAACGCTACACCATTCGCCCCATGGATTTCATCAACGCCACACCCGCCGGCGACCGCGCAATGGTCCGGACCCTCGCCGCGCTCGCAGTGCTCGCCTCAGAAAAGGGGTTTCAGGTGGCGGATGGGCGGGAGGATCAGATGGCAGCGATTTTGCAGAATAAGGGAGCAAGTGGGGAGGCGGATGAGGGGGCTGGTGGTGCGGAGGAAGGCGCGGAGAGGATGCTGGATGCCGTTTTGAGGAAGGTTGAAGTGCTGGAGGTGGAGGGGACGAAGGCGCTGAGTGGGATGAATGCTGTTCAGGCTAAGCTTGTGAGTATCGATGGTGTTCAGGGAAGGGCAGAACGTGGGGCAAAAGGAATTTTCGATAGTGACATTGGGTTCGTTCGCAGAAACATACAATCAAAGGCCTGTGCGATCCAGCTCACCGCACGCAAGACCTAACAACGGACGACGCTCGCGCAGTCTTAACCCAAGTCAGCACGCTAACCGACGAAGTCCTGGCCACCATATCCCAGCTCGCCGAGAACGTAGACCGTCTGGAAGCCTCCCAGCAAAACATCTTATCCAAAATCGGCGACTTATCCCTTGTGAGGAGCACAGAGTCCATCGTCCCCAAAACGGTGTTGGTGGCATCCGAGAACGATGCGAGTGCCCCGGTAGCTGCTTCAGAGGAGCGGAATACCGCTAACAATCGATTAAGCGTACCCCCAGCCCACATCTCGAAGCCCATCGACGGCCGCAGCACCTCCTCCTTCTTCACCGACTACCCGACCGACGACACCCACCAGGGACACTCCCAGACACCTTCTATGTCCGGCGACCTGCCAGGCCTCGCCAACCTATCATCTACAAACGGTGGTGCACCATTCCCACCTGCCGGCCAAGCGGCGGCGACGGCGCCAGCCGCCGCTGGCCCGAAACCGATGTTCTCGAAGCTGCCGCCGGAGGTGCAGAATGCGAACTTGCCGAAACAGGAGATGATGCGGTTGTCGGCGGTGTATGAGTTGATTGAGACGGAGGCGGACTATGTGCGGGATCTGTCGTTGATGATCAATGTGAGTTGCGGGAGGGGAAGATTTTCGAGTGTGGGCGTCTAGAGAGGTTCTGCTGGATGGGTGCGTCTGAGCGGTGCATTGTCGTGGATGTGCACTCAACGCCAATCCTTTCTGCATGTACAGTTCCACAAGACCCAACTCCAAGAGACGCTGCAAGAAGAGGATATACAGACGTTGTTCTCAAATACGGATCAGTTGGTGCCGGTCAACCAGGTGAGTGCTTTCTATGTCACTTTACGAGTGATCATCGCATCACTGATGGAAAGCAACTCTAGCAACTGTTGAGCCGTCTAATCGAGAAGCGGGATGCAGATCCGCTGATACCAGAAGTCGGTGCGTTTTAAATGTGTGGGTTGGAGGTGCACGAAATCAGAATCTCATCCTCTTCCATGTGCAGGTGACGCATTGGTGGATGTATCTGAGGTAGGCACGATGAACTCAGAGTTTCTGTGGGAGACCTACGCGCTAATGTGCCCTGTACTCGACTACAGTCATTCAAAATCTACACGACGTATTGCGGAAACTATCCAGAGGCGATGAAGCTGGTGCACAAACTGCAGGCGGACCCGGATAAGAAGGAGCAGCTTAACGTTCGTAGCGTATTTGCCATCAGATGAACGTCACACCGCGCAGACCATGTCAACATTTCATTTCAACAGAAAATGATGAACAGTACGGAAGGTCGTGGACTCAGCCTGGAGTCATTCCTGGTAAGTCAAGAAGGCTCTTCGAGAGGAAATGTCCTGTTCAGGGTTATCTCATCAACGAACCTTGCCTTATACCCCATCCAAGATCAAACCTGTACAAAGGATATGCAAGTGAGTATGGCAGCGTGATTCATTTGGCACAAACAATTGCTGATGCGCGCTTTTTCCAGATATCCATTGCTCATTCGGGTACGAAGGCCGGGTCAGACTATGTCCTGCAGTGACTGACGAAGAGCTCAATAAACACCGTACCATCTACAGGAGCTGCAAAAGCACACTGACAAAATGAACAAAGACACCATAGCTCTCAAACTGGCCATGACCAAAATCGAAAGCGTGGTGGCACATGTGAACGAATATACCCGTCAGCTTGGTGAGCGCGACCGGCTCATAAACCTGCAGTCGAAGATCGATAGCCCAATAGTATGTGTCCTGAAATTTGTGCTCATCGTCCTGCCTTCACGCTAACTTGCGGTATTGCCTTCATTAGCCATTAGCGCTGCAAGAAAAGAAGCACGTTCGCGATGGATTGCTATCACGTGTCTCGAACGGCAAAGCTCGAGAACGATACGTCTTGTTGTTCACGGACGTGCTTCTGATATGTGCGCCACAGAAAGGCGGGCGATACACTCTGGAAGCTGTCTACGATATGGCGGATCTGAGCATACCGAACGAGGCCAAAGGTCAGAAGATGATGGATGCTGTCCACCATACAATGAGACAATTACTCATGCAGGATATCCTATTGCCGGACTACCGCAGATCCCCAACCGAAGGGCCTCAAGAACGGCTTTCAGATAGCCAGCGCATCGGAGGGCAAGGCGATGACATTTTCAGTGCTGTCAGAAGCAGACCGCGTAAAATGGCTTGAAGCTTTCCAATCCGCCATCAAAACGGCCGGAGAGGACGCGAAGAAATCCGATAACATGAGCAAGCGGCTATCCGTCGCGTTCACACAGCAGTTTCAAGCTTTCCAGGAAGAGGTGGGAGGCACGTCCGCCCGCCCCGTAAGTTGGGCAATGTCGATGGGGAAGAAGGGAACATTGACAAAGTCCGGGAGTAGTATGGGCATGAGTGGAACATTGAGAGGGACTATCAAGGGATGGGTGAGTGATTGGAGAAATAAGGGAGATATCTGATCAAATGCTCTTCATACTCACGCACGCTTCTTTCTCAAGTCGAATCTGAAACGGAAAGAATCGGACATCATTAGCACGATTGGGAGTCAAGGAAGCTTCTCAGAGATGGTAAGCTGACAGCGAGGGCTAAGCGGTGTGTCCAAAGGACTAATGAACGTAACTCGAGCAGGAGGCCGAGCAAGAAGTGTTTGAACCTGAGATGGTCGAAATATCAGGACAAATATGGAAACGAGCCCAATCCGCGATGGGGACTTCGTACTACTAGTAAGCCTGCGTTCATTCATCGTCTACGTTTCTGTCTCATGGCCTCAAGCCATTATACTTCACTAGCGCGCCGGAAACGAAGGAGACGATGTGGCGTCTTCCGGACACATTTGCTGTGCTCGATCCAGATACAGGGAAGCCCTACCCAGAGCCTGAAGCGGACGGCGAGGAGGAGGATGACGAGGGAGAGGACGAAGCAGCTCGTGGAGACACCGTTGTGGAACCTGTGGATGGTTGGCCAGATTGGAGGAAAGCGGACCGTGGGGATGATATGGTGTACTACTTCAACGTTGCTACCCACGAAACCAGCTGGACATTACCGGACGCGACGCCGATCGCATCACACTAGACGCTTTCTAGGGATTTCGGTTTTTTGAATGCTATTCATAAGGATGGGTTCTTTATTTCACGTACAATCCTTGATGATGCATGCTTGACCTGAGCGGGCGCGGATATATAAATGAATAAGGAGTCCCCGAATCACTGCGTTGTGACATGAGCATCGTCCTTGACTTGGGGGAGGTATCGTGGAGCTCATGCTCCTATTTTGACAGTGGGCGGGATGTCAATCCATTGTAATTCTCAAGGTTAAGTTTGAAGTTCCCACAGGTCGCGTTCCTATCCCCGTCCCTGCGTAACTGTGATGTACGATCACAGATATCCATCTGCTTCGCATATTCGCAAAGCGGATTATAGGAAGGCTCCAAATTGGGAAAGAATTACGAGAATGAGTGTTGCAGTCATACGGTGAGGGGTATCCGAGGCTCTCTCCTGCACAACAAAGGACTAATGTCGCATATCCATACTAGCAGTGGGGCTCACCACGCCAGTCCGTCGAAGCCCAGGAAGGAAAGGAAGCCTTCCATCACAACAAAACAGGGTGATGTCCGGCATTCGTATGGCAACGAACGTCGCAACGGCAACCGTCTTGCACGCCAAACAAAAGGTTTGACGGCTGTGACGGAAGACCCAGAAATTTCGACAGCGCGCGACTCCGCCAAAGGAACTTCAAAAACCGAGGTATCGCACGGGTCGAAACCCTCAAGTCGAGCGCAATCCTGCCGCATCCATGTATACCGGCCACTGGACGAGCTGCTCCGCAAGAGATCAAGGTTGTCTGCTCGGACGGACCGGAGTGGTCTGCGAGAGCAGAAAAAGAAACGTGTTGTCAAATGGGTGTGCCGGACAGTAGGCGACGATGGGCCCATCTATTTATATCGATTGCCGAAAGCTGCCCCTGGAGCCGAACCTGTGGCCCCAAAGAGGGAACCGAAGCGTCGCATCGAAAGGGACGAATATGTAGAAAATGCTCTCGTTGGACCCTATGGGGTCACAGAATCCATCATTCACCGCACCAAACCCAAAATTCCCGACCCGCCGCAGGCAGCTGAGTCGTCACAGAAACAGAATGCGCATTTGAGCAACTTCCTGTACAATCCGCCGCCCATTCCTTGTCGATGGAACCGAGAAAAGCGGCCACACACAATGCCTCCTATGACGGCTCCAGCGGCACCTGAACAACATCGGGTCCGCTTGGCATTGATGACTCCGGCGAATCCGTACGGACGACCTCGCACAATGAACGACTCACCAAAATCAAGCCTCAGCGACTTTTTAACATGCGGGCCCGATTTGGCCTTGTCCGATCCGAACCGATTGAAATTGGTGCAATCGCATATCCCGAAAATGCCAGCCTTAACGCGGCCGCAGACTGTTCATGGAGACACAAATAAGCTGGCCATCTCCTTCACGGCCCACGTTTTTGGTGGCGGCGGCGATATTAGATCAAGTACAACTGGCCGACTATTGTATACGGTGCGACCGCGGCGGGCGGGCGGTAATACAAGTCTCTTCATCTACGATAAGTCGAACAGGGCTGTATGGAAAATCACACCACGTCCGGGGGGGGTGAGTTCTTTTTATGCAGTTCTGTCATCACTGAATTGGATACTCATATTGGACTCACTACTCAGCCTGTCGGGTTTAACTACGACCTATACATTAGGGGCAAAAATCTATCTTGCGGGGGTGCAGGTTGGGTGCTACGGGCGATGGTGGATCGGGACACTAGGTCACCCCGGCTGCAGCTTCGATGGAAGGGAAGTCCAGTAGCAATGCTAGGTGGGTTCCGAGCATGGCTGCTTCCAAAGGCAACTTGAGGATGTCTGAAATCGCCCTATGCTTTTCGCGCTCTCTTTCAGGGGATACCAATGGGACGAACTTTCGTTTCCAACACGTCGTTTCATCCCTTTTCGTTGGACATTTGAGCAAAGAAACCATTTCCTCGCCCCTGCCTCAATTAGTGCCGGCCGCTGACCCACCACATGCATCGCCGTCGCCCACCGCTACGCCGTCGCACGATCGGCCACCCGACAACACGGTCTCCAATTCAAGATTCCTCGACCGATGGTCGCTGAAAGTGTATGAAATCGAAGCCCAAAAGGGGATGGCAGATGCAGCATCCTTGGCACATGGACATCCCTTAGCGACATCGGGTGAAGATGACGACGTGCTTCCTTCCGAGATTTTTATAGCCGGTGCGCTTGTGGTGCAATATTTTATGCGGAAGGAACGCGAGAATGGTGCAGGATGAAGATCCGTAGGGATAGACTCCTCAACATTTTAGACGATAAAGGAGCCTGTAGGGGACACCATGTTATAATGGTAGCTATACATTTATGGGCGCAAGATACGCTCGTGTCACCGATACGATGCGGCGTTCCTATACCAACAAACATCATTACCTCTGCCTGAGGCGTCGCCGATGATGGCAACTTGTACCAACAAACACGCAGAAATGTTCTTCCACATGGGCATGAGAGAGGCGCGCCAACCTGGCTCTGTTTTCGACAAGCTTGAAATCGACCCTTCACCTCAGCATGTGGAGAATAGTCCCATAGACGTTGGGCGTGGACTTTTTCGCGGCATTACTTAAGAACAGTCTCTTGTTGGATGACTTTTTCTCCAGAACAATTCCATTTCATCCTAGTTCGCTGTTGTTTCCTATGAAGTTATCATTGGACCGAAAAACGAAAATTGAATTGTGTGCATGCGCAGGTTGAAACATGTTGTACCAATGGGACGGTTTCAATTGTTCAAGATAGTACCATTAGTGGTTTTATCAGATCCCAGGTGCTAATGTACGAAGCTTGCGAGTTCTCCTGCAAAACTGCAAGACAACGGGGATGATTCAAGGTATGCTAAGTTCAACCCCTAACGGAACAAAAGCCCAAAAACAGGCGCAATGCCTTGTGTAATGTACGCCACTTCCGTCGGAACAATGTACGCCTAAAAGTATTCCACGCCGCTGTTGACCTCCAGGAGATCGTCCATGATCTTCTCTGCGGCACTTCCGATTCCTTTAGCGAGTTCGCGTTGCTGCGCCAACGACAGTGATGTGAATTGATACAGTAGGTCTCCATCCAGCACGAGCCGCGGGCCGGGTGGGCCGGTCATTGGCGTCGCCGTCGCAGCAGTCGCTGGCCGTGCCTTCAATGGGACCTGGCGGAACCCGCGCGGGTTGAGTCCCGCTGGATGTTGGAGGTTGTTGACCATCTTGGAGTACAATCCATATAGGCGTTTGTACAATTTCTCCGACACCGGGATGAGTACCGAGAGCCCGCCTTCTAAAGTGGCACTCAAGCATGCCTGCTGTTTCGCTGCAGCCTTTGTCGGTCGCGACGCGGATTTACCGGCTGCTGGCGTTGCCTTCGCAGAACCGGATAATCGTACCAGCCTGATAATCTTGCTGACGTGCTGCCCAGTGTGGAAGTCCCCACGCCGGATCAGTTTCTGTCCGCTGGAAGACTGGATGTGATAAGGTGCATAGGTCATAACGTGCACGTTCCCGTCACCATCACCCACGACGAACGAGAGAGATGTATCGTCCACGAGGAACTCGGTACCGTACACATCGAGCATGTGGTAGTCCTTGCCCAACAATGCGAGTTTCGGCGGCTCTTCTTGGAATCCCAAAAACCAGATACTTTTGAGGATGTCGCCGACAAGAATGAGATTCTTGATGGAGCTCACGCTGTTGACGTACATGTTCACGTCGATGAACGCCACGCCCGTGAGAGACTCGTTGTCCTCGAAGGTGTGGATGATGACTTTGGTGCCGATGGCGGCGAGGAGGTAGCCTCCCACATTGCAAATGGCCGTGACGGGACTCTTCTCCTCATTTATGAAGAGCTTCTTCAACCGGTGGTTGGCGTGCGGGTTGGCCATATCGGGCACAACGTCGATGATGTCGTATATGAGAATTCGTCCCCGGGCGGATAAGTCCTCGCCGCGGACGACCCCAGTCCCTATCGCAAGGAACAGTTTACGGCCGCTGGCTGTCTGCTTGCTCTCCAGTTCCAGAGCGTGCAGTGCGAGGACGTGCTCGTGTTGCTCAAAGGCAATGGCATCGCAAGATTCCCAAGTCACGGGCGACACCAGCTCCACATCGTATGACCCAACCTCCGGGAGGTACATCCCCTTTTCTCTGTCCTCGTCCTTCACTCCAAAATTCTTTCTGGCCTGATCTTGATCTGGGAGTTCGTCGCCTTGCTCGATGATTCCTGCCGCAACCGCCGCAGCATGTTGCGCTTGTGAAAGGTAGAATGGTGTCGGGGTTGACGTGGCAATGGCATATGTTTGCGTTGTGTGATGATATGTGATTTTGTGAACGGTTTTGCCGAAAGGCGCTTTGCAATATGGCCATTCGGTATCGTAGTTGAAGTGTGCTGGTAGCTGACATATCCGGAGTAATCCCTGAAAGTCCAAACGATGAGTGCAATTTCCTTCATCATCGATCTTGATGAAGCGTATGGTAGCGGAGCCTCGAGCCTTGAAAACTCACCTCCCCGTTGACGTAAGCAAACCCATTCGGCACATTCACATTATTCAACGGCGCAAATGCCGCTACGGGCCCATCCACGAGCTGTGGATGCACTCGAATCGCATTGGTTCCCGAAACCGGTAACACTGGCTCCAACAGAGACACCGGATCCGGATGGACAGCGTAGTCATCTCCTTCGAGGTTCAGTAACCTAAACTGTGGACCATTCCCGCCTGAATTGGCTAGCATCACCCAGCAGGGCCGTTCGCCGGAAATAAAGACGCCTGAATACACGAGCCCGCCCGCGTGCCCGATGCGCTCAAAAGGTTTCAGATGCTGTTTACGCGTGCGACGTTGTGTCGACGCGGAGTTGTTCGGTTGGACGGGTGATGTCGCCGTCGTTGTTTGTGAGTGTCGCGGGTCTGTTGCAATTACGCTGCTGGATACGGCATTTACGGGGGGAACTCCGATGTCCTGCCCAGCCGTCCGAGATGTCGATGACCGTGCGATGTGATCATGTGAGACGCGGACGAATCGAACAGCCAGGCGACGAGGAACCTTAGCAATACTTGTTCCCGGCATTTTCGGGACCAGTGCAGATCCGGGGGTTACAGGTGCTGCACTCTCGTCCTCTGTAGAGAGATGCACGTAAGATCTGTAAATCACCAGATCAGCCTCTACTGTTCGACCCTAGAAAAGAGCATACGTGTCAACACCAGACGTTCCCATCGTCTACGCCAGAGAGTCCACTCACCATCAAATACGGGAATGCACATTTCTCGTTGCGTCCCAAATTCAGCAGCGCGATTTCCTCAAACTTCAGGGCTGCTTGATGTGTACCACGTGCATCTGGGGCCTGCGAGTGGTCGCACACCACGGACGGTAGCAGATCGAAGCGAGGCACATAGAAACACTGCTCAAAATCCGGTAGGAGGAATATCTCCAATGACCCGTCTTGCCGAGACACGACTCCCCACGTTCGCTCTCCCGGCTTAGGCATATCTTCGGGACTCTCATTCTTATCTCCCCGGTCCCTTTTGCCGTCAAGGTGTGGAATGGCATCTCCGTTCGCATCCAGACTCCCATGCGCATCCGCCTCATTGAAGCTGGCATCTCCATCCAAATCCATCCCATCCGCGTCACGCAGGTCCTCGTCCGTGGATGAGGAGTAATCAACCTCCACCCCATATATGTCATCCATGTCCTCCGCAACCGATCCGTACAATTCAGCGTCCAGGCTCTTCGCGCTAGGTGCCGTAACTAGCTCTTCCGGTCTCTTTCGTTTACGGGATTCCGGAGGCGCGAGCAGAGTAGGGGCCGAGGAAACGACATCTTCTGGCGGTTGATCCTGATGGCATTGTGGTGACGATGATGTGGATGCCGGAGTTCGAGACGTGGTCGAAAGTGAGGATGCTACCGGCGTTTCTTTGAGAAATTCATGGATGGAAGGGAACGCGTTGCGCCCGCTGTTATCGCGGTACATGCAGCAGGAAACAACCGGCGAGTCAGCCAGCTCCTTGTGCAGCCGCAGCGTTCGCGTCTCCTCATCCAACGTGAACAGAACCACCTCGCCAAAGTTCGTCAATAGCATGACATATGGATCCAATATGCTGCAGCTCACAATCCATCGGTCCTCGTGCCCGAAAGGCATGTCTTCGATCTTTTGGCCATCCGTGTCCAGCACGAAAACGCCGCGTGGGTAAACTTGGATGATCGCGCGACCAGCCAGTACGGTGCCGACGGTGAGCGTTGGGCCATCTCTATAAAACTCTCCGGTTTCGACCTCGGAAAACTCTTCGCCCGTCTGCAGGACGATCGTGCGAGTGTCGTCCGATAAGAACATGTACTTGTGCCGGGAGGTATCTTCCTCGCCAAGGTCTGTCTTTGCTTCTGGGGAGTCAGGGTTCCTATCGACTTCCATCGCTGCAGACCCTTGTCGCTTTCTGGCTTCATCCTTCGAATCCGCACATCGCAAGGTCCACATATCCGTAACGCCCAAATCAAAGCTTGATATGATCTGCGGCCGGACGCTGCATTGCAACACGCCCAGCGCACCAGAGCGTGCCTCCCCCGTGCATGTCACGATCTCAAGGTTGGCAGTCGGATGTTCCGGGCTGGTCGAGAACGGGTGCGTCGAGTAGACGATGGGTTCGCCGACAGCGGCATCGCGAATCGGCCCTTTGCACACCAACGAGTCGCATATCCGGAATGTGAATTTGACGTCGTCCACCTTTGTGGTCGTTGAGACTGAAGGGGTTATGGAAGCCGAGACAGTGCGGATGGACGATCCGTAGATATCGTCATCATCGATATCGACATCTTGAATCGAACCGTTTGACTCGGTTTCTGCTTTTGGCGTTGCTTCGACAATGATTTCGCTATGGATCTCGTTGAACTGGACCAGCATCGCGTTGGAGACTCTAGAGCCTATGAAGAAGTAGCCGTACGTCGCCTCGCCGTCCTTTGTCTGATATTGGCCACCAACGCGTCCTACGGCACTCGCGGTCATGGCCAACCTGCCTGCACTGGCTCCAATCGGTCCGAACCGTGTTCCGCAGGATGGCATGATGGCCTCCAACCCAAGCCTGGTAAGAGTGAACTTTTTCACCCCGCCTTTCCGCCGCTTCCACCCCCTGCCCACGCCTTCCCCTCCCTTCAGATCCAGCATAATCATCTCCCCAGTGCGGAGGACAACGAGAAGAGTGTCCGGGTTGAGAAAGAAAGGTTCTGACGCCTCCAATGACAGACCGAGATGTTTGTAATCCGCAACGTTCGCAGGGTCATACAGGGGGTTCTTCGTCTCAAAGTCCTGTCCGACGGACTCCAAACTTGGCGGTGGAGGAAAGGTAGCCTCGCGCCCATAGTAACTATTGACGGCGCAAGCGATTCCGGGTACAGAGGTCTGGTCGACGTGAATGATGGCATTGGGACAGAATGTGAGAACACCACCCACTGGGGATGGTGCGGCTATCAGCTTGAAGCAATTGTAGGGAAGGTGATTTACTCTGAAGAGTACGGGGTAGCTTTTCTGATCGAGGTCGAGGGAAATGACTATGAGACGTTTAGTATCTCTTCGGGCGGCTAAACGTCTGCAAGCATACATATGGCTGTATCAGCGCATGGATATTGCGAGCAAAACACGAGAGAACATCGACATACCCTCCCCAAGTCTGAACGGGCTCGTACAAGATCGCCAATGTGGGTTCCAGGTAGCCATATAAAAACACCATATCAACAACGTTTCTCATCTTTGGCTCGATGGCGGAGAACGGCACGACGAAACTTGGCTGAAACGGATGTTTGCTAAAGCACAAAACATTCTGGTCAACGCCGTGTCTGGCATAAGATTGGAAATCAAGGCTGATCTACCTCATTGCGTCGTCCGTTTCCATCACCTGAACCGTCGTATCCTGCTTGAGAGGCAGAATGGCTAGTCGATCGCTGTAAAATTGTAGTATCGCACATCGATTTTGCGGATCTACTCGGATTTCCGGACAAAACTTCTCGACCTGAGTTTCTTTCTAGTTGAGGCCGTGAGCACGATGTTAGTCGCCCTCTGGCCCATAGCAATCGAGGTGCTGATCTCAGTTCCGTACCTTGAATTCCTCACGCTCATAGTAATGTATTGACACAGTGACAATGTTCTGAGTTGCTGTTGAGAACTCTATCAACGACATCTGCCTCATAGGGTTAGAACGCTGTGATATGAAGTCGAGTTCTCTCCCGTGGCGAGATGTTATGTACAAACCTTTGCATCTTTGAAACTCAAGAGTAAACTGTCCATTCCTAGTAAACCGACCGGAGTTGTTGTGCGGACCACCCCTATCGAGGTTACATTTCCTTGAAGTCTGAACTCCGCGTGCAGATTGAGCTTGGCTACCTTGCGCGGTCTTGGGGAGTTCCACGTATGTGCCGATTCCGATTTTAGATGACCCTAAGCATAAGGTGCGAAGGGGGCGGAAGAGAAGAAGCCAACGATGAGAAACGTTGGCTCGAGCGATTCGATGCGTGTGCGTGTCCATGGAAGATTCAACCAATTAGGACCAGTTTGTTGTAATAACATTGTATATTGAAAAATGTCATATTCTACATTCAACCAGACCGGCCGGCCCCAACAGATTCCTCAACTCCCGCCCTGCCAATGACGGCGGTCCCTCTTCCGAAATCTACGCCGTCCCAGGAAAGCTGTTCCGTCGTGATAGATCCCCCCGCGTTTTCCCAGCAAACTTTCGTCCATCCCACACGTCCAGACCAGCGCCCACATCACCCCAAAGCCCTTTCCCTACCTTTTCGTGCTGGCTCTCGTCTGGTCCATCGACCCCACCTATCAGATCCTCCTCAACGACGTCGTAAATCTGCAGCACATTTCCCCGCGCTATGATGAGATTAGTGACGTGCGGCGAGACGAACCGGGCGTCGACCGAGTGCTCGATACCGCTTGGCGGCAGGAGCTCTTTGTAGAGACTGTAGGAGGAGGACATTGTCGATGAGGATGGCACCGTTGCTTCCTTGAGTGGGAATATGCAAACCATATGGAGGGTCGCCCGTTCATCGAAAGCATGAAAGGCTGCATCAAAGACGACAATTAAACCACACATTCCGCACGTGACATCTATATTCAATGCAAGAACGCGTCGGCCTCGTCCGCAGGCCTCTCCCGAAGTGTCTCAACCTCCGTGTGATGAGATGGCCATTCCCGCATTCCAGCTCAGATCTGGTCTCGACCTCGTACGGAGTCTACGGATTCCACTTCTTCTGTCGCCGCCCAGGCCTTCGCATGTCGCACTTCCTACACAGACACCCTTGGGTCCGCCAAACTCCGTCCATCTAAGAACCAGAATTCGAAAGGAGCTCCGAACAATTCTGTCACTTTGGCCCAGACTAGCTTCGGCAGCGACGCAGCGGGACATCGTGAATTGAATGGAGCGCAGCACGGACTCACGGAGACCGCGTCGATGAGTTTACTCTCAAGATCTAAAACGAACCATTCTGAACCTGTGATCGCGGACGGCAAAGTGAATGGAAACGTGGCAAGCACAAGACTCTGCCCGATAAGCCCGATCTCAGCCTCTTACTGCGAAGGCCCGACGATGGGTGTCTTTCCATCGTCCATCAGCCGCATTGTATAAAGGTCTCGGCAACATCCCGAGTTTCACAATACGTGCGCGGGTTTTTGAAACTCACAATGTTCGGAAGTCCATACACATCCAATCCGTGGATGATACCGCGCAGGCAGGCACTATGCGGACACCAAACAGTGCCCGTTGCGCGGAGATCAGTTCAACCATCGCTCAAAGCAAGAGGATCCTCTAAGTTTGCCGATATGACTGCGCGTGCGATGTATGTACGCAAATGTCCATGGTTTCAACCAATTTGACAAAAAATGAACAACCCCCTGCAATGATTCTCAAGTCCCAATAGTGATGTGCCAAAAGGGTCCGCACATCTATCTTTGAGTGAGGATCCGTGATTTTCACGCGTGACAAGACGGCGTGCGACAAGATTTGCAAGCCGAAACATGCATGCATCCAAGGTGATTTTCCGCAATTTCTTTGAAAAACCATCCTTCTCACCAATGTATCCCACGGCGGAACCGGAGGTTGAGCAAATGATACATATCGATGCGAGCTCAGCGTTGGACAGCCAAGGCGATTGATCGCCATGACACATCGCCCAAGCATCGAGCAGCTTGAATGCGAAACGCTGTGAGAGTTCATAACTGCGATGATTCTTGGCTCGTCGATCTCGAGGATCTTCCAAGTCTAAGCCGAAAGCGCCGCCCAGCAATTGGGAGACTGGGAGACGCGTTTTCGGAAGGTTTGACGACCGATTAAGGTTTCGACAGTTCTGGCGAAGAAGCCGGATTGTTAACGCACACGGTGGAGCTCCCTCTCGGTCCCAACAGGTATGACGATTGGATCGATAGGTTGGGGACAGAGGTTTGCGGGCGAGAAGCATCATCATCCTGTCCCTTCGCTCGCGTCAGCAACAATGAGCGCATCGCTTCACCGAACGTCGATCCAGCTCCAGCCGCAGGATCTAAGTTAATCGTACACAGTGTGATGTACGGGGCGTTCCTTGAAGAGTTTCTCTTGTGTTCTGCGTCCATTCCATGGCTGTATATAAGAGGAGGGATCCCGTCATCCCGGGTCATACCCACCGTACACCTCCGAGCAATTCTCCCACGCCGGGCCAAAAATCCGACTCCATCCCCCCTTTTTCTTCCTGCCCGCCTGTTTGCGACCCAGCCCCCTCTTAAATCACTCTCAAAGCTTCTTTTTTTCTATGGATCTGTGAGCGATAGCACCAGAAATTGCGAGTCTGGACCCCCTGGGACTTGGATGGGGGTGTATTGCCGTGGGTCGAAATCGAAACCGTCGGTTGCGGGCCGAGTCCAGCCTCCATCTTCTCCCGCAGACAGACACCACCCACATTTACGCGCGCGCGCAACCCGTCTGCAACCGTGGTATCTACATACACCGCATTCGGAGCGACTGGCGTGGGCATTTTGAACGGAAGCTGTTCTTGCAACGTGGAATATAAAAGCCGGGCTTAGCCTGTCCCCCAGTCTACTTCGCCGCATATTCACGGTGCTTAAGCCAGGCGCATTCGCGCAAAGCCCTCACAAAATTTTCGACGGAACGGGTACCTGATCTTCATCGGCAACTGTTGATCGTGAGCCGTGAGTTTCGAAATCAAAGGTGAGTGTGAGGGAGGATTGGCACTTCGATCGCCAAGCGGCATGCATTTGGGAGATGGAACGGATGAGCAATGCAAAAGCAGATGGAGATGGGCTTGGGTGCCGCAGATTTGCCCAGACCCCTGGGATTCATCATTCTACACGGATTCTCGAAAGGCATTGCAGCTCATGCGAGGATGACCGAGCAATGACACTGCACCGTTTACACCAGTACCACCACCGACTGGTGTGTGTTACAAACGTTTCGAAGTTTGTGGTGATCCTGAGGAGGGGCGGGCCTTTGGACCGAGCCTGGAAACCTGGAAAGGAAGCAATTTCGGACACAAAACGCGTCCGTCTGTGCGCTGTCCCCACACGCGACTTCAACCATTCCCGTCCTGCATATTATTGCTTGCACATCCCAACAATACCGGCGATCGTTTTGACTTACGTCCATCTTGCACCCCCCCTTTTCTTGCCTCGCCCATCCGCCCAGCTCATACCGACCGCCCTCATTTACCTCCTCCTCCCTCGAAATATCATCTCCTTTTATCACTCGCAAATCGCTCATCGCACACATCCCCATCAGGGTTCAAACAGGCGTTACCTGCGCTCTCATCAACGGTTCCCACGGGTCCGTCAGGAACCTCTACCGCATTTCACTTGCGCAGCCCGGTTTCTTTGCCCGATCGCGTTTTTCATAAAAAGCAATACCGCAGACATCCGACGCCTTCGGCCGGCTTCCGTTTCGCTCCTCGTCCTTCTTCAACCTGAATCTTACCGTGGCTCAACCAGTCGCTTGGTTGACGAAGGCGCTGTTCGTCGTCTGCGGTCTCCCTCGGACGTCTTTTTCCGGATATCGCCAACGAAAGCAGCGAATAGAACCAAGCCCCTCGCGTCGGTAACAGCGCGTTAGCGAGCGACCCAAGTCCTTCAAACTTCCTTCTACCGCCGTCGCTCACCGAGAGGGGCCGCTTTTGCACCACGTTCGGCACAGCACCCATCCATTTCCCACGATGTTCGACTGCCAGACACAGCCGGTGCACCTCATAGCTTCTGCAGCTATGTGCGATTCACCGCTACCCATATCGCCTACGCCCGGCCACCACCACTTCCCACACCTTCCGTCCGGACGCTTTCTGCAGGCCCCAGCGCTGCATGTACATGGAGGCCAGCACGCCTGTGGACAGTCAAGTGCCAGCGTCAACTCCTTCACCGCTACCATTAGTACTGAGCACTACCAGCAGCAGCAGAGGGCAGCTGAGCAACAACGGCGAGCAGCAACGGTGGCGACGACCCTTCTGACGACGCAGTTGTCCTCCTCTTCGTTGTCGTCGCACAACCACCACCACACGCACCATCCTTCGTCCAACGGTGTGACCGAGCACAGCAGCAGCGCAGTCTTGGCCCCACGTAACGACACCAGCCCCAATAACACAAATACTACCAGCACCCTTGGCGACGCTCTTGCGAGACAGCACCAACAACAGCAAGCTCATCGCAATGGCAAGACCGATGGGAAAAACGCGTCGGACATGGCCATCTCATCTGTCCCTCCCCGATGCCCATCGTCAAGACATAAGCCCTCAAACCTAATGGTCTCCACCCACAACCTGCCGCCGCCATGCCCACCGCCCAACCGTCCCTTACCGCCTCGGCCCGTCGCCATCCCGTCTCCGTCCCACAGTCATCCTTCCTCCCACTCGTATTCCCAGCACCACCACGGCAATGGGCACCAACCACACGGGGCAGGGCACCTCAAGAGGCACGCTCAGCCAGGGCAACCCCTCCGTGCTCAGCAAAACAACGCATACCCGTCTCCTGAAGGCATACCAAACGTCCAGCCGGCGTCGATGGCTGCCCGATACCTCACGAGACACCAGATACACCCCGTCTTTGCCGAACGTTATACCCTGGGTCAGGAGCTGGGAAGTGGAGGATTTGGCTTTGTGTGCAGTGCCGTCTCGCATAATGATAAACGGGAAGTTGCATGCAAGTTCATCTTGAAGAGCAAGGTACCGGCTCAGGGATGGGCGAGAGACTCGGAACTTGGTGTGGTACCCATGGAAGTATTCATGCTGAAAAACGTAAGTTGGCGATCGACCCTTGGGTATTCCTTCGATTCCATCCCAATTCTAACTATCCTTCAACTACTGCAGATCGGACACGACAACATCATCAAATTCATCGACTTCTATGAGGACATTACCTTCTTCTACCTCGTCACGGAGATGCACGGCGCCCCATGGACATCCTCAAGAACAGAGTTGCAAACACAGTCCTTGCCGTCGCAGTTGCTGTCTTCTCCGTCCACCCAATCGGCGTCTCATATACCATCACCGAACACGCCTGGCATGGGTGCACAGTTCTTCACGCAGCAAGAGGAGACGCGGCAGGGTCCTGGAGGCCTGGTGTCTTCTTCGAAATCGCCGGCGTCGCCACCGCTATCTCCTGTCATGGCGCCAAAGCTTTCTCGTCGACCTTCGATGGACTTGTTCGAGTGAGTATCTGCATGATCATCATAGTCTTGGAATAATCTATCCGAGTCTTGTCACACTCTTGGCTAATGTTGATATCATCCCCTCACCATATTTCAGATGTATAGAACAACACGACCGACTCACGGAACCGCAGGCGCGTTTCGTATTCCGTCAAATCATCTCAGCCGTCCAATACCTGCATACCCTCGGCGTCGTCCATCGCGACATTAAAGACGAGAACATTCTAGTCAATGAAAACTTCCATGTGAAGCTGATCGATTTCGGGTCCGCTGCGTTCATTCCACCACCGGCTGGCAAGCTGTTTGATCGCTTTCTCGGGTGAGTTTCCCCAATCCCCATCCGTCATCATCGTCTTCCTTCCCTTTCATTTGCGCTTGATCTGACCGTCTTTCGACCCCTCAGAACGATACAATACGCCTCTCCCGAGATCCTCCGCGGCGAAAAGTACCGCGGCCCAGAAGCCGAGATATGGGCCCTGGGCTGCTGCCTCTACATCATGCTCAACGGCGAAGTACCCTTCACGACCCCCGCGCAAGCCGCCGAGCACGCCTACACGTTCCCCAAACACCGCCTCTCACCATCGTGCATCGACCTCCTCGACTCGATGCTGGCGAAGAAATCGAGTAGACGCGCTACCGTGAATGAGGTGGCGTCGCATCCGTGGTTGCAGGATTGAGGATCGGATGTGAGGGTTAGTCATCCCTTCGCTCCCTCTTTCCTTTACTTTTTTGGCATGCGAGTTTTTTGGAACGACATTTGTGCACAGGGACCTACTTTTGCAACTTGACGATTGGTGGGGCGTTTCTTCCCTGTTGACACTCCGCTATCTCCTCCCTTATACCCCGTCTCGAAGAACTATTCCGCTCCCCTTCCCTTCGGCTCGTTACCCTTTACATGTACATACTACTCCCTTTGCGTTGTGCGGGACCACACTTTTGAACCACGCTTTTTTTCTTTCTTTTCCAAAACGTTTCGGCTTCTGCGTTGTTTTTTTTTGGACAGTCCTTCGTTTTTTGCTTTGTGTGCTTGTAGCGTGTGTATGAGTTGAAGATCCCCTGTTTTGTGTAAGAACGTTTGAGAAGAAATTATGAAAAGAAATGTGAAAAATAGGAGCAGGGCGAGAAATATACAGATTGGGAGATTGGCCATCTCAATAACCAGGCAGGTCAAGCCAAATGAAAATCCTTCATTTTTCTCAGCCCCGCATTTTATTCCCCTCCATGGTACAAATGAACGCAGTCAACCAGCCAAAAAGGAAAACTCTGACAGAAAGGGGAAGCAAAAGGAAATAGCAAAAACGGAGGGAGGGGAGGAGGGGGATGCAGGACAAACATTTCGGTCACAAAGCAAGGTTTTTTTAAGTTAAGAGGGGGAATGTCATCCTGAAAGTCGAGGAAATGTCTCCAACCAATAAATAGCGTATAGACGAACAAGGTAGATATGATATGGAAAGCCGGCGAGTGTGTGCCGAAACCTTGAGAAAGGGTGCGAGACAGGTAGGTGGAGTTATCGTTTATATCCTACACTGCCGGGGGGTACATGAGAGGGGGAGAAAGGACATGGAGGGTCAGATAATACGTGTAATGTGAGGTTCGCTGACTGGTAATGGAATGCATCACGAATACTAACCGAGAGCCCCCGGAGCAGTATTTCCCACCGTCTTGGGTCGCCCATCATCACCGCGCTGACCGGTGTTGGAATGTGGGATCCTCTGTCCAACGGTAGGCGTCTTCCGACCACCCGACGAGCCCGCCGAAGCGGTACGCGGACGCACGGTCTTCAAGCTAGACACAAACGCCTCGTTGTCGTCATCGTTATCGTTCCACACGCGGTCATCGTCCAACAACTCGTCGTCGTCTTCGTCATCGGATGTGAGGCCTTTTACGGGCGAGCCGCGGGCGCCTCCAGGGGTGCTTGGGGTTGTAGCGCCGCGAGGAGGAGAAGTGAGGGGAGGCAGGGCTGTGGATGTCAGCTCGGTCTCGGACCTCCAGTGGGTGTTGAAACTGTCTTGCGGGTGTGGTGTTTCGGCTAGTTTGGCCGTTTTTCCTAGTTCGCTCACGTTCCATCCGACGCGGTAGTTGCCCAGGTCCGTAGCTGGTGGGCTCTGGGAGACCGGTATATGCTGGGAGTGTTCGCGCTCGAACTCGATGTAGGACGGTCGGCGACGATTAGGGGAGGTCGATTCAGCCGTTACAGGACTGATCTCTTGTGCGCGTCCGGGCTCCGATTCCGGAGACAATGCGCTTGGCTGCTCAGTATCGAAGAACACCGGGTAACCTTCATCTGATGTGGCTCGGTAGGTCACCACAAACGGCGTCTGAGTCAGAGAGAACCGTCGTCGAACAGGAGACGCCTCCCGTTCGTCCCACGCGACTCGGTAGTTGGAAAACTCGACAACGTTGTCTGTAGATTGTCCTCCACTCTGTTGCCCTGATCTTTGATTACGCGATGTGGTGGATGGTCCTTCGCCACCTTTCACACTACCGGTCCAGTTGTTATATTTCTGTGGGACATTGGAAGAGGAAGCTAATGAGCATCTGTTCCTGTGCGCATACAGATATATGATACGTGTATCAAGGAGGTAAAAACATACCGTAGCTGGTGTACCCACGCTCTGTGAGCCGTAGTTCAGGACGTGCTTAACTGCATCGTAGAAGTTCCACCAGCGCGCAAGGAACTGTCCCATTGGGCCATCCTTTCCACTAATGGATGAAACAGGGAATCAGTCAGGTAAAGCACGAATCTTCGCGCTATATCCAAAAGACATACCCGACGACCGAATCGTTCCCTTCCTTGGGCAAAGTCCATGGCTTTGCCTGCCCAATAAAATGCACAGCAGAGATGTCGTTGAAGAAATGCACCAGCGCCGGCAGGTACGAATAGAAAGATGTCGGGGTGACATTGAAAGTAAATGGAATCCGCGCAGTGCGGTGTTGAGAACCTCCTGGCTGAGGCACGCCCGACGCCCATGATGAAAAGTATGTGTTCAACAAGCCCTGGTCGCCGCCATCGAAACTTCCGCTGCCCGCGACTGTGCGCACCAGACCTTCAAAGATATCGCGTCTCGGTACAGCAGCAAAGACGCCAGAGTTGAAACAGTCAGGCCAGCCGATATCAGGCGCTGCAGCAAACACGACGTCCGCAGTAAGGTAGTCGAACAGACGGTCCAGATTGCGGGTAACCATCACGTCGGCATCAAGAAACACGACCTTGTCCAGACCAGAGACCTCTGGGTCGAATACGTGCAGCTTGGTAAACGTCACGTCGAGCTCCGCACGGCCCAGCAGCTGCAAGTTCCCAGACTCGTTGGACCTCAGCAATGGGACGGGGACGACCCTGTCGTAGGCACGCTCGAGGGCGGCGATGGAGGACGGAGCGAGGGCGTTGGTTGGCACGAGAACATAGAGGGGGTATCGGGTTATCGTTGCGCGCAGCGAGGACGCTACGACTAATGCGCCGGGCAGGTAGGAGTCTGAGGTCAGCAGCGTCACATAGCCGTAGCTGGAGCCGCCGCCGCCGCCGCCGTTGCCGCCGGAGGATAGTGGTGCGGGCATGTCGTTCTTCTTCTTGAAGAGGAGCGACTAGCGATGAGAGTAGAGGACGCGGGTGCAATCTCCCGTGGGAAAATGGCCGAACGAGAAGAAGATGCGCTCGCGGTCGCTGCGTTTGTGTCGTCGCGCGAACTGAGACGAGGCTGGGCGGCGGCCAAACAGGTCTGGGGAGACGCGTGGCGGCCCTTGGGGAATGCCGTAATACGACACTTGGCCTGTGCACAGAACAACCGGGCGATGCAAGGACGATGGATTATGGTGAACCCCCGACGAAAAGTCGCTATGAACCCGCTCGTACTAGGCAGGATATTCGACGGAACCGTTGATATCTTTTACAGCGTCTGGACGGCGGTGCTGAAGAATCTGGCGAATTCTTGAGAAAGAAGTGTGTGACGCAACTGCGCAGCAATCGCGAGTAGATGCCAATGTCGGAGTTCCAATAGGCTCAAAGCTCGAAAGGTGCTTAAATTGCAAATAAATGGCAATCTGAGGAGGGAGCGAACAAGGAGGTAAATGACAGGGAGGAGGATAGATTGGGAAGCATTCCATTCAGCACAAGGCGGCCGAGCACAGGTCTGCATCGCTGTCGGTCCAAGTGTCGCTTTGCGACGTGCTCTCATGCTCATAGTCCAGTCCAAATCGCCAATGAAAACTTACATGTCTCTTTCGCTGAATTTTCGTACCGTATCGGACCGTATGCTGGATCCGACTTTTACCCTTTTATATACGAAAAGCCGCCACATCTCACATAGCCCATACATCACATGGCCGATGCTTATCCCCAATTATGCCAACGAAGCGCCCCAGCCCCATGGTATTTCCTATCAGCACAATTACCCCACTACCCACGGCAATACCAAGATGGCATCCCGAATACTCATCAAGGGTTTCTGGCGGCATATGCCGCAGAGTTGGCAGTTGCGTCATCGCAGCCACACTTCTTCCCGGAAATGCCTCCCAAACCCCACGTCTAGACCCCAGGTGTCAGGGGTGCCAGGTGCCAAGGGGTGCGGTTGAGAAGGTTAAGCGTAATTCAGGTCGAACGTTGGGCGCAATCGAGAGCCATGTTTTTTCGGGCGAGTTGTGACGTGATGGCCAAACGCGTCGCCGCAGGTGTTTTCAATCTTGTTCGCAAATGGAGAGCAGAAGTCGTATCACGAAAGATAAGGGCAGCAAATGCATTCAGAGATCTAGAAACCGAAAAAATCCATGTCCTATGTACCTACTATGTACAGCTAGTAAAACTATTAAGGTCGGCTAAGCTTCTAACTACTTCAACTACGCCGAGTGGAAATGTCGGCACTACGCCATGTATACGGTACAGATTATCTATGTTTAAAAGAGGTATTCGAAAAAATGGGAGGAAGGCAGTGTGAAATCGCCTAAGCGTCATGGTAGGGGTTTCCAACCTCCTGGACGGCAGGGACGGGAGAGGAGACGCGGTGGGCGTGGGAGGAAGAACCGGCAGCTCCCTGAGTGGCCGAAGTGCCCAGGACAGCGCGTTCGAGAGTAGAAGGTCGGGCTCGCTCTTCATCGACGAGCGTAGTGCGGCGGGCGTGTGGGAACGCCGCGGCCGGCGCGGCTGGCAGTGGTGTCTGCGCGTCCTCTTCGTGCTCACGCTGGCGGTACGCGTCACTCACATCAGCCTCGTCTTCGAAATCCTCATCGCTGACTTGGGATGCAGCACGCGATGCTGTAGCGTATCGCGACAACACACCGGGCGTAGCTGCCAGGCGGCCCGACGCAGAGGTCATCGATCGTTCGGTGCGGGCCTGGGAAGCCAGGGTGTCCCTCCTCGCTTTCGCCTTCGCGGCCGAGACCGCAGAGACCATGGTCGGTGCGCGAGACGCGGTGGTGGTCGTCGTGCCGCTACGGGATCGGGGGAGAGTATCCCGGCGGACGTCGATGGGATCGGTGGCGAGCGGGATGGGGGTGGAGTCGCGGCGAAAGATGTGCCAGCCGGAACGCATGAACTTAAGGCCGGAGACGCCCAGGAAGAGGAGGTGCATGCCGACCGTGGAGAGGATGAGGGCGACGGCGATGAGTTGGGTAATCCATTCTGGGAAGGAGTGGAAGGTTAGCAAACTAAGAATCCAAATCACGAGAAAGGGGAAATATGAAACTCACCAATGCCCCAGTACCGCCTAAACAAGAACGCGGCCCACAAGAAAATCACAAACCCACATCGGCACATGCTCAAAAACCAGTGCCACAAATTTGTCAACTTCCCCGCATACGGCTTCATAACCGTAATCCACAAGAACAACAACCCTTCCCCGCTCATGAACGCCACAAACTGCAACCACGGCGGGACGATTTTCCCCAACACACCTACGGCGATGGCCGGCGCGAGCCGCAGCCACCACGTCAAGGGTACCAGCAACGCCGCGTGGGACATGAACCGCTTGGGCTTGAAGTGATTAATGAACGGTCCGTAGATGAGCATGAACTTGCGATCACTGTACAAGGACGGAAGGGGTTTGGATGTATCCTTGTGGGTGCGGGTGGTAGCGCGGGAGACGCGGGAGGTCTTGGAGGAGAAGGACTCGCCGCGGCCGTGTCTGCCGGTCATGTTGGTGATGACGGTGGAACTGGTACCTGTGCGGTGCACGCGGCCGCCGTCTGTGGTGGCAGTGCTTCTGCGACCGGGTGTGTAGTAATCATCATCATCGATGAGGTTGACCATGGATGTTCCTGAATGCTCGAGGTCCAAGCTGTCGCTGGAGGGGTCGGTTTTGCTGGCGTGCACCAATCGGAAGGTGAGAATAATGGGCAGAGCGATACCGAGCACCATGAAGACGATCCCGGCAATGATCATAATAGACAGGGGCTCCCCCTTCAAGGTCAACTGATGCAGGGCGGTGGAGGTCAACCCAAAGTAGAAGAAGACGTAGACGCGGAGCAACCATCCGCGCCAGTAGTATTGCGTGCGATCAGGCTCGGCGCCAGGGCGGGAGAACAGGTGGTGATCCGGCTTCATCCTTCGGACGACGTGGAGGAATAAGCACCAGCCGGAGACGAGAATGACGACCAAGATGAAGGGGATCAATGTGTTCAGGAACATCAACCCGGGTTTCAAACCAACCACCTCGGCGTAACGTTCATATCCGATCGATCCAACTTCGGCGGGGATTCCATCGACGGTGGCACCTGCGGCCTGGCGTCCAAAGATGTGCGCTACCACGGTGCCCGTCCTGGTAACGGTATCTACATCGTCAGGTCGGTCCCCACGAATCGCATTGGCGAGATCGCGTATTCCGGGCACATTCCATGTCCCCGTCGCCCAAGCCAGAATCCTGATCGCGTCTTGGTATGGCGCCGGGTACTCGAAGTTCAACTGCGCGGTGGCTGCGATGAACTGCGCGAACAGAGCTACATCGATGAAACCCGGTCCCATACGCGCGGGCAAAAAGTGAGTATGGGGCGCCCATCCAGAGGACATGTCGAAGAGGGTGGGCCGGAACTCTGGGCGAAGCCACCTTGCCAGCAAAGTGGTAAAACCCGCTGCGAGGGCGGTGAATACGGACGCCCAGACGAGAACGTAAGTCAGAGCAGTGGACTCGAGCGTCAGGTTGATCTGGATACACATGAGCTCTTTGGGCGTTGCGCTGGCATCGGACAGGGCAACGCGGGGCTTGAAGTCAATGAAAGGGATATTGGCGGGGATGGTTATGTTCTGTATACGGGGATAAGGATTGTTAGCGCTATGCAAGAAAACGGTTGACACTCAGTAATAAGATGGAGGGTCCTCGGTGATTACCTTGAAGAGCACAAAGCTCCCACCAGCAGTTACAGGGCAAGGCACTGATGTACAGGCGTCCGCCTCAACCTATCCATGCGATACAGGTCAGCCTATGATTTCCATACTCATGGAAAGAAGCGAACATATAGGACGATATGTTAAACGGCCTGGTCAAGAACTCACCTGCCATTCATCAAACCCAACAACCCGCATAATCGAAGTGACTGTCCCATTCCCCAGTTTACTGCCTATCGCGGCGGCCGAAGTCGCGGCCGCCCAAACGTTGAGGACCTTGGTATCGGGCTCATACACTGCCTGAACGGAAGATACTTTGACGTCGTAGTCTTTGGAGGAGTCGCAGAACGTCCACGGGAGATTCGCGGACGGTGCACCGGTGATAAGCGCTGGGACTCCTGCCGCGAGAGCGGCTAAGAAGGCGGTCGAGGGCCGCATATGGGTATGCCGGAAGGAATTAGGATTTGGCAGAGACAACCTTTGTGGGTGTGACTTGGAACGGAGTTGGGGGGTATATTCCTCTAACGCGGCGTCCAGAGACCGTCTGACTTGCAAGAATCGTGGTTGGAATGCCAACGTGCAAGGTGACAATGGCAATGGAGATCTTACTGTAAGAACGCCGACAGACAGACAGACAGACAGACAGACACTTGCGGACCGAACGGACTTTCCCACCGACACACTCTGTATTTGGATCTGGATAGCGCGAACCTTTTTCTCAAGCGGCTTCAAGCGTTGAAGCAACGCCCAAATTTGACCTCACGTCATAATCCATGGCCCATATCCGTCCAAAGACTCCAAACCGAGGGAAGTTTTTTTAGGATACCCCCGTTTACCGATACCAGGCGTAAATTTATAAAGAGCGATGATCTTCTTGAGCATGTGCTGCTAAATGATGCTGTCCCAGAATTGCTGGCCGCAGTTGGCCTCAATTTTTCGCTCCGTTCTCAGAGGAGCGCGTTGGTGCCGTTAGCCCCAGGTGAGACTCTCCGGGAGGCTTGGGACTTGCCAAACGGTGGTGATAATTGCGAGGCTGGGAATCCTGCCCCACACCACCCGCACACCACTTTCAATCAGGCTTGGCCATGGACAATCAACGGGCACCGCATGGGCACTCGGCACATGTCTGAAATTGACCGTTTATTTGATCCAGAACTTAATTGAAGCTTATGGCGCAAAGAGAAGTTTCAAACCGCCTCGGTGAAAGCGGGCTATTATCCACTGGCCGCCCGCCGACAAAGATGGCGACAAGAGGCACCTCGCGAGTCGCAATAATGCATTGGATGAGATTTATTGGGAGTTGAGTAGTATGAATCTGGCCATCGTGTGCATCGGAACTGCTCGAGCAAAAAAGAGTGGCAGAAGCCAATATTTCACAAAAAGAAGATTTAATGGTTTCTACCAGGTTCGAACTGGTGACCTTCTGTGTGTTAGACAGATGTGATAACCAACTACACCAAGAAACCTTAGATATCTGGACAGCAAAATTGATCTACTAGACCAAAATACAAGCAACTTGCATGTGACAGTGACCTCTCGATCGGAGTTTTTGCTGAGACAACGACGGATGCCGTCAATTCGCGAATGTACCGTTTCCTGCTCCAAAGGCAAAGGACCGCTGAGGGACCATCAGCCTAAGCTTTGAAACCTCGGCCACGTCTCGCTTGTCTCGCTGTGCCGTAAGCATAGCTTGTACCTCCAAGCAGCGCGGCTCCACTTCGCGGGACCGACCTGTGAAACCTGTGGCATTACAGCCCAGCAAGAAAACGCTCGTGGGTGAACATCAGTTCATTTTAGGATACGCCAACTACACTACAGCTTCAAGGCGGCCCATTTTTCACCATGCACGAGCTCAGATCCCCGACGCAGGTGTCACACATCCCGTTCCTACCAGGCAACACGATTCGGGATGTCACAGTAAGTACTGTCCTCCGAAGTTTCTGCCCAGCATTCTCGCAGCCTCTAACATTCAAATGACCTCCAGAAAAACGACTTCCGCGTCCCGCATACCCTCGACTACAAGAATGGGTACGCCATCAAGCATATCGAGCTTCCGCCAGACCTCAAGTCGCCACACCAGCTACTGAAGTCCGTAGGGTCTGACCCCCGCATCACATACGATGGCCACTTGGATCTGGAGAGGGAGCGCAGGCGGGGCGGAGCAGAGGCTGGAGAGGGCAAGTTTGTGCCTGCCCATGTGGTGTTTGACAAAGTGGTATGTGCGTTGAGGCCTGACAAGCAGACAGCGGGCGAAGGGCACTGACATCAGTCTCGTGTATGCCCAGGTCCTCCGCTTCGACGCATACTTCAAGCAGACCGTGCACGAATCCGTGGAAAAATACCATCTCCGCCGGGTGCGCATTCTCTACTACGTCGAAGACGACTCTATCGCGGTCGTGGAGCCGCCGGTAGAGAACAGTGGCATTCCCCAGGGCGTGCTGATCAAGCGACAGAGACTGCCCAGGAGCTCGACTGAGTACTTTAGCGTGCGCGATTTCAACTTGGGCATCAACGTCACGTTCTATGGGAAGACTTTCCGTATAATTGGATGTGATGCATTCACGAGGGTGAGTACGGAGATTTCGGTGCAACTCGATGCGCCAAATGATGGACCGTCCATGCGGGGATGGCGGGATGGCATGAAAGAACATGTAGTATTCTTCATTCCCATCTCTCACGTACTCTCTTTCCATCGACAGGAATACATGCAAAACACCGAACACATCTACCTCAACAATCCCGAACCGATGCCCCACGACCCGCACGAGGAGCTGCGATCCCGGCCCACGCGCACGTACGTCGCGGGCTCTAAAGGCCCCGACAAGCTGAAGCGGTTTCTGGAAAACGACCGCAAAGTGTTGCGCTTCTTCTGCGTATGGGATGATAGGGGGAGCATGTTTGGCGAGCTGAGGGAATTTGTAAGTGGATGAAGCTGATTAGATTTTCGCCGCCTCTGCCATTGGGTGTAAATGGTCGAGACCGGGGGGAGGCTGGTTGGTGGGACGATCCGAAAAGAAGGAGTCGATGCAAACTAACACACCATTCGCGTCTCTCTCTCGCGAACAGATAATGCACTACTACCTTGTGGACGACAGCGTCGAAGTCCGGGAGGTGCAAAAGCCCAACAATGGGCGCGACCCCTTCCCCATCCTCCTGCGTCGCCAGCAACTACCCAAACCGAATGGATGTAAGTGGAGCCGCGAGGACGGGGATGAGATCCCATTCATTATTGGCAATCGGCTTCGGTTCTGAACTAATTGTTCACTCTCCAAATTTTCCACGCATCAGCCGCGACAGATCCAAACGAAGGACCGAAATACACATGGAAGGATTTCCGTGTCGGCGGTGCCGTTGACATCTTGGGCAGGCCATTTTTGATGTATGTTTGAAGGAGCCGTATTCGATGGATTGCGAGCCAAATGAATCTCGTAAACGTGTTCTGATCCATTTCCCGTTCCCCCCCCCCCCCCTCGCAGCCGCGACTGCGATGAATACACCCGCCGGTTCTATACTGATAAACTCCACCTCCCATCGGAAGAGCTGCAACCTTTGAACATCGCCCCACAGGCGCAAGCATCCGACTCAAAAGCTTCCGAGGTACGCAATCCCCTCCGTGTGATGCACTTTACATTTTTACACATGAAGCCGTGGACCCCGCTCGCATCATGAGGTATTGTTTTTCATTACCTTCTCTGCATTAGGAAGTACCCCCGTACAACGGGTTCGGCTCCGTCGAGGACTCATTGGGTTCGGTGAAGTACCTGGTGCTGAAGCCGCCCAAGAAGGATTTCATCAAGATGCTGGAGAACGAGCATAAGGTCTTGCGCTTTGTTGCGCGTTTGGTGAGTGGGGGGATATCTGGGTGTGTTGCTGTTTGCGGTTGTGATTGGTGGGATGGAATGCTGGCGGCGGATTGTGAGATGATGTGGGCTGCGAATACTTGTGGGTGAACGGGACAGCGAGGACGGGAGGTGATCAAGACCAACACCAACGTCAAGAAGGAAGCCTCAACTACATACTCTTATCCGTTTTGCACATATCGTGGATGAGCAAAAGATATTCATCCACGCAATGAACCAAAACTAACTCTCATTGTCTCTACAGAACTCGAAGCACCGCGAGGACCAAGACCGCCGCTTCGTCATCAGCTACCGTCTCGCCGACGACATGATGACCATCTACGAGCCACCGCAACGGTATGTTTCACACCCACCGCACGTTTCCTCTTCCCGCCCTTTCTTCTCAATGCGGTCTCTTTGCTTTCTCTCCACGCACTCACAGCAACGCCGGCGTAATCGGCGGCAAATTCATGGAGCGTACCCGCGTCCTCCTGCCCGGATCATCGCTCACTGACCCGGGCGGTCCGCGCTACTACGACGCCACGGACCTGCATGTCGGCGCGACTGTCACGGTGTTCGCGCACCAGTTCGTTTTGTTGGATGCTGATGAGTGAGTTTGACTAGTTGCATTGCGCACACATTGTCAAAGAAGCCGACACATCTCACCACTCTCTTTATCCATCACCCCATCTAGATACGTATACAACTACATGGAATCCAATCCAACCGCCTTCCCCTCCTCCAACATCTCCCTCGCATCCCAAAAAGCGCGCGCACTCAGCATCACCCCCGAACAGAGATCGCAGTTGGCCGAGATCTGCACCAAAGACGCCGTCAGTGTGAACGTCGTCGCGAGGCGTGGAGACGGTGCGGGGAGGGGCGGCGGGAGTGCCGGTGCTGGTGCTGAAGCGACGGTTGCGGTCGCGACGGGCCCGGTGGTTGAGCGCGGGGCGTTTGTGGAGGCGTGGCGGAGGGTTGTTGGGGTTGCGGGGGCTGGGGGTCAGATCTCAGGTGGTGGTGCGCCGGCGCAGTTGACGGATCATGTGAGTGTTGTGAAGTTGCGACCCCGTCCTTATAGAGTCCGCCGTCTGATACTTACAAACACAACGCAGGAACTCATAACCCTCGCCCGACAATACGAGCCTACTCCACGCCACGTTGACTACACTTCCCTGCTCGCCGCGTTGTGATAACCTGCAATGTTTCAACGGACTGTGTCTTGGCTAGAAAACGTGCGAAGGAAGGAGAGATCCCAGTGTGAAAGATGTAATGGATGTGGAACTGGAGAAGCAAATATATATGTAACATCCGAATATCACGAAGTTGGCTGACCGCCGCCTTCCGTGGTGGGTGCATGTTCATTGCGTAGGCACGCATTATTGCTTGCGAGTCCGCACACGGCATCCAAGTGCTCAAACATTCACAGAACTCAAAACAACAGAATTCATTCCAATCAAGTCATTTATTTTCTGTCAGAATCATTATATGTACAATGCCACCCAATAGGGTCAAAAAATACTAAGGGTCAACTACTAAAATACTCGTGCTCATCCTATATATGCCCCCTCCCACACAACTCGTATCACGCGGGCAAAGGCGCCACAGCCCTCGGCACCTCATCGCCAACAAGTACAAAGCCGGCGAGGTCGTCGTGGGTGTTGTTACTACCGGTGGTTGACTTGGTGCTCGCGGCGGGACTTGTGGCGGCGACGGCCGCGTAGGTTGGCTGTTCTTCTTGTTGTGTTGTTGATGTGGTTGGGTCTGCCGCTTCGGGTGTTTCGGTGGAAGTCGACGGTATTGATACGTCAACCGCATCATTGCTTTTCGCAGTATCAGCCGAATCTAGGGTCTCCGCAGCATCCTCATGGTGCTCAGGCGCCGTCGATTCGGTCACGTCGCCTACATTTGTCTCGTGCTCGTTGATGAGTGTCACCGACTCCTCTTCGGTCGGGACCGATGCAGTGCTCGGCTCGTCGGTGGAGGAAGAGAGGGTAGGTGGGAGGGTGAGCGCGAGAGGGAGGTCGACGGGTGTTCCGGTTGTGGTTTCTGCGGTGATGAGAATGTCTTCGGCGATTGCGGCGAGTTGCGGGGTGGCGTCTTGTCTCTGTTCTTCGGTTTCGTTGCCCGTAGTTGCGGGATAAACATCGGTGACGATAGCGTCGGTCGATTGCGGAGATGGCTGCGACGACGACGACGAAGAGATAGGTTCTGTGGGCTCCGAATTGGCTTCGTTAACCGATGTCACGACAGCCGCAGCCTCGGAAGAGATCTCCATAGCATCCGTATCCTTCTCCTCAGCGGCCTCCTGAGGCACATCAACGTCCATATCCTGCGTTACATCCTTCTCCTTTTCAGTTCCATTCTTGCTCTCCCACTCCCTCCTCGCCTTCTTCTTCCACCCATCCACCTCCTCCAAACACGCATTCACACGTTCCACAACCCCCTTCCTAGCCTCCCTGACCTCCACAACGCCCTCGCTCTGCACCGCATCAGCACGCACGAGTAGCTTCAAGAGCGCTTCCTCGTACGCCACGACGGGCTTGTTGTGTTGCGGGTGGAAAACGCCGGTGGTCGGGTCGAGGGTGATAGTGTGGGTGCGGGCGGCGGGGAGGAGTGAGGTAGAGAGGTTGGCGAGATCGGTGGAGATTTGAGAGATGGCAGTGAGGCGCTCGGGGGTGGTTGTTGGGGCGGAGGGTGGGGTTGGGTTGCTGCGGGGTGAGTGGGGTGGGGTGGTGGTTGAGGCCGAAGGAGTGGCGGTGGTAGCGGGCTGCTCTTGCTTCTTGGGTGCGGATGCGGATGCGGATGTCGAAGAGGGAACGGAGGAAGAGCCGGAGAAGAAGGAGATGGGGATCTCGATCCTATTCGACTTGGATTGTTGTTGCGTAGGAGCGGTGTTTTGAGTAGGGGCGGCGGTCGAAGGTTTCATGTTCGCATCACTCTTCTGCTGTTCCTCAAGCTCCTGGCGGCCGCCGAACTGGGCCCTCAAGAGCTGCCTCACAAGCTCCTTTGCACTGCGTTCTTCTTGCATCCTTTCCCTCTTTTCCATCTCCTTGGCCCATCTCCTCGCCTTCTCCTGTTGTTCCTCCTCCTCCTCCAACTCACGCTGCTGAATGGCCAACTGCCTGGCGCGCTCCCTCTGCATCTCCATTTCCCTCTGGCGCTTCATCAGGTACTCCCTGCGCTGCGTCTCGCGTAATAGTTCTTCCTCTTCCTCCTCCCTACGCCTGCGCTCGAGCATGGCGCTGACGATGTCGCGCTCGCGGTCAGCTTCGCGTTGGCGACGGTACATCTCAGCGTCCCATTCGCGCTCGCGACGGCGACGTTCTTCCTCGGCGGCAGCGCGGCGATACTGCAGACGTTGTTGCTGCTGAAGCTGTTGAAGTTGTTGTTCGCGGGCGAGTTCCTGCTCAATCAGGAGACGGCGACGACGCGCGGCTGCTTCTTCTTGCATTTGACGCTCATATTCGCGGGATAGTGCGGCGCGGGAGTGGGTGATGTTGCGGGGGTAATAGTCATCCTCGTCATCGGAGGAAGGGGCGGGGGCGGCGTAGTCGTAGATGGAATCGAGGGCGGTCGGCTTGTGGAAGTAGAGGGTATCGGCGGCAGGCATTGGAGAACGGCGCGAGTGGTGGTAGCAGGATGGGTTGTGAGCTGGGCGACCATAGTAGGAGCTAGGGGCCGGGGCGAACGAGCGGTGGTGGTAGGGCGAAGCCGACGGGAAGCTTGGACAGAATGCGAACATTTCTGTGCAAGTTGGTTTGAAAGAAGAGAAGTTTCTCTGTTGGTCTCTTGTTCTGACGACGAATTCGATATTGATCTGCGATGTGATGATAATCGCCGGAAGCGGTATACCACTGGCTACAGTAGGTATCGAAGAGATAAAGATCGAGCTAAGCGAGAGTGTAGATGGATGTATGTATTGTGTGTATGGATAAGAAAAAAAGTGGATGGGGACTGGACAGGAATGGGATGTCTTTTATACAGTCGGAGAAGGGAGTGTGATCAGCTACGTAACTGCTGTATCCTATGGTACGGGTATGCAAAAATGAATATGTAATGTGCGATGTGAAATGAGGGGCGGTCGGTCAGAATCGTCCACGACTCCCGAACAACTTCTCGCAGGTTCTCTGCGCGTCTATTACTGTATATGTACTGTAGTATGGCGGCCGCGTCTATTGCGACTTCTTCTGGCGTCGGGGGGAGCGGGGAGGGAGGTGTGAGATTCGGACATCCCGACCACTTGGTGACAAATCAGTCGATTGACCGCAAGACGTGTCTGGATCTTTCTGGAAAGTTCCCTCGCGGTCTACAACAGCGTGTTTGCAATAGATTGATACATTTGAACGTCCAGATATCTAAGGTTTCTTGGTGTAGTTGGTTATCACATCTGTCTAACACACAGAAGGTCACCAGTTCGAACCTGGTAGAAACCATAACATCTTCTTTTGTTTTTTTGTTGCCGTGAGTTGCAGATAGGCTCTGCGACGCTAATGAGGCGTTTGGGCTCATTCGATCATGCGCCTGTGATTGGGCTAGGGTTAGGTTTTAGCGACGAGGAAACGGTTCCCCTGCTTCAAACCCCGGGTGGCTCGCGACGGGTCCACCACAAATGGGACGAGACGAAAAGGTCTCGACGGAGACGTTGGTATGCGACGTTCATTGTATTCCACGAAGGAAGAAAGGGGTGCGACTGAACGCCAAAGTCACCCTACTCGCTACCGCACGAAGATTTATCAAAAGCTATTCCCGGGGAGCTAAGCTATAGATACCTTACGACTGATGGGGCTACAGTTCTGTCGATGCTGCATAGAAAGGCCTTCTCCAAAAAATATTTCCGCACCCACCATCATCGTTCGTGTGTCCCTATTCACTCTCGCCCGCTCTACTCCCGCTCTACTCCCTTCCCTACTCTTTTCCGACCCGCTCTACTCCCGTCCCTGCTCTCCAACCACCGCCCCCCCCCTACTCCCGCCCCTCCCTCCGCAACTTTTCTTGAATCCCCTTCAGCTCCTGAATCCAGTCAGAAAGCCGGCCCTTCTTGGGCGCCGCAAGCGACAAGTCGACCGGCGTAAATGGATCGACCGCTTGGCCCTGCTTGTCCGTGGGCAGGTCGCTATTGTTCAGGGTTGTATTGCTGCCATTAGTGTCCATCGAGACTGCCGGGTGGAAGGTACCGTTGTTCTTCCCGTCGGAGAAGAAGATTACGTTCGCTGTCATGTCGTCTCTAGCGCGACGAGCGTACGGCGGCGGGATACGAATAAGCTTCGCAACGAGCGATCGATCGCCGCGGCCGAGAGCATTGCGGATCAGGTGTGTCGCCGCGTTTGGGTCGTCAAACGACCAGTTTCCGCCCTTACGGTGGTTTCGGTCCCGTAATGACGCTCCTAGGCGAGTGGGAAACTTTCCGTCGGCGTCCGAGACCATATGGCGGCTTGTCATCCAGCCGCCGACCAGATCTACTGCCTGATCGCTGGACAACATGTCCCAGATTCCATCCGTTGCCAGGATCAGGCATTTGTCCCGGTCGCAGTTGAGGTGATAGTAAGTAACTTCTGGGTCGGCTGTGACGTAAGGAGGTGACTTGAACAAGGCATCTCGTCCTTTCGAGATCACCCCGAGTGTTTGTTTGGTATCCGATGCCCACTTATAGATTGCGTCTCCAAATGCCCGAGTCGGCATTAGTCCCCCAAGAATTCGGCCCCGGATGACGACCGTCTCCCCTTCCCCCGGGTGCTCTTCCAAGAGCCGCGCATACTCGCTTGGGTTGGTGGTCGTCTGGTCGGCGCTGAGCTCCAGGGCTTGGAAGGTTCCGTCCCCGCGGTGACGGCCCAAGACGGCGCGGGAGTCACCAGTGCAAGCAACGTACAAGTCGTTCCCCTCGATGTATGCGACAATGGCGCAAGCGCCAGCGAGGGCCGGCCGCAAAGCATTTTTCCAGGTGTCGTTGGGGAGCGGGTTCGGGATAGGGTCTATAGCAGCATTGCATATGTCGGCGTCAAGGCGCCTGAACGCAAGCTTGAGGGCTTGCACAACTTGCGCTTTCCGCGCTTGAGTCGCCGGCGGCCATTGCTCTATGTTCGAAAGGGGCTCTGACTTTCGGGCCGGTGGGGGTTCCGACATCTCCGACAGTGCTTTGCTAATATACGGCGCGAGATACGTTTGAAGAAGGTCTGCGCACTCGGTACCAGAATGCCCGTCAAAAACGGCCATTATCACGCCGTTCTTGAGGCGATGCTCGCTGTGTCTGTCTTCGATCGGGTCATTGCTGGGGACCTGGTTGATATGATATTGAACGATGGGCGTGGGTGGGGGCCCATCCTCCGGAAGAGAAGACGCCCGCGGGTTTTTTTGTGTTTTTTCGCCTACAACCGGCCCCGCATCCTTCGTTGTCGTTTTGGCTTCGACACCGAACCACCGATATTTCCAGGTCTTCCGACGAGCCTCGTAGTCCTTTTCTGCTTCCAGTATTGCCGCCATGTCGACGCCAACGAGGCGTTCGTTTCGGCGTAAGAAATCGTCGATGTCTTGCGTGCTATAGTCTGACTGGGGGGTTACAGCCTCTACCTTCTTCTCCGCTTGTTTGGCAGCCCCGCTGCTCGTGGTACTGGCCGGCCGGGTTACGTAGTACGTCGCCGCACCGCAGCCGGCCAACCCAGCAAGCCGGGCGGCGTTCCTCTTGACAAACGAAGGTCGTTCATTCTCATTGGTGGGGCCAGGTGCGGAAGATGCAAATGCCCTGAAGGCAGGGAATGAAGACTTCTGCGGACGAATGCGAGCTCGGCTCGCGAGGGAACGCCACTGCATGGTGAGTGTTCTGACAGGGGTTGCAATCCAGCCCACCGACCACTCAGAATGAATGTGCTGCAAGCAAAAGATGGTGGTTGGATTCGCTACGTTCTTGCGCGTGATATGGGAGGTAACTAGTGTCGCACTGTGTGTTGGAGTAGCAGACGGGAAAGGAGGCAGGTGCTTGTCCTAGCTCGTAAGTAGATTGGAGAGCGATGGGAAAAGTTGAGTTAATGGGAACGGGAAGTCTCTCCCGGATTGACGGCACGCGCAGCTTTGGGCGCAGTTCGTTCTCTGGATCGACAGTTTCTTCTTCCCCAACTCGGGGCCCCAAACTAAATAGAAAGCCCCCGCTCAAAAGTTATTGTTCATGCATATTTCGCTGCCAAGAAATGCATTCCACCGTGGTTACCCAAAAATAGTTAAAACTTTCCGCAAACTAAGCTTGCCGACATTAACCTCCGAGGTCATGTTACATGGCCCTTCTGCAATGAAAATGCCGCAATGCCGTTATCACTGAGAAGCAGACCTATGGGGCGAATTAGTGCATTGAGAAGTCGAAGAATCACATGTGAACATACAGAAGCCGCCTCACAGGAATATGTTGAAGGTGGTTTCCGTGGAGCTGGAACCATCAACTGATTGCGCAGGAGAGGATAGCCATTGATAAGGGCTGAATCCCAGGATCGAGCATAGGGTCTGCGAAGTAGTCGAAGGATAGCGCAATTTCTTTGCAAGGAATACAAACCTCCCGTTCGTCGCCCGAGAGTTGACGTTATGTTGATTCTAGAACTTCATGCTTCTGGATTTAGGGTGCAGCAGACGCATTGACTCCAGAACGTGGGAGCCGCTGTATCTGTTGTCAGCTGTTAGACCCTCATGGCGAGTGTGGGGAGCACTGACATGGACAGAACGGCAAACTGACGAGCGTTGCATGCGGAGCAACCGATTCTAGGGGATCGAACATAGGTCAAAGTGTCGTTCCGTGCTATCCATCCTATCGTCCTTTTCGAGCACAGCGCAACACCATTGTCAAGCGAAATCGTGATGATGAAGCCAATTTGCGCCTGTGCTATTTCGAGATCGAAGCTTCTCCTGAACAGTCATCGCATGTGCAGGGCAGTGCTTTTGCACGCAGTCTGATATGCCCCAGTGCGTTTCCTCGTTCATTCGGATGTATTAGAAGATGATATATTGTTACTGCAGGAGACATCGGAGTAACATGTAAAGATGATCACCCCTAGGCATACAACAGCTCGACTGGTATGAGGGTTGACAAAGTATGCACAGGAAGGCTGGCAGCGGAGAGGCACTCCTCCGCAGCCCATGAATAAACTGCACCCTTACAATTCATTTTCTTCAATTTCAAGCGTACCTATGAATCCGTTCTTGAGCTTCAAGTCCAAGTGGGCAAATTCGCAGTAGTTCCGGTCGCCTTAGTAGCATCGAGTTCACAGGCGGGAGGCTTACCTGATTTTGACAGCGCGACTGACGGCAGATACGAGAGTCGGTCATTTCATTTTCCTTCTCCGACTCGGATTTCAAAGGCACCCGAAAAGACAGGGCTTTCCCACCATATCGCCCTTTGACGCACAAAGCTGCAGACTTTTTGAGTCTCAATTTATATAGCGAAAGCAGGACGTTTGGAGAAAGCTGTGCACAGCTTCCATACTTACAATATGGCGGCCCTCGCTCCGGCTCAAGAGGGCTCAATACAAACGCCATTCCTTCCAGAGCTAGCAGCAGTGTCCAGTCAAGGACGCCACCAAAATGCGGTCAATGAAACTTGGCACCCGTCGGAGTCCGAGGAGGAACAGCGACAGAGAACGGTCGCATCGGTGAGGAAGAAGGCATCCACTTTACGAGGTATGGATCTATGCAGGATGGCGCAACAGGCTGTTATTGAACGTTTAGTGAATCGCAGAGCTTATCGAATCGTCCCGGAACGCACGCAACTATTCTACCACCGCTGCACTACCACCCGGCCTCGCGAGCCAAATTAAGGTCCACCCACCCTCCCCTCGAAAGAAACGAGGGCATCATGTCCACCATGTGGTCGTGGAAGATCCAGCAATGAGATTGGAGAAGGCTCGAATGGGGTACTCGAACGTCAAAGCGTTTGTGGACCTCGGCGGTTTCCACGAAGCGAGGGTGGATCGGCGGGAAGCGTCACTCACGCAGGAGGGCGCTGTCTCACTGGGCAGCGTGGAAATGGATGGGCATAATGCGGATCCGGGACGCGGAACGGACTTTCGAGAGAAGCTGGTAGATTTTCTGATGTAAGGGGACACACAGAGAGGGCAGAGTCGATGTTGATGAAAGTTTGATTGCTGACGGATGTGCGAAACCGTATAGAGATCAACAAAACGCAAAAGCGCAAAATGGGACAGGTCAGACTGAAAATCGCAGCGCATGAATTTCGATGAAGGCTAACCCCATATCGGTTTACCCGCCTCATCTCCACCCTTTAGATGAAACGGCAGAAATGCTAATCCTGAACATGGCGAGCAACTACAAGCCCGATGTCAAGACACTGCCACCCAGCCGGAAGTTTGCGTCGGAAGAAGGCGAGCTGGAGATGGTGGAGGTGAGCGAGACAACCAGATGCACAGAAGCAAACTTACCAGCTAATCCCACCGTCGCAGGCCTTTTACAACTACTTCGATCGAATCATTCGGTCACATACGGACAGTGACCTAAGCCGTGACTGGGTGACACATATAATGGATAGCATCCCGGCATTTTTAGTGGAGCGCTACCCCGGCATGACAGCCGACCTGCTGGAGGATGTGCGGCAGTCATACAGTGAGAGCGGGAAGCAATCAGCAGGTACGATCTTATTCAGGGCAAAAGGTAGATACGGAACCTTGGCACATATAGGCTCACTTTTTCAATAGTGGATCACATTCTAAAACGAGGCACTAAGACGCTGGAAGACCCAGAGTGAGTGCGAACTCTGCCAGAGACGATTGTGTGGCTCCATCTCTGACGCCATCCCACAGGGTCCGCAAACATCCAGCATTCGCACAGGAACAGATCGTATTCCCGTCTCCGTGGCGCGAAACTTTCTTGGAGAATAAAGCCAAGCTTGCAAAAATCCTACACATCACCCACCCGCTGATGGTCAAGATGCTGGAGCTGTGGTTGCAGTATGACAAGCTGCGGTTCGTCGATATCGCAGAGGTCAACATCCAGGCTGAGCCGTTCAGGATATCGGGATTCCGCAGCCTTGTGCTCGTGAACGCTGAAAAGTGCAGGGAACGACTACTCAACGGGCATGTACTACGAAGCGTATGCCTCTTACTTCTGGAGACGCTCGCCTTGCTTACCGTGCCTCACTAATTACAGGTGGTACATTACCATCCTACGAGATTTCGTCGACACGTTCATAAAAAGCGATCGGAGAAGAGCAGCCGTCGCAAAGCCGCCAGATAGCTTCTTCCGGTCGGCTGAGATTATGGTCTATAAAGAAGTGCGGTCTACCATCGCGCAGTCTTTGGAAGACTATCTATCGCTCTTCCAAGGCCCGCCACCAGCAACCGCGTTGACCAATCCTGCGCTTTCTCTCGGAAAGCACGGTCCTCGCTTCTTGATGCGATTATGGCTCAACACCGTGAACGCTATCGAGTTTGACCCGCCCTTCGCTGACATCTCCGAAGCTATCGTCGAGGCACTGAATTACGTCGTAAGAACCGTAGAGTCGATGCCGCGGATAGGTAAAATGGTCTTCGGACCTATCGGCGAAAAAATCTTGGATGGCACTCTCACAGCGGGAACAGACTTGCTCAAACTTATGGCGATGGATGGCTCGGATGAGATTAGAATTGCTTTGGAAGAGGGAGTGGTGGACCACGCCACCAAGAAGGTGGAGAAATACGCTGCTGAATGCTACGCGGTCGTAGAGGAGGTCGTCAAGAAGTATGACATTTACGAGCACATCTACACGCACAAGGTCGACGCCGAAGTTGATGAGTTTATAGCTGGGCAGCACACCTTTGAGGAGTTCGCAGTGGTATGAGCAATTGGATCGAAAGGGACGGGCGTATGCGCAAAGTTCTCACCATGCATCTGTCTTGTAGGAGATAGAAAAGTACCGGGCGCTGGCGTCTTCGATACTTTCGATCGCACGACGAGTGGAATTGCCGATGATCGAGCTGAATTGTGATGAATTGCACAAAAGCTTGGCATCTCGTGTAGTTGCAATATCGAATAAGTTCCTAAAGGAGATTACGCGCCAGATTGCGGAGCATCAGAGAAGGTTCGTCACCTCAACCTTGGTCAGAGTTTTTGACATGTCTGATCCTCTCTGCTTCCTTCAGTATTTGCGCCCGATACCAGGAGATCGAGAACCACGCGTTGAGAGTGCCAGAAAACTTCAAGGAGATGGCCGATCAGATGGAGTACATGGAGCTGGTTCGCAACGAACACCTACCCGCGCTACTGACGGAGCTCGAGGAAGCACGCTCGCGGCTTATGTACATTATGAACTTCTCGGCCCTGGACCCTGAACAAATGAAGCTCAACAATGTCACATTCACATGGCCACAGCGAATCATCCCTATCCTTGAGCGACACGCTCAGATCATAGGGGCTGCTCGAGAAAAGAACGAAGCTAATCTCAAGGAGAGGCGCACAAAGTTCGAGGCAGAGCTTGATGAGTTCCAGAAACAGGTGGAGGAGCTCAAGGAGGTTGGGGATCTGGACGAAATGCCATTCTACGTCAAGAAGGTGCAGACCCTCGCGAAGCAGCTCCAATCGGCTGCTGACACCATTGCCACTTTCAACAAAGAGGAGCAGCTCTTCGGATGGAGTGTTACGGTTTACCCCCAGCGGAAGAAGATTATGCAGCTCCTGGAGCCATATCAAGCTCTCTATACAACTGCGGTAAATTTCCAAAAGTCGTACAAGCGATGGATGGACGGCAACCTGCTCGAACTGGATGCCGAGCAAATTGAAGGCGAGGTGGACGGTCTGAAGCGCGAGATCTACCGTCTCCTCGGTGGGCTCGTTCAAGACGCAGCGCCGCAGAATATTGCCAAGCAAGTGCGGGAGAAGATTGATGAGTTCATGGTCAACTTGCCGCTGATCCATGTCCTGTGCAATCCGGGGATGAGAGATCGTCATTGGGCGCAGATGAGCGTGGCGGCCAACCAGGAGATCAAGCCTGATGGCACTACCAGTCTGCGGAAGATGTTGAAACTGAACTTGGAGCCCTTTTTGGAGCCGTTCCAGGAGATTAGCGGTGAGAGAAAAATGTCATCTCGTTCAAAATTGGGTACCCGCACTGATACAAGTTTTAAACAACCCTTCAGACGCCGCATCGAAGGAATACACTCTCGAAAAGAACATGACAAAGATGTTCACCGAGTGGGAACCTCTGCTCTTCAACCTCCTTCCTTACCGCGAGTCGGGCACATTCATTTTGGCAGGCGTCGACGAACCTCAGCAGCTGTTGGACGATCAAATTGTAAAGACCCAATCCATGCGCGGATCGCCATACATCAAGCCTTTCGAGCAGCAGATTAAGGATTGGGAGCGGCGTCTTCTGCACACACAGGAGATCATTGACGAATGGCTCAAGGTGCAAGCGACGTGGTTGTATTTGGAGCCCATTTTTAGTAGCGAGGATATCATGAACCAGATGCCGGAGGAAGGCAGAAAGTTCAAGGCTGTGGATGAGACTTGGAGGAAGCTGATGTCGGTAGGTTTGCCGGCTCTTCCGCTTTCTTGAATCAAGATGGGAAAAATTACATCTAACTTACTCCCCTACATCGCAGGTCGTGAACGAGGACCGACATATTTTGAAAGTGACCGAAATCGGACAAATCCTGGAAGATCTCCAGCGCAACAACGTTCTTTTAGAAGCCATTCTCAAGGGTCTGAACAATTATCTCGAGATCAAGAGGTTGTTCTTCCCTCGATTCTTCTTCTTATCCAACGATGAGATGCTCGAAATTCTCAGTGAAACGAAAGACCCGACTCGCGTGCAACCACATCTGAAGAAATGCTTTGAAGGCGTTGCTCAGTTAGAGTTCGATAGTAAGATGGACATTCTCGCTCTTTGCTCGAGTGAGAAGGAGCGGCTTGAGCTGGTGGAGAAGGTATCCACCGCAGATGCGAAGGGGAGTGTCGAGAGATGGCTCTCAAATGTAAGATTGTACGTGTGTCTTTGTCTGACACCCGTTCCAAGATGCTCACCTGTGCCCACCAGGTCGAAAAAGCCATGTTACAGAGCGTCCGATATCAGATCGAGGAGGCGTACTATGACTATCAAAAGCGGCCGCGAGAGCAATGGGTGCTGGACTGGCCTGGACAAGTGGTGCTCTGTGTGGGTCAGATATATTGGACACTCGGGGTTGAGCAAGCAATCAAAGAGGGACGAGGAGGCCTTGACCAGTTCTTGAAACAACTCAACGCGGAGCTCAATGAAGTGATCAAGCTTGTTCGCGGGTCTCTATCGAAAATGGCTCGTGCGACGCTGGGAGCTCTTGTCGTCATCGATGTTCACGCTCGAGATGTCGTAGCACAACTTGCGACGGATGGTCTCAAGGACGCCCTTGATTTCGATTGGCTGGCTCAGTTGAGGTATTACTGGGAGGAAGACACCGTGCGGGTGAAGATGATCAACGCTCATAAGGAGTATGGCTACGAATACTTGGGCAACTCTCCAAGACTGGTCATCACGCCATTGACCGATCGATGTTATCGGACGCTTTTCGGCGCCCTCCACTTGAATTTGGGAGGAGCTCCCGAAGGACCCGCTGGGACGGGAAAGACGGAGACAACGAAGGATTTGGCCAAGGCCTTAGCGAAACAGTGTGTTGTCTTCAACTGTTCCGATGGCCTGGATTACCTGGCTATGGGCAAGTTCTTCAAAGGTCTTGCGGCTTCCGGGGCATGGGCATGCTTCGATGAATTCAACCGTATTGATTTGGAGGTGCTTTCTGTCGTCGCTCAACAAATCTTGACAATCCAACGTGCGATTGCTGCGAATCTCGCTGAATTCGTTTTTGAGGGTACAAAGCTAAGTCTCAAGCCAACATGTGCCGTATTCATTACGATGAACCCTGGTTATGCGGGTCGGTCAGAGCTTCCGGACAATCTCAAGGCTCTTTTCCGGACTGTGGCTATGATGGTGCCCGACTACACCCTCATCGGCGAAATCACGCTGTACTCCTTCGGTTTTATTGAAGCCAGGAACTTATCACGTAAGATTGCGGCGACATACAGGTTGTGCTCCGAGCAGTTGTCGAGTCAAGATCATTACGACTATGGAATGCGTGCAGTGAAGAGTGTGCTGACAGCGGCCGGGAATCTCAAGTTGAAGTATCCTGACGAAGATGAGAACATACTGGTACTCCGGTCGATCATTGACGTCAATCTGCCCAAGTTCTTGTCGCAAGATATTGCATTGTTCAGAGGCATTGCTTCTGACCTCTTCCCCGGTGTGCGGTTACCAAAGCCAGACTACGCCGTGCTGGAGTCTGCGATTGAGATTGCTTGCAAGAAGCTCAAATTCCAACTCGTTCCGGCCTTTTTGGAGAAGATCATTCAGCTTTACGAGATGATGCTGGTGCGTCACGGATTCATGCTGGTTGGAGAGCCATTCGGGGGAAAGACGGCCTCGTACCGAGTGCTAGCCGAAGCGCTCACAGCGCTTGGAGGTCAAGAAGGACAGGGAATCCCCGATGCTGAATGGCTGAAGGTACAATATAAAGTCATCAACCCGAAAGCCATTTCTATGGGTCAGCTTTACGGACAATTTGATCCCGTCTCTCATGAATGGACCGACGGTGTCCTTGCGACAAGTTTCCGGAGTTACGCGAATAGCACCAGTCCTGATCGCAAGTGGGTGATCTTTGACGGACCTGTTGATGCGATTTGGGTCGAGAACATGAACACAGTCCTGGACGATAATAAGAAGCTCTGTCTTATGAGTGGAGAGATCATTCAGCTGTCCAACACCATGAGCTTGGTTTTCGAGGTCATGGATCTGGCAGTAGCTTCGGTAAGAGGGTATTCGTGTGCATCTGTTCTTCTTTCATCTGCTAATCGAGAATGTCTAGCCTGCAACGGTCAGTCGATGTGGAATGGTATATCTGGAGCCGGAACGCATTGGATGGAGGCCGCTTCTGAAGTCCTGGCTGGAAGCCATCACGTTCTTGGGCGATGTTCACATTCAAACAATCGAGCGTCTATTCGAGACATTTGTCCCTCCAGCATTAAGCTGTCTCCGTCGCGAATGCAAGGAATTGTCCCCTACCACTGATATTGGACTCGTCAATTCTCTGCTGAGACTGCTGGGCAGCACGTTCGATAATATCATAGATCGGGAAGCCACGGTCAACAATGCGGACCCGAACTTGAAGCGACAGCTCGAATGCAAGTTCTTATTCTGCGTCTATTGGACCATCGGAGGAAGCGTGGATCAACAGAGTCAAGCAAAGTTTGACGCCAGCATCCGAAAAGTTATTGAGGCGTTGCCAGAGCCGTTAGTACTGGAACTGCCGACAGAGGGAACGCTTTACGATTACATGTTCCAAAGCGAAGACGAGGATCGTTGGGTACCATGGCTTAGCACAATAGAGCGGAAACCCATACCAGCTAACGCGGAGTTCAACGATATCCTCATCCCAACCAAGGATACTGCTCGTTACAATTATTTGATGGACTTGATGATCACTCACGACATTGGCTTCCTGCTCGTTGGGCCAACCGGAACAGGAAAATCGAAATACGTATCAAACAAACTCTTGACCGGAGTCGCGAAAGAGAAATATACGCCGATGTTTGTGGGCTTCTCCGCGCGTACCAGCGCTGCACAAACGCAAGACTTGGTGATGTCCAAACTGGACAAGCGAAGAAAGGGGGTCTATGGGCCTGGGGTCGGAAGGAAGGTTTTGATCTTCATTGACGATCTGAACATGCCCGCGAAAGAACAATATGGTGCTCAGCCTCCGATAGAACTGTTCAGGCAATGGCTCGATCATGGGAACTGGTATGATAAGAAGGACACATCCAAGATCGAGTTGGTTGACATTCAACTTCTCGCGGCTATGGGCCCACCGGGAGGAGGCCGGAATGTCATCACACCGAGATTCCAGCGTCACTTCAACCAGATTGTGATAAATTCTTTTGATACCCCTACCATGGGCCGTATTTTCAACACAATCCTGGACTGGCATTTTGGGCGACTCGAATTTACCGAGGAAATCCGAGGTCTCGCAGCAAACGTTGTGGACGCCACAGCAAGCATATTCCAATGGACGGTGCAGAATCTGCTGCCTACTCCAGCGAAAACGCATTATACGTTCAACTTGCGTGATTTCGCGCGTGTGATTCAAGGCATCGTTCTTTCGCGCCCGAACGTCTTCAAGACTCCGGACACGATTCTCCGATTATGGGTCCATGAAGTATATCGCGTATACTATGATCGTTTGGTCACGGACGATGATCGCTACAATATGTTCAGCTACGTCCTGGAGGTCGTCAAGGACAAATTTGACAAGGAGCCGGACGAAGTGTTCGCCCATCTTGCCACGGGACAAGAAGAAAATGGCAAGAAGATGCTGATGGAAGATGACATGCGCGGTCTGATGTTTGGCGATTTCTTGAGCAAAAGAGTTCCCAACAGTGATCCCGATTATGCCGAGCTGACGGATTTCGAGAAAATCCGGGAGACGGTCCAGGCTCAGCTGGAAGAATACAATCAGATCAAGAAGGCCAAACTGAACCTGGTTCTTTTCAGATTCGCAATCGAACATATTTCGAGAATATGCCGCATCTTGAAGCTTCCTGGTGGAAATGCGCTTGTCGTCGGTGTCGGAGGCAGTGGCCGACAAAGCTTGTCGAGGCTAGCCGCTTTCATATGCCAATATGAATTGTACCAAATCGAAATCTCGAAGCAGTATACGCGAGTCGAGTGGAGAGAAGATCTGAAAAAGATGCTTATCCTTGCGGGGGCGGATAACAAAAAGACGGTCTTCTTGTTCCCGGATACCCAGATCAAAGAGGAGTCATTCATCGAGGATGTTAGCAGTCTGCTGAATGCCGGCGACGTGCCGAACCTGTTCGCGGCAGACGAACGGCAGAACATCATTGATCGTGTCATGTCAGATGCGCAGGAGCAAGACAGGGCAGGTGATGGAAGCCCCACAGCGCTCTACAACTATTTCATTGAGCGTGTGAAGAGCAATCTCCACATCGTACTCTGCATGAGTCCCATCGGAGATGCCTTCCGCGCTCGACTGCGTCAGTTCTCTTCGCTTGTGAACTGCTGTACGATTGACTGGTTCCAGGCATGGCCGGATGACGCCTTACAAGCAGTTGCTCGTCAGTTCTTGAGTGAGATGGAACTCAGCGATTCTGTTCGGCTTTCGGTGGTTGACATGTGCAAGCATTTCCATCAGAGCTCTATGGCGCTTTCGACCAAGTACCTCTCGGCTCTGGCCAGGCATAACTACGTTACGCCGACCAGTTACTTGGAGTTGCTCTACGCCTATAAAGATCTGCTTACGGCTAAGAGGGAGGAAATTTCAGCGGTGAAGCGGCGCTATGTCGGTGGTTTGGACAAACTTCAATTCGCCGCCGAGCAGATTAGTCGGATGCAAGTCGACTTGACGAATCTCACCCCTCAATTGAAGAAGACGTCTGAGGAGACTGTGGAAATGTTGGAAAAGATTGCCAAAGAATCAGTGGAAGTGGAGGCCACCAAGGAAACCGTTTCAGCTGATGAGGCCATCGCAGCTTCGAAAGCGGAACAGGCATCCGCCATCAAGAGCGAATGTGAGAATGATCTTGCTCAGGCGCTTCCATTGCTGAACGCAGCATTATCGGCTCTCGACACTTTAAAGAAATCCGACATCGACCTTGTCAAGTCCATGAAGAACCCGCCAGAGGGTGTCAAGCTCGTCATGGAGGCGGTTTGCGTGATGAAAGATATCAAGCCGGACAGGATCCCGGATCCGTCGGGATCAGGTAAAATGGTCCTTGACTACTGGAAAACATCTCTCAAGATCCTCGGGGACCCGAAATTCCTGGAAGGTCTCAAAGCTTTCGACAAAGACGACATCCCTGCGCACGTTATCAAGGCGATTCGGGCAAAGTACATACCCAATCCTGAATTCAAGCCGGAAAAGGTGCGAAACGCTTCTTCGGCCGCGGAAGGACTTTGTAACTGGATTATCGCAATGGAGGCCTATGATCGAGTCGCGAAGGAAGTGGCACCTAAACAAATCGCTCTCGCGCACGCTGAGGCTGAATTGGCTGAGACTATGGCGGGTCTAGCTGAAAAGAGGGCGCAACTCAAAGCGGTCTTGGATCGGTTGCAAGCACTAAATGACAATCTGCAAGCGCTCTCCGAGAAGAAAGAAAGACTCGAAAAGGAGGTGAAGAGTTGTGAGGAGCAACTCGATCGCGCGCAGAAGCTATTGGGAGGTCTAGGAGGAGAGAAACAGCGCTGGACGCAAGTCGTTGGCAATCTTGACCAAGTGCTGTTTAACCTGACTGGCGACGTCTTGATCTCCGCTGGAGTCATCGCATACCTCGGAGCGTTCACAAAGCTGTATAGACAGGAGTGCATCAGCGAGTGGATATCGACACTCAAGAAGGCCAACATCCCGTGTTCCGACACGTTCTCCTTGGCGAAAGTTCTTGGTGATCCCATTCTGATCCGCGCTTGGAACATCGCTGGGTTACCATCGGACGCATTCTCCGTGGACAACGGAATCATCGTCAAGAATGCCAGAAGGTGGCCTCTGATGATTGACCCACAAGGACAAGCGAACAAATGGGTCAAGAATATGGAGAAGGAGAACAACCTCCAAATTATCAAGCTGACAGATGCTGACTATGTGAGGAATCTCGAGAACGCCATTCAGTTTGGTGCTCCGGTCCTGCTAGAGAACGTTAAAGAAGAGCTGGACCCCGTTCTTGACAGCGTGCTTCAGAAGCAAACCTTCAAATCGGGAGGCGCCACATGCATTCGATTGGGAGATGCTGTGATCGAGTGGTCAGAGAACTTCCGGCTGTATATCACGACAAAACTGAGGAATCCGCATTACTTACCAGAAGTGGCCGTCAAGGTGTCGCTGCTCAACTTCATGATCACCCCGGAAGGTTTGGAAGACCAGTTGCTCGGTATCGTAGTCACAAAGGAACGGCCAGAGCTCGAAGAAGAAAAGACGCAGCTGATCTTGCAAGGCGCCGAGAACAAAAAGCGGTTGAAGGAAATTGAGGATCGTATCCTTGAGATCCTGTCATCTTCAGAAGGCAATATTCTGGAGAACGAGACTGCCATCGAGGTCCTCTCATCGTCGAAAGAGCTTTCGAAAGAACTCAACGACAAGCAGAAGATTGCGGAAGAGACTGAACGCAAAATCGATGAGACACGAAACTCCTACCGCCCCATCGCCAACCACTCGGCAGCCCTCTACTTCTGCATCGCTGACCTGGCCAATATCGATCCAATGTACCAATACTCGCTCACGTGGTTCATAGACCTGTTCATCAACGGCATCGCGCTTTCGCCAAAGTCCGGGGTCTTGAAACGTCGTTTGAAGAATCTCGAGTCGTACTTCACCTACTCACTCTACCTTAACGTCTGCCGGTCTTTATTCGAGAAGGACAAGCTGTTGTTCTCATTCCTGCTGTGTTCCGTCATCCTGAAGAACCGAAAGGAGTTGGATGATGCAGAGTTCCAGCATCTATTGACAGGGGGAATCAGCGTCGGATCGCCGGCTATGGCAAACCCCGACCCGTCTCTTTTGTCCGAAAAAGCTTGGTCGGAACTGTACCGTATGTCGGATTTGCCGGCATTCACGGGATTGCGAGACGAGTTCTCTGGCGCGGAATGGAAGATCTGGGTCGAGAGCAGCGATCCTCAAGATCTTCCTCTACCTGGCAAATGGGCGTCTGCCAACGAGTTCCAGAGGACGTTGGTGGTCAGGGCATTGCGGCCAGAACGCATCGTCCCTGCAGTCCAGGAGTTTGTGAAAGTCAAACTGGGACAAAAGTTCATTGAGCCGCCAACCTTCGACTTGGCGGGAAGTTTCGAAGATTCGAATCATCGCTCTGCATTGATTTTCGTGCTTTCGCCGGGTGTTGACCCAATGGCACAGTGAGTGAAAGCTACAAATACGGAATGTGTTGTCCCTTCTTGATCTGAGCCACTTTTATCTACTCTTAGGTTGCTCAAATTTGCAGAAGACAAGGGGTACAGCGGCTCAAAATGCCAATCTATATCCCTCGGTCAAGGCCAGGGTCCGATCGCAGCTTCCATGGTCAGAGAAGCGCAAAAAGCCGGAACTTGGGTCGTACTGCAGAACTGTCACTTGGCAGTCAGCTGGCTTCCAGCTCTCGAGAAGATCGTGGACGACATGAGCACTGAGGCTGTCACTGTCCACAAAGACTTTCGCTTGTGGCTGACATCTTATCCGAGCCCCAAGTTCCCAGCTAGTATCTTGCAGGGAGGGGTCAAGATGACGAATGAGCCGCCCAAGGGATTGAAAGCGAATTTGTTGAAAAGCTTCTTGGGAGACTTGATCAGCGATGAGAAGTTCTTCAATGCCTGCAACAAACCGAATGAGTGGGAGAAGCTACTATTCGGATTGTGCACCTTCCATGCGGTTGTTCAAGAAAGGAGGAACTTCGGACCGCTTGGATGGAATATCCCGTATGAGTTCAACGAGTCTGATCTTCGTAAGTTCAAACGATTGCGCTGTACCACCACTTTGGTTGAACGCCTCCTAACACATTTGTCGTTCAGGTATCAGCATGCGTCAATTGCAAATGTTCTTGAACGAGTACAACGAAGTGCCATTCAAAGCGATCGCATACCTCACAGGAGAGTGCAATTACGGCGGAAGAGTCACGGATGACTGGGACCGTCGAACACTCATGAATCTTCTGACGACATTCTACACTCCCTCGATTGTGGAAGACCCGAACTACAAATTCTCTGCGTCGGGAGTTTACTACGCGCCTCCGAAGGGCAAGTACGAGAACTACCTGGAATACATCCGATCATTACCGCTAAACCAGAATCCGGAGATCTTCGGTATCCACGAAAACGGAGATATCGCACGACAACTGGCCGAGACGAGAAGCCTATTTGAGAGTGTGCTGTCTACACAGGAGCGCAGCGTTGGTGGTGGCGCGGGCCTGAAGACCAGCGATGAGATCCTTGTGGAAGTGGCAACGGACATCCTGTCTCGCATTCCAGCGACGTTCAACATCGAGGAGGCTGCGCGGAAGTTCCCCGTCAGCTACGAGGAGAGCATGAACACAGTGCTGATCCAAGAAATGATTCGCTTCAATCGCCTGATTCAGGTCGTTTTGGTCAGTTTGGTCAACGTGCAAAAGGCCATTCGTGGCTTAGTAGTCATGAGCGCAGAACTGGAAGAAGTGTGCAAAAGCATTCTGACGGGCAGATTACCCGCGATGTGGGCCTCTAAGAGTTACCCGAGTCTCAAGCCATTGGGAGGATACGTCAATGACCTGGTCGCCAGAATTGCATTCTTCAAGAACTGGCTTGACACTGGAAACCCGAAAGTCTTCTGGATGAGTGGATTCTTCTTCACTCAGTCCTTCATCACTGGTATGTACAGCGCGATTGATGTACCCCAGTGGGCAAACGAAGTGTTGAACCTTACACTTCCACAGCGACCCTACAGAACTACGCTCGGCGCTACACCATCCCAATTGATGAGCTGGGGCTAAACTTTGAAGTTCTGAAGATTAACGCATCAGAAGTGACGGAAGCACCACAAGACGGCGTATACGTGACGGGCCTGTACTTGGAAGGAGCGCGATGGAATTCAGATGCGGGCGTGATTGCTGAATCCCATCCCAAGGTTCTCTACGATCTTCTACCGGTGATTTGGTTCAAACCATGCAAGATATCAGAGCGGGCGACGACGCCTTCATACGTGTGTCCCATTTACAAGACAAGCGCGCGGAGAGGTGTTCTTTCCACAACGGGACACTCGACGAACTTCGTGATTGCCATCAGGCTGCCCAGCGATAGGCCTGAGAAGCACTGGATAATGCGGGGAGTCGCTACACTGTGAGTAATGATTCTGTTCTCGGTTCTGGCTTCCACCATTCTAACATCGGTTGATTTGCAGGCTCCAATTGGACGATTGAACGATAGAGTTATCGTCATGGGCTCATGTATATATATCCTGCTTTCTATGGTTCAAAAAGCCAGGAAGACTGCAACTGTGTCATATAGCGATTGTGCGTATTTGTGAGCGTCAACATATAAAAGGCCTGTCTTTGGCATAGCGCATACCCCTTGCACATGCATACTGGTCCTCTTCTTGACAACTGTTGTTGAGCGGAGATTCGCGCTGTCGTATCTTCCCTTCTCCCTGCTTTGCTCTTCACGCGTCGTTGGGAAGCTTGAAAACGAGACATGGTCACAGACGCTTTTCCATGTCCAGCATTCTCGACCGTTTCACACCGACATTGCAACCTCCTTAGGGTCCGCCTGTAAAGTTTACTCTCCCACGCTATCGACCCTGGACGTTCAGAAACCTGTATACGTAGTCAGCAAACTTCTAAACGAACCGGGCTCAAAACGGGACGCCAAAGCGATCTTTAACAAACAAACTCACCGTTGTCTATTGCAAACTCACGAAAGGTCTGCTGAAAAAAAGCCATAGATAGAGAAGGGGAAGCAACCTTTTCGGAGACCCTCATCGACCCTGTTTTGAAACGACACGGGATCGGCCCGTCAAAATCCTCAAGATGAGCCATTCACAGCACTACATTCCTCCACTGGTGAGCCGTCCCAGTACGCGCTGTTCGTCCCCCTTGGATTTTCTGACCGGCCCCTTGAACGTAGAACTTCGGGATGGTCGAGGAGAACCTTTACCGGTCAGGTCAACCGAATGAGCTCAACTTTCCATTTCTCGAAAAGCTGGGTCTGAAAACCGTGGTCTATCTGGCTCCCGAAGAGCCTTCTCAAAGATTGTACGTGTCTTAGAGGTGTGAATATGTTCTCGTCTGGAATGTTTTTCCCGAGTGTTTTCATGGGTGGGGTCCATAACGCTGACCTGGCCTAACTTCGCAGCGCAAACTTCGTAGAAGACCAGGATCTGACCTTATATCACGTCGGGCTGAGCGCAGGGGGCAACACCTGGGATCCCATATCCGAAGAAGTCGTTCTGGAAGCGCTTGTACATATACTCGATCCGGGAAAGTACCCGTTGATTGTGATGTGCAACCTCGGAAGACATCGGACGGGTATGTGCCTTTGCCGATATGTGTACGGTGCCAAACGTACCTCAAGCTCATCTCTGGGAACTTGATAGGAACTGTGATCGGATGCCTGCGGAAGCTGCAACGGTGGAACCTAACGTCAATATTCGAAGAGTATAGACGATACGCGGGCCCGAAAGTAAAAGTCCTGAATGAGCAGTTCATCGAGCTGTTCGATACTGATCTGGTCAGAGTGCCGTTATGTCATCCCGGGTGGTTATGAGAATGTGAGAATGCGAAAAGAACAGCTTGGAGTTCGGAGAATGGACGTAGGCTGGTCCGTATGGCATGGCGCCAGGGCATGTTGGTCGGTCGCCTCGTTCAAGGGTGCACTGATTTCTGGCGCTCACGATGAGACGCCCGGTCAGGCGGGGAAAACAGCTGGAGCACCACGCTAGTCCCATCGAACAAGGCGATATCACCATTGCTGTTTCACGGTGACATGGAACCACGCTGCTCGAGCCACAACTGATACATCCATAGCACCGGCCTCTGCGGCGTATGTACCACGAAGGTAGCTAGCGCAGAGGCAATAATCCATCCACACGCCCCAGCAAATCACGATAGTTTAGACCCGCACGACCGGGTCCAGTTAATCTGATCTAATGCGCTGCATGTTTGATCTACCCGCCGTTCGGGAGTATGTATATTAAGAACATTAGTGATCCTCGCCCCAGAAGTCAAAATGGCTATATGACATGACGTCAATCAGTGGGAGACCGGCATTGGTCGATCGGGGAGGACGACTGGCTAGAACAACTCCAAAACTGTATCCCCGGTTTGCAGTTTGTCGCCTATTGCGACGGCTGTGTAGGTACAGGTGCACTAGCGACATTGTCCTGTTCGGCGATACCCCGTAGTGCCACCTGGGCAGACCGGTGCCGGGCCTCGACCCCAATGTCCGCCTTTTTGACACAACTGCGGGGCAGCCTCTATGTTCATTGCATTGCCTTCAACAAAAATTGAAACTCGGTCAGCCTCCGCGAACTCCACATGACCGGCCAACCCCAGCCGCAACTCACCCCACTCCTCAACGCCTCCAGCGTCCTTAGTATATCAGTCGCAGTCTGCTCCGCAGCCGCAGTTCCCAACATCGGCCCGGGTCCTTGCTGTCTCAACTGCTCGATCAGCTCTGGTGGTAGCAAGTCAAACATAGCTTGCGCGTCTCCGATGGCTCCTGCTGATGGCGGTTGCTGATCGCCGAGTATGGCCTCGATCAGGTCTGATGGTGGGATAGGGCTTTGTGTTGGTGGATTTGACGCTGCCTCGGCTGATGCGTCCGTGAATGTTGGTAATGGTGTCGGGATGGTGTAGTTGGTCGGGTCGTACTCTTCCACATTCTCTTCATGTGAGGCGGCATTGGACGCGGGGTCTGGCGGGTGGGGTAAGTCCGTCATGGGTTCCTCGCGTGAGGATGGTATAACGACCTCAGATGCCGGGGCCTGCGGGATATTTCCTTTTGTCTTAATCTGGCGAGTACACTGCTCCAGCGATATCTCATCGCCTTTTAAAAACAACGCCATCTTCTCGGCAAGGGCGTTCAATACCCCGATCAGGGTTTTCCGCTCGTTGATGTCCCTCACGAGTGCGTCTCGGTACCGGTCCAGCGTTTCGACCATTTGCTCCGGGTTCTCTGCTGCTGGATTCGCTGCTGCGGATGTTGCCTCCGCCAGTTTCTGCTTTGCATCAGCCAGTTTATGCAAGCTGTTAAGGTGCTTCACTATCGCCACGGCGTCTGGGGGTATCGTTGGCGCAGTTGTATTTGAGGAGGCGGCGGGATTCTCCATGCGCTGTTTGACATCTCGCACAAAATCCTTCGAGAAGATCTGTCGCTCCTCCAAAATCGTCAATATGCGCGTTATCTTGTGCCTCGTGTCCTGCCCCGTATGTCTGTTGTGGGATTCATCGACATGGCTCTGATCAGCTCCCCAATCCCGTATGGTAGCTACTGTTGCTGCTATATAGCTCGAACCTGTAGGCATGAGGCAGCGTCTCCGGAAACACTTTGGCGAACTCCACCACAAACTCGTCGCCTTTGCGCCGGCTATTCTGGACCACATCGTTGGCCAGGTAAACGAAACTCAGTTTACGATGTGGTGGAGCTGAATCAATCGATCGATCGGAAAATTGATATCGTTAGCATACTGTATATCTCCTTGTGGCTTTCATGAAGCCCGCATTTTCCCAGGATTACACACCTTTATGCAACTCCCTAGCCCATGTCTGAACGCTTGACGCGGCATGCTTCCTATGAAACATCAGCCCTGGTAAAGTTCACGAAAGCATCAGTGTCGCTGCAAATATACCACCGCTCGGGGTGTCCACCGAGTCGCTTGCACTCCAAAGATCAACGCGTCAATTGACGAACGGTGGGCGGACCTACATTGCGAGAGAACAGTGATGCTGTCCTGAGTGTCCACCAGCTTTGCCAGCTTCTGCGTAAGGACTGCCTCGTTGTAGCTGGTCATTGCGTGCCTCGGTGATGTTCGTCTACTTTCTGTGAATTGCCTCTCCGCCTTGTGTTGGAAAGCCCTGGGAAAGCCCCGAAACTTGAAAGCCTCAAATCCGCCAAGTGCGAAGCGCGTCGGAAAGACTTCCCCACCTTCCGTGATGGCCACCTTGGGAGCCCACAAGCTGACATGCCCGCCGCAAGTGCCATAGCAGCCGCCGTGCTCGACCGCTATGACAAACTGCCGAAGAAAGGGAAGCCTGCGCTGCGCGGGGGGAAGCGGCCCGAATGGACTGTATTAGCGGGAATTGTCAAGAATGTTGCACAGGGTACTGGAATTGTGGAGTTTCCAGCCTGTGTTTGCAAACTATGATATCTGACTTCTTCAAAACGTTCTGCAATGTGGAATGTAATAGGAGACACAGAAGAGCTTGAATGTATAGCGTTGAGGTAGGTGAAACAATCGGTCATCCCGCAACCCTGGCCTCCTGATACCGACACCTTGCATGCAGTACAGGTCTGAAGTGCCTCAGCAAAAGCCAGCTACCTTCAGACGGAGGAGCGCTGCATGACAGCCACGCCGAGGTTCTGTGCCGCAGGGCTTTCATAAAGTGCGTCAGACCATCTTTTGGGACTCCATTCCACTTGGGCCCTGACAGACCCTATCAACAGATACCTGTATAGCGAGCTCGAACTTGCACGCGCGGGAAAGTCGAAAGTCCTGGAACCCAGAAAGGAAACGGGCCGTTTCAAATGCAGGGAGAGCGTGACCTTCCATCTCTACATCTCCCAGTCGGCATGTATATAACTTATGTCGGTTCTGGGGAAGGACATCCACCGATGACGACCAACGTCCCGATGTTTGATGTACGCACTTGTAGGTGGGGATGCATCAATGGGCGCCCTCGAGAGGAGCCAACCGGAGGACGCGCGGGCGGAGAATGAGAGCAAGAAGCGAAAGTGGGAAGAATCCAACATGGTTGATGTAGACCGCGCGGACGGCACGATATCCACGGGACAGGATGCTCGGCCAAATGTTGTGCTCGGAGATCTGATACAACCGGGCCTGCGACGAGGACGCAATGACTATGCCGCTTTGGGAGTGCTGCGGACCAAACCTGCGCGTGCGGACGCCGAAATGACGTTGTCGATGTCATGCAGGTATGCATCGGTCATTACAGCCCCTATCTTCCATCCGTCTGGCTCGCATACTGATATCGACCATGTTGCCAGTGACAAAATCGCCAAATGGAACGTTCTTGGTCTTTGCGGGGCGCTCCTGTCCCACTTCATCGAGCCCCTCTACCTGAAAGGCATCACTGTTGGAGACTTGTATGACCACGTCGCACTCCAACGAGCGCTTTGTGATCGGATAGAAGGACTGAAAGGTTCGTTGAACGTCGGCAATGTCATGCCAACTTCGTTCGTCTGATTTATTTGGTATCTTCCCTAGATCTCTCTCCCGGATATCGCACCACACAGCTTGAACTGCAGGCGTCACCTATCCCATACAATTGGTCAAAGGCATCGATTTTACAAGCGCATCCGGACGCTAAACCAGTTTCCGGGGATGCATGTGAGTCAACATTGTCCACTATCGGAACATTAGACCCCTGCACTGAAGCACACCTCCCCACTGACTCTCAGCAATCCTATGGGATGCGAACTATCCAATCGATGTTGAAGTGATCACTCAGGGCCGGAAACAGGGATTCGCAGCCAAGAAGGGCGTTTGGCATGAGAAGGCACGGTAAGACAATGCCCCTAAATGTATCAAGACGTTGCTCACGGACTTAACGTATGACTTGGCGGATGAACAGTTCTTCAGTATGCAAAATCAGACTCTTTGAGCTATTCCACAGGGCCGTGGCTGCCGTATCTGTCAAAGCACTTCCGGAAACGCTGAGGTATGAAGGTTGGAGAGCATCTCGTAAATGCCGTGGATGAGCTGCTGAACTCTCGCTCGGATTCAATCAGGGAGATCGACATGTGCTCAGCGACCTACGGCGAATGTAAAGCCGCCAGTACGGACTACCGGCGGTGCCGCGATATACTTTTGAGACACAAGTTCATGGGGTGGGTGCTTACGCCACCGGAACATGAGAGATTTCTGATAGCCACAGGAACAGCGCAAATTGTGCGCGGCAAAAGCCAAACTAGACCTTCTTCAACAAGTGGAACGTGAAGGCATTCCATTCTGTTTGACTGGAAGTGGCGGGAGCGGAGGTGGTAAAGCGAGAGAATGGCACCCTAGGATGATGTAGGACTCTAGAGTTCTGTGCGCCTCTCCACGGGACTTTCTCTGAGCAGAATAAGTATATTGACTCCGGGTAACTCCGACAAACAGATGCACGCAGGCTAGAATAGGTAGCTCTGACAAAGAACGGCTGGTGATGGCTATTGCATAAAAGACACGCAGGGACTACATAGGTTGAATATCTACATCGGGTGCTGGTTGAGGGGTGACAGTTTATCATAGAAGTGGTACTGGCCGGGTCGACGTATGGTCATATATGCAATGTGAAAACGATCTCTTGCATGCACCGCATTCACTCATCCAAACTTCTTCGGACCACCCGCCGGACGCGCTTCTTGAACGCTGCTGGATCTTCTCGCCACTCTTTCTGCATGAACGGCCGTTTTACTTTGAGTAAAGTCACTCGCTCATGCATATGATATGACAATACGAGTCTCTTACCGCTGCTTCGGCATTTGCCGGAGATTCATCGTTGGGACCGGAAAGCATGCTGATCACTGATAGCACGATCGTCTCCACCGTGTGGACGGGTAGCCACCTTTCTGCCGCGGTCTCGTAACCCCACTTATCATCCCCTGTCGCGTAAAACGTGAGTAGCGGAGCCTGCAAATGTGCCGAATCTGACCAACGGATGCAGCTATCCCCCCCGACGGACGAACCTGGCTCATGCAGTATGGATATGCAGACCCGGCCATCTTCGTATACATTTGGGTGCCACATTTGTGATATAAACTTCATTGTTGGCGGCATTTGCGGGTAGTTATGGGGAAACGACAGCCGGGCCTTGAAGAAACCCCCCTCACTAAAGAGAGCCTACGTCAGCTACCCAGTTTTCGCTCAGTGTAACAGCGCTCTGGGAGAACTTACTACTCGGTCCCTTCTGGCCCAACTGTCGCAATTTCCGAATACAGGCACGTTAGTGTGGACTGTGCCATAGCGGTAAAAGTACAGAGTTGGCTGCTCACCGATCATAACATCCCATTCATAGATATTGTCGTCTGCTAAACCTGCAGAGAAGCCCTCGACCGGGTTCTTTGACAATTCTGGGGACAGAACTGTACTGAGTGCTCGCCCAAGCCAATTCCAATTCCAAGACGAACAAGGCATACCTTTCAATTGCCTTTTCAACAAAAGCGCAGACTGGGAGTCGGACATATGTAGTGAGCTAGGCAAGCGGGAGGGGCACAAGCAGAAGACGATGCAATCGTCAAGATGTGGCGTGGGAATATTTGTCGTGCGTCTGGTAGGTTCCCGTATGCCCAGAAGTCCAAAGCAATCGGTCGTTGTCCTCAAACCACGTTGGAGCGTCAGTCCCAGCGCGACCCAGAGCGCGACCGAAACGCCCCGCGACGCCCAAACAACCACCGTCGACTTTTTTCCCAATATTCTGCGCTATTCTGCGACTTGCTGTGCTTTGCATCCGGCATGCCGCTCTTCTGTTCAGCAGCACTGTTTTCTCGATAACTATCGCAGGCGCCTGAGCAACCGGTCTCAGCGACCGCACGACTGTTCGTGAGCCTTTGAACTAAAGACGGCCTAGCGCACGCACCACATTGGTCCGAGGTTCACGGCTTGGCCTCTCTTCACTGCGTCCCCAATTTCCCTGGCCAACAATACGCAACGCTGTGCTCGAAACCAGCCATGACGGAAGGAACCACCAGCGAGGTCTCTTCTCCTGGAAGCGGCTCATATCCACCTTCATCATGCGCAAACGCTCGTGCGCCTCTGGCCGTCCCACCACCCGTCTATCTACCTCCGGTCGCATTCCCGACGGGGGCACTTCCCGCCCAACCTCTCCGGCAGCCCACAACGGCATCTCCAGCCTACATGCACGAGGTGTTCACCGCAACGGAAGCTGAGAATGCCGCTAACGCACGGACCCGCCGCTACAGTTTGTCGGACCTGTCGTTGAGTCAGAGACAGCAGGTTTTGCGATACTTGAACAGACAAAGCAACCCGCAGGCGGAAGAAGAATTGAATCGAAAGCTGTATGTGGTCTACCGCAACAAACTGCGAAGGACTTACGCCCTGCCCGTGCTGACGTGGGTGCCGTCGTTTGTCCTCATACTATACTATGCGATTTCCCAGAACAACACTGCGAGGCAGAATGGTACTGCCCCCGATTCCGGCATCTACACGTGGACAGCCGTTGGTGTCTGGGTGCTTTTGCTACTTGTAACGTGCTCAGCGTACATGGTGAAAGCCCTTCGATTGAAGAAAATGTCAGCATTGGGGATATTGCAAACTCTATCGGAGGAGGAGCTGAACGACATCATTATGAACGGTGCGGGACTATCGGCCCCACCAGACTATAACCTGGCTGACGAACCATTACCGGCTTATCCTGCGGCAGGCGTACAGAGAAACGGGAGCGTGAGATCCGTGGCGACAAGCGTGAGGACGTGGTTGGGCGGAAGACTGTCGCTTGCTAGAGGTGAAGAAGCAGCGCAACCGAGTGTGGGGATGGAGGAGATCCGGGTGGACGAGTTACCGCCTACGCTTCCTCGATCTTCAACTTCAACGCCGGTTGCGGTTTACGACGACTCCATACCGGCGCCGCCATATGTCCCAAGTGTACATTTCGATAGCTCGGCCATCTCAGCTGCGCCCTCCCGAGCGCCTTCCCCTGCCCCGTCCTCACTTCGCACAAAGCCATCCCAGGACGACATTTTGCCGCAGCTTGTTGCTCAGAATTTACCGCGTGCTTCGTCATCGTCATTGCCTTCTCGGCGGTCGTCGGTTGAAGACGAAGTAACACCGGCTATTGCGCCGGCAGCGAACGTGTAGAAATCGCCGAAATCAACGCTTGGGATCAGTGAAGCTCTGGGCTTGTAGACTCACTTTGTAAATGGCTTTTTTGGTTCTAGATTGCTTGTGCTGGTTGATTGTTCTGGATTCTGCTGTCGTCAAGCGACAGTGTACATGTATTTCTTTTTGCCTATCCTTTCCTCATAGCATTCTCCCACGTATACGCTGTAAATAACTAGAAGCATCTGTAGCGTACCTTCCCTTCCGCTTTTGATGTCGATTGGAAAAACACTCAAATAAATTGGTACTCCGATCACATGCGCCATAACAGGCAGCGTCACGCATTTGGTAATCACTAATCCCGCTCAGCTCAGCGTTCTTTCTTCGCACCATAGCCTGGATAGACTCGTAGTAAACAACCTTTGACTTCCCCTCCTATCCAGAACGGATTCTCTGAGACCAACTCGCAGCGCCCCTCGTACAATCCACTGCTTTCCGTATCCGCAACTGCAGTGTTTATGTCTTGTACTCACCGAGCGACAGCGACACAGCACTCACATCATCTGTAGAGCATTTCTCGTGAACATATCGAACGCAATCTGGTCACATCATCCCTAAGCATCCTTCTCGCTTCAGCTCTTCGGACGATTTCAAAAACCTTCTATCGGATTCACCGAGCGGCACCGACGCCTCAAAATCACCTTATCTCTACTTCACATTTCGAGTGAGCGTTCCGCCGCTCCATCAAATCAAAGGAAATTCCTAAACAACTCGCAAAGACCACCCCGTCAAAAGGAGGAATGGGTCGAAAGAAGATTGCCATTAAGAGGATCACGGACGAAAGGAACCGTCAGGTGGGTTTCCCAATGCTTTGAAAGGTTTCTCAGATAGAGTGTGCGGGAGTATGATATTTCAAGATCCTCATCCATTGCCACGTCTGAAAATCGCAGGTCACTTTCTCCAAGCGCAAATTTGGCCTGATGAAGAAAGCCCATGAGTTGTCAGTTTTGTGCGGATGCGAGATCGGGTTGATCATGTTCACCCAGAACGGAAAGCTGTTTCAGTTTGCGTCAACGGATATGGATAAAATTTTGCTGCGATACACAGAGACCGAGGCTCATGAGATGAAAACTTCCGAAGATATCATTAGGGTAAGTTGGAGCTGATCAGATCGTTTGGGAGTGCACCTTGGTTCTGTTGTCGTTGCCAACTTGAAAGCATTCTGTACCTGTACTGATAGCTTCTCACTTTTCTACTCTGCATTCACAGAGGGCGGGCGGCTTGGCCGCAAACCGAGAAGCTGCGGCTACAGACGGCGCAGGGGTGCCGGCCGACGGCCCCTCGCACGGCCCAAACGGCGATGCTCGGAAGCAGAGGCAAGGGAGCTCAGATGGAGCAGAGGAAGAAATTGAGGGAGGCGAGGGCGAATCTGACGAGGACGAAAATGAGGACGGGAATGAGGACGGTGCAAATTCGCCCGACGTATTTGACGGCGCAGGAGCGGACGATTTCGGCGACCTCTCAGCCATCAACACCCCGCTACCAGATCACCCAACCGCCCCAGTCCCACATCCTGTTGTTCATCCGCCGCCCCAAGTTCACCACTACGCGGCACCACAGCACCCGTTGGCAGTACCCCCCCACCATTACCAGTATCAACACCAGCAGTACCCTCACTATGTACAGCTGCTGCAGATGGGTTCTGCGCATCCGCCCAGCGCGTATGCCCCCGACATCGACTATCACAATCCCCACTCGCCGCTGCCGCCCCCACCCGTAAGCCTGCCCATGGACCAAATAGATGGCAGGGGTGTGGCGGCGGCGGCGGCAGTGGGTATCTTACCAGAACCCAACGATCGGAGAACGGGAACGGGCCCGGAGCGGCGGGGAAATCGAGCTACCCATCATCCTTACCGTAGACCCCCACCTCCCCACTAGCAGTCTCCTCCATGTGCATTTCTGAGGCATTTGTGTTCTTTCCGCCCTTTGAAAGTCCGCGGGCATGTTTGTGTTCCTACATTTGGAGAGGTATATCCTTGCGGCCAAGCTCATAAAAATTAAGTTCTTCATCTTTTTCAATAACAAGTGAGCTCCACGATTGTGTGGTTGCCCTCGAGAGAGTTGTGCGTTTCTCCAAACCTATGTATCGCGGCGTTCCCGTACACAGGTTTACAAGTGCGACTCCGCTGTCCATGTGATTGTGCCATAACAAAAGAAACATGAGACAACTACGTCTCTCTTCAGTACTGGCATACGAGAAAGCACTTCGGTGGATGGGCCTCCGGTCTTCATTCTCAAACATCATTGGAGCGAGTCGTTGGCGGCTCTTCTACTCTTGCCCCATCACACACTGACACCTATTCATGCGCAATGCAACCTCTCTGGCAGACTGACACACCGCACACATCAAGATATCGCCGACAACGGACGATCTTGGACCATCACTCAAGTGCCAGGCTCGACAACGGGTGCGAGTTGCAACGGAACTTCGGAGCTGTTAAACCATCCCTATGTCCCGGCTTTTCGGACACGCGCGCTCCCTCGTGCATCTCGCACACCGCAATCACACCCACGCGACGTGTCCACTCCGCATCTCCGCAAAAAAAAAAGGTTATACGCTCCAGAACTTCGACTCATCACACGTATAGGTTACGGCGACAGGTGCATAACAAAGCAGGGGTGAGGGCACTGCGGGGATGGCGTGCTGGCCCAGCGTGGCGGGGGTCTCCTTGGAGGGATCCAATTCGCCCTTCCGAAGCCTCCCTCCTACGGACCTGCGGAGCAGTTGCTGGGGTATATATATGATATATAGCCTCCACCCTCCTCGTGCAAAAGTGACCAAGTAGGCCCACGGCCGGGTTCTTGGGACTTGGAAGAGGACTTGTTTACGCCCGCCGGTGACAGGTCTCCTCCAAACTTCTCGTCGATCCCTTTTTTGTTGAAATTCTACATAACCGATTCGAAGTTGTGTTCGCGTACAGTTACAACTTACAAGGACTTCTGAAAAGACTCGCCGGTTGCTTCTCAAGTTCTGTGTGGCTTCAGCATTCCACAAGCGAGCGAGTCTTTCGTGTTGTAACTTCTGATCACGGCGTTCCATGAAGAGTTATTTTCGCTACTCCTCTCATATCCTCCTCAAAGGGACCTTGCGGTCTTTCGCCTCCTGGCGTTTTGTGTTCTCGCCGTGAATCGCCTGCCTTTTCTCCGTACAGGACAGCCGCCAGGGGGCCTGCTGCAGCCATTTATTGGTTACTCCCTCTACAGTAGCGGTAGAGCCTAGCGTTTGCATACATTGCATCGCTAATCGAGGACGCTGAGATTTTATAAATCGTAGAAGGCCCGGGGGAAGGAAGACTGTTTGGAAAACAGTGGATCTGGATTGGGATATCCAGAACTTTTGGGGGTTTGCTGTGACGAAGCGAGACATAAGCCTGGTTCCTCCCCAAAACCTCTCCTACGCACAACAACCCGACCATAACAGGAAGCAAACGTCGTTAACACTCGAGGAGCGGCCGCCTCCAAGCGACTCCGTTGTTCCCGGCTGAGCCCGACGTTATGTTCTCGCATTTCTCGCAGCAACTGACCCATCCTCCCGAAGATGGTGGACTTCTACCCTCGTGGCTCGACGACAATGCCGCAAGGACACCGTTGCCAGGTCCAGGCCCAAGCACCCTTCCACAGTATCGCTCGGCGCAGGGATACTTCCACCACACAGCGGCTCTGGGTGCGCAGGCCCACGCCCCGTTCCTCCAACTTGCTTCGGCATCCCACGCGTTACCAGCTCTGCAGATTCCCATTCCTCCGGCTACGCGAGCGCCAATGCACCACGGGCGAGTGCCATACCGCCCAACACCCATGGAGACAATGACCATGCAGGCCATACCCCAAAGAAGCCAGTTCAGGACGGCCCAGCAGTCATATTATCTGGTGCCGTCGAAAGCCCAACCTTCGCGAAGCACACTCGACACTCCCCAAACGCAAAGCGCAAAGTATCTTATGGAGCCCCGTGGTGCATATCGGCGTTTCTCAGGGAGCGATCCTTTTATCGGCAGCTGCCGAACCCCATCACCTCAACACCTGCTGCGTTTTGGAGGACAGGTCATGGGCATGCAGGCCCAAAGTCTTCAAGGCGGGACGATAATCGATCCAGACAATCTTTCACGCGTCGACCTGGAGCAGTTCGACTTGTCTGCATCTGGCATTGAACACGATGAAGATGGATGCTCTGCATCGGATGCAGATGTCCCATCTTCGGTGGTGTCGCTTTCGTCGTTGGGAGGCGATATCGATGAGTATTTACTGGCGGAGGCGCCAGACATGTTCGACACATATCAAGGGGAGGACGTCTACCTTCCGATGGAAACGGGCTCTCCAAAGATCTCCGATCAAAATGGGTTTGACAATATTCTCCGACCATCCGACTTCTACAACAAGTACGACAAACTGTTTCCTAGTTCGATGCTTCCGGAGCAGGTTGATGTTGGACACATCTCTAGAGACATTGATGCTTACGGCGCGATAGACTCGTTAGGGGTAGGTGGATACAGAAGCTCGATCAGGGAAACCTCAATCTCATTGTTCATGGCAACAGAGCAATGCAACAGTGTTTTCCACGGAGGAGCACAGACCAGGTTCTGGGAATGTATCAGATCAAGATTCCTTCCTGCAACGATCACCGGACCCGTGCTTCCCCATTGATGTCGATGCCGAGGGATCCGCGGAACCCCACGAATTCGCCACTCCAATCTTGGATACGTCAACTTCTTTTGGAGAGCCGACATCCTCCGAAGCTGCTTGCGGAAACGTGAACGTGGAGCAAAGTTGCGGTGCGAAAACTGTGCACTGGGCACCAAACCCGACTTCCATTGGTGCAAGCCAAGTCGAATTACATAGTTCTCGGCTCGTGCAAGGCAGGCCGCGCTCCGAGACACGATGGCAAGATGACCATAGTGAACTCTCGTTATGCTCGCCGGACTCCATGAGCATGGCAGAAAGTACCACTGACGACGACATTCACAAGTTGCCCTACTTGAGCGCGTTACCTCCTCCAACTATAGGAACGAGCTCGAAAGCCACCATTGTCGTGCCTGGCTCGTCCGAAGTTGACCCAGTGGATGTGACAGGACCACTTGAAGATCTTCCTCAGGAGATTCGACGAATCCTTCCGAAAAACTGGTTCGCTCTCGAAGACACCGTCTCCAAGATGAATGAAAGCATATCGGCATCATCTGCATTGAAGATGTGCCAAAACACGATGAATGATCTTCGAAAAATGCTAGGTGAATTCAAGGTGGATACGGACGCACTGGACCAGCAGTTATTCGAGATGGTATTTCAGTCAAAGAGGGATGAAGCCTACGATCAACATGACAGTGCCGACGACAGTGACGAAGAGTATCAGAGCTCAGACTCTTCCGGTTACTCATCACACTCTGAGTACGGCAGCTTACGGAAAGCCTCCCGGGCTCGACAACCCGGACCCTTGCAACCAAGGGTCAAGCGCAGGAAGCTTGGAGAGGATCCAGTCCTGCCAACCCCGATCAAAACACCAACCGTACAAAAGCGCAGAAACTCTTCTGGTGCTCTCCTCGAGGGTACGCAGCAGGGCTCTCCGCTCACACGCGTCCGGTTAAGCATGCCCGCTACACCCATCACCCCTTCATCACCATTGACAAAAGGTTTGGCACCACCGCGCTCCCCCGGGGATTCCTCACACTACTTCACATCAGACGAGGGCGAAAACGACGACGACCCTCTGCGCACTATCGCTTCTTCAAGCCCCAAAGGTTTACAGGTGAGACTTCCACGAGCACTCCGCGGCACGGGATACGAGGATCAAGTCAGGAGCGAGCTCATAGCGTCCCAATCTGCGGAGCAGAGGGCGACTTTGGACTCGGTGGCATCGTCATCGCGAACCTCGGGAAAAGCTGCAATCAAGTCCGGTTCCGCCCGGCAGACATCCGCCTCGAAGCGACGGTCAATGAAGGCTAGGAAACGATAGGCAGTTCGGGCTTCCAATATGGTTGAAGGCTAGCCGTCTATAGGGTATTCGATCTTTTATTTGGCTTGTATTGCTCAATGTTTTGGCGTAACGGGCAATTTAGGCGTAGGTTCTTAGACGGTCAACTGAAGCTTTCGATTATCTTTTGTACATAATCATCTTGACTTAAATGAGAGTTTTGTTCCCACGTCTTAATGTACGTACAGGCAACGTCCTTGTCTACAAAAATCGCTCGCTGATGCCGACCGAATCGAAAGTTTCATTCGGTATGGGCCAGAGAGTGCAATATGTAATCAAACCGCTACTGATCTAGCTATAGATACAAGTGCCCGATTCGACGGACTTCTGACCGCGACCGATCTTAGGCCGCGGGCTCCTGTTATGGAGTTGCCGGCCGCATGACCGCAGGTATATCGATCGTTGTGCAACCCACGGTGCCATTGAGGTCCTGCGACACTGACGACGCCCTCCTCGACGGAGGTCGCTTCGGCATTGTCAGAGCTTTCGTAACCGCATCAAGTAGCCCTTGCTTCGTAAAGGGCTTCGACACAAAGTCATTCATGCCAGCTGCTAAACAGTTATCGCGGTGGCTTTTGAACGCATTGGCGGTTAGCCCGACGATCATTGTGTTTCTTGATTTGTCCAGTTGACGGATTTTACGTGTGGCTTCAAGACCGTCCATAACTGGTTGTTCAGATGTTAGCACCCAATGTTTCTGCGATATTGCAACTCTTCCTGCATCAAGACCATACCCGGCATCATCATATCGCATAAAATCAGGTTGTAGGGTGGGAAGTCCCGCACTTTCTCGTAGCCTATTAGTCCGTTATCTGCGACATCCAGACTAATGTCCTTGAGCATCCGCTGAACTAGCTTCTGCGTGGTTGTATTGTCTTCAATGAGTAAAACTCTGGTTTGGCCATCTGAAGCCGGTTCGGTACGCCCGTCGTTGATGGCCGCACCGTTCATGCCCTCTAGGACTTTATGAGAAGAATCCGACTGAATCGATGACTGGTGACTTTGGGTAAAAGAGAAAGCTGCCTCGATCGCAGCGTTGCACGTTTGCAGCGAATGACCGCCAGTCCCGTTCGCCCCTTTCTGTGGTTTCGGCGAGGAGGCCCGAAAATCGTATAGAACCGGCGAGATATCGGCAGGTGGTGATGGGTACAATGACAGCGACGTCGGTCCCTCCGTTCGTGATGCCACGCTGTTCCTAGTTGGCGGCGCAGTCTCTGGCGATATGGGTTGCACTATCTTGACCGTAAATGTCGTCCCCACGGACTCCTTGCTCCGGACAGTTATCGTTCCCCCCATCGCCATTACCAGTTTGTGGGAGATACTTAGGCCAAGCCCTGTTCCTCCAAACCTTCTACTAATAGATGCGTCCGCTTGCTCGAAAGGCGTGAAGAGCTTCTCCAGTACTTCCGGGGACATGCCTATGCCAGTATCGGCTACCTCAAATTCGAGGCTGACGAGGTTGCCAGGCATGATTTCCCAGCGATTTGACAGCTCTACCTTTCCGCCCGGCATGGTAAACTTCAGACTATTGCTTAGTAAATTCAAGAACCTGGAAATGTACGGATGCATATTCAGTTCCATGATTGTGAAGACGATTCGATAAAGGGGTCTTGGAATCTGCTGTTGCAGGCACTTACACTTGTTTGAGGCGCATTGCATCCACTTCTATCTGCGGCCCTGAGTACGGCTTTATTGAAAGAGAAACGGTGCTCAGATCTTTGACGAGAAGGTACACATCTCCGAGGAGGTCAGCGATGTTCGTGTGATGCGATTCCAACTCGATCTTTCCGGCGGAGAGCTTGCTGTAATCCAGAATATTGCTGAGAAAAAATTGGGCGCGGAGGCGACGCGGGCATATCAGTCCTTCGTCTCCCTTCCACATATCCAAAAAAGACCATGCATACTTTATCAGAGCATACAATGTTGTTGCTCCTCGGCCTGCATTAGCGATCAACTCCCGTTGGGTTTGGTCCAATTGGGTCTCGGCCACCAATTCAATGTGGCCGATGATGGATGTGAGAGGCGTGCGCAATTCATGCGACATCGTCGCCTTAGTCCCTAAGCTATGAGCTCCAAGCCTCGAGACGAATGAAAGTACCGTTTCCTTACCAGAAAGGTGTCCTGGGAAGTGAATAGTAAATCGGATTCGTCGGAGATGAGGGAGATGCGAGGCATAAGATGAGTAACCTTCAGTCGATTCAGTCGCTTAAAAGTACGCAAACCTTCTGCTGTGATTGCGTGATGGCTTGCTCTTTATCTCTTCTTAGAGCTTGTTCCTCCATGATCTGCGCTGTAACGTCCTGCGTAGCACCTCGGCGAGCCACGATTTTCCCATCGTGCACTATCGGCAGCATGTACGTTCGAATATAGATTTCGCAATCTGGTTGGCGGATTCATCAGAGAGCTTGAGTACAGACAGACCCGTTGTGGCGAGAAAGACGGCGGCCTGCCCTACCATCAACCTCCCGTCGAAGATTATAGAGCACTGGCTTGCATTCGCTGCTCCCGGATGTCACGGCTTTGATCATCTGAAAGATTTTCTTCTGGTCTTCTCCAGAACTCAAGCGCTGGAAGAACCGAGGGAACGCAATGCGTCTTCGGTGATCAACAAGGTCAGGACGCAGTGCTCCGTTTGGAAGAATGCTGCAAAGGCCAACCCACCTATTCCGATAAGGTAATGCGTACAGACTGGCCCTGCATTCGTCACAGGCAGGAAGTAAATCACCGACGAAGCCCATCATATCGAACCAGGTCTCGCACGCGCAGATGTACGTTATTCCTGTCGTGCTGTCTTCTTTCGAGTGCCATACCCCAGTTCTCGTCAACTCTCCTGCCTCCCGCGTGACTTCGCACATTTTTTCCACTTGTGCCGCAGCGGCAGTGATGTGGCTGGCGGTTCGATAGAAGCGTCGAAAAGCAATTACCAAGCAAGCTGCGGATGGCAATGGAAGATAAACCACCGCCAATGCGGCCAGCATTGCACGAGTTTGCACATTAATGTCTCCCCACGCGCCGTCGCTAGTCGTAGGCGCACTCGGAATTGGAAACAGGCCGGACAAACCAGCCGTCCACATCCAAATACAGAACATGGACGCCGGCCAGCGCAGGTCCATACCAGTCTTTGGCGTTCCTCGCGAGATGTTGAAGATTAGACAGGTCATGCTAAAGGCAATAGTCAAAAAACTCCCGGCGACCCATAGTTTCGAAAGGCTGCAGCGTTTGGAGTGTCTCAGAGAACTTCCGCTGCCGATTGCTGCTCCAAGACTGCTTTGCTCGGTAGTTGGGAGAACAAAGTGACAATGGAGTACGGATAGGAGCTCTTGAACGACGCTGTGGAGGACACTGCCGCCCATACTCAAACTGGGATGCTTGGTGGCTGCCGAAAGACTCATTGCGACTGCAGCGGATAGTGTGTTTCTCTGGACGTTGATGGAATATCTGACCATGAAAGAATGAGAATGAGACTAAGGTCTTCATTCTTGCTGATTGTTGCTCAGAGTGCCATCCCACCTCTAGCGGGACTTGATAAGACTAAGAAATATGGTGGGGCGCCCAGGTTGTACAATAAGTGCTAGACTTTACAAAACGACAGCCTATCCAAGAATCAGGGCGCGTGCGTTCACCCTAGCCATGTCGGGAAGGTCTCCGATCCTCCGCTTTCTTGTGAAATACGTATTGGATGCACACTTCTCTTTTTCATACCAAAGTGGCCTCTTTATTTTGCCGATCTTTGTACACACCTGATGGGTGTTTGTCGCGAATCCACAGGACCCGGTGGTTCCGAGCTGCAGGAAGCTTTTTTCCCATGTTGCGCGGATCGGAGTTCAGCCAGACGCGCTGTCATAGTGTCAAAGGGACAGCAGACAAATGACCTGAAAGTTCTTCTCGTTCCGAGCGTAAAGATCGTCGATACAAGCATTTACGTCACCCGACATCCCAAATGACGTAGGTCAGCTTCAGACTGTTCGTTTGTTCTCTCTCCCGCACCCTTGGGTCCTCTACAGTATTCTTCTGCGGGCGTTTTGCACTGCGACCCCTCCTCAGCATCCAGAGTTCCTCATTTGCGCCCAAAGGCAAGACCTAAACTGACACAGGACTCCAACGTTGGTGCGTCGCTGGTAGGAACACGTGCAAAAAGGGGAAGAGAAGTACGAAACGGAATACATAGGACCGAACTGTTTAGACACAGATTGCGTCGGGGATACCCAGGGCAACGCTCGGCCACATTTGATAAAGCGATCGGGCTCACAGCCCGAGAGTGTTCCTCGTGTTCCTCGAGATTGTCCCCAGAGACATCAAAGTTTGCGTTTGCGAAATGCTGCGACCGGCCAGTAGTGTTTGAGAGGCTCGAGAAGTTTCTCCTCGACGCGACCGTTCCGAACTTCCGACGGACGAAGTGCCACGTTGTGTCACCTCGTTGAGCTACAAAGCATGTACTCCCCCAGGCCAAGAGATTCTCCCTTCTACCTACATACGCTACCTACATATGGGGATTCCTTGGCGACCGCTCGTCCTCGTCGTGCATCTGCCATGCTGCATCAGGGGAACGAGAAACGAAAAACGAGGGAACTGAACAAGGGTACATTCCCAGATCGAGTTCTCCGCCCGTCACTCCACCACCCCGGAGATTGGTCGTGATGTCCTGGTTCTGTTTCACGAGAATTCTGGTTTACCAGGTTCTGATGCGGGCAGCTAATTTGGGGATGTCGGAGTGGAGGCCCCTCCGATTGCCTTTCGCCTCGCGAATAAATCGACAAGGACACGTGAAGGGTTTATTGGGATGACAAACTCACTGAGCCTTCTCCGTTCCCTTTCTTTCTTCCGTTTCCCTTTTTTCCCACGAACGTTGCCCGCAAAATTGTAGTAGCAATCTGGTCAAACCCCACCCACCCCCCCTGCTGTATATTGTAGTCGCTTGGAATACACAGTCCCTCTCCAATATTCGATACGTTTCGATTTGCGGAAAGTGGCCGAGGTCGAGTAGAGCTTGTGGCGGACCCCTTCACGGGCTCGTCGACCCTACGGTCATTCTCGGTAACAGTTGGAGAACTGGCGTCTTTGGTGGCTTCCTCGGTTGCAGAGCTTTCAGCGATCTCATCGACCTCACGCTAGTGAACTCGATCTCATCTAGATCTTGAGCACCGGCATCCTTGGTGGGTTGACGCAGGGTGTTGTCCAAGGACTCTGCGGCCTCCAAGGCACTGCGGGAAACACCATTTCACCACATCCATTTGCTTCGGGGTATCTCCATTGCTTTGGGGTATCTCCATCTCGTCTCTCCAGCGTTGATCATTGCGGCGTGTGGCTTCCCAGATGCGTAGCATTCGAAATTTTCGAGAAGACACCCTGAAAATCATGGAAATTTGGCGAAAAAAGTCAAAAACAAATGGTCCCGACGAGAATCGAACTCGCAACCCTTCGATCTGGAGTCGAAAGCTCTGCCATTGAGCCACAGGACCATATTTACTTCCTTCTAAGTCGCTCACACTCAATTCCCAACGTTGTGTTCAAACCATTTCATGCGTGTCACACGCATTAGCTCCACGTATGAAAGCTATCGGCTGCAACCACTGTCAGTCGCGCTGTCGCACTTGGAAATCGCAGCAACTCCGGCGGCGCATCACTGACTCGGTTGTGCTCGTCTCCAGACCATCAATCCCCTGCTGACTTCAGACTTCCATTGCGATACGCAATCTCTGTTCTACAGTGTTCGGTCACTCGATCATCGATTGGTGGAGGGCACCTCTCACCTTTCTCTGAGCGAACCATGCGAACGCCGTCGAGAGCTCTCGCAAACACATAAAAGAGGTGCCATTCCGTTAACCCGCCCTCGTCCATCGCTTTGCCAATTTCCTGCACCTCTCGAGCTGTAGTCACATCACGATTGCAGACGTTACTCGGAGCCACCACTTACTCGTGACGTTCACTTCGGGGCAACCACACGTCAAATACAACTCGATACGACGATTCGAACCCCCTGCACAAGAAACCAGACAGTTCGCGAACGACACCCGACCGACGGCGACATGCAGCGTCAGGGATGGAAAGATTACGAGAGTACGAGACTTATGGCGGAGAACCACCACCCAATCGTGTTCATGATGGGAGCGCAACCCCGACGAGGGATCGTTAATGCAGCTGGGGAATGACGTTTCCTCATGCGCTGTCTTCTTTTCGCTGTTCGACTCGATGAAACAAATCCGAACGAGGCACATATACACCAGCTCTACGATGCCCAAAGCCGCAGCCAGCCGCCTGTCTCGCACGCGCGCCCCCGGCGTCGATGATAGAGGTTACCGGTGTCTTGCGCCTGGAAACCGCTGCTGCTGGTGCGCTGCGACAAAGTCGACGGCTTGGAGGACTGGTCTCTGGAGGCTGGCCTGAAAACCGCCCGCGCTGCCTGCAACGCGTGCGGTCGTCAGGCCGGCCACCAGCCTTCTCCTGCTCTCAGAAGTCAATGGCCCGCTGCTCTAACGGTCGGTGGGAAGTGGGGGGGGGGGGGGGGGGGGGGGGGTGGTTCGACATCTCCGCGCTGTCCGCCAACCTGCATCTCACGGCCGGACGCGACCTGGTGGATAGGTGGAAAGGTGGACGCGACCGTGCTAGATAACGGCGGCTCACATCGGCTCTTCTACTCAAACATGGGCCTCTTTTCTGAGGCCTCGCGCCAACCCCTATGTGGGGCGGAGGTGTGAAGTTGGGATGTCAGACTTCTCTGACGTGTTTTTTCGACCCGATTGCCGAGGGGTGAAGGGAGAGGCGGGGGGTATCTATGCTATGAGTGTAGGGCGGGGGTGAGCAACAAGAAAACCGTGCGGCTCGATCAATCTGGAGTCTCCCCACTAACATCACTTCGCCTCATCTGCGCAAGTCAAAGGGAGACCCTCGTACTCCTGACGAAATCGCCTCCGCAATTCTCAAATGGTTTGAAGGAAGTCATGGATCCGAAACGCTGAGGAAACAATCGACCTGTCTGTCTTTCGACGGAGGGGCACTCAGATACATCTCACCCACGGAGACCAACATATACGCCAAGCCCAAGTACCTCCTGGCAGACGGAGCCCTTATCAACACCGAGCATACCCGGGCAGACAGAGCCCTTATCGATACCGAGCATCTCCCGAGAGAGGGAGCCCTTGTCAACCCCAATCATCTCCTGGCAGAGGGTGTCGCCTATCATCTCCAGAAGATGATGGACGCTCTTAACCTCCTCCACAGTGCCACTATTCTGAGGAGATCCGGGGTAGTGAATATGTTCTTAACTACCATGGCCTGGTGAACTGCCTCCATGGCGGATGGCGAGAGAGCCATCCTGGAAAGAAGGGATTCGTCAAGCAGAAGGACACGCTCGTACGCTGGTTTATCGAGAATGAAAAAGCCATGGGGATCATCAGGATGGAAGCGACCGTCGAAAGAATGCAAAGGAAAGAGGCTGAGTTGGAGGCGAAGATCAGCACAGAGGAAAACAGAAAGCATTCGAGAGGTAGACCTAGTCCCTCCACTACTATTCAGCGGATAACTGCACAGCTGAGTTCCTTCCCGCATCCAATAAAGCCATTGTTCTGAGAGTCGAGATTGTATTTCTATATGCCAACATCCTAAAGCCCTAAGCCTATATGCAATATTAAATACAAAAGGTCCACTCTCGCGGATGGAATGTTTGAGCTAGCAACAGCTCGGAAAGAGTCCGTACTACCGTACTTCCCTATCAGCCATATCCTCTCCTCTCCCTTTCGTTTCTTCGATGGCATGGCCACCCAGCTGCCCGTCCGCTCTCCCTCAGCCGACACTTTCATGACCTTCCACCACGTCACCTAGCCCCAACCTCCCTCTTCAACCTCCTAACCTCCCGCTCCGCCTCCGCACGTGCCTCACCCTCCTTCGCCAGCAACGCCGCATGCTCCGATCTCAGATCCGCAATCAACTTCCGGAAATCAGCGCGCATGGCCGCCGTGGACCCGTTGTCCCCGCTGCCGAGACGATCGACGGAGAGGTCCTGAATTTTTTCGCGGAGGGTGTCCATTTCGGCTTTTTGGGTCGAGACGGTGGATTCGAGGTTGCGGGATTGGGCTGTTAGTTCGATTGTCGTTCGTGTCAACTGTGGGGAAAATGGGGTGTTATCAGTCATACAATGTCTTTTTCTCGGTGAAGTCCGGATCATTGATACAAACCTGCTCAACAGTCCTCTCCAACCCATCCGCCTTCCGCTTCATCATCTCCTCCCTATACTTCGCATCCTCCATCTCCTCCACCAAGTCGGCGCGTCCTCGCTTCAAGCTCATCACCATCTGCTGCATCGTATCCAACAGCTGCTGGCCCTCCTTAAAGTCCTTCTCCTTATCCTCCATCGCAGCTCTGTATTCGACCAACTCGCGTTTCGCGTTCTCGGCTTCGCGCTGCGCTTGCACGATGGTATGCTCTTTCTCCTCAAGCATCTGTTGGATCATGCCGATTTCGCTGGTGATAGATAGCGCTTCGTTCAGCTGGTGTTCCTTCTCGGCCAACGTGCTGCTGAGTTTCGAGATTTCGGCGTCGCGGCTTTCAAGACCCATCTTCATCTTCTCCAGCTCCATGATCATGCCATTAGCTTCGTCTTCGGCAGACGCGGCACGGCGTTGCGCTTCCTGGAAATCTTTCGAAACTTTCTCGAACCGCTCACGCACATCGTTCAGTTCGGCCTGCGCTTGTTTCATAATTTGTTCGTTTTGGGTTTTCTCCTGGATGGCGAGGTCGCGCTCGATCGCAGCGTTGTCGATGCGTTCCTGGAGCCGTTCGCGTTCTTGAAAGTATTGCTGCTTGGAAGACATGAGGGCTTGCTCGGATGACTCGAACCGGGCTTTGAGTTCGTCGTGGCGGCTGGCTAATGCATCGACCTCCCGATCATGCGCTTGTTGCTGCTCCTGAATAGCTTTGCTATGCTCGCGTTTCGCATTCTCAAGCGTCTCGGTCAGCGCAGCAATGGCGGCCGGACCTCCACCTGACGCAAGCTCCTTCGTAAGCGACGTCAGCTCATCATTCAGCTCGTCCATCTCACGCTGGAACCTCGATTCCGAATCCTGCATCACCTTCGCATGGTTCGCTTGCAAGTCCACCATCTCCTGCTTATACCACTCCTTCTCAGCCTCTAACTGCCGTTGGAGCTCATCACACCGTCGGTTCCACTGATCCGCATCCGCTCTCGCTTTCGTCAACGCCTCGTTCAATGAGCCCAGCTCATTACGATGGTTGGCGCTCATCTCGTCCTTCTCGCGCGCAAGGCGGTCTTCGAACTCCTTCTCCTGCGCCTGAATGTCCTGGTCTAATTCGTCGACTTGCGCGGAAAGATCCTTGTTCTCCCTCTGCAACCGGGCGACGTTGTTCTTGACAGAGTCCAGCTCGTCTTCTAATCTATCTATATCGTCATCCTTAGCGGCGATCTGTTTTTCCAGGTCAGCAACCTTGTCGTTGTTCAGATCTCGGTCGCGTGGTGAATCCCGGGTGTCTTTCAGTGACGCGATCTGCCGTTCAAGGTCACGTTGTGCGTCCATCGCCGTGTCTCGTTCCTGCTCCACCCTCTGCAATTCCCGTCGCATCTCACCCACGCGTGCGGCGTCTTGCGAAAGCTTCGCCATGTTGCTGTTCGCTTTCTCCTGTTCCAATCCGACAGCGACGGAACTTTCCACTTGTCGCTGCAGGTTCTGTATTTCTTCGGATGCCCGTCGCCGCTCTCGTATCAAGCTCTGCACTTCCTTCGTGAGTACATCTACGCTGTACGAGCGCGAATACGAGTCCTTCGACTCCTTAGCAGCCACAATGTCATCGTACAGTCGCATCAGCCTCTTCTGATCATCTTCAGACCCAGCGGAACTCTCGTTACTCTTAGCAAGCTGCCGCCGGAGATCGGAGATGACTTGCTCTTGCTGGTCGAGTTGTGCAGCCAGCAGTTTTGGATCCCGTCTCCTTGAGTTATCCGAAGCCTGCAGCCTGGACGGGGAGCGCAATGACCCGCTGCCTGGGCTCCGAGGCGTGAGGGCCTCTGGCTCGGTGTCACTTCCGGAATCACCACCGCGGAAGGCTCCGCGAGCCCGCGGGGAATCCCTGCCTTTATTACCGTTCTGACGCAGTTCCGCCAATTGGGACCTCAACTCGCTGGCTATCTCCGTTTGCTCATTGTACTGCAAACGCATGCGCTCGCGTTCCAGAACGGCTTCTTTCAACTGGTCGCCAAGGACAGCTCGCATCTTTGCAGAGTGCGAAGCGACCTGCTCCGTCACTTGCTCGCGGTACCACGCGCTGTTTCGGGTAGGTTTATGGACCGACCGCGCTTGGTCCGCAGCCCGCGAGCTCATGTCAGCCTGCGTTGTCAGCTCCTCCACCTGCGCCAGTAAGTCCGCAATGGTACGGTCCTTCTCCTCCATCAGGGTAACGTTATCGTCAAGCTGCAACTGCAATTTCGAGTGGTTGTTGCGGGCTTCGTGCACTTCCTCAGTCAGGTGCTCGATGTCCGCTCGCGCGACGGCTAATTGCAGTTTCAGCAGGTCTTCCGCTTCCGACTTCGTGGTTTGGTCGGTACGGTACCTGTCACGGATTTCCCGCGTTACGCGGGCCTCCTTCTTGGCTTGCGCTGCCAAGCTGCGCAAAGGCTCCTGTTCTGACTCCAGTTGGGAAACAGTCTTTCGCAGAATATCGTTTTCGCGATGCTGCTCTTTGATGCGGATCTCGGCCGAGTTAAGTCGCTCCTGGACATCCCTGGAAGCGTCCCGGCTCTGGGCATTGCGAGGCGGCGAAGGTTTACTGGCCTGCTGCTCCTTCGCATTCGTTGCGCTCCAGCGCAGGACACCAGCAACATGCTTTAGGATCGAGCGCTCAATTTCTATGAGCTGTTGCACTGCCTCCCACAGGGCGGCAGCGATCGCCTCAACTTTCTTCTCTGCATGCGCCAACTGTTCCTTTGCTTGCTGCGTTTTGCCTCGATCTCCTCCAGAATCCAGCTTATTCAAGGAATTCGCAGCCTCTTTGATCTTTGTTTCAAGTGCGAGCCGCTTCTGCAGCGCTTTTATCCTCGCCATCGTGTCCTTTAACGCTTTCTTTTTGGCGTCGTACTTCTCCGACGTCAGAACTGGGAATTCCGCAGCCAGTTTGTCGGCTTCTTGCTCCATGATCTGAATGATCATTCCGTCTGCAACATCCATCATGGATTGCCCGCTCATGACCGTGAAGGAGCTGAGTCGTTTGCCTCCTGGCATAAAGAGGTCGTCCTTCGTGGACGCGGCTTTGCTTCCCGGATCCTCCATGAGATCTTTTATGGGCCTCAAAAGCAAAGCGTATAAGGGCACGTCGGTCCCTAAAGGCGATGGTATGTCGTCTGCCGATAACGATCGGCGAGCTGGGGAGTAGCGGGAGACATCGGGTACGTATGAGGTGTTGGTGAGAGGTGATGATGGGGTTGGCCGTGTGTTGGTTGAGGATGGAGCTTTGGGTGATATCGCGAGCCTTGGCGGTGCCGCCAATTCACGCTTGATGGAGTTTAATGAAGTTGTGGAAGACGATTGTGGGCCGTTGTAAAAACGTTGTAGTGGTTCCTGGCTCCTCTGCAAGAAGAAGGGGTCAGCAGTGCAAGTCGCGTTATCTTGAGATCTGACTCTTTCCCAAATACCAACCTGACTGTTTTCAGAAGCCAATCTTGGAGATGCCGCCGATGACGTCGTTCGACTTGGAGGCGTTAGCTTTGCATCCCTAGCAGTCGAAGCGGAGGTGTCACTTCTGGCGGGAACATCTTTTCTCGTGCCTCTCGTGCTCTTTCCTCGGCCAGGCAGCAGTTTCTCCAGATCCGCCAGTATCTTATCCGCCTCCGCCCCCATATCGTTGTCAACATCCCCAAAACTGCTCCCAAAATCGTCAGGGCTTTTGGTATGTGCTCCATTTCTGGAACCTACGCCGTTTCTGGCACGAAATAAAGGTTCGCTATCCTGACTCTTCGTGTTCTGCTGCGGTCGTTGCTGCTGCGGTGCAGCAGCTGGGTTGAAATCCAGCGCAAAATCTTCCAGCTGTGAAAGCAAGTTGCTTATCGGCCGAGACGACTGCGAGCTGCTCGAAGCTGAGGGAGCGGGCCTCGATGGTCGACGGTCTGGCCGTGGCAAGTCTACCGCAATGTTTGGCCGGCGGGAAGATCCCGACGAGCCGTCCGTGCGCCCGCTAGCATTTCCACTAGAGCCGCCATACATTTTGGCAACGCTTGCTATCCCAATGGGCCAGAACGGCCGTTATTACGTGTACACGTAACAGATCGTGGTCTCTGTGACAAAAAAGAGCTCGAATGGCGATTTTCCCACGCCCGATAGTTGTGCTCTCCTGGTCGACCGTGCGTGAAATGACTTCTTTTGAAATAAGCGAGACTTACAAATCGAAGGCGTCTCGTCTCGAGTCTTCTACTATTCGATTGCACCTCCTGCTTCGTATGCGTGGTTTGCGGAGTTCCTGAAAGCCTCCATTTGTCGTTGCGGCTACGGCATACAGTAGGCTTCTGAGCTTCTCTTTCGCGATATGGCAAGCCGGGGACACCGCCACCCGCAATAACTTAAACGCGATTGCTTGGCCGTAAAACCTGAGAGCCTCGCTGTGATCTCACTGTTTCAAAACCGTTTCACTTCCTCCGCTCACTCATGTTCCCGACAAAATCAGCACATACGGTAAATCACTGATCGCACGATTCTGGATAGAGTACTTGCATGGGCGAGACGGAGTGCTGTCGGGCATCGGGCATCCTCGGATACCAATACTGAGGACATTATAGAACTACTAGATGTGAGCGACGGATCATGGGTGTGTTTCGGATATTTCGTCACACTGTCGAATGTGAAGGTTCGCTGACGACTGCGCGTGTCCGGACGAACGCACGAGAGGACGCCGTGTCCGGATGGCAAGTCGCTACCGAAGGGCAACGAAAGCATACCCCATCGCGGCTGTCTCCGGGTCCAATCTCCGTATCGCATCACCCAAGGCCTCGCTTGCAGGGAGCGAGTGAAGCCGGTGTCTGCTCACGCTTTCGCCCGATATCGCAAGCGTCGAGCGAGGATGCTCACCCACCTCGAAGAAGAACCTTCTCGGCCGCCATCACCATCACCAAACCCTATCCCCACTATCGAGTCCAAAAGTGAGATCTACCTGAGCTCCCCTGCGAAACGAAAGCTCACCGTGCTTCAAGGCAACGCTGCCGGGAGCGCCGAACCGTACGCTACAAATCATAATGCAGACGAAAGAACGCTGAAAAGTCGGCCAAGGCAAGACGTGGACCCAGATGACGACAGACGTAGGAAACGACATTGTGGAGAACAGACGACAACCAATGAGAAGGATGATATCGTCGTGCCTCTATTCGTTCACCTAGAACATGATGGACATGGCAAGGAGAGATCCCTGTCAGCGGATTCACCGCTCGCTGGGGCCTCTGTACCACCTTCCCCAATGCCGCAGTCCAAAAGTGTTACGGCTTGCAGCACATCTTGTCGCGCCATCTCTGTCAACGACACTGGACGATCAGGTCTGCCAGAATTGACCAGAAGCAACGATGCGCCTGGGATACTCAAACATGACTCGCATACTCTCCCATCTGTCGGCCCCTTGGCGCTCAGCCATAAATCCGTCGACGCTGCCGAGCACCCACAACCAGACACTACTGCAGACGACGGTCTCGGAAACCATGGAAGCGTGCCCGCCAAGAAGAAAAAGTCGCCGCACTTCACAGAGGCTGAGGATGCGATCATCTTACGTGGGTACGAGATGTACGGAGACAACTGGGACGAGATCATCAGATGGGGCAATCTGGATCGGTCCGTCCGAACTACCATATCTGTCAAAGGGAGATTTACTAGGCTGCAGACTGCGAGAAAGAAGGAAGTCCCAACGTTGGGAGCGAGTGTTCCCCAGAATGTCGCAGGCGAAGAGAAGAAGCCAGATAATAACTCCTTGTCGAATCACTCGTTATTGTCCAATGAGGATGCGATGGCATCAGGCTTGAAAACTCCCGCGCGGCATACGAAGTCGTGGTCGCAACGTTTGGACGGTGGTGGACACAATGCGCTGGTCTGGACAAACGGAGCGGACGCGCAGATAGCATCGAGTTTAATACACACCCCGACCGGAATGTCGCCCGGTGCCAAACCGTCTGCACAAGCCTCAACCAAGAAGATTCATGAATACTTTTCAAAAACCGCTGGAGGCTCTGAGCGAGCACCCGTGAAGGACGGCAACAAGCGTTCCAGGGCTGGCAGCAGAGAGGTGGATGATGGTACGGGAACTGATGGATTGGACTCCGCACCATTCCTGACCGATGCTCCCCTTCGTGTTTCCGAGAAGGTCAACGACGCATTAGTCAAGGAGTTGGAGGAACTCCGGGCGCAGCTGCACACATTCGCCCAAACAAACGAAAATACCCAAGTGCAGCTCCGAGGTGCAACCAACGATCGGGAGGAACTGCAAAAGCAAATCCAGGAGCTGGAGCACGAACGAAGCGCCCTGGAAGCCCAGACCTGCGCGCTACGTGAGGAAGCCCAACAGAGCATCGCCAACATCGAAGCACAAGCCAACGCTCAACTAACCAAGGCGCGGTTGCTCTTGGTCGATATGCTGAGAGAAAAAGCGACACAAAGCGGACGAGAAGCGCGGGAGAAGGTTAATGCGCACCTGCTGCGATTAGGGAGCATCAAGTATGACCGGCATGGCATGGGATTTCATGAACGATGGGAGGACGGGTATGCGCTAAAAGAACAGCATGATCAGCTCAATAGGATTGGGAGGGAGAAGGAGGATATCGAGCGTAAGCGGAAGTTGCTGGCTAGACGGCTACGATTGACGAAGGCATTGCATGCGGAGGCGAGCAACAATAATACCGAGTCAGGGTTCAAATCAGATGGTGGGTCGCTGGAGAAACCCATGCCACATGCTCGGACGAATGCCGCCGGCAACAGCTCCTCCAACACCACGCAAAGCCCACTCGAACCCATCTCATCTGGGGAATACTTTGAACTTGACGAAATCGCCAAACTACGCCTGGCTGCCTTGAAACGCGAAGAAACCGAAACACAGGTCCTACTCGACAAACTCACCCTCCAACGCGACCTCCACATCCGCGCCTGGCGCCGCATCAATGACGAAGACGCCTCCCGCTTCAGCGGCCACCCGCTCCTCAACGACCGCTACCTCCTCCTCAACCTCATCGGCAAAGGCGGCTTCAGCGAAGTCTACCGCGCCTTTGACACCATCGACATGCGCCACGTCGCCTGCAAACTCCATTCCCTAAACGAAACATGGAGCGAGGAACGCAAGCAGTCGTATATCAAGCACTCCATCCGCGAATATCGCATTCATAAGACACTCGTGCACCCGCGCGTCGTGAGGCTGTACGATGTGTTTGAGTATGATCATTTGTCGTTTGCGACGGTTATGGAGTATGTGTGCGAGGGCAGGGATCTCGAGGAGTATTTGCAGGTTGTGAAGGCGGTGTGTGAGAAGGAGGCGAGGTCGATTGTGACGCAAGTTTTGGGGGCGTTGAAGTATCTGAATGAGTTGGAGAATCCGATTATTCATTATGATTTGAAGCCGGGTATGTTGGGGCGAGTCTCGATAACTGGTTTTGTGTCTTCAATGTATAGGACTAACGTTTCCACTGTTGAAGGCAACATTCTCTACCACAAAGGAGAAGTCAAGCTGACGGACTTTGGGCTCTCCAAGATTGTGGAAAACGCTGAGCCGCGCTTCCGGACGCCCGGATTCGCACCTCTAGGCGTTAAGGACATTGAGCTGACAAGCCAGGGTGCTGGCACCTATTGGTATCTCCCGCCGGAAGTCTTTGGCGGTCGGCGGGGACAGGAGCCTGTTAAGATTTCCAGCAAGGTAAGAGTCGCGGCTCAGTCCGACGCCCTCTCGATGAAGTGTATATCCATGCTCTTCTCTATGGTCTTTGTCACCATCTGCGCAGGTGGACGTCTGGTCCCTCGGCTGCATCTTCTACGAACTCCTGTACGGCGCCAAACCGTTCGGCAACAACCAAAGCCAGCAAACGATCCTCGAAGAAAGCACCATCACCCGCGACGCCGGCAAGCTCGAGTTCCCAGTCAAACCGGTCGTTTCGCAGGAGACGAAGGATTTCATTAGGAGGTGTTTGGAGTATCGGAAGGAGAGGAGGCCGGATGTTCTGCAATTGTATGTTTGGCGATGTTTTGCACATGTTTTTGTGACTAGTTGATTTGGAGGGCTTAACCTGATATGTTCTGCTTCTGTGTTTCAGGTCGAACGATCCATACGTGAATCCACCCGTCACCGGTTTGAAAGATGGCGGAAGTGCCCGTGCTGCTACCAAGTAGGTTAGCTTCTGTGTGGCTGCGGATGGGCGTTTTCGACGAAACACAGGAAAAAGACGTATCAGTTCCGAGAAGGCATTAAAGGGAGTGTAAACGGTGAAGTTTTGTAAATAGGAGTTTAGGTTCGTGATGTGAAGTCGGAGCATTCGCAAATCGCATACTATTGTAGATATAGAGCAACCCAAAAAAATGTGTGTACAGAGGAGCGGTTAGATTTTTGAGGAAGGCGAAGAAACAGAAAGGTCGAAGGCAAACGTGGCGGCATTGATATGAAAAGACATCGCAACAGTTTCTCGAACGACAAAAGCTCAATCCTTTGGACGTGCGGGCTACTGAAGGCTTTCCTTCGATTTATTCAGTGCGGCGATCCGCTCCTTGACACTCCCTTTCCTGACCACCGCAAGCCCCAAATCCAGCTCCGGATCTGATTTCGCAGCCATCTGCTCCTTCAGCGACGGTAACGGCGGCGGGGCCGCGGTCGCCACTTTCGAACCGCCTCCATCCCCACTTTTATTATGCGCCTTCCACCGCGGTGGCGGCGCGGACCCTGGCGATGCCATGGTTGCGCTTTTAGCACTCTGAGCGGACGATGGGGACCCAGAAGGCAGTACCCGCGTCTGCGACCATTTCTTCTGTGGCGCGGATAACGTGCCATGCCGTACCAGCGAGCTCACCGGCGGGACGGGTGCGTGCGGTTGCGTAGGGAGCAACGATGGCGATGAACGTTGGTGGAGGTCCAATGAACGCGGCGGCAACCCCGCGCCTCCGCCCCCACTGACCCCACCACCGTCGCCTGCAAATATATTCCCGCTGGATGCCGTCGCTGCCAACGGCGACGAGTACGATGGCGAATTGGCCCCTGTCTCCCCACGCAGGAACTGCAAATCCACCGACATGGATTCCGAGCGTGCAACAGAGGGTCGGCGGGAGAGCTTGATGCGCGAGCGGGTGGGTGTCATGCCCAGTGGGCTTCCCGATGACGGGGATTGCGGGACCATCATCTCTCCCGCCGACGTCGCTTGGGTACCTGACGGTAATGGGGGCGTTGCACCACCGGAGAGTGATGACGGCATCCGGTTGGTTATGATGCTGAGACGGAGGGGTGATGATGGTGTGGAAGAGATACCATGCCGAGAAGGCTTGCCGGCGCTGTAGACTGTGGATGGTGGGGAAGGAGTGGCTGCGCCAAGGCCGTCTGGAGCTGAGTAGGCGCGATTGGGTGCGGGTGGGATGTTGGTTCTCGGCGGTGTTGGGGATACGGGGTTGTTCGTCTGCGTTGGCGATCGTTGCGAAGTGCGATGGGGAAGGGCGGATGGGGAGGATTCGATGCGCAGAAGTTCTGAAGGGAGGGGATGTGAACGTCGTTTTGGCTCGACAGCTGCCTCTTTTTCTTTGATCTTTGCCACTGACGGTCCAGTTTCCGTTCCATTTGATCGTTCGGTCACAATCTTCGGCTTTGGATCTGATGAGAGAGATCCTGATGGTTCCAACGGCTGAGATATCTGACTGGGTTTAACGGCTTGCTGGGGTTCGGCTTTATCTGCAGGCCGTATCGGCTTCGAGGAAACGTCGTCGGGTATCTTGTCAGGGGCATATATGCGAGACGCGCTTTCCCCCAATGCGTCCAGTAGCGAGTTCGTAGATGATCCTGGGGTCTTCTGATACGAGGGCAAAGGAATGCGGGATTCTCGCGCTATGGGAGATGTGGGAGGAGCAGCTGTCTGCGCTGGTAATAGGGAAGGCGTTGGTGCAGGTGTCCGCACTGGGTCGGTTGCTTTTGGCGGCTCGACCGGCCTTTCATTGGGTGGTTTCGCCGGCTGGATTGGCTGCTTCTGTGGTTCTATTGGCGCTGGTTCCGCGGCAGGGAGGGACGGCGCTGCCAGCGGCCTTCGTATCCGTGGGAGAGTTGGCGACGAGTCTTTCTCTGTGTCCTCTCCGTCTGTGGATGAAGACGCGGCGGTGTGTTCCGCCTCCCCTTCCTCCTCCTCCTCTTCATCCACGTCTAGGGAAGATCTGGACGCTTGCAAAGGCGGTGGATAGCGGACTTTCAGATCTGAACATCGCAAGGGTTGTCAGATGCCTGCAAATCGTCATTTGGACGTCTGCGACTGAATGCGCTTACCGTTCAAAACATTTTGGATCTCCTCTGCCCTCTCCTCCAACGCAATGTCCTCAGGCAGCTCGCCCTCTGAATTATACGGCACCAAATCAATCGGTCCATCTGGCGGATAGAACGGACTCGCGTCCCCCATCCCCGACCCGTCAGCCCCATCTTTCGGGCCCTTTTCCTCCACCCCTCTACACCTCCCCAACAGCTTCACAATCTCCACATGTCCTTCCGCACAAGCACAATGCAGCGGCGTCCACCCCTCCACATCCCGCATATTCACCTCCGCGCGTCCGCTCTCCAACAAAAGCTGCACGATATCCGCGTGCCCGTGCGTGCACGCCTGGTGGAGGGGTGTGAGTTCTTTCTGCGGGGTGCTGACGAGCGAGAGGTCCGGTATGGATGCCAGACAGTCGCGGATTGTCTTGAGGTAGGATTTGTCGGAGAGCGAGGCGTGTTGGCAGAGATGCAGGAGCAGCGTGGCGTAATCGAAGCGGACTGAGCGGGATTTGGTCTTTGGCGCGGCGGTGGTGCTTTTGTCTTTGGGGGGTGTAGAAGTGCGGGCGATGCTGGATTTGCGGGGCTTGACGAGATTCGTGATTGAGCTAGTGAATTCTTCATAACTCGGCATCGTTGGGAGGGATGTGCGTGTGGATTTTGCTGTGGCGGACTCCTTTATCACCCATGAAGAAAAGCTGTCAATTATGCGATGTACCATATATTACCGGTCCAGGAAACGCCTAAACTCACCTGAGGACCCAGTTTTCCCCCGTCCACCGACAAGCTCTTCTGTCTTTTGACCGCTGGCGGCTTATAATCACCCCCGCTTGCTGCAGCCAGACTTTCCTGCGTGCTAGCGTCCGGAAATAGTGTAGGCAAACTCGTCTGCCGTTCTGATCCGCGTGGTCTCGATTGCAAAAACTCTGTGATGCTGCCATAATGCGCTTGCGCCGGCGATGTTTCCAATATTGGCGAGAGTGCGACGTTGGAGTTTTGGGGCGAGAGAAGGGAGGAATGGGAGCTGATTGATGGTGGACTTCGATCTGCGTCGGCTAAGCGATATAGAAAGCTTTAGCATAACTTCTCATTGAGGCCCCTACTCGACGGCAGGCATCAACATCCGCTGCTCTAACATGTAAAACCGTACCTTCATTCACAGTACTAAACATCAGCGTCGTGACCTGATCATCAGCACAATCCACCGGCCTGTATCCCCTATCATTTCGTTTCCGACTCGCAGCGCCCAACTGCAACAATCTCTTCACCAGCTCACTCATCCCTTGAAACGAGGCGAGATGCACGACCGTGTTACCGTTGCCCCACACCCGGCCCATGAACTCGTAGAGGACTTTGCGGGACTCGATCTCCTCGGTGACGCGCGCGACGAAATCGAGGATGTCGAGCGCGATGTCTTCCTCGCTGAGCACGCAGGCGATTTGGATTGCGTTCAGATGTGTCATGCTAAGGTAGTATCGCGGTTGGGTGATGCTGTCCATGAAACTGGCCAAGCCATCCAAAACGAATCTGTTTCGGCACATACCTTGGCCCCAGCAACTCGGCCGCATCATTCAACACCTCCTCATCTAGCTGATAGAACAAATCCGTGTTCGGATACGTTGTTGTCAGCAGCAGCTGTAACACTTCCGTCGCCCCGGGATAAATTGCAAGAAATTCACGCAACCCGGCCGTGTCGCCGTTATTGATTGCGGTGAAAATTATGCGTTTGATTTCGATGTCGCGCTCGGCGGCGGACAGGTTAGCTGTTGATGAACCCGAAGAGTGAGATCACACATACGGAGTGATTTGCCCTCGCCTGCAGCCACGAATCATCAGGAGACACATGCGCTGGGCCGTCAACACTCACCACCAAAAAACGCCGCCGTCCCACCTCCACTGCGCGTATTGATCGAATCCTCGCTGTTATCCCGGCTATGCCCCAACGGCCGCTCCACGCCCTTCGTCGACAACAGCGACTTGTTTGGGATCGGCGACATAAGCGGGGATGACGCATCGATGGAGATCGTTGGCGTTGTGGGAGACGGCGGGATCTCGGTTGGCATTGCTGCTTTTGCGCACTGGGAATATCGATGTGGGTGGTAGCGATGGAGATGAGCGAGGAAGTTGGTCGTCGACGCCAGAGCAGACCGCGTTGGCTCGCCCGGAACGCGTCGAAGAACCGTACACAAACCCTAAAATACTAGATCTAGATATTTGGGCTCAGAAGCAGAAAGATGGCGCACTGTCCGGTACGGGATCGACCCAAAGCAAGTGGGCGTTGGGCAAGGATCGCTTGCACGAGCGAGGCGCACGACTTGACAGGTCTAGTGTATTGGCGATCTAAATGGAGGAAGCGAATTTAGGATTATTTAGATCCAGAGCGAACGAGCCGAACGTGTACCGAGTCTACCGACAGCCGTCTGAAAAGCCGCTAGCGCAAAGAGAACAATGCTGCTGGAGTCAACAAGCTCCAAAGGCTTTCCCCGCCCGCCAACGCGCTTCACGTAAGCAAGTGGCGCAGCATATCCGATCGGGAGGTCTCACGAACCTGAGAGACAGTCGTAGATTCAAACGAGGACGTGACCACATATATGAACTGTGACCATCTGACGATATATTTATGGACACGGACGCAAAGAACTTGTACAGGGAGGGTGAAATAGAAGCTCTCAACACGAGGGGAAAACAAAGAAAAGCACGCACAAAGGATTTACAAGTATCAGAAAACAGGCATGGTGTTGCCCAAGGGGAGAACGTATATATGTCCCGCCCTGGGCCGCCCATGGAGGCACAAGAAAGTGGGCTGACAAAGGGGGTGGACTTCCTTCCCGAATATATGGTGGGAGGAGGTGACGGGAGTATCTACATACTAGGACAGGAGTGGATATGTGGCATGTCGTTTGCTGGGCTCCGTTTTTTGTGAAGCGAGAAGTGTCGACTACGCAGAGCGCGGCATGGGGCTGAGTGGGTACGAGGTGAAGGATGCCGATAGGTGTTGGATGCCGTAGTTGGCGTAGTACTACTTGCGTCACCCCACCAGTCCACCGGGAACATTCGGTATCACAGGCAAGTCGCCGTCGCCATCCCGCGGTTCTCGAGCGTCATGCTGATGATGCCGATGATCATTCGAATTCGAAGACCCTTGCCGCTTCTGCTTTGACGCCGCAATCTCATCCACAATCTTCCTCATATCCGTTTCATCCAACTCGGCCAAGATGCCGCGCAGGAGCTCCATGTTGGCTTGCGCTTTGAGAGTGTCATTCACGTTCTCGCGAGTGGCAGTGCCGGAGGAGATGGATCGATTCGCATGTTGTCCAAGATGCTTCGGCGCTTGCAGGGGACGGCGAGGCGCGGGAGGTGGTAGAGAAGAATCATGGTACCGCTCTTGCTCGATGTCTTCCCATGGTTCCGATTGGACGTCGGGAGGAAGCTCGATGTCATCGCCAGGCGGGGATAACAGGTCATCATCTGATGCAGACGCGACATGTGGAGCCGAGACCTCGATTCGAAGAGCACCTGGGGCATGTGAGCGCGTGCTTCCAAACTGTGCAGAGTTCGGGACTCTGAAAGGATCTTGATTTGACGACTCAGGAGCAACGGGAGGTTGCGTTTTCTGGTCATCCGACTCGTCTCCCTCAAAGTTGAAGCCTTCCAAATCGTCCAGCAACTGCTGAAGATCCCGTTGACTCTTCTGCAATCGCAAAGTCCTCTGCTTGCCCGTAGCAGGAGACGCGGCGGCCGACCCTTCCACTCGGGATAATGCTGGTGATCCGGGAGGTGTCGCTTTCCTTTCTTCCTGCCCAACCGATTGTGCGACGTCACTTGAAAACGATATTGTTCGGTGCTCGGCTCGGAGGTTCGGGCGTCGAGTGGGCTGGTGCCGAGCAGCGATATGCTCCAATTCGTTTACATCGATTCCGCTCTCCATGGAAACATCTGTCTGCTTTCGCGACAGAGCATAGGGTATTGTGCTGTCGCTTGATACAGACGACATGGTGGGTATTGTGGGATAGAGACTGAGGGTGTGAGTTTGTGGCGCACGCGGGATCTCCTCAACACATGCTCGGGTAGACGATGTGGACGCTATTTCCGGTGATGACGTCGATGATGCAATACTGATTGTTTGCGATGCGGGGATCGAGGCGGAAGAGTCCATGGAAAGCTGTGATTGCACATGCTGGCGGCCCGCGGATAGTCGTATTGAGGATGCAGCTCGTTCGGAAATGGAGGATCCGAAGGTCTCGCTCCCTCCACTCCGGGTAAGAAGCGACCGAAGCACCTCCCGAGAAACGCCTGCGCTTCTCGGTTGCGCACCGGTGACATTCACTGTGCCGCCTCGTTGAAACGTTCGCCAGGCTCGGAATACCATATCGCGCCTAAATCTGATGCTGTCTGCTTTCGCGGGGCCAAGGCCTTTATTCGCATCCACTACTGTCTTCGAGCGGGTCGATAGGGTGGATGACGCTATTGACTTGAGGGTCGGATTCACTACGGTCAGCGGTCCTGACGGCTTGGTGACTGAGATAGCTGAGCCTTCAGACAATATGGTGTTGGAAGAATCTCGGTTCCCAGCGGCGCTGAGCCTGCCCCTATTCGCCTCCATATCCTGGGTTCGCGAAACTTGGCCGTAAACGCGATCTGTGGAAGCGGTTGCTGATCTGTGAGATTGGTTCGAGTGACGATGTCCTCCGCTATCGTTGCTCTGCAGGGACCCTGTCGACCCATTCCGCCGTGATTTGTACGCATGTCCCATCTTCCCTTCATTGGCGAGCGACACTATCCCTGATGCTAGAAGCGCTCGAGCATGCTCCTGTGCCGATATCAGAATCTGCCTAAAACAATGGGCGACAGACTGCGGCGCCATCACGGTTGTCTCGTTGAAGGTAACTTTGAGCAGATCCGCCAACGCTTGCCCCATATCTTTCGTAACCTGCCGAGGCCGTTTGTCTGGCGCCGATCTTGTAGGGTCCGACGTTACATTGTCCACCATATTTCCAAGCAGCATGATCGGTAGCGTGGCTGGCCTCGCACATTTCACTTCCATGATCTGACGGTAGAATCCGAAAATGGCCTCAAAGGATTGTCGGTTTCCGACGTCGTAGATCAGGATGAACGCGTCAGCCGCAGCTATGGCAGATGCCCAGATGGTGCCATAGAACGGATGCCCTCCAACATCGCTCAATGTGAGCACAATCCGTTGGCCACGTCTCTTCTGCCAAAGATCCTCCTCTGTCATTTCCACTTCCTTATCCGCATCGTCCCCCTCATTGCTGATCGTGCTGCCTGAGCCTAAGCTCTCAACAGGAGATATCGGTAGAGCGCTGCCAGATAGAGATCCACCGGTAGGCGATGCCACTGGGAGTATGTACTGAATGACGTTACAGTCCTCTATAGTCGGGTCGTATCCGCTGAGCCATGGCCCTCGATGCCGAGTTTTGCCCAATCCACTAGAATGCGAGCCTCTCAGGAAGACCCTCCGTAAGGATGTCTTTCCCACATGCGCTGAGCCGAGGAGCAGGATGTTGAGGTGCGTGACATTGCCTGTTTCTTCCAGAAGCAGCATCGTGCGGCCTCTCCAACGGTCTCGTCAGCTTTCCGGGCGTTGTGGCCAGCACCGCTTCGTGAGACTGTCTATTAGCAAAAGGCCTACTGCTGGGTATTCGTGCAGAATTCTTTCGCAGGCACAGCGTGGGAAAATGTGTTGAAAGGCAAGACCAATGACACGATAACAAGATCGCACAGCACGAAGGTATGCCCGTGTGTATTAGGAGCGCCGGGCGAGGGGACGGTGGCGGGCTAGTCGTCCCGTGATGGTGCCCGTCTTCTCTGTTGTGTTGCCCTTCAGCTGTATTGAGGAGTAAAATTCCAATCCCCGGCCTGAATTCGGGAATTTGAAAGTTGGCGGAACGTGTTGCAACGAGACCGTGTTGGACAGCAATGCTTGCAACCAATGCTGTTGCTTCTGAGTGATCTCTGCACACGCAGTATGCCTGTTGCCGTTACGAAGAAAAACAGCAGCGACCTCCGGCCATCAGGGTCTCCACAGACGCAAACGTTGTCGTATCTGGTAAGCCCTTACGCTAGCCGTGCAGCTACGGTCAAGGGGTTTCGCAACACAATCAAGAATCACAGCAAAGTCTGAATCAGGACTCTCCTTTTCCCTCGCTCTGTCATCATCCGAATTTCAGGGATTCATCATATGAGTTACGAACATGGCGGTGCTGCAAGCGTGCGTGGCATTGCCCGTCCACCCACAAACAAAGCAACCAACCCGGGGCCCAGTGTCCCCACCACCAAGAAAAAACGACGCTGGGATGCCTGCGAGGGAGTTTACCACAAAACACCGTGGGACTGTGCGCTAGAGTCGCGCGTAACCACGCGTAGAATCCGCGTCGATCCTCGCAATTTACGGCTATTGCTCCAACTTGCCTATCGTCTCGCTGGCATGTTCATTCCGGCACCTCAAAATTCTCTAACAATACCGACGGGGCATCGATGGATTATCCTATGCTGTTGAGATAGTTGAGATAGTCGCCGTAAGCTGGGAGACCGTCACGCCGGTGCGTAGCGACACAAATTCATACAATGCGATATTACCTATGACGTCTGCCCTGGCCCATGGGAGGCATGCTTTCGACAGCCGCTGTTTGGCAGTGGGTAGTATCGATATGCAGTCCGACCTCGGATCCATGGAGTCGCAAGTCCGCTCGCCGACAACCGCAGTTGTGTCACTTGTGAACAGAAGGACCGCGCGCGCAGCCCTCGCATGGAAGCCGTTGTGGCCGTAGCGGAAGAGCTTAAATTGGCGCGAACGACGTTGCCGCGGGAAAGCTGTCCACAATATAATGCTTTCCAACAGTGCGTTTGTAGCCGTGGTCGGATGCAGGAGAACAGAGTCGACGCGGCGGGAGGCCTCAGCGTCGGGGCGATGAGAGGCAACCTCTACGTGGCGGATACATTCTCGTCGCCAGGCAATCTTGACACCGTGCTATGCGCATCTGCATGCAGTCACACCCAATCCGGCTCGATATATTCAACCGCTTCGGCTATGATCTCAGTCGAGGTTTTGAATGGGCTTCAAAGTCAGCGCTGACTCGTTTGTACTGTACGTTTCGAGTTTCTGTTGCAGCTATGGTGGCGGCCCTGTGGTTCCCGCAGGATGGTCGACTCTGATCGATACCCGAATTGAGCGTGAGCAACATGGAGTGTTATTTTTCCTCGTAAATCCTTTCTTTCTCTGCCTGGTCGGATAAGGATCCCAACTGGACGCCTGATGCCGGGCACCGCGATGCGGCATGTATATCGGTCTTGCTCGCGGAAACTCACTCCCTGTCGACTGACCACTGTGGGACCTTTGCATTTGCTTCAAATTCAACGGGTTGAGGGAACTTTCGAGCAGGTTGCAGACACAAGGTATGCAATTGCCTCTGACCATCTATTGAGCTGGGGTAAGCCGACAACAGCGAACAGGAGAACTATTCGACGGACCTGCAACTCTGTGTGTACAAGCGCCAGCGCTCTTGGGACCTGGGGGATGTGACGCATCGGTCTCTGGCCGCCCTTTCTTGCCACGCTGGATCTCGACAAAGCTGAAGCGACTGATCGCCATCGTAGCGTAAATACATGGCCATGGCTGGTGGGGCACAGTTCTCTGGGGAGTCAACCACGAACAAACTACGGAGTACGGACCGCCGAATTGAAGAACACTTGGGAAGATGGTCGAAATCCTGCACAACACGAGCGCCGGCTCTTGGACAGCGCGCCATTTGCGATTGAGGCGTACAAACCCAAAACCAGCCCGTGGCACGAACTCAAGGTTCTCGTATTTACCCATTTTTAATCGTCGCCTAGCTTGACAATCAAAATCAAAATCAAAACAGCACATATGGTCAACTACGTTTGGAAAGACGTTGGTGGTGAGTATGAGTTCGCCCTCCAGGAAATGAAGTACTGTACCTGGATTCGATGGCTGTAGCCAGAGGAGGCGGACAAAGGGAGCAAAGGCCTCAGGGATTGCGTAGTGCAAGTTGCGGCATGACGAACATCAACCAACGACCCCATGGGCAACGTCACGATTCCAGATGCCGCCACCACACTACAAGACACATCTCTACCTGTCCCGATTCCACTGTTGGAATTTGCGAGTGTGGAGTTTGTTGGACCCACTTACTAACACCAAGCTCGCTCACTGCACTGGGGTGTGTGCCAGGGATGGGGCTTCCTCACACCGCACAACCGTGACGCCTGCAATGATCCGCGAGAAACGACTTGATGTACACCGCATCACAGAAGCCGAAAAAGCTACAGCGTCGCACTGGATCAACAAAATTCAGGAATTGTTTACACAAGAGGTTGTCTTCTTCTGCATGGGACGGGCAAGTGCCAACTTGAAGAGGAAAAAACCACGAAACTACCACCGTAGCAACATCAACTTCCTGCTGCGATATGACCTCCCTGAAACTGACTCCATCTGGCCAATCTTTTGCGGCCGCCGTGCTAGACGAGCGGAGATCTCCCCACTTGCGTACACAAGTTATACTCGCAGCTATTTCGATTTGCTTGAGGGGCCGTACTGCAGCATTTTCTCCGAGCCATACGAGGCGACATTTCCGACCTTCTCTACCCTGGTGCACCACCTGGCGGTGGTTGCACGGCAACCGCCATCCACCGGTTGGAATCGCCCTGGTAATGACCGAGATCGACTCGTTCAGCAGTTCAGTGATGTTGTGGTGGGAATACCTCGACATCATCCGACACTTGTCGCGCGGAATTCCAGTGCAGATCATTATCCACCGTGAGGGAACCCCGCTCTGTTTGACGCTTTTCAAAGCCATGGGAATTCTGGAACGACTGCTAGCTCTTCGACAAGGCGAGCTCCACATGCTGGACGCAGACGGGCAGGCATTTGCTCAGCAAATGCGCGACATCCAACGTACTCGAATCAAGAATTATGAGAGAGGCGTACGCGGCGCTTATTTCGAAAACTAGCTCCCCTGACTGATAGATGGGGTAGCCGACCATAGCAAACAACGTAGAAAAGGAATACAACCCGCCGTAGATACAACGAAATACAACGAAACATCCCCTAATAGTACATGAGCAGTTTATGCGTGAGTCACGACAATCACTTTTTGGGAGTTCTCAGTTGACGCGCAGCCCGTCCGAAATCCCCCCAAAACCCCACCGGCGTTTCCCCACTGCGCCCTCCCTCCCAGCGGAGCGGCCCGTCGCGCGCGTCCCATACTGTACGTGCACCATGATATATGTAGAAGTTGCCCAAGGCCCCCAAAACCCTCCATTACCGGCTTATATTCCTCAACCCCCACCGGACCAATCACCCTGCTCAACGTCCTACGTTGCTACTTGTCCATACCACTTCTCTCACTCCCCCGCTTCTGAAACAAGCGCTTCGTCACTATGAAGATCACTCAGAAAATCGACAAGGCTATTGGTAAGGAGTCGTTCCATGAAGTGTTCTTTACCGTAACACCGCAGTCCAGTCAGGGAATATCTCACTGAGACGCCGTCGCTGACTGTCCTCATCCTTCTGCTCTCTACTTTCCTGTTGCGACTTGCAATGTATTTAGCCGATGGCCGGTGTTTTTGGGTGAGTCTTTTTCGCCCCTTTTTCCCGCCTTCCTTACACTTCGTCGCTTAACCCCTATTTCCGTCGTCCACAGTCATTCGAGTACTTCCCACCAAAGACCGAAGCTGGTGTCATCAATCTTTACGACCGTATGGTAAGTAGTTCCCATCCCGTTGGCCGCACATATTCTCCGCGAACGCTTGTGTGGACTGACATTCCATCGATCACTTTCAGGAACGTATGTACCAACTCGGACCCGAATTCATCGATGTCACATGGAACGCTGGTGGAAGCAGCTCGGATGTGACAATGCAGATCTGTACCACTGCGCAGGCCGTTTATGGTCTGGAGACCTGCATGCACTTGTAAGCATCCCTGACGGCGCGAGCGCGAGCGGTGGAACCGATGGAGCGGATGCGGGCCGGAGCGATGGTGGAGCTGATGGAGCGCATTTGGGCCCAAGCGAAGCGTGCGGGAGTGCGGGCGACAGCCACCCTCGACGAAGCCGAAGTGGCTGCATCGAGATTCGCTGCGGCGCCATGAGGGGCCGATTGCCTTCATCACACACCCATCCCGACATCTTTGTCGAGCAGGGTGTTGTTCTCTCATCGTCCTCGCGAGCGGCCTTCATATGATATATCGTTGGATCATTATTCATCTTCATTTTTCCCCCTCATCGCAACATAGGACATGTACGAACATGCCGCGGGAAAAGATCGATATTGCTCTTCGAGACGCAAAGGCGGCTGGCATTCAGAACATTCTCGCCCTCAGGGGCGACCCACCACGCGGTCAGGAGAACTGGACAAAGTGCGAGACTGGCTTTTCGTACGCTGAGGACCTGGTCAAGTACATCAGGCAGGAGTACGGCGACTATTTCTGCATTGGTGTTGCAGGTAGGACTCGATAATGCAGTACCGCGGAGAATCCGAGCGACGTTCTGACATCTTTTCCATCCCGATAGCATACCCCGAAGGCCACACGGAGCAAAACGATCCTGAAGCCGACATGCGCCACCTCAAGGCGAAAATCGACGCCGGCGCCGACTACATTGTGACTCAACTCTTCTACGACGTCGACATCTTCATCAACTGGTACAAGAAATGCCGCGGCCTCGGCATCACCACGCCCATCCTCCCTGGTCTCATGCCCATCCAGAACTACGGCGGATTTCATCGCATGACGAGCATGTGCAAGACTTTCGTTCCACAATTCATTCTTGACGACCTGGAGCCGATTAAGGAGGATGATAAGGCGGTGAAGGATTATGGTGTCAAGCTGGCCGTGGACATGTGCAATAAGATGAAGGAGGAGGGAATCAGGGGTTTCCACTTCTATACACTGAACTTGGAGAGGTCGACGCGGCTGATTCTTGAGGGTCTTGGCTTTATTGCGCCGCCTGATCAAGTCCGTCCTCTGCCATGGAACCCCGTAAGTCTTCTACTTTTCTCCCTCCGACTGACCGCTGCGATCCTCACTCACCACCCTCAACCTCGCTTCACAGTCCCTGGCCAAAAACCGCGAGAAGGAGAACGTCCGCCCGATCTTCTGGAAGAACCGCCTCCGCAGCTACATTCTCCGCACCGAAGCCTGGGACGATTTCCCCAACGGCCGCTGGGGCGACGCGCGCTCCCCCGCCTTCGGGGAATTGGACGGCTATGGCTTCAACCTCAAATACCCCGCCGACGAATGCCTGCAGCTCTGGAACCACCCTGAAACCCTTGAAGAAGTCTACACCCTCTTTACCAAGTACTGCACCAATGAACTCAACGTCTTGCCCTGGTGCGATGCGCCATTGTTCCCAGAGTCCGACATCATCAAGACCCGCCTCGCGCGGATCAACTCGCAGGGTTACCTCACCATCAACTCGCAACCCGCCGTCGACGGCGCGCCCTCAAGCCACCCGGTGTACGGCTGGGGCCCCAAGAACGGGTTCGTGTACCAGAAGGCGTACCTGGAGTTCTTCATCAGCCCGCAGGCGCTGGACAAGATTGTGGCGAGGATCGCATCGTTGCCATATATCACATACTATGCGGTGAACAAGCAGGGTGATTTGAGGACTAATACGCAGGGTGATTCGCCGAATGCGGTCACGTGGGGTGTGTTCCCGGGGCAGGAGATTGTGCAGCCGACCATTGTGGATTCGGCGAGTTTCGTTGCTTGGAAGGTCTGTAATGGGTATTCTCCTTCGTTGTCATCCGCCATGTGCCTCTCATCCTCTCATCACCATTAATAACGCCTCCAACCTCTTTCTTTCAGGACGAAGCCTTCGAACTCTGGAACAAATGGGCGCAGCTCTACTCCCCAACCTCAGCCAGCGCAAAAGTCATTCAACACATCTCGGACGACTGGTTCCTCGTCAACGTCGTCGACAACAACTACAAGGACGAACAGGCCATCTTTGAGATCTTTGACGATGAGGATACTGAGAGGGCTACTTCCCGATGATGAAACACATCACACACGATGGGATGGGATCGGACTGCCGTGGCCAATGACGATGAATGATAATTTATCTTCCTGACTCGCCTGGACCCCGTCCGTTAATGCTAGATTATGATATAGGGAAGGGTTCAGAGTTTTCTCAACTCTCACCTCTTTACCCTCCGCTTTGTAATTTTCCTCTCTCTCTCTCTCCGCTTTCCGTTTTTTATCCTTTTTGTACAAACGCTCTTTGGTATATATGCAAACGACGTTGATTTGATATCTAGTACTTTTGTTGGAGTGGTGCTCCTCGCGGATTTGACCGGTGACGTTTGACGATGCCCCTGGAGAGGCGAACAGGAACGGACAGATTTACGCTAGGGTCAAGAACACAACGTTACGAATGATTATAACCTACGTACGTATTTTGGCAGAAGGCTTCCTTCGTTCAGGGCCCAGGAGAGAGAGGAGGGTCTCGGTTAAGCGCGAGTGTTAAGCGCGAGTGTTACAAAAGCAAAAAGAAAGTGCATTCAGGTAACATACCACTGACGCGGTCATACTCTGAGCTGAAGGACGTGGGAATCGAACCGGTGACCTGCACGTCTGCAGATCAGGAAGATTCGCCACTACGCCAAACAGTATATGCTAGCCACAAATCTGGTTACGACGCCCCACACATTACTCCGAGCATAGCCACCCGCAGTTATGCAATTAGGGTTACGCGTGAGTTCCCTGCCCTCCCCTCCTGCTGCAATTTCGATTGGGACCCATATTCCCACCGGCAAAGGCATCTCAACGAGCCTTGCCTATTAGAACGTTCCAGCCACCCGACGTACATACCCACTGCAATGGCCTTCGGCCAAGTCACCGCTCGTCACTGGCTGGTCCTGTTCCTTGCCTGCGCTGTTACCTTTAGCAACTACTACTGGTACGTTCTGTTGCCCATGAGCCACCATCACCATGCAATTGCTGTTTGTTTTTCGAGCTTGTTTTTCGGGCTGCGTGCATGATGTCGAACACAATACGCCGATACGGCTATCTCCTTTCTCTCCCCGTCCGTCCCAAACTAACTCCCCATTTTCCACGATGGCCCCAGCTACGACATCCCATCCGCGCTCAACGTCCCGCTCCGAAAATGGCTCAAAGCGCCCTACGCCGAATACCAATGGCAGCTCAACCTCCTCTACTCGGTCTACTCCTTACCCAACGTGCTTCTCCCCCTCTTTGGCGGCCTTCTCGTCGACGCGCTGTCGCCGAACGTGATGCTGATGATTTTCGTGACGCTGGTGGCGGTCGGGCAGGGGTTGTTTGCGAGTGGGGTGGCGGCGGGGAATTTCAATTTGATGGTGATTGGACGGGTGGTGTTTGGGGCTGGGGGGGAGTCGTTAGAAGTGGTAAGGAAGAGGTGTGGGAGTCGCTTGGATGCGAGTGCGGTTCTGGGCAGGAGAAATCTGATGGGTGTCTTTCGTAGGCAGCATCCCGGATAGCCACCGACTGGTTCCAGGGCCGCGGACTAGGCTTCGCGATGAGCGTGCATCTCTCCATGGCGCGCATTGCGACCGCCGCGAACGCGAACTTATCGCCTTGGCTTGCAAACGAGGCGTCGACCCCGTTTGCAGTCTGGTTCGGCCTTTTGGTGTGTCTGGCAAGCTTCCTGTGCGCTGTGGCGATGCTGTATGTGGATCGGCCGGCGTCGCGCGTCGCTGCGGGCATTGCAACGTCGAATCAGAAGCCGAGGAAGAGGACGGAGGGCGGCAGCGCCGATCGGTTGAACACCGACAGCGCCGTGAATTCGCCGAGGATAAGGGGTAAAAGTGTGGACGGGAACCGAAGCGACGACGGAGGCCGACGCTCATCCTCCTCTTCGCGATCCTTCATCTCCACATCCGCGCGATCCCCAAGTGTCGGAAGATCACCCACGGGCGGGAAGTCCACACGTTCACCCAGTGGCAGCAGATCAATCTCGGGGTCACCGATCCGATCTGTCGCACGCCAGCATCGGAGCTTTGGGACGATGGACGACCGTGACTCGAATTCGAGTGGTTTGGATGAGAGTGATGATGTGGAGGAGGAGTATGATGAGGAGGATGAGACTGTGCATTTTTCGCAATTGAGGGGGTTGAGGGCGCCGTTTTGGATGTTGTGTTTGACTGCTATAGCTTTTTACGGTAAGGTGTCCTCAATCCTTTTCTTGGCATCAACCGACCGATCTGCCAATGTGCTGACTCGCGACTTTATCGACTGCAGGATCTGCTATCCCATTCTTCCATATTTGTACAGACTGTAAGTGCTTGATGTTGGATGTCAGCGCAGCAATCGCGGATCAGTCATAAACAATCATTGTCCAGTCTTCCAGCAAAAATGGTATAAAGATGATTCGCAGATGGCAGGAACGGTCATGTCCATCACCGACATAGTTTCCGCAGTTGGCTCGCCAATATGCGGGTTATTCATCGACCGGTTCGGTCACCGAAGCACAATGCTCCCTCTGGCGGGAATCTTGGTGTTGATATCCCATCTCCTATTCGGCTGGACCACTATTACACCTATTGTCGGCATGGTCATTCTCGGACTGGCATACTCGATCTTTGCGGCCTCGGTCTGGACATGCGTGCCTTATGTTGTCGGCAACCACCAGATCGCAACAGCTTACGGGTTGGTCACCGTTGCGTTGAACATGTCACTCGCAACGTTCCCACTGGCCGTTGCACAAATACGGAATAGTTACCCGGATAGCTTCATCCCCGTCCAAATCTTCTTTGTGGGCTTAAGCTTGGTGTCAATAGCAACATCCTCGGTCCTGTTCATGGTGGACGCACGAAACGGCTGGGTCCTGCTTAAATCTCACCGCCCACAACCCCACTACGAGCGTGTACGCACCTCCTCCGATTCACCACGAGACGACCAGCCCGGGACGGTGTACACGCCCCTCCGCCACTTCTCGGACCCAGCGCCCAGCTACAGTCGCGACGAGTTTGACGAATCGGACTTCACGACGAGGGTTGTCGGCGACGGTGTCATCGTGCCGACCCCGCATACGCATATCCATCACCGACATTACCACCGCCACACGGAAGGCGAGGCATGTACCTGCGCAGAAGACAACGGACGGCCACGGTCAGCGGACTGTATAACAGGGCGGAGCGCACCGGACGGGTCAGGCTGGCGGGGCTGGCTAAGGGGCGGCGGCGGCGGGGGTTCCGACACCCGTGAGCAGCGCTGGCAACGACGCCCACCATCCACTTCCTCCCGGCGCAACAAATCCTCCAGCGCGGCACTGCGGACGCATCATTCGTCCGATCAGGACGGGCTGCAGATCTTCATTGATGATTTGCAGCATATCCCGCCGTCGCCGACGAGTGCGATAGGGGGTACGCCGAGGACGTCCACGGCGGGTGGGTTTAAGGGTGAGGAGTTGAGGGCGAGGAGCCCGACGAAGATGAGGTCGCCCTCGCCGTGAAGGGATGGGGATTTCCTGTATGTAGAATGATTCTGCTTATCTGGGTGGTTAGTGCGGTAGGATGGTAATTTATTGAGATCTAATTCGGAAATGAATCATATCCTTCTTGATTCGCGATCCGGCATCCGCTCTTCATCCGCATTCGGTCCGCTCTTCATCTTGCCATCTTCCGGAGGTGCCGGTCTCCAATCGCGCTGTCGAAATTGTGTCAATCTCCCAACCCTCCATCGGCCGAGCGCAGGACGGAGAGTTGCAATCAATGCGAGTGTGGTAACGTTGTGTGATGAAGGGGCAGCATAGTGACTTACAGTATCGCTCAAACCATCAGAGGTAGGGGGCCCTTTTCATGTGACAATACGCAGGAAATGGTGGTGATTACGTTCACGGAAACGGTCCTGATTATATGTTATCGAATGTCAAACCTCTTGAGACCCAGAAGAATAGGCATCATCCGCTGTCCATGCCGCAATCGTCGAGTTCCGTGGGTATAGAAAAACGAGGTTTTCCGCACGCTTCTCCCCTCAAAATTTCAGTTGCCAGTTGATCAACGTCAAAATCAACCACATACACACGCCATCAAAAGACCGGCACGCACATCTACGGCATCCCAAACAGCTCGATCAACTCAATTCGTACTTGTCGCATTAGCAACTTGACAAAAAAAATGGGTGTCATCGCTTGGCTGGCCGTTACCACCATCGGGGGCGCCGCTTTGCTCGTCCCGCCTGCGGCCCCCGTTGTCGGCGGCATCCTGGGATTTTCCCGCATTGGGCCCGTAGCTGGTGCGTTATAGAGCAAAGAGTAGCTATGGCCGGATGGTTCAACTGGTGTGGGTTTACGAACGTCCTTTGGAATTGACAATATTTCCGTCCTTTTTCTTCCTTGCCTCCCATGTCGTAGGTACGATTGCTGCGTCCGCGCAAGCGTACGTCGGTGCCGTCGCCGCCGGAAGCACTTTCGCCGTGCTTCAAAGCGCAGCTATGTTGGCGCCCACTCTCTGATGATGCCTTTTCATAATGTCATGAGCGAAATATGAGCGACTTTTCATATCATAGTCGTCCAGAGGAATAGTAGGGTCACTTTTCTTCTGTTTTGGGTTGCTACAAATGTATAGTGCATGTTCCGTCGCCTGCAGCTCCCCGTGGTAGGCATCACTTTGTTATGGCTTTGAAGGAGGGTATTCAAATAAGATTGCACGGCTTCCCTGGCGGACATGTTATTGGCGCATCGTGGCGTTCCCGACTCGTTGTTGTCTTGCCTCTTATACTGTATAATCGCTGGACGCAAACGTCGGACTTCTATGTGATTCCTTGATCTTGGACCCGCCAAACCTGGACATGCTTCCATGCCGGAGGGTCGAAAGGTACACTCCAGCTTGGCACTTCGTTGCCGCTCGGCTCTAATGAAATCGAGACCTTTGTAGGCGGGCTGGCAGTGGCCATCCAAGAACCGCCTTGCGCGCCAAACCCAACTTCGAAATTCGAACATTGATTGCAGCGAACATTCGCCCAACCTGGAACTCCGCCATGCCCATCCCCCGCTCGGCACCTAACAAAAAATTGACAACCCTCCGCGTCCACCTCGAGCGCGAATCTGCTCTTCACACTTCCAATCAAACTTTCATGCGCAGCTGGCTCACGCGTCACCACGGCGAAGAAAAGGAGACACTTGACACCACCAAAACACACATACATCCGACAAAAGGATGCACATCTATACATCGACAACAGCAGGATTTGAACCTGCGCTCCCAAAGGGAACTTCCTTAGCAGGGAAGCGCCTTAACCACTCGGCCATGTTGTCACTTGAATGTCGCTAGAAACCAAAGTAAATTAGATAATCAAAAGTACTTCAATTGTTCATGTTGGCGGATTAAGCGCCTGTGGATTGCTTTCTGGAGCATGGAGCATGGAGCATGGGGGAATGTGTCAAGCAATGTCCTGCATTACCACTACGTACAACGATGCCGGGTGGTCTTCGCCACAGCGTATGTCGAGTGCAAGCCGCGTGAAAACGGTAGTGTGATGCGTTGCGGCAAACTTATGCGATTGCACTCATAGAAGCCAAGGCGGGGGACTCCGAGTGGGGTTGTTGGATGAGTCGCTTATCATCGTGAGGGATCTCTTCCCTCAGGCTCTACAATGCGGTGGCCTTTATGCAGCCCGACGAAATCGTCAGTGAGTGCCCACAAGGGGAACTCCGCCCCGGCCGAGTGGTTAAGGCGCTGTCCTAGGCGATGCTTTCCTCGCAGAAGAACACTTCGGGAATTCTATTTCAAGCTGTGGCCAAGTCAAAATGATATCCGAGTACATCGATGTGATTTCATGCGGTGAAAAGCCCACAGCGGGTCCATTCCAAATACATATGTAGATGTTTCCTTTCTTTCCATCCTTCCAACTCCTGTGTTACGGAGGGCATACGCATGCGCATCAAGTGCTTCCACTGCATACATAATATCAAGCTCTCTTTCCGTCACAGCGCTTCAATTCCTCTTGGGCACCTTTCGCATCTTCAAGTACGACCAAATCCCATCCGTTTTCCCACGCTGAATACACCCGCAACTTTAAGCCGCAGCCGCTTCTCCAGACCCACACTGCATTCCCCATATTTCATGTCTGCATCGCATCCTTCGCCTTTGCCTTCGCTTTGCTCTTAACCTTCTTGACACGCTCCTTCTTTTTCAGCGAGTCCATGTGTAATCGCACAATGTTGGTGTAGGCGTCGTGGAAGCGGTCTGTGTCTTGTGGTTGTACCTGTTGGAAGAAAGTTTGAGGGTCTACAGTCGGGAAGGGAGACTAGGAAATGAGAGAATGGAGACGCTTACCAGAGTGCTTATCTTGGAATTTCTGCAGACGGCGCGGATGAGGCATGGGTAGGTCGATGACGTTGTTTCCGATGATGACGATGGTATTGGAGCAGAAGCTCCTGACTTCTCGTCTTTCCGTTTTTGCTTCTGTTCCTCATATGCATCTGCGATAACCCAGATTCCGATATTTAAGTCCCAGGATCGAAAACATGAGCATCTCCTGTGCTCTTTCGCTATGCCCTCTACTTCCCGACGCTCCTTTTGCTGCCGTACGCCATCCCTTCGTACGCCCTTTCGCATGCAATCGACCTATGTGCGTCTACTCCTCTTCCTCCGTGTCCCCAGCATTCCCTTCTCACACTCCAACGCCAAAGCTTCATACACCCTGATTCTCACGTACATCGTTTCATGGTCACGTAGACGGTCCCAGACGCCTTGGCGGAGCTATATAAGGTATTCAGTTGGGATAGGAACTGCAAATGAACAAAAGGAGGCATACATGTTAGTATTGCTTAGAGGAAGGCGGCTGCTTCGCAAGGTGCACAGGTCACGTTGCCCCGCTTGTCCAGGATATTCCTGCTGAAACCCCCCTCCCTTCTGCGTACATACCCCGTCGTTGGATAGAAGAGGCATCTTTTATACTTTTTATACTTGGTGGAAATGCGCGAATCCGGTCGAAGTTTGCGGAAGTGTGAAATGGACTGGCGGCCTCTGTACGCTTTTCTCTGCGACTGGGTGGGAGTTGTCCTAGCCTGAGGGTGGAGTCGTCCGTAGCGGATCGTGGGCAGGGAGAGTGGTAGGATACAGTGGAAGGTTCTCGCAGGCCGTTGCAGCGAGAGGCGTCATGACAGCTCACGCGTCGGGCGACAAAGTCCGCCTTCTCTGGCCTTCTCTCACGCTCGCCCTCCTCAAAAACAACCCCCTGCGCTGTACAGACGCTCCCTCTTTGAGACGCAAAAGCAGTCCATACACCGGAAATGGCTACCACAGCAGCGAAAGCCTTCCCATGGCTCGAAAGCCTCCAACGCTCCCTCGACAACAATCCCGACCCGAGTACGTCCCCCAAACTCCCATCTTCGAGTTTTTCCACTATCTCACACTCCCCACCTTCCAGCCTCACGATGGCCCTCTCTCGCAACAATCAACGCAAAGACCCAGCCAACGGCCCGCATAGTCGCCTTCCGCGGTTTCGTGAAAGATCACATAGACGAAGCTGCCCAGAAAAACATCAACCCAGCTATCCTGAACTCGATTATTTTCACTACCGACGCGCGAAGTGCCAAGATTGAAGAGTTGCAGCAGAGGAGAGACGCGGCGCTTTGTTGGTACTTTCAGGATACGAGGGAACAACATAGGTTTCAGGGCACGATGAGGATTGTGGCGGGCCCGGAATGGGAGTGGAGGGAGAAGGAGTTGAGTGGTTGGAATGATTGTGGGGTGGATTGGGAGGAGGTACGTGTTTTGAGTGAGGGCGAGCGGAGCGAGCCACATTGCGCCAAAGGCGCAATACTCCCTTTACCGCTTTTCTTAGGGCCCAACATCCGTGCTGCGAGCAGAGCGAGCAGGGGTATCCGTTCAACCATCATCCCCAAATCAATCAACCTTGGCTTCGCACATGCATCGGTCATCCACTCAACGCTTCACTTCTTCCAACACAGGTTCGACGCGCGGAGTATGCCAAAATGTCACCCACAATGAAAGCCACCTTCACCCACCCACCCCCCAAATCCCCGCTCCTGGCAAACACCGCCTACGAAGCCGCACTCACCGACACCGCCTCGCCCGCCCAGCACGCCGCCGCGCTCAAGAATTTCGCGCTGCTGGTGTTCAAGGTGCATGAAGCGGATCGATTGGATCTGAGGCCGCAGCCGTATCTGAGGGAGTTGGGAGGGAGCAGGGAGGGGAGCGAGGAGTGGGAGAGTGCTGAGGTGTGTCCCTGAGCATTCCCCTCGTTAAAGCGACGGTCGATAGGAAACGGCGTATTGTTTTTTGTATCACCTGTATAGCAGATAGGGTTTTCTCTCTCAATACAAAGCATTCATACTATTCCACGACGGGCCCCCCCTCACCATATCTTCCCTCAACAGACCCACCACGACATCAACTACTTCTGCCGCAACCTTTCCCTCACCTTCTACGACACTGCTAACCCCGCCTCCGGGGCCCCCTCGACCCCCAACCTCCTCCACCAGTCTCGCAAAAACTACCACCACCTCCTCCACACCACCGTCGCTCAAATCCTCGCCACCGTCTCCTCCCTCCGTCTCGCTTCTCACACCAGTGGCACGGAATGCAGGGTTGGGGTCGTCGTAAGCGATTTGATGGCCGCGACGGGGGAGATGATGCTGCGGATGGTGCTCGAGGGGTTGCTTGGACGGGACGGGGAGGGGGAGGCGTGGGTGGAGGTGTTGAGTCGCCGCGCGGCGTTTTTGAAGAGCAGTTTGGATGGGAGGTTTGCGGGGATGCGGGTTGATGGTGTTTTTAGTTCGAAGGTATGTGTTGTTTCTTCCGCACATCCATTCGTTGTGTTGGGTAGTCTTTCATCGCAAACTGACGTTTCAATCCTATAGATAACCCTCGTAATCCTGATAACATCATCTCCCCACATCGCCCTCGCCAAAGAGATGCTAGATAAGCAGGACGCGGAAAAGATCCAGGACGCGGTGTACTTCTGTACGAGTGTGGGTGTAAGACGGGAGAGGCTGGCAAAGGTGATGGGAGTGGAGGAGGAGAGGGTTTTGCTGCCTGTGTGGGAGGCTATTGGGAGTGGGGAGGAGGATAGGGTCGGGGCGAGGGAGGAGTAAGGGTGGGGAGGAAACGTACAGTGAGATTGCTTTGGCATTTTTGGGAACTTGGAGGTTAATGTACAGCCAACATCAAAGCTTCTGGGCATGCGTTGTGGCAGGTGCATACTTCGCTATTAATAGTGCACAATCGCATCACATGTATTTCGCACTCTTGAGAGAAAACCAGTATGCTTGCTTCCTAACTGTATAGCTACCACATAAGTGTAAAAGTTCGCCAACTTCCTCTGCTCGGGTGAGGTGCTCTCAAAGCCCCTCACCGCAGAGTTCCGCCAAGGTATTGTGGTTGTTTGCCCTCCCAAAAACGGCGCGGCCGTAAACCTTGACGCGCCAGCTCACTCAAACGCATCAATAACCTCCTTCATATGTTTAAAAGTCTTCGCGTTAGTGCGCACATCGATGAACTTCTCCCTTGTCTTTTTGCGCATGGTGAGGATATAGTCGCGCAGCTCCGGGAGAGATGCTTCGTCTTTTTCAGCGATGATGTAGGTGCTCATTATCAATTCTATTGGCTGCGCGGTTGAGGAGAAGGGAGGAGGGTTGGTGAGTCTCCGCAAAGGGACATGAGACAAGGAGAGCCCGGAGGGAGATACATACAGCCATCTTAGTCGGCACACTGAACACATGGCTCGCCTCCTCCACCATCGTCGCAAAGACCTGCAGAACGCTCTCGACCAGCACCACATGTTCCTTAGCGATCGGTTCCTTCTTGGCCATTTCTTTCTCGATGAGGGGCCTGCTCGGCAGCTTGTCGGGGCGCTTGTTGATGATGAGGATGATGATGAGGACTAGCTGGAAGGAGTATTTGCGGCGGGATTCGACTTGGGCGAAGAGTGTTGGGAAGGACTGGTGGGGGGTGAGGGTTCGATTGAGGGTGCACGGGCATTTACTGGTGAGATTGTGAGAACATACATCGGTGAGGTCACGCGCGAGGTCGGCTAATGGTCCTGGTACAGCCCACATCTTCTCTGCCGTGGTCAATGCCACCCCTGTGCATGGACGAAGGATCAGTACCGATCGCATACCACTCCAGCCAACCACAACCATGCCCAAGTTCCCCATGACGTCCCCAACATACCCAACTGCACCCTCCTAAAAATCTCCTGCTCCTGGTCATCTGTCAAGCTCCGATACTCGACACACATGATCTCCTTCTTATCAAACTCCTTGCGCTCATCCGCGGTCATCCTCCTGCTTCTCGCCGAGGAGTGGCCGGAGTGGCGGTACCATATCCGCTCGCCCGTTAAAGAATCGATTTGCGGGATGAGGCCTACCATGAAGCGGTTTATGGAGGTGATGCGTTGCTTGCCGTCGATGGCGACTCGCACGTCTAGGTCGTCCCGTGGTCTGGGATGCGTGGAAGAGGCCTGTATGAGGCTGTTATTCTTTGACGAATGTAGCCGACGGCCCCCAGCCCCGTACCTGATGGAAAAGATCACTGGTGGAACGTAATAGTTCTTGACCAATGCTGTGTTCGATAGAAGCCTTAGTCAGCATCAATCAACATACGCGACGTGCTCGGCCATATACACTCACAGTCAATGAGATGACCCTGTTTCGCTTCTATACAGAGCGCGAATCCGCGGATTAGTTTCCGCATTACATCATCATCGAAACATCAACCATGATCAACCCATCAACATCCAATAACATCCACCGACCACCGACCACCGATCATCAACAAGCGATACCCTGCTCGCTCCGAGGATGTTGGATTGCGGTGGGCAGGAGTGTAGCTCGCTTCGCTCGCTAAAAGATGTGAGGCTCGCTTATGCTCGCTAAGAGCCGTACTTCGAGGAAGCATTGCGCCTTCACCGCAATGTGGCTCGCTCCGCTCGGAACCTCAAACATGCAACCCTCGCTCGCTCCGCTCGCGGCCCTTACATTACCATTCCATACGACCTCCCTCTTAGTGGCAAGAGTGTGAGAACGGGTGCCGCGGAAGAGAGACTGTTTGATGACTCCAAAGTAACGGCATACCTGATAAACCGCGTTCAAGTCGATAACACCTTGATTAACATACTCTGAGAAAGAGACAACGGGGTTTCAGCATGAACCCCATCTTTCCCCAGCACCTCCTCTGTCTCCTCGTCCCCTACCGTTTAATATTTCGAAAGGCATAGTATAAGTCGCGGGGGCCTTGAGGGCGTCGCGGGCGTCGCGGGCGACACGCTGCGAAGCCTCTCGTCCTCTGAGTCGTAGAAGTGGTCGTGGTCCTCGTCTTCCTGGTCCCGGCGCCGTTTTGTCATCTTCGTTCGGTTGTTATATGTATTGCGACGAGGATCTGGGTACGATGATTGGGGTCCGACCGACGGTGCGTCGTGGGAATTGTTTTTGGACTACGTAGTAAACTGACTTCGGACTTGGGGATCTCGGTGGCGCAGCAGTCCATTTAAATCCCCCGCGTGTACGTCACGCTTACGAGATGGGGGAAGTGGAGCGTGCGGAGTTGGAAGTGTTTCACCCCCCCAATGTTGTTGTGGAGTGGAACTTTCCATTGAGATGAAACGCCCTGCCGCAAGCAATCCCCCCCCTGTTGCTCTTGCTTTACTGTTATACGTCTTAAGCAATGAGAATCAGGCAACGGACGGGGAGAGCGGTGCGTCAAACCCGCCTCGTACGTATTTACTGTGAGTATTATTATTGACAACAATCACCCATCCCCCCCTACTAACAACCCCCCCCGTAATACTCGTTATTGTCCGCCGTTCCCCATGTCTATTTCGTTGCTTCGCTGCTTTGCCTATTATTATCCTCGTATAGGCCTCGGTTCGGTCCTGCTCCCGTCTTGAAAAAAAGTCGACATCGATCGCATCCAACAGTACGTAGAGAAGAGCGAGAAGAGACGGTGTGGTCAGTCTACGCTCCCACCAGAAAGCGTTCTACACCAAACTCAACGCTCGCGGCCTCTGCTCGGGTTCACCAACACAGCAGAGCAGAGCTGCTCGTTCGGCTCTAAAGGACTTCCGACAGTGTACACATCTAAATTCACATACAAAGTCACATATACCTGCGAGCCAGAGGCCTCTGTACATATTCCCACACCATGCCAGCACGAACCACCACCGCAACAGCCCTGAGGTTGCTGGCCACCTCCACTATTCTCCTCTGCTTCCTCGCCACGCCGGTCGCAAGTCAAACTACGTCGAATCCACCACAAGGAGATTGGTATGAGACCCCTACGGACCCGTCAGCATAATTCATGTGTCTTGTCTTGTTGACCCCGCCTTTCTTTGTTTCTCTTTTAGCTTCAGTTTTCCCACGCCACCACAAGTTGTCAGTACCGCGTTGATTTCGAGTCCCAATGCTTCCGTTAGAGCTTGTGCTCTGCAGTGTTTGGCGCTGACGCCGCCAAGGGATAGGACCGCTTTATCTGCCAGGAGTTTAGCCACGGGGACTACTATTTGTGAGTGGAAGCGAGTGCGATAGCGGAGGGAGTACGCGAAGGAAGGGAGACCGAGCGTAGCGAGGCATGCTTGAGGGTTCCTACTGGACCGGAGGCCCAGGAATTGCGGATCACCCAGCCCAACATCCTTGTCGCGAGCGGAGCGAGCAGGGTATCGTCCGCTCAACCCACCATCCAACCAACCACTGTATCGCTCATCCGAGTCTAACTCACCTATATTTTATTCACAGCGTGCGCATGTTTCCAATCCGACCAACAACCGGCCTCCTCCGTCCCACCCACCGGCACATGCGGGCTCACCTGCACGCAAGACAACCTAATATGCGGCAGCAACCGCGCACCCAACGCGTTTGTAGTCTACGTATCAACCGATGCAACCGCCGTAGTTAGAAACGCCGTCTCCGCCGCGACACCCATCCCAGGCCGACCAACACTGACACCATCGACAGGCAACCCCGGCGGAGTTGACGGCAAACAGAACGCCAAAATCGCACCACCGGCCCCGGACAGCCCCAACTCGGTCGCGATCGTTGCGGGTGTTGGATTGAGTTTGTTGGTGGTTGGGGTGGGGATGGCGTACTATTTCTACAGGAAGAAGATTTTGAGGAAGGGTTCAAGGCAGGATCCGGAGGATATGACTGTGCCGGTGGGGACGGTGTCGAGGCCGGATGGTGGGGATTATTTGCCGAGTACGTTTGTGAGGACTTCGGATGGACAGCCGCAGTCGACTCTTCCTCCACAAGGTATGTTGAGGGACGATCGTCTTTTTTCACACAGAATGCAGCAAACAAAACTAACGCTACATTCTATTTTGATATTAGTCTCGATCGTGAACATCCCAGGAGACGGTCAACGAAAGGAAGAGAAGAGTGCATCGAAACCTCTGGCGGCATCTCAAACATCGCAGATTCTGCAGGTGCAAAACAAAGCACCCACAAATGCTCAAGATTTACGGGCGCCAAGGATGGAACAACCACCACAGATGCAACCCACCAAACCTTCAACCACCCAACCCTCCCGCATAAACAAACCGCCACAAATCACCGACTCCTTCCTCTACGTAGCCGAAGCCCCCCTCCTTAGCAACCCCGCCTTTCGAGGTCCTCTAGGAGGCCCAACCAACACCGGCCCCAAAAAACCACCAACAAACGAACCCCTCAAAATCGCCGCCGAATTCTCCTCCCGTGCCCTCGGCCCCGCCGCAATCGCACCTTCCGCAGAACCCAACCTGCAACGCGCGCGGCAGATGGGCGTGCCGATCTTGCAGAGTCCGCCCAATGCTAAGACGTATAGGAAGGTAGACAGCCCGACTTCTGACCCGGAACACGAGCCGGATGTGCTGGCCCCGCCGGTCCGAACCGTGTCGATGCCGCAGAAGGCGACAACGGCCCCGGGGCCGATGGCGGTTAGGACGAATATCGTGCAGATTGCGCCGAGGGTTGATGTTTCGGTGCTCTCATCCACGCCCGTGAAATCGGAACCGTCGCAGATTTCCTTCTCCTCCCAGGCGCCGAAAGCTTTGCTGCCGTCACCCCCCGTGGCCGTCAATCAGGGACCGATGATAAGCCCGAGCGGGTCCAGTCTACTTTCCGACGCAGAAAAGTACTTCTTCCGATTTTCAGGGCTCCAGTCCTACGAAACCACCAACAGCCCCGGCCCACCCAACCGCGCTTACACCCCCTCTGCGTCCGGCTCAGACGCACCCGACGCAATCCGCAAATCCTCACTGGTGACGCCCAACAAGGCGCTCTCCCACGTCTCATCCTCAGCGTCCCGGCCCTCCTCCCGCTCCTCCACAAAATCCGTCCGCTTCGACATGCCCCCACCCCCCGTCCGCGCCCCACGAGCCATCTCAGCGCGTCAATCCTCGCTCGTCAATTTCCGTACCTCGGAGAATAAAGTATTTCGATCCTCATCGTTGAAGGAGGTGATCACCGACGTCGATATCACCGGGTCACCGGAGAAAGGGGACACTCCGCCGATGAGGAATGGGAGCAAGCTTCGCAGCGAGATCACACCGGACTCGCCATCCACCGCCGCCGATACATCCTCAAACACGCAACAACAGCAAATCGACTCGCTGATGTTGGAGCTCTCCCACATCGCGGACGCGTTGTTGTCGGGGAACTCGATGCAGTCGCCTGCGATCAGGGATTTGACGCTCGCGCCGGAGAGGGACGTGAGCTCCCCGAAATTGTTGACGGGGATGACGGATCTGTATGAAGATTTGAATCGGGCGGTTGAGGTGGGTTGGGAGGTGAAAACGGAGGTAGCGGATAGGTCGGAGGGTGCTGAGCTAAAGCTCCCTGGCGGATCGACTCCAGTCAAGTCTCCTGCCAACCGGGACTTGCCCCTTTCACCCGAAACCCGCACACCAAGCCCGGAAATCCTACCATCCACAACCGACCTGTACAAAAACCTCACTTTCGAGACCCAGAACATTAGCCCCGCCTCTGAGCGTGTGGAAGAGCAAGAGGAGGACGAGGAGGAGGAGCAAAAAGAGCAAACACCCGTCGACCGCGCACTCGACCTCCCCTCAGCCGACCCGAAACACCTGACATCCATGACGGATCTGTACGGGGGGTTTTCGGCGTTCGGGACTATTGACCGGGTCACCAAAGCACGGAGGGGAAGTGAGGCGAGTAGCGATGATGGGGGCTGGGGATTTGAGTCTGCCGATGCGTTTGACCGTCAGCCGGAGGAGCAGGTTCAGGAGCAGGAAGAGGAAAAGGAACGGCTGACAAGCGTTGGGAGCGCTGATAATCGGTGGGAAGCTGACTCTCAGACGCGTGAGGAGCAGGCGGAGGAAATCGTAAACGAAAGGCCTGCAAGCGTTGTGAGCGCCGACGACCGCTGGGACGCCGGAATCATGTCGAATCAAAACATGTTCGCCCCCGACGTGAAACACTCTACATTCATGTCGGAGCTCACATCCATGTCGGATCTGTACGGCGGGGTTGCCGAACCCGAGTTTGAAAACGAATCCGATGATGAAGATATCGCACCGGACGAACCCACCCCGACCACCACCGCCGTCCCACACACGGCCTCACTCCGCCTTTCCACAGCTTCATTCGCGCCCAATAACGAAGATTCGCAAGACCTGAAACGACTCATCTCCGTATCAGAATTCTACGGCGCGTACGACGAACACGACCAACCCCGCCGTCGCGGCAGTGTCGAGTCGGATGGGGATAGCGAGGTCCGGTCGTTTGTTGACGAGGAAGATGATGATGATGACCGGGTTCCGGTAGACGAACCGACGTGGGAGGTGCAGCAGCCCAGAAGGGAGGATCCTCTGCGCAGCATTGCCGAAGAGGCGGTCATCGTCGTCGACGAAGACCCGGACAACGACACCGACCAAACACCCACTCCACCGACCTACGCCCCCACAACTTCCCCAACGACCTCCCTACCCCTGACATCCGCCCAACCCCGCGCACCCTCCTTCACCCCCGAAGAACTCGCCCTCCTCCAAAACCTCCCGTTACCCCCCGACATCATGTCCGACCCCGAGTCACCGACACCCACCGACCGCCACTCGATCATGAGCGTCATGCCGGATTTGCCGGCAAGGATCCCGAGGGCGGAGGTGGCGATGTCGCGGCAGTTTATGTCGCCGTCGCCGTTGTCGTCGCCGTCGCCTAGGAGTGCTGTGGTGCTTGATGTGAGGGAGGAGGTGGAGAAGGAGGGCTTGGAGGAGAAGAGGTTGGAGTTTGGGGAGGATATATGCTGAAAGTTGAAATGCGTATGTAAAATAGCTGGCCTGTTTTAGATCTCCCTTTCCCCTATTAGACATACATTGTTTTGGCTCGACCTGTTGGGACAATTTCGGCGTAGCTTCATTGAGATAATACAAAGAGACAGTGTTAAGGACCTCAGATACAGTTCGGTTCCAGTTGCGGGCTTTAGTTTGACGTTATATCCAAAAACATTTCAATGGTACAGGAAGGTACATGAACAAAAAACAAGCAGGGTCGTGGGATGTTGCCTACATCAAAAACAAACAAAACGGGGACAGGCGCCTACGCACGTCTACAAAAAAGCTGATCACACAAACACCCAACGAACGCACTCACAGTCTCGCCTTCATGCACCACTGCGGCGGCGGAGTTGACGTCTCGGGCGTATGCTCCGGCTTCTGTTCCGGCGGACTATCCTTTCCCTCCACAACCGGCACCGCGTCCGCCGCCACCTGCACAACATGGCCGGGCACCCCATCCTCAAACGCCGCCGCCAGGACATCATCGATCGTCTTTGCCATCACAAACTCAATCTCGTCCTTCACGTACGCCGGCACATCCGCAAGGTCGTTGGCGTTACGGAAGGGCATGATGATCCGTTTGATCCCCGTGCGATGGGCCGCGAGGACTTTCTCCTTCACCCCGCCGACGGGGAGGACGTTCCCGCGGAGGGTGATTTCGCCCGTCATGGCTGTATGTGGGCGGACGGGCTTGCGGGTGAAGAGGGAGACTAGGGCGGTGACGATGGTAATGCCGGCGCTAGGCCCATCTTTAGGGGTGGCGCCTGCGGGGAGGTGGATGTGGACATCGAGGTTTTCGAGGACGTTGGCGGTGGAGGAGGGGGAGAGGCCGAGGCGGTGGCTGTTGGCGCGGACCCAGGTTAGGCCTATTTGGGCGGATTCTTTGATCACGTCGCCTAGTTTGCCTGTGCGGATGCATGGAAATCGTCAAGAATGCACTCGGGGACACATTCTCAAACTGTGGAATATAGTCCAAAGACTCACCAGTGAGATGTAACACACCCCTTCCAGGCATCTGCGTCGCCTCAATAAACAGCAATCCCCCCGCCCCACTCGCCGTCCACGCCAGCCCCGAAGCAATCCCCGGCACAGACGCCCGTTCCGCAACCTCATCATCAAATCTCTCCGGTCCCAGTATCTTCTCCAGCTTCTCAACCGTAACATGCCCATCAAAAGCGGTCCCTTTTTCCTTTGCATCTGCAAACTCGACAGCCATGGCTCGGCACACAGCGCCAATCTCGCGTTCGAGGCTACGGACGCCGGCTTCGCGGGTGTAGCCGATGGCGATTTTGAGGAGAACCTCGCGGTCGATTTGGATGTCCTCGGGTTCGAGGCCGTGGGCTTTGATTTGTTTTGGGAGGAGGTGGCGTTCTGCGATATGCAGCTTTTCGTCGAATGTGTAGCCCGGGATTCGGATGACCTCCTGGGAAATGGCACGTATGGGTGAGCATGAGGATGGCAGATCAATGGAATTGCGAGCTCGGCACATACCATGCGGTCATAGAGAGGGCCTGGAATTGTGTCAGCATCGTTCGCAGTCGCCACGAACAAGACATTGGAGAGGTCAAAAGGCAGATTCAAGTAATGATCTGTGAATGTGGAGTTCTGTTCGGGATCCAGGACTTCCAGTAATGCCGATGATGGATCGCCACGGTTGTCACGACCCAACTTGTCGATCTCGTCTAGTACAAAGAAGAGAAAGTCGGCGATTGCTTAGCATGTCATTGTTTAAGGGTAGGGCCATCAATGGCTAACTCATGACGCACCTAGCAGGATGACGGGATTGTTCACACCACATCGACGCAAACCCTGCACAATCCGTCCCGGTAACGCCCCAATATACGTCCGCCGATGTCCACGAATCTCAGCCTCATCTCGCACTCCGCCCAGCGAAATGCGATGAAACGTGCGACCCAAGGCCGTAGCCAGCGATTTGCCCAGACTCGTTTTTCCAACCCCCGGCGGCCCAAGCAAACACAAAATCGGTCCCTTCAGATCCTGCTTCAGTTTCCGAACCGCAAGGTACTCCAATATCCGTGTCTTGACTTTCTCCAGGCCAAAGTGGTCATCGTCTAATTGCTGGCGCGCTTTGGCAATGTCCATGATGTCCTCTGAGTGCTTGCCCCATGGCAACTCCGAGAGCCATTCCAGGTAGGTTCGGACCACCTGGTATTCTGCCATACTGGGATGCATGCGCTTCAGGCGCCGTAGTTCGCGCCCTGCTGCTTTGCTGGCCTCATCTGGGAGTTTGGCTTCGGCTATCCGGTTGTTCAGATCGGCTACGTCGTCTTCCTCGCCGTCATCTGATTCGCCAAGCTCCTTCTTGATCGCATCGAGCTATGGATGATTCAATTTCATTGGCATTCAAGCGGATCGTCAAGGTCCCAATAGCCCTTCCATACCTGCTGACGCAAAAAGAACTCTCGCTGTTTCTTCCCCAGCTTGGAATCCACAGTCGACTGCAGCTTTTGCGAGATCTTGAGGACTTGTATTTGACGCGTCAACAGCTCCGCGGTCCTCTTGATCCGCGTTTTCACGTTGGTGGTTTCCAGAATCTCGAGCTTTTCTTCCATGCTGAGATCAATCATGCTTGCAAAGAGGTCAGCGAGCTGGCCTGGTGGTGTTGAATCGAGCATTTGTCTTAGTTGCGTCAAGACAGTGGGTGGTAGTTGGAGCTGTGACAGGACGTTCGCGAGTTCTACATCGGGATGATTGGAATATTAGTCAATCAAAGGATCGTCAGCTGAGACAGTACCAAGGACGTACCATGTCCGCTTGCTCGAAGATTCAGAATGATAGCCTGGAGTTCGGCATCGTCCTTTTCAATCGTCTGTTCGGGATGTACCAACACAGCTGCCTCAAAGTAGGGCGTCGTCTTGGTGTACTTTTCGACTTTGAACCGCGCAAGACCTGAGCGCATTGACAAATATCAGCACATGCCACTTTAAAAACTGTAGCCACGAACTCCGCTCTCCTCCCACCTTCTAACGTCACAGTGTAGCTAGCGCGAGTCAGCTTAGTTTCGCTCGGACTGTTCCTCTTAAGGTTCAAGATGCGTGCAGCGACTCCCCATCCAAACAGTTCAGTCTCTTCAAGCGGTTGCCGACCGTCATCCACGTCCACCGGCTTCCTGTAGAGTCGCGAAGCACGCGCGGGCTTATTCTCGTTCGTCTTTGATGTCCCACCATTGTTGGTCGATGTCCCGTCGCCATTTGTCCCAGTAGGATTTATCTGCTCCACAGGAGTGTATTTCACGGGCACACAGCCGACGATAATATTTGGGTTCTTCGAATACTGCTGGATGAGCTGATCCATCAGATGCGTCGTATCCTTACGTCCGATTTGTAACCGGAGGACGATGCCCGGCAGCAACACTCTGTTGTTGCGAATGGGTACGACGGGAAGAGTCTTTGGGATCTCTGATGTCGCCTTTGTAGATGGCATGGCGTGCAAGCTTTATCTAGGCGCTGGGTGAAGCCCCTGGTTTCTACAAACTACGATCTCTCCTTATACCTAACGGTCTTGCCTCGAAGAGACTGATAGGACTGCACAAGACAGGTGCTAAGATGTGGTCGGACGAACTCGAAGCGTGCTAGCGGTTGAACCTATGGAATGGCGTTGCAATCTGCAGCTTCTTGCGCCCGGTGTCCGTGGGTTCGCCTCTCAAGTCTACGAAAAGGGTGAGGTTTCGTTCCCGTACTTGCAGGTTTGATATGGTAACGTAGAGAGGGATGCGGGGCTACAGTAGGTAGGGAAAATCCCAAGCACAGAAGCACAGCGAGCTCGCGGACATTTGAAAGCGCTCCCATGTGATGGCCATGACACGCGCGCAGTTCACACGCTCTCAGTCGACCTTATCCTGGAGGTTTGGAACTTTGGATGAAGCGTTTTCACAGATTTACAAGTCCGAGCACTATGTAAGTATGTACACCCGAATGACTATCCTGCTGTACGCCCGAATGAATGGGTGTCCAAGCGCTTTGGACCGGGGGTATATATATATGTACAGTACAGGATTGATGGTAAAATGTGGAAACTGCGGTCAAATCGAAATGTGCTGCCCATGCATCCCGGCCCACCCCGCACCAAACCCACTCAGCATTATGCTAAAGACCTGCATAAGCCTCGACTCATGACCACATTCCCGACATCCGTATCCGGCACAATCTCTGCACAACGACCGTACCGAAGCCAAATCCCCGACCGTCTCGCGTTGTGGAGGCTCCGCGGTCCGCTTTTGCCACCACGACCGGATCTTCCGCACCAACGCTTTCCGTTTGTACGGCGGCGGTGCATGTGGGAGGACGAGCGTGACGGTCGACCGATACGCAGGCAGCAGCTCCCGACTCGAATTCAAGCAGTGGAGCATGAGTGGATACACCTGGCTAGGCAGCGCATTCCGCTCGCGATCTGCATGTCTAGATCTGCTGCCATTCGTATGTTGTTGGTATGGCGGGATATCATCCATCGCTTCTTCAAGGCGGCGGGCCTCCTCCGCCACCTCCTCCGCCCTCCGCCGTGCTTGTCCTCCTATCCGCAAGCAGGACAGTCTCCCTGGCAACCGTAGGTATCTTGAGCGCGGCCGTGTTGCGCTCGCTGCGTTTCGATTAGTTTCGGTAACTGAATGCGGTGCGTCGTATCGTGGTGGTCGCTGCTGCCGCGAAGCGAATGGTATCGACGAGGGGTCTCGTTGGTAAGCGGGCGCCTCCGAGTCCCAATCGTCGTCGTGGTATGTTTCTGCTATTGTATCGTGGTGACTCGGTGCGAACAGCACCCTTCTTACGGGCGCCGCAGTGGACTCCCTGCTGGACGCGTTGCGTAGGGCAGACATACTGACTGGTGGAATACTACGAGTTGCTTCCAAATAGCGTACGTCAAACTAGCGCTTTAGGAATGGCGGAAGTCATTCCTCTATCGCCAGAACGTCGCAATGCGGAGGTTGCTTCACAGGGAAACGTCCAAACGACTCTGCATGACCTGCTCAAACTCTGCTCAACTCGGCTCAAAAGATGCCAGTCGTCTCATGGGAGACTCTTGCCTCCCTCTCTGTGGATAAATATGATATTCCCCTGGCATTGAGCGGGCAGAGAAAAAGCCCGCAGGCCCGGGCCTTCTTTGAGAGCTTTTCGGTGCCCTCCGTCGACAAAACGCGCCCTTGTCAGTCCAACATGGCGGCCGGTCCCCTCGGCGTGTCGCGCGCAGCACAAAGCCATGCGGACAACGAGGACCAAGATGATGGCTCCGCATAGGGACAACATAAGATCGTCCTTGTTTCTCCACCATCTCCATCATCCAGGGACGCCCAATCCGAAAGCCAAGGCAGTCCGACCGGAAGTCTTTCGGAGCCTTAAAGGTCTAGAACACCTTCTGACGTTCAAGCTTGTGATCGGGATGTTCCACGCTTTCGGAGCGCACACAGTGCCACAGTGGCCATACAGCGCAGATCCGCGCGACCGAAAACCTCAGAGACAAAGGATCACAGGATGGACGCCTGTGGATTTCAACACAATGGATGGTAACGATTCTTACTCGGATGGGCTTTCAGATTTGCGGGTGACAGAATTACATCAAAAACAAAGTCCGTAACAGATCGTGCAACTTGAAAAGGGGGAACTTGATCATGGGAGAGCAAAACAAAATGACTGCCATGAGGGTTGGGAATTAAAGCAGAGGGGTTCCATGGCCAGCCATGGAGCCTGGGTGCGAAGTCACTCAGTTACGCCCTACAGGTCGTCGTCATTTACAGGCGGCGGCGCCAACGCCAGCGAGTACTTGCCCGACGACGCCAGATGCGACAGCGCTTGGTTATACGAAAGCCCTAGGCCCAGATTATCATGCGAATGCCTCACAAGCGAATGGTACGCTCTGCTCGGCGAAGTTGACGCCACAGATTTGGCGTCGTCCGGATGCTGGTGATGGTGACTGTTGTAAGGCGAGTGGTCCCCATAGTCGATGACCCCATCTTCGTCGAATGAGTCAGAGAGCGGGCTGGATTCACCGGCGTTGGCGAGTGCTGATGTTGCGTGCGCCTGGTGGCGCTTGGCGTCGGTGCGGAGGAGGTTGAAGATTGCGTTGGTGGAGTATCGGTTGATTGAGAGCGCGTGGTATAGGTGTGCTTGGGATTCGTGGACGTAGGCGGAGGAGCTGTTGGGATCTCCCTCTGGGGTCGGGGTTTCGGCTGTCGTGTCCGTCTGTACAATCAGGATGCAAAACATATGATGAGGTCTTCATTCATACGCAACAACAAGTGAATATCGCGCGGCTGCAACATACCTCTTTGCCCTTCCCTTTTCTCAGGGAAGTCGCTACTGCCAACGCCTTCTTCTTTGCCAAGGCTTTCACACGTCCCCTGGTTCTTGCGCACACAACACACCAAGCTGTGCCATTCTGCACGTCCCCCGTACCATCCCACTCCTCCAACCGCGCAAACTTCTCCATTTCGGCTTGCAAACACGCCGCATGAAACGCATGTCGACAGGGCATTATCACCACCTTATTCTTCGCGGAGCGTTCCGCCTCCGACATGGCGCGGACGTGCAGGAGTCGCCTGCAAAGCGGACATTGCCCACGAGCAGGTCGGAAAGCCTCCGAGCGGAGTCTAGCGTTACGGACGTGATTGGCATGTACGTCGGCGGCCATGACGCGGTTGGTGGCTTGGAGGAGCTCACGCTCGTATGTATATGATTCCAGCATGGAGAAGATGATGTCGCGGTGTTCGCCGAATGTGGCGCTGCGTTGGGATTGAACGATACGGAGAAGGATGGAGGGGAGGGAAACGTGTCCTACCATCGCGTAGAGGATGTCTCGAGTCCGGGCTTTTAGGATCTCGTGAAGGGCGTCGCGGTCTGACGGCTTTGCGACAGATGCGTCCGCACCTGCCTCTCCATTGCTGACATCCAGCGGGACACCGTCCGTAGGAGGTTTCGCCGAACTTGTAAGGTGCTGCATCTCCACGATCGAGTCCAATAAGCGGAACCACACCGTTTCCCTATCTCTCGACTCCGTCTTCGCGTAATGACGTCTGCATAGGTTCAACCCCATATCAACCTTCACTGTAATCACGTCTGCCATCGCTCTCTCGGACACGTCTCCGTCAACGCTTTCCAATGACGTGCCATTCAGAATCGACTCCACATCCTCCTCAATGCTCTTCAATATAACCGACAGAGCCCCATCCCAATTGCCACTCTTCTCCAGCAGCCAGGCGGCTGCATCAATCACGTCATGCTTCTTGCACAGGTTGAATACTCGATCAAAATCATATGGGAAGCCCGCTTGGCCCGCAAAAAGGCTTTCCAGATACTCAATAACATGGTTGGGATGTTTTGAGCCGAGAATATCGATATACCGCTCGTGAATCTCGGCACTCACGCGAGTTCGAGGGTTTTGAGAGTAGCTGCCGGATGATCTCGACGGACGTTCCCTCTGAACCCATTCCGCGTCCAGTAAGCCGGAAAGGTATTTGAACAACGCATCGGTGTCCGCCGATAAGGAGGCGATAACAGTCTTGTGGTCGGCAGGCCAAATCGCATCCACCAAGTCTGCCGTGGAGATCTCATCGATTTGCACTAGGTCGCCGATCCGATCCATGGCGCTGCGCTTGACCGCATCCACTTGCTTCCGTGACAGCTCATCCCGACTGTCTATCAGTTGCCGCAGAGCAGCAAACCCTTCGGTTGCACGATCTGGATCATTGATGTAGCATTCGAGCAGAAGCTCAAAGCGTCGGTGCCTACGGATGACAACTTCATACGCCCGCCAAAATCCTGCGTTCTTGAAGTGGTCGAGATACGCTTTGGACTCTGCGTCAATCAAATCCTTTGCGGTAGTCAGCATGGCCACGACCGCGCGTTGACGCTCGTCGCGACCGAGACTCTCGTGATCGGGTCCCAATGTCAACTGCAGGATGATGCGGCCCAGGACGTGTGTTGGGAAAGCTATTGAAGTATGATAGCGTGCGTATGTTCGAGCAACAAAGCAGTAGAAGATCGTTCTTTGGTCGTCGTTTGCCGCATCATTCCCATGGTCAGCGCGATCTTCTAATGGCTCGTCGTCAATGAGCCAAGTCTCGCCATCAATAACCACAAACAGAGCGTCCAAGATACTCTGTCTCCCGATTACAAAGCGGTCAGTGTACCTCCCTAAGCCATCGGTATCAGCAACAAACACATTGGATTTGATGGCCAGGACATCCGAATCAAGTGTCGAATCGGACATGACTACGGCAACGACTTTCAAGAACTCCTCGGGATCATGGTTGAAGAGTAGCCGTAGGTATGGATACGGTTCGGTGCCCAGTCGTTGCCGAGAGTCGGATCCGGGCGGCCAGGATGCGAACAATGGGGAGAGGAGAAAGCTGAAAACGTCGTTGCGAGCTTGCAAAGATTCGGCGCTTTCGAGTGTGCCGATTGGAAATGCTTTCCCAGTCAGTACGTAGGAGAGGTAAACGTATAATGTGTACACGGCTTCCCTCCGTGACGTACTTGTCGATTCCTTCTTCGCTGAATCGCCGTTTGCAACTGCAGCGCTTTCGGGGGTTGAGACCATCAAGCGGAGGATCTCAATGATGGGCATCACAAAATCTCCCACGCGCGTGTACACGTAGATGAGGGCGCTATGCAAGCCGTGGCGAAGACAGACAGTGATGATGCCATGCACGTCGAGGGTTGCGGTGTCCAAGTGCAGGATCACTTGTGCCAGCCTGTCCAGCCACCCCTTGTTCTCGTAGTGGGAAATGAAATCTTGCACAGTGACGGGACTGCTAAAGGCGGTAACCCGTTCGTCAAGGATATACAGCTCCAGCACTTCCAAGTAAACGTGTCCTAGGCCCTTCTCGCAGAACTCTTCGTAGATGTCGCCGAAAAGAAGTGCGTCTCGATCGATTCCAAGGCATGTGTCAAAGGCTGCGACGGCCAATTGTCGGTACGTCGCGAGGTCTTCCGCTTCATCTGCTTCCGGCGGCTGAGGCTCGTAGCTGGCCATGGACATCTTGATGTAAGTTTGCAAGAGCTCAGCCAGATAGTCCCCGACAACTGTCTGCCGTCCATTCTCATCGACTGGTAAGCCAGTGACAGCATTTTTTGCCTTTCCACTGAAGTACGTCATCCCTAGTTCGATGGCACCTTGAAAATGACCCGTGACTACCAGCGCTTTCAAACGGTCCATCCACGAAAGTCTGCTTGCGCTGGTAACTTCTCGTTGGCCCTACGAAAGTGGAGGAGTACATTGAGCAATAAATCACCATATCCAGCGCCATCTGAGCAACATACCAGAATAAACAAACGGCCTTTGAATGATTTTATACTTGGATAGTAGGCCGCCAAGGCCGTACTGGGCGCACCCTTCGTAAAGTAGTCCGCCGATAGGATCATGCGAGGTTTGACATCCGTTCTGTCAACTTCCTTCATCAGCGTCACATCCAGCAGGATCAGGCTTTGGTTCTCGGTCAGTAGCAGGAGAAGCTGTCGAAGAAGCGTATGAGAGACAGCCTACCAAGACATTCTTGACTAGACCCAATATCTTACCTTATCGTCCACCCACTGAAGTGCAACAATGACATCGTCTCCTAGCCAATCCCCATGCATCTTGTAGTCTATTGGTGTGGATATCGACGCGTCTTGCCTCTTCAGATTTGGAACGGTAGGAGCTCCATATGTCACTCGTAAGATTCGCAGCTGTTTTTCAAACGAGCAAGCTAATAGAGGATCGCACAACCTAGTGTATTTGCCTGATACAACGTTCGTTAGGCTGCGAGCGCACCGTTAAGCCTGAAACGGCAGGCTTACCTTCTGTCGAACGTTTCAGCAAGGGACTCCACGCTAGACAAGCAATCCCACATGCGCGGTCGTCAACCAACTTCGACGCCGAAGTCCCACGGGCCCAGGACATTTTGAATTGCGTTTGCGGTTGCGGCTTCATGCTTTTGATCACCATCTGGAGTATCTTTATCAGCTTGTGGCACCCTCTGGGTCATCAATGTCGAAAATAATGTACCTGATGAGAAGTTGAGAATGCCACAAGATGCGATTGATCTCCAGGGTGTTTGTAATGGCCGACGATGCGAGGAAGAGCAGCCATGGCGTAGATGACGGAAGGAGTTGCGGGGCTGCGAGAGCTGGGTAGCAACCGAGTCATGCTATATGCTCCTACAACCACCATCAACGGCACACCGTGATGAAACGCATTTCCCTATGGTGACATTGCTCTCAGTTTCGAGAACGCAGATCAAAGCTGCATGGAGCACCACTGACCTCGTTATCGGCAGATACAAAAGCACCTTTTGTGCCGACGAATGCAATGTGGATGATTGATGCTCCCTGAACGTGCCCCTCAGGTCTACTTGCGCCTTCGTCTTCCGCGGCAACTGGTGGAATATTCCTCAAAACCGTCTGCCTCAGAAGATTCCAGACACGGATGCACCCATGCGCATATCCGCATACAATCTGCTTATGATCGATCCCGATGGATATAGCTGTTACAGGTCCCAGATCTGTTGACTCACGAGGGTCACCGATAATCACCTTCAGAGTCTGCGCAAAATCGTACACTAGAACCATAGAGCGAGACGTGCCAATGACGATCCCAGCCCCGCCTGATATCGCCATGACGGTCGGTTTGCCGACCTTTTGTCTCATTGCACCAGTGTACAGCTGTAATGAGAGCCGCTGCAAGGATGTCCATCGCAGAACGTCGTTCGGACCTGGTGGAACGCTGATGACGTTGCCAGACCTTCCTGGTTGACTTTCGTTGGAGAAGCTCAGAGGTAGGGATGCGGCAGGTGACGATGATAACGAGGTCATCGACGCGAGTGTCGAAATCGACATGGTCCGCATATGAGCGGGCGGCCGTGGAGACTGAGCTAGCGGTGTGGAGTACGCGCTGGCTTCGGAGGATCGTTCGGATGAGCTATCCTGTAATGGAAGCAAAACACACATTAGCGTTTGCAAGTGAATCGGTTTGATGAGCGTGACCACCACCTCGGCGGAGTTGGTAGCGTTTGTGCTGGCATGGCTGAACTTTGACGCTTTCACCACGACGTAGTTCAAAGTTTCGGCATTCGTGTCAGCAAGGAGTTCTTCACCATCCTCGACATCTGATTGACCGACTGTGAGATTCTACCCATCGCAGTAGAACAGCGATTAAGCGCACGCTACCATCGATGTCCAAAAACTCTCCATACACGGCGATCTCCTCGATTATACTTTCCAACAGTGTCTTCGCTCGCTCACATTGCAACGGATTTGGCCCATTTAGATGGGGCAGGATCTCGCGGTGTAAAGTCTCCAATGCAGCCATCTTCGATCGCAGTACCGATTGGCTTACTTCTGAAATCTCTCCTGGAATCAAAAGCTCAGCAAACCCATTGGTGATCTCAGATAGTGGATCTTCCACATGTTCCGGCTCTGGTTCATCTTCCCAGCTGCGACTCGGTGCAATTTGGTATGTCGAGGAACGTGCTACCGAAGGTCTCTCCGACCTTTCCAAACTTCCGCTCCCTGCCGTCCTATCGGGAAGACTGGAATTCGACAGCCGGCTACTCTCCCGTGGCGAACTGCCCAACGACGCCTGTGCCGTGTTGCGACGGCCCCATCCCGGCAATTTGAAGCCCGTCCCAAATGGTCGCCACTTTGCATAGTCATTCCCTGCCCGCGTTGGTGCATTCCGCTCAGCGCCGTTAGAAGCACCTTGAGGTACCTGTGAACTCGTTGAGGTTGAGCCGTCTTCCGACCCGGCGTCAACATTCTCTCGTGGTGATTCCGTGGGAAAGCCTTCGACGCTGGAAAGATCACTCATATGTAACTCTCGTTGTGAGCCACCATGGGCCAGACTTGGGTTCATCTATTCCCCCGGGAAGAGCTTCTTCGACCTTCAGTACAAAGCCGGTGTCGTTGTGTGCATCGACGGAATTCTGTGCTTTTCGACTCGAGGTTGCAAGATGGCTATGATCGTCAGCGGTTCTCCGACACCGCACGGAGCTTCAAAGGACGGAGAATCAACTATGAAAGTTCGGTTTTATGCTCTCACGGCTTGGAAGAAGCCTTAAAATTGAGCTGTGCGTTTCTGTTGTCTGAAGAGCCTATGATGCCCACGGAGTTGCTTGTTCAAGTCGACATGCCAAATGCTGTGCCAAATGCAACGAGCCCAAATGTCGCGGTGACTTGCGGTGGGTGACACGTCGAAACCTTCGTCCAGACTCCAGCAACTCCTCAAACCGCAAACCATCTTTGGCCCAAGATTCCACCGTTGTTTGCTGCTCACAATCACTCAAAAATGGACAGCATAAAAGCGCTCTCACGGCTATCCGTCCGCCAGGTAGGTCCTTGCTGCGGTGGCTCCTCCCTGTTCGTAGCGGTCTCTGATCCATCATATCACCCCACAGGTAGCGCAACAAGCCCTCAATTTCTGCCTGATCGTATCGTCGGCGCTTATGATATGGAAGGGTCTTTCGGTCGTAACAAACACCGAGTCACCAATAGTCGTCGTACTTAGGTACATCGAATATAGCCTCCGTTGCACTCCTCGTTTGGCCAACCCTTACCATTGTCCGTGTTCACCCCAGTGAGAGCATGACACCGGCGTTTCAACGCGGCGATCTTCTCTTCCTCACCCTCCCCTCCACCCCAATAAACATCGGCGACATTTGCGTCTACAAAGTAGAAGGCAAAGAGAGTGGCATTCCAATCGTGCATCGCGTGATCCAAATACACACGAAGGACAACGACACGCAGTACTTGCTGACGAAGGGGGATCATAATCCGGCGGATGATAGGCAGGGCGGGTTGTATGGGAAGGGGCAGATGTGGGTGAAGAGGGAGCATGTTGTGGGGAAGGTTAGAGGGTAGGTTTCGATGTTGTCCGGTCGTTGCTTCGCTCGCAGACACTTCATCTGACTGTTACCTCGCTTCCCTTCCAGGTTCCTGCCATACGTCGGGATGGTAACCATCCTGCTGAATGAGTTCAAAGAGCTCAAGGTACTTCTACTCGTCGTCTTAGGGCTATTTGTATTGTTCTCGAAAGAAGATTAGGTGTTCTGATACCGCATCAACGTGCTCATGCCGGGTGAGAGCACTGCAGTTCTATGGTATCGTAACTCCATCGAGGAGGTCATGGCGAAGTACGGGTCCCGCAGAATAGTTCTGATTCGGTTTGTGAAATATCTACCGAACCCACGTTCATTTTGGGACTTCATAGCAATGGTATTGGGGAAATTTGAATACAAAGAGTAGAAACTATAATAGAAGACGATGACCGCGAAACGAAGCACATGAGACCTATAAAAAATCTTGCCTTCGCTACAAAACCTCACGGGGCCGGATATTACAACAACGAATTAAAAGGAAGGTATCAACATAACGCCCGCAACAAGGCAAAACAACTACAGCCGCCTCGTTGACTCGCTGCCCGCATTGAGAATGAGGAAGGCAACCTATACTGTAGATCTCGAAATTTTAGCGAGCAAACTCGCTTGCTTTTTTTTTTTTTAATTTTACGCCGACTGCCTCAAGGGCATTTTCAGGTCCAGGGCTTGTGGTTCCTGAGCACTGAAATCTGCGCCTCGTTTGATGTTCTTTTCGTCCGTAATCGCATCGCTTGCATGAATGTGATCCATTACTGTCCACTTAGGCGCTGGCAACGACCTCCTGCGTGGGGGCGTGAGCTGGCTCGGCGGCAGGAGCAGCATCGGGCGCGGACTCGACGGTGGAGGGTCCAGCGGCGGGGACAGGGACTTCGGCGGTGGTTTCCTTGGTCGCAACGAGCTTCTCCTCGGCCTTTTCCTCAGCCTTCTCCTCAGCAGTTTCCTCGGTTATAGGAGCAGCAGTGTTTTCAGTGCTCGCCTTCTTCTTGGGGGTCAGAGTTCCCTTGGCGGCAGTGACGGCTCCAGCAACGGTAGAAGCGACACGCTCACGGCTGACGGTGATCATTCGGGAAAGAGTGCTCAGGCGCTTGGCGGAATGTGCGGTCTGGGTTTGGGAAGCGGCCTCGGTGGTGCTCTTGTGCTCCTCAACGACGGGAGAGTCGGTGGAGGTCGCAGCTTCGCTGGTTGCGGGTGCCGAGGGCGCCTCAACGACGACGGGAGTGAGGTCGGGGATTGCAGGGCTAGCGACAGGAATTTGGGGAAGAGCGGCGAGGACTTCGACGGCGGCAGGGGCTTTGCCGGCGTCGGTGGCTTTTGTCTCATCAGCCTACGGGCAAATCAAAAGAAGTTTTAATTTCATCGCGCAATGCAACTTGGTTGGCGTACGCAGAGCAAAATAACGCCAAATGCTATACGCGAAATAACGTAAAGCTAAGACCGCAGAGCGCGTCTGTCGAATCTCACCTTGACTTCCGCAGGAGCAACGCCAGCAGCACCGGTCTTCTCAACAGCAGGGACGTCCGTAGATGCAGAGGCAGCCGTCACGGGCGCCTCAACGTTCTCCACAGCGGCAGCAGACTCCTCAGCCTTGACCGCTGCGGTCTTTCCGGCCTTCTTCGACTTTCCGGTCTTGGGCGTGAACGAGAAGATCTTAGCGGCGAAAGAGGACAGACGCTCAATGACGGGCTTCTTGGGAGATTTGGGGGCCTTCTCGACCGGCGCGGGGGTCTCAGTGGCGGGGGCGGTCGCTTCAGTGCTTTCAGCGGCGGCTTCAGTGACAGGTGTTGACTCAGTAGCAACGGGAGCAGGGGTCTCGGTGACTTCCTTAGCAGCTGGCGCTTCAGTAGCGCCTTCGGGGGTTGGGGTAGCGACGGTCTCAGAAGCCTTTACCGCGGGAGTCTCAGTGGCAGGCACAGAGGGAGCGACGTCCGCAACAGGGGCGGCAGACTGCTCGACGGCGGGAGCCTGCTCGGTGGCAGGAGCGACTGCGGGTTGTTCAGAGTTTATAGCGCTCATGTTTTCGGTTTCGTGCGAGAATATGGGACGTGGCTGGTCAAAATCGGGCTTGCAGAGTGAGTTTCAAACCGGAAAGGCTAGCGCCGAGCATACCTCAGCGCATTTATATATATGGCGGCTACCGTCCCCTCTTCTCACCTGTGAATATTGGGCTTCCTCGCCTTCTTACTTTCCCACAGCGGCCTCTTTTTTGGCGCTGTTAGATGATATCGCTCCTCACGATTGATACAAGAAAGTACCAAAAAAAATAAATCCACAACCACTTTTTCGAAAACGCAAAGCCTTAGACTTGCGAAACTTCCCACGGTGCAGCGTCCGCGTGTGATAGTTGTGGCGAAAGGTGGCGAGATATCGATCTACTAACTTGCAAATGAGCGCAAATCCAGGCCGTTGGAAGGCCGACGAAAGATACTATATGACAGGGATAGCAGAAAACAGAGTTGGGAGTCGCTCTCTGCAACCGCCTTTGCTTATATTTGATCAGAATCGGCACGTCAAGGGCTTGCGTCAGACCAGACCGCATTAGATATCTTTACATGTCAAACCCATCCCTCCCCACACCTCCTGCGTCCCCTTCCGACCGATTTGATTCATTTGGGGGATGGCTGGCTGTCAGTGGGGCAAGGGACCAAGCCGGCCACAGGACCAAAGGGGGAGTATATAAAACAAACGGAGGGGGGCTTGCCGCTGTCATAAGTGTCAAAAATTTGCGTGATTTATTGCGCTTCACAGCCACCCGCTCGGTGTCGGACCCCCAAGGGCCCCAACATTTTCATGGAACAACATCGCGCAAGCCCCGTATCTACTACTACATACAGTAATTCCCACAATGTCCCAAAGGCGGCGTCGTAACGAAGAAGATGGACCAGCCGCTTGGAGGGATCCCAAGGACTCGGTTTATGTCCCAAAGCCACAACCGCCGGTCCTCCGGATTGAGGTGACCTGCTGCATGTGGTGGTATACTGTACGTATATTCGGCGAATACGACATGATGCGATTGAGTATATCGACGGGGCTTCTTGATTCCAGGCGGAGAGGAGACTTCCCTTGAAGAGGTTTCCCAGCTGAGGATCAGGAGACGAAGACCTTGCCTCTCATGCAGGAAACCGGGAAATGATAGCCCCCGGGAACTTCGAAGGCCCTCCATAAAATCTTTGATGTGAATGCTGATGACACATACGCGATCCAAAAGGGCACGCGACGGCATAACCGCTTGTCCCGACGATAAGGAGCCCGCCTTTGCACATGTCCCTTGCATCGGTCGTAAGCGAACGATTGAGGGGGAATGCCGAACCCCTCATGGCCGGAGGTTTCCGAAAGGGAGACGCCCCCGCTTCCATACACCATCATGGTCGTTGTAGAATACTGTACCTGTCCGGATTTGTTGCCACAGCGAGAATTCTCAGACTAGCCTTGCGGAGTTTAGCGAGCCGGGTCGTTTGAAATCTCACTCCACGACGTAGCTTACATCCAGATCTAAATCCCCAGAATCCATAGGCTCTCAACTGGACTGAACGTAAGCAGCCAGCGCCAAGCTTTCGATACATACGTCAGAGGCGTAAAGGAAGTTCCCCAGCGTTCGACTTGTGAGTGACGTACATGGTGTCATATTGTTGAGAACGAAGTGCCTATTTCGAGGATTTTCCAGCGCCTCAGCCTTCGCTCGGGGATTTTTTCGACGAGACACCCGCATATGCCATATGCGTAAGGTTGGAAAGCGTAACTGGAAAACCGACCAAAATCGACGCGTCCCTGTCAAAAGTGGACCCCGAATTAGGGGCTTTTTAGAACGATGGAGCTTCTCAATGGCGAACGATGCACAAACAAGAATGTGGCGCAAACTGAACTCACCTGGTTCATATCTCGCTCTCAATTCCCAGCAGGCTACTTAAGAACCTGTACGTCCCAAGCACCTCTCGGAAAATCCAAACCACGCAGTACGCAACAATCGATAGTGAACTACTCGATCTTCAACTCATCTCGTGAAAGCTCCTGAATCTTTTCAAAAAATCGCTATGTTTGCTCCCAGATTCGTCCCTTTCGGGCACGTTGCCCCGGCCGCCGATAGACGTTTCTCTTTGGGCGGCGACCAGCCGCTGACACCCTCTCCGACCATGACCACAGTACCGACCATCATCAACGGGTGTACCTTCTACACGCCTGTCCCTCTTGTGCGCCCCTTTTGGCACCCCGGTCCGGGAATCCCATTTTACCAAGGGAACATCCATCCCCCCGCGACTTGGGGCCCAGTGCCATACCCTATGCAAGTCGCTCCATTCTCGTACCCTATGAGGAAGCCCGCACCTGCCATACCAACTCGGGAGGAGCCCCCGCAGGTCGCCAACGAGAGGGCCAAGCTGATCCAGTATACCCGCGAGATAAAGGGCATGTTAAATATCGGCGACGAGGAGCCGTTGATCAAGCGATAGCCAACGCCAACAAAGACTCCAGAAACCGCTCCCTGTCAAGCGGGGTCGACCGGTCACGCCCCGTCCGTCCGTCCTCCCTTGCGCAAGGGTGCCCCTGCTGTTCCTGCCGTGAACAGGAACCAGCAATCCCCGCGGCGCCAGTCAACCAAGCTAAACGCGCCCGCCCCCGCTGCCGAATACCGTGGGGCGAATGTGTACGTGGGCAACTTGCCGCCAACGATGACGGACGAACGCCTGAAAAAAATGGGCAGTTCGTAAGTATCAGACTCCCGCCTTTATCGTCACTGCTTTTCGGATGTCCCGTTGATACATCTTCCTCTTCCATTGCAGGTTTGGCGCAATCGTCTCTTCCAAGGCGATTGTTGTGCCGAATACCAAAATTTGCAAGGGGTATGGCTTCATCCTGTTTAAAAGCAATATTTCGAGCGCAGCCGCAATCCACGGATTGAATCGCATGGGATATCGTGCGAAAATTGCAAGGGTATGTAAGACTAGTTCGCCTCATCCTTTACTCTGAATCGATTGCTGATCGATGTCCTTTCGGTGTTGAAATCAGGCTGCCCCTAACCATGCGGCCCACTGAAGTTCGCACATCGTTTGCATATACCCTTCCGGAAGCTGATTCCCCGGATTTTACGTCGTGTTCCCTTTTTGACTTCTGAGCCTTCTCGTTCGTCTCCTTAGTTCAGCATATGATACCTCATCTTGAAAGAAATCGATCGAGTTTATTATAGCACTTTAGAAACTATGCGTGCGCCTCTCCCCAGGTCCTTGTGACCCGCAGTTGGGAATGTGCTCTCCGAGCCTTAATAATACATTGCAAGCGTTATCAAAGGTTTGAACACTTTATATTACTTCTCTTTTACGGGACTTGGAATTCCGATCTGCAATAGATACGCATCGAGGGAAGAAGGATGGAGATTTGGCCCTTTGCACAACGATACCTGAATCCCTCCCACGAATGGATTGCGGCTCTCAGGTGAAATGAATCTGGCAATAGCGCTGCGACTCTGGATGGCTTGTTGGCTCAGCAGTCAGGCGGACTTTTGGCTGCTTCATCGCCAATGATCCAGCAACACAGCTGTATAGATCCGTGCTGGTATTCCAACGCATTTTCATGTTACAGGCACCGCCGAACCTCTCTCCATTTATATGACCATGCCCTGAGATGCTTCTTCACTGGCATCGTCGCCCATCTCACATTGAGTTTGCTGAACAGCTGATGTGTGAATCAGAAGACCTTTAGGTTTCTGACGCCCTTCGATCTCTGAAAGTCCGCCTCGCACACAGTGGTCTTTATGGACGCTAGAATCGGCGCTCTTCAGCACTGAATCGGCGTTCTTCCAGATCGACCGCCCCTTTTTGCGTTCCCCTTTTCCCCTGCTGCGTGCCTTTCGACACAGTCAGCCGCTTACGTACACCGAAGAAAGCCTGTCGTAATCCAATTCCATGTTGTCCACAACTCTGGCATGTGAAGAAGGCGGGGCTTGGAGCACTGTCAATCCGCACGCGTCGAGATGCGCTCCAATGATGTCACGGTCCTGTCATTCCCGATATCCTCACCCCGCCCCCCTCCGCCGAACGACACAGAGAAAGGGATTTGCATGCAGCAATGTCCAACGCATGCATCATCATGTTGCATAATACCCCCGTGCGTAGTATGCATAATACCTGTGTGCATGTGGAGGTTGCTTCATATTGCGGGGCGGAGTAACAGCTCCGAGGCAGATTAGATTTCGTAGCCAAGTGGTGGGAGAAAGGGGGAACAGCCTGCGCCTATAAAACCAGAAAGGTGTGCTGGAAGCCCCTCTCTCAGGTTCCAACAAAGTGATCGTAAAGACCACCACCGCATACCCAATACCCAAGGAAAACACATCAACACGGTAACCATGCCATCCGTATACGCGGAACAGGGGGTTTCAAACTTCCCAACGGACGTCGCCCAACCCATCCACGCCGCAAAGCAAGTCGACTTAAATGCACCCATCATCACCGCCGTCGACAAATGCCCACCCACAAAGATGTTCCCCGTTCCGGAGAACCTCGACCGGATTGTCAGAAACCCCGGCGTGCCCCGCGCAAACATCGCACCGTCGGCAGAGATGCCCAACGGGTCGCCCGAGGGGAAGCGTGATCTGACGGTTATGCAGCAGCATGTCGAGTTCTTCGACAGAAAGAAGGATGGGATTATTTGGCCGTACGAGACTTACCAAGGGTTCCGCGCGGTTGGGTTCAACATCTTTTTCTGCGTTTTGGCGATGTTGGTTATCCATGGCGCTTTCAGCTACCCATCGCTGGGTGAGTTGCCGCCGATATCCTTTCGAATGCACCGCGCATCCCGCTTATTGACCTTGCATTTTTTCCGTTCGTTCAACAGACAGTTGGATTCCCCACCCCGGGTTCCCCGTTTACATCAAGAACATTCACAGGCTCAAGCACGGTTCTGACTCTGGCACATATGGTACTCTACCATTTCACCCAAAAAAGTCCATGTGTATCGGGTTGCTGACGCATCGTGTTCCTATACAGACACCGAAGGCCGATACATCACCCAGCGCTTCGAGGAAGTCTTCAGCAAGTACGACCGCGACAACAAGGGTGGCCTGAACATCCGCGATATCCTAACCATGACCAACGAGATCCGCAACACCATGGACTTCTTTGGGTACGTTGCTGATGCTCAATGCCAGCAGGGAGTCGATGGGGTTTCTAATTCCCATGATGCTCGCAGATGGTTCGCCAACAAGTTCGAATGGGGTACTCTCTGGCTGTTGTGCGCTGACGACAACGGTGTGCTCAGGAAGGAGGATGCTCGTCGCTGCTTCGTAAGTACAACTGGCGTTGCTTGTTCCCTTCTGAAAAAGACAAATCACTCATTCTCGGCCTTCCCCCTTGGCGATTCGCACATGCAGGATGGAACTCTTTTCTACCACTACGAGAACCTCAACAAGCAAAAGAAGCTCGACAATCAAAACGCCAAGCAAAAGGCAAAGGCGCTCAAGGCTTCCGCCAAGGTTCCCACTGCCGTGCGAGTCAAGTCGTCGTAAATTCATGCTCGTCGTCATTCAGTCGGGTATCGACCCGCAAAGCATTCAGAATTGCTTAGCACGAGTAGTTTTGCAAGCATTCCGAGAGGGAACGGCTCTTAGTTTTTGGCATTCCTTTTCTTCCACTTTTTGTGTATACGAGGCGATCATCCCTCTATCCTCTTGATAAATAGTACGATATTCATCAGGCCGACAATAATAGTTATTCCATTTATTCATGCGAAATCTATTTCACATGCTACCTAAAAGTATATGGCTACGTGCTAAATCATGTCCGGAAGACGCTCTGATCACCGAGAAATGTCTCCATTTCCCTAAAGTTTCTCCCCATGCGGGTTGTAGAGCTGACCTTCTAGCAAAGTGTCCGTGATTCAACATGATACTCGGACTAGAATCTTCGCACAAATCGAGCGGTTCCAAGCCTATCCTAGCTTCGCTTTCTGCACTACTTGGAGGAGACATTGTGATATCGTGTGCGAGACCTATTCGGGCAGAGAGGCATACATACATATACTGTACTGTAGCTGCTGGTACTTGGGACGTCAGACGTCGTGGGAACAGGCTTGGGATTCCTGAGGGAAAAGGCCGCATCATATCGACGGAGGGCCCGCGACGGACGGCCTGCGCACAGGGCACAGGGGTTAGGGTTAGCGAGCTGGCATGACGTTTACGTGAGCACCCGTCCGGCCCAACTCCGCTTTCTCTCCCAAACCCTTCATGTCATGTCATGCATGCATGCGGTCGGCCTTGCGCCTTCTCAATCAGTTACGAGAACAACAAGGCGTTCCATGACGCTCGGTTTCTTGCTAACAACCCTGAAGAAAGGGAAATCCGTGACACGTCGACCTGGGTTATACCGACTGATTAGCTTCGAGAGTGCTTTATCAAGCTGCAGTCAGTTGATGACGAACGATTGACACAACAGGACACCTGCAATATTTTGGAGACAAGGATAGATTTGCTCGTTTGCCCGGGGATACTCCGTCGATATGATGCGGCGGGCGAGAAGCGGCTCGCTTGATGAGCCGCTGACAAGCGGAATGGACGTCCAAGAGGAGCTCGAGGTGCGGAGTTGTACGATCGCTTAACCCAGCCAAAGCCACAAAATGAACCCATTACATCTTTTGCCCCAGCAGGAGATGATACGCTCCTCGACCGTACGAGAGAGCGAAAACAGTCATGCATGGGGAGCATCCCCGAAAGTATCTTATAGGCAAACACCGCGCCTCGCAGGCACAACCCCAAACGATTCTACGGACGCAATGTTTAGCAACACGTTACGATACCGCGTGGTCCGTCAATACGCCGATTACGTCTTACGGCGACGGGAAGATGTGCCCTTGATAGACAATCCAGCTCAGCGCGGATGGACGAAAGCGCGCACGGGAGGGTTGTGCGAGTCCGGCTTGATAGAAGCGTCGTTCTCTATGGGCAGATGGAGCGTGAACCGGTTCCAAACCGTTATGCATACTCTGCGGGAGAAGGCATATTCACGGCTGCTTCCCAACGATTTTGCCACGGCGTTGGAAAGTTTGGGATGGGCTATACTTTCAAATACTGCGGCGGACGGGGATACGGAAGATGAAGAAGCGGATTCGCAATTGTGGACTCGCTATTCAATTGCCATCGAAAATCGCAGCGGGCCCCTCCCGCAACCTACGGATCCGGAGTCTATCATGCTGCTGATGGGCATGCGGAGCACTGGACTGGAGTATTTTCAGGGCGAGGTGGAAAAGATCATCAGTACCTTGGACAACCCAGATCTGGAGGCGGCACTGTACTTTCTGACGAAATATCGAGCGGCGGGGCAACTTCTGGAATTCGTGGGACCAATGATTATCGATCGAATCCCAGAGGAGCGACGGAAGCGGGAGGTGTTTCCGCGCCTCATGGTCTTGGCGGTGCTGAATGCAGATTCCGTCGGAGCGGTCATGCTCAACACCATCGCAACACTATGGGCGGATTCGATCACCTCCGAAGCTGCGAACTCCGCACTCGAATATAGTGCGCACTTGCAGCGCCCATCATGCTCTCGGTTGATAATCGATCAGTATGGTGAATTGCTCACGGCGGAAGGGGTTGTGGCAGCGATGATTCCCTGCTGCGCCCGTGGTGTTGATCACTTGATTGCGGTTCTCGAGCTTCTGATCATGGACAAATGCCAGCAATTGACGGAGAAGAATCTTCGAGAGGGCGAAAATGGCCCGGTCATATACGACGAGACCGTCGATGCAATCGGCCAAAACGACAGCGCGGCTGCTTTCGCCGTCTTAGTCCCGCCATGTGCATACCTTTTCCTGGTCCTTGCCGCCGCGGGCGGATACTCCCGACCGGACGTAGTAGCCGAACTCATCCAATTCTACGAGGACCCCTGCGCGGCCCTCCTCGAAGGCCGGGTCACCCAAGCCGAACACGCCCGTTTCGTGCGCGACCTCTTCCACCTCGTCTGCGCATGCAACTTCACCGCGATCGTCTGGGCGCTCATCATGTCCAAATGGCATCCCCACGATACCCGCGGCGCACTGAAAAATGCGATTGATGCTGGTCATCAGAGCATGGTGCATATACTGTTGGACGCGCTGCTTATACCCGATAGTCGTCTGGACATCCCTGCCGCGTCTGTACCGGCCATCTTCCGCAAATCGGAGGCCGTCGCGCTTCTCCCGCTTGTGGCGCAACGGTTTCCTTCAGAGGTGTCGTGGTTCCTCACCGTGCTGTCGAGCTTGCCGATACCGGGATGTATACCCTTGGGCGAGAACCAGGAGGCGCAGGTGCGCTCGGCGGCCATCACGGGCACCCGTCTCGGTCTGGCCACACTAGCCGAAGTCACCGGCCGATCCCCCGACCTCAACCCAATGATGATGATCTGGAGTCGGTTGAACACCCCCGCCCAACTGCGCGGAACGGCGTTAGGCCCCGGCGGAGCGCCCGCAGCGGAATGCGTCATCTGCATGGCGCCCGAAGCCTTCCTCACCGAGCCGGCAGCGCTGGACGGACGGAAATCATGGGTCCGGCAAACGAGCCCGTTCATCCGGTTACTCGAGACTGGAGAGGAGGATATCATTCTCCAGCCGATCATGCAGGCGCTGATGGAGTATCATTGGACGCAAGGGAAATTTTGGTACCGCTTTGCCGCGCATATCATCTTATCCCTCGGCTTCTTGGGATGCATGTGGGCGATGTTCGAGTCGACCGTGCGGAGAGACCTGTACGGGATTGGCACCAACCCGGCAAGCGTAATACCAGTCACGGTCGTAACGCTTATGTTGTCCGCGCTATTCATAACGCAAGAGTGTCGCGAATACATGGACTCGCCATACAACTATATCCGGTCCTCGAGCAACCTGCTGGATCTGGTCATCTACCTCTCCACGGTATACTGTGCCATTCAAGGCGTCTTCCGAGAGCAGTACGTCCCGCCGCTGCTGTTGGGCATTACGCTGGTGTTCTATTGCACTCGTGTGCTGATGCAGCTGCGGATCATCCCGTCGATCGGGCCCATCATACGGACGTTCGTGTCGGCGACGAAGGCGATCTTCCCGGTTTTGGTTCCGTTTGTCGTGCTGGCTATTAGCTTCGCCGGGGCGTTTCATTTGATTCAGATGCAGTTTATCTTTGCGTCGCCGACTCAGGAGACGTGGCATTTTAGGACGATACCGGATTCGATACAGAGTGTTTTGACTATGACGTCTGGGGACTACAGGTAAGGCGCTCTTGGTAAAATGATGCCGCCCGCCGAACGTCCATCCACGTACAGAACGCTGACTCCAATAATTCATGAAATCCACAGCGTCTTGGACTATTCAACAAACTCTCAAGTCTTTTTCCTCCGTCTCCTCTTCCACCTGATCTTCATCATCTTCCTCATCAACCTGATCATCGGTTTGATGACCGTCAACGTCGCCAACATCACCACAAACGCAACCAGCGCCTGGCTCGTAGAGATCGCGCAACTCATTGTCGAACTCGAACTCTACTGGCCATGGCCCACCCACTATCGCAAACGCGATTTGGCGCCCTTGCCTTCCCAGAGGGGTGGGAAAAGGCAGCCCAAAAAGGGATCGAAATCGTCAGAACCGCCACTACCGGGGCCTGGAAAATCCGGCGGTCCCCGGCCGCCATCTTCGAAGCCTAGATTCAGCTACTGGAAACCATGGACATGGTCCTCCCACCGCGGTTTAAAATCCAAGAACAAGATTAGGCCATATGACGACCTCCCGCCGGACATCACCATCACAGCCATCATGAGCCCCGAGCAGCAGCAAAGCATAGAGAGCGTGATCGTCGAGTCGGAGCCGGTGGTGACCGATGCGCTGCGGCGGCGGGTGGTGCTGTACACGTGTCCGGAGGAGCAGGTCGCATTGACGAGCTGGTGGAAGAATGCGGCGACGAATGCGCGGACGGCGCAGGATCGGAAGGAGAATAGAGGGGGTGGGGGTGGCGCGCCGGATCTGTTGCGGCAGGGGGCGAGTGTGAGACACAGTTTTCAGTCGTTGCGGGAGGAGTCGAACGCCGTTAGCGTCTTGAACCTGCGGGGGGAAAACTCGCGCAATCAGAAAGTGGCGTCGGTGCCGTCTATGGTCGGCCGGTCACAGACTTCGCTACCCCCCGTACCTTCCGCTGCGAACGCAATGACGGAACAGTCACTAACTGCGCCCATCGCGAACATGGACATGATGACGACGTTCTTGGCGGATCCGATGATGAATAGTCACATCTGGGGCGGAAACTCCCGGATGGAGGATGTGTTGACGGACCAAGATGAGCAGAACATGTTTTCAACCGTGCGCAATCGTCGATCGTCGAAGATGACGCGGAGAAGCTCGAATAATGTCTCGGCGTCCAATCTGGCTGGAAGGGGAGACAGCAGCAGTCAACTCCATCAGCAGCAGCAGCAAATACGACGGCAGTCATCGGGGTTAGGTCTCCCCACCGCATCCGTCAAAGAGCTCGGCGATCAGTTGAACAGCATGAAGGAAGCAGTAGCTGCTCTTGAGCGCACGCTCCGGACCGACTCGCGAAACCAGCGCGAAAGAACTCGGAGACTCGAACTCTCCCTCGACAGCGACCGTCAAAGATGCGGGGACGCGTCGGCGGCCACGGCACGCGAAGTCCAAGCACTGTCCCAAGATTTGCGGCTATGGCTGGGCATGACGGGTACCAGCGGGAAACATAATACCAGTTCAAAGGCATTGCACAGACCGAGCCATTCGACAAAATCGGAGAACTTCCTGCGGAGGATCCTACCCAAACGGACCCCTACGGAGTCAAGATCGCTGTCATCCTCCCACGGAGATGATCCCGCTGACTACCAGGACACGCCAGAAGGGCCAGAGGACCCAGAGGAACCAGAGGAACATAATCACGAGTGAAAAACAGATTCATTACTGTACCTAACTTTTTGTACGATGATCGTCACATACGGCCTGGTTCTTGAGGCGAGCAGTGTAAAGAGATATACGCCGAAGGGTGTTCTGATAAGCGATCCGATTCCTCAAACTATTTATCAATAGATTCAAGGATTGACTGAGTGTTTGGAGCGCTTGTAAGCTATTTGGGCAGCAGAAAGTGAGCTCCTCCTCTGGAAGCACGATGCCGAGTTCCCAAGATGTCAATCTCAAGTCCACCCACAGGCATCGTTGCAGGAAGCCCACGGTCAAACTCGGCTCCTCCTTTGTCGATCAGTTGACTTGCCGCCAACCTCCGTCTTCCAACACTCACTGGAGCGAGTCTCGCAATGTCTATCTATCCCGACTGGGATGTCGGTCGACTTATTCGCGGAACTCCATAGTGTTCTACCAGTCCCAGAGAGCAAGGTCGCTGCTGCCTTGGAGGGGGGCGCTGAGGAAGTGGTAGTGGTGTCCGAATGCTATGTGAACCCCATACATAACTTTTCCCACGTCGAATTGCATCAGTTTGCATGCGAGTTGCCTGAGTTGTTGGCAAGCGAGCGCGTCCGACTCATCAGACTGGAGGTGCTCGAACGACGGCGGTTTTTCCTCCCGCCCCTCTCGTCTTTCCCCAACAAGCACCGGAACGCCCGCCATGAACCCCAAGCCATACAACCACCAGCAACAGCAACAGCAACAGCAACTCCTGCTTCAACAGCAACAGCAGCAACAGAGGAACTTCGAGCAGCAGCAACAACAGCAACAGCAACAGCAGCAGCAGCAGCAGCCTCAACACCAGGCTTTCACTACTTCCGTCGTAACCGCTCAGGCTCTAGCAGCAGCCGCCGCTGCCTCCAGCCGTTCTTCAACTCCAGGCCCGCCCCAAACTCTCCCGAACCACCATCAGAACTCCCCATCCCAGCACAACCACGCCCACCACTACTCGCCCATTCCCGCCGCTGCGCTTCTCGATACCCTAAACTCCCCACGACGCGCACAGCAACCGACGGATGTAGCTGGAGTAGACGCCGCAACGTACGCAGCCGTGGAGGCTGCGGCGGCGAGTTTAAGGAATGCGATTGCTGCTGGGCATCCCTCGTTTGCAATGACCAATGCGCACCAGCAGGGGCAGCAGGCCGGACATCCGCCGCGGAGTCAGCAGGTCAGGCAACAGCAGCAGCACATTGTGTCGGCATTACCGCCGCCGCCGCCTGCCGGTGTGAATGGAGTTGCCAATGTGCAGAGGGGGATACAGCAGCAGCAACAGCAGCAGGGGGCGGCAGTATATAATGGCTTTGCGACACCTAGCAGCATGCCGGCAATATCTGCACCCGCCGTCCCGATCTTCTCCTCCCAACACCCAAACGTCGTACCTCCATCGGAAGCCTCCTCCGCCGATCCAACCGTCATGCCACTCCCCACCGACCCAGCACCCATCAGCGCACCCTCCGACTCCACCGACGCCAAACCTACAACAACAAGAACACAAAAAGACCGCCGCGAAGAACTCTCCAATGAGGTCCGCTGGCAAATAATTGGCGCCCACAAAGCAGGCGTCAGCATCCACAAGATTGCCGCCCTGTTTCGGGTGGCCAGAAGTACGGTCTCGGCGACGATCAAGCGGTATAAGGAAAGTGGGAGTCCAGTTCCACCGAAACGGTCGGGCAGGCCGCCGGCGGCTGCGAAATTGGCGGCGATGAAGGCCAAGAGGGGCAAGAGCGAGGCACCGGAGGAGGAGGAGGGTGAGGGCGAGGGTGAGGGCGACGGTGAAGGCGACGGTGTAGGGGAGAATGATGGGGGGGATGCAAATGTGGAAATGGTGGTGGAGACTATTGAGGCTCCTGATGGGAATCCTGAGGGTGAGCCTGATGAAGGTTGAACAATTTACTCCGACAAACCAAGGTACTTCCAGATTAGTCGATGTCCCTACATGCATACATCCCGGTAGCGGTGCCCAGTGTTCTGTAAACACTCGTGCGACACTAATGAAAGCTGAATCCACCACAGCTAGCTGTTGGTGAAGCCCTCATTTCTTTGACTGTCAGATATAACGAGCCAGGATGTGTTCAGCAGCGACCCCAAAACTTCCTTTTTTCTTTCAAAGTGACACATGGTTCGAGTGAGAACTGTGTGGGTTTGGAATCTGCACCTGGCTGGGAAAGAGTTGACTTGGAAAAACGCGATGTCGAACAAGACGAGAGGACAAGCCCGCGTAACGCGCAAAATCATGCTGCCCATGCCGTCCGACTTCCAGCTTCGCGCACACAGCCAGCCAACTTCAACGTCACATCGCACATCCCCCTGTGGATCTGGCCTGGGTTCGACCTGATAACCCCGGTATCAGCAAGGAGCAAAACTCAGCCGGGCCTCCGATCACCCTTTGGTTCCTGGATCTGCCCACAAACCATGAGCACAAATGCCATTTCCAGAATCCAGACAGACTGCGGGGGGCGTTGAGGCTTTGATGCGTGGGAGGCGGTGGAAGCAAATGAAAGATAACCGCATGCCTCTGTCACATCCGCCGTCGTGCATGTGTTCCGTGCGGCCAACGAGGGGGTTTTTTTTGAGCCAAACGGGGTTCTGTGGCCTTGATACCGGGGTCATCGACATTCGGCAACCTTCGACTTGCCGCTGTTCTCCGTGGGACTCATTGTCAAGGACTTATCGAGATACAAGGTCTTCCATCGGCCGTTCAAACCTACATTCGCATCCCACATAGGACCCATCCGGAGTAAAGATGACCCGTCTACACGCGCTAGCCTGCCTCCTCCTAGCTTTCATCTCGGTCGTGTTGGGCCAGGAAACCCCCGTCCTGTCCGTCCGCCAACTGAATTTCACGGGCACAACGTCCGGACCGTCGCCGCTGTCCTTTCAAGTGATTTCAACCTCCAAAGAAGGGACTTATGTTGTGCGTTTTGAGTGATCCAACTCCTGTTACGCGTCAGAACCACCTATGGAAGTCCGTTACTGACTCTTCCCTTGGCCCCCCTCCAACACCTGTTAGTTGAAATGGGAGAATCTAGCCGTAATCGATGGCTGTCGCCTGCATTTATCGGTAGCCCACCAGTCCATGGGCACGTTCTTCCATGCATGTCCGGAGGATTTCAAGCAGGATCGGTATACGAATGACAGCGACACTATGTACATCTACCCGACGTTGCCATATGCTGGGATTTATACCATCAATGCGAGGTTTACTATCTTTGTGCCTGCTGCGGCAAATATCACGTTGCAGCCTTCGCAGACGACGCTTTATGTCAAAGGTCTCTTAGGATGTTCAGATTCAGTGTGATGTCTCGGCAAGGGACCTTTTTTTCTGACGCATTTAGGCTTCGTAGTGGATCAGGGAGATCAGGCGCCGCCACAGTTGAGCTTGATTGATCAGAGGACACTTGGGCAAGCCTTGGGCCCAAATGACAGCTTCATCGAGCCGTGGGTGTATCAGCGTCAAGGTTAGACTTTCGCTTTGAACAGCAGGACATTTGTCATATGCTAATGCGCATTCCCGTCATACAGTCGCATCCTTACCAGCGCCGGATCATAATCCCGCCCAATGGCCAACAAACCAAACCTTCCGGGCCGTCTTCGGCACCACCTCCGGTGCAATCACAACCAACTACTGCAAACTCTTCACAGTCCTCTACTACACAACCAACTCCAGCGCGTTCGACATCCCAACCAACAACTTCCAAAAATACCTCGGCCGCGACGCGCACATCCTGCTTGTCGGAACCAGCGGCTCAACTCGGAATTCACAGTCCTCGTACGGGTACCGCGTATCCGAATCGCAGAAATGGCAGCCGTTCTGTACCGTCACCCAAGCCCCACCACCGTTCGAACTGACGAGTCCAAAGATCGGGTTTGGGCTGTACTTTCCGGACCCCGGGACGTACAATGTGTTTGTGCAGACGAAGATCAATGGGTTCTTGGTCACGTCGTCGTTTCCTATCAAGGTGCAGGATCCGCTGGATGTTGCGGCTGGTGCGAGGAAGGGGGTGAGCGATAGGAATTTGATGTGGGGTGTTGTGGCGACGGTTCTAGTAGGTCTTAGTTTCATTCCGGCGTAGTACTCTTGATGCATTTATAGACCCTATTGTTATAAACCGACTTGCAGGATATACCCCACCTCCAATATACCCCTCTATCAAACACCTCAACATCAGTGCCTTACGTCCCAAATTGAGTGATCTTTGGACCGGAGTTCGGGAAACGCGGCAAGTTTCGACAGAATTGACGGCCACAGGACTCCGATTTGATACTGTCATTCCGACAACCCAAATTGGCGCAACTTTGTCCAAACGGCCAGAGCGTTTTCTCTCCAGGACTTTCAACGCGTCGGATTTGGAACAGCGTTAGGATCACCCTGTACAAAGACTCATCGTATCCTTCGTCCGTGAACCAGCTAGCATTCGCTTTTACCGTAGGGACATCACGTAAGTATGGACGCTGTAAACTCAGGGCCGGATTTGCCGGAAACGGTCGCAGACCAAATGGTCGGCGATCCGGGTGTATTAGACTCTGCCGTACCTGCTACCGCTGCAGGAGAGGGCACATCTGAGACGCCTGGCACTTTCACTGTAGGTGTTGACTCTCGATGTATAAATGTTTGTTGCGAATATGTAACTGACGTTCCATGTCATAGACCGATGCCACGACCGAGAAAGATCCCGAACACCCACAGCTTCCGTCTGAACCGCTTGGACAGACGGATGTGAATGCAAATGCTGCAGCTGGGCTGCCTGAAGGGGCGGTTGGGAGTACGACGGCGGAGGCGGATGTGACGGCGGCCATCGCGGACAGCGCAGTGCCTGAAGGCTCTACACAAGGTATGGCTTCAAGTTCCTGCCTTGGACCTGAAACAGCGCATCGACGATCTCAGATCCTTCGGAATGCAGGAACAATGGATGGAGCAGCCGCCGAGATACCCGCCACCGAAGACGGATCGACACCAGCAGTAGGCGAACCGCCAAATCCCGACCAGCGACCAGACGACACTCGACCCACAGAGCGCGCACACACTGCCGGACCACAGACCGCAGAAACCGATGCCCTGCAACACTCACTGAACCTAACCAGCTCAGAACCTCCCAACGAGCATGCAACTCACGACAGCAGCAGCGCGGGCCCCGACGGCGGGTTCGGCGGCGAACTGATGCCCGCTATGCCTGATGAGATGTTTATGCCCCCCACCGCTAGGACGCTCATGTCGCCGCCGCCCGGTGTGGTGGCAAAAGCTTCTGGGCTGCCCTCTGAAACACGTCAAATGACGGACTTTACGTTCTTGCACGTGGATTATGCGAAGGCGTTGGATGAAGGCCCGCCTTTAGAGGTCGTTACGAGATATGATGAGCAGCCTTTGGAAGACGAGGAAGGAGCGGTTACGGACAGCATGACTAGCCTCACGGAGAACATCCCGATGCTGATCCCTTCGTCGCCGACTCCGAGCGTCCATGGCGAGTCTGAAGTTAAACTCGGTGTGGATGTGCCGTTGACCGAGACAGCAACGCAGCCGGAGCCACAGCAAGCCCGCACCCGCAGCGCGGGCAACGCCGTCGTCATCGATCGAGAGGAAATCATCGCAAGCATAAGAGCCTCCCTCGACGACAACGAAAAGCTCAAAGCGCGGAACGTCATCCTACAAAACCAGCTCGGAGAGTATTTCCGCCGGAAGCGCAGCGACGAGAACGCTCAAGCAGGCGGGACATCCAGCACGGGCGACAACACACTGAGCAACACAGGCGGGGGCAAAGGCGGAGCGGATATCGGAAACCGGTACAACGCCGCCCTGACGACCTTGCAAACGCTTCACGCGAACCTGGCGACCCTGCGAGGGACACACGATAAGCAGTCGGCGGATTACCATGAGAAGCTCACGCTTAAGCGTGCGGAGGCGGCGGCGAAAGAGGGGGAGTTTCGGGCTTATAAGCGGAGTGTTGCGCTTGCTGCGGAGAACTCGCGCACGGGAAAGGGGATCCAGGTTAAGGCTGTCGAGGCTTTGGAGGCTGGGGAGGAACGGAAGGATGCGGAGGTCGTTGAGGTGCGGTTGGAAAATATCAAGTTGAGGAATAGGCTGCGTAGATCCGAGGCGCTGTTGAGACAAAAGGTGCAGAGTGGGAGCTTCTGTCGTCGGACCGGCAGCCTATGTGGCGAATGTATGCTCACGTCTCTCAAAACAACAGGAAGAACTAGCGGATGGCCTGCACTTGATCGACTTCGAACAACTCAAAATCGAAAACAGCACCTACACCTCCAAAATCGAATCCCGCAACGAATCGCTCCTAACCCTACGCAAAAAAATCACCACGATCGTGCAAGTATTGACCCACGTAAAAGAAAAGCTCTGGCACACCCAGCTTGTTGCACGGGATCTCGAAGCCAAGCTTGCTGAGTTGGATGAAGATGTGCTAAGGCGCCGTGATGCGCTGCCTGGTCGGAAAGCTGTGCGAGATGCATTGAGGAAGGAGAATGCGGAGCTGAGGCGCCGGGCTGGGCTTTTGGGCGAGAAGGGACTGCTTAGGGACTTTGAGCATAGAGTGGTACGTTCCGAATTGTGGTCTGATTGAGCGGCTTCCGTATGGAGAACCTTTCAGCTCACCACCGATGGATTTTAGGATGCTACCGTCTCTCTACGTCAGCAACTGACAGAGTATCAGACTCAGCATGCCGAATATACGAAACACATTCAGGCCCTGAAGAGGCATATACACAAGGCTCAAATCCTTGCATCTGACCCAGGAGCGGCATCAGCGGCCATAGCAGCGGCAGCGGATGGGATGCATGGCATGTCGCATGTCCTGGGTGGAGTAGCTTAGACTGATCCTGTGATCGATTGCTGTGGTACTTCCATCGGGTCCCTGCCCACTTTCGTCCGTAGCATTCGAATTTTCACTTGCATCGAACTGGGATATGACTTATGTGATGAAAGGTTTATTAAGCGCCAAGTTTGAGGTGTGTTATGTTTCTCCCCAGGGCAGGAGGGTCTCGGCTAAGCTATTTTTGGACACTCGAGGGGCAAGCGCGTAATCGCTCTGTTTCTAGAATTTCATTCATAACGTTCTGGGGCGGTTCGTCGCCTTTTCGGAAGTGGGGCTGTGACTTCGGAGTCGGGCGAGTCGGGGAACGACTCGCTCTCAGGCGTGGTATCACAATCCAAGCACCTAGAAATATCCTTCGAATGAGCGAATGCAATGCCATTTTCCATCATTACTGATGAGACATACCTCCAGGCGTATCCTCGTGGCGGTCTCTTCTTCATGGGGGGATCGAGGCACCCCATGTGGAATGATTTCTCGCAATTTGAGCAATTGACGAGTTGTCGGGCAATAGGCGTTTTCCGTTGGACGTTTGCCGCTTCGAAGACTCCGCAAATATTGCAGACCCCAACGCTGCCATGGTTGGCAGTGTCTCTTTTCCGCTTGCGGGCGATTGAGGTGTCGATTTTAAGCGACTGGTCTTCTTGCGGTTGTTGTAAAGCGTGTTCATAGGCTGCAAGAAAAGCTTCTCGGTACTCCGGTAAAGGCCGGATGGTTGGACGCCCGCTGGACGTCGCTCGGCTGAGAAAGGACTCGAACGTGCCCATGCCTTTCGATTGAGAGGTTCTTTCCGGCGCAATTGCTGGGATGGCAGATTCTGCCCCATTACAATCTTTGTTGCTGATTAGCGGAGCGGACACCTGCAATGTAGGGTCTTTCTTGAAAGAAGCTGCATCGGCACCATTGAGCACGCCGCTGCTGACCGGGGGAGTCGAGGGGTTAAGGTCTTTTTCAGTATCCGCGGCAGTATCGCTAACCCCATTGCTGGTGAGATTTAGTTGTGCGTTGGCCTGGGTGAAGCCTTTTTTGTCCAGCGGCGTGAACTTGGATTGCGTATTTGGGAGCTGTTCCGGAACAGCTGTCTCCTCGTGAATATAATCGGTAGAAGGGGGCGGAGAAGTCGGAATGCCCATATCATTCGCGTCCGGTAGAACATCACACGCCGTGCGAGGCGCAAGCTGGGGCGATGGCGGGCGTTCGAAAATGGTCGGCATGTGAGAACTGGCGTTCTGGATGCTCTCTGAAAGATCGATGTTATCGGGTGGGATTCTTCCGATGGCCGGGGCGCCATGGATGGCGGCTTTCGTTCGGTAGGGGTCCTGAGTGTCGGTGAGATAATCGTAAACTCCTATCAACAATTGTTTTACTCTCCGTGTGGCAGACACAACGGAGTCGTTTTCCTTCTTGATGGTTGACTCCGCCTTGTCTCCAGCGTCGATAAGTTTTTGGAGTCTTCGGATTTCCTCCCGACGATGATGTTGTTCAGCCATTGATTGTAGCGTTATTCTTTCCTTGCTAATGATGGCTTTCCCCTGGTCCGCCTGAAATTTTGCTAAGAACGTTTCCGTAGCAGGACGAGGGTCCGAAATCGTCGGTTTTTCATAATGTGTACTGTTAAGATCCACACCGCCTGGTTTTGCCTTTACCCATTTGGCCCAGGGGTCCAGCTATCAAAATCCTAGGTTTCAGTTGTCATTCCATGATGAATGCCCAGAAAGACTTACCACAGGGTCGGAACTTGCATGCTTTTTGCAGTATATAAAGTGAGGGTCCGACATCATTGAGTCTGGATCCTTCTCTAGAAGGCCGTAGTCTGCCGCGCAAGTAGCATGCAACTAGCGCATGGCAAGCAAAAAGTAAAGAAATTGAAATCGATATATTCTCCCTGGGCTTCGACTTCGCTCGTAATCTTACCACGCTCTTGCAACCCGCTGCATCACAATTTCGCTTGCTGCCGGTTTTTCCATTACACACTGAACATTCACCTTCCCACGTTTTGCTCCCGACTCTGAATATGGCTGAGAGACTGACACTGTTTTGAAACGTAAAGTTAACCGATGTGCTCCATGGATTGACCGAGATGCATCAGACCAACCTCCGAGCTTCGCGGTCGCGCTGTCAACATGTGAATCCAGAGAAAGGACATCATGAGTATGTTTCCGGTATCGAGATAAGGAGTTAGCAACATACCAATTTTAGAATCCAATCCTTGCAAATACTATGCACCCAGGGAGTGCCGCCTTCGATGGCTAGAATTGCGCCTTCTTTATGTGAGCACAGGGTGCAAACCTGGGATTGATTTGTACATTCAGACTCAGTGGCTCAAGTACTAGATTGTATGTGCAGACACGTACCGCCAAAGCAGGGTCTTTAGAAGAGCACCGATCGCACCGCCACTGCGATTGCTGCTTGACCGTGGTAGAGGTGCTGTAACAAGCGGAGTGTACCGTGGTGGCACATCCGGGGACCGAGCAGACCAAGAAGCCTTGCCCATCTCCGCTCCCTTGTCGGCAAACGCAGCACACTGATGGACTTGCCATTGCCTGACAACGAGAAATAAGAAATGATGAGAAAACTTCCGTTACACGAATTGGGGATGGCATCATGGCTGTATATACCCATTGGACGAGTGCTTTGTCGTGTTCCGTTATTTCCTCCTTCTGCTCGGGGGCTTTCTTTCTTGAACCGGGTTTGCGCTTTGGCTTCTGAAATGACGTTCACGGAAGGGGAGCATCAGATTTTACCTCCAGATACTACCTTTGGGAGCATAGCCAGAAGAATTCTGTATGACCTTCTTCCTAATCTGGGGTCGTTTCACATTTTCATCTAAGATATCTCGGGGTTTTGGGACCCGGGTACTCTTTCGAGATCCCATGCTCGATCGTGTGCCGTAGGTGGGATGTCTCAATATTAGAATCGTCCGTTGCGGTTACCGATGACTCTTAGCTTCCAGGACTCAAGTGTTTAATCTGTAACGGCTCACTGCGGTTTTCCGTAGGCGATGGGAAAAATGGATATGAACCCAAGCTGAGAAACCATTACATTCTTCTGCAGGTCCTTTTTGACCGACACTGATTCGAGTTTGACAGGTTCGCCACTTACGGTTAACTTTCCGCTCAACAACCTTCTTTTTCGTGTGTGCAGCATCCTTGGTTAGAACGAGAGAAGGCTTACGTCAGGGTTACCGCTACAGCCTCGCTTGATATGGCTCGAGCGTCGTGGTTTATACGTATTCTTGGCTGGATCATAGTTCGCGAGTCCTCTTAGAGCGATAGGCCGATGCCAACGAGAAATCGACACCGCGTCAAAAGCTGTCAAGAACGGAGTTATTTCGACCTTAGTCACTTCGAAAAGAACGAAGGCGAGTTGTTACACGGCCAAAGTTCGAAAATCGAAGAAATTACGCCAAATAATGTGCTGTTTGTCGTGCATAAATTATGATACATATCTAACGTGAAAATACGCATCTGAAGTGACGCAGAGGCGGACACCACATCCTACATCCTCGGTACTACGAACTACGACTCGGTGGATGGCTATACATACTTCTAATCGTCGCGTTTCGCCTTCTTCCTGGCTCCACCGCTTGCGATGGCAGCTTCTCTCGCCCGTTTTTTGCCCTCGGTCCTATGGTAATCTTTCGTCAATTCCTTCTTCTTCTCCTCGGAGAACTTGGCATCCTTCTCCTTCTTTTTGAGATACTCCGCGCGCTTCTCCTGGACCTTGTCCTTCCGCTTCTTTTCTTTCTCGCGATGGATGGTGTTCAGCTGCTGGATCAGGTTCGCCACCTTCTTCTCGTGAGGCTCCAAAACCACTGCCCGACGTGCGAGCAATGATGGCTTCTTTTGCTTTTGTTGAAGCTTGGGCTTCGATGCGAAGGGGAGTTCTGCCTGCAGGGCTTTCGGGATCTTGAGGGTGTTGAAGCGTCGAGCTTGTCGCACAACGGGCTGAAGGTGACAAAGAAGAAAGGAAAGTTAGACTGAGTTTGCAATGCAACGCGAAGAGTGGCGCGGAACTCAAGCGAGAACGCACTTTGTACTGAGAGTCTTGACTGACGGGCGCACTCATGTTGTTTTCTCGGCGCAATTGTCCAGTGGTGCGCAACCCTTGCCATTTCTTAGATGACAGCAACAATGATGTGACAGGGTTGTAAAAGCGTTTTGGCTTCACCGGATACCATGCTCGAAGGAATACGATGTCTGGACAGAAATGACGAGTATTAGTCCTTTGTTCTTCTCCTTGCCCGCTTCAATCTACAACTTACCACTCATCAAAATCTTGTCTTCAAACGTTGCACGGAATTGTCCATCGGGTTTCTGGGAAACTTCGTAAGTACTTTATAATTCGAAAATGACCGGATGCCATATGAATATATGAACATACTCCAACATGCTTCTTGACTTGTCCTCTAATTCCAGAAACAGTCCTGATGTTGGCGCCCTCGAACTTCGCAACCTCCAAAGCGGTGGTAAACATATCTTTGACGAAAGCAGTGTTCTTGAAGACTTTCGTGGGCACACCGGTGAGCTTCAACTTTTTGACAATCTCAGTGCTCTTGTCGATGTCGAGAACGACGCCGGTGGCGCTCAACCTGAAAGCTGCAGTGTTGTCCGCAAGTTCTTGGAAGGCACAGAAGCCCGTGTTTGGCGGCGTTGTTGGGCCTGGACACGATGCAACATTAGGATTCAGTGAATCATCTGAAAGCGAACTTTTCGCCGATCTTACCGTAAAAGGTGGCCAAACAATGCATATGTTCAGGCGTGTACTTGAGCAGCCTATTTCTGGTTCCATCGTTCAAGGAGTAGATAGGCAAGCTTTGGAATCGCCTCCATCCCATAGAGAAGATGAGAGGGTCGTTGTTTTTCAGTGTCTTCTTGAACCATCTATGCCGCTTGATGCGAACCTGAGACACAGAAGCTTTAAACTCTTTGTTCGATACCACCCTTTCACATGTGACGCTCTCTGAACAAACCTGCATGAACCCAAAGTTTTCCTCCGCTGGTAAGAGCCCGCCCACCAATACAGGGAAGCTTGGGTCGAAGTTCTCTATGAACTCGCATGGCATGCCCTTGAGGACAATTCGCACATAAGTGCCCGGGCGATACCCCTCAATCTGAGCTCTCAGCTCCGGCGAGTCGTCCATAAACTCTTCCCTGTTGATGGCTTGTTGCCTGGCCATATCCTCCTTCATGTTCTCGTACATGTTGGAGTTGTTTGCTTCATCGTCACTACCGTCATATTGAGCATCGAACTTGCGTTTTAGTGCCGCCTTTTTCTTGGCGAGCTCATCCGTTTCCTTGGATTCTCCATCACCGGTAGTAGCTGCCTCGCCCTCTTGGCCTTCGATTTTTTCACCGGTCTCCAGATCTTCGAAGTCTCCGTAGACCTCCTCCGTCTCCGCGCCTGCCGCGGTCTCGGATTCTCCGGCCTCCCCATCGAGCTGCGCGGTAATGAAGCGATTCCTGAGGCTTTCCATCTCGGCCTCGTCCACCCATTTTTCCAGTTCCCCGGAGGGAGCTTCGTGTTTGCTTGCATCAATCTGCGTGTTTTTCCTTCCGAAATCCGTTTCGCCTTTCCGAACACGGAAGAGTCCGGCATCATCGACTTCCTGCATCAATCCAGCGTCGTCACTATCCCCCGCCTCGATTGTATCCTGTTCTCCATAAACAAGATCCATCAGGTTGACCCTCCGCTTCAACGCAAGGTTGGCGGCCGCTCTGTCGAGTAATTTGCCTTTCCAAGAGGCTTCCTCGTCTTCACCCACCAGAGCCGAGTCGTCCTCCTCATCGTCAAAGTCACTATCACTCTCGGCGAAAGCAAGATCATCGTTTCGCTCCTCGTCAGTGCGGACTTTTGGTGCTCGTAGTCGCCGTCTCGCGCCGTCTTGCACTTCCAGTTCGCCGTCCTCTTCGACATCGTCATCGGAATCGTCGTCTTCATCATCACTTCCGGAACCAGGCTCTGCATCGGATCCGACTCCAGAATCCACCTCATCCTCATCCTCATCATCATCTTCACCGTCAGTGTCATTGGGGTCAGCACCCACTCGCCTCCTCGACCTAGATGTTTGCCCCATGTCCCCATCGAGAACGTCGGACGCCTTTACGGTTGCTGAGGAGGCAAACAGTCGGAGCTCACTGTCCTTCATCTTATCTGCGAACGTATCCGGCGCATTCTGCAAGTCGATGACCATCTTTTCCCCTGCTCCGATGTTTTGATCGTCGTCTCCCATATCCTCATCGGTGCGCTTCGTAAAATGGCCAGGAACGTTGATGTACACGGCATCTTTGTCGTAGAGAATGCCAATAACGTCGGACATGGGCGCATAGATCAACTTATGTTTGTCGCTCAAAGTCCGTCGGACTTTATCGGGCTTCGGACACGGGTCTGGCAGAATGCTAACCTCGCCAACTTTCTGATCTCCGACTCCCGGAATATGTACCTAAAGGAAGTATCGTAAGTCACAGCGCGCATTTCGCAACAGCCCGGACGGAAGATGCATACCTTCATTTCCGATTTCAGGTTCGTCCCCCGCATATAACCGTAGAGAGAGACGGTGCGGTCGCACTTCGGACTGAGACGCAGCGTTTCGGGATCCGTCAGATCTTCCACACGATCAGCCAAGACATAAGGATGTGTGTTTCGCCAGATGAGTGGCCTGAATTTCATCACTGAAATGAAGCGGGCCAGATTCGTGATCTCATTCTTCATGTACCGCCCATTGATTAACCCAGACAGGTAGAAGAGCTTGGCTCCCTGGTAAATTTCTGTCCAGAAACGATGCTTCAACCGCTTCTTCGTTTTTCGAAGACGCTTGTTATCCCGGAATTTGTCCAAATGTGTCAGTACACCGATGACCTTCGGGAATCCATGGACCTGCAGAATGTTCAGAAATTCGAAGGTTTCCTGGGGACGCAAGAGGTCAAATTCAGATTCAATTCTCCAGGCACCGCTGTTCCCACGAAGGCACCGATTGTCAAAACGCACCATTTCAAAGCCGAAACTGGCGTCAATGAGCAAGAGCACCAGATCCGCGACCTTCGCCACATCGATCATCGAATTCACATCGTTACTGCACTCGATAAACGTCAACCGACGGTGCTTTCCACTGACAACCGTGATTGGCCCCTTGATTTCCGCAAGGTTGTGCTTTGAGTACTTCTTTACTAGCGACTGGATCAAGGTCGTCTTCCCCGTCTATGATGGAACTTCGGTTAACGGCTTTTCCAACTCCGTAGTCGACATTTACACATTTTCAGCGGCATACCCCAGGTGGTCCAACCACAGCAACAACCACCGGTGGTGCTTCCAATGGGGTCCTGTCAACAAGTGGAACGTGAAGTTTGTTCTGGTCTTTCTCCAGGTTTCGCCGAATTATCTTATCGGCCTTTTTCCCCGAATATGACGCAAATGCCTGTACGTAAAAATAGTGGCCGTTTGAGTCTGTGGGTTCGGAAACGGAGCCTAATGACGCAAGTTCGGGCGTCGACACTAACCTTGGGGTTGTTTCTCTCGGCATTCTTCTTTGTCTTACTGGCCTTCTTGTCGGCTTTCGGACCGGCCTGCTTCGGCCGGTGGTCTTTCGTGCTACGGTCCATGGCGAAGCCGGCGTCGGAGAGAGCAAAAGTGAGTGCTCACCAGAGTGACAGTCGAGCACTACCTAAGTCGGCCGTGGTGAAGCTATGAACGTTCCCTGCCCGAGCGCAAGTCAAATTCAAGGCTCTGCTGCGAAATGCCCATTCGCAGTTCGCAGTTCCAAAAAGCATTGCAATTCGCGTCTGCAAAACTGCAAGGGATTGATTACGCTATGATCACCCCAGGCACGTGAACGCAATACGCAATTAAATTTGGAACGCGTTCATCAGTCTCCGCTCTCTCTCTGACAGTAAAGAACCCTCTTTTCTGGAGTGGGATTTTCTCGTCAGGTAGTTTTGCGTGCAGCATATTGGAAAACTCAGGTGAGCAACAATCCTGTATATGGAGCTCCATGTCGTCTAGGCAACTGCATCTCAAGCTCCATTCTATTATGGTCCGCCATATCAATCCAATAAAAGGAATTAGCAGGTAAGTCTTAGCCATATATGCCTTCAGGTCTATGCACTTATCCACAGAAAGCTCCAGCGTTATGTACAGAAGTTTGAAATTACAATGGTGGAATGAATGAGCATGCTCAGCATATGCCTTTTCTCTATATAGCAACTGCTCTTGCTTTTCTCAGTTGCTCTTCCATGTCCATCATCTTCGTCGTGAGCTCCTTGATGACGAAGGATAGTCAGTAACAGAAGTCTGAAACCTGAACGCGATTCGGAGCAAGACAGACCTCTAGCAGCTTTTGCATCTTGTTGTTAATCTGAGAAAGTTGCACAGGGTCCATTCGCTGCATCGCCGACGTGCTTGATAATATGTTCAGGTTGAAGGCCTGGAAGTTGGAAGGAACTCCGTCAGCGATTCATCACAAGTTGGTCAAACGGCTCAGATACCCACGGATGTCTTCGGTTTCTCATCTGGCTGCAGTTTCTGCGCATTGTCTCGTAATACATATTGCCGTATCACGTTCGATTTTTGTTCCAAATCCTCTGATAGACGGGTGACTCTATCGTAAGCTTGTTTGAGCTGGGAGTGTCCATTGTCAGCTTCATCAAGTTCTCAGCTCAATGCCAAAGAAGTATCGCTCTTACTTCCTCCTCGTGATACTTTGCCCGCTTGTTCAGAGCCTCGTTTTCTTGTGCCAAGTTCACCAGATCGACACCCATCTGAAAACAAACGGGTTAGTCGAAGCTTCCAGTTCACGAGTCTTGATGAAGGTTCTTACGCGCTCAACCTTCGGCACGCCAGGTGTCTCAATCGATTGTGGACTCTTGGCGCTCCGAGCTAGATCAGCATTACTGTTGCGGATAGATGGTGACTTGTCATCTTGGTGTGCTGTAATGACGGGGGAGTGAGTGATCTAACTACCTCCCTCATCACGGGCTGGCGTCAACTTACTTGTCCCAAAAGATTCTGTCTCGTCATGCTGTTCGCGTTGTTTCCGCTCTTTGGCAAGCTGCTTTTGAAGATCCTTAACCTATGGGCAGCTGAGAGTTCAGCTCATACATCTACCGCCCGCTGTCAAACATCCGCCATGTACCCACAATCTGAGCAGTCTTCCGCTCCAGAATCTTGTTGTCGCTCTCCATCTGCTTGAGCTTGCTCTGAAGCTCTCCATTATCCTTTTCCAACTTTGCCTTCTCCACCTCCACCTGCTCCAGTCGAGTGTTGACGCTCTGTGTGGCACCCTCCAGCTCCGTCGCCTTTTCAGTCACATGCGCTTCAAGTTCCCGGATTCTCTGCTGAAGCGGCTGTAATTGAGCCGTCGTATCGTCGCGCTCCTTCTCTAATTTGGCGATTGCCTTCTTTAGAGCTGCATCGCCAATCTGCATCTCGTCGATGCGGACTTTGAGCTTCTTGACATTATCTTCCTTCTCTTGAGTCAGCTTGTTCGATCGCTCGAGGGACGCACGTGCTACCTCTAGCTCTGCTGTTAAGGCATGGTGCTGTGACTGTAAGGTACTGAGCTCCTCCTTCAAAGGCTGCACTTCGACACGGTTTTGCGTCTCTCCGCGGCGAAGTTGCTCGAGTTCTTTTGTCTTTTCTTCCAGTTGACGAGTGAGCGTCTTCGTCTTTTCGTCCAGTTGCCGCGAAAGCTTTTCCACGTTGACTTTGTTCTCCTCGACCAACTTCGCATGCTCTGCTTTGATGGTTTGTAACTCCTGTTCCGCTGTCTTGCCTTTCCGCAGGTAGCTCCCGAGCTCCTCTCCTTTCGAGATAATTTCCTTCTCTAGCCGTTTCTGAAGATCCACAGCATCCTTCTTATGCTTCTCGTACTCGGCTTGCACTTTCTGCTTCTCCTTCTGTTCCTTCTTCCATTTCTCCTCCAGCTCCAGCTTCTCGCGCTTGAACCTTTCTTCACCGTCTGTGGAATGTTTCTCAGCCGCACCTTTTTCGGCGTGTTCCAGCTTATGTATCCGCTCTGTTAACGACGCAACAAAGGCTTCATGGGATTTGTGTGCGTCTGCCGTATTCTTTTCTGTTTCCGCGAGCTTCTTCTCCTTCTCCTGCAGCCGCGCCTTCAGCTCGGCCACCTCCTTCGAATAAGCTTCCTCCACTGCCTTCAACTTCTGCTCCGTCTCACTGATCCTCGCGTTCAACGCACCAGCCGCCATATCGCTGGCCTCCTTCAATGACTGGATTGCCTGCTCTTTGTCGCTCTCAGCAGCAACACGTTGCGTCTTGTCGGCCTCAGCCAATTTCTCGGCCACCTTGCGGTCATTGTCGCTGGAAGATTCTGCAAGCTTTCGAGTGAACTCTGACTCTAACGCGGCCCTCACTTCTTGTTCCTTGGCTGCTAAAGCTTGCTGCAAAGCTTTCTCATGCTCATCTCGGATACGGGCAATGTCTTCCTCCGTTTGGCGCTTCGCTGAATCGGTTGCGTTAGCCTGAGCCTTTGCGATCCCGTCCGCGATTTTCCTTTCATGCTCTTCAGTCAATTTTGCGATTTCATTGTCCTTGGTTTTGATAGCTTCTGCAACAACTTGACTGCTGTCGCCTTTCAGCTTATCTTCTAACTCACTCAATCGAGCAAGCTCCGCCTGATGGGCAACCTGCAAAGCGGCAATCTCCTGCTCTTTCGCTTTGACCGCTTCCTGCACGAGATTTTCGTTGTTAACCTTCGCTTTGGATTGCTCCTCAGTAAGCCTCGCGAGATCCTCTCTATGTGCCGCCTGAAGTGATTCAAGCTCGCTCTCTTTAGCTTTGAGCGCAGTTTGCACGTTGCGATCATGCTCGGCCTGCAACGTCTCTTTCTCCTGTGTCAAATGTGCAATCTGTTCCAGATGGGCAGTCTTAACTGCATCAATATCCCGATCCTTCGCGTCCAAAGCTTGTTGGAGGTGCTGCTCATGTTCAGCTTTCAGACGCTGGATCTCAGCATCATAGGCCGCCTTTGCAGCTGTGTTTGATGAAGTTGAGGCGGATTCTTTCGCTTCAGCAAGCCTTGCCTCAAACGATGCCGTGAGATCCGCTACTTCCTTCTTGTGGGCATCCTGCAGCGAAGCCCGCGTTTCATCCAGAACTGCCTCGTGCCGCGTCCTAAGTTGATCAAATTCAGAAGACTTTGCTTCTTCAGCGCTAGCTTTGGAAGACGCCTCGAGTGCAGCGAGTTTTTCCGAAAGGACCCTTTCGATCGCAGAAGTAAGCTGCTGAATCTCTTCTTCCTTCGACCTCCTCACTTCATCCACCCGCGCCTCTGCCGCAACCAGGCGTTCATCAAACTGCCACTGCAACCGTGCAATCTCGCCCGTTCGCAGCTCATCCGCCTTTCGAGCCCCATCTTCATCGTGCTTCGCCAAATCTTCCACTAACCGCTTCTCCCAGTCCGCGTTGAGGCGGTTAAGCTCCTCCATACGCGCCGACGCGTCTTGGCCCTGTGCTTCAAGAGCATGCTGGAACTCCTGCTTCTCACGCGTGATTCGTTCGAGATTTGCCTTCTCGATCTGTAACTGCGATTCCAGCGATGCGATGTCGTCGTGGTGTTTCTTCTGTAGGGTCGCTGATGCGTCGGCTAGGCGTTTCGCTTCGTCCCTTTGTGTGTCTGCGAGACGTTTAAGTTCGTCGGCATGTTCGGTCTGGACCTTCGCGCGCTCCTGTGCTTCTTGAGACCGAGCTCTGGTCTCCTCTAGGTCGGCTTGAAGCCCCCGCCACTCGTCAGCAATCTTTCGATTCTCCAGCTCGAGCTTCTGGATAGAATCAAGGTGAGACGATGCGGTTTGCTTAGCTACCGAAAGCTCCTGTTGCGCCACTCGAAGTTCTTCGGTGAGTGCTTCCACCTGCGTTCCTTGCGTGCCTTCGGTCTGCAACTGGACTTTGAGGGTCTCAAGCTGACTGGTCAGTTTCTGTATCTCTTCCTGAGCAGCTCGCACTTGGTCCTTCCCATCATTCCCGTCTTTCGTAGCCGTGTCCAGTAATCCTCTTTGGGTATCGGCGTATTCGCGAGCAGATGCTAGTTGAATGTCCAAATCCTGCTTTGATGTCTTCAAGTGCTCCTCTCGCTCAAGAGCTTCTGCTAGCTGCCGCTTCAAATCAGCAAGAGCTTCCTCTTGAGCTCCGTTCTCAGACTGGGATGCAATCGCTCTGTTCAGCTGCTGCTTCAGATCCTTGAGCTTGGCATTCCATTCCGCTCTTTCCTTCTCATGTCCCGCCAGAATGTCTTGAATCTGCGCTTGGAGCTTTGCCGTCTCTCCTTCAGCCGCAGCTTTCTTCTCATCCAAATCCTTCGAGAGCGCTGAGTGACGTTGTTGCCATTCCTCCGCAGCCACTTTAGCCTGATCCAATTCGGCTTTGAGGGCGGTTGCAGCGGCTAGCTGTTGCTCTAGAGAATGGCTACTGGCCTTCCATGCCTCCCTCTCCTTCGCATGCTCTCCAACCAAATTCTCGAGCTGTGCCCGGAATCTAGCGGCTTCCTCAGAAGAGGTTTTGAGGGCGTCCGAAGTCCTTTGCGCCTCGGTCTTCAGCTCGGAAACTTCATGAAGGGCTGCATCCAGCTTTGTTTGAAGCTCTAGCTTGTCTTCCTGTGATGCTGGTTCTGCTTGTAATTGAGCGTCGGGCGAAGGAGAAGAAGCAGTCTTCGCTAATTGCTCCCTCAAGGTCGCAATCTCAGCATTGGCCACTTGATATTTGTCTGCAAGTTGTTTCGTATCACTATTCGCAGATTCACCAGCTTTGCGCAAAGTGTCAAGCTCGCCGACAGCAGTATCCAGCTTTTGCTGCAACGCTTCCTTCTCCTTACGTAGTTCTTCGATGTTATGTTGGGTTGCAGTATTATCTTGTCCTGCGGAGGCTTGCGGCGCTTGCGACTGCTTAGACTGGAGTACATTCAGCTGCTGTTGCACTTTGTGCAAAGATTCCTGAAGATGCTTGTTTTCAGCTTTGAGAGATTCAAGCTCTTTCTTCTGATCTCCTGTAGAAGTTGCGGTCGGTGCGGCCGCAGCGGCAGTAGCAGGAGTGGCGGCAGAGGCGGCACCTGCCGCGCCTCTACTCCACCACTTCGATACACCGGCAGTGCCTGTCGCGGGTGGAGGTCCAGGCGCACCCTGCTGTGATGCCGCAGGCGTCTCCGGCGCCTTTCCGTCTTTGTGCTCCACAGACTCGCTGGATTTCCCGGCTAAAATAGTAGTTGAGGTTGCCTGCGCATTGTTGGTTGCTGGAGCTGGTGCTGTGCCTGTTACAGCGCCAGCAGCCGTCTTGTTCCACCATGAGCGAGCAGCGGTTGCGGTAGCTGCAACAGTGCTGGACGTTGTCGAAGCAGTTGAGCTCTTCGCAGAAGGGTCCTTCTCTTTCAACTCCGCCACCTGTTGAGACAGGTCGTTCAGAGACTCAATCAAGTGGCCCTTCTCATCACGGAGGCTTTTGACTATCTGCTGCAAGGCCTGAATCTCTGCTTTCTCCATCATCTGCTCTGCAACTGCGTGAACGTTTGGATCGCCAGCGGTATACGGTGGGGGTGGTTTGACTTCCTCTTTAGGCTGGTCGGTTTGCTGCCCGCGAAGCTCCGTGAGCTCCTTGACAGCGATCGAGAGTTTTTGCTCCAGCGCCTTCCGTTGCTGATCAGAGCTAGCGACCAAGTGATGTATGTTTTCTTTCAAAGCCTGGTTCTGAGGGCAAAACGTTTCAGTGATGTGCGTCTTCAGACACTCCCTCTACGATCCGCTGCGCCAGGGAACTATGCCATACCTGCATTTTCTGATCCCCGAGTAGTTCCAACTCGACCTTCAACTTGGCATTTTCGTCAGTGAGCTGCTGTATGGTTTTAGCGTTGTTCGACTTGGATATCAGTGCTGCGTTACATTCATATCAGGTGGGGTGGAATATGCATGGATCATACATCGCACAATCTGTTTGCAAGTATGTGCGATTCAGACGAGAGATCTGAGACAATCTCACTTACTATTTGCCTTTCTCAGCTCTTTCTCCAAGTTAAGCCGAGCTTCTTCGACCCGATGAGTTTCGGCCTTCTCATGACTAATCTGCTCGAGGGCCTGTTCGAGGCTCTGGAAACGGGCTTTAGATCAGTTTCCCCCAGCCCCTCATTGGCAAATGCAGCATACAAAGCGCACCAGAGTGGTTTCTGCTGGCTTTGTATCAGCAGCCATTGCTTTTACTTTGAGAGCTAATCCAATTTCGGCTGGCTTTCGTCTCGACGAGACTTGCGATGGAAGGAATCGGGGGTGGAATTGGGACGAACTGTCAATTTGCCGTTTGCGAGAAAGCCCGCAAGGATGACACCGATGACACACGCGTCACACTGCGCTGCGCCACCGTTGCCCTCGCGTCCTTCGAATCCCCCTCCCGATCGATTCCCGAGGTTTCGCTCGCTCGGGCGGGGCAACTACTCTGTATTTATTCGATGGCGATACCTTTTGGACCGTGAAATGCTCTTTCTCCCATATCGAGGCTCTGTAGTTTCCCACCTCCGACTACGCTGCAGGCAGGCTTACCACCGGTTGCCTCTTACAAATTTTCGGTCGCTGAAAACCTTAACTTCAATGAGCGCCGACTCGCCGGAGCTGGCTTCTGGCCTGCCCAAGACCGCCCACGATGCCCTGTACTCCATGTATGCGACGGGTCTCGCCGACAAGTAAGTTGTTTAAGAATGGTTCGGCGGGCAAGCGCTCTCGGCCCAGGTGTCAGCTGCCTTTACCATTTCGCAAGGAGCTAATACTGGCGTCTCTCAGAATCAAAGTCATAGAGAAGAACCTCGACCCGTTAGTACCGAACGATAAGCCATATGTGATTCGATTAGACGGCGTGGCTTTCAGCACCTTCACGAAGGGCATTGTCAAGCCATTTGACGTGCGCCTCACTGAAGCCATGGTCAACACGACCGTGGATCTTGTTCAACGGTTCAACCCCGTGCTGGGGTACACTCAGTCAGACGAAATATCGTTGGTTTTTCCTGCAACACCTGTATCTGATTCAGTGATACCTGAGGAAGATGAAGATAAGGTCGACGAAACCGAAGGCGGGGAAGGCGGTTCAAACAAACGAAGACACAAAGCATCCTCAAAATTGAAGAAAAGCCATAATGTGCAACCCCAACAACACATGTACAATGGACGCCTCCAGAAACTTGCGTCTGTTCCGGCGTCCTACGCCGCCGCTCGCCTAAATTACCACCTCAGCCGAGCCAACTGGGACGATTTGAAGGAGCCTGTTCGGGAACGGATGTTGGGCGGAGCGGCCTTCTTCGATGGCCGAGTCGTGTCCATACCGGACACCGAGACTGCTATGGAGTGCATTTTCTGGCGGTCGAATTTCGACGGGTTCCGCAACTGCATATCAACCATCGGCAATGCATACTTTTCACCGAAGGAGATGCATAAAAAGGGAATGAAGGAGCAACTTCAGATGCTGGCGACAAAAAACGTATCGCCGTTCCGAGACTTTGCCCCGCGCCATCTGTACGGCACATGGGTAAAACGAGCGCAGTTCACGCTTCATGGATTTGTCAACCCAAAGACTGGAAAACCCGTCGGACCGGTTCTGCGAACCCGCGTGGTGATAGGCTCTTTCAATTGGGCGGATTACACGCCGGAGCAGCGGGTATCTTTCACTTTTGCGAAACTGTGGCCGGATGACGGGCCTCCGAAGGACGCCATACCTGAGAAACCATCGGCCAACAGTTGAGACATCCGAAAGATGAGGATCAGAACCCCTTTTTTCACATCCTTGTCGCTCGGAGACAAGACCGCGCTAACGAGATCGCTTTCATTTTTCGGGGATCGGTAGAACACTAGTCGGAGCTCGGGTAATGGGACAAAGCCGCGCTTTTTCAACGTCGACCTACCCTTAGATCTAGAGGTAATTAGGGCGTAGGCATTGTGGGGACCGCACAGCCAGAGCTTCTTGCCTTACAAGGCTCGTTCACATCAGCGCTCCAGAAGGTTCATCATCCTCAAGATATAGAAAGCAGTAATCTGTACATATGTATCATGCCATACCACTTGACGAATCTAGCACTACATGTCCGCCGCCCATCGTTAGGCCCGGAAATTGCAGCCTATGTTGACTAACGATCGTGACAGAAACTGGCAATACGCCCTAGATAAATCATGAAAAGCAGCCTTCTTTCAACCCCCCGCCACTCAACTCAGCACGGCGAGGCGGACTGCCATGTAGGAAAGATGCGAAAGTGCGGGCTGGTTGAGATTTTGTGCCAAACATTTCTTATACGATCATTTCTGGCCTCTCGAAGATTCAGCCGATTCCCCCTTCTGCTTCCGCTTCTTATACTGCTCCTCTCTCTCCTTAAACCGGCCTTCAAGTGCGTCCTGCGTTTCCCGCAACGTGTCTTCAAAAAAGTCGGAATCCGTCACGTAGTCACGAGGGTCACGGGGCTCCAGCGGTGGCAAGTCATCGTAATCGAATCTGTCTGCGACGCGGTCGTACTCATCGTCCAACTTATCGTGGGGTATCTGGTCGAAGTCCTCGGAGAGGTCTTCCTCACCCGAATCCAAGATGAACTTTGAGTACTGCTTCTCCTGCTGTGACCGATTTTCGACTTCGACGGTAGGGAGGGGTGCGTCAACGTAGTCGTATCTGTCCTCCTCGATCTCATCCTCAACAATTTCATCCACATCCTCAGCTTCGGTGCCAGTCACGTCCCCATCAGCAACCGCTTGGGCTTCCGCCTCTTTCTTCGCCTGTTTCTTCAGATCCGCTACGCCAACTGGAGTCAGATGCCTAGGGATAGGGTTCGGGAACCTGAGCGCACTTTTCTGCTCCAACTGGTCCGCATTGGCTCGTCGCTTGAGGAAGCATGCCCGTTGTTCGTCGGGAGACATCTCTTCGAACGGCACTTCTTCGCCCGCTTCCTTCAGCTGTTTTTGCACAGCGAGCTTTTGTTCGAGTTGCTTCATGGCCAACTGCACTTTCAGAGTGAATTCGCCCTTGGCCGGCCGTGTTTTCGATATCTTTTGCTGCTCGACGGCGTTGAGGAATGTTGGCGGCGCCATACTCTCCTGCCCAGCTTCCCATAATGCAATAGGAAGCCATGCGTTGATGGCCGTGAATCCAACCCAGGGTTCTTGCAACGGATTCCCAGTCCATTTAGCGTCGGCTTGTGCTTGCTGCAGATCGATGTTGATATATCGCTCCGCTAGCATGCGCGTCTTCGGATCCACGATTGGTACACCCTTCCCAAGAGGCGGCATATCCGGTAGAGGTTCTTTGATTTGCCGCTCCTTCATCTCTGCCAAATAGCTGACGGTATGCTTTCGTGCTTTCAACCTTTTCGGAGGTGGATGGTCATAAAATTCCGTGTCCATCCGCAACACTTGAGCCACGTCGTATATCCCACAGTAGTTGCGCGAATTGAAGGCTTGTTTCCAGTCAACCTGCAGCCGATCAAGCATATCGTTGATGTCTACTCCTATCTTCTTCACGTTCTCGTTCTTCAGAATCTTGTTGAACAAGATCGGATTGAATTTACGCCAATGCGCTCGCGTCATGCGTCCAGGCATGACAACCAAAACCTTATTCTGCGGCGTTGCGATCGTGAGTGCATGAATCGGGTTCAAGTTCTTGGTGCCCGGGGTGTAATGCGGTCTCTGCATGCCGGAAAGGCCAATGAGTGGCGCATTGTATGCTTCATCCATTAGCCACTTTTGAAGGACGGGTCCCCAGGTAGAGAACAGAACATCTAGGATGATCCGCTTTTCCTGGCTAGGATTGCCCTCGGAATCATACATCGGCACGTTGATCTTGTATCCTTCAGTGATCGGCACGATTCCCTTCTTGGAAGCCGGGCGCCAACGTCGGTTGCCGTCCTCGTCGGGCTCCTGCCAGATCACTTCGACTGGGGTGTCCTCAAAGACGCTTTTTGGTTTGATCTTTGGCTTTTTGATCCATTTTCGTCTTTCCAAGTGAGGTTCATCGCCTTCCTCCGGGTTCTGGTCCAAGCACGAGGGTTCGTCATATGAGTCGCCGCCGCTAGCTCCGGCGACTCCGGTCCTATTCCGGTCTGCGTTCCGGGATTGTATGGTCGTATCGCCCGTACCCGAGCTGTACGAAGTGCATTCAGCAAAGGGGTTGCCCGCATCCTCCTCCTCCAAGTCTTTCCTCTTCGAGGCCTCCCCACTCGAACGCCCATAGTCAGCCGTACCCCGAGTTAAATTCCGGTCGATCCGGTCCTCTTTGGTGCTCCGATCATTCCGCGGCTTGGACGGCATTCGGCTGTCATCCTCGTCTTCTTGTCTCCTTGACTGAGGACCGCTGCGGAGTCCGTTTCGCCCTACATTCCTCTCTGCCGACTTGCCAGCCCGCATGTCATTGTCTTCTCCCTGCCACCTTGACGACGGCGCGCTGCGCGATCCTCCTCGCGCTGCGTTTTTTTCGTATCCGCCGCCAGGAGATTCCCGAACATCATTCCCCCTCGACGGCGGTGCGCGGCGATTATTCATCTCCGCAGATTCGCCGTGGAGGGAGTCATAGAAGCCACCCTCGTCTACCCTCCACTTTGAGGATGGCCCGCTGTGCTTGTTCCCACCCTCAGAATTGCCACGAGGAGATGCTCGAAACTCATTCTCGTCCTTCTGCCCTCGCGACGACGGGGCGCTGCGTGTTTTATCTCGCCCTTCATCCCTGGCCGCATAGCTGCCGCGAGAAGGTTTGCGATCATGGTCCTTGTCTTCCTGCAACTTCGAAGGCCGTTCCTTCGGTGGTCCCCGGCGTTCGTGCCGGCCTACGCTGGCCCTTTTGATATTCGTCCCTGGAGGTGGTTTGTTGGCATACGTCGAAACATTCGCGCAAGTGGGTCGGAGTAAGCCGCCAAGGATGGATCGGGCGTGGGTGGGATCGGGGGTTGAGAGGAAGCGAGTGGTCCCTCTAGACCGTCTTCTGGTCGCAGCTAGCAGGCAAGGCCTGTACATCGTTGCAAGTGCTTCACCTGACGAGGGCGCTTGAAGATTCGCAAAACGCCGAATTGGATGTTCGAATTTCACGACGGAAACTTGATGGCATTTAAACGTCACACGCGTCATGTGAGATTCCCGTGATTTATTTTCCGAAGCGTCGTCTGGGGAAGAAAACGTCCAACGGCCGTGCGGTCCCTTCCTCCTTTTGCGCACTTAGCAGTACGATAATACCTGGACATCCCCTTTCGGTCATTCCACACACCCTCACAGTCAGCAATGGAGAACGAGAAGGGCCAGGTTAGTGTCGCTGTGTCGTTTGGGAGGGAACCGTGGGATGGAGGAATTTTGGGGTCAGCTAGTCGAGGCTCGGCTCTGGAGGTTTTCACTCTCGAATTGGGAGGAGAATCGCTGCCGGTTCTTTGCAAGAACGTTCGTCGGACTTATCAATACTTGCACCCACACCAGGTCGTCGACCTCTACATTCCCCGCAAGTGCTCTGCCACTGGCCGCCTTATCACCGCTAAGGACCACGCCTCCGTCCAGATCAACGTCGCCGATGTCGACGCTTCTGGCCGTCTGACCGGTACCTTCGAGACCTACGCTCTGTCCGGCTTCGTCCGCGCTCTGGGCGAGTCTGACGACTCCATCAACCGCCTTGCTACCGCTGACGGTTACCTCAAGGGGTGAGGCTTATTTGCGTAATTTGGTTTGTCGACTCTATGACTCGAGTGCTAAAGCGGCTTTTGAACTTTCTTCTAGAGTCTGGAGCTACCAGCAGTAAATTTTTCGAAGTCTCGCTTTTGGATACAACAGTAATGTTGGACGAGCCGTAGCGTTGTATAGTGCATACTCCGTCTCCTCAATATATCTCAAATCTAGCTTCAGATGGTTCAATCGAGTGAACGTTTTGGGATTTAGCGACGGACGGGTGGACTGGTTTCATGCATCGGAGGAAGGGCATTGCGGGCGAAGCATCATATGGAAGGACTGGCTTCGAATAGAAGATGGATTGGGGACAGAATATGGAGTGTTGCATCCGGAGCTATCACGCCTTCGACATGTGGAACGGGGCCGCCGGATGATTTCATCCTTCGCAGAAGGAGAATGTCCAGTGTGTATTATACAGAAAAGTGCGACAGTCCATGGTCCGCGTACAGTTACATAAAGCCATGTCAGGTGGATTGCAGTGAAAAGAGTAATATGAGTCCCACCATGTTCCAATAATGTCGCTCACTCTGCGGAAGCCTCCTCGCCGTCCGCTCCAATGATCCTCACAAACACCTCTTCCAACGTAGTTTCTCCGATTCCGTATTCCGAAATGCCATGAAGTTCAGCATGTTCCTGCATAATCTCAAACACCTTGGACACAGGTAACCGGTCATCATCCTACCAATTTGAAACAAAATATGTCATTTAGTATTTGGGTTGCCATATTTGTGTTATACGGGGTAGATTCTTTTGATGATTTCACCTTAGGGAATGAATACGTCGCCTGTGAGGCAAAACTCTCGTCTCGCTGCCATTCACCGCCGGACGGCAGCACTTGTGATTCCACAAATTGTGTGGCTGCGGGCATGGTGTCTTCAGACGTGGAGGAGAAAGAGAGACGGAAGGAGTTTGCGTAGAGTTGTTTGAGGCGGAGCGGGGAGCCGAGACAGCGCAACGTGCCTTGAGACATGATGCCGATGCGTTGGCAAAGTACTTCGGCTTCTTCCATGGAGTGCGTTGTCTGTGAAATGAATTGGGTCAGCTTGTCTAATTCCTGGCGCTAAAACCGGGCGGACAGAACTTACCAAGATGATCGTCTTGCCTATCCTGGCCTGCTGGATGATGTCCCAGATGAGACGACGGACTTCCGGGTCAAGCCCCGTCTATGAAGAGGCGAATAACACGACGTTCAGTATCCGAGACGAGTCCCGGCAGTAGGAAACGTGAGCATTGCCACCCTACCGTAGGTTCATCTAAGAAGACCACTTTGGGATGCCCAACCAAAGCAATCGCGATGGAGAGACGCCGCTTCTCCCCGCCACTCAGTCCTTTCGATAGCCTATTCTTGAACGCGCCATGCAGCGCGACGGTTCTTAGACTCTCTTCCACCACCTTCTTTTCTTCTGATGGTGATATGCCCTTCAGCCGTGCGTAGAAGAGCAAGTGCTCTTCACAAGTGAGATCATCCCAGAGGATGTCTAGCAACAAGGTAGACGCGGGTGAGCATGCGCAATATGGGAAAATGCTTTTTCGGTCAGCCAACTTACCATGCTGTGGGCAAATACCCACGACCCTCCACACGTCTTCCTGCTCCGAGTAAATGTCATAGCCCGCGATATACGCCTTGCCTCCCGTCGCATCATACAGTCCAGTCAGGATGCTGATCGTCGTAGACTTTCCAGCCCCGTTTGGTCCCAACAGACCTGTAAACCACCGTGTCAGTATGCTGATTATCGTAGATCCTAAGCACGTCCTAACGTACCAAACACAAGATCAGACTCCACAGCTAGGGTGAGTGTTTTCAACGCCTTCTTGCCCGTGGTCGCGTAGGTCTTTTGCAAGTCTTTGAGGATGAGCGGATTGCTGTTATGCTCGGCTAGAGCGGTCACGCGCGCTCGTTCGGCGGTGACGTCTGCGTCTTCATGAGATGTGTAGTTTTCTGGCGGTTGTTGGGCCTCTTCGTCTGTTACCTGCTGAGCGTAGTGATCGCGGAGTTTGTAAGTACGCGTCTTCATGTGCAGTTTTTGAAATATGCCATGATACACTTACTTTGCCAAGATCGTTTTGTTTCCTCCTATTCGCTAACCGATGCTTGGTCGCAAACACAAGCTTGCTCCACCCCCCATTCCCAAGCCATATCGCCAGTGCCATCAACACGAACCATTCCCAGATCATGAACATGATGGCTGTAAACACCTCATCCCCTGGACGGATGCGACTGATCGTGTAAGGACGTTCCGTCTTTTGGAAGGATGTGCGGTTGAGGACCGTGAGGATCCGATAGAAAGCGAATGGTGGCCAGACAAAGTAGCCTGACGGTGCTGCTTGGTCGACGAAAAGACTGTCGCCAGCGAGAGAGACTAGGACACTGCACAGGATGATGAGGAAAGTCACGACTATAGAGGGCAATCAGTATCAGTTGAAATGCCCTTTGCATTGAACGCGCGGAAGCTACTCACCCAACCCGGTGCGCGATGTTCCGAAAAGAGCACCGAGCAAGAAGGACAGGGCAACTTGAGCTGTGAAGTAAGTTTTAGTCAATCAGATATTAGCTAATCTTTCATGCTCGACGACACTGGAGGCATAGTTACCATGGCCCCATATGAACAGGACTAAAATCAGCACGCCAGGTGAAGTCTTCGTGAACATAGACTATTGAAAAGAGGTTGGATTAGCCTTCGTTCGCTAAGCCATGTCCCCTGAAAATCCCTACCATTTTGACGGCGGCTCCGACAATCAGGAAAACCGCAGCGGATAGGATATGGAGGGAGTAAAAATGGATGTAATGGGCCAGCCAATATGTCCACACTTTCAGCCCGTTCTACAACAGGCAAGGAAGATGGAGTCAGAATATCGCTCCAAGCCTCAATACCTGACCAACCATCTCCAAACGAACCATTCTCATCATCCCCATGATCCTGTCCTCCTTCTCCTTCACCAAAGTCACAACAAAGAATGGGGTGAGGAACGAGACACCGAACGGAAAGAGGATACGCCCGATGAAAGATGAGAAGGGAATGTCGAGGCGCGTGCTTTGGACGATCGGGAAAGCGCGGGTACTTGCGGTGATCGCGGCAGCTCCGTACGTTCCGGGGTTACTTGTCCGGACTGCAAGGTTGTGAGCGTATGTAAGTTTCAGGAAAAACTCCGCAATCGGAACAGTTGGATGAAAAGTTCTTACGGATGGCGCCGTTGAGCTGTGCCTGCTGCAAAACCTGGCGAAGACCTGCGGTAGGATATCCTGCAGCGGCCTCAAATCGTTTGTCTTTGCCAATCTGCATCGTATACTTGTACTTCTTCGCCGCATGATCGATAGTATCGAGGTGAAGAGCTAAAAGTGCATGATTGTGTGAGGTCTACTATGGCAGACCGGGATAAGTCATCGGCAGCTACACAATGGAAAGCGTACCTCCGTATGGAACCGAGTTGGTCACGCCAGACACATCTACCAGGAACTTCGAAACGGTGTCTGGATCTGGGTCGGATTCGAAAAAGATGCTCTTATCTATCGTAGATAACCTGTCCACGGCGTTTCGAATCGCCGTTCCAAGTGCGAGATTGATATCGCTTCCAACGTTTTGGAAGAACGGGACGCTTTCGACTCCGGCAAGATTCAGATTGCCTCCCGTCGTTGTGGCATTCACGTAAAGCCTGCTTTCAATCGTATCCAGCAGTCCATTCGCTGCTGTAGCGGGTTTCAGAGGGGTGAAGGTGGACAAAGCGGGTGTGATTGGGATGAGCGGCCCTTGCTCACGCGAGCCCGCATTCGTAACGCTGCTGCTCTGACTGACGAAGGCCCATGGACGAAGTTCATATTGAAACAGATACCGGGCCAGCTTCGTAGCAACGGTCGGCGAAAGCCATCCACCCCGCGGCTCCGGGGAGTAAGTACTTTGTGTAGAGGGCGAGATAAGCAAAGATGATCGTTCTCAAAACATTCACGGTTGTGACATACCTATCGTATGTAGCGTAGTTCGCGCTGGCGGCCACTTGCGGGTCAGTGGCGTAAGGATCCCCAGTGCGATAGCTGTACCCGGTCCCAAAGTATCTGACGCATGGAGCATTTCCGACCAAGCTACCTGCACTGGGTGGGCCATTCTGGGTTGGACCGACCAGGAAGTTCGCATGATAGACCAGATCCTCTGAGGTGCCAAGGATTTTGTTGCCATTGATCATTGGCGGAGTCGACGGTAGCAGCGGGTCCGACACGTTCTGGAGTGGGAAGTTCGAGTCATCGAGCGCAACGACGGAGGAACAGTAAATAATATCTAGGGGTGGCCGGAAGATATCAATCGCAGGGTCAAGAAGGCTGCGTACACAACGAGATGGGGCGAGGAATGACTACCTCTCGGCGCTGTAGACTTGTCGACGAGATTTTGGATAACCTTTCCCAGCGCTGCCGAAAGCACCACCATCAACAGTGGACAGCATCTAATCAAAAAGGCAGCAACAAAGGGGTGGGCTAAACGATTGTGACATCAAACGATCCGGCTTTGATCACACATACGCAACGCAACAGATGTTGGTGAAAAGCTGCCGTTTCTGGTATGCCAGTGTCTTTCGTCCCAAAGCCCGAACTGGGAGTTTGAGAGCGGTCAGTAATAAGTATGTTAGAGCCGTAACTTAGCGCTGCAACGACGTCTAACCTTGATAACTCTTCCCATGGCGAGCGGAACTTCTTGGCGAGGTTACTAGATCCAGAACCAGAACTCAGAAAGAGCAGTTGCACCCTAAGAAATATCCTGGCACTGCTTCCCTACCGTCGTTCATATCTACGGCAGCGGGTGCGGCCTTTGACGTTGGGTCAACCTTGGCCTCATTGGCCGGTTCCATTCTCTGGCAGTTTGGGAACGGGGCGTGAAAAGCGGAAATATACCCCTCTCGAGAAGCCGCATACGAGCACCGACTAACGGACGGCCGACACTTTCAGGAATGGGATGACTTCCTATGTAACGTTTTTCCGGAACGGCGGACGCAAGTAAGGACGCTCATATCAACCCCGCTCGCCAGAGTTCTAATGTGACGGACCCCTGTCATTTCCGACGGCTAATGAGCGAGATTAAGGTTTAAGCGCTTTCCGACTCGGACGTGTCCAATCAGCCCTCCGATCTCCCGTATTGTCGGACCTTTGTGACGCGGTGGTGTGTGTCACGTAGTAACGACGGTCGACTTGGCACGTTGGCAACAACCACCTTTAGCTCGTTCAGTCCCAGACTCTCACTGACAGGCCTCCGCGGAGTCCGTACGCCGGGGGAATAGCGGTTGGCTGGTCGTTTTACTGATGATCAAGCAGCTCTCGAAGCTGGGGAGTCCTGACTCCTGACGTGGGTCCGCCGAAGCTCGGAGGCCGTGGGTTGAAGGATGCGCTGGAAGTCTCTGTCCCAGCGCGTCCATTAGTTACACCCCGCTGGGAATAAGTTTCATCGGGCGCTTCGGCACTGAAGCAGCCGGGCCTCGCGTTTCTGTTGCGCATTGGAAAAGCCATCTGCACGGACATCCGCACGGTCGTCCTGATTATTGCATTGTGCATTGGCTTACCGGGAAGCTGAGCCTATTTGCCTCTTCAGCGACATCCTCGTCTGCCCTCATCATCGGTAGCCGCGATTTCGCTACCTTCCTGGTCTAACTCCACCTGGTCATCCGAGTCTTACTGACTCAGCTTTTCGTCAAACCTCCACTCCTCTCCCTCGGGCACCATTATACGCTGGAAACGGCGCAACTTCCGCCATCCATCCTTCATGTCCCTTCGAAACATCCACCTCCATCTATAAACAGGTCCAAATCTCTCCAACGCCCTCTTGCTTTTTAAACTCTCGCATAACAAGATCCCACCCTGCTCTTCCATCAGGACACCAATTCCCTTTTTTTGCGGAGCCCGGGAATTTTGTTTCATATACTGCACGAGGGATTTCATCTCGAGTCGGAGGACACTCTGATTCCTTTCTGCAGATCTGGTGAAGCGTGGTATGGGCCTCGCCGGGCTCGGTTCCCATGTACTTGATTTCATGGTCCCATGAATCGCGGAGCTCATATTGTAATACGGACGTCCGTTCCAATGTTCCGGGGCGCTGAGGCTGGTCATGATACAGAGGGGGTGCTGTTGTTTCCACGAAACACAAAATGCGTCCAGTCCGGTTAAGCCAACAGATCCCGATAGTAAATTGTCCGTCGTTTTGGCAGAGCGGGTCGATATCGATCCGGCACCGATTTCTATACATGCCTGACTAGCTGCTCGATTTGATCCAGAGAGTGCAAGCTCTGGCTGCTCTGGGGATGGTCCCTTGTTTAGCTTGTTGCTCACCGTGACGTTTGGCAGGCTGTTTGGCAGGGCTCGATCATCGATGACACCGCGTCGATCCCCACTTTCTGCAGTTTGCATGTGCATTTGGTTTGCATTTGAGGTCTGGAAAGTGACTGTACTGGGAACCACACACCAAACGACTAAAATGGACCCCGCAACTATCAAGAAGGAGAACGTCAAGCTCATAGTCAGCGACGTGGACGGAACGCTACTGGACTCCGCCCACGAGGTTCCTGCAAAAACGGTAGGCAAACGTTGAGAGCAACCGGTTCACCTCGTCCAAATGACGACTGACTTCCATTCTTCCAGCGCAATGCAATCCTGGCCATCCGCAAGTCGCACCCAGATCTGCCGTTCATAATAGCCACCGGCAAGCCCTTCGCCGCCACTTTGGATATCCGCCGCGACCTCAACCTGACTCCTTTCCACTGCATCCATACAAATGGATGCCTGATCTACGGGCCAAACGACGCGAACGACGGGACAACCCTTGACTGGGCCGAAAACCTGGAAACGGATTTCGTTAGGCGAGTTGTCCGTGAGAATCGGAAGAGGCAGATAGGGACATTCGTTTATGTTACGGATGAGGTGTTTGAGGTCGTGCTTGATGCGAGAGGCCGGGTGGGCGGGCCTGCGAGGGAGGATGGCAAGGGCTGGTTAGAGATTTTGAGAGCGTTTGGGGAGGACGTCAAGGTGCCGCCCGAGGGCTTTTTGGAGAGGTTGGAGAGCGGGGATGTGAAAGTGCAGGTAAGGCGATGTTGGGAGCCCCTTCTATCTGTTCATTCGACGAAGCGGTATCCACAATTGTTTTCATCAGAAAATGGTCCTTTGTGTCAACGACCCAGAAGTTCCAGGTACGAGGCCATACCCGTATTGTCAGAAAAGCACTGGTATCTTACCCTTATTTTTTTCGGCCACAGCTTTCCGCCAGCATCTCGTTACAGATTACCCTGCAACATCATTCCACCTCACGCAAGCCCTAACCTTTGCCCTCGAGCTGCTACCGCTGAAAGCATCCAAACAAGCCGCTCTGCAACACATATGCGATGAACTCGGCATAACCGTGGACAATGTGCTGGCATTTGGAGATGGAGAGAATGATGCTGGGATGTTGGGGACTGTCAAGTACGGCGTTGTCATGCCCAATGGCATGGAAGGAGCGAAGAAAGCAGCGGCGTATGTGGCACCCGTGACCAACGATGAGGCGGCTGTAGGAGTGGTTCTGGACTCAATTTTTGGACAGTAGACTTCGTAGAGTTACAATCAATGACATGGACACCATGCAACCAGGTCGCGCGGAGGGGCAGCCAGGAGAGCGAGACATACCGCCCTGTTCTCGCTGCGTCGCTTCACTGTATCAAGATGGTGCAAGTCTCATCCTTTAATCTGCTCACCCTGTCGCTGCCAAACGCGTTGTCCGCGTTGAAAGTCATCTGCCTGCTGCGATTTCGGTTCGGATCGAAACCGCACCAGGCGGAAGAAGATATGCGATGCGGGCACGGATCACATCGCGTCCCGGACGGTCAATCAACCCAGTGGCCTACGGGGCCAATTTGCCTTCCTCATACTCCGATGTATCTGCTGCGTACCACCGAGTGGATATCTTCCAGCGGGGATTTCAAAGCGGGATGTTCGTTCACATTTCACTCGGGGTCATTGATGTTTTTGGTTTGGTCGAATAGAGGCATGGAAGCAAGCTTCGAAGAGAGCAAAAACTTTTCGGTAGTCGGGCGAGCGTCGTGCTGTATTGCATCAGCAACAGGGATTTGCATACAGCAACAGGTCAAATCCCGCAGTCGGAGCCCCGACTCCACCGAAACATCGTGAGGTGGATGACAGACGTTTTAGGCGAGATTAGAGCGGGCTGGGAGAAGGACGTGGGGATTTCAACGTGAGGAGGAGGAGGGCTTTCCTGCAGCAGGATATGCACATGACTGGTTTAAGACAACCGCCGAATACGGACCCTCAGATTAGCGAGTTACGTGTTTTTTGGGCATAGGAGGGAGATGGGCGTCCAGGACGCGGTTGTATGCTGCGAACGGAGAGGAATCACGTCCATGATGCGTTTCCAAGTATTTAGTCATTGATTTTGGCCCGGGCTGGGCCAGAGGCAAAAAAAAAATTTCACCTCGGGAGAAGGAGAACAGTGCTGAACAGGTGCAGGTGCGTACTTCCTTTTGGCAGCATTGGTGGCCATACTTTTGGGGGAGACGCATGGCAGACGTCCTATGGCGATGCGATGCCTTTCTTTAAAGCTGTGCCCCCTTTCCCCGTGCTGTGGTGGGGCTTGTCCCGCAGGGAATTGGACGTGCACCGTGAGTTTGGCTTTGAGGGCCAGATCCTGGAGCCCAATCTCAGCTCTCTTGAGGTGTCCAACTCAATGCTTGGCAGAAAGGATGATTACTTTGGGTCGTCCCATACTACCAGCCTTGCTGTGATACCACTCCAGCAAAGTCAAAGCTACTGATCGCATATGCTCACTCACCCGTTCTGCCTGGGGGAAGCTCAGATTTGCCCTCCTTTCCTTTTCCATTTCTGGCCGGGAGGTTACCGTTCAGGTTGGATGTTTCAATATGGTGAATAACAATATGCTGCCTTCTGTTTACAAGTAAACCTTCCGCTCATTCCTGAGGCTTGTGCTCACGTCAATGTTCCATTCGGGCTCCCAGTCCTCACCCGGCTCACTGTCCACTTCCGTTGAGAATTCAAACTCTTGAATGCTGGTACTGTCTTAGAGTGAGAGAGTGAGACAGGCCAGCTCATCAGCTCATCACATTGCAGTCCATCTCGATCCCATTAACTGGCACATCGACACCAGCAGTTAGCCTGTACCGGACGCTCATCATGCTCGTACCGGGTTGTAGAGACGTTGGGTGACATTGTACTGAATATGGGCGAGCAGGATGCGCCGGAGGTCTACGAGGCTGCAGAGGTCTTGAGCATACTGCAGACAGAGCGAAGCGACCAATCTGTAACTGATGATTGGAGCCACATGGTTGGGCCGACGTTAGCTTGGTTGCGCGGTGGCAGAAAAATACACACGTCCTAAAAACGCGTAAACGCGTGAAACGCGTGAATCGTCAGTTCTCAACGCTTTACGTACTGACAGTACGGTCATCACGCAATCAGATTCCGCTTTACCACGATCCCGAAGCTCAATCTAAGGGGAATGGGAATAGTGATTCCGTATGTGATCGTAAAGTGGGTCTGTGATCGCAAACTTGGAATCACTGGATGAGCGTTTTTCATGCGCACGATATGTTGCCGGCGGTGGGCTACTGAAGCTTCAGGGATAGGTTTTAGCCTTGGTACAATGCGGTCGCGTTGGAGTTAGTGTGGCGGAAACGCCGCAAAAAGATGAAATTTCAAACTTCGTATTAGTACTGAGAGGGTCTATGCTCTATAGATACAATGATGGGATGCTAGATATATCAATCTGGATGTAGGAGATACTAGCATAGAAACAGCGGGATTACTTTGTACAAGAGGGGTAGCTGGAAGAGACTCGGACCAAAAGCGATCGGGACGAATCTACTGGGCGGCCAGGATATGCCCAAAATCTGTTCTGATGTTTAGGCAGAGAATCGGAGGAGCCGAACCGGTGCATTCACCCTTTGGGTTTCCGTTGCGTGGTGTCATACACACGGATAAGGCCAGCCTGTCCACCCTCGTTCTGCGAGAACGCGAACCCGCGCGTCCTTTTCAGCCGTTGTATCATGCGCACTTTGTGCATGGCCTTGCGGAACCACTCCATCCGTGGTCGGTAATCTGGGATGTTGTACTTTTGCACCTCTTGGATGATGTGGTAGCTGTTCGGGCGGTAGGTTCGTTTTGCGCTGCGAGTAGTAGGAAGACAGGTCAGAAAATGTAAATCCTGCGCAAGCCGAGAAAGACATTGGGGGGCTGGAGTACTCACTATTTCCATGTGAAATCACGGAGAGTTGCGGCGATGGGAATAAGCAAAAGGCCGAGCCAGAAGACGGGGTTCCCAAGCATTGGCGAATTCAGGCCAAAAATTTCAGGCGAGATGTGAAGCATGGGTCCAACAATCACGTACTAACGGAGTGCGAAGAAATGGAAGTATCAGCAAACCCCAGAAACAGGAACTTATGCCAAGCGCAAATCCTCAATGATACTCACGATCGGAAAGGCAACCAAAAACATCAAAAAGGCACCTGCAATCGCGATCCAGGTAAACTTTGTCCAGATATGAGCCACAAGCGCGGCTTTGAACCCAATCACCAACAAGTCTGTCGCAAAGATCGTTTCGCCCACGACCCAGAAATCGGCTAATCGCCCATCGGCGAGAATCGCACCGTCGCTTCCGGAAACGACTGCTCTCCACATGAAGTAGATGAATGCAGAGTGGTAGAAGGAGTTGGAGATCCAGGAGAAAAAGACTCCGTGGTTGTAGAAGTAGGACCGTTGACCGAGTGTGTAGAGCTGTGGGTAACGGTCGAGCATCCGTGCGGAAAGATATTGGTCGAAAATACCAAGAGCGATGGGTTGCGCAACGGCCCAGAGAACGTTGTATGATGAAAGTGATGACCATGTTTCGAAAAAGGTCTGGAGGGGAACGAGTGTCAGAATCAAACGAAATCCGTCGATTGTGTCACACTGAGAAACATACCGCTCCAGAGAATCCGTTATCGAAAGCAAACCACAGCTGAATCAAGTACAGCGTAATGTTCTTGTAGAAACTGTACAAGATCAACTTCGTCAACCGGTTGTAAGCCCAGCCTCCGTGGATGAGCAGCAGCTTCCGCAGGTATCTGAATTGAGCAATCGCGAAATCCGCTGACCGCGCAGCCTGCAAACCTTCTTGACCGGAGATACCGACACCGACGTGGGCAGCTTGAATCATCCCAACGTCGTTGGCACCGTCCCCAATCGCCAACGTCACAGACCCTTGCACATTTTTGCGCACGAGTTTGACGACGAGGGCTTTCTGAAGCGGGGATACACGACAGCAGATGACGGATTTGCAGAGAGTGGCGAGCTCTAGGAACGTGAGCTTGATGTCGTCCTCCAATGCGAAATCGAGCGTCCGCCCGTCGATGATAAGCGCAAGCGGTTCCGTGTCCGTCTCGGCATCCTTGTCGAAACGAGGTGGCTTTTTCTTGAGCAGGCGGTCAATGAATCCCATCTTCTTGGCCGGTGCGCCCATCCCCATTCCACCCCTCACGGCCAGCAACTTCTTTTCCAAGAAGTCCTTTGTCTCAAAGTGCGTGTCCTCATTACAAATGATGAGACTGGACTCAACCGTCAGCAGCTTGCATGAGTATCCGATGTTGATAGCGGTTTCTTGTCGGTCACCTGTCAGCACCCAGATTTTTATGTTGGCCTGGGCCAAGGTGGCGATTGCGTCAGGCACGCCATCCTGCAATTTGTCTTCGATGGCGGTCGCTCCGAGGAGGAACAGATCCTTTTCGATCAGTTCTGCTGCCTTGTCAAGCTCTGTTTGTCGGTTGTTGATGGTGTTGGCAGCGGTGTTGTAAATCTGCGCCCACTGTTGGTACTCGGCCTCAGAGACGTCCCGGTACGCTAGACACAGCGTCCGGAGTCCCTCCGTTGCGTAATCCTCCAAATGAACACACGTGGCATCAACAAACTGCTGGCCTTGCGGTCCTAATCGCTCGAGGATAACCGTGTCTGCACCCTTGATGTAGAGCTTGATCTGTCCGGTTGAAGTTCTGCATAGGATGCTCATCCTTTTCCTCGTCGAGTTGAACTCGTTGACGTTGAGTATCTCATATTCCTCCTCCCGTCCGTCGTGGGTGATTGTGACACTCCGTGGTTTGCGAGTGTGAAATCTCGCTCCGAGGTCCTGGGCGCCCTTGACGAGAGCGGCCTCGTCTGGTGACGATGCTTGGTAGATGATTTTCGTGCGGTCGTGCTCATCAATTTCCGGGATGACTGTGTGACACACTGCCAACAGATTCACGAACTCTGTGAGGACCTCTGAATGTGGATGCGAGTTCTTAGCTACCAGCAATTGCTTGAACGTCATATACCCCTAAAATGTATATGAGGAAAATTAGACACTGATTGGTTGCGTCGGGCACAGCTCATGTAACCGCTTGCATACCCCGTCGGCGCCTTTCTCTTCCGCCGCAGCCCGTCTCTCATCCGGTATGGTCTCAGAGAATGCGATTCCGGCAATGCTAGCCATTTTGAACTCCATGATGTTCATCGTCAACGTTCCGGTTTTGTCGCTGAAGATGTAATCGATTTGGCCTAGTTCCTCAACTAGCGATGACGTCCGAGCAACGGCATGTGTATCGCTTTCCTCGTGATACATATCGAGGTCGGAGTTGATGAGACCTCCGAGAACGAATTTGACAGCTTCCATGGTGACGATCAAACTGCAAATCAACACCCGAGTGAGAAATCACAGACAGCGACAAGGCGGAGCTGGAATATCAGGGTACCTGAGTGGAATCAAGTTGTTGAAAAGAATGATGAATGTCGCAATGTTCCTAGGGAATAGCGATGCAGGGTTTCCGGAAGTTGCAAGCCTGAGGATTTCTCTCTCGAAATCACCGCTGATCTTTGAACGACATAAATGAAATGTGAGCAAAATCGGTTAATGGAATCTGAGATGCGTACGACCAACTCACCTGTCTTATGAGGCCTCCTACAGCCAAAAGAATGGCAATGGACACCAGCAGACCGAACAGAAACAGAATTTGGGTGTTAACCATCCTCTCAACCTTTGTTCGCTTGACAGGCGCAGCTGTGGCGTTCCGCATTAGTTTGGTTTCATGTCCTGTAAACACCACGATCGCATAGACCCATTGGGTGTTTCGCAGTTGTGCGCCACGAAGCAGCAGCTGTTGTGGATCGAGTGGGACGGTCTTTGTCGGTAGACGCAGGGTGCCTTCGTATGTGTACAGAGAGTTGTTCGGTAACTCTGAACGCACGACGGCGTGTAAGCGCGCCATGGCCTCCGGAGTAAGAATGGTCGCCGTTTCTGGAAGACCCTGTCGGATCTTCAAGTTCGTCTCTCTGCAAGTCGGAAGGCGAGACGTCAGGGGGGTTCATTCCAGCATCACAGGTACTGCGTTTGCTTTGCTACTTACCCATCCAAGTTGCTAGTCTCGATGTAGCAGAGCGCATCAGGTTCGCTGGAGCTGAGCAAGATCAAGTCTGCTGGGAAATAGTTCCCGTTTTCCACCCTCACGACATCTCCTACGACAATATCCCTCCATCGCTTTGGAGCGAACTCCGATCCATGCAGAACCTTTGCATAACGGGCGTTCACCTCTCCGTCCTGCTTATGTCTCTTGATATCTTCGATGATCTCCTTCACGGCAGATGCAAACAGTACCACACTCAGAGGGAGGATAGTACCGAATTTGTTCGTCGGGGAAATATTTGGGATCAACTGAGCAGATATCAAAGTTAGCAAACAGCGAGATACCCTACCATTCTTGGTAACTACCTCCTATCCTCACCTGAATGGTACCAGTGAACAAGAAGAACAAGTTGGCATATCTTCGGAACTGCTCCAACAGGAATTTCGGTAGGAAGGTGGCAGGGTTGTACTTCGCGGTTGAGATGCCGTTGTGAATGTACTTGAATTGCGAGTTCTTGATGGGATCATTGACATAGATGGTCCTTTCCACTGCCTCCTTGTTGCCCGCATTCCTATCTAGCGTGTTACTAACGAAATTGGAGAGAGCGGTGGCGGCCCGATTCATCGTCCGTGGTCGACTGAGATCTGGCTCCATTGAAGCTGACGTTCCCATAGGATCGCTAGTCATTTTGGACGGCATAGGCTCATGCTGATGTTCACGGTCGAAGGGTGATGCCTGTGGTTGCTGGTGGGGCTGTTGGTGGTAGTGGTATTGCTGTTGCCCTGGTTGTTGCCAGACATTTTGACCGGGATGCCCATACGCCTCCTCGTCCCGGAGGTTCACGTCGTCCATCATCATCCTGCCCGATCTCCTTCTCGGTCGATGGAATCAATATCGCTGCAAGTCCGAACCTATATCTCGTCTAAAGTCTCAAACCGTGGCGGGACAGCAAGAAACTGGTAGTGCTCTGCGAAATGGACAAGGAATGTCAGCCCAACGGTAACTCGATTCTCCGAACAGTTTTAAAGCTGATTGCTGAGAGGGCGGTATGCTAGCGTTGAAAGAGGATCCACCATCTGACTATAAACGGAAACCCCAACTCATTCGGTTTCCCTCACAGCCTCAAGTTCGAGCGGCTTCCCTTCCTTTGCGGCTCGCCGCGATTCTTGGCACACGCGAGATGCAGTCCCAGTTCGATAAACACCTTTGCCCTGCTCCTTCCTCGTCCGCTACGAGTGGTCGTAACCCCTCAACTCTTCCTCTAGTGACGCAGGGCAATTCACTCCTGTGAGTCAATGTACCTTTGCAGTTCGGTCTCAGTGCCAATGTCGAGCTCACACGCGAAGTTCTACACTATACTACCGCGACTAAAGCAACCCCTATCGAACTCTTCCAGCACTCTTCTGCTGTTGCCGTTGGTCTGATGACACGGTGCTTGGTAGACAGCGACCGCAATCGACACGATGTCCTTCGCCAACCTTTCCGTGAGAAAGACCAAGGCTTGGAGGCGGACGGCACATAATAAATTGCACCCCGCGCCGCGCCGCAGTCTCAGGCTCTCAGGTACCTTAACCGGCACTTAGATTCCAATACCGCCAACTCGGATTTAGACCAATGATCGGCAATAATAATCGGATTTCCTGGTCAAAGTGCCTTCAACCGCTGGGGCATCAACTTTAACAGCGGCCCAAAGCCACATGGAAAAAGCCAAGCCTCAAGTCGAAACGATGGTTGTTGGATGGAGTTTCGGAGGCCGGTAAACAGCGTTCCAATCTCCAGAATCAATGGGAGGTGGAAGGTCACCGGCGGCGAAACATCCGAGGAGAAAAATTTGACAGCTCACTCCTGCTGGCGACCACTGGTGAATTTATTTCCGAAGAGCAAGTTGCGATTCGTGACCACTGCCGTTTAGGAAATTTTACTAGACAGGACTCGGAGTCCCCAGCGGTCCGGAATCCGCAGCCCACAAGCGGATCTGATCATTTTACATTAGCGGCCGATATGAGTTTGTGGTGCGCGGAGAGGACACCTTGATGATTGGGATTGGATCCAGGAACTTCATGTTACCAGAGCCCATACATAGATATGATATAGATAGGAGCCGGAAAAGGCGGGCAATGTGTGTACTTATGGTTTGTCCGTGCGAGGGTCATTCATTTAGGGGATTGGCAGCACGTTGGCGTTCTGGGCGTCAGCGCACACCAAAATAAATCTGGACGCGCCTGCGGTGTTCAAGACGCCTGGCAAGGAAAGGGCCCCGGGCAAGGAAAGGGCTCACGGAGACCCAGAGGAAGTCAAAGACAACTGGAAAGGCCATCTCCGGCTTGGCGAAAGAGAGAGCAGGCGTCCTGTACAGTAGACAGGCTAAGGAGGTCGGCGGAGAGAAAGTCCTCATAGAATAGATAGAGCATCGCCATTTCGCAGCGCTTTCGCGAAAGGGAAGAAAGTGTGACAGCATACGGCAGGATTGCATTTCATACCTCTAAATACTCCAACATGAAGCTTTTGAGCACACTGTGCACTGCGGGCGTCGCCCTGCTGGCCTCCAACGCACAAGCGCAAACGACGACCGGGACATGTGTGACCTTGTCCACCATGTCCGTGTGCAAGAACTGGGGTGGTGAGCTTGACAGTCGGAGGTTTCTTAGTGTTCGGTCGCCTTCTGACCTGCCATTATCCATATCCAGGATACTCTGTCCCAGCGACAGCCGACTACTCCGATGCCGCATCCTTCGAGGCCTACATCCTGAACCAGTTCGACAGCAATCCGGCGGGTCAAGCCGCCTTCCGCAACCAGTATGGGTGCCCAACTTACGCGGGAGCGGGGCGACGATACCATATTTCGGTGCTGTGTGGATCAATCATCGCATCCGCCACGAGCGGTGCGAATTCTTGCAACCCGGGCACCGCCCCGCCAATTCCGTTGTGTAAGGCGACGGCCGATGCTGCCATTGCTTCTCTTAACAAGATTTTTGCGGATAACAGTGTGTGTCCTGCTGGCCAGGCTAGGACCCTTGACGCAGCGACGCAGGCGTATGCCAGCAGGTTTGTCATCTTTGACTCTCTCCCTCAGTTCTCATTAACATGACTGACATGACCTATTTGATGTCGTACAGTCTTACTTCCTCGGTGAACTGCATCCCCGCCCTGGACGACGAATGGGCAATGTGTGGTTTTGCCGCCGAAGCGGACGCGAGCAAATACTGCAGTGACGCCAGCACAAAAGCCGACGCATGCTGCACCGCCCACCAAGCTAAGCTCGCCGGGCAGCCCATCAGCGTCCCCAACGGCGTGACCGTCGTCGACCCCATCACTACCGCAGGGGCCCCAACCACCGACGCCCCATCATCCGGCTCGTCCAAACCTGCCGTGTCAACCCCCATCATCATCGCCATCGCCGGAGGTGCCGTGGGTCTCATCCTCATTTGCCTGCTTGTGGTGTTCCTAGTCAAGCGATCGCACAAAAAGCGAAAGGCACCGACTGGCTTCTCGGCTACTCAGTCCAACTTCTCAAATCACTCCACCCCAACATTGACGCGGGGGCTAAGTTCAAGACAAAACACCGCATCCTCGAAGACTAACTTGCTGCAGAGGAACGCCTCCGAGCGCAGTTTGCCGATGAGACAAAACACGTTCAATGGGGAACAAGGTACCCTGGGAGCGGCGGCTATGATGGGGGTCGCCGCCCCGCGGGAGGATGTGGGTGAGCCGATTCAAATTGCCGAGACGATGGAAGTGGTCTATAACTACGTGCCGAATCTTGCTGATGAGATCTACCTCTGTAAGTCACTGCTGTCTTTTGTTCTTCGGTGTGTGTTCGGAAACGAGGGAACCAAACCTCACTGTCAAACCCTATCACAGACATCGGCGATCCAGTCATCGTGAAATGCAAATTTGACGACGGATGGGGCTACGGCTTCAACATGACCACAAAACAAGAAGGCTCCTTCCCGCTCGCCTGCGTCGACACCTACGGCACCGCCAAGAAACCGCGCGCCAACAACGACGGGGCGCAACAGATCTCGCCACACCCCCACGACCAGTGGGCCGCTGACAGCGATACCTACGACTCGTACTCTCGTCGTCCGCGGTCGACCTCCCTCGCGCGACCTATCGCTGCCCTGGACCCTGACAATTTCTCGCGCAACCCATCGCAGAGCAGGCGCAAGCCCTCTGTCCGCCAACCGCAGGCCTCGACATACGAGGCCTACACCGCTCCCGTCATTGGCCGTAAACCCTCCGTGCGTTCACCATTGCCATACACCCCCGCGTACAACTCACCAGTAGAGCGCAAACCGTCCCTCCGCCACCAACAAAACTCCTACCAAGGCTACAGCGCCAACATCCTCGACTACGACGACGACACCACCGCCCCGTCCTTACCTTCCCTCACCCGCAACAACACCCACAACATCCGCCCCAACGGTGCGGGTTACAATTACAACAGCTACACGACGCATGATACGATGACCAGCGGCACAATGCGGTCGGATGCGAGTGGCGAGACCTGGGGGGTTGGTGCGGGCAGTGCGGCGAGCAGTGGTGGTGCGGGACCGAGTAGCGCCCTGTCTCCGCCGCCGCCGCCGTTGGGCTCGGTAGATTTGGAGAAGTTCAAGGTTAGGACGGTGAGGCAGACGTATGCCCCACCGCCGCATGAGTATTTCCATGACACTAGACGGAAGTAGGTTGGAACGAGGTTGGAACGAGTAGGCTTTGGATGATGCGCGGCGTAGGGTTAGATTGGAATGTAGATGAATTTAGACCGGACATACTCGCACGGCGTGAACTAGGATATAGCGTAGCTAAATGGTCTCAGTTCAGGACCATTATAATGTAGATCGTCAACTCATTGCGTTTGTAGAAAGCGTTGGCAAAGGGCAGGTCCTTTTCGTTTCAACCCCATAAACTGCAGTATTTCGTGGTCATCTCCTCTAATCAAAATCAACGGCTTTGATCACTATGACGTTGACTGGGTATGCATCGACCGTTCTGCCAGATCCCAATTTTACCAAAAATTTATCAAGCTCAGATATACGTTCACCTTCCAGCAGATAAATAGAAGCTTCTTCATTAAAGATTATGAGGGCAGATATCGCGTTACAGGCCCGATCATCAGAAAAGACAGAAGGGAAAAAACTACACAAAGTAAGGGGTGGGTGATCGACACGAAGTGACAGCCTAAACTTCAAAAGTTCAACAGCGGGGGGGAAACAAGGCCATTACACCGCAACTTGATCGGTAGCAGCGCGGGAGCGACCGATCTTGAACATGCGGCGTCCGAGATTGCCCATCAGAGAGACGTTGGTGGATGGCGCGGACCCCTTGTCGGCCTTTGTGGTCGATCCGAGGGGAATGTCATCGGTATGGTTGTTAGCGGCCTTCTTGGTCAAGAAGGAACCCATGCCGATGCCCGTGATGCCCGTCTTGGTGGCAGAGCGCTTCCATTGGCGTTTGTAGCTGTCCACCATCCAGCTCAACTGCACAGAGTTGAGGGCTCCACGGCGACGACGACGAACGAACTCAACGGCGTCGAGAGGCACCATGCCGGCTTCGACGAGGGCAGCGGTGACGAGAACGGGTGCGCGGCCTAGCCCAGCGACGCAGTGGACGGCAATCACGGGGCCGGTCCCCTCGACGTAGTCCTTGGGAGGTGTAACAAGCCCGCCGAAGCGCTCATCGCACAGACTAAGGAAGCTGTGCAGGATGTTTTGCGGAGGGATACCGCCATCCTTGAAGGGCCAATCGTGGACCTGGATGCCGTTGGCTTCGAGGACGGTTTTGTCATAGGTGGGCTCGCAGAGCCGGACGACATCGGTGACGCCTCGCTGCTGCAGCTCCTGAAGGTAGAGCGGCAGAGTGTTGGCCGTGGGGCAATCGAGGATCACGAACCGGAGGTTGTGATGTTCAACCGTCGACATGATTCTTGCGAAGGGAATGGCGGCTGCAATAACGTCAAGGTGATTAGAATTGGCTGATGTAGAGAGATAACCGACATTTTATCACCCAACTTACCAGGCATTTTGATGGTGAGAGGCTTGGTGGTAGTAGCAGTAGCGGTGACAGAAGTAACAGACATCTCTGATATTTGCGTCAGAAGTCGAATTTCCTTCGCGGAAGGGTATGTGCGTATGTACGAGAGTTCTTTCGAGTATATGAGTGTGAGATATGGAATCGACAGTTCCAAGCTCCAAAGGATATTAATCTGGCTCCAGATCGCTCTTCACGAGAACGTAAGAGCGCTTCTTTACTGGGTTGTTAAGCGCACTAGCACCCGCAGCGGCTAGCACACTGAGAGGGGAATCGGGGTGGGAGGTAGAGCAGTCAGCCCATCGAAATGTGGAACTCCGCCGGGGGCCGGGGAGCTGAGACGGAGAGAAAGGTGTTGCCAGTTTTTTGACACGGAGTGGGACCTGCACACGCTGCGTCCGAGTCGAGCGTGCGGATGGGGGATTACTGAATTTGGAAGGGGAAACGTAGAACAAGAAACAGCGACTTTCGAGACGATTGTCGTTCCTTCTTCTGAGACTTGGTCGTGGGATAAGATGGTAAAGGAGGGATAAGGTTCTTTATCCGCCGTCGTTGTTGCCTGCGACGGTGCGAAGGAGGAGGCAGCGAAGTCCGTGAAGACGAGTGTTGTGAGAGTTGATAGGTCGGAGGGCAGCCAGAGGGCAATCACGAGTCATGAAGGTATGAACAAAGAGGTGAACGACGAGGGTTTGCAGTGTGCTTGCTTGGGTTGTCAGCGAGAGAGCCTAGCGCAGGGATGCGTTTTGTTATAAGGGCCGACGGAAGGATGGTTTGTCAGACTGAGTGGGATGTCAGTGCGATACGTGTAAAGTCCGCTGGGGAAGAAAAAGCGGCCTCTCTGTCTCTGGAGATGGGATGGATTTCTGTTTAGAAGTAGTGGGCTAGCTACGTATTAGGCGCGCGGGGGGGACACAAACAGAAGCGACTGGGCCGCGCCTCCCTCATCAATCCACTCTCTTCCACAGAACAAAAGTGGGGGTTGGCAATCGTCACCGCGCCCCCTGATTCCGCCCAGGAGGCGGTGGTAAATCATCATCATCTCCATATGCTCCACCGACTCTAAATTCGGAGATTGGAATCTTGGACCAACGACATCGATGGCTGCTAACGAGTTACGAAAGCCGTAAGCAGGTACTGTACACTGTACAGTATATGGGATCCTGACTCCTATGAGCAACATGTTATGAAGAGGGATCCACGTCCTCCCATAAGCAAGCGTGGATGGGGAAGAAAGAGAAAAAATTGCAAACGCGAAACGGGCCGTTGGTTCCTTTGCTACAAAACATGACATCGATGGCGACGTGCATTAGTAACAAGCTGTTGTTTAACGCTCGCCCATGTGATTGCTCGTCTCCGTTCTCCAAACTCACAGGTCACCACAAAACAAGCTAACGGGCTTACCTTGAACCCTCGCTCCCAACGGCTGCAAGACGCTGAGCTACAAAAGCGATGCGGTAAAGCACTGGTTGGTGTGCAACTGGCCTCCGCGCTGTGGATATTGTTGCATACGAGGCATAGCGCGGTACCAAGTGTGTAGGTACGACCCAGTCACGGTTTCTATCCACTCACCGATCGACGGACGAGCCTCTGCAGTGTGCGGTTGCGTGCGCCTCGGGACGTTCTGTAATTTCGCTTGGGTCTAATCTTGTGGGTACGAGGTTCTGCTGCATCGAATTTGGATTTGCAGCTCAGGATTAGGATATCCGGACGGCAGCAAACTTGTGGAAAGGAACCCCACTCAGCATCAACCCCCACATTCTTTCGTGCACAGCATTCATCTGCCCCGACCTCGCCTGTCCAAGGAGTCCATCACAACTCACTCTCCCATCTACGCGACGAATATATACCGGTCCGCTTGCATCCGAGTCCTGCTGTCCTCAATCGCCAGTCCTTTGTCCCGTCGATAAACCCAGCCGCCAATCGTGTCGCTCAGAATTTCGACCAAAATGATTCCACATCGAAGCAGTAGACCAAATGCATGTCGACTATATCGGTGTATTTTCAAGGATATATTGAAAAAACATGTACAGAAAGTTGAGAATATCTATTCCTCGGGGATTTCGATTTCCTGTAGATGCAAAACAGATGAGACACCATTCGCGATGACAACCGCATGAACCGGCAAAAGCTTCACTTACACCAGAGGCGACTTTCTCGCTGATGTCCTGTGGGGACTGGCCATCAACAGTGCAACCGACGGAGAAAGCGGTTCCGAGGATTTCCCTGACGGTGCCCTTCAACTCCTTGGCGAGGGACTTGAAACGCATCTTGCGAGCAACATCAATGATCTGGTCCAAAGTCAAGTTTCCAGAGTGCTTGACTGAGAAAAGGAGGGAAACATATTAGCCTCTGTACGGGAACGATATGTGAATCCATTTATGGATGCTTACTGTTCTTCTCCTTCTTACGGTCCCTTGGGGGCTCCTTCAACGCCTGGATGACCAGGGAGGAGGCACTGGGAAGAACCTCAACAGCGGCCTGACGGTTCTGGATCACCAGGCGGACGGTGATCCTCAGACCCTTGTACTCCTTGGTGGCCTTGGCGATGTCTTCACCGACCTTCTTGGGGGACTGTGATCGTGATATATGTCAGACTCGCCTGTTTCCTTCGTAGCAGTTGGAATTTGCAGCTTCGAAAAGTACATACCAAACCAAGAGGACCGATCTTGGGGGCAAGAGCGGAACCACCAGCAACTTCACCTCCAGTAGTACGGAGGACGACGTACTGGATTGCGGAGGGGTCGAACTTGGGAGGCATGTTGGCTGCAAACGAGAGGCCAAAGGTTGATCAGCCATCTCTTTCCGTCGAACAGAGTCTTCGTCTTCTCGCCGTTATGCATCTTCTATAGTTCCCTCCCGCTCTGGTACCACCCATTTCTTCGGTCGGTCTCGGTCTGCAATCGCCAACAACAATCACCGAGAGCCGCCCATAATTGTTGGTTTGCAAGAGGTGGAAACTCCCCCTGCCGTGAAAACGCATCCCACAAGCCCCTGAGTCATTGAGAACGGTCCACAGAGGTCGTAGCCGGTCCTCTTTCAATGCGGAGCGCTACTGCTGTCGAGTGGCATGTTTTCGTCGAATGGTTCGTCGAAGAATGTCATGTCGCAATCGTCATTCAGTCCCTACAACCATCCATCCTATCCATCTATCCATCCATCTCAGCGCCTCTTCTCCTCTGCTATGGCTATCGATCCTGCTCGTTCGTACGTTCTGTCTTCTGTCGTCGATTCTCACCTAGTGTGTGTTGCTGATCACGCAAGTTCGTTCGCGTATGTCAGTTGTGAAGCTTCAATCCATAAGACGAAAGCCGTGTGCTCTGTTGCAAGGAGCGACAGCGCAGGCCGCCGCTTAGGTAAGATCTTGACATGCATAATTTTGACCAAGTTGAACTCACCGCGTGTTCTCATGTTTGACACACCGCCGGCGCTAGAATCATAGGACCGCGGCAGTTTGGGGCTTCAAAATGGTAGCGCCTTACGAGTATAGTATTACTATGACGTCGCCGCAAGTTACGGGGCTGCAAACTTCTTGTCACTACACATCGACTTATCTGAGCGGCAGTCATTAACGTTGTGAGGAGGTGGGTTCCGCTTGGAGGGAGGTGGGAAGTGTGTGACGGGCACTGACGGCCCGCGGTTGATGAGAATAAGAGCAAACGCGCGCGAGGGGTTTTTCGGAGGGTCGGAGGAGACAAGGCTTAGCGTTGGCTTTGTGTTGAACTGTCAACAACGACTTGGAATGGTTGCGCATTTGCTCCCAGGCGGGCGAAACCTCAACGTATATTAATCATACGCTCACCTGAACAGCCAAAGTTGCTCTGACCGTCTCAAGCCTAGAAGTTGCGTCGTACTCGTATGAGTCCAAGGTTGGCCGGCTTCGCGTCCTCCCTTTCTGCCATCTTCCCCGAATCCCGACCACGGGGCTGCTCGACCTTCTCTCGGTATTTCAAGCAACAAACGGTGCCCAGGACCCCTAAGTTCTTTGCCACTCGACTGTTCAGCACCACCCGACCTGCAAATATGCGGTATTATCTGCAAGTGTTAGGTGTCGACTCGGTCGATACAAGCCCAACTGTGCTCGTGCACTTCGACTCCCAGCGGTATCTATTCAATTGCGGAGAGGGGACGCAGCGGTTCTGTCACGAACATAAAGTGCGTCTGAGCAAAGTCCAGAATGTGTTCTTCACTCGTGTCGCGTGGGATTGTATCGGTGGCCTACCTGGTAGGTCTGTCGTGATGTCGCCTAGATCGCGGGAGTGACTCTGAACTTTCTCCTCCAGGGATGCTGTTGACACTGGCGGACGCAGGGACTGATTCGCTTTGCTTACATGGCCCGAGGAATATGACGCATGCCATGGCCTCCACCCGTCACTTCATCTACAGGTAGCCGGAGACGCCCCGATTGTGTTCTACCCAAATGAACGTGTTTATCATTGATACTGTCGTCCAGAGAAGCTGTTGATGTCACCGTTGTAGAGTACATAGAAGCCCAACAGACATACCAGGATGAGAACTTGACGATCTTCCCAGTCCAAATCAAGCCGGAATTGGTCGAGACGCGAGCTACTTTCGCATCAGACGCATCAGTCGCGGACGTTGCTGCGTCCGTGAATCGGAAAAGGAAGAGCGAGGATGAACTCAATGACTATGCAGCGAGAAGAGCCGTTTTGCAGAAAATGTTTCCTGGAGGTCGGGGATCGCATCCCCTCTCATCCCTCCCGGAACCGGCTCGGGAACCCCCCGTCTCAGCTCCCGTGCATATGGAGTTCCCCGCTGGGCCGGGACAGGAGGCTTACATACAGCCGGTAGTTGAGAACACCCCCGGACAGGAGCCACATACTGAGATTGGGCGAGTGAAAGCGGCACGATTACCAAGAACCAGGGAAGATCCCACGATTCTCGCTTATATCTGTCGGGGTCCGAAAGTCCCCGGCAAGTTCAATGCAAAGGCTGCTATAGCTTTGGGTGTCAAGCCAGGGCCAGATTGTGGTGAGTAAAGGCGTAAGAGGAACTTTGCAAAAAAAATATCGTCTTACATGGGCTCTTCGCAGGTCGACTTGCGAGAGGCGAATCAGTTACCCTGGCGAATGGGACGACGGTGGTTCCAGATCAGGTGCTAGGCGAAGAAAAGCCAGGGGCCGTAAGTGGCTTATACGAAAACGAAGCTCTCCGGATGCAACGCGCTGACTGTTGTATGGACTGCAGGTGTTCGTGATTGTAGAGTGTCCGAGCATATCATACATCTCGCCAATAGCGACGTCGCCGCAGCTTCAGGACATACAAGGCGGCAAGGCACCGGTACGCTGTGTCGTGCATATCCTAGGACCGGGTGTTTTGGACGATATTCGCTACAAGAATTGGATGAAAAAGTTCAGCGAGAACACGCAGGTATGTCTCGACATATTCGGTCTTGCCGTGTTGTTATCTGATTATCCTTGCAGCATATCGTCATAAGTCGCAAGCACAATCCGGCCAGTGTTACAACTGTGTCCGCAGGGAAGCTACAATATCGGCTGAACATGCTGGATAACGAAATCTTCCCGTTGCCGTATAGTAATGAGACACCGGAGCAATCGCTCAGCTCAGGCGTGTTCTTGATGGCAACAACTCGCGAAAGAGTGAGGCGCTAACTTATCCATCTTTCATGTAGTCCCCGGTATACCGAAAAATGTCATCGCTGCCGCTCCTTTAACGAACTACATCCTCGAGCCGGCGCCTAAGCTGGATTTCAGTGAATGTTTGAAACCGCTTGACTTTCCTCACATTCAAGCACAAGCAAAAAAACAGCTGGAGGGCTACATCCTAAGCGATGGAAACGAAAATGGTGCAAGTAGGAATGAAGATGAAGAAGGCGTGTCTGTGATCCCTTTGGGAACGGGCTCTGCTATCCCTGGGAAGTACAGGAACGGTGAGTATTCAAAGTCAGCAGTAAGTTTGGTGCGAACATGCTGCTGATACATAATGGGGTTTTAGTGAGTTCCACACTCATCAAACTGCCCGAGGGAAACATTTTACTGGACGGCGGCGAAGGCACCCTTGGTCAGCTTTACCGGCACTTTGGTCCTGATGGGTTGGACACGGAGATTGGCAAGTTGCGGCTGATCTTTCTCTCGCACTTGCATGCCGATCACCATCTGGGACTCATTAGAATCATCAAGCATTGGTTTGAGGTATGGCGTTCTCAACTTGGCTTACACAGCATGATTTGAAATCTCTGATAGATGTCGGTTCCTTTGTTCCTTGAATCCCAGCTTCGAGATCGAGGCCACCCATCGCCACTGATTATCATTGCCCCATATCGCTTCAACGAGTTTCTGGAAGAGTACGGGGATTGCGAAGATTTCGGCGGAGGCCATGTAAGCATGGTCAATTCTGAGCTCTTGAGGTGGAATAGGGAAACGGGCGAAGTCTTCATTGGGGAGGAGAACTCGGCGTACGTCTTGTGGCTAAAACATCTTCCTTGCTGGTTTGGAGGATTGCTGACCTTGTCGTCATGTTGGTTTCAGGATTCAACGCCTCAAAGAGATCCTCCACCTTCAGTCTGTTGCCACAGTGGGGGTCCACCATTGTCCAATGGCATATGGTCTGGTCCTGAAGACCCACGCTGGTTGTAAACTCGTGTACGTGAATCTACCGTTGTTTTGATGCCCTTCCGACAACTCTGCCGCGTGATACTCATGTACCCCGTCAGGTTTTCCGGCGACTGCCGTCCATCCGAGGATCTGGTGGAAGCTGGCAAAGATGCGACAATCTGTGTCCATGAAGCAACCCTCGAAGATGGGATGCAGAAAGAAGCCGAGGAGAAGAGGCATTGTACGACCGGCGAAGCTCTTGATGTTGGGAAAAGGTACGTACGGCGTCTGCATTGCAACCTGGCTTCTTCCTCGACCTCTGAGATGAACTCCCTCCTCTCTTTGGGCAGAATGCGTGTCCGGCACCTCCTCCTCACGCACTTTTCGCAAAGGTATCCCAAAATCCCCGTACTGCCAAATTGGACGTTATCCAACGGCAAAAGCCAGGAGAATCGAGCTCCGGCCATGAACGTGGGAATCGCCTACGATCTGATGCGCGTGGACTTGGACAAGTTCCATAGATTGCCCAAACTGCTACCGGGGCTCCAGAAGCTGTTCCCCAGCGACGGTACTGAGGACGGTGACGATTCTGCGTCTCTCAGGTCCTCGTGAATCGAGCTAGATCTTTCATGTAGATTAGGCGACTTGGGTGCTCGCGCCGGTTTGCACTTGGTGCTCCCGGGCACTGCTACAGAACCGAACGAATAGAAAGAGACCGCAAAGATCGCTATTGATACACGGAAGCGAAGTCTGCAGCAGCAAAGATGAATTCAAGGGTCTAATGGAAATTGCAAAAATATGATATATACAACGAAGCAAGTCAAGGCAAAAACAAGAAGGCAAGACAGTCCCTAAACTCAAAGGTCCCGCGCCAGGCGGAACCCAGCAAACACATACGGGTATCCTCTCTGATACCAGTTGGTGAAACTCTCTCTCTCGGAGATACGCGGGATGGTCGCCCAGGAGGCGCCCAACACCACATTATGCTTCCCATCGAAAAAGTCGCTCGAATATCCAGGATATACCTCGGACTTGACATAGCCGTCCTCCTCCGACCGGTTCAGCACCGTCGACGTCCACTCCCACAGCCCTTCGTCGATGACGGGTTTGTCCGAGTCGATGTCACTGGACCCGAGCGCGACCATGGACGCGAACCCGTAGTTGCGTGGCTGGTGCTTGCCATGGCTGCGGAACTCGCGGAGCTCGGTTTCGGTGGGTAGACGCATGCCGCGGGTCGTGGCGTATTTGTGAGCTTGGTTGTAGGATACGGAGACGGGCGCGGTCATGAAGTCGGATAAGGGGAGGATGCCGAATACCGTCTTGACGCCGTAGGTGGAGAGACCGGTCGTCAGAAATCCCTTTTGAGCTGTAGATGATGATGGAAGGGGTGCCCAGCTGGCAGGGAGCAGGCCAGTTTCCTCCCTCCAGCCATCTTTCTCGCTATCTAGGAACTGAATGTACTCGCCGATGGTGACTGTCCGGGACTGGATCTCGTACGGTTTGCCAGCGGGCAACTCGCGGGCGGGCTTCTCGACATCCCATCCAAACGTCACGGGCAGCGCAGCAGTGGGCTCATGATCGAGGTACTCCTGGTCGTTGATTCCCGTCTTGACGTTCTGCGGATGTGCAACGCGGATCATATCCGCGAGCTTGGTCGATGGGAACTGGTTGGGAATCGGGGCCAGGATGCCCTTAGGCGGGACAGCGGTGGAGCATTGGACGAGCATGTAGAGCAATGTCTCGAGATGCATGCCTTCGTGCTCATAGCACATCCACAGCGCTCGCTTCAAGCGCTTTCCAACGTCCTTCCCCTGCGCAACATCGTCCATGACCTTGCGCAACCGCTCCCTCACCCGTCCCTGGTACTCCATGATCTCTTCCGCCTCCGGCCACTGATCTGGCACCTCCGAGTGCGGGTTGCACACGCTGGGGTCGTCAAGATCCGGGTCGATGCCGCGTTCAAAGATTCGTGCGAACGATTGCGGCGATGTCAAAGGCGCCTTTTCCGCGCGGGCCAGCTGGATGTCCAGGAACGCGGGGATGTGGCCCAGGTAGAAGATGAAGGGGTGTCGTAATGCGATGGGGCGGGTGAGCCGCTCGGAAGCCGGGATCATGGTCGTTGTGATGTGGTCCCATGCTTTCCACATCTGCCCCCACTCTTCCATCGAGGGTAAGATGGTGAGGGTCTCGTTGGACTTTTTGAAGAAGAATGGCGGCTTTTGGAACAGGTGGAGGTCGTACATTTGCCTCCTGTCGGTGTATTTACCGACATTGTAGAACTGCGCTTGTTCAACGAGCTCGTCTACCTCTTCCTTGGAGTACTTGTAGCTGTACTCGACGTTCAAGATCTCGTCCTTGGTCAACGATATCTGGTTGTGACCGGGGGCGGATATCGTTTGGTCTTTCAGCGACCTGTAGTATGCTTCGTGTCGGCCCTCGACGGCGTTGTAGATGGACAGATACTCAAAAGCAGAGCGATCAAAGACGTTTGCGCGGAAAATCGTGTTGACGTGATCCAAACCGTTCATGATGAAGTCTCGTGTCACATTTTGCGAGTCGTTATACGCCGCGCCGACAAGTTCGGGGGCATTGCGGCGGTCGATGCCGCACAGGAATGTGTCGCCGACATTCATTCCCTTGTCGCAGATTTGCCGTAAGAAGCTGGCGGCTTCCTGGCGGTTGAGGTTACCGATCGAGCTGCCGAGCCAGAGGTACGTCTTTGACGTCGTGGCGGGAATGGTGGTGCTGATATACTGGATAGAGTCCTCGTAACAGCCCAAAAGTCCTACGAATTGGATGGTTGGGAAGGCGTCTGCGAGAGGACTGAGGGAGTCGCGAAGTGACGCTTCGCTCAAATCGACAGCGTAGTAAGTCACGTTCTTCAAGCCAAGAGACTCGATCGCTTGCAGGATGTGCTTCGTCTTGCGCATGGCACCGCAACCGAGCTCGACAAAGATGCTGCCGTTTCCAGCAACGCGCGATACGCAGTCAACGGCGTGCGAATGGAGCACGTCAATCTCGGCTTCGGTCAGGTAGTACTCCTCGACGTACGTGATTTTGTCAAAGATCTCCAGACCTTTGTCGTCGTACAGCACCATGGTCGGGACCGATCGGACGAGGGTTGGTCCCTGCGGGCCGAAGTGGTACTCGACATTTTTCGTCGAGAGCCCTTTGATAATGGACGCTTTCAGGTTATCGTCCGTATTCGATTGGGATGTGTTTCCGCGCAAATCGATGACCGGCACTGGCGCCGGCTTTGCGTAATTTGACTTTACGCTCCTTTTGCGATGAAAGCCGTTATCGTGGTGGACGTCCACAGCGGTGGGTGAGGTGATTGTTGAGGGCGACATTTTCCCATGTGATTAGCGGGGTCCAGATGTGATTTTTTGAATTCGGCAGGTGAAAGATTCGAACGGTATGGAAGGGTAAACGGGCACTACTAGAACCAAAAAAAGGGACGCAGGTTTGGCTGTGATAGATAGAAGGCAGGCCCAGATGCTTTTATGTGCCGTGAATATCAACCCTTTGCGAATCTTCAGACAGTTTTGGAACTTTCGGCGGTCAGACAGAGGCTTTCTGTTTGAAATCTCGCTGCGAGGCGGCCGGCGGCGGATGAAGCCTCCTTTTATATCTGGCATGGTTTAGGGTTGGATCACTAGAGACAAGCGAGCTGCGAAACCAAATCCGGAACACTGGTTGATGAGGTCGGTGAGTTCCGAGAGTCATGACCGGTGGACAAGAAAGTGAAACATGAATGTGCATGATGATGCAGTTGAGTGTGGGGTAATTGTGGGGTCCCCAGTGCGAGTCAGCAGGGTGGCGCGCGCGCCGGTCAGGGAGGGCTTGTGAGAGGCCGCCCCCGCCCTCCGCCCATGCCGTATACGCCATGCCATCGTGCGCACGTCACTGGAGAGGTCCTCCCTGAGGCTCGCTCCCTTTGACCATTGATGGAACCTCGCCCCGGGACTCGATCCAAATGCCTGATTCAATTGAGACAAGGCTGGGAAGGAACGGAAAAAACAATCCTTTGCGCCAATTCATCGGCAAAAGGCCCACGTCATGATGTCAATGTGGGATTCGGGCACGCGTTTCGCGTCCTCGGCCAATCAGGAGCGCCGCCTTCATCACCTCAGAGGTACTCACTCCTCCACGTCATACGGGCATACATAGTAGCTCTCGAGTTGCACGCCAACAAGTCATGTCGATCGCTTCCAAAATGACAAATCGAGGCTTTGTGGGCCGTGCGGCCCATTTCCCAGACGCCAGAATCAAAACGTGCTCGCTTTGAGGAAAGCGCAAGAGAAGCGATGCGATGCAGGGGAGAAGGCAGGCACTTCTGCTCGAAGGCACTGCCAGGCTGTCTTGCAAGGTACAACACGTTGCTCAGACGTTGCGTGTTCCCGTTTGGCTGTTCGGTATACGGATGAACAGCGTTGGAGCCGACTTGCCATGTGTTCGCGAGGACAATTCGGAAACGTCCTTCACAGACCTTGTACGGTGGTAAGCCTGGGACAGCCCTTGAATAGGTGGGACGTCCACTGCTATGTGGAGGTGACCACCCCCGAGATACTCCCAACTGCTATGAGCTTGCGAACTTGGGCTCAGCGGAGGGTCAGCAGGCAGATGGCGGGACGGCATGCAATGCCTATGCGCAAACGAGTGCATCCATACGGAAAACGTGCATCCACATCGGCATATCCACCTACTCCGCACGCGACAGGGCCAACTCAGGGACCCGGACCTTGTGGCCATCGCGCCGGCCGGCAGCACAGCACGCAGAGGCATATGGACTTACGGATACAAGGCCAAGACGAAAATGTAAACGCTGTCTTGTATTGAACGGAGGACTTGGAACCAAACATCCTGAAAAGGAGAGTTTACTTGGAGTGGGAGTGGAGTGGTCCCTCTACAAGCGAATCGAGAGAAAAAAACAGACGCAGGGACCAAATTAAAAGTGGACCACTGGTTTCCTCGAGCCATGACAGCCCAAATACTACAACAGGAACCGCCACGAGAAGGCTGTCCAGTATGGGTTCCCATCAGCGGTACGAAGCTTGGGCATGCTCAAAAGTCATATGTATCGATACAGGACAACATGGAGCACCGTTTGGGTCATAAATGCGGATTGCGCAAGCATTTGCGCATACGGTTGTCTAAGCAGACCCTTTCCTCAACGGTACTATGTCTGACCTTTCCCCAGCGGTACTAGGCCCCCCTGTATAGAGAGCTTTTCCAGGAACGGTACTTGGTTGACAGCGGCTTCTAGCTATATACAGTAATGTTTGTGTGTTGAAGATGAGGGTGGGATGGCTGTCTTGTGTACTGTACGCGTTTTGCTTACCAGATCAGTGCACGCGTTGGAAGTTCAAATCCAAGCGGAGACACAATTGCGAAAGCATCACCGTAGCCCTTCCAAAAAGCACGAGAAACTCCAGTCTCTCTATATATAGCGACAAGAGCCCAGCCCTGTGCGCTGTGAGCGAAACAGGGTGGTAGAGTTGGTAGGTACTGGGCGTACATATGTTTTCATGTGTTACCAAAGGCGACGCTTGTCAACAGGCGCGGATTTGCTCGACGCTGGTTCATTGTTGACGTCGTACGTTACATGCAGTTACTCACGGCAGCGGGGCCAAGTCCTCTCTTGGAACCGGCTATCCGTGCTAGAACAGCCTCTCATGATCAGATGCATACCAGGATGTCTACACGAAAGTTCAACCCATGGGCCTGGCTGCTACTAGTCTCTCTGGCCATCTTCGTGCAGGAAGTTATGGCAGGAGGTTATCGTCCTGTAAGCGGAGGTCGACTGGCTCACGCGCAGTCTGCTTCGTCGAAACTCACGCCGACATCATGGCTGGCAGATTTCCGTAGGCTCCTCTCTCGACCGGTCTCTCACGGGCACCGGCATAACAACAATACGACAGCGCGTCCTCGTGCTGACAACCACGGAAGCCGACACATCAGCAGTGGAGACGACGCTTAAAAGCTACAGCATCCCATATGATGTCGTAATAGTTCCCAAAAGCGGATATGTCAATCCCGATGGAAGTAGTACTCTGCCGTTGGAAGATGCGAGCCGAAACGCTCTATATTCCATGACCGTGCTTAGTCCGGGACGGGTGCCATATCAGAATCCAGATACGAAGCTTTGGATTAGCGCGTTGACGACGGCTCAGTGGGATCAGCTGGCAGCGTAAGCCTTGCTAGGGCACGTGAATCAATTTGAAGGGAAGGCTCAAGAGCTCATCTGGACGTTTTGATTGTCGAAAGATTCGAGGTGAAGAATAAAGTCCGCCGAGTTACGTTGGATGACAACCCAGGACCGACAACCGGCACGGCCCCGGTTGGGCCGGCCAATGCTGCATGCTGCGCCAGCGGGGTGAGATCTTGGTTTACGGATCAATGGAGCTCTAGCTGCGGATCAGGAAACAGTTCTCATCTTCCTGGTGTGATCGTAGGTCACTCAAAACGTCTCGTACGTCCAGATCCCAGATGTGGCGAGCGCTGGGCTTGTGAATGGCGCAACATTCTCAACGACCGGATTGTATCATTATCCCGCCACCATCACTAATTCGACAACAACGGCCATTGCGACCTTAGGCCCGAGTTCGGATGGACAGTTCCCTACGCGGACAGTGGTTGGAGTTGTAAGTTAGGAAGTCCCTCAAGATGCACATTGAAAACATCCATCGTTCAATTCTCATATGAAAACCGATTTTAATGTAGCTCATCAAATATCCGAATGGCAGGGAGCAGATGACCTTCTTCATGGCATTCGGTAAGGCGTAGAATATGTTAAGTAGGCGGCGAGGCAGGCACATTAACGGTTTGATTCACAGGATGGTGGTCTACAGCAAGTCTCTTTTTCGGGCACTTGTAAGTAGACTTTATCTGTAGCATTCTCTAGTCTTGAGTGTAGTATAGGCGATGTTACTGATGCTCGTTTCGGTAGATACGTCCACTGGGGAACGCGGCAACTGTACAGTGGATTCCGAAGGATATACCTGAACATGGATGTATGGTCCAAAAAACGTAAATTTCCCGAAAGCGGATTCAGGCCTCATTTTCCTTCCGATATGCACATCAGGTCGATGACGTCCTCATGGGTCCACCTCAATACCGCATCACTCCCGCCGACGTTCAGAACATCGTCGCATGGCAAACTGATGTAAACAAAAGACTGCCAACCGGATCATCCTTCCGACTCACATTGGCGTACAACGGTGTTGGAGCGGTACAAGCGGCAACTCCCACCCTGTCGGTCTCTATTCCCGTGACGACACCCAATTACAACTTCATAAAATCCCCCGGGACTGGAACAAATTACTGGCCAGCGGAAGTATCGCTCTACAAGACGATGACGCACGAGGGGCTGTTGAAGGATGGGTTGTATGCGGAGCTTTTGGGCAATACGGCGACGAGGGACCAGTTTTGGTGGTGTTCGCATACGTTTACGCATTTGTCCTTGGATCAGGCTACGTAAGTGAGACTTGCTTGCAAGCGGGTTGCTGGGTTTCGGCTGGCGAGTCGCTGACGTCCCACTGCAGCCGCTCAGATACCAATAACGAACTAGAGGTCAATACCTTCTTTGCTGGGCTTTCGGGGCTTCTGCAAGCCGCTGTCATGGCAAAGCGCTCGATGGTCACCCCAATGGTAGGTATTTGCCTGATAACAGGATTGCCAGTTCCATGCACACACTACATATACTGATATCAATCGAACGCTTCCGTGTCTTTTTAAGATCACCGGCATTCATAATGTCGACGCACTTCAATCCCTCATAGCACATGGCTACACGTCTGTGGTCGGAGACACGACGCGAGGGGATTGCACCAACGCGACGTTCCCTTATCACCCTTATGTGACCACGATCGGCTCGTCAAACCATGCTGGGTACGAAGGTATGTCCGCCTCACAATCTTGTTGCCACTGTAGTTCATCTGCTAATACAGTCCGTCCACCGCACAGTGATACCACGGCAGGCAACGGTCATCTACTTCAACTGCAGCCTACCCGAAGAAGATGTCATTTTGTATAACAACATCTACTATAAAGACCAGGGCAACAGAACATGGGATTACATGATAGCAACGTACGAGACGAATCGGGTCATGACGTTGTTGTTGCAAATGCGGTGGGATAGTTATATGTTTCATCAGGTATGTGGGTGTTGCTGCATGAAGGCTCTTTCCACCGATGGCTTCTGATGTGTGCTTGGGCTCCCATTGCAGGCGAATCTGAGAAGTGCGAACATGCCGACCATCACGGTGGCGAATAGCGGAGCGACAGGGCGGTTCGGGCTTGCCCAGCAATGGGCCGAGAACATCGTCGGGACGCTCACAAAGGCTGTCAGATGGCCCATCATAAGTGCTCATATGGATGGTAGGCTTTCCAACTCCGCTGCCCTAGTGTGAGGAATCTCAGTTTTCTCACTTCACAATTTACTTCTTCAGTCCACCACGAAGCCTTCCGCAACCGCGCCAAACGAGATCTCTGCAAGCCAACGCTCACGCTCAGCATCGACCGCACGGCATCCTCCTCTTCGTACCTGAAAGCGATCGGGTTCAGCGTGGCCACAGAAAGCAACTGCACTTTAGCGATCACGCTACCCGTGCCTGTGCTTGGTCCGTGTGGGGGATGCCGCTTGGAACAGGTCGGCGTGGATCCGCTGACTGTTTGGGTGCCGATGGTGGGCGGGGCGCCGCCGAGGGAGTTCTATTTCGCGAGGGAGTGGACGTTTGGGAGTGATGTGGTTTGATCTCATTTTATCTGGGGCAGAAAAGTTTTTGGGACCGCCCGGTTGTTGAGGAGTCTGCATCTCTGTCTGATCTATCTATTTATACTTTTTGGGTCTAGGATACAAATGCGGTGTGACAGTTCTCTTTGTACATCTTTCCAAAAGATTCTGATGATTGGCTACAGCGGTGAGAAACTGCGACTCAGCGTCCGTCGAAGAATTGTTCTACAGATTTGCAACCCTATCTCGCCCTATCCTGACCCTCACAACCCCTCGATCGTCCATTCGTTGCGCCTCCGGAGCTTGCTTAACCGCCCATTGCAGAGCGGTCATCTCCGGGCCGTCGTCGGGTTTTGCGTTTACGCACTCGTTCGTGAGTGTGATGCTGCCATCTACCAAGTACGCCTGGTTGTTTTCCTCGACGAGAGGTAAGATGTAGTTGTAGTTCACCATGATTCCAAACGACTGGGCTAGGCCTTTCGCTGATGGGGCCAGACAGCGATAGCGCAATGATGCAGATAAGCGTGAGGCGACGGCAAAGATAAAAGGTACATGCCTTACCGGATGAATCTCCCATCCAGTTCAATCTATGCATGCATGCTCCGTTTCGAATATGGAAGTTGCCTGCGCCAAGCTCATCATCTCAGATCAAGAACGAGGCTTCGAGCCCGGTTGCGAAGCTCGATTGCGATTCACACTTACCGACGGGATCGAGAGCGAGCGAACGCCGTTTTTCCAATACTAGATACCTGGCACACAGCCGAAGTAATATTGGCCGAAGAACCTCCTGTGTTTCCCTGTTCGCTAAGAAGTCTTTGCGCGCCATCATTTCCTGCATAGCACGACGTCATCATGAGGGTGAGTCCGGGTGCAGCAACAGCTACGTTTACCTACCGATAAGATGGAGCTGGCCGAGCTTTTCTTCTCGCCTGCGAATCGTTTTATCGATGTAGACTCCTCCCCAGTCAATAGCTCCGACACGTCCTGGTTCAGCGCTGTCGTCAGCCAGCGACGAAACCCAGGGATTGGCGAGAGGGTGCAGAAGGTGGACACGGTGGGAAGGAACGTCTGCAGCTCTGTCACCACGCGTTTAATTAGGAAGTTGCCAAGATCTACGCCGGCGAGTCCTGAGGTACAGAGGATCATATAGAACCGTCAGTCCGAATTGATCCATGCACTCGGATCCAACGATAAGAAATCCGAATCCCAGGAATAGAGCACCGACCCTTTTGCGAGGAAGATATTGAATAGAAGATGGCGACTGTTGGATCAATGACCTCGGGATGAGGATTATTCAACATGTCCTGGGGTGGGAGGCGTCAGGATAAACCTCCGGTACTGCGAGTCAAGGCCGACATACTTGAACGTTGCCAGCGACCTCCTTGAGGAGGGCAATCTGCACGAATGTTAAGGGTTCCTGTGGCATTCCTTTGTGGAAAAAGGCGTAGCAAAGTCGTCCCGGGCCCAGCCGCTGCTTCAATGCTTGCCATGTTGGGACGGCATGAACGGCCTCATAATGAACGATCTTGGCGGCGGAGAATGTCAGCTGAGGTGTCTCGGCCTTGCTCATGCTTTTCTTCTTCATCGCACACCTTTTCCAGAACGCTAGCAGACGTGTCCCACGAGATCCTCTCCAGATCCAAAGACCCTATCCCAAACCATTGTTTCAACTGACTCTTCAATGATTCATTCAGAGCCCGTAGATGTGGATCACTTCCTTCTTGCTTCAATATGTCCTGATAAATCCCGTTTAGTGTTTGACTCGCCCGGCATACGGGAAAGGAACAACCACGCACCCACCAGTAAGTTCGATCGCATAGTGATCAGGAATGGCATCCCACCTGGCAGGCCCCGTATCTGATCAAAAAACTTTTCGTACAGTGGACGTAAGGATTCTCGGAGAGTCTCTTCTGCTCTGGGCAGCTTTCGACTGCCATTGCTGCCCTACAACACGACAACCGAAGGTCAAGATGGCAGCCAGAAACTCCAAGCTCGCATCCACTATCGTAGGTATTTCTGTACCACATACCGCAGCAACCGCGTCGATGTAAGCCTGAGCCGAAGCGACGACTTGGTCTTGCTTCACATCTGATTCGCGAGCATCGTTAGCTCTTCGCCTGATCCGTATATACCGATGGCAGTGTCCAACGGGCCAAACACTTGCCAAAATCGCGCCCCAGTGTGCGAAGAAAGTCCTTCCTATGGCTCTACGGGGATCTCTTTGTTTATATCTCATGAATCTGCGGGAGGTGCGCAATCGGACTTCCATACCAAGTCCAACGACTCGTAGAACTCGCAACACTGTCGGGCTAGCAAGCTAGGCAATATGTCCCCTTGCTCTCGCCTGGAGAGCATCGTAGCCTCAAGTAGCCGTCGAAGTCCTTTCTCGCCATCAGCTACGCTTGGAGTCAGCGTTGTTCCCACTCCGTTTGTATGTCCCAAGCTGTACAGAGCGGGCTCACGCGCAAACTTCATGATGTCTCTCCAAAACGCTGATACCAGGGCAGTTGTTGGCTCTGTTGGTGGAATGCCCGGGGAAAAGTTCTTGCTTTCCTCAGTACCTCTATGCTGCGGCCCAGTCTTAGAATCGTCTCTCATCGTAAGCGCTTTTGCACTTCGTACAGAAAAGCACTCACTTTCGTTGCGAATAAGCGCGTGATCCAAGGGCTTCCAGACTTGACGCAAATGGGAAGCGAGTGCGCTTGCCGGTTTCTGGGTCTCAACGCTCGCCACATTGGCATTCTGGTCTTTCCAGGGTTGAGGACTTCAAATAAGTAGGCCACCAAACTGCCGTGTTATCCGACCTTCCATTCGACCGTCGGGGGAAGCCGGGATGAGGAAAACGCGGAAGCCTGTTCACAACGTCCTGACTTATTACGCGTGGAGTCAGACGCAAGTCAGACGGGTGCGAAGGGAGAAGCGACAGACACTCTGACCCCGACAACGTCACTACCGGGGTCGTAGCATCAGATTACTTACTCGTCTACAATGGTAAAAGCAGGTGTCCGCGAGGACATTGTCCAGTCAGCAGTCCGGTTTCTCAGAGACCCAAAAGTTCAAGAGTCTCCCTTGGCGAAGCGAGTGTCGTTTCTCGAAACCAAAGGCTTGTCAGCAGACGAAATCGAAGAGGCTTTGAGTCGGGCGTCCGCAAGCGGTCCTGCTGCAAGCGTAGGAGGTGCTGTGCAGCAAGTGCAGGGCCTGCCACCCCAAGCGACCGGGGCGTATCAACAGTATGCGCCGATTCCGTATCCACAATATCCACCTCCACCACCACCTGGATACAATTGGAAGGACTACACTTTGGGAGCCATAGGGGCCGTCGGAGCAGGATATGGCCTTTGGACGCTTCTCAGGGTGGGTGCCTTTCGATTTGAAGTGTGGCATATAGTGTGGCATATGATCTATCACTGACTGGGCATATCCTGTGGTTCTGCAGAAACACGTTATCCCGCACCTTCAGTTCCCGACTCCCACCGCAATGGATGATTCCAATACCGAACTGTCAACGCATCTGGCCAATACCACAACGGTGATGGAATCAGTAAAGGCGGAAACAATGGAGGTTATGAAGGCGGTAGATGCGCAGGGGTCCAAAGTGAATGAGGCTCTGCAGGGGATGGTCGCGACCCTCACGTTGCTACGAGAGAGCGACGAGAACAGGGACAGGGAGATGCTGGAATTGAAGCGGGATGTCGATGGAATTAGAGATTTGATCCCAAAGGTTCGTTTGAATCTTTATCTTGTGTCACGATTCATTTTTGATGTCTGACTACTGCTGGTGCCAGATGCTGGACAAGAGCAAAGAGTCCCAAACTGCCGTCATAACGGACTTGCAGAACGAGATAAAATCACTCAAGTCGCTTCTCCTCAACCGTCGTGTGCCTAATACGCCACCCGCATCCAACACATCATCACCCAACCTAGCGAACGACGCTGTAGCCTCTCCCACCCCGGCACATTCGCAATCACCGTCACAACCGTCGCAGAACGGCTCACAAAAGCCCGATCAGCCAACCGTTCAATTCCCTACACCAGCAGCAGAGATCAACAGTTCCGTGCGGACCTCCTTCCCCAACATTCCGCGCACCCCTACCATCCCGGCATGGCAGCTGGCGGGAACGGGAAGCAGCACCAGCACTTTTGATGCGAAACCGGTGAACGGTAGTAGTGCAAAAGATGCAAATGTGGAGAGCGCGGATCGGGAAACGCCAGCTTCTGCGTCCACATCAAGCGATGACAAATATACCTAGTGTAGCAGATGATGGGCTTGGGCTCTGCTCGAAATCTCGTACATTAGAACCACGTTCATATAGCACCTAGTTGTATAGAGCCCTGAGATATGTAAGAGCCCATCCAAGGTACCGATGGAGAGATGGTTCTGCAGTGTGCGGAAATCCTACGTATGACCTGGAGCTGTCTGAAGTTCTGTTGAACCCGTCGGTGCTGCTCTGCTGTTTGGGTCCGTTTGGCGAGATCGTCCTCACGCGAAGTCCGAAAGTTTTCGAATTCAACATCGGAGTTCAAAAGGGCCAAACTCCGTGCCAAAATAACCCCCACACAACTCGACTCGCCGAATTCGCTCACAAAGTTGCGACCATGAACTCAAGCGAGGGAGAGGAGCTCGTACGGGAAGCAAACGAGGTGTGCATCGTGTCGTCCAGACCCTTCAATGTGCCCCCAACGCTCATTATTCTCATAGGTGTCTCCCGAGAAATTGTTCTCAGAATGCTGCGACATTCAATCCAAGGCTTCGTCCACGCTAGGGTAGGGCTTGCCATCTGCAATCAGTTCCGACAAAAGAGCGAGGTCAAAAATGCCAGTTAGAGCAATCCTAAGGGAACTCACAGATCATCCTTGCTGCCATCTTCCCACGCGGCTTCGCTGACAGAACAGACTTGGAGCTTCACCTATACTCCCTCAAAACGCTCCCACCAGCATTACAGCAATGGGCCTTCAACCTCGTCAAAGAAAACCTCTACGATGAGTACGTCCCTCCGCCCATCTTTTCCAAAAACCACGAACCTAACATCGATCACCTGATAGATACGTAGCAGCAAAAGACACCGGCTGGTCCGACGAAGACAAGCAACGCGAGATGACGGAGCCTAATGCGCGGTATATTGTTGTGAACACGATGGGCGGGGATGCGCGGCCGGTTGGGTTTGTGTATTTTCAGTTTACGATGGAGGAGTCGTGTGATGACAAGGACGAGGTTAAGAATGATGAGGATGAGGATGAGGGGAGTGAGGAGAGCGGGGAAGATGTGCAGATTCCGGTGGTTTATTGGTATGATTCGAGGGTTGGTGCACATTGCGCCATTGGAATGTATCAACTGATCACCTTCACGTTGGCAGCTATGAACTCCAAATCTCTGCCTCCTACCAACATTGCGGCCTGGGCACGCACCTGATGTCCCTCATCGAAGAGCTCGGGAGGCGGTACCACATGCTCAAATGCATGCTGACGGCGTTCAAAAGCAATACCGCCGCGCTCAACTTCTATCGGAAACGAGGGTGCGTTACCTTATTCTGCGCGGAGTTGATGGAGAGTGTTGTGGGGAGACTGACGGTGCTTGTGGGCTGTAGGTATGAGATTGATGGAATCTCGCCCAGCAACCATTTACCGCCGCGGAGGGCGGCGAGGATTTCGTATGAGATCTATAGTAAAGTTTTATGATAGACTTTGTAGTGTAGCGGCGTAGGGACCGTCCTTGGCTAGCGGGACTCATCCCCTCATCCGGTACTTGGACGGTTTCCAAGGCTTACGGATATCATACGTGCTTGTCAGCATATGGATTCTTCAACATTTACGTGGTTCTACATCATTGAGACGTTTATAGTAGGTCTGAGAGACAATGAGAAACTACATACAAATGGCGACGACTACGTAGTGAAACTACCATAAATGGGATGCTCAGAAGACGAATTCGCCGCGGAACGCATCCAGATCCCGCTTCTCGCACGCTTCTGCGAGGTCATGTCGCCGCACTAAGGGAAAAGAAATACCGAGTGGGTCAGTGTCCGCGTAATCAATCCGATGAAAAGGGGGTATACTTACGATGTCCATCAGCGACCATCTTCAACGTCGACCAAACCGTCCCACTCTGCACACTATGCATCGCCGTCAAATCACCCTCATCCGCCCGTCCTTTCCCCTTCGATTGCGCGACAACCGTCTCAATGTTGCTGCTCTGCACGGCGAGTGCTCCAAGAAGGTGTTCGGCGGCTTCGCGGTACTGCTGCAGTTGGATACAGCTGATGGCGAGATTGTAGCGGGCGCGCACGTAGGAGGGGTTGATGTCGAGGGCGTGGAAGTAGGCGTCCATGGCGCGTTCGGAGTCATTGGAGTTTGCTAGTGTTGCGCTGTAATTGTGAAACATATCGATGAGTCGGGGATGAAAAAAAAAACAGGAGTGCTACAACGTCATGCTGCACCTACCCCAATTTGTTCCACAGCAGGTAATCCTGTGGTCGTTTTGAAAGCGCCGCCTCAAAGCAATCCACAGCTTTCTGGTACTCCTCCGAAATGTTGAACAGCACCCCTAATCCAACCTGAACATCCGCATCCAGCTCCTGCGCACCACCCTGCCTTGCCGCCTCGATATACATATTCGCAATCGTCTCATGTGGACTCGTGTCCTCCCTCGACCGGGCCGCAATATGGCTGTACTTCGGGTTATTCGCAATCCACGATTCCAGAGCATCATACGCGTCCGCCCGCGCGTTCTCATTGGTGTACGAGACCGACAACGCGATCCAGCTGTCCAGCAACCCAGGATCGTGTCGCACGGCTTCTCGCAGAGCAGCGATGGCTGCGACGTCGTTTTCGTTCTCCTGTTGCCGGATCCCGAGCTCGTACCAGGCTCTGCTGTTCGTTGCGTCCTTTTGCACGGCGGCTTCCAGGACTAGGATCGTTTCGGTGAGATTGCGCGCGTTGACGGGGGAGGGGACTTGGTCTACGAAGGGATTGTTGGAGGTGAATTCGTAGTGGTCGTACCGCGCACCGATGGCGCGGCCTGTGATCACGTCTGAGAAGCCGCGGTCGTCGTAGTCCCAGGCGTTGTTGTACAGATCGTCTAAATTTTTGGACTCGTCGGCGAATGCCTCGGCAAGGCTGCTGTCTCCCGACGCAAATTCGTTTGCCCATGCTTGTTCTTGTGCTTGCCGCTGGAACTCGTCTGTCCATTGCTTGTCCTCGAGTTTTGGCCCGTTTCCTTGATACTCGGTCGCCCAATCCGCTTCCGCACCTCCTGCAAACTCTTCCGCCCACATCTTTGATTTCCCCGCCGTGTTGGGTACATCCGATTGCAAGGCATTGAAATCTTCTTCCCACGACGCCTTTTGCATCGGTGTCCCACCGCCAAACTCCTTTGCCCACGACTCTGCTTCTTCAAACGGTGTTGTTTGCTCCACCACCTTATTCCCTTCTATGGATGCCTCCTGGTCTCGGAACTGTTTCATCAGTTTCATAAACTGCGAGTCTCGGAATTTCGGGTTGTCTTGGGCATTCACGGCATCCAGGAGCATCCTCGCAGATTCCGCAAGCGCTTCTTTTGACCCTTCCGGGTGCGACATGCCCTCCGTCTCTTTGAATTCCTTTATCCATGATTCGGCATTTGCATTCTCGACTCCCTGGTATTCAGATGCCCAAGCTTCAGGTCGTTGTGCAATCCCCTGTGGTTCCCATCTCGTATGATCTGCGTAATTTTGTTGTTAGACGTTGTTACGGAAGCGGATCAATCATCGTCCTCAGAAGTGACTTACATCTGGCCTGTTCGAAGGCTCGTTCTAATTCTGCGCTATTACCATTAATCATTTGTGGATGTTGTCGGTCTTTCTGTGAATGGAACTCTGCTGCCCACATATCCCTAGCCACCGGTTCTGTTATAACACACATGAGTTAGTTGAGGATCTCGACAACTTTCAAATGGGAACCAGCGTACCACGCATGAGCGGCCCACTCTGCCGTGAGGATTCGAACTCATTGATCCAGTTCGCTCCGTGTATGATACCGTTTTGTTGTGGAAGCGCCATTGGTCGTTGACCCATTTGCATGTTGTGGTTCACAAACTCGGCTCCCCAATCGGCCCCAGCGTTTCTCGAGGCATTGGCCAGAGGTATGAGGGAATCCAGTTCTCTACCAAGCGGTTGCATGTCAAACATGCCCGGGCGTTGCATGCCTTGTGGACCAGGTGCATTGATGAACTCGTCAACACTCTGCGAACAATGGTTGGACGTTAATAGATGAAACGAGTTCCCGCTCCTGCGCTCAAGGAGTACTCACGTCGGTTGCTAGATTTGGTCGTGCGGCTCGACCACGCATTCCGAGTCCCTGAGAGGAGCAATGCCATTGTTAAGTGGTCGATTCACACCACAGGATACACCTGCAGCAGACTCATGCGGCTTACCGAACTACTAACACCGACATTGTCCGGAGGCCCAAAACGGTCCTACAAGAGTATCATCTTCGGTGAGTGGAATGGAATGGATGAAGAGCAACTAGGTGCGCCTTGGTCCTTCACGTTTATCGTACCTGTTGTAGTGATCTATCTTGCTGTAGTTGTTTTGTAAAGTGGCTGAGAGAATTGCCGCCGGAGCAGTCGGCACCGCCTACCAAGTCCTTCAATGCTGACATCGTTATGGATCGCTAGTGCAAAAAGCAACGATGAAAATAACTTTGGACTGACTCGCTCTACGAGCTCCTATGTATATGGCGGTTCAGTAGCTTGCTGGTAAGTGCAAGCTGTCGCCAAAGATTACGGTGTTCGCTTGAGGGGAAGTTGCATTTGAAAGCTCCGAATATTCTGGGGCCAGTCACGTCCAGCCGGCCACGTCACACGACTTTACTTTAGAAATTAGCACGCGCGGCTGTGATTTCTGGGACAGCAAGCCTTTATCCGGGAGAACACTTATTCAGCAGGCTAAAAGTGATCCACTGCATGCCGACGAGCACCCCTCGGTGTTGCCCTTGGCTCCAGGGCTGTCATATTGGACGTACAGTACATACAGTACATCACAAAGCCCGATACTGGGACATGCGCAAACGGACATCTCTAGATAAGTTAGGCATGTCCATTCAAAGATACACTAGCCAGCCCAGCACGTTTGCGGCCCTGCTCGCTCCTTCTGCACAATGTGAACCAGCAAAGATTTGCTAGAGACTCCTCCTGAATCTCCTCTACTTCCGAGAATATTACGATCAATTCGATGATATCCTCAGTGCTTGATGCAATTTCGGGGGTCTCTTGCCTCCGCTCCCATGACTCCTCGCTTCTGCATGATACTGGGGAGCCACCACGCGTCTCTGATGGGCCGATAACAACGTAACGGCGTGCATGAAAATGATTATTAGGCGCGCGACAATAATGCTCAACCTCATGGGGGTGACGTGAAAACGCTCTCGGAGATCCCCCAAAGTGTCGACCATCCCGCTCATCGCCTCCCACTTCGCACCACCTTCTTCCGTTCAGAACCACACTCAACAACAGCGGCGTACTAAGACTTTTTACGTTACAACGATATCCAGGGAAACCGTTGCTACTGGAAGAAACTACAACAATGGCTGCCGAACGGGCAGCTCAGATCACGACCGTTCCCCCGTCGGTTACCAACATCGATTCCAAACTGACTCGGAAAGGCCTGGCTCACTTGGCCACATCACCGCGGACCATGACACCTACGCATAAGCTGGCTGAGACGGCTGTCGGTGTCAGGGAAGCTGCAAAATGCATCGGTATGTCTGCGTCAACGGGCAAGTGGCAGCGAGGCTTAAGGTTCCGTAAACTCAGGTGTTCTATCATGCGTTATAGGACGTGCCCTAGTCAAACTTGAAGCACCACAAACTGTCATGATAGTCGCTAAAGCGTTCGATCCGAAAATAATAAAGTTCACCCGGCAACTGGCTTGCCACCTTATTGATACCCCGAGAACGAGCTGCAACCTGCAAGGCCTCACTGTGTATGTGCGCCTAGTGTAATGCCTGCGGATTTCGGAAACATGGGACTCACTCGACATCCTTGCACCTGCAGATATATCGACTCCAAGTTTCGAACGCACACGGCTTTCAACTACGAGAAACTGGTGTCTACACACCCACACTACGTAGAAAAGCTCATGTTCTGGGATTCGGAACTATGTGCCACTCACGCGGAACACATCGACTTTGTCATCACACTCGGTGGGGATGGAACGGTCATCTATACCTCCTGGCTTTTCCAGCACGCCCAGGTCCCCCCCGTAGTGTCATTCGATTTGGGATCCTTGGGGTTTCTGACGAACTTCAATATTGCGGATATCCGGAAAATATTACAGCGAGTCATTGGCTGTCGGGGCGAGGGAGTGCGAATCAACATGCGAATGAGATTGAGCTGCACGGTCTGGACGCACGACTATAAGAGCAGGAAGGATAGGACGACTGGGAGCAGCTTGCACTTGAATCATAAAACTACATTCAGTGAGGACGATTCGAAGCGGAAGAGCATCGATGGTATAAAGTTTGGGTTACTGGGAGACTCTTTCCACATGCCATCGTCAATCCCAATGCCTCCACGAGTCGGAGATGAGGACCGTCATCCCGGCGATATAGGGAATTTGCTGGATGAAATATCATCCCAGCTTGACGCGCATGCCGACCCGGATCTTGACGAAGAATCGTCGGCGAAGCCTAAGCGGACGACGTCATTGCAGTTTCTGGCAGATACCAAGTCAACGGGAGATAGAGGTCACAAACCGGTCCCGGTCGAAACGTTCCAAATCCTGAATGACCTCGTAGTGGACCGCGGGCCAAGTGCTTACATGAGTCAGTTGGAGCTGTTCGTTGACGACAAACATCTAACGACAGTGCAAGCCGACGGGCTGGTTTTGAGCACGCCAACGGGGTCCACCGCATACTCGGTACGTAATGACGCTGAATGATCTTCTGGTGAATACTATCTCACTCTTTCCCCTCCTTAGCTTTCTGCCGGTGGTTCTCTTGTCCATCCCGAAGTTCCCTCAGTCCTCGTTACACCCATATGTCCTCACACGCTCTCCTTCCGACCAATGCTACTTCCCGACACAACCGAGATTCGCATTCAAGTGCCCGCCGACTCGCGAAACTCCGCATGGTGTAGTTTCGACGGAAGACACCGAATTGAACTAAAAAAGGGCGATTTCGTGACGGTCAACATGTCACGGTGGCCAATGCCTACCATCTGCGATGCCGACCAAGGAGTGGACTGGTTCGAATCGCTGAAGCGCTGTTTGCATTGGAATGAAAGGACCCGTCAGATCGCCTTTGGGTCCGCGACGGCTGCGGATAAGAAGCTGGAGAGGGTCGGAAGGGCACTGGATAAGCAGCGTGTGCTCGAAAAGAAGGAAATCGAAGGGGTCAATCATACGAACGGGGTATCAGAAACCATAGTTGAGGACGAGCTCGTTGTGGAGAGCACCGAGCAGCAGACAGACGGGTTAAGCATGAAATCAGATTCCGTGTCGCACCGCAGTTCAACCAAAGAACGCGTGCAACGGCGACTTTCTGATAGCGGGTCGGAATCAGGGTCGCCGTTTTCGCTGCTAAGCGACGAGTGCAATTGTAAAGGGCGGATCCATGCGGATCATAGCCCGGTAGCCGCTGGGCGTGCGTAGTGGGTGTGGTCCAACAGGGCATATCGCCAAAGGGGCGGTTTTCATGTAGTACATAGTTAACTTTATCAAATCTCATTCTTAATCATATTAGAGAGGGAAGGGCGCCAAGTACCCCTTCTACATTGCATTCACGAGAAGACCAGAAGACTTGAGATTAAGAGGCAAAGATTACGTTGGAAGTTGAAACAGAAAACATGTCGGAGTACAAGAAATATGTATTGTCCATCGGTATGTAAGTACGTTCGTCACGACATCAGAAAGCAGTCTCCTCATCCTGCCCAGACGCAACAGATCCCAGATGGGCCATGGACAGCACGCTCGCCCCACCGGGTAGTTTCTTCTGCTGATGGTGGAGCTGCTCCATGCGCTTCCGATGCAGACTGCCATTGACGATCTGGAAGACGGCGTACGGAATGATCGTTTCTGCGATGCCGGATGTGATTGCGGGCGTCTCTTGCACAAACTATATGGACAGGAATGTGAGATTTCCCATCTCGACTCTTTGTAGCCGAGAAAGTGATCCACGTACCCGTTTCAAGACCAAGAAGGCTGATTCCAACTGTTTCGCCATTAGCTCCTTGTCAGTCGTCCGATGCAAGAGCCGCATAAGAACCGTTGATGATATCTGCAAAGACAAATCTCCTTGTCAATCACAAGTCTGTTTGGCTCATCAGATGCGCAAACAAAAGCACTCACATTCAAAAACTCCTTCTCAGCGGCCCATCCCGACGCCGCGCCTGGTGGCGGCCTTAACCCGGAAAGCAGCACACGGAACGCAGATGCTAGGCAGTGTCCGTTGTTCTCCAGGCCGTCGATGTACTGGTTGTATGTCGCATTGTCGTCGAAGGCGATCTGGTAGAGCATGGCTGTTTGGAGGAAGGGGAGGAGCGACCATAGGCCGGCATCCGATGGGTTGCCTGGTGGATTGTGCTCGTCCTTTAGCAATTGCATGGCCATCATCAATGACACGACATCCTTACCCATCAAGGTTGCAAGCAACGGAGCAACCCGCACATCCGCATCCGCGGCATGACGAATGCCTAAATCTTGCGCCAGTGCGTGCAGAGCCTGGTACGTAGGGTTCGCTTTTGCCTCCGCGGTTCGCGGGAAGTGGGTATACGCCGTTGCTACACTCGCTAACGCGTGCGGGCACTTTTCTCCAAACACCTGTGAAGTGGGGTGTCCTGTGGTCAGTCCAGAGGGTGGGCGCATGTGGACGGATGTGGTGTGCTTACCTTGTTGCTGGCATCTGCGAGTATTGTGCGGAATTCGATGATGAACCCAAGCTGGATGGCTCTTGTGGTGAGATCTTTTACACCTGTGATGATATACAACATGAGCAACCAATCTTCAGAAGCTGATGAGCTGATCCAGATCCGGAGCTCACCTTTCAGCTTTTTCAAGGGTTCAAAGACCTTCGCCTCGTCGGTCCAGTTGAGCCGAAACGCTTCGAGGAACGCTTGATGTTGCATCATAAGGTCCTATTGCAGAAGCCCGAATGAGATGAGAAAAGTTTCGATACCTCATCGACGAGACTGCGACTGCTCCCACCTTAATGCTATTCCCCAGACTGCCAATCATGCCCACAATCTGCTCATCGAAAAACCTGACGCCGGCGGGCCCAATGATCTCACATAAAGCGGACAACTCTGAATCATGAGACATTCAGCACAATCCGGACGATCCCCGAAAGTCGGTTGTAAAATGCTCACCGTTGATATCTGTATACGTCTCGGCTTGCAGCACTTGCTGATTCCGGCTCACGAAAGCACGTCGGTTGGGAGAAAAGCACACGGTGCCGGATGTCGCTTTCGATCCCAGAAGCTCAGAGTACCTAACACACGAAAAGAAGGAAGTTACAAGACAGATCCACTTCTCCAACCTGTGCATTGGGCGCCATACCAAGCCACATAGAGCGCAAGCACAGGTGGGGAGACGGTCGTGTTGATGAGACTTGGCTTGTTCCCTCGAGACTTTTTGGTGTCCCGCGTCACTTGGTACACCATGCTGTCCGGCTGCGTGGCTGCGTATTCTCTGGCACTTTGAGCGTGCGAACGGTAAGCAAGCGTTCACGGAAACTGGAAAGACGGCAAGGAGAACACGCTTACTTTGCGTCGCTGATCTTCTCCAGAAGGATGTCGCGAATGGCAGATGTACAGCTGATCGGGACTACGTTGAATATACTTTGAAGATTAGCCAACGCAGTCACAGAGAATGTATTGCAAACTCATTGATGACCTACCCATCGAGTCCAAGAAGCGGATAGCGGCCATATACGCTTTCATCTCCTGCAGATACACTGATGGGCGCTTGAGGTCGAAGGAGAGGATGTCCTCCGACGAACCGCCGAACAGCGACGTTTGCGCGGATGGGTCTGGCGGCTTGTAGACCGTAGAGAGGAGATATCTGATGGAAGGGAAGGCATATGTGAGTATGGAGGCGGAGCGTAGGCGAGAGGCATTTGTGGCTTACGCAGATATCCGTTCGGCAAAAGCTTCCAGAAAGAACTCGAACGGATGGAACTCAGAATCATACACGGTCGCGACCACGGGATTTGTGAGAGCGAAGAGGAAGTTCCGCATAAGGTGCTTCTTTCTCTCCAGACTACACACAAAGCATGCCGTCAGAGACAGAACCGGTTCTTTGTCACGGTCAAAATGATGAGTTTACCTCCTAGCTCCAGCATCAGTCCCATTCAAAATGCTCTCAAATCCAGGATTGATTATCGGCCTCTCTGGCGCGTTCTTCTTCTTCTTCAGCTTATCTGCGCCTGTCGCCTTCTGATACGCTGGTATTGCCTCACATGTGAGAACTTGGCTGTGATAACCGACGGAGTGCAATGCGATCTCGTGGGCGAGAGATGCTGCTGATTGCCCGAGGACCGAGTATATCTCGGTTGCGAACAGTATGCTGTGCACCGACAAATGCTTGGCCTGCAGTTTTGTGGAAGCGTTCAACGCCGATTTTCAAAGTCATACAATCCATTACAGAAAGTTGACGCACTGACCTCGAGTGGCCACGCTACAGTGACGTTGCTGAAGAACTCCTCAGCTACAAATCCCAAAGCGCCCACATAACGGACGAGCTCTGGGGCGTTGTCCAAGCAATCCCTCAGATGCTCATGCAGGGCCGACTGGTAGAAACAGAGTTCCTTCAATCCCGAGAGCCTGACCAGAGACACCTCGAATTGATCGAGCCATCTAAATGGTGGAACTTTGGTGAGGCCCCGATTGGAGAGACATTCGAGAGTGGGAACTTACCTTGTGCGATCGCAAATGTTGGTCATAAACCAGCTGATGTCGGATATGTTGGCTACACCACCAGCCGATGGCAATGAAGAAGCGACCTGGAAGCGGAGCCAATTCACTCGAAGACTCTAGGACGGGGGTAAGCAATGGTGCGACATCCCCCCGTGAGAATTGGACCCCTCCAACCTGCAGATCTCCGGCCTCGAGAACATGTACGAAATGTCCGTTCACAAAATCAGTGATCACGCGTTGTATGTCCGCCAGCAGAATTCCATAAGGCTCCTCCTGAATGTCGGGCGTGAGTGTATTGTCGAGGATACGCAGAAGCTGCGGTCCGTAGAACTGGACGATTTGATCCGCGATGTGGTCCTTGATGGCTGCGGGCAGAGAATTGGTAAACGAATCTTGCCACGTGGTTTCGTTCAGAGCGCCTTCATCTTATTTACCATCTCCTTTGGCGGCAACCTTGTTGGCCAGATCCTTCATCAGCCATATCAGCTCCAAAATGCCAACGTCCAGCGTTCGCACGTCCTTTTTGCTTCTCTTCTTTCCCGTGTCCAATTCCAAATGGTTGAAATACCACAGAATTTCGTCGCGTGCAAATCCAAGCGCGCTGGTAACCACCTACGCAACGTATCTGTGTGAGGCTGTGGCAGTTGTCGAAAGCGCACTGTGGGGTCGGGCACTTACTGGGAACTTCAGACATAAGATAGCGCTGTCGCTTGTCAAGCACGTCATTTGTTTCAACTGATGCCGTAGGTAATCTCTCCTGTCCTTATGTAACAACTGGTTGCTTGCAGCATTTGCGGTTACGGTCTCGCTGGAGTAGCAGAACGGAAAACATTAGTGAGGGGTTAGTGATCACCTTCGTCTTTCCGTGGGGGCGAATCTACCTGACGATCGTTCTCGATCCCGGAAACTTTTTTAGTGCTTTGAATGAGGCCTCGAACTCGCCTGCGATGTTCAGCATCTACTTCCAGATGTCTGCGTTAATGATCGCGTTACGGAAAGTGATCCCACTCAACGAGACATACCTCATTCCGAACCAGCGGCACCACATGCCCATACGTCAAAGTTTGCTTCAAGACATCCATGTACGCCGGCAGCTTCACCATCTCCGGGCCCGCCACCAAGAATCCCAAGATCAAAATTCTGTGTTGCCTGCCCATCTCCGTCAATTTTTGCAGATGTCGTTCATCTGGATCAGGCGCCTTGATTCCGCTCATCTCAGGTGTCAGACTGAGAATCGCCATTTTTCGGAAACTATCTGCTTTGACGCAGAGGCGGAGTTCCAGGTCGGGCTTCATCTCCAGCAAAAGGGTGAGGATCTTTGAAGCAAGGAGTCCCAGACTCTCTTGCATCGCAAAAAGCGGCTTGTCATAGTAAAGAATATGTTTGGCTAGCCTATGAAATGAAAGTCAGCGGCGAGTCTGCGACACATGATGCGAGCATCTCATTACTTTGCGTAATCCGGATCTTGCATTCCATGCGCAATCTGGTATGCTTTTCCGTATACCGCGGCAATGATCTTCCGATCCTGCCCAAAGGCGGCAAGCATGTAGACTGCAGACACGTGCGACACCAGGAGGTCCAGGAAGTAGTCGACAAGTTCGGGATTTGTATCAAACTATTGGTGGATTCGAGATTGAGATTTTGCAGCAGTCAGGATAGCAGTGGACCGGCCCTCTTCTTTGGCACTTACGCTCAAGCTCACGAGATTGATTGATTCTTGAAGTGCACTCAATCCAGTCTCTATGTACTCCATCGACGCCACGAGCACCTTGTAGTAGACCTTCAACTCCGCAAGAATCTGCACTTGGGCATCACGAAAAGCCTGGTGTTTGGGATCTTTCGTAAGGTCGATGGATTCAGGAAACTTTTTCACCAGCTTCCTCAGAACTTCGGCAATAGCCGGATCGTTCAAGATCTTGATTCTTTCCAATGCCGGCCGGGAAGGGGATGAGGGCGTGACAGCAGCTCCATTGTACGTGTATGCGACATCTGGTGAGCCGCCCTTCGAATAAACATCAGCAGCGGACGGAGAGGACGTGGCGGATACGGGCGATCTTTCACCCTCGTGCGGAATCAAAGTATGACGTGCGCAATACAAAGCGTTGAGAATACGATCCCCATGCGCGGTGAGCGCCAGCAAATGGTCGGCCCAGTATTCCGCCGTCATCCTTTGGCGTTGTTAACCCCTTCAAAAAAGTGCTGATCACCAAATGGCAACTATCTCCGATTGTCGACAAGACTTCTTTGCACAACTACAATGTTGAGATGCAATCTCCAATCTTGATTGGATCTTCGACGCCGCCTGTTCGTTTTGAGGACGGATCAACGCGAGAGAAATGAAACACAGTAGACGATATTGAGAATGAGCGGATGTCAGAATATATATACTGAACGTACTATGTCAGTGACGCTTCCGTCAGATCATCAAGGTAACAGGACACCTACCCGTCCGAGAACGCGCTCTTTTCGCGGATGCTGTACGTACGTGTGCCCAGTTTCAAGGGATAGAGTGAAAAGGTAAAGGCAAATAGGCTTAGCCCGTGTGACGAAAGTAGAGTTGTCCGCAAATGGCCTTAAGGATGGCGAGGAGGGTTGGCTTTGGTGCGCTGCGTTGTTGTGGGGAAGCCGTCAATCGAGTAAGCTTAACATGTCGGACCGAGAGCGAGCGCGGTGTCGAAAATCTCCGGAAAACAGACAAGACCAAGAAGGCATCCTGCTCCGACTCTTCCTTCTCATCCCGCGCAACAACTCATCCATCGCATCTACTTTGAGCGTACTCACTTGCACCACACTTAGCAGCTTACCTGAGATACACTTCCTTTATCTCAAGCCAGGCTCGCCCACCGAACGTCAGACGGTGAGGCAATGGGTGCCGTGGGACCTCTCTTGTTGGCTTCTGTTCTCATCTGACGTTATGTAATTTTCTGGCAGGTTGAGCAGTCCTTATACACCGTTTCAATATTTAAACGTATCTACAATACCAATCTCAGATATGAGCGGAAAGTCAGAGGAACCCGCTGTTGCACCGGGACCCCTACCGGACTTCAGTCATTGTACAATCAAAAACGAATGGACTTTCACGGACTACCAGGTCCTGTTCGATAACCCCGCCACGCGGAAAGACCCCGTCAAATGGGTCCCGAAAGTCGCCATCTGGCAGAACCACCAAATGGCCATGTTGATGGACAAGGTGTCAGTCGAAGGCGACTTTCGGGTGAACGAGAAACTCACGATGAAAGGATTGGCTTTGTGAGTCTTAGTCTCTCCCTTGTACATGAGGCTCCAGTGAGGTTCAGATGATTTCTAAAACTTTGCATCGCCAGAGACGCCGAGCTTTTAGATGCCGCTAAAATACTTATGCATCGCTTTTTTATGACACGTCCAATGCAAGACACACACCGGTGGGAGATTTGTGCTACCTTAATATACATGGTCGGAAAGCTGGCGGAGCTTCCGCAATTCAAGCGTGTGGAGCACGTAGCCCAGGTGTTCGCGGCGGCGCTAGTGAAGGCGATTCCGAGAAGAGAGGTAAAGTAAAACTTCTTCTCGAAAGAAGGGGAACCTCGTGACTAACGACGCTCTCGGTTCGGTTATCCAGGATATTGATATTTGGGTCAAGAGGATGATTTTTAACGAAATTGAAATCATGGCATCCGTTGGGGCTGACCTCTGGCCTGACCTCCCGCATGGAAGGGCCCGCAAGCTCATCAAAACATACGGAGGTAAGGCATCGAGCCCTGGAAACAGTGGTGTGAAAAATGTTCATGACGGACCTTCTGCATCAGGCTCCAAGGAGCTTCGAGAGAGTGTCGAGAAATGCTGTAGTGACGCGTAAGTTCACGAAGTTTGCCAAAGGTCTCATCCTGATGCAGCATGTCTCAACCTGGCCAATCACAGTCTGATAACTACGCTGGCCATTCGTGCCTCACCCGACGAGATAGCGCAAGGCGCCGTGCTCTTGGCATGTTTTAAGACCAAGACGAAGCTACTCGTCGGAGAAAAGCGCTGGTATCAGGAAGAAGGGCTCGACAAGCATCGTCTCGATGGTATGTATTCACCAACCTTTCCATAACACGGTCAAGGGCTCGTGGCTCATGCTTCCCATCTATCGCAGTAATTGCCCAAGAGATCTCCAACGCTCGGCATATGCAAAAGACTATGGATTTTATCGAGCAGCGGACGAAGCAAATCCAGGCTCCTCTAGTTCAAGAGCACTCGCAAGTCAAGGCAACACAAAAGGATTCAATCAAACCCAAAGAAGCTGTCCGCAGGAAATCAGGATCAGAGCTCGCAGTCGAAAAGAACGTTGCAAACAGTAACAAAGAAGAGAACATCATTGTTCGGAAGCGTGGTGCAGGTGACGACGTGGAACCAGGGGAAATCGAGGAAGAGGAGGTGCGTCCTCCTTCCCGTAAGGTGGCAAGGCGAACACAGCAATCGCAGCCAAACACGGTATGTTTCTCCTCCCGCCGCATAAATGACCTCTTTCGAATTGTTCATGTTTTCCTACTCCCTGAATGAGAACTGTTTCTTACGAATCCCAATATGCAACTCTTGGTTATTTGTAGAAACCTACACTCCCTTCGCCCACCTCTCCCGCGCCCACCCACCGGCACAGAGACGCACACCGTGATAATCGTGATCACCGGCAACATCCCTATCGAAGAAGCAATCACGGACGTGGTCGTCGCAACTCCCGTGCATCGCTGTCTCCCCCACCAAAGGACGTAAGGAGAGTGTCGCTCGAAGATTTGAAACGCGAGCGACCGGAAACCAAGGTCACCCCGTCGAAGACAGAACCTTCCACTCCTATCCGCAAAGTGGCACTGCTGGAAGTACCAAGCGAGACACCCGCAGAGGGTGCAGCAAGCCCTGATAAGGGCCGCAACCACCGTTCGTACGCCGCACGCCGACCGAGTCTTCGCCACAATCCCATCCGTCGCCCATCCAAGTAGGATGATCCCTCCATTTCATCGACAGAAAAGCTCAAGCCCGCAAACGCAACATTTTTGGACCCCCTTTTTGACACCACGAGATATATACCACTGTCCAAAGCCGCGTAGTGACCCAGAAACGCTCCTTATCCACGACGTTTCCCCACATTTTTTTGGTTAAGTTAAACACACCCTTTTTGCATGCCCTTTTTGAACCCCCCCACGCGATCAGTCGCTTTGGAAAGTGGGTACCTCCCTCGAGTTGACGAGCTTGCTTTGAAGTAGTGGGAGATATCTTTCGGATCTAGATGTTGGGCAAGCCTATATTGAACGCATCGAATATAAGAGATCCTGAACTCTCCACAATTCGACTCATCGGTGTTTTACGAGAGTGTCCGCTTTTCTATATACAGGATAACATTACACCCAGTAAAATAAAAAAGTGAGAGTGAGGGAGTGATGAAGCGTCAGATATGCTACATGTACAAAGTACGCCGGTTCAACCTCTACGCCAAAGAGCTTTTCCAAAAATGGGTACTCCTTTTCTAGTGTCTATTAGCGGGGAAACAAAACCCCCAGCTAACTCAAAACGTCATATACTTGAGCTTCGGCCCACGAATGGGCCACACCAACAGCGTGGCAACGAAAAGCCCGATAGTGATGCTCAAGCCAATAATCAGCATCTGGAAGGCGAAATTTGTTCCGCTGCCAGCGGTTATTCCCAAGAACCCCAGTGTGCTCCTGACGCCTAAACTTCCGGGCACCAGCAGCAGGATACCGGACAGGATCGGCGCGACGGCGAGGTCGTGGCTGATTCGGGCGTAGATATTGGACGCAAGACCGATAGCGAGTGCGGAGAGCACCATAGGTATCTGCCCACCGTTATTCTTCATCGAGTCGACCTTGTTAAGGAAGAAGTAAGTGACGAAGCCGAGGACGGAGACGAAGATCATGATAGGCCATTGTTTGGGGCGAGCTTGGAAGAAGATGCAGATGGCGACGGCCATCATGGGGTAGAAGAGGAAGAACCAGTATTGGGAGGGGAAGTTGGTGCATGTGGCGGAGCGGTTCATGTCCTTGTTTTCGGAGTCGATAAGGAGGGGGCCGACTGACATGCCGAAGCCTAGGAGCATGGCTGTGAAGAGGGCGTGGAAGAGACGTACACAGCCTTCGGAGAAACAGATGGGGATCGATCGGTGAGTCTGTTGGCACCGAATTGGAGTATAACAACGGCTAGAAGCTGACTTACCAGAAACCATGTTACGTGTGGAGATTTCGATGATGGAGATCGTCAAGCTCAATCCCTGGAAGAAAGAGAAGGGAAAAACCAAGTTAGCCTTCGACGCTGACCGGGCCAAGCATGGGAAGCAACGTACCGGTAGCAAGATAGCCAAAGCGGACAAAGTTACGACCGTCTCATCCACACATCCATCTCCCGACAGGTGCTTGTAGCCCCTGACCAAGATGCCAACCACGAGGGCCGAGAAGAACTCCAGCAAGTACGTAAATGACGGCAACCGCTCCGCCGCCAACGAAAACAGGCCAACCATGGTCGCCAAAATAGCAGCCATCAGCGCCTCGCCCCAGTTGGCGTTGAACCCGATGATCGCAATACCCCACGACGAAACCGGGAAGGTTGACAGGAACACCCAAGATTTGTATTCCTTCTGTGATCTGATCTCCACCAGTCGGTCGAGTGCTTCCTGGATGAGAACCTGTCCCTCTGTCAGTTGCCGACACAACATGTTGATAGCGGACAGCTTCCACATGTTGAAGCCCTGCGGCGCGCGGACAAGGTGGGTGCTGGATGAGTGGTCGTCGTTTCCGAAACTGATGAGGATCATTCCGGGCATGACGAAGAAGTTGCCTTCGACTTCCAACGCGTCCGCGACGCATCGGAGGTGGAATTCGAGGCGGTGGGATGGGGCGCCGTACATGGCGAAGGCGCGGGAGAGTTTTATCAGGAAGTCGCGGAGTTTGAGCTGGCGTGTTCAACAGAGTCGATTAGTGGACCGCCTTGCACTCATCGGGCATCAGAAACCTTCACGTGTGCTTACCATATCCGCGTTGACAAAGCCGCTAATCATGGTATGTTCGGACCTTTGGTCCTTCCACTCCTTCGCTGGTGGCTCTCCGCCCTTTCCATCACAAGTAGAGCACGACGCTGTTGTTCCCCTCCTTTCCATGTCAAACCCCGGCGGAGCCGTCCGCACGGTCAGATCGTTATCAGCAGCGGTGCTCCCAAATCTTGTCCCAGAAGCGAGGATACGCGCAATTGAAGTCATCTGAGGACGAGCTTTCGCTGTTGAGGGGTCCCACTGTGTTCCAATTACACCGAATTGCCTCGCGACTGTAGGGCTGGATGGTAGATCTGCTGTCGATGTGCCTTTACTTTCTTTACTTTCATTGCTGGGGGTTCGGGTGGGTAACGGTGGCGACCTTGATGATTGATCCACCCACTGAACAGTTGGCGTGCGAGCCGGGACCGGAGGAGTGACAATCTGTTCATCTGCACTGTGACTTCGTACGGGGACATGGGGTTGCGGGAAGTGGTGGTGGTGGTGCACATGACCCAAGTCGCCTAGAGCATCCGCAGCTGTTCGCTCTGCTGCTCCCTCTTCCGACGCATCGACCGGCGACAGTCGCTGAGAGGCTCCCACTGATGGACGTACAGTTATTATGTGCGATAAGCTCCCCTTCCGAGAGTCAATGACACTAGGTCGTCGCACTTCGCCGTTTCCAGAGCTGGCCGGGCTTGCCGGCGTCGCACTCGGCCTGCGCCCTCCCTCTCTAATGACACCTGCAGCATCTTCTGCACTCCTCTTTGCCAGTGAGCTCTTGCGAGAAAGGGGTGACCCTTCAAAACGGTCTTCTTCGTCGGTTCCAATGATTCCTGGCTCTCTGAGAAACGGATGCAACACCGACCCGGGCTGTGACGGCCTGCGCCGCAGGAATAGCTCGTCGAAGAGGGACGGTGGTGACGCCATGACTGTCGTGAACTCGTTGTTGGAAAGATGCCGGGAGGAGGACAAGTGCGTTCAAGCTTCGTTTGAATGAACACTTCTTTTCAAAAGTCCGCTGACGGGTAGCTTTAACGACTTACACTGGGAAGTACAGTACTTCACCCAGCCTGCAGCTCGAAGTACTGTAGTTGAGCTGCCCGCTGTGAGAAGCAGCACCAACATATGTCCCGAGCGAGCGATACACTCACTCCAAAACGTGGAAAAAGCCAGTGGCACACCCGGTCAAAAAAAAAGAAGTGTCTTGGAAAAAACGGCGAGTCAGAGCAGAGAAAAAGACGCGCGAGTCGGGGCGTGCGTGCGTCACGGCCAATCCATCAATTAGTAAGCCGCCCATCATCATGGTTTGGCTTGGAAGTGCAAACTCCGATCCTGTCATTTTGTGCGGAGCCCTTACCCCCAGGCTTCACACGGCAATGACAAAACGGGCGTTGGCCGAAGTTTCAAGTGATCTTCCTTCAACTGACTGGCTATGAGCTGCTGCAACAAGACAAACAACATGGCCAGCCCGAATCGGACATTCACACCTCTGAGATGGTCCGTCAATCGCCCGCCGCTTACAGCAGAAACGGTTGAGAAAGAAACGCAAATAACCCTTCGCCCGTTCCCTGCAATCTCCACACCTCGACCGTCCCGCAGCAGCTCTCGCCGGCGCCAGGGCTTTCCCGTCCGTCCCAGCCCCACCACACCAGGCCTGGATCCCGTACACTCCCAGACCGGCTACCTCACAACAGAGACAACCTCAGCCCTCGAAGAAGCTTGGGGGCTCAAACACCTGTCCACCGAGGAGTGCGTCGCAGAACTGTGGCGGATCATCTCGCTCGAGGAGCAAAAACTGGAATCCCTCCGCAGAAAGGCGATATTTGAGCTTGCCGACAAGGCATGGACAACGAAGACGCGGTTGGGGTTGCAGGCGCAGCAGGAGAAGCTGAACCGGACCCGCAGAGTTGTGCATGGGATGTATGTGGACGACAGCGGGAGGGTGTTTTTGGATGAGGAGGATTTGAGTTTGGAGGCGTATGAGTTGGAATTTAGGGAGAGGCTGAGCGCACGGCTGAGGGAACGGGAGGAAAAACGCGGGAGGAAGGAAAAGAGAAGGGAGTGGCGGGAAGGGAGAGCTGTTCGGAAAGAAGAGAGGCGAAAGGCGAGGATTGAACGTGCGGCGGCATGGGAGAGCCATCAGGCAGCTGGGCAGGAGGATGAGGTCTCATGTAGTGCTGAAAAGGGAGCAGAGGAGGTACTCGCAACTTTGAAAGAAACGGAAAAAGAAGGTATTGCGCTAAACGATGAGACAAGCGGCGAGCATCTCAAGTTTGCGGATATCTACAACCGTGAACCATCGTCACCATCCAGCGAGCTCGAGCACGAACGCACGTCGACTTCAGGGCAACAAATGGCTCGCATCGGCACCGATTCAAATAAGGCGACTGGTTCGCAACATGCCCATGCAGAGGAGCTCGACCGATTGATCAGACACGCTGGAAAATCTACATTCACCTGCGAAGTGATTCCCGGTCAGCGCACACATGAGCGACCCAGTAGGGCAAAGGGCCCCCGCAGATCTGTCGAAGGCTCTACCAGGCTACGAGAGCTTGCCCGGAGCCTGGATGCGGACCTTGACAAAAGCGGAGAGAAACCAAGGACCCAAGTCGGGACAACCAGTACGCTCAGAACCCACTACCGCCGATCGCCGGTGGACGCAGATTCCAGCGAAACCACTGGCTCGCGTTACTTAGATGTATGAGCAATTCATTGCGGAGGCACGAAAGGTGGGCTAAATTTCGTAGACCGTCCGTGAACGAAGGTTTTTGGGAATAAATGAGGCTATCAGCGCGGAGCATATCTTGCCAGACTATGACCTACGTTCGCAGATATTCCCTATCAGAAAGTCATGCGGGTGTTTTGGGGAATATATATATCTCTCTCTCTGCAATACATATACCGAGGGAGTTGTCTGCGAGCAAAAAACGCGCCGTCATTTTCAGAAGTCCGACCAAATGGACCTGGACTCTCTTGCTCCTTCCGACACGCACACTTCGTACCATTCCGTCAACACAGGCAACCATACGCACTCAGTTAACTGCGAAAAGGCTCCAATCGTCTACCTACGTGCGGCTCTGGTGCAAACCGTATTACCTCTTGACGAGTGTGTGCTTGGGCTGGCTAATGCGAGTTTGGCAAAACGCCATTTGCATATGGTCGGTAGAACGCTTTTTACTCGGACATTGTGGGCGGTTATTACCAAGTGCAGGTTGGTGAAGTTAGTGTTTCTGAGGCCGAGAACGCTTAATACTCCTGCTTATTCCGCTCAGCTCTCCTGATAGTAAATGCTTTCATTGCTTCCAGCTCCATAACGTGCGGTTTATACGCGTTCGGACGTCAAGATGGCCCCAGATGACCTGCAGGAACAGCACAGCCCGCTGGCTTCCACCGAGCTGGTCGCTATGCTGGCTTCAATGGACCTGTCAGCCATAGTAACTGATGATAGGGCCAGTTCGCCAGGCAGGAGGGCATTTCCGCGACAGTCATTGGGTCCGCTCACAGACGCTTCGCCAATGGAGGTAGAAAGTCCGCCGAAACGGGCCGCCAGCTCACTGACGGCTGGGCAACGGGCTGCAGCATTGTTTGGCGTTGGTGCTTCGGATTCTGTGCAGCAAGGGTCGCATTGGGCTGCTCGTGGATTCCCTGGAAAGAGCCCCACAAAGCCCCTTGCCCGTCCTCGAGCCTTCTTCAAACGGAGTGCGACTGTTCACGTCGAATCGACCGGATACAGCAGCGGACATAATGAAGCGATGCTGCTTGGGCCAAGTTCATCTACAGATACAGCGCCCGGCACACCTGACCCACGTCGTCGCTTCGCACGTACGCAGACGGATCCTCTCACACGAAGCATGTCGATAACCCGTCCCGCACATGCAGCATCCGCCATCAGTCCGAAAGGCAGCCCGCATCGCGACAAGGGAGCGTCATCAATGCGACAACTGGCGGGAACGAAACGGCCGTGCATGACACCTCCTTCTCGATCGCCCAGCCACTGTCTGGCGAGTTCTTGTCCGCGGCAGGAGATGCACCAGTTCCAGCTCACCCTGCTCAAGAAGCTTCCACGGGCACCTGCGAAACGTTTACGCCGAACAGCGACAAACATCGACGTGCCCACCAGGATAAAACGACTCGATTTTGATAGATTCCTTTCCTCTTTCCCAAACGAAGACCCTCAAGACACCGTCATAGAAAGCTCCAACAAGCGTGTACGCCGGACCGGAAGCGAGACGGACCTCAAAGAGAAGGTCCGCAGATACATGCCCAGGCCGTCGGATCCCGGTCCCCTTGCGTCGATGATGCCTTTGACCTTAGACCGGTCAACGACGATGGGAGAATTAGAAGGGACGCAAGGAGAGGAGGCCAACGTCTTTCTTCTAGACCCCTCGCTCCACGGTCGGCTACTCCCAACGCCTGCACCGTATTTTTTTGGAAGCTCTTCAACAACCGGAACAAGTTCAAACACAGCTCACGCTCAACCAATTATACCCTACACCGCGCCGGCTTCAGCAGCTACCCCGACCCAGCAACAACAGCAGCCAAACGACTACTTTTCATTCTCGCTCAAATGGTCCTCTCCGCACGCGATGGCCAGCCCCGCCGCTGACGATGAGGACTCGCAGCTTGCGTTTGGCGGTGTCCACCTTCCGGAACCTCCATCGCCGTGTTTTAGACAGATGGAGAAAGCGCAGGCGGCACAGGCAGTCGAGCTGCTTGTGCACAGCTTAGAAGCTGATCTCAAATTTTGAGTGGACGGTATCATTTTGGGAGCGACACTTTGTATGGCATCGAATTGGGGGAAAACGGGGACGAAGTGTCGCATGGAGATATGGACCCGCGTTGGGGATATGGACTATGTAAAGGATGTGAAGGATGTGGACTTAAGAGTTGGATGGTGGTTTTTGGCCGGAGCGGCATGTTTTCCTACACATATTGAGTATTGCAAAAGGTTCACCGCTGTATATAGCCGGAAAGATTGTTCCATTGCTCTTCGTTCCGAGCGGCAAGCCAAAGAAGTGGGTATCCATTTTTCTATTGCGAGCGGCAAGTATGGCGTTTCACCACAGAAGTGGTATCCAATTTTCTATTCCGAGCGGCAAGCCAAAGAAGTGGGTATCCATTCTTCTCTCTCAAGCCTATGTTTCCAGCATTTCCACCAGTGTCCCAGTCACACCAAGACCGTGGCTCATAACAAGCCCCTACGAAATATGCTATCCAGCTTCGGGTACTTTATTCCTCACCACTTCCCCTGGCAACCTCAACGAAGGCGGCAACCGACTCTCATTCGCCCCAGCCCCGTTAGCCCCATTCCGACCGCCAGCCTTCCCACCTTTTTGGTCGTTAGCAAGCGCACTGATCGAGGATTCCCGTCGCGATGCCGTCGGTGCTGGTGGCGGCGGCGTAGCTGTAGCTTGCCTGGACGCCGGTCTAGACGTGGACGCCGGAGCCGCGGCAGTGGCGGTGAAGATTTGTGTGGAAGCCGACGACGGCCGGCGAGGGAGGGCGGAGGGTGTTGTCTGGAGGCCGAGACGCCTGGCTTGAGGTGGGTTCCGGGACGTGGTGGTGGTGGGAGTAGGTGGATATGGGATGCTGGACTGGCGGCGTCGCGTAAATGTTGGTGAAGCCGTGCGTTTTTGTGTGACATCTCTCCTTTTATCCGTTGGAGACGTGACGCTTTCACTGACAGCGACGGCCTGTTGCCCTGTCGTTGTCGTCGTTGTCGCACCCTCCGGCAGCACAAAAACAGCGCCATTCACAAACCTCCCCTCAACCTCCCGCGCCATGCGCTCAAGGAACCGCTCCCCACCCACCACAAACGCCGATCCATCCTCGGCCTCCATTGCAGCCACCCTCTTCCTCAACGTCTCCTCCATCTTCAAAAGGGTAGGCACACACGTCCTACGGAACTTCTCCTCCTCAACCAACTGGAAACTGGGCCTAAACAATCGCTTTGGATCCGACGCGGTCTTCTCGAACTCGCGCATTTTGCTCAGGAAGGCCGTGCGGGCGTCCATGAGCTTGTAGAGAGCGTTGTAACGCTCGTAGCGGAGTTGTAGCGTGGCGACTTCGTCTTTGAGGAGCTGTAGTGTCACGGGGGAGTACATTGTATCGCCGATCCGCGCTGTGAAGGCGTCGCGTTGATTTGAGGAAGTGTGGCAGAGATCCCACAGTTCCTCCAATTGCTCGAAAAGCGCGTTGATCGTCTCCTCCATCTGAGATTTCCAGCGGGTACGAAGGGAGTCGGCGAGCTCTTTGTACGCTCCGACGTGTTTGATATTCTCTTCAAGATGTTGCCGCTCCTCCGCAGGTGTCTCGAGATGTTCCCAGAATAGTTTGATTTCCGCTATGTAGTGGCGCAGCCGCTCCAAGAGCTTTTCGTACTGTGATCGAACAGCACCTTCCGAATCCCGCAGCTGCTGTAGGTAGTCACGGGAGAGCGGCCATGCTATCATGGTTTCTTCTGAGCGTGAGCTGATCGCGGTGCGGATAGCTTCGTCGGTCGCATATTCAGGCGCAAACTCTGGAACGGTCGAACACAGCGATGCAAGGAAAGGTTCGGGAATGGTTACGCCCAACTCCACACACAGCCGTACAAGCGAGCACGCGGATTGGGCAAGCGCATTCACCCTTGCCGCCTTCTCCTCTTCCAGTCGCTGTACAACCTGTATACATCCATCGAGTGATGTCAATGACAGGTCGGCGTCGGGTAGTGGGTATTCATCGCTCGACAAGTCCATCAATTCGGCCCGCAATGCCGTCCACTTTTCTCTCAGCTTCCAAAATACCTCCTCTCGCTCCTCTATTGTTCGTCCGATTTTCGCTCTCATCTCGCGCAGCTTCCTTCGGCGAACGTATGGAGAAGGTTCTTGGGCTTCACTGGACTTTTCATGCTTCTCCAAACTCTCTTTGAGTTTGTCCCGTTGTTGACGGATCTCCTCCAACAGCGACTCGATTTCGATCTGGACCTTTTCGTGCCTCTCGGTCTCCTTTTGAATGGCCACCGCAAGGCATTCCTTCAGCGGTTGGAGGTCTCGCGCTCTGTCAGCCCATTCGCCGTCCAGCGGTGTGACGGGACCCGCCGCATTCGTTTCGCCTTCCTCCGGGACAAGCCGGTACAACTCTTCCAGCCTCACTAGGTCCTTCCCAATGTGAGCTACAATCTGCCTCGCCACCTCCTTCCCAATTTCATGGAGAGTGTCCAGTGACGGTTGCACTTCGCCTGCATCCGCATTCCCTGCGGCTGTCACCGTAAGCCCATCTCGACGCGTCTGTCCGTTCAGCCCCGATTTGACATGTGGCGAGCCACCGACATTTGTTATGGGGCTGGATACGGAGCGGCGTGAGAGGGCACCACGGAGGGCTCGTGGAGATCCGGAAGGGCTCGCTGCCTGCATTTGAGGTGTCAATGATGCAAGATTGGAGAGGACGTCAAGTCAAGCCACGATTCAAGGTCGCCTCACCAACATGTGCTTCTCTCCAGTTTTTCTTTGACGCGATAGTACAAGCCGCGACTATGCGGACGAGCGAACACAGCGGATGCAGAGACGAGCAAGAAGATGAGCGAGCCTTTATCTGGCGTCAGTTTGGCCGGGGAGATGTCGGTGGAAGCAAGAGGCGAGGAAGAGCGGTCCCGTCCCACTCGAATTTCACACTGGTGCAAGGGGTGCAAAAGCGCGCGTGTCCGAAAGACCTGTGCGTAACCCTAACTGCCCCGTCCCTCTCGCCATAACTTCGGCCCATCCGCCGTCCCGAAGGCGTTTCCAGGCTATGCGCTGGAAAGTGGACAAATCTTTCAGTAAGCATTAGAGCGGTTACGGGACCTAACACTTGGTGGTCCGACCATGTTGCTAGACGAGACCTCAGAGCCTGCATCTAGCTCCCAATAGAAAGGAGGCTGCCGCTGACCGTTAGAATGAACCGTCGGATGTAGGATGGGCTTTCAACAGGCCAGACTGGTGAGCTGACTGCTTTTAGGCTAGAGAAGCGAATGTCACATTGTCAAGCAATAACCCCATGGGGCAAAGGGTTGTCCTGCTCCAGGACGCGTGCATGAAGTACAGTATATGGCACACGATACACAATAAAAACCGCGGCAAATGACGGTGAACTGCGTGTGCACAATGCTCTGCAATCGGAGAATCGAAGAATCCATGCACAGTTGAACCCCAATGGCTTGAAGGTTGTGGCTTGGAGGGGGAAAGGAGGGACGAAGGGGTATTGAGGAGGGCGGCGAAGCGGGCGGTTTTCTACGTCCGATGTGCTTCTATAGTCATCAATCGCCTCAGCCATACGAACAGTTGGGTTTCAATGCGGTGTTCTTATCAACGGTGATCAAGACCGAAGAAAACGCGATACGCGTCTGATTAGGGCAACGTAACCCCACGGCTTCCCCCACACACAAACCCCGAGCTCCTCTGTCCGAGAACGCGTCCGTAGGCAATGTTCTACGTCATACTTCACAGCACACATTTGTAAGATTTACCCAAATTTCGGCCTTCTGGTGTTATGGCTTTCCTTCAGAATTCAACCAAACCCCCCGCCCTCCCCCGCCCCCCCTCCGCCACAGCAGAATACCGTATACGAGTCAGCGTGTCTTCATCAAAGCCGTGTGCACCTCTTTCTTCCGCAGGGTAAATATCTCCTAGCGCATACCGAATGACAGGCTGTTATTACGGCTGTCGCAGGCGGGCGGGGCAGGGGATCCGACTCGGGTGGAGGCTTCCCCGAAACCTTGGGCGGATATAAAAGCTGCTACCGGTCCTTCGCTCCCCTCGTCTCCACATCTGCCTTCTTCAAGAACGCATCAAACCACACTCGCATATCCAAACCACACACCAAAACCACAATCATGCCTTCCACCAACGAATCCGCCAAGGACTACAAGTTCGAAGGATGGGTCCAGAAGGACAAGAAGCTCGGCAACATGACGTGGGAGGAGTACTCGCCCAAGACCTGGACAGAGGACGACGTCGATATCAAGATCACCCACTGTGGGATCTGCGCGTCTGACCTCCACACCCTGCGCTCTGGGTGGGGCCCAACGGATTACCCCCAGGTCGTTGGACACGAGATTGTTGGGACTGTCGTGAAGGTGATTATTCAAGTTACTTTATTGCTTCAATCAGTTCGAAGAAAAGAGCATCGGACTGATGCGTTGTGAACTTCTTGACCCTCAGGCCGGAAAGAACGTCAAGAACATCGCCGTCGGTGACCGTGTCGGTGTCGGTGCACAATCTGGGTCTTGCCTCAAGTGCAAGTACTGCAAGGAGGGTCGCGAGCCCTATTGTGACGAGGGACAAATCGGCACCTACAACGGCCGTTACCCCGACAAGTCGAAGAGGTGAGTTGGACCGACACTCTGTCTGGAAAGCGGCGCTTCATTGCGCCGGCGTCAATGGAGGATGATTCTGATCTTCTTCTCACCCCACACTCCAGCTCTGGAGGTTACGCCGACTACGCTCGTGTCCCCTCGCACTTTGCCTTCAAGATCCCCGATGGCCTGCCCTCGGAGGTCGCGGCTCCCCTTATGTGCGGTGGAGTCACGGTCTACTCTCCGCTCAAGCAATTGGAAGCCGGACCCGGCAAGCGCATCGGTATCGTCGGTATCGGCGGTCTCGGCCATTTCGGTCTCCTCTTCGCCAAGGCATTGGGCGCCGAGCCCGTCGCCATCTCCCACAGCTCCAAGAAGAAGGAGGATGCGACGAAGATGGGCGCCGTGGAGTTCATCTCGACGAAGGATGACAAGGACTGGGCAAAGACTCACCGCCGCACACTTGACGGTATCGTCTGTACCGCCAACAACCACGACATGCCTCTCTACGAGTATGCCGGTCTGCTGAAGCCCGGAGGCAAGATCATCCTTGTCGGTTTGCCCGAGGAGGAGTTCCCACCTCTCAAGGCCGTGCCATTGGTCATGAACAACGTGTTCATCGGTGGTTCCGCGATCGGCGGTACCCACGAAATCAACGAGATGCTGGAAACGGCTGCTAAGGGTCATGTCAAGCCCTGGATCCAGACCCGCCCATTGAAGGACGCTAACCAGGCTGTCCTTGACATGGAGGATGGTCAGGCCAAGTACCGATATGTGCTGGTCAACGAGAAGCACGCCGCTTGATTGCCCTGCATGTAGCCATACAACCCATCTCTGTACACATACTTATTTTGGAATGGATATGTCATGAGCGTATGATTATGTGTGGTTGCGATTTGTCGCTCATTCGCCTGCGTTGTCAAGGGCCAACGGGATGACGGGAGAGGAAGGGACTGCAGCAGGAGACCCGGTTGGGTTGGAACCGGCGAAGCGCTTGTTAAAAACGTGCGCCTCTATGTTGCTCTCACACGCAAAGAGGTCGTTTTTCCCACGAGTGACGACATTCAAGTCCGCGGGCCACAACGAATATGACGCCGTGAAGTCGGGGGGAAAGGCCCACAACACCCATTGTGCCATCACCAATGCTGGCTTCCTCAGAATGTGTGTGAAGCTCAATCAATTGTCAGATATCCGAAACGACAAAGTGTATTCCTCCTTCAGGCCAGGCCGAAGCGTGAGGCATCTCCCGAGACGGCGTAGAGCAGCCCCTCCACCACTCCTGGTAATAGACCCCTGTTATTAGCGGCAAACGGCGGCTGGGAAAAAGCAAAAAAAAAAAAAAAAAGAAAAAGGGAAAGAAAAAAACAGAAGGTCATAATGCAGAGTGCATGACGTTCATGGTGGCCAAACACGTTGATTGCGAGATGAGGCGGAATGATGGACGGCCAATTGCAAGCGGCTATGTGTTGAGTCTGTTGACGGATGATGAGAGCGCGGGGGGGGGCGCGTGATTTCTGTGGTGGGAGCGCGTCTTGACGGGTGACTAGTCACGACTTGCCCTGGTGAGAACGGACTGACTGACTGAGGAGTTTGTGCAATATTCCCACCGCTTTTTGGGCTCTCAGAAGTGGAAGCAGCCATTCCATAGAACCACCCGTGGGGCATATAAGCTGGAGGTACGTCCGTCGGGCCCTCGCTCGTCTTTTTCTCCTCTGCATCGGTCCTTCCTTATTCTCATTCTCCATTTTGGGTCCTTTTTATTGTTATTTCATAGGTAAGTCCGGTGGTGATAGCTTGCGCGCATATAGAGATAGACTCAAGATCACTTAGACTGCTACCGGTTTTCCCACGGAAGTGGCGTTGCAACTGGACCTTTCACAACCCCACACCCGGAACTCTTTCATAACTCTCGCTCACGTCTTTCCTATCACAACAGTTTAGGGCAGATATTGCACGCACATCTACCCACCACCATCTTGGTCAATCACCAGCATCGTCTTCGACCCACCGCCTCCTCAACCGCATAACAGAAGAGTAAACATGTCTCTATCAGTTCCCGGCCAAAAGCCCGTGGCGTCCCCAGCGGGTGCCACCGACGGATACACGAGCAACGTCTTTGCCGGAAAGCAGGACCAGCTGCACAAAGTTTGCGCGTATGTCCAAGAAAAAGGTTTTATTCCCAGCGAACTCGTGCTCAACGAAGTGTCCTGGTTCTACGGGTAAGGAAGACAAGACGAGCATAGCCTTCGTCATTTGCAGTGGCGTCAAACCGCGACCGTTTCTCAACTTTTTCCATGTTCAGAAACTTGGGTATCGACGACATGTATTTCCAGCTGGAGAGCATAGATACGATCGCTCAGCATATCATGGCTCTTTACGGAGCGAAAATCTCTGCCTTCATTAAGAACGAGAAGGCGTTAGATATAGAGTTGGAAAGGGAAACCGATGACGGCGCTGTTTACATCAACACGTCCGCCCCGGGTGTCTCGAATTTGGCCGGCCCGCAACACGAAAAGAGGTGCGTAAGGCATTGCATGGCGGCCCATGGTGCCTGGCGGCGATTGGGCGTTTGGTACCCACGTTGCTGACGATTCTCCCCTTTTCGCATAGGATTGATACCCGCTACCTTGACCAGAGCACAAAGAACTCCGCGTACCGTTTGGAAAGTTACCGCTCGACCGGCACTGTTTCGAGCTCCCTTTCCACTCAACTGCGTTGTTACTTTGTTCGCAAATGCTCTTTCGCAAAGCCCGAGCCTACTGGCGACGAAGTCAACAATATCCAGCTTGTTGGTGACAAGACATTTTTGGAAAAGGCCACGGAGAACACCCTCGAGATCTACTCCACGGTCATGAAGCATGCCTTGTTGCGGACTGGGCCTGTGATTGAAGTTTACGACATTCCACGGAGTCGTGTCAAGCGGTTGGTCATGGCCTTCAAGCACCGTACTACGCAGGGCGTTTTGTCCGCGATTTCCGACCTGTACCACTACTACGAGTTGTACTCGACTCGCAAGTATGTGGAGCACTTCTCCAACGGCATCACTATTCACTGCATGTACCTCGACCAGCTTCCGGGCAGCAAGGCTCCTCCGATCGAGGCCTCCATCTGGCAAGTCATGAAGGAGGCCAGTTTGATATACTGCCTTCCTTCATCGCCTCTGCAGTCGTTCTTCCAAACTGGACAGCTCAGCGTACAGGAAACCGTTTATGGATACGTTGGATGGATATTCGCACAGCATTTCCTCAACCGTCTCGGGAACGAATATGTTGCGCTCTCGTCCGCTCTTGATATGAACAATCAACTGCACGTCGAGGTGTTGCAAAAGATCAAGAAGAGGCTGAGGTCTGACACCTTCACACGCGAATATATCCTCGACATAATCAAGCTGTACCCCGAGCTTCTGAAGTTGCTTTACACCAACTTCGCCATGATGCACTACATCAACCCACCGCACGACGACATGAAGATTTCGCTCTCATACCAGCGTCTCCAAACCACCCCGGTCCTCTCTGAGGACGAGCTTCTTGACAAGATCAGGAAAACCGTTGCCAACACGCACGAGCTGATGATCTTCCAGTCGTACCTTACCTTCAACCGTCACGTCTTGAAGACTAACTTTTACCAACCTACCAAGGTGGCTCTTTCCTTCCGCCTCGACCCTGCCTTCCTTCCCGAAATTGAATACCCCACCCGTCTTTTTGGAATGTTCTTCGTGATTGGAAGCGAGTTCCGCGGTTTCCACCTGCGGTTCGACGATGTCGCTCGTGGTGGTATCCGTCTCGTGCGATCCCGAAACAAGGAAGCCTACTCAATCAACTTGCGTAGTTTGATGGACGAGAACTACAACTTGGCCGCCACTCAGCACCGCAAGAACAAGGATATCCCCGAAAGTGGTTCGAAGGGTACGATCTTGTTGAACTTTGACCAACAAGATAAGCCCCGCGTTGCCTTCGAGAAGTATGTCGATGCCATCCTCGACCTTTTGATCCTCGGCGAGACTCCCGGAATCAAGGAAAAGATTGTCGACTTATACGGCAAACCCGAGATCCTTTTCTTCGGCCCCGATGAGGGAACCGCCGACTACATGGACTGGGCGAGCCAGCATGCCCGCAAACGTGGCGCTTCCTTCTGGAAGGCCTTCACCACCGGCAAGTCCCAGTCCCTCGGAGGAATTCCCCACGACACTTTCGGTATGACAACGCGCTCTGTACATCAGTACGTGCTCGGAATCTACCGCAAGCTCGGCATCAAGGAGGAAGCCTGCAAGAAGCTCCAAACGGGTGGTCCGGACGGTGACTTGGGATCCAACGAAATCAAGATCTCGAAAGACAAGACAATCGGTATCGTCGATGGTTCCGGTGTCATTTACGACCCCGAGGGTCTCAACCGCGAGGAGCTTTTGCGCCTCGCCACCAAGCGCTTGATGATCAGCCAGTTCGATATCGCCAAGCTGAGCTCGAATGGGTTCCGCGTCTTGGTCGATGAGAACAATGTGAAGCTCCCTGACGGATCCATCGTTGACAGCGGTGTCAAGTTCCGCAACGAGTTCCACCTCAACCCGCTTGCTGCGTCTGACGTCTTTGTGCCATGTGGTGGACGTCCTGAGGCTGTGGATCTCAGCAACGTCGCCCAGTTGATCAACGAGGATGGCACGCCTCGTTACAAGTACATTGTCGAAGGTGCCAACTTGTTCTTCACTCAGGTGAGATTTACCACACTTTCTGAAACTCGAGATTCCGTACACTAATGACTTCTTTCTCCGAAATCACAGGAAGCACGTCTCCGCCTCGAGAAAGCCGGCGCAATCGTCTTCAAGGACGCCTCCGCCAACAAAGGCGGCGTGACCTCTTCCTCCCTCGAAGTCCTCGCCGCCCTCGCCTTCGCCGACGATGAGTTCGAAGAGAACATGCAAGTCAAGCCCAACCACACCCCGCAGTTCTACCTCGACTACGTCAAAGCTGTGCACACCATCCTCGAAAAGAACGCCGAATTGGAGTTTGAAGCAATCTGGAAGGAGGCGGCCCGCACCGGCCGCGCGAAATCCATCATCTCCGATCAGCTGAGTACCGCTATCGTCAAGCTCAACGCGGAGCTGCAGCAGACGACGCTGTGGAACAATGTGCCGTTGAGGCTGATTGTCCTCGCTGAGGCGTTCCCCAACATATTGCTGGAGAAGCTGGGTCTGGAGACGTTGCTGAAGCGTGTGCCGGAGCAGTATGTCAAGGCTATCTTTGGAAGTTACCTGGCCAGTCGATTCAGTAAGTATTCATGCCCTTCCGCGCGTACCTCGCATACCCCTCCCATGCGAACGGTATTCTCACTTACACGATTTTCTCCCCTCTAGTCTACAAATACGGCGGAGAACCCAGCCAATTCGCCTTCTTCGAATTCATGGCGCCTTACTTCACTAAAGTGTCGCAAAAGACCCCCAATGGCACGGTCTAAGACAACCAACCCAGACATTCTTCACGGACAAGTTTCGTTCCCCGGACTCTCTTTTTTGTTTTGATCCTTCGTACAATCTTCTTTTAGATTCTCTTTGCTTGCATGCATTTGTCGCTTTCTTTTTTGTCATTTGGAATGAGATTTTGTAAACGTTTTTGCCTCGAGGACGTTGTGTGACGACGCCATGTCAGGACGGCAGTTATGAGGAGCAAGTGCTCAAGAACTTCCTTCTAACATCATGAATATTGGATAAGACGAGGTTGCCGTTGCTATTTCAATGTTCTCTACGTTATATTCTACGTCATATCTTACATCCTTACAAATTACGCCAACTACGCTAAACTTTACGCCATGTCCAAAGTCCTCTACATGTACATCCTGTCCTACCTACTATGTATCCCACATCACTCATCCCCACTGAAGGTACTCATTCATCTCCTGCTCACTACTCGGGAACAACCCCGAATTCTCCGCCAACTCCGACTGAGCCGGCGCCTGCTGGTCCTCTCCCTCAGCACCCTCCACATGCACCTCTTCCTCATACTCCGCATGCTCACCGTCCTCAACAACAACCTCTGTCTCCTCCTCATACTCTCCCTCCACATACTCCCCCTCCTCAACATACTCCACCTCGCCCTCAGCATACTCATACCCTTCCTCTTCCTCGCCCTCGACGTATTCCTCTCCCTCCTCCAAGCCCTCCTCTCCGTCCTCGTAGTGGGAGGTGGTGTCGTCGTAGGTGGAGGATTCGGCGTAGACGACCTCTTCCTCTCCCTCCTCAACGTGTTCCAATTCGCCTTCTTCGATGTGAGGGCCAATGTAATTCCCCTCCTCATCGTAGTGTTCCGGATCGTCTTCGTAAACGACTTCTTCTTCCTCGCCGTCGATGTACTCGACTTCTTCCTCGTATTCCACCTCCGTCTCTGTACCCGCCACGCTCTCCTCCTGTTCGTAGGCGAGACCTTCCGTGGGGAGTTCATGTTCTTCGGTGGTTGCGTGGAGTTCCTCCGCCTCCGGGACTACAGCGGAGGGGGATTCAACAGCCTGCATAAGGATCTCCGGCTGCTTCTGCTTCTCACCGGCCGATCGGGAAACACCGGCAGCGTGGTCATCATCATCCGACGCCTGGTCAGCATCTTCCTCCTCCTGCACAACGGCGACGTGTTCCGCTTCCCGGCTGCCGAAGAAGGTGCCGAAGAGGGATTTGGCGGAGGTGGAGATGGAGGTTAGGGAGGTTAGGGAGGAGGATTTGTGGAGGGGGGATGATGAATCGTGGGTCGTTGCGGTTGGGGTGATTTCGCGATCTAGGAGGGGTTTCTTGTCCGTTGAGGGGATTTGGGGTGCCTCGACGGATGACTCAACGACGGGGGATGCAGGTACCGGAACAACTTTCTTCACAGCAGGTTTTCGCGTCCGAGATTTACTCCTGGCCGAATTTATCGGCCTCGCTTTCGCTTTCGATACCGCGCCCGTGAGGCGTTCTTCCACGCGGGTAGCCGGACGAGACGGGCGGGTGTCCCCCGGTGCTGGTTTCGGCGCAGCGGGTTTCTTTTCTCCCTTGACGGCTTTGCTCAAATCGCTGTTGCTTGCGGTGTTGAGGGTGCGGAGCAACCACGAGCCTTGCCGTTTGTTGCTGACGGGTTCCCTCAACGGGGGCGTTGCGGGCGGGGTCGGTGTTGAGTTGTCGGGCGAGCCGGGCGACGCTGTGGTAGTCGAGGTGGCGAGCGTGGTCGCGGAGGGGACTTTTGTAAGGGCATCCTCGTCCTGCACGTCTTCCTCGGGCTCCGGGGAGGGCGGAAGGTCGGCATCTTCGATGATCAGAGTCGATGTGTCGAGCTGGCCGAAGAAGTCGGTGTAGCGGACCATGAGCTCCAATGAGAAGCGCCAGGGGTGTTGGTCTTGCAGGGTTTCGGAGGTTTCGGTTTTTGGGCGGAGAATGCAGGGGGCGATGGAGTAGGCTAGGCGGGTGATGCGTTCGTCGGATTGCTCCAGGGGTTTGATCAATCTGCGGGGAAAGAATGACATGGATCAGAACGGCGGCCAGTGCATTGTGTATAGTGAAGAGGAAGGTGACTTACTCATGCAGGTATCCTGTGAACAGCTTCAACGTCTCATAATGCGGCGCAGACAACGTCTTCAACAAAGAAACAATAGACTTGATCCGAATCGCATCCTCAACCGTCGTAAAATCATCCGAATACAGCGTCCTCAACGTCTCATAAGTGTCGTAGCTACACAGACTGACAGGCGCCTCCACCAAGTACAGTTTCAGAACTCCCGCAACGACAGGTGGCTGGTACCTCCTCAGAGCGGTTGTCGTGACCCGGCTGGCTCGTGGGGATGAGTTGAACTCGAGCCTCAGGAACTGGACGGATGGCAAATCCGGGTTGGGAAGGATCCAGTTGTCGACGACCGAGCGGCCGGTGGTGAAGCTCTCGTACAGTGAGCTGACACATTTGCGGACCATGGGCGGGATGGAAGCGTTGGTGGCTCGGGAGAGCTCTTCGAGGCTGATGCCAAAGACTTGGTGGGGCGCTCGGCCGCTGGTGTACGATTCAAAGACGAATGGCTTCGATCGGAGGTGACCGGTACGATGGGTGCGGGCAATGTACTGCACGCCTTCTTTGGGGTCAGGGGACACTAGCAAAGTGGTGGGTGGCCCTGATTCTGTTTGTCCATTCTTCTCGGCCTCAAGCTGGGCGTCAACAAGAGCTGGCGGCCTCCACGAGAGTGTGTTTTCGCTCAGGACAAATACTTGCGCACTTTCCAGCGCGAAGGCCGCTTCCTTGCAGACCTTCAATCGATAGCGTTCAGCCTCCTGTGCCGAAACGAGGTAATCCGTGATATGGAACTCCAAAGCGCTGCGGGTATGTTCTGCGGTTTTAATGGCCGAATCGTAGTCAAGACGGGCGACCTCAGAGTCCTTGCGAGCTTTGACGTGTGGCGGTTCACCGGATTTCAGCACGGGCCGGCCGAATTGATATGGGAGCTCGGGATTGAACTGACGATCGTTGGGACCGACGAGAACGGACATCAACCGCCTGCCGAGGATCTCCTGACACACAGACTTCAAATCGTTGCGGGGAACTCCGGGGTATCGCTTCTTGAGGTAGTCCAATGCGTCTTCCCCGGTAAAGCAGCCTTCAAAGAGACCGACTTCCGTCATGATGCTTTTCGTGCGGACTTCCTTCCTCATTGTCTCTACGAGTCGTTGAAACTCGTTTGGTCCAACGGATCGGCTGCCGACCATGACAGGTGCCGACGAAGGAGCGCAAGCCCTCTGTTCCCCATCTTCCCTGAATTTTTTGTCCTCCTCTTCCGCAATTTTGCATTTCTGAATGTAAACGGCGTGACGAGCTTCGATATCCGCAGCGAGACGTGTAAGTTGTTGGTGGTTGCTGTCCACCTCGCTCTTCTTCTTGATCATCGACCTGCGATGTTGCTCAACGAAGGCTTGTAAGGGCGAGATCACCGCAAGGGTGAGGGTGTCGGCGTGACGACGATGTGCGGCGGCCATGGCGACGTACTGCTCTCTCATCGTCCGTATGACTGGCAACACACTGGACTGGTCGACAATGGGACCAACAGTGCTTGTGTCGCTCTCCGGTTCGGCCGTCATGGTCCAACCAGAAGTTCCGGGCAGACCTGATGCAGCGGCAGCCGATTGAAGCATAGCGGCAGCGTTTCCAAGTCCTTGTGCAATGTTGTTCAACGACAGCTTGCTCTTTTCGTTGCCGGCGCCGATCATGTTTCCTGCGGCAATAGCGGGCGTGGAAGCTCTCGAGTTGCGGCGACTTGGTCCCTCCCGATCAAGAATCGCAGATACTGAAGGATTGCCCATGGACATGGAGCCGCTGTGACGGCCGAGCTCCAGAAGGTTCATCGAATAGCTTTCCTCGCCCTTCACGCGGAGCTTGACCATGTTCAGCATGTCCTCGACTTCCGCAAGGTGCTGCAGGAACACAGTGTGCAGAGCGCGCACGCCGGCGGTGGCATCCTCGCCAGTGCCCCAGAAGCAGTCGTCGAACCGGAGCATCGTCGTGCGCTACGTGGATTATATAAGTTGTAGTATGCGTCGGAAAGCGTCTATATCTATTCTATCTAAACCGAGAGAAAGCCACGTTCCGGCGTGGGAATATCGTATAGGCCGGCAGATGACGTTGTGATGTTTGCAAACGAGGGTATATCGGACGTTGCAACGAAGACGATATGGAGATGGAGACAAGCGGTGATAGCAGGCCTTTCCGATGACAGGTCTGTGGGTTGGGTCCTTTTTGTGGGTTGGAGTAAGTTGGGACGTTCTCAGCGGCCAAAGCCGTGAGTTCCCATAAGCAAAATAAGGCAGCGGCCACTTCCCTCTCTTCCCTCTCTTCCCTCTCTTCCCTTCCTCTCGTGTCTCGTGAGGGGGGCGCTGACTTGCAGCCGCCACCCAGCGTGTTCCCTAGCACTCTCGAGGGAAGTGAGCGGCGGCGTGACCCCGTTGCTTGACAAAAGGTTCCATCGTGTGTCCACAACAAAAATTTCATCCTTCGCCATCTCAACCCCTCGCAAATTTGACACAAACCCAAACTTCTTCGGTGATGCGAGCAAAAGTGCATCCAGCAGCGGTCGAGGCGAGGTATCTAGCTATCCATCCATCTGTCTGTCTGTCTATGGAGAGGTGACACTCCTTCAGTCTCATAGCATGATCATTTGCCCATCCAGCGAAATCGTGGTGGACGGTGAGATTGGGCTTCTTTTGCGGACACCTCGTCTGCCGTTGGCCGATGCGCGCGACTCAACGGGGGGATAGACCGGGATCCCATGTTCCTATGCTGATCAAGATTCCTGGCCGACTCCTAGGCCATTTGCAAGGCACTTCGACTCTGCATCCGCCGCTTTACGAATTAGATCCATATTGACTGGAAGTTCTAGGTTGCACTACCACCAACCCCAGGAACCTTACTGGAGCCCTTTTCCTCAGCCGCCCCCATTTCCTTCCACAGCCTATGCATATGATTCCTCATCTCTTTCCACAGCTCCTCCAAATCATTTCTTCCACTGCTCGTACGATGCCCGCACACGAACAAGTAGGTCGATAGATCTGTCGTCTTGACGGTGGGTCGGCAATATCGATTACCGGGCGATATCCAGCGTCAGCACACCAATGGTAACGAGAAGATGGATTGGGATACTGCATTGCTGGGCCGTGCTCCGTGTTCACCCCTGTGCTGCCCCTCAGGGAGTGTCAGCACGTAACCAAGACGGCGCGACAGGAGACTTCAAGGGGTCGAAAAGCGGAGTTGACCGCCAAAACACGCGTCCCCGGCTCCGCATGCATACAGTACGCACAGGCAAGATGCGCGACTATCGCCACCTGCTATATATACTGTACAGTAACCTCCGAGGAAGGACCGACCTGTGTCTGCACTTGGCTCTGGTTGTGCAGGCTGACCGTGAAGGTAAGCGCTCGTCGTATGGCGTATGACTCTGGGAAATTGTCTTCGCGTGCATTGGAGGCGCCATCGCTTAACAACCTCTTCGGCTGCATCATCGCGTCGTCCTGCCAATGTTCCCTTCGACCCTTCAGGCTCCTTGACGGTGTAGATTCGGTCGCCCGGGATGGTGTCGGGGCGCAGCGACCGAATGTACGCCGTCATTGAGCCTGGGCAGTTTAGGAACCTGCGCTACAAGATCACTACCACTGCTAAACACAAGACGTCGCGGTTGAAGGGTTGTGCGGAAGTGGGCCATAGGATTTCCGTTTCGAAATAGGCTTCAATCACAAGCTTCGTATTTGAACCGCCAGTGAATATCGTCTGCAGTCGCATCGACCCAAATTGTGTACGCAGCAACTGCACGTCGCCTGGCCTAGAGCTGCAAACTTTCCCGTTGAGGCGCCCGCAGCCCCTAAACCACCCCATTTGACCTAGCAAGTGGGCGCCTAGGTTGTCTGTGTATATTGGTCTCTAGTCAACGTGCTACCACTGGCCAAACCATTCTACAGTACGTACGGATACAATCCCGTCCTGCTCGTCAAAACTAAGGCCCAAAAAAGAGAAGGCCTTTTGTGAACGCCTAGCGGCTGAATATCGGACGTACGTCCACATGGAAGCTTGAGTGTCTTTCATGTCTCTCATGTCTCTCAATATCACCGCCTTGAAGCTCGACATCTGGTCGCCGTTGAGACATTTTAGGCTCGATACATGCTTTTCTAGATCTGCTATAGGTATCTCGAACGATCCGCCGTATGTCCCATAACTCCTCCACACACAGTCCATCTCTGCATTGAGCAGATCGGACGGATCGGCTGCCTTGATAGCTTCGACATGCTTTTCTATTGCTTCGCTTAGCGGACTGCTAAGTACGGTGCTATCCACGTGGAACGAACGGCGTCCGTCTCGCCATTTACGGATCATCTTTTGGAAAGAGAGGTACGCGTGAGCATCAATGGATTTCTCGCTCTCAAAAGTCCCTCCTACATTGGATGTCCGGTCGTAGGTGGTTGCTGCGTCGATGCACCAAAAGAACTGCGGGCACCTTCCAGATCATTGTCAAGTCCTCTATAATGTGGCGCAGCATCATTTCCTACTGTACTGTACGTACATATATGCATGCACCATGGCATTGAGCGCTCGTTCAAGGGCGGCCACCCGTGCGCTTAAGTGAGCGACCTCAGTTCTAACTCTCGCGTCACTGAGATCACTGAGAGTCATCGTTGCCTCATCTTCGGACGTGGATATCGTTTCGTCTTCTTTCTCGGAGTGGCTATCTGCTTCTGTTGTCGTGCCAGCTGGTCTCACGTTAACTTCATCATCATCACTGTCACTATCTGTATTGGTAGAGCTGTCTGATTCTACCTCTTCATTCGAAGAGTAGTCTCTGTCAACGAGATTCTGTATAGCCCCGATGGCATCGTGATCAGCAGAGGTATGCTCGTCGTCATTGGTGTCACGTTTACGGTCTCCTCTATTCCCTTGAAATACGCCAGGTACGTTTGGATTCTGTCATGTCTAGCAAGTGGTCACCGCGAAATGCCTTCCCACTCCCCACCGGCGGAATCGGCACTGGCGAGGGACAGTTACGGCCTCTGGAGAATTGGAAACAAAGTGCGGGTTCAGAACAACAACCCGGCAGTTTTGGATGCGGGGTTCTCGTTGACTGTTCCAATTAAAGGCGCTTTCGGATATCCAACTCCCATTTGTGCATTACTCAACTCTGACGAACTGACTTACGGATAAAGCACTACCAACGGTCGTCCAATGCATGGTCGGGTTCTCGTTGACCTGCTCCGTAACGCGTGATTTACGCGTCAGGACATGATTGCATAAGCAATTGCGTTAGCTCAAGCTGAAGTGCCAGTGCATTTAATCAGAAAGATGCCCCCGCATTCGGCTTGCCGCCACTCTCTACTAACATGGTCAATACCTTCTCTGTATTTAGAAGCGATTGCATTGCATTTGCTTGGTATCGCTAGGAATTGAACCTGCTTGAGTCACCGTGGGCTTGCTCACGGCGTCGGCACTGGTGTCCCCGCATTGCACTATCCCCGGCTTTTGGCAGCCGCCAAATAGAAGAGAAGCAAATCCAACCATGATGTGCGGATGTCGAGATAACGGGTTGAAAAGGGAGAACGCTGCTCGATGAATCATGGGCGTTGCTTCCTCGGTCTCACTGAACCGATCATGAACGCACAAAGTTGTTTAGCGGAAATAGGTATCTTCGCTGTACGCTATGGGCTGGGGGGGGGGGGGGGGGGGGATGCAAAAAAGAAGTGTTGTCTGCGTCCATTGGTCAGAGTCTGATTGCCCGGCAGAGTTTCATGCCGCCGGCCCCGCTCACTCAGCAATGGAATCGGGAATCCGGCGGAAATGTCGGCTGCATCGGTGCAGAATGCACATCGTCTGTGGAAGGAACTTCAACCGAAGAGCCAAAATAATATGGAAGGAGTTTGCAATGCCGCCACCCTGGAAAACTTGGCCACTTACCATCTTTATGACCTGCATGTATGTCAGGAGAGCGTCTAACATCGGCCAGCCATTACTGGATTTCCTGACCACAGGCCATTCTGATCCGGGTGGAAGTCCCGGGGGTTGATGGGGGCCAATGTGCGCGTAAATCAATGGCCTAGCGGAGTTTGGAACGCGTTGGGATGTCATAAGCACGCGTGTCGCCGCTTTTGTATCCAACTTTTGCTCATTTTTTCTCCTGCTAAACCCGTCCCGCAAATCTGCCCCGGCTGGCCTGGCTCTGCCGCCGCTTCTTCGCCCTCATCCGCGCTGCCCTCTCGCTCTCCTATAAACCTATAGAAGACTCCAGCTTTCTTCCAGGGTCGCTTTTCTTTTGGATTTCTGCCCATCTCGGGCAGTTCCTCATTGTGTACTGTACGTTGCAGGATCAATGCATCCCAGATGGGAAGGTAAGTGCATCCCTCGGCTAATGGCCCGCAATTGCTGCAATTGCAGGCGTCTTCCTTTTGCAGTATCCGTTCCCGGCAGCATGCTTGACACTCTGCCTTTACTGTTTTACTGAATCGAGTTCCAAAAAAATCACCCAAAAACCGCGGCGGACCCACAAGGCGGGGTGTGGACATTTATTGGAGCAGCGATAAAGTGAATAATGTAAGAAGAAAACTATGTACAACTCACCACCCCTCGCACCTAAGGTGGGCAGGAAACAAAAGAAAAAGGCCAGAGGCTTACGGGCCAAGGCGTCTGGAACAGATCTAACGAAGGATGTCAGGCCAGTTTTCTGGCGCTGGGCTAACCTACAGCGGATGATTACAATTCCCGCTTTTCGACCCTATCCCACCAACCCACCCACAACCGACTCCGAGACCATCGCATCCTCTTCGTCCCCACCTTCCTCCACAACCTCGTCCTCGTCCTCAACCTCCTCCTCTTCGTCTTCTGCCGGCTCTTCCTCCTGAACTTCCCGGCGGACAGGCACAGCAGCCACCGCCCTCTTCCTCTTGGCCGAGGTCGTAGCGGTAACAGGTCTCGCCACCTCATCAGCCGTTGTGTTAGCATTGGGGTTAGCGGTCTCCTCGACGAACCGCTTGGCGTCGTCCCGGGTAATGGACTGGATCCGACTGACTTTGTTGACGAACGTCACGCCGTAGAACTTCTCCGCGTTGACGAGGAGCTCGGGGCGGAAGGTTGTTGTAATGAATTGCGCGTTGGGGGAGAGGGCGTGGATCATTGCTGTTGTGAGGAATGGGTAGAACTGTCAGCTCAGCGGTAACCCACAGGGATTTTTCGCAGCTCATCGGAAAACACACCTGCAACAGCTGTTCGGTACTGCGCATCCAGGGCAGCATCAATCTCATCAAACAGATAGAACGGTGCCGGGTCACATCTCTGGATCGCAAAGATGAGCGCCAAAGCCACCAATGATTTCTGCCCGCCGGACAGCTGCGGCATGCGCAGAGGATGTTGCGAGGGTTCGAACGTCAGCGAGATGGAGACACCGGTGTATTGATCGATGGTGCTGCGGAGCCTGTCGTTCTTTGCTGCCTTTTTGCCTTTTGCTTTGCTGGATTTAACTGGTTTCTTCCCCTTCGCTTTCGTTTTTCCTTTGGACTTGTGACCACGTTTTGACGTTTCTTCCTCATCGTCGTCGCTGGCGTCATCTCCCTCCTCCTCCTCCTCTTCCTCCTCTTCTGAAGGAGCTTCATCTTGGGTTTGAGAGCTCTGCAACAGACGCAGAAAAATCAGCAAGGAGTTCAAATTCACCGAAATTTATGACGTACTCACCCCGTCAGCCCGCCTCAACATAATCAACTCCCCATTCCCACCGGGCACAAGTTTCGACCACACATCCTTAAAGAACGCCGCGACCTGCGTGAAAGTCCTCTGAATAGCCTCGTCTTTCCTCTGGTCGAGGTTACTGATAAGCTCCTCGATGGCTCCCGCAGAGCTGTCGAGTTCATCCTTCCGCTTTTCGAGCGAGTCGCGTTGCTTCGTAAAGTTGACGTACTGCTCGAACGCTTTTTTGTTGACGTGGGAGTACTTTTTGAGCTTTTCGTTAACTGAGTGCAGGCGCTTTAGCAGCTGATTGTGGGCCAGAAATGGGGTTAGCTCAGATGATGGGAGAGGTCGAAGTCAACACGCTCATGCTTTCACTTGCCTTGTTGCCATTGAATCCCTCGAATCGCTCCCAGGCGTCGTCAGGCAACACTCCCAGTTCGCGGATGCTCCTCATGCATTCCTCCTTTCGTTGCATCAGAGACGTCTTCTTACTGACGTACTTCTCCAATACAAGTCTATGCTTCTCAAGCGTCTTCAAAGCCGATTGTTGTTCATTCTATGGAGAACCTTGCGTAAGCATATGCATCCACACCGATTGGGAAATCCGCATCGTGAAGTCAGACATACCCTAGCGTTCTCCAAACTCTCCACTCCCTTCCGCAACTCCAAGGTCCTTTCCTCCAGCTCAGCATCAATCTCGGCAATCCGATCAGAGCATCGAATAATGTTGGCCTCCACGCCTGCCAGTTCAGCCTTGCGGCCTTCGATGATCGCATCACTGCCGGCGCTCGACGATGAAACCTCCGCCACGCCGAGGTTCTCGAGTTCCAGCCGTATGTCGGCTTCTCGTCGAAGGAGGTTCTGGGAGAGTTCGAATTCGAGGATTTTCTTGCGTGATTCCAGCTGTTTTTCGAAGATCATGTCAGCGATACCGACAATACATCAAGACGGAAACATACATGGAGAACCATACCTTCGCCCTACGCTTCGAGGTCTCGCCCAGCTGTTCCTCCAACGTGACGAGCTCCTCACCCAACGCCTCCAACCTCTCCAACTCCTGGTCATTCAAAGCTCTCGAAAAAGGACTAGAGAGCTCCTGCGTGAATGCGGTTATCTGCGCCTCAATGTTCCTAATGCCCGACTTCAAATTCGCCATCGACAGCTCCTTCCTGCTGATGATGTTGCCCAGCGTCTCCTTCTCCCTCGTTATAAGCTCCACTTCCCCAGCTCCAACCACAGCGGAAGCCAACTTCCGACGCTCGGCGTCAAGCTCAGCGAGGTTTCCGCGGCATTTTGTGATTTCCTGGTCAACGCGGGTGATCTCATTTTTGAGACGGGCCGATTCCGCTTCCTCCGTTTCCTGGGTCTTTCGAAACTCCTTGAGTTTTGCAATGGTTTCCAGCTTCGATTTGCGATTGTCGTGGAACCCTCCCGTGATGGCACCCTTCCGCTCAATCCGATCGCCATGCAGGGTCACCGCGTCCAAGTTCTGCGATTTAGAGTACCCGCTAGCAACCTCCAAGTTCGGGCAGATAAGCGCCTTGCCAAAGACCTGCGCGAACGCCGGACGATACCGCTCGTCAAACCGTAGCTTGTTGATCATGACCACGGCATCGTTACTCTGCGGGTAGTTGACGTTCTTCGGGTGCAAACGGTTCAACGGCATGAAGGTCACCCTTCCTCGTTCGCGGGCCATATGGCGCAAGATCGTCGATGCCGTCTCGTCATTGTCCACCACGACATGCCACAGGCTTCCACCGGCGATGACCTCCACCGCTGCCTGAAACGTCTTGTCGACCTCAAACAACTCGTGCAGGGGTCCATACACGCCGCGAAGCTTCTCCCGTGTGACGATCCGCTGGACAGAACGCAACCCCTCGGCGGTCACACGGTCCATCATGGTGTACAAGCCCCTCTCGCATTGATCCGCCTCCTCTTTGGAGGTCTGAGCGGCGACGCTGGATCGGCTCTCGGCTCTCCAGAGCTCCTTCCTGCTTTCGTCCAGCGCGTTGCGTTCCCTACGCACCTCCCTGTCGCGCTCTTCCAGCTCCCCGAGTTTCGCTTTGCGCTCCTCAGCGCGGCCCTTTGCTTGTTCGATTTTGTTGTCCAAGGAAATCTCCTCTTCCCGATGGCTTTCGATTTGCGCTTTAAGGTCGGTAATCTGCTGTTCTTGAGAGCTCTTTGACTCTCGTAACGTTTTCAGCTCCTTCTTCAGGTATGTATCGCGCTCGGCTTTCGTCTTGAATTGGGAGGTGCGGCCTTGCTTAGCGTACAAGTTCGTACGCTCCAACTCAGCCAGGTTTTTCCTGGAAAGGTCAACAATGATGTGAGTAAGAAGAAAATCCTTGGGCTGAAAGATGCTTACCTCTCAGTCAAATCCGTCTCTTGCTGTAGAGCCTCCTCAAACTGCGGTCGAATAGTATCTATCTGCCCCTGCTTCTCAACCACTTTCGTTTTCAACGCCTGCAAGCCCTGCACCAACTTCTCCCTCGCGGTCGCATTCGAAACCGCATTCTCCTCCAAATCCTTCACAATGAGTTCCAGATGCGCTTTCGCTTTGATGTACTCCTCGCGATCCTCCTCGACCTGCAAACGCTCCGTCTGGAGAAGCGTGATCCGGCCCTTGACGTCCCGAATCTGCCGGTCAATGGTAGCGATTTTCGCATCACGATCGTGCAAAAGCTGTTGACGCTGGTTCGAATCGTCCACTTCGTTCCTATGCGCCTCTTCAAGTTCTTCAAGGCTCTCATTCAGCTCGTTCTGTTCGCGGGTGTAGATGGTGTACTCCAGACACCTCCTCTCCCGATCCAGATCCTGGAACTGCTTCAACTCCTCCTTCTCGGCCTCTAGCTCATTCAACCTCTCCTCGATAACCTCCAACAGCTCATCGATCTTCCCCCGCTTATGATCAGTATCTTCCATAATCTTCAGACTCTCCGTCCGCCGCTGCTCATACACCCTCGTCCCCGCCACCTCCTTCAGCAGCTGCAGTCGCTCAGCGTCCTTGGCATTCGTCAATGCCGTGATCCGCCCCTGCGGGACGATATAGTACGGATTCGACCTCGAGAAACCGGCGGTCTCAAACAAACTCATAACCTCCTGTTTCGGCACGCTCTTCTTATCCAGCGCATACTCATCCTTCTTCAGCCCGATCGTGCGTCGCAGCGTAGTCTCGGTCTTTCCCGTCGGGAAGCGCTGATCGGAATTGTCAAACACGACCTCGACAAAGGCGGAGAGGGTCGCCGGGCCTGTGCCTTCGTGGAGGAGCGCTTGGCGTTCTTCGCGGGTCATGTTGCTGTAGGCGTCGCTGAGGACGAAGCGGATGGCCCAGAAGAAGTTGGACTTGCCGGACCCGTTGCGGCCGACGACGACATTGTGGTGCGGGCTGAAGGGTTCGAGGGCAGTTTGGTCTTTGTAGGACTTGAAGCCCTGGATGATAATCTGGAACAGCGAGGCAGATATGGTGTTAGAACCTTGTTCTCACTGTTCGTTGGGAACTGTGCGTGCTATCACAGACAAACCTGCTTTATATACATCTTCAACCAACACCGCTAACCAAAACTGTCGACAAGATAGATGTCGGACGGCCTGTCTCACAAGCAGCCCTATGCCTTGACCTGTTGACCACGCTGTGCAGAGAGTGTATGTGTGTTACTGACCACCCAGCTCTAAGACGTTTGCAACTTTTCGAACTGTAGCAGTATATTGGGCAAAGCATGGAGAACGGAGTCGATGCTGAGCCCGACTGTCGCTGGTTGAGCGAGTGTCCGAAAGCGGGCGGTGGCAGCAACCTCCATATGCAAATGAACAACTGCGCCACCCGTCTCAAACCCCCCGCGCGCTTCCTCGTTCCTCGACATCTTCCCAGCTTCTGAACTTTTTCCCTACTCCCTCGCTTGTTCTCGTGAAGGACCAAGGACATCCAACGTCTGCACCGCTAGCCCGCAAACTCGCCAGTTGCCTCGCTGTTGGCATTCATGGATTCGGGAAGAAAGAAGGACAAGGCGCTCGATGTGATGGGTGAGATATGTCGACCGCCGACCTCCGATATCCAGTTCATTGACGTTCCCTTCTCAGATTGTTTTCCCCACGTCAAGCCCGTCTACGCCGTCCAGAACCATCCATACAGTACGTGCCGCTCAATCACCATTCACCGACCCTATGCCACTGATCAAATCAACCCATCAAGCAAACAGGGCACACAGGTATCATCATCCAAATCCACTCGAAAAAAAAAAATGATACCTTCTAAACCCCCACAGTTAAAGTCGGACAAAAATCGTGTTCAGCACACACACCCAACACCAACACACCACAAAGCATACAAAAAAACACAAGAAGGGACGCCGGAGACAGAAGAATATGATGGCTTCGACGTGGGCTAATGGATGGGGAGGAAGGAAGATACAGGGGAAAAGAGGTGGGGATGGGGGGGAGCTAACGCTAAGAAGGGTAGGGATCGACGCGTGCGAGCGTTTGGAATGGGATGGCGGACAGTCGACCGACAGCCTTCGCCCGATGTGAATGCATGCCCGACAGTGGGGCATCCATTCAACCGCGCACATCAGCATGGAAGTCAAACAATGACCTCCTTCCATCAAGCCCGCGCGTAACCCAAATAGTTCGCCACTCGCTTCACCGGCAGGGTATGAATTGGCTCGAAATGGTCAGCGGACCGTTTCTTGTCCGCGATAGGCGCCATGTCCGGTGATGGCAGGTACGACGCGACCGCCGTCGCCGTGGCTTGGGCGTCCTCAAGGGGAGCCCAGGGCGCCATTTTCCCGCAGAAAGGTTCGTCTACGGGCGGAGTCAGGGGTGCGTCGCCTGTGTCGGCTGGAAATCTCCATGATTGGGAAATCCGCAGACGAGGAGCGGCAGCGGCAGGGTGCAGTTTGCTGACGTTGACGTTAACGTGCACGTTCTGCGGGCGGGGTAAAGAGGCGTGGATGGGTAATACGGCGGATCCGGAGACACCGGCACCAGCGCCCCCGACGACAACGCCCTTTTGCTGCTTGGTACTAGCCAGATGCGCAGATGCGGTCATCAGCATCGTGCTCCATTTCGCAAAGCACGACTTTGAAACAAACAGGTTCCACTTGATAACATCCAAGAAACTCGACTCGTTCTTCGTCAGCTCGGTCGCGGGTAAGCCACAAAGCTTGCTCCACGCCCGGTTGCTATAGTTACGGTCTTGGAGATATTTGCTGGCGGTGATGAGGGCGCTGAGGAACATCCTGCGGGCGCAGGAGGTTGGGCATGATTTGGCGGCGGAGGTGTGGGACGCAACGTTTTGCTTGAAACGCACGTAGTAGAGGAGCGTGAGCTGGAGGGTGGAGAACGAGGTTCGGGAGCGCTTGAGGAGCTCGCTGATGAAAAGCTTCATGGGAACCAGTCGTTTGCTGGCATTCTCGGCACATGAGAGTTGTCTCGATGGTGCTTCGACGATTTTCGCAGCGATTTCTGTGTAGCGCGATGAGGCAAGAGGTTAAGATGCGGAGCTTTGACGACAAATAGCATATTGCTCGGCGACTACCATATCCCGATACGCTTCTCCCTTCCGACCCGATCATCTCTTTCCCAGCCACATTGCAAGACTACCCGCGCACTTTCACGGTGTTTCACTGTTCTGCGTTTCTGAATCCGCATAGGGTGTAAACACCAGAACATTTCGAACCGTTTCCGTGAAAATGCATTTCGAGCTGAGCGACGGAGATGCAACGCGGGACAAGGGGCGAGATGGAGGCCAGAGCGCAACTCAGGGGAGCGGAAGTTTCTCGGGAAAAGGTATGCGTCGTCGAGCAAGGTGGCACAGTTTACGAACCTACTAAGCTCTCAACAAAATCCTCTTTGCGGGGAAACAGGTCTGAGAGTACGGATTGCCGGGCTGGGGGAAGGCAGCCCTGTTCCTTTAGGAGCCCAAGGGCGGGCTTAACTGGGGAAAATTCTAAGGAGATCCTGTCAACACACGGTCTACAAACAACAAGCATTTTTCGCACGGGAGACGAGATGTACCTGGAGCAGCGATATTAAGTGAGCTCGCGATGGGGATTGACCTCATCGCACATTTTGTCGAAAAAGAGGCAATGTGCGAGTCGGTGTGGGCAATGGGCTTCGTTTCTTGACCACGGGACGGCTGGGCAAACGCCTCCTCAAAAGGAGGCAGTCTGCAGCCATCATCCGCAATCACAGACTCTGGAGTGTCCATTGTGGCGAAGGTATGCGCGGTTGTCTTAAGGGAGAGTGGGAAAACTAGTTAGATGGGTGAATGACGACGAACCGGGAAAAAGAACGCAAAAAGCCGAAGGCGGTATCCGAGCGTCCGCGAGTTGTCATTGGGCGGGACCGCTGGCTGAGGCTTGCTAAGAGCCAGAGGATTGCGCCTTTGGCGCAATGTGGTTCGCTCCGCTCGCGCTCCTGCTCACTTCGGTCGTACTCGCAGGGCTACTCACTTATTACTTCGAACTCACGAGGGAGGTCCGGGAAATCCAAAGATGTGAAAGTACCAGAGGCAAGTCGTGTTCGATCTGCTGTACTGCACTTTGAGAGCCACGCGAGGTGTGTGGGAGTCGGAGTATATGTTGAATTTAATTTTTCGATTTCCAAGAGGGGGAACTAGCGGTCGATGTCGATTGACGAGTGATCCAGCAGCACACAGCGAGTGTATGTGATGGTTCGGCGTAAGCGGCAAAGAAGCGCTCAGAACCGGCCCTTGGCGGCGTTGCAGGAGAAGGAGTACATGTTGGGAAAGTAGGAGTAGAAATGAAGCAGGTAATGACAGAAACAAAACGAAGCAAGTTTCGCTTAAACTGCTTGACGCATAGGCAGGCGGCGAACAAGAATAGTCGGTATGAAGTTGGGACGGAATGACCGCTTGCAAATCCGAGGCGGTTGTGAGCCGGTTTAGGAAACCTTCTCAGTCAATACAAGGACGTCGATCACAATGGCGAAGTCGGCAGCGCGGGTATTTGGCTGACAAAGGCGAGACGAGCAAGAGTGTGGACGGTTGCAAGTCCACAAGGTGGTGGGTATGATATGAGGGGTTGCGTTGACTGTGACGGCGCCGTTTTGCGAGCGCAAATTCCGAAAAGCTCTGCCAGCGAGTTTCCCGGCTGCTAATACAAATCGTTCGTTCAAATAGGACAGGCACGCGAGTGGGGTGGTGGTGGGTTGCGGATACGTTGCAAGAGCAGTTCGGGGCACTGAGTCAAGCTGTTCGTTATGTGTCTGGGGATATGTTCGTGGGGTTGGTGGCAGTGGGGGGAGAAGAGGGGGGGGGGGGGGCAAGCGGATATACGTGGTGGGAATAGGCAGGATTATCAGCGTGAGGACGAGGATAAGGCCTTTGTCTTTTGCGTTGGCCTTGCTTGCGCTTTGCTTTTGGCGTTGCTTTTGGCTTCATGGCGGGTGGGCGGGGCGGGTGTTTCCTTGTTTGCCATTATTGAACTCCCTCGGCAGCCGCTCACTTCCGAACATCCCCGAGCTTTCTCGTCCATTCCTAAGCGAGAGGCCCTGCAAGTCACCGGCCCCAACCCCCGCCCGTGGAGTCGCACCGGTATTCCGACGCGACTTGCCCACAAAGTCAGATTTTCCAAGGCAACCGTCGCATCATGTCCACATATAGGCGGTGACTCACCTGTCATCATTCTGGCCTGTTTGGGTGTTTGACTGCTGACTCGCGATTAGGTTGCAGATGATCTCGCTCTCCCAGATCACATGACACTGCGTTCCCTGACGCTCCACTTTAATTGTTTAATCGTGACTTGAGCAAGCACCTTTGTCCCAAAATGGCGGCGGTTTGCTTGTGCATGCCGCTTTGCAAAGCAGGTTGGCTGGCAGCATCGCTTCAGTCACTTTGTGCTTGGAAGTCTCTCCACTTGATTTTCTGAGACGATGAACAACGAACGAGCGCGTCCAAGCATTCCTTAGTCGAAGGAAAGGGGCGGGAAGTCACCCCCGACGAGCTGTTTGTGTTTCCAATTTACGGTGAAGCGGAACCTTTGCTCAGCAACGATGATGATCATTGATAACCGCACAGAGGAACGGGGCCGGACTCTTACGCCCTTCATCCACTGCTGGAAATATGTACCAAAGTCTGCCAGCTCGGAAGTCGCAGGATCTGTCGAAAAGATGGGAGCGCGAAGGTCCAACGGGACAAGATCTTCTATCGCCCCGAAATCTTCTCTTCGTCCTCGTCTGCTCCCTCCAAACCTTTCCCGTCGCGAAAGGGCGTTGCACACACCTGCGCAGTGGGCGACTTGCGCGTAGGAAAGCCGGACATGCGATATCAGGGCTTTGGACGGTTTCTCATTTACCTTTGGATTCCGTGTCGTTTCTGAGACCCGAACGCCTGAATGCACAGCTTACTAACCGAGTTCACTCAAGCGCTCGTCATTTCTGGCCCTCGACACAATAGCTTGCTGCCGGTCACTTAAAATCCCTTGTCCATGCAAAAACTCAAATACCCCTGCAACTGCTGAGGTTACTCTCTGCGGAACTGGGGGCGAAATCCTTTGCTGAAACGCGTTCCCGGGCTTCTTGGACCCGCTTGTGCGGTGCAAGCCGATGGAATCAAACGGCACATACGCTGACTGAGTTATCAACAGACTCTAAGGATGCAGTAGTTCAGTTGGGGTATATTCCGTATGGGTGATGGCGCAAGAAGCCCAATGTGCGTCCAAAAACGCCTTCTGTATGACCTCCGAGCTGGATCCCGATGCTCGCTTGAGACGGAACTTTCCACACCTCCTGTTTTGTGACCGAGAGTTCCCTGTGGACGTGGTGGAATCTCAACATAAGGCTCTTTCTCCCGAGGGCCAAGGAAGCGAGTAGATTCCGGGCCTGCGTGTAGCAGAATTCAATATGACTGGAGAAGACGGTTACCTAATCTTGCATGCTTACGCGTAGCCCAGCGCGTAGGCCCAACTCCGACGCGTTTTCGGACGGCAGGCAATGCACAATCCGCACACCCGCGATCGGATTCAGACGCGTGACCTCGCAGAAGCGTCAATGGGCTCTCGCCTTTCTGAGCCTCTCGCCTTTCTGTGCTGACGGTCGGGAGAAGCGGGGCAGCGAGGACCAGGGCTGTTTATATCGGAGAAACTGGTTCGAGTGGAGACGATGAACAAAACACGTCCGCGACACTCATCCAACCTATTGACGCGCAATGTTTGCCTGCCGTCAGCAGCTTATGCACGGGTGCTTTTTCCTAACAGGTAGGGGCTTCGTTTCATGTATGGAATGGGATACCATGTCTATGCTTTTCCACCAATTGGCCCGCCGCGAGATAGGGAGGGTAGTGGCCAACGGGCTCGTGCGAGGTACGGGGAGGCAGTTATGAGTCTTCGAACTTCACTTTGGCACATCCGTGCTATGTGGCATCCTTGAGGCAACAGACACGGAGAGGGAAGAAACGCTCATTGCCGCATGCAAGCGGGGCGAAAATGATAAGAAGGTGGCCGGTGAGGGTATGGAGCGTGCGGAGCCCGGAAGGTGCAAAAACGAATTTCCAGGTCCCGCCGAGATTCGAACTCGGGTTATTAGATTCAAAGTCTAATGTGCTAAACCACTACACTACGGGACAACCATATTTCCGGAGCCTCCGGAATCATATTTTCGACCGCGCGTTATCCTGAACGCCTGCCAAGTTCCTGGGGTCCGAGGAGCAGCCAAGTTTCCCCGCGTGATGAGATTGATGAAGCCACAATTGAGAAGCCGCACTCCGCAACTTCCATGAAGCCTGCCTTCAAAAGTTCAACGAGCAAATGGCCAGGACTATCCTCTTCCATTCCCGGTGAACTTCCAGCATCCTCAAAAGCCTTCGTTGTATTCTCTGTACGTAGTGATAAGTCAGTCCCACGGTCCTCAGCGCCCCCACCAAGCGACGTTACGACGTGACGGACGCAACGACAAAGGCCAGTCATGAGCAGAGTCATAAGCGATACAATATTAGGGACGCATGTGCTCGCCTTCTTCTCCATCTTCACCTTCTACCTCCCCCTCTACTTCTGGGCCCTCCCGAACGTGCACAAAGCGAACTCCCTGCAGCACAATGTCCCCGTCACCGTGCACATGCAGCATAATCTCAACAACAAAGTCGTCTTTCTACCCTGCCCCGCCATAAGCGAAAACGACATGACGGCGCTCTATACCAAGCTCGGCATATGCTATTCGCCCATGCAATTCGAGGGCCTGTGCGACGGGAAGATGGTGCAGACGACGTGGATAGACCTCACCTACGTCAGGGGAACGGAGACAATGCGCGACACAGAGGCGATCAAGGAAGCGCCGAAACCGTTCAATTTCGTCCGGTATCAAGAACTCTGCGCGCGGGACTGGCTCTTCGACCCTTCCGCGCACAAGTTCGTTGACAATAGTAGGGTGTACTGCGCTGTACCAGACGATCCCAGGCGGAACTACGTGGCGTGCCAGGACTACTGGAACCGTTTGAATATTGTGTTGATCATCGGCAGTGGGTTTGGGGCCTTAGCTGTAGCCTCTTTGGTATCTTTCGTTGCCGGAGCAATCGCCGTCGGTACGCTTATTTACAATGCATCGCGCAGATTGGCCGGGTTTGAGGAGGTTCCTCTGAAGGGCAAGAGTTGGACCAGCGGATGAGGTCGCCTTCTTACGGCGTAGTATACAGTTTGAAACAATGAACGGATGAACGGGATGGGATGGTAGATACCACCTTTCGACCATGTACGATAGTTTTCCCCCAAGGGCTTGTGTAGATTAATCATCTAATTGTAGGCCAAACTGGCCCTATGGCTTGTCGCTCGACCTCCTCCAGCATCAAAGCGCGTTGGGCTTTCACTCTTCAGGTGCCAGAGTACGCGAGAAGCACTTATTATACGACATGGAAGGGGCCAGGCTGAGAGCCTCCAATCTATCAAAACCATGAAACTGTAGCGCTCATCAATGTATGTACAATGTACTGTATGTATGTGTATGCCCGCAGACTCGCCGAGTTCGTCCGTCCAAGAAAAGGGGGGCAAAAGGGGAAAACGGAGCGCGAGAGGTGGCTTGTCCCACCGCGTTCCGACTCCTATGACGGTCCTGCTTGGGTCCTGCTGCATGTTCAACTTCTGCCAATTGCAAAGATCGCTCCTGTGATATCCAGGACGAACATACGTACGTAAACTCACGGGCAGCATATTCCGCGGACCCAGACTCACTTCGGAGGGGCTTATACAGCATGTTGAAGGAAATCGTCGCCCAAATAGAGGCGCTAACGGCAAAGTTGCGAAGGAGGTGAGACGCAAGGTTCCAATGGTCATGAGAGGGTTGAGTGGAATCTCGAGCGAATTCCTAGCGGCTTGCGAGTATGCCACACGCGAGGCCTGTGGTGGATGCCTTAGGCGACCCCATCTCGGTGCGGAATGCAAATCCCGCTACCCTTCCAGTGTTGTCTCCGAGGGAACAAACCCTTTTCTTGTCACTTCTCACACTTCCTTCTCAAACACCCCTTCCAGGCAAATACAGGGCTCCGACGAGGTGGCGATAGCGACGGCACGGCTATTGAGGAACGTCGTGGCCGCATCCCGATGTAAGGATGTCCCGGCGTTGTCAAAGATGGTGCGGGATGTGGGAAGCAAGTTGCAGGCTGCTCAACCGATAGGTATGGGATTGAAGTTATGGGGGAGATACTTTCTTCGCAGGAAAAATGGGCGTTACCTGGGGACTGAAAGTCGATATTTGATGGAAAAACCATCGTTCACAGAACTCGCCGTCGGAAACATGGTCCAGCGAGTCCTCCACTTAATCGCCGAAGAAGCCAACGCCGCCGCCGACGAATCCGACTCCAACAGCGACCCCGACTCTGCCGCCGACTCCGACACACCCACAGCCGGCACCGGCACCCCGCGCTCAACCCGCAGCAAATTCTCCACAACCTCAACAACAACAACCCCGGCAATGCGCCGCTCCTTCGTAGCAAACGTCAAACAGAGCGTTGAAGAAATGATTGACGAGCTCGAAAACACTACCGCCAATATCTCTAACCAGGCCTGGGAGCATATCCACTCTAAGGAAATCATTCTCACCTTAGGCTACTCCTCCACCGTCGCACATTTCCTCGAGGTTGCAGCGCAGGTGCGTGATTTCCAGGTCATTGTCGCCGAAACGTCTCCGACACATGATGGACATACCATGGCGGCTGCCCTTGCCCGCGCTGGGATTGATACGACTGTGATTACCGATTCGGCGATTTTCGCGGTCATGTCGCGTGTGAATAAGGTTATCCTCGGGGCGCACGCGGTTACGGCCAATGGGGGATGTGTGGCGGTGTGTGGGACAAAGGTGGTCGCACTGGCTGCGAAACAGTACTCGACCCCCGTGGTGGTGTGTACGGGGTTGCATAAGGTGTCGCCTAGTTATCCGTATGATACGGAGGCGTTTGGGTTGCTGGGGCAGCCGGGCCCGGTTTATGCTTTTGAGGCGGGTGAGTCTTATGACGAGCCCTGCGGGTGGATGGGCGTTCTTTTTATGCTTCTGGGATGCCCCTGCGGACGTTGCAGCCTTGGGTAACACCCCATACTCTCCCACCTGCGCAGGCGATATAATCGACTCGGTGGAAATAGTCAACCCGCTCTTCGACTACATCGGTCCCGAAGACGTCTCTCTCTTCATCACCAACGTGTACGTATCATCCCTCCCTCCCTCCATTCATCCACGACCCCATGCGCTAAACCCTTTTCTTATTAATCGTAGAGGAACACACCCGCCATCCTTCATCCAGCGCCTCGTGCACGACAACTACCTCACTGAGCAGCCATGAACATACACAGCACACACTTAGGGGAGGTTATAAAAAGGGCGGGCATTTATGTATATACCATATATTTACACACAAGGGGGTCTGAGTACATATCCAACGACGAACAGGATCTCACACGCGTCCGTAACCACGGTCGAAATATCTTCATGATATAGTAGTCATCGCGATCGTCACATATACATCATTCTATGCCGCCAGCTACACTGCCTACATACAACCATGCGGGCATGTCGGTATGCGGTGGAACGATGCATGTTCGATAGATGGGGTAACTCGTGAGGGGGCGCTCAATGTACTTATGTATGTGTACGAGGGGCGGATAGACACGCCGTGCAGGGGGTAAAGGATAACATATGAATACCAGCATGGGGATGCACAGAGCCCTTCAAAATGGGTCTCTCCCCCGCTATCTTCGCCCTCGAGAGTGTTTGTCACAAGGGCTGGGTGAGGGGTATATAGGAAAGGGGGGCACCTTGCTCAGCATTCAGAAGTCCCTCACCTGCGCCCGCCGACGTGTCCATCCGACCCTCACCACTCCTATTTGCATCCTCCCCCTTCCCTTTCCCTTTCCCCTTCTTGCCCTTCTTCCCATCCGGGTTGCCCTCGTGCGGTTGCGCAGGCGGCCTCCAAAACGCCGGCGCGCGTCCCTTATTGTATCCAAACGAGACTGTTTTCGGGAGGTTGACGTGCATGCGGGCTAGGGAGGCTGTTAGTGAGTTTAGTTCTGTGTCGTCTGGTAACGAGAGGGTGGTGGTCTTGGTTGGGAGGCGTGCGATGGGTGTGATTGGAGGATGGGCGGCGTTGGGGTGGAAGAGGGGTTGGGTTGAGGCCGCGTGTGCGTGAGAGTTGTTTTGTGGTGAGTGTTGTTGGATGGCTGGATTTCGAGTCGACGATGTGCGTTGCGCGGTAGCGGTTGGGATGGAGTTCGACGGCGGTCTTGATGCGGTATGAGGTTCGGTTGCTTGACCGCGGTCAACTTCCATCTGACCTCCCTGCGCCCGCCGTGCTGCCCGCCTCTCCTTTCGATTCGGACCGCCGCTGCCGGATGAAGTCTGATTGCTAGCCTCGGTTGCGACTGGTTCCACGACGTCCATCCCGCCTTCTTGATCGTCTCCGCCTGTGGCCCCGTCCCTTCGATCCTCCTCACCCGCTACCTCACCTTCACCCTCACCCTCACCCGCAACCCCTTCCACCACCCCCTCCATACCCCCCTTTCCACACCTCTCCGCCTCCCTCTTCCTCGCCCTCCTCTCCACCCCCTTAACCCTCTCCTTCTCCCTCCTTTTACTCAGCACCCCCTGCACAACAACCTCGAAATGGTAATCGGGCGCATATGCATGTTTCGCGACCAGATGCAGGCGCCGCGCGTTCTGGTTGGCGAACATTTTGGGGCAGGCCGGGTCTAGGCATGCGTACATCTTTTGCCCGCGCGAGGTGAGGACTGCAAAGTAGGAGTCGTGTACCTGGGTGGGAAAGGAGAGAGGGGGGATTTGAAGGGATGAGTATGTGCGATGCGTGAGCTGGCTGCAATTGATCTCAGTCATCCTAACCCAAACCGCTCGGGGCCTCGCTTCGCCCAGCTTCGCCCGGAAGTACAGCCCGCTTCTGAACCAATGTGTCGACCCACCGCCCCGGTTCACTTCCACAAATCCCGCACGGGCCTTCTTTCCTCCCTCAGTACCCACCTCCATGATATGCAACTCGAGTATCCTCCTCGTCGGCAAGGTTTTCCTACACGTGTCACACACATTGACATGATTGTTCTCATGATGCGCCTCGTACTCCGAAACAGAAGTGAATGATATTGCGGCGCAGGACGGTGTTATCGTGCAGCGGAGGGGTGCTCTGGAATGGCAAGGGAATTGAACACTTGCTCGTTAGTGGTGAGAGCAAGCTAAGCACTTTCGTCTTGCGAAGGGACTTACGGGGTGGTGAGCTGATCGACTGGCTGCTCTTCTTCTTGGTCGAGGCGGTGGTATTTCTGGTATGTGCCAATAACGTCGTCGTCGTCGTTGTCGTCATTATCGGTGTGCGCGGGGTCGTCACGGGGCCGTTTTCGGGAATGATGTTGTGGTGGCGGTTTGGGAGAATAAGACGAGTAGTCTATTGGGGCGGGTATTGTTGCCATCCGTTCGTTCTTCCAGCTAACAGGTTTGAGAGATATTCGGTAGGGAGGAGGGGAGATCGAGCGTGGCCAGCGAATAGAACTTGGGGCAAGAGTAGCGTGAGCAAAAGTGGAGGAGCCCCACGGCTTGCAAGTTGACAGCGACGCGTTCACAGGCGGTTCCGCTGATTCGGACACCTCCCCTTCCGTTTTCTCACTTGGAGCATACCACCAGGAAATATAAGCATGCCCGTATTCCTGTGGGCAGTACTTCATTTTCTTCTATGCAAACTATGGGAAGAATGCCATCTATGCATCGCCTTGTCGTCCCCGCTCGCATACATGGTACATCGTCATTGATGGAAAACCCACCGCCTTTCCACCCTTTCTACCCTATCCTTCCCTTTCTACCCAACGCCGCATCCTACGTCTCCCTTATTTGGTCGTCCAGTGGGTTCGTCCCTTCGTCTCTGAATCCACCTTCAACCCATCGATCTCGTCCATCGTCCGACCCTCCACGTAGTAGTCCTTCTAGACAATCCACTTCTCCATATGGACATGTGGGATCCCATCCTCGTCAAACTCGTCCAGTCCCTCCAGCCTCGCATATCCCAACTTCTCGTACCACCGCTGCTTATAACTCTGGGCATGCATATCGATCCGCTGAACGCCCAAGCGCTTGGCTTCCTCTTCCACCGCCTTGACGAGGAGTTGCCCGAGTCCCTTTCCGCGGTGTTCTTTTAGGACGGCTAGCCGGCCTAGCATTGCTGTTTTCGTCGCTGTTGGTGATTCGGCTTCCACGGGGACGAGGCGCGCTGTTCCTACGGGAGAGGCCGGTGCCGAGTCTGTGTTGTTGTCGGAGTAGGTGGCGAGGAATTGGGTGCAGACGGGGTCTTTTGCGTCTGGCTCTGTGTCTGGGGGACACTCCTGCTCGACGACAAAGACGACCTGGCGGACGTGTATGCAGCGGTCAAAGTCCTCTGTTGAGGAGACCTTGTGGACGGTGTAGGACATGCTGTGGTTGTGGTCTGCGAGGTGGTGAGTGAGTGTGAAGCGGTTCTGCGTTGGGGGAGGGGGGGCTGTTAACGAGACGGCCTGAGCCTGAGCGGAGTGTGAGATCGGGAGAAAGCTGCGGAGCATTCATTCCCCACGCATTCTTCCCGTGGCCTTTCTTCCCTCGCTATTCAGACTTGCATAACACCGCTTTCGTTGGAACAACGCCCGAGGCCATAGGAAGGCAGAATGGCGGCCAGATGGGCGCTCCCCTGGGGCTTCCCGGCTGGTTCTCTAGGTCAACTCGGTCGAAGAAACATCGCCTTGTCTGCTCCGAAAGCTGTGTTCCGGCCTCGGAATTCACAACCGCCCGCGCTAGCAGTAAGTGCAACCTACGGACGTCGAGTGAACTCCACCGCACCATCCAGTGGAGATGGCCGAGTACCACCGCTTCCTCCTGCTGAAGGGCACTACGATTCGGTGAGCAAAGAAGCTCTTCCATCTGCAACTGTCACCGACGCCTTGGATACAGAACACACACCACGACCGGAACCGGCAGCCCCTCGCACACGGAAAGAAATCGTTCTTCTCGAACAAGACCTCGAAGAAGAGTTTGTCAAAGGCTCCGGCCCCGGCGGGCAGAAAATCAATAAATGCAGACACAGAGTGCAGTTGAAACATATCCCCACCGGTTTGCGGGTTGAGGTAAAAAAACTCACATGAAATCTACGTCAATGACAAACATGTATGAACCCACGTTTACGTGAACTCAAAATCCCCCAGTCCCAACGCTTCCGCGACCTAACAGGCAACCGCAAAGAAGCACGCAAACTCATGACCCTCAAACTCGACGAGCATTTCAACGGCGAGCTTTCCAAGCGTCAGGTCAAAATTGCGAAAGAGAGGGTCAAGAAGAAGAAGATGGCGAGGAAGATTCGGAAGAAGCATGGTGTGGGGTCTGGGGGGTCTGAGGTGGATGATGGGGAGGATGATGTTTTACTCGAGGGTGACGGGGATGAATGGAAAGAAGGAAGCCTCACAATGGGGGAGAGTGGGAGTGAAATCAAGGCGGATGGAGGCCGTGCCGGACCGACAAAACATAGCGATGGCAAGACGTGAGGCAGCGCAAACCAAATTGGCCGTGCTCTTTCCCGTCAACTTTGCCGCGGAGAGACGGATGTGAAGGTTGGCGCACATGAGTGTACAACGCAGAATCCAGTGCCAGCGGCAGCAGCAGCGATGTAGGTGTTGAGTGGACAGCACACTCGCTCGCCGCGCGAAATGTTGTCGCCGGCCTTGACCTCAGTGATGCACCGCTTCAACCTACCTGAGGAAAGGTTGCCCTTGTCCGGTGACCCTAAATCCTGACGACCCTAGGACAGCTGCACGGCCGACATGGGTATCGAAATGCCCAAAACATGCATATGCACTATGCACGCAGCCATCGCCCATCACCTCTTCAAACCCGACCGTTTTCGCTGTCAAGCAGGATCTCTTGGCGGCAATTACCAGCACGACCACGCAGTCTCTATTGCGAAATTCACGCTACCCCTATCGATGATGCTTTCGTTAATTGCTCTTCATGGAGTGGAAAGTGGACAGTGCCCGCCAGCCTGAAATGCCGACAAGCTGGCATTGCCAGGCTCACCTCGGGTCCTGCATCCGTGGACGCACGAAAACGGACACATGTGTGATCTCTTCAAACTAACGCACAGCTCTTTTTGAAATCCGTGGATCCGCTGAGAGACATCCTTTCATGATCACGTAGTCCCAGCATCCGGCTTATTTGGCGTATATGATTTCGCCACCAGCGCCGGCCTCTTCACCAAAGACGTGATGGCATTTTATTCGCCTGCGTCAGTGTCACCGGCGACACTATGTAGGCGTGATGTAGGTGGCTTTCCATAGCAGTATACATAGCTTTTCTCGTGTATACGCCGTGTATACCACCACTGAGTTACCGGCCCGCGTGGAATACTTTGTGTATGACAAGTCCATGAGGTTGCCTACTGTCTCGCTTTCCTATGAAACCTATGTCGGACATCCATCGCCTCTTTCACCGAATCAGGTTGGAAGGTTCGGTGCGCACTGTCGAGCGGGTCAACTGAAAGAGAACGTGGAGCTGGCACGGCACAGACTCATAGGGCCGAGTCGCCCAACTCCGACCCCCGCGTACAGACGCCAAGTCTCGTTTGCCCGCGCAGAATTTGCGACACGATGATCCATCCATCACGTCGCCTCCTTTGGCGCCCATTTCATCTGATGTCCCCTTGCACTGGGCGAAATGCTCTGCGGAGAGACGCAAAGAGGCATTGCATGTCATCGTCATCCATACGCTCTGCGAAACACGGCCGTCACGGTCATGGAGAGAGGGTCAACTTGAAGACGCCGTCTGGGCTCTCGACTTTTCTGCGCCCCTCGTTGATCGTCCTAGTGAACACTGTCGTCGATCCCTTCCCCCATATCTCTTCGAATCGGTGGGCGGCTTCACACCGTACTAGTAAATCATCTTGGGAGCGTCGACTCCTTTAGAGGGATTTTCATGGAAAGGAGGGATGAAGCGAAAGGAGGAGACGAAGACCCGGGGAACGCAGCAACGCAAAGAGCCCGTATATTCTCTCCACGCATCTTTGCAAATAAGCCATCGTCCCCGTGGAACGCAATGCTTGTTTCCCTCGCTGGGCGCCTTCTTGGCGGGCTATTTGTGCACCCATGGTGGGCGGCGTGTGATGTGCAGTGAAGCAACCCTGCTTGCACTGGAATATGTACAGTATCGATATGTACAGGCCGATGGACGGCAGGAATGTGTGGAGAGAGCGAGCAAGATAACGATGCATATGTAGGGCATGCCATACAGTATCTGAGCCTTTCTCCCAGTGTGTTCTGGGGCCAGCAGGCAAGCTGTCAATTGCATTGCAGGAAGTGACAGGATTGACGGCGGCTGCGCTTACGACTCTCGCTTACGCGCGAATTCCCACCCACCAACGTTGCGCTTGTTTTCCTCCCCTTGCCAACCCTCATCTCAATCCTTCTACTTGGCCCGCACAGCGCCCGCCTGTTATCTCCCTGCTTCATCCATCGCCACTCCACACTTCTGATTCGCAATATCGAACTTCCTGTCTCCTGTCTGTCTGTCTGTCTGTCTGCACATGCAACCGCTTTCTCTGCATTAAAAGTACGCGAAGCACAGCAACGTTCGCCCGTCCCGCTCCAACTCGCTCCCTCCCACCCAACATCTCGTGTTCTGCTCGCACACGCCCTTTCCCTCGCTCCGTCGCATAGTGACTCGGGATCTCTACAAAAGCCTAAAGGGGCCCACTCTCGTATCCGGTTTTCCCGCCCAAAAAGTGAAAATAACCGCACAGCACAGCGCCGGACGGAAGACGAAGGAAAGGAAAGAGAACGAGAAACGGGAATTGGCGCACGCTTAAGCTTCTCGGAGGTGGAGCCGGACGTCGGTTTGGTTGTTGTCAGAAGCAGGAATATCGTCAGTGTCATCCGCTTAGATCGAAGTTTATAGTAGCTGCGACGGAGATCCAACGCCTCAACGAACGCACAGCACTACATCTGCAACGCACAGAACCATCATTCGCATCACATTGCATACTTCATCACACATCGCAACGCTACTTTTCAATCCTGAAAACATCGCATCAAACATGCTGCGCGCACTCGGGAAAGCATTCGGCAGCCAAACCTCGCTCTCCTCAACCAGCTCGGGTTCAAGCTCACAGCAGCAGCAGAATTCGCAGCAGCGGAAGCCTCATATGGGTGGCGCTCATCCGGCGACTCGCAAATCCGGACCTGCATCATCAGCGGACGCAGAGCCTGAAGCTAGCGCAAAGGTCAGGACCGACAGCACGTCATCCGCGTCTTCCTGCCCACCACCATCCTCCTCGTCTTCTTCTTCATCGCTATTCTCCTCATCCTCCACGTCGTCCTTGGGACGCAAGCCAAGCGGAATCCTCCGCCGAACGAACAGCCATCGTGTGCTTGACGTCAGTGCCCACAGGCGTGGAGCCAGGTTGCATCACTCGGACAAGGAGAACGTGAACGTGCATGCGCGGCCTCAAGCCGACAACATGCAGGGCCGTGATGCACCGGCAGTGACGGGAGTCTACCCACATCGCCGGCTTCCTTCCCATCCCAACCGCCGCGGTGTGTCTGGGTCTGCACATGCACATGCACATGGATACGATCCCGCATCCAACACTCCCGTCAGTCCCATGCCGCCGCCGCGTAACCGCCCGCATGCGCAGCAACATATTTACCAACAGCAGCATCCGGTGCAGCAAAAGTACGATCCGGTGAACTACCCCGTCCCACCTCCACCGCCGCAACTGCAATACCAGCGTCGCCATGTCAGTGATTCGCATCATCCGCAGCAGCACCACTCTACGTGTCCGAGTCCTCATCACCCGTACGCGTTTCCTAGTCAACAACAGACATCAACACCCCAACAACCACCCCCGCAACCCCTACGTACCCTGCACAGCAACCCTTCCCTAGCCTCACTCGCGCCTTCCGAATCAATGTCCGTCGCGGGCACCGTTAATGTACGACGCAGACCGAGTGAGACCCGGATTGGGGATTTTGATTTCGAGGATTTTGAGTGTGGGGAGGAAGGGTATGAGGATGAGGAGAGGAAGAAGAGCGGATTTGGGGCATTGAGGAGACGGGCGAGTAGTGTGCGGATTAGTGTTAGGAGGAGGTTCTCGGTATGTCGTTCCCTGATTTCTATGTTTGATGTTGACTTTCTGGACCCATTCACTCATCCCATTTGCATGTACTTCTCAGACCAAACGCTCAGCCTTCGACGCAGCGCTAACCCATGGCAGCTCGACAGTCCACCTCCCATCCGTCGTCAACGCCAACAAAGCAAACACCACCAGTCGCCGACGCGCATCCATGTCCGCGTCAACCTCTCGAAAGTACGCAACATTCACCTACGGCTCCGCCCTCGCCGCCCGCAGCTGCGTCGAGCTCGGACGCGTTCGCGAGGAGGAAAGTGGGTCCGATGCATCGTCTTACCAACGTGGCCACCCGAAGGTGCTGAGACCCTGTGCGTCGACAACGAGTTTGCATTCGTTATCTCATCCCGTCACGACGACCCCTGCTGTGACAGCCTCGCTGCCGCGCAGGTCACGGAGTTTATCGTTAAGGGTGCGGCGGACGGTTTCTACACCCGCCCTAGCTTCCACCCCTGCCACCTCCCACACCAAGTCCAAATCCAAACACAATGAGAACATACAACCAACGCCCCTTCAACTTCTCTGGCACGGCATGCACCACCCGACCCCGACCTCCTCCGCGACCTCCTACACCCTGGGCACAGCCTTGCTGGCGCGGGACCAAGTCGCACTCGCCGTGCCGCACTTGCATGCCGCGGCGGCGAAGGGGCATGCAGATGCGGCATACACTTTGGCGGTTTTGTGGATGCGTGGATGGAGTGGCGAGGCGAAGGGGGATGGAGGGGAAGTGGAACCGGACCATGGCCGCGCGATGCAGTACTACCTCTCTGCGGCTAGGTTGGGGCATGCGGCGGCGATGTGCAATGTTGGGGTTATGTATGCGGCGGGGATGGGTGTTGCGTCGGGGGACGCGGACGGGGTGCCATCGGACAACGATGAGGAGGTGTATGAGGATGAGCAGGAGGAGGAGGAGGATTCCCACGGCGGCCCATCGATGAGCCGCGGACGACAGCAGCAGCGAGGCCACGGCCGAGGCAGGGGCCGCCGCACATCCTCCACTTCCGCATCCGGCTCGTCCTCCTCTTCCCAAAGCGAAGGCGGCAACATCAGCCCCCCACCCAAACCCCGCCAACCCAACCACATCCTTGCCCTGAGCTACCTCCGGCAATCCGCGTTAGCAGGCTACCCAAAAGGCATGTACAACCTCGCGGCGATGCTCTACGGCAACGGGGACTTCATCGGGGCGGCGGCATGGTTTGAGCGCGCGGCGAGGGCGGGGTGTGGTGGGGACGCTGAGGACTGGGTGAGACGGTTGAGGGGTGGGATGAGGGTTGGGAGGCCGTTGCCGGCGGTTCCTGGGGGTGTTGTTGCGGGACGGTGAACATGGTGTGGATGTAAATTTGAAATGAGACATGTAGGTATCTTTCATGTAAAGTAAACGAGACTTTTGGGGAGTACAGTATGTATATTTGTGCAGTAGTCGATCAATGAACCAAAAATGCCAAAAGAAGCAGTGAAGAATATGGGATCAATTAGGTTTTTGCCACTTTCTGGTGGAAGGTGCTGCCGGGATTGCATCAGCGGTTGGGACGCCATATTTCAATGATCTTCTTTCGACATACGCTTGACCCTGGAAAAATGAAAGATGGTGGCCGTCCGACATATCCGCCTGAGCAACAGGTATCGGAATGACAAGCTTACTTGGCGAGCGGATAGTCCTGTCGGTCCGCATGACACACCTGGAAACGTTTCCAACTGCTTCCAGGCACTTTTGCAACAATGTGTATTATCAGGATTGTCACTCCTAGTGTTCGTTTGATGGGAGGCACCGCGAAAAGTGCTGTTTGGAGTATTCAGTTGAAAGGGGCCATCTAGAGCCATCCTGTGGTATCGAAACGTCGGAAGCCCTCTTGGCCACACCAAATATGATACTGTTGCTTTGCGCTCGTATGAAGGTGCACCCTAGTGGCAGTAGCTGTTACGACTGTGGTATCTGTGTGCCGGCCCGTGACGAAGTGCGATGCAGAGGATGAATGGGCAATGGGACCTGAGGACGCTTGGCGCTTCCATTTCACACTCATCCTTAAAGGTGCTCCCATCACCGTACGCATAGACACACACACACACATACATCCCACTATGACCGACATCAAGGACCTCAGCACTCTAAGACCGGCCAGTAGGGTGCTCAGGGAAAGGCGTGAAAGCACGCCGCCCGTCGGCGCCGAGACTGCTACTCCCGGCACGGGCACGGTGAAGCGTGGGCGAGGACGGCCGCGCGGGTCAGGACGAGGAGGGTTAGCACAAGGAGACACAGAGTCAGGTCCAGGGAGAGGACGGGGACGCGGACGGCCACGGGGAAGACCACGGGGAAGACCACCGCAGCGTCCCAGTACCATAAGACTGGTGTTCAAGACGCGGGAACAGGAAGAACAGGAACGAGAGGCAAAGGAGCCTACGCCCGAGGAGAGAGTCAAGGGCGAGGGAGAGGAAGAGGCGGCGCAGGAGGAGGCCGTGGAGGAAAAGGAAGAGGAATTAGAATTGGAGAAGAACGAGGAGAAGCTGGTGCAAGAGGACGAGAGTAAGAAGGAGTGGGAACAAGAGCCGGAGCAGATGGAGGTGGAGAAGGAAAACCTAGAGGATAACGTCGACGACGAAAACGGGGAGAATAACGTCGAGAAAAGCTTGGGGGAATCCATAAACCAGGAAGAGCAGGAGGCGGTAGAGGCACCACCACCACCACCGCCCGAGTACAACAGCGAAGTAGCCTCTCCCGAACCTGAGCCTGAATTCGGAGCCGAACCTGAACCGCAGGCAGAGCCAGAGCCGGAATCGGAACCGAAATGGTTCGCGAATTTGGTGCGGCCATCACCATCTCCGTATTTTGGCCTAAACCTTGACCACGATGATGTGAAGGACAGCGCGTTCCTCACGACGTTGAAGACGCTGGTTTTCATGAACAATGTACCAAGTTTGCCGGAGGAGTGTGCTGAGGTCGTGCGAACGCAAATGGCGTTCCTGTTCATGGGCATGGCCCCAAGCGTTGAGAATCTGGACGGTCAGAAAGGTGTCGATGATGGGTGAGGCGTTGTCTATACCTCTGTTGATCAAAGTTTGCCAAAGCCTACTCACTCGAGGATGTTTGACACAGTACACAAGCCCAGCTTCAAAGCGAGATCGAGCAAAGCATCGCTTCGCACATTGCGCGACGAAAAGCATTCCGCTGTCGCCCATTACTGAAGCAACGACCGTTGTTCCGCCCAAACTCGACAACCGTAGTACCCGGGAAGTCGCTCTACTATATCGACGCTCCAGGCATCCCCGTCGGGCATAGGACCTACGAGCGCGTTGCACCCGCGCCAGACCCGCCCGACAACGAGGTCGAAATGGCGTTCGACTCCTTCCCCGGTTCGCCGGCGATCTCAAATCCACTTGAGATGATGGACATCTCACCAACCAGCACTCCCGACGCGTCCCGCAAACGCAAAAGAGCCGGTGCGGCCTCAACGTCCTCGGTATCCCCATTAACCTCCGAATTGGAATCTATCGCCACCTCTACTCCGGACGAGTCGCCCGCGCGGTTACAGCTTAAGCTTTTGAGCGAAAGCCAGAGTCCGATGCGGAAGCTTGAGCGAGTGAGCGAGACGCCAGACCCCGAAGGGAGGCGAAAAAGTGGGAGGGTTAGGCGCCGCGTTCATTACGGATATGGATATTGAACTAGGTATAGAGCATGTAGCGAGATCGTTCTTGTGTATCTAGCGGCGAGAGAGTTTCTGATGGAATTTACTGCATCGAGCGGCGTAGGAACCGGTGAAATGACCGTTTCTTTCTTGTACATACTTACGCTTTGCGTATGGCATCTCAACATTGGGACACAAATTTGGCCAGCTTGGAACGCTCCGGTTGTCATTACTGGAGACATTGTTGCAATGCCAAATGTCCGTCTGTGACTTCTCCGACACCTTCTGATTCACTCGGAATGCCTCCTGGGCACCGCCGGTAATGAGGCAGCCCAGATGTCACATACACGGCGAACGGCGAAAGGCCTACCTTGAACCTGTCAACGGTAGTGCGAAAGGGATGCGAAAGGGGAACACGTCTTGGCTCGACTCGGGAAAATAAGCTTAATCCTAACCTTCTAAAACAAGCGTCGTTGTAAACAGCAGCTTGACGCAAGGATGCGTTCCCCCACGCTCTCAAGGGCCTGCTCCGGGAAGTCCGCGATTTCGACCCTATTTTAAGATTCAACCTTGCCCAACAATACAGTAGCCTTCAAAATAGGCAAAGCACTGAAAAGCCCTGTTGTACTATGACATCACAAACAAGGGCACCTTCTAGAAGGTGTGTAAACTTAGGTCGCCGAGGAATGTTGATCCAACCCTTCAGAAGGCAAACAATGCATTCCGTCATGTGCTCTATATACCATGGATGAAAAATGACCTTCCATAAGGCCCTGAAGCTTCGGATTGGCTATTTCCCCCCCTCTGCATCGCCTTATGTGGCATAGCCTTCAACCTTCCAGACAGCACAGCTCCCGCCGTCTGGCCACGCCTGGATTTCGTACCTATGCACTTTCCGGTGGTCGGTGTTTCACCTTCCGGCTATAACGGTGCACATATGTGGTCCGCGGATTTCGAAAACTACTGAGAGGCAGGAATGGCTAGAGCGTATGTGCCAAATGTGGATATTTTGATATTGCGGAATTGTGGATTCCATTCTTTTCCTCCGTTCTTGAATATCCCCAGGGCTATAAAGACAACTGGGTGGTCAGACGACAGCCGCTCTCGTTTTCCTTTATTCGCTCTTGTGCCTCGCACATACCTGTTTGCACTTCGCTCTACCAGGCTTTCTATTCCTATACCCTTCACTGATATCTGCGTCAATCATGCATTACAATCTCCTCAAACTCGCGCTCGCCGTGGCGGCCGTGTCACCGGCCTTGGCGGCGTGGCCATACGGTCCGTTCAGCTACACCGTCCCATTCGCAAAGGGCGGAGGCTCCGCCTCGATTGCCGAGCTGCAAGCGCCTTTCATCCCCGGCAGCAAGCTCGTGTACAATGCCGCCAACAGCGGCGCCGCGGCGTGGGCCAACATGAAGAACGACCCCAAAGACGGCAGCGTCGTTACGCTTATCAACCTGCCGCACACCATGCTGCAGCCCATATACCCCGGCTTCGTCGCCAATTACACTTTTGATGATATCAAGATTGCTTATATCCATTCGTATACCCCCTTGGCTCTCATCGTCCCGTCCAACTCGACCATCCAGACCTGGGCGGATTTCGTGGATGCCTGCCGTACTGGAAACTCGAGCATGATTATTTCCGGTGCCGCGAAAGGCACGGTGTTTGATTTGGCGACGTTGAGGTTGAAGCGCTTGGCTAGACTTGATGTTGCATATGAGAGTGCAGGGGATGGTGCCAATGTGGCTATCACTGCTCTGTTGCAGGTATGTGTCGAATGTGTGAGCGGAGAGAGCGGAGGGACGCGTGACCTCACGAATCTGTGAGGAACTCCCGCTTAAGGCAGGCCTTCTTATGTTAACCCATTTCTTCTTTTCCCAACCTCGCAGGGCAAATACCGTGCTGCCTGGACAACCACTCCCGCTGTCTTCAACCGCCCGGATCTCCGCACTCTCGCCATCGCTGCCGAATTCGAGTTTCCACAAATCGACGCGCCCACCTTCAAAGAACTCGGCATCAACTATGTCGATGGTATCTATCGCGGGATGGGGCTTCCTGCTGGCACACCTGATAACGTTATGCAGGTAAATTTATTGATTAGAATACAGAGAAAATGCTCGCCACGTACAATGTATGCTGAAACTTCTCATTTATAGGACGTCGCGAACTACCTCAATGTCTTGACCCGCAACCTGACCTACATCTCAAAAGTGGCTGACTCCGGCGCTGTGCAGGTCTTCATGCCCTACGGAAGCACCACGTTGAAAGCGTTCATTGCCAATCAGCAAGAATCTATCACCAGTGATTTGTTCCCGCCAGATGCCATCTCGCGCGGTTCTTTGCATGCCATGATAGGTGAGGATTGCGATTCTATCTCTACATATAACAGCTTGTGTGCATGATGTGCTGACGAGTGGTTTCCCCATGTGCGCAACTAGCTCTCGGTGCTATCGGATTGATATTGACGGTCGGAGCGGCGGCGTTTGCTCTTATCTACCGCAACACGCCCATCATCAAAGGGTCCTCCTACTTCTTCAACAATGTGATTCTCATCGGTATCGCAACCGTCTACATCTCCATCCTCGTCAACAGCCTTCAACAGCCGCTGCCAGGCGTGTCGGCCGCGACGCTGACCAAAGTGTGTCGCGCGATGCCCTGGGTGTTGGGTCTGGGTTTTGATATCACCTTCGCCGCAATCATCGTCAAGTCTTACCGTCTTTACCGTCTGTTCCTGTTCTCGGCGTCCTCGGTAATTCAGTTTAAGGCGACAAACTGGGCGATCATGCAGTGGGTGTTTGCGATCTGCTCCGTGAATGCCCTGGTGTATCTCGTGTGGACTGTCCACGACCCCATGGTTGCCACGTTGAACAGTCTGGACGGCGACCGCACCTTCTACTACACTTGCGATGGGAAGCACACGTCTGAGTACCTGGGCGTCGTTCTGGCTATCAAGTATGTGATGTTGTCCGCTGCTGGCTACTTTTGCTTCAAGTTAAGGGACTTGAGCTCCGCTTTGAATGAGGTGAGGAAAGAGACCTGGCTTAACATCATGACCTTTCTCAGTACGCTAACGTCCGCATGTCTTTCCATTCTCTCAGAGTAAAGCCATTGCCGCAGCCACCTTCTCTACCACGTTTATCCTCACCATCTGCCTGGGAGTGTACAGCATGGTCAACAGTTTCCAAGGCCGTTTCGTCATCTACAGCGGGGGCATCTTCCTTGGGGCTACCGGCTGCCTCGTCGCGCTGTTCGCCCCCAAACTGATGGTTACGGTGTTCTCCCCGCAAACCAACACCCGCGAGCACATGCGCCGTCTCCTCCGCGGAACAGACCGTTCGACACACGCAGGGGGTTCGTCTGACGAGGCGTCTGGCGTCAAGAGCGGCAACGGGAGGAAGGCGTCGCAGGACTTGACCGGCAAACCCATGCCTCTCAGCCAGAATACCAGGAAGGCGTCGATGAGTTTAGGCATAGGCACGCAATCCCTCGCCTCACACGGGTCGGTCGGATCCATGGCCAACTTGTCCCCTCGCCTTGGTGCGGCTGCATCCGTCGTCAACGGTATCCCCACGTCGAACGCCCATATCGCGCCAGCGCCTGCCACGATCTACGTGCAGGATGGAAAGCAGTTGGCTCGAGAGCACCGCGACCGCATTGCTGGTCTCGTCCGCGTCATTAACAACACCGCTGCATCGGGACGTATCACTGAGTTCCAAGAACACATCGACAAGCTTCAGGCGTTCTCGAGCCGGTTCAAGATCCTCGCCCCCGTCAAAACGCGCACGGGGTCCATCGGCGTTCTCAATCTCGAGAAGGGTGAGAAGACCGAAAAGGATAAATTTACGGCGGGATCGCCTACGACCAAAGAGATTACCAAAACGAATGTCTTTCCCATCACTGAAGACGTGTGAGCTTATTAGTTGCATGGTAGCGGGAGGGGATCAGCAGCAATCTACATATCGATATACCCTTTGGTTAACCGGGCAGAGGTGTTTGATTTCCTTCGAATTGTACCCCAATTCCTTCATTTTTTATTGCGTAATCACTTGGATAGCCCCTGCGAGCTGTGCGTTCCTTTCAGCTGTTCTCAACGATGCGGTTTCCTCTGAAACGGGGTTAGACTTCGTTCTTTGGCATCTCCCCCTTGTACTCCTCTGGCAGACATGATACTTGCATACGGAAAAGCACGCTCGGCCAATATCGCCCGTTCACCGTCGTTACTCCCCTGGGAACTTCGACACACATTTGCCATCAATTGCACCCCTGCATCGCCGTCCTCAATCCCTGCCTTCGCCCTGACATGTCGTCCAACTGTGATCCCCATTAATCATGTTCCCGTAAACCGATTGTGATTACGCTCCCGTTACTGTTCTCTGCGATATTTCCACGTGTTTCTGTTGCTTTTTCTTGACCATCAACCTGGCCCTAACTCCGTTGGAATGATTACGGGCGCTTACCTCCGGGATTTCGTCCATCTGTGATCGCTTCATAGATTGTTTCCCTGCCCGGGATCGTGGTTTCAGCCCTCTACCACAACTTTTCCGAGGAGTTGAGTGTTACATGTGGCTTGCAAGCACCATTCGGGTACAGCGGACACCGGTTCAAAGAATTTGCTACATTGGTACCTCGGCTGCGTATCTCCCTACCGTTCGATGCTCAGAGTCATAAAGTCAAGGATAGCTTACCTAATGGTCACATTCGCCTTCCATCGGTTCCCTGTGCTTTTCAAAGTGTCTTCGTCAAGACCTCTTACCCCGCCGCGGTCTTTTCAACGTAGGATTCTTTCTCCGCAGGCACACGTAAGGTTGGAAACGCGTCACTTGAGGCAGGGAGTTCTGCGGGGAAAACGCACTTCATCGACAGCTTGCTTGCTTCGCTGGGCAACACCTGAGACTGAACTTGAAGGCGAGCACGCATGTGGATCTGGAAACGAGCGAGGAGGATCTGCAGGAGTTTAGGGGCTTCCTGACGGGGCGCCCCAAACTAGCGCAGCAGAGCATCGAGACTACCACCGGGAGAACTTAGATCAATTCAGATGCAGGCGCTAGCCAAATGCGCTGCGTTTTGACAGGGTCGGCGGGTGCTGACACATCATAGGCCGAATACGCGTTATTCTCACGTTACGTATTCCCACGCGTCGACTCGCTGCATGATATCCAATTGTCCATAGATCTAGTTTTGGGAAGGGCTTACGCGGTCTGAGCAAGGCGCATACACCAGCGGTACACTAGGTGCTTCTCGGAGGTGCTGCGACGGAAAGCAAGAAGAAGAAAAAAGCGGGAGAGATTGGTTACTAGGCATCGAGCGCGCGCTATGATGATCAGAAAGTATGTTTGGAAAGGACGTGGCGGGAGCCGCAGGTCGGCACGTTAGCCCTCTAGGCTAGGAGCGCGCCAGTTCCCAAGTTCGCGGGCAGTCCCGTTCTTATCGTCAAGATATCGTTGACACCGGCCCTCCCACCCTGGCCCCCGGTTGGAATGGCTCCTCGAGAAACGGTTGCGTGCACCATGCATAGCGACGATCGGAACACTTCACCGAGATGGGTCCGTGTGGTGGAATCTTGTATCTGACCCAAATCATCTGTACATCACCGAATCGCTTATGATTTACATAATTACAGGCTCAAGTATACGCCGCAACAAATGTAGGAGAGTTGTCTATGGTATGAAGGTTGTCTATGGAGATTTGTCTACGGGCTGTCCTTCTACGAACATCTAGTTACCCTTGCAGTTACCCTTCCCGTTTCCGTTGTTGCCCTGGCAAGATGCGTCGCCTGTTCCAGCAGGCAACGGGATGGGCGCCGGCACAATACCCTTGCACTCAACAAGGTTGGTCCATCCGTTCTTTCCCATCTTCACCATCGCCTCCGTGAAATCCCTGTTCCAGTCATCCTGACGGCCAACGTACTTGGCAAACTCTTGCTTGGTACGAGGGTCACGGGAGATGCCGACGTCGGACTGGAGACGGACCTGACCGGCAGGCGCAACGGGTGTGCTTAATGTCTCGTTATAGTAGCCAACGTCCCAGACCTCGGGGGAAGAGTCGAAGGATTTGCCGGTGGTGTCGTCGACGGGGTTGGCCGGTGGTGTTGAGAAGCGCTTGCCAGAGGTGTGCGAGCCGATGAGTGCCGCAAGATCTTTTGTGGACAGGCCTTGACGCTTGAACTTGGCAATGATGCCGTCCATGCTCTCTGCGAATGGGATTCATCAGAGGTAGAGACGTTGACATTAGCATTCTGTCAAGCGCACATTACGCCTAGAGGCATTCGTGACGAAAGAGCAAACATACCGGTGTCACCAGGTAACCGGTTAGCATCATCAGGAGTGTTCGAGTCAACTCGTCCAACCCAGAAGGGGATCTGAGCGCCTCCAGGGCAGCTCTGCGTTCCCAAAAGCCCAGCAAGGTTGATAATGTCCGCCCGGGACACTTTTCCTCCAAACTGGTCGTACACATCGCGCAGGGCTGCGAGGACATCCTTCAGGTGGTCGTTCTCCGGCATGGCTTCTTCCGAGGCGAACTTCATGATGGATCCGTTGGGACCGCCAGAGTTATCGCTTACTTGGAAGGTGCCCGCGTCGTGAAAATACAGTCTCACGGCGGCACGGCCGAGAGCGGAGCATGGCCGAGAGCCGAACTTGGCAAAGATAGCGTCCTTGACTTGGGTCCATTGCGCGACGTCGCATTTGCCGGATGAGCCAGATCCGGAGTTGCCGTTGCCATTTCCGTTACCGTTTCCGTTACCGTTTCCATTGCCGTTTCCGTTGCCGCGGGGGATGACGGTGGCAGAGGCGGATGCCGCAAGGGCGGTGAGGGCGATGAGTGAGATTTTCATTTTGCGAGTTTTGCGAGTTTTCGAGCGGAGGCGGTGGATGAAAGCGCAGGAGACCGTGAAGACACCTGTACTTTTATATTCATCCCCTCAGCCTAGCGGTCCGTCCATCTTCCACCGGCCTTCTATTTCTCCGCCTCCCACCGAATCCATACACCAAAAGTTCTCTTTCCCTCTTTCCGAAAGAGCCACAAGAGAAAAATCTATCGTCGGGATCCATCTGTTGCCTACTACTGTGGGAGAAAACAATTGAAATCAGAAAGCCCGACGATGTGCCTGTGCGAAGTACAACGAGCTACTTCCGTGGAAAGGTGGAGACCGCCGATCGCGTAGGAAGAAATTTGGAAAATTCTACCACAAAAAAGCTCAGAAAGTTTGAAATTAGATTACCATCAATTTCCGGTGGTCCCGAGAACCAGAAACTCACAAACTTAGCAGACTTGCAGAGAAAATACCTTGTCCGCGGCGCACGCTGCCGGGCAGTGGGCACCATGAGGCTTGACTCTTGAGCAGGTTGTGAAAACTTGAGTGCGTTGTGACTTGCGCAGTCAACGACTTGGACAATGGAGACCGCCGCGGCCTCCGATCGGACCGATGGTTTTGAGTCCCGGGCGACGGTAATTAGTCGATTTACCTGCCTCGAACAGATCTGCGTATGTCGATCCTGGGTTGTGTAACTTGTGTTGCCAACTAACAGTGACGGTCGTTTGGGAAACTCCGCCGGCCAATTCGTGACAGCGTGTGGGAGCCAACGCTCTCATAACACTTATGAGCTTCCAATCTAGAGGCTGGATGTAGACCTGGAGAAGTGGATGAAGCCCTTCTGAAATTTTGTCGAATCGGGGATTCTTGGCGATTGATGAAAGTTTTTCCGGCAGCAAATTCCATAGAACTCACGCCATAGTCATACAAGGCAGAATAGACGGTCACCCAGCAAGGCCGTCCGCCTCACAGCGAGCGTGATTCGAGCTCATCGGCCTCAAGATTTGCCTTAGTCACGGTTGTTCATATACACCTACTACGTAGCTCTCGTGGAAACAAGGTCTGTCTCGATACCTGTAAGCGGACACCGCGCAAAAGAAGCCACTTTGTGGAAAGTCTACAGCCTGCTATTCGCAGTATCTGCTTAACTCATAGGCGGCCACCCTTCCGAATGGGGAGACGCCACGAGATGAACGTTGGTAAAGTCTGCACGGCTCGCTGCCCATTGGTGACCGCATACATCGATATCCGTGCAGCCTTACGCATAGGATGGATGTACGGCTGGCGAATAGGTGATGTTCCCTATGCAAGCATCGCTCTACGCGTGTGGCATTATTAAGCAGCGTACGCAAGCAGAACACACGGGAGTTGCGCATGCAGTCCGGGTCAAGAATGGTTCTATTCGTCAAGATACTCAGAAAGCTGATGTTCGATCGCCTGCCTCCAAGAGCTCATGATACGGGGATGATACGGGGATGCTTCCGACTCTTATTTAATAAGTACCAGATGTGGAGCCGGTAACGTTGCTCTACGCCTCCACCCATCACGTATGGAAGTTCGCGAAGGCTACGTCGTTTGTTAACTTGTGTACCAGGCCCTCAAAACTCCATTCCCGCAGGCGGTATGATGCGCCTTTTCAATCCAAACCCCATTATGATGGTGAAGCCGCCCTGCCACACACCACCCACAGCCAAAACTACACCTAATCCTCTTTTCACCTTTCATTTATCCCACCACCCATTATTCTCCCTTGCCCCACGTCCATTGCGGCTCGTCACAGGGCCGTCATCTGCCCCGCTGGCAGTTACAGCCGCCGATTTTCCAGGAGCCGATGTCAGCTCTGATGTCGTTTTGGGTTTCGCTTTCTTCACAACCCGCAGTTGCACAACCCCGCCCACGACGCGAGTCTCAACGCCGTCCGGCGCAACATGCTTTGTGAGGGCCGCCATGTAGCGTGCATGTGACGCTGTGTTGATCGTCGTCGGTGAGGAATCCGGATCATGCGCGGAGGATGTCTGAGATGCAGATGAAGATGATGCGGATATCGGCGCAATATAACGCGACAGGTCGCGGTCTGGGAAAGTGAAGTACGCCTTGCTGATAATTTGCAGTACACGGTCGCCCAGATGTGGTTGGAGACGCTGCGTAGAAGAGTATTTGCATGAGCTGGAGTTCCCTCACCATAGAGATGAGATCGAGAAGTCAAATGCGACCGAACTCAACCGCGCAACCGCACAGTCCCACAGAGATACAGCAAAGGAGAAAACGAACCTCCAGAAACACCAACTCCCCCCAACTCGCACGTTCCCAATAGCCCGCCAACGCGACATAATCCACATCCGCTCTAACAGCTCTCGCAACGCCCATCGCAAACAGAACGCGCGGGTGGGATTGGAGGGGTGCAGGCGTTTTGCGATACGTTTGGAGGAGGTCGCGCGCGGGTGAGGTTGATGATTTGGGAGCGGTAGAGGAGGCGGCTGGAGGGTGCAAGGGACGGATGCCCGAAGCGTAGCAGCAGAGATAGAGGAGCATGAAGGATGTGAATTCTGCTCGGCGAGGGCTGAATGTTTGTGCGTCCTGCGGTACCACAAGTACGTTTAGGACTGCGTCGTGAAGAGGGATACGTAACGGAGAGGCAAACATACCCGCCCATCCAACACATCGTACATCCGGCCAACCAGCGCCGCCAGCGCTTTGAGCATTTCTGCAAAATTGCGGGCGCGCAAGCTCACGTCAACGGATAGTTCGTAGACATCACGCATAAATGTGTCGGTTGCGTCGCTGGCCGTCAGGGCTTCCCGTAACTTGCCTATTACATCAGTTACATCCGTGAGCTCGAGAAAACGCAGTCCCATGCACGATGGAGAGGAGGTACATACGCAGCTTAGCTACTAGCGAATCAAAGTGGTTGGCTTTACGCTCGGAGGGTGGGACTTCACAAAGCCTCTTATACTGCATCAGGATCAATGGTTAGTGCACATATCCCATAATGCGACCCAAGAGACCCCTGGCACACGAGATTCTTATGTCTTCTGGGCCATACCAACCTGCCTCACCCAGCGAGCCAGTCCCTAGCAATGGAACGCACCTGCTCGAGAACGTAAGCGTAGAATGATTCTTGTACAGACCGCGTCTTCGCCCTGTTCATGAAAAGAACGGCGGGAATCTCAGCAAGATTGTCATGCCCTGTCGTTTCCTGAGCTCCATAGCTCGGCATCCAATCCTCCACAGTCTCTGTCCCTTTCCAGTAGGCCTCCATGACGGCTGAGTGAACCTCGCGCGAAGTTCAAACTCTGACACTGCTGTTCGTTTTGCCCACTCCTTGTACATGACATTGACCAGGCTTCTGTTCTACACACTCCTCGCTCCTCCTCGATGTCCCAAATCCACACTCGCCCACCCACGACCACTCCTGGGGTGCCCAGCGAACGGAAGATGAAACCCACCTTTCCACATCATCCCGTCCCCCCACTTCATTCATCCGACTCATCAATGGCAGGGCATCGAACTCATGCTGTACGTTCCGTAATGCCGGCGCTGGCCGGAGTCTATCCGGACCTCTCGCCACATGAGAGTCGCTCGTCGATGCAGGTGGTGGTGTTGACCACGATGGCGCTGGTAAGCCCGTCGCGGTTGAGTCGTTACCCCATGCGGGCCGGGACTGATTACCCCACGACGAGCTGTTGCCTCTCGTTGTAGCCCCGCCTCGAGTCCACGGTCTGCTTCGGCCTCGTCCGCCGCGGGTCCATGGCTGGGCTGGTTGCTGTTGTTCGTTCGGCGGTTGCGGTGGTGGCGGAGTTGAATCATCTGAGTGGTTTCGCTGACTGTATGCGGCTCTGTCGGCACCGCGCCGCTGGCTCATCTCCTTCAAGGTGCTTGTATTGTTTCCACTTCTTCGCTGTTCTCCTCCCGGGAATAAGGGCTAGTCTGCTTGCTCTGTTGCTCAGTCCAGGGAAACCGTGAAATGCCAGAATCCCACGCACACGCGTATGTATGGAGCATGGACTTGCTCGATCGTCGACTATAGGACTGAACCCTAGAGGACCCTGGACCAAACGTGCCTTCAAGCGCCGAGGGTAATGATTGAGTGAGGCAAAATTTTTCGAACGTGCTATGTACAGGAAATGAAACAAAATCGTGCTGTGGTCTACAATACCCTCCTCTATCAACACCTAACCTAACCCTGACCAGGCTACTAATATTTCAGGAAGAGGTGACAACAGCCTCCGAGGCTGTTGGAACTGCCTGTACAGCAGCCGCTGCAGTACGCCGTCCCGCCGGTCTCGGTTTCCTCTCCTTCGCCGGCCCTCCATGGTTAGGCGTCCAGGGACCTAACGAGTCCTTCGCATAGAAATCCATCGGGTATGCTTCCCGCCAAGCCGTGTTGCTCAGCACAACAGCCGCCTCGTAAGGAGTCAGAAGCGGCTTCTCGAATGCGTACCCCCAGTCTATTGATAGCCGCGGGCAGGCGACTTGGATCCAGGCGTCGATGGAGGCGAATTGGGCGAGTTTGGACGGGAAAATTTCGGTTAGGAGGACTGTCGTATAGCTCAGATTGCGGGATGTGAGCTCTGCTTTCAGGTACTGCAAATAAACGATGGTGAGTCTCACGCGCAATGCAACTCCCACCGTACAGCAAAGTGGTTACCTCTAAAACTTTCGGGCTGCCTTGTCTTCCAAGGGTGCCCATGATGAGTCCAAAGTGCTTGGCGTTCTGCGCCTGCTCCACCGCATGCTTTCGCAAAGCGTGCATCTCCTCGTGCTCGTACCGCTCGCGAGTAAACACTTTAGAGTATGGGTCGTAGCGATATGCCGGCAAGGTCGGATTAGCAATCATAATGGCTTCCAGGTGAAAACGGCCGTCGCCCAGATATCTGAGAAGAAATGATGAGCGATGGATCTGGAAAGTCCTTCTCCTACGCGCACCCAACTTACATTAGGACGTCATGCCCTTCCAGGCGCGGAGCCGTGCAACCCAAGATTTCTCCCGGTGACAGAGGCTTCGACTGAGGCACGAACACACCATAATCCTGCTCTAGCTCTCGCTTCGCGCTCTGTAACGATGACAAGAACTGCACCGTCGCCACCACCACAAGCTTCGTTCCCGCATCGAAATTGTGTCGTACGGTCTCTACAAAGTGTGTCGTATCGATGCCGATATCCACAAAGACATACATTGTCTTGATAGGTGTAACATCAACAGGAACCAGACAACTGTGTCCGTAGTGTACCATGAAGTCACATCCGAGCGCCCGAGCAGTGAAATCGTCGACACAACATGCACCATAAGTCACGTCTCCCATGACAACCGTCTCCACCTGGGCGAAGCGTTGCAGGATATCCGATATGGCGAGTGAGAACATGAGCAGCCCTTCAGGGAACTGCAAAGCGACGTTCTTCGCTCCCTGTTTGGATATCTGCCATATCGTTTTGTGGATTTCAAAGTTGTAATTCGACGGAAGCTGTGCTATGGCTTTGTTGAGCGCTTCGTCGTTTAAGATGCTATCGGGTATCTGGTTCGCTATTCGCGGTCCAAGTTTGGCGCTGGGAGAGGCCGCTATAAACCAAGTGAACTTTGAACGTCAGTACGAGTGTACCATGCCATCGAAACATGCAGCCAAAGACACCAAACTCTCCAACCTGGTACAAGAGCATCCTCGATATTGCCTGAGATATTTGAGGCTGTTGAGGCTCCGGTTTTGCGGCCAGTTCCGACAAACCGCTTTCTCGCTTGTGCAGCCCTCGCTGTAGTGGTTTTCTCCGGCGCAGCGACGTTTCCTTGGACCACATCAGTTACGGGAAGTTGACGTGGCTGCCCTTCCTCAGTAGCAGCGGTAGAAGGACCCATTGCAAGTGACGAACGTAGTACTATAGAAACGTTGTGTTGAACCTTCCAATTGCCCAGTTCGCAGTTGTGGTTTGGTTTCTTCACAATTGTTATGACTTGTGAACCAAGAGAACGCGTAAAGTGAGTTTATTTCAGGTAAGGAATTCGATCACATGACCAACATAACAATTCGTTCGGGTCGCGCAAACGTAAGCAGCAGCTGAATTTCAACTCCGACCGACCGCGTTTGTTCGGTTTCTCCCATCGCCAACCCTCTCGCTCCGGCTATTAAAAGAGTGGTCCTCTCCCGTCCTCTCAACTTTTTTCCTCTATCGAATTTCTCTTCAGCTCCTCCAAGCAAGGCAAGGCGGCGTTAAATGGCCTTCCCGGCGTTGATGGCCATTATACGGCACCACTCACTTTCTATTCCCCATTTCTCACCCACGATATGTCGCCGTCACAAGAGTTTCATTCCTGGCCGGAATCTGCACGGGAAATGGAGCATAATAGTATCCAGGTTGCTGTCCGACCTTCCAGCTGCTCATGTTTTGCATGTAAAGCTTCAGCTCCGGGAAGTGGACTCGATCTCCTTGAAAGCGCCCGCATTCGAAAGGTATGCTGTACAAGCACGGATCATCAAGTTGCACTTGTATTGGCGGGGACAAGTGGAAACAGGATGTCGCCAGTCAGTTCCTTAGATGGGTGTCAGCATATCACACAATCTGCGGTAATCAAACCAGATGTGTAAACGCCGTAGGTCTTTATCAGGGCTCCTGCTTGTCGAGCAAAGAACATCGAAGGCAAATTTGGGACCTCCGAGGGCTCGCTTGCCACAAGAAACATGTTCATGAAGGAGGATGCGCGTACAAAATCAGCTTGCTTGCAGACTAATCTACAGATAAGCTTCAACGTTGCATAGTATAGACATTCTCCGCGTGGAATGGCTCCCACCGCCTCGGTCAACCCATCCACTACACTACTTGAGAATGGTGCGAGACACAGCCGGGAGATGAAACCGAACCAGCAACGAGACGGCAGAGGGTAAGCTCCGCTGACCGTGAAGTACTCATAGTGTGTGGTGATTCTGTGATTGGGATAATTCCATGCTCAACATACAAAAACACAGAAGGTATACCCAACCGTCTTTTTTGCGTTCTTGGAGTTGGGAACGGGCCCACCTGTCACTTCAAAGAGCTGGACGTCGGCCCCAAGTCCTCCAAGATGGGGAGTCCATTAGCCAGCTCGAAGGAAATCCCAGCGGCACTAGATAATGTCGTCTGGGTCCACTTCCGTCTAGGCAAAGGTCGTCGTTGGTGCCCTTGTCCTTACAATACCTGAGCGAACAGATGATTCCCAAGTTCTTCCCCGGACTCAGACCGGGAAGTTTCCGCATATCCATACCACAAGCATCCCGGTTTGCGTTACCGCGGGCATGGGTAAACCTCCTGCGCAGAATTAGAACGACAATTTGTTGCTCGTTTTAATCCGGCTGGTTGGCGAGATGCCAGCACGCATATTCTCGAAGAATCCAGGGCAAATCTGCAAGGGTCATAGCGGTCTTCGCACTGCTACCTTTCCATTGATCACAATAGCGTCCGCGCCACTTCTCGGCCTTCTGACATGCCAGCCGTATACATACAGCTCTTCGTCTCTGAGGGTACACCTTCCAAAACATTCCTAAAAATTGCGGCTGAACTGCTGGCTGGCAGCGTCGACGGTCTTCTGAACTGGGAGGATCGTCCATGTACTGCCGCTTCAGGCCACCTCCGATATATATGACCCTGGAGCATACGCAAAGGGAGACGGGCAATTATGACCGGGATAGTGGTGGACGTTGCCCAGGGTTCCCGAAGTTGGGCGCATGGTCCCGGCCGATGCGCGAGTTGACTCGCTTCCGACAGCAATTCCATTAGTGGCGGAGGTCCTCCCAAAATGCTCCTCAGCTCCTTCTCCATATCTGCTGACGCCAAGGTCCCAGCTCGAGTGAAAATCTAACTCAAAGTAGCCCGATTCGGTAAGGAATCGTATATCCTCATACACATTCCGACATCATCTTCAAGTGGCAACTTGATAATCGACCATTTTCGCCACTCGGGAACTGCCAGTGAGACCTCCACAGTTCAGAGGCAGCGTGTGCTCCGAGCCCAAGGAAATACCGTTTTCCTTTCAGACCTTGGCATCATAAACGCGTCCCTTCGTTTTTGCGATATCGTTGTTACCAATGGCGTGCTCTTTCAATTTCAGAGACAGGCGCGAGAGCTCCGACTGGTCCACTTTCTCAGACATGACTCCATAACAAGTAGGGCGAAAAAGCGCCGCCCTCTCCTGCCACCATGTCTCCACTCCCATCTACATCTCACCCCGTTACGACTCCCCAGCCAAAACCAGCGGAGTCTTCCGCGCGACCGAGACCCATACCCGAATCTGGGTTAGTTCGAAGTCGCAACGCATCCACGACCTGTCCTGAAGTGCAGCGTATGGGTGACAAGAAGGCGTCAACAATCAGATCACGCAGATCTCTCGAGAAGTCGCGTGTGCCTTTTCAGTTCCTTGGTTCTGTCCTAAATCATCTGAACGAGAGACTTCATCACTTGGGAGTTCCGTTTGCGCTTTCCGTCTCTGCTTCGAATGCCGTCCGTGCAGTCAGGAAAAATTCGATAATACTGTCCTCAATGTTCATCCTTATGCCGCTTGCTCAGCCCAACGCGCTAATGCGACCAGGTCTTCTAACAAGGAGCAGCTTAACAGGTAGCTGCCGTACTTGCGGGAAGAAAGGCAAGGTTGATTCGCGAATGTATCAAGAAGTTCGATGAGAAAGCTCACCCCACCAACGTCCGCGACCGGAGATCATGGCCCGCCAGATTTGGGAAATCAGCTTCCGTTGCAGTTGCAGTGGGCCCTAGGGTCACGGCGTCGACAACATCGACACCGTATCAGGAGTCCGAGACCCTGATCGATAAGCCATGTGCTGTAGATATAGCCCTCCCACCACCTTGCTTCCTCCGCCTTGCGACAGCCTCTCCACGTGAAGTCCGCTTCGGAGAGCACACTTTCTGGACATCCCAGACGCAGAAGTGACACCGCAAACATTCGAAGGTGTCCATATTTCACGCGGGCGATGGACTAACACCCGTCCTCCTCAGATACTGAGCAGAGCGGCGAACGACGGGTCTGGTGAGTTCTTTCCCTCTCGATTTGGAGGCAAGCATCTCCTACGCTACTTGACTTTTTCGTACTCGCGGCTTCCTCCAGTCCCACTCTCCGGGACCGCTGTTAGGCACTATAGAATCGTTTGGCATTCCGAATACAGTCGATCAAAGACATTGTATCGAAAACCGGAGGCCAAAGCCCGTCAACAACCGCTGTTCGTTTGGAATCTGTTTGCCCGCAGGCAACCCCCTCGTCCGTGTGAGTGTGCGACAAGAGGATCTGCCGGTCTCCCCCGCCGGTCTCAACCGTCGCTGCACAACGTCGGCCATATACCGGGGCAGGCCATACAGCTTCCCACTGCGTCGTGGCGTCGAAACCTGTCCGCTACCTCCAACTCCCAACCTTCGGCATATCCTGTATATATGTCGTTCTCGCCGCGAGCTTGTGTTCTTCTGATGAGCCTGTTCCTGGGGCGTGGAAGTTGTGGAGACGTGGGAAAGCGCAGATGTGACCTTGTCGTGTTTTGGCCTGTTCCTCCCAGTGTTCCTCCCAGGCTCCCAGCGTCTCGCACTCCTTCCATTGCGTTCGTCCTGCTCTCATGGCCGCAAACAACAATACAAACTTGGACTTCGTATGTATCTCCACCCTTATCCCAGCACTCCTGATCTCTAAGTCCCTTCCCTTCCACGCCGTTCAAGGCTTGTCGCTTTCACACGCTAACGATTCTTCGGCGTTGAAACCCAGTTTGCCCTTTTGCACGCCGTCCAGTTAGCTCAACAGCAGCAGGCTTCGCCTTCGCCTTCTCAGCAGCCGGCGACAGCTATACAAATAGCGAATCAGGTTCACTCTGCAGCTCCGGCATCTCAACCACCTCTGCTTCCGTTTTCACCTTCCACTCCGCAAAATGCTCCGGCACTGGGACGCCCGACCACGCCCCTCGGTTCCCCGCAGCTCTACAAACATCTGGATGTCGATAGCATGACCTCGGAAGAACGCAGGCTGCTGATCTCGCAGCTTGCCCCGGGATCAGGTTTGGGCTCCGGTCCCAACTCCACTTTCAGCGCATTTGGGAGCGTGTCATCACCGTTATCGACAAGTATGCCTACGACCCTGACAGGAACGTCACTGTCCTTCACTTCGAGTATTCCCATGCTCCCGCAGATCCCCGCGAGTTCTAGTGCGTCGTCCTTTCCGCCTTCATATTTCTCATTCCCGGCCACGTCTATACCGAATGCGTCGGCACCACAGGGTCTCACCACCACCACGGCTCCAGCGGACTGGCCAATACCACAGTTCCACCCAGGCAGCATACCGCTCGTGTACAACAACCCGTACGGCATGCAACCCTTCTCCCAAGCGCACATCCAGGCCCTCGCGCAGGCGCAGGCGGGGATGTTACTGCAGCAGCAGACCAAAGCAAACATCAAAGATACCCCGACTCTCAACCGAGTTCGCACAGCCTTCACTTCTGGGAGTGGGAGTGGGAGTGGGATTGGAACCCCGTCGAGAGGCATACATACCCCGCCGACATCTCAGCTGCCGCGGTCCGCAATACCCGGATCGTCGACATCATCGTCTTCGGCGCAGAAACGGCCGGGACAGAGTTTGAGCGCGGCGTCGTCGAAGCGGTACCGGGCGCGCGCGAAAGCTGCGTCAGTTGGTAAGTATTCTGGAAATCATCGCTTATTTTACTATTAGATCTTCCCCTCATGTTGACATTCCCCTATCTAGCCCCAGCACCCTTCGTCCCCGTCCTAACCCCACAACAGCAAGAGCACATCAGCACCATCAAGCACCGGTACGTCATAGCACTATCTCATCCCCAACACCCCTTTGTCTCAATCAACTTACACGCATCTCCCCATCATCACGCAGCATGCACGAAGCCCTCCACGCCGACCAAACAGCGGTCCTCAAACCCAACCAAACGCCATTCACGTCCCGCGAAGACGCCATCAAGCGACTGTTGCCCTACCATGTATACTACGTACCTAAGGATGAGGCCAGGGCGTTGACGGATGCTGAGGCGGGTGGTATGTACTGGGCCGGAGCGCAAGTGGTTGTCGGAATTTGGATGTATTACTCATGGGCTTCTTTGGGATCGTATAGTTCCTAGTGCAGAGGACTTGGTCGCGCGAGCAACACAGCTGGTACACGAATTCAACCAGTGGGCGCTTGTTGAGCCGGTACGTTTCCGTTTAACCCCAGACCTCTCTTTTCTACGTATGATTTTGACCTGTTATCGCTTGCAGCCCCCACCATCACGATACACACTACTTGCGGAGCAACTGGTGGAGGAAGACGGGACGGGGTTCAGTAGTTTTGTGGGCACGGATGAGGTGGATATCGTAGATTCGGCCTGATGTGTCGGTGTAAGGGCAGAGGGAGCGAGGGTGGGATGCAGAAAGACCACATCCAGTTCGATCTTCGACGGAGCTCTCGAGTTGGCGCTTACACGTCAAGTCGAAGTCGACATTCCATAGCCCGACACCGACAACACGTGGCTGTTTGTAAATATTTGATTGCGAAATGACATATCAGGATATGGGTATAGGTATTAGAACAGAAGGAGGGCGGCTGCTTTTACCATGCCGTGTCCATCGTGCCAGACCCATTCCTCTGGGAGTACGAAAAGGCCTATATGTGTCGCTTTTCCTATCCTACTCTGCTCCCAAAGACCCGCAGACTACACAAGGGCAACCCCCAATGATCAACTCATTCTCACCGACGACGCACCCCCGGCGACCTCTCCTGCCTCCTCTCCCGCCTCGAGGGCGACCGCGATCTAGACCGGGACCTGTCCCTCCTGCCCTTACCGGTCGAGTACCGTGACGGTGGCGACCTAGAAGACCGACGACGCCGATCACGTCGCTCCATTGACCTCGACCGTGATTGGGACGGGGATCGATGACGCCCCGACGACTGGTAACGGTCATCACGTGGGGCGGTTCGCTGCCGGTTGCGGCGTCGATCGGTACGGTCTCGCGAGCGGGAGCGGGAGAGTGAGCGGGTGGTGCGTTTGTGCTTTGACTCACGACCGTAGTCCGAGCGGGATCCCCTGCGCTCTGGGGTTGAAGATCTGTCCCGATGACGGCTGGATTTGGTGGGTCTATCCCGCTGGGGAGTTTCGCTTCTTCTATGCTCCCTATACCGCAGTTCGCGCTTTCCTTCTGATCTGGTGGGTGACCGGGATGGTGGGCGGGCCTTGCGAGGTGGGGAGGGACATGGGTCGTGACTGGCGCTGAATATGAAGATCGTCAGTCGACAGGCACGATGAGAATCAGAATCGAACAACGGCTCTCCCCATCAATGCGACTCACCTTTGACTGGCCCCCGCAATTGAATCCTGCATCCCGCGCTGGAAAAGATTTTGTTCTGCAACTTTGCGCTCCTGTATCCGTTCATCCGCTGCGACTGTTTAACAAAACGTCGCAAAGCGTCACGAAGGAGGAGCCAAATGGGAATGAAGAACCGAGAACGCACAATTTAGCGCATAGATCACTATAGGCGTAGCCGACAGCGGCAAGACATCCAAAGCCCCACTCTCGCAAACATCAAATACTCAGGCGAACGATGATCTGACTTTGTTTTTCCAGAGCTTGCTGCGCTTTCGCTTTTAGCTTTTGCATCATTGTCATTTTCGCTGGTGGTGCTGGGGTGGTGGTTTGTGGGCGGGAGGGTCCTGCTGGATTGGGGGATCTGCCGTGTATAACATTCTTTTAGCTGCTGCTAATTATGCGCGATGCAAATTCATCGTTCCTCACCTCTCTGCGTGTTCCTCGTGGGCGTATACTTCTTCGGAATGATCATAGCCTTTGCCTGGTCTGGACGAATCAGAGGAAGGTTCGATCGCAAACTCCGTGATGAATTCCATGGCATCCGGGCCAGCCTCCTCGGCTCCGGCTTGGTTCGCAATGCCTTGGTTTCGGCCTGCCGGCGACAAACTCCTGCAAAATACAACCCACTGTGAGACTCTCTGCACCCGTCATCAACAGCCCAAAGTGACGTACGGTACCTAGCATACGGTGCGTACGACGGACTAGCACGCCGAGACCGCGGCGGCGATGCGTTGGACTGATGTTTGAAACCCTTCCTTCCTCTCGCAGAGGTTCCACCTTCACTCACAACGGATATTTGAAGACTATCATAAAAGTCTGTAATGCCGTACGTTTTCCCTAAAGCGTTCAAGGAGGCGATACTGTCCTCATCATCAAGCTCAAGGCTCGCGCCAGGCTTAGGAGGAGGAAGACGCGTTTCGGCGGGGGGCTCCTCGTCCAAACTGTCATCGTCCTCCTCCTCTTCATTTGGCTTCGCGATGGATGTGCCCGCGTAGGTGAATCCTATAGCTGCTTTCTCGGTCTTTGCGGGGCTGCATTCGAACCTGACTGTGAGTGAGAGGCTGGAATACGCGGGCTTCGAGTGATGTGCGACATACCCTTGTTGAGATGTCGATCCGTCCCCACCGTTCCTCCGCACTAGCAGCTCATTCCAGTTGTCATCGATACTTTTCAGTAACTCTTCCTCCGATTCTGGACACATCCATCAGTACACAATGGACTTTCCCATCTCTCAGCGTTCGCCCTAGAAGGAACGTACTTCCTAAATGCTCGTTCTCCAACAAATCCCTGTAGCATTCGAAGTTCAACTCATCGTCTTCTCCATCCCCTTCGCTGTTGTCGTCATTCGGGCGGTTTGTAGGGATGAAATCGAGCAGCTGGCGGCAGTCAAATCTGCATTTGGCAGGGTATATTGATGGAGTCAGGACCTAATATCAAGACGTCGGGAATCTCAAAGAGCGACGCGTGCATTGTCCAACTCTTTTCGCTGTATCAGATGCATCGATTCGACCTGTCGATTGTAGTCTCCCCATCGCCCTGCCACTTTGACCTGAAGCACGATAGAAACTTAGCTTCCTGACATCATGGACCTGGAAACCTCATGGCTCGCAAACTTACAGATTCGACTCGTTCTCGTTGTAATAGAACTGTTGAGCGTCAGGGAAAGTTTGACCTGGTGATCATCCACATAACGCGTCAGAAAAAACTTGCAAGGTTCGGAGGACAACAGCCGGGAACTCACATTGCGTGCCGGTGATACGTAAGAGGTGAGCGGGATCTGCTAGTTTGGACTGGGAGCCATAGAGTCGAGAACTTTCAGTCGCTGCGTCAAGAGAAAACATATCGGGTTTTCCTGAACTCCACCTTGTAGTAGATTGCACGCCGCTGAGCTCTAGCTTTGTAGTCAACCAATTTCGCGTTGAGCAGCTTCTCCTGCTTCCTCTAATCAAAGTTGACGTTGTGTATCAGTACGAAGTTTGTGCATCTCCAAATTCGATCGTGGGAAAATGCGCTATTCTCACCGCTTCATGCCACATTTTTCAGACACTGGAAGCAAGACAAAGGAGAACACGGTAAGAGAAGACAAGAACCCTGACGGTAAGCTGTAAGCACAGAGAGCCGGAGACCCACCTGCACTTCAACGGATGGTCGACTATGTTTCTTCACGCCTTCTAGGTTTCTTCACAAGTGGCAAGTTGATGAACTTGTAGGCGTTGCGTCGACTGTGCCACCCCTGCAGCCTCACGCGTTTGCCCTTTTGCCCGACTTTGACTTTCTTGTTCCCAGTTCGAGCAAGTCCTTCAAGTTTACATTCCGGCTACCCATCCCCCGCCGGTTTCTCGGCGTTAAAGTGAGTTTGACTTCAGGGTGGACTCTTTCACAGACGGGTCCAGTCGACCGGTCCCCTCCGACATAACCGCGGAGAAGGGCTCAGCCCCACAAACAGCTTCGGCGCTTATTTCGCCTGAATAGGACCGGCGTCGCTTTGTTCGGGCTGCTAACCTGCTGAGGGCATTGCCATACAACAGTAAGCTCTGAAGCTTCACAGGGAGGAGGACTCAGGACTGTCAGCCGCGAGATTACTGTACTCGCTGTTAAATACGATAATTGCACACCGTCGAAGACGCATCGCGGTCGAGAGACACATCTGCCAGGATGACGGCGACCCTATCCCGGTCTTTTTCGAAGGACTTCCGCGAGTTCGGCATCACAGATGTTTCCGACAGAGCGGCCATCATTGAGAAACTTGTAAATCAGGAGTGGGAAATGAAGGACCTTCGGGAACAGCTTCACGCCTCAGAGTCTGAACGAGCAAAACTCGTTAGCGTGAACAAAATACTTCGCGAGCATATGAGCATGCACAACCATCTGCAGGAGCAGCTTAGGAACGCGCTGAAGACTTACGATGAGATTTCCGCAAAGGTGACGGACCACGTCAAGCTCGCCGAGAGGCTCCACGGCCTCGTCGGTGAACCTGTCTCGCGAGCCAAATCATTCTCCGTCTCCGGGACCGGGAACCAGTATTCTCCGTTTCCCGAGGGATCCGTCTCTTCACCGCTTCCACGAGGGGGGCCGTCTGGAGGTGGCACAAGCGAAAAGGGTTTCGTTGCCGCACTGAAACAGGAAGAGGCTTCCTGGTTTCCCACATCGCCCGTCGTTGGGAAATCCAGACGTGGGTCAGGAAACAATATTGCGGTGGCACGCAGCCCTTTCGCGGCCGACGACGCCATCGCCCTTCTGAAGATGTTTTCGCTGTTCGCAGAGTTTCCTGATGAGGTCCTGAACAGATTGGCTATGATTTCTTATGAGGTGGGTTGCGAAGAGGGACCCGAACGGTGGCGACGAGTCCGGCATCATTGTGGGTACAACCTACTGGGCGGGAAACGAGGAGGAAAGTCATGGCATGACAGGACCTGGCCATCTGCAGATGGGGCTCGCTGACTTCAACGAGGGGCGAGTACATCTAAGGCTCAACTAGAGATGTCCATGTTATTGAGGCCACCCGGGCGGGAGATTGTCTATTCAGCCGTTGGGGTTCCAGCATGGAAAGCGATGCATTATGCTCTCGAAACCACTGGCGTTGACCATTAGTCTCCTTGCAGATGTTCAGGACAGCAGGACAGCAGATTATAACCAAGGGAGAGATGGGCGCGGAGATTTATTTCTTGGCAAAAGGCGATGTCCATGTAATGGCCGCGGTTGTGGAAGGGGAAGCCGAAGAACCATTAGCGACTCTAAGCGACAGATCTTTCTTCGGGGAGCTGGGCGTCTGTGAGTACCTCTTTCATGCCCTGCAATTGTTAAGATAGCTCCAACTGACCGCGGTCTGGACTCTCCTCGCCAGTGTTTGACAAACCACGAACGGCCAACGTCCGCGCATCGACCGATTGCCATATCGTGGTCGTCACCAAGCAAAAGATCCACGACACGTTGCAATCGTATCCGGATCTTAAACAGCGCGTGGAAATGTTCGCTCATGACCGCGAGAAGTGGTGGTCTACCCGCGAATACAAGGCCGCATTTGGAATGGAGTTTATTGCCAATATCGCAAGGCAGGATATTACCAAGGTGAGAATCACAGCCTTCACTTGACTGGGAGGTCCTTCGCGCGTGTTACTGATACCCTCATCCCGCAGCTCCCTATCTTCGCAGAAGCCCCCGACGTCTTCCTGGAGAAACTAGCCCAACGGTGCACATCAGAGACCTTCGCACCCTCCAGCACCATCGTCCAGATTGGTGACGACTCCGACAGCATCTTCTTTGTCATCCGCGGGTCCGCCCTCGTCATCTCCGCCGAAAAAGTGGTGCACGCGGAGCTCGGCCCCGGCGCCTTCTTTGGCGAGCTGGGCATCATCCTCAACATCAACCGCACGGCTAGTATCGTGGCGAAGGAGGAGTGCTTTGCTCTGAAATTGACGAAGGAAAGCTTGATCGAGGTGCAGGAGGCGTATCCGGCGATCAAGGCGAAGATTCAGGACGCTGTCAATGAGCGGTTTGCGTTGTATCAGGAACGGTGCAAGCAGGTTGATAAGGCGCCTGAGCAGTTTGATGTTGAGGTTAGCAAGCAGCAATTGAAGAAGGTGCGTGGCGGATGGGAAACAGGGTGTGAGTTGTGGACTCCCAGTCCTGACGTTTTGTTTTCACCTAGCTTGGCATATTCCGCAACGTCGATGACATGATCATTGGCGAGCTTGCGCACTTGATGAAGCAGCAATCGTGGAAAAAGGGCGACAAGATCATAGAGTGTGGACAAAAGGCCGACAGGTATGCAGATCATGCGGAATGGCGCATGTCCAATTCTCTTCCTTGCCCAAGAAACATGAAATTCTTACACCATTTCCCATTTCCTTCCCCACCTTCACGCCCTTGCAGCATGTTCTTCCTAACCTCCGGCGAAATCGACGTCCTCTCCGAATTCGGCGAACAGATCGACCGCGCCTCCGGGCCCGACGCCTGGTTCGGCGAAGTCGCGCTCCTGCAAGACGTGCCCCGCACCGCGACCATCCGCGCCCGCTCCGAATGCTCCACGTTCATGTTCCGCAAGGACGATTTCATGGCCTTGTTGAAGAAGAACCCGGTCATTGCGGAACGGATCGAGGAGACGGCTAGGGATCGGTTGCAGGCGCATTTGATGAGGAATATTTTGGCTTGAGGGAGAACAGGGACGGGAGGGCTTCAGTGGACGATGGCACTTCCACTTCCATCTTTTTCTTTTTTTGGGACCATCTTTCATTCTTCGTTTTTGGACATAGTAGGGTTCTCTACGCAATAGTATTGCTGCATCCTTTTCCGAAAGCCCCATTCCGAGTCTTGGGTGAAGTCTCTGCTCCGACTGTTTTCGTGCAGGCTGCCATCATATCCGACGTTCATCCACTCTATCCTCGTCGGCCGACGGTAATGCATGCCGTCATCTCACATTGGGATTATAAAGCGCTCGTCGAAGCCGACGTACCTCCGCGCTTCCGATTGCAAAGGTCGCGGAACAATGAATTTTCCAATGACAGCTCGGAGAAATGGGGGAACACCTCCATCGGGATAAGCTTCAGGTACCTGCCCCCTTCACAGCTCGGGGTCGCTTTACGTCCACCCCACCCCAGGATGAATCCCGTCCGTTGTCTCTGGTTCAGGTATGGATCTCCTCCGCAAACGCTTTTTAGCGGCGGGTCACGCCCAAGAGGGTTGGCTCCAGCCTAACCGTCAATCCAGGCTCATCCTGCACGCGTTCCGCGATTACATAAGCCGCATCCCGTCTTTGACTGGTATTGCCCAACGACGGTAAGCGGTGGCTGAATTTATGAATCGACCCACATGACCGACATGAACAAACGTTCTAGATCTCAAGTTAGAGGGGGGTCCCCTTTTCAAGTGTGTGTAAGTTCGGAACGCAGTCAAGTTGGCCAAACGTCTGATTAGCTTCAAGTTGTATGCGCAGCCTTCAGCCGCTATTGCTCAATATGAAGGAACGCGATGGAATACAAGAGAAAATAAGGACGGTATCTATGTATGTATGTAGGCACGGAAACGAAAAACCACGCGGTCGCCGATGTTGCAAACCCCTTGCATCAAGCGGCGTTGACCGAAAAAAGGTTTTTTTCCTTCTCCGGGCTCCGCCCCCGCCGCAAGTTACGTAGGCGAGGCCCAGTTCCGTTGGCGATAGTTCCGTTCATAGCGTGGCGGAAGAACAACAAGAACAACAAGCACAGCTCTGCGCCAAACTCGGATGGAAAACCAATTAAGGCCATGTGATGAGGTCACGTGGGCGTACTGACGTTTCTATTCCATCATGAGATTTGCGATATCGAATGAGATTTGTTTGATCTGTTTGAGGTTCCAGATATCCAAAAGATCAAGATATCCAAGTCGAGCTTAAAGACATCTTCCGAGCCTCGATCGAGCCCTGCATGACTAATACGGCGCAGCGCACACTGCTGGCTGATTGGCCAGGGGAAGGCGTGCAGTTGAGCAATCCGCTGACTGGTCATCAATGCCGCATGATGAGGAGCCGCGCTGTCAATATTTCCTATCCTGGGCGGAAGTTCGATTCACAGGCGTCATGGCCGTCTGCCTCCCGGCATTTTTTCTCTTTACGTGAATCTGAACGTGGATGGGCTCTTCAGGGGTTAAGGAACGTTGTTCTGAAAACCTTCCATCCGTTCCGAACAGGCATGCATGACTTGCCCTACGGTTCGGCGGCCAATGACCGAGTGCGTGTGTGCGGGGGAATAAACAAGGAGAACTTGGGTCTGACGGGTCACGACTGGAGTGGGTGAACTTGACACAGTTAAGTCATCCATAATCCCCCTCGTTCTGGCCACGTTCACCCCGCAAATGATGCGATATGTCGCCAGGTCGCATCATGCAGGAATCATATGCATGCGTAGGTAAAAATGGAGGACATGGATGAGATTTACACGGATAATATATAGATCGCTTGAAAGACGATGGGCAAACGTTTTTATGCATATCAGCTAAACCAGACCCAGCCTAACACAATCGCACAGAATTACCACATATCCCAATATCTGCTCCGTTTTATTTGATTGATGGTGACTGTATGTGCTGAACGAATCTGGACCACTACAACCTCCCGGCGGCATCACCTTGTTTTTATCTGCGATCTAATAAACGTTTATCAAGCGGCGGCAAAGGAGGGAAGCCTTCGGAGATTCGACACCTGCTTCCAGATCCGGGCCATCCAGGCGTTTTACGTGCTCAGTCACTCGAGTCATACGCAATCGCTCGCTCGCGCCATAATACGGCCACAACATCGCGAAGCCGCTCCCCGGTTGCGCAAACCCGCCATTAATCATACGTAGATCTGATTATTATTACTTCCGCATCATAAGACGTAACGCCGAGTCACCACAAAACGCCATCACCACGCCGATTCGGGCAATTAGGCAAAAAAAGGCAAGCCACGTCTCTGGCGTAAACGTGCTTTCGGAGAGTCGTGCCAACCACATAAGCTCGCGCAAAAGCTAGCCAGAGTCATCCGCTTTCGCCTTTGTTCGCCTTCCTTGTTCTTCCGGTTTACGCTTGTCCCCCCCGCCGCCCGCCGCAGCCAGTCCTCCGAACACGTCAACCCCATCACGTTTCCTTCCCCCCATTCCTCCTCGCCCTCCAAGTGGATCTGCACAAAAGAAAAACCCAACCCCGCCCGCTCCGTCCTGCCCCTCCTCGTATCCATACCATATTGCATCTTCAAACTTGGCAACGGGCAATACCCTTCCGACCTGGTTGCCATCATCAGCACTTCCAATCCACCATCGCCTCCGATAAAACCGGACTACCTGCCTTCACAGCCTCGCTTCTCTTCTGCAAAACTTCTACATCAATCCACATTCGATAGCTCCATCTCAGCAGCATCGCACTACTCTCCATACCAGTCTCAAAACGCTCAACGAAACGATGGACTTCGGCCTCGACCTCGATTGGTGCCTCGCCTGCGGGCAACATACCCTCAACGGTGTCCTCTACTGCTCACCGGCCTGCCTTGCAAGCGATGCAGCAGCAGCAAGGAGTTCAGCAGCGGCGGCTGACGCTTGGGAGCAACAGTCTGCTGCCCACGACCACCACTTCCACAACTCCAGCCAGCAGCATTCTCAAACACATTCGCCAGCGACATACCCACACCCTCAAACCCGCAACACGCACTCCCAACACCACCACTCGTCGCAATCGCACCTGGCATATCCACAAGCGCCCAAGTCGCCGCAGGTACATTCCATACACGAGTCGTCGTCATTCTCCGCTTCTCCGCCAATGGCACCTCTCCCATCTTCCGCGTTCCGAAGCTCATATCAACACAGCAGCGCCCGCCGCGGGAGCTCGCAGTCGGATACGTCTTCCATCTGGAACGCAGAACACACCGCGTCAAGGAAGTCTTCCATTGCCGGTGGCTCAACGACAAGGTCCGTGTCACCGCAATGGCCGGAGCCTTCGACGCGCACAACGAGGTATCCCCACAGCAACCTCCCGGCGGCCAACGTCAACGGCATCCTTCCTCTGAAGAACCGGGGGTTCGTGAACAGGAGCCCGTCGCCACAAGATACAGGCGCTGCCGAATGGTGGGAGCTGTGAAGTTGCGAGTTACAACTCGACGCGTCGGCCTTCTTCTCCCCCACGATACCCAAACACACACGCAAAGAATAGTCAACATTGTATATCCTTACATTGCATACCCTTCTCTGCAACGGTCGTGCCGTTCCGTTAGTGTTTGCGGGGGGGCTTGGGCTCTCCTCCCAACCAAAGTTTTTGATTATAGAAGGCATAGGGTGTGTGGGTCGTATGCTCAGAGCCGCCACCGCCCTGTTTGTCTTCACCCCGCTTTTGTATATATACATCCCTTTTTGAAAACAAAATAGAGTCAGAAATGATAAATACCACCATACTCGTTGTTCGCTGCCCTTTTGTGCGCTTGCTGTGAAGTACTAGCTTATCCAGATATGTGGACGAGTTCGGCGAGTTCGAGGATGTCGGAAATGTCAGGAATGTGAAGATGTGCGCGTCGAAAACGAATTCCCGCCGGCCAGCACATGGGTACGCATTAGCACGGCAGTAGGAGGACAGCCGGAGCCGGAGAAAGGTAGCGGTCGCTGCATAGGCGTAGACACACTGTCTTACAAGGCTGTGCTTGAGGCACTAGGTCTTCGACTTTGGGTTCCCGCGTACCATCCCGGCTCCCAATGCCCATGACTCTGCCCGCCCGATATATTCAGTGGCGGCATGAAGTTCCTTCCTGCGGGTTCATGGGCGTTGCATCAAGTGTTTCATCCAAGTATCACTCAGAAGAGTGTGTTCATCTATTCTATGGCTGCAAAGCAGACAGAGTCCTAGGGCGAATCCGGCAGTGGTCCGGTGTGCCGACCGGGGGAAAAGGCAGGGCTCATATGACCAGCGGCTTGCCGCGACGGCGCGCCGCATCTGTGACTCTTCTACCATTTCACCGACAAGGCAGGCCCCGGCTTGACGCTTCCTTCCCAACGCAATTTGCGAGCATCGTCACCACCAAATCACCAGCAGGTAACAACCACAATCCCTCACCGTTGTCAGCTTCATTACCACAGCATTGACGTGGTTTTCTTTTGACACACAGCTATCCCAGCAACCAAACAACCCTGCAAGACTGTACTGATCTTGGCTGTGCTGGGGCGAGCAACTGACCTTGACACAATCACGGTGTTGGAATCATCTTGTTCTGCTAGAGTGATCTACAACAGACATCATCTCTAGCAGGCACGCAAAGGGACACGCTCAGATCTGTACCCACGTCGGTCGCTTGAGGCAGCGTGCATTGGGGTGGCCTTGTGGTTTTCACCATGGCCAGAAAACCATGCAACCGAGTTCGAGTGCAACCGAGCTGGAGATGCCTACGTCGGTGCAGCTGCTTTGAATGGGGGAGGAGGAGGTGGGGGAGGAGGAGACCAGGGACCCGGGGGGAGTGTGGATAGGAGGATCGCACAATCGGTGGCCGGTGCACCACTTCTGCTGTTCGCCGGGGGGTGCATCGCTGAGCTGAACTGAGGCAAGCACAGAGCTGAGGCAGAGACTTATGACAGCGGCATGGAGAACCAAAGCACCGGTGAGAATGATGTGGAGAAAGAAGGTGACAACTCTTTCAGGAACCGCTTTCTGAAGAAGACTCCCATTACTTCACGCCGCCCACCATCTCTGGTGAGATCCGATGATTAGACTATGAGTGGAAAAATGCGTGCATTTCATCAATCTCCCGAGAAGCGCATATTGATTCCCACATTCACGTAGCTTAGCTTTTTGCGAATCACTGTGGTTGGACTGCGTAGGGAGGGTCAGTGGAGGGCATAGGGGAGGGTCAGTGTATAGCGCAGTGTAGCGCTTGCCAACCTGACATACTTTGCTGCCATAGGGGTCTCCCGCCTCCGGCGGCTCCCAATAAAATCGCCAGCGAATTCGGCTTAACGGGAGGCAACCGTGTTCCGAAGACGCCATCGGGGAATGCCTGGGGGAATGGCAGCCCAAGAATGGAGCAACACCCAAATGTCTCAAGACCATCCTTCATCATCGTACAGTCTGATGGCAACCCAAACGGCATATTGCCCATTCAGGCGGACGAAATAAACGATTATATGTGCACATTCCCGGATCAAGAACTATTATACATTGCAGATAAGCCCATGAATGGAGCGAGACGTTAGCCTTTCGCTACGTATTGCCTGCGCACCCAACATCCACCCAACATCCTGAAGAACCGGCCGAACTGCTAAGCATTGCAGCCGCCGTACCCTTACCACCACCTAACCTTCCTCCACCTCCACCACTGCATCCCCCAAAGCACGCTACTAATCACCGCTGTCAGCGCTCCAGCATACGCAACGCCTGCCGCCGCCTGCACCGCCGCCAGCCTGACGAAATACACCTTCGTCCAATCGCTGTTCCAAAACAATCCGGCATCATAGACATCCGCGCATCGGCCTCCTCGAACGGTCGTGAAATTATCGCATGTTTCCCGCAAGCCCTTGAGTGTAAGTGCGCCGGAGACGGTGAGGAGCGCTGCCGGGATGAGCGTGAGTAGTGCCGGGAAGAGGTGCGGTTTTTTGGGCGTGAGGAGGAGGATAAGCGGGAGGAGAGCTAGCGCTGTGGCAAGGGAGAGCGAGGAGAGAATGATGTTTGTGTGGCACGCTGTTGAGCGAGCGACGAAACTGTAGGATGTCGGGGTTTCTTGGTAGGCGGATATGAAGAGCATGCTGTTCGGGAAGGTTGATGAGCGAATTGCTTGAAAGTGAATGATATAAGCAAGCTGCGAAACAAAACATACCATGCACTTCTAGGTCCATACTCCGCATGCGTCCTAATCAAGGCGATATGAGCGGCAGCAAACGTCTGCAAATCGAGCAAAATAGTTCAGATATCTGTTTTTTCCCGTGTCATATCAACCTCCCCAACTCTCACGAGAACTCACCGCAAAGGCAACCGTCAACGCTACCATAACGAAATTCCTCTTCCTCCTAGTCCACGCTCCACCCAATCCCAAGCGTCCAGCGCTCAAGGGCGATTTCCGTCCAGCCGGGAATGGCCCATTGAACCCATGAACCACTTCCTCTACCGCAAACGGCAAAAGATTTCCTTGGCCAGGCTGGCCTTGTTCCAATCTTGCGGCTGTATCGGTGTTGGAGGCACCACCGTCCTTCTTTTGGCCGTTCATATGGGTGATCTGGACGGAGACTTGCATTGCAGGAGTCGCTCCTGCGGAAGAGTTTTTCACAGCGTTGGAATCCATCGTGGGAACAGTTTTTGGCTCGACTGCTGTCAAGGTCGTGAGTATCGTTGATGGTCGTTATGGGCTCGACAGCGTCGCTAAGGACTCTCAGGCAGAGTCCGTTCGGCTCCGCTGGCAGATTTCGTCGAAGTGTTGCAACAAAGGAGTGACGGGCGGCTGCTTTCCCTCCTTCCCTTTATATAGACTCAGGGGTTGCGGCGAATTGTGATTAAAGAGAGTAGAAAGGGGACAGGCTGCGAAAACGAGTGGGGCTGTGGAACGGTGAAGAGAAGCACAAGGGATTAATGTGAGGGAAAGTATTCTATTTGCAGCATGGGTGGAGAGGCCCCAGGCCTCCACGGAAAGGCAGGCTTTTGACAGGATGCATGTGCATGTGCGACAGGAACAACAACGGGGGTCGATATCTCGCGATCGTTCATACTCCAGTGTTCCAACTGCCGGAGGGACACCGGCTGCCCTCCACCAGCGTTCGAGTTCAAATCCGTACGGCAACAAAAGCAAACCGTGGAGACCCGCGAGCACCGGTATCTGGGAGCTTGATTGCAAGAGCGGTAGGAAGGTCAGAAGGGGTCTGCAAATGAGATCTCCTTACAAAACTCCTCTGTGTGGCCAGGAGGCAGTCTTGGAGATAGAATTATCACTTTCTGGAGGTCGAAATCTGCGGGGATAAAGGGACTAAAGGGATGGCGGTGTGACAGGCCTCAAATTGGCACGCGCTGTCGATATTTGTGACACGAAGCCGTTGCTTTAGGAGCAGATCAGATCGAGCCTCGAGGACTTTTCCCGGAGATAACTAGACGATGGAGTTGGAAAAAAACCTGTCCGCGGTCTCCATGAATAATGTATCATGGAGAATGTGTGCAATAATGTATGTACATGGGGAGGTCGCGACGTTTATTGTGGAGATGGCGAGGACTTGGAGTCAACAGGGCTGAGACGTTCCCAGGTTTTCCCAGGCTTTTCCAAGACCTGTCCAGGAGAAGTCCAAATCCCTGCACGTCTTGCACTTCTCTCAACAGGTAAGCAATGCAAGCAACGTCCAAAGCCGCAGAACAACTCGCTCAGAATCTTCAAAAAAGGATGGGTATATGTTTGAAGTATAACCAATATCATACTGGCCTCCGACCTCACCTCCCCCTCCCCTCCCAAGAAACTCATACGAAGCCATAAATACAACGGCCGCCTATCGTTTGAGGACTAAAGAGGTATCAATGTACATAACACGCCATCCCAGATATTATGGATGGTTGGGCTTAGTCCTTCAAGTGGCGGATAGAGTGCTTGTCTGACGTTGCTTGTGGGATTCGACGGTTTATGTCTTCTGCTTCTTACTATCGGGCACCTCGTCGTCGTCATCATCGTTATTGACGAATTCGTTAAGCTGTCAGAGTAGTTGAGAAGTTAAGGATTATGAGTCGTGCTAAACACGGCCGATAAAGAAAGGCTATCTCACCCCTTCATCGCCCAGAGCGTCAATCTCATCAGCCTTTCTCTTCATCGTCGCATTGAAAAGCGCCTCGTCCCCGACCTCTCCAGTAACGAAAGTCTCAAAGTCCCCCGAAGGCGCACCCATCAGCGAGTCATCCATCATGAATGGGTCGGCGGCAAGCTCCCCTCCACCCATAAAGTCGTGGTCGCCAAATCCGTGGTCCGCAATGTATTCCAGCTCCTCTTCTTCCTCCTCGGCTTCGGCGGCCAAGTCTTCTGTGTCGCCGTGGGAGATGTAAGGTTGCACACTAGACGATGGGAGACCTTTGCCTCCTTGTAAGCCGGTGTTTGGTTCGTCAAGGTCTTCATCTTCTAGCTCTTCGTCCTCCTCCCCGTCCTCGCCGTCGCCGAAGCCGCCTGCATAGCCGTGTCCATCTTCAGTTTGTTCGTCTACATCAATCACTTCTTGCCCTTCATCTTCCTCCTCCTCTTCACCATCGTCGTCACCGTCATCGTCATCTATGAGTTCGATGCCGTGATCGTGCTGTGAGACATCTTGTACTTCGTAGACGATATCTCCCTCATCTTGATCTTCATCCGCTAATGGATGACGTTCATCGGCTTCATCATCAAAGATGTCGTCCTCTTCGTCCCCTTCTTGCTCAACAACGGTCCCTTGGTATCCACTCTGATCTGCATCTTCATCATCGCTCTCGCTCCCTATCTCATATACTTCCAGACCGTTATCCTCACCACCGTCCACACCGTGCTCCGAACCGTGCTCATCTCCCTCTACCTCCCCACTCACTTCCTCCTCGTAATCCTCTTCCTCGCCTTCCTCATCGTGCGTTTCACCCCCATTTTCGCCTCCCTGAACCTCGCCCTCCCCTTCTTCCTCTTCCTCATCGTAGTCATCCTCGCTGTAGAGTTCGACTTCGTTTCCATCCTTGTCGCGGTCATCGAGGGCTTGCAGTTGTGGGAGAGTTTGGAATACGATATCGGGGTAGTCTGGCCGTTTCGCTATTTCGCATTCGACAAGATTTAGAAGTTTGAGGTTCGGTAATTGTTTCTGAACGCGATGGAATAGGATTCATCATGATCAGTATATTGTTCATCAGAGGTGAGAAACACTTAACGGTAGACGCAGGTATGAACTCACCAGAGGCGCCAAGGTTTCCAAGTCTGCAATCTTATTATTACTCAGATCCAAGCTCTCTAATCTCGTCAGCGCCGCTAAGGTCTCCAAGCCGCCACTAATCTTGTTATCCCCCAGGTCCAGTTTTGCCAGCCTTTTGAGAACAGGAAACCCTTCGACCGAATGTAGATTACAGTTGTTCAGGCTCAAGTGCTCCAAATTGACATATTGCGCTAGTGAGTTCTGCCTTGGCTTCCCGTTACTACTGTGACCGTTTGTGGCATGATCGTCCTCTTCATCGGAGTGGAATGGACTGTCGTCGGAATCGTGTTCTGCGGTTGAAGATGTGGCAAGGAGGGGCGAGAGGGTATTGACTTTTTGGCTATCGAGGAAGAGCTCATGTATTTGTGCCGGATCCAAATGGGTCAGGAGATGTGCCATCCTGGCAGCTTGGGTAGGCGGCAAAGCGAAAGACGCTGGCGGGGGCAACGAGGTTCGAGGATGGCGATACGAGCGCGTGGAAAATCTGCGAGGGACGCTAAGAACTTCGAGGTGGGGGATTCTGATCAACCGAAGGCTTGATACTCCTGGACACTGAGAAGCTCTGGATCCTCAAGGGTGGTTGGGAGCGATGCTATGTTACTGAATAAGCGAAGGGGCCTCGGGAGAAAGTGCCATGTGCAACTGCTTTTTTAGTTACAAAAAATAAGCACGTTTCGCGGGAAGTCTGAGGGCAGGAGGGCAAGATAGCAGAACCGCGATGAGAGCTTGCGCGTGTTGTCCAGTTACATATTACACATTTACATGCAGGCGAGCCTGTGGGCATGCCCTTTCCCATCTTACCCAGACGTTTCGTTGCCCGCTAAAAGTAAGCATAATGCGATACCACCCATTTACAGTCCACCCTCGCCGAGACAAGCCCAGAGCGACCAGTTCTTTCCGGCTTGGTTCCGAGGAAAAACAGTACATACAGATATGGCCTGTGGATATGGGGCGAGCGAGCGAAGAAGCATCAGCCTCGACGCGTCTTCGCCTGGACTTTCGTCATCACCCTTCGTCCCGTGGTTCAAGAACCCCTGTGTGTGCTCCTCCTTTCTGGGGACACCAGGTGAAGCATCCTGTAATTAAACCATAAACGTTTGGGATCCCGCCCGGATATCCATGGAATTCAACGCATGTTTTTCTGCGAAGCGAAGCTGGGAGGCAGTACTATACGGAGTAAGGCGTTATCCCCTTCATCAAACTTAGATTACTGTGTGCTACCCGTCGCCGTTTATTCGTCTTTCCTACCCCACTTTCGTCCCCCTCGCGTGCGTGTCTTCCAACGAAGGGTTGGAGAGACGGAGAGGAAAGAGCAAGCGCTGCAACACTCTCGACTCAGCGCTGTGTTGCGTCTCTCTTGAGGTTGCTGCAGGACCTGCCTACGCTCAGAGCACAAACCACGGATACACAGGCCATTTCAGAGCGCGACACGACGGCGAAGATGATCAGTTCTGGGAATGCGCGTAGCTTCTCGCTCCCTGGTCTTGGCAGTCAACCGCACTCCTATCCTCCGCCAGGTCTAGGCTTTGCAGCAGGGTTCCGACCGAGCTCTAGCGCACGTACGGACGAGGGCAGGGACGAGCGAAACACGTCCGAGGACAGGTCTGACGATGGGGGTAGTAACGCGGCTTCCCACCAGTATGACTTTCGCAGCCTTTCCCACTCTGCGCAAACCGCTCCCCATAAAGCGTTCTTGGACACGCCGACGTCGGCGACTGCGTCTGGGCTGCAGCCTGTACCCGTTCGCAGCTGGCAGCCCGTTGCGCGGCCCATTGCGATTGCAGCCGATTATGATAGCATCCTTGGTCCCGCGGAGCCCGTCTTCCCGTCCTCAGCGCCAACGCAGGAAAACCAGCCACATTATCCACAACAGAGGGACGATAGTGGTAGCGAGAGCGGGTTGGGCTCGTTGATGTACCGATTTCCCACGGACGCGTACAACCATATGAGCTCCCAAAGCCAACACCACCGGCTCGCGCAAGGGACACAGGCGCACAATATCTTTCCTTCACCTCCGACGTTATCCCATCGACACTCAGTGCATGTTCCTGGCTATTCGAATCATCAACATACTTCGGTGCTACCTGTCTTGTCACGTAACTCTTCAGAGCACTTTGAGCGTTATGGGCATGGCCGTGAGGAGCACGATCGTCGTATGGGGCACTCTCCTGAACGTGCTCACCTACAGCGAGGACTCAATGGACGTGCGTCAAGTCCGCAGAAGAGTGATTTAGGTCTGGAGTCAGGACAACCGGACTATTTCGCAGCTTTGCGCCTGTTGGCAGGTTCGAATGGGGGCACGACGGAGTTGGAAGCTTTGGAAAACGCGACCGCGGCTGCGCGAATGTATGGGGACGACCGGAGCGCGTTCAATGACGATGCCTTTCTCAGACATTTTGCGGACTTGGCTCTGGGCGATGGGCACAGCGCGATGCGGAGAGATGGGGTAGACATGGGATTCGGACCCGAGAGCGGTTCCGGTGGGGCTTTCCAAGGTATTGTGTCGTTGTTAGTAAATGTCCTTAGTGCTTCACAAACTCATACCATTCGCATCACCAGAAAACAACCCGCACCCTTCCGAACTCTCCCTTCCCGAAACTACGAACTCCGTTATCCGCCCATTCTTGTATGACAGCTTCCTTTCATCCGCCACAGACTTCCCAGACACTTCACGGGATAATCTGCATTATAGCCATGCCCAACCTCGACACCACTCGCACTATACGACTTCATTGGAAACCTTACGCGCAAGGGCATACAGGGCTCTAGGAAGAGATTTTGCGGATGAGTTCGACAGTCTAACGTCTGCTGGCTCTGGACACGCAATCGGGTCATACCCGGGGCTCGGAAGGGGCTATAGCACCGTTCCTCCTCCTGGATACATATGTAAATTATGGTACGTCGTCGTCTTGTCAGCATGCCGGACCGCGATGATTAATGTCATTAGGCTCACATATATTCTTTCTGGCCTCGTAGCTTCGTTGAGGGCCACTGGCTCAAGAACTGCAACCTCTACCAGTACCGTCGTCGCAGTGAATACTTCCATAACTACCCACCCAACGCCTCTGCTGGCATGAATACCTCATCGTTGAGTGCTGCAGCAGCGGCCGCCATCGCCAGATACGACGGGCTCTCCATCAGCGCCGCGCTCCGGGGACTATCGGCCAGGCACTCACCCACGCACATGCAACCATCGAACCGCAGCGTTGGGAAGACGACAGTGCCTCCCGACGGATACGTATGCCGCAAGTGCCATACTCCTGGTCATTGGTAAGGGATCTCTTGAAAGAGTTATGATGCCCTCTTTCCTGTTCCTTACGCCGTACATAACCCATTGCAGGATTCAACAATGCACCCTTCCCAAACAATCTGTGCCTCCGGACGGCTACACCTGCAAGATCTGTCTCGTCAAAGGCCACTGGATTCATCAATGCCCCCACCGCAGCGGCGCCAACGGAGGGGATGCGCAGGCGGCAGCAGCGGCGGTCATTCGCGGTGGCATCGCCGGCTTCTGAAGAATCCGCACAACATTTTTGGATACGGGCGAGGAACGACAGAGTCGACCATTGCGCATGCTGTTTGTCCAACTTCTCTTTCGGCGCTCGCATATCTACTGTTACAAGCGCAGAACTTCATCGACTTTGGGACTGCGGGCAGATCAGTCACCTGCTTTGCGTGGGGCATCTTCACCTTTCCCTTTGGTGGCCCGCCTTCCTTCGCCTCTCTTTTTGGACTAAGATTATTACCTCGTGTTTGACATTGTGATGTGATAGGATATTGTGGGACGCTTCGTTGGCTTGTCTAATCCTTCTTTACTATGTATTGATCTCTCTTGTTTCTTCTTTATTTCTTTGTGTTGTTTTGGACTCCTATGTTATGCCTAAATTATCCTCTACGCTTTGTTATGTTATTCTTTCGTTTCAATGTATTCCCTCTTTTCCAATGACATATGTGTTGTGTACGCTTCCTTTGCTTTGTTGCGGTGTATTCTGGAATAAGTAACCGATATTCGAGAGAAGGGCAGTTCATTTCTCCCCATGGTCGCTGCGTCAATGGATTTCTCATCTGAGGTCGTTTCTCAGTCCATGTCCGTGTATGCTTTCGCGACGCGTTGAGGAAACTTGGGCTCACGTCACTTGCCTGCAACTTTCCTGACAAACCACCGTCTCCCCCCTCGAAATCACCGCTAGCTGTACCAGCCGGCAGGCAGAAGACGGGTTGGTGTGAACGCTCTCAGAGTACAAATAAGCTATAGACTTAGCCGACGGAGGGCCTCTGAATTGCCTTCTATTTCCACAGCAGCACAGGAGCAAGCATGCAATCCAACGGAAGGTCCGACTCTCAGTCGAACGTTGATGGCATGGGGGTAACCAAAGAGCACTGCTACTTCTGCTTCGACGTCCTCGAATCACACTTCGAGAACCGCAAGCCCATGCCGGCACCCTTCGAAGACGAAAAATACCCCCTTTTCGTCACTTGGAACACCGTCCCGTCCTCCTCGTCGACTTCCAAACGGCGCGGCTCCTCAGACCATCAACTCAGAGGGTGCATCGGTAACTTCTCAGCCATGCCCCTCCACCGCGGTCTCGCAGAGTACGCGCTGACATCCGCGCTCCACGACCGGCGTTTCTCACCCATCGTCGCGTCCGAGCTTCGCCGTCTCTCGTGCGCCGTCTCACTCCTGGTCGATTTCGAGGACGGGAGCGATTACCTGGATTGGCGGGTGGGAACGCACGGCATCTGGATCGAGTTCAAATCGGAGAGTGGGAACAAGCGGACCGCGACGTATTTGCCGGAGGTGGCGAAGGAGCAGGGCTGGACGAAGGAGGAGGCTGTGGAGTCGTTGTTAAGGAAGGGTGGTCATAAAGGCAAGATCACGCAGGAAGTGAAGGATGGGATTGTGTTGACGAGGTATCAGTCTAGCAAGACCAGCGTGACGTATGAGGAGTATCTTGACTGGAAAAAGCAGAATCAATATGTCAATTGAGAGTTTTACCTACGTAGCTTCGATGGAGGGAGCATTCTCATCAGCGTTGGATGCGCCTCGTTCTTGTTTCACCGTTTGTAACTTGTTTGAAAGTGGACGACGCACAATATTGATCGTCTTTTGCGTATATAGGGTTGCGTGACGACATTTCACCTTCACTCTATTGTATGTAATTTTGGGGAACGAACGATCTCTCCCTTTTAAGCAAAACAATAATATATGCCGGTTGCATAGTCCCACATTCACGAGCATCTCATGCCTGAGCGCTGGCATCACCACTTATTCAATCGCGTATTGTCTCATCATACGTAACTTCGCAGTTTGCGGAGCCACCATTCCTCAACCGCACCTTCCATGGTACTCCGATGGTACAGTACGTTGCACACTCGTTTTCCAGTACCCAGTTTTAGCTGCATTCGCGTTCTCGATGGTTGCATGTTCGTTTGCCGTTGGTCCGAAGTGAACCACAGTATCGTGTCATCACAGCGTTGCTTTCAGAACAGCAGAACACCCATCAAAACGATCGCCTCCGTCCCAACCCACACACAGTGGATGCATCTGTTGTAAAGCTTGCGTTCTGGCCAGATTCGCTGGCATGGAGAGTGGAAAACATCCAAGATCTCCAAGATGTTTGCGGCGTCGAGGGAGGTCGGTTCTACCAAACTCGGGTCTCTTGCGTCGCATTATGTCTTCCCTGGCCAAATGGCATTCGGCATCGTGATGAACTTGTGCTAGTACAACAGCCCAAGGCAAGTTGAGGCAGCCGTGTGTATCCAGCGTCACGTAATGCCTGCAAAGAGTTTCATGTGTTCTCCGCTTGTTATGCAAACTTACTGTATGTCCAGTCGTCATCTCCCGTACCTGATTGACAGTGGTGAGCGGAGTTTGACTTCTGCCACCGTCGATTTTTAATTGTTTCTCATGTGATGACGATTTAAATACGCCAATAAGGAATGTGGTCGTAGAATGCGATGGAAGTCGCGGGTGGCACAGTCGATTTGGCCAGATCCTTCTCAACGCGTCTCGCAGCCAAAGTGGCTGTTGGGGCTCAATAAGTAATCGTGACGGAAGCCCGCCATTGAACAAGGAAACTGAGGCTATCGACGATGTTTAGAAATCGCGTCGAAGTCTAATCAAAATGGTGTCTTTCAAATTCAAAGGAGTTCAACTCCGCTCACCATAAGGGCGATCTTTACTGGTGCGCATATGGGCGGAGAGTGCGCGGATTGGGGCTTGCTTCCGTGTGATAGAACCGCGAGGAAGGATTCATGGGGACGCGGCAAGCAGAAGCCGACATGCACGCACCTTTTGCTCCTCTTGGCGCCCCGCACAGCACCGTTTTTTGCATGCAGGACCTTGCGAAGCGAAGATCCCTTGCGTCGCACACAGACCCGTGGGAAAAAAAGAAACTTTCGGTTCGCTGCTGAGCTCCTCGCAAGGCCGTGCAGTATAAAGCACCCACAGGCCAGCCTTCGTTCCCACTTTTCCCCTCATTCCTGGTGATCTCTTCTTGCTCTTCCCGCAGATCAGAAGAAAAACTATCAACCATGACTTCCAAAGCTGTCGGTATCGACTTGGGTACCACCTACTCTTGCGTTGGCATCTGGCAAAACGATCGGTAAGTTGAGGAGGAGATCATTCGAGCTTGCTGTGCCGCTCATCTTTGGCATTGCGCACGACTTTGGGGAGGAGGTTGCGGTGGATCTTGCGCGAGGAAGACGTCGTCTTTGTTCAGAGCATCAGTCTAAACGAGTTTCCTCGTTCTCCTGTTTTTAGTGTTGAGATCATTGCCAATGACCAGGGAAACAGAACTACCCCCTCTTACGTCGGTTTCACCGACACCGAGCGTCTTATCGGTGATGCCGCCAAGAACCAGGTCGCTATGAACCCCATCAACACCGTTTTCGACGCCAAGCGTTTGATCGGTCGTCGTTTCGCTGACCCCGAGGTCCAGTCCGACATGAAGCACTGGCCATTCAAGGTCGTCGACAAGGGTACCAAGCCCTACATCCAGATCGAGTTCAAGGGCGAGACCAAGACCTTCACCCCTGAGGAGATCTCCTCCATGGTCCTCTTGAAGATGAAGGAGACCGCTGAGGCTTACCTCGGTGCCACCGTCAAGGACGCCGTCGTTACCGTTCCCGCTTACTTCAACGACTCCCAGCGTCAGGCGACCAAGGATGCCGGTGTTATCTCTGGATTGAACGTCCTCCGTATCATCAACGAGCCCACCGCCGCCGCTATTGCTTACGGTCTTGACAAGAAGACCGCTGGCGAGAAGAACGTGCTCATCTTCGACTTGGGAGGTGGTACATTCGATGTCTCCCTTCTGACGATCGAGGACGGTATCTTCGAGGTCAAGGCCACAGCTGGTGACACGCACTTGGGTGGTGAGGACTTCGATAACCGTCTCGTTTCCCACTTCTCCGAGGAGTTCAAGCGCAAGTTCAAGAAGGACCTCACCTCCAACCCCCGTGCTCTCCGTCGTTTGAGGACCGCTTGCGAGCGCGCAAAGCGTACCTTGTCTTCGGCCGCCCAGACCTCCATCGAGATCGACTCTCTCTTCGAGGGTATCGACTTCTACACCTCCATCACCCGTGCTCGTTTCGAGGAGCTTTGCCAGGACCTCTTCCGCTCCACCATTGAGCCCGTCGAGAAGGTCCTCCGTGACTCCAAGATCGACAAGAACTCCGTCGACGAAGTTGTCCTTGTCGGTGGTTCCACCCGTATCCCCAAGGTCCAGAAGTTGATCACCGACTTCTTCAACGGCAAGGAGCCCAACAAGTCCATCAACCCCGATGAGGCCGTCGCTTACGGTGCGGCCGTCCAAGCTGCTATCCTCACTGGTGACACGTCCGAGAAGACCCAGGACCTCCTCCTTCTCGACGTTGCCCCTCTCTCCCTCGGTATCGAGACCGCCGGAGGTGTCATGACTGCTTTGATCAAGCGTAACACCACCGTCCCCACCAAGAAGTCCGAGACCTTCTCCACCTACGCCGACAACCAGCCCGGTGTGTTGATCCAGGTCTTCGAGGGTGAGCGTGCCCGCACCAAGGACAACAACCTCCTCGGAAAGTTCGAGCTCACCGGTATCCCCCCCGCGCCCCGTGGTGTTCCTCAAATCGAGGTCACCTTCGATGTCGATGCCAACGGTATTCTGAACGTCACCGCCGTCGACAAGACCACCGGACGGTCGAACAAGATCACCATTACCAACGACAAGGGTCGTCTTTCCAAGGAGGACATCGAGCGTATGGTTTCTGAAGCCGAGAAGTACAAGGCTGAGGACGAGGCTGCTGCCGAGCGTATTCAAGCCAAGAACTCCCTCGAGTCCTACTCCTACAACCTCCGCAACACCCTGCAAGACGAGAAGGTCGCTTCCAAGCTTGAGGCTTCCGACAGGACCAAGCTCGAGGCTGCCATCGACGAGGCCATCAAGTGGCTCGACCACAACCACGAGGGTTCCAAGGAGGAGTACGAGAGCCGACAGAAGGAGCTTGAGGGTGTCGCCAACCCCATCATGATGAAGATGTACGGAGCTGGTGGTGCACCTGGCGCCGGTGGTTTCCCTGGTGGAGCTGCTCCTGGTGGCTTCCCCGGTGCCGGCGGCGACGCTGGCCCGACCGTCGAGGAGGTGGACTAAAGCCCCTGCTAAATGACATTTAGTGACCCGGTTCAGCATTATATTATAGACGGCATCTCTCTTATTGTATATATAAAATTTGAAGCATTTTGAAATGTTACGTTCAAAAACATTACCCCTATTCGTCCATATGTGTGTGTGGAGTTATCTCCTTTTGAGTTGCTTGAGTTGCGTCGTCGGTCTTCAATTGCTGGTGTTCATGGGACATGTGCACGACTGGTATTTGCTTAGTAGTGCTGAAAAGAGTTCCCCATCACAAGCGTGTATATATATGTAATGCACGGGGCCTCTCAAAAAGTCTCAAAAAGAGGCGGAACACAAGTCGCGTCCGGGAGATACTGCGCAAGAACGATGACTGCCGGGGGTTTATGTTTGAAGCCTGCGCGGACGCGTGAGTGACGCGGCATTTTCTCAGAGAGCTCGGCTTGCTCTGAAGCCTCGGCGCGTATTGATAGCTTTAACCAGCCAGAGTCGTAGCGCGAACGACAGACTATGGAGACCAGAGCGTGGGTCAAGCAGCTCGTGGGCTCGGCTCTCGCAGTTCCGAATGCTGATGTACTCGATTCAGTCTTGGACGGCTCCGAGTTTGATCGGTTCCTGAACGACGGAACACAGCAGTTACTGTTGATTGCGTTCGATGAAAAGGTCTTTCTTGATGAGGTTATTTGGAGGTCTTCCTCTGGCTAGAGGACTTCTTTGTACTGATGCATCAAAATGCAGAATAGGAATGCTCGGTTGCTCTCCGATCTGGACTCGATACCAAGCGCAGCCGCTCGATGCGTGGCATTAGGCAGGACGCAGCCTGTCGCACTGACCCCGGAGAACATATCCGACATATTACAAGTTACCGGTCTCTCTGATTCACCCACAAACGCCTTGTACCGGTCTATCCACGCCATCTTTGCGCCCATCTTTCTCAATTCCCGATGGTCCATCGACGCCAGATTACAAAACCTGATCAGTGAGCTCGATTATGGGCTCGCGAGTGCAGTTAGAAAAGGAGCGACCAACAGTGTACACGGGGCTGATGAGTCGGATTTCAAGCACATACACACCCTGGATGATGAGTTTCTATATTGGGTCGACCTAGCGGCGGATTCGACATTGGGAAAGGCCCAAAGGTCTCGCGCCGAATCATTCAAACAATTATTGCAGCCGCTCAAGGTCGAGTTCGATAAGATGAGCTCCACGGCGCTCTCGGATACGGGGGAGCTCGTGGAACAGGCGCAGGACGTGCTGGATGAGCTATGGCGGCAGATGGATCATGCGTCATATAGGGAAGATCGTATGGTGCACCTGCTCGAGGTCACCACGGAGCAAATTATATCCAAGATTCGTGGGGATTTGGCACAAGCGAGGGTGTTGACCAACCTCGACACAAAGGTGAAGGATGACCTTAAAGAGTCGTTGGTGATTCTCGGGGCGTGGAAATCGGCGCATTTCAATTTGACGGGACGGCTTTGGCCGCACAACACCTCGAATAAGTGGAACGGTCCGGCGTATGAAAGCGATCAACTCTCATTATTTAGTACGAGATTACGAGAGATCCAAGATATCCGCGGGACGCACGAACTGCTGTCACAGCTGCTAACGGACGACGAGCAGAAGGGGCTGAGGGAGGCATTGGCCACCCTAGAGAAAGCACATCCGCTGAATGTCAACACATACGCCCAATCAGCTTGGCAGAATGCCGTTCTAGTGTTCACGAAAGCTTTAAGTCCGGTCGAGCATCGAGCAGCGACGGCCTTACGTGCACTGTTTGCTGGTCTGCAGGGGAGTCCAGGGCAGTTGCTACGCGAATTTCAGAGATACGCCGATCTTCTCAAGAGGGATACGATCTCGAGAGAGCTTGCTTCCGAGAAAGAATCGTTAGTTCGCCAATTGATCAACCAATTGCAAGGTGTTGAGGCATCGTTCAAAGAAAGGCAGATAAATGCGAAGGAGCCGAAAGGCAGAAATGTTCCCAACTTTCTAAGGCGGCTAACGTGGACTAGGCAAGCGATCATCAAGATCGAGGAGCATACGGCCTTCATGGAAGAAGGCATTGACGGGCGATCAGCCTATAGAGATGCGTCACAGTCTTTGCATGATAGCTTGCGCAAATACGAACAGGAGCTGTTCGCGGACTGGTTGGCCGACGTCGAGGTTGCCATGTCAGATCGAGAGGGGTTTCTTGCGCCAGATCGAGGGGGCAAGATGATGGAGATCGAAGAATCTAACGGGAAGCTGCGAGTGCACTACAGTGATCAGACGTTGACACTGATAAAAGAGGTTCGACAGCTACTGTCGATGGGATTCGCCGTACCCACGCAGGTTCAGCAGATTGCGGAGAACGCCCAGAAGTATTACAGACATGGCGTCGTTCTCAAACAAGTGGCACAGTTTTACAACACGATCGAACAGCAGATGCTGCCTTCACAACAAGCCATGTTGCTGGATTCGGCTCTTGCTTTCGAAAGGTTAATCAAGAGCCCGACCGGGGATGCTGGTGCTGTCATCAGCGAACGAAAAGGCTCGTGGAATCCACCAAGCCAGCTCGAAGGCTACATCACTCAGATCCAGCTGGCGGCCGACAAATTGACTTTGATGAATCGTAGATTACGGAAACTTCATTCGGCTGTGTGCGACCAAGTCATAGGGCTGATGGGAGTCGACCTGGTCAGAGGACAATCGAAGTGGAAAGACGCTTTAAGCAACATCCGAACTATGATCGCATCTGTTCAGGAGCATGGGATTCGCATGCAGGACACTTTGACATGGCGGAACCATTGGGACTATCAACTATACAAGGCCTTGGAGTATCAATACAAAGTTGGTTTGGAGAACTTGCACGTCTACCTCCCCGAAATCAAAATCGACTTGCAGTACAAACAAGCACGCATGCAGTTCCGTCCGCCATTTGAAGACGTACGAGCGAAGTATTACAGGGAGATGAAGAAGTTTATCAATGTCCCTGCCACATTCAAAGGCCTCAGTGACAATCAGATCTTCAAACACATGATTGATTCCAATGCGTCCGCCCTGGTATCCGTCTATCAGAGGGCGGACAAGTTGTTCGAAAATCTCGCCAAGGTAGAGGACATCTTCAAGGATTGGGTCATTCTGGGAACCGTCGATCTCGATCAGTTTGTCGAAGATGTTCTGCTGGATGTTCCCGATTACGAGGAGAACTTTCGCGTGATCAAGCTGAAAGGAAAAGAGTCGGAGGTCTTGCCGACAGAGGTGAAGGTTGACTGTATCACCATCTCGACTTTGCCGATCAAGTCCGCTATTGATGACCATCTCCAACGGATGTTTGACGCTATGGTTAGCGGGCTGAGGAAGGCTGTTCTTCGGCATATGGCAGTCATCGACGAATTCACCACGAAAGGTTCCGAGACGCTGAGTCAAAGGCCACAGACACTGGCGGAAATAGGGCAAGCTAACACTCGCCATGAAGAATTGGCAGCCTCTCAGGCAGAGATCCGGAGCAATTTTGAGTCGGCAGACGCTAAAAACCGACTTCTCAAGGCCGTGTCAGGTTCCGGAATCGATGTCTCGGGAATACAAGCTCGCTGGAACAAGTTGGAGATCATGCTCGAGTCTCATGACATCATGATCAAAGAGCAAGTCGACCTTCTGCGCACGCAAATAGATGGAAGATGCCAAGCGTTCGTCACAGATGTGACCAAATTCACGCAAAGATGGCAGCAGCTGAAGCCAAGCTTTACCGATGCGTCCGCCTTCGACACGGCGCCTCAAAATTTGGCATTCGTGAAAGATAGGAGCACGGAACTTGCGGAAATGCAAAAGACCGCTGAGAAAATCAAAAGCGATTCTGCTCACTTTGGGGTTGAGGCGCCCGAATTCCCAGAACTCGAAGTCCTTGTGACTGACATTCATGCCACAGAGCAGATGTGGCAGACGTACACCAACTACGTTGGCGAGATGGATGTATTGCGGAAAGAGGATTGGATAGGCTTCCGGAATAAGATCCACACTTTCGAGGATACCTTGGTGAAATGGATCGAATTCTTCAAAGGAAAGCCAGGGAACCCCGTCTCAGCTCAAATCTTACGGGATGTCGATAAGCATCGCGAGACCATCCCGGTTCTCAAATTCTTGCGCGGTGATTCGTGGACCACTGAGCACTGGGCAGAACTATTCCGCATGCTTGCCCTGCCCAGGGGAACGACGTTATCAGAATTGACTTTTGGGCACATTCTCGCGGCTCAAGGCATGGTGCTTGAGAAGATTAACGAGATCAAAGAACTGAATAGCCGGGCACAAGGGGAGATCTCCATTCGCGAAGCAATTCAGGAGCTGGATATGTGGGGTGCAAGCGCGAGTTTCTCACTTACGGACTATCAGGATGTGAAAGGAAACAATGTGCAGTTGATCAAGGACTGGAAGGACTTGCTAACGCAAGTCGGTGACAATCAGTCTCTACTATCCTCGCTAAAAGATTCACCATATTACAAGGCTTTCGCTGACCGGGCTATTCTGTGGGAGAAGAAGCTCTTTCAGCTGGAGGCCAATCTCTCAAATTTGAACTCCGTGCAACGCCGTTGGGTCTATCTTGAGCCAATCTTCAATCGAGGATCTCTTCCGAATGAACAGCAACGATTCGAGAGGATTGACGCAGAGTTTCGAGCAATTATGGTCAATGTGGCTCGTGACTCTAGGGTCGTGTCCTTGTTGTCTCACATGAGCGGAAACGACGTCCTCAGCACGCTGGTCGACCAACTGGACAGGTGCCAGAAAGCTCTCAATGAGTTCCTTGAGCAGAAGCGGGAGAAGTTTCCTCGCTTTTACTTTATCGGGGACGAGGATTTGTTGGAGATCTTAGGGCAAGCGAAGAACCCTATTGTGATCCAGGCACACCTGAAAAAGTTGTTTGCTGGCGTCCATTCAGTACAATTTGACGAGGACATCCGGAACATTGTCGCCATGAAAAGCATCGATGGAGAAACAGTGATGCTGCGTACACCGGTCAAAATTACCGATGACGTCGAAATTTGGTTAGAGGACTTTGCGAAAGAGATGAAAGTCACACTGAAGCATCTATTGAAGCAATGCGTGTCGATCACCGACCTGTTCAAGTATCCATTGCAGATCTTGTCGTTGACGGAACACTTGCATTTCACGGCGAACGTTGAGACGGCGATCGCGAACGGCGGGAGCTTTACACAGCTGGCACACGATCTCCGTCAACATTTGAATGAGTATACAACATTTGATCCTGCATCGGTAGAGAACGTCGCAGACCGCAACGTGGCAGAGCTGAAGATAAAGTCGTTGATTCTGGATGTCATCCATTTCAGCGATATCGTTGCGCAACTGCAGGAAGCAGGACTCAAGACCGTCTCAGACTGGACCTGGCAACGCCAACTGCGCTTTTATTTCAATCCAGATGATGAATGTGTGATGAAGATGAACGATGCGGAGTTCCTCTACACATACGAGTACCAGGGTATTCCTCCGAAGCTTGTACATACGCCCCTTACTGATAAGTGTTATCTGACGCTAACGCAAGGCATGGCCAGCGGCTTCGGCGGAAATCCATTTGGGCCTGCTGGTACAGGGAAGACAGAGTCGGTCAAGGCCTTAGGTGTTCTTTTCGGACGGCAAGTTCTTGTATTCAACTGCGATGAAGGCATAGACTATAAAAGCATGGGAAGAATCTTCGTCGGGCTGGTGAAATGCGGCGCTTGGGGATGTTTCGATGAATTCAACCGCCTTGAGGAAGCGGTTTTATCGGCGGTCTCGCAGCAGATCCAGACTATACAGGCGGCTCTAAAGTCTAAAGCAGCATCGGTTGATCTCCTCGGCCGAGTCGTGAACCTGGATCAGAATTCCGGAATCTTTGTGACACTCAACCCTGCAGGAAAGGGTTACGGGGGTCGTCAGAAGCTACCCGACAACCTGAAGCAGTTGTTCCGCTCTATTGCCATGACACACCCCGACAACGAGTTGATTTCGGAGGTGATTCTGTTCTCGGAAGGGTTTCAACGGGGCAAAGATCTGGGAGCCAAGGTCGTGTCGGTGTTTGTTTTGTGCAAACAACTATTGTCGCAGCAGCAGCACTATGATTGGGGTTTGCGTCCCCTCAAAGCCGTGTTGGGCCTCGCTGGCCGTCTGTTGCACGCAGAGAAACGTTCGGGAACAATCGACCCCGAGCGCGAGCGTTGTGTCGTCGTCAAGGCACTCAGGGTCAATACTCTCTCCAAATTGACGTTCGCGGACAGCCTGCGCTTTGAAGGCGTAATGAGTGACATCTTTCCGGACGTCAACATAGAAGAAGTAGACTACCGCGATCTGGCTGTTGCTGTGAAGGCGGCTTATGCCGAGTTGAACTTGATCTACATAGAGTCACAAGCGGAGAAAATCTATCAATTCTATCAAGCATGCAAGCAAAGGATGGGAGTTGTCTTGGTAGGCCCTTCGGGATCGGGCAAAAGTACCTTGTGGCGGGTTTTACGGTTGGCATGGCAGAAGGTCGGCCAATCACTCCGCTACCACGTGTTCAATCCCAAAGCTATTGAGCGGAACCGGCTTCTTGGCCACATGGACATGGATACACGTGAATGGTTTGATGGTGTCCTGACGTCCGCCTCTCGCCAAGCGGTGAAGGAGCCTACGAATGTGCACACTTGGGTCATATCGGACGGAGACATTGATCCCGAATGGGTCGAATCATTGAACTCCGTGTTGGACGACAATCGATTGTTGACGATGCCGAGCGGCGAGCGGATCCAGTTTGGACCGAACGTGAATTTCATTTTTGAAACCCACAATCTCACATTTGCGTCCCCGGCCACCGTCAGTCGAATGGGTATGATCTATCTTTCCGATGAAACACTGGATATCAGGGCCCTGGTTCAGGGATGGATTCTGAAGCAGCATGAGGATGCCCGCGCACAGCTGTCTCAGTGGGTCGATGCGTACTTCTATCGGAGTATCGATTGGGTTCTTTCCAATGCCAAGCTGGTCACCGACACAAGCAAAGTCGGACTAGTTATGAACGGACTTTCGCAGCTTGGGAGCACTCGCACACACATACAATTCCTTTATAGCCTGATTCGAGGGCTAGGGGCAAACGTTCAGATCGAAGATCGTTTGAAATTTGCTAACGAGCTTCTCCGGTGGGCCAACGAAGAGTCACAAGATCCAAAACGCACTCTGGACTACTTCGTTAATGATAACGGGAGCCTGGATCAGTATTCTCTGCAGGAGCAAACGGACATCAAGGTTGACATCGAAGATTTGGAAAACATCCCGCTCGTTCTGACTCCAGACATTCGCAAAGCTTTCGATACTGTGATGCCATGGATCGTGGATAACCAACCTGTGCTTTTGGTCGGCCCGGAAGGTGCTGGAAAGCATATGTTACTCCGGCATTGCTTCTCGTCCTTGAAATCAACGGCCATCGCCATGATCCACTGCAGTGCGCAAACCAAGTCTAGTCATGTGCTACAGCGGCTGAAGCAAACATGCACCGCGGCTCAGACGAGTGCCGGTAGGGTCTTGCGGCCGCGCGATGCGGATCGACTGATCATCTATCTCAAAGATATCAATCTGCCTAAACCCGACAAGTATGCGACAGTGGAGCTGATCCAGTTTCTTCAGCAACTTCTGACGTACCAAGGGTTTTACGACAGCAATCTGGAGTGGATAGGAATTGAGCATATCCAGATCGTTGCCTCGATGAACCCTTCCGCCACAATGGGAAGGCACGATCTGTCAACTCGATTCACCTCCGTCATAAGACAGAGTTTCATCACGTATACCGACCGCGATCAACTTCAATCGGTTTATCGGCTGTTGCTTCAGCCTGTGCTCGCCAACGCGTTCCCCGGTCATAAAGTTTGGACATTGCCCAGAAACGTGCAAAAGTTGGCGGCCACGATGCTATCCGTGTATGACTTTTTGCGCCAACACTACACACCTGATGTCAAGCCTCACTATCTTTTCACTCCTCGGGATCTGACCCGCTGGACCATGGGGATTCGACGTTATGAGCTAGTGCATTCGGAACAGGACGAACTGCTCAACATCATCGCTTATGAGGCTCGCCGACTCTTCCAAGATCGTCTTGTGGGATCGAGCACGAAGACCAGATTCGCTGACTCGCTCAATGGCATCATCCGCAATGAGTGGAACCACGAAGTAGATATTGAAAGCAAAATCTACACCGCGGCCCTTAGCACGGCCTCTAGAATCAATCTCCATGGGAGAAGGGGTCTGACAGAAGTGAGCAAACAGGACTTCATAAAAAACATCTTGGATGCACTCAAGATCTTCGAACGGGACAATAGAGATTTGAATCTGTCGCTGATTCCGGAAACCGTCGAGCAGATTGCTCTAACGGAGTGGGCACTGGGTCAGCCTGGAGGTTCCCTCTTACTCGCGGGCCGCCCTGGGGTTGGTCGCCTGCAGGCCGTGTTGATTGTCAATCACATGCTGAAACATAAGTTCTGGTCACCAAGCGTTGGGCGTGGCTATAGCATGAAGGAGTTCTCCAATGACCTGAAGCAGATACTGCAAGCGACGGGTGTCAACGGTGAAGAGACCGTGCTGGTGATGGAAGACCACCACCTGCAGGATGCAAGCATACTCGAGAGCTTGAATAGTTTGCTCAGCGGTGGCGAAGTTCCTGGGCTGTATGCGCAAGATGAACTCGATGCCGTGCTCGGCTCTCTCAAGAATCAGCATTCCGAGGAGGGCTATAGAGGCAGCTTATTCGAGTTCTTTGTCACTCGCATAAGAAGGAATCTTCATGTCGTCCTCCTCATGGACTCGGCTTCGCCAGATTTTGTGCAACATTGCGAATCGAATCCAGCGTTCTACACCAGATCTCAAATCGGATGGGTGGAGACCTGGGCCCCCAGGAGCATGTTCGAGTTTGCTAAAGCAGGCTTTGAGCGTTCTGATGTTCTCGCCAAACTCGCAGATAAGGAGAAATTGATCAAGATGATCATTCAGCTCTTTTCTGAGTATAAATCGAAAGGGATCAACCCCCGGCATTTCAGCAACTACATGACGGTCTACGAGCAAATCTTCCGTCAGAGACAAGCATCATTTGACCATAAGAAGAAGTATCTGTCAGGGGGTCTGAAAAAGCTCAATGAGGCTGCCAAATACGTCGATAAACTTTCCGCTGATGCGAAAAAGCGTGGGGAAGAACTGGCTGAGAAACAGCGCGAGGCAGATGTGGCCCTGAAGCAAATCACCGACAGTATGGTCAACGCATCCGAACAAAAGAAGGAGATGGAGCAGCTGACGATCAAGCTGAAAGAAGAAGAAGAAAAGATGGTGAAACGAAAAGCTGCCATTGAGCAGGAGCTTGCGGAAGTGGAGCCGCTCGTCACAGCATCCAAGGCGGCTGTGGGCGATATTCGCTCGGATAGTCTATCCGAGATTCGTTCGCTGAGAGCGCCTCCACCAGCCATCCGAGACGTTCTGGAGGGTGTGTTGCGAATGATGGGCATATTGGACATGTCGTGGAATAGCATGAAATCGTTCCTCGGAAAGCGCACTGTGAAAGAAGAAATCATGAACTTCGACGCTCGGAGTATCAATAAACAGGTGCGGGTCTCCGTTGGCGAACTACTGAAGGAAAAGAGGGATTCATTCGAGGAAGCAACTATTAAGCGAGTCTCAGTGGCCGCCGCCCCGCTGGCTGCTTGGGTGAAGGCAAATCTGCAGTACTCGGCGATTCTCGAGAAGATTCAACCCTTGGAAACGGATTTGAATCGCCTAACTAAGTCATTGGATACTTCCCGCGAACGAGTCGACAAGTTGAGAGGCGAACTAGCAATCGTGGATAGCCGTGTGGCAGAGTTGAAGGCAGGATTCTCGTCAAAGACGCGAGATGCAGAGGTTCTCCGTGCGGGTTTGGAAAAGGCTGAGTTTACGATCAAGGCGGCCCAGGGTCTGCTCAAGAAGCTTTCAGGCGAAGGAAAGCGATGGGCCATCCAAGTGCAGGAAATCAATGAATCCCTCCGCACGCTAGCCATGAACACCCTACTGGCTTCTGCATGTGTTACGTACCTAGGAGGCGCCACGGAAGACGAACGTAGCCGAACCATCTCCGAATGGCAAAAGATCGTGGATATTCCAAACTTCAGCTTCAAAGAAGCGATGACCACCGAAAGCGAACAGTTGATCTGGAAGTCTGAAGGCTTGCCAGCGGATGTTCTCTCGGTTGAGAATGCGGCCATCATCATCAACTGCAACACTACTCCGCTGATTGTGGATCCATCCGGCCAGGCAGCAGCATGGTTGAAGACGCATCTCGCTGAGCGGAAACCTGAAATTGTCAACCAACATGATGACAACTTCATCCGTTCTCTGGAATTGGGGATACGGTTCGGAAAGACGCTAGTCGTGCAAGAGGTTACCGACATCGAGCCTTTGCTCTTTCCCCTATTGCGAAAGGATTTGCAGAAGCAAGGGCCTAGATCAGTCCTGCAGATGGGCGACAAGACCATTGACTACAACGACGCTTTCCGATTGTACCTTGTGACTCGTAGGGCTGACTTTGTCATCCCCACGTACGCCGAGGGGTACATCCAAGACATTAACTTTACCGTCACGAGGGCCGGGTTAGCTGGACAGCTTCTCGGCGTGACGCTGAAGCACGAGAAACCCGAACTCGAGATCGAGAAAATGAAGCTTTTGAAGAATGAGGAAGAGCTCAAGATTCAGCTGGCTCGTTTGGAAGAGTCGTTACTGTCCGAACTCGCAAACTCACAGGGCAACATTTTGGAGAACAAGACCCTGATAGATTCTTTGAACGAGACGCAACAGAAAAGCAGCGTCATCGCGAATGGTTTGCAAGAATCGCGAAGGCTGCAGGAAGCGCTTGATAGGGAAAGAGACAAGTTCGCGCCGCTATCCAGCTTCGGAAGCCTGCTGTTCTTTGCCATGGCTGATCTCGCAAGGCTGAACAACATGTATCGGTTCTCGCTTTCCTCATTCTTGCGCCTTTATTCGCAAGCCTTGGGAGCAGAGTCCTCGGCAACTAATGACGGCACGGAGCTGCGTGTGCAGTTATTGATGTCGATACTGGAAAAGTCTTCGTACAACTACATTTCACGTTCAATTTTCAAAGCGGATCGGCATGGTTTTGCACTCCATCTTGTGCATTCGTTGCATCCAGAGCTGTTCGACAAGAATGAATGGGAGCTTCTAACCGGCTCTATAGTGTCGGTCGAAGAGACGCACGTGGATGAGGTTCCAGGATGGGTCCCTGCCGAGCGCGCTGTAGCTTGGACGCAGCTCGAGGTATGAGGACATTTGGCTCCTCTTTAAACCGGGAACGGGAAGGCTAACGCGATGCTTCTAGACTTCTTTGCCGTCCCTTGTGCAAAGATTACAGAAAACCGACTCCTCGCTCTGGACAAGATGGTTGAAGCATCCCAAATGCGAACTTGAGGGTCCAGTACCGAAGCTAAGGTTAGTCACAACCGGCGATCACTGATGAGGCGAGAACTCTGCACTGACCCCATTCTTTCAGCGGAATCCAAAGAGTACTACTTGTCCAGGCGTTACGACCGGACCGGCTGTTGAGTGCAAGTAAGTCAAAAAATTACCTCGTTCTGCATCCTGGATGCCATGCTAATTCGCGGGAACAGTGACTAGTTTCTGTTGCGGTGTCATGGGATTACCAACCCTCGCACCAGCCGCGATGAACCTGGCCAAAATGTCGGGCGAAGAGTCCATTCCGACCGAGCCGATCCTATTCATCACCACTGCGGGAGCAGATCCCTCAGACGAGCTCCGTGAACTCGCTGTGAAGGAAGTCGGGGAAAGCAAATACCATCAAGTCGCCATGGGACAAGGACAAGGTGACACCGCGCTATCGATGCTGCGAGATGGCATGAGAAGCGGAGGATGGGTCTGCCTTCAGAACGTCCACCTGGTTACCAGCTGGCTTCCCATTTTGGAAAAGGAGATTGCTTCGAGTAAACCACATGAGAAGTTTAGATTGTGGCTCACCTCAGAGGCGCACGCCAACTTCCCGAGCAGCTTGCTGCAGAATTGCCTCAAGATTACGGTTGAAGCTCCTCCTGGTGAGTTTTTGGAATGCATCTGGTCCGGGCAGTTTCGTCCGACCAGCTAATCTCATCGTTTCGTGTACGTCATAGGCGTGAAGAACAATCTGCTGCGAACCTACGAGGCGTGGACTCCTGCTTTCATCGCCGATGGCCCCGTGCACCGAGCGCAGGCACTGTTCGGGCTAGCATGGTTCCATGCGGTCATTCAGGAACGCAGGACATACATTCCTCAAGGATGGAACAAATTCTACGAGTTCTCGGCTGCCGATCTGCGTTCAAGTGCAGAACTCATCAGCGTGAGTTCTGGGTTCTCTCCATCTTATATTTGACTGTGGCTCACAAGGTCGACTCTGTTACAGAAAATGTGCTCGAATGCCAAAGCTCCGCAATGGCAGGTTCTCCATGGATTGCTGGAGAACGCAATCTACGGCGGAAAGATCGACGAGCCTCATGATGCTTTGAAGCTGAGGACCTACTTGAAAGAGTACTTCAACGATGGTACGTTTATATCTCTCCAATCCGAATATCTCGCGAGTACCGTCCAACACCGACTGCTTCAGATGTCTTCACAATCGCTGGCAAAGCCCCGACCAAGAGGCTGGGCAAGGGCTTGTCACTCCCAAACGTCACCGACCACACGGCATATCAATCTCTCATCGGGGATCTTCCGGATATCGACGATGTGACATCTTTCGGTCTTCCCGGCAACATCGACCGTATTTTGCAACGAAACACGAGTCAGATAGTCATTACCCAGCTGAAGGCTTTGAGACGAGTCGACAGTCATGGTCAACAGTTTGACAAGGATGTTTGGACGAAAGAGCTCGGACCATTTTTGCAGCTGTGGCGGAAGGTATGAGAAATTCTGAATTATATCCGCTCCGCCTACTTTCAACTATACTAACCTGTCGGACGGACGATCAGCTGCATAGTGGACAACAGCTACTACAGAAGAAGGTCCAACAAGACCCAAAAGCTTCGCCTACGGAATCATTTTTTGCATTGGTAAGCCCATGCAGATCTCGTGTTTGTCATTTGCACACGTTGCTCAACGTCTTCCCCGTCTCCTTTAGGAATTGACCAATGCAATCACTCTGCTGCTTCGTATCGACGCTGACTTCAGAGCGATTACAAAAGTCATCAAAGGCACGATGTTACTGACGAACGACGTGATAAGCGTCGCACATGCATTGATTCGCGGCGAAACTCCTCAAAGGTGTGTTGATGCAGAAGGGTTCCAAGCGTCTGACATCTTTCTAACAAGGGTCCTTATATCATAGCTGGATCGCCAAATGGGACGGAGGACCGGAAATCCCTCAGCAATTTCTCAAAGAGGCCGTGTCAAACACGATATCGGTGGAGAGCTCACTGCAGAAAGCCTCCACCGGCACCTTATTTACTCAGCCTCTGAGCCTGGCCAAGCTGTTCAACCCAGTAACATTCCTGAACGCTTTGCGACAACATACATCTCGCCAACGTAAGTGCATTGAAGTAGATTTGTGCGGCGTGACGGCGACTTGGCTAATGCAAACGTCCGTTCCCCAGTGAAGATACCAATGGACACTCTCAAATTGACGACATCGTGGGATTCGAAACAGCTCTCCACATCCACAGCCATGATCTCTGTAGATGGCCTGTTTCTGCAAGGAGCGTCCTTCAACGGAACTCGCCTATCGGAGGCCCACGCAGAGGATCCTACCTTCGTTCAAGTGCCCCTGTGCAATATCGCGTGGGTGCCAAAAGACCGAGCCGAAGGGACGCGGGGCATCATCCAGACCCCATTGTACACGAGCCCTACCAGGGAGAAACTGGTTTGCAATGTTGGACTACCATGTGAAACTACCGGTGCCGAGGCCTGGATCCTCGCCGGCGTCGCTCTATTCCTGAAGGCAGATTGATGTCCATAGATTGTATACACTTGTACATATGCTGTCATCATACATAAGAGACTTCTAGATCCAGTGCAGCGCTCGGTTCCAAATTCGCCGTATGTGTTATGATGCGTTCCTGGATGTCTCGAGCTCGTTCGTCGCGTATTTCCCGTCCGCTCCTTCCTGCCCCTCCTTCCAAATTCCTGATCGCCTCTAGATCCTTGTAAGATCACCCAGTATCTTGCCCGTTTTCATCTCCACTTTCCGCAGCAGATTTATTCTCCCAACGAAATTGTTATTCGACCAAGCATAACGTACTGAGCAACCGGGTCGAGGGCAAAGGGGGGCATTTGGCTGAGCGAAGGTCAACCCGAAGGCAATGGAGCGATCTGATGGGTGATCCCTCAGCTCAACGTGCCTCCGGCATGTGGAAAACGGTCCTGGAGCACATTTTTGCTGAATAAACAGCAGCACGATCCCCCAAGAGATCCCCCCAGAGGTCCTCTGCTCAGCTCAAAAGCAAAGCGAGCGAAGGCACCGGGGCATAGGCGTAGATTCCATACCGTGCACCTCAACAAGGAAGAAAGAACACCGGAGAGGCGTAAGACCGACAGGTCGCAGAAGTCTCGTTTTTCCGGTTGCAGTTGTCCGTTGGCGGTGAGTTCAAGTGAACTAAAAGCACTCCTTTCCGCGTAAACTCGTCCGTCTGAAATCTTCCAAGGTCTCACCTACATTACTTGCAGAGTGTCGCCGCCACGAATACCAAGGAAGTCTCACCGGACACACCGAGCGTCTTGCGGAAGACGTGCAAGGAAAACGAAACGGGTGCAAATGCGGATGTGCAATCATCCTCGTAAAGATTTCAGTTCAAATGAGGAATCCTACCACGATTCTCATGTCCGAATCAGCGCGCAGTGACATAGTGTCGTTCCATGGGGGCGTCGCTGTATCCGCTGCATAGCGAACAGCGGTTATGATTGCTGGCGCGACATCCTGGTCCCCACATGGAACTGACCTTTCAGCTATGCCAGCCGTTAGATGGGAAGCTGGTTGGGAGGGTGATCCCAAATGATGAGTTTGTGGTTAGGGTAGTGTGACTTGCGCTAATAAGTGAGGGGATTACGGCCACCCCAAGCGCCCAAAGCAAGCACATGAAGCGCCTTTCCAGTTGACAATCATAGGAGAGCGACGGCGGCTTTCTCGAGACACAGACAACCTGCGCGCTTTGCCGACAAGCGAGACCCAGAAGAAAAAACAAGGTGCACATACACACATTCCCCCACCCGGCCACGACACAGCAGCAGGTACATAACCACACACACACGGTTCGGTCCTGTCAGCTGCCCCAACAGCTTCTTGTTTTCCGCCACGCACCCTCGTCATTTCAGCGCCTTGTATTTACGATAAAACCGACTGGTGCATCTCTGATTGGCCGCTCCTCTCGAAATTATAGGTCATCTCGTGTTGCATATTAGGTGCGTGAGCTACTTCGCCTTTGTAAGCCTTCTGTTGCGCTACGGCTCTATTGCGTCGACCGGCTTTCGGAACTGTTGTGTACTCGAAGCGTGGCTAACCAGCAACATCCACGTCTGTGCTTTCATCCACAGCCCCTCTCTCGCGCCACAGCCTGAAATTCGACCAGCAGAAGCGACCCCGTTCGAACTTGTGAGTATAGCAGCCACCAACGTGACTTCACTACTATTGCTGCTGGCCCGGCGTGCGTGAAGGCGTTACGGGGCCGATTTTGGGATGGTCGTGATTACCAGTCCCTAGCGGTACTATAGGTAACTGACCTGCTCGGGTGTTTTCAGGTATATTCTTTCAATGGCCGAAAACCAGGAAGTAGACGTTGACTCTGTCATCGAGCGACTGCTAGAAGGTAAGCTTTGCATGTCTGGTCCGATTCCGGTCATCAGGTTACAATTCCGGGATTGGCGAAGCAAGAATCAGGATCCCCAGCGCTGACGCACTTCTCTCTCTATCCTTCGTCATTCGCCACACTAGTTCGAGGGAGCAGGCCTGGGAAACAAGTGCAACTCGCTGAACACGAAATCCGATATCTTTGTACGAAGTCTCGTGAAATATTCATAAGCCAACCGATTTTGCTCGAGTTAGAGGCCCCCATCAAAATCTGCGGTGAGTTTATCTTGGCAGCTTGCAGTCACACATGGCATCCGAGGCTCAAATTCGTATCGTATCAGGTGATATCCACGGACAGTACTACGATCTTTTGCGATTGTTCGAGTACGGCGGTTTCCCACCTGAAGCCAACTACTTGTTCTTGGGTGACTACGTTGACCGAGGAAAACAATCCCTGGAGACCATCTGCCTTCTTCTCGCCTACAAAATCAAATACCCGGAAAACTTCTTCATTCTGCGTGGAAATCACGAATGCGCCAGTATCAACCGTATTTATGGCTTTTACGATGAATGTAGGAGCATTCATGATCACGAAAGCCCTGAGCAATACCGACATATGGAGCTAACATGAACTTGACGCTTAGGCAAACGGCGGTATAACATCAAGCTCTGGAAAACCTTCACCGACTGCTTCAACTGCCTTCCCATCGCGGCCATTATTGACGAGAAGATCTTCACGATGCATGGCGGTCTGTCCCCAGACCTCCAGAGTATGGAGCAGATTCGACGAGTTATGAGGCCTACGGACGTCCCTGACACAGGTATGCCCCACCTTCATGCAGCACACTCCTGGAACATCACTCACGGGAAGCACTTGCGAAATAGGCTTGCTCTGTGATCTTCTGTGGTCGGATCCTGACAAGGATATCACTGGCTGGAGTGAAAACGATCGCGGCGTCAGTTTTACGTTTGGACCCGATGTGGTTACCCGATTCCTACAGAAGCATGATTTGGACCTCATTTGCCGCGCACATCAAGTAGTGGAGGACGGATACGAATTCTTTGCAAAGCGGCAATTGGTCACGTTGTTCTCTGCGCCAAATTACTGCGGCGAATTCGACAATGCGGGCGCTATGATGAGCGTCGACGAGACGTTGATGTGTTCGTTCCAGGTGCGTTGTGAAAATTATGGCACGCGTGTGGTGAAAGCCTTTCCGATGTATTTCGGTTCCATTCGCTCATGATGATCTCTTCCGCCCAGATTTTGAAACCGGCAGAGAAGAAGCAAAAGTACGCCTACGGAGGCATGAACGCCGGAAGGCCTGTGACACCACCGCGCAACAAGAAGAAGAAGGAGATGGCGAAAACTATGTAGATGCACCGTATCTAACCCAATTCCTTTGACCTCCCATTTTCTCACGCCCCATTGAGCGCCACTGTGGGCGGTCGACGCGAAACCCCTTTCGGAAGACATCCAAGGCTCAACCCTGCTCTCTCAAGGCATGGGATGAGAATGCCGTGTCCTGGTGGAATAGATGACATGAGACATGAGGGGTTTTAGGAGCGGTTGTAGGCAAGGCGACTGTCGAGGTGGGAGGAATTACTGGGCGTCGCTTTTAGACGATCTTTTTGTGTTTTGTTATTACTTTTGAAAATTTCAACCCATATCATACGTTTAACTGCCTTGTCAAATCCTTGCTAACGGGACGAAACTGGAATAACGCGACGCATTGCACGCGCCATCGACTGCGCCACTTCCATTCTTGGAATATGGCATGACGGCTGGAATAGCTTCTCACACAAGTGTTTCCGGATATCAGCGGGACGTGTGGTGCACGTCTGTAAGCCAAACTTCTGGGCCGTTAGAATCCAAGGATGTGTCCTCTGGCAGACAAATACTGCGAGTCTCAAGCTCTTTCCATGTCCAAACTAAGGCTGAAGTCGAATACACATCTCTCCTGGCAAGGGAGAGAGGTGGATTCTTAAAGAGAGGGGGAACGCCTGAGGCAGGGCACTGAGCAAGGAAAACTCTCCGCTTCAGTTCGTATTTGGGTCGCAAGGAAATTGAGAGCTTAAAGATTTGTCGTACTGTCGAGTGGCGCGGACTTGCGATTCGTTTTTGCCCTGAATTAGAAATGCTAACCGTGAACCTCATCAGTCGGTACTGGTATGCATGGCCGGAATACTATCAGAGTCTACAGACTTGATTTCGTCCTTGCATTTTTACGACGATTACGATTTTCCCTACCATCAGCTAGCACGGGTGTTTCTGCTTCAGAAACCATGTATAGTGGTTGAGAGAACGTCGGGCGGACTTCGCATGGCGGAATTGACCTTCGATGTGCGTGGTTCGCCGCTGGCGGCATACCAGCCATTGCCCCGGTGTATTCACTTTCCCGATGTCGAGCCAGCTACCTGTGACAATGTCAGTTCCTGATGTCCGTGGCGATGTCGAATGCGTCAAAGAGCAGCTGGCGCGTGCAATGCGTCGCGTTATCTCAATTTCTTCCCGTTCACTTCAGACTCCCAACTTCCAGCGTAGCCGTATATTCAACAATTCGGAGGTCTCACAGAAAAGAGTCTCTTGCAGAATCCGCATATAGAGACTGTATCTCTAAGAGAGCTTAGGACAGCATAATACTCGTTGTGCCCGATCTTTGAACTTTAGGGGACTCCTAGACCGCTCGATACAGGAACGTAGCGGGATCGAACTTTCAACTGCTTCGACGTTGAGCGTCCCACATGTCCAATACCACAGAAGTATCAACCCGGGCGGCCACCGCAACAGCAGCGGCCGTGCTGCCTCCCGCTTCGACTTTTGGTCACCACGCCGTCCAATTCACATGTGGTGCATTAGCAGCGTGCGGGGCGGTTACCTTCACGAACCCGTGGGAGGTGGTCAAAACGAGGCTGCAACTTCAAGGAGAGTTAGAACAGCGGCGCTCTTTGGCGGCGGGCGCGACGCCAACGAACCGCCCGTATCCCAGTGCAGTGTCGGCTCTGGTCACTATCGCCCGTAACGAAGGCTTGCGGGGCATTCAACGTGGACTTGGACCTGTAAGATAGCCAGGTTTCTCACGGCATAGTGGGAGTTTATTTCAATATGTTCATGCATTCCTATTCTCAGGCATACTTCTATCAAGTGCTGCTGAACGGATGTAGACTCGGAATGTACGAGCCGATCAAAAACGGCTATCAGCGGGCGATCAATTTTGTGTCGGCATCGAACCAGACGAACCAGCTGCCAGCGATGATCCTGGGAGGGGCCACATCTGGAGTTTTGGGAGCGAGTATAGCGTCACCGTTATACTTGGTGAAGACAGTAAGTGGAGACGCAGGCCATTGCGTGTCAAGGAATCCCCATGCACTTCTCGTTTAAACGCGTGCTTTCCCAGCGAATGCAATCATATACGACAGCAAAGAATGCGGCGGTGGGGGCGCAGCATAGCTATGTGCAACAAGGGACTATAAGCGCTCTGCGGCGGATCTATTCAGGGGAAGGCATCCGCGGCTTGTGGCGAGGAGCAGACGCGGCGATGTTGCGGACGGGAGTAGGGTCGGCAGTTCAACTCTCCAGCTATGAGTCCTTCAAGAACATATTGGCAAGGTCAGGGTGGTTCGATTTGAAAGATGGACACGGAGGATTAGCATTGCATCTGGGAGCCAGTGCGATTACGAGCTTCTTCGTTTGTCTCGCCATGAATCCGTTTGATGTAGCCAGCACACGAATGGTAAAAGCTGAGTGAAGAGCACGACTTAGCCGTATTCACTTTCTCACCGTTCGGACTCTCTTACAGTACAATCAGCAAACGGCCGCTGATGGCAAGCAAGGTGCTCTTTACAAAAACGGCATCGATTGTTTAGTGAAGAGTGTGAAGGCGGAAGGCTTTGGGGCCCTCTACAAAGGATTCTTTGCCCACTATCTTCGCATCGGGTCAGTAACCTCCGCGCAGCCTATCCGCGATATGAAACTGGACCCCTGACTTCACTAAACTCTACTTGCAGACCACACACGATTCTCACGTTCGTATTCTTTGAGCAACTGAAGAAGTTGGGGCGGTGGATTGATTTATAGAGGATCATCAGGTCTTAGATGAACCATTTAGACGGCTGTTATATGATGTATAGACGTCCCGCGTCCCTGCAGAGAAGCTCTAGATATATACAGAGTAGGTACAGTAGATCGAGCAAGAGTAGGGGACGGCTTGATTAATAGCAGATTGGTACCCGGACGACTTTCATGTTGGTTAAGACATGACGACATCAACGACTAAGGACCCCGGAATGACGAGCGAGGAATCCTGCGGTTGAATCAAAGAGCGTTGGCATGCTTCAAAGGGTTTCATCACCGTAGCTTTGCATGAACATACCTTTCAGCCACGCGTTATGCTCTGCAAGCAACGTTGCGGTTCTCGAATGGCCTACTTCCCAGGCTCGTTTCCTGTGCTGTGACGCCAATGCGCTATTCCCTGGGTCTCGGGCGTGTGCGTAGTCAACGACACGGGAGGATGTTGCAGAATAGTTAGGTTCGGGGTGTGACGTTCGCGTTGGTGATGACCGCGTAGGACTGATGAACGTAAAATGTCAATGAAACATCTCCACCTGACCACCTTATCTCATTCACGGTAATACCTGTATGTCGCACTACCTATACCCATCGCCCTTTTCGCGCTTCTCCCGCGCCGTCCGTTTTCGCTGGATTCGATTGATGCTTTGAGCGCGCCGAGAAGCGCGCCCAATTCTCCCTCAACAGCGCTACTAGCTACTCGCTCGCTACGATGTGGTGAACGCTATAGTGCGATAGGCTTTGGTGAGATCTTTTATACGTATACGGTGAAACCCCCAACATAGGGAAAGGAACCCACGAATTACCTGAGAATGGCCCGTATAGTCGTTATTCGCGTTGATTAAGAGCTTGATGACAACATGAAGATTGGGAAGACGAGTGCGAACGCCGTCAGGAGAAGGACGAAGGAATAGATTATGTCACTGGCGTGCATACCGAGGAGATGTCCGCGATATCCTTCTGCCACTTCGCCTGCGCATCGATGAGTCCGCGTTGTTGAGATCCCAGACTTTTCTGGTGCTTCTTCAGAAGCGTTTTAAATTGGCGAACGTGGGACTCTCCTGTGAATTGATCATCTCGCCTACTGTTCGAAAGGTAAATAAGCTATCGGCCCCGTATGGGAATATGTGTCCTACCGGGGCGGTGAATGCCGCACAGGCTCCAATCGAGATAGCTCGGTGTCCACATCCGAGTCGTTTGAGTCGTCCACGGGTATAGGGCCCTCATAAAGACCATCGGAAACTGAGGGCATCATCAAGATGAGTTAGGAGCTACATCGTCAACTACCGCCTCGAGCGAAATAGGATAGACTACCTTCATCTTCCTCTTTTCCAACATTGTATCGGTTGCTCTCTAAGTAGTCATCGGGATCTGCTAGCGACGCGGCGACGTTCCTAAGCTTTTGCTGCACTTGCGCTTTTCGTTTTCTGACTTGATTATCTGTTGTAGACCTCTTAGGGCTTCTCCTGCCCGCTCCGGCAGCGCGCTCCTGGCGCTCAACCCGCGCTTGCTCCAAGAGCAAGTTCTTCTCGATGTCAAGCAGGGCCGACCGTTCTTCGGTGAGATGGTGCCGTTTGATTTCTAGCTCTTTCTCAAGAGCTCGAATCCGAGCGTGCTCGTCTTTTACAGAACTTAGCCTCGCTTGCCCTTCATAATCGTCTTCACCGTACGACTCGGACCGCGGTCTGTCTCGGCGATGACTCCGTGCGCTACTGGACAGTCCCGGAAGAGCGTCCCTCTCCGACATGGCACCCAGCTGATCAACAATATCCTCTCTACGATGCTTCAGCTTGCGCTCAAGCGCATCAAGCTCCTCCTGCTCGTCCCTCAAGCGCTCCTTTTGCGCCAACAGATTCGCGATCGTCATCTCGTTCACCTTTTGCAAGGCGGCCAACTCAGAAGCCCTGTCGTTGTCATGACCATCATTGCTCAAAATGTCCAACTTCGCGCGCAATTCCTCTTCTTTCTGCTTCACTTTCTCTTCCTCGGCGCGGATTCGCGCGTCCCACTCCTTCCTCAAATTGCGAAGACGAAGCTCCTGTTGCTCCTTCTCTTCTTGTCGTGCCTTCTCTTCCCGAGCCTCTGCATCTTGTCGCACCTTCTGCAATCGGACGTCGGCATCACGTTCATTCGAATCACGCATATTCCGCTCACGCGTCTCTCGTTCAGCTGATAGCTTCTTGATCAGCTCGTCTATTTCCTTCCGATGCTCTTCCTTGGCACGCTCGAGAGCTCTGCGATGATCCTCCTCTGCGTCTTTCTCTAAACGAGAACGCATGTCCTTCAGTTCCTTCTCCAGCTTGCGCCTTTCGTCCGCCTCAGCTGTCGCTCGCCTCTCGGCAAATTCATAACGGATCGCGCTTAGCTCGCGCTCGTATTTGGCGCTTTCAGTCTGTCGTGCAACCCTTAGCGCCTCGGCGTTCTGGCGAGCAACGTCTGAGATCTCCGAGTCGATGCTCGCCTTTGCGGTGCTGATCGCTGTCCTCTCGTCAAGCAATTGGCGCTCCTCTTCCTTAGTCTTGTCAAGCTCTCGTTGGAACTTCTGTCTCAAAGCCAGAATGGCTTGATCCGTCCGCTCCCTTTCCTCCTGCTCGGCCTTCCTCAATCTGTCTTCGTTATCCTTCTTCAACTTTGCGATGGCGTCGTCAGCGTTCTTCTTTTCTTCGGCCTCGGCATTCCGCACCAAAGTTTCGTACTTCTCCCTGACTCCCTTGATAACTTTGACGCTTTTCTCCTTCTCTTCCCTCTCTGCCGCCTCAACCTGGTTCTTATATTTGTCCCGAATCTTCTCTGTTTCCTTCTCGAGCGACTCCTTCTGCTCACTTTCCAGCGCTTCCAGCTTCTTTAGGTTCCCTCCAGTCGCTGTTGCAGCTTGTGTCGATTTGATGGCAGCGGGACCCTCGTCTTCAATCGAACTCACACTCAAACTAAGATTAAAGTCGTCATCATCGTTCAGAGGCTTTCTATCTCGCCCGCCAATAGCAGGTTTGGCCGTGGCTACCGCTACGGGCTTTTGCGTACGCGTCAAATCCTTGCCCCGCAGGACACTGTCGATGATCTCATCATCATCCTCGTCGTCGAACGCATCCCAATCATCTTTATCTACTTCGTCTCCATCTTCAGAATTGTCGGCATCCAGGTGTGGGATGCCCGTTTTCAGCGGGACCGGTGCAGGTGCTGGTTTCGCCTTTTCGAGAGCTGGCAAAGCTCCTAGTTTACTGGGGCCGCCTTTCAATGCTGGTAATGCTGGAAATGCCGCCAGCTGCATGAAATTGTCTCAGCAATGTGGGTACCATCCGGAACCTCGCTACGCTACATACCTTGGAAGGCTTCCCACCGACGCTGTCGTTCCCCTGCTCGAGTCAAGATTGAGGGTCGTGGCTCAGAATCAGACCGCGGAGCTAGCCTGTCCTTACCTTGTCGGCACCAGAGCCTGGGACACCCTTCGCCTTCTCGGTCTCGTACAGCTTTTTATAGTGTTCGTCACAAGGATGGTCCCATATGCTCTCTCCCGTCGTGAAGTTGAAATAGTAGATGTTTCCGTCATCCGTTTGGCTGGACGGGAATATACAGCGTTAGCAGGTTGATGTTTCGTTTCTGCGACATGGACGGCTGGCTTACCATGGCTTCCAGTTTGGGGGTAACGGTGCTTTCAGAGAATCTCGAGCAATCCATAGCAGATGTTTCTCCTTCTCCGTGTCGATTCCAAGGAACTTGGCATAGTCAATGATCTCTGTGGAACATAGGTGATACCGACGTGAGCCAACGTAAATGCGTGATACAAGACCTGATTGCTAGCCATCTACTACCTTCCTGTGTTGGCTCGTAATCTGCATCATATCTGTGGAAAGGCGTCAATTATTATTCTGACACATGCTGTCTGACAAACGGCAAAACGACCTACTCTTCTTCAAGGACGGTTTGTCTCGCGCTCTCCGCAGAGACGGCTTCTGCGGTTTGAGGTGGGGACATCATGCGAGGCTTATGCCTACGGTCTTCCTTAAGGGCCTTGTCGTGAAATAAATTCTGAATACTTTCTATCAAGTCGCAGGTAAAGTTGAGGAAGACTATGGCTTTCAGGAATGGATTTGAAGTCCTACGTTTGCGAGCGCCTCTGAACGCTTTGAGCGCGTCAAAATAAGCTTAGCTAATATCGACTTGCAGCGGAAGACGTCGTGACCGTATTCGACAGCGCGTCGAGATGTCAGTGAGCACTGAGCCCAGCCAACTTCCGTCCATGTGGAGACCAGCTCAGGCGGCCAATAATATGTGGAGATCATGCTCAGGGAGAGGCGAGATGTTTCCTGAGCATGGTCATCCCGCTAATTCAGATTCAATTCCGACCGTAGCGGCCAAAGTTGTGGAGAGCAAGACTGAGAGACAAGGCAGGCTTGGGTATAAATGGGAGCCTGGAAGACGAGCCCTCGACACTCTCCGTGGGTGCCTTCCCCCTCGTGTGGCATAAATCCAGCACATGTCAAAATTATTAGGTATGGATCCGGGTCTGGATATGGTCATCGTAGTTGTTTGTCATGTGGACCAGTCTGACTGTGTTTTCTTCGAAGGATTATGGGTTCCATCAAAGCTTAGGCTCGGACCTCCAGGTGATACCGACACCATCGATCGAGGCGTGTCGCTCCCACGCAGCCTTCCTCCGTCACTTGCACACTACCACTCAAACATCGTACCAAATGGAATCCTACAAAATCGTCCGAACAATCGGCGTCGGCTCATCCGGCTGCGCCCGCCTAGCCTACAACTCACAACGGGAGCGGGTCTGTGTGAAGGAAGTACCCCTCGGAGGCCTGACGGCGGATGAATGCAAGACGGCCATCCGCGAAGTCAAAATCCTCAAGTCGCTCCCGGAGCATGAGTACATCGTGAAGTACCGGGATGCGTTTGTGCAGAATGGGAGTTTACATTTAGTTTTGAGTTATGCAGGTATTGGATCGGTTACAAGTGAGGACAGGGGAGACGGGGAATCTCCGGAAGCTGACGTTTGATGACGATTAAGAGCGCGGAGATCTGGATGCGTACTTGAAAGCTCGTCAGGGGAAACATCTTTCGGAGAGCAGGATCTGGCGATGGTGTGTTTCCGTTAATCGTCCCGCGGCATTCAACCGCTTCCATCTGATACGTCGCAATGCACACAGGGCTGTCCAGATCTTGCTAGCCGTTCAACACCTACACAGGCATAAGATATTGCATCGGGACATCAAGACCAAAGTGAGTCGATAACTGGTCCATCACCGCCTGCATTTGCTCACCATCCCACCCAGAACATTTTTCTTTCAGAAGCCAATGATTTGATCCTTGGAGACTTTGGAATCGCTCGATCATTGGCATCCACGATGGATCGCGCACAGACAGCCATTGGCACTCCGTTCTATCTGTCACCAGAGATATGTGAGCGGAGACCGTATGGGTGGAAAAGTGATGTTTGGGCCATCGGGTGAGAAGGATATTTCAAAATCGAGTCGCTTACTATCTGTCTGTCCCTGAGATTGCGATTAACGCAACGACTGTGCACAGATGCGTTCTGGTACGTTAAACGGAGGTATAAGTTTTTAACCAATGTCAGCATTCAACAGCGGGTCGTTTCCAGCATGAAATGGCTGCTCTCCGGCACGCCTTTGAAGCCAAATCGCTGAGTCAACTGTAAGTGCTCTTTGATATCTCCCGTCTCCATTATTTCCTGGTAAGTATCACCTTCCTGACTTACTCATCCTCGCTACACCCAGGACCTCACGGATTCGGAAAGGCACCCCCACGACCACAGTTCCATCCACACACAGCACGGAGCTTCGAACCCTGATCTCCTCCATGCTGCAAACCGACCCGGACGCCCGACCGTCTGTTGATGAGGCGCTGCGGTGGATCCGAATGAAGATGAGGGGCGGGGAGGGAGAAGCGAAGGAGGTCAATCTACCGCACGATATCAGCAATGACGCGGCAGGTCGGTTAAAGCGCCGTGCACCGACTCGATCATCAAAGAAGACAACGTCCACCAAAGAGGAGTCAAATGTTGGAAGAAGACATGAGCTCCGGCAGCCGGATGGCGAGGACGAAGCACAGGATGCTGCACCACAGATCAATGTAAAAGCCTCACAAATGCCTATCAACAATCGAGAGGCATGCCAATATGAATGGCCGGAGGGCCCAGGAATGTTCATGGATATCATGGTAGGCGCATCCACGTCCGCTACTTCAGACATTGTGCTACCGAGCCTACGCTCACTCGAAACCCCGCGCCAACGCACTTGCTGATGCAAGAACCGCGTCAACCCATCAGACTCGATCTTCACACGCATCGAGATCGCGCGCCTGTACATTGAACGAGTCATTGGCCTTGACGCTCTTTTAAAGGTAGAGTTGACCCGTACGCGCAAGTGTACCTCAGCGAAACTGACCGGTGTCTTCGACCCATTGCAGCTATCCGGCCGACCAGGCATCCCACAGCCCCACGAAGCGCACCGGAATTATGGCGGCGAAGGCGAAGCTGATGACTACTCAGCACGAGAGAAAGAGATGGTCAGGCGACTGGGTGAGTGCCCTTGCGGCGTGGGTCGATCTCTGCGACTGGATTGAGGAAATCTGATAAAGTTTGCACCAGTCTACTTTGAGTCTCAGGCGTATGGTACTCAGATTTCATTGCTGAAAAACCGTGCAGCCAAATCTTCCGGCGTATAGTGTTTTAGAGGTAACTCCCTAGATAGGATTGTGTCCACTATTCTATCGCCTATACTTGAACGTTGGAAATTTCTATCCAAATCTGCTCCTAGCGATGAGGAGCCCTCTAAAGCTTCGCTTGGGGCTTCAGCTCCTTGAGAATCGCGTCGAGCTCTGGAAATATGACCTTCGGTTAGCTCAATACGGTCAAACCACACCGGAGTTCAAGACACATACTCGTCGCAAGCATCATGTTTCCTGCGTAACGAGAATCGCGGTTGTCATTTAGTTAAGCTGCATGAATGTCCAAAACAACGAGTGCACCATGGACAGGGAACTGATCTACCTTTGATCTTGAGTTTGCCGCCCATAAATGCCTTCTGTCCGTTGAGCTTTCCAGATGCGAGGTCGACAAAGTCCTGATCGTGAATTATGGTTCAGTTCTCTGTCGCCACCAATCGAGATCTATACATATTTACCTTATCGCTGATTGTGATGACAATGTCCGGCTTCTTCGCTGGTGCACCGGTGGTCACGCTCACATCGTCCTTCAGATCCAAAGTCCAAGTCTGGACCTTTCCGTCACCCTGTAGTTTGGACGTCGCCCATCGTCAGTCGCAACTTCCGCAATATAGACGCGTTCAAATGCAAGCACGGACCTTAACGTCGAATTGGAAAACGGCCTTCGCCTTCTTCGCGGTAGCTTCCTTCTGCTCCTTCGATGCCGCGCCAAGGCCAGCCTAGAGACGGTGGGCTGATAAGTACCAATGATTGATGTTCGCAGAGGAAAGGAACTACAAACCTTAATTTGAGAGAAGATGGCAGAGGACTGGAACCCAGGGACTTCCACACTTCCTGACGATGCCGGAGCTGCCGCTGGTACTGGGGCAGGTGTAGGCGCAGGCGAGGGTGCTCCAGGAGCAGCGACAGCTGCAGCCGCACTTCCCGCGGAAGCAACTGGAGCGCTCTTAGCGGCCTTCAGAACCACGTCCAATTTCGTTGCGAGCATCATCTACGAGTCAAGTAGGCCAAGGTGAGATAGGATAGCCGACATTGCACATCACACCCGACAAGTAAACATACGTTTCCCTTGATTTTCAGCTTCCCGCTCATAAATGCCTTTTGGCCGTTCAGCTTTCCACTTGCCAAGTCCAGGAATGTCTCATCGGAGGTGTTGATGGTGATGTCGGGCTTAGTCTCCGATTTTCCCACAGTCACCTTGCCCTCCTTCTTGAGTTCCAGAGTCCAAGCCTGCTCCTTTCCCTCGGCATTCTTGATAACAATCTCAAATACGCCATTGGCCTGCTTGAGGATTTGCTTCTTCTGAGCTTCGGGGAGGGTTTCGACTCCGGCCTTAATCTGGTCAAAGACGGGACCGGACTTGAAACCTGCGACGTTAACTGACATTTTTGCGGTGATGCTGCGGAGGGACGGTGATGCTGCGGAGGGACTTGGCAATGTGTCTGAGACTGCGTTTTTATATGGGATGACTGTTGGCGAGAGTTGAGCCGATTTTCGCAGGCTGGCTTGCACGCTGCTGCTGAAGCACATGTCAAGCAACCAGTTGGGACGGTCGTGACACATCACATGTGGCTTGACGGCTGGGCGGTTAGGGTTACGTTAGGGACAAACCGGAAGTCAATGGATCTGGATCTCCCACGTCGGACTTCGGAGACAACGACAAGAACAGCAACCCGCATCCATCCAGCACTGAAACAAAACCGCTTTACGAACCGGAACAAGTTGGTATATTTGTACGCTCACTCTAAACAACAATGACTAAACGCTACTCCACTGGGCAACTACGGTAGGGTAAATAGCTTCAAACGTCTCGTACAGTTTGGGGTAGGATGTCTTCATAATCTTCGAGTCCTCGGCGATCGCAACGAACGTCGCAGACACACCGGCATCGACCACTCTGTAAACGACTTGCATAACGACAACCCCGGCAATAAACGCACAGTAGGCAATGGCGACTGCTTCCGCCATGATTGGGTTGGAGCCACAGAGGGGCTGGCTCTCATAATCCTGCTCAGGGAAGTCGTCGCAGGACGGGTAGCTTCGGTACGAAGGCAAGGCGGCCATGGAAACCCCATAAGCCCCCATCGCGGAAGCGAGAGCAACGCCAACGGCGAGGCAACCCATCGTCCACGAAATCAGACTGTCGTTGATGACAATATTGATTCCGGAGGACTTGAACAGTTCCCATGTGTCACGGGCAGCGTCGACGTAGCTCTGGCCGTAGATGGCAACGCGCGCGAATGCGTATTTGTTGAAGCACTTCAATAGCGAGAGGAACATGCCGAGACCGCATTGGCAGCATGCGCCAACGAGCGAACCGTGCCCGACGTTGGCGAAGATGGAGCTGATGAACTGCGCGATGAGGACGACGAACGAACCAAACGCGACGGAGCCGAACGACGTGGTGAAGGTACGAACAAACGACGCTTTGAGCGGGGAGACGGCGGTTTTGCCGGAGAAGTAGTGGCTGGCGAACGCGCCCGCGAGCACGGTCTGCAGCGCCATCGGAATGAACTGGAGGGTCCAGTACGCGGAAAAGATCAGGTAGACCAACCCGAACCCAGTGCCACTCTTGAAATTGACGGCATCGAGGTACATTCTGTTGGGGTTGGTCGGATCCTGGGAGACTTCGATCGTGTCGACTTGGTATACGAGGAAGCCGATCCACCCGGCACCGGCAGCGAGAGCATAGAGGGCGTGAACAACCAGCGCTATGGAAGACGCGGCATACATCGACGTTCGGGCATCCATAACCTCAGTGACGGTCTCGACCATCACGATGGTGAAAGCAACGCGCCTCTCCCATCGGCGGATCATGTATCCAAAGATGGCGGCGACACCCAAGCTCATAGCCGCGGCGGCAAACGAGGAAGTCAGCAGCCCGATGGCAAGGAGACTGAATCCGACGATGGGCACATACAACGCTACGTAGGTAGTTTTCCTGGCACTCAGGCGAAGACAGCGCAACGCGAGGATAGCGAGGAGGATGGAACCGATGAGGGACAGAGGGAGGACGTAGAACGCCGGGTGGACGCCCTCGTCACCGCCATCACGTCCAAATAACCCATTGCCGGACGGAATCTGATCCGCGATACGACGAATACTCGACTTCAGATTCGCAATGCCGACAATATTGATAACGGTGGCGATAAACAGCTGAGCGACAAACACGATGCCGACCCGGAAATCACGGTAGGTGTTCACGAAGGCGAAGCGGTCGGATGGAACGGGGCTTGGAAAAGGTTCATTCTTCTTGGTCTCCTCTTGCGTATTTCTGGGGGCGGTTTCGTAGGCGGGGCTGGGTATCGGCTGGGAGTAGGTCGATTGGCCGAGGAGGTTCGCCGAGTCGCTGTAATTGATGGGGCTGGAGGACTCGGGCGATAGATCTATACTGTGTTCAGACATATCTTTGACCACAATGAAAAAATCGATATATGGGAATGGTTTGGTGGTGGGGAAAGGGGAGCGACGAATGACATTTCCTTTTATATGTGGGCCATGTAAATATTAGGGTTGGCGGAGAGGTATTTGATATCTTGTGTCCTTCATCAATAGGGTTGTCTATTTTTGGCAAGCTGGTCATAATAGCGGACACCACTTATCAAAGGACGAGTAAGTACGTAGGATTTTTGGGACAAACACAGTAACATCGCTGGACATCTTGGTAATAAATTCCGGTCTTATTGTTCCCGTAGCTTCCGCTCTCTGACACCACGGGTTTGGTTCAACGGCCTTTGTTACCCGGTGCTGCTGAGCCCCGCAAGCTTTCTCCTGTCGGCCTGTTTGGGCGGGTGCTGCAAGGAAACCCAGGCACCCCCAGTCTGAGCCCAGATTCAACAACAATATCGAAGTGTAATTGCTGTGTTGGTGCGAAAAGCAGAGACCAATTCGGACTTGCACAAAATGGTAAGGCATGTCGGGCTCTCTTCAATGACGCTTGGAGAACTGAACGACTCAATTGCTGACTCAATTGCCCTGATGACCGAACTCGAAGAATCGCCCCGACGCCGAGGACACTACCACCCTTTCTACCACTCTGGACACCGACGACCTTGACACATGCACCGCGGTCCGCAATGCTAGTCTTGCGTTCGACGATAAATTCTCGGGTCCCAAAGTGAGGCATACGTATTGACTTAAAGACAGGGCACTAATAACATGACTTGGCACACCTGCCTACGCACTGGGACACACTTCGTACGTATGGCTGTCTATGTACAATTGGGATTTCTAACTTCGTGGGAGGAAGCGTGAGGATGGTGTCGCGCACGTATCAAGTTTCCAAAGACATCTTGCGTTGCAATTCGTTCCAATTTCACTCTTCGGTATCAGACTCGTGTTGCTCGTCAGGGTCAGGTATGACTTCACACCAGTCAGCCTTCGACCCAGGGGTCGTTATTCCTGACGCTGTTTCCGCCTCGAAATCGGTGATGGAGGTGTCGCTCGACTCATCCGCAGCGGGTTCAGGCACATTGAGCGGCGACGGTGTTAGCTCAACCGCTACCTCCTGAACCACGGTCTGTTCCACGACGATACCACTAGGTGGTACCGTTTCCGGCGGGTCGCCCAGTATCCCTTCCATATGGAGGGACACGTTTCGCTCCTCGTCGTCACTCAACATGTGGTATGTTGACCGCCTTCGCAGCATTGTGCCGCTCTGGGAGCCTACTGGTGCGACGGCGACGGCCCCTTCGCGCCCGCGCCCAAGGGATTGCATGTCTGGCGAGGGCGGTGACTCTAGCGTCAGTTGGGTGTCCTCGTGGGGTAAACCTGGATGCTCTTTGCCGTCCACGGAAGTGCTCGGCAGCGCAGAAATCATCTCCTCTGTGAGACCTTCAGGCGAAGCAGCAACCGTGCTTAAGATTTGAGGGGCGGGTTCTGATGAAGTGGATGCATCAGGGACAGATCCGCCGATGGAGCTGCTGCTCAAACCCGTCATTTTGGTGCTATAGCTGATGTATGGTAGCCGACCATTTGTTCCGCCCGCTCTGCTGAATGCATAGGAGTACGCGGACCCTTTCACGAATGGCGATTGTCGCCCGTCAAATGATGGTGGAGGCGTGGCGTGCATAGCGTATTGCGGCGGCGATCCAAACGGACCAGAGTGGTAGGATGGTGCCGATGACATGGATCGCGGCGATAAAGCCATGTTCGCGATGGGATACACACTCGCAGGTGGAGAGAAGCCTTCATCGTTGTCCATCTGCTCGATCAGGCGCGCGTCCAAGGTCTCGTTCAGTATCGACTGCTCTTGTCCTCGCTGTGCTTTGTCCGCGTCTTCTGGGGTTTGCGAGCCGCCTGCGATGCTACTCGCGCTGGATGTGGGCGCAGACTCATCGCCAGGACCCCTGGTTTTGAAGCAAGCCACGAGAACTCGCCAGACCATGAAGAATGCCAACGTCTCCCAGAACATGATCGCTGCTACGAACACGGATCCCGTGCTCAGCTTCCAGTGGTACATGAAGTATCGGAGTCCCTGGAAACTTGCGTCGATGTGCAGAGTGGCTTGATACAGCTGGAGTTTGCTGTCGGACAATCGGACGAGAGCATGGTGCGTGGGATGCTCCTACAGAGTATATAGATGGTTAGCCTAGGGTGTCCGTGCCCTTTACATCGCTAAGATCCATAAAAAGTTACCCTCATCTCTTCATATTTCTCCACGAGCGGTACAAATATGCTTTGTGCTTCCTTTGTCCACCCAAATACCAGAGGCAGCCCTTTCCAAATGGTGAGCATCGTCCGCAATAAAGGTGTTCGATATTGCAAGATTCCCTGTGATGGAACAACACGTCAGCCCTTCAACCTCCGGCGTATCAGTCAGTCACTTGTTCTCGCCAACTCACCGTTCTGCTGGAGGATGCCAATGTCTTGTTTGCTTTCGATTGGAGGTCTATGTACACCATGAAATTGCCTAGAGTGGACATCAAGATGTGAGCATAATCGCTATGCAGTCGCATTCGGAACATTCATTCGACCTACCCAGATCGAAGTTGCTGTGAGAATCAGGCACTGAAAGTTCCAAGGCAAAGTTGTAATGTTGTTCGGGCGTCAAATACGTGGACTGTCGTACGACGAGATCGGTGGCAAGTCAGATAAGGAATCGTTAAATATCGTCTGATAAACAATTCCACCCGCACCTGTCTGCTAAACGTATTCGCCGAAAAGTCCACGAGGGCATGCGGGTGCATTGACGTCTCGGGTGCTCTACAAAGATCATGCGTGGTTGAGCATGGTTGGATGGTTGAAGCCCCCGGGAGTAGAAGATTGCGGTACGGGGCTGACGAGAGTATTGCGTATTTGGCGCAATGTGGTGCTCGCTTCCTCGCAAACGATCTGACGCTCGCTGAGGGCTCGCTAAGAGCCGTGGTTAGGGGAGTATTGCGCCTTTGGCGCAATGTGGCTCGCCTGCCTCAAGCAACCCTTCGCCTCGCTACGCTCGCCGTGAACTCACCCATACTGCAGATACACTGGTATTGCGTGAGTGACTTGCGGGATGTATATGCAGTAGAAGAGTCCATATATCGTCAAAGCAATGGTGAGGAGGGCGCCAAATAGGGACCCAAAAATCCCAACGTTGAGTGCGACTTTCTGGGTCTTTGTGGACGAGACGCCCTCATATCCGAGCCGCAGATATGGCTCCAGGAAGGTCGATACGGGCCGGACGACATACTCCTGCGCCGCCTGCGTAGTTCAACAGTTGTCAGTGTTTTCTGCTTTTAAGGGAATTACGGTTCGCAAAATATAAACAGTGGAACTTACGTCTCGAACACCGAGCATTGTGGTGATTTCAACGGCCAATAGTATAGAAGCTACGCCAGATCCGAGATGCAGTACAGACGTGGAAGACTATGTATGAGACCTAACAGTATTCACACATGGGTTGTTTGGCTGTGATTGCAGTGGTTCTCACGTTGCGTGGGAAACGGAGAGAGCAGGAGCAGCGTTCTGAGGTCACCAAAACAAAATGTCACGCTTGTCACGCGTTATGGTGATCTCCACACACAGTTCCCCACCGGCAATCTTCACAATCTTCTGCAGCATTTGGTAGGCTGGTGTTTGACTGGCCTGTGCTCCGGGACAGGTGTTGTCGTTCCTGCGCTTCGTGGAAACATGGCCGCCTTAGTATGTCCCCGCTCAGCAGAAGTAACGTCTTTGGCAGGCGCTTCGACAGTCACGTCGCAAGGGAAGAGGAACTTCGGAACATCCGCCAAATCCATCGATACCTCGATTTGCAGTTTCGAAACCCGTTCAGGCGGCGCGATGGCGTAGAGAGAAAGGATGTAGAGAGGAATCGCTGCTTTGGCATCGGGGAATCAACTTGCGGCGTACATCAACTTGCCCATGACTATAATGCAGTATTTGGAATATTTAGTGGTTTTCCGTCACTATGTGTGTGCAACGTATGCAACATGATTCTATGCTGTACAATGAGTGCATTTTTCATATGTGCCAAGAAGGTCTTGACCAAGCATGGCATCATGGAATAACGAAGCAATACGAGTCGACGAAAGAGGTGAGACTAACAAAATATGCGTGTTTCCAAAAATGTTCAAGACTATAAGACAAGATACGAAGATACTGCGAAGCCACTAAGGTATGCTAACTGCTGCGAAAACTATGCGACGCAGGACGCCGAGACATCAGAAATGGGGGGAAATCTAGTCTATTGCACCATCTCCGACAAGATGGTATCGTAGTGACGGGCATACACCTCCTTGTTGTGCTTGGCCAACAGTGCGATCCTCAACGACAACGCCTCGAGCTCTGTTTGCACAATGTCCAATCCGGCGGATGCAAGGCTCTCCCGCTTGAAGGTACCCTTCTCGAGCTGGTACCGGATGGCGGCCTGCACCCTGCGGCTGATGAGGGAGAAGACCGGGTCCTTGTAGGAGAGTGTCTTCTCCACCATGTTCTTGATTACAGTCTCTTGTTCGGCGGACAAGGGCGCAGAGTCGGGGCGAGAGGAGTTGAGAGTGGCGATGACTTGGAGAGAGAGGTTGTCCAGAGTGGTTGCCTTGTCCTTGAGGAGGATGAAAAGCACCTCCTTCAGCTTCTGCACCGTTGCGCGCTGGTCACGCAGCTCACGCAGCGCATTCTTGGAGAGCATGATCAACGCGGCGACGATGGTGATCGCCTGCCCCTCGTTCTGGAAGCCGTATAAGCGCTCCGCATCAAGCATCATCGTCTCGGCGAGCGTGTCCGGCGCGATCGCAGTGTTGGCAAAGACGATGTTCAGCAGCGCCTCGTTGTACACGTTCTCGTACTTGACCCGGTTTTCCACTGACTGGATGCTCTCCGGGTTACGCGCGGCAACGGTGCTCGCGACCGAGTTCACGGCTGCCGACAACCACGCGCGGGTCCGGTCCAAACTGACAATCTTGGCGTCCAGAGCCTCGTCGAACTTGGTGCGCTCGTACTCGACCGCCTGGGTCTGAAGAACGGGTCGCAAAGCCTGGAGGCGGTAGTTTGCCAGATCGAGCTTCATGTCGTCCAAGATGGTGAGGACACGCTCGAACGCTTCGGCGAGGTGGGCTGATTGGGCGACGTTGCGGATCGCTGCGTCACGGACGGGCGCGCAGAGCTGTGACATCTTTTGAGTGATGTACTGCAGGCAGTTCATGACGTCGAAGGTGTTGCGCTCGATTTGCTGCTTGACATGCTCCACGTCGAGAACGTCCTTGATGTTGTCGGCGAACTTTCCCTTGTCAGAGACCATCGAGAGGAGGGACTATACAGAGAAACCGTTCGTTAGAATGCGCAAGGAGTGATATGGGCAACAGCAGCGATTATACATACCTCACGGATCTGAGCAATGAACGCAGGCACGTGACGGTCAAACTTGCCCTGGTTGAACTCCTCGCGAACCGAGTCAAAGAACGCTTTCTTCGCCATAGCCCGGATCTGCTCTTCCAGCGGCTCGCGCTGGGATGGCTTCAGTTGGAAGTCGGGGTCCATGACCAACTCATGCGCAAGCTGAGCGTTGCTGAGGTTGCTTCCGATGCCCATGGCAGACAATTGCGGGTCAGCGGTCTCCATGGTGGACATGGTCTCCTTGACCGCAGCGGCCGTGTCAACAGATGCCGCTGCCGCGGGAGCGCTCTTGGCGGTAACCTCAGGTGTGCTGGAGCTAGAGGTGGAAGCGGATGAGCGGCGCGCGGGGCTCACAGAGTCAGATCGACGCTCGGGCGAGGAAGCCGCCGATGGGAAGCTTTGCGGGGAGGTGGAGAGGACATCCACCGCCGGGGCGTCCAAAGACTCGGCGGTGGCGCTGCGGAGCTGCTCACGCTCAGCGGCCAACCTCTGCAAGGCGTCATCACCGAACTTGGCCAACTTGGCGTGGATCTGCTGCTGTTGCTCCGCGATGCGAGGAGCCCACTCGACGTCAGCCAGCGGGCGATCCTTGACGGACAACCACAGTTTCTCCAGCTCCATAAAGTGCGCGATCATGCTCTCCACAATGCGTTCGGTGTCGGCGCGCTTCCACGTTTGGAAGGCGGCGTAGTAGTCGACGTAGGTCTCCCAAAAGGCCTGAGTGGGGTTGCCCTCGACGCTGAATGCGGACATCCAGGATTCGAAGTCGCGAAGCATCGCAGAGGCCTGTTCGCTGAGGGCCTAATGGAGCATTTTGAGTGTTAGTAAGCAGACTCGAATTGACTCGATATCGGCGAGAGGCATCGTACCTTCTCAGACTCTCCCATGGAAGGCATCAACTCCTCCGGGTGCGCAGCCAACATGTAAGCGGAGAGAAACACACGAGCAGGGTTCTTGAGCACCATACTTGTCTTTGGTACCATCATCTGAACCCGCTTCAACAAAGCCGCAACGGCCTTGATCACCGATGGTGACTGTATCCTACCAACAAGCTCCTCGAATGGCATCTTCATCGCCCTGTCGAGAGTGATCTTAAATCGACCGAATGACTTGATCGACGGCTCCAGCTTCAACTTCCTCCACCAACTCTGAATGCAAACCACGGCATCCGCAGTGAACATCTGCACCTGTCCCTGCTCCCATGCCGCCTGCGACTCCTGAAGAAGGCGTGATCGCGGTGTCGTGAGCAACCGTTGGCGACGAAGGGATGTCAAGATCAAGCGCTGTTCAAGCGCCGCCTTCCGGGCAGCCGTCTCCAGAGCCGTTCGCTCCGCCTGCGCCCTGGCGACCTCTTTGGCATGCGCGACGGTATCGGCGCAGGATTTGACCTGTTTCTCCAGGATGGCCTGGCGGTTCTGCTCGGCGTTCTGCATGTCCTGATCTATACGGGATCGCTTGGCGGATGTGTCGCCGTTCTCGCGCATGCGGGTGGCCGCGCACACCGCTTTGACGTGGGTGGTGCGGCGACGGAGACGGCGGACACGGTCTTCGATGAAGGCGGTGTGACGGGCGAAGGCGGAAGCCCTAGGTGTCGTGCTGCGACCACGCAGGCGCGCTTCGAGATGGTGGGGTTTGCCGGCGGGCTGCTTCAGGGGAAGGATATCAATGACGAAGAAACCACCTTTGGTGCTTTCCATGTTGACGGCTTTGTGAATCGGGATGAGGGAGTGGGTGGCAAGTCCGCTAGTAAGTTTCGCTGTGGGGTTTCCTGAACTGCAGAGCTTTGATTCGACTACTTTCGACGGCGGCGGTGACCTCTCTAGCAATTTCTGTGATTCAAAGCAGTCGCTCACAACTAGATGGAACAGAAAGATGCAAGAAAAAGCAGAAGTCGGATGGTTGGCAATGAATAGTAAGATCTACTAGGTGTGATATACAGGCAAACAACGTCTTTTCGGGATTTGAAAAGTAAGCGGGAAAGAGACGGCCATCAATCTACCCACCGACAATATATGAAGCCTCATCGAATGCCCAACAGATGCCCCTTCCTTGTTTGTGGAAAGAAATAAACGACGCAATATCTCCATATCACTTTCACTATCTTGCTTGACAAGAGCAAAAAGGTGGAGAGGTCACTGCTGGCAGGCAGTTGACTATGCGCCACGCGTTCGCCGAAACCCGAGACAAGACAACCCCGCTGCTATTTTTGGCAAACGGCCGCTCTCACACCGGCGATCGATATGCACCCTTGGGGCGGATGACGTTCGTCGACTTTCCCTCACCGTCGGGCGGTAACAGCGAGAGAAGAACAAGAGCGGAGAGCGAAAACCGCGATTACTCATCACAGTTCCTTTTGGGAGGCATGAGTCATGCATGGCGCGCAGCCTCGAAGACAAAAATCTGGGCAAATTGGTAAGGACAGGGTAAAAGGAATCTGGGAATCTTGGGAATCTTGGGAATCGAGTTACATATACAAGTGCGGAGCATAGAGATATAGACGCCTCTATAACAGCCATACTCCGCGTGACGCAGGGATTGCCTTCCTTCGGTCTTCCGCATCTCACCCGTTGTAAAGAAGTGCTTTCGGTAGGGTGGGCAGGACTGTGAAAGCATGGGCTGGGGCTTGTGCTATCAAGACGTCTCGTTTCTGAGCTTCTCGTGGTAGAAGAAGCAAATCAATGCTTGTGCTGGACGAGTTCCACCTTGCATGTAGAGTGTAGACGCATGTGCTGGGGCCCCAAAGTCGAAGCGTTGCTGGTGCGCAAATGAGCGGCTCGACGACGCTCTTCCCATACATATTGCAAGTATTGTCGGTGTTCTCGTACACCACCGGACTCTGAGACTCAGCAGGACCGTGTGAGACTCCTCAGCGATGGACTTCAAACGATGGACTTCAAATCAATGGACTCTCTCCGAAAGCGGCCTTTACATGCGCACGACTCAGAGTTTCGAGTTCGAAAGAACCGACGAAGTGCTGGAGGATGCTCTTGGGAACCGACTCAATATGAACGGGGGTTCCAGTGCTGCAGCACAGAAAGCGGGGTGGAGCTTCTTGCCAATTGCTACCCAATGCTTGGTGGTCACTGTGCCGCTCTCTAATCGGCATCGGATAATAAATAATTTCATATTTGACGCGGCTGGGTGGCCAATTGAGGCGCGGGTCATAAGCATAATGGTAAGTGCTTACCTGTTAAGAACCAGGGCCCAGACCCCCCCCCTATACAGGAAGCGCGCGATTGTTTAGACCAGCGAAGCTCAGTTCTACGACCCTCAGATTGGCGAGTGATTAGACAGCCGCGCCAAATGAGGACCCCGGCTTATTCACATCAATCATGCTGTGCTGCTGGTAGCTCCGCCTCACTGACTGAGCGTGGTGCAGTGGTGCAGCCTCAATTTCCAAAGTCAACAGCTGCACAGAATATCAGTGAATAACTACGAACTCCGGAACTTCGTGAAGCGTTGGACCCTGCCTCTAAGAGAAACCGTACGTTCTCAAGGAGCAGGCACATAGCGTTTAACGCAAGGAAGAGAAAGCAGAGACAGATTCGTGCGGTCCTATTCATTTGCCGACGGATTTCAAGTCCTTCATCGCTGCAGTCATGGCCTCGTTCGATCTTCTGAAGCTGCCCGTCCAGGAGACGGTCACCTTGGTAGCCAACCACTTGGCTCAGGTCACGACCGCCAACGACAAGATACCCGGAAAACAGCGTCTTACGAGATTTCATGCTCGGAGCAAACCGTCGATCGACGTCGCGGCCTATGCCGCACGCATTCTAAAATATGCGCCGTGTGGGAACGAGTGCTTTTTGGCCGCGCTCATTTACTTTGAGCGAATGACGGAACCTTCACAGCGATACCTCACTAGCGGCTTCCGGCCGACGTCGCCTGAGGCGAAGCGAAGAGAATGGACGCAACAGCTTTCCCCGCCTTCACCAGTATCGCCACTATCCCCGAACTCACCAGCTGTCCCCGCCACTCCCACGAGCAAAAACGTCTCGCTACTGAAAGATATCGTTGTGGATTCATACAACGTTCATCGGCTGCTTATCACCGGTGTGATGGTAGCGGTCAAGTTTCTCAGCGATGTTTTCTTTACCAATCTTCACTATTCACGTAAGTATCGGGGTTCCCGATGCGGAATGTGGCCAATTGGAAATGATGTTGATCAAAGTACTGTTTGCTTACATACATATCTCCATCTATCAGGAGTCGGCGGGTTACCGGTTCACGAATTGAACGAGTTGGAGATCGATTTCTTGCTAGCAAACGACTTCAACTTAAACATATCCCTGGAGGAATTGCAGTATGCAGGCGACAGACTCCTGCAAGCAAGCAAGTCGTCCAAACTCGAGCCATCGCCGTCGCTAACCCCACCATCGCCGCACAAATCACATCAGCACAACGCATCGCCTGTGGAACAAAATTCCACGGCGGATGTAGAGGTCTCGGATTCGCGGGGCAACGGCGTAGCGGAGACTTCTTCCGTTTCGGCACCGTCGGTTAACACATGGGTGGGAGTAGAGAGAAGTGCAGGCGGGGGTAATCACGATTCACAAACACGAAACGAGTATATGGGCAGTGAAACCATTCACTCCGCATCGACAGCAGATTTCGCATCTCCACCTGCGTGTATGGAGCCTCGGTACGCTCCCGATCCCTTCTCAGCATATACCTCCCATTTCGATCCACGAAATGGCTCGCGGACGGATGAGAGCAGTCAGCATCACTCGTGGCATATGTATGGTGCTGCCGTCCATCATGATGGACATACCTTGCTAGCGCAAGGCTCCTTTCACAGGCATTCCAGAGGCAGCACGACATCGCCCTCCCACCACCGCATCTTCAAACCCTACGATCGCCCCACCTACCACCGACATCACACCATCTCCCCTCCTTACTCCTTCGACCGCTCGCACTCTATCCACAAGTCTCCCACCCGCTCACAAATAACACCAACCTCAACCTACAGCTCCCCACCCTACTCACCCCCCAACGCACCATGTCCACCTCACAGCCGCCAGTCAGTCTCCATCGTACCCTCTGAGCCCCGTCGAACGATGTCAATGGACGAGCGGAGGCTGCCGTCGCTCCTCATCCCACGACACGAGCGATCAGTGTTGCACCCGCATCACCCGCACTCGATACCTGATTGTGGACGGGTGGATTCGACCCCGATGAGGAGGCTGTTAGTGGAACGCGTGCATACGAGGGAACAGAACGGGTCGCCGGACCAAATGTCCGATGAGCAATGACACTGATGCTTACTGTTGCTGCTATTTCTGCTGCTGCCATATCCTCCTGGATCCGCGCTGAGGGCTTACGAGTCTAGTATGGATGGCAATTCGCCGTCCATCTATCCCTACTGTTGTTTGGTTTTTTTGCCTCTCTTTTTGTCCTTTTTTTGTCGGGCTGATACCATTTCACTATTCTCCACCCGTAACCCTTGCATAAGCCAAGGACGCGCTTACTGTGTCTCTGTTCCCACTGCACAGCCCCAAACCACTTTGTATCTCTGTAAATACTTCACCCCCTCCCCATCTTTTTTGTATGTCGGGTTCACCTCGCCGCCCCTCGTTCTATCTTCATCCCCATTTTGTCCCAATCGGCCGAAACTTAAGCAATCAAAGAATGGATCCTCATGTTTGCTGCAATCGATTTCGAAGGGTGCATGAAGTTCATTAAAGGTGTGAAACACATTTTGAAAGAGAAATGAGAAGAAATCAATGGAAAGTTCTAAATCTAAGAGATTCAGACATGTCATCATGTCCGCTGGGACGTTTCGAAGGAAATGAAAATTCGGGAAACTAGGCTGTCGGAAAAGGACGAACTAGGCAGTGGCGGAGAGTTTGGCGTACATGGCGTCAATCTGGCTCCTATACTTTGCCTGAAATGAGAAGGAGAATGCTCATCAGTACCGCTCAGTCCACCTCACGAACCGAGCCCAACGTCAGATCCATCATACCTGAGCCTCATGACGCTTCAGCTTGAACGTCGGAGTGTGCAAGCCGTTCTCAGGCGAGAATGGAGTAGTCTCAAGGTAAATATCCTTGACGAGCTCGAACCCCTTCAACCCTTCAGCACGACCGTACTTCGTGAGATCCTCCAACAGAGCCTTGCGGACGTCGTCGTCTTGGCAAAGCTCTGCGAACGGTTTGACGGGAAGACCCTTCGCTTCTACCCAGTGCTTCAAGGTATCTTCATCAGGGACTGTTCGGAGCGGAGTGAGATAAAGCTCGCTCGTGATGAGGCGCAAGCAAGCCAGGCGCGTTTGTGACTTACCGATGACGGCGACCACGACAGCCTGCAGACTGTCGCCGTAGACGAATGCTTGGGCAACAGCTTCGTGCTTCAGGTATACCATCTCGATCCTGCAGGTAGATATGGTAAGTACGGGTACGAAGGATGCTCAAAGAACGGTCTACTGACTTCTCGGGAGCAATGTATTCTCCTTGCGCAAGTTTGAAGATGCTACGATTATAAGTTTGGGAGTCAGCTGATGATACGTGTTCCAGAGCAAACGGCAGCACTGGACATACTTCTTTGCACGATCAATGATCTGCAATCGACCCTTGGGGTCAAATTGACCGACATCGCCAGTCCGATACCAACCGTCGGAGGTCAGAACCTCGTCTGGAGCAAGTGTGAGTCGGGGCTGTTAAAGGCGGTGCTAAGCTCCTCTTCGAGGACTTACCGGTCTTCTCTTGACTTTGGTAGTATCTTTTGAATGAAGAGTAGTGTGAGCTTTGCGAGATCTTCGTTAAGTTGGAGGACGCGCCTTCAAACATATTACCCTTTGAAGATGTTGTTACCCCGGATAAGAATCTCTCCTCTTGGAAAGGGTTGGTCCTTCACGGTGTATCCCATGCTCTCGACGTCAACAAGCTTGACTTCACAAATTGGTGACGGGCCTCCGATGTGGCCCGACGTGACATCGAGCAAGTCCGTGGAAGTGGACGCGCCTGGTTGTAGACAGTCAGCAACCTCCCGACAACCAAAGTACTAGATCGTCTCGCATCCTGTGTTTACCAGAAGTTTCGGTGGCGCCATAACCCTGGAGGACAGTAGCGGAGAAGCAGATCCGCAAGAAGTCCATGACATCGGCACTGAGAGGGGCTGCGCCGGTCAAGATCAATCGAACTCTCCCTCCGAGACGAGCGCGGACCTTTCCAAAGACGATTTTGTCCCAGAGGAAGTGCTTGACCGTTCCGCTGGCCAGGTTGGCCTTCTTTGCGGCGTAAGCTTTGTTGAAAAGTGTTGCAGCAAGGCCACCCTTCTGTTTCACACCATTGAACACCTTGTCGTAAATTCGGTTGTACAATCGGGGAACGGAAGCAAACATGGTGGGCTTGAGCTCCATAACGTCATCCAGAAGCTTCAAAGTGTCGCCTTGGAAGAATCCAAGGCGAGCTCCCTCGTAGGTCAGACAGACGAAAACCATGCGCTCAAAAACGTGAGCAAGCGGGAGGTATGACATGTAGCTGTCATCCTTGTTGTAACCGATTGCGTGCGGAGTGCCGTTCAGTGCTTCACATCCACCGCAGAAGCTCAGCAGGTTTCCGTGTGTGATGATGGCCCCTTGAAAACGAGCGGGCAGGGTTAGTGACGCGTTCCCTTTGGCGATGGCAAAAGTCCATTAGTTACCATACCTTTCGGCTGCCCGGTTGTTCCCGACGTATAGCAAATAGTGGCGATCGAATCCTTCGTGGGAAGTGTGCCAGTGAGAGGCTTCTCCTCTCCTTCGCGCTCCAGTTCCAGGATGCCAATGATCTCAACATCCTTCTCCTTGCCAGAGTTGATTAGCGCTTCATCAGCGCCGTCCATAACAACGATATGCTTCAAACTGGGAAGCTTCTCTTTGATTTTCAGGAGGATTGCAACCTTGTCCTTGGTGGCAACAACCAATGGAATCTTTGTCTGGGTGGAGATGAACTCAATCGCCTCAGCCCCGAGTGTGTCGTACAGTGGGACGGTAATGCATGAGTTCAAGAATGCCGCTTGCTCGGCAATGATCTTCCAAGATAGTCGCCGTTAACATGCTACGTGTGCACTCATCGTGAAAGGTGTTGCAGATGAATACACCCACCCATTCAGCCCGATTGATGGAGAACAATCCAACGGACGAGTCAACCGTCAATCCACGGTTGGCGAAGCCAGAACTGCAAACTTTGTCAGAGGCTGATCAGAGCACGACAAGAATAAAATGCCCTTACCCTAGGTTTTTGACCCTCTTGTTGACCTCATTGTACGTTTGCCTGTGGGGGAGGGGGGGGGGGGGGGGGGGGGGGGGGGGCGTAAGGGGGTCATGCCTGGTTCTGGCCTTCCCGTCCATATATCAGACCACTGAATTCCTACCAGACGTAAGGTCCAGCCACTCCGTTGGTAACCACACGGTGACCGAGATAGGGACTGGGGCCTGGCAAGCAAACAGTCAGCGAAAACAGTTTTGGACAGCCAAATTCCCACGGTCCATACCGCTTATCTTGACTCCACGCTGGAAGGCATCGACCAAAGTGGAGGCCTCTTGCGGGAGAGCGAGTAGAGGCTTGTCTGCCCAAAGTAGATTGCGCCTAGGCTACGAGCGTATGCACCACCGGTGAGTTCACTTATCCAGTAAACCGCCTGGGAGATGGGTGATCTCCGACATTACCGAAGGGCACGCGACCACTCACTTTAGTTTCTCCCGAAATTTCCGGGGCACCTGCGGCTTCCACGGACCATTGAGTAATTTGGGATGCCATGGCTTGAGCTGAAATGCGACGTATTATGAGAAGTAGAGGGGAGCGGCGGAAGTTGAACGGTCTTTTCTCTCTCGGCGGACTGTCCCGCCCGCAATAACCGGCAAGCTGAATTATTATTGCGAGACATGCTTCATCAGTCAGGACTCGGTAGGAAATGTCACAGTGCCGGGACGCGTGCCGCAATCTGCCAATCTGCCCACACCTCGTCCACTTGAGCCACACTTCACGATTCATTACGATAGATTCATTTGTGCGCCCCCACATGATGGCAGTAGGTGAGACAATAATAAGGTTTTGCACAGGTGGTTCCCTTATTTCCAGATTCCCATCGGTACAATAGATACAAGGTTCATGGGATGCCACCGTAAGAACTCGGGTCCCCCGTATGATGAACTGGCAAGTTAAAGCATAGTTCTTTCCAGGGGGCTCCGTTACGTTGTTCGATTTCCATCCGTCAAAGTTCGCCTCAAGTATTGGAAGAAAATGTGATTCAAGAAAGGATATGTACAGATTTTTCTCACTGCTCTTTACAAATATGGGGAATTCTGTAAGGTCGAATACTGCTAATGATTGAATGATGCTCACAAAATGTCTATGTAAAATGTCTACTTGGCGTAGGCGATAGCAACAGCATACGATCCGCTGTGACTGATGCTGACCTTCACGTCTTGGATGCCGGCAGCTTCGATGATTTCCTTGGCTTCTCCGTGGAAAACAACTTCAGGAGCCTTGTCCGTCGCCCGTACGATCTCGATGTCTTTCAAGGGTGCCGCTGCGCCTTTGGTCCAGACAGCTTCCGATGCCGCGCTGCTAACGGCCTTGATGACAGCTTCCTTAGCGGCCCAGCGTCCGGCGAAGCTTGATTGTGGTTCGGCAGCTTTGGTGCAGTAAGCCAACTCGCCGCTGGTGAAGTTGCGTTCGATGAAAGTGGCATTGTCCATCGGGATGTCGGCGCTGAGCTGCACATCGATGCCGACTCCCTTGGTCTCAGCCCACGGTCCGTTCTTGGCCGACGCCTCCAACATAGCTTTGGTCACGGTCAGGTCAGGAACCTTGACAGAGCGGGATCGTGCCTTGAAGTTCCAAGAGCCGGAAGAGTTGTCGTAAGCAGCACGGGCGAGCGGGTCGAGGTAGACAGTGGATTGCTGCTCAGACGTGTAAGGAGCGGCGTCCTTGACACGCACGAAGGGCTTGGCTCCGGTGAGCATCTCGTGGAAGTATCGGTACGAGTCGATCTGACGCTTCTGTCGGCGAGCGAGGTAGGCATCGAAGTCGGACTTCTCCAACGCGGCGAAGAGGTAGTCGGGGTGAACAACGAGAACTTCACCACCGGCTTGGCCGAAACCGAAACTCTTGAGCAGCGCGGCGCGGATACCGTCCGTCTTGATGGAGCGGCTTGGGTATAGTAGGTACTTGAACTGGCGGAGGCGGTCCTCGACATTGTCCAAGTTGCGGTTGCCAGGAACGATTCCGCTCTCGAGCACTTGTAAGACGCCGTTGAGCATCCAAGCTGCAGCTGCGCCCTTGGGGTGACCGGTCAAATGCTTCTGGAAGACGGTAGGCAAGATGTTTCCACGGGTCCTGCCCAAGTGGTCCATTTGCTGGTTGACTGCCGAAGATTCATTGTAGTCGTTCGCTTTGGTACCCGTGCCGTGGAATGATGCGACACCTGAAAGACGAAGATGTTAATATCTGAAAGTTTGTCACCACGTTGATGCACATCCCCAAAAACTTACCGATGTCGTCAATAGTCAAACCGTACGAGGCCAAAGCACCGCGAATAGGCGCAATGGCTGAATCATTCCTCCACCAGTCGTGGTTCCAGGTGGCGAGAGCCGCCTTTTCTCTCCTGGCAGCTTCCTTCTCGATGAAGGCAGTCCTTTCGTTAACAAAGTCCTCAACATCTTCACCGGCCTTCTTCAGCTCGTCAACTTCCTCTGCAAGGCTCTTGTACTGCTCCTCAACGGACTTCTTGATGTGTTCTTTTTCCAGGCGAAGCTGCTTCGCGCGGTATTCGAAAGACAGCAATGGGGACCGAATCTTGCCAGGGGCTTCACGAGCGGTTGTCAAAATACCTTGCCCAGGAGCAGGGATGGAACGGCCGTTCTTGTCCGTAGCGGTGCTGGTGCAGGCAATGATACCGCGGATTGGCACACCCATTTTGATCGCGAGGTCGGCGCTCATGAGGACGTGAATACCGGCTCCGTGAGACTCCATGAAACCAGCTCGGGTGTCTGTTGCAGGGCGGCACATGTCGCGAGGCTCGCGTCCCCGGGCAAATTCCTCCCTTGAGTTGGAGGTTGCTTTCATGTTGGCGAATTCGTAGGAGCCCTCTTCTTGGAAGTCGTCGTATCCTCCGCAAAGGACAACCTTGGCCTTGCCGGAAAGAATAGTGTCCACGGCGACTTCGACGGACTCCGCCGCGGTAGCGCAAGCTCCAACGGGTGTCTTGATGGGACCAGACGAGGACAAGAGCAGCATGTTGATCCACGCGGGCATGGTGTTGATGAAGCTCTCTTGCAGGATGTCGTTCTGAACGGGCTTGTCGAGCAATCGGTCCTTGAACATCTTCTGCATGGCGCGCATGCCTCCCATACCACCACCGGAGGTGTTTCCGACTTCGCTGACGTGCACGTACTGGTAGAACTCGTAGGGGTCCGTGACACCGGAGGTGACGAGCGCTTCGACGGTGGAGACGAGAGTGTAGAGTGTGATGGGGTCGACTTGCGAGACAATATCCTCGGGAACTCCGTACCGCTTGGCGTCCCATCCGGTGGGAATCTGTCCGGCAACAAGTCGGTCGAAGCGTAAAGCTTTGGGAACGTAGATGTTAGCGCCTTTCTGGAGGTGCACGAAGTACTGTTCGCCGCGCTGCTCGACGACGGCGGCTTCTCCGTGCTGACGCTTGAATGCCTCCGACTCCTCCTTGCTGACCTCCACAGGAGTCATGCCGGTGGTAATGGCAACCTCTTGCAACATCAACTTGCGCTCAGGGTCGTAGCCGTTGAAAAGCTCGGGTTCGATGAGACGGATACCGGAGTGCTGCAATATCTTGCTCTCGTACTTGGTCTTGACATCGGCGTCCTTGACGGGTTCCTGCGTCTCGACATCGATCCATCCAGTGTAGTTTGGGAGCTTCTTCAGAGGTCCGTTGTGGAACTTGATGAAACCCATGATCCAGGCCATCTCGATGCAACCCTCGAGCGAGAACTCTCCAGTGGATTCCTGGGCAGTTGAGAAACATCAGTATAGAGTTCCGATCGGCAATCAGGGGAAATAGGGGGAATATCACATACCATTTCCCAACGGGTCCTCGAACCTCCGAAAGGTCCCACTTCACCAAACCCGGTGACGACGACCACCTTCTCCAAGTCAAGCATACCGCGCAAGTGAGTCAATTTCTGGCTTTCGAGGTGAGGGAAATCGAACTTCATGTTGGCCTTGGGGGTGACGACCACATCTTGGTGCTTGATGGGGCCCTTTTGAGTCCGCTCGTCCAACATTCTCTCCCGGGCAACAGCACGTCGGATCTCGGAAGTCTCCAAAAGGGACTGGCGCAAACCGGAAGAGATTTTGTTAAGGTCGGCCACGAACTGAAGACCGCCGTTGAGATCGGCCCAGATGGGATCGTTCATGGACAGCTTCACGATGTTCTGGTGAAGGAGTCCGATGATGTTGAAGGCCATTTCGTGCGTAGAGAAGGTGCGAGCGCCGAGAGACTCGATGCCCTCGGCGACGATGTTGTTTCCAGACATCAAACCGGTTCCGCGGGTCCATCCAATAACAGCTCCGACAATGTTGAGGTAGCTTCCCCAGCTCTCGGAGTGGAAGCGGTTGAACAGAGTCTCAAGACCAATCTTGGACTCGCCGTAGAGACCGTCAGCGCCGAAGGTTCCGTGGTTCGGAGACATTGGAAGGACGACAACAGCTGGACGTGTGTCGTACTTCATAGCTTGCTTCTTGGATTTCACTTTGCCGATCAGACGAAGAACGTTTGTCAACAGGATGCGGTGCGCGAGCTCCGATCGCGAGTCGATGGAGTCAAGCTCGCGTCCTTCCACGCTGATGGCGGCGAAGGGAATGATGAAGTCCAGGTCCCAACCCAGGCCCTTGGGGTCGTAGATGTAGTCGACAAGGGCACCAACGTCCTGGAACGAAGCGCCGTTGAAAGGGACGAGCACAAGTCTCGAGCCTTTGGCACCGTGGCGCTCGAACACGCTGCGGTAGAACTCGGAGGCAGAGCGGCTGAATCGAGAAGTGGTCACGATGACTTGAGCTCCACCCGACAGCAACATCTTCAAGACTTCGACTCCGATCGAGTCCTTGGAGCAACCGGTGATGAGCGCACAGCGGCCCTTGAAAGAGATACCGTCTTTGGCCGCTTGGGTCAGGGCCTCGAGGTAGATGTTGGTTAGTTCCGAGTTGGGTTGCCATTCGCTGGGATCGTGAGGGTTCCTGCGCTTCAGGAAGACGAAAGGGAGTCGGTCGGCGGAGTATGTTGCGGCCGGGAGGTTCTCACGGATTTGCTCAAAGATGGCATCGACTTGAGTCTTGGTTTCGCCGGTCAAGTCCTTGCTGGCAGCCATGAACTTTTGCAGCTCTTCGAACTTGCTGACGATGACTTGGGAGTCCGGAATGCGAGTCAGGTGGCTACCCTCCTTTACCTCTTCGACGTATTCCTTCATGTTGGTAGCTTTGCGCTTCTCCTCCGTGTACACGAGTTCTCCAGCGTCGTTGATGTGGGTCTTGGGCTTAGTCGGGCGGTAGGTGACTAGAGTTCAAGAGTGTGAGCGGACAGGATCATCAATTAGAAGAGGTATGGCGGCTAGACTTACGGTTTTTGTAAACGGGATCCTGGTTCACAGCTTGTCGGCAGCTGTCCAAGAGGATCTGGCCAAGCTTCTTCGCCTTCTCCGCATTTGGTCCCTTGTTAACGGTGCCATGTTCAAGCTGGTACTCCATGTAGCTGATGAGCGAATCGGGATCGTCAACGCGGTTCATCAAGTGAATGCACTGGTTCATGAGTTCGCGGTCCACGTTGGTGATCCTGCCGAACACCATGTCGTAGTAAATCTCCCAGGCGTCTTGGCGAGCCCAGTTCCAGTACGAGTCGAAGGATCGAGCCTTGAGGCGATCGAAGGTAGGCTTGATTCCTTCAGCGTAGAAATCGCCATGCTCCGCGAGCCAGAGATCAACCTCGGATTGCAAGGCACTTAACGCACTCTTGGAGGCGGCAGCTCCTCGGGCTTCAGCCAAGAGGTCGATGTCGAGGTACTTGGCGTACGTCTCGAGTTGCTGCTTGATGAGAAGGTCCATGCCGAGCTTGTGCTTGTTGAAGTCTTCGCTGTTGACTGTGACGACAGAGGCACCTCCAGCCGATTCGTTCAAAGAGGCGGCCGCACCAAGAGTGATGCCAACCTTCTTTGCGTAAGCGGTGACCACCGTGTCCAACCAGGCTTTCACCTCAGCTTCGGATGTGAAACGTGCCGCAGGCTCCATGAGAAGACCGTGAAGGAGAGCACCTTGCGCGCGGTTGGGACCGAGTCCGTGGGTACCAGTGAGGTATGCCTTGACTTGACCCATTCCGAATCCACCAGCCATTTTGGAACTGATCAACTTGTTGATCAAGCCGTTGCTAGTCTTTCCGAGCGACCCAGAGTGAGTGTCTTGCAAAGCACCGGCCACTTCGGTCAAAGGAAGCTCCTCAGCCTTGTCAGCAAGAACATTGCCAAATTCCGCCGCGAGATCTCCGAGGATTTCGTTTTGAAGGGTGGACTTGCCGCCGACGAGATCCTTGATGCTCTTCGTGAGTGGGATGTCTTCCAAAGTTTTCTTCAACTTTTGAGCAATCAGCGCCATCAGGATTTCCTTCGCCGTGATGGGCTCATCCGCGACTGGAGCACTAGCCGCCCGGGGGGCAGCAGCAGCAACCGGCGCCGGTGCAGTAGCAACAGCCGCTGGCTGCGTCTTGGGTGCTGCCGCCGCCGGAGTAGGCTCTTCCTCAGCTTCCACTTCATCCTTGAAGGCGTAGTAGATATCGGTTCTGTCCTTGGTAGTGTTGAACTGAGCACGACGTTGGGTGACCGCATCGTCGTAAGCTTCGAACTTGATCTTCAGAGTGCGAGCAGCCATGCCAGCGAGGACAGGGCTGGGTCCGACTTCGATGAGACGCTCGACCTTGTAGTCACGGAAGAGTCTGTCTTGTGTCTCGATCCAGCGTACAGGGCTTGCGAACTGGTGAGCGAGTAACTCGATCAACAAGATGTAACCCAGTTGCTGTTGCTGAGCCGGTGTAGAGTTGGCAGCATCGTCCCAGTTAGAGAGAACTTCCTTCAAGGGGTCGGAGTGAATCAAGTCGAATACACGTTCGAAGTAGCCCTTGGTAAGAGCGAATGGCTCCGCGGTCAAGTTGGGAATGTACTTGCCAATAAGGAGGCTGACGTTGATGAAGCGGGGCTCGAACTTCTTGCGCAAGATTTCACGGAAAGGAACGACACCGTTGAGCAAGAAGCTCGAGTGGAAAGGCACATCGATGCCGGCAAGGGGAATGGTGGCCACGCCGCGCTCTTGGGTAAGGATACCGTTGCTAGTAGCTCTCCGCTTGGCCACGACACCGTTTGCTTCGCTGACGATACCGCTTAGTAATTGTTCGATTTCCTCCGCGGACTTGGATTTGGACAACTCGATGAAGTTGAGGTTCATGCCCTTCAGCTTGTTGAGGACGAGGCGAAGGCAGTCAAGGTTCTCGAGCACACCGGCAACCACGTACTGAACATTGTCGACGTTGTAGTTGACGATCTCGAGGAGGGAGTTCGATTGCGTAGCGATGGTGTCCACAATGAACTTCAAGGCTTGCTGGTTGAATGTGTGGCTGACACGGGACGGGTTCACGGCGCACATTCCGTACTCGGATCTGCCCTGCTCATCTCGCTGGACGGCGACTTGCATCGTCATACCACGGTAGAACACAACGTCGACGAGGCTCTCGACGGACAGAACTTCACCGACGGAAGCAAGACCGGCGTATTCACCCAAACTATGTGCAGAAAGTAAAGAGAACGGCTGTGAGTGGTCAACCTTTGCAAAACCGTTGTGGAGGAGGAGAATGACTAACCTGTGACCAGCGAACGGGCAATCCTGTTGCACAAGACCATGAGCACGCATGTCTTGGAAGGAAGCAATTTCCATGAGCGTCAAAGCAGGTTGAGTGAATTGAGTGGCGCTGAGGAGCCCGCTAGGATGGCTGAAGGTGAACGACAAGGTATCCTCGGTGATGCCGGGGAAGAGAGGCAAGCTCTTCAACTTTCCGTCGCGAATGACATCGTATGTCATGGCGGTGTAGTTGCGACGGATTGCTGCTCCCATCTTGCCACCGAAGTGAACCGTCTTGGACAATGGATTGTCACGCACGATCTCCAGGATTGAGAGACCGTAGGTTTTCAGCATGTGTGCATCCGCGCGATCCCAGATTTCACGAGCGACGTCAGAGGACCCGTAGAGTTCCTAAACACGAAAGTGAGCCATCGATCAAGGGGGAGCAAATTCACAGACCATGCTTACCATTCCCATGCCGACTTCCTGAGAACCCTGCCCAGTGAACACATAGGCAGTGCGACGCTGATCGACTTCTGCAGTGCCCTCCAGAACCTTCACTCCACGAGAGTTGGACGTGACAACCTTGATGAGCTTCTTCCCGTTGCTCATACCGAAGTGGTAGAGCTTAGTCTCGAGTTGATCCCCAGGGAGGACCATGTCGAGGAAGGTGACCTTGTAGGCTTTCACACGTTCAGGTTGGTTGTTTGCCGCGTGTTGCTCGATGAACTTCCTGGTGCTGGCGCTCGTCCACATGCCGTGTGTGATGGTGCCGGGAAGGTTGGCCAGATCGGCGAAGAAGACATTGGTGTGAATGGGGTTCAGATCACCGGAGATGACGGCATAGGGGTCGTTGGACGAGGGCACCGTTACCGTGGCGGGGAAGAGCTTGGGGTTGGGGTGGACGGAGTAGCCACCAGACTCGAAAGACACGGGTTGCTCGATGGAGGAACCGTGACGCTTGAGGTATTCGAGGACGACGTTTCCATGCACGTTCGTAGCTTCGTAATCAACCGTTCCGATTTCGAACACCTCACGAGTGGTCTTGAGCGAGACTGTGCCAGATGTCTTCACGGTGGCGAGCTTAGCAGCATCAGCGTTCTGAGCCGTTGTCTCAAGACGGAAGATCAATACAGCACCCTTCTTGAGCGCGGGCGCTTCTGCCTTCAGGCTGAACCAAGGCTTGGCTTGAAGGACCTCGATGTCCTTGGTCGAACCCAGAACGACTTGCACGGGTTGTTCGCTGGTACGGCGGAAGGTGTTCTCGTAGTCGGTGAACTTGCCGCGGTACAAGAAAGTGCTGATTATCTCCATGAGGGGCTTTCCTGCCTTGAGCAGAGTTGCCTTGACCTCAACCGCCTTGCCAGCGTCGGTGATCATGACAGAGTTGATGACCGACTTCGTCTCGATCTCGTCCCCGACTTGCAGCGCGTCGTTAGAAGTAAGCATCCTGAACTCGTTCGAAAGGTGGACAAGCTTGAGAAGATCACCGTCGATCTCCTTCGGCAGAATCGCGGTGACGAGCGACTTCCATCCGGCGACGATGGCAAAGTCCATAGGAGCGGTATGGTTGGCATTGCCGATGTTGAAGAGCTCGGCGTTGTTGCCGACGATTTGGTTGAAATCGAGGACGTGACGAGACTCGATCTTGAAGGTGGATGTGAAGGTATCGCGCGGAGACATGTTGAATTCAGCGGCGTTGACATCCCACAAGGCACCGTAGAATTTTTTGATGCGGTCGTTCCTTCCCTGAAATTAGCACGAAGGTGAGCAACGGAAAACCATGGAAACAGCCAATAGGAGAAAGTCCATACCTCCATGACTTCATGGATAGGGTGATGCCCTTGCCACGGCATGTAACGGAAGATCAATTCTAAGGGAACGTACTTCTTGTCCTTCTTGTGGTAAAGAGTAACTTTGATAGTACTACCCTCGACGGTGATGACCAGTGCCGGGTGACGGTCGGGGGTGACCTTGTCCACATCACGGTTGTGCACAGTCAAAAGCGCAGGCTGTTTCCGAGAATCGTATTTCACGAACGCAGTCTGAGCCGGTCTAGGTCGGAGGAAGTTGATGACCGGGTTGGGAATAAGAAGTTTTCCTTGAACGATTGCTTCCGAGGTCAGCAATGCACGAAGCCATGTGTGGTCAGGGCCGGCGATGAAGTCTAGGTAGTCGGACGGTGAAGGGAGCTGCGATTGCTGACGAGTGAGCTCGTACATGATGGAGCCTTCCTGGAGAGAAGTGATGGACGTTCCTTGCAATTGCCTGTCGGATGCACCACTGATGACACGAGCACCGAGGTACTCGACGGTAGGGATGGCGGCGTCGCTATCGCCGTAGTAGATCTTCTTAATGGCGTCGATGTGCGCGCTGTAGATGTCACCCAGAATCTACGAGAGAAGAAAATATGTAAACAAATACTCCCATCGACGCTTTGCGAAAACAACCCATAACTCACCTCCTTCACGGGTTGATCAACCTTGGTGCAGTGACGGACGGCCACAGGACCTTGCAAGATCGCCACACGCTGAACATCCCGGTCGACAATAGCATCGACGTCTTCCGACTGCCACAGCGAATCCTTCTTGAACCAGAATTCGAACTTGTCGTCGAATACGGGGATGAAGGTCACGGGCTTGCGCCATGGATATGAGCAGACGGTGAGGAAGTAAAAGACATCTTCCTGCGTAAGCGTCTGAGCCTTGGCGCCGGTGTAAACATCGAGGAAACCTTCCAAGAATGCTTGCGGGTCCTCGTCAAGGGAATCGTACGATTGCAGAAGCGAGATGGTTTGTCCGGTGACAAAGCGCTCTTCAACGCGGCGAACAAAGTCAGCGAACGTGTCTCGCAGAGTGGGGTCGATCCAGCGGGACTGGTGCTTAACGTAAAGGAGCTCGAGCATGCGGTCCAAGACTTCCTCGTAGGTCATCTCGTGCAGCTCGCACGCCCTGCCGTCGGCTTTACGACCGAACCAAGGCTTCTGGAAGTCTTCGTTCAGGCGTTTGATGATGTAATCCTTTTTCTTCAGTAGCACAGGTAGACGCTTGTCACGGGGAAGGCTGAAGATGTCATCGTCCATCTCCTTCCAGAAACGGATACCGCGGTTGGCAATCTTGTGGATGGGCTCGCCAAGCTCGGACTTCACGGTCATGATACCGCCGACCTCTGACTTGTACGTGCGCTCCCATTGAGACTCGTCGGTGATACCGGGGGCGTCTACGATGAGCTGCTTGACTTCGGGGGATGTGATGGCCTCCTTGGCGACCATGACGCGAGAGCCGAAGAGGAGACCGTCGAACGGCATGGGAGGGTAGTCGAACTGCGTGCTCCACTCTCCGGTGAGGTAGGGGAGGGTGCCTTCGGCATCACCGAATCCACTTCCGACGACGAGGATCAGGTTGCTCTGACGACGGATCGATCCGTAGGTCTCCAACATGGGCGCATGGAAGTCTTCGTAGGAGTGGTGACCTCCACCACGACCGCCGGTCCACTGAAGGATAATGGGCATGTCCGGGTTGTTCTTTGCGATGGAGATGACCCTGCGAATGGTCTCGACGCTTCCGGGCTTGAAGGCAACGTGCTTGAGTCCAGCGGCCTTCAAGTTCTTGATGACGTCGTCCGCGACATCAGGCGAGGGAACACCGGCAGCGACACAAACACCTTCCATCGGGATTCCTTCACGACGCATCGCCTGCACCGCGGGGTATTGGAACCCCCACAGGCGAGGGTTCAGGAACAGGATGTTAAGGGTGATGCCTTCACCGGGGGCGATGCGCTCGATGATGCTTTGCACACGGTCGCGGAGATGCTGTTCCGTGTGCTGACCACCGCCGGCAAGTTCGACGTGGAAACCAGCATTGATGATGGCCGAGACGAACTGTTCGTTCATCGTGCAAGGTGTCATACCGGCGACCATCAGTGGCGCCTTTCCAAGCAGCCTACTGAAGGGTGTGTCGACGTGCACTTCATTGGTACTGGCGATGCGAATGAGTTTGGGGCGGTACTAGATCGAAAGGATGGTCGAGTTAAGTTGCAATTCTAAAAAATCAAGCAAGATGCGCCATGCGAGACGAACCTTCTCTGCCCAGTTGGGAGCGAACTGAACCGAGTGCACGTCACGATCGAACACGTAGCTACGGTTCAGCAGATCCACAGGGACATTGTCGAGTGTTCCAGCCAAGATAACCTGAACACCAGTCCCCTCCATGTTTCGGTGAGTCAGCATACCAATGCCCGACGCACCACCAGGACCGAAATCGAGGATGTGCGTGATGTCCTTTTTGCTGGTAGCCTTCTCCCAGTGAACGGGCTCTAGGCAGATTTGACGAACGAGGGATCCAGTAACGTCGGCGTCATTCCTCAAGTCCTCGCCAGTGTTGGTGTGGTAGACGGGTATGCGAAGCTTCTTGACATCAAAGTTCAACGAATGGGCCTCGATGTCCTTTGCCAGGGCTTGGGGAACGCCCTTCAAGTATTCGCTGTGGAATGGGACGGCGACAGGGAGGAACTTTGAGAGGAATTTGACTTTGCGCTGCGAGTGAGGGATGCGGGATTGGTCTTGGCCGGCTTCAGCCTTCAGCTTGCGAAGGGAGACATTGAGACCGTACAAGGATTGAGAAGGACCGGTGAAGATAGTGGAACGGGATCCATTGATGAGCGAGAGTTGGATGCGACGATCAGCGGGGAGGAAGGAGTTGGTAGCATCGGCATGCTTTTGAACCTCGGAGTATCGCACACCTGGTATTGGAAACAGAAAATGTGAGGGTACGGTGGGAAGCGATACAGCAAAACTTCCTCATACCGTTCACAGCCAACATAGGGGTTGGAACACCTTCTTGGTGAGCCAAGGAGTCCTGCAAGATCCTCGGGTTGAGAGTGATGACAGGGCAAGCGCGTTGAGACCTGACTCCAAGCCAGTAGAGCAAAGCCAACGCCTTTTGTGTGTTTTCGAAAAACTCTTTTTCAGTCTCGGATGCTGAGATGACGACGGATGAAACGATTCCTTGACTGTGCCCGGTGGTTCCTAAAAACGGGGATGAATGGTGAGTCCGTTTGATCTGACATAAGATGGAATCTTCGACATTCGGAAGCACTTACCCGCAAGGAGATCGCGAAGTTGACCGGGAGTCTTGCCCAAAATTTTAAATGTGACGTAGTAGTTGGTGAGCTGAGTCAGCCCGATCAATGGAAGACTGAGATCTGTGCGAAGAAGCTGTTCGGTGCTGGGTCGGGTGTCTGGCTTCTCGAGCCATTCCATGACATCGATCTTAGATGAATAGTTGGACTGAGCCTCGGTGGAAGACGAGTGAAGGGCGAGGGTGAGAGCGCCTTGGTAGACCATAGGGCGAGCATACGCCTCGTAGGTGGTGAACAGCGACACCAGTTCGTCAAAGTATTCTTCAACATTGCCTTGACCACCAAAGACTGCAAGCAAGTGAGCGCGGCCAGATTTGGCGGCGGCAAAGAGAGCAGATGGAGGGGTATCGTCGGGGGTCACAGACAGAAGATCTTGACGCTTCAGAGCCACGAGGGCGAGATAATAGGTGCGGATAAGAGTCGAGCGAGTAGCGGGGTCCAAATCGCGAGTGACGGAGTGGATGTCGTTGTCCTTGAGCAGACGGGTTTGCAGATGACGGAAGACGACGGCGACGAAAGAGAATCGGCTAGCGGCCTCCGATTCGACCTGTGCCGCATTGGCAGACTCTAACCCCAGATCGAGAATGCGTGTTGTGAGTTCCAGCTCGGACATGTCGGCTTCGACTGTGGTGGCCAAAAATGTTTCTTTCACATCTTCGGCGATGGGCCAGATGGAAAGAGGGATGGGAATCGATGCTTCGGTGCCATTTTGCTTGATGATTAAAGGCCTGCTTTGCTGGCTTCCGCCGGTGATGGGCTCGAAGGACATCATCGTGCCCACAAGTGATGGGTATCCAGCGATGTGTAGGATGTGGGTCGCGGAAGGCGAAAGGGCGATGAGTTTTCCACAGACAGCAAGCGATGAGTGATGAATGATATGTGCAGATGAATCAAGTGCTGTGATGTGGATGCAATAGACTCTGGACCAAGAAATTTCTGAGGAGGGAGCCGGACTGGGGAGGTTCGTATAAATACATGGTCGGAGGATCGACGGGAACTGGATCTGGAGACCGGACAGTCATCATTCATCGTAGGGGACGTTGTAGCTCGCAGAGCAAGGGTTCGCCAAAGCAGAAGGTTGAATGGAAGCTACGGGATTATCTTGATAATCTACTCTGATAACTATCATGGTGGAATAATAAGATCGCTGGTTAAAAGATAGGTTTTGTGAAGAGGGAGGAGGAAGGGAGAAAAAAAAAGAAATGGGTGAAACGTCCGTCCGGTTATCCGCCTGAATTGAATCCATCGGCTGGATGGCAGGACGAGTCAGTCCCGCCTGGACGCGCGTCTCTGTGTCATCAGGCGTGCCGCGGCCCCGCACCACTCGGACACGCCCTGCAATACGGCCATTGGGGGCCATAGGAAGCCACTCGTCCGTGACCCCAACCCAACCAACCCCCAGACACCCACCACTCGCTCAACCCGGCCGAACTTCCGGTCACTTTCAGTTATCCCAGGACCCAGTGAGGCGTCTCGCCGCCTTCCGTACTATCGACACCAATCGGTGGTTGCACAGACACGACGGTACGTCCGCTCAAGCTCTTGTCATTTTTCCGGAGGTGATGACAGGTCACGACAACAGGCCTATGGGAAGGGTGATCGTGGACTTTGAAGGTCGCAATTGCCTCCGTTCTCGCTCAATCCCCTAACCCAGTATGCAGAGTTGAGAATCCTATTCCTACACGTTACAAAGGACATCGATACGGCCGTCTAGGGACCATTCCCTACGTACGATGTTGCACAGACAGGATAACAAACTGTGCCTTTTGGTCAGCGATCGATTAGATGATATTAACAAGTTGATAATGTTTCCCATCAACTTATGAATTTAGTACGACAAACAGTATAATCGAAGCGACGTGCAGCGTATTTCTGTTGTTCAAGTGCCAAATGTGTTCCTCAAGATCAAATCAAAGACAGTAAGATCAACGGGCTTTCGGTGCATGGACTCAGCCCAAAGTGAAAGGGTAGAGTAGATGTCAAGCGTCAGCCCAGCGTCAATCAGTGCGATGATTTTCCAACCTGCAGCCCTTGGGCAGGACTCCGCAAGCAATATATCTGAACCTTACAGATAGAAATCATGGCTGGCATCGATGAGGAGTTGATCTTCAACAACGTTCCTCGATACACCCAGGGGTTGTACAGGCATGTCATCATAGGGAGGCACATCTTGTAGATCCATGTTGGCTAGCACTGCCTAGCAGTAGCTGCACCTCCTAATTGTCCGGGTATGAGTACTACGGTATGAGTTCGTTGTTTCGTGCGCCGGCCAAGAATCTAATTTCGAAACCCCAACGCGTCCGGTTCCTCCGTTTTGCCGGTTGGTCACCGTTGATGAGGTCCCAGGCTCACTGACAACTCCGTCGATGGCGGCGATAAAATGAATCTTCAGCCTTGGAATGTCCGTCCGTTGGGATTCGCTGCAGGAGACCTGAACGGTAATCCAGTCGATGAGCCCTGAGGGCAGGAGAGTGCAGCAAAGAGTGTCACCGCGGCTTGCAGGTCGACGCATTTCCATCTTTCGAGAATGTTGCGTTGGCAGTATACAGTACGGCAAGCTTCTACGTAACTGATGCTGGGTCACGACAGGTTACTTTGAGAGGAGAGACCTTGGACAGCCGACCCGCAAAAACAGAAAATCACTCCAAACTGGCCAAAGAATGCTAGTTCCTATTCTTTCTAACCCGCAGTCTGCCTCCCACAACTCCGTCTTGACACGCAACTACGAGTGTGCCCGGCCCAACCCAGGCCCAACCCAGACGACCGAAAGGGATTTGGTTCGCAATGGACAAACAACCTGCACCAGACCTGCATCAGACCTGCGTGTTGCAGCTGGAAGTGGCGTAGCGGAACCTGAACGGAACTGATGAGCTCGAGTCTGAGCTCGAGTAGCACACGGGCGGTCACGTGACCATTGACAGGTTTATGTTTTTCGACAGCCCCCTGTCAATTTTTCGGCTTTCCAAGCTCTGCACTTGCTTTCCCATTGACCTGGTATCTCTGGTCTCCAGCGAGCTCCTGAGCAGATCTCCACACAAGAGAAATCTAAATAAGGTATAGATCTGGATCTCGCTGCATAACATCAGGAAGGAAACGGTTGAGATTGCTCTGTGTGGGTTGCTGTGCTCTCTCTCCACTGTCTCAGCAGCTGTCAGTGAGGAGTCTTCCCCCCGTCCCTTTGTGTGGCTTGGACCCGCTTGTGACCCAAGTCCCCCGTGTGGAAAGTAGAACTCTCTCGTTCTGTCGCACCCGCTCTCGAAGTCGGTCAGTCCCCTCGCAGTCCCCTGCCGGATCTAGTCGTGGCTGTCGATTATTCGCTGCCCAAATCTCAATTTTCCCACGGACTCGCCCAGAAACCTGAGACTCCCTTTCGCTCAAAACTTCATTCCCGCAAAACTTCCTTCTTCCTTCCTTCAGACGTCGCAAGCTTACTGTGCATCTGAGCTGTGCCTCGAAACTTCTTTCTCTCTTGTTCAACCCCTGAGGTGAGTGAGCGTTGGTCGGTGAAGCCCCTCTTGCAAGACGATTCCCAGAGTGGGTGCTGTGCGGTGACCGTAGGTTCCCAGCGTTTTTTCCCGCGATCGACGGTTACTGCACTCCCTTCCCAGGGCTAGTTCACAACGATCGACAGCGCTGTGCACTCGTTTCCCAGAACCCGTTCGCAGCCAGTCTTGTGTCTGTAACCCTTCTCTACGTTACAGTGGCCAGCCACTTATTCTCGGTCGCTTTCTCTTCTTCCATACCTGACAGAAAGTATCTGCAAGCATGTCTGACGGCTGGGATGCTGCTGAGCCCGTCTCCAACGGAACCGAGAAGCATAACGTCAATTCCGATGCTGTGCCCATGAACGACGGCGATGGTGGTTGGGGCACCGATGTTACGAACGGCGCGGACGCCGCTGCTCAAACAGCCCCTGCGGCGGAAACAAGAAAGCACAAGTTCGGCGTCAGGGAAGAAATTGTCGTCCCCGACGCAGAGAATGTTGTATGGCTTGCGAATGCCGAGCGCTGGGAGGAAGGCGTGCGCAATGTGAACCTTGAGACCAGACTCTACCGCGATAACATTGTGCACGCCGGCGAGCATTTCGAGGATATCCGAGGGGTGCATGTCACCACTGTTGGCGAGGAGATTCCCGATAAGCTGGAATCGGTGAGAACTGGTACTTATATCATCGACATATCGACATATATTGACCGTTCTTCCTGTTTCCCACCTGCATTCCCCGATAGTTCGAGCAATTGAATATCCCTACACCTCTTAGAGAGAACATTCTTTCGCACATGAGATACTCCAAGCCTACGCCTGTTCAAGCCGCCGCGATCCCGGTGCTCCTCAGTGGACGTGACGTTATGGCAACGGCCCAGACTGGCAGTGGAAAGACTTGCGCTTACATGCTGCCGATCATGATCAAGATGCTGGAGCGCGGCAATCCGAGAGCTAGTGTTGCGAACGCTGAGGCCGCTGGCGGGGAAGAGAAGCAAAGCTTCTTCAGCGCTGGTGGTACTTATTTGCCGAAATTGCTGTCTCCTTCACAATGGGCACGAATATAACCCTTTCTGTAGCTGGTGCAGGGCCTGTTGAGCCTCAGGCTCTGATCGTCGTCCCAACTCGTGAGTTGGCTTCCCAGATCCATCATGAAGCTCGAAAGTTCGCGTAAGTACTGCTGTACTGCAATGCGATGGAATCTGCATGTCGTCTGATTGTTTCATCGCCCAGGTATCTGACCTGGGTCAAGCCGTCCGTTATTTACGGAGGTGCTGGAACAAGAAACCTCATCGACGAAATGAGAAAAGGAACGGACATTCTTATCGCAACGCCGGGAAAGCTGCTTGATCTCCTCGAAAAGTAAACGGCATCAATACATGAACGCGAGTCATTTCGTTGGAACTCAACAACATTCTTCTGCAGGGGTGTCATTCTCCTTCGCAAGATTAAGTTCCTTGTCATTGATGAAGCTGACCGGTGCGTTGCTTGCGATTTCAGCATCGTTGGGGAATCTTCCTATTTCACCAACACGTATATTCCCCGACACGTACTTGATCTGTAGGTTGTTTGAACTGGGCTTCGCCGAAGATGTGATGCGCATTTGCAAAGGCTTCGATTTGCCTCAAGATGAATCCAAGAGAGTCTGTTTGTTTTCGGCCACGTTCCCGAAGAGTGTCCGAGCCTTCGCCGGCCAGCTTTTGGGAGACTGTGCTCTCATTACTGTTGGTCAAGTTGGAGTCGTTCCGACCGACATCAAGCAAGAGGTAGGTACTTATGCGTACGTACGCAGCAGATAATGGTGATTGAATGGACGTTGATCATCCGCAGGTGTTGGAACTTCAAGACAATGAGAAAACGGCGAAGCTTCTCGACATCCTCTTCGAGTCGGAAGTCGGATTGACCCTCATCTTCGTCAACACTTGTCGCGCCGCGGACACTTTGGACGACAGCCTCTATCGACTTGGCTTCCCGGTCACCTCCATCCACAGCGGACGGTCCCAGGCTGAGCGTGAAAGCTCCATCTCGGCCTTTAGGGCTAACAAGATCCCGCTGATGATCGCTACGGATATCGCGGCTAGAGGCTGGGAGTAGGTATTATAGAACATTGATAATCATTCGACAAGCAACTGACGCCTGTTCGTTCCAGCATTCCCAACATCGTACAAGTCATCAACTACGACATGCCCAAAGATATTGATGGTAAGTAAGATCGCCAGACGGTATTTATGTACGCAACGACCTCAACCGGTTTGTGTTTCGTCTGGCAGACTACATCCATAGAATTGGCCGAACCGCTCGTGTCGGGAACGTCGGGACCGCTACGAGCTTCTTCAATCCCGAGAAGAACGATGAACTCGGACCTGCCCTTGTCAAGGTCTTGAAAGAAGCCGGGCAACCTATCCCTGAGTTCCTCCAGCGCCACATAGAGGAGATGGAAATGTACGTACCAGTGATATCACGTGCTCGTCCGGGGTTAGTCTCTCAACTGAGCCCTGATCTTACTCAACCATCTTCGCATACAGTGACGGAGCTGAAGGGCCGGATAACCTCAAAGAGGAAGATTTGGAGGGCGAGGTTCCCGACTTCGCCGCTGCCGGCGGTTCCAATGGCGCTGATGGCGGCGAAGGCGGCTGGGACGAAGGCGAAGGTGGCGGTTGGGCTACCGGCGGCGACGGGGACGGCGGTGACAATGCCGAAGCTCCCGCGGAGGACGCCAGCGGTTGGTAGACGCACCTTCATGACCGCCAACCCCATCTCGAGGACATCCGCCACCCGTTCAAGCCGTTTCCTTGCAAGATATCCAAAGGCGTAGCTAGATTTGTCGTCTCTCGCGTATCGTTTCACCACAAAGTATTTCTGTCTTTCGATTCGTTCATAATGCCCTGTTGTATATGAGGCTGTATGTCGTGCCAGTATCCCAGCATGATCTCGTCGTGTGGTTCGCTTTTATATTTGTGCAAAGTACTTTTGCTTCCCTTTCGCATATAAATATAAATATTCCTTATTATATCCTCCCGGCGATCTTGGTGGGGAGACTGTTATTGCAAGCCGTCGAAGTGCGTCTTTGAGTTCTTTCTGGCGGTGATACTTTAACCGGTTTCGCTGCGAAGGCTTTCCGATCCTTACTTTTCCGATCTGAGAGTCGTCATCACCTAAGCACCCGAGACCATGCCCACTTCAAATCCTTCTATTATGCTACTGCGTAAAACATCCCACTTGTGCATAGCAAAAGTCCTGGTGCATAGCAAAAATGGCTTCATAGGCGTTGGACTGAGCTTCGCTTCACGCCGGCTCGCCAAAAAAAAATGCAGCAATTCTTAGGTTTCGACTCTGGCGGGACCCAGCAAACTTTTCAACTCGTCCGCCGTCCATCCTCTGCTGGGATATAAGAGAAACACCGATTCCCTCTATTGATTTCCATTTTCTTCGATGTTCAAGATAGTTGTTCGCAAATCCCCCATCCAACGGTAAGACGACGTTGCGCATCTCAAATCATACGTTGTAGTGATCCGTAGAGCGCTTTATGTGTTTAGCATGGTGGGGAACTTTTACGAGCGCATGTTATCGCCTCCAAATGTGTTGAGCCGTACGCCTTTCCGCCTTCCGTCGACACCATGGGTCCGCTTCGAGAAGAGGAGAGGGCAATTGTCCCGTTTTCGAAGCTCCGTGTCGGGGACTCGGGAGTGACTTTCACGCTGTCGAATACGACTGTCATCACTGTCAATTCGTTACACGGTGCGTCATCGCCGTGTTATATAGCCCTGGCCCCTGAGTGAGGATCTGCAAGGGAAACGCGCCGGGGGCGAGCCCGAGACGCGTTTCGAGCCAAGACCATATGCAAGTTGCCAGTTGGTTTCAACATGCACATGCACATGCACATGCACATGCACATGCCAGAAGCATTGGGGAGCAGCGGCGATGACGGACAGCGGTGTCGCCTCCTTCGCGGTGCATTGGTGACGTGAGCACCTTTGCCTACGTCTGAGGAATTCATGAATTCCCAGAAAGTCTACCACGTTTGAGTCCGTTGCGCCGTTGGACCTTTGGGGCCCAGACCACTTGTGTGCGTCGAACAAGGCAAAGATCGTCCCTTCTTGTTATCATGTCTTTGAACATTCGACACTTGTTGCCTTCCCGGCCCCGGTGAAGGACGAAGATCGTCTCTATCGTCTCATGCCTTTGACGAGTCGATGACGAACCAGAGAACGGTTCAAACATACCGGTCTTTACTTCGGTAGTGGAGGCTCTCCAAGCGGCTGCCGGTGGTGATTGTATGATGAAGAATGACGAAGCTCTGAAGCACCTTGAGGCGCCTACGAGCCTGCTACCGTATCGATGGTTCCCACTGCCAGATTGTACGCTGGCGACACGCATGGATGCACGCAATGGCACATGAAAGTGGTCAAAACCTTCTTGCTCGTCGCCGCGGCCAACATAATCCATATCCAGTTGCCATTTGCCGAGAAAAGAAGCATTTTCGGAAGACAGCCGGAGGTATAAAAAGCAGACTTGTCTCCCGCTCCGCTGAGGGGGCTCGTTTGGCGTCCCAATCCAACGTATAACGCCCGAATCCTCCTTCCCGAATCTCATGACGTTGTACGTATGAGCAAGACGCCAGATGTCGACGTCTCCCTCGCAACACACCGCCAAGATTGAAGCCACGACTCTCGACAATCCCCGGGACGAACCGCCTACCGATATACCCAGACCAGATATACCTCTTCCAGACGAATCCTCATCAGAACCAACACCACCGCCACGGACGACGCCCCCAGAAGGCCGACCATCAAGCACACCGATGGCTGACACAAGCCGAACGGGCCCATCCGATGCCGCCGATCCCAGGCCCACGAAAACCGTGAGTGATCCTTCCGATACTCCTCCGCCGAAGCCCTCAACGACTAAGCGTGAATCACAATCCTCACCACAGGCCACATCGACAGATGAACCACCGGCAACCCCATCCCAAAGTGGCAGCCCACCGCCATCGCGGCCGCCAACCTCTTCACCCGAACCTCCAACATCAGCCTTACCACCCAGCACGACGGATCTACCACCGCCAGAGTCAACACGACCAACAGCAAATCCCTCGCCACCATTAACGTCCGCACCACCGGCAAACACCCCTATCCAGAATGCACCAGCGCGTACGATCCCTCGAACAGTGGTCGTTACGATCGACGATACATCTGGCCCCAAGCCCGTCCGTCGCACGGTCAGCACCGTAGTTTGGGTGGACGCGACGGACACTCCAGGGGCGTTGAGCACATCCCTCCCCGCCGCCGCCGCGATCCCAACAACCGATCCGGCGAATTTTTCACCGACGGACGACCGGCCATTCACGCAGAGGCCCGGGGGCATCATCAGCATCACGATGATCGCCGTTATCCTCGTCGTCGCGCTGTTTTTCTTAGGGAAGTTGATCCTGGTCCGTCACGACAAGTATAGCATCCTGTCCCGAAAAACGCGGCGGAAAAGCAAGATGGATCAATTACGCAATTCCACCCTCCCACCACCGCCAGGCGCACTCTCAACTCGCCCACTCTCACCCGGCGGCGTTCCGGGAATCCACGTCGAAGAAATCTGCATCGACGCAGACGGCAGCACCAAATACTCGCCAACACCATCACCGAGCATAAGCCCGCTCCCGCACCCCATCGACGAGATCCTACCCGGCGAAGGCCGCCCACTAGCCGCCTCGTTCCCGCGCCTGATCCCGTCCGTCGCACATCCCCGCGGCAACCGGTTCTCCTCCACATCGCTCGCGGCGTACTACGACCCAACGCAGTGGGCGTTACCGGAGCACACGACGGTGGTGGTTAGCTCGCCTAACCCGCATCACTCGTTCATAGCTGTGATTGAGCCGCCGCCGGAGGAGAGCGGGGTGGAGTATGGCGCGTATGAGCAGGGGCAGGAGCAGGAAGCGCAGAGGCTGCTGAGACAGCCCACGTATGAGCCTGGGAGAAGGCTGTCCGTGACCAACTCCGTGCGGTCTGATACGAATAAGACGTGATGGAAGCTTTTTTCCTCGGTTCCTCTTTTCTTTTTTGGGCGATGCCTTTTTCTCGGCGTACTAGTACAGAGACCTCATTTTAATACCCATGCAAGTTCACCGTTTGCATACTTCCTTTGTCGCTTTCGTCATAGTCCTGTATATAATTCTTTGCCTTAGCTTTGTGCAGATGCCTTTTTTGAATATCACCCCTTGGTCCAATCGCCAACAATCGTGAGCCTGTAAGAAACAACTTTCTACCCTGCACTGGGAGTGGTGCACATTCAGGAGTTGGCAACCGTACAATCACCCCAAATGCGCTTTCATTATCTGTAGAGAATCAATATAATGCCGAGAATTGAGGACCCTGTCTGAGACTTGACGAAGGGAAGACTCGAAGACGTAAGATTCACATGGTACACGCACAGGCAAACAAGGGCAAAAGCGGAATTTCAGAGGACTCGAATATGATTGAGAAAAAATGCATATGCAAAATAAAAAACTATGATACACAGGATGGAATGCATTAAATAAGAAGACTGCGAAAATCGAGTGGGCGGGACAGAGACATTCCCGCACTTTCCACGTGCCAGCCGTGATACTCCAGACGGATCTAGGACGGGTTGCTGGGCGGAATTATTGGTTTTGTGCTTAAGTATTGCGGCGCGCGGTGAGGTTATATCGCCCCCCTTGCGTTTAGCGTTCATAGGTCTTAGTGAACAGATTCATGGGCCAGTGTGTCCAAAATTTCCGACGACCGCAACGATGGAGCGGATAATCTAATCATCGTTGTTGAAGGTAGTCTGAAAGGATGCAAGGATTAGTATCCGATGAACACAGGGCGAGCTACGGATGTTTTTAATGCATACCTTCTTGCCGGCGAAGGCTGGTGCGCCACCACGACCTCCACGGAATCCACCACGGGCGCCTCCACGGCCTCCACGGCCACCACGGCCACGGTCGCCGCCGAAGCCACCACGGCCGCCACGGCCACCGCGACCACCGCGGTCGCCCCCGAAGCCGCCACGACCACCACGGCCACCACGGAAACCACCGCCCCCTCCAGCAGCGTTGTCGGGCTTGGGACCAGCTAGAAAAGAAGGGACAGGTTACGAACAGCGGTAGCATGTCAAATTCTAGCGACGAGGGCATACCGTAATCGATCCTGATGCTACGGCCCTCAACGTCAGTGCCGTTCAGGCCCTGGAGAGCGGAGGTAGCAGTGTCGATGTCACCGAACTCAACGTAACCGAAACCCTTGGGGTTACCAGTCTCGCGGTCAGTTGGCAGACGGATGTGGACAACCTCGCCGTAAGCGCTGAAAGTGTCACGAACAACGTCCTCGGTGACGCTGAAGCTCAAGTTTCCGATGAAAAGCGTGGTAGCAGGGGTGGACTTGGGAGCCTCAACGCGGCCGTTACGACCACCGGGCGCAGACTTGTCGGCACGGGGAGTGGAGATGTCGACCTTGATGGCGCGACCGTCGAGCTCGCTGCCGTTCCATTCGCAGGCCTTCTTGGCAGCTTCGGCGGACTTGAACTCGATGTAACCGAAACTAGTGCGTACGATGCCGCGTCAGTACGGACCGGCTAGAAAGTGGAACAAAATAGTGTTCAAACTTACCCCTTGGACTTTCCGGTCTCACGGTCGGTGATGATGCGAACACTGTCGATCTCACCACACTCGGCAAAAGCCTCCTTGATGGAGTCCTCAGTGGAGGCCCAGGCAAGACCGCCGATGAAGACGGTGGTAGACTCGTCAGAGGCTTCTGCCGTTGTAACGGCACCGTTCTCAGTCTTGGCCTTCTTGGCAGCCTGCTGGGTGGCGGGCTCGGCTTCACGCTTCTTAGGCTTCTCCTCGTCCTCATCCTCCTCGGAGGAGGAGTCGTCGCTGCTGGAGTCGTCTTCAGCCTTGACCTTCTTGGCAGGCTTTTCCTCGTCCTCGTCGGAGCTCTCCTCCTCGGAGCTCTCGGCGTCAGCGTCACGCTTACGCTTCTCAGTCTTGACCTCAACCTTCTCCTCCTCTTCGTCGGAAGAGTCGTCGGAAGACTCTTCGTCGGACTCCTCCTTAACGGCGGCGGCCGGGGCGGCCTTCTCCTCTTGGTCGGACGAGTCAGAGTCAGAGTCAGACTCTTCCTTCTTGGCGGCGGCCTTGCCGTTGGTCTTCACTTCCTTGGCCTCTTCCTCATCAGAGGAGCTGTCCGAGTCATCGCTGCTAGACTCTTCCGCCTTTGCGGCAGCCTTGGGGGCAGCTTTGACGTTCTCCTTCTCAGCTTCCGACTCGGAAGACGAGTCATCGCTGGAGGATTCAACAGGCTTGGCAACAACCTTCTTCACCTATTCAGTGCAGACAATGCAACAGTTCAATCGCATGCCCCATTTTTCGCGCAGACAAGGTATGGCACACCTTTTGAAAATACAAGGAAAGTGCACCCTGGGGGCCTTCACAACTCACCTCTTTCTCCTTCTTCACGACCTTTTTGCTTGCCTTGACGGGGGCAGCCGCCGCAGCGACCTTGGCAACCTTGGTGTCCTTCTTAGCCATTGCTATGTTGTGTGATGTGGTAGAGGAGTGTTGAGGGATTGCAGGTTGCGGGACGAGAAGAAAACAAGAGCGAGCCCAGCAGGTTTTTGATGCTTGCCTTTTTCTTCCCTCTGTCCTTTCCTTTCCCTTTTCCCCGTGTTCACTTTTTATTCTTGACGGGTTTTATTTCTTTGTCGATCTCACTTGTCGATCCCCCTTTGTAATGCCACAACTCAACCAAAAAAGATAAATCAGAGACGCATCACGTGCTCGATCGTTTCCTCAAAACGTCACGTGAGCTGTCGTATTGTCATTTTAATCTGGCTGCTTGTCGGCGATGAGCTATATACGCATTCTCCTCGCATAAGCGGACTCACGCGCACCATAGCATAAGGAGGAAGGGGCGTCAGCGAAAACTCCTAGATCCCCTCGATTTCCAAAGTTACCGGGCCTCGCGAGAGCCTGGGCGGAAAGCATCAGCTGAGCAAAAACCCCTGGATTTTGAAGTCACTGGGTCTTGAAAGTCCGTCAGCTGGGTTGAATTCCCCTGGTTTTGATTTCACACGGGCTTTCGAAAGCAGGAGGCAACTTCGAAAGCAGGAGGCAACGAAGCTTCGAAAGCAACGGGTAAAAGATGCTTCCGTCCTCGTTCGCCGTCACTCACAGCCGGGTAGCTGGTCCTCCCGACTTCTTTCCTATTCAGGATGTCTGTTGCGGCTCCCCCGTCCAAGAAGAATGACATGAAACGTTACCCGGCTCACATTATAAAGCCCATGTCTCTTTGCTTTTACCAAACCGGATGAAGGATCGATTACAGGGCTCTATGTCGATCTCGTCTTTCCTCTTCACCCACTATAGGATTCGAGCGTAACCGGTCAAGGACCTCCGACCATCGCATCCCAATTCGACCATCACCCCCGCCGCTCCACCCCGGCCCCGAACGCCCAGCATGTGGCGCTAACCGTGTAGTCTAAAGCCACTTTTGAACAGCCTGCCTGCATGGTGGGAATGCGATGAGGAGGGGAAATCGCGTCAATCCATACCGCTCACAGCAACGCGTTGCTCACCCGAAATGCAACGACATGCAAAAATCTCTCGGGGTATTCGTCAGGTCTCTGCGAGCGAACATAATTTTGCTTTCACGCGTAGGCGATATGGCAGCTATAAACATCCGTAAATACAGTATGTCCATAACCCACGTATGTAATGTAGAACTAAAATCCACGACATTTCCGGAAATGGAACAGGTAATTAAGTACAGAAAGCAAAATCCTAAATACAAGTAGAAGATTCTCTTGCTATAATCTAATTGTCATCGTACTGCTGAGGAAGCTACTTATACGTCTCGGGGTTGGGATCCCTGTCATGCGCGCTCAACGCTGCCTCCGAAAACGTCAATATCCTGGGGGATCGTGAATTTTGTATGTCAGGCCCACAACTGCAAAAGGGAGACGAAAGACCGGCCAACTTACCTCTTCATCCCCATGTTCCACAAGTTTCAATCCGGCCAGGACACCGGCACCATCCCCTGAATGAAACGACTCCATGCTCAAAGCGGGCGTCGGATTCGATATCCCTCCGTCTGTCATCAGACTAGCTGCACTCCCCGTCCGGCTCGTCACAACGCCATCCACAGAGACCCTGATGTCCAGTTCATCGTCACTGTCGGCATCCATGCCCGCGACAGGACGGCCGCGGCTTCGTGACCGCGATCGATGTGAACGGGAGTCCGAGTCAAGATCGACGTCTAGAAGGGAGCTTGTTTCGCCGTTTGTTGCTGGCTTGGGGCGTCGGCGGTCGGTTTGTGATGTGGAGAAGATTTTTGGGTGATGCACGAGCAAATCCTGTGGGATGGGGTGGGCGGGCATGTCGTCAGAAGCGATGACGCACTCGATTTGTCGAGTCCCAGCCGGCACAAAAGCATAGAAATGTATTACCTTCATCAATCGCACTGGATGCTTATCATGCAGAGTGACAGCAGTCGGAGCCTTGAACCAAAGGTCAGTCAGTCGCGGAACCCGAAGCAGACTGGATCAACCCAAACCACACTTACCATTGGTCTCAGTATCGCCGATCCCAAAGAACCCGCAAGATCCAAAATCTTTTGGTCATCCCCGGGAAAAGACAGCATCAACTCATGCAGGAGGCCCGTGAGCTCCTTCGTCGCTTTCCAGTGAATTAAGGGCATGACTCCCAACAGTGATCTCAAGCTGCCCACGCGTCCATGATGTTCCTCTTCATCGGTTTTGGACAGGTACAGCAGCTTTAGCGGATCGTAAATCTCAGGGTGCACAAGGGATTGCGGGAGATGATAGAGATACTGTTTGATCATTGGGATCATGAGCGGGGGCGCCATAGGTTTGTGTAGGTCGGGGAAGGATTGAGGCGGCGGACTTGGTGTTATCCAGAGCGAAAATTCGTCCGCTGGGAGCAACGCTCCCTTCTCTCGACCCTCCTTTACGACGGTTAAGCACTTGCGTAGGAAAGGAGGCAGGCTCTGTGAGCCGGCTGGGGCGTTTTCCTCCAAAGGTACGCCGGTCGTGCTCTGCAGGTCATGGTTAGGTACCTTTCTCCCGCTTCCAGCCAATGCTTTTGCAGCGGACATACCAGACCACTATCGAAGCCCGAATACGCATTCTTGTACACGACCGGCGCGATCCTGATGTTTCCCGTCCTCAGCCTCTCAGTCAAAATATCCACCTCTTTCTGCGGTCTCAGCATCTCCAGATACACCGCCTGATGACCTCCATGCATTCTAAGTCCTTCCACCACAATCTCATGCGACTTATTCACGCGACCCAATGTCTGCTTGACCAACTCAATCCGCCGCAACTCAGCATCTTGCATTGTGTGCATGTACTCCCAGCACTGCAGCTCCAGGCTGGACCGGGTCTCTTCCGTTGCGGTCACAGCCTTGCGGTAAGCAAAGTCCGCACGATCTGCCTCTCTACGCGCTTTACGGTGAATCGGCTCTGTTTCGATTGCGTACCGCTTCCAGACATACGTTTGGGATGGGTTGAGATTTGTGGAAGTGAGGCTGGTCACGGAAATGCGATGCGTCGGGCGGAAGAAGCCTTCATTGATGAGGTGAATCAAGATTTCCGCGGACTCCTTCTCATCGACTCGCAAATATGTCCCTAGGTACTCGGCAATGTCCTTTCCAACGATGACATCTTTAGTCGTTCCCCAGATGGATCTGATATCCTAGAATCTGTCAGGTTATGCTTGCGAAGCGCCGGCTATCCGGTAAACAGAGGAAGTTACCTGTGTTTTCAGGTCCCGCTGCATTCGCGCCAGTAGCGTGTTGAAATCCTCGACGGTGAACAGTCGCGCGCCGACATTTATCATGACATCCATTGCTGGCAACTCGTCCTCGACGTGATCCACTTTGCTCTCTTCTTCATCAGCGACTTTGCATTTCCCCAGGTAATCTGCTTGTAGCGCATCCAGCTCAGATCGCTGCGTCGCCAACTGCTTGGATGCAGCATCGATCTTCTCCTTCCGCACTTCGAAGATCTTTTTACTTTCATCGAGGTAGTGCTGCACGGTTTGCATGGTGTTGGATATCTCCTCTATGACCCGTCTATGCGAGCCGCCCAGATTGGACATCTCCTACTTCATGCCCGTGAGAACATCGTCGTCCCGATGATGAAAACAGCTTGCGTGAAAAATCCCACCTCTTTGGAGTTTTCGAAGATCTGCGACAGAAGTGACTCGTCCTTCCCGAATCCATCCGCTCGGGATTTCGATTTGCTCAAGTCCGCTAGTTTCGTGCAGTATGCTTCTTCAGCGGCCACTCGAAGCTTGAGAAACTGGTTCAGCTCTTCCAGCTCCGCCAAACCCTGTCGAAAAGAAGACTGAGTTACGAATCGAGCAGAGAAAAGCTGTCCGAAGTCTGCATACCATGATATGATGCTCGTGCAGGATTTTGACCCCAGCCGTCGGGTCCGCTACAAAGTGCGTTCATCTTCGGTAAAAGGAGCATCACGAGTCGCTCAGAGGTTATTATGATCTTACCTGGAGTTCCCCAAAACCAATCCTCGAACCGTAGCATGGTGGATAACGAACGCCTTGCTCAACGAAACGGGCGGTGAAAGCAGAGGCAACAAAGGTACACAAGAACAGGCCCCCGTGATTTTCGGTGTTCTGTTGATCTCAAGATGAGGAAACCGGGATCCTTAGGAGTCCGTCCGGTGACTCGTGAGACCATACCGCAGACGCGACAAATGTGACATAAACGGCAGTAGGAACGATGGAAGAACCCAGAAACCGAGGTTTGTCGTCATGTACAGATGGATATGAAAATGCAATAGGAACAATGGGTATTCGAATCATATATACCAAAACTGCCGCGAGGTGACATTTATCTACATATACTGGTGTTCCGCCACATAACTAAAGCCTACAAAATGTTCGAAGGGGTCCGCCTCGGCCCCTGGGTTTGCTTGTCCGATGCCTAGCTCCGCCGGCGAGTCTCCAATCGGCATCGACGTGAAGCATTCGTCGAAGTGCGAGATATCTTCAGGATTCGTGAGAGTCGGCACCAGAGGAGGCTCCACCTCCAGAGCGGCCAATTTCTGCCAATCTACTTTCCTGAAAAACGGGTGCTTTTGCACCATGGCGGCTCCATACATGCCTCCACCCAGACGCTTCGATGGGTTCTTTTGTAGAAGTTTGTTGCAAAGGTCCCGCGCTTGCGGTGTCAAGTACTTTGGCCACACAACCTTCTTCTTCAAAATCCCGTCCATAATTTTCCGGCGATTGTGGCCAGTAAATGGCGGCGATCCGGTCAACATATCGAAAAGCATAACTCCCAGACTCCAGTAATCCACCGCTTTCTCGTATCCTCCTTTCCGATGGTCATCGAGGACTTCGGGAGCCATGAATTCGATCGTCCCGCAGACTGTCTGTGCATCGAGAGCAACTTTTGATAGGCCAAAGTCGGTCAGCAAGACGTGTCCGTTGGCGTTTAACAGCACGTTCTCAGGCTTGAGATCTCGATAGATGATCCCGAGGTCGTGCAAGTGCTCCAATGCCAAGAGCAGCTCGGCGACGTAAAAACACGCCACATCTTCCGCAAACATCCTTTCTTTGGAGAGGTAGGTAAACAACTCGCCTCCCGATGCGTAGCCAAGGATCAGATAAAGCTTTGAGGCGGTTTGGAACGCGTAGTGCAGCGTGACGATGAAGGGATGTCGGACATCTTCCAAAATGCTGCGTTCGTTTCGGGTGTGCTCCGCGTCTTTCCCATGCAGAACAATACTCGCTTTCTTCAAGACCTTCATGGCGTACAATTCGCTCTTGACGTTCGGGGAAACTTTCTTCTTGCGGACCAAAAAGACTTTCCCATACGCCCCTTGACCCACGACGCTGACGAATTCGAAGTCTGCCAACCCCACCTTCTTCGGAATAGGTGCAGCGACGCCAGTGGAACATTCCTCCTCGTTGACATCGAAATTATGAATATCGACGACTTGCGATATGTCTGCAGGTTCCGCGAATGACAGCCGCAACTCTTGCATCCCCTCCCCGACCGCCTCTACACCGTTCGGAGTCTCGCTGTTTCCATCATGCGTCTGATTCGCAGATCCCGTGGACCTAGAGCTAGCTCGCGAAGAGTATTTCAGCTTGGATGGTCCTCTCGCTGGACGTCGAGACGGTTGTAATGTCGGTGTCCCATCATGGTCATCGAAAGTGTCCGAGTTCGATGCCGAGTCACTGCCGGCACTATCGAACACCTCATCCTTGTCGAATGCAAACATGTGATCGTGATCCTCTTCTTCCTCCGTCTCGCCGTCGGATAGCGAATGGACGGCGTCTTTGAGTGTCACCGACTGCGGGGCGTTGTCGAAGACTCGCTTCGTCCACCGTGGGGCCGGCATTGCGGCTACTGAAACTTATGAAGGAGACTTGATTTGGAAGACCAAACATGCGACGAAGGACGTAAGGTCGTTAGGCGTTCCCGGCCTGTGGACAACGTTGGAGCCGGTTTGAATTTCGAACTCAGACGTAATGACGGCGAGGGCGAGAAGACGGCGTCGAGCTAGCAGGCCAAAGAGGGCCAGGAGATCGTGAATTGATTTCCTGGGCGTTGCGAAGTGGAGGTGGCGAGCGGACCGTTCCAATCTGTACAATTCGTGATAGATAGAACAGGCGAGTTGTCGGAGTTTCGTACCGAGCCTTTTCGGACAGCAAGGCTGCGAGGTAGGTTCCCGAGAGCCCTCTCAATAGCCGAACGGCTCCCAAGAGTATTACAATACAGTAAGGTGGACTGGGGAACTCCTCAGATACGGGGCAGATGTTTGTCGGCCATTTTTGCTTGACAAAAAAGGATGACCTGGCTGTTCCAACTTCGTTCACCCCTCGAACTTGGAGGACAAGGACAAAAAACGCGGAGACGCGAACCCCGAAAACGTGCGTGTCATCGTTTTTTTTTTCATCGCGTATCTAGATCGTAGATCCACTTCTTTCGGGACTGCTCATTATACGGGACAAATGCGCTAGACGACCTTGGCGAAAGCCGCTGCTTAGGATTTTAGTCCTAAACCGGTCCGTGATTCTCGCTCTGCACAGCCGAGCCTCTACCCAGAGGAGTGACATCAAACCATCAAGACATAGAGACAGCCTACCACCGCCGCAAACAAAATCGAGAAGATTGAAGCCCAGATGACCAGGTTGGATCCAGCATGCAATGCTTGAAACTCGCCATCTACTATCGAGCATGCGAGAACGACATAAAGGCTCATCGCGTCGGGCAGTCTAGGCCTTCTGCAGTGCACAGTGCCTTCTCTCGCTTGTTGAACGCGTTATTTGAGGGCTGCGTTTACGCGTTCATAAAAAGAAGGGAAAAGGCCTAAACGCAAACAAACAGCGAATGACGTGAGACCATCTTGCTCAGCCGTCCTCTCGTTCCACGGCTTCCCACCCATATTGAACGCTGTCGGCTAACAGGCATACTGTATGCTATTATATCAGCCTTTACACACCCCGTCCCCGTGATATGGGACCGCATATCTGCGTTCAGAGCGGCGAGTGCTGGTTGAAAAGGATGTAGAAAACATCACCCACCGCTTTCATCAGTCTGTCCTCAATATCGAAGAATTCTGAAAGAAATCCCATAGCAAAGGCTGTAAACGGCCATCACCGACGAGGTTTCAATATGCGTCGTGAACCATCCCTAACCAAGGAGTCTGAAACCGAGGTTGATACGAGACTCCTTCTCTTTCGCTCTTTTTTGGCCCGCGTGCTAACCCCGCTTCCTGACCTCCAGCTCAAGCGGTTGAAAGACCTCGCAAGGCTCTCCCCAAGGCCCCTAGAGATTCTTGCACTGGCACCTGAGCTCTTCTACAAGACAGACGAAACTGCCGTGCGCTTGAGATTGAAAGAAACCAGACGTGCGTATAAGAACAAATCTTTGCTGGTGCATCCTGACAGATGCAGTCATCCGTTTGCGACGGAGGTGAGCGTACAAACGCACACTTTTTTTTTCCACGCATTAAGATGCTCGGGAGAAAAGGTGGGATTCACGGACACCGCTTTGATGGCATTGGCAGGCTTTCCGTCTCATCCACCACGCGTACGAGGAGATTGTCCTCCGGGGATGGGTGCTCACAAAGCCCGTCGCTGGGACCAGCAGTGGACCCGGAAGCCCCAGGTTTACGTTCCGAAAACCAGCCAAAACCGCAGAAGAGCTCATGAAAGACATGGAAGATTGGATGCAGAAGAAGCACGAAAGCTACTTTAGAGGCCGGCCCCATCAGGCGCAACCCACTCCGCCCGGTTCCAGAACGAAGGCGAAACGGCCGACGTACGAGGATATGGTGAATGACGTGATGGAACAGGTTGACCAAGATATGGAGGACGATGAAGACGACATTTTCGACCATGCGGATGCAGACCTCGTGGCGTGGATGAGAAAGGTCCATCGAAGAGCTACCAGGGATGGCTCAAGAGGGATATCCGGCACATCCACCCCAAAGCTGAACCGCGCAAATTCAGAACCCACTCCTGGTCTCAAAAGGACCAATGCACAGCACGCCAGTCACTCGAAACTTGGTGGGCGTTCTTTTTCAGTGATGGTCTATGCTTTGGAGTCCCAGAGCCTTATGAATGTCATTGACTTTGGTAGGAAAAGAGGATGAGTCAGAAGATGATGACGATCTCAGTGATGATGAGACGGCATCCAACGGTTCGGGCAGAAACGGGCCGCCGCAACCTTCTCGCAAGCTCTCCAACCACTCGATGGACGAGTTCCTATACGCCAATTTCTGCGAACCTCACAGCTTCGGCCTCGACGATACCTTGTCCAACTTATACCGAGAGAAAGACCCCGACGACCAGCCAAAGCAACAAGACGACCTCGATGACGAGACTGCGGACGACGAGGGTTCCCCAAAGACGTCAGGCCCTCAGACACCTTCCTCATCCTCGTCCGCTTCAAGCCAGCCCACCCCCGACGACGAGGATTTTGTTCCCGATTGGATGCGGAAAATGCACGCCACTGACCGCCAGCGCCGACGCCGCCAGCGGAAGAAGGCTTCGCATTTGGCAGACGAATTTTCGCGAATGAGGACCTCTTCAGGACATTCACAACCAGGTTCGGAGGAGCGTTTGCCTATGGCATGCTAATGCTGGTTGTAGATCTCATTTGAGTGTGGGTTTAGCATAGGGACCGAATTTCCTCCCTGAGAGACGTGCAGTGTAGGAGCGATCCTGCGTACGAGAAATCCGAGATCAACATCAAAATTTTGTCCATAGGTTGTCCGCACAGCAGCGGAAATATTATTCAATGGACCACAAATTACTTGGATCGCAAGGATCCAGGCCTTGCCGGACCTTGTTCATGGGATAAGATAACCCGATGACAAAACTGCCGGCCCATAGGCTATATGATGCCTCTAGGAGGCATAGAACTCAAGGGAGTACGAGTGTGGGGATACGTCATGTAGCAAGGTTGATGCAGATGACGCCTATGGATTCCCCCTGTCCCCCCAGTCTTGCAGTCCTTCGAGAAAATGGTGGTCTGATGCACACAGGAAGTGGGGGCTTGTCTGAATTGCGTGGTGATCCGGCTAGCTTTTCGCGACGGACGGTGGTGTGCTGCGACGGTTGTGGCGGTGTGCTTTGACGGTGGGTTGCGCACAAAGCCCGCGGGTTGATGGACACCGGTGGGATTGGCAGGCCTCTTGCGAGGGCGCGTAGGGCCAGCTGTCTTCTCCGAGACGGAACCCCAAACACCCCTATCCTATCTAAGCGAGCGACATGGTGGACATCGTTTGAGCCAAGACGCGCTGGCTAGGGTTTCGACGTGGCAAAACAAGAAGCGAGGACACGGCAAGATGAGAGGTTGTCCGGATGGACTGCTAACGAGGCCGTGTACAGAAGACTATTCGGTAATTTGCCGGTTAACCCTTTCCATCATATATGGTGGACGGAAGACTTAGTCCTTGGACATCTCCAGATACTCTGGATTGATGGGGCGGGGTGGTGTATGATCCACGTCGTCTCCGTTTTCCTCGGCCGGCTGTATGTTAGGAAGCGGACGGGGGCAAATCGCAGGGGGATGGATGGAGCATGAAGTGTTGGCGGAGCTGGTGTTGCGCAATCTCATGCTGGCGAAGTGCCCTCGATCTGTCGCAAGTTTTCTTGGTGGACAAAGCCCGTCTGCTGCTGGCCCAGATGGTCAACGTAGAAGTTCAACTCGTTGATATCGTATTACGCCGCATCGGTTTGATGAATCTGTTCAAGCTGGTTCCTCCTTTCATCCAGCTGCGCCGTCAATCGCACGATGGTGTCCTCAAATCGCTTCCGCATGATAGGGTTGACCTGAGTTAACAATTTCTGCCGACTGTCCTCGATGCGCAGGTTCAGGTCGTTAATCTCGGCCAGCAGGTTGTCGATTTCTTGCCGTCTGGCTTGATTCTCCGGTGACGCATCCAGCGCCATCCCGTCTTCCTCGTCCTCGTCATTCTCATCCTCTTCATCATTCTCGTCTTCGTCGTCTTCATCGTCACCATCCTCATCTTCATCTTCCTCGCCTTCCTCATCGCCATTCCGTTCGTTTTCCACGTCGTTCTCATTATCTGCATCTTCCCAATCTGCCGCCAGCCCATCGTCGTCAAGGTCCATATCCGCATTCGCGGCATCCGCTTCATTATCTTCGGCGCCCATCTCGGGGTCATCTGAGCCTGCGGCGTCCGGATCCGCATCAAGGTCGCCCTCTTCGTCCTCATCTTGATCCTCGTCCCCGTCTTCTTCAGCAGCGTTTCGGTCTATGCCGTCATCTACCTCGAACAGTACTTGCTCCGCGTTCGAGTCAGCTTCCAGAAGGCGTACGACTTCGCGCTCAACATCCTCGATAGTCTGCAAATACCGGGCCAGTTAGTCTTGTTGGCCTTCAAACCCAACGAGCTATTGTTATGCTCCGAAGGTGGAAGTCAGTCCACGCACCCTTTTCGATATACGTTGTCTGAACCTCCTCTTCCGAACGTTATACAACGGAGCCGATAACCCATGCGGCCACGTATGCTCATCGTGCTGCAACGGCTGAACCGGAGCCGGCTTCACACCATCCGGTTGAGGCGGCCCTTCTACAACAAGCATCTGAGAAATATCCGCCACCTTGTAAAGCTGCTTGTTATCCAACGTCTTGTGGGACTCGATGATACAAGGCAAGTCCATAAGTTTTGCGGAATAGTTCTCGTTCGGTCCTAAACGGAACGTCGCCTGCCGGGGGTCTTGGAAAACGACGGAGACTTCGTCCGAGATCTCACGGGCACGGACGGCCTCGCGCAGCTTCTGGGCTGGCTCGCCCGCGGGCATGCGTAGTATGAAATGCTCCTCATGCGGTGCCTCCTCGTTATCTTGATCGTGGGCGCCAGCACCCCCTTTGAAGGTGATTTTGGGGATAGGTTTCTTCGCCGCGCCTCTTCCCGTGGGCTTGCTGGAACCCCTGCGGGGGCCTTTTAGCTTGACAACGGCGCCAGTCGTTTTGGAGGTGGCCATTGTCGCTTGTTGGACCGGTTGTTGCGGAACACTGTGCGAGCTTCACAATCCCTGCGAATTCCTGGGAGTCGTGCTCTACTGTAGCTGTATGTAGCTTTTCAGGCTTTAGAGGCTTTTTGAGGTCGTTCACCTGAAGCCAGCGCGTTCACCGTTCGGACTTCCGCCTCATTGGGCACTCTATTGTCAACTTCCCACCCTGTCCCGCCCCGCTTCACCATTCACACGGACAGAAGAGACAGTTTACGTTCGTATAAGCGCAGAACGACTGTCGAGAACGGCAGGGGCGTACATATGTTCTCCGTGGCATTGCTGGCTGGTGGCATGTCCTGAAGACCATTGAGCCACCTGGATCTGCAGGCGAGCCTTGTGCATGACATATGAGACCGGCAACGTCAACCAGGACAATCCCCTACATAGCCCAGGTGCAGGACGCCAGGGTGCCCGTACGTAGTACTTCCGGAGAAAGACAGGAACGCGAAACCCTTACGGCGTACCACGTACTGAAGGACGTACCTTCCAAGCCATACTGGAATTGGCGAAGTGAGCCCGTCGCAGACCCTGTTCTTGTTCCGCTCCCGGGCTTTGTTCCTGTTCCCGTCCCTTTACTAGTTCCATCTTTCGTTCCCGTCCCTGTTCCCGGTCCCGTCCCCGTTCCCGTTCCCGTCCCCGAACGCACCTGACATACATACATACTGAATGGCCGTCGAGTAGAAAGATTGTGAGCAATCGACTGGTTCACATATCTGAAATGCGAGCTGTACATGTAGTACCACATGCAGGACCTTGCGTATGCGAGAGGAAAGGACGAGAGGGGCGAAGAATTAATTAGCCCGGCATTGACACTCGCCTCCAGAATCACGGCGCGATGGCGGCCATTAGTTGCCATGTGTAAGACCTAATACCGGGGATGAGAAAGTAATTGAAGAGAGAGGGAAGGCAAAGGGAGAGAGACAGAGAGAGGAGCCTTATGACGGCTCATATATGGCCGGGTATGTTTAGCGTCGTTTTCCTTCGACGACGGAGCTGGAACAGACAATCGTGGGTAGAAAGCGAAGAGGACCGAGCTAGGGAGGGTACGCGTAAGGATTGGGACGCGCCGTCGGAGTTCTAACTTCTCAATGCTTACGATCGCACGGCGGACGACAAACGGTCCCAGGACCAGAGGTACAGTGCTTACCCGGTGCCCACTCTGCTCTCAGCGCTCACATTCGGCAGACGCGGGTCCGTCGCGAGGGCAATACACAACTCCGCCGACGCTTTTCCACAGCTCCTTTCTTGAGCATTCCTTTGGGGAATTACAAAACCACACACACCCAACTGACCTGAGACTTTGTGGGATAATCAAAACAGGTATGAGGAGCAACACTAGCTGGTCTGTTGGACAAAGTAATTACTCACCATGGACTTTTACCAAGCAGAACTCCTGAAAAGCGCTGACCCCCAAACTACGTGCTACTAGCAAACCTTTGGCGCCCCACAAAAGTGGAAGAAGCCCTCCTACGACGTTGACACAAAGGGTATGATGAAGGTGTCCTCCAAAGTTTAGAACCGGGAAGCCCATATTGACTTCGGGAAAGTGTTTTAGAGAGATGCCACAGACCCGAAACCAGTTGCTCCGTGCGGTGGCGGCGGCAAAGGACAGGGAAACCCATGTGCTGTGCGATATATGGAATCAGACATCAGATGAGCCCTGTTCAAGAGCTCTCCGCCGCGGGGATGGCACCAAGGGAGTTGCGAAGCACTTCACTCTCTTGAACGAAGAGATGTGTTCCTGGCTGCGTACTTCCCAACACTTCTGTCTACGGGCCTCTGCAAATGAGCTTGCCGCCACAGTGCAGTTGTACGGGTGCAAGTCCTGCATGAAGAAAGTGAGAGCAGATTGGCGGAGCGGGCTTTCTCCCCCCAGCGGTGACGGCCCTCCTCCCCCCAGCAGTGATGGCACTCCTCCCCCCACCGGCGGGGACACTCCTCCCCCCAGGTCCCCACGCTACACTGCCGGGCCCCCTCCCACAGTGCGCACTCAAAGTAGTTTTGACCCGCTCCCCATCTCAGAAATGCGTCGATACAAGCGCCACCTTGAGCCTGAGTTTGTGTTGGATGCCCCCACCGCCTCAGCTCGCCGATCCCGGACCACATCGGCTGCCAGTGTTATTGAGACGTTGATGCCAAAGCCGGCTGACAATCCTGTGGAGGGAGCATTCTGGGGTGCCGTTGTCGCTGCCGAGGAGGAGACTGCAGATGAAGATGCTGCGGGTGGGGGTGGGGAGGTTGATGCCCAGATCAATGTTCCTGATCCCGCAATGGATGTTGATGCTACTCAGCGTGTGGATCGAAGTTATGAGCAGAAGCTTGGCCTTCTGAACCTCTTCCCGTTCAAGGATCATCACGGGCATCTTCAGCACCCTGTTGGACACATGGAGGAGTTCATCGTCCATATGAACACAAGGTGCGATGGGCTGTTTGACACAAAAATGAAGTTGCTCGGGGGACTCAAACCCAAATGGCAACCAGGAACGATGGATAGAAAGCGTCGCCATGTCTTTGTCTCCATTCTTCTGGATCTCAGCTTCCGTTATAGCCGTGATTGTAACGTCAGAGGAAACGTAGACGATATTGGGCCCTTCTGAGAGGGCTGAGACCAGTGTATTGTAGTGAACAAAAAAGTAAGAAGCTCTTCGCAGCGGCCGCTCGACTGACAGCTTTATATATGGGCTGCCAGTGGGGCTTGCGTGGCTTCAGTGAGGCTTGGCGCCTTATGTAATGTATCACCGAGAGCTCGGGTGGCCAGCCCGGGTCTCGGATCAAGTAGAAGTAAAGAGATATAATATGAAATACAAGTGAAGATGAGATATCCCCGACAGTGATAACTACCTCCAACGCTGGATGTCAGCCCAGCTGGAGATGTCAAATGTTAGCACTGACCAGCAAACAAAGATCGCCCGAGTTGGACTTGCGCTGGTGCCGCAGCATAAGACGGTTCGCGCAGAGAAACTCATTGCAGCCCGCAAAGCTGATGTTGACATGGCTCTGGCCCTTCCAAACTGCTTATCGATGACTTCAACTGGCACCAGCAACAAGGCACCCCAAATGAGCGGGGAAAACGGTCCATCAGCCGAACAACAGCAAATGTGGGGGTTCGCACGTGGGATGTGTCGGCAATGCCTTGGCTGCCACCTGGGCCCTTGCGCCCTAGTTTTCAGGCCACAGGATTTGCGGACCCGCACCACATCCTTGCTCAGTACCGCCGCCTTTGGACAGTCCCATCATACAGTGAAGGGCGTTGTGAGGAGGACGTTCGACTGATGTATGACACCCGACGCCTTCATTGTGTTTCGGCAATTGATAACTTTGTGCCATTGGCCAGTGAGGACAACAGGATGAAAACCGACGTGGACATGGCTCAGCTGTATCGCAAAACAGTTATTCCAAGATTGCGGCCTTACCTCCGTCATTCACCTATGGTTGCCTCTGGAGACTTTTACGTGTGGATGGGGACATTGAAATTTCTTGCTCGCACGTCTTGCGGAGCTGCGGATGAGTTTCTGGACTGGCCTGGGTCGTTCCACATTGCGCTCAACATGCAGGAAGCAGGTTACCACCACTGGTTTCCCCTCCTCAAGACATTATATGAAACGGTATTCCCCGGTCTTCGTTGTCCCCAAGTCAATCTGCGGCCGGTGAATCGGGTCAGCCTCCTGTCACTTGCACTCAAGGCATGGCAGCGTGCCTGTGTGGCGCTTCCAGCCCTTCTGCACAATTACACATGGGGTGTGCATGTTCTGGTCACGTTTTTTGACGAGCACCTGCCGCTGATGCTCAATGGACCTGTCATCATTACCGCCAGCGACTACGACCGCTTTGAGAGCTACCTTGTGCGAAGCCTGCCATTCTTTGTTCAAACTGGGAAAAAAAATTACGTGACAGTCATCCTTTGTCTTCTCGGCCGCATGGGCTTCTACCATGAAAACAATGTGCCGATGTATCAATATATGCAAGCAAACTTCCGATATCTCAGTGAAGAGGGTATCGAACTCTGGCACTCTATCATTCGTCCGCTCATCCACCCGATGATGGAGCATGCCCAGGCAGAGCCACGTGTTTTGCTCAAAGGTGCCCTGCAACCATTGGAAGCAAAAGAAGCAGGGGTGCTGAATCTGCGAAAGGGGAAGGCTCGCACGTCAAATGCCGGTACCACATTGTTTATGTTCCGCAACAATCAAGAGCCGAACATACAGGCAGCGGCTGACAAGCTTATTACCATTTTGGAGGAGGTGCAGATCTACACCATGGCCAATGGTGGCGCCCCAACCTATCACAGCACTGGGAAAACAGGTGGAAAGCGGTCACGCACAACGAAGTTCTTTCGATTTACTGCTGAACCAGATGGACTTGTCCTCGCTGAGTCGGTCATCCCCTTAGCCCAGCGGGCCAGCAATGCACACGGTCAGCTCAAAGTGAAGCTTGACAAACACATCGACATCACGGGTCTTGCCTATCCTTGCCCACCTGGGTCCCACACCGACCCCGTCAGGGAATGCTTTCCAGCGCCGTGCGGTTGCTGCCTTGTGCGGATTGGGGCACCATCTATGGTTCAGAAGCGCAAATGCGGCAATTGCTTTGGCATCATCAAGGCCGTCATTGAAGGTGTTACAGAATACCGCAATGATCTTGTGCAGAAATGGAGTCAGTCTGAGGGCGCAGGAGTTGAAAGCAAAGGGGAGAGTGACAATGACGACCGCTTTTCAGACAATGAGGATGGGGATTAGGTGTATTCCTGTTTTGCCATAGCTGGAAAAAATCGATGCGCTGCACAGCATCAAGCGGAAAAGTGCGGAAAAGTCCGATCTAATGGTTTTTCTATATAACTACTGGAATTTCAAAAAACGCACACTACTCAGCCACTTTCTTTCTTTAGCGTAATCTGGAAACACCAATTGGTAGCTCAGTGGATGCAGATGTAGGACGCAATTTGCCATAGCTGGAAAAAATCAATGCGCTGCACAGCGTCAAGCGGAAAAGTCCAGATCTAAGGGGTTTTCTATATGAACTACTGGAATTTCAAAAAACGCACACTACTCAGCCAGTTTCTTTCTTTAACGTAATCCGAAAACACCAACTGGTAGCCCAGTGGATGCAGATGTAGGACGCAATTTGCCATAGCTGGAAAAAATTGATGCGCTGCACAGCGTCAAGCGGAAAAGTCCGATGTAAGGGGTTTTCTATATGAACTACTGCACGGCTTTCTGCCTTCTGGGCACTACCGTCAGAATCGCGGACCGCGTCTGCCGAATGTGAGCGCTGAGACTCTGCTCCCCTGGGAGAGGGAGGTGGAAGGGGCCAGGTCTTTTCCCTGCTCTGTGGAAGGAGAAAGAGGGATGGGGCAGAGTGGATCGGACATGCACGGCCCACCCCTAACCCCCTGGCACGATTCAATCGTACTGTACTGTACACCTCAGCCGCGAGCACGAGCCTCCTTGTGCACAAATTGTCGTCCAACTCATTTCATTTCTCCCATGCTGCCCATCCAGTCGTCAACGCCTTTAGAAGACATCTCCTTCGCAATGTCCTATGAACCGAGACTTCCCTAGCTTCAGGCCCCATATGCCTTGTCCAGCCGACTTGGTTTGAAAAGTCAACGTGCAAGTATACGGCGCAAAAACGAAGGCGCGGTCATCTTGGGCGATCTACACCCGCCCCAAGTCGCACCGTCCCATATGGGATTGGACAGATACAAATACCTTCTGACAGCATGTCTATAGCAGAACCTCCTCTGCCAAGCCTTCAGATATGTGACGAACGACGGAAGAAGTTGCTCCTGTTGGAAAGACGGACGGTGTGGTTAGAGTCGCGGGTCCGGAAGCTTGCCGCGGGACGGGTGGATTTCAGCAACAATATGGGACCCAAAGGAAGTGGAACGTGCGAGCAGAGGAAGCGACGGAGGCCGTTGTCAATGATCGTATTATCGTCGTCGACGCCGAGAGAAAAGGATGAAAACCCCACCATGCCATCATCGGAGATCGAAGCAGCCGGGTTGCAACCGAGGACTGCGCGCCTACGCTCAAAATCGACTTCCAGTCTGCCTGTATGGACGTCCGCTCATTCTGGCAGCATCATCAATCATAAGACGGACGGAAAAGAGCTCGCTGTAGATTGGTCATTTGACAGATCCCGGTGCGATTCGGGAGCTTCGCTGACCCCAGAACCACCACAACGCAAACTTGAGCCAACATCAACCACACTACTCTCCCAACGGCTGCCTACGCGTGTGACGAGCTTCAGAAGCCGCTTACCAGTTCCTAGCAGATTATTGAAAGTTTCAGCGTCGGCAAAGCGCAGCGAGGAGCCAATACGAAGAGATGATGGCAACCATGAGCAGCCTGCTCTCCTCCGGTCGCTCTCCCACTCGTCATCGAATTCCAGTCCTATAATTAGATCCGACGCGGGACACGAATTTGAGATTCGATTGAAAGAGACGAGCCCTCCAGGTACCAAGGATGACGATCTGGATTACGCTTTGAGCGAGTTCCGCGACATGATGGCGATGGAACCCCCTACTCCGTACGGCTCCGAAGCCAGCGAAGAAACGATCATACCCGTCAGTCTCGAAACGGACAGTGACTTTCTAACGAACCACGACACAATGCGCTCTCAATGGGCTTACGCACCCGCAACAGCGCGCCATGCTCCCAACTCCTACTTCCCGCATCCCGACCCAATATTAGATGATACGTCATGGGAGTCCACCGAACTATCCTCCGATTACGAAAACAGGCCGATTGTTCGATACATTGTCGCCCCGATTCAACCAGATCTGTCCAGGGAGGCCATGTACATGACTCCGCAGACGTCTATGCCTACGATCGAAGTCGATATGTACGGAAACCGCTCGTCTTCGTTTGAAAATGATCCCGATTCGGAGTTTTCGATGGATGGAGGTGGGAAGAGTGCTACGGGATCTCCGACCGGTGCGGATGGATTGGGTATGGTTACGAACGTGCACGTCACGAATGATGAGTCTTTCCGGAAGACGCGATCTGAGCTACATATGGCTGCCATTCAGTATATGCTCAAAGACAGAAAGGTAGATCCGTATTGTTGATCGCTTGAATCTGAAAGCGAACCTAACGGACGCGATTTGTAGGACTCCACCCTTCTCTGTCCTCCCTTGCGTAGCAACAAGCATACTCAGGAAGCCAGCTTGGAATGGGACGAGTCGTCCGAAATCACCGTCGTATCCTGGAAATCCGAAGCCGATGGCGATGAGCACGAACAAGAGTGTGATATCGTCGAAGTCGCAGAAGTTGAGGAAGATCAAGACGAAGAGCAGGCCATCGACGGCTGCTACGAGCCATCGGACTACGAATCCGCCTTGGCGGACTTTATGCCGCACACACTAGACACCATCAGCGAAAGCAGCTTTGAGGACGGGGAGGGCATCGAGATGCCCGATAGGGATGGGGAGGTCGCGTTTGGAGTCTCTTTTAGTAGCAGTGAAGGCACGCTGAATTCACTCAGTGGAACGTTGCGATGGCAAGCGGCCACTCGCATGCTTTATCCGGCGTCATCGGATTTGCTGTGAGAACCGGAGGACCTGAGTGTGGATTCGGAAGGGGATTTGTATCATTCGGCGCTGGAGGACCTAGAATTGTAGGCGCAGGCCGTGGGCAGGACCCTATTAGAGGTCTAACCACGTCTGAAGCGTCCGGACACTCGCCGCGCTTCCACGATCTTTTCGCGCTCCCACGGATGACCGTGAGCGCACGACGCATGTGATTACAAGCAGGCACGATGGACGTGAACAAGCATATTTTGCGCGATACTTTTTTTTTTGGATTGGGACCCGTGAAAGGATCGAGGACATTGGAGCCTGCCACAGAGTCTTGGCCTCACCTGCTTAGGGTCAGGCCTTCAGTACTAGAATAGTATGCCATGGTGCAGTACCCCCTTCTTGCCCGTTACGTGGGGTATGTACTGCCCGGCGTATCGCTCCTTCCCTTCATACTATACGTGCCACATTAATTAGTTGAGATCAATACACCTCGCAATGTCAGGCTTGGTGGTGCTGAGGTTGCAGAATAGAGTTTTTGAAGAGTTTCCTGAACGAAGCGGTGTTTGACGGCGTGGCGGAACTCTAACCTCGCGGCTTATAAAGACCTCGATGGCAACAAAGAAAGCAACCACTTACCTTGACCCGTCCGATGAGAAAGGATTTCGAGTGCCCGAAGTTATGTTCAGCGCGTCATACGTGATTTGCATACCCTGTGGATCTCTACATATACAATCACTAGGAGTTCGGGCGTGTTCTGCTGACAGTTTGCATCTCAACAAGGGAAGCTCCAAAAACGCGTTCCCATGGTTTGACGCGAAACTAACGCGTCAACGTAAGCACAGCCAACTTTCTAGTGCTGATACTTTCCGTACTCGAATATCAGACATCAAGTACAAGGCGTTTTAGAGCGTTCCGTGGTACGGTTATCCCATCTCCCGTCTTCATAGAACGGTGGAAGAAGGTCTTTTGTGGAGCATCCATAAAACGATCCATCTTCGTAGCTCAGACGAGTATGGTCACCGGCGTACGGGAACGTCCTTTGTGGTTCGGGCTCCAGTGTACAATAAGGCACTACGGGCTATCTACACAGTCAATCCAGCATTCCATCAACGTGCTACCCTGAATCCAACACTGTGACGTCTGATCTCACGAATACTTCAAAGCGATGAAGCAGACTTGTTCAAATCTCATCTTTCCCTTTCCGCCTGATACGTTGCACCTCCTCTACCTCAGTCCGCTTTCCACCATCTTCCGTAGTCACCTTCGCACCCTTCTCCCACTTGCCAGGTACCCCCTGATCACTCAAATAAGCCTTAACACCCATCCCCCACCGCCCCGCCCTCTTTCCCCACTCGCCCATACTCCAAAAATGGCGCTCGCGGAACCTAGGCGCTGTCTCCTGCGATCGTTCGTAGGCTGATTTGGATTGCTCGGAAGAGTGAGGGAGGTGGTTGAACTTTTCGTATTGGCGGATGTAGCCGCTGTAGGAGGCTTCATCGCCGAAGTCGTCTGTGGGTGTGTAGTGTTTGTTTTGGTCTGGAGTTGCCGATGTGGAGCGGGATGATGGGGTCGGCTTGGCACGCCAACTTGGCTCGGGGGACTCGGCCGATCCTGCGTTCCCTTTCGACGTGTTCGCGTCCTCCGCCTCGTCATCGTCCTTCTTCGACCGCCTAACATCAACCTCCTGCGGGACATGACTCCTCCCAGCCCAGACGCTCGTCCTCATCTCCTTCAGCCTGCTCACAGCCCTCCTGAATGCGAACTTCTCATCCTCTCCCGTGAAGATCGCCAATTTCGACAGTTCACCGAAACTTTTGCCCTGCTTGGACATGTTGGTACCCCGGCGCGTCAAACCCATGAGATCCCCGAGCATTTCTTTGTGCATGAATTCATCGGAAGATTCGTCCGGGGTCTTTAGTGGGTCGTCGATGGTGACGAAGAGATCGTCTGGCTCCGCTTCGGCGGATATTATGAGTTTCACCTGAGATGCAATAACGAGCGTTAGAAGGTGAGGTGCTGCATAGCACATCCTCGAAGTCACCGCACCTTGTTCTCATACGCGGCATCAATGAAAGTGATGAAACGCCGGGCCTCATTTTTTTGCACCAGTCCTAGGACTGGAACGGACTGTAGGACGATCGTGTGGTACCGCTGACACAACAGCAAGTAATCAGCCGGTCCCCATGGCTTTTTAGAGGCAGATGTGAGTGTCTATCGTTTCGCTGGGTACATTCATTGCGGCAGTAAACCCACCCTAGGTCCCGATCCGCATAGCTCATCGAAAGTCACTAGCGCCATTCCATCTGCGGCCTTCGTTATTTCCACAGACCTGCCATATAATTCGAAGTGATCTTTCCGTACTATAGTCGAGGTGGTATCAGGCACTGCTGACTCTTTGCACAAAGCGAGGTGCGCACTTACGCCTTTTCCCGTAGAATAGCCGCGCTACGCGTTCAATGAAAGCTTCGGTCTGCTCAGGATCATCCAGCCTGTAGTATGTATCCGTAAACTTCTTCTCTGCAGTCTCCTCTGATGAAGGGGATGCACAGTTAGCGGCCATCAGGTCAGCAAGAGAACATCAATGAGCCATACGTTGTAACAGCTGCTCTCTATAGTCCGTCTTTCCTCGCAAATGAACGACGTCACATCGCTTGTTGATCAGATCTATGAATGGACTATGGTGTTCACGATGGAAACCGCCCTTGTGCAGGTCTTCGAAGATCTCGCATTAGTCGTGTTCCTGGTCTTCATGAAGGCCGCTGAAAACAAAACATACCATCGGGTGACCGATTCGATGTTGCCACCATCACGGCGCCCATCCGGAACATATGCTGAAGAACCTGCCGTATCACAGTTGCGGTCGCCACATCCGTGATCTGAAACTCATCTATGCATAGCAGCCAGGCTTCATGGAACATCTCGTGGGCCACGAGTTCGGTCACATGCAGGTGATGTGGGCGGGTCCGGTTGCTGGTGAGATCTCACGCGTCAGACTCGGTGAGAGATGCCATGTGCCTTCCTCATCCATCAACATCTGGCAACATACTTCCACTTGTGTATCCGGCGAAAGATGCTGACAGTGAATGCGTTGAAATGGACGCGTTTCTTCTTTTGCAAAGGCATCGACTCGTAGAACAGGTTCATGGCCATCGATTTACCTGTCCTAGAGCATTGTGGTCAGTACTGGCACACCCATATGTATGGCATCCCGGTGTTTGCGATTTACCCGACTTCGCCATGGATCCACACTCCTTTCGGAATGGAACTCTCATCGCCCAAGTCCACATGGACGAGATCCTTTGTACGCGTGTTCCCTACTCGCAGCTCCTCGCCCGGTTTTGACGGCGGTTGGTCAAACCCTTCAAAGTGGATCGCACGCGTTGGTGGCTGGTAATCGAGCAGCGTTTCGCATAGTCGTTGCAGCTTGACGACTGCTCGCATTTGGTCTTCATCCGGCCGCAGCTGCTTCTCGGAGACCAGTTGGAAGTATTGTGGCAGGGGCCCTGACACGAAGACGACGCTTTAGAACGGAAGCCCCAATAGGGATCCATAAGCGACCAGTAGAGACGCGCCCACCTATCTGTGCAAGGGAGCTAGAATATTGCCGCCGAATGAGATGGCCCCGGCCCCTCACAATGGGGCGTAGGAGAGGTCCTCGGAAAAATATGACCGACATTGTGGCAGTGGAACGAAAGGCAAGGCCTCAAGCCGTCCCCAGGTGCTTCCAAGTGTTACGCCGTTTCTCGGATAACCCAAGCCCAATTCTACGGAGAAAGGATGGATGTATCGTCTCCAAACCGCCGCACACTTTGCCTTTGAGTGCACGGGATGCGAGCGAGGCTGCAGAAGGGAAAACCCGAAGTGAAGTTGGGGAGCGTCTTGGAGCAGATCGCGCGCGCGTCAGATCGGACATGAGAACACAACGGGTCGCCGTTCGCCACGCCCCGCACTTCCTGCTCAGACCACCGACAAGTTCACTCAGAAGTCCCATCTTCTGCATCCTAGCTCCGCATACTAGACGACGGCAAGCAGATCATTCAACATGCGCTCAGTCACACTCTCGCCAACGGGCCAGCTAGCTATCTCATCCACCAACACATCCGACGAAAAACCGTCAGTCACCGCCAACGTCCTCAAGCCAAACCACGTCCTGGTGCGCGTCCGCGCTTTCGCAATCAACCGCGCTGACCTACTAGTAGGCCCGTCGTCAAGCGATGCGTCTACGGAAAGAGTGCCTGGGGTAGAATGTGTGGGGACTGTGGAGGACGCGGGAAGCAATCCGACCGTGAAAGGATTGAGGGTTGGGGCCACTGTCGCGTGTTTCAGCCTGTCAGAGAATGCAGCTGGCGCTGGAGGTGGGCTGTGGAAAGAGTAAGCTGTGATAGGTCTTGTTCTTGTCTCGTCACCCTGCGAAGGGATGTGAGCCTTGTGAGGGATCGCGAACATTCCCACGCGTCAAAACGCGTGAGATACGAGCCAAAGAAGTGAGGCTTTGGCGGGCATATCGATGCAATCTACGATCGTTGCCGGGTGTATGCGGTAGAAGAGAAAGGAGGGTCGGGCACTCGGGGATTACCCGATTGATGTGGGCAGATACGAACGAAGGAAATTGCGGACGGATGAATCGGAAATAATGTTTCTCACTCTTCTTCCATCCGTCCTTCACAGCTACGTGATGGTACCGACTAAGAACGTGTTTCCATTACGAGTAGCACCCGCCGCACCAGGAATGCCACTTGATGCGGGGATTTGGAGCAAACTCGCAGCCGTCCCTCTGACATTCATCACCGCATTCGGAATCGTAGACGCCTTGGACTTAAGGTGCGAGTTCGTCACCTTTCTAAAGCTCTTCTTTGCACGTCTCATACTCACGCAAATTACGCTTCCAGAAGCGGGGATCGGCTTCTGATTAGAGGAGCAACTTCTTCGATAGGCATGGCGGTAGCGACAATAGCAAAGTCCATCGGCGCCATAATAGCATCCACAACGCGCGATCCAACGAAGGCACCTAGTCTATCGAACAACGGAGCCGACTTTGTGATACTAGACAGAGAAGGAGGCATCTCCAATGATGTCCGGATGATGTTTCCTTCGAGAAGATTAGCAGCATCGCGCGACAATCTCAACACAATGTTAAACGATACGGCGACGTCGATAGACACAGCTGGTGCAGACAAAGCAGTCGACTTGGTCGGAATCACGACGCTGAAGGATACAATCAGCGCGTTGAGGGCCCCGGGAGGCATCTGCTGTTTGGCGGGGACGCTTGGACAACCAAGTGGTGCAGATCAAAGCCCTGCGACCCTCGATCCGACGCGTTTGTTACCATCGGGAGTCTATCTCACCACATTCGACGTCAACCAGCTGGACCTCTCGAGAGTGCCGTTGCAAGACATAGTGGACCGGGCTCTTCAGAAGGAGGAGTTTAGATTGAACCTCGACAGGACCTTCCTGATGGATCAAGTAGGGAAAGCGGGGGAATACATCGCGTCTGGGAAGGCATCGGGGAAGGTGGTGGTGGTGGTTAACGACGAAATCCAGTGAGGGGTGGGGAATCTGGAGGATGCGGAAAAGCGGATGGCTGGATGATGTGAATGTAAATACGTTACGTGGGATAGACCCTGTCGTAGACCATTTTGAGATGTGGAAGCCATTATACACGTTCTATGCGGGCAAGCCCTGGATTCACTTGGAGTGGTGTGCAAGAGGCGACGTGTGGATGACAGCAGCGCAGTGGAGCGTGAGTCCAACGCGTGCAACCTCAGCTGCGGGCGTACCGAGTGCCCGGGCCTTGACATCATTTGCCGAGCAATCTCATCATCGCGCGCTGGGCCTTCCCTTTCGATAAAAGCATCCGGCCGCCCTTTCGCCAACCCCCGTTTGGGCAGGCAGGCAGGCGTTTAACGTGGGAGTATATATATCGGCTTGCATAAGGCAAACCCTCAGTTCAGGAGCGTATTCCGCAAGGAAGAATGGTCGCAGGAGTGCCCTCGGCAGCCGCCGGGTACGAGCCACCCGCTTGGCACAAAATAGTGGGCATTACGCTTGCGCTCCTTTCGTCCGCCTTCATTGGAGGGAGCTTTGTTTTCAAGAAGAAGGGTCTACTGAGCAGCAATAACACAAACGGGACCAAACCGGGAGAAGGACACGCATATCTGAAGAACCCGCAATGGTGGGTCGGAATGATAATGAGTGAGTTGGAAACAGAGACTGCTGTCGCAAGCGCCAGTATCTTATGTTCGCGTATGGACTGATAGCATTACCCCACTCTGTAGTGCTCTTTGGAGAAGTTTTCAACATGATAGCATATGCATTCGTGCCCGCCATCCTAGTCACACCCCTCGGAGCGCTGTCGGTCGTGATTAGCACCGTTCTTTCTGCCGTCATTCTCAAAGAGCACCTGTCGTACTCGGCGAAAGTCGGTTGCGCACAGTGTTTGCTGGGTGCGATTCTGATTGTTGTCAATAACGGCGAGGTGAAGAGTACGACGACGACGATGGACTCATTCGTGGAGAGGGTCGCTACTCCTGGTATGACATCTTCTCAAATGATCTTTCCGCTTCTATTCTTCGGTTGCTAAAAACTTTCCTGCACTGCAGCTTTTCTCGTATGGGCTGCCATCAACGTCGTCGTCGTTCTCTTCCTTATCTTTTGGTGCATGCCACGCTGGGGTCGCAAGCACGCCATTGTTCCCATTGCCACCTGCTCACTAGTCGGCGCCTTTGTCGTCCTTGCCACGCAAGGGTTTGGTTCAGCCGTCGTCTACACCCTCTCCGTACCCTCCGAACCATCCCAGTTTAAGGACTGGCGCCTTTATATCCTACTGGGCTTCATTTTACTGTCGTGTGCGATGCAGATTCATTTTCTGAATTTCACGCTGAACGTGTTTTCGGCTGCGGTCACGACGCCGATCTACTATGTATGTTTCACGGCGGCAACGATTGTGGCGAGCGCGATTTTGTTCAACGCCTTTTCACTGGAGAGCGTGGCTAGCGGGACTAGCATCGTGGTCGGATTCCTCGTCATTGTGAGTCTAACCAAGCGTTTGAAAGGGCTTTTTGTTGGAAATGGCAACGCTTTCTAACTTCACGAAATCTTCTTAGGTCGGAGGAGTAAGTCTCCTTTTCGCTTTCTCTCGCGCAGAGCGCCGACGGTTCCTCGCCGACCCATCCGCCAACACCAGCCACTTGTCCGACTTACCCCGTATGGACGAAAACGGCAAACCGGAGATCAACGACCTCCGAGACGCCGCCGAATACGACGTCTTCCAAGGCAGCCTGAACCGAAGCGCTGCCACAACAGGCATATCGGGCCTGTCGTCGGGTTTAGCAGGGACGTCCTTATCGTTACCATGCCCGCGGACCACGGACATCTTAGTAGACGATGGAGATGGGGAGATATGGTGCAATGTCGCGAGACACTCAAAGACGATGGATGGGAGGACGAGTAGAGCGTTGGGCCATCACAACGACGACGTATTGACGCACGAAGAAAACGAGAATGAAAAGGAGAACGGGTGGAGTTTGGGCAGCAGATCGAGCGGAAGGCGGAAAACGATGGGGCATGCGCCTAGAAGAGGATTATTATCCGCCGCGCGTAATAACCTGGGTGCTGGTGCCTCGGCCGACACCCTAGCGACTACAGCCACGGGTGCATCAAGTTCGAGCCGCTCTAACGGGCGAAGAGATCGGGGATCGGTGCAGGAGCTCTTGCCGCTGGGTGTCCTGTCGCCGGATACGGCATCATGGATGAGGGAGGCAAGGATATCTGAAGAGGTGTGATTGAAGTCACCCGTGGTCGTTGACAGAGATATACCTCATGGGAACGGTTTTTTGGACCGACGGCGTGTTGGGAACTTAAGTGCGGATTTATTTGACATCTGCGTAAGGTTCCGCGTAAAGATCACCTTTTTGTCTCTCATTTGATGTACATATGGTTGGGGTTAGGATAGGCGTCGATCGGCGTATTGGCCTCGTGTAGCTTTTTCGGCTATAACTTAATATGGATTACCCTGGAATATTTCGTATCACAACTGCTCGTTCATATGGTTTGCGTGTCTGCTTTTCTCCTTCGTGGTGAAAAAGTCTGTCATCCCATCACTTTTACGGCCGCCGATAATATCTCACTTTCATTCATAATAATAAAAATCTAGTTGCCTTTCATTCTATTCTACTCTTATACCGCCTATCACTTCCAAGCCCCGCTCCCCCCATGCGTTCGAAATTACGATTCCATCTCGAATACGCCCAAAACTGCTGATCAATGCGCCTGTCGTCCCAGCCCAATCAATCATCGAGTAACTCTGTGTCGACAAACCGTTGCCATCTTCCATGCTGTCTGTGCATCTCCCCCGCCACCGGCCCCCTCACAATCGATTCCGACACCATGTCACCAATCTCCCTCGACTCCCGCCGCAGGAAAGTCTCGATCGCGCTCGCCTCCGCATAATGGCCCGATTGCCTCAACACGCGCAACATCCTGAAATACGTTGTCCGGTTCGGTTGCACACCCATCTGCTCCATCCCTTTCAGATCGGTCGCAAGAGAGATGGTGGAGCGGTCCCGCGAGTCGTGCAATCGAATCATTTGTTGGATAAATGACCCGTAGAGGCTGGGCGTAAGAGGGGAGTGAACCGGGTCCGTGCCGTTCCCACTGAGTGGGGTATGTGTTGAGTCGCGAAGGCTGTCATTCGGTAACAAACGGGTCTTGGAGCGTTTTCGGATCTCAATCACTTCATCGACAGCCGTTTTGAGCTCTTTCAGTGAGGGTTGAAGTAGAAGATAGACCGCCAATGACCTCTCGCTCAATTCCAGATTTGGGAATGACTTCACGGCGAGTCGGAAGAACTCGCAGCCTTGCGCGTGCTCCTGCGTCACCAGGAAGCCTTCCAGCGCATGTCGGAACCAAAGACCAGATGCCGCAGCTCGATTTTTGGTACGTGGCGGGAACAGAATCGCATGGACAGCTTGTACATGCGTGAACCGCTCGGACCGGATCAACTCATGTGCAGCGAACTTCCATTCCACAAGTAAGGCGCGGTGCGACATCTGCAACCGTGCTTCTGCTGCTAGGGATCGGATCGCCGCCCACTGGTCCTCCTCCGCCGACACTTTAGTCTCTGCATCGTCCTCCGGTTCGAGTCGCATACGGGCTTCCATCGCTATCAGCGGCCCGAACGGAATTCTAGCCATACTCAAATTCTGGCTGCGAATACGCTCAATCAGCACGTAGGCATGTTCCCGATTCCCAGCCCGTGCGTATGCCGATATCAGAGCGTAAATCACCCTGACATCGACGGGATAACCCAATCGCCTCCCGAATTTGTCCCAAGTATGCGCCTCTTGAAATCTCTGCCGTTTCGCGTAGTTCGACGCAATCAACATGACGGTGCCAGCAGGTGGCCTGTAGCCCGCATAAATCAATTCGCGGAGCGCCTTGGATGGGGTGCGTGTCTGCTGTGTGATGTGCTGGACGTATAACTGCTTCAAACGAACGTTAATTCCGAATGAATCTGGCTTTTCCCATAGAGCAGATCTTGTGAAGTGAAACCACGAGCTTTTGACGAATCGCACGCGGTTGCGGATTCTGTGTTGCTTTTTCGCCAAGAATGAGGATTGAGTGCCCAGCGCTGCCCTCAGTGCTTTGTCGTTTGACGAGCATCTGCGAGTGAACTCCTTGACCGCCTTTTGGAGCCCGAGCGAGGCCAATTGCCGGACTGTCTGAAGACGCTCCTTTGAAGTGTACCGAGAAGATCCTGCATTGGCGAGCTGGACCACATGCGCAACGTTACTGGTATCCCCAATTGAGTGAAAAGCCCTCATCATGATGCATAGCAAATAATTGTCTGCATCAATTCCACTATCCAGCATTCTAAGATAAATCCGGATAGCCTCGCGGTATCTTCCGATCCGCACCAACGCCTCTATCACAGCAGAGTAGAAAGTCAATCCAGGTCTCAATTGCTGATCGAGCATGCGCGAAAGTATCTGATCAAACTCCGACAGTTTGATATGATGCACAGAAGCTACCAGAAAGACTTGATAGCAGTATGTATCCCAGGATAGCCCCATACGCCGCATTTTACGTAAAACGGCTCGCGTGCGGCCTAAGCGCTCTCCGGCCGCCAGAGATGTGAAGCGCTTGATGATGGAGAGCATAGCATGAATGTCCCGCATGCTAGGGGACTGAACATCGTTCCACTGTGCGCCGCGGTGGATCGACGGGGTCAGTACTCGGTCGAATGTCGTCCAAACTTGTTCGAAATTCTCCCTAGTAGGCTCATTGCCATAAATTTTCAGTGTTGCTCGGTAGGCGCTTAGAGGCATAGCTTCCGATCTTGCTACGACGTCCGACAAACAAACGCCATTCTTCGAAATGGGCTCGAGGGCAAGCTCAGGGTAAAACACGCCTTTGCGCATCGAGTCAGATCTCGGTAGCCGGCCTATCACCTCCTGAACCCGGCGAAGCTTTTCAACTCCTGTGAGCGTTACGCATCTGCGAGTCGCCCAAAAAGCTTTCTGCAAGTCTTCCAAAGTCAACTGCTTGGCGTATCGAGTATCCTTCATTACCCTCCCTAGGATTTGCCAGGCGCGAATGTAATTATGCGGATTCAGGAGCCGCTGGTGGGCATCTAGACGCCTTCGCAGGTGAGATATCGGGTCGTAAATGACGCTGCGAGCGCTTGACCGGATATGTCGGTTCTGGTCAGAAGAGATTGGGGAGGTACATCGTAATATCAGCGCTCTGCAGGCGCTGGAACGAGTGAGAGCTACGACCAACACCATCCCGGGCGGCTAGCCGAACACGAGCGGGATGGCCAGCGCTCTCGACCTTTCAAACTCCTGCCCCTGTCGTTCCTTTCCCGTGTCATCCGTGACCTCCTGCGGGGGGCCTCGATTTCCTCGGCCGGCAGTATGCGAAGTGGGCAACCCAGACGAGGGATGCACGAAGCCCCTCCAGTCGAAGGAAGATTGTCCAAACCCAAAATTGGCCGTCGATCTTGACTGCCGATTCCAACGAGGTTCGCCGATCCTCGGAGCTGTGAACGGACTGATACTGGAGACAAGCACTTGAGTGATTCTGTTGAGGACTCAAGCCGGAATGAATCGTTGGGCATAGAAGCTCGTGCGTGACTCTTTTGAACAAGGTCTTCTCGAATTCCGCGAAAAATCGAGGGAACCTATTCCAAATACAAAAAAAGATATCGTCCGGCCACCCAGGATCGAACTGGGGACACCCAGATTACAGCTTGCGTTACAGTCTGATGCTCTTCCAGCTGAGCTATGGCCGGATTTGATAAAGGCCAAACACAATTAGTCTCATAATCCTTTGTTGTCATTTGCTTTTCCCCGTGACAGCGCCTTTGCATGTAAAATCTTGCCACTCCTGCCATCCCCTTCTTTTTCCCCGTTCGCTCCCTTTTTTCCTCGCGGTGACGTTCCGTGAACAGCATCTGAACAGACAACTGATATGCAACTACTGAGCCGTTGTTAGAAGAATGCGGCGGTGTTCCCCACCTCTTGCATGCGATTCTTCTTGATGTGCGCCGCTGTTAATGTTCCGCAAATGCAAGGTCCATCTGCCACATCGTACGAGTCAGCCCTTGATTTGAACCAGGACGAGTCGGTTTGGAAGGAGGAGCGCACAACCCTCACCCAGGCTGCTGATGAGGCTGGTCGTCGGCGGACGAACTCCGCATCGGTTTTCATCAGGAGAGGCCGCTCATACACATGGTCGTCGACGGATACTACCTTTGCCCTGTCACTGCACACATCGATATCTCGTCCCTTTTCAGGGGCAGTGGGACATGGAATCGCGTCCTCGGGATTGGGTCGGTGCGATGTTGAGACGCAGCTGTGGAATATGCAGGAATCGGAATGCCGGCTGATCGTTCAAATTGCATTTTTTTTTTGGGCAGCGGTTAACGGCACAAGATGTAATGAGATTTACGTCATAATGTGGTTGCATTTTGCCGAATCCCCAGAAACGGTTCGGGGCGGGATTGGTGTTTGGCGTCTTAATCCAAGCCTCTTGATTGAAGACATTACAGGTCGCGGAGGCCCGAGGGCTTGGAAGCCTGATCGGATCGGTATTTCCAGTCCAAATCGGTGATGGATTTCTGCCATGCATGAGGCAACTGTATACAAACAAGCACACCCTGCAAGGTCATTCATAGCACCAAATATGGCCATAACAACGTTAACATTTCCGGCGGCGATGGGGTATTCCCAGTAGGTCCGAAGAGGTGGATTGCATGATAGAAAGGCACCGAAGCCTGGTGTGAGGGCCCCATGGAATCGGCGTGAAATAGTATGGGACGCAATGGGAGTCGCTGCCGGAGCGCGAGGACCGGATCAACGCCAGCCCAGACAGAAAGGGCACAGCCATTCCCCATAAAAGATCAACCGTCGCTTCCAGACCCGCCCGGCCCATCCTTCTCCTGCCTTCCTAGCAACGACGAGGAGGACAGGCAGGTGCCCTTAGGATCCAGACCCGGTTTTTCTTCTGTGAACGCAGTCTTCCATTCGTCTTTCGAGGTGACGAAAGCACCCAGGCATCTGACAAACGAAACATTAGAGCGATTTGGCGCAAGAGTGTTTTCAAAGGATCAGCCTGAGAAACGACCATCCCCGGCATCAGCTTGGTCTCAAGAAACTTCAAACACTATAAACAGGGGCCGTGATGATCCCGTCGATCCGTGATATCCTCGCTGAGAGCCCGGCTCCACCACCACCACTATCGGCCTCGACGTTCCCACCACCAACACTCCCTTTATCCGTCAGTCCTCGGGAGCTGGCGCTACCCTTTCCGCTACCGTTGCCGGTGCCGAAACCGCTTCGCCATCCTCCTGCAGCAGTATGTCTGGCACCCAGGTCGCCGCCTGCTGTCACCACCGCCCCCTACAACAATCCGCGAGCGGGCCATAGCAACTATCCCATCCCTCATCATCAACCCGCACCATACGCATACCCTCTTCCTCCGCCACCACCACCGACCCCTCAACGAGCCAACACTTGCGGAGAGTGGTGTTCGTCTGGCGTCCCGGCATGCTACCCTACTCACCACCATCCCAACGTCCCGACTCCAAGTGCGCCATGCTACGCAACGCACCCGTGCTGTCCGCCAGCACACCCACTCCCATTGTACATGCCATCGCTTTACCATGAGCCTCCGTCCCATCAACCTGCACCCATTCCGGCAGGCCCTGAAATCTCGTACCACAACCATCAACATTCTCAGCATCCACCTAGGGCAGAAGCGCCACATGTCCCAATGCGAGCTAGCAACCAACATTCGCCCCGCACAACCGCCCGACTCTCTCTACCATCACCACCGCCTCCATCATTTATACCACAGCGGACTCTGAGTTCCGGATCTGACCCATGCCCTTCATCTCCCGACTCTATCGAGCATGTATCGGCGAAACGAAAGACCAGCCGCTCGGCAAGAGATGCCAATGACGATCGGAAAATCGCACAACTGGCAGTGGCTCGCAAACCAACTCCGCAATACCCGTGCCTAGACTGCTCGAAAGTCTTCTCGCGGCCAAGCAGCCTCAAAACGCATTCTTACACCCATACCGGCGAAAAGCCCTTTCACTGCAGTTGTAGCGCGCGGTTCAGTGTACTTAGCAACCTACGACGCCATTTACGGAAAGCGAGGCCGGATAGCGAGTGCCGTGGCGTCGGAAGGGCCGTGGTTGCTCTTCGAACCCCGTCGGGAACTAGTAGCGATTCATCATCCTCATAGCGGATGGTAGTTTCCATGATGCGGGATTTTGTTCCATAACGATGACCTTCCTACTTTAGTTTACTCTCTGGACGCTACACTCTCCACTTCCCTACTGTAACGAGCGTTGGAATTATAGCATGGCCGAAGGACACTACAGAACCTGGAACTCTTCCAGCTGGTAAACTCGAAAAATACACCTTCGCATAACCCAGAGCACTACCTTTGCATCATCGTGTGGTTCTTATCGAGTCAAGACGCTTGACATCTGCATATCCGCAGGGCGCATGCCCATCAGATTACAGTGGCACTTGAGTTGACTTCCCGCGCCTCGTCACAATACACTCATCGGACTCGGACCTCCAACACAGCGCTCAGAATCGGACCTTATCGTCATGCCAGGAACGTCCATGGCATTGTCTTCGCTGCGCTAGGTACTGTACAGTAAGTAACACAGCTGGACGCACTGGGCAAAACCGGACATGGAGCATGCACGGAACAGCCCACACAATCTCTAGGTGTCCGCGCCGCTGCCAAGGAATGGCAAGAGCTGGTTTGGAATGGCTTGAGCATAGCTAGATCTATCCACCGGTTGCAGAACGGGCCAGAACACAATGTGAAGTTGAAGCTGCTGGTACTGGCTTGGCTCTCCCTGTACAGTAACTTCTCGTTTATTTCAATTCCGGTTACTTCAACTTTCGCTTATTTCAACGGTCAGAGGGTTAGGGTTTAGGGTTAGGGTTCGGGTAACATTGACTTTGACAACACTGAGAGCACGAGGCTTGAGCACACTGAATAGTTCATTGCTCGCCAGATTCTTATTGAGGAAGGGTTGGAGGTTATGGGGTTAGCCTAGGGAGTGCCTGTTCACCGAGCTTAGCGTACGTTTTAGTTGCGCACCTGTTTGTATACCCTTAGTATGAGGAGGATTTCAGATATTTTAACTTTCGCTTATTTCAAGGGTCAACGGTGTTGAAATAAACGAGAAGTTACTGTACTGCCTACCACTCCCGGGGACGGCATCAGCCGGAAGACGCTGGCCCAAACGAACACCCAGGCACAAATGAGGATAGGTCTGACCCACATACATGAAGCTGGGTCTGATGTGGCCCAGCATTCTGTTTCTTCCACCGTGGATCTGGTGGAAACACTTCCCTCAGAGAGGTTGCCTGTAGATGTTGTGATCATGGAGGTTGGCATTGCCCACAACGGTGCCCACAACGGGATGCTCAAGGTTGTGATAGGTTTCTGAGAGCAACGTTGTCACGGGCTTCCGATACAGGTGGCAGTCTGAGTGGACGTTCCGCTTGCGGCGGGCTTGAATGTGCGAAGATGGATGGCCTGCAATTTCCAATCAACGGGTGTGAGAATGGAGTTCGGTCGACGGCAAGTCCTTGCAGCCATAGCGATCATCCCGGCTCCCAATGTTGTGTGGATGTTGAAGTTGTGAGGGAGGATGGTTCCTTTTAAACGCGCACGTGCGAGGGACACAGATTTAAATCAGCAGCCAGCCAAATTCGTCCAGTCATTTGCATCCGTTCGATTAAAGGTCCTTTTCGACGAACAAGGCTTCGCAAACATGGTGCGTAACGAGACATGCAGCAGAGACACACCAATCCGGCATCACGATGGTAGAGCGAACGGCTGGGCGAACAGCGGGCGCATTTTGAGCCCGATATCGACGCCGAGATGGATGGATGGATGGATGGACCATGGATGGTTGCGAGAGGCATTGTGGAGTTTGGAATCGAAATTACGGGGAGAATTGGCGAAACGGGCGGTAGGGAGGGAGTATTCCCCTTTCAGCGGAGCAGCAAAGGCGATACCTGCGGGGTGAAAGACCTATGGTCGAGGGATTCGGCAGGGCAATCAGTGGATTACACCATCGATGATCACAACGACGAATGGACCTATGCGCGACAGCTGAGGGCGTATGGGACAGAGAACGGAAAAGCTTACCCAGGGCTCTGTCTCTTCTATAGTCGTCCATCACGGTCCCCGACAAGGGTCAGTTCCAGCACATTCTTCGTCTGCTCAACACCAACATCGATGGCAGGCGTAAGGTCATGTACGCCATGACCCACATCAAGGGTGTGGGTAGGCGTTACGCCAACATTGTTTGCAAGAAGGCTGACATCGACCTCAGCAAGCGGTATGTATCGCCGGGTCCCGTTTTCGAAAGCCTTTTTGGTGGGGAGGTTCTGAACGAAGGAAGCTAAACTTGGGCTCGATTTTCCTAGTGCCGGTGAATTGACCAACGAAGAGCTTGAGCGTGTCGTTGTCATCCTCCAAAACCCCCGCCAATACAAGATTCCTGACTGGTTCTTGAACAGGCAGAAGGATGTCAAGGACGGCAAGTACTCCCAAGTTGTTGCCAATGGTCTTGACAACAAGCTCCGTGAGGACCTTGAGCGTGTATGTATCTCATTGATTTTTTGTTGACGAAACCGAATGCGGAAGCTGATAGCCCCCTGTTTTGCCGATCATATAGCTGAAGAAGATCCGTGCTCACCGTGGTCTCCGTCACCACTGGGGTGTGCGTGTCCGTGGTCAACACACCAAGGTATGTCCGAACACTGACTTCTGCCATATGGAATGCCTTTGACTCATTCAACATTCTTTTTCCCGTGTAGACCACTGGTCGCCGAGGAAAGACCGTCGGTGTCTCCAAGAAGAAGGGTTAAGACTAGACGGTTTCCCACGCCATCGCTCATTTCATGCTCGCACAGTAAATATATTTGTATTCGTCGGAACATGCCCTCTTGTACAGAACCTTCTTGCTGGGGGGAGATCGCGGTTACCGTTTCCGAAGTGGAATCTTTGTTATGAGGAAGCAACACTGTGGGCCGAAGATGGGAAGCGGGAGATGGCAATGTGGAGAGACGAGGTGGAAGCGAGGCGACCGATCGAGCGCAGAACAACCACACCCGTGGAGTTTGAATGAGAGGCCCCATTTTATGCCGCACTCGAGTGCTTTCCTCGGTATGCGTGTTCTCTGGGAGCGAGCGTCAGTATACAGTCCATCAATTCCATATGTAATTCTATGACACAGACGCCGCCAAAATCTATGGAAACATGAGTGTCGGTACGGTCCGTGACAACTTGATGAGGAGGGATAAGCATGGAGTTACAACGTGTGATTATTTATTAGGGATGAGAAATGGGGAGTGGTCCAGGGTGAATACGAGAAAGGTGCAGCAGTCGGTATATCGGTATATGAAGTCCATTCCCGACCATGGGTAAAACGAAACGGAAGGAAGTCCAATGTTCAATATCGATTCGGGTCCTCACTCGGCCGTCTGCTCTGGGTTTGCGCCGATCGTTGCAACGACGGCGTCCCATTCGGAGATGTTTGCGACGAGTTGGGAGTAGAGCCTTTCCGTCCAAAGAGGTTGTTCAAAAACTTGGGTCCCGTCGCCGATTTACTGGTGTTTTGCTGCTGGTATATACCGTACTGTTGTTGTTCACGTGGCTGTTGCTGTTGCTGTTGCTGGAGGAATTGTTGCTGCTGTTGCTGCTGCTGATGGTGTTGTTGATGTTGTCCCGAATGTTGAGGTTGGGATGGGTAGCCGCGTCCAAAGGACCCGTCGTCAGCATGTTGATGCTGTTGTTGCTGCTGGGATTGCAGCTGACGCTCCATCTGCGCCTGAATCATCGCCTGAGCTTGGGCGCGCGCCTGGGCCAGTGCGCGCTCCTCAGCCGCGATGCGGTCCTGCTCTGCCCGCTGGCGGGATGAGGCGAACTTTTGTTCCCGCCACGTAACAAATTTGCCCGCGGTCACAGCGCGGAAGTCGTCCACGTCCAGGGAGAGGATGTGGTTCTTAAGCATTTTGAATTCGTTGATCTTGTCGCTCAATGTGGTGGTTTGCCCCGAGCTCGACGCTTGTGGGTGGTCCGGCGAGCCGAAGCGGTCCGTAGGGAGTAAGACGGGGTTGCTGACGGCGAACGGAACGACGCCATCCACCCCAGCCTTGGCGAGATCGATGAGCTCATCCACCGTAAGGCCGAAACCGTAAATCTCCACGCCGGCGCGCTTCACTTCTTCCAGAATGGAGACTTTGAGGCGAAAGAGCTCGTTCCGCGTGAGGGTATCGCTCTTCAGGATAACAGGGCATACGGCCACGTACGGGGCCAACCGCTTCATGTACTCGATATCTACAGGCTTTATCCTGTGCAGAATACCAAAGATGGAGAGATCAACGTGGGTGTGACCCCCGTTTGGCGTCAACAGGAAGCGGTGCAGTACCGCCGAGTTGATGTCCGGGACAAAGACGTTATCCGTAACTTCGAATTGCTGCATGTGGTATGAGACCACAGGCTGGATCGTGGCCATCGCGTCCATCTGCGCACCAAATCCAGGGGTGTCGACAAAGTGAAGGTTCAGGTCGTCGATGGAAGAGCTGCCAGATTCGCCGGTAGACGCGGAAAAGATTTCCGTGGCAAAGCTTGGCTCCCCAGCTGCAGGTTCGAAGCGCTTCACTTCAGAGCTCGCAAGGAATTGGCGAATCAAAGAAGTCTGTGATTCGAACAAGGATATTGTCAGTCAGTACGGGAAAGGGTGGGGAGACTCAACCTCATCGGTCATCCGTACCTTTCCAATCCCAGAATCTCCAACAACAGTGAATCGCAAAACCCCAATGGCTGACGGAGGCCGCGCCCGCGCGGCTCTGCTCAACTTTACTTTCTGCAGCTTCGTCTTTGTTTGCTGAAGCCTTTCCTCCGGAGATAGGCTTGGAACATCCGGCTGAGGTCTGGAGCTCCCTGCACCCTTCTTCGCCTCCTTAAGGGTTCCCGGGGCTGGGCCAGTTCCCAAGGTACTGCTTTCAATCTTCCTTTCCAAAGAGCTTGGCCCAGTCCTCCTTTCCAAGGAGCTCCCACCGGATTGATGCACCGGTGGCGTGGATGTCTTGTTATAAGCCTCCGGCGTGGTCCGCAGACTCGCGGGTGTAGCCGGCGTTGCCGCCGCGGACGCTGTGGACGTCAGCGTGTTGAACTCTGGCGTTGCCATTTTGACACTTCCATTTCGACTCATCGGCGGTGAGTTCTCGTTCCGCGCCAACGAGGGCTTGCTCAAAGCAGATGATTGACTGGCCGTCTCGAAAGAATCCCTGGAAGGTTTCTGCAGGTCGATGTCAACCGGACTTTTCCCAATCAACGAAGACATCCGAGCGAGCTTTTTAGGTTCAATCTGCTCAGCTGGTTCCCGGCCAGATTCAGGACTTTCAGCGCTCTGTCGCTCCACTGTCCCTGTTTCGGTGGTGGTGGCTGCCTGTGGACCTCCCACAGGCTTGTCCTGCTTTGTGCTCGCAGAGGTTTCGCTCTGCCCATTATTGGTAGTGGGTCCAGACGCAGGATTGATGACAGAGGCAGGAGAAGCCTGCTTATCGTCCTTCTTCACTGGTACAAGGAAGTTGAAAGGGAGCAGACCGCGCGCATCGGTATTCACATTGTGACCAGTGATCCAGCCATCGTCATATGCCTGTTGGAGCCGGAAGGGGGATGCTCGTTAGAACAACCTTTTCCTCGTCAACGCTAGTCCTGTTTGTTTCCACCTACCTGAACAACCAAAACAATATCGCCGGTCGAAAGAGCTATTTCGTCCGCGTAGACCTAGGTGGGATTCGGGTGTAAGCACTTATCGTCCATTCCTTTCGGAAACACCTTCTAGACAACCACGGCGGTTCATGCAAAACGCTTACCGGCTTATAAGACGACACAGCACGATACTGCTGCCGAGTAGCTCCGGCATTGGCGGAGTTTGCGTCGGCGGAGGGATCCATTGGTTAAGTTCCGCGCTTGCTGATGCGATTATGCCTGGTTCTTTTTGTTTTTCTCTCTTTCTTTCACAGCAGCAGGACTGGTGGCCCTACTTCTCTGCGATCTATCCGCGAAAAGAGGCGGCAGGAGGGAGGCCAGAGGATGTGGTCTGCCGAGTGTTGATGTTGTGTGGTGGGAAAGTGGGAGCGAAGCCGTGGGAGCGGCCATCCATTTCTTGATGGCATCATTTCAACAGCACTCGCTGGCAATTTCTTGTGTCCTGTGTCAAAAGAAAAGCCTCCATCTCAATCACACCTGTACCACATTACGATACAGACACAAAGCATCCGCCGGGCTCAACCGGAATATGATGAAAGCCTGGCTCAAGAGTCAAGAGGTATGTTGTAAACCGCTGTTTGTGCCTCCACTGTAGAGTTTCGGATTAGCGTGTTGCTGTGGCCCAGCGGGTAGTTCATAACACATCCCAGGAATTTCTGACTTGGGCATATTTTACTAGCGGAGAATCAGTAAGGGCCCCAAAAACCCAGTTATACAGGGGAAGGGTACATGTGCACGCAAAACAAGAAAGATGGGGGCAAAGATGAAGAACCAAGACTACCCTGAAAGGGGAAATAACATGAACAGAGAAGAGAGTACACGGGATGCAGGCCCCGCAAAGTGGCAGGGGAGAAGATCGGGAGGTTATTTAGCGACAGAAGTGAGATTAAAATGACTACGAATGAATTGCAAAAAGGGAAGAGAAACAAACGTCGCGGATGTGTACCGCGTTGTTGATTCTCTATGAGGTCCATCGTGATGTTGGGGATATGAGGAGATACGAAGTAGATTGAGGTTACGCCGTGTCGGAATGTTCTTTCAAACGATCGAATGAGAAGTGTCCAAACTGCTGCCGCCTTCCGCGTCGTCAACAACGTTGGAAGGTGGGCGAGCAGTCATGGTTCTGCAAACAACAAAGTTTAGAAGTCCAGCTGGCCCATGGGCAAGCATCGAAACGACGTCGCTTCCGCCCTCGGATGTGCGAGAGAATGATGCCGGTCCATTCTCATGTTCGCTATCAGATGCCGCGATCGGTGGTTCATCGAAGGGGGATATGAGCAATTGTTGCGCACTGCCCCGTCGTTGAAGGGTATCATCATCGGAATCAGAAGCGAAGCCGAATCCACCGTCACTAGAGGCAGTGACGGAATCGCTGCCTAACGTGAACTCGGTGCTACACGCATCCGGGAAGGCGGAGTCATAGGAGACCTCCGAGGGCGTCGACATGAAGGAATGTGTGGACAAAGATCCGTCTTGATCGGTCATCGAGGACGTGAGCGACTGCGGCCGGCGCAGGGAGGGGCCCGATGATATGCTGGAATCGCTGTTCCGGGTCCGATGTGAATATCGCCTGGCCATCATCTCGCTGGCTTGTCGCCGATTTTGTCGAACTTGTAATGCCTTCAGTGCGCTTGACAACGTTGTGTACAACGACGATGATATTGAGGAACCGGGGCCATAAGACCCGGTATCATGGTCCACAAGTGAGTAGTAGCCGCCATGTCGCGTCTGATGGCGAACCGGCTGCTGCACGGGGCTGCGGTCACTGCCACTGTCGTCGCTTTGGGTGGTGATTAGGGACTGATAGGCCTTTGCGCCTAGGCTGATCGGTCGAGAGTGAGCATCAGCTTGCATTGGAATGGGCGAGGAGGTAGTCAGAATATCGGATGGTCGTGAGGTATCAGAGTCCGTTTCGGAGTGTTCACGAAGCGGGATAAGCGGCGGTGGTAGATCACTTGGACAGTCTGTCGACATCAAGTCCAGTGGACCATCATTCCACAGCTCGCCTTCGGGGACTTGAATAAGAAGTGAGGTGGCGCTCGGATGAAAGGCGTCGATTTCACACAAGAAGGAACCGGACGTAGACGACGTCTCCATGAAGTAAGTCAGGGACGACGAGTCGGACGCCACCTGGACTACGTGGCTTTGCGGTGGAACTGGCTTACCGCCCTTGAACACCATCTCCTGGTGACCGACCTTTCCTGGTCGCACAGCCGACGGTCGATGGCGCCGACGGTACCGGACGGTGACCGCGGCAATGGCTGTTATGAAGAAGAGCGCAACACCCGCGATGCCTAGGTAGGCTTTTGGGAATCCGGCCTGGGAACTTGGTAAGGTGGGGCCCCCTACTCCGCCACTTGGTCCAGGATTGGGAAAGATCCCGCCGTTTACACCGCCATTATCGTCTTGAGGGGTCTCTTCTGTCGGCCATGTGGTTGCATCGTTGCTGTCAGATCCCGTCGAATTGCGATTCGCGGGTCGCAAGGGCTTAGCTTGGATCGAGCCCACAGAAGGGGGTCTGGCGGTTGGGACGGCCTTCTCCAATGGCGCTGGCAGTTGAGGCCGGCTCGGTGATGCTGTAGACACTGCGACGGTTTCTGAGGGCAAATGGCTTTGACCTATCGGCGGGGGTGTGGATTCGGGAGCCGGGGATGGTGGTACATGTGGTGTCGGCGTGGGTATGGGTATATCCGCCGGCTCCTTCCCAACACTTATTTGCTCGGGCCCTGGATCCATAGTATTCGCGGGATCTGGAGTCGGTGGTACTAGAGGGGAAGAGAAGAAGATAGGAATGAAGTCAGAACACGCAACGAGACAAGATAGGTTACACTACCCATCACGGGGGCGAAACGTACTTCGTTGAGGCCCTAGGTGTATGATCGATTCATCGGATGTGGTGGGAGTAGGGACTACTTTGTTGAGATTATTATTAGGGGCATGCGTAGCGCCAGGTAATAGTGACTGCGCTAGCTCTGCGTAAGGATCATTAGTGGTCGTTGGTGGGAGTTCCAAAATTTTTCGATAAGGGTAGGAAAGAGGAGACTCGGTTGTGAAGGGTCCCGAAGTGGCCACCGTGGAAGGGCCGTCGTTGGCCGTGAATGTAGGATCATCCGACGGGGTTGGGTATATGGTTGGGTCCCCGCCATCAGTAAATGGTAACGTGGAAGCGCTTGGTGTTCCGGATGGTCGCGGACGGCCGAATGATATTGACTCGTGCGTGCCGGATGATGAGGCTGTTGACAAAGTAGGGCTCTCCACCGGGTCCTGCGTCCAGTCATCTGTAGTTGGTGACGGCTGAGGCTCGGTTGTTTGTGTCGCTTCCTGAGCCGTCCACATCTCTGTGGATGTCATCACATCGGTGTCCGTATGTACATGTTCATCCAATGTCGTCGGTCCCACTTCGCCCGTCGTTGATCCCGAGTCACCACTCGGCATTGATGTAGTTCTCGCTGGGTCCGCCCCTCGGTGACCTCTCGTCGCTGTGCTTGTCGGTACTGCGGAATTCACAGAGTTCGAATCAATCCTCGTTGACGTAGCATTTGAGGTTTCGCAGCTTTTCGTCGTTTCGACCTCGGGCGGGTATGTATTTGTCGGGGAATGTTTGGAGGAGGTTGCCTCTGGTGGTATATATTCAGACGTGGGGTCCGCGTGCAGAAGTGTTGATGGTTCATCGGTCGGTAGTTTTGCGGAGGTGGTTGTCTTCTCGTTTGAAGGGGACTTGAACGACGAGGTCGCCGATTCTCCCCGGCGCGCGTGCCTGTTCGACGACGAACTTTTTGGCTGGCGCCCAGACAAGCGGTGGCTACGGGTCATTCTGCGAGGTGATGGCTAGTTCGCATATCGCTCAGATTTGGTTATTCTGATATGAAGGCGTTGGCGCCTGCATGACGCAGGTCCACACTTGCTTCGAAGATAAGATTAGGGCCCCTATGGTTAAGCGAACAGGCTGTGTGGCGAACGTTGGATGGTGTTGGAGAACTGGAGGATGGGATACCGATATGTGAGCGTTGGTTTGGCTTCTAGTTTCTTCTGCTGATATTGGGGAATCCGCAGCGATCTTACAGGCAGATCTCGCAACGGCAATGACCCGGACGTCTCGCGGATGGCCTTCCGGAATGCAGACCAGCGCTAATAAGCTTCTCAGTTTTTCTCCCACCGTCGCAGACTCGCAGCCTTCCGAGTATACCTGGTGTACGTATTGCTTTGTGGTCTAATATCTTCACATACGGGTCACAAACTAGCAGGCATCTCGTAGATTCCCGGCGCCTGGTGTGCATATGCTTTGTATTGCATATTGTCGAGGGCCTCGAGGCACTACGTCGTTGTCTTTCTCCATGGTCCTGCCAGAACCCCAGGTCCGCTTCACCGGAGTCCATCCAGCAATCATGCAATTGCCCCGTACCGGCACAACAGGCTGAGATGAAGGCCACAAAACTCCTTGCGGCGTGCGCAGGCTTCCGGCTGTGTGCGCTGCCTGTGTCCCCGCGATTTGCGATAGATATTAATTCCTACATGCGTAATAATGACCCGGGCGTAATTGGCCTTCCCATGAACATGCTCATGGTATCGATCTACAAAATCGACAGCAGGCTCAAATTGGACGCACCGTATAGGGTGGCTCTGTGGAACAAGTTAAAAAAAAACGATCCAGTTGGCGCACAGAAAAAAAACCATCCAGTTGATGAAAGTTCACGTTGCGCTGGAGGCGGCTGCGCGCACAGAAAGCGCGCCGTGAGATTGGGATTCTTGATTGAACCCTCGCCGTCGTCGCCGCCTCTTGAATAATCTACGGCCACAAACACAACGGAGACGCCGAACATATGCGAGGCATCAGTCAGTTCACTTGTGGCCCGCGGACTCCCGCCTTCGCCGCCTTCACCCGTTTATGCCCTTTTTTTTTTCTTCTTCCAAGATCCAGCTCGGGATCCCGCATTCCCCACGGCTGTCTCAGGAGATTCACGATGTCCGAGTCTGTCAGACTCTGTCTTCGCTCCGTATTAGACATGGACCCTGTCTGCTATATGAATACTGTCAGTCGCAACATTCCGGGGTCCTCCGGTGCACATGAACAGGCTCATTGGTGAGTCATTCTCGTGCGTAAATTTGGACCGTTCGCGAATAACATTACAGCCAGGGAACATAAAGCTGTTCCCCCCCGAAGGAATAAATCAGCGACTGCTGCAACGCCAAATTTACGTGAGTGACCGACATTGATTTCAATTGGAGGGGGGGCACAGCTTTATGTTCCCTGTACAACGATCGTCGTGTCGTTCAATAAACGATACCTTCAAAATTGGGAAGCATCGGACAAGAGGCCCAAGGTGCCCGATGATGTCGATATCCTGCGTTCGGGGTCCATCTGATTCCATCATACAGACAGTACATACAGTACGTACACCAGCCACGCCTTCATTATTCGCTCATTATCTGCGTTCGGGCGAGCCTCTTTGTAGAGCACACAACGCAGGCAAAAGGCACAACGTAGGCGAGCATAATCAGATGAGATTGCAGTGCATCACGCGGGGATAGCGTTGAAGAACGCATACTTGATGGCTGCCAGGCTGCCAGCGACGAACATCCAAGCACGACACATGAGGGGGGAATGCACACGTGATGATGTTTTGTCAGCCCGGCTCCAACTTCTAGACTGTGTACACTTTCTGGGGTGACAACTGCCAGTACGTGGCAAGATAGGGTCCAGCCATGGCCACTGCTTGCATGGGCCTCATTGCAACTTGCGAACGACGGTGACGGTTTATCGTCATCGTGGAGGTTGGTGGCACCTTTTTTACGGGTCTATATCTGCAGTAGGTGGCCAAAAGTCTGGGTCCGACGCCCTAAGGGCACATAAGGGAGCATAGCAACCGCCCTAACTCGCCAGGCCCCATATACATACATACATATCTGTATATCCATGTATCCTATGTATATCCATGTACCGTATATCCATCTGGAAAGCGCTGAAGACTGACGGCTGGAAACGGTGCGCGCAGAGAGGCCATACTGCTCAGAGTCTCAGACTGCTGGAGTACTGTACCCGACACTCTCCCACAGAACTTGCGACCGGTTTTGGCGCCAGAGCCGGGGTAGCGACATGTTACCGAGACCGAGACAATTACTGGTTGCTCGGACCGCTGTCAAGATTTTCCTTAGGAACTTCAAGCAGAGAATTTCAAGCCGAAGGGCCGTTGGAAGTCGATTGCCCGGTGATACTCTGATGCAGATTTGGAAGCAGAAGCTCTCCCTGACATATGTCTCTCCGCCGGGTATGGGACAAGCCCCCGTGTCGTTCAGGCTGGACGAGGTAAGTGTGTCATCATCCTTCGACTAGTCCTCGCTTGGAAACTCACTAGGTCGGAACTGTCTTCGCAAAGCGCGGCTACACATACGCTGCGCCGCCTGCAGACTGTCTATACAGTACAACCTCGAGGCTGCCGCCATCAAGCGTGATATGGACCTAAGTCTGTAAATAAACGTTGGTGCCCCCGTTGAGATTGAGCTGCTGCTCGACAAGCGCACTATGTAGGTGGCCAGCTACTACGAACCGCGCCGCGGAGAGCTCATCGCATCGCAGGCTTCGGTCGAGCGCGATTTGGCACGGTGCGGAATATGTATATGTAGATTGGGACATCCTCAGATACATGGTGGAATCCACGCGCTCTACGACGCTTTGCTGCACGTCGGAGGATCTGAGAGCACAAGTTGAGGGAACAAGCTCCGAAATGCTTCGCAAAAGTTTGCCCATTTTGTTAGTCCTGCGTGACGATGTCTTTGACTTCCCGCCAGACCAGCAGAGAGTAACTTGTAACTTGCGGATGTGAGAGTCGAAGGTCAAAGCTTCGAAGTGAGAGTGGACTCCGCAGTAGAGGATGATCCTCTGCCGATAAAGGATATTCATATTTAATTGTGTATTCAGTGCTATTCACATGTGCTTGGTCTTTCCGGCGAGGAGCGATCAACAGCTAGTAAATGAAATGGAGCACGCAATATGAGGCGGTTCAATGACACAGGATCCGAATTAAAAAAGTATTGAAATCCTAACTTCATGGTGCCGACGAAGGCTGGGGATTGGGAGACGTTTGTCTCTGTCAGTGAGATCAAGTTTGACGGCATCCAGAAATATTGTCAGTTTTGGTTTAGGGAAATTTTGCGTGGTCAGTGCAACTTCCGGTGGCGGCTTCCCTTACGCAGCGGCGTTCCTAGCGGCCCAACCCAGCAACGCTGCAATCAGTACTCCGCCCGTGCTGCGAAAGTTCCTATCGCCGGTCAGCGTTGTTCCACGGTCCTCCCACGCGAGGAAAGTCCGAAGGATCGGCTGCTCATCATGTCCCTTTCCAAGCATTCGTCTTCGATTGCTGCGGCAATGCTGCCCCAACTGGTAGTGGAAATCGGGTGCACCATCGGAGGGATCCGGGATTGCGGCTTGGGGAAGGCTACAAATCGCAGGTCGGGAGTTGGGAAGTCGACCACGGCATATGGTACTCATAGATTCATACTTTAGATTGGCCGTGCTGAGAGCCATTTCGAATTGAAAAACACAAGACCTTGTGATATTTGCGAGCAAAGGCGGGATTGAGAGGTCCCCACACGATTCTAGGGCATGTGCAGCGGCGCAGCAAAGCACTCGTGCAAACATCTGCGAAAACATGATTCGTCCCAAATGTCCTGCCGCAGCGTCCAGTGCCGTCCACCGGTGACATTTACTTCAGTTACAAAAGACATCGATTCACTCGTAATCCTCATCAGCTCCGAGTAGGCCTAGCCGTCGCTGTCGCTGTTTTACCTCTTGTAGAGGATTCGTTCGTCGCAAAAGCCGGGCACAACCGTTGGCATATCAGAGAGTTGAACCTTCATCAATTCCCCAGACTTCAAGTTCCAGTGTCGTCTTGCACGCACCCGGAGGACGAAAAGCGTCCTTGGATCGAGCTTCAGCAGCCCGCCCGTCACATCTGTGGCCGTCGAGTGAGTGTGCGTGTGGGTGTGGGTGTAACGGTGTGCGGGGCGGAGTGTGCGAGATCTCGTCTACGCTGTGCTCCATCCGAGGCGCGCCAAAATTTGTCCGCTGAACTTGGTGTCTCCTGCCTGCCCACTCGCAGATCACACCGCTCGCTTCCAACAAGCACACTTTCGTTATTGGAAGAGCTACGCACGGCATACACCAACCAGGAGGGCCATATCCCCCTGGATATTCAATATCCCCTGGCTTGGAATAGCTGCTTACCACAAGGCTGTCTGTCCTGTATCCGGCCGGCTGCACAGATACGGTTGTAGAGGAGAAGCTGACGAAAGAACCGCCGGTGTCGTTTTTCTTGCGGCCAGCCCAGGCCTTTGACGTTCCAAGCAACTCGCCCAGGGTCTACTCTCCGTCGACAGATTCGGCTTAGCTGCACCCCAGCCCCAGCGACTGCAGAAGAGACGGAGGGTGCAGCGAGCCTACTGCAATTGCGAGGTCTTTCAGTCAAAGTGTTCGAAATTGTCAACGATTACAAGCCATCGGGCGAGCATACACCGGACCGACTGTATCGAAGTACGAAAAGAGAAATGGATAACCGCAGCAAAGTCCCAACGCAGCGTCCGCACCTGTTCCGCTCACTGCGGAAATCGGTCTCGTCGTTCTTCCGCTCTGCCGACAGCAGCCAAAAGTTAGTCAATAGCCCACCATCGTCTGAACGTGCACCTCCCTCGGCAGCTGGACTGCGACGGAGGCAGCGTTTCGATATTACTGAGCTACAGAAGGAATCACGTGCACTGGCCGCCGCTCCTCCGTCGCCTCCAGCTGAGGCGGCTGTTATACCTGCTCGTGGGATCTCGACGAAGCTAAAGGCGCTTGTTCCCTCAGAGATTGGCAACTTGACGGATGCTGCGGACACGGAGCCCTTTCCCACCATTCAACAACGTCGTTTAACGGGCTCAAAATCCTCTCCCCTGCTCGCCACGGGCCAGCCAACCCCTGCGTTCCCTTCACCGGCGGCTTCTATCGAAGATGTGGTTATCGACAAGCGATTAACTCAGTTGCAGAGGACAGATTCGCAGTCTTCTGGTAGTTTAAGGTCTTCACAGCCATCTGCGTCTCACTCCCAAAGCGGGTCGGCACTTGCGCGAGTCGCGCAGTCGTCCGATGAAGATGTACCGGAGTCGCAGAGGAAGCGCATGGCCACTCGCGTGCTCTGCTATCAGGATCCGGTCACAGGGCTGTGGGGAACTGTAGCACCCGCTGGAACAACTATGGAGGGCACGGAGGACCTGGAGGCGAAAGAGCAGATATCTGCCCAATTCCCAGCGCGCGAAGACAGCATTCTACATATTGCGCCGGTAGAGGATGCTTCCTTGGGACCCGAAAGCAAGGAAGTGTTCGATCTGACAGTGGCCGTTGGTCAGAACCTGTTGCAACACTCAAGGGCCTCCACTCTCCCGACGCCCGTGGACCCACCGGCTGCACCACTCGACATCGTGGTAAGATCTGAGGGTCTTTCCATCGAGCCAGCACCGCCGTCGCCGCCGCTCTACTCCCTCTATCCCAACTCGCCTTTCGAAGCACTCCGAGACTCACCCACACGTCGCTCTACTGTATACCGACTATCTCGGTCACTATCGAGGAGTCGACGAGCGTCGGTCGCCACCAATGGAACGACGCGAAGCTCGCGCAAAAGCGTGCATAAGGAGAGACGTCACAAACGTCGAAGCGTCCGTCAGACGATAACTGACTTCGATGGGACCCTCGTTCGAAGGAAAAGCTCCAGGGGTCGGTCAAAGCATTCCAGAATTGACTCCAATGCGACACTGATTAGGAGACAGAGTTCAAGGCGGAAGGCACGCAGACGTCCGACGAAACCCGATCACAGGGCGAAGAAGGTCCGTCAGGCATTGGCGAATATCTCGGCACTGGCCCGCAGACTGGCAAACCAAGGAAGCTTCATGTCAGACGAGGATGTGGCCGCCATTCTGGGAGAAGCGAATGTTCTCGACAGCATCGCAACCTCTTTGCAAACGGAAACAAGGTGCAGCGAAGATTCTCAACGAGGGGATGCTGACGCGGCATCATCCCACGATGAGCAGCACGACGAAGCAGGGGCTCGGAGTGACCCCGAAAGCGACGCCACCCTAGAGGTTTCCGATGAGGAGAGTCGCCGCGAGACCATTCTGGCACCATCATCTCCGTTCAGAGGCACGGTTATCGAGGACTTCATCAGCAACAAGGACTCCAGCTCGTTGAGAAGCAGCCAGATCGAGATCGACCGGCCACTTAGCGCCAGGGTCAGCACCCTCTCGAAAGTCGCCACTAGCACGCGAGGCTCATCCGAGACCGTCAGCCGCGAAGGCGGTTCGTCGTCAATTGCGTCGGGCGGTAGCACTGCGAACAATCGCCCAGCTTCTACTCTCCGCAATGGTTCGATCACGTCGAAACGCTCGTCGTTCTCTGTGACCACTTCATCGACCACTGACGCTGGTGCAAGTGATTCGCGGAGGACCGCTGGTTTCCGCCGAATCGTGCTACCTGGCAACGTCGTCATTACCAATGAGGAAAGACCAGTCAGCCTGGTTACACCTTCCTTGCCTTCGTTGCCTTCCCCTGCGTCACCGGCCTCCGACGGCGCGGATTCTGAAAAGTCGAAGACGGTGTCAGAACGCCGAGAACTGTCAGCAAAGCGCACTCACAGCGGGCTGTCGGCCGCTTTTCGTAAATGGGAAAACGCAATCTCACGATTGGGCAGCAAGACCGCCAACAACGTTGTACCGAACGCCGGAAAGGACGCCGCGGCTGCGAAAAACATCCGCCACTCCCGATCCATCATGTTCCTGCCCACGTTACCCTTCGAATTCTCCAAATCTTCCAAGGCGGCGGAACCCGCCGTCACAAGTGGCACAAACGGCATTTACATGTCAGCCTCCAAGCGACCCTTAGGTTCCATCTCATCCCCACACCTGCCACTGCACGCCTCTGCATCCCACCAAAATCTCACCACTCTCTACGCCGCGGGCAAGAACCCTTCCTCTCCAGCCCTTTCCGCGCTCACCTCCTCGCAGTCGATCCGTCTCCCACCCGGCGCCATACCACCTCCCGTCGCCGAGGAAGACGAAGACCACTTCTCCTCGGCATCGGCATCCATGTCGGGGAGTAGCGGCTATAGATACCAAGCGGACCCGGCTATGTCCACCGGCAGCATGAGGTCATCCCTGGCTCCCAGCGAGGCGAGCAGCAGTGCATCGCTCCGTTTGGCGAAGAAGGGGAGGATGCTGTTCTAGAAGCCTTCTTCGTCTGTACATTTGGTACTCGACAATGCCTGATGGATCTCGAGACTTTCTGCTCTGTTTTGATTCCCCTCCCCAGCTTACATAGAATATCCCCCCAAAGGCGTAGTGTTTCGTTGACCACACAGATGGTCCGAGGCATCTATAGAGGACGCTTGATTCTGGCGTAGTTGTTGATGCTTTTGGTCAGACTTTCGGTAGTGCCTTTGGCACTAGATAGATCTTGTTTTCGAGGACCTCCATGTTTTGCGTATCGGCGTCTGCATGGTTTTCTTTCGTGTCTTTGGCATCTGGATATTCTCTTGAATGCTCAAATTACATGTAATTTCTTGCTCCCAATATGAATGCCGAAAAAGACTGGCATGAAGCTGCTCTGGCTCATCAATTTCACGTTCACTTCCCTCATTCGAGAAGAATGCAAACATTTGGCGGATGCTCAGTGAAATCGAAGATTCGTCAAGAAATCTCCCACAATGACTCGGTTTACACTGCAGCTAAGGCTTCCGACGCTATCCATTGTGTATTGCTATATTCGGGAATGCTATCGCTGCCGGAACTCGCTCCATATGCCGTCCATCCCTCCTCAAGCTCATCCCAACCACCCAACGCATCAGACATTTGCCGTAGCAGACACCACGCGAGGAGAGCCCACATGAAAAGCATCTCAACCACATCCGTCACCAGCTTGCCCGCCATTAAGGGAAACCCCAAACGCCCACGGATCCAACAACAGTTGACCTCCAGCGTATATGCCAGTTTCTTCGGCATTTCTGCTCCCTCTTCTCTATCTTCGGTTTTGAGCACTATGTGGTTGAGTTTGCCGATTGTGATCCAATCCAAGTCGGGTACGAACTCCTTCAAGCACCTTTTTCACGCGAGACAGAGAGGCTTCGGCATTTGTCTTTCCCTGTACGACTTTGCAGTCGGCAGAGTTATAAGGTGAGTTGATTTCGATCTCGTCCATGATTACGATGGACGTTTTTCGCCATCTTGTCGGTAGGGTTTTTGAGAGGTGGTCGAAGATGGTCTGCGAGGGGTAAGGTATGGTCAACATCCTGAGAACTAAGCGGTAATTCTGATTGCAAGTATATCTTACCTGAGCTTCAGGAGTGACTCCAAAGCCAATCCGAGCGATCGCGGCCTCTTCCCGAGCAGCTAACTTATCCATATTGATCGGACCGAAAGGGGCCAGTGCGGGTAGTGGGTTCGGAACCTTTTGACCCTTTATACGTGAATTGCTTGCCGATTCATCGCTCCCGTCTCCAGATACAGGCTCGATGTCTTTGATGAGGCTGAATTTGAGCATGTGGAAGTCGAACGTGCCTGGAGCGGAAACCGATGGAGTAGGACTGGGACTGTTACTCGTCGCGGCGCTGCCGCTGTTGATCGTTCCAAACTGGATCGAAGGAGCGGGCGAAGCAGGCTTCTTTGGTTGAGGAGCAGCAGCAGAAGAAGTGGAAGAGGACGAACGGGCCGTGGCTGCGGCTGCAGCGGCAGCAAAGTTCATAGGACGGCCGTTTACTTTAGCCGCCGGACCCGAAGCCTCCGGAAGACGAGCGGACGGGGTGGAGGTGCCGCTATCATTCGCAGATGCCGAAGCTGTGGCGGAGGCAGACTCCGTCAAGCCCGGAATCGACGTTTCCGCCCCGCCGCCTCCTGAAGAGCTCTGCAGCACCAGGACCCCCCAGTCTGTGTCGTAAGCATAGATGAGTCCTTCATACGTCTGATCGTTGGTGGTGATTAGACGGACGTAGAGTCCTTCCGCTGTAGCCGGATCGAGGCCGAAATTGTTGTCACCAGGTGACACCTCCGACGTCGTGTTCGAGGCCTCATTCTCGTCTTGGCGAGACGTCATGGAGGCGGTGACAGGTAGAGGGCCACTTCCCATCATCCAGGCCAGTGAGTCGGTTTTCGAAACAGTTGTCTAAGTTCTGATGGTGGCAGTCGCTGAAGCACGCGTACGAGGACGTCAATTCAAAGGGGCTCGCTCACAACGGGTGCTACTCGGTGCTTGCAGAGACAGCTGAACCGACGACAGATGAGAGGCACGAGGTTAGTCCTTCTGCCGCTAAAACCCCTAGAGCAGTTTACCGTCTGTAGGGTTATTGTGGAAGGGACGCTTACTTCACTTCTGTGCCGAGGGACAAACAGCAAAGCCCTCCGTGGAGAGGAAGGAGTCAGCCTGCTCGTGGACACACCCGACCAGGGATCATGCAGGGTGGGGGTTCCGCCCGTCGATGCCTGGGGTGAGAGAGCGGATCACAACGTTCTCGTGGGGATTGGAGTCGGGGTGGGAACTGAGCGGCGAGCCCGTTGTTTCCTTGCGGATTCAAACGGTGTCGTATTGCGAGATGGTCTTACGGCCACTGTTAAGACGGGATACTGTTTATTCGCGCAGAACGCTAATCAAACTCATTAGACCAGAGCCACGAGGCCCGTCTTCGGGGGCTAAACTGGTGTGACGTGAAGCGCGCTGTCAAAAAAAATCTCCACCAAACCCCGCTCGACGGTTTCCGTCATGTCCATCGAAACCCATTTCGAGCTTTCAAACGGATGAAGAACCATGACTTCCAAGTCGGCTTCGAATGAACACCGTCTTCCATAATAGTTTCAGCTTAAGTATACTTCTGCGGGTCTATGTTCGCTTTTCATTCTAGTACTTCGACTGTCTGGCGTATGTTGCCTCGATCATCTTTCTTACCTTCCGCCGGTACCTTCCTTCGCAAACCCTAATCAAACGAAGATTCGGAACAGGGCTTAGCGCCGCTCGTAACTCGGACGTCCTCCATTCACAGTTAGAGTTAATGTCTGGCGAATTGACGCGGAAAACGTCCGAACGAAGCATCCCTTGCAATGCGTGGCTTACACTTACGTCGGCACCCGTGGTAAGATTTGGCGAAATTCTCCGAGCCCATGTGTCCCGGAAAGCCTGCCAGTTCGTTCCAGCTTAGGACAAACTCCTCCTTTGACTTCAACTTTGAATTAGTAGAAGTTTCTAACCAGAGTTCATTAGATCGATGGTGCCATTGGAAGTCGACTTTCCTATAAGACACCATTACCTATCAGCGTTGTCCCGTAGCAGTCATCATCCTGTTGCCGACGAGCCTGTCGCCAGGGCCCCCTCTCTTTCTGTCGCCCAAATGGTCAAAAAACCAAAGATACCACCGCCAGAGGACATCGACGATGCAGAGAGACCGTCAACATCGCATAATGTCGCAGATACAAGATCGCACCCCGCCAGCTCGCTCCAGAACCAGCAGCAGCATTTCCCTCTCATCTTTGTCACATCACCCCAAAGGAAGCTTCCGCGCGCAATGCTCTCCTCGCGGGCATTACCGCAATTGGCTCCTCCGCGGTTTGCCAGCGTCAAACCACCATCAAGTTCAAAGCGGAGCGAAGACGCAGCTCTTGAGATACCGGCGACACTCACAGCAACACGTACGGGCATGGACCATGGAAATGAGCATGACTCAAAGTCGGACACCCACGCAAGAGGTTTACCGCGGACGTCAGCTACGATGAGGACCACGGCGATCCACATTGCTGCATCTAGCACTGGAGACCTGATATCCCTTCCGAGCGTCTCAAAGTCAGCGGAGCCGGAAATCGGACTCGATTCTTACGCGATATGTTTGAGCCCGTGGATGGGCCATGTCAAACCGCGGTCGCCACAGAAAGCGGCAATAGCGAGGCGGAGACAACGGCTGAAACAGAGAATAGACGATGGGATGCGTGCTAGCGAATCCCGCGGCTCATATTCGGGCTCGCAGTCGGCATCACGGTCTCAGACGCCGATGAACGATGGGAGTACGACGGGACTACTATACCCATCCGCGGGTGATGCGCATACACGCACCAACGATCTGGCCATTGTGGCGCATACTCCTGCCCATAGCCATCGCAAGAGCGAGGGACGAAGGGACTCTGAGACACTCCCCCTAGGCGCCCCTATGACAGCGGTGTTCGTCCTACCCCGTTTCCCCCAACACTACAATCGAGCCCACTCAGCCGCGGGCATCAGAGCTTCACGGCTAAGCACCGCCGCTCCACCACCCCGAAAACCGAACGCCCCACAGGATCCCCTTCTCCCGCCGCTGGGCCCGTCTCAATCATCAGAAGAGCTCCAGCGCCCTCACACGCGCATGCATGATGGACAACGCTGGCTCGTCGAAAACATGCGCGGCGCAAGCTCCGACTCGTTCGATGGGTCGTCATCGTCGTTACCGGAGATTGGAAGGGATGCGTTGATCGCAACGACGTCGATAACGCCCTTACCTGCACAGAGGATGAAGAATAGGAGTAGTGGCGACAGACGGCCGGGACCGGTGTTGGGCATGACGCCTGTGGTGGTGGCGGTGCAGAAGGAGCCGGATGACGCTGGATTGGTAGCTGGTACCGGCGTGGAAACAAGAAAGCCCCCAAATCGGAGGAGACGACGTAGGAAAGGCAGTGGGCGGAGTAGCGCTGGCGCACGACGGGTCACTATGCCTCCAATAGCACCGCCATCGCAACGGACCGGTCCTGCACGACCATCGCCACAAGCATCCTCACCATCTCCCCAGCACGGCCCACCGCTCGTCTCCTACAGTAAATCCACCCCTGCACAAACCCGAAATATGACATCCCAATCCCACAAACCATCAGCAAACCCGTTATCCACGTCCGTTCCATCACTACCGTCCCTATCCTCTGTATCATCCACATCCCTCGTCGCGCCCGAAGTCTACCCTCAATCCGAAGCGCACGGGCAAGTCCCCCCACCTCCGGCGCTGTATCTTACGACTCTGTATACGCGGATCCGACCGCACACTCAGCATAAGGAACAGAGCCATCAGCAAGCGTGTAGTTCTAAACGGCAGGCACAGACGAAGGCTAAAGCGTTGGAAAGGCTGATTGGATTGCAGTACGCCCATGGAGGGGAGGTTGTGGAGGAGACTGCCGAGTCGAGGTGGGTTCTAACTACGGACGACGTTTTCCGGTATTGATGAAACTCAAATCCTCTTCCTCAGATTCGAAGCTCGTCAAATCAGATCCGGCTCCCGTGGCCACTCCGGATACGAGCCGCATAACCCCACGACGAGCGGCAACGATAAAGTGGGCCGAGGGTTGGCAAAACTGCTCAAAACCAAACCGCTAACGGGACAGCATAATCTCCCGCATACACTCGGTGTAGATCCCGGGACGGAGGTGGTAGTGGAGGCCGGTGGATCGCTTGACGAAACGGACTTCGCTACAACGGATATCGGATAACGAGGTGGACTGACGATGGTTTTGGCAAGCTTGAGATGTTAGTGATTAGAGAGCAGGTAGAGCCGTAGATGTAGGTACTTGTACAGTAGCTCCTTTTAGGTCCATTCTTTCCTTGGGATAATCTCGACGTGACCGGTAAAATCTGATGCAGAACACTGACGAACTCTAAATTCGTATTGAACTCAATAAGATACACAAAATCGTTGCTTGCTTATTCACAAGCGACTCCAGTCATGGTCGCAGAAGCTCTCAGATGAGGTCGGTAACTGTACGGGGCGGAAAGCAATCGCGATCAGACGCACATTCGACCGAAAATCAGAACGGAAACTGGTATCATACCGTTCATGGGCATTTCGTCAATCTGAGTACTGTAGTACTGCTCAATATCGCGGAGAATCTTGATATCATCAATCTTGACGAAGTTGATGGCTGAAGGGAAAGTAGAACTATGAGACCGAGATCCCTGGTGTGATACATCAGGTCGGAGAACGTACCAACACCCTTGCGTCCGAAACGGCCAGAACGACCGATACTGCAATGAGAACGGAATTGCTTAGTCTGTTTGCCAATGGAAACTAGTATGAGTTCCGTGCTTACCGGTGGATGTAAAGCTCACGGTTGTTGGGGAGGTCGTAGTTGATGACTAGAGACACCTGTTGCACATCCTATCAAGAAGAAAAAAAACAAGGGACATAAAATGAGCAAGTTTGCTAACGATAGAGGACATGACTAATAGCATCAGTATGAAGAAATACTTACAATACCACGGGCCCACACGTCGGTGGTGATCAAGACCCGACTAAGAGTCAGAAACACCACCAACGTGGAAAAGCGAAGTCAGCGCTCCGTTCGATAATCGAGAAGACCAAAGGGATCCATTCATCGCGCATTTAGCCAACCGAGACATATTCGCCTGTGTACCTGGATCCTTGTCGGAACTCTGTCATGATGGCGTCACGCTCCTTCTGAGGCATTTCACCGTGCATTGAGGAAACGGTAAAGTTTGCTTCACGCATCTTCTCCGTCAACCAGTCGACCTGAAGAAATCGGGTGAGCAACCGTCCTGAAGCATGGGCAAAGCATCAAGTGCGAGACCCACCTTTCTACGTGTGTTACAGAAAATAACGGCTTGGGTAATCGTCAACGTATCGTAGAGGTCGCAAAGGGTATCGAACTTCCACTCTTCACGCTCCACAGCCACGAAGAACTGCTTGATGCCTTCCAACGTCAATTCATCACGTTTCACCAGGACGCGGACTGGGTCGGTCATGAACTTGGTCGTCATTTCGAGCACGTCGTAAGGTAGTGTAGCACTGAGTAGCACCACCTGGCACCCTGGTGGCAGGTATCTGTAAACGTCGTAGATCTGTTCCCTGAACCCTTTGCTCAACATCTCATCGGCCTCATCGAGCACAAGCATTTTGATTTGCCTTGTGCGCAAGTGACGGCGACGGATCATATCAAACACACGGCCAGGGGTTCCCGAGACAATGTGCTGTCCGTAATCTAACTTTTTGATGTCTTCACCGACACTGGTCCCACCAATACAAGCATGACACTGGACGTTCATGTAGTCACCCAAAGCGAGGACAACGCTTTGAATCTGCGTCGCGAGCTCACGAGTGGGAGACAGCACCAATGCCTGTGTTTCGCGGGTCGAAGTGTCGATGTTTTGTAGTGTGGAGATCGAGAAGGTGGCAGTTTTACCGGTTCCAGACTGCGCTTGGGCGATCACATCTCGGCCACTGATAATAGGGAAGATTGCACGTTGTTGGATGGCGGACGGCTTCTCGAAGTCTGAAATGAGGAACCCCTGTGAGTACAGCTATCTTCCCCAACATGGCACATCTCTGATCTTGTCTTCACTCACTGTAGGCGTAGATTCCTCTCAGTAAGTCTTCCTTCAGACCCATTTGGTCGAAAGTGTTGACGACCTTGACATCGTCGGTGGTCTCAAAAACAAGGGTGGCATCGAGTTTGCTGTCGATCCCACCACCGTTCCTCTGGCGTCCCTCTGTTTCCGTCATTGTCGTCGTTGCTCTTGACTTTTTCTGAACGTCGGTCGGTGGTTGTGTCTCTCTGGTCAAACCTTCGAGTGGGAAAGCCTGCGATCGCACTGGAAACTTAGAAGTCCACATGGTCACGTGAAAACAGTATCTTGTAATAAGTATATATATTTTGACAAACACTGCAATTTAACCCATCCGGCCATAGCTCAGCTGGAAGAGCATCAGACTGTAACGCAAGCTGTAATCTGGGTGTCCCCAGTTCGATCCTGGGTGGCCGGACATTTCCTTTTTATTTTTGCAATTTGCAATTTGCTCTGTTTTCGGACCCACCATTTTTGACCCAAGGGCGCACCAACCCGTTGAGCCGGCGGCGCATTTGACCCTCACTCGTTTTATCACCTGAAGCCACTATTCGAACTCTCAATCCAAACGCATTGTGCGCCGCAACTGTATTGTCCACCCCCATCTGCGTCTGCGACCGTCTGTATATATCCGGTGCCCATCCTGTCTCATTCCCTGGAAACAGCCAGCATCGACCGGAATCTTCTGTTTATTCCTGCGCGCAACTCACCCGATCTCGACGGGAAAGGGCAACAATCGCGCTGTGTTGGGGTAATTGCATGCGACCTTTGAACCGTAATAGCCCCCAAAGCATAAAAACTTCTCGCTACACATATACCTACGAAAACCGAGTTTGGGAGCAATGTCCGGCCCCGTTTACGCCACGAATCCCGACGAGGATGAGTTGGACGAGGAGGCCTACCTGCGGGCGGAAATTGAGGACATCCAGGAGCCTATCGACTTTGGCTTAGTCTATGCCTTGCATACTTTCATTGCGAACTTGGAGGGCCAAGTCTGCGTGCTAAAAGGGGATTCGTTGGAGTTGCTGGACGACTCCAATTCCTACTGGTGGTTGGTCAAGTGTTTGAAAACCCATGAGGTCAGGCAGCATTTTGGCGCGCTCGTCGTAATGGGAACCAGTTGCTTAGTCTTATTTCGCTTCCAGATAGGGTATATACCAGCAGAGAATATCGAGGTACGCACTTACTTGGACTTGCCCCATCTAGTCCTACCGCTGCTGACTTTCGCGTCCTGCAGACACCATCAGAGCGGCTGGCACGATTGAATAAATTCAAGAATGTTGGGGTATCTGCAATCCACGAGGAGGACATGCGGCCCATCACACCTGTACCGCCTGGGAGCCGTAGGAACATTGTGTTTCCGGAGAACTTTGTGGAGTACATCTACTGCACCGATGATGAATCGTCAGAGGGGTCGAGTGAAGATGAGGAACCTCCAGCTGCGGACACGTTGCAAAGACAGAAACCGAACACCGCGTCTTTAAGTCGAAACTTTTTGTCGGTAAGCATAGGCGTTTGATCACGCGCGTCAAATTTGCCGAAGACCCCCTCGCTCATTTTCTCGCATGTCCGCCTTATGGCCGAACAGAAACTTCTTTCGCGATCGAAAAAAGCGAAGGACAGCGTTTCGTCGTCGTCCACAAGGTCGTCTACGAGATCGCTGGAACGGCCGACTCTGGATAAAGCGTTTGAGCAACCGCAAACAGCAAAGGTACTAATTCCTCCCACAATTGAATGATAAATTTTGAGAACTGGAATCGCTAAACACCTATCGCTCGCACCGGAACCAGGACCCGATCAACGTCCTGCGGATATATGCCGGAAACGTTGATCTGAAGGCGACGTTCAAATCCGTCGCGTTGACCCCAACATTGACCGCGAAAGAGCTCCTCGTTACGGCACTAAAACGATTCCGAGTGCCAGGGGTGACACCGGATGAGTACTATGTGAGCGTTCTTCACATGGATGCACGTAAGGACACCGTTATGCACTATATATATGTCGCCCGCAGATGCTAACTTCCTAAGCAGAGGAGCGACGATTGGGAGAAAACGATAAAGTATATGACGTCCTGGAGGAGCTGAGGCACAAAAACCTACCGGGCGTAGGCGACTCGGCTTCCGTCTCGAAGGTGGTCAACAGCTCGGAGGGCAAGAGCAGCGTACGGCTTACCGACGACAACATCATCAAAGTCCTCATCAACAAGAAGCTCAATCTGTTTGAGAAGAACTACCACTTGATCCGGATATTTATGTACGACAATTCTGATCCTACTGGTCAGATGCGAACGTACAAGACACTTGGGGTCAATAGCAACACCACCGTTGGAGAGATGACCGAGGTCGCTATCAAAAAGTTCAAGCTGACACCACATCCCCAGTACCGATATACGCTGAGCTCAATCTTTGAGAACCAAGGTGGGAACCGTCTTTCCATTCATTAAATCAATCTTTTTGCTAACGAATTCATCCAAATGCTTGTAGAAACCGAGAGGGAGGAAGCTGAGAAACTATACCCAATATTGATGTCAGCGCAAGGGAGCACTGAGGAAATCGACTTCTTACTGCGCAGAGTATGGATTGGCTATGGGCCAGCGCCAACCCAACCGACCGAGCCCGCCGAAGAGGCAAGCGAAGCTCGCGACGAAGCCAACATCCAAAACATCCTAACCTCGAAGCCCGCCTTTTTGAAAGAGGCACCAGCAGCGGTAGAACACGCAGACAGCGGGATGTTACGCGACATGCAGCTGGGAAGTAGCTATTCGAGCGACACTATGGACAGCGACATCTCGCGGACGCAGAGTATGAGTGACATTGTGAATAGCGCGATGCACAGCCGGCAGACATCCCAAAACGATCTTCGACCGGGGCACTCTCATGGCGATGGTGACGGGGCTTCGGCGAATCGGGTACAGCCCCAACGTGTGGGAGCTTCACATCGAGGAAACTTCTCGCAACCATCTGCCGCGGTGGCCCCCGATTCCGTTCCAACACCAGCCGTGACGTCTCGGAAGAGCTCATTACATCACGATCCAAACAGCGTTCCCTCTTCACAACAAGGCCTTGATAAGCCATTGCCGATACCGGCAAATCGGGGATCGGACAGCAACGGTCCCCAGAACCTTTCCAAGTTGCCACCGCCGCGCGATAACGTGGATCCACGACCACACAACGAATACAGGAATGGCCCGCATTTGTCAGCGGTCCAACATCGGTCGGCGGTCTCGTCGGTCACATCACCTCTCAGTGATGGAGCCTCACCAGACTCGGAAACCAGCACAAAGACGAATATTGAGACGATGGAACAATATTTGGAGGAAATTATCCGAGGTGGAGCGGATGTTGGTAAATTGCGGGCACTGGAGCAAAAGATGAAAAGCGGGTTGCATGCACCGCCAGATCCCAACTCGCTGCCTATTCCATCGCCGCAAGGGAAATATGACGACTCTGGCCTCGAACAGATTCTGCGGAGACGGACATCGTCCGGGGGTGCCGCCATTCGCCAGCCATCCGTTCCTCGTCGTGGGTCAAGCCATGCTGCAAACATCATGTCGGTGTATGACGACATGGCTGCTGAGCTGGATGAGTCCATCAAGCGGACGTCGAGGACATCGGAATCGGAATCCGCTGGATCACCAAAGACATTACCGGATTCCCATAACAACTCCGATCGGAAAGGAAAAGGTGGCATGTCACCCGCCAAAGTCTCTGGACATTCCCCATCTTCAACAACAGCACCAAACGGGCAGCACACACATTCACCCGACCGGCCACTTCCCGAATCACCCGCACTGTCACATCTGATCCCGAAGAGCGGACAGAACACGGCTTCATGGCCGTTTGAAGTGAAGAAGGACGACGCAACAAAGCCACGGTCGTCTACGCCGCAGAACGGGACCGCCACACCGCCCACGAATGGCGCCACTACCGGTGCCCAACCTGGCAACGCCGAGGTTGCAGCCATGTTTGATGCGATGCAGCAGGTACGAAAAGGGCTCCTGGCCAAACCTCATTTGGTACCCGCCATGCACCGAATTCCACTGACTGACCTCCTACCTCGATAACCAGGAAGTAGAAGCAATGGCGCGAACTCCGACATCCACATGATGTAGTATCACCAATCTCAATACCCCCAAGAGGAGGCTACCCCTTCGCCCCTATTCCCCTATCTTTTTTTTTTTGGAAGATGTGCATCCCTTACTTGGGAGCTGTGCATCGCCCGAACCTTTTCCGCCCAACATAGAAACGTGTATATATATTGTATGTTTTTTTTTCGCGGACTGCTTCGTTTCCTTGATTGGTTTTGACGTTTGTCTCGTTCTATGACACTTAGCCAGCTTCCGCATCGAATCACTCTCGGAGGCCGTGTGAGGTGAGGGTGGTCAGGAATATTTTGGTGTTTTTTGCCAGTTAATGAACGAAATGAAGTCCTCTTTCAACGCGTCAGTTGGTATATATTTCCGGCCATCCCCAGTGGCGGGGCCGTTCAAGCGGTATGTGCGAATATGTACAGGTTGCAGATCTAGTGAGTGGTTTCATTCCGAGTTGAAGCTTACGCCAAATATCTACGGAGGGATAGCAGCCGTGCCAGCATCCGCGAAACAATCAAAAAACTCCTCCAGCTCAAACCGAAGGAGATCCTTGGGCCCCTTCCGCTTCGGCGGATCTACGCCGACAAAAACCCACTGCTTCCCTTGCGGGTCCTGCACGAACTGGATCGCCTCTTGCCCGCGCACGCTGAACGACAGGGTCCCGACCCTGGTGTTCTGCAACCCCTTCGCATTGACCTTTTGCACCGGCCGGGCGGTCGGGCTGAGCATCGCGTTGCTCCATTCTACTGCTCGCAGCTCTTTGGGCTTGTCGTAGAGCAGCCATAGATTGTTTCGCCATAATGTCATTGCGGACAGGTCGTATCCCTGCCCAGGCGGGTCAATGATCCCCATCAATGTAGCTGATCCCGATGGGTCGTCCAGCGGGATGTCGTATACGAAGATCTGGGCGTCGGCCTGCCGCCCGGCGTAGAAGTAGCCGCCGGATTTGACATCGGGGGAGGACATGAAGACGAGGGATTCCAGGCCGTTGTTGTCGGCTTTGGCGTCGGGGTCGGCAACTGGGTGGGCATCGAATGTTGCTTGCAGGTCCCATCGACGGGTAACGGAGGAGGTTTTGAGGTTATATTCTACAATGCTGGCGGGAACCTCGTTTCCTAGATATATGAAATCGTCCCTGGAAAGCGCCAACAGTCAATCAATGTGCTCTCTATCTGCAACGCACCGTAAGTGTTCTTACCTTCCCGCCACCAGCGTACACCCTTCAAGGTCAAAGTCTCCGCCAAGGTCCCATATCTCAGCCGGAGTCCCCGACCCATCCGGTGTTCCAATATTCGTCAGACCGCCGATTTTGCCACCGTCGCTGACCACGAACAAGGTATTTGTAGAAGGCTGCCACACCATATCTGACGGCTCGAACTTCTTTTCCAGGCGGCCTGTAAGGTTCGAAAGACTTCAGCCGGAAAGAAAACCACACAAGTAAAAGAACCCGGGACGAGAGGGCAGGCTTACCATACATAGACAGTCCTTTGCAGTCGGTCGTATCAAAGGGTCTTGGAGGTTGAAAGTGGAGCATGCGACTCTGGACTGCTCCCATCAACAAACCATATGCGAGGGCTGCTATTATCGCAGAGGAAATGCGGTGTATCCGACGGAACATGGTGGACGGTCGCAGGCCGAAGTGCGCAATGAAGTAGCGAAAGCTTTAGACGGTATTCGAGCGAAGGGTACCCACCGTCCCAGTATTCTTATGAGTATGTACGTAGCTCGTGGTTCCTCCCAAAAAGTGCCCCGCGCGCGTCATCACGGCATCAAACGGTTTGCGACACTCGCCCCTTCTCGCAGGTCGGATCACAGGATTCATAGCGCAACTTCTGCCCGCGGCTTGATCAGAAACATGTACTGTACATATTGGCACACAACGGTATTCGCCTTACTTTCCCTACGCATGTACAGTGTGTGTGCTACATACTCTTTGCCTGGCAACTCCGGGCCCTGCTCCGTTCGTGACAATCGACGGAGTTGTGTTGGGGAAGTCGAGACGCGTTGGCGTTAGAGACCGGGGCTACTTGAGAACACGCGGCGGCCCCACACTCCTGTCGAGCGAGCGCAAGGATTCTGCACAACGGCCTTCAACCAAGTCACAGTAGCCTCATCCTCTCGGCACACAAAACACAAACACCGCAAGATGGCAACAACATGGATGGACGGTACGTTCACAGGAGGCGGGCTTCAGGCTCGGGTTCAGTATGCTAACCTGTGTCGAATCGCACTCTGTTCTATGGCCAATTTCCAGTCGGGCGTGGCACGGTAGGTGATTTTCGCAAAATATTGCTACTCTCAAATCAGCTGGCTAAACACAATGGGACGTCCCACAGCTGCTCGCCCTCCGTAAGAACGGCTTCAAGCGCACGCTGAGGCAAATTATGTCCATGTATGTCCGGGGCAGGGCCCGTTCACCCTGCACTCGCAATCCGAACGCTATTTACGGACTCTCATGTCTGTTTCCTTCTCTTTAGCGACCAACCGCGCGTGGGAACACATGCCGGCACAGACGAATATGGAAACAACTACTACTACAACCCGAAGGATATCGTCCTGCGTGACCGCTGGATCGAGTATGGAAGGTGGAACTCGGACCCTTCGCAAATCCCTCCAGAATGGTGCGAAACGATTGTCCGAGCAGAAGTGGTGTGTTTCCCTCCGAAAATCAACGACTTACGCCCGATCCTTTAATCACAGGCACCAATGGATCCACCACATCACCGACGACATCCCGACTGCACAAACGGTGCCAAAGCCCTTCTTCACGGGCAAGCACCTCGAGAACTTGACGGGGAGTCGCGGCGCCTATAAGCCGTACAGCACAACGGTGCCGAAGTTTACGTCGTGGACTCCGGGGACGAAGGAGCGTCAGGGATAGAGAGCGTCGTATACCCCGTCTTCATGGAATTGGAAATGAAAGATGTGTTTCAATGAGATTGTTTTGTTGGAGAGGATTGTGGAAATGGCGATTCTGGTTTTTGGGGCAGGTGGGGGAGGGATTGCTCTCGACGGTCAGCGTTGACTGGGGACAGATCATCACGCAGAGTGTTAATGGCGAAGAGATGGGACAACTGGACAGCTGAACAAGAGGGATAAATGTGACATGGCCAGCTTGCGTCGAGAAGCATTCCGGTTCGGGCGATATTGACGATTGCTTGAGGACCGGCGCAATTGGCTCGCCAGCGAAGACATCCGTACTCGGAAACACTTGGTACACTCTGCTTTTCAGCAGACCGATGTGATTTTTGATGACCGCAGCACCAGTCGGATTCACTGTGGCCGCAACGAGCAGGAGACCATGCATTATTTCCATTCCCTACATATTTCCCAGAGCAGTACCCAAAAACTCCCCAATGGGATATCTACAAACTATCTCAAGTTTCCGCAGCCGCAGATGTGAGCGATATGCGAGCGATACGTCGACCTACATGCCACATCCGCCCTTGCGCTTCCAACTATTCTTTCCTTGTCTAAACTTGATTCCTCCTCCTCCCTTTCACTCCCGTACCGTCGTCCTCGTTCTCCTCCTCACAATCATCACTTCCAATCTCATCCTCAGATTCCACCCTCCTTCTCCTCCTCCTCGTCTTCCTCGCCCACCTCTCATCTGCCCACCTTCGATCATTCATCGCCTGCAACACGATCCCAGCGCCCATGACCGTCAACCCGATCCCGATCCCGACCCCGACGATGATCAAGCCGGTCTTGATACTCCGCCCGGCGCTGTCCATGCCATCGCCCACGTTTTTGAAACCGGCCGCGATTTTGTCGGCGTGATCTTGTAGACCTTCTGTTCCGAGGCCGGCGGCTGAGTATGGAAAGAGAGATGGAGTCAGAGTTTGGATGCGGAGCTTGGACGAAGAGGCCGGCCGGGAGCGAACGGACCTATTGACCGGACTTCTGTAGAGATGTTTCGGGCGAAGCTTTCGGGGAAAGGAAAGTAGATAGGCAGCTTTTCGGAAGCTGACATTTCCGGAAAGGGCTCTGCCGATGAAGTGGCTCCCGTTTGAAGGTTTTTTGTGGGTGTATATGAGCTGGGAAGCAAGTCACTGCTTTCACGAGCTGTAAGCGGGCTTTCGGGCTGGCGAACTTGGGAGTGGTGGTGTAGGAACTTGAAGTTGGGCAGCAGCGCAATGGCGGAGTGCCTTTTCGACGTTCCAGTCTTTCCAGTGGTGTTGCCACGTCACACGCCTTCCGCCAGAGTCCAAACGCGTGCATGGGAAAGCGTTTGCCGCTTGCCAGCCGCTTGCACTTCTGGGAATCACCGTTCGTAGATCACCTCATCCGCAACAATGAGATCCTCCCTCTACCTCTTCCTCGCGGCCTTCCTCGCCACCCTCCTGGTGTCGCTGCCCCTCGTTGCAGCCGAAAAGAAGCGGGACGTCACCTCCTTGCAAATTGGCGTCAAGCACAAAGTAGAATGCACCCGGAAGTCTCAAAAGGGCGGTGAGTAATGGAAGGGTGGTGCGACTGGATGGGGTGGTTTGTTTGAAAGGAGATGCTGATGGACTCTATTGCGAATAGATAAGCTCTCCATGCACTACACCGGAACCTTGTACTCGACCGGAGAGAAGTTCGACTCCTCCCTCGACCGCAACCAGCCGTTTGAGTTCACCGTTGGAGCCGGACAAGGTACACCGCTTTTACCGCAGTTTGTCTAACTTGCTGCCCAGGCCAATCGCTCACTATCTTTGATGTTGCAGTTATCAAGGGCTGGGACCAAGGCCTCCTGGACATGTGCCCCGGCGAAAAGAGGAAGCTCGTCATCCCTTCTTCGCTCGGCTACGGTGACCGGGGCGCTCCCCCGAAGGTATGTGCATTGCTTTCTACGTAATCCGTGAGAGGTAAATTAGTGGAGCTGACGGTTTTGTTTTTGCAGATTCCCGCCGGCGCAACTCTGGTATTTGAGACGGAATTGTTGGAGATCAAGAATGTGCGTAACGAGTTGTAGAAGCGGATCTGCATTGGGTGAATGAAGAATAGACCGGGTTGCAAATTGCGACCGTAGCCTTGGATTTTTCAAGGGATTCCGTCTGGTGCATGCGCTCCTTGTACGTGTGATACGGGATTCCTGGCGCTGTTAGAGGACATGTAGCACCCACAAAGCGTTTCATCAGAAGCTCAATATCGTCCTTGTCTGGGTCCAGACCTGTACTCCGAACCGGTCACAACCGTCTCCCAGAAGCCCACAGCACACGATTAAAAGGCGCGCTAGACTTTTTCTTTGCACCGAAAATGCTACATCGTCTGGGCTTATCTACTGTATTCGCACAAGCATATGCGAATTGAACGTAACAGCTCCCATTTGGAGTTTGACAGCGCAGGAAATCGTCTCCACACACTCTGCGACGACCACAGTGGAACGACGTCTCCACAAGTTTTCGGACTTGCAAATTCAGGGTGTTGCGAGGAGTTCTTCATTAATCGATCGGTCCCCCGTCTCTGTCTGTGTGTGGGCGTTGATGAGCGTTGTTTCTGGAGCAAAATTTTATCATTTCTGACGGGAGCGTGGTTGGGGGGGTGATTTCTCCGCGGGACGCCTTTTGACAGGCGGGGTTGTGTCTATAATGGTAACAGGCGGGTGGGGGCATGGCTTGGAGGGGGGGGGGGGGGGGGGTGGAATCCGTGGATGGATGGGTGGATCTTATCCCACACTGGCAACTGCACAGCGCACAGTGAGTGTAACACGTTGTGATTAGATATCGATGCCAACCGAGTGAAAAAAACGAGTGGCATGCGAGCATCATGCAATGCAACGGGTTGTGGCCGCAGCATCAGGCGCGATCACTTGAGTTGTGCGCTTAGTGGTCGTTGCGAGGGGTCTTCCGCGCTACGCTGAGGAGGCTGAGGATCTGGGGAAGAGTTGTCGCCAGCCGCCCCCCCCCATATCGGCCCGGTAGTATGTACAGTATGTAGTATGATATGAGCGCAGAGGAAAACTTTGCGGACTACTACTACTACTACTGCTACTGTATACCAACTATGTAAGAGGGGCCCTCCTTATATTTGCCGCCCTCACCCCCCCCCGCCCCCGCTCCAGTCCAACTCCATTCCCACGAATCGTTGAAACCCCTGCGTTGACCGTAGCTGGCTTCGAGATCGCAGACTTCATACCTTCACATACCCCTCCTGCTCCTTCTAACTTACAGTAGTATATCCTCAAAAATGAAGCTCTCGCTCGCTCTCATTTCCTTGGCGCTGGCCGCCACCTCCTACGCCGCCCCAGTCACAAAGAAATGCGGCGGCGGTCAGAAGCCCCCCCACCACGGCAAGAAGAACAACATGACCATCCTCGCCACCAACGACATCCACGCCCACTTTGACGAGTTCAACCTTGGAGGTACCGACTGCAGGCCAAAGGACATTGCTGCCAACAACTGTGTCGGAGGTGCCGCCCGTATCGCCCACCTGGTGCAAAAGTACAGGGCGGAGAGGGACAACGTCGTCCTGTTGGACGCGGGTGACCAGTTCCAGGGAACCCTCTTCTTCAACGTGTTCGGTGGTCAAAAGTCTGTCGAGATCATGAACGAGCTCAAGTACGACGCTATGGCCATCGGAAACCACGAGTTCGACAAGGGTGTTGAATACGCCGCCCAGTTCTTCAAGAACCTGACCTTCCCCGTCGTCAGCTCAAACATTGACTTTAAGAAGGGCGATGGTCACATCTTGAAGGAGGCCGGTGTTAAGCCTTACACCATCCTCCGTGACTACGGTGTCGGTGTCATTGGTGAGTTTCGATGTGGGGCGTGGGGCGGGAGACGAGGACGGGCTTCCCGGAGCGAACGCGCTCCAGTCATTATCGCATTTCTTGGGAAGCCCATCGCTTCGCTTCGCGGTTTCTTCGATTCTTCGATTTACGAGCCTCCCAACTCATTTTGCCCAATTCCTGTTACTTTCAAGGTTACATCACCAACACCACGGCGTCGATCGCCACTGGCGCCAGGAACACATCGTTCTACAACCCCGTCCCTATTGTTCAACGCTACATTGACGAGCTGCACCGTAAAGGTTACCGCCGTGTCATTGCAGTGTCCCACAACGGTTACGCCGACGACAAGTATCTCGCCGAAAACACCCGCGGTCTGTCCCTCATTGTTGGCGGTCACTCCCACTCCCTCCTCCTCAACAACGCCTCCCTCCCCGGCGTCGTTGGACCCTACCCCACCTCCGTTACAAACTTGGACGGAAAGCCCACCTACATCATCCAGCACCACCGCTACGGCGACTACCTCGGCCACGTCGATCTCGAATGGGACGCCAACACCGACGAGCTGCTCAACCTCAGCGGTGAAGCCATCCGTCTTGACGCTGCTATCCCCAAGGACAACGCGACTGCGATCAAGGTCGCCCAATGGCGTGAGGCCTTCAAGCCCATGACTGAGCGCATCGTAGGTCAGGCCGACGGCCCCTTCCCCGTCGAAGGCTGCGGCGTCCGCGAATGCGCATTGGGCGACCTCGTCGCGGATTCCATGCTCTTCTCCGCCCCCTCGGCCGACATCGCCTTCACCAACGCCGGCGGTCTGCGCGCCGCCATCCCTTCCGGCCCCGTCACTTACGCCGACGTCATCACCGTCCTCCCCTTCGGAAACACCATCAACATCTTCTCCTACACCGGCGCACAGGTCCTGGCCCTCCTCGACCGCACCGCTGACCTGACCGGCGCCGATGGAAAGAAGATGCTGTCCACCCCTCAATGGGGCGGTGTCCACTTCACGTACGACGTCAGCAAGCCCGCCGGCTCTCGTATCACGACCGCTACCCTTCTCAAGGACGGAAGCGCTATCGACCCCGCCAAGACCTACGTCATTGCCACTAACGACTTTATCCTCGGAGGAGGCGACAATATCATTTCCCCTGTTGCTGGCCCCGCCGGTGAAGTCATGGCCGATGCTCTTGCTACTTACCTGGGCACCAAGCCGTCGTTCAAGGCTGAGATTCAAGGACGTTGGGGTCCCGTTGCCAACACCACCGCCACCCACTAAGCGTTTCACATTTTTGCGGATCCGAATGTAGAGCATGCGAATTCGAAGAAGGTCACCCCGATCTCCACACACACACATACCACATACACGCATATAGACTTTAGCTGTTTGAGAAGTACATAATTTGCAATTCATCTGTAGACGTACCGGGCGACTCTCGCCCCCCACCCCCCTAATAGATCATCTGCTAGACCATATCACGCATCCTTGCTGTCTCATGTCACATTACCCTGCTCTTATGTATACGCTCATTTGCCTTGTGGAAGGGAGAATGCAATTTTGCACGTATCGCGCCGCCTCACTAATAAGTTACTATGCCATCTCATCAAAAGTATGCCGACAAGTGCGTGATATAAGGCTGACCAGTCAGCCTGAAGACCCCGATGCTCCAACGTTCCATAAGAGCGCAGGGCGATTACACTGTGTGGACAGTGTTGAGGAAACCACTGCGGGCGGCGCTTGAGGTGCACTCACTCTTCAACAACCGTGTCACTCGTCCCTGGTCATGCGGGGTCGAGGATAATGATGGGATCTGAAGTCGTTCAGTATGACCGACCCGGACATTTGCTGAAATCGCACTTCCCAAACGTTCAAATGCAGCGCATTCGGCAGGAGCTGGGAAGGGGGGGTAGGACTCGACCGTCCCAACGAACAAGCCAACAGTAACACCCTCAGTTGTGACAGTTAAAAGAAGTTCATCCTACCTATCATGAGGATGGAAGCTACAACGAAAATGGCTACTCCTATATCCTATCCAACTCTTATCACACCCAACCTCCCATCGAGAACACTCCAAAATGACCTACCATCCTACACCCGCCACCCTAACCGCCCCCACCCCTCCTCCCCACCCTAATCCCACCCAGAACCTCTGGCGAATGACACCCCCCAATCCTCCCATCCCTCTCCCTCCAATGCACCCTCCCCAAAATCCCATACGTCAGCTGCGCAGGGTGCACGTTATTGAACGTCGGGTTCAACGCCTGTGCCCTTACTGCCGCGGACGTGGCTATGTCGTCGGAGAAGGCGAGGAGGTCGAGGTCGGTGGAGTGGCTGGGGGGTGTGCGGAGGGAGGTTGTATGGGCAGCAAGGGTGGCTGCAGCGTTTTGGGACGGGTGGTGTAGCAGGGGCTGGAACTGCAGCGGGGAGGTATGTGTGTGTTGCGGGTGTAGTTGTGGCTGCTGGGTATTCTGAGCATTCGGCGCAACTCGGGGCCAGAGCACCACCGTCACTTTGGGTGGCGGCGGGGCCTCTGCGGGCGTCAGGATGTGGGGGTTTTCACCGGCCGCTTTGGACGGAGGTCTCCCGTGGGTGGCGTCGAGGTTCATCACACCGCACGCTCCCCACGCCCGTCGCCACTTGGCTTTCCGGACAAACTCCTGTGCATCCACGGCGGAATAGCCCAGGTACGTCTCCTCCACCCGCATATCCCGCTTCAGTCTCAGCGCGGCCAGCAACGCGTGCCGGCGCGAGACGCTCACCACCCCTCCGTCCGCTGGGGATGAAACCGCGCCGAGAGCGGCGGTGGATGAGCGCGATGTCGATGACGGCGAATGGACGTACCGATAGCGGTAGGTGTAGGCGTAGCTGGTGTGAGGTCGACCCTCTCCCGCTTTCTGCGCCCGCGAGGTGTTCTCCCCCCCAAACGTCAGCACCGGCTCAACGACCAACACAACCGATCCTTTCAACGGCACCGGCTGCACCCGTGCCAACGGCAACGGCGTGCTGTACGGCGACGACAACCGCGCATCCACCGGCGGACTCGTTTGCTCAGCGCCCGCGTTCGCAGTCGTCGCCACTCTCCCCGATTTCGCCGATCGCGCCGCGGAAGTCCTCGAATCCCCCCGCCCATCCCGCTCGAAATTCACGTCGGCGGGGTCGGTCTTTGGGGGATCGATATGCGCATCGCCCGTGACGCTTCCTGCACTCCCGGGCCGTCCGTAGCGTCTTTGGAACCAGGGGAGGGTGGGGCGGCCGGGGATGGAGGGGAGAGTCGGCCCTGGTTTGTGTTTGTGGATTTGCCGGGGGAGGGTGCTTGGGCGGTGTTGGGGCTCGTTTGGGGGTCGGCCGGCGTTCTCTGCGTTCCCATCGGTGCTTCCATCCGTCTTTCCCACGCCCCTACCCATCACCACGGAGCTCGATCCCTCAGATTGGACAGGCGACGAGAGCGATCCCCTTCCACCCGACGCCGTTCGTTTCATCGGGCTGGATGGCGCGCCCGTCTTCATGCGAGTGGGTGAATAATACGATGCTGGAAACACGTTGTTGAGCTCTGCGTCGGACTGCGAGAACGGGTTGTGCTTGGTGGCGAGGACGCTGCATAGGTCGTCTCGCGGGGCTGCGGATGTGGGTCGTGGTGGTCGGACTGCATTTCCGGGAAAAAAAAGAAAAGTGATGGGACGGATGTGTTTGCGTGGAATGGTTCTGTATTGAATGTGAATGATGGGTTGAAGCAGGTTACCTTCGCTCTCCAACCCTCTCTGCGTGAGCACCGTCATGGTGATCCGCCCCTCCTCGCGCTCCTTTTCTCGCATTCGAGCGCTGGAGCTTCGATGCATGTTTGGCGTTCTCTCCGGAACCGCGGGGGAAGTGAGACGAACATCAGCCTCCGTCCCAGGGGTTGACGTTGAAGATCCCGCCCGTGCAGCCACAGCGCCCGGCTTTCGGTCCGCACGGAATGTATCCGCAGCCTTATCCGCTGTGCCACGCAGGCCACCTCCTGCTCTCGAATTCCTCACGGATAACCCTGAAGTCGCCCCCACGGGCACGGGGATCGCGCTTTCTTTCACCCCAGTCTTGGGCACAAGCGCCTCTCCCTCCACGTCCGCAAGCGGTGTGGGGTGAGGGGGTGAGGGATCGGGCTCGGCGCTCGTACCCCGGAGTACCGCGACGGGCACGATTTGATCTTGCTGGTTGGCTGACTGGGGCAGAAGTCGTGCCGGACCTGACAGAGTCGAGGCGTCGGATGCCGCTGTAGCGTCGACGGCTATTGGTGAAGTTTGATTCTCTGCAGCTGCTGCCTGATCATTTGGCACAGATCCCACACTCGCATCCTCCTCCGTTGCCACGCCGGCGGTGGGCTCGGGTGGCTCAGATGGGTGTTGTGGCGCAGAGACGTCCGGATCTATATTCCCTGACCCGCTTTGCTCCACACCTAGCTTCTGTGAAGCTTCATTTTCAACCGCATCTGCAGTGAGTGCCTCCACATCATCGCCACTGATATCGTCCGAATCTTCCGCGTGCGGTAGTGCCTGCTCAGTGGATTGCGGCGATGGGTTCGCTTCGACGGAAGTGCTGTCCGTGGCGATGGAGACGTCTGCGAGCACATCAGCCAGAGGAGGAATGTCCTCCGGCTCTGAGGCGTCCATTTTGACCGATCCTCGTTCGTAATGCTTGAATAAAGATTAGCTCGTTGAGGAGGTAACCTGTTGAAATCTGGCACTGTAAGCAGCCCCGATTTCTTCAAGCGTCACAGTGGATATGTACTCGGAAGAAATTGACGTTTGCGAAGAGGTTCTTTGACAACGGCAAATGTGTGGATTGACACAAGGTACTTCTCAGTTCTTTCGTATGGCACTCGAATCCCGCGTCGTCGACGTTTTACTCCTTCGAGTTCAGACTATACAGGAAGTCCATCATCGATCGCCACGCCGCAGGGTTGCATAATCTTATCGCAAAAACCGAAGGAGCGAACGAGGCTTCGATGCCAAGCCGGAGTAGGAAAGGCAAGAACGGAAATTCTCCGAAAACAAAGTGCGAAAAAAGCTTCGAATTGGAGGACACTGCATTTCTCGACTGCCAAAATCGCGCTGTCGAATCCCGAGTTGAAAACTGTCAAATGTCCCAACCAGTGTTTTTTTTACACCACAATCTCATCCAGACTCTAGCTGAGCCCAGGCTGAAAAAAGAAATTGGGTACATGAGGAACGTCTCTGACAGCCTCTTTCACTCACAAGATCTCTTCCTCCGAAATATCAAACTATTCTGCATTTGCAACTCTATCTATCAGACCTGAAGATGCAATCACACCAATTTCGCTCTCCTGGACGGCTGCCAACCCAAGTTACCCAACAGCAGATTGATGCTAAGATCCCAGTGTGATCGCTGAGCAGCAAGGCTTATTCCGAGAATCCGAGCGAACAACAAAAACAAACAGGGGGGGAACGCACAGCGCCTGGTCACCTGGTGCAATGCGAAGTCTCTGTGGAAGGGGAAGGGGGAATGGAAGCATCGCAAATGAGAAGGGGCGGGCGGGCGCACGTGTTGTGTCCGTATTACGTAATGACGCGTCGCGCGGATCCCCTTGGAGAAAGCCGCAACGCCATTTTTGGGGTCGGGAAAGAGCACACGCACGGAACAGCGGTCGGCTGCCTTGTTGCCCTTGGACGTGCTTGCTTCTGCAAGAAACACTCCACCTTCTCTCCCTGTCCATTCGATTCCGCAAGTGGTCTCGCTGCTGCCCTTCTCCCTTCTCTTTGTACATAGAAAGTCGTTTGTAGAATAGACGCCACCCAGCGAGGAGACCGGACGGATTCGGCAGGTGTTGGCAACACCATAGAATAGACGAAAAGCTGCGGCATATATATATACCTCGGGAACGGCTTATACTTGTTTTTTTCAACGGTATCTGCCTTGCTGGACCCAAAGCAGAAGCCTAGAAGCAAAGCTAGATAGAGGTTGCATAGACTCCGCCGATTTTCAGCGCAAAACAATGTTCGACCTCCAAGTCTCTAAAGCCCGTAAGTAAACTCAATGGTATCCTCGTTCTTTCTGATCTCTTGAAAACCCCCATCTCACCGCATGTTCTCCTTCCCAGACTCACCATGGCTTTCCAACGCCCTACCCCTCCTCTCCCAAACAGCCCCCCTCCTCCTCATCCGCCTCGCCTTCAAATCCAACCCAACCGCCTTCCCATCCCTCTTCTCCGCCGTCCTCGCCTCCGAACTCCTCAAACTCACCACCCTCTTCCTCATCAACGCCCACCACGAGGGCTTTGCACCTTTCATAACGCGGTTACCGAACGTGGTATCCGATGGTGTGCGACACTACCGAAAGACCGTCGTGCCTGGTGTTTTTTATACGCTGCAGTGCGTGATGCAGTATGTGGCGCTGAGCAGTATCGATTGCTTGACGTTTACCAATGCGTGGCAGGTGCAGCTGCTCCTGACTCGGATTCTGGCAGTTAGCCCGTTTGCCGGGTTGCGGAAATGGCATTCGGAGGTCATTTTGGCGGTTTCGGTTGTGAATGTTTGGATTCTGCGTGGGACGGCTTTGTGGGGCGTCTCGGAGAGTGAGGACGGGCCAGAAGGTGTGGTGGTGGAGGCCGTAGTCGGAATCGCTGCGTCGCTGGTTTCGGGTCTGTGTGCGGTGTTCGCTGAGCGGGTCGCTGGCGACCGCGCCGTGGAGCCGACGTCGGCAATATTCTCATCGGCAACGGCATCGGCATCGGCATCGTCGTCCTCGGTTTGGATTACCAAGCTGCAAACCAGCTTTGCATCCATCATCGTCGCGGCCTTCGGCGCCTTACTGTTGGAATCCTCATTCATGCCTGTAGATCTCACCGAGGGCATACTCAGTTTGCCCGTGCTTGCGATCGTGGCGAGTGCGTTTGGTGGGCTGGTTCTTGGGGGCTGTTCTGATCTCACAGGTAAGCTCTTGCTGGCCCACATATCTTATGCAAGTGCCAAGGCCAATTTATTCCCGTCCCACTTTCACAGTAACAGATCCCAGCTTTACCACCATCGGTACCGTCCTCTTGCCCCTCCTGGCCGCTCTCGCCTCACTTGTCATCAACGACACGCCTCTCACGATCGCCACCGCCCTACAAATACTCATCCTCGCGCTCACCAACGGCTACCTTCTGAAATCCTTGATCATCAAAGCTGTCACTGAGAACAGGGATTACAACCCATTACGGGCGTCGGAAACAAGCACACCCTCCGGCTCGCCACCGAGGGTTAGAAACGTTGACCTAGTTCTGGGGGGGGAAATCATCAACAGCCAAATCGGAAAGCCCACCACCCCAACTGGAATGAGACGTCTCGTAGAAGGCAGCATAGCATTGACTCTAATCGCAATAACATGGCGCGCCCACGCCGCCTCCCTCTACCTCTCCGGCCATCCCTCCCCCACCTTCTCCTTCGTCCGGCCCCACACTCCCACAACAACCCTCCTCACCTCCCTCCCCAAATTCACCATCTCCCCCCTCGCCGAACCCCGCGAGCCCGGTCTGCCGAGTTACACACACCACCCGATCCACCCTGCCCGCCCGCAGAATCAGTTCTTTACGCCGGCGTCATTGGTGGCCGATAAACCAGTGATTACGTTGATGACGGTGACGCATAACCCCGGGAGAGTGATTGTGGACGAGACGGCGCGGGCGATACTGCAGGGGAGCCTCCAGAGTTTTGTGTGGGTTGTTGTGGATGATCATTCCGAGGGGGATGGTGTGGAAGTTTTGAGGGAGTTGGAAGCTTTGGATCCGCGTATTAAGGTCGTCAGGAACACTGGGAGGAGCGGGGTAGCCCATGCAAGGGCACTGGCGTTAAAACAGGTCCAAACACCCTACCAGGTGTTCATAGACGACGACGACCTCTTCGAACTCACCGCTCTCGAACAGTCCCTCCTCCTCCTCTCCGCCAACCCACACCTCTCCCTCGTCGGGTTCTACACCATCCTGTTCGGCGCGTCGCGCACGCAGCGGGAGGTCGGGTTCCAATCCGGGTCGCAGCAACGGGGTGGGAACAATATTCACATTGGCGCCGTCCACCGCCATGCCGCGGTGGGGAACTGCACATTCGACCCGGTGTTTAATGGAGGTGGGGAGGATTACGATTTCTGGATGTGTATCGCCAACAACGGACATTGGGGGGTTACGATACCCGAGTACAGTTACTGGTACCGGCAGTGGGAGAAACGCGATAGGGAGTGGACGATGATGGGGAGCAATTTCGACAAAGCTGCGGAGCTCGTCCGGCAAAGGTGGCCCGGGGTGCAGCAAGGTGCGTGGCCGGCTCACGACCCCATACCCGCTGTGGCGTTCGAGCCGTGGTGGAAGGGGCCGGGGTTTGGTAACATATTACATACATCCCCGGGAATGACCGCTATGGTGCTCCTGGAATCGTACGCGGACACCCTCGCGACACGCCGCACACTCGCGATCGTATCCGACCTCGCGCAACAAGGGTGGCGGGTGACTGTTGCTGCATTCACAACCGCCGACGACGCCCTCCGTCGCCATTTCTACAAATACACCCACGACGTCTTTGTCCTCCCACATTTCCTGCGCACGGCCCAGTATCCCGGTTTCATCGAGTATATCGCCCAGTCACGACATATCTCCACCGTGCTGGTTGCCGAATCACCGACGGGGTACGGACTCCTTTCCGCGTTACGATTGGGGAGTCAAGTCTCCGTGGTGGATCTTGTGAGGGAGGTGGATGAAGCCGGATCATACGCCGCGTTTACGTACTCCGCAACGCACGGGAGATATATCCACCTAACACTGGCCTCCTCCCTGTCCGTTCGCGCAAAACTCGAAAAGCGGGGACGCACACGGGGCACGCTACGTGTGTCGGCGTGGGGGATGCGTAACCTTACATTAGAAACGGGTGGTTCAGCTACCGAGCTCCGTGAACAAGCAATGAAAGAGGGTGAGAATGTATGTCTGATCGGATACAGCGTCTCAACAGCACAATCCCACCTGCTTCGTCCGACGATCGCGGTCCTCGCATCCCACAACATCACCGCCAAACTCGTACCCTTAGTCGGCGAGACGATGCAGCGTCTCGTGGGCATGTCCGACCATTCCGTACGCGTCGAGAACACAGACCTTGCCCGTCGCGCATGGGTGAATGCAAGCGATGTGGTCCTCGTGTTGGGCGAGGAAGGGAGGGAGGCGGCGGTGACTGCCCTCGCGTCAGGCACACCGGTCGTCACGACCGCGACATCCCTACCCGTGCCCCTCACGCTCGGCTCAGCACGGGACAGTCTCCTCCAGACCCGCGCGACACCGGCACACATCGCCAAGCGGATTGTGGACGCGGGCGTCTGCACCCACCGCCGTCGCGTGCCTTCACGTACCGCCCAACTCGCATTGCACCAGCTCCGACACACCGACGTGGACAGCACACCCGTGCCGGACGTACTCGCGCAGGCGTGGCGGAGTACCCCGGTGGGGGAGGACACGGCGGCATATTGGGCTGTGAAGGCTGTTATTGAGGCGGGGAGGGAAAGTGTGGATATTTTGAGGGGGCAGAGGGGGTTGCCGATGTATCAGGAGTGATCTTTGGAGGGGCGTATGGATGGGAGTTTTTGAACGGCGTTTTTGTTGTGATGTGTGTAGAGTCGATTCGGGACATTCTGATGGACTGTTTTTTTTTGGGGGGGGGGGGGGGTTGGTCAGTGTGATGTATTCAAATGTACGTAGAGTGGATAATGTATTCCTACCTGTCGCTCTGGATGTGGTGCGTTCTATGATGATGGGGTTTCGCGGCTTTCTTTAGGGAGCGGAAAGTGGATCTGTGCATACATACGTTGCACGCTAGGCAGGGAAAGATGGATATCGGGGAGGAGATTTCACAGCAAACAGATTTTACAGCGTTGCGAGAACTATGGCAGTGAAGGATCAGCTTCCTGAGACCACCCTAATGCCACCCACGTCGTGTATATCATGTATGCGCCCACATCAGCAGAATAGCAGTCGCTTCAAGCCTCGCATAGGAGCCCCCGATCCAGCTCGTTGACTGCCGTCAAGGGTTGATGTATCATTCGATGGGGTTTTACATTTAGGCCAACGAACATCGTATACATTGACAGATTCGCATCCAGCACTTGCCTCTGCAGTTGACAGTAGAGTGAGACCGGGAAGGTGTGCGGTGTGATCCACCCGGCAGCGAACAATGGAAAGAAAGATCTGGCTTACTCGCTTACTCGAGACGCGTTGTGCTTACGAGGACCCGCACGCGTTCCCCTCCATTCGAAGGTTGCCCTTCACACCTCGACATCGACCCTCTCCCCTCTCTCCAAACGCACACACTTCCCTGTATAAATATCGTCGGCCCCTATCCGCCGCTCGAAAACGAGTTCTCACAACCTCACCGTTCCTGTCAGATCCGCGCTCATATCGGTTCCCAAACCCGCATCATCCATCACACGGCGAAATCGCATTTACACTCCAACCACACGTCGTAACCACATCACTACCGCACACAACCCCCACCCTCCACACCCAAACACCCCCACAATGATGGCCCAAACAGAAAAAATCACAAAAGAAACCTCCCTCGCCGCCCCTTCCGACCCGGCCAAGGTCGCGCTGATCACGGGCATCACGGGCCAGGATGGGAGTTATCTGACTGAGCTGTTGCTGAGTAAAGGTGCGTACAGTGATAGATTACGAGTGGGGATGGATTCAAGGGGGTGAAGTCTGGGCGAGTGGGTGATTGATGAGGGCTTTTGGGTGTAGGGTACACGGTACATGGCATCGTCCGCCGCTCGTCGTCGTTCAATACCGGAAGGATCAGCCATTTGTATGAGGATCCACATCAGAGTAAGTTCGCTTGCCATCACGCATACCGTCCGACCCATAGTTCCCCGGATCGCATTAAACTCCGCCCACTAACGAATATTGAATAATATGAAACAGACCCAAAGATGATCCTCCACTACGGCGACCTCACCGACGCGACGAACCTCGCGCACATCGTGACGAAAGTGCAGCCGACCGAGATCTATAACCTCGCCGCGCAGTCGCATGTCAAAGTGTCGTTTGATATGTCTGAGTATACCGGTGCGTTTCGCCCACCACTCCTCTGTCTATAAATTCCAGCAGGCCTGACATTGGTCACATATGTTATCTTTTTCTTTTAGCGGACGTGGACGGCGTCGGCACCCTCCGTTTACTGGACGCGATCCGCACGGCCGGGTTGGCGCACAAGGTCAAGTTCTACCAGGCGTCCACCAGTGAACTGTACGGCAAGGTGGTCGAGACGCCGCAGTCGGAGACGACGCCTTTCTACCCGCGTAGTCCCTACGGCGTCGCCAAACTCTACGCCTACTGGATCGTCGTCAACTACCGCGAGTCTTACGGCATGAAGGCGTGCAACGGGATCCTGTTCAACCACGAGAGCCCGCGGCGCGGCGCCACCTTCGTCACAAGGAAGATCACGCAGGCCGTGGCTAATATCCATCATGGGAACCAGGAGTGTTTGTATTTGGGGAATATTAATGCGAAGAGGGATTGGGGACATGCGAGGGATTATGTTGAGGTAGGTGAAAAAAAACAAGCGAGGTGAATGAGCGACGTGAAGCTGGTTGGTTGGGCGGATGGGTGATGCATGATGGGCGGTTGATGGATGAAACGAACATCGTGCTCGCTCTGCTCGCGACAAGGATGCTGGGCTGCGGTGGGCCGGAGTATGCTGGCGCATGGAACTCGCTACCGCTTGCGCTCTTCAGGACAAATCAAGCGCGCTTCACTCGCTGACCCCCACTCTCGCTGCGCTCGCTTTTAGGGAATGTGGCGCATGCTTCAACAAGAGGAACCCGAAGACTACGTCCTAGCCACCGGCGAAACACACACAGTCCGATCCTTCGTCGAGAAAGCCTTTTCACGGATCGGAGTCACCATCCAATGGTCCGGCGAAGGCGAGAAAGAGATCGGGATCGATTCCTCGAGCGGCGCCGTCCGAGTACGAATTGATCCACGGTATTACCGCCCTGCTGAAGTTGAGTTGTTGTTGGGTGACCCGAGCAAGGCGCATCGGAAGCTGGGGTGGGAGAGGAAGGTTAAGTTTGATGTAAGTTGGAGTGTGATGGGTGTCAACTTGAAGCCATCAATTCCTGAATGATTCACTCCGACTCTCCATCTTCAATTTGCAGCAATTGGTGAACGAGATGGTAGACGCCGATGTTGCTGCGACCAGCCCGCGCCCAGTCGCCGTTTCAAAGAAGGTTGTCCAGCCCGCAGGTGTGATGCAAGACCTTCCCGACCCTGCAACGGCCAAGTTGACACACCCAGCCGCCGGGCCGGCTTTGAGCGCCGCTTGAACTGGAAGATTTCCGTATTTTGGACTGCGGGAGGGAGTGGGCGGCTCCTGGGCGTGATGTGGGCTATATATTTTGAGGGTTGTACTTGGACGGGCATCACCGCATGGTGCGGATCTGTTTTCAATGGACACTTTTTTTTCGATTTTGGTATTCAAGACGGACCGGACATATGTACCCAGTAAAGTACATCATAGAATGAGAAGATACTTGTTGTGATATCTGGCATTTCCTCCGCAGCAGGAGCATTCCATATTTCAGTGTGACCAAGGAAGATACTGTCCCTTCAAAGAGACCCTTTCTATGCGGTGTTCGGTGCGCTCGCTTTGGTCGCCCCTCTCCATCAGCGCGAGGATCACGTAAGCGCGACGCGTGGAGGCAGGAGCACGTGACTTTAATCCCTTGAAGGGGGAACGAGTGGAAAGCCGGGTGGCCCATCTGGGGGCATCTGTCGCGACTCGCAAAAATGACAGCAGCAAGAACAATCCGCAGAATGCAGAATGGAACAGGCCGCTGGGGAACTTATTATTACGTGGGGTCCACCGGAGCAGTCGGCGGGCACTCGGCACAGGCATATATCTACATGCGCCAACCACCCATACCCTAACCTACCTATATAACGGCGTTCATAGGCCGCTCGCTCCAAAGAGAGTGAGTGCCCTTCACTGAGTCTGTGCGTCCAGTTTCAAGTGCACATATTCGTCACTTCTTGCGAACTTCCGCGGAATCTGCCCCCTGACATAAATTTGAAGGGACTGGCACTACCAGGTGAGTCCTCTGGGAATGGCACTTGAAGACTGCACCGCTTTTGCATAGCGCTCTGTTGTGGTGGAGACTGGCGTCCGCACTACTGGTGCTTTGTCACATATTGACTTGTGCAATTTCCCACCAACAACAGTTGATGCCCTCGCCTGCAAGTAGAGTTACTTTCGGTTTATTCTCCCCTGTTACAGTATCTTCCAGCAAAATGAGAGCTTATTCCCCCATACTATCGAGAGGTGGTGGTGTGAACGCAAGTAAGTCATCCCATCCATCACCCGGTGTTTCATCCGCCCTCCATGGCTTACGAACCATTCATCCTTAAAAACTTACAGCACGACTGAAATATGGCGCCCTACTGGCACTCGCAGCCCAAAACACCATTTCGGTCATGGTTCTCCGGTGGGCACGGAAGTCAGCAACCGAGCGGAATGCCGTCGCATCGACGGCCGTGTTCCTTTCCGAGGTGATAAAAGCACTGGTGTGCGCTGCGATCTACATCTGGCAGGACGGGCGGACGGGGGCACCTGTGGCGAGTTCGGGGAGGAAGTTATACCTGGATGCGTTCGGGCAAAAGTCGAGTTGGGCGAAGATGGCTATTCCCGCGGGCCTGTATACGATCCAGAACTGGCTGCACTATTTCGCATTGGCGCGGTTGGATGCCACTACACATCAAGGTGTGTGTTCACTCACCTCTTGTATGCCCCGGAATATATGTTGGATTGCTGAACTGACGTTTTCATTGCGAACAGTCACCCTTCAGCTCCGCATCCTCACCACCGCCGTGTTCTCCGTCATCATGCTCCGAAAACGTCTCTCCCTGGCGCAATGGGTTTCCCTGGGAGTGCTGACCGCCGGTCTAGCCATGACCCAACTACCACACCTCGGATCCTCCACGTCCGCGACACTAGCGGCCGCAGGCACTACAGCGGGGACAACAGCCGCCAACGCCGCAAAAGCCTTCGAACGCCTAATCGGCCTTGCGGCCGTCGGCATGATCTGCGTCTCGTCCGGGTTCTCGGGCGTATACCTGGAACGAATGCTGAAGGACACACCCACCTCACTGCTTGTCAGAAACGTGCAGCTGTCGTGTTTCGGATCGCTGTTCTGCGGCGTGTTTGGGATCCTGCTGAATGATCGCGCGACTATTGTTGAGAATGGATTCTTTGCGGGGTATGGGTGGGCTACGACCTGTGCGGTTTTGCTGAGCGCTGTGGGAGGGTTGCTCGTTGCTACCGTTATCAAATACGCCGGTACGTTAAGTTGGTCCTCTGTTCCGTAAGACGCCCCTTCAAGCTCTTCCTCTGTCTAAACATATCACTTCCCCCTCTCACCCTTCAGACAACATCGTCAAAAACTCCGCCATAGCCCTCTCCATCATCGCCAGCGGGGCCCTCTCCTCCATCATCGGCGATTTCCAACTCACCCCACCCTTCCTCCTCGGCGGGCTCCTCGTCGTCGCGTCCGTGTGGACGTACTCCTCCACACCGATTGAGAAGGTACATGTGGGCGGATCCCAGGTGGATATGGATGCGGGCGGAGAGGAGGAGGAGATGGAAAAGGGGGTGAGGGAGCCGTTTGTAGGGGGGCAGGTGGGGGGCACGTTGGAGGTAGGTTGTTTGTGGGGATTTGGGAGTGCGTGTATGGGGCGTGTATGTTGATCGGAATGTTCTTTTTGCTTCCCACAGCGCATTGTCACGAAATCCGGACAGGACTGAGGGAGGCATTGCAAAACCATTTGCCTCTAAGAACGGAAAATGGTCTCCTTGCTAGCTTCACGCGAGGTCGTCGAGAAATTTAGCTCTCCCGACTTCGGCTTCCTTTTGAAGCAACATCACGCATTCCGCTACACGCCACGACGCGACGCGCACGAGCGCTGCATCTCTGCACCCATTCATTTTACATAGACTGTTGGGTTGGCATCTTTTTGGAACTACACTTAATCGAAACATACCTGCCACGTTTGGGCCAGGCACGTGATATCGGAAGGGGAGATTTGGGACCGCAATCGCATTGGGAAGCAGACGGGGTATATGACCGCATAACCCATGCTAAATACGTTCTACGTTCATTTGTCCCCGCATGGGCTTGCTATACGCGAGCCTTGCGCACATAAACGGGCCCGAGTGGGTAACACCCCCCCATCCATACACAACCATAGATAATACACACTTCGAAAACGACCAACACGGTTCTCTCTTCATCATCCATCATATTCAGTTCCCAAACCGCTGATATACCTCCCCAAAAAAAGACAATACGGTACATATCTCACACATATCACCGACCCGCCAACGACTCCCGATGCTTAACCCACGTATACATCCCCGAACCTACAATAATAATTGCGATCGACCACCCGCGGGAGGATGTGACCGTTTCGTTGAAGAGCCATGCCGCGAGGACTATCTGAAGGCTGTGCGGATGAGAGTGATTAGGTTGGGTTCGAGGGGGGGGGGGGGGGGGGGGGGGTGAAGGAGCGGGCGGATGTGGGGTACTTACACTCCACGAGCAGCCGACGAAACGACGTGGGTGACGGGCGAGGTGACGTTAATTTGGAAGAAGCTGGCGACGTTTAGGAGGAAGCCGAGGAAGCCCTGCGCAAAAACAAAGATAGGGGCGTCAGCCCTCACTCCCACCAAAGCAAAAACCCACTTTGAAAACGGGGGGAATCTATGCCCCCCCCTCAAACTCACCGTCAGCAAACACCCTGCAACAAAAACGCCCACCCCCGCCCCATCCTCCCCCTCGATCGCCCCAAGCGTGCCCCACCTGCTCACCTCCCCCGTGACCAAAAACACCACCGGCAGCAAAACGGCACTCAACGCGTTGTTGAAATACACAAGCGCCAACGTATCCCCGTCCACAACCGCAATACTCTTCTTGATCACGATCGCATGCACCGCGGTGCTGACGCAGGAGATCAGGCCGAATGCGATGGCTTTCACGGGTTTCGTGCCGGTGGTGGACGTGGGCGAGAACGCGGTGCCGGTGAAGTAGCCGATGGTGACGATCAGACAGCAAGCGAGGATCGACGGGGAGGGGCGGGTGAGGTACAGGGCGGAGAGGAGGACGGTGAACGGCAGGACTAGGCCTCTTGCTACCTTTTTGGTGTGTGGTGTATCGCCCCCGTTAGATTTACAATGTAAAAAACTTAAACGTAAAGCGAGGGCCCCGACATACCTGATAGAAACTGGCATCACCGTACTGGATGGTATACGTGTTCACTGACAACCCCAACACATTGATCAGGATCATCGGCCACAGGCGCACACAGACATTCCAATCGATTCGGGGCAGCGGGAAGAGCCGCATCGCTTCGCCGACATGCATGAGGGCGACGGCGATGACGAGCTGGATCCAGAGGAAGGTGATGGGGAGCGCGACTTTCAGGAGGACCATTTTGTTGGCTAGGAGGAGGGCTGGTGTGGGCGAGGGGGGGGGGGGGGGATGTGTCAGCCGTGAAAAAGCAGTGAGGGCACGTAGGATGGAATGAGACTTTCACATACCGGTAGAAGCAAACATGTAAAACGACACAGAGAGCACAATCGTCCTCGTACGCGGCTTCTCCTCCTTCCCCGCCGCCTTCAGCTTCTCATCATCATCATCGTGATGCTTCAGATTCACCTCGTACGCCGTGGACGCTTTCCCATCCGGGTGGAGATCGACGTCAATGACGCGCGAGTCCTCGTCGATGGAGCCGTCTAGTGTGCGTGCGGATGCGGAGCGGTCCCAGGGCTGGGGGTCCGTGTCGTGCACTGTGAGGGTGAGCGGGGTGGTGGACTCGGACTGGGAGAGTTTGTCGGCGGCCATGGTTGTGTAGGTGGCGTGTGTGTGTGGGAGGATAAGCTGGATGTGGGGTTTTGGCGAGAGCGGGTGGTGGAGCGGGATATGAGGGACTTGGGAAGGTGGGGTTTATGGTGCGCATGTTTTTGTATGGGAGGATTGGGTAATGCGAGGTGGAGGGGGGGGAGCGGGATGGACGGGTTTGACAGTTTTTTGTGCTGACGGCGGACGATACGCGCCGTCGAAATTGGGAATGGGCCGACTCGTGAGGGGGTTGGGCCGGCTCGGGCCTCACCCAAATGTACTGTACTGTACTGTACGCAAGGACGGTCCCATTCAAACGTGCGTTGCCCCGCCCCTCGAGAAATCACCAGAAACGGGGTACAGTAGAAGCGGTATGCAAGTAAGGCATCGTATCAGCATCGACCAAGGCCAACAGAAACACTTTTTCGCAAGCATTGTTCAAGGATTCATGAAGAACGAGAGTAGACACAGAGAGTGTGTATCCCACTGCTCCCTAACATACTCAAGCAGGAAAGAAGCATCTGCCCGCCGTTGCGTATATACAGTATATGGGGCTTACGGCGATTTGCCATCGCTACTGCCGTGTGTTGCTGCATGACGCGCAAGCAATAAACGCAATAAAGCAGACACGTGACTCCGGTGGCCGACGGGAGGGCAGGGCAAGAATGGCAGGGGACCTCCCTCGTTCTGGGAACCAAAACGACCAACCCCCCCAACCAACCCCCATCGGTGGAAATGATAAACGACCGGCAAGGAAAAGCCACCACGCGCACCAGCAGCAGGAGCACCACCCACGACCAGCTCCCTCTTTCGTCCCGCTCCATCACTGTCTGACCTGCGTTCTGGCATTCGCTATATAAATAAGTTGCGCGCTGCTAGGTGGGGTTGCTCACACGACGGAGCAGGGAGGGAGATGATGGACTCGCTAGCCGCGCCACCTGCCTCAAACTTAGCTCCTGGGCTCGGTCAGTCGCAGAGCATCACCGTTGATGCGTCCCACGAATTCACTCGCCCGGCAGACTGGACGCCCGACTGGGTACCCATTTCCTCACTCTCCACAGCCGCCAGGAACTCGCCGGTTCCACTTCATGAACAGCCGGCATCAGGTCAGGACTCTAACCTCGTGATTGTGCTCGACAACTCAGTACAGACGGCGTTGCTGGACCAAGCTTACACGGACACGAGACACAACATTAGCGGATTCCTCGGCGGCTTCTGGAAATCCGTTGCAATCGACCAACCCGGCGAGAAACCGCACTGGAAAGTCGTGTGCCATGTGACGACACTCTATGTTGCTGACCGGCAAGTTACTGAGCTTCTGAAGGGCTATTCAGCGGAAGATCCGACCTCGATCATCCACGCAGTAGCAAAGTTCAACGAGCTGGGACTCGAGTGCGTGGGATGGTTTCGGTCAAGCGACCCCGTCAAACCGCTACAGCCGACATGCCAAGATGTTGCGAAGCAGGCCTTCTTGCAAACTCTGATACCCGAGGGAGTCGGACTATTACTGTCTATAGCTTCCCTCAACAACCCAAATCGGTTGCAGCCACATATACCCCGCGCATCTCTATCTTCGCCGCTGATTGCCCCTCTCCATGCGTTCGTAGCCTTTCGAGCCTGCATGCCCACACCCGAGGGATTGCTGGAAACGGACAAACTGTATCCCCCATATCCGGAAAGAAATCCACTCCCTTTTTACCGCAATCTTGTTTACCATGTGGATCTGAGCACTATCCGCATCCCGATCGGTATCCGAAATGAAGAGTTCACGGCACCTGATGTATTTCGGGAAATGCATCGGTCGATGCAAGTGTCCCTAGAAGAGTCGAGACAGCTATATCTGGCGCAAGCGTCGGTTTATGGACCGGACTCGGCCCGGCGAATGTTTCTCGACGCAGGGTATGATGCCTTCCTGATGGACTTTTGGAAACGATCGGTTGTCGGTGCATTCAATGCGCTGGACCAGGAATACCAGACAGTGGCGTCGAAAACGAGTTGGATACAGGAGAGGATTGCAGAAACGATCAAAGAGCTGAGATCTCTCTCTGATGCAGCCGCGAAGGCTGGTGTCATCACCGACGGGACGCGAATCTCTTCCTCACCCGTCCCTGAAGCGGATCCGGACGCGATGGATGTGGACGCATCGGAAAACAACGCAAAACCAGCGTTCACGGTCCCGGATATCGAAGCAGTTCTGGAGGAGATTCGCGCCGTGAACGAAGGCCGGGCGTCCCCACTACGGCCGCAGGACGAAGCCATTTCCGCCTCCATTCAGAGAGTGGTGCTGAGCTTGGAGACCATCGCACCCGATCAGGTCGCCACGCGCATCCCTCGCCTGCCAGCGACCATCTCCCGTATGCGTGAAAGGGCGCTGTTTGAGGAAGAATACGAGTCCGTCAGGGATCGGCAGAAAAAGCGGGTCACAGGTCGAAAAGGAAACCAAGGGCGGAAACCTCGAGGAGGGAAAGATAAAGAGAAGGGTGGTGTCACCCGCAAGGATAAAGGAAAGAGTCGGGAGGGAACGATTATCCAAGATGGGCTTGAAAGGCGGCCGCTTGGGTCGGAGGAAGGCCCAGAGAGGCGAGAGTCGGGATTCTCGGGCATCGGGCCGCTTGGGCCTGATGACGAGGGTGCTGCTGGACCGGATGATGGGATGGAGGTGATGGATATTGTTGCGTCGCCTCACAAGGCGTACGGTCAACAGAATGCGGGGTTGAACAACCTGCTTAGCCGGTCTGTGGAGCTGTTGCAGCAGGTTGTCGTACCCTCGAACAGGCCTCACCCGGACCAAGAGTCGGCTACGACGTTAGGAGGTGGGGGCAAAAAGAGCCGACGGTCCTCAATATCGGGCGAGGGAACCGGTTCCTCTCGCGGTCGTCGGTCGAGTAAGCAAACAGCACGAGATGGACGACAAAGCGCGTCCCATTCATACGCAAAGTCAACGATGCAAGATTCCGCCCACCCGCCTGCATCATCCTCGAATTACGGTCATCGCCGGTCGTCATCCGTGTCGGCGTCCATGTCTGGTCATCCGAACGCTTTACAGGATCAACAAGTGCAAGGCTACTCTGCAGCTGATGCGCACCATCTTCAACAACAACAACAACTACAACAGCAGCAGCAGTCTTCGCAGCAACATGGAGCCCAGCAGGCGAATTTTGGGGCTATGATTGCGCCATTGGCTTTGTTGAGCCATTTGCAGAGTCAGTCGCTTGGATTCGCTTTTCGAGGTGCCACTCCGCCGGGCGGGGCCTCGGGAGGTGGGAGTTCACCGCCAGCGGGCAATGGGGGCAATGCGAACAATAACTCGTCGTCGGCGTCGTCGATGGATGCGCAGATGCAATCGGTGCCGGCTAGTATGCCTGCGTACGGATTGTTCTCGACAGCTACGCCGGCCGCAGCCGCAGCTGCTGCCGCCGCCGCCGCCGCGTCGGCGTCATATGTGAATCCGTATTTCGGACAACGGCGGCCGAGCTTGAGTTCGACCCCTTTGAACGCGTCTAGCAGTTCGCGGGGGGATACGAATTTCTCAACTAGCGGCAGCCCTGTGCTCGGCATCCCGCAAACAACCGGCAGTTCGCGAGATCATCCCTCCTCCGTTCCGTCTTCGGCGCCACAGTACGGGCCAGCACGGTACCTACCAGCCGGCTTCGCACCCTACAACGCCGGCCCGGTGCCGGAAGGTGCGACGTTGCATTACATCCCCGTGATGAATCCCGGCGCTGTGCAGCACGGACAGCACCCTCTGCAGCTCCATATGCAGCAGCAGCACGATCAAATGCAGCATCAGCATCGCCACATGACCCCTGGCTCGTCGCAACAACAGCAACACTTCGCCCACGGTAAGCAATCTGGACAAGGGCATCGAGAGCCATCGCAGCAACCACATCCCCAACAACAACAACCGCAACAGCAACAATCCTCAAACCACCCCTACGCCAGCACCTCCCGCAACGGCAGCGGATCCAACACCCCAAACCCACCCCCCGGCAACCCCTACGACCTCTCCTTCGGCCCCAGCCAGCGCTTCGCATACGGCACCAACGCCAACCAACCCCATCACCATCACCACCACCCACCCCAATCCCACTCGATGGAGAACGCGAATCGGAATGAGTCGATTTACGCGAACGCCATAGCCCCGCCGAGTATCATCCCGTCCGGAAACCCGGAGAGTAAACGTGGTGGTCCGGCGGCGTCGCAGGCGTACCCCCCACCGCCTATTTCGGCTATTCCGTCGATTTACGGGACGCATACCTCGTCTCCACAACCGCAACAACAACAGCAGCAGCAGCATTACGCACAACAACAACAACAAAACCAGCCGAATAGGCAGCCGTCCCCACGTCCTGCGGCGCCTGGGTCAGCCACGGATAGACCAGCCGCGTCGACGCGGAACTCGGTCACGTTGCCGAGTTTTAGGAGCTTGTTAGGTAGGTTGCATGATGATTGGCGGCATCCGGGGCAGCAGCAGGGTGGGGGGCAGAACGCTGCAGCGGCGAGCGGGGGAAGCTCGACGGGTGCGGGTGCAGGGCAGGGTGGTGAGGATGAGGGGAGTAAGTAGAGTTTGGGAGGGGGTTTGGACATAGGGTGGAGATGGGTGTTTTGCAAGCTGATTCTGCTTTTTTGTGCTTTTGGAGCCGGTTGGAGACGGGAAGCACTTGCGAGCTTTGTGGGCTGGCTTTTGAGCCGGCTGTCTGTTTTTGTAAATATGATTTGTTTGGTACACTCGGTTGGTTCTGGTCAAAGTTGCTCGTGATGGTGGATTTGCACATCGACACTCATGTCGTTACGGTGATTGAAACTCCGCTTTTGACGGCATGTCATTTTTTTTCGCTCTGATATCTTTTGAGGTGACCTTCCGTTGCAGACCCTCGAACAGCAACAGCAACATCGAGCTAGGTATGCTTTGACCCGCTCTTTTTTGGCTATGCATATTATATAAGGAAACCATAGGAAAATGTATCAAAAGCGTCAGTAACGAGCATTTGTACCGCTATTCCGAATCCGGGACACCTTAACAAAAATGCCACACAAAGAGCTTCGCATCCCAACATCCCACTCACCGCACTCCGCCATCAAACATACCCTACTCGCCAACAAACCCCACCCGCCAACCCTGCACACCCTCCCACCAGAACTCATCCGCCACATCCTCTCCTTCACCCTCGACCACCCCACATCCGGTCCCAACACCACCCTTCGGCAAATGCTAGCGACGAGCAATGCATTGTTCGAGACGTATCGTCGTGATAGAGTCGTGACGGACTGCGTGGCGGTCGTGCTTGCCGAGCGGGCCGTTGGAATCATGTCGCGGAATCGCACCGCATGTACAAAGTCTGCCACCAAAGCATCGACATCGAAACCACCCACGACCTCTGAGACGGTCGCGGAAGACATACTGCTGGATCTGGCCCGCGAGTTGCGTGTCGCGTGCGTTGATGCTATGATCCAGCGGATCGGGGAGGGCGATGGGCGGGCAAGAGGGGTTGTGAAGATGTTGGGGAACTATAGGGGGATGGCGGTGGGGCTGATGGGCACCTCGGAGGGGGATTGGTGACGGCGGAGATAGAGGAGGGAGGTTCCATGGGTGTTGAGACATCTTTTGGCGGAATTGTGGAGCGGGAATGTATACAGCGGGACTGTTTAATACTGTACATCAGAACGAAACTCGCATCAAGACGAGGGCTCGATGTTTGACGAAGCAACTGATTGCGACCGATACATTTTGTATGAGGCTGTGTGGATGGAACGAGTAACAAGGACATTGCGACACTTGAAGCATGTGGATTTTTAGCCCCCCCTGTCAAATTGGAGAGTGCGTTGCGCTGTTCATGTTCAATGCCGGAGTCAAACCGCAAATTCGCGACTTCCACAAGACCCGATCAACGATTTTTCATACGTGAAGTCTTATATTTTTCGAAACGGTACATGCCAAACCGCCTTTCCAACATACAAACACACAAGCATTGGGGTGCCAAGTTGATAGCAACAAGTCCCTTGGGAATGGCAAAACTATACGCAAAGAAAAGCACAAAAAGGGGAGACTCTAGGAGTCCAGGTGTGAAATACAAGGCCAAAAAAACAGTCTGATAAATATAGGTCCGTACGAGGTGGGTTGTATGTGGCAATAAGAGTTGGGTGCGACGATGCTTGGGCGATGTAGTGTGTGTATAATGTCGCCGGCGTGTCGTTTTATCATCGGAATGTCATTGCGCTGATCACCACCGATGCGGAATCTCATCATCATGCGTAAACCTCGCCCAGATCTCCAGCTGCTCACACTGCTTGAGGTACGCATCCGTGTCCTGCCCGGGGGCACACGCGAGCTGGTAGCACAGCGACAGCGTTGGGGATTTGAGGCACTCGGTGTAGGTTTCGGCGGTTGCGCAGGTGGCCCATGCGTGTTCGCGGCAGAGGGCGCAGTGGGTTCCGCAGACGCCGGAGGTCGCGGTGCTGGTGGATTGCGCGGTGCATGTGCCCGTTGCGGATTCGGTGGTGGTTACGGTGACGGTGACGGCTGTGCAGGGTTCGCCGGGGGTGACGGGCAGGCCGGTGACTTGGGATGGGACGGGTGGGGAGATGAAGGTGAGGGTGCCTGTGGAGGTTGATGTGACGGTGTCGATGGGGAATTCAGTCGCCTGGCTTGGCTCAAAGGTGACGGGCAGACCGGTGACGTGGGCTGGAGGGGAGATCCAGGTCAGGGTACCGGTGAAGAGGGATGTTTCGGTCTCGATGGTCCCGGGTTCTTGACTGGGCTGGACCAGAGTCACGGGCAAGCCGGTGACTTGAGATGGCGATCCGGGAATGCCAATGACTGTCGTGGAGACTTCGACGATGGTCGTCGCCGGTTTAGCCGTGTTTGTTTCCGGGAGGGGCTCGCCGGTGGTGGGTACGGAAGCGGTGGACGGGATGACAATCACATCGGTGGTGCTTGGCTGAACAACGACGACTGTGGTCTCGACAATGACGACTACGCTTGTGACTTCTCCGCCGGAGGTGACAGTCTGCGTTGCCGAAGCGGAAGGATGCTCGATATTGGTAGTAGTGACGCTGGGAGATTCCGTAGGCCTGCTTGTAACCGTGCTACTAGACGTGCTTGTAGACGTAGTGGTAGTCGTGATGGTCGTGGTTACATCAGGCTGGCCACCAGGGCAGACCGGGGGTTCGAGCGAAGTGGTCAAGTTGAACACGAGAGCTTCGTCGACCAAGCTGAAGGCGGGTGTGAAGGAAGGTCCGAAGAACGAGCCGCTTGCGCCGGGAAAAGGCTGGAAGACCAGGCTCAATGGAGCAGGGAGAGCGCTGCCTTCGAAAGTGAGGACAAGGTTGTAGGGCTGCTTCTCGAAGATGAGACCGGATTGGAGACCGCAGAAGTCGAAGAAGAGTTGATCGCCCTCCGAACTGGAATAGAAAGGAAACGAAAAGGCATGATTGTTAGTAAACTGCATACACAAACCCCACGCAACAAAAGCACTTCACAAAACTTACAGCGTATTAGCAGCAGCAACCGGTGTCGCATTCCCCGCAAAGATCTGACTCTGTTCCACAGCACCATCAAAAACCGCCACAGACGCGTTGGCGCTAACCGAGAACGGCAACGGGGTCATGAAAAACGAAAGCGAGCACAGCGCGCCCGTGGTCGGGGCAATGAAGCCTTGCAGCCACGCGTCGCCGATCTGGAGCAGGTTGCGTGTGTAGGTGTCGTTGCGCGTGCCGGTCCCGTAGATGGCGCCGCAGACCGTTGCGCGTTGCGGACGGGTGGATTGGCGCGCGGTGAGGTCGTTGGCGTGACGTGGGTTTGACGGGAGCGAGAGTGTGGTAGAGGAGAAGGCGAGGAGGAGGGCTAGGATGGTGGTGAAGGATGTAGGATGGCGCATCGTGCAGACGTGTTTTTTGGAAACGTTTGAATAGAGATCTTGATCGACGAGAAAAGGTTTCTCGCGTTATGTGAAAGAGTAGCGTGCGTAGGTACGTGTAGTGGTCGTCGGATAGCACGTAAGGTGTCAAGTAAAGTACAGCAATATAGAACAGAGTTGGCAATGTACGCGAAATTTCCGAAAAAGACAAGTTGCGAAGAGAGGGAGAACGCAACAACGACGTCTTATATACCGGGCGGGAACCTCAGACAAACAACGTTCGGGGAATGCGCGCGCTGAGGGAGGGTAGCGCCAGATCTGATGCTGCACAACAAAGCTTCGCCGCGGGATGACAGATGCGAAATCAACGCCGAGACCTTGCAGCGCCTGACCAGTCTACGTCAGCTACGGGACGGTGGACCCCTCTGGTCGTTTTCATATGGGCATACCACGGCTGCATGTGCATGTGGGTTTACGTAGTCAGTCCGGGAAGGTCTGGGCGCCGGGGGGATGACTGGAGGGGTATCAAACTGACAGTAGGAGCTTAGGACCCCGTATCCGTAAGCTTGTTTGTAGCTGTGGTAAGACTAAGCCTGTGCGGGTTACGAAGTTCCGGGGAGACGGGAAAGAAGAAAGTTGACGGGAGCGCGTGTTGCGGAGCTGATTAGGTAAGGCGCGTTTTTCCAATGGGGAGAAGCAGACACTTCTTTTTGGCGCTGGGACTCTGTTTCGTAATGCTAGGTGGATATAGAACACCCCTCTTCCGACTCAAGCTGGATGGATGATCTAAGGGCTCTAGGGCTACGTCAACCCAGCATCGTACTGGTTTTACCACGGATGCGGGCCTGACACGATAGTTTGTCTGACAGTATTCCAGCGTCTCGACCATTGTCGACGTCCGACTAACCATATGCGATGCATGAACTAAGTCAAATTACGTTGTACACCAGTGCACACCGCAGGACTTCCAATGTACACCCGGCTGGGATAGCAATCATTATGTGTGAGATCCAAGTTCCCGCTCGTTCCGTTGAGAACAATGCCAGCGAGGCAAAACCTTCACGATTGGTCCGCGAATGCCATCGGGTCGACTCGGAAGAAGGCACGTATGCCCCTCAGGAGGTGTGAAATGCGATGTGCAGCGTTGGCATTAATCGCATTGGCAACGCATCAGTACAAACCGAAATCACATTTGACATGCAGGATTTGACGTACCACTCATCAATGAATTAGCGGCTCGGTGCCCTCGCTTCGCTCCATGCAAATCTTCACAATCTTGCTCCCCGCCTTTGCGCAACGGATCAAAGAGAGGCGCTCGCTTTGCTCACCCACCTCTTCGGGCTCTCGGGCCTCCCCAAGAGCAGCCTTCCGGCTTTCCGAGACACTCCAGCGACACTGCTATTCGAGACACAATATCGGTCATCATATAGTGAAATGCTTGACCCTACCAAGGGCGGAATGAATGCCAATACAGCAGTGCTCCCACGATTCAGATGTGCTTTTCAGGAGGTTGTTGCGAACGGTGGGTGGAATTTGGAAGCCATGCTGGTAAAGGGCACCGCAATAATATCCATGATCCATGTTGAAATTCAATAAATATCGTGCATCGCATCACTTCCAAGAGAAGTATAACGGGGAATGGCACTGTCGGGTAGATAAGCCGTTCATGAGGAAATTGGCACTTCTTCAGACTGCCGGAGGCGGAGGTGGCAGCCATAGGCAGCATCCGACCCACAGGCACAACTGCATCACATCGCTCACCATCCAAAACAACCCCTCCAGAACATAGAGTTACAAGTGTATTCATTTCAAACCAGGCAGTTCAAAAACGCCTTTTACACAAAGGGAGCCGGGAGGTTTTAGAAACAAAAGGGGAAAGAGAGGCAAGGGAAAACATACAAGACACATTATCGATTTTCCGATGGGATCTATAAGAAGGGAAGGGGAGGGAATGCTAAACACACGTATATGCGTTTGACCCCCACATGATGGGTGATTCGGAAGGGTTTGACAAGGAAAGGAGATTTGCTGAGTTCGGTGAGGAGGTAAAGAAAGGCTAGAATGTCGCGCTTCATGCCTTCTTGGTCTTCTTCGCAGCAGCCTTTTCCGGTTTCTCTGCGGCCTTCCGCTTCTTGTCGTTGATGGCAGCAGGGGCGGCCTTTTCCTTGGGGGCGGCCTTTTCCTTGGGAGCGGCCCGTTCCTTCGGGGGACCCCTTTCCTTCTTCTCCGTGGGAGCGGCCTTTTCCTTCGGGGCAGCCTTCACCTTCTTCTCCTTAGGTGCAGCCTTCTCCTTCTTCTCCTTAGGTGCAGCCTTTTCCTTGTTTTCCTTAGGTGCCGCCTTTTCCTTCTTCTCCTTCGTGCTGCTCTTCTTTTCGGAAGGTACCGGCGACTTGGCCTTGGCGGGAGATTTGGACTTGGCGGGAGATTTGGACTTAGCCGGGGATTTGGCTACCGCCGCCTTCTCCTTCTTGCTGTCCGCTACCTTGCGAGCCGTGGTAGTCTTGCCCGCGGGGGACGCAGCAGCCTTTGCAGACTTCTTCTTCGTATCCGAGGTGGCCTTGGCAGCCTTTTTGGGCGACTTGGCGGGGGATTTGGTAGGGGATTTGACGGATTTGGCGGCTGAAGCGGCGTCTTTCTCCGCCTTGGGCTTTGCGGCGGCCGCGGCATCCTTCTTGGCTTTGGCAGTGGTGGTAGCCGAGGACGAAGGGGTGGAGCTCGACTTTTTCTTAGTCTTATCGGTCTTGGATTTGGCGGAGGAGCTGGACTTGACCTTTTTGGCATCCTTCGCCTCCTTCTTCGCCTTGGCTAAGAGCTCTGGGTTGAGCTTGACCGGACCTGAGGCACCCTTAGGTTGCAGGAAATCGCCGTTCTTGACGCCGGATTTGATGGCCTTATTGATGAAATGCTCATGTTGCTCGCTCAACTTCTATGGGAAGGAAGGATGAGGTGTTGAAGAAGTACTCCTAGAAGTGCAGATTTGGGTAAAGCCAGGCAAGTACCTTGAAGTTTGCAAGAATGTACTTCTTGATAGCCTGACGTGAAGATCCGCCCCTTTCGTGCTACGAGGGCGAGATAAGTAAAGGAGTCGTGGTTCAGTTTCGAGGTCCCAGTGGATCATTGACTATCGACGTCCATCGTGCTAGAGCCGAGTATATCCACCGAGTGGGTTGCCTGCCAAGCAAGTCCGCTCCCACGCGTCTAACATGCGCAGATGACGATGGCAAGTCGGCCGACCTAGGCACCAGGCTGCCACTGAATGCAACGTCCTCCACAATGAATTCCACAACCACCCCCTGCCCAGACGCGAAGGCTTTTTGCAGAGACGGAGGTCTCGTGTCCGAAATTCAAGATCCAACGGAGTGGCGAGAAAACACGGGAACGTACCAGTTCGCCAATTGCGGTGCCGACCATTTCCTTGAACTTCGGGTGTGCGGCGGCGGTAGCGGAGGTAGACTTCTTCTTCTCGGCACTAGTAGCGGCGGCTTTGGTCTTGGGGGATTTTGCTTTGGTAGCCTTCTTCTCTTTCTTTGCGCCCGCCTTCGGACTTTGTGTGTTTTCCGCCTCTTCATCGTGAGATTGGTCCGCGTCCTCGTGGTCCTCATCAGCGCCTGAAGTTTCCTCCTCGTGGTCGCTGGTAGCGGGGTGGTCCTTGCTTTCCGTGTCCGACATGCTGCTGTAGGGTTCGGGTGATGGGGCGGGGTTGAGGTTTCCTTGGGAGATCGGTTTGGGGTTTGTGTGGAGGGGGAAAGAAGAAAAGCCAGGCACGGTTGTCCGCCGCGGCCAGAGATATCGCGGAGGGAATCCGACAAGGGCGTGTCCGAAAGGAGCAGGGAGCGCGTTTCTCTGTCTGCATCTCCGCCGCCTGTCTTTGAACCCCATATGCAGTTGCAATGCACCCTCATGGATTACTGGTATGAACATGTGCCCTGCTGCTTGATCGGCCTGTTTGAAGCCACCGGCTTGGGGCGTCTAGAGGATGTGGGCTGGAAGTACACTCAGGTGAGGAGCCGCGGCCGAAGACCGAAGTCAGAGCTCTTCGCCTCTCATGCCGCTTTCTACAAGTGACGAGGGGAACACAAGTATGTACACCTTATTTGCCAAGTTCGAGAGCCTGTGTCGGAAAAGATGCATGCGTTGTTGAGTAGGGCCTCTTCACGCATCCAGTAAAGGAATCCGGTTTGTCCTTAGAGCCGGACTGAGGTAAACCTCCTGATCAGGCTCCCTGAAACGGCCCACTAGCCGGGAAAAGAACAGCAGTAGGCCATTCATATATCGCTGGCCAGATCATAGAGGGGAGTTCGCCCATACGGCCTTCGAAATTGGTCTGAAATGCCTTCGGTGGCACTGTCAGATGTTAAATGCTGTCATTCCCAGTAAAATCGTTCAATTAAACCACTCAAAATGGGACACGTGCCGCCGCTGTCTGCATTTTAATTCGACGTACATCGCGAGCCAATGGAAGCAGCCAATATTGAACTGCCTCTTCCGATACGCTTATAGCCAACCCGTAAGGTATGTAAGACGACACCGCTCAGTACCCCACGACACACGAACGACGACGACAGCAGAACGTACGGCTCAGAACGATATGCGACATGCCCGATTTCACGACCGATGGATGGATGGATGGATGGATCGGTGGATGGATGGACTGTCATGGCGAATTGTCGGCTTGAAGGAATTGAACTCAATAATGGAGGAAGTCATGGGATAAGATGGTGGTGGATACTGGGAGGATTGTCACCAGCGGACGAAATAGAGAGAAGGACAATCGTCGAGAGACATAGGAGAGGGAATCTATGCGGAATTGGAACGACGAATGGCGAAGTGCTCGACGAATTCCGGTTATTGATCGACTGTTCGTGTGTCGCTCTCATTTAGATCCGGAACCATGGCTGACAGTTGGAACAACGACGAGGCTGTTGCCGTCGAGCAAACGGGTCTTGTTACCCTCTTCAACAAGGTATGGAATGAGGAACACGGTTGGGAATTCCTCTTTTGGACTGGTGGTCTGACAAAAGTCTTCCTCTTTACAGTGGAGGTAGGCGTCATGGGAGACAGGAGGCCTGAAGCAGCGTGGGCTTTGGGAATGGGGTTGGGAAAGAGTTGGGAATTGTGGATGCTGATTGTATTGTGGATTCTCTTCAATAGCTACGAGGATGTCGAGGTCCGCGACATGTCCCTCCAGGTGTGTACTCTGGGTTTGCAGAAAAGCGAGTGCGATGGAGGAGAAGTTCTTCCGGACGAGGATCGTGGCATTCGGAGATATGAGGGGCTGTTACGAGGAAGTCGAAATTGACCGCTGGACTTCCTGCTTCACAATAGGACTACATGATGGTCAAGCAACACCCCGTGTACTCGCCCCACACCGCCGGCAGGTACCAACAGAAGCGTTTCCGTAAGGCTCAGGTACGTTTCGAAGAGGAAACTAGACTTCACCCTTTTCCCCACGAAAAAATGTCTAAACAACGTCCATCGCTCTACAGTGCCCCATCGTTGAGCGCCTCTCCAACTCCCTGATGATGCACGGTCGCAACAACGGAAAGAAGCTGATGACCATCCGTATTGTCAAGCACGCTTTCGAGATCATCCACCTCCTCACCGACCAGAACCCCCTCCAAGTCCTTGTCGACGCCATCATCAACACCGGACCCCGTGAAGACTCTACCCGTATCGGATCCCAGGGTACCGTCCGTCGTCAGGCCGTCGATGTGTCTCCCCTCCGCAGGGTGAACCAGGCCATCTGGCTCTTGACCACCGGTGCTCGTGAGGCTGCTTTCCGTAACGTCAAGACCATCGCTGAGTGCCTGGCTGACGAGCTCATTAACGCCGCCAAGGGTTCTTCCAACTCTTACGCCATTAAGAAGAAGGTATGCATCGATCTTTCTTTGAATGTGGAACAGAGTGTGGAAAGGGTTGGGGCAAAATGGGGGACGGCACCAAACACTGGGAAGGAGAAAAACGGATGGCTTGTGGTGGGCGGGAGGAACACGCTTGGCCAACTGCAATAGGTTTTATCGGAATGAGTCGCTGCAAACGACTGCATGATCATCCACGTTTCGAGTATACTATCTATTTCTGGTCGCTGACGATGGTTTTCTCTCTTCCTCTCTTTTCATCTCACAGGACGAGCTTGAGCGTGTTGCCAAGTCCAACCGTTAAAGAACTCGGCCTTCATTGGGCAGATTTTTCATACACAAGACGGGCACACATGCGATCGTCGATGGTTCGCGTGGTGTCTGGCCGGGGGGGCCGGGCGGCGGGACAGATGGAAGAGGCTCCTTTTTTTCGTCTCTGCTCGCGTTGTTCCTTGTTGTTCCACACAAAATATACATAGGTTCCTTGATCAACATATTTTGAGTGGCTCGTCATTGCTCGGTGTCGGAAGTGGGCACGGATTTGGAGTAAACGCTGGCCGCATCCCCAGGCTTTTGTGTCTTTGACACGTACAGTACAAGGGCATGTACTGGGATTATGTAGGGACTTGCGGACCTGCGGTTCAACGGACGAGTGAGCAGAAGGACCATGAACCGGTTTTTTAGGCCATGACGCAGTTCTGTGGTGCCCATGGGAACAGCCGGCTCCACATCCAGAGTATGATCTCCGAAGGAGGCAAAGGAGCAACCAGCGAGCAACCAGCGTGACCAGCGAGAAACCAGCTCTCGAAGACGAGTCGTCCATCGCCCATATCCCATATGCGATCGCCACCATCAACAGCAAGAGCAACGTCAATGTAGAAAATTGAGGAGCTTTCTCTATTCTGAGCTCCCCGGCATATACAGACAGTTGTATATATACAGCGAACATATTTCCTTACAACGAGCATCAGACGGGAACTCAAGGCTAAGGTGAACTCAAGATCAAGTGGGATACACGTTGTAATAGGGCGACTACTCTAGTTTCGTCAATGATCTCAGTTTCCAGATTCCACATCTTCCTCGTCCCTCTTGCGCTTGTCGGTGCGAGCTGGAGTCGATGCAGAGGCTGAGACTTTGTCCGAGATCGCTGGAAGCCACTCAGTCGAGGTACTGTACTGTCGGACGAAGCGCGAGTTTGAGCTGCCGAACCCGAATTGCCTTCGACAGTCAGCGTGGGCTTGTCAGCAGCTGCGACCGAATCGAAAGTCGCCTGTGCCTCAGCGCGGTGTAGGTTTTCATTGTGGCCAATACAGAATTCCAACAATCGATCGCGAGCAGCCTCGTCGCCAATCTGCATGTAAGGATCGACATACCCCTTCTCGATCCCCGCCTGTTCCAATACCTCAGGACGGTAGTGCGGAGCCAGATCCTCGGCCATCTCAAAGTCTCTGTCCCACAGGATGCGATCGACGACATTAAGTCTCTATGGCCCCCGTCCACTTTTCCAGATCACTGCAGCCTTTGGTCGTCTTCGTCATCGGAGTCGCGATACTCTTCAAGGACATCCTTTTTGATTTCACGCTTTAGCGTCAGTTCTTCGAGCACCCTCTCTTACTCGTTCTTCTTCCTTCGCGCCAGCTTGTGCTGAAGGTAGCGGTAAACGTATAGTAGATGGCGGATACGTTCGTAGCGCGGTTCTCCAAGTCGTGTCTCTGATTCGCTTTTGGGGTCCGCTGGTCGCCGAAGCTTATATTGTACGCGCGGGTGGCTGTGCACTCAATGAATACCTGGTGCAACGCGTCTCTCGCGCGACCGTCATAATAGACAGTTTATACAGCCCGCGACGACAACGAGTTCGCCGTTAAAACGAGTAGCCCGGGAATCGGGTACTCGTTCTCGTCGTAACGTTTATACAACCCGTCTCAAGCTTGCAACGAGTAGTAGCGGTACAGTAGATCATTGATGAGCAGTTCTCAAATATGCTCAAAAATACCACCAGCAGAGAAGCGAGAATAAGGACTGTGGATCACCGCTGGAAGCTGCAGGACCTCTACCAGCATGAGGAATTCTGAACAGCGGAAGCTGAAAAATTGTCAAAACTGCACCTCATCCATGGTTTCCCAGCGCAAACGGTGGTGGGGAGGGTCGTGGAAAGCAGTCTGGCGATGCCTGAGATGATGGTAATATAGGAGAATAAAGTTTCTACGGTCGTCCATGTCAAAATGTTGAAATGCTGCTGGAAATGGTGAAATGGGCAACTCGTTGGAAGGCAACGAGTACAGTAGGTGGCCAGATATCTGGGTACGACGGGTTCGCCAAGCCTCCGTGTGCAACCCACAAGTCAACGACAAGGTGCCGTCAATTTGCGTACTTCTTCAGATGGGCAGGCAGGCCGGCGACTTTTGCTGGTGGCTATGGTCGGGATGATGTGTCCTCGTCGCGTCGTACCCAGATATCTGGCCACCTACTGTAGTGGAACTGCTACTCGTTCGCACGGAAGGGGCTACTCGTTCTACCGGATTGCTGGGCCCGCACCAAATTCTCGGGTTGCCACTACTCGTTCCCGCCACCGTCCACAACGACTTGTATAAACTGTCTAATCTCCGCCTGCACGTTCAGCCCCGTCCTCTCGGGGCCGATATAAAAGCAGCGGCCTTGCTCTTCGCGTCGACAGGATTGTTGAAAGCTGCTCTCAAGGAGAAGTCCTTCATGGGCGCTCTAAATGTCACTGAGATCTCAAGGCAAAGTAACCGTGGACCCGGGAGCTACTCTCTTCATTGAGGTAGAGAAACCGGTTTTTACCAAGAAAGGCCGAAACACATGATGTGAACGGTATGATGCTGCTCCATATCCGGCCTTGTTGCAATCCCTCCGTTGGAATTGGGAACTTGGTGCGATGCCTGCGTTTCCAATGCCCAACGCAGGCGCGTATGTGCAGTGTCGCCGGCTCCCGCAATCGCAGCTTCCTAAACGCGTTGGGGAAGTGACGCTAACGAGCGCCACCGACTCTCGCCTACTTGTCTATAAACGATCTTGCTTGTGGCAGTCGGTCGACCGCACAGGTTGCTTGGCTCTTCCGGCGTCGGAATGGTTGAATAAGTGATGTTCGAAACTCGACGACGTTCGGGCGGGTATACTTCCGCTTTCATGCTGCGTTACATGTAAGATGGAGAACAAAATGCAAGAGAGAGACCCCCTTGTAATGCAGTTCAAAGCCGCATATGGGGTATATTGTCCATATCGCTCACGAGACCAGACAAAGAAATATGTAACGGTGCGAAGAAACACCTATACTGGCCTCTCCCGCCCTGCATCCATCACAACAGGACCGACACGCCGTTAGTGCTCATGAATCCCGGTTTCCTCATCCGTGGGCATCCGCATATCTACGATGTATGTTCTAAAGGGCGTTCGCCTGAGTACCCTTTTTCTTACAGGTGGCATCCTCATACGCCGAAATGCTGCCAGTGGAATATGTGGCGTAGGTGGGGATGCACGACCTGCACGTCGCGGTTGTGCGTCGGTGCGCTCTGTGCGTGTTCGCATGGACGCCACAGGTTTCCGCATGGCTGGAGGATGGCGAAGGAAGTGCCAAATCATCCCGGCGTGGCATCTTGTGATTGCAGAGAACAAACCAGCCAGCGTCTCGCTTCGTGATGGCCCGACCATCCGCTGCTCTGAAGTTTTCCGCTGGGCCGTCGCGCAAGCAGGCAGAGAGATGCCGTGGCGATCCAAAAACTCCCACACCGTTCCGCTGAGGCTTCCTGAGCCGTCGTCCGGACGGTTTTGCGCAGATCCGACTCTAGCGGGGATGAAAATCCATTCGTGACCTACCCCCAAACTCATCTTTCACCGACTTCCCAAAATTCACTCCAAGCCCCGCCTCAGACCCCCGCCAACGCATGCTCTATCTCCCCAACAAGCCCCCCAAGCTCCTCCGCAAATCGTCCAAGCTCAGCCTTGTTCACCCTTCTCGTCTCGCGCACTACCGCCAGCCGCGCGCGCATCGTGCTGTTGAGCATGTGCAGATCTGCCAGCTGCAGCGCTTGCTTCAGTTCTGTTGTTAGCGTCAGGAGGGATTGGGTTGCGGTTACCTGCGAGGAGGTAGTGTTAGCAGTGTACATCGTGGGAATGCCTCGTAAGAGGTTTCTAACGTACGATGTTAGCCGCTGCGCCTTCCATCGCCTGACGCTCCTGCGCTATCCGGTACCGGTCCTTGGCCTCCATTTCCCCTCCTGCGTCGCCCACCGGGACTGGTTGCCGTAACTATTTGCCATGGAAGACACACAGTGAAATTAGGTATAGGTTGAGTGCTTCCTCATTAAGTGACAGAAGAACAGCAGGCTGGTGTATTTCTAGAGAACTCCAAGTTGCACTGCTTCAACTTACAGTGCCGGAAGCGATTATTTGCGTCAGACTTTTCAGAAGCACGTCAATGTCCGCGTCGAGACGGGCATTGAGCGAGGCTTCCGTGGCGTTGGCGGACGATGTGGGCGCTGACGATGAAGGTGCTAGTGACATGGCTGCTGGCCTATTGAGTGAAGCCCCCTATGTTGTTCCAGCGTCGGTTGTTGGTTGTCGTCGGCTGTGTTCGCCTGGGGAAAACAGGGAAGCTGGGATGGATTATCCCCACGCGTCTCCTTCCTCGTTTCGTTTGACGTTTCCGGCAACCCAGCGTGGGCCATCTCATCAGGAACACCAGAAGGGACCGCCACCATGACCACGCCTAACCCCACCGTCTACCTCATCGGCCTCCCCAGCGAGCACCCCGCCGTCCCCGAAAACATGCGCGAACAAGTCGCAACCAGCCTCGCCCAAGTCAAAAAATCACTCACCTCACCCAACATCCACCTCACCTACCGCTTCATCCCCGTAACCCCCGACGCCAACGCCACAGACCTCAAACGCGAGCTCGCTGCAAACCGTCCGGACGCGGTCATAATCGGCGCCGGCATCAGGATGAACCCGCAGCTTAATTTGTGGTTTGAGGAGATTGTGGCGGTGATTCAGGATGTGAAGCCGTCGTGCAGGATCTTGTTTAATACGAGCCCGACGTCGACTGTGGATGCGGCTAGGCGCGCGTTTCCGAATGCTTTCAAGCAGTGATACGTAGGAGAGGAAGGCCGGGAAGAAATAGAATGGGGAGGAATATGTAGAGCCGGATGAACGTCCCCTATACAGAGTTATACCCCATCTTCATTGGCTCTCAGGCAACTTGTTTTCTTTTGTACATAGGTAAATACGACCGCAAGCGTGCATGACTGAGCCTGCGAGCCCTGAGCTGGGAGGAGGGGGATAGAAGTGTGCAAATACGGTGTCATGCCGTTTACTGGACTGCAACACGCAAGCCTGAGTCTGGTGTGGAGGACGAGCGGAATACGCCGGCATCCATCGCACTCAGGGAGGCTTCTGAGGTGTCGAGCGTGGCCGTCTTTTCCCTCTGGGCATGACGAGAGATCAGCGTCTTCCCCCATCCTTCACTGTGAAAGCATCGCCTTCCGGCTCGTTCGAGTTCAATCCTTCGTGGGATGCGCTTCATGACTAAGAAGCCGAGCTCACATCCCACGGGCTTCGGATATCAGATATCCTTCGGATCGGATAGTTGGCGAAGCATCTGGGTTACTGATTCAGTGGGATATCTGTTAGCCCGCAGGGGAGATACAGTGCAGATATCCGGCATTTCGTGGGATAGGGACATTTGGATGCTTGCCAAAGAATCGACCCCAGCAAAGGAAGTTGCCTTCACGCGCATCTTCAGGCCAACGAAGAGAGGAATCCTTGGCTATGCAGCGTAAGACCTATGAGAAGAACGAGGCGAGAGTGGGACTCGATTCATGTGGTCTACCCGCCTGAATTTGGCGATCTCTCCCCGACCCCGCGATTCGACACGTCCAAAACTCCTTCACAATGTCGTAAGTGTCTCGTAGTAAGATGTACGATATGCAAGTGCTGCTAATCTGATTCTGTCTACTCTTCTACTTGCACAGCTCTATTATGATCATGTAAGCATCGCACATATGAGGTTCGAATCTTACTCCAGGACATCCAAGTATGGCCAAAGTCTGTATGATGACCGGTCTCCTCTTCCGTTTAGAGAGAAGAAACTCTGAGAACAACTCAGGGTAAATGAGTGCAAACTGCTGTATAGCCTTTGGGCTATCAGCTCCATCAACTGCTTTTCTCGCCTCGTCCTCGGTGCATGGCTCGTCGAGAAAGCCCGGTTCTACCCTGTCTGGCTTCACAAAATGTCCTTCTTTGTAGTGTACTCCTTCTTCCTCCATGGTAGGTGCAAGCTCCGGAAGGTAAGGCCCAGGATCTTGATACCGAGCCATCAGGTTGAGTATCTCCTCTGATGATCTCTTCACGGCCGTTTTGAAGAAGAACTCGTCTGCATCCGATGCACGGTGTCGCAAAAGAAATTCCAAGACCAGATGATCGTTATTGGTCAGCGCTGACCAGTACAAAGCTAGCGTTTCTGGTAACACGCCGGCTTCCAGTAGTATGTTGAGCACGCAGCAGTTAGTCTGGTGTTGGCCGATATAGAACTCCGGCCATCCTTCTATGTCGGGATGGAGCGAGAGGATACGCTTCACCGAGGGGATATCGTCCTTAGCCTGTAAATACTGAACGATATCGAGGCGACTGCTGGGAAGATTGTCGGACATGGTTGGGGGCGATGATAATCTGGGTTCAGTCGAGTGGACGAACCTCCTCGGGATGGGTCGTATGAGGGAGTTCCTTTCATAGCACAAGTTCGTTGCGGAAAAGGAAAACGACAGAAAATTGAAGACGAGCAGATAGAAAATGATAGATACATACGACTGGAAGAAAGTGAGAAGGTGAATCTGAAAGTGCATGGAGAAGAAGCGACAATGAAAGGAACGCGTGATTTGGTAAGCGAGCCCTGTCACCAACAAGAGGCGCCTCCGACCGACCAAATAAATAGCACCCCATTCCCGCCGAGAATCGACCTCCTTCACTCCTATTTCACAACCACCATCCCAAGTAAGTAATCACCCTTGTGTGTACAGGGTAACAATGTTGTGCATTGGCTGGTTCTGACCAGACCTGTTTTCTGTTCTGCTTCCTCTCAATGTCGATGTAGAGGTTATTTGGTCTAGGGAGAATTGGCACGCGTTCTTATAATAGAAGCGGGGCAGCGGGGCAGCGGAGTTTGGTTATCAAAAGACGCGTTGAACTGGCAAAACGCGTAAGCTCCCCCAAAACGAGCCATATGCCCATTCGCGTCCGGACTTGAGGGGCATGACTGGGGCATTCTACATGTACTTGTGCTGCATTCTAGGTGCTTGAGCAGTCGGAGTATTTGTACTTCGGCCGATCGAGGTAAAAACTGTTTTGCCAAAGGGTCAGTGAATCGCCCAATACCCTGTGCACCGAACCTGCAGTGCCACGCTGAAGGTTCGGGGAATTCCTCCTGCCTTCAGCGAGCTGACTGGTTGAGAACTCGGCCTGCTGCCGCATACTGCGATCAAGGTGGGGATGAGTTGCGATTGCCAGGCGCTGGCACTAGCAATCCCGTTCTCTTTTGGAAAGGCCACAGCACGCGCCTTAATTTTCAGGGGTACTGGCAGAGACCAGAGTCTTCAGGCACCCTCAGCGTTTCATGCTGTCGGAATATGCAACACGATTTAAAAATTATGATTCAACCCAGACTTCTGGACGCGTTCGCCAAAACATATCGGAAACCGTTGAAATGGGGTTGATGACGGTTTCCGGGAACTCGTAAAAACTGCGGCCAGGCGAGGTGCACGACGCGAAAGAAGGGAAGGTGTTGAAGTAGGAGGGAGGGAGCACTGTGTTAGCAGTTGGAACCGTTCAATATAGTTGCTTTCGTCGCGGGCATATCGGCGGAATGGCGCTTGTCTGCATGCGATCGAGCCTACTTACAAGGAAGATGACCAAACAAAATACACAACGAACAAACCAAGAATCGGAAGGCAAGCCAGGTAGTGAGAGACAGACATCCACCCGGTTGGTGAAGTCCGAGTATACCGTTTTGAGGTAGATGGAGGAGCTGCAACAGACTTCCTACAGATCAAAAAAAAAAGTGGAAGAGCAACAATCGGGCGCCGGCTCTTTTTATACCAGTGTGAGAGCGTCAGACATAATATCACTGGACTTTAGCTGAAGCATGCAGAGTTGAGCCCGAGAATCCGACATAGGAAAAGGGGACGGTCCTGATCGTGAAATAAACGGTTATGGGGGAAAACGCGTATCGCGTAAAGGTTACGTTCTGACGCGTGTTTGATAAGCAGCTGAGCGACGCGAACTCCGCGTTGGGAATTTGGCGACGACATCGACGGTCATTGCGAAGAGAGAAAGACGAAATCGTCGACAGCAATGACCCATCCTAGCCAGTCCTCTCAGACGGAGACGAAATGTTTTTCATGCGTTCCATTATGCTATAAACCGAAAATAGGTGGCAGGAACTTGAAGTTCAGCCTTCGACGGAGTGGATGCATCACCGATTCTTGGGCCTCACTATAGCGCGGAATTATCCCGAGCCTAGGCTTCCGAGGTATGTCTGAGAGGAACACGTCTTCTGGCACTAAACGAGTACTCAGTCCTGACAGCACCGGATGATGACTTCAATGGGGCATACGCCCATGTGACGCTTTCGGCGGACATACATAAAGCTCCGACGGGCAATTTGACGGGCAACGCTGCCGAGAGGGTATGTATGATCGGAAGCCCGAATCTCGCAGCAAGAAGCCCAGCCCGCAGCGTCGCCAGTCCACGCTTGCCGTGCTGTGGGACACTTGCCGCGTCGACAGTGAGTCCATAGTGACGGGCGGCCAGGATGCAAATTTGCGTATGCACCGGGTTTTCATTTTTCGCCTTTCGCTTTTTTTCGTTTCTTCGGTCTACTTCATTGACTTCAACCCTGGACACTAGATTTTTGGATACTTGGGGTGCGCCGATGGTGGGGAATGCGATCTTGTGAGATTCGTTTGGGCGCCGAAAGATGGGCAAATTTGCATGGATTGCAGTTTTCATTTTTTTTTCAAATTCGTGGCATCTGTCACAACCGCGCGTGGAAGTGTTGCGCGCATTGTCGCATTGTCGCACTGTCCACTATGCGGTCACGTGACTAAGGCATTCCATAGTGCGCCTTTCATAGGACTGTAGAGTACGCTGGCATCTGGGATGATTTGGGAACGCACGGCACATGCTCCCTAACGACCACTACCCAACAACAACCCCTCGCTGATATCATACCCCCGGGGAGTCCGGGCCCGAGTGTTGTCTAATAATAATAGAGGTGCAAAGAGAAGTTTGAGCAAAAAACTGCAAGCCCTGTTGCTATTTTTCTCCCGCCTAGCTCCGTCTTGGTGTCTGCTGTCCCAACTTCCAAAGAGACGGTGTGCACTTGTGGTTGAGGTTGTCTGAACGAAGGCAAGAGAACAAGGCGATACGCCGACCATAGCATCGCACCTAGTGTCAATATCGGCACGTACGAGTAATAGATATCTGGTGTTTCTGCTGTCCGACTGCTGAGTTGCGATCATACGTAACACCTCGTTCGCTGGAAAGGTAAGGCGTCTTGGCTACTGTACTGTAATACGGGATACCGCAGTTGTCCTGGAGCCTCAACGCCCGTTGGTTAGCAACGACTGCATAAGGTTCTTCCGCTCTGAGAGTGAAGCGCTCATTGCGGACCTACAGACCTTTGGGCTGATTCCATTTCTCTCACTCATCAGCTGTGACGGCGCGGCCTTTCGGACAGCGAACGACAACAAGTGTGGGAATAGGAATGTCACCTGCAGTCATGCTCTACGAGACAGCTGACGGTCACAGGCCGCCAATGTACATGTACTCCAATCCAGTGTCACACGCCGCCGAACCTTACTACCGCAATGCAACCCACCCCGACCAAAGTCCTCGCAGCACGGACCGGGACGGTCACGATGAGGACGGCGAAGGAGAAGCAATACGGTATCCTTCACTCGACCAACATCGTCACTTCCCATATGCGGGCAAACATGCACACACCCCATCATATGAGGACGATTTGGAGCAGCCGCCGATAATTGTGTCGTCGATACAGGAGAAGGCGCCTCCATTCCAGGACAGAGGTCACCAACCGGAACTGGACCATCACTCGGAAGGGATCCCATCACATTTCTCAGCTGGTTTACCCCCGCCTGTTCCATCTGGTGCGAGCCATGCACCCTACACACAGCAGCAGCAGATGCTGCACTCGTCGTATCCGTCTTCTGATCGAGGGGACGTGCAAGCCTTCGAATCAAGTCCCAACCACAAAGACTTGCATCACACGTCTTCCATGCCAGAACTAGGCAGGCAGGCGTTCGATGAGAGCATTCGGGAGCACGACAACGGGCATCTTACGGCACAGGCAGACGCCTCTGGGTCGTACTCAACCCACAGCGGCGAGTACACAGAAGAAGACGAAGCAGAGACTCGCGAGAGGCCGAATGTAGGGCTGTCCATTGACACTCGGAGTCACCGGCCGGATACGCTGCTCAGCGTGGGTCCATCCCCCTACGAGCGCGCATATGGCCATAGGAGCGATGCGGAATTCAGGTCGCCGATTTCTGCAACATTTACGGAAGAGCTGCAGCGATCGCCGCATCACCACCCGTATGCATATGCTTCGTATTCAGCGACCGATGTTTCGATGATGGGCGCGCACGAGGCGGAGGAGAGGATACCGTATGGTTTCAATCCGATGCATCGCCGAAGATCGGTCTCGGCGCCACCTATGGGTCTTTTGTCGAATTACCACTACAGGGAGGGAGACTACGGCATGGACGCGAGGACGGTGTCGGGCGTTGGCGAGATGGGAATCCCGGCCATCCAGGTGACAAACGGAAGCCCGCGCAGTTCGTCACGGCTAGGGCATTTCGCTCGCCAGTTGCATCACCCCTACCAGCATAGCGAACCTCCACCATCACCGCAACATGGCCGGCTGAGGAGGGATGAAGGTGGTTACATGGAGTCTCTCATATCTCAGGACAGCCATGTCCTCGCGTCCCATCATGAGGGCATGCCCAACATTCATTCCCAGAGTGCCTCGCCCTTGGGAACAAAGCGCACTTTCCCTCCACAACGTCATCCGCGAGTCCACAACATCATCTCCGATCACGGTCCTTCCCCTTCCACCCCGACATCGCCATCCTCTCCGACTTCCCCTCTTACCGCCAGGACATCCCCATCAAGATCATCACCCTTTCCGGTCCTCAATGTGCAGGGATTGGCGCTCGCGTCCCCACTACCTGTGGAATCGTCAGGACTGCACGACCGGTCTCCCTCGTCCCCGCGAAGGTACCCCACCCCGGTGTCAAGGAACTCGGGCTACAGTCCTCAGCAAATGCCATATTCGCAACAACACCAGCGCCAATTTGGACAGCCACACGGGAGCGAATTTGAGTATCACCAGTATGAGCATGAGAGTGTGTACCACGGTCACGACGGTTCACACATGGGACCCGTTCCACACTCCATGTTCCAGCAACACCATCTCCAACAGTCCGGATCCGCGTACTCCGTCCCCAGCAACGGCTACCCCCACCAGAACGGAATGATCCCCTACTCAAAGCACGACATGCAGCACATGGAGAACCCGTACCCGGCACCCCCGCCCTCATCTCAAGAAGAAACAGCCGCAGCCGCCGCAGCGGCAGTCGCAACCTATCACATGTACCAACGCTCCTCCCATCTGCATCTACACCAAAACCAACACCAACACCGCGACAACCGCTACACCGCCCTGACAGGCCCACCCCACCCACCCCTCTTCGTCCCCGCCCCCCGCATGCACAAATGCCCCAAACCCTTCTGCACCAAAGTCTACAAAAACGCCAACGGCCTGAAATACCACCTCGACCGCGGAATGTGCGAGCACGACACATCCTCCCCAACGGCATCCGCTTCCATCCCCGGCGGCCCCAAATCAGCTTCACCCACCCTCCTCCACAATTACACCACCCGACCGCACAGCCCCGCGGAGCCCACCACGCCGTCATCAGCGTCACCTTACGCAGACCCAATCCAGGCCGCTGCGGCGGGCACGGTGAAGATCGCACACCGACCGTATTGGTGTAAAGTGCCGGCGTGTGGGAAGAAGTATAAGAATCTGAATGGGTTGAAGTATCATGCGAAGGCGGCGCATCCGATGTTGGATTTTAGGGATGATGTGAAGGGGGTTTTTATGGCTGGGAGTTGAGAGGAGGTGGAGGGATGCGGAAGCGGAAGAGTAGGGACGACTTGCAAGGCTTTTGGGAACGGAAACGACGAACCGGATGAAAAATCATACTCAAATCGTCCTGGTTGACACTCAACCAACAAAATCATGCGATTATACCCCCACCTAGGAAGAACGGATGCAGACAGACGAAGTACGTCATCGCTCGTGGAGGATTTTGGAACACACCAAGAACGAACACCCCCCTCCTCGCCTCCCGACCGCATCCATCCACCAGTACCTAGTAATCGCCACCCCACCCCTTTTTTAATCGCCCCTGCATACACATACACGGCGTATTCACCCCAAACTACTCTACATCTACTACATTTTCCACTTACACTACACATACATTCTATACGATCTAGATCCCCACCCCACCCCTGTCACATACATACATAGCATATAGAAAGGGATGCACTACACCTATACGCGAACGCGCATTTTGCAGAAATATAATGTCTTGGCTCCTCACCTTTTGGGCGACGGATTCTTTTTTTTTTTTTCAATTATGGATTCAACCGGCGTAAGTCTCGACCAAGAAGCACAGCACATTTTTTCTCTCGCTCTCGAACACGTAGCGGAGTTTGTTCGCTTATGTGAGACGCGTTTTCACGCGCAAAGTCTTACAAGCGATCCACCCCGTCCCGCTTTTGGGCCCGCCTCTGAATATGCAATGCCTGGTGCTCTTACCACTGCACATTTGACCATCTCTGTGATTGACCTCTGCACACATTCACCTCCGTAGAGCTAGATGGGTGTCAGATGCAAACCGTGTTTGATGCGCATCATGAAAGCTAAGACCGAGCATTCTGCTGTGTGCGACATCATCATGGCTCCACACAGGTGGAATTCGGCGTCCAAAGCGAGGCTGACTCGATTGTCAAGAGGCCATTCTCCGTAGGCTTTTGAGCCTCCGCCCTCGCGTGTAAGAGAGAATCGAAGCAAACGCAGTTACTCTCGTCGAAGTCGATCAGCGTTCCATTGAAGCCGCGGACGGTCCATATCCCCGCCGGTACGATCACGAAAAAGCGCAAATCGCTCCAGTCTGTTCATCTCCACGGCTTCCAAAAGGGAGGGCTGCGGTGAGTCGCATATTGCTCCTCCTGGCCATAAAAGACTTGCGCTTCGTCCAAGATGAGAAGCGTCTGACAAGTCGATTTGCCTATCTATCCGAAATGAAGCGGGATATGAGCAGAATAAAGAATCGGTATGGCATCCTCAAAATGTAGAGAACGATCCTTTGAAAGCATAGGGGTGATTTGTCTTGGCAAGAATCCAGAATTGGGGTTTTGCTCGGCGTTGCTTTCGCTAGTCCGCCAATGAACGAAGAACTCAGGTGCAGGCGACCTGCACCATCATTCATCGAATCCAGTTCCCAGGACAGCATGCCAGACAACAATGATGATCTTTTGTAGCTTGGCGATACTTAGCGACGGTCCATGAGGTCCGAAAGCGCGTTCTGCCATTTCTGAGGTAAAATGTCTGGCGGCATAGCCCGACGTGCGTCTCAGCCATTCCAGAGCTGAGCGCAGACCCCCACCATCCCACCATCCCCTTTTCGATATCGAGTTGCCTGCATGGCACTAGTTCCATTTCGCGAGATGCGACATTAAGTATCTGTGAAGCAAGCTGTACATGTGCCCGGAGTGGTGCTATTCGAGACAAGGATTTGAGAGTTGCGCTCTCTCTGAACACCGGAAGGTGACCTTCCAGGTAACGTTGACTCTGCTGAGTCGAAGAAACCCGCATGTCGAAACGAGTACATCCCGGCCTTTGAATGCCCCAGAGTTTTGCAAATGTGCGATGGTGATACATCAGTGGCCCCGACATGCCTCACGATTTGCGTGCCCACTCGCATGCGCTGATATTGACGATGATGGATGTGATGATGTTCGAGATTGTCGTCATTGTAGAAGACATGATTTCTTCGTCCATTTGAATGGCGACCCACGTTTCGATTCCAAATCACTTGGTCGGCTAAAATGTAAATGAGGAATATACCGGTATGAGGCATTGCGTGGAATCGATTACTGCTCCTAAGTGACGCTCACAGATATCTCACGCGCTTCGGAGTCTTCACGCTCCACTTGCCTCCCAGCTCACAGCGACCGTATATATATACGACTGCCCAGCCGCGGCATCAAGACGTTCACGCCCCTATACCTCCTCCTCTTCCGTTGCTCATGTCGCATCTTCTCTGTACATGCCAGTGCTTTTGTTGCGGATCGAGATATCCTGTACCGTCAACTCATGTTGAATATCCCGGGCGCACGGTGCACGTATGAAGGGAAAAAGCCCGCGCTCAGGCTTTCCTGCGAGATGGCCCCATGTGATAGGTGACCGTCTCCAGCGAGGGTTATAACTTCGGATGGCGCACAGGGAACAGGGTGGTTCCCCCTTGGCGGTTCAGCCTAGTGTACGGAAACCGGGCCGCCGGGCGCATACTCTTCATGCACGTGTGGTGTACACTGTGAGACATCGATACAGTGGAACTTCGAAAGAAGTGTACTTTTTGGAAAAATCCACCGTTGAAGTTTCCTTGAAGTGACAGGGACGGCCGAGAACATTCGCCTACCGGAACGAGCGCCTACTGGTCAAGTCAGGCTCCCAGCCATATTAATCGTGATAGCGACGTACCATCGCCATCATCCTCTCCTTCTCAAGGCCGTACATCATGCGTAGCTTCAGAGCGACGTTATAAATTCCTCCACGTGTGTGTCGGAATGGGGTCCGTCGCCAACCTTGAACGTAAAGATTGTGGAAGATCTCCAAATGCAAGTGCATGTGCTGTCCCAGCGGGAGATGGATAACCAGCTGCCATGGGCTTGCCGCACCTCTGAGAACCTTCCTGCTTGCACAATGATGGTGTATACCATCCCACTGTGCACGTTTAGGGCTCACAAGAGGAAATTCGCATGGCAGAACGACGCCCAACGCATTCTCGGACTCTTTCTCATTTAGAACTCCTTTTGTGGAAACGTGCTCAGGATTGACAGTGTTTTGACACCGCATTTACGCCCGCCTCAGATGCTTATGATAAGGTTTGCTTTCTGGAGCCAATCAGCGTTGAGTGAGCCTGCACGTTGCGCAGCCAGCCTCCTGCGCAGGCCGTGCACGTTGGAGCTTTGCCGTCGCTGATTGGCTGAAATGATTTGCATTTGAGTTACTTTCTTTGTGGACCGACCGCCCCTGGGCAGCCTCAGGGGATTCATTCACGCGAAATTCCACATGAAGAACTTAGCGGCGGCTAAACAACTCGGAACATGGAGAAGGCATGCGGTAAACACCTTGACGCCGGCGCCAAACCTTGAATTAGACCGATGAAACGTCAGGCCGCACACGGCGAAAATGCCCGACCCCCCAGCCCGATTCTCTCGCGGTCACACCGGGCGGTGAGATAGCTCGTCATCGCTCCGAGAAAAAATGGGCGGTTTTCTCACGGAGAGGGAGGGATGCATAATGGGATATCCGCCTCTTTTTTTGCCCACCGCCTGCACAGAGTGTCAGGAGGATAAAAAGACAGGCTGGCTTCGTCCATCCCCCTCCCTTTCGCTGGCAGCCAACTCCTCAACGCTCACCTTCTCTCCCCCTCGCAACAACAGTCAGCCATGACTATCGCTACTCGTGCTTCGCACTTCGCCCACCTCGACGAGGCCAAGCTTGGCTGGTTCCATATTCGCTCCATCCTCGTCGCCGGTGCTGGTTTCTTCGGTGATGCGTATGACATCTTCGTCATCGGTCTGGCTCTGCCCATGATCTATCGGGTCTACTACCCACCAGCGGACCCAACAAAAGGCTCCACTTTCAACGCAACAGTCCACAACAGCATTCACATCGACGCACTCCTGAAGGCCTCTACCAACTGGGGTAACTTGGTCGGGCAACTTTCGTTCGGATACCTCGGTGACAAGCTCGGTCGTAAGAAGGTCTACGGTGTCGAAATCATCATCATGATGGTTGCTATTCTCGGATCTACCCTCGCTTGCTCCACCGTCCGCGGTATGGGCGTCCTTACCATGCTCGGTCTGTGGCGTTTCGTCCTCGGAATCGGAATCGGTGGCGACTACCCGATGTCCGCTACCATCACCTCCGAATTCGCCCAAGTTCGCTACCGTGGTATGATGGTCGCAGCCGTCTTTGCCATGCAGGGTATCGGAATCTTGATCGGTGGTCTTGTCACCCTTGCCGCCCTCGCCGCCTTCAAGTCTCTTCTCGTTGACGACATCCTGTACCTCGACTACGTGTGGAGGATCATGTTGGGTTTCGGAATCGTTCCTTGCCTCGCCACCGTGTACTTCCGTCTCACCATGCCCGAGTCCCCTCGTTTCGATGTGCACGTCCGCAACGACGTTGAGGCCGCTCACCGCGACATCAACAAGATCAGCAAGGTCAACGGCACCACCAACAACACCGTCAACACCGTCGGCGAGGAGTCTAACAAGGACACCACCGAATCCCACGCTGTCGTTTCCCACAACAGCAACCGCGCACCCGAAATCGGATTCAAGGAATACTTCTCTAAGCGCAAGAACTTCTTGGTCCTCTTCGGAACTGCCTACTGCTGGTTCGCTCTCGACATTGCATGGTACGGTCTCACCCTCAACACACCCCGTGTCCTCACCATCATCAACTACGACGGTGCGGGCAAGTCCCAGTACGACTCATTTTTCTCCAAGGCCGTCGGTAACATCATCATCGCCTGTATGGGTACCGTGCCCGGTTACTGGGTCACCGTCGCCCTAATTGAGAAGTGGGGACGCAAGCCCATCCAGTTCCTCGGGTTCGGAGTCATCACCGTCATTCTCGTCATTATCTCTGCGCTGTGGAACCAGATTCTGCAAAAGGACGAGACGGGAGTGTTCAGCCAATCCTCCCGCATCATCTTCATCTTCCTCTACACGGTTGCCCAGTTCTTCTTCAACTTCGGGCCCAACTCAACCACCTTCGTCCTCCCCGCTGAGGTCTTCCCCACCCGCTTCCGTGCCCGTGCCCACGGTATCTCCGCCGCGTGCGGAAAGGTCGGCGCCATCCTCGGTATCCAAGCCGTTGGACCCTACTTTGAAGAGGCCCCTCGTGTCGTCATCGGTGTCTTTGCCATCGTCATGGCCACCGGTGGTATCGCTACGTTCTTGGTGCCCGAGACCAAGGGCAAGACCCTCGAGGAGCTCACCGACGAGTCTGAGGACGAGACCTACGAGATCCCTGAGCAGAACAACGCGAACAACGCCGTCCACCACGACCAACTTCGCGCCAACTAGACTGCACACACACATTGTCTTGTCCCCATATATCCCCCACGCCCTCATTTCTTGTACATTATCTTATTTAATGCTCTTTGCACACAACAACACTAGCGTAGTAGTATATTCCCGTTGGCGGTTTTCATACCTCAGCACATTAGAAGGCGGACTTTGGGGATTGTATAGTATTTCAATCCGCCTGCCTTCATCACCTTGCGCGGCGGACTCTTTGTTCCTCACTTTGGGTGGTTCTTGTACATGATAATACACTGGATTGTTTCTCATGCCACACAATTGAGTTCGCCCATTTTGTAACTGATTGAGTTCAAGGTAAAAAGAGAAGCAATCAGGCCCAACCTCAGAAAAGCCGCTGCAGATGCAGTGCTTCCCGTCCGACCAGCTGTCGTCGCATAACATCCAATGCCCAATGCTGACGGCCAAATCCCGGCCGGAACCATCCTCGGCCCGGCCCAACAAATCATCAGGCGTGGTAATCGCCGGGAAACGAGAAATATAAACTGGGAACCCCAACACAGTTACAGCAGTCGGCCGAAGACTGCAGATTACCATGAACACCACCCCCCCCTGGGAGGGGTTCGCTGTCATTTTGCTTGCTCCCGACTATCGGAGCCGGGAAGAGCTGCGCGTTGTTCGGTTGCATAAGCAGCAAGCTCAGCCTTTGTTTACATACTGTACTGTACGCCGCCCGGTCCATCCGCCTCATTGGTAACCGAGTATAAAAGAACCAGCCGTGCCTCGCCTATCCTCTCGATTCCGTTCCCCTCTAACTCCTCCTCTCTCTAACTTGGGGTGGTATCATCCCTCTACACTTTTTTTCATTCGTAGGTTTCTTACTCGAGTCGTGCTCTTTCTCTTGATGGATTCGACGCGTACCGGTCGGTCAACTGGCCAGACCACAAAGTCTCATAAGTCGGTCCTCAGACAACCCTCCCTCAACAGAAGGGTTGCGTCACCATAGAGGAGGAGCTTGCATATTGTGGAGACGCCCTTGCGCCCTGAGAAAGCTGCTAAACCACCCCGGTCGAACAGCTCGGAATGACGGGATCGCCTCTCCGCTTCGCACAGAGAGTCGGCGGTGTCCCACAGTCCGGGATGGGAGCAGTTAAGAAGCCTGACTTGCGGCCTGACTCCCCGAAGGAACGAAACGCTGTCGGGCCACGCCCCGTTCCATTCCTGTGCAGCACTGCTCATCGTACTCTGGAGAGACCGAAGATGGACACAGCGGACGCTCCTTAGCTGAAGTCTTTGTGAAGCAGCCGCTGCCGCTATCGAAGTCCTTCGGTCCTTACGCCTCGGCAACGAAAACAAGGTTCTACTATTCCCCTGCAGCACTCACAACATATGAAGGAGGACGCCTCCGCCGAACGGTATTTCGCACTCCTCGTTGCGCTTTTCTCGTTGCGCTTGCCACGCCTCGGAACATCCTTTTCGCATACCCCCTGGGGCGGAGCTCACCACTACCGCCCAAAAGGTGACCTGGGCTACTTTCCAGTGGAAGCCGCACAACGTCCAGAAGGAACAAATGGCTGAGCAAATGAACGGAACCGCTGGAACCACACAGACGCAGACTCCTGGCCAACGCCCGACGTATTCGACGAAAGCTACGTGAACTTAATTTTTTCGTCGATCATGGGATTACGGCGATCAGAATGCTCTTCGTCGAACCGACAATTTCGACGGTTATATCAATGTTATATGCGATGAAGACGAAGAGTTCAGAGCCTGGGACGGCCAAGCAGGCAAAATTTTACAACCATCACTGTGAAGCGTACCAGTGTCAAGAATTGTCTTATCGTAGGTTATTGGGTTCCTCGACAATGACCAACAAGCGGCTGATCAGTGATCAGGTGATGCGCCGGTGAGAGCGGCAGTGGAACTTCCAGGCTTTGGTCGCGCACTCATGGTGTCCTCAATATTCTCGAATGACTTCAACCCGGACCGTCAACGAAGAATCTTTCGTAACAAGGATAACATCCCAGACCATGAACAGCGAGATCCTACGGGCTATCAAGCTATCGAGCGACCATTGCTTCAAGAGCAGAAACTCACTGCACTCCAAAAGTGATGGAACAGTGGGGTTGGCAGATATATACAGATTCACTGGATCGCGGCACGCCACGCTCTGAAAAAAGCAACCATTTAGGACCTACCTGGAGAATTGCAAGGCAAACCATCGAGCGCCACTGAAGGCGAATAGCTTTACGGGAACCCTTTTCAGATTCTTCATAGGGCTGCGAAAGGAAAACACGCGGCAGTCGGATAGGATTGGTTAGTGAGGGGTCTAGAACCGACCGCCCGGCACACAGTCACCCCGGCGGCGCTATACCCAGCCCCAAACCCGGGCCCCTCCTCGACACCAACACACTCGACGCAGGCCGACGCCCCCGCCCGCGTCCAAACCTCCTCACGCAGTACTCTTTGAGGGATACAGTGCTCTTTGGATATTTTGTAGACCTTCCAAGCGAAGTGCGGGATAACCAAGTAATTGACTCCTCCCTTCCTGTCCGTTTCCCGGTCATCTCATCTGCTTGCCGCTTCAACAGAGTTTACGTCGATGGAGCGCATACCGAAACCAACCGGATTCGTATGGACGCGGTGGAGGGGAGAGCCCCCATGTCGCCGTAGTCGGCGTCATGCCGAGTATTGTCCACGAAACTCAAGGCTTTCAATGCTTGATGAAGCTTAACGAATGGGTGGAGAGATTATCTATCGTGGCCCCGCACGACGTGGAGATTGTTTACGTCCCTCTTCCGGGTCTGGAACCTTGGTCACGCTCCTCGCGGTCGATGTTGGATGCCCATGAAGAAATCCCGTATAGCGGGACCACTCTCACACAGAGAGGCGATCACGCAGGGAGGAAACGTATGGAGGACCACAAGGGAAGGGAAAGGAGGGAAAAAAAGAAATGATGAAAAAAAGTCAGATCCCGTAATGGATTCCTCCCTTGCCGACGGCATCTGTCTTCGCGGTTTTGACAATCTCCATAGTTGCTTCCTGCGTAGCAGCTTTGAATGATTCGAGAAGGTTCATCGGTTTGCCATCTCATGCCTCCCTTTCCTTGCATCGACAGCCGCGAAGCGCTGCGACGGGTGGTGTTGATGTGATGCAGCATGGCAATGGGCTGCGCGTGGGGCTGCCCACGAGCCTCTGTCGTGGCGAGGGAAGACCTTGACCTCGGTTATTTGGCAAGGCAAACACAAAGAAGAAAGTCAAACCGTTGGTGGTTGCCCAATGGACTTTTCCAGGAATGGATGTCGACGAGGTGACGGAGCAAGGGCAGTACGAACGAGGGTGAGCCCTCCGAAGGCGAGGAAGATGAAGAAGAGACTGTGGTTGAGGAGGATCCGGCTGAGCGTAGGAAAAAGATCGTTGCGATGGACACCAAAAGAGGAAATCTCTCCGCCAGAACAATCTATACCCACTTCAAGCTGATAGATACTCTGCGCTGATCCTCAACTGCACAGTGAGGAAGAGACCGAGAGGTCGGTGACCTGTTATCGAGGTAGCACCAGTTTAGCTTCTTAGATCAGGCTGTATTGTTTTACAAGTATCGGTTGAAGGGCTCCGCAAGTACGACGATATATGTAAGGAATGGATACGCTACAAAATGAAGAATGTCCACTTCCAATTCAGTTGATGGTGCATAATGAGCTACTTGCAATACCATCCTCTGATGAAACGTCAGGTTGGAAGTCCATTCTATCCACACAAAATTCATTTATCTCCACAGCGTTGAGGAGTGCCTGAAGGCAAACAAACACCTACCATGGGCGCCGATAGGGATATATCAGAGACTTGGCTCCATGTTTCGACATTCCTTCCGCTCCCGCTGGCTGGAAGCAGGCTTATCGCTTCCAATATTGGCGCGACCGACGTGCGCTTCCTATGTGGGACTGGGACATCACATGTCCACCATCGAATCATTATTGACTTACCAAGATCGACATATCCCGCCCTCATGATACCCAGATGGCCAGGCACCTACTTCAGCCCTCCTCAGAAGGTCTTCTCAAGCACCTACCTTGCGCGCATTCCTCTCGCTGCCCTCACGACATCATAATTCCAACGCTCGGATGCACTGACCTTCCCCATTTTTCGCAGAGGTTCGCGTTTCTTGAGGCGGTTTGCATTGCAGCTGGGATTACGCATATACCTGGTCCAGCAACAAGTGCCGCGGAATGTCGCCGCACCTGCAGAGCACTAAAATCTTCACATTTGCCATTGAGTCTCTTCCCTATTCGGTCACTTCCAATATAGTGGGGTATCTCTTCTCCTCCGGCGTCAATGAGGGATGTGGTATGAAAGACATGTCGATGCTCACATCCCTTGCTCGCGGTGCTTTGCTCGCCCTGAGTTGAATGACAGTGCTGTGTTGCCTCGGACTCCATCAACGAGTCTCGGAGGCTAACTGTAGGTCGTCGGCGATGAACCGTTGGTTAGCGCACAATAAAGACGTCCTTGTGGCAAACGCGCATTTCCTTCATTCCCTTTATGTTTGGCTTCATCCATCCTCAAGCCAAATAGATGCCGGTTGTTGGACGGGGACACCCACCTCAGACTGCGCCATTCGTCCTAACCAGAGCAGTTGCCTTGATTCCCTCTGGCTCCTCGAACGAAACGTTGTTGACAGAATCGAACGGAGGGGAGAGGGAAAACGAATGCTTTGGACGTCGCGTTGATGAAAGCAAGAAAGCATCATCAGTAACGCGCCTTGATTGGATGGATCCCATGAACATCGCGCGGTTGTTTTCTTAGTTCGAGAGAGCACCTCCGAGACACAAGAACAAGACGGAGGCGACCTGCCCAAATTGCGTCTCCAAAGTCTCCAATCATCAGGCAAATTCTGCGACAGTCCGCCTCGTTTCGAACGAGGGAAGCAGCAGCGAGGCCTCTGCGTTTCCCAACATCGCGGCCTCTTTTTTTTCTTCCTTTGGGTGTTGTCGTATTTCGAAGGATATCGTTTGGCAGCCGCTGGTCGGTGCCTCTCTATCCCTCCATATATACCGAGACTACAGTATATTGGGTCCATCCCACCCCGGCATTTTCGGCAGGAAGGACCGTCAAACCGTCAAACGGCATAGAACTCGCGCAATTACTCGCAGCCATGACCTCCATTCCCATGACCGAATTTGGCAATGAGGGCAAGGGAGACTCCACCACCCACCTGCACACCGACCACTCGTCAAACTCATACATCTCCTCAGCTGGAAACACCAACAGTGGAGCCCAGTCGCCGCACTATCGTGCAGCTCCCCACCAGCAGTCATCACTCCTAGGACGCTTAACCGACTCCCACTTGCACAATATCCTGGATGACCCTGAACTGCTCACGACTTCTTATGTCGTCTCTTCAAAGACCTTGTTTCGATTTAGGCTGTTTGGGCTGTTTTGGGTTATCTTCATTGTGCCTTTTCAACTCAGGAGGGACCAGGAGACTTATCTCTTTTATTTTACTCAACTGACTTGGTTGGGGTTGGGCGCTTGGTTTGCGGTAGGTAGCGACGACGCGAGCGTTAGCGAGCGGCGAATCGAACGTAGTCAACGCGAAAGGAGCGAACGCGGATTGCGGCGAGCGAAGCGAGGCGTAGGGTCGCTTGAGGCCGGCGAGCCATAGGCGAGCTGTTGGTTTGCTGTGGGAGCAGCGAGGGCGTAGAAAGCGGACGCCTTCACGAGCGAAACGAGCCACCTTGCGTGAAAGACGCAAGGCTCCCCCAACTATAGCTCTTGGCGAGCAACGGCGAGCGTTGGATCTTTGCGAGCGGAGCGACCTCCGCCAACCATTCAACATCATGCGAACACGCCAACTCACTTGTCGCGAGTTGGAGCGAGCACGATGTTGTTCATTTTACACCTTCAATCGCACACAGCCAACTCATCGTTCCATCTCACCCTTATTCTCAGGTCGCAGCATTCCAGACCTACCGGTGCAACCGAGATGGGAACATGTCCAAGTTCCTGCGGCAGTCGAGGTTCACACAGTGGCTGACATGGGCGTTGTATGTCATGCCGGCGACGTTTCACTGGATCGTACCCGTAAGTGGAGTTTGGAAATTGCCAGATGCAGACGGTGATAATGGAGGAAAAAACTGAACGCCTTCGGCTATCCCCATAGATTGTCTTCTGGGGTCTTCTCTCGTCAAGCCTGGTTAAGGACGGAGACGGCATGGCGGTTAGTAACAAACTCATTTCTCTCTTCACTTATGCCGGAGCACACAATGTAAACATCCACCTCTCATCTTACCTCGTTACAGTGGTGGAGCAACATAAACGTGCACCTCTTCGACTTTGTCCTCGTTTTCATCGAGCTCTGCATCAACCGCATCCCGCTCTTTTACACACAATGGCCAATCATCGTCATCCCAGGGCTGCTGTTCCTCGCTTACGCGTTCGTCCAGCATGCCGCGTATCACATTAGTAACTCGTAAGTTCCCGCAAATTCACAGCGAGTCAATGAATCTATGAAACCGGCCCGGCTGACACTCTTTCCTCTCAACAGACCATCAGGATGGTGGGTCTACTCCTTCCTCGACACATCCAAGAACGGCGCATGGGTCTACTACGTCGTGCTACCGCTCGGGTTCATCCTCGTTTTTTTGCTTGTGACTTATGTGCATAAGCTGAGGGATCGCAGGAGAGAGAAGCGCGTTGTTAGGGCGTAAGATGCGCTTTCGGGGACCGATGCGCACACTTGTACACCCCACTCGATGGCGCCGCCCGTCCCACGCCTCCTCCGTCACTTCACATCCCTTACCTCGAGTACTCATCTCGCCACATTAGCGGTATATCTGCGCTTTCATCAACCACCGACCATACGCACACATCCCTACTCCAAACTCACCCGGCGATGGCCTTGCCGGCATTCGCTACAGCGTCGCCAAAGACTGTACATGATATATAGGACTTAGCACGGTCCCACATTGGGGCCTTCCTCCACCCTCACTTCCTCATATCCCCGCACTTTCATCCCTACGGACCCTCCTGGCCGGACACAAACGCATAAAATAGAGGCTAGACCTGGTGTCAGCACATATTTTGAATAATCCCACGCTCTGCCGCTTACAGCCATGGAAACAAAACAATGCTTTTTGGGCGATCTCCTCCGAGGGACTTTCTTCGCTTCTGGGATTCTTACGTTTCTCGGGACACAAGTATACTATCCGGGTAGCATAGGCCCAATGGGTGCCTATACCTATGTGAGTTCACGCAAAGCCTAGAAAAAAATGGCTCTATTCGACGACCCATACAAATACAAAAAGCAATGTCCATCAGGAAGCAGCGGGGTCTACGCCGTGCTGTTACGGTCTGTAAGTGTCTATATAATGTTGTGAGGGAACTATTTCCGGGACAGAGATCCACTCGGGGTTTCTCTATACACCCATAGAATGCCCCCCGCAGTGTTCGGGAATGGTGTGATGTGGTAATCCCCATATGCTTCTACGCCGTCCACGCGTCTAATCCACGGGTCTACAAGAAAAGCGCAGACAAAGCCGCGGCGACGATGGCAACCGCTCCCACAGCCTGCGTGTTAGAGTTCGCCGCCGCAGTCTGCGAAGCCGTTGCCCCCGCAGCCGTGTTCGTAGGCGCACCCACCACCGTCGGCACCGTCCCCGCCGGCCCAGCCGCCGCCGTTCCATTCGCCGCACCACCCGGGGCGACGGCACCCCCCACGTACGCCGATTGGCCAATACACGCACCGACCGGCACGATGGTCAACGGCATGGCGTTGGCGGCCTTGGCAGCGATGACGGCATCCAGGACCGCGATGGAGGAGTTGATGGCGGCCGCGTTCAGGTTATGCTCCAGGGAGATGAACCCGGGCGCTGTGGGCTGGGTGAACCACGTGTTGACCATACGCAGCACCTCGGCGGTGGGAACGACCGTATCCTGGGTGTTGTGTGGTTTGTCCCACATGATGACCTCATACCCGAGCGCATTCACAATGGCACGGACGCGGTTGTCAATGTCACCGTAAGGCGGGCGGAAGAAGCGGGGTTTGACGCCGGTGACTTTCACGACCAGGGCTTCGGAGTAGAGGACCTCGGCGATGATTTGCTTGACGGTGCCCGTGGTGAGGGCGGCGTGGGTCCACGTGTGGATGGCGATCTCGTGGCCTTGGTCGAACATGGCTTTGAGGTCGGCGGGGTTGTAGTAGGAGGCGGAGCCGGCGACAAAGATAGTGGCTTTGACGTTGGCCTTAGCGAGCGCGGCGAGGAGGGGACGGGCTTCGGGGGAGGGGCCATCGTCGTATGTCAACTGGAGAGGGGGGATGGGAAGAGATTCATGAGTAAGTGAATTGCTCTTAAATACCAGAGGATGCAGCAGGAATAAGCTCGCTGGGAGCTCATACGTACCGCCCACTGTCCAGCTGTCTTGCACATTCTATGATCCGCGGGCGAAACACACGTACTGTCAAAGTGGCAATAGGTCGCATCGGCCTGGTTTGAGAGTCGTCCATCAGGGTACCTGATCATGGTCCCGTTCTGAGCAGTCAAGAATCCCACAGCCGGTTGCGCGTCCAAAATGCTAGCTGCGACAGCGGCCCGGACCTTTTTCTCTCCCTCAAGCACCAGAGGCGAGTTGAGCAGGGGCGCGAGGTTGATCATCATCTTGCGCTGGTCGGCGTCGGGCCATTGGGTCGGCATATTGGGGTATGAGGCTGCGGCTGCGGAAGGGACGAGGCCGACGGGATCCGCGCCGGCTACTTGCGGTTCGGGGTTGATGGGGGCGAAGGGGCGGGTGCCTGCTGGAGGTTGAGAGAGGTCCACAGGGCCAGCGGGAGCAGGAGCAGGGGCTGGGGAGACGGGACCAGGAGTAGCGACAGGGGCAGGAGCTCCCACAGGGCGAGGAACAGCTACAGGGCCAGTGACAGGACCGGGAACAGCGACAGGAGTAGCGGTGGGCGCTGGCGCAGCTCCGCCGTTGAAAATAACGGGCGCATTGCCTTGGGCGGCCACGAATGAGGTCGCGGAGGTGGCGGCAAGGGCCACAAGAGCGAGACGGGCAACCATCTTGTTTGCTAGAGTTTTTCTGTTGGTCGGCGAGGAAGGGTGAAGACGGAAGGTTAGCAGAGAAAGAGGAGGTTGGGTGGTGAGGTGTGAGAAAAAGTCCCGACGAGGTGTGACAGGTTGTCTCGACCTCCTTCTGCTCCCAGCACTCCCGCCCTTGACCTATTGCAACCGTCTTACCTAGAGGTTGGGGTGGTGATGGAGAGAGCAAGCTAGGTGGCTTCTGGCGCTTTTGTAAGTATTTCTGTGCGGCCAGGTGTGGACAGCAGCAAACTTCACCAGTCCATCCCGATGTGATAGAAATAGCGGCCGGATATGTTTAATATTGGGAACAGCGGCCGCACACTCTCTCTTGCCTCTCGTCGCTCTCTTTCAAAGTGGCGACATGGTTTCATTGGTTTGCTTCGTTTGAGTTAAGGTTTGTCTCCCACCCCAAGTACCGCGGCGACGGTCCGCGGGTTGCCGGCTGCCGACACATCGGTAAACTGCTGGCAGCGGAGTTGCGAATGAGGCCGACCGAGCTCATCAAGCGTTGACGGCGAGACGAGGCGTTGACCCGTGGCCTTTCGACCGCGGCGATCACCCGCGGCGATGGCACTTTTAACGAACGGCGGACCCCATGCAACAAAAGTCGTCGAGAAAAAACTTTAAAGATGACCGCTTTTGCATATTAGCCTTGCTTACGGCGCGTCCATGCCGCGTGAATTTGCGACGGGCGTGCGGCCGGTGGGCGCTCTTGGTGGTAGTCTACATTTGCCATTTATTAGACGGGAAAACGACCTTCCCAATGGTCCCAATGGTACTGTACGTCCCAACCTGGAACGGCTTGGATTCACCATGAAGGTGGTGTTTTTTCTGCTGTATAAGACGAACGGGTAGGGGTCACCGCCTCCTTTGCAATTCCGCGCGACTTTCCACGTACGGACACAGCAAGACCCAGAACGAGGGACCGCAAACGACCATGGCGACCTCCACCGTCCTGATCTCCCTCTTCGGGCACCGCAACGCAACCGGGGTCTTCTCCATCGACCCGCATACGACCTCCGGCACCACTCTCCGCCGCCTCATCGTATCCCGCTTCTTCCCGGGCCTGGAAGGGCATGTCGAGAACACAATCGCGTTGTGGGATGTGAGTGGGGAGGATGTGGCGTGGGACGATCTGCGGCTGACGTTTTCGACGAGGAATGAGCATGTTGAGAGGGTATTTCCGTCCGCGAGGAGGATTAGGCGGGCGGATGTGTACCAACCGACTGGGGAGGATCGCAGTGTGGGGGTGTTGGCGGTGGTGCCGGATTCGGTGTTTGAGATGATGGCGAATGGGCCGTTGGCGGCGCAGGAGGTTGGAGGTAGTTCGAATGGGCCGGACTCGCAGCATGACATGGGAGCTGTGGAAGGGATGGGTGCTGGATCGGCCGTCGCTGTTGGTGCCGCCGCCGTTGCAGCGACTTCTCCTCATCATTCGGGGGAAGATAGCCTTGTATACGCGGAGCGATCCGACGCCTCTCCGCGCCCCATGGCCCCCGAGGCTGCTTACCAACAGCAAAACCAGTTGCGCTCCCCTCCATCGACATGGCTCGAAGCCACACCCGTTCATTCTGACCACGATTACGAACTCAGCAACCTCTCGCCCGCAGCCACGTCCGACAACCCGTTCGTCGACCACCCATCATCGTCGCCCTCAGCCTGGAAGCACAACGTCTCCAACAGCGCATACGCATCCGAAGCCACATCCGTGACAGTCCACCGCGAGGGCCCGTTGAACACCTACAAACCCACCCCTCTGCCACCGGCCTTTGTCGAGCACAAAAGAGGAATGAGCGGCAAGAAAAAGATCATCGTCATCGCCGCGGGGTTGATCTTGCTGCTGATTGCGGGAGGTGTTACGGCGTTTTTTCTTTTGAAGGCCAAGAATACCACGGACGCCGGGCGGGCTTCTGGCGTCGGCCCTGCTGATACTACGGTGATTCAGAAGTACACCAGTCCGACGGGCGAGATGTACTGGGAGCTTGGCGGCTCCTCCCAGTTCGAGGACAAGTACCTTATGCTGGGACTTCGAAACGGGGGCGACTATGATCAGTTCGATTACACGACGGGCGCGTTTATCCGACGATTCAGTGGGCTCGTGAGAGGCTTGATGCACCCGAACGGTCGTTTGTTTATAGGTCACAACAACGTTACGGTAACAGCTTGGTCGCTGGATGATGGTTCCATAGTTAAGTCGTTGCCGATGCCGGCGAATGCCTCCAGCTGGCCGTTCAGATTCATTGTCGGGTCCGATCCCAATCCTACGACCCACTCCCTCCTTACCGGCACCCTGAACGCGGCGGGGACCTTGCTTGACGGATTGGCGGTGTGGGACTTTTTTGGTTCTGGGCAAGTCACCAGCACCCTCTCCATGGCACGACCGCAGGATCAGCTCGAGATGTTTACCTACGGCGACACCGTCGGAGCTGACATTGTCGTGACTTATGAATCTGGCATTGTGGTCAGGTTCTCGGGGCCCCCGTTCGCAAACGCTGCAACTCCCGGTACCATCATCCCACTGCCCGCGCAAGTGCCCAAACCCCAAGACTGGGAAGTGTGGACCACTACTCCCGCGCGCACATCGCTTTTCATCATCAAGGACGACAAGGCCGTGCTGAAATGGAACATCAAGGACAACAATGCCATGATGGTCATTCCGAGCTTGGGGGACGGCGCGTTCTACACCTCGAATGATATTACCCTCAGCAAAGACGAGTCCACCTTCTACATCGCAGACGGGAGCCCCGGCGGTAGCATCCGAGTTTACAGCGCCGCCACGCAGAAATTCGTCAAGACGATCGATCCGGGGTGTCGCGCGGTGATGACGATGATGAGAGCGGACCAGAAATCTCTGCTGGTGCAATGCTATATAAAGCCGGAAGTGCGTCTCATCGCTCTGTGAGTTACTCATCACAACTTCGGCTCCCGTATCAAGGACGATGGTCCTTGATACGGGATACGGGGATACGGGAATTCTGGAATGGACGGATGGTCGCGCGCGATTTCTGACGCAGGATCGTCGGGATGTGGATCAAGTATATACATAGAAGGTAGTCTATTGTAGCAGACGATATGGGTTGGAGGATGTCACTTGGTGGGTCGAAGTTCAATGGGATGGGAACGCGGAAACGGCTTTCATCGGCCCGAGGAAGGGCGTTGGCGTATGGGGGCACCGTCTTACATTTAGAGATCAACGAAGATAGTTCTTTTCCACCCTACCAAATAGATTATCCATATATCGATTACTCCTGCTGTGATTTCACGATCCTCATGAGCAATGAACAACTGACAACGAAAGATGGTACGGTTAACGGGAACTTCATTGAGGAGACGCAATGCAGACGCACTGCTGCGATGCTCACGGAGCAAAGCTGAGAACGGTAATGCACTGTATGTAGTCTATATCAGTTTCCGCGAGAATGCATTTGACGAGTGCGGTCGTCAATTCATGGGCTGCTGAGGAAGTCTACGGTTTTCTCGAGCGTCTTCTAGGTCACGCAGATTCACACAGTGAAAGCACAGTATGTCACCTCTTCAGACTTCTTTTGCGGGCCATCCCAATGTATTGCCGACATAATGCAGGCTTCAGGGATGGAGGTTTCGGGCGGTGGAGAATGACTGTAGTTTTCAAACTACGATTCTGTGCACTTTTGCTCAACTACCGTCCGTAGACTTTGATGGCGCATTGTCCATTACACGAGTGAAAGAGCGTATTTAGAAGCCGTAATTGATGCGGCTCATATGATGGCTCCCGCTCCCTATGCGACTAGAGAGGACGGTCGACGCCCACGCATACTTCGATGCTGAGATGTTCTTTAGACGTAGGATGCCACTCCTGAAATGCTTAGCTGAGGAGCGCCAGAATGAGACGGTGCCTAACTAGATGGATTTCCAATGATACCACGCCGTTCATTGCTGCAACCTGCTTCTCCCTCCTTCATCGTATGTACAGAGATCTTGGGCTGCAAATCAATGGATGCCAGCACAGATGCGTGGGAAAACCGTTGGGGATGTCTGGGCTTTCGGACGTTCAAGACGCGTGAGACTTCCCCCTTTTAGCTCCCCACCATTTCCCTGCTTTCCCTGCGCCTGCGAAGTACATTACTGTATATGTATGTACCCCATGCCACCATGCACGATGCCGAAGAGTCAGACGACTCGGATATTTCGTTGCTCGACATTCTAGGGAGCTCGGAAAGGCTTGTCAAGGTACTGTACGCTTTGGAGAAAGGTTTCGGAAAGGTCCTTGGTCCTGATACAGACCCGCCAGGGAAATGTCACCTTTGACTGGGCAAAACTTCCGACGAGTATACTCGGGACGGTCCCGGATCCACCACAATCAGCTAAAAAGCAGCTGTCGGAGCGAAGGGCTTTGCGGGAAAGCACAGCGAGTAAGATCAACCGTAACGGACATGACAAGCGCATGGACGAGACCCGCACGTTTGTGTCTGAAAATCTTGCGAAGTGGGCCAGCCGATCGCTTCGCAACGACGCCGCCCACACTAGGGAGAAGCCTGCAACGATTCTGAATACCTCCCTTGGAAGCAAGCCTATAAAGAATACTAGAGGAGAGGCTTCGGGGACTGGCGAGCGTGTCTTCAATTTCACCAACTGCCAGTTCACTTATCAAAAGCCGAGGGTCGATACGGCCGAGGAGGAGCAGGAGTCAAATCGCAGCTGTCTCAGCCTAAGTGCGATACTTGAACCACAATCCGGTCTTACTTCGACCGACACGCGGTTGGCTGGCAGCGAACCGAGGGCGACAGTTCGGCCGAAGGACGCACCTCTCCCCATGAAGCAAGATATGTGCGATGATTCCCCAGCAAGTCGCTTGAGCATCCATCAATTGCTGGACATCGTGAAGGACATTCATGACGAGGACGAAGACAACGGGAGGAATGAGGTTGGACATCCGAAGACAACTGTCCAGAATCCAGATATATCGCGAGCGTAAGTCGCAAGCCTGCGCCGCGGGAATCCCAATGATTGCACCTGATATCCTTCAAACTCCAAAGTCAGCGAGAGCAGCACAAAGCGTTTTTGAACCTGCATAAGGATCTCAGCGATCTCGCCCGGCGTCTGAAGGTCTGTTCGTCGACAAAGACACTCTCCGGCATAGGATGAGGCTGAACCGGGTTCCCGTTCAGGACCAGGATGAAGACTTGTCGAGCAGGGAGCGCGACGTTGCCGTTCGTGAAGATGTCGTTCGAGACCTCGAAGCCCATCGAGTGAAAAAAGTTGAGAGAGAAGTTGCGAAGAGGGTCGTGAAATACGAGACGGCCGCGATTGAGGTGTGTAGCTAGTGCCTTCACTGTTGCGTACAGAGAAGCTCACTGGTTTTGGGCTGAGCAGACAAATCGCCGCCACGAACAAATCGTCAGCTCCCATCTGAAAGAGATCCGGCGACTACAAGCGTCAAACAAGGAAGTTATCGCCGCGAATAAGGAGCTGAGAGGAAAGGTACGGCGTGAACCTTCCAATCGGCTCTTCACTTGAGGCTGAGCATGAATCTCTAAGATTAGCGTATTAGAACACGACAAAGAAGTGTGTGCCAAGCAATTGCAAGCCGCTCGGTCTCAATTACGCTTGGTGAGAATCTTTTGTGTCGCACTCTTACATCCGTTTGCTGACATTTCGCAGTCTCGGGATAGGGGTCGCCGACTGAAGGGCGATTTACATGGGGAACCGCTCAAGAGCGAGAATAAGCTCGAGCAGCTGCAGCAGCGCAACGGTTCACAGCACTCAGCGCTATCCAAGAGATTGTGCAAAAACGGTACGTGACTGTCTCACGATTGGTGCGCTCGCACTACGCTCAAACGATTCACCCTTGTAGCAAGTTCTCAGACCGTCGCTCATACTGGTGGTCAGATCGAGAAAGTTGCAGAGGATAAGGTGAGCGGCGGGGGGAATCCGCTCTTCGCAGTTCGAGGCGTTCTGATGTCTTTGGCTCCGGTGTCAGCTTCGACGAATGCAGTCTGCGCTAGCATATCTGATATGTTCAAGTCGGCATTTTCATGTGAAGCCATCAAACTTTCTTCGCGAAAGTTCACCGGCCGCATTTGAAGTGCTTTCTACCATATTCCCCACGAAAACGACACCACCCGACATGATGGAGTTATGCTTGGCATTTATTTACAATATCATCAACCAGACAGAGGAAGTCGGGGCAAGTCAGGTATGTGACCCGTTTCTCCGACATCCGGCGCAAAGAAAAGGACCTTCTCACGTAGACTTACATATGTCCTCATCTTTGTTTCAGAGAAATGAGCTCGCCCAACAAGCATTGAAGCGCCTCAGTGATCCTCCTTCTCACGTCATCAGCGAATCTATTACGTTACTTCTCTGCCTAATCATCCTGCCCTGCGCTATACAAGAGGGCCCTCTGCAAACAGCTTTCGACCATTTCGTCCCACTGCTCACCTCCGATGAAGGGAAGGCGGCTTTCGTTCACTATTGTGCAGTTGAGGTTGTTCATCCTTTCCTGAGAAGCGATGTCAATGAGAACTTGAGGGCGTTGGCAAGTGTGACGCTGTTGACTCTTTCTGCGGATAGTGGTAAGTGATTTTCTGCTGAAGCGTTCACATAGCAATGACTAACCCTTTTTCATTTACATGAAGATAATCTGCAGTCCTTCCTAACCCAATGCGCGCAACCTGAATGCCTCAGATCGTTCGTAGCGGCGCTATCAAGGTCATCAACCTTGCCCAATACCCACAAGAAAAATACCCACCATACTTTGACGGACGCAACTGTTGTCGAGAACATCGCTGTCATCATACAAAAAATGTCACGCCTGCCTGAACTGCACATGCGGTTGAGGAGCCACCCGCAGCTCATCCCGACTCTGAATGAATTGATACAAGAGGATGGAATCGAGTCGGAGTTCCTGGCGTTCAATGTGAGGTCCGCACTGGATAATCTGGAATAGCATAGGACTGTACGAACTATAAAAACGTCTTCACTATAGTAGAGTTTGATTTGAACTCAACCGTCGGGACATCGGGTGTCGGCGCTTTGCCTCTGGGGGTTATGAGGAGCGTAAGCCCCCGCGATTGTCACAATATATGTATCATCGGAACATAGGCTGGAGCGCCTTTAGTACTTGAGCACAAAGCCGGACGGGCCCACATCCAGTACCCTCTGCAAGAAAACGAGTCCGCCAACATTAGTGATCCCGGTGTGACCCGTTCCAAGCCTCAGGATTCGGGTCGAAGAGATGCTGAAAACCTCACTCTCAACATCGGATTGCTTTCCTGATCCCACTCGGCCGGCAACCGTCAGCAGCTTCTGGAACGCATCCAAAGCAAAAATCGAACATTTTCCACTCATGTGCAGCTTGTTATTTGCTAATGGAAGGACCAGAAGAATTGATATTCATCCACCGGCCATAGCTCAGCTGGAAGAGCATCAGACTGTAACGCAAGCTGTAATCTGGGTGTCCCCAGTTCGACCCTGGGTGGCCGGACATTTCTTTTCGTCATCATTGTTTTGTCTTTTTTTCCCACTGGCTGGCACCTTCCTTTCCTGTCTTTTCATTACGCTCTTGATGTGGTCATTTTCCTGATGCCTTGATGCCGCCGAGGTCCCCGACTCCCGCGCTGAGGGGGAGGGCGCCCGAAGATGTGACTTTTAATGGGCGCACTGTTACTTTGCTGTCAGTGCGATCATCAGCAACAAATATCGGCATGCATAGCCGAATGGCACAAGTAACGAATACTTGTATATGTATCTCGAGCATGTAAAGAGCAAAGCCGATGCATGATCTCGCGAGAGGACCTCAAGAAGTACAATCAGGATAAACGCCGATAACTCGCTCTACGGCACGCCAGGAGGGTGACCAGATGATCCAGAACCTCCCAAGATAAACCTCATCTGCTATAGTGGAGTTCGGTGCTCCGCGCTTCCTTTTGTTCCTGAATAGTTCTTGTCATAGGCGTCAGGGCGGGGAGCAGATCGTCGCCACCATGCCGTGGTCGGCGATCGATTCTTTCCGGTGGTCTTCCATTTTTTTTAAAAGGAGTAGGGGGCCGACAACAACACGCGTCATCCTTCCGCACCTTAGTCATATTCACACGAGGCTCGCTTATGGCTGCGGCGTTCTGTCTTGCCTTGTAGCGGGTTCGTTGGGTATACAGTGGAGGCGTTTGTTTATGTGAGTGGATGGGGAGGACAGAGGAGCGAGGCATTTCATCATCATTGGTCGATGTCGGCCTCATGTGTTGACGTTCGAACATAGCTTTTGTTGAAAACGACAACCCATCAGGTGTCACTGCTTAGCGGAAGCGTCGCTTGCCAGTCTGCGTCGTTTCCACTTTCTTTGGACAAAACGCCCTCTTCCACCAGTCCTCCTATGAGATTCCCCCCTAATTGGTTTTCCGGAAACGATCGCCAACGGAGCTCGCCTACCTAGTGTTCGAAACGCGCCTCTGCAACGGCTTTCGAATACGTTTCTTCTCCTCAGCTATCACTGTCTCCGAGAATGGTGGGGAGCGGACGGCCCGCATCAGGGAGATGGTGGGCTTTGGTGTAGTTGCTTGTTTTGCGAGCGATTCGGAGGACCTATTGAAGGTGGTGATATGGCAGACCGGCAAAGATCCTTTCTTTTGTGCCTTGGCGGACTCCGGCGAGCGGCACAGCTTGCCGTTCCGCTGCACCTCACGAACACAACGTCACAGTCGCTATAGAAGCACCTGGACCCGTTGTCATTGCAATCTTTGACAGCCGCGGCGATGAGGGCCTCGCCCCAGATCCGATTCCTTGGGCTGCCCGCCATTAAGCGTAGTTACTAGTTGTCGCTCCGGACTTTTCCTAGAGCCCCCTATCGTGGGGAGAACCTGCGCTCCCTTGATTCCCTCGTCGTCCAGGGTCAACGCTTTGGTGCATAGCGACTCGTGCTGACAGCTTCCGCCAACATCCGTGTTGTCCACGTCCCTCGTGGTCAGTCTTGTTCTGCAGCGTGAACACTCATGTAGGACCATCCCGTAATCGGAACGGGTTCCCCCGACCGAGGACTCCACCCTGCTTCCTTCTTCCCTCTCCATAGCGGAGCGCTATTCTCACATGAGAACCGATGAATATCGCTCCTCCTTCAGGCCCGCAAACATGAGCATCCTTCTGATGACGTCCAATGTTCCGATTTTCCTTGGCGATCTCTTCCTTGGCGGGAGTGGTCTGTGAGCAACGCTCGGAACGGCACCTTCCACCTTGAATCCGGTAAGCATCAGTGATGGGGACGGCGCCAATTTCGAAGTCTCCCTTAGCAATCTCTTTGATCTCCAGGGCGCGACCTGGGAGCAGTGCTCTGATGGTCGGCAAAGATGTGAGTGATGACCGTGACGATTTTGGTCCCAACGCTTTCCTTGGCGATTCTCCTAATCTCGGCGGGCCAAGCTGCAAAGAGGGCCTGGATGGTCGGCATCTTACCCGACTGCTGCTTGACCCTGTGACCCTTCCGTTTGATGGTGCCGGCGGTCTCGTCAATGCCGCCCGAAGCACGCGAAGGGGACCCAAGCCCACGCGTCCCAAAATATCGTTGGAGGAAATAGCGTTGAACGTCCGTGTCGCTTGTTGGAGACCGGTGTTCCCGTCAACGCGGTGATGCGCACCCGGAAGAGGACCCAAGCCCACGCGTAAGAGAATATTGCTGACAGTCCCTATCGCTTGTTTGAGATCGGCGAACTCGTCAACGCCGCCAGAGGCCCGCGGGAGGGGAACCAAGGCCACAAGTAGCACGATGCCATTCACCGTCGTGTCCCTTGTTTCACGAATGTTTTCCCACTTCCCTCAGTAACTCCTCCGCCCGCTCGGCACGCCATTGCATAGCTTCCAATTGCGATCGTAGAAAATTTCGTTCGCAACCAAACAATTGATCTGGTTTTCAATGTGCTTTGTAACGCTTTCTTTGATCCAACCTCGCACGCGAGTCAGCGACGGACCCCGCGGGTGGAGATTAGATTGAACGATGGATCTGCTGCAGCACCCACTTATCCACCTCCTACGTTGCCACCGTTGCGGCGTCGGAGGGGGAGCCGGGGGTCCGCGAGGCGTTCTTGTTCGCGACGGTACCAGCATTGCGTGACTTTTTTGGTATCCATAGAATGTTGATAATCTGGATCCGCCGATATAAGAATGTTCTTTTGCTCCTCACGGGCGCCGCCCTCATCCCCGCCCTCGTCCCCATCCTCAAAATTCCCTTACTTGGCGTCTTCATTTGGTCCTTTAAGCCACCTTGCAAATCTTCATGCGAGTGTCACGAGTTGTCAAGGTAATGGCAGACTTATGCACAAAGACGCCAGAGTAGGCTTTCCGAGTGTATAAGACAACCTCAGGTGCATCTCTTCGATGTGCTGGCGGAAGCCGGGATGGTCGTCCTTCCTGTGCTTTGACAGGGCCGATGATGTGTGAGGCCGAGGGGTAATTATTACCCGGTGTCTGCTCTGAAACGTTCTGACAGCTTCTCCACACAATCTCGCCTCTTTCCTTCGAAGCTCAGTCCAGGACGACGACAGACCTCCTTGATTTGTGCCCGTCAATCACGCCGGGTCACATGGTCTCCCGTGCTTCCCAGGAACCTTCTTGAATAAGAGAAACAACCACTGGCACCCAACCACTGCGCCGTGACTGCGGCAGGGTCGGTTTTGCGTTCTTCAAAAAGAAGCACAAGAGAGCTCCGGAGTGGACTCTTTCCACGATTTGGGAAATTGGAAGGATGGGATCAACGTATTGCATACTACACAACATAGCGGGCGGCCATCCACAACTCCGGCCCAAGATGATGGCTGAACGTTTGTGAAAGCCACAGGGGATTGTCTCCACACACCTCGCTCCCATCTCCTTTCTTCCCCAGTCCATCCAGAGGCTCAACAAGAGGCTTTCGAATCATCGTCGAGTAACCCGGCCCCCACTGACAGCTGCGGCCGGCGTGCCTCCGTTGGATCCTTGGCCTTCTCCAGACAAACTCCACCCGCGAATATATAACCGCCGCCCCCCACTTCCCTTCCCGCCTCCGTTCACACGGAAACACATACCACCCAAAACCCATCAACCTTCAACAACCCCATACCTGTACCTCGCAAAATGCAATTCAAGGCTATCCTCGCTGTCGCCGCTTTGGCCCTTGCTGCCCCCGCTTTCGCTCAGGAGGAGCCTTCTTCCTCCGTCGACATCGTTCCCACCTCCGACTTTCCCTCTGACCCTGTTCCCAGCGATGAAGTGGCCGGTTCCTCATCTACTGATGTCGAGGGCGCTGGCATTCCCACCTCCACCTCGGCGTTTACTAGCCCCACCCCCTCCGCCAATAGCACCGCCTCTAGTGTCATCTCCAGCGTCTTTTCCCGTGCTTCGTCCATCTCCAGTGGTGAGTCGTGGGAATTGACAGGCCTACAACATGATTTTGTTCACTAAAGTTCGTCGTTTCTTTTCTCTAGTGATTGCAACCGCTCGTCCTTCCACTGCCGTGTCCTCTGCCCCCGCCGGAGCCACCACGTCCGCCGCCGCCAAGCCTGCCAACGGCGCGACTGGATCTTACGGAGCGACAAGCATCCTCGCATCTGTCGGTCTGACCGCCGTCGCCGGTGCCTTCGCCCTCTTGCTTTAAATATCCCCCCCCCCCCCCCCCCCCAAACATATACGTAAATAGTCCAAAGTCTCATGTGTCTACTAGTCTGTATTTGCGGTATAGTGTATCACCGTAAAATGGCGTACGTGGCTGTATCGGCGTAGCTAGTATGCAGGACGCTTCGATTTCTTTAATCAATATCTGTTTCTTTGTCAATCTGATGCGCTGGAAGTCCAGTGTTTGACATATTGACATACACGTGGGGAAATGAGTATGTGTGAGAAACATATCCGCCTGACACAACAACCGTGAGCGAATGGCTGCGGGGACAGCTGGCCTTTCGTCTCGCCCGACGATACCAGCAGCAAGTGACGAAGTAATCGCCGTCATACCCTTTGATGAACAGATGGTCCCCCATCCACTCCATCCTCTCCTTCGAGGTACCGATTGCCGGCCAAAACCAATCCACGCCGACCCTAAGTCATTGAATAAACGCCGCCGGTACTCCTTCACATCCAACCCGCAGACACAGGTATCGATCAGCGCCTCGATGCAGTCTATTTTGTTCGGAAGTATGCTTCGAGTATCCGCAAGGCGATAGGGAAGCCAAACAGTGAAAATATATAGATGATGAAGAGTAGTCCTATGGGGTATAGGAAGACTACAGGATTCTTGAGGAATGGTAATGCTGGAAAAGGTGCAAAAAGAACGCAGGTCAGTATGGGGCCCCCACCCCCTATCCATAACACCGCAGCCTGTGCCAAACCTTTGTATCCCAGGAACGTTATGTAAACGTAATATGATGTGGCGACTAAGTACATGGTGTTGCCGACAAACAGGGATATCCAGTTGTTTTTCGTCACGATGGGTATGAAGAACAGCTGGAGGACGTAGGTGACGAGGAACATGGGGAAGAAGGAATTGCAGTGCACGTCAAAGGCGTAGGCCCATTCGACGGATTGTTGCACCGAGTGTGGGTTGTGTTGCAGGAGGAAGCGATTTGTGAATGCCCTAACGGAAGGAACATGGTAAACACCGCAGTCAGATTGTCTCCCCAAGCTCAAACTGTGTTTGGATAACTCACCACAAAGCTGTAGCAACCACTGCTCCCACCAGTAGGAAGTCGATGAAAACCATCCAAAGGATCAACCGCAACAATCCCCCAAATCCCACGGAATACACGACCCCGTATGCAATAGCCGACGCTGAAAGAAAGGAGCGTATAATGTGCATCAGACGGTAATCCACAAGCAGTGGATAATCTACAATCGTGTTTCCGTCTTACTCGTCAGGCAGAAGAATAATATCGCCATAAATGCTGGATCATCCCTTGCCCACTGATTTTTCGTTTCTATCGACGCAGAGAAGGCCAAACATCAGCAATCTGTGCTCCATGACGTTTGACTTAAGTATCCACTGGTGCATACGTTTGTGGTATTTGATATTCCGATATCTACGATAGCGGAGTAGTATGAGCGACGGTATAGCTTTCCGGCACCCGCAGAAACACTGAACTCACACTCGTTCTGGTGAGATACACAAATACAGCATCTCCCACAGCGCAACCTCAAAATCCATTTGGCGGAACGAGAACAGTCGCCGTAGATACGTGGGAAAAAACCTATTGGAGCCTCTTCGGGTCCGCCTTGGACGAGACATTGGTGATGGGAAGTCATATGGGCTGGATGGCGTCCGCGTGGCGCTTGTTGGCAACATGTTGGCTTTGCTTTCGGCGAGGAGATCTGCTGATTTGAGGGGAGCTCAGCAGCCTCGACCGTGGAGGAAGCTTATAGCGGAATGTTGAAGCCGCTGGCTATATTGTATGGCTGAAGGTCTGAAGGTTTTACGAAGGGGCATAGGAGAGTTGCTACTGTGACCGCAACAACTTCCACGCGACTTGCGTTTGAAGTTGACTTCCTCATTTCCCAGGCACAGAAGCAAGGATCTCCAAGATGGCAGAAGGTGTAGGCTCACAGCAGCAAGGGCTTACTCCTCACTCGTTCTTGCCACTCCAACCGTACGAGGTACTATGGGCGTTGGCTGAGCACCACCTACAGAAGGCTGCAAAACAGGAGCACTTGGGCGGGACCGGACCGGACAACGCGATCTCTGAACCCGTTGAGCCACATCTAGAGGCGTGTGTCCGAGCGTTGGAGGCGGTGCTACTTTCAGGTGTCCTGCCGCTGAAGGTCGAAGTCAGGACGAGGCACCGGCTGGCGGAGGTCCTGCATCTGCACTTCTTCAACTTTCAAGAAGCTGAGGCACATTTATCGAAGGCGGTGGGTTATCCTTGAGGATGAGCATTTCATGTTTCTCACCGTCTAAAAACTGATCATTTTTGGTATGATCCTGGATCAATAGGCTCTTCTAGTGCAAAAGGTACCCGTACTGAGAATACTGCTGACGCGTTATGCGAAAAAGATGCCCGAACCGAGTCTAACCTAGGTTTTGCGACATAGTCAAACGATGTGGATATGTATGAATACGGCTACAGGATCAAAGATCTGCAATGCCGAATTTGCGAAGCTGATCCGACTGGGATGGCTGGGAGGACAGTCAAGAATCAGTTGAAACAATACGCCGCGGATGCAGCCAGGTGTGTTGGCGTTTACTCAAAGGGGGTTCATATTCTGTTCTAAAACTCAGCACAGATTACACATGCGAAAGTGGTATTACCACTTTACGATGAGGCGCGCGCGTATTCTAGCGTTGGAGAAGGACTACAAAGGGTGTTGCTCGACGCTTTTGAGCGCGGCTGAAGATGCACGGCTACATGGGGAAGGAACTATGCAGGTTTGGCCGCACTTCCATGCAAGTGACATGAGACACGTTATTTATGGATGTTCGCCGTTAGTGTGCACTTCTGCTATCCCTCGCTGCCATCTTGCTGAACCCTGAAAGTCTGCAACTGGGCCTCGACGTGGTGAAGCTACTCGAAACACTGTTTGAGCCAATGAACGGACAACAACCTGCCGCGGTCGAAGGCGGTCAACCCATCGGTCCCACCACGGTGTCAATAGCTTCAAGTCAGAACCAACATCTGCGACTGTACTATATCGCCACCACAATCCTTTACAACCTTCAGATGGGAAACTCCAAAGATGCTATCCCAAAGTTGGCGGCTCTGCACGCGCTCGCGGAAGCTCCTTCGCATGAAACCCAAGCCGAGACCGCAGCTGGCATCATTCAAGTGTTGGTTCGAAATGGGGAACACACGGTGCCATTCGCTCTCTCAGTCCTACCTCGATACAAGCTACACATCGTAATCTTCCTGATATCTGCTTTGACGCACAAGACTCAAGATGGATTCAAAGCCCAAAAGCATCTGATTGAAGGACTGAAGGCGATAGAAAGTACGTAATCTCGACTCGCTAGATGTGGCAGTACGGGAGACTAACACACCTGTTTTATCAGAGGAGCTTGCACAACGACCGGCTAGAAGTATGTTATTCATTCGGACACGTCCCTGAATCCCGGCTTTCTGACCCGTCTATCTCAGGTGCACGACCCGCAGAAGCGGGAAATTCCGACACAGAGCGAGCATGGCTTTGCGACGCGAAGTTGACTTTCCTCAGGCACATTTCGGAAATCGCTATCTATCGGGGAGAGTACTTCGATTCTTATCGCGTGGGTGCAGCATCGATCATGCTATGCCTCGTACCTTCGGAAACGGTAGCTAACTCGTCAACAGGTGATTGGAAAGATACTGGAATGGTGCACGTCGGAAAGCGCTCTATGGACGAGGTTTCGACCTGTGGTCCTTCACAACTGGGCGATGCTTTATCAAGCGGTGGGCCGATATGACCTCGCGGTTGAGCGCTATAGAGAGGCCGCGTCCATAGGGAATGGGGAGTTCAGATTCCTTGGCGCGGTTCATGTAGCGATTCTTGCTTGTACGGAATCGCCGCCTGACCATGCTAAGGTAACGAGGCCGGACGAGGATTCCACCTGCCACAATGTCCCTTACAGACTTTCTCCTTTCGCAGATTGCCGGCGCGATAGCTGATCTAGAGGCGGCAGTCAAAGACCAGGGAGGAGTCCGCACCGTTAGCGAAAGGGCACTTACGGGTTTGATTGAGGGTCTGCATCTTTTGATCAGCGGAAATATTCGAGATACCAAGTAAGTGCCGTTCTGTTTGTCACCCCTCGATGTCCCAAAATATCCGATTAACCTGAAGGTACACAGAGTCAAGATCCTGGACAACATAAAGATAAACGACGCCTTGTGTAGCACACAACTGCGGTACATCTCCGTTGGCCTGCTTGGGGAGCTGTTCTCCCCAATAGACCCTAACCATGCAGAACGGATGTTCTGCACCGCATACACTATTTCCAAGAACGCGCACAACCACAGCTTTGCGGCCGCTTCAGCGGAGAACGCGGCTTCATGCTTTCATCGCAAGCAAGATCGGGATACGGAGATAAAGTTTATAGAACTCAGTCAGAAGCATTGGGAACTGGACACGAAAGTTTTAGCTCTACTGCCGGCGGTATTCAACGAAGTGCACGGAGGACCACATGCACATGCCTATTGAATTAGTGCCTCCTTTGCGCCGTACTCTAGTTATGTAGGAGAAATGGATTGCCCCAATGGGTTGGTAGACACTTCAGCGGGCATGGTCCTGCGTATAGATCGTGTGTATTTGGATTCAGGATGACGGGATCGCATCTACCAGGCACTGTCGAAAGTCCCGTCATTTGGATAACAGGCTTCAAGGTTTGGGGAGTTTCCGGTCCTCAGGCAATGGTCACAATCGTCACAACTCACCATGTCCAAGAAGCACCACTACTCATACAATCACATCCACACGCTCCTTGCCGGCGCCGTTGCGTCGTTGAAGAGCGTGCCCGACGTCCTGGTCCCAATCAGCGGAGGCGGTCTCATCCCCGCGAGAATTCTGCGCACACTGCTGAAAGCCAAGTTCGGCAAGACCGTGCCGATTAAAGTGATTGGCCTCCAGCTTTATGATGACGATACCGAAACGATCCTCGAAAGTGGAGTGAAGAGGACCCAGTGGCCGCGGGAGCACGATTGGGACCCGGAGCTCAAGAGCGTTTTGCTGGTGGATGAGGTTGACGACACGCGGTGAGTATGCGACCGTAAACACAGGCGTTGCAGCTCCCAGAACGCTTCACTCCCAGGAGCTCACGCAGGGGGCTCCCATTCTGTACAGGACCACCCTTCAATACGCAGTAGAGAGCTTGCGCAAAGACTTTGGGCCAGAGGTCAAAATCAACGTCTTTGTGGTACACGATAAACAAAAGGAAAAACGAGGAACATTACCGGCAGACGTGGAGTACATCGCGGCCCTAAAGGTGGAGGACGTTTGGATTGCCTACCCGTGGGATGCTATCGATATTGACGAGCATCAGAAGATTGCTGACGAACAAAGAGTGATCGACGCCGCACTAGTTGCCTCGCCTTGGTAGAATAGCTAGCTTCATTTAGCCATACCTTAGCCATACCTGGAGCTTTGATCTAGTACTATACACAGCACCTGAGGCAGCTGCACCTTCCCCATGTAAGAGGCAGTTCTTGGCTTTTGCCAACACAATCGCTTCATCGAGCTTCAAAAGTCGAACGCTCGCCTGAGGCCATAGCCGTCAATTTACGTCAGCAGCTCCGAACTGTCATTTTGCCCCCCGCTCCTATACCCGATTTGCTTCGTCCGGTAGGGATCTTAACTTTAGCTTATTCCTGCGCGACGTCCCGTACGTTCGTCGCCGAATACGCTCCTCACTTCTGTGCTTGGCCTTATTTTGACACCCGGCTTCTTAATCCCTTAAAGACTTCATTTCGCGTGGGGAGTAACTTTGGAAACAGTAGAACCACAGCATACACTATAAGATTTGACCTTCTGATAAGTGAACTCCGCATCCTTCTCCGATACTGCTCAGCAGTAGCCGCCATCATGTCTCACTTGTCGCTGAAAATCACGGCGGTGGGCTTAGGCCTCACGAAGACTATGCAGGTTCGTGCAGCGTGGCAAGCATTGTATGGGAAGTCTTCACTCACTCCCCTTTGAATTTAGTTTTCGGGCGATATGTCAGTATATGAAGTTTGCCGGGAAATCCGTGAAAAGTTCGGCGAGGGTGCCGGTGGTCAAGATCATGGACTCATGGCCCCCGATTCTGGGAAATGGCTGCAGCCATCGAAGCTTCTTGACTTCTACGACCTCGTGTCCGGCGATTCATTAGAATATCGAAAGAAGCATCGTCCGCTAAAAGTGAAAACGATGGACAACAGCGTCAAGACGGTTCTCATCGACGAAAGTCTAAATGTACAGCAACTTGTCGAAATTATTTGCGAGAGGATAGGCATCCAAAACCCCGAGGAATACTCCATTTTGCCTGAGAGATCGTTGGAGGCCGCGCAACAAGGCGTGGGAAAGGACGCTAAGACTCAACCGAAAGCAAAGGTTGGTCTGGACACGTTAGCAGGGGACCAAACCAAATGGCTTCACCCGGACAAGACCCTGCGAGAACAAGGCGTCAACGAAGAAGATACGGTCATGCTGAAAAAAAAGTTCTTCTTCACTGATCAAAACATTGACCGAAACGATCCGGTGCAGTTGAACCTGATGTTCAACCAGGCGAAGGAGATGATCATTTCCGGCAAGCATCCCTGTACAGCCGAGGAGGCCTGTCAATTTGCTGCCATTCAAATGCAAGTCCAGTATGGAAATCACGAGCCCGACAAACACAAAGCTGGGTTCATCAAGTAAGTGCCGATGTTGACCGCTCGTCTGTGAGGCCCCTCGTTGACTTGTTGGCGGTGTCTGTGTGCAGGGTAAAGGAATACATCCCTCCAGAATACCAGAAGGACAAGAATCTGGAGAAGCGGATCTATACGGAGCACAGTAAACTGCAAGGCTTGACGGAGCTCAATGCCAAATTTCGATATGTACAGCTCTCACGGTCGCTGAAAACCTACGGCATTACCTTCTTCTACGTCGAGGACGAGACAGCCAAGAAGAAGAAAGATTCCGCGATGTTACTCGGCATTACCAAGCAGAGTGTTGTCAAATTGGATCCACTCACCAAAGAAATCATCCGTGAATGGCGTCTGACACAGTTGCGTCGCTGGGCGGCGTCACCTAACAGTTTCACCATGGACTTCGGAGATTATGCTGAGGCATACTTCTCAGTTCGGACGAAAGAGGGGGAGCAAATTTCGCAACTGATCGCAGGGTATATTGACATCATCATCAAGAAGCGGAAGGAAGCAGAAAAGGTGGTGGAAATTGACGAGGAGGAGCAAGCAACTCTAGAGGAATATGTGACACCGAGTCGAGCCACCAATGTTGGCGTTGTTACTGCCGGTGCAAGAACAGCCGTGGAAACGAAGATGTCTCAACCTACGATGATGGCAGATGGGATGAGGGCCGGATGGGGTCGCACGGGAGCGAACATATATCCAGTGCAGTATGGTGTAGTTGGAGGCGGTTATACCGCACGAACGTCGGAAATTTCTGGAGCTCAACAAACTGTCATGCAGAGTATCAGTAATGGATTTGCTATGGTTAACAATGCGGCAAACGACATGAATCACGCAACCAACCTACCTCCGCTCGGTAACGACGCTGCAGCAGTTCAGTGGAAGCAAAACACTGTGGACGTAAACGCCGAGGCCGTTGCCGCTCAGATTATTGCAAATCTTGCGGCGGCAGGATCTTTGGTGAACAACGCAACAGGTGCAATGGAAGAAATGGATTACGAGGTCATTGGGGCAAACATCGTAACGATGACTTCCAATCTTGGTCAAATGGCGCAAGGAATTAAACTGCTTGCTGGTCTGCAAGAGAATCACGAAGATCAGGAACACCTCTTGGCGGCAGGCAGAGAAATTGCTATCGCAGCAGCGAAGTTTCTCGAAGCCGCCCAGCCACTCTGCATGGGGCAAACCACTGGCCGGGAGGAGTTCTTTAATCACGCCAAAGAGGTCTCCGCCGCGTCTGCAAACCTCTTGATGTTGATGGGAAGGCTGGATGTGGACGATGCGTCTCAGGATGATCTGCTTCAAGCGGCAAAATACGTTACCAAGTACGCTATGGATCTGATCAATACTGCACGCCCGATGGCAAGCGGCACCAAAGACCCCGATGCACAAGCCATGATCAGCTTCAATGCTCAAAGAGTTGGTGAAACATGTCCAGCGCTCGTCGCCTGTCTGACTGCTGTGTGTCCTGCAATCACCAATACTCAGTGTTTCGAGCAATTTGCCGAGTCAGCCATGCTACTGCGTGATGCCGTGGAGCAATTAGTGCTGTCTTCGGAGGCCGCTGGAAACCCGAAATTAGAGAAAACTATGAAGGAGAGCGCGCAGAGGGTTGCAGAAAACATTGCTAAGCTGGTAGAGAAGGCAAAACGAGGCGGGAATACGTCGACAGAAGATCCGTTCGACATCCAGCATGACGCAGTACTCAACTCTATCGACCAAATGTTCCAGCAAATCGACACCGTTGATGGTGTGGTCAATGGGGCTAGGGATCTTACCATGATCGCGATGCAGTACGTCAACATGCTCAAAGGTCTGGGACTGGATGTCGAAGATTCTGACGAGAAGAATCGGCTCCTGTATGTGGCGCGATCCCTTGGAGATGCGACGTCAAAGATGGTGGCCGCAGCCAAGGACTCCTCGAGGAATCTCAACGATCCCGCTGCAAGGGGGCGACTGGAAGATGCGATTCTTTCGGTGCGCGCGGCAGCCAATGAGGCTGCCGGACCCCAACTCCGAAATAAGGCGTTCAACAGGCTAGTGAAGGCAGTTCGAGACTCGATCGCTTCCTCAAACCAGCTCATCTCGGCTTCGCGCGCCACAGCGCAATCCAACCGGAACCAAGCATCGCAATTGCAGCTGAATCAAGCAGCGCGGCGAATCAACGAGATCACGCCGGCTCTTACGACTGCGATGAAAAACTCGGCGAGCGAGCCGGAGAACATGGCCGCTCAGCTGAAACTTATCGAAGCGGCGAAGAAGTTCATTGCCCCTTGCGCCTCTCTGATCGCTATGGCCAAAGTATCCGTACCCACCATTGCCGATACTTCATCACAGTCGTCCATGATCAACACAATGAAGCAGACGGAGGATGACGTCTCCAAATTGGAGCGTGCTTTCATTCTAGCAGAAGAAGCAAGTGCTGGAATGGAAATGGAAAGCGCAGTATATTCATTGCAAGTGCACCAAGAAGAGCTCACTGCCGCCGCATCAAATCCAGCCGCCCTGGTTCCCATTGAAGGGTATACAGCCGAAATGTCGCAGACCGAAATCCTGAACGCTGTTAAAGCTTTGCAGAACAACATTGCCCATCTCGCTGGAGGGGTTCAACAAAGGAATGAGAAAGTGGCCGGCAATGCTGCCACTGATGCTGTCGCTGCATTACAATCGCTTTCCTTCGCGGCACTGGCTTTAGCATCGGTCGAGAATGACTTCAGTCTCCGTCAGGATCTTCTGAACGCCGCCAATGGTGTCACAGGTGCACTCTCGAACTTGCTGGCAAGCTCGAAGGAGGTTGGACAGGACCCAAAACGTCAAGCGTACTTTGAGAGCGAAGTCCAAGGCATATCGGAAGCGTTGGGCGATTTGACCAAGTTCTTACCGGGTCAACGAGAACTCGATAAAGCAATCACTCAGGTTCATCAGGTTGGCGAGCAGATCAGACAGAAAGGCCTGTCGACCAAAGGTTCGAGCGGTGTGACTTTCCAGGCTGCTCAGAGCAAGCTCCAGGCAGCTGCGACTGGCATCACTGTGTCCGCCAATGGCTTGGTGATCGCTTCTCGTGCTTCTCCGGAGGAACTGAAACAGTACGCTCAGCAGTTTGGTCAAGCATATACCAAACTTGGAGATGCCAGTGGAGTGTATGCTGGAACGACGCAGGACGAAGTTGCAAAAGGGCATATCACCCATATCTTGGTGGACGTTGCTCAATCATCGGAGAAGCTCTTGACTATCAGCAAAGCCTCAGCATTGGACCCTTCGAACGCTGTCTTCCGAACACAATTGATGAACGAAGCCAAGTCTATCAGCGAAAGAGTGAACAAGTTACTGGATGTGTGCTCTGCTTCCGCACCTGGACACGCTGAGTGCAACATTGCTCTGCAGGGCCTAAACGACGCCGCAGCGCGGCTGGATTCAGTGAACGATGCCAGTTCCAACCAAGATTCTTACGCTGAAAGCATTGCCAAAGCCTCTGACTCCTACAAGTCTTTGTCTGCAATACTAGCTTCAATTGTTAGCAATGCTCGATCCGGCAGCGTCGCCAAGATCGCGAGTGACGCTGCCGAGTTGTCGAACCACATCAGCTCTGTAACAGACAGTAACGTCCGTGCAGCTTACATGGTTGGAGTTTCGGATGAGTCCTCGATCCCAGCCATTCCCCCGATTGTTGATCAAGCGAGTCTGGCCAATTTTGCCCACGATATCAAGGAAGCCTGCAGGAAATTGGTCGATGAGGGGAATTCACAGCAGCAAATCCTCGAAATTGCGGGCACGATCGCCAAGCAAACGGGTGGTCTTTGCAGTGCTTGCAAAGTTGCGGCCGCAAACCCGCAAATCACATCAACAGCAAAGGCAAACTTTTTGAATGCCTCGAAAGATATAGCCACACGTACCTCGGCGCTGGTCGAAACAATAAAGCTACTTGCACTCAAACCTAGTGCAGAAGCGCGAAACCGTTGTCACGAAACGTCGGTACCGTTGACTGATGCCATCGATAAGTTGCTGAGTTTCGCCGTATCGCCAGAATTCGCCGGAACGGAGGCCAAGATGGGATCTGCTGCTCTTGCGGCTCAGAAGCCCATCCTTGAGGCCTCGCAGGCAATCATCCTCGCTGGACAAGAGTTCCTTGGTACAGTCAAAATGATCTGCAGCAACCCGAAAGATGAGGGGTCACAGCAGATGCTGCAAGCTCATAGCAGAGCTTTGGTGGACGCCGTTCAGGGATCTTTGCAGACCGTGACCACCTCCGCGCCAGGGCAAAAGGAGTGCTCTATCGCACTAGAAAAGCTGTCGCAGTCAGTTGTGAGTGTCGACAGTGCCATTGTGGAAGCTACGGTCAACAACCTTGCACCGCAAGCGGAGACGATGAACGCCGCTGCGTTGGTAGATACGGCTCGTGCCATGGCCAGCTTATGTGATGTACTGGCAAAGGCAGCAAAGGAGGATGCGACTGGCATAGGCGCTTCTGTCAACGAGCTCCCGGCGTCATACGAGAGGGTACGGGTCGACGTTTTCGCTGAAAAGGGGTTGAAAAGTTCATTTGCTCACAACTCTTTTGTCCTCATGAACAGGCATCGCTCGCTGCCATTTGCCTTGCGTCCAACATGGTGGACATGCATCAACAGATGAGCATATTGGAGCAAATCAAAGCTCTCGGAGAAGCCATGAATGCCTTCGTGTATGCGGCTAAGGCTAACGGCGGAAATGGAAAGAACGCCGCCGGAGGAAAGAAGGTCGAAGAGGAGAAAGCCAAAGTCCGGACGGCCGTCAGCAAACTCGTCGCGACGCTCGAAGGATCTCGTGATGAATCTGGAGAATTCACAAAGGCGGTGGAGACCATCGAGTCGACACTTTCGTCCGTAGACTCCAAGATCCCCGATACTGTGCAGAAAGCATATCACTTGTACGAGGAGGATGCCGAGGCCGTCGGAAAGCAGATTGTGGCGACTGTGGGAGACGTCATAGCCAAAGCAAAGACACCAGCGCAATTCCGTCAGATGGCAGGGACTATCGCCACGCTATATGATGACATGTGCACAAAAGGTGGATGTGCGGTTCGCGCCACGAGCGATACCAAAGTTCAGGAGAGCATCAAAGACGGCCTGAGAGGTCTCGGGGCTTCCGGAGTCAAGCTGATTGAAGCCATTCGCCACGCCAGCGGCAAGAGTGCTGCAGATCAAGCTTCGAGAGCTAAACTCAGTGCTGCCGCTCGCGAAGTATCGATTTCAGTAGCCAACATGATGGGCGTGGTGAAGGAAGGGTCAAAAGGGATCTTGCAGTGTAAGATGGCGATGGAGGACATCAACAGCATTGTGGCCGATTTGGAAGGAAACTTGATCTTTGCCCAAGCTGGGCAGCTCGATCCTGTAGACGTAAAGGACAACTTTGCCCGGCATAAGGACCCGTTATTGAGCGCTGCGCGAGCGTCAACTGAGGAGCTCAAAGCGTACATTGGTGCCGTAGGGGCTACGCAAGACGAACTGGCAACCGTAGTCACCGCATCTGTGACGGCCCTGAGCGCGCTTAGGGACAAAGTTCGTCTTGGTGCTACTGCAGTCACATCCGCCGACAAGCACATGCAGCAACAGCTACTGAATTCCGCGAAGGCCGTTTCAGAAGGACTGCAGGCCCTGATCGCCAGCGCGATCAATGCATGTGGGCGGTCCCCAGACGATCCTGCAATGATGGAATTTGCCGAAAAGCTGAGAACGGAGTTCCTCGCGATGAGGGAACTTATCAGAGGCGCCCGCGTGCTGGGAGACGAAGCTACTCGGGGGACTCGCGCTCTGGAAGGCGCGATGGCGGAAATCGACGAGGCATTGGGTGTCTTGACATCAGTAGCACCTGCTCAAGGTACAGCACTGCCCGATGAAGTAGCGGGATCCGCAAAACTCCTAGCTACTGCCGCCGCCGCCCTGGTTTCTGCGGCATCGGGCAAGCAGGAGGATATAGTGGCATCAGCCAACGCGATAAAGAAACAGATGGAAGACCTTATCCGGTCAGCAAAAGCCGCCACGGAAAAGGCGCCGCCAGAACAAAAGGGCCAGATGGTCGATGCAGTCCGAAAGGCAGGAGACGCCGTGAAGAACCTCCTCGCCCGTCTAAAGACCCAACAGGAGCACAACAACCCCGACAACAAAACGAAGGTCCAGATGGCCGCGAAGGATGTTGCGCTATCCGTCAATGCCATTGTCACCGCTGCTAGCGCATTACTACCGGCTGGTTACGTTGATGCCAACGACCCGAACGTTATTGCTGAGAGGGAGTTGCTGGCCGCCGCTGCTTCCATCGATGCTGCCGCACGGAAGCTGGCTAGCCTCGCACCGCCGCGTCCCAAGGAGATCAACGAAGATCTGAACTTCGAGGAGCAGATCGTTGAAGCCGCAAAGGCCATCGCCGCTGCGACCGCTGGTTTAGTGCGATCGGCAACGGGCGCTCAGCGTGAACTCGTCGCGAAAGGACGGACGGGTCCGAAGGAAGAGGCCATGTACTTTTCTGACGGAACTTGGAGCGATGGATTGGTTAGTGCTGCAAAGACCGTGGCTGGCGCGACGGGAGACCTCTGCGATACAGCAAACCAAGCCATGAAGGGCAAACTGGAGCGAGAGAGGGTCATCGTCAGTGCGAAAGCTGTTAGCTCCTCGACAATCCAACTGCTGTCCGCAGCGACGGCTCGCGCGGATCCGAACTCACAGGCTCAAATCAGATTGAGAGCAGCCGGAAAGGCCGTTACCAACTCGACGGACAACTTAGTCCGTGCAGCTCAACAGAACCTCGCATTCGACGATGCGGACCAATTCTCATCTGTGATGTCGGCTAGTGGGAAAGGTGGCGTCGCAAGCTCGAGAGTGGCCGAGATGGACGCGCAGGTCGCCATCCTCAAGATGGAGAAGGAGCTAGAGAAGGCGCGAATGAAGCTGGCGTCTGTTAGGAAAGGCCGATATGATGCAGGCAAGGCCGGGGCGGCACCGACACCAGCGGCCGCACCGGCACCAACTCCATCGAAACCCGGCGTGCAGACTACGAAGGATGCAGCAGCATCTCTGGCTGGTGTAATAAATCAAGGAGCCCCACCGAAGGCCGCAGCCAGGGCACGCGGCCAGGCACAATGAGGCCGTGCAATGTCGTATCGAATGTAATTCCATATCTTCACTCTATGACTCTATACTGTTTATTTTCTGACTCGTAAATATCGCTGGATGCTATAAGGCATTTTAATGACTCCTCTATGGCAACCCTAGAAACAAATTTAAACTGTGGTATACGCCGGCTCATAAAGATCAGCATTTCTTGCGATACGCCTGCTGGTGACCCTTACGTTAGGCTGATATCCGGAAATAATTTGGAAACGGATGGACACAAACCACTGCGGCCATCGTCCTTTGCATTCTCAGTCCGAATCATCTCCAACAGAGCAGGACCGAGGTTCAAGTCGTGGCGAATCACTTCATACGTGTCAAACTCATCGCTCAAGTGGAACATGAAACCCTCATTGACGAGCGCTTGGACTGCGCGGCTTACTGTAGAATCAATCCGCTGATCCGAAGGACTCGGGATACCAGTCTGAAGTGTCACATTAGTATTTAGCGTGTACAATCGGTCGGGAACCCGATGTTACGATTAGTTACAAACCTGCCCTATCAGAATCCTCCTAGAAAGTCGGAGAATGTCATCGGAGAGTCTCAGTGTAGAGAAGGGGAACCTCTCGAAATCGTTGCTTTTGATAAATAGCCGCATGATCGTCAGAAGATCCGCTTCCGACGGACTGCCGGCTAGTGCCTCATCGAGAAGTGCTTGATACACAACCTAAAATGCGTGGGACAGTTCAATCAAAGCCATAGAAACGTGAAATATAAGATTCATCGGTGCACCCACCGTAAGTTCTTCTGGGCTTTCGGCCATCGGGGCTGCCATCGACTCCAGCCGCAGCCACTCGGCCATCGTTGCTTCCAATTCGGTATCCGATAGGGTTGCTGTTGGTGACGTATAGAAGGACGTCTTCAGGTCCAGGATCTCGAGCCATCTAAACGCTTCCATGTTCATGTCATTCTCGACAGCTGTGGTAGATGTCATTCAGAAAGACCGCCCTTCGATACCTCATCCCACAATGTCCATACTTATGCTGTTGATCGTTATCTGCCTCTGAAAACGGAACTCGCCCAGGCGGCCGGACACCTTGACTAAATCCCCCAGGGACAAGGTTTTCCGGGACGAGACTACGCGATCTTCCATGGGGAACCAGTATACACAGGGAAGCAATCCAGTCCCGTCGTCAACTACATACAGTGCGTGCGGATTTAGTGAGCCAAGGGACATACCAAGTGAACCCGCCAATAGCTAACGAACCCGTGTAGGTAATGACAGCGGAAGATTCCTCTTTGCCCACAACAATACCGGTCACTTCGACCCGTCTCAGAGGCCGTCCGTTGAACATATAAACCTCTGCATGTACATAGGTAATCTCCTTCAGTGGAGTCTGTCAGGAAACGAATGTGTGCCAACCAACTCACCTGCAACCTGTGGGTGTTGCGAAAGTGCCAGGACGTCACTGATGAACAACCTGCAGTTGAGCCAAAAGAGATGGTCTAAGCCGAACCTCTGCACATCAGGAGCCGTGGACGCCATCCTTTGCTTTCCACATGGCCGTGGCCAACTCGGCACCAGGGAGTTCAGGAAGGCTTTTCGTTCTGGCCAGGTGGAAAGCCACAAGCGAAGTGTGAGACAAAGTCCGAACCAGCGACGCGTGAGATCACTCGCGGGCAGCAAACGCGTCCCCCTGCTTCCTTCTCTTCTTTCCATTCTGGTTCTTTTTCCAACGCGTTTTTTTCCGATTCCCCTTCTATTTCTTCTTCACGTCCTCAATCGAATCCTCCGCCATTCTCATCCCGCGGTTCCTAAAAACCATGATGTCGATGTCAATGTCAATGTTCCCGATGAGATGAATGTCCTTCAAGGGGGCCTGATTCAACACGATGAACAACCTCCCTTGGATGAGTCTCCCATGCCAGGTGTTGGCATGCCCAGCTTTGCATCCACCGTGTCCGGATACTCATTGAGGAGCTTGCAAGCTTGAGCAGCATTCGGCCTCCGCCGCTGTGCTGAACTCGGGATTCAAATACCCGCCGCCCGCCAAAACGAGAAAAGCAAACGAACAAACTGTACATGTACGTATCGCGAACATCAACGCCTCGCTTCAACGATTACTGCCAAGGGTTTCTGCTAAACCGGTTGCGCTATATTGGATCGTCAGGACATTAAGTACCCAGGCCACTTGCATCTCGAAATATGAGTTCGCCCTCACCCACCAGCTCGCTATCGACGCCGACAGTAACACCTATCGATGTCCAGACCCCAACGGTCGCTTCTCCAACCGTTTCGCCATCAATAACATCAATATATGTCCCATTTCCACCCCCAGGTGGCATTCCAAGCCCATCACAGCTGTATTCACGCTCCCCATCCGCAACTCATACCGTCACCACCAGCACACCTATTGTCATCTTCCCTACCAGAATCTCATCGACATCACCATCGTCCAATACCAGTTTGGGAGCTGCCGGCAGTTCCGGCGATAATCAGAGGATAGTATGGATCGCAATCAGCGGTGCAGCGGGTGCTGTCTTGCTCACTGTCATTCTGTGCGTGTTTTGCACAACTGTCATGGCATGCATCCGGAAACGTCGGGCGAAGAACAAGGGCTTTGGGGATTCTAGGGTTCGCCGATCCACGCTGATAAGAGTGTCTGGCGAGATGAAGAGAAGGACAGCCGACATGTGGGGAGTCGTAAGACATCACCGCCCTAGCACGGATGGTCTGGAAGGCACGGGAAACATGGCGACCATTGGAGCAGATCCAGAGCTGGGACTCCCTGTCCCAGGAAGGGCATACCCTATTCTGAGAGACTACTGGCCGACACCCGTCACGTCCGTGCCAGAAGCGCAACGAGACGATGCGCACATCTCCTGGACACAGCCGGCAGCGCACAAGCCGCCGAACCATGACTCCATTGCATCTACTGCACTGTGGTCACAGAAAGCGACCTCGGGACCCCCTCAAGCATCCCCAGCATCACTTCGCAACCACTTCGCAGCATCCGATAACCCTCGCGCAACGGCTCTTTACTATCCTACCCTAAAGCCCAACAATCACAAACATGCGAGCCAGCAGATAACCACCCCACGTGAATCCATGGACGAACAAACGCGTCCTGACGGAAAGACCATAGACTTAGCCACACCAATCTCCCGCGCGAGCACATCGACGATAAAGGCATCGGAAGCAGCACCAAAGCAGAAAGTACCGCGGCCTCACCGCCACTCAAGCCTATTCTCGGAAGTAGGAGGCCCAGGACTGTTTCTCCAAACCGCGGACTCTGAGCTCTGGCAGGATTCGCTCGAAAGTGCTGAGGACCCTACCACACCACCAAAAGCGCCTCCGAAACTGAGGTCGGTCGCCGTAACACCTCAGCTGCCGCCGATCAATTCTCCCGGTTCACGGCTTAGCTTGGCAGACTTTCAACCAGGGCATCACCGGGACTACTTTGGGCCCGATGCACGCGTAGATATGCCCAACACGTCACCTCGGCAGATTGACGGAACCCTGCCGCGACCGCTTTCTTTAGCGGCATCTACCGCGAGCAGTGTAGGGATGCTCGTAGCGATGTATTACAATACTATGGACCGGCCGAAGGAGACCCCCGAGACGTCGCCTAACCGGGAACCCACGTCCTCGGCACGTATCTGCGCTCGATACGGTCACGAGGTACGTGTTTTTCGTCTCCCAGCTCAGTCTCTCCTCGCTCGATGGCTCACATCCCAATTGTTTATGCAGCCCGTTTTCAACGACGAGATCGAGGTGAACGAGGGAGATAGCATGCTCATTGAACAAGTGTTCAAAGATGGTGAGTTTATCCTCATCTCAAGAATGCATGTTGGATGCCACCGGCACGTTCTAAAGTCGGTCCTCCCTTAGGCTGGGCGTACGGTTGGAACGTGAGACTAGGCACGCGAGGAATGTTTCCGCTGACGTGCCTGGACCGGAATTTTGCTTTGCCGGACGGAGTATCAGAGATATCCAGTATCGACATGCCTTCGGATCCTCAAATCGTTCCATACCCACGCTGACTCGGGCTAAATACACCCAAGATGGCGCAGGGTCCTCCATACCCAACTTATTATGTTTTCTATCCATGCTCCATATGGAAATTGTATATCTAAGTCTGCCTTTATTCGTGCTGTATATGTACATAAATCATTATATCCTCAAGCAATGCCTCGCTCGTGTGTGGTGGCCCTCGCCATGCGGCCGTGGTCGCTTTGACAAGGTTGGCAAAATAACAGGCGTTCGACGCGTGAACTCATCACTCGCAATTCCGCTCGACGCGTTTTCGGACGGAATTTGCACGGAAAATGTTGGTCGATGGCAATAAAGGCTAGCATCTCACGAGAAGCAAGGAACCCATTCACCGAGCCTGCATAAGTTCTTGAGCATTGCATATTCCACTGTCTGGTCGTGCGTGATCCTGGCTCTTTAAAAGGCGCACGTTTCTGCGTCATTCGCGCTACTTCGAATGAGCTTGTACTCCGCTTCCTGTGCATTGTGTCCATTGACTCGCTCGGAGAGGTGGATGTTAGAAGATCTGAGGACAGCACCAGTGTGAAGTTCATAACGGGCGCCTACGGGCTACCGGCTGCAAAAGCACCCAGGATTTCTCGCAAGCATCGAGTCTATCCGGAACCCATCGCGAACAACTACCTCCCGCTTACCGGACAATCAGCCATTCCGTCGCCTATGGCGAGCGTCTTGCCTATTCAGGCGCCCGTACCACCACTCCCTGCACCCAGCGCCAACGACGTACCGGGCGGAAACCGATGGCGGGCCGGCGGCGAGGCCCCGCCAGCACCCCATGGAAACGGCGACAAGGGAACTCCTTTGCGGCGGCGACATGGCCACGACGCACATCCACCCAAATCCCGCTATCGCCGAGTTGTGACAGCAGGAACAAGCGTGTCGAACATTTGGCGCTACTCCATCCGCGAGACGTCCCGTCAAAAATCACAGTTCTGCATCGGTTGCTGCTCCGTCTGCTTAGTCGTCTTTGCCGTTGCCGTCCTCATGAGCGTCATGGCAATTACCCCTGTCGTGTTTCTGGGCATCGCAGAACTGACCGCCGGAGAGACGGACATGACCGTCTGGCCGGATTGGCCGTCCGGATATACCCGACTGAATTACACGCTGGCGCAGACGGTCTTGTCGGACAAGGCGATGTACACTTACTCTACGCCAAGAGTAAACAATTACAACATGGCGTACTATCCGTCATCGAAGTGCATAGGGTGGGATGTGGCGAATGCACCGCAGAACACGACATTTTCCTACATCGGGCCGGACGACAGTTCGGCGGACAGCGGAGGGACCTTGGCTTCCAAAGCCTCTCTTCGAGCTGCATGCCAAGCCGATCCCAAAGGCTGTGCACAAAAGGTGTGCTCTGGCGGGGTTTCATTATCAACATGGGTCATCGATTCCGAAAAGGAACGCCTCTACGGAATCGGCAGAACATGGACATTGCCACCGGTTCCCCAGGGCGGTGTCTATATAGGGCAGAGAGCAGCAAGAGCTTTGGGCGTCGGCGTTGGGGACTTTGTCCTTCTCAGTTACGACATCTTCATGTTCCCCTCGGTCTATACTATCGTCAAATTCGCGACGACCGCTCAAGGGTTCCAAGATATCACCCTTGTCAATACCCCTCTTCGGGTGAGCGCCGTATTTGATGAGGAAGCTTCGAACAAGTTCCCGCAGTGGGCTCGCACGGGCTACCTGGCCGTCTTGGAGTACAAATGGATCATAGAGAACGTGGCACCCCATCTCGCTCCTTCGTACCCACCAGCGTTCGGAGACCAACTCCTTGCGGGGTCGCGGAATGGCGCACAGTATGGCGAAGCGCATCAGATCATCTTTGCTTGTGATCAGCCGCGGTTTCAATGCTATCTGACGTCAAACTTCAACAAGATTGCGGCCAGGATCATCAAGTGGGGCTCTGCTATCAAGTTTCGCTTGGGGATGGACCTCGTAGCAACCTCTCTCGATACTCTGGGGTCTTTAAAGACTGTCAGCACCTTCTCCCAATTTCTATCGCTCATCACGTCCATCGTGGTAGCCCTCTTTGTCGGTCTTTCATGTTTCCTGATATACAATCTGCTGATGGTTTCAGTGGAGACGAGAACATTTGAATTGGGCATCCTGCGCATGATTGGGCAAACGAGGAAGGGCATTGTTCAGATGATATTGGTAAGATGATGTAAAACCAACGATGAACGGGCCATGGAACTGCGCTCACACATTGCAACCACTCAAGATACAAGCAGCTACATACTCTGTGCCGGCATGGGCCATCGGTCTAATCCTAGCCCAGATTGCCTTCGGCTTTGGGAAGCGCTTCTTGGAAAACATAGCCAACATCAAAATATCCGCCTTCCTCACATTCTCCTCCATCATCACCGCCACGGTGCTGGGCATCGCTGTCCCCGCCATCGCCGCGATCCTCCCCATCCGCCAGGCGCTATCAGGAAACTTGCGGGATTCGTTGGACAAGAGACACAGCAAAGTCAAGCCGGTCGTCATCACAATCGAGCGAAGTGGGCCCGGGTCGTTGCAAAGCATCATACCGAGCGCATTGACAGGTGCCGTGCTCGCAAGCTTGGGATTTGCCATCTACTACCTCGTTCCGAAAGCGCTTGTCGATTCGAACTATGGGATGCTGTTCAACATCTTCATGGCGTTGTTGCTAGGCATGCTGTTCGGCCTCGTGATGCTCAGTTTCAATATGCAGCCTATGGCGGAGCGGTTCCTGTTGTCGTTGCTGCTGATGGTTGTGTTCTTCGAAAACGCTGCGGTTCATTCGCTGGTGGCCCAGAATCTGGTGGCGCATCGCATGCGCAACCGCAAAACGTCGGCAATGTTTGCCTTCGCGCTGGCGTTCATCATTTTCCTATCCGTTAATTTGAGTGTCGAGTTGAACGGCATGGAATACGAGTAAGTTTGATGTTTGCCAATTCTGATCGCACTATGATCATCGACTGTGGGATCTGAAACTTCCTTCTCGTTGCAGCAAAATGCTAGCCATCGGCGCGGAAATCAAAGTCCGGACCGGAGACGACTACAATGGCATCAAACCGGAGTATTCCGCAGCGATCGAAGATGTCTTGACACGAAACAAGCCGTTTGTTGTAGATTGGGCATATGCATCGTCATCGATACGCTCTTTCGACAGCGCTGTGCAAAACACGCAAGTGGCAAACCTCGGTCGCATAGCCGCATTCAACATCGAAGTCATCGCAGTGTCGCCGAATTGGTTCAACATGCCCAAACCAAGTCCGTTCATCTACATCGTCGACGAAGCAAATCCAGTCCTGTCCGCAGAATACCCCTCCGTGTCGGAACAATTGTATTCTCCAGAAGGTTTTCGGTCGGCTGCCATCAGCACCATCCTCCGCACGAACCTGGCTGTCCAGCAGCTCTCGAAAAGCCACACAAACTTCTCCGACGCGTTCCTTCTCAAAACGACCGTCAATGGCCAAACAAAAGCGGAGATAGAATACAAAGTTCTGCATCCGGCCGCGTTTCTCGATTCGGCACCAATGGCCATCATGACCAAATTCCCCACGTCGCGGAGAACAACTGCCATCGTGTCGTTCCCAACGATGGTCGATTTGACAAACGGTCGACGAACGTCCGTGGATGAAATCCCGATCAATAGCATACAGATTGCTCTAAACACGTCGGATCCCGCGTATCCCCGCCTTTCGGCATCATTGGTCGATGCCCTGAACGCCATTGTGCGGAGTGACGCGTCAGTAACTAGTCTATACAAGGAGCAAGAGTCCATCAAATCCTCACGGCGACTGTTGAGCACCATCTTCAATCTCGCGACGCTATTGGTGATGCTGATCACGCTGTTCAGTTTGAACGGGTGCATGTATACAAACATCACCGAGCAGGCGAAGGAATTAGGCGTTTTGAGAGCGTTGGGTGTGACGAAATGGGGGATTTTCCGGGTATACGCGTATGAGGCCTTCATCTTGACCAGTACCGCGGGCATGCTCGGGGTAAGCTTCCGTCTGAATCGTAACGCAGTCCTATATTTGCTAACAAGGTTCCTCTTTGTTGTAGGCGCTAATCGGAGCGGCCATTGGATGGTCCATGGCAGCTCAACGAGCCATCATGACTCAAACGCCCGTCGGTTTCCCTTTCCCGTGGGACATCACTCTCGTAGCCATTGTGACTTCTGTAGTTTCTTCGTTCATCTCGACTACAGGACCAGTGTACGGACTGGTCGCAAAGAGAAGAATCGTCTCCATACTGCGAGACTAAGTTGGCCATTGGATCTGTAACATACACTTCGGGTTTGCTTCTTTATACATAGTTGTGGGTACCGTTTTTGTCGACAGTTGCGGATTTCAGGTCGCAGCCGTATCTTGCTTTTACGGCATTTTTGACGGAATCCATCAGTTCCTCGCTTGCTTCGGCCCACGCTCCGTTACCCTTTCCCTTGTCACTGCGCTTTCCGGCCCTGATTTTGGAACCCAACCACGACAAAAGCGCATCAACTTTCTCCAGCTCCAGATCTTCCACAAGCGTTTCAAAGTAGGTCTTCAACGCCAGGACATCATCCGGTTCGGGTCCATTCCGGAAGTGCTCCACCCAGGCTCCCAGCATTTCCCGGATTGCTTCCACATCCTGAAGTCCACCCAACGTAGGAGGCGGCGATGGTTCGGGCACCGTGTCCGCCTTCATGGCCAGGTCTGTCGAGTTGTCACGGACTTCCGGTATCATCTGATCGAATCGCAGCTGGCCTTTGGTGGGTGAAAACTTTGCCCCGCGACCTTTTGTTCCACGTTTCGCGTTCGGGCGTTGAATCGGCCCGGCGCGTCCTGATGCATTCGCGCGCGATATGGCTGCTTCCATCTCTTTCCGGATGGACTCTGGTAATGCCCGCATCACCTCAGGGTCTACTTGCGATGCCGTTGGAAGCATATGGAATGAATTGACGTTCGCTTTGTCCACCCGCGGGTTGTTCTTCGGCGGTGTTTGATGCGCAATGTATAGTGCGGTTGCCTTCGTAGGCGTCGCGGCGCTCGCCCTTTCTTCAAGCAATGGTAGAAGTTCCGCTCGAATATCTTCAGGCAACTCCATCAAGACGTCCCAGTCAACTTCACCAGGTTTGATTCCGAACTGCGCAAGCAGGTCGTTCGAGCGCTTCGGTGCCGGTGTACCTTTTTTGGTTGACTCCTGTCGCTCAGACGACTGTGCATCCGCGACCGGTGCAGGCCCGAAATCTAGGCGTCTCTGACCTTTCAAGTCGGTGCTAGTGTACGCGTCGCCATATGCTTCCAAGCTGGAGAAATGCAGCCCTAGGCCACGGATTTCGTCGGCGCCCACATTGAGCTCATGGACCATGCGAATCCCTTCTTTGCTGACGATGTCTACAGCGTCGATGAACTGAGCAAACTTCACAGAGCGGCTGAGATTGTCGCAATCGCCGCAGCCGAGAACCTTCTGCGGTTCTCCTTGATATCGCTTCTTCTTGAGCTTCAATGTCAGATGCTTGCCCTTGACGGACGCTGCGCGCATGCGTTTGACGACCTCTTCGCTCAACTCGCGAACGAATTTGTTAACCTGTTCATAGTTCTGGAAGCGCATACCCCAGTTGATCTCTGCACCGACGCTTTGCCGAGGCTTGTTTTCGAGAGGCCGATTGTCAATTCCGCGGCAGTCTGGAATTGCAATTCGATCAGTTGAGATGTAAAGGGACAAGCGAAAGGCCGCATAATGAATACTATTGTAGAGTGTCTGTCCGATCTTCTCTCCGCAGTCTCGTTGGAGTGCGCTCGAGCTCAGTTGGGCAAGCTCTCGGCACGTTGTGATATTCTTAGCTTCCATTTTGGTTCTCAACGCATAGCCAACACCTGGGAGGTCCCTGATACGCAGCTCGCTCATGAACGTCGCGACATCTTCTTGAGGCACGAAAAAGGAGCCGTTTGGCTTCGCCTTCTTTGTCGCTAACCGGGCAAGTAGCATGTTGGGTCCAATGCCAATGCTGGAGTGGGGAGGACATACATCAGGTCGCCGAAGCAGAGGGATGAAAACGTCTAGGCGTCACCTCGCAGGACATCCGGTGGCATCGAGTACGCGCGCTCTCAGATCCTCAGCGAGTTTGATCTCGCTTCCATCCGAGGTTTTGGGCATCAACGAGGAGACATCTATGTATGCCTCATCAACAGACACTGCCTGCACCTCATCCGCTGTGTCGATCAAGATGGCATAAAGCGCCTTGGAGGCTGCATCGTACTTGTCAAACTCGTAAGGTACCACGCGAAGATCTTTGCAGAGCTCGCGAGCACGGCCAATCGACATCCCATTGCGAATCCCGTATTCTCGCGCAGCGTAATTGCACGATGCAAGCTCGGAAGTGGATTTGTTGGAAGTCCCCGGCGAGTGAGCGACGGCGACAGGTACATTGCGCAATTCCGGTCTGTCTCTGATGGATATAGAGGCGAAGAAGCAGTCCATGTCGACATGCATTATCGTGCGTGGCCCTGAGGTAGGTCGGTCCTTCTTTCGTTTTGACCGCGCTTGATCTGCGACAAAGTCACGCAGTTCGCTCTTCCAGGTGCTCAAATGATGCAGCCGTGACGAATTGAAATACTTTTGCAGAAAGCCTGGTGCCGTCGAGACGTTTGCTTTCACCCACTCGCTGTTCATGTCCACGTGTAGCCTCCCTTTCCCAAAATAACCTTCCGCCCAATCAGGTATCGCCGCTTCCTCTTCACTGCTTTCCCCGTCCGACAACTGAAGGTGTAAGCCCAATTCTTCGTTGGCGTCCTCGGAAGATGCCGGTGGCTTTTCAAGGGGAGGATCTGAAGTGGTCGCATAATCCGCCAGTGTTTTCTGTGTTGGAGCGAGACCACTGTACAATCGATATTGGATCCATGGGAGCAGCTTTTGTTGCTGAATCGAATCCAAAAGCCATGCTGGCGTCACGACTGGTTTCCTCAGCTGATTTATCTTGGAGTCTGTCATCTGCGGCAGGCATCTGGTTATCGGTTTGGCATGATCGTTCAGCGAAAGCCAGTATATTTCATACTTGCGTGGCCACAATATGTGTGACATCGGGCTCTAGTTTATCCCGCACGCGAGCGCCATGCACCAGAACCAACTCTTTCAATTGGATCATCGTTAACTCACTTGTTCCAGTATAGCCTGAGCAGCGAAGGAAACACAGATGATCAGGGAAAAAAAAATTCAGAGCGATCGTCCGCTGTGGCTCACATAAGGAGCCAGGGACGGCCCCACCCTCCACTAGCCTAAAAACCACTCGCTCACAACTATTACCATTGAAGTAAATCACGATCCCTTGCAAGACATTGGATTGGGAACCTGCCACGGCAACCTCCTGTCCTTGTATTTCCAGCTTCCTTCGTTTCACTTGCATATACTCGCGGAAGCCGCCCGGGAAGGCCCCACCCGCGAAACCCATTGCGAAGATCACCGCCGAAGGAATGGAAAGCTCTTCAGACGCACCCCGACAGAAAGAGTCTCCATCTTACTCTTCAAGCGCTCAGCCAAAGAAGCAGAACGCACGTCAGAGGCCGTCAGCTCTAACCGAATATCTATGTGCCCGCTCTAATGAGTGGTGGTGGGGACTGTGCTGTCGAGGGTTTGACATTTATTTCTGGACATGGAGTTCGGATGGACAGCCCTGAAAGCGATGACAGGGCAACCCAACGGATTGTCACGTGGTTGGCCGTCCGGCGTCTACGCGCACTCTCGATCTATCTCCGAGTTGTTCCCCGGTGCATGGACGCAGCTCGTTACTATTGGTTTCTGGTTGTGGCCCACCCACCCACCACCAGGGACTCATCAGGGAGACGATAGGAATCGGACATGCAGCGTCGGCACCCATGTCCGGCGCAGTGGGACAGCGATTATGCGAGTATGCGTTGCGGAGATCGGCGTGTCTGATGAGGTTGGTGGGCGTGTGCGAATCAGTGCGATGCGGTTTTGTCTTTCTTGCGCAAGGGGACGGAGAGAAAGCGAAAGGAAAGAGCACGGACGTCACTAAACACTGTCCTGTCACAGACCAAACGCAAGCAAGACAAAGGGAAAGGGGAAAAAGGGAAGAGACACATAGCACACCACCCGCCGTCGCAAGAGCAGCAACCAAGGGTCATCAATACCGGCCAACTTCCTGCCTTCGTCGTCTGTCCCGAAACGTTATTCGACGCCAGCAAGTATCACGAAGATTCGAGTAAACGTCAAGGGGACCAATTTCGCCCTCGAATTGAAGAACGACAAACACGAATCCCCTTCAGAAGCTCAGCCAGCACACAATGACCGGTGACGTCGAAGTAGCATTGCAACACGAGGGCAGCGGTGAAGGCTTCGCTGCGGAACACAATGGGCAAGAGGAGCCCCAGGCACGCACTTCCGGCTCCAGTGAGGTCGAATCCGGCCAGGTCTACACTGACGATAACGGCAGCTTGAGGACGTCTCTCGAAGGTGCAACGGCGGCGAGCACCGACGCTATCCACGGAGAAAGCGACTCCGAAGACAAACCTCTGGGTTTGATTCGCAGGGACTCGGGGGTACTTCCCGAGCCGGCTATGCACGCATTCGCCGCTGCCAACGCTGGTGAAGTGGAGGAGGACGAAGAATCGACGCTGGGTTCCACCTATGTCAAGCCTTTAGAAACTGTGTACGAAGAACCGGAGGCATACACAGCAACCTCCGAGCGGAGTGCGTCCCCAGAGTCTGAGCCGGAAGTACTTCCAGTCCTATCCACTGGACTGCAACCTCGCGTGTCATCCGCCCAGCGAGGCACCCACCTCAAGCGGTCGATGAGCACCCCAGCTATGGTCGTTAACCGTCCCGCAACCCTCACCCGCACCGATACTTCCGCCCCGGAACTCCAAACAACCGAGTTGCCGACGTTTGCCACCCCAACTCCAATTGTGAGCGTCCGACCTCTTTCCCTTGGCGAGATAGGAACCAATATGCATGCGCCACCACAATTCGCTGCATCCTCAATGTCGTCCCGCCATGATGGCATGCCTCTTAGCGATAACTCGAGATCCAAGCAGTTCAACCAGCGGTTAGATGTAAGTAGTCCAATGTCGCATTACCTCCTGCGAGAATGGTGTTTTCATGTTACTGACTGATTTCTGATGGTAGTATATGGTTGGCGAATTCTTCACTCGCCAAGTCACAAAGCTCGCCACTAGCACTCCCTCCGGTATGGACAGAGTGCAGAAAATTCTGTCGCAGCGTGTGAAGGAAAAATTGGGTCAACAAATGGGCAAGCAGGTAGATATCGGATAATAGGCGCCTTTGCCGGCCCGCCCTTGAAAATGCTCACATTTTTTTTCAGTGGGCGCATGTCACTGCTCAACCCGAAGTCGACGAGGCAGCAAAGGAGATCGAGTCGATGTACAGCTACTTCTCTCAATTGGAGAAGATGGTCGAGAAGCAGCGGGCCTGTTTACAACAATTGAACGAGGTAGAGGCGGAGCTGTCGCTCTTCTACCAACAGAAAGGGTACCAGGAGTCGGATGAGGAAATTGGCAAGAACCTTGTTCACCTCGGTGAGGCATATCACTCTGAATGGTGAGTTGATACTTTCGATGGGAGAAGGAGTATGACATGAATAATAATCGGGGTTTCTCTGTAACAGCAAGGAACGAGTGCCTGTGATCAGCTCCCTGGACTCCTACCTTGGCTTCTTGAAGACGTTCAAGAGCAAAGCCATCAATGACTCGCGAGACACCATCAAAACGCAAAAGACTGCCCGTCAAGAATTCGATTCTTACGCATCGCGCTTAGGCTATCTCGAGGAGAAGAACGTCCAACGCGCTGCGACACTAAGCCCCGGATCCATGTCGTCGAGCTCCTCCCGTCCATTCGGGTTCAGATCCAAATCATCCGAAGATACACAGAAGTACCAAGAAAAGGAGCTGGACCAGACTCGCCGGCGGTTCCAGGCGGCAAAGACGAGATATCAAGTCCTCAGCACGCAGATAATCGACAAGGCTGGATTATTGGAGATGAAGCGGGCTGTGGACTTTGGCGCTTATCTCGCAAAAGTTGTGGAAGGTGAGACGACTCTTCTTACACGGAACAGGGTCATGTGTGATTGTGTTTTCTCACACTCTATGTTCCCTGTAGCGCACGACGCCCACAACGGATTCCGACCGCCAATTCGCAAAGCAAGTTCAGAGCCACTGCCCCTACCCGACGCTGTGGAAGCCACCGAGGATGCCACAACCGAAGGCGTAACGCGATGAGCCCATGCTCCACACGAACATTTTGAAACACCTTGATATCCCTGCACGAACCGTCACCCGATGTAGACAATCCCCCCGACTGCGACTACATATTGGCCCCTTTCCTGTGTCCTTCTCCCCTCCCTCTTCCGCCACTTTTTTCTTGTAGGGTCCCCATGTAAAGTTTCAGACCCCCTTTTGTTTATTTCTCCTTTTGCTTCTTCGGAAACAATCGCCGCCCCGTTACCGGCGTATTTGCACAAACTAGGTTCCTAGATTTCTATAGCCATCGCAAATCTGCCTTCCCTCGTTTTTATGAGCGCTTCTATGTAGCCGTTGTCGGCGTACCTATAATGATACACTTTCGATATGATTTCACAGTGCGTGGATTTCTGACCAAGAGGAGGGTCCAAAATTGACCTGCCAGCCAACAGTGCAGTCGAACTATCCGCTTTGATAAGCCATGTTCACATCGACGACTTGATATTGCTAATATATCACACTGAGCCTATTTACATTCGCGCACGACTTTGGGAACTACCGGATCCCCGCGTTTCTCGCCTGCATAGTCAGATGAGCTAAACTACATCCTATCTCACGGCACGGCCCATGTCCTTGATAGCGCGAGCTCTCTGCAAACTCCCTCCAGAAACTTACACCTTGAAGTCGTTCTCAATAAGACTGTTATGCTGAGGCACATTCATGCCCTTAACCACGGCAGGACGCTTAGCAGCGCGGTGAAGCCACTTGTCCAGCAAAGGAAACTCCTCAAGCCCAACACCGGCCCAGTTATGAGCCGCAACCCAACCAAAGCAAGCGATATCCGCCAAGGAGTACTCCCCAATCAGGTACTCCCTCCCATCGCTCAGCTGGCGCTCCATGACACTGTAGAGACGCTTCGTCTCGTCCTGGTATCGCTTGATTCCGTACTCGATCTTTTCAGGCGCGTAGCGGAAGAAGTGGTTCGCTTGGCCTTGCATTGGACCCAATCCACCCTATCAGATTCTTGTTAGCTTACGACTTTTCCGCATCTTGCGAGAACGGCTTCAGGAACATACCATCTGCCACATGAGCCACTGAATTGCCTCGCTGCGCTTGTTGGCGTCTGTAGGTGCGAGGATGTGGTTCGGGTCGTGGTGTTCGGCGAGGTAGAGCAGGATCGCGCCCGTTTCAAAGACGGGGAAATCGCCGCGCGTGTGGTCGACGATGGCGGGGATGCGGCCGTTGGGGTTGATCTTCAGGAACCATTCTTCCTTTTGTGTGTTCTGAGGGCGTCGAGAGTGGTCATGGGGTGGGAGGGGGCGATGAGCTTCCGTGGTTTACAGTCGGGCGTAGTTTACAGTCGGGCGTGGTTTACAGACGGGCGTAGACCAACATCTTCACACTCCAGCCACCTACAACCCCGACGACCGTCGTGTCACAGCGGGAAATTGACTCCCGGGTAGTTCCTCACCTTCCTGATGTCGACTTCGACCGTCTTGTAGTCAATTCCCAGCTCCTCAAGCGCGATGCTGGCCTTTTGCCCGTTGGGGGTGCCAAAGGTGTAGAGCGTGATCTTGGGCGAAGCAGACATGATGTGCGGTATGCAGTATGAGTACGTATGAGTACGGATGAGTGAAACGGAGCAGTGGTTCTCTTCTCTTACGAGTAGCGTGCGAGGGAAGTGGGGTCCTGCGATGAGTACCGCTCTTATACACCGATGTGGGTCCACGACTCCCCGTTCTTGAGGCTTGTGGTCGTGTGGGATTTGTCATGGCGGTGGACAGCCACTCTCCGAACCTCCGCCGCGTCGCAAGCCTCGCCCATACGTGCTCCTTACGTACGGGTCATTTTGGCTTGGATTTGCCGGAAAAGCTTAGAAATCCTCTTCTGGCAGGGCACACCATGCGAATCGTGGTTTCTGGCCGTCTAAAAGAAGTTAATCATGATACGTTTGGACATGTAAAAATCACCAACGGGCGATCATATGTATTATTGTTGATTACATTCACCGGCGGGATTAGTCTGTATTCGTCCTGCATACACATGAGCAGGTCCCCTCGCTTCCCCTTGTCCACTCGATGCTCTGCTAGCTATTCGAGCCTTCTGAGCTGCGCGATGCTTATTAGAGTCTTCCGTTGCTAAGGAAGTGGCCGGTGTGTTGGTGGAATCGGCGAGAACGGTTATGTCGGAAATAGATGCATAGCTGTCTGGAGCCGGTTTTGAGTCCATTCGGGCATGGCCCGCGTCTGGAGTCACATTTTCGTTGGTAGCCGCTTTCGACTTGGTCACCCGAGAGGGAAGCTGTGATGGTGTGATGCGTGGGTTCGACGCTTCGACTGGGGCCGTACTTGACACCGGTTTGGGATGTCCAGACTGCGATTGGACGAGGACTGTTCTCGTCTCCTCCGTCACAGCGACTCCGCTGCTCCCAGTCGACTCCCGTCTCGAAGCCGCAGCCGCGTCTGGCCCTAACGCGCGAAATCGCTTCATCCACGCCTTTGCCTCGTCCAAGTCGAATTTGATCTGCGAGTTGGAGGATTTCAACCGCACAAGCTCTTCCTCCCGCTCACGGAGAAGCGCCTCCGCGCTGCGTAGCTTTTCCGTTTCGTACGATTTGAGCAAACGCAATGTCCGCAGCTCCCTAGTGGTTTCCTCCTGCTCTGCTGCGAGCTGTCCCACGCGTAGACGTAGGCATTCGAGCTCGATCTCGTTGTCAACCTGTGTTCCCTGCGGGGCGTTTCGTGCCCCGATCATGCCGCCTCGATTGTCCAGACCGGCATAATCACTCCTGCTTTTCTCCAGCAGAGCGATCTTGACTTGAAGTTCCTGCTTCTCGCTCTCAGCCTGTCCCAATGCTTCTTCCAGCAATGATATTCTCAATTCACCTTCACGTGCGTTCGTGAGCTGAGTGAGACGCGAAATATGATTCCGCATGCGCTCCTGCTGATGGACGGTCATCGAGTGCGCCTTGACGAGGCCCGCATGTTTCTGCGTCAGATTGACATGCCGGTCCTCCAAAGCCTGTCTACGGTCCTCGACCTCGCTGAACAGTGTTCGATCGCCTTCATCCTCCACGCCGCCTTCCTTCTTTGGTTCGAGGATCGCGAGACGAGCTTCGAGTTTGCTTAGCCGGTCGCGCTCCGACTCTAGTTCCCACACCAGCTCATCGTTTCGAGCGAGATGTCTTTCGCTGTCCGTGCGGTAGTCCTCAATCATGGCTTCCAGCTCTTCGCACTTCCGGGCCAATGCGTCTGTTTCGTGCGTCGCTGCAGCAACCTCGCTTTCCATCTCTGCCCGCGCTTGTGTGATTTGCACAACAGCGTCTTCCAGAGCGCGATTATGATGTCTCAACTCAGCAAGCTCTTCCAGGTCTTTCTCGCGGTCAGCGGCTTCTTTCAGTTTCTTCATAATCTCTGTCTTCTCCTTCAAGACCTTTCGGCGATCTTCATCGATCTCCTGACATTTCGTCAACGCGCCATTGAGCTCACGGGTAGCGACTGCCAGCTCTGTCTCTGCGAGTGCTGCTTTGCGCTCTGCAGCCCGCTCCGCCTCCTGGGAATGTCGCACATCCTGCCGTAACCGCTCCAGTTGGGCTTGCAACTCACTGATTGTCGCCTCCAGCTCTCCAATTCGAGAGATGGCACTACTCTCCGCCTCTTCCGCCCGTCTCTTTGCGTCCAAGATCGCTACCCCGGTTGGTGATGGAGTAAAATTTCCTGATTGTTGATGTGGGTGCCTTACAAAGTGCTGGCTGGGCGTTGGCGGTGGGTGGTGATTCAGCGACATTCCCCGTTGCGCGGCGGCCAGCTCTTCCAATTCGGCAGCCAAGCGCGTGCAATCTGCTTTCAGGCGCTCGTTGTCCTCCAATAGAGACGAACCCAGCTCCGCTGCCATGACCAGGTCTGTTGAGAGATAAGGTATTTCGGTTCATTTGGTTCATTGCCCAGAATAGAGCTTGTTCGTTGGAAGCCCGGGTGTTGCATGACCCGAGGTTTTCGTCACTCACCATTGTCCTTTTGTTCGATATCTGCGGAAACCGGAGGTAATAAATTGGATGCGTCAGTCGTCGGAAGGTCGGGGAATCGATAGCACTGGGACCCACGTTCATCTCTTTCCCTCAACTGGCGCAAAGCCTCTTCGAGCTGCTGGCGCAGTGTCGCATCACCCTGACCTGCCGTTGGCGAGCCCCGAGTTCTGTCCATAGCGGACACTTGACTATGTTGCCCACAAATGCGAAAGGAAGCGATGATCGGGGCGGTCTGGCGAGGGGACGATGGTAGAAATCCTACACCAAAATTTCGGCCATCACACAAGCAAAGCCTTTTGCAATGTTGCAAGCGATAAAACTTCCCGGGTCTCGCAAGTGTGAGAAACGGGGATGTCCGGCGAGTGTGTTCGGACACTGGTTCGGACAACGCGGCCCACGCGTTTTTTCCACGCGTTGCATTTGGGGCTCGGCAGCCTCGGCACCCTCGCTCTGGATGTGGAATGAACTTGGGAGAACAAACGCAAAACGAGCGCCCGACGAGGTGGCGCCTTTTAAGTACGCAATGGATGGAGAGGACGTCCGAGAGTGGAACAAGACCAAGGAGGAACGAAAATGGAGAGATTCTGTAAGATGAAATATGCTTTTATTGAACGACAATGTATGTGATGATGATGATGACGATGATGATGATGACGATGACGATGACGATGACGATGATGATGATGATGATGATGATGATGAGGATATGCAGTTGCGTGAGGGTACAATGAAAATGAATAGGCTTATAATGCGGAATTGAGGGTTATGCGACAAGCAGTTTAGGACGGGAAGGGAAGGTATCTGACTCGTGTGAAGAGTTCGTCGTCTATGGGCGGCCGATATCGGACCGTTAACGGGGCCCTCGACAGTCGCTTGCACTTGCGCTCATCAGAAGAGCTCGGCGGCGGTTGTCGCGGCCGCTTTCTTGGGTGGCAACCCAGCGGGGCAGTTGCACTTGATCCTCCAGCAGACTCCGGCATCCCAAGGGTAAGCCTTGGTGCAGCAGTCTTTGCACACGGCGGGGCCCCAGGTCTCGTCGTAAACGGCAGGAGTAGGAGTAGCGGTAGGAGTCGCCTTCGCCGTGAAGAACTGGCAGGGACACCTGAGGCGGGAGCAGATCTTTGGCTTGTCCTCGGCAGGCCACAGGCAGCATTTTTCGCAAATCGAAGGGGTGGTCGAAGTGGTTTCGGTGGGAACGGCGGAGGGTGTTGCCTTCGCGGTGAAGAACTGGCAGGGACACCTGAGGCGGGAGCAGATCTTTGGCTTGTCCTCGGCAGGCCACAGGCAGCATTTTTCGCAAATCGAAGGGGAGGTCGAAGTGGTTTCGGTGGGAACGGCGGAGGGTGTTGCCTTCGCGGTGAAGAACTGACAGGGGCATCTGATCCGGGAGCAGACCTTGGGCTTGTCCTCGGCGGGCCACAGGCAGCATTTCTCGCAAGTGGACGGGCCGGTCAACGTGTTGTCGGAGGGCGCCGCGGAGACCGTCGGCGCAGAAGAAGGGCAAGGGCACGCGATGCGAGAGCAAGCCAGGGGCTGCTCGCTGAGGGGCTTGCTGCAGCACTCGGTGCAGATGCCGGGAACGGAGGCCGCGCTGGCGACGGCCAGGAGGGCGAAGAGGATAACAAGGATTCCGCGCATCGTAAAAAATATGTGTTGCAACCTGCAAAGGAAGGAGGAGACTGGTTGATAGGATTGGGGATGGCACTTCGATCGGCCAGCTTAAATACTTCTCGAGTTTGCTGTCTGATCCCCCGCGTCTGTTGCTAGCCAGAAAAGAAAAAGAGCAGACGGCTGCGGATGGACGTCAGAGGTATTCAGCTTCAAGCTGAAATTAAAGAGATGAAAGAAAAAGATAATGAAGCAGCCGCTGAAGTGAAAAAAAATGAAAGACCGCCAAGTAGCGAGGGGATACAACGTGAGCATATAGTCAAGGTTCAGCGGCACGAGGACGAATGATGGAATAAGGAAAAGAGAGAGAAGGACGGACCCGCCGTGTTGTTGACGCTGAATAGTTGCGACTTCGGGAAATATTTGGGAGGCAGTAATATGAGAAAACTTCTGGCTGAGAACGACACGCGCCCCTACAATTTATTGAAAGTCCTCGGTACAGGAAAAGCCTCTTTTCTCCCGAAGAGGTTTTCCTAAATTACTTTGGTGGATGGATGCTGGTCTGGGCTCTGGGCTTCCATGAGTTTGCGGATGGGGGATTGAGAAACCAGAACCGCTTTTCTTTTCTAGTACTGGGGTCGTTTCCATGAATCGACAGCGCTTCAAATCATTGCGAGCTGAAATCGGCATGGCATGTTGTACTGCACTCTTCGTTACCGCCGATGTTACCAGCTCCGAGTCCCCCGGGGAGTGCGAGGGTGCTTTTAACACTCCCCTCTCGAGGCAGAGACCCTCTATGATTCAGGGTCGGATGTTAACCTTCAGAGGCATGGTACAAACTCAAGCGTTGTACAGTACCGTGCAATGGCATTTACTGGACAGTATATCTGCAGCTGAAAGGGTTCATACCTCTAGCATTTACACTTCCTACGGCGGCCTATTGAGATCATCCGCTTGCTTACATCCCAGCCTCATCCGCACTACGTTCATTCAAGTTCAAACGGCTACTGTTGAGCTTCACACCTTCGGCATCCTTTTTCACGCGCGTGCAGCTTGTTGGCACGATAAATGGACCGGATAATGGAGTAGATTCACTTCCTTAGAACGATCTGATTTGCGACGTATGACCTTGGATGGGAACCCGTATGAACTTGATTAGGTAGTTGCGTATGAAGTTATAAATCAGGATGTGAATAAGAAAAAGACGTGCGTATCAAAATACTGCTCTATGTGAACTAAGAATGCGTTCAGGATACTGGGTGCAATATGCCAGTCTGCCACGGAAACCGTCCTACAGTATATACAGTAGATCCCAGACGACGGACCTGGCCGACTGGACATTGCAAATCATCATACAAAGACCTGGGAATCCCGCTTTCATAGGATATATAGGGCCAAAACTTCCACCAGTCTCATGGATGAGTCGGGACAGATGGAATATGGTGACCAGCGTTGTTCTAGCACGACAGAACGTAAGTAGCGTTTGTTTGGTTTCCAAACGTCACTGAAAACGATCGTGCGTTTGAATGATGGCTCATTCGCGGTCTCCAAAAACCCGTCCCATTCCCAGCCTCTCCTCCCAATTGATTTTCCACAATGCAGATTACTTCGTCGGAGGCACGTCGTCGGCACTGCCAGATTCCTTCACGCACGGCCAAATCTCCCCCAAATTGTCACAAAAGATCTGCACTGAACAAATTGCTGTACATGAAGCTGCTTTCGCATTGATGTATTGAGTGAATCGAAAACTAAAAAGCTTAGTCGAAGAGACCGAAGCCCATGTCGTCGTCGGATTCCTCCTTCTCCTCCTTCTTGGCCTCCTCCTTAGGGGCGGCAGCGGCAGCGGCACCACCAGCGGCAGCAGCGGGTGCGGCACCACCAGATCCACCAGCGGGGAGGGAAGAGAGCTTCTTGGAGCCTTCAGCGATGAGCTACGAAGAGTTGCAGCCAGTCAGATACTTTATCATCGAAAGACGAGCACTTGACTGAAAGTCGTACAAACCTCGTTGACGTCTTTGCCCTCGAGCTCGGAAATGAGCTTGCTCAGGCGCTCGTCCTCAGCCTCAATACCAACAGCGCTGAGGATCTTCTTGACATCAGCAGCGGAAGGGGTGGTGTTGCCACCGAGGGTGGCAAGCAAATAAGCGGCAAGAAGCTTCATGTTGACCCTATGAGGCAGAGAGGAACCCGGTGAGTTGAGGGGTTTGGCCGCTGTCGCGAAATCCCATCTTAACGACATAACCAGACTGCGCTTCCCCAAACGTCTCGCCCAAAGCTTCTCTGTAGCGTGCTGGTCTACCCTAAATCCGTGTCCAAGCATTCGAATTCGGAATGTCAACCGGTACCGGGTCTCGTCCCAACTCCACCGCCGTCACCATCCATCCATCCTCATTCGACCACTATTCTGCCCGTCTCCATCCACCCATCCATCCATCTGCCGTCCCCGCCAACCCTCGCTCTCCCTCTGTCATTGAGCGACGACACTCACGTTGGCTAGCTTGGACTATGTTTTAACCGATGGACGGAGTCGAAAGCTTTGAAGGATCAACCCAATTCGCAGCTGTGCGATGATTGCTCAAGAGCGACACGCGATTGTCCACAGAGTAACTGCGTGACTTCACGTGACATATGCAATCGTTCTTATTACATTCTTTGACGGAAGGCGGGGATGTCATCACTTGCATGGCAGTCCGCCCATTCGACATCACAGTAATTGACACCACCGAACCCTCAACGGTCGACTTGGCGGTCAAAGGGAGGGTTCGGGATGGCGTGCTCCGTACTTGAATTTGTACGTGCAGGAGAGCCTGTGAAAGACTTGGCACCGACATATGAGGTGCCAGGTGACTTGGCTGCCGTCTGCGTATCCTGCTACATACAGGTTACCTACTGTACATAGGGAGGGGGTATTGTGCCGGTGCACTGTGCAGTGTACACTGCTACTGTATGTGCGCTTGAAGAGAATAAAAGTCTCCCGGACAAGGACAACCACCAGCAGCAACTCCGGCCACCCCACCCTTCCAGTTTGAAAGAGTGTCAGAAATCATCCGAAAAACCTCATACACTCCCAATTGAAGAACCACACTCATGGAGGCCGCTATAGCCATAAACAGTGTTAAGTCACTCGGCTGCCTCTTCGGACGATTGAAAGCAGTGCACCATGATCGGATAGTCAAAGACTTCGCCTTTTCGGACGTCAGCTTCACAGTATCGGACTCTAGCACCATTGTCCGAGGGCACTTGCATCTCGATCTCCGCACATTCCTTGCTGCAAGTGTCCTTTACATCGCCGTTTCTACCACCGCTTCAGGCGATCTCAAAGCGCCGCAGGCTCCCATGGTGCTCGCCCGGGAAATCATCTGGACTCCCACTGAGCGCGGAAAGCCGTTGATCAATCCCAAGTTCGCTCGCGACATAACGTTCGAAATCGAGATCACACAAATCACACGAGGAACCTTACAGGCTGGGTCGAAGGCGGTGGCTTTGACCGGCGTGGTCGAAAGACCTGCCGAGACCTCCGGATCCGTTACCGCAGAACATCAGATACTCCTTCGACTGGATATCGAGGGCCCGCCAGCTTACGTCCGCACAGACTATTTGCCAGTCTTGGCCTGACGAGTTCCACGTTCCAATTTCTTCAATTTGATTTCACTCCTCATAATCTTCACTTCATTGTGCCCCGTAGTCTCTCCTCATGTTTGCCAATGACGTTTGGTAGTATATCTCGTCAATTTTCCCTCCTCTATGCCCATTCCCGCTGAAAGCCACGGTATATGTGAATTTCCTTATCAATAAAAGGTCCTTCTTTGGGCGAATGGATTGATCCGGCTTTGACTGACGGATGCAGCACGCACACATGCGAAGATTTCGGGTGTTCGGCTTGCTACATGTACAGGAGATGTTGGTCACGTAATGTTTAAACCTCAATGCCGGAACTTGTCGAGCAAGGTCAGCCAGGACGATCCCGTTGACAAAGGTTTGGGAAGGAGGCCATGTCGCACTCTCGCTCGGAGAGTCTGGACATGATCCAACGGCCAGGTAACAACCCCAATTCTTCGCCGTCTTCACCGTCGTGAAGGGGAATAAAGTAACGAGTTCCACAACACGTTATCAGCACCATAGACGACCACCCCACTCTAGAGAAAGACCACCTACGCAAATACCCATTCCACCTACGAGCTAGAGCCAGACCGCCTACGCCACTACACAAAAATCCCGCTAGCAAAAATCTATACATCCTAAAACAACAAGACGCTTACCCTAAAACCTAACCATGACATCCACCAGTAACCCCACTGTTGCCGCCTCCAAATTGAACCATGTAGAGGTCCTTTCTGCCAACGGCGAGAACTACCAGATCTGGAAAGACGAGATCAAAGCATTCATGGAATGGAATGAACTTCAAACTACCATGCCTCTCGCCTTCAAAGACGATGAGATCAAACTCATCAGAGCATCCAACGTAGCTAACGCCGGAGAAGCCGCCGCGGCCGCCCTAGAAATCACTCAACAAATTGAGGCGATAAATCACCTATATGACGAAAAGAATCAGACCCGCAAGAACTTAGCGGCCGCCAACCTCCTCATACGCAATGCAATCCATACGAACCTTAAAGAACAATATCGTTAAACGATTCGGTATGGAAAACGCTCATCCACGCAAAACACCCTTACCTCAACGAAGTACAACATGCGAGAAAGACATATATCGACCAAAAGACGATGATGAGGCTGTCCTAGGCGCCGATACACCGTACGCCGCTGCCATAGGGGAAGTTGACAGCATAAAGTTGATGGCGTAACCAATCGCGAGCCCGGCTCCTACTCCGAGCTGGACACGAGCGATCGTGACTTGAAGAGCGAATCGCGAGCCCGGCTCCTACTCCGAGCTGGACTCGAGCGATCGTGACTTGAAGAGCGAATCGCGAGCCCGGCTCCTACTCCGAGCTGGACTCGAGCGATCGTGACTTGAAGAGCGGAACGTTCCATGAGATCAGAATGCAGAGCTACTGCAACGACGACTGCGACTGAATTCGATCTGTAGTCTGAGAGGGAGTGTTGTAAACAACCAGTTTCAACCACAGCTTCCTTTTTATAGTTACCGTACCCCTCCCCCTTTTCTTCTCTGCAGATAGAGAGCTGGTTGTACAGGTGTTGCAGGTGATTGCCGGACTTTTTTTTTTTGAGAAGGAAGCGCCTTTGGCAGTGCAGAGAATGCAAGCTACTCGGCACACCTTCCCGAAGGTCTGCACACACACATGTACAGTACACACACCAGGAAGCTACCCCACATCCTTTACACGCGTGTAAAAAACGTGGTATCCTCACCTGGATCCTCACTCCCAATTACATACCAATCGCAATTGTGAGCAGTAAGCATCCCCGGTTTCACCTTCAACCGCCACCAGGTAACAACCGCAATTCCTCACCGTTCTCAGCTTCATTACCACAGCACTGATGCGAGTTCGTTGACACACAGCTATCACGGCAATCACCTGCATACACCTCATCTCTAGCAGGCACGCAAAAGGCACAGCACAGCCAACATGTCATCACACCAGGCGGTCCAGGGGCACCTGTGGGGTGGCTTCTTTACGGGAGCTACCACACCACGGCGGAAGAGGAGGAAAGTTACTCCGGTTACCCCGCGGCTGCCCATAAATCCGCCAACCGCTGTGCAGACACCACTGCAGCCCCCGCGATTCGAATTCCCACCTTCTGTCAAAAACTTGCCCCAAGCAATTGCAGACATGGTTAGCGAGAGTTCCGGCGATGAAGACGGGCAGCAGCACCAGCAGCGAGGGCTTTCACCGGTGGACAGGGGTCTGCAGCGTCCGTTGAACCTCCCCGCTCCCATCCCTTTCCTTTTTCCCAGCACACCGGGGGGATCCCTGGTGTATGAGCCCCCGCCACCACCACCACCAGTTCAACGACCCCGCCCGCAGACGCATGCCAGCACCAAGGTTTCCCTTCACCGAATCCATAATCAGAATCAAGTTCAAAGGGAGCGCCTGACAACGTTCATCGGCAATGTTCACGTCCTTGCGCGCCACACCACCTTCTTTCTCAAGTACTACCTTGGTGAGTTTTTGAGGTACACTGTATATTTCCCATAATATTTCCCATAACAATGTCCTGACTAGTACGTCTGCCCACCACAGCTGATCATCCTCTACACGATTTCCCGGACATCACTGACAAGCACATCAGTGTGATGTTTGAGCTGCTCAACAATCCAGGCTACAATGGCAATCCGGTCATCGCGCAAGAGTTGCGTCCATGGGTTCAAGACTACTGTAATGTTCATGGATTCGCCCCCATCCGCATGCAATATTGCCAACAGACCGCAGGGTACACGGCTACAAGCATCTTCACAAACCTCAAAGTCAACGTACAAGAGCATTTCATTCAAATGCTTCTGCGCTATGTCAATGAAAGGCTTGGTTTGAAGCAAGTCGTACTGCATCTCCGTAGAGCTGGAGTCAACCGAGCGCAGCGGCGACACTATTATCAGCGTGTCCGTCAGTTTACAAAGTATGCAACATTTGAAGAGTTTCCAACCGAAGAGGAGTTTGCCCGCCTCACACGACTTGAGCGGACCGTGCTCGACAAGTTATGGGCTCTGTTTCCTCCCCAGGATGAACCACTTGCGTACAGCCTTGCGGTGGACGCAATGCCATATTTAGGTGAGTTAGTATATTCCCCCCCCCCCTCCCCCCGCGGTGCCCTCTTTTGTGTAATCATGGTCTGCACCTGCCTTGTCATAGGCGCCTCACAGTATTTTGAGCACCACATTGACGACTTAAGGGAGGCTCCAAACATCGTCTGCATTGATCCGGGCAAGCGTGACCTCCTATTCTGTCAAGACAACAAGAAGGAGCGGCCATTTCGGTAAGTTTCAGTTGATTACTACTGCCCTGCTGTCCCCGCTACCCCCCCCCCCCCCCCCCTCTGTCTCCGCCCGCCAGCCCCCCGTCCTTGCCCGCCAGCCCCCCGTCTCCGCCCGCCAGCCCCCCGTCTCCGCCCGCCAGCCCCCCGTCTCCATCTCCATCCCCGTCTCCATCCCCGTCTCCATCTCCGTCTCCGTCTCCGTCTCCGTCTCCACCCCCCAGCCCCCCGTTGCCGCTGCCGCTCCCACCGCCCCTATCCCCACCATCCCCATTGCGGCGACATTCCGTTGCAGCGTCCTCACAATGCACCACCCCATATCAGATACACATCCAATCAACGGGCGGTCGAGACAAAGTCTCGGTACTTTCGAAGAGACATGACAGAGCGGAAGATCAATGCCGGCGTTGCTGAGATGGAATCACAGATTCCGTCACACAGGAGCATGAACATCGAGGCGTTCTCCGCGTTCATCGTGGATTACGAACATGCGGGTATGATGTTCTACTTCAACTTTGATTTTCAAATTTAGTAATACATGGGCTGACATTCGTCCATATCCCAGATCCAGCCCTGGATGAGTTTTACCGGGATGAGATTCACGTTGCTCGCAGATTCAGGACTTTGATAGTTTTATCAGTCAGATGCAATCGATCTTCGGAGACAGCGACAGGGTCCGCACCTCGGAAAACAAGCTCCAGAACCTTCGCCAAACCCGTGCGGCAACCGAGTACGTTGCTGAGTTCCGCCAGCTACAATGCGATGTCTCCTGGAACGACCAGGCCCTGATTGCTACCTTCCACCGTGGCCTTAAAGAAGACGTCAAAGACCTGATGCTCACGATGCCCCCTGCGGCCACCATTGATGTGGTGATGGAGCAGGCTATCCAGTGCGATAACCGGCTGTTTGAGCGCCGCCTGGAGCGAAACAGAAGCCGCCAGACCTTCCCGGTTCCCCATACCTCGTTTACTACTACCACCACTGTCGACCACAGCGATCCTATGCAGATTGACGCCGCTCGTCCCTGCGGCCCTCTGAGCCCTCAGGAACGCCAACGCCGCATTTCCAACAACCTCTGCCTTTACTGCGGTGGCGCGGGGCACATTGCAAAAGTCTGCCCCGTCAAGAACAAGACCACCACCCGTGCCGCCAACGTCGACATCAAAGAACCCTCCACCGAACAGGGTTTTCCCAAAGTCCAGCCGCAGTAAAGCCCCAGCGACTGGACAACACACACCGCCCCGGGCCTCCTAACCTCGCAGCTCCTGCAACGGGAGAGGCCACCCCCCTGGTTCCCGACTCCGTTATAGCCGACACAACCCTCCTAGCCGCTGCCCATGTCGAAAACTCCGAAATTAACCCCCGCGCCATGCTTGCGCTGGGTCCCGTCGAACCCTTCAACTACCCTGTTACCATCATGGTATCATCCAGCCGCGCCCCGATACCTACCTCAGCCATGATCGACAACGGTGCCCTGTCCTGCTTCATTGACAGAGACTTTGCCCGCAAACACCGCATCGCCCTAGTCCCGCATCAGCGTCCACTGATGATCGAACTCGTTGACGGTCAACCCAGCTCTGCTGGGCCAATCACCCATCACACCCAACCAGTAGGCCTGTGGGTCGACGACCACTTCGAAGAACTCGTCTTCCATGTCACCAAATCACCCCATGCTCCAATCCTCCTTGGTCTCCCCTGGGTCCGCCTCCACGACATTAACCTTGATTTCAAGAACCTTTCGGTCGGTTTCCGTTGCGACTGTCTGTACCATGAATTCACGAATTGGGACAACTCTCCAGCACCCCCGAGCCCAGCACCCGCCAGAACCCCCAAGCCCTTGATCCGCATCCCCCAGGATGAAGTCCCCGTCGACGAAACATGGTCGATTCCAGTACTCAAGGTATCTCGCTCCAGCACCCCAGAACCGGCTCCCACGCCGCTCCAAGTCTCGTTCATCTCCGCCCCAGCCTTCCGGGTCACAGCAAGGCATGACCAGGTCTTTGTCGCCTACGCCAACCCTGCGAAAACCCGATCTCCCGGCCTCGCCTAGCCCCAGTAACCCCCGACACCCGAGAAAGACATCAAAGACTTCCTGCCCCCCGAGTATCGAGACTTCGCCGACTGTTTTCGAAAAGAGAAATGCTGACACTCTCCCCAAGCACCGGCCCTACGACTGTCCAATCGATCTGGAAGAAGGCAAGCAGCCACCTTTCGGCCCGATCTACAGCCTCAGCGAACCAGAAATGAAGGCACTCTGCGAATACCTCGAAGAAAACCTCGCCAAAGGATTCATCAAACCCTCAAAGTCCCCTGCCGGTGCGCCAGTCTTATTCGTGAAGAAAAAGGACGGTTCTCTCCGCCTCTGCGTCGATTATCGAGGCCTGAACAGCATCACGGTGAAGAATCGCTACCCCCTGCCCCTGATCAACGGTATCATGGATTGTTTGCGCGGCGCCCGCCGTCTCACCAAGATCGACCTCCGCGGCGCTTATAACCTCTTACGCATGCGCCCGGGCGATGAATGGAAGACCGCCTTCCGCTGCCGCTACGGCCTATTCGAATACAATGTCATGCCCTTTGGACTCAGCAATGCTCCTGGCGTCTTCCAGTACCTGATGAACGACATCTTCCGCGACATTCTCGATGTGTTTGTTGTCGTCTACCTCGACGATATCCTGATATTCTCCAAGAACCCCGAAGATCACCCCAAACATGTCCGCGAAGTCTTGTCCCGCCTCCGACAGCATGGGTTGTACGCCAAACCAGAGAAGTGCGAATTCAACCGCGAATCCGTTGAGTTCCTAGGCTTCATCATCTCCAAGAAAGGCATCCAGATGGACCCCAAGAAGATCGCTGCCATCACGGATTGGGAACCTCCCAAGAATGTCAAAGGCGTCCAGCGGTTCCTCGGCTTTGCCAACTTCTATCGCCGATTCATCCAAGGTTATTCCAAGATCGCTACCCCGCTCACAGCCCTGACCCGGAAAGACATCCCGTACGCCTGGACACCCGCCGCAAACACCGCCTTCGAGAACCTGAAGAAAGCATTCACCACCGCCCCCATCCTTGCTCACCCTGACCCAGAGAAGCCCTTCGTCGTCGAAACTGACGCCTCCGACTTCGCTCTTGGCGCAGTTCTCCTCCAACCTGACCAGGACAATCAGCTCCACCCCGTGGCCTTCCACTCTCGCAAATTCACGGCCGAAGAGATCAACTACGAGATCTACGACAAGGAACTTCTGGCCATCCAAGACTCCTTTGCCCAGTGGCGCCACCATCTCATTGGCGCCCGTCACAAGATCACCGTTTACTCCGACCACAAAAACCTTCAGTACTTCATGACCACCCGCACCCTGAACCGCCGCCAAGCCCGCTGGTCGATATTCTTCTCGGATTTTGACTTTGTCATTACCTATCGCCCCGGTTCCCAGCAGCACCAAGCCGATGCCCTCTCCCGACGCTCCGAACATGAGCTAAAAGAGGGGGAAGAAGCGTTCCGCTCCCAGGCAACCACAATTTTGACTCCCGAACGCCTTCGACTCGCCGGCTGCCTACCTCACACCCATGGATACCACGCTGCTTGACAAGATTAAGGCCGCCCAGGCCTCTGATCCCCTCGCTAAGACCATTCGCGAAAAGCTCAAGATACCCCTCGCCCAACGAACTGAGGAAACCCAAGATCGTATCAAGCGGTTCTCAGATGAAGATGGGATCCTGCTGCACGATAACCTGGTCTATGTCCCCACCAACGAGCTCCGAGCTGAAGTCTGCCACGACATGCACGATACTCCCCTAGCCGGCCACTTTGGGATGTCCAAGACGCTCGAACTCGCCTCCCGCAACTACTGGTGGCCCGGCCAGTGGCGCTTCGTCAAGGCCTACGTCAAGTCCTGCGATACCTGTAGCCAAGCGAAATCCAGTCGACACAAACCATACGGCCTACTCCAGCCCAACAGTATCCCTACCTGCCCTTGGGGATCTTGGTCCCTGGACTTTATCTCCGGTCTGCCTCCCGTGGACGGGTACGACTCCATCCTGAACGTCAACTGTCGCCTCACCAAGATGGCCCACTTCATCGCCTGCAGCGAGTCAGAATCCGCCGAATCCACCGCCGACCTAGTCTTCCACAACATCATCCGTCTCCACGGCCTCCCCGACGACGTCATCTCTGACCGAGGACCTCAGTTTAAGTCCCGGTTCTGGCGTCGACTTCTCGAACTCCTTGGGGCAAAAGCCAACCTCTCCTCGGCCTTCCACCCCCAGAGCGATGGCCAGACGGAACGCACCAACCAGATCCTGGAGCAGTATCTCTGATGCTTTTGCAACCACCAACAGGACAACTGGAAACAGCTTCTGACGTCCGCCGAGTTCGCCTACAACAACACCCATCAGTCTGCCTCCCAGACCACCCCCTTCTACGCCAACAAGGGTCTCCACCCCCGCTTCAGTTTCGCGGCCTCTGCTACCTCCGAATCCGTCAACCCCGCCGCTGAAGCCCGCGCTAAACAAATCAGGGAAGTCCATGAACAGCTCGCCCTCGAGCTCAAGGAAGCCCAAGATCAAATGAAGCGCTACGCCGACGCCAAACGAATTCCTGGACCGGACTTCAGGCCTGGCGACCACGTCTGGCTCCTGCGCAAAAACCTCCAGACAACCCGGCCCTCTCAGAAACTCGACCATCGCAAGATTGGTCCATTCCCCATCGTTGAAAAAATCAATCCCGTCGCCTACCGGCTCAAGCTCCCGCCTACGTACAAAATCCACGATGTCTTCCATGTCTCGCTCCTCGAACCCCGCCTCACCATCCCCGAACGACACGAACCCGAACCCGCGCCCCCAGAGACCGTTGAGGGTCAAGAAGAGTGGGTTGTCAAAGCCATCCTTGACTCTCGCATCCATCGTCGTCGCCTTCAGTACTTGGTCAAATGGCAGGGCTGGCCTGACTCTGAGAACACCTGGGAGCCCGTGGAACACCTCACCCATACCGACGCACTTCTCCAGGACTTCCACAACGCGTACCCCAACAAGCCTTCCTCTGTCCCCATAGCACCTCCTCTGCGGCCACACCAAACTCGACGCCGCCGCCGCCGCCGCTAAAGAGAGGGGTGATGTTATGGACGACGCGCCCATACCATAAGCTTACCTACTGACAGCCGCCAATGTCAACCGCCAAATGTCAAACGCCAATGTCAATGTCAATGTCAGTGTCAATGTCAGTGTCAATGTCAATGTCAATGCCACTCCCCCTCTCTCCTCTCATTTCGCCAATCCTCTTGCAATATTGCCACTCCTCCACTCTCCTCTCATTTCGCCAATCCCCCCTCGGCTTCTCCACACCCCCCACTGCTTCCCCATAGCCAGCAGCTGTAGCAATGCTCTCTACGCTCGCCACGCACGCTCTAGGAGCATAGCTGGCGCCCCCCAGTCCCCTCTTGTTGTTGTTGTTCTCTGATCTGCTGGGTTGCCTATCTATAAATAGCCGGCCTCTCTTCGTCCATCCCCTTCCTCCCCAGCAGATCAACACCAGTTCTTCTCATCTCCTGTTCTAGTCCTTGTTTCTTGTTTCGCCAATACAATCTCTTGTCGCCTATCACTCTCGCCCTGTCTTCTCTACTTCGCTTCCGCCTCCGTCGTCGAGATCATAACATTCAGGAGTCATCAAAGACCAAGGGGTGAGTGACCATCATTGTTTTTTATGTACTATAATATGCTAACTCATCATGGCAATTAGATTCCGCACACTCTTTGCAAGAAACAGCATTCCATGTTACTTGCTAGATGAGTATCGAACGTCGTCCGTGTGCCCCAACTGCCACGGTCGTGTGAAGAAAAACATCCGACGACGGCTGTCTTCTCGGCCATGGCAAGCTAGAAAGGGAAGAATGGAATTCGTCCATGGATTGGTGGGTTGATCCATGGATTGGTGGGTTGCCCCAACCCCGAATGTATCAACCAAGACTGGACGCCATTTGAGATTCCTGGAAGACAACCACTACGGATGAAAGTGCACAATCGGGACGTCCTAAGTACCAAGAATTTCCTCTCGATTGTGCGTTCGGTGGTGTTTGGCAATGGCCGCAGACCAGACGCATTCTCCCGTAACCGGTAGTCTAGATTTCACCCCATCCCATTTTCCGTGGTGGTTATCTGCCATCCACATCATTGTACCTCTGCCTGAGGCGTCGCCGATGAAGGCAACTTGTAATCCAACGCGTTATTTTCCGGATCATGTCCGAACGGGCGCACGCCCCCTCAACCAAGCTCAGCTACCCAAAACATGCCCTTCACATTGCGAGCAGCTGCAGTGCAGACAGAATGGACGAACCACTAGAAGATATGGATGTGTGGGAGGCGGAACATGGCGAGGAGATGGACGCTATGCTAGCTATGGAGAGCGAGCAGTCGGGTAAGGCCGTTCTCGCATGTGTGCCTCATTCCTGTCCGTCCATTCACCCGGCAAATGTCCTTTGTCAGGGCGATTCCCTTCCCCTTTGAAACGGTACGGCGGAGCCGCAGCAAGTGCACTACTGCCTCAACAAAGACCACCAGGTGATTGCCAACCTCCGGTCGTTTTCGATGGGTTGCGACTCGAGGTTAACTTCAACGGTGCAGACCAGTGTACGGACCCGTTTTCGTCTTCCCCGCCGACTTTCACCTCACCCAGCTCACGAATGGAGCAGCCCACACCAATGCCGAGTAACTTTCAAATCAGAAGCAGCTTGCCCGTCGTCAGCTCCCATCCTACGCGATCCGCAGCCAGCATGGAGCCTCTCACCGCCTTGAGCTTCGGCGAATCCGAGAACGTGATGGATTTTAGCGCTGGATCATCACAGTGGGGAATAAACGTTTTCGAAGCGAGACAGACTTCGACGGCGGGCGGTCCGATTACGAAACGGAATACTTTCAGTAATCGAGCTTTCACATTTGACGACGATTCCGACGAGGATGCAGCCGTTGATTCGGGGAAGGTGGCTCCTGGAGGGAATTTGCCGCCGCGGGCGAACATCCCCGATCGTTCCCAACCGTCGAAAAACTCTGATCGGAAATCAAATGCGGAGAATGAGACTGCTTTCGATGCTTTCAGGAACAGCTGGCTTGGCAAGCACACCGCGAATCAAGTGTCTGCTGATCTGCCTGGACATCTTCTACCGGGGATTACGGGGGCGTTGCCATCAGAAAGGCGGAAAATATTGGATGCAAGCAGGAAAAGGCCACTAGACGAGATCAAACTCCTTAGGCCCACAAAGCGCATCTCCTTGGGTGGGGTATCTGAAGATGATGAGCTGGGTGTCAAGGCGAGCGCAAGTGCGATGCCCAAGGAGTTTCGGAGCAGGGGTGCGGCCCGTGCTACGCAGAGCAACGCCGTGAGGCGACCAGATCAAGTAGGGGAACAGTCGCATTCATTTCAACAACAGACACTTGAATATCCGGACTCTGACGAGGAGGATGGTGGTCCTTCAGTGCATGCGTCACGCATTATGCGACAAGCCGACATTGCCCCTCCACACCACCCGGTGACAGCAGATGCATCTTCCGCACCGATTGAGATCGATAGCATGTCGGCAAATGTATGGGAAGCCGCCGCGCCTAGCTCGACGTCGATGCCCGAATCAAGAGCACTCATGCAGTTTCCAACCAAAAACTACCACATTCTGCCTGCCAATACCAACCGCTTCCGAATGGCCACATCTACTGGAGGAGCACGGCTTTACTTCCCACATCGCCGGACGAACGCGACGGCCAATCCCGTCGACACCGTAACAGCTAAGGCAAACCTTCTTGGCCGAACATCCGTTTACAGTCTACTGGATGAGATCGGTGCTGAAAAGGCGAATCCAGCCGCTGAGAGGGATTTGGTCGACGCGCGAGGAAGGTCCATTATTGCAGAAAATATCTTGTCCAAGGACGGGGCATCGAAAGAAAGGCTTTGGGTCGACAAATACGCACCACGAATGTACATTGATCTTGTTGGGGACGAGGTGGGTTGCTCATCCAGGACATAGTCAGCCAAGGGGCGACACCTGCATAAGCTGATAGGATGTTTCCCTACAGCGAGTCAATCGTGAGGTCCTCATGTGGGTAAAGGAGTGGGATTACTGTGTTTTCAAGAAAGTCAGCAAGACGGCAATGTACAACAAAGCAGAGCAGACACAGGTTAGTCCGCTTGTTAGGTCCATGCTGGTGTCACGTTTCACACCTTGCTAAATTGAAGTTTGGGGAAAGTGGACGGATCCCCTTCGACGACCGGAACAGAAAGTAAGCTGAAGTGTGCCATCTTCTCTTGAGCACTTAACGACGGGAGTAGCCTGACTTACCATGGGCATCTCTAGATACTCCTGTTGACGGGGGCCCCTGGACTTGGCAAAACGACGCTAGCGCATGTCATCGCACGACATGCGGGATACAGCGTGGCAGAAATCAATGCCAGGTGAGTGAGCACAATCCATGGTCCTCGCAGGTGATAAAACCCTAACGCACTTCTACGCGTTGTCGCAGTGATGATCGAACAGGGGGGGCGATAAAAAATAAACTTGTGGGAGCTCTTGAAACACAGTCTGTCATGGGAACGAAGAAACCCAGTCTCCTTGTCATTGACGAAATTGACGGAGCCAGCTCAAGTGGGCAAGAAGATCAGGTGGGTAGACATTGTTACGTCTCGTCACGATGTTCCACCTGACATGTGCTTCGTCCCAACAGAACTTCATGAAACTGCTGGTGGATTACGTGCATCCGCAGGGAAAGAGGGCGGATCGAGCTTATTCGAAGAAGGGAGACAAGAAGGGCAGGCGATCCTTGTTGCGTCCGATCATTTGCATCTGCAACGACCCGTACGTTCACCTGAAAATTAAACGCGCGAATATGAGCTGACGATTTTCACGGATCGGCCCCAGATATGCCCCTGTTCTCCGCGTGCTTCGCCCTTATGTCAAGATGATTACGTTCAAGCCTCCGACAATGAAAATCCTTGCCAAGAGACTGCATGAAGTGTGCCGATGGGAGGGTCTCCAGGCTGATCTGCGCACATTGACTTCACTCTGCGAAATGACGGACGGCGACATCCGGAGCTGCATCAATACCCTTCAATTCCTGCGGCGCAAAACCAACGTCCTCACCTTGGAACATCTTGCAAAGGCGGATGTCGGGCAAAAGGACATGGGGAAAGGACTGTTTCTTGTCTGGCAAGAATTGTTTGCATCGGCGAACACAAGCGGACGACGACAAATGTCCGCTGCAAACGGCCTTGGTCAAGGTGCGTCGACCGCGTCCGTGAGCGGTGGTCACATGTCATTCAGATGGACTGTCGTTTCATTGACAATGTCTTCAGGAAGCAAAAGGGATGGGAAGTTCATTCAAAGGTTGCACTCGCTGGTGACGGCAAACGGGGAATATGATAGGATTACGCAAGGTAAACAGTCCACACCCAAGCGTGAGATACTAGTATGTTCTGATATAGGCTTCTCCTACCGCTGCAGGATGCTTTGAAAACTATCTGCGCACAAACATTTTCGATACTGCGTCGAGCCGTGGTCACAACTCTATGTCTACCTCGTTGTGCACAGCCGTCCCAAAGAGCAAAATTGAGCGGGCCCTCGATTGGCTTGCCTTCCACGATACACTCGATTACCTTGTTAACGTCCGGCATAGATACGAAGTCGCGCCATATGTGCCATTCATTCCCATTACCTTCCACCGGCTGTTTTCCAGCGCATCGCGTTTGAGGTTGGAGTATCCGAGACGCGAAGCTTTGGTACGTACCTTTCCTTCTCTGTGATCCGGCGAAGAGTGGTTGGGCTTTTATCAGCGACCCTTTCTGATCGTTTTCCTATTGGCTCAGGTCGCCGCCTCGACTAAAGCTAACAAGAATATCATGCTGAACCTGCTTCACGGAATGCCGCCCCTGTTCCGCCGGTGCTGGAATAATGTTGAAACGGTGGTGGTTCATCTCGTATCCTATCTACTTTCCATTATCTCTCCCGAAATCCGTCTGGTATGCGATTGATGTCTCGATAGTGCGAGATTTTTGAGCGGTGGGGCCCGTGATGCCGGGTTGGGGACTGATATCATTGTTACACACAGGTCAATACGCGTTTGATGAAACCAGCCGAAGCGCAAGCCTTTCATCGGCTGGTAGATATTATGGCTTCTTTCGGGCTACGCTTTCGACATGACAGGACAGAAGAAGGGGCGTTCGCATTTCATCTTGATCCGTAGGTGGACCTGTCAACCTGAGTTGTCCTATCCTCCTATATTGAAGATCCGCTCGAGTGCTGACGATGCATATATTGATACCTATAGACCACTGGAGCTCTTTGCGCGGTCCTTAACCGCTCAAATAAAACAAAGTGGGTCGTCCCTTGCGCTCGCACTGTCAAACAAGCGAGCACTCGGGGCCTCAAACGCTCTGAAGCAAATGATCTCGATGGAGGTGCGAAGATTGCATTGTTTTTCACTGCATCAGGGCGACGTGGGCACAACCTCATCTGAATTGTCCAGATTGATCGCGAAATAATCCGACGCTCGGAACCAGTGACTGATGCAGCCGCTATCGAGAACAAGTCGACTGTCCCTGCGGACTATCGGAACGGCCGACAGTTGAGTGATCGGTCTGGGGATGTCAAGAACGTCGGCGTAACTACAACGACGCGGCTCAAACCTAAGGTCGTAAAAGATTTGATCCCAAGATCTGGGACAACGAAAGACGAATACAAGGTTCGTTTGATAACTTTGTCCCAGTTGCGTGCTCAAATTGATATGCCTTCACGGTTTTCGTAGCCTGAGCGGGATTTCTTCGGGAGACTCACCGCAACCACACCGAATGCCGCACAAGACATGCAGACTGAAGGTAATTAGGCTGAAAAAAACATACTTCTTGTACCTAGGATCTTCGGCAATTCCGGGAACGCCGGTGCACTTATTGAAAAACTGACGCACGTTTCTCCACCTCTAGGACTTTCTGCATCAACACCCACGAGCCCGAAAGTGGAAGAACGGCGGTATCCCACTATTAGCTACAAGTTCAATGAAGGGTTCTCCAATGCCGTAAGGAAGCCAGTGCTTGTAAGGGAGCTTCTCTGAGCTAGATCCCACTCGCCCTTCGTTCCCTCCTCGCTTCTGCATACACGCATAGAGTTTTCAACCTCGCGCCTATAGATGGGAGGAGTTTAGTTCAGATCCACGTACAGTCAGTGTCCATAAAGCTGGGTCCCCCCCAAGATTAAGTCAGAGTGTCGGCCCCCAGAGCAAAACAGCCATCCGAGAGGCCGACATCGCCTCCAACTTTTTGACAACCCCAGCACTCGACGGCGCCACCGCTAGGTATTAGGGTTCTAGAGTAGGGCTCTAATCCCTCCCGGTGCCGCTGGCTGTCTGGTTGGCTGTTAGCTCTGGCTGGGGGCCACGTTCGTCTTGCCTTTCAGGTTTGCTTGCCGCTGGGAAACGCGCGACCTCGCTTTGTGAAACGGACATTGAAATCAATTATGGGGGGGACGCCTAGGGGGACGCAGCTTTATGGACACTGACTGTACTTATCTGGCATGTTTGACAAAAACCGACAGCGCGTCCCTCCTGTCAACAAGATGTCAGTTCTTATAACCAGTTCTCTCCACACGCTGAAATGGTTTCCAGGGGTATACTTTCATTATAAGATATGAGATATGAGAGGTACTTGTGGAAAGCTCTGAAAGCGCACTTCCTTGCGAGCAGGCAAAATGTCAAGCCGACTTGCTGGGCGTGACATGACGGTGCCTCATTTCCCGCTGCAGGGCAGTCGCTGGCCCTTCTACACACCTTTCCCAAACTTCAAAGGCAAACTGAAACCATCGCCCGGTGCAGGTGAATGTGGAGCGCTTTCTCGTCATGCAAGCTAGAGCATTTCTCGAGAGAGAGACTTGTGGAGTACTCGAAATTGGGTTCGACCTCCAGAAGGTTTACCTCCAAACTTTAAGTGCCCTTTTTTTGTTGCATGGACCGTGCTCACGAAACCTTGAAAGCTAATTTGCCGACTACACCTTAAAACTTAATCTCCGCAGCTTTTCACCACATTGGATTTGGTTTGGAAGCACGCTGTACGCTGCCATAGGGTTTTGGCATGTTTATGCGAAAATGATACGTGGTGTGTTCAATTCTTGGCGTGGCTCGTCGGCTATAAAGCCGGCAGCAGCCGAGCGATTCCCTTCTCATCATCGCCTTCCTCTACTTCTTGCCTGAAGCTACTACAAGCATCCTTTCAAATCACCGAAATCCGATACACTTCTCCCCAATCTACTCTCAAAACATCATCAGCATGAAGGCCACACTCCTTGTCATTGCGTCCATCGCTCAATCGATCGTGAGCATCTATGCCGCTCCGACTCCCGCTGGGGCTGTAAGTTGCCATCTCATACAGGGTGATTATTGACATAAATATGCACAGACATAACGTAAATGTCTTTCTCATCTGTGCAGGTTGAAGCCGCCGGTGTGAAAGGAAATTGGGCCAATGACTTTGAAAAGAACGACTTCGACGGAAAGAAGATTGACTTCGATTTTAAGAAGAACGACTTCGACGGAAAAAAGCCCTTCTATGGATATGGAAAGAAAGGTTGGGAGAATGCAGGAGAGAGTTGCCTTTCGCTGCCGATGTTAATCATTTTATCCCTCGACCACAGGATTCTTGTATGAAGCCGACGTTGAGGAAGTCCAGGCCGCAGGTTACAAGGACGAGCATAACATCCAGAAGAACAGCCAGGTAAGTCCTTAGACCGTTGGGAACTTTGGGGAGCGCTGGCTGACCATCCCAAACAGCACAATGCGCATAAAAACTCCGCCAACCAAAATCAGCACCACGCCAATCAAAACACCAACAAAAACGCTCATAACAACTTGCAAGAGTGCGTATCGCTGCCGTCATGTGCTCTGTGTAAATATGTGTATATCTAAACATATCACCTTTTCGGTTCCCCGTTCAGGGATCATATCGAGGCCAACCAGCGCAATCAGATTCTGGAGAAGGTCAATCAAGGTTAGAGTTCTCTTCTTACTCGCTCTCAGGCGCACCTCTAACACTGGCTGCAACCAGAGAACAACTTCGAGAAGGATCATCTCAATCAAAACAACAAGAACCGTAGGACATATCTGCCCTGAGTTCAACGCCCGCTAGTCGTTGCGATTAATCCACGTCCCCATCTCCATCCATCCCGTCTTCTCGCTATAGATCATAACAGCGCTCAAAAGAAGGACCAGAGTAAGCACAACAGACTACTCATTGCCGCCGTTTGCTCTCCCTTTCTCATCACAACGACGCATTTCAGACAACAACAACTACAACAACGTGAAGAAACACGATCAGAACCGTAAGGATACTTTGAGCAGCCGGCTCGTCCGACATCTGTTGCGATTAATCACCTTCTTCACTTCCACCCGCATCCCTTATCCTGCAGAGTTCAACAAGAAGGAAGTTGAAGCCGCTGCCGTCTGATCTAGTGTAGCCCTGGTCGCAATCTCGCCCTCATCTCTTAGTAATGAGTCGTAGCCTGTTGTGTCTTTTGAACCGATCGCTCATTGAGGTGATCTGCCTTAGCAGTAGTAGTTCGTCAGTTTGAATACATTACATTCTCTTCGCAATTCCGCTCAATACACGCTCCTTACTGCTCATTATTCACAAACTCTTCCCGCAAGTTCTCGACCGCGAACTACGTATTCAATGGCAGATGCTGCCATTTACGGCTCTAGGAGAGACAAGACTTTGAGCTGCAGAGGTCCCGCACTTTTTAACGCAGGTTTCGTCTCTGCTGGAACCACCTTCGGTGATGTAGCTTTCACAGCATTGGCATCCACTGTTGCTCACTGTTCGCGCGAAATTTGCAACTACACTCTTGCTCCTACCCACAACAGGCCAGAGGTTGAGGTACTGTACAATGCAGGTACTGTTGGGTTGGTCACTTCGTATACAAGGGCTTTCTTCTCCCAAGCATAAAGCTGGTCTTCAGATTGTCCTGGCACCTCCTCGGGACTTGCATCCTCATCATCGACTCGCATTCGTCCACTTTTCCTTCGACAATCGTCTTACAATCATCATAGGCATGCGCTGTCAAGAATTATCCTACCTGGCAGCATGAACGGAGGAACTGGGCTGAACTCTCTGAAAGCTCTGAACTGCTGAACTGGGAGGCGGAACTTGCTTTCCAACCGCGTCGGCCAGCGCGTCGGCGCCTGGTGGACACTTTCAAAACCAGGTGACGGTGTCGATAAGGTTAACCAAACTGGCAGGCAGTCCTGGGGACTCGGGCGGAAAAGTATGGGCGGGGATCAGGGCGGGGATTCTGGCTGGATTCCCGTCAGGCGGCGGCATCTTTCCATAAAGTGAAAGGCGGTGGTGCAGCAGTTCCAGGAGCTCCAAGGTGTTACTCCTCCCTGCTTTTCACGACATGGATGAGCTACATAACCCGTTCTTCCCGTACGCCGACTGGCGTGTTTCGCTACTGGGAGAGGGAAGGCCCTGGGTGCATAAGGTGTACGAGGTCAACCTAGTTGCGAGCGGCATAACGACGATTATCTACGGGGGCATTTTGTTCCACCTCCTCAGGGTGAAGAAAGGAAAAGTATTCCAATTTGAAGGGGGTGTATTTCGACCGCATCCTCTGCCCGGATATGTAGCCTGCGCTTTCGTTTTTATGATAGGTGAGGCTTCAAGGAGTGTCTCCCTGTCGAACCGATCACGCATGCTAAACACTTCCTTATCACTGCGACCAGGGCGGACGCTGTTCTGTGCGATGATGATTTCTGGAGTCCTCGGGTATGGGCACGTCCGTAACGAAGGATATATCATGGAGGCTTTCCATGAATGGCCATGGGGATTCGGCTATTCGAGTTGCGTCCTCTACCTTATCGGGCTGTGAGGAATCCTTGATATTCCGACCTGTAGCGTGTTCCACTGCTGACCAAACTATCCAGGATATTTGCGACCCCTGAACGGATAGCGGTTGCAGATCAGTCAAAGGTCTATCTGCCAAGGGGAAGCCAAATGAATGCCTTCTGCATTTTTATGATCGTAGTTCCCACGGTCCTCGCAAATACACTTGCGGGGTAAGTCCGTTTTGCCGCTTCCGTTCGATGACTATGTTTCTGAATTATCTTAGCAGAGTGGCTGGCTACTACATGGATCATAAAGACATGGATATGGGGCGGAAGGTTACTTCGGCACACTATTGGATATGGGGGTGAGTACTGCGTAAACCACCGCATAACCATTTGATCAACGGCTCCCCGCAACGATAAATACCATATCTCGTTAGAATCTGGACTTCCCTCGCCTTTGCCTCATTCGTTTTCTTCGGGCGCCAGCTCAATCGCCTTTTGTATTTGACAACAAATGAAATCAAGCAGAATGGGAACTACAGTGGGCGTGTTCGGACGCTGGAAGCTGTACGTCGCAAAGTATGTCGGCTCATCTACCTAACCTTGGTTTCCATTCGTGTCTGATTGGGAATCCAATACAGCTTCTCTACATCACGATATCCCTCTCAGGGGTTCTGGCATGCTATGTATTAGCGATCGTCGCTTACGCTACGCAGCAGGAACGGTATGAAAATTTGACCAAAACCCATTTTCTGAAACTCTGATGAGTGGATGGATTTCGCTTAAATTGGAATATGTCTCAGGATTTTGACCGGAGCTCAGGGGATTTCCATACTGTTTTGCTTGTTATGGAATTTCTGCGCTCCAGCGTTGATGCTCACTATTTCGGGCTTTATCCTATATGGGTAAAACACCATAGCAATCTTGGCAACAACCGAACGCACTGTCGGAAAGCTAACATATGCACCCTCCGGCAGATTTGTCTGCGAAACCAAGCAGAAAGAAGCGGCGGCTGTCCCAGGCTCCGGGGTGGCTACAGGCGGGTCAAGCAAAAAGAAGCGATCGTCTAAGGCAAACGACGTGTCTGTACCAGGCAGCGAACCAGCGTGGACAGTCGGGGCGATATCAGGCTGGCAGACGATGGCTCCCAGTGCAGGCGTCCCCCACGACGAGGAAGGATGAGCGACCCGTTTTCAGTGGCACTGTTTTCCGAGCGCAGCTCCGAGAGCCAAGGGAGACGGGACTATAGAAGCATGGCATGTGGAGAGGAATACATCACTTTCTATACTAGCTTCCCACATAGTCCTGATTCCGCAACGTTGGCGTGTTTCGGGGGAGGTGGCGAACCAAGGTGAGAATCGATATCCGTGTCGAGATGTGTTCCTTTCCGATGGCAACAAAGTCCAGACATACTGAGGTGTTTCGGGGGAGGTGGGGAACCAAGGTGAGAATCGATATCCGTGTCGATAAAGTGTTCCTTTCCGATGGCAACAGAACTTACCGAGTAGGGTGGATGGCAAGAGGATCCTAATAACTCTGTCTGCTAGTCACATGACCATGTAAAATCGATGAGAGCTGTCCGGGATCGATCGCGTACACAGAGCGTGCGTTTGCGCCCAGGGTGTTTTGGCCATGTGAAAGCCGCCAAAGCTACAGTGTTTTTAATGCTGTTGTTGAATCTTGGTTGATCCCTGATTGCGGCGATGTGCGACATATCCTGAACGCATTTTCAGTTCACATAGAGAAGTATATTTTGATACGAACATTTTTTTCTTATTCACATGCTGATTTATAACTTCATACGCAACTACCTACTCAAGTTCATATGGGTCCCCATCCAAGGTCATCCGCCGCACCAAGTTCATACGCCGCACCAAGTTCATACGCTGCAAAATTCAGATCGTTCTAAGGAAGTGAATCTACTCCTTGCCTCCATCAGCCAGTCCATCCGCCAACCCTCCGCCTTCCTCCTCCTCCTCCTCCTAATTCTCCCCGTTGTGCTGGAACTGAGCACTTAGCAGTAGTCGGCAGAGGAAGCAGATGACTGAGCAAACTCTATGTTGTGTGAGATGTAGTACTGTGAAGTATGTATTGTCTTGTTTAGAAAAGTCTGTGGTGTAATGAGGACACAAGGTCCGAAAGGGAAGAAAAGAGTGAAGTCCCGTACTCGGAAGTGTGGCGTAAGCGGGAGGGGAGTCACGTGAGGAAATAAACTACGGGAACCCTAACCGGGGACTCGGGAGGATGATACCTCCAACACCCCCACTCAAACTCACGAGTCTATCTAAGTGAAAGATAAAGCTAAACAATGAGTACAATGGTGCGGCCGTACGGGAAAAGCGGGCGGACGTCGGGTGAATAGCTATGACTAAAATGAAAGAAATGAAAGAGTAAAATGAAAGAAGAGGGAAACGCCGCGAGTATAAAACAAGAGACAGCTGTCAGTCGCCCCAGAGAGGTGAGACCAAAGTTCCCATACTCAACTACCATATCCCAGACGACCACACGATACGCGAAACAATGGCGAAGGGAGGCAAGAACGGCGGGAGTGGCAAGAAGAGCGGCGACGGCAAGAAGAAGCAAACGGGCCGTAAGTCGGGGACCCCAGCAGCCCCTCCAGCTGCACCTCCGCCGGGACCCTCACGACCGACAACGCGCTCTACGCACGCATCGTCCGCAGCGTCTGCAAGCGACTCTTCGATGTCGAAAGCCCGAGTGAGAGAAGCTCTTTGATTGGCGACAGAGGTGGCCACGTTGAGGTACCGGAAGGATAACCATGAGAACCTCGCAAAGCCCCTGGCGTTTACGAAGGCAAAGCTGGATCGATCAAAGCAAAAGAAGGGGTCGTTCGAGGCATTGATGGAGGAGGCAGACTACCTTGGGTGTAAGGCAGTCTCGGAGTCACGATATAAGGCAAAAGGCTGCATATCGAAAGAAAAGACGAAAGAGGCAAAGCGCCGCAGTGATGCGGCCGAGAGACGAGAGTGAGACAAGTTGATGAAGCGACTCACGTACTTGCGAAAGCACATGGATGATTCGTCTTCGAGTGATGATGGAGACGGTGACGGAAACGGCGGGGGAGGTGGTCCAGGGGGTCCGTGTAAGAATGCTAGGTCCATTGCCAGAGGCTAGCTCTGTCTCCGCTCAATGTAATGAAAGAATCTCAGAGTTTCTACCTCCCGGGGCGCCGCCCAAAGGCTTTTCTTCCCTTAGGGAGTCACCCCAGAGCGTAGGACTCCAATATAATCTATGCTACACGTGATCTCATGCCCTACGGGCTTCCCCGCACTAAGGTGACACCTGCAGCACCTCATTACACCCCCCTTAGAGCCAAGTGTCACTCCGACACCGACCGCACCTGTCAGTCGCTCCCCGCTGCTACTTGATGTGGAGCTAACACAGGTGTCGGCCATGAGGAGTGCGCATGGCTCTACTGGAGCGGCTGGCGTCACCGGTGGTCACCATGATGGCAATCAGATCCACGCCGATATGAGGTAGAGATGAATCGGCCTCAGCTGGTCGTGGGGGGCCATGGTCCTTGTCCCCGCGGCATATAAAAAGGAAGGCAGTGGTCCCTGCGGCACCTTCCCACCAGTCCTCGGACTTACATTTCTTGCTCGCAATCTCGTAAACCTCTCACCGTCGCCGTTCCCATCTTCATCATGGCCAGCGTAGCTCCTCCAGCCAAGCCTGCCGCTGCCAGCCCATCATCGGGCAAGAAGCGAGTAGGCGAGGGCCCCACCAAAGGGGACAGCCTAAAGAAGGCTCTCAAGCGACAGCAAGTGGTGAGTCTACGGAGGGTACCCAATTGACCGAAGTTACGTGGTTTGACCAATTCTATCTCAGGACACCCCTGAGGTGCACTCGGACAGTACCCCGGAGCCCCCGTTCCACCGGCCCGACCTACGTGTTGGAACTGCAACACGTTTGGCCCCCGCAAGATGTTCCTCTCAGCGTGCCAGCACGTTATATGCCGGCCTTGCATCCTCCCGCTCTGTGATGACACCGTAAGGAACCGCATGTTATGGGTGGTTCCCGTGAGGTGACTGACAGCTCACGTCTCTTTCCGACAGACCGACACGCGCGTCCGTGGGTTTACGTGCGGCTACGTTGACAGTTTTGAGGAGGAGTGCGAAACGCCGCTCTTCTGCCAGGGGCTACCCTGCACCTGTGTGTGGCCCGACTGCAATTCTCTGGCCCAGGACGTGCAGGTCTTGCCCTGCGACCACATCAATTGTATGGGGCATGTCTGCGCGTAAGTACAACAGTCGTGAATCTTTGACAGGTCCCGCCGTTGACGTGACGCGCTCCCTTTAGCCAGATGAACGTCCAGCAGTTCGTCCCGCGGCGTTGTGGCATGGGGGCCGCCTGCCACGGCACACGTTGCCAATGGTCTTTTGCCAAACAGGCTGGTATTTAGCCTGGCGTCGTCGTTCTTCTTTCTTGTATATGTTTTGTTGAATTTGATCTCCTTGAAGCGTTTCCCTTTGGTACTTCACCGATCGTCCTGAGCCCTGGTGCCTCGCACCCGCTTGCATAGGCCATGGTACCTTGTACCCGCCCGGATCTTGGGCCTTGGTATTGCATACCCGCCCGCATGAGCCCTGACACCTCGCTTGCCCGCTCGCATAGGCCCTGGTACCTCGTACCCGCCCGCCTCATAGGCCCTTGTACTACGTGACCGCCTGCATCATAGGCCTTGGTACTAAGTACCCGCCCGCATGGGTCCGCAATGGTAATGATCATTTCGGACAGTAGAAACTCTGTTTTGATGTATGTACAAGGTTCAGATATGTTTACAGCGACGAGAGACTGCCGCTCTCTCCTTCCCCTTGGTCTCCCGAGTCTCCTGGCGCTTGGCGGCTTGCTTTCGGACATATCGCTTGTGGGCTGAGGTGTCGCGGACGTGGTGGAGTGGCTCCCAGGTGTTCTGGGACACATCGTAGCCGGCCCATTTGACCAGGAACATCTCGGTGTTGCGTACCCACTTGGAATCGAGGATGTCTCCAACTCGGTGTTCGAGTTTGCCGTTGACTTCCTCGGGGGGGGGGGGGGGGTGGCGCGTCCACTTTTCGGTATGGGCCGTTCTCCAGAGGGTTGTACCTGCGTAGGATGTTGACGTGGAACACCGGGTGTAGTCCACTGAACTCATGGAGGAGCTCCAGCTCGTAGGTGTCCGGGTGGGGCCCCTTTCCGCTGACGGTGAAGGGCCCGATCCACAGCGCGGACAGCTTCTGGTTTCGGGCCAAGATACTCTTGATCTGGATGCCTTCGCGGTTCAGCAGGACCTGGTTGCCTACTACGGACGCATCCGTATTCTTGTTTCTGTCGTAGTATCTTGCCTGCCTCTTCTGGGCCTCTCGGAGTCTGTGCTGAACGATGGGGCTTACCTCGATCAGTTGCTGCATGCGCTCCTCAATGCACTTTCGATTGGCGTGTTTCAGTTGCTCTGTTGAGTCGCTGGTACCCCATTGGTCGGGTACCTTTGGGATGTACCTGATGTCGATCTCGTACGGGGACATGCCCGTGGAGGTCTGGGGCGTCCTGTTGTAGTTGTACTCAAGGAGGGGAAGCATCTTACGCCAGTTCGAGCTGGTGTCGTTCAGGTAGGGGACCATCATCTTCTTGATTGTCTTGATGACGTTCTCTGTCTTGCCGTCGGTCTGTTGGTGTCGTGCCGACAAGAGTTCCTGCTCTACGCCGGCGCACTTCAGGAGGTGCTTCCAAAAGGCGCCGGTCCATTTGGTGTCCCGATGGCTGATGATCATGTGGGGCATGCCCGTGATGCGGAAGGCCTGGTCGAAGAACAGCCGGGCGAGTTCCTTTGCCGTCGCCTTGGCGTGGGGCTTGAGGAGGATTACGCGGCTGGATAAGTAGTCCACCAGGATGAGGACGGCTCCGTTGTCCATGACGGACTCGTCTCCCACTTCACCCCCCTTCGAGTTTGTCTTGGGGAAGTAGATGTCCAAGCCGACGCAACACCAGCGCTTGTCGGGGACCGGAATGCTGCGTAGGAGCCCGAAGTTGGGGGCCTGGTTGTTGCGTTCGCAGTTGAGACGAGTTCGGACGTACTGGTGGACCTCGCGCTTGAGGCGGGGCCAGTAGTAGAGCGCGAGGAGTTTGGCGACGGTGCGCTGGACACCCGAGTAGCCGCCGTTGGCCAGGGAGTCATGATAGAACCGGAGGAGCGGGCCCCGAAGGCCCTCGGGGACGTAGCGGCGGCCATGGTACAAAA